GCCATATCCCGGCAGTCACCTGTCACAAACTCACACCGCATCCAACTGTTCATAGCTGACTAACCAGCATCAACTCCCGACCGATCCGATCGTCAGCGACACAATCATATCAATCTCCGATCAGACCATTCACCAACCACCATCCATCCCTATCCCCTACATTGTCCCCGAGTCGCACAAACACCACCAACCATCACATCAATGCCTTCGACCCACTAAAATGCCCAAACTCTCCCCCTCCACCCTCCTCACCTCCCTCTTCTACCTCCTCCCTATCTACCTCTTCGTCATCGCCCCCCTCCTCCGCCAACTCTTCCCCGTAACCACCGACATCTTCGACCCGGACACCGACACCCCCGACGCAGAAACCGACATCACGCTCGACCCCGAGATCCTCAGTCTCCCCGACGGAGTCACCCCAACATGTCCCGAAGATACCTACCGGGTACACCTCCTATCCAAGGACCCACTAATCATCTACATCGAAGATTTCCTCTCCGACGAGGAAGCCGACCACCTCGTGAAGATCAGGTCCGTCCACCCTCCAGTTTTCCCCTCAAATAAACACCAATCCAATCCCCAATTTCACCAATCCCAATCCCAATATCCTAACCACCCCACCCAACCCCAAAGTGAACCAAACTACACCCCCTCAATAATCTACAACGGCCAAACCACCAAAGTCGACCCCTCGACACGCCTCTCCGACCGCGCCCTCCTCCCCCGCGACAACACCGTCCGCTGCCTCGAATCGCGCGCCTCCTCCTTCCAAGGCTGGAAACCCCACCTGTACATCGAGCGCATGTGGGCCCAACGCTACAACGTCTCCGGCCACTACAAACACCACTTCGACTGGGCCGGGTCCGTCGCTCGCGGCGGCGACAGACTAAGCACCTTCATGGTATACCTCGGCGATGACTGCAAGGGCGGAGGCACAAACTTCCCTCGACTCAAGATGCCGCGCGGAGACCAGTGGTGTCAATTCTTGGATTGCGAGATGGGCGATAATGTCACCGGGATCACGTTTAAGCCCGTAAAGGGGAATGCCATCTTCTGGGAGAATTTGAAATCTGATGGTACGGGGTATCCTGAGACGTGGCATGCCGCGTTCCCCGTCACTGAGGGGTTGAAGGTTGGGTTGAATATTTGGAGTTGGTATCAGCCGCCGCGGAGGAGGGGATGAATTGTTCCCTCTTTCCTTTTTGGGACTATGGGATCGGGGTATATATCGGTTGCTTTCTGTATAACATGTGTGTACTATATTGTGTACTATGAAGGATAGATAGCGACTATGAAGGATAAATAGCGAGGTAGGTAGGTAGGTAGTTGTAGTAGGTATCGAGATAGACAATGGTATAGATGATTGATTGGTTAACATTACGTAACATGACATATATATACTCCCTCCAACACCGTCTGTACTCCGTTCCTCGTCATAGGATCCTCATAATCAAACCAAACGCATACATATGGGTATATAACCGCCTTGACATTTAGCCTCCCACATTCATCCATTGAGTCCAATCGTCGCCCAGTGCGCCTGGTCGGCACGCATCACCATTTCCGAAGATATCATCGAGCGGGAGCCCCAGATCCAGCCCCATCCCCAACCCCCCTGGGTTACTGTCATCCATACCCAGGCCGAATTGTCCGAGATTCGAGGCGGTTGCGGGAACAGCCGCCTCCGCGGTGAAGTTCGGCGGCTGGAAGTTGTATCCCTGCCACATGAAATTCTGGTTCGGCAGAGAGACGAGGTCCGGACTGTTGACGACCTCGCCGTTGGTGCCAGGCGTTGATGCATGTGAGCCGGGCGATTGCAGTCGGGAGGTATTCATCTGTTGTTGGTTTGCCAGACGGTTCGAGATGCTGGGGCCCAGGCCACTGCGTGTTCCGCCCGCGAAGAGAGGGAAGTTTCCGAACCCATCCACTGTCGGTGTTGACGCCGCGAGCGCGCTTAACCCGTTGGTGTCGGCCGTTGACACCATTCCCGGTGCAAACTGCCCAGTAACGGGCGCGCCAGTCGCATCTTGGAAGTGGTCATTCTCCAGTGTCGACATCGGTTGCGTTGGGTAGGCAAACGGATCGTCCGAGGGAAACATGATAGGCATGAGGTCGGGGAAGTTGCAGGTGTTTGCGAAAGCCTGTGCATTGAATGTGCTGGCAGCCGAGGAGTCTCCCGCGGGTAATGACGCCGATACAGGGGAAGCTCGGGCCGAAGCATTGGTAGTCGCCGTCTCCGAGGGCGTCGACACAGTGTCTGCTGGCGGCTCTGGGGTGGACGGGAACCACGTCGGAGGCTGACTATGACGGAGGTTGGTTGTGGCATTGCGCGATGTGGCGCTGTCGTCGAGGCTCTTGAGCGTGTTGCTGGTTTCCGACTTTGTCGATCGATGCAGCAGTTGGTTTGGGAAGGTGCTGGCCCGCTGCGGCGGCGGCATCCCCGTGGCCGGGATTTTGGCGGCGGTCGATCGGCCGCCACCAGACGGCGCTGGGCGCTTGAGGTTTGCACGGGTGGCGGTAGCGCTTTGTCGGTTCTTGAGTAGCTCGGGCAAGTTCTTAAACAAACAGATGAGACTCTGGGAGCAACGATCTGCAGCCATGCTCTTCTTGGCCAGCCCCGCCAGTGTGGTTTTGCCTTCCATGGCGTCTTTGAGGACGCCGTCCTTGGCCGTGGGAGAATCAGGATTCTCCAGAACAAAGAACAACAGCGACAGAATGGCAAAATATGTCGTGTACATGGTAAACCAGAAAGAACCATTTAGCAATCCCCTTTTGTGCATGCCCGTGGTGATGTGGACGATGTTCCGGGAGACACTGACACACGCCGCCGCACAGGCGTAGGAACGACGATCCACCCCGCGAGCCTGCGAGCCGCTGGAAACATAGTGTAGGAAGGGACGGTATAGCATCACCTGGACGTGAGCATAGCTAATCCGCAGCAATTGCCGGATCCTACAAACCAGTTAGAAAAAGATCGCCGCCGAAACCGGTCTGAGTCAACCTACCGCTCAAGTTGTGGAGAGACCTCCGTTCCCGGACGTAGTGCTGCCGGCAGTTCCTCCATCCAAGCCTGGAGATCCCTCTCTATCTCCCGGATCTTGGAATGGCTCACCACATAGCGCTGGTCCGACCCAGCCCGATGCTGAGCATGCTTCACCGGGTAGATGTACTTCACAACCTTCAGGATGATGCTGGACAGCCGGGTATGCGCATTGGCCCCGGCCATAAGAGGTATGTGATCCGCCGGCATGGGCAAAATGCCATCCTTGGTGATGAACTCCGAATCGACGGATGCCGGGTACTCTTGGTCAATGTCGTCGTCGCTCAGTATTAAGGGGAGACCCAGCATCGTGCTCACGTACACATCCATCTTTCGTACAACCCAAAAGATACGTTTCCGCAGCTCCTGCTCGAGAGGTGTAAAATGCGCTGTCACTTTGCGATGCAGGCCTAGTCGCAGGGAGGAACGAAGGGCAATGCCCACGTAGGAGTAGCAGGTGCTCAATTTAGCGGAAGCCTGTAGAAAGAGGACCATGAAACAGATCGCCTGCAGAGAGATCAAGTCGCGACAATCAGTAATCTCTAAGAGCTGTTGGCCCGCTTTGAAGTATTGGAACCTATGATGCATTAGTATCACTGGTTTAAGCAACCCGCCGTGGGCGATCGGGGACATGATCAAGTTACCCTTGGCCAATGGCACCCTCGTATCCAGATACATCAAGCGCACCCATTCCGCCATCCGAAAATAGACAACCGACCGCGATGACGATATAGAGGAGCGGCAAAAATGAGTTTTCTTCGTTGGTGAACTGGTCCGGCGGCGTATCGTATATCCGATCAAACATGGCGTAGAACGAGGGTTCGTGCACAAAGCGCATCAGCGAGCAGCCGTCATCGAATGCATTGTGACACAATCGCCGTGCGACATCCCGCGGCGGCAGATCGTGGGTGGGGGGCAATGACGCATCCTGCGGCGACTCCGACACGGACTTCGGGCTGTCAAACTTGGACTGACTGACCGGTCGCGACCGGATTGACGGCGGCTGTATGTCGGAAGCGCCTAGTTGCTTGCGCAGTCGGCGGATGAAGGTCATGCCCGAGCTGTGCCCGTGGTAGTCCCAATGACCCTGGTCGTCCAGATCTAAATAGCCAGAATTATCAACCATCGACTCAAGAAGCGACTCATCCCCGCCATTTCCATCTGCAGAAGGGTCGGCGGGGCCCGCAATGGCCACGGAACTTCGGCGTCGATCGTTGGTGGCTGGGAGCGATGCCGCTGCCGTTTGCTGCTGCTGCTGTTGCTGTTGCTGTTGTTTCTCTCGCTTGATGGCCGCCAACATCTGCTCCGTGGCATGCACATCGAATTGTGGGTCGTCAAGATTGAGATCAGGGAGGACAACGCGCAGAAGGGCTTCCGCCTTGTGTAAACGGTTTTCAAGAGCCTCGACATATTGAGGGGCGGGATTGCGACGACGATTTGACGGTTGATCATACGTGCATTCTACGGAGATGTATCAATGAGCGAAGTTCTAATGGTCATTGAAAAAGATCAACAGTCGAGGCTTACCATAGCTGTAGACAGTGCAATGAGTGCACGGCTGCTTCCCATCGCACTTGATCTTCTTGCGACGACACTCATCACAGGCGCGCGTCACCCGACGTCTCTTCTGCATCGGAAGAGGATCCTTCGCCGGCTTGGTGTCGGCCAGTCCATCATCCTTTTCCAACGGATCGTGGCCGGAAGAGGCGTCGTGGTCTTCGTGGGCATAGAAGAACGAGTCGGACGCAGCCGAGGGATCGTCCTCGTTCGCATTGTCGGCATGCGCCGGACTGGGAGCGGATGCCATGAGGGGAGATGAGAGGTGCGGAAGGGACAGCAGAAGATCTCAAGGCGGTCGGCGCAAAGGCATGCAAGGGGGTATGAGGAGGATGTGGAACTGATTGATAGGAAGATGAACGATAGTTGACAGGAGACTAATCCGATCAGCAAGGAGAAATAGCCCGCGTGGCGATCCGACCGTTATCGCAATCTCCACGAGGGTGGAATTGACTCTTCTCACAGGTTCATGGAAGGCACAGAGAGTGGTTAGCAAAAAGGATTGATCGCGGTGGATCAATCGGTAATCCAGGCAGAGTTGATCAAAGAGGATCTGCTATTCCTTCGTGTTTCCCTTCCTTTGTGTTTCTGTTCTTTTCTTTTTTTTCCCTGTCCTTTTTTTCTTTCTGGTTTTGGAGATTCCTTGATCGGGGTTGTTGGAGATGACGAAGGAAGAGTTCTGGAGAATGGAGTAAGCCCCGAATTAGTCAGGATTGCGTTGCAGGAACCTAATGAGTCAAGTGGCCATATAACCCAGCAGCACGGAAATAGTAACCAGGACGGGTAAGAATCAAGATCGCTAATGCACTGTAGCAGGCCTAACCACCATCCTAATAACCGGGGATGGCTGTTCAGGCGGTTTTGCTCCGTCCGGACAAAGTACGAGGGGAAGAGGGGAAGTGGGCGGAATGGGGGTGATTGGAGGGGGAAGGATTTGGGGGCAGGCCAAAGGCAGACAGACACACGAGGGACGGGGGAAATTACATTGGACGCCCGCAGGTCGGAGAAAAAAAGAACAACCTTAGTTGCAGGCCAGCAGGGGAGGAGCGGTGATGGTTGGAAGAAGGCGGTGACGGACACGACGACGACGATGATGATGATGCTGATGATGATGATGGAGGAAGAATGAGAAGAATGAATGGATGGATGATGAATGGATGGGGACGAAGACGGACAAGACGGGCAGATCCACCGATGCAAAGGCTGTGGCCCAGACCCTGTATCCGATTGGGGGGATCGCGAAGGCACCAGGGCAGCAAGCCAAGCTGAGTAGTAGATAGATAGATAGACGGACCTGCGAAGGGAGGAGAGAAATTCAAGTCAAAAACGACAGCGAGGATCGCACGGGAAAATCCCAGGGATCAAATTAGATTAACTGCTAGCTGGCCAGCATCCTCCAAAAAAAAATCGCTCACAATAGGGCTGATCTGGATCCAGCCGGTGGTGACAAGCGGCAGGAAGCGCAACTGGAAAGGCCTTTTCTGAGTTTCTGGCCATGACGATGCCGTCTTTTCGGACCTCCGACACACAGAAATTTTTTTCGAGAGAGCCGCTGGGCTAGCTGGAAAAACGGCCAGCAGTTCGGCGTCAAGGCCGACCAGGCCGATCGCTGCCTCGGTTGCAGGAAACAAGCATCGCAGCCCACGGTATGTATCTCCGCTGATTTGATGGTTCCCGGCGGATGCCCCGATCCATGGAACTGCCAGCAATCTCGACGGGCAACAATAAGTTCAAGAAGTTAATAACATGTCCCCGGTGGGGATCGCATGTTCGGCGACGGATTGGATGAGCCCGAAGACCCTAACCGGCCTTAGTTCTTCCTCTGGGCTGGAGACTGATTCTGCGACCCAATCCAAATCTCAACCTGCTGATGGATTCCTGCTTTATTCCACCCCCTGAATCCACCCATGTCTCTCGTCTGAGTCTGTTGGTACTTCATCAGTGAGCTTCATCCTTCTGCCCCCCCTCATATGTCCCATTTTGTTGCACATGATCATTCCGTCGGAGTGTGGTCGTACAACCTCGATCTTGCATTGCTTCCGACTGGGCTGCAGCTCGAGATAGGGTTATGTCATGGCTATAGCACGCAACCGTATCGCATAGCGCCGCTAAATTCCCACCAGGAATAGATAGATACTTAGATATCCTCATGGGTAGCGATCGATAGTATCTACTAGATATAGGTAAAGGAGCCGTCGCATCCTCCTTCTCCCCCACACCGATTCAACACCTCGACCCGGAGTTGAACAATGCCCTATCTTCTCGTCACGCTCTGTTGCCTGTTCGCCAGTCTAGGCTCCTTTTTGTTTGGCTACGACTCTGGAGTCATCTCCTCCGTCATCGACCAGGACTCATTCAAGCAGCGTTTCCACAATCCTTCTGATGCAGCAACAGGGGGCATTGTTGCATCGTATAACGGTTCGGACAGTCCCGCCGATTAGATTGCTTGATTTGATCACTCCGTCTGACATGATTTGACTTTTACAGGCGGTGCCATCTTAGGCTCGGTCTTGGTCTCTTACCTCTCCGACCCGTGGGGGAGGAGACCTGTTCTCTTCACCGGCGGCCTGCTCGCTAGCTTCGGGGCCGCGCTGCAAGCTGGCGCTGTCAACGTGGCCATGCTCATCGCGGGCCGTTTGGTCGCCGGTCTTGCCGTTGGCTTGATGTCAGCGATCATTCCGGTCTACTGTGTATGTATTCCTGTAACATGTCCCATGATATCGGTAGACTGTAGCCGACTCTGATCGTTCTTCAAGAGTGAGCTGTCCCCTCCCCGTATCCGTGGCTTTTTAGGCTCAATGCAGCAATGGATGATCGGGCTCGGAGTTGTTGTCGCTGTAGGTGATGTCCTATCCAGAACTAGCTCGCTCCTGGTCACTGACTGACCACCCTCAGCAATGGGTGGGATATGGTTGTTCTCTTCGCACGGGGAACTTCACCTGGAGTTTCCCTTTGGCATTCCAAGCAGTTCCTGCCATTATTCTTAGCTGTGGTGTGTGGTTTCTACCCGAATCCCCTCGCTGGCTCATTGAAAAGGGCGATTCTACTGCTGGCCGGGCTGTTTTAAATCGCCTACACCTAGTCCCGGGCCAGACTAACGCTCGACTGGTCGATTCCGAATTCACGCAGATCTGCGACAGCATCGCCGAGGAACGGCGCTTGGCCGTTCATTCCTGGCGTCAGCTTTTGTTCACACAGCCCAGCTGGCGTCATCGTGTGCTTCTTGCTTGTGGGATGCAGGCTTTCACACAGTGTTCAGGCACGAACGTGCTCCAGAACTACAACCCAAGATTGTACCAATCATTGGGTTTGTCGCAGTCGACTTCGCTTATCATACAGGGCATATGGGGAGCATTGGCCCAGTTCTGGAACACCGTGTTCATACTCTTTATCGATCGCATCGACCGTCGTAAGCTTCTCATTCCGTCGTTGCTAGGCATGGGCGCCACAATGTGTGTGGAAGCTATCTTGGGACAGGTGTACGGTGATTTTGCGAGTGCGAGCTCATCGAGCCCCAATGCTGTCCGTGCTGCCATAGCCATGTTCTTCGTTTTCTCGCTCTTTTATACCAGTCTAGGACTCATCTCTTGGATCTACCAATCCGAGATTTTCCCCACTGCTATTCGCGCCCGAGGCTCCTCCGTGGCGACGGCCACCAATTGGAGCCTAAATTTGATATTCGCTCAGTGTACGCCGATTGCCCAGTCACAGATCCAATTCAAGTATTTTTACTGCTTTGCGGCATTCAACTGGGTTGCGGCAATCATTGTCTGGGCTATGTACCCAGAGACTGCCGGCAAGTCACTCGAGGAAATTGACAATATCTTCACCCAAGATATTGTCAAGTCTGCCGATGATGTAGATCACCATCGACCCTCGCTGTTGAGGGTTAAAGGCAAGGTTACCTTGATGGTCATGAGCACACAGGACAGCAGTCACCCTTCAGAACATCGAGTGGAAACCAATATCGCCTTGACCAACCAATGAGAACAGGTTTATATAGTATAAAGATAGATTCAAGAATTCAGACGTCATCAGAAACAATATTTCTCCTTGTCCATCCATGCAGACAGAAAACCAGGAATCACGAACGGTAAAGATTGGAGGAAAGGTAGCGTTTCCATGTCTCACCACGAGTATATTGAGGGGTGAAAAAAAAAAAAAATAAGATAGAGATAAACAATTAATCATAGCCAGTGACCAAAAACGATAAAAATTGTAACAATGCATTTACACATGGAACAATCCAACTCTTGCCTCGGACGGTCTTATACAGGCGTTCGGGGGATGAAGAGAGAGGGAGAGACACAAGAAAAAAAGATACAAATATGATAGCTGGAGCATTATGCATAGTGGGTCCTTTCCCATGAGCAAGAATGTAAAGCGTAAGGTCCAGGTCGTAAGGGTCATTGACCATGCAGGGAAGGCATCACATATTGAGTGAGAGGTGCATTCAAAATCTCTTGCCGCAAGTCAGTCTCCCAAACGGAAACAGAGGGTATGCCAGGATGCAACGTTAAGCAGGAGAAAAGAAAGTAGTTCACATTCATCCAGGTATCGAAGCTGAGCCGTTTGGCTACTTTGAGCATTCGTCCTGCGAACCACGGCCGACTGTATGGTGTCTGAGCAGTCGGGGAATATTGTGTAAAGTCCGGATTACCACCGTGAAGCGGCAGATAGCACATCGTGTCAGGGATCTTGATTGACGCATCATCACACTCAAGCATTATCTGCAACAAGGCTTCAACTGACCCGCTCATGTTCACTTCGCTATCTAAGACAGCCTGCTCCAAGCCCCTGAGGAAGGCTTCGCTATACAGAACGGAGCTTCGGTAATCCCACAAGCCAGAATTAAGCATAACCAATGCGACTAGCCGTGCAACAAATTGCTTACGGTTCCCCGACGCTGTAAAGCGCAGTCCTGGAGGTGCTGCGAGTATCTGATATAGCAATGAGTTCTGTCGGAATGCAGTAAGACGTACTGGCGCCATAGCCAGGTCAAGGGTCTTGCGTTGGTGGACGGCGAGCTGCTCGCAACGCTTGAGGAAGTTGATAAATTCGTTGCATTGATTGTGAATTTCTTCGCATGGGGAAAGCGGATGATGTTCGGTAAAAGACATAGTATACGGTGCAATTCCTGAAGCAGATATCAGGTTTGGATTTAATTGTCCATAATAAGGCACTGTCATTTGCGGTGAGGTCGGAGAATCATATTCGAAGAAAAAGCTAGGTCCCTCGGTTTCATATCCCGAGAGAATGTAATCTTGCCAATTGATCAGCATTCCTAGCCGTGTGTTTTCAAAAGCAGATGGCCCCCCACGGGCGCGAATCATCTCCCTTGCAGCTCGCATATGAAGCCAACTAATTTGCTTGTGGCCCGGACGAGGGTCAAAGTCTTCGAGCCCTGCAGCGCTGAGACAGGCTATGATCGCTTCATCAGAAATATCACCCGGATTCCGTTCCCTGTGCTCTCTAAGCATGGTAATCGCACGGTCACGATGATAAAGCGCGGTTTCATCGGGCTCCTCATCGCGAACCCAAACCCAGGTGTTGGCCGCATGGACAAGAATTGTATTTTGAAACGCTACTGGTCCTTTCATGCCTTCGGGGACAAAGACTGCTGTGTACCAGTTGTGCGCCTTAGATGACCGGAAATGATTACCATACGAGCATGCAGGCATTTCATTGACATAAAAGTCAAACAGTCTCTGACCTTCAAGATCGAGCTCGAGTGGCAGGCTGTTGAACGGATCGGTGCGTGCGGCACTTAAGATTGTTTTCGGTGACAATGTCATCTCAAGCGGGGTCGTTGGGGCGGACGACGATGGGGTCGGAGTACTGATGTCCGAGGTGCTGCTTTGGGATAGGGAGGAGTAGGTCTTTAGAATATCGGGGGACGAATAGAATACCTGTCTTCGGAACGGCATGTCTCCATATGATGTCAGAAAGACAGGACTGGGGACAGGGTGGACCCTGTCCTCTATAGCATGGGTCTCCACAATCTCCTTCAGCTGCGGTTGTTCGAGCGGGTGATCCGGGGAAGATTCAAGAATGTGTCGTTGCACATAGGCCGCCATTTCATGCGATTTGTCCAATTGTCGGATTACATTTGTATCCTTGGCTCGGTCAATAGTTCTTTTTGGCGGCCGTGGCTTCTGTCCTTGATCCCGGCTTTGCGACGCACTTTCTTCAACTTCAGCACCAGACTGTTCTGCGGCTTGACGCTTCTGGCGCATATATTCCTGCATAACATGACGCTTCACTTTTGTCAAAGTACTCCTGCTGTTGTCGGAAGCATCGATGAATTGCCACTGTGTTTGAGAAGGTCCTTTCGCGGTCCTCTTTGCATCTGCATTGCTTGCTTCGTCTGACATGGTTCCGGCTGTGATTGGAATGACTTGGGTGTAAAGAGAAATAGACGTTGCCTCCACGAACGAGTTTCAATGGGTGGGGCAATAGGCGGTACCTATTACGATATGGAATAGTGATGGCTTGAAATTGCCATTCACTAGGTAGAATGGCGGGATTATAAAGTTATCACTCTCAGAAACTCCCGAGGCTTTCGACTGATTGGTCATAGCCCAGTCTATTAGACCTTATATCTTGAAAAGCCGATTTTTGTAGCGAGTCCGGTGGGGGGGGGAAAGACGCGTGAGCAGATACCAAATGGATTGATTGCCAGATTATCTTGGTGATAGTGCGGCAAAAGGATTCAGCGGTATCCGGCAAGGCGTGTCTTCACAGCTTGGATACCCAGAGGTCGACTGAGAAAACTTATATCAAATTTGAGACAAAGAATGCCGGCTGATGATAGTATGCAGAACAATAAGTCAGACGGGAGAGTATCCGACGGTTAGTTCTGGCTACCAAAGTTATCTGAGCCAGATTGATAAAGATCAGCACTATGTTCTAAAAATAACACAAGATAAGAAAACAGAGAAAATCCCATGTAAGTATCGTGACATACACAATCGGAAGGTGATTTGTGATATAGCTGACAAAGAGGACTGTGATCTAAGCCATGAGGACCGCGGGGAACGTGGAGATAAACCTGGAATCAAGAACGTGAGGTTTGAAAGCAGAGAGCTTCAGGCCGGAAGGAAACCTGTGTAGCTCCACTGGATCTAATCACCTAATCAGAAGCATCTTCAAGGGCGGAGCCTTGGAACACGGACTTGAAACCTCAAAGCCACATTCAGTCTGGGTCCCCACCAGGTCGTCTGTTTTACCCCCGTTGGAGCTCCAATGCAGGGGAAATGGGGGCCGTAATGCAGAAAGGACAGCAAGGCTGTAGCGTCACGGCACTGGATGATCGCGTGGCTGAATCAACAGAGCCTTGCACTCGACATGAAAGACAACAATGACAGTGTACGAAATAAGTTCACGGTCCATAGGCATGGAGACTGGCTTCGGCGTGCTTCTTGGGTCAAAAGTCCATTTCCTTCTCCTAATCATTCAACCGGACTTGTGTGGGTGAGCGGCTGCTAGCGTCACTGGCTTATCGTCGGTGGTGATTTTCACGATATCCGGTCGATCCCACCCGGCTTTGCTCCGATGTTTTTGTATCATTGTCATTGTCCTCCGTGCTCCGTGCCGAAATGCAAGACAAGCAAGTTGTCAACCTTTGGTAATGCCTAGGGTTGGTTGCTTATGTACAATTTCATTTAAGAAAAAGGACGATATTTGGCTCTTGAACCGGACCCAGATTTATTGTTATTCATAGTAATGAGACATGCTTATCTTAAGGTATGTCAGCAGACATTGCAGAGAATGCGATTGTGAATAACAGCAATGCTGTTGGCGAGGATGAAGCAGAAAGAGTGACAGCAGCTATCCGGAACTCTTGTCTGATGGGGGCCTTGGATGCCTGAAAACCATCTACATGGCCAGGCAATGAACAACCTTCAGATGTATACTCAATCATCAATATGTGGTCGATAATTAAATAAATGTCACTTTTCTACAAACTTTTGACGTCTCTGCATAGTACTTGGTCATCTTTTGATAAAATCTATGCTCAAAGGCGTTTCTTGTATTTATTGTTAGAGTGCTCATTTAAGGCTCCCGTCATTGTCTCAACCAACTACATCATCAAAGTCCCTCCATAGGTCCAGTGATTTCGGGAAAATCAATAGTAGAAGTCTCCTTGAATACTAGTTAAACAGAAATGAGATAGTGGCTCAAGGTCGCAGATACATACTCAGATAAACACGCAGGACCGACCGGAGTTAAGACACACCGCCTTCATGATAAGTCCGACGCAGAAGCTGCCAAATCCTCTCCATCCGTCTCCGCGTCGCCGAGCGCGCCTCCGCCAGCTTTGAGTGACACGTGCCTATCAATGAAGTCATTCAGCTACTGAGAGGGGGATTCCGAGTATCGAGATAGCTACTTTACGCTGCGCATCCCACGGTAACGCGACACCGCTGCCTACAGAAACACGCAGTCGAGATCTCACCCGACCGTTTCACATCTTGCTCCGAACTCCGCCGCAATCGCGACAGCACGATAGTCAACAAAGGGATTTCTCCCTCGGTCGCTCAGACACGCCTAGGTCTGATGTACTCTCACCTCCAAGCACTGGGGTGTATAATATGATCATACATGCGACCGAACCTTTTTCCATCGTTTAAGTTGCCAGCCTCTGGAGCCGCCTCTATTCGGATCTCAGACGAATATCAATAAACGCCAGGTTTTTGCGCTCGAACAGGCTCAGAGGGGGCTACGTGGTTTTTCCACAAAAAAGGTATATTGGGGCCTTGGATGGTCGCCGGAAGTGTCCCTGTTATGGCTGGGAATACGCAGGTGTCTGCTGACCAAAGTCGGGCGAATGGCTGCGTTGACAATCAAGGGCCGATAAACCCGTACGAAACAAGCCCCGACCTCCTGCCGAACGATGATCTATTCCTCGCACGGAGTGTGAACTACGGTCGCTATGCGCCTCGTGATACCGACTTCAAGCCTCGCTACGACCATTGGTGCGAACCGGATCCAGAGGTGACCTCGTATTGGGAATGCATCGTGAAAGAATTGTGTACAGCAGAGAATTCCTTGAATGTCTCCGGGAACAGGGAGGTTTTTTCTGCTGGCAGCGTAATCATCCGAGTTGATCGTGAACCTGCAATCGGTGCAGCAGCTGAAAAGTACTCATGCGCTAATGCAAATGAAGTGAGCGCTGCCAGGAAGGCAGAGGATACGCTCAAGGAATTGAGCATCGGCGTACCGGTCATATACTTCTGTGGGACAGTAGACGGGAAGAACGTTACTGTCGAGTCCAGAGTTCCTGGCGTCACTCTAGAGGTGGCCTGGAGATATCTCACTAGTGAGCAAATTGACAACTTCAAACAGCAGTGTCGTCGCATATCGCAGCGCCTGGGAGTCATCGACACTCCTCCTGACCACCCTTCCTACGTTTGCAGTGGACTCAACGCGCAATCGTCACCCGACGCCCTGGAGCCAGAAAAGAACATACTGTTTCGTGAAAGGAAAAAGGACGAAAAGATTTGTCTGGTCCACAACAACCTGGTCCCGTCAAATATTGTTGTGAGCGATGACAAGGTGCTTGGGATTACTGGTTGGCGACAAAGCGGGTTCTTCGGATTTAAAAGGGCAGATGAAATACATCGACGCTTTAGGATACTAGTGGCATCTGCAATCCACGGAGACAAGTCCACCGATCTACGGGCATGGTCTGACCTCTATGAGGGCCTTGATGCTGCAGATGGGGACGGCTCTGCAGAAAAGCAAGATACTCCAGTCCCTGTGGTCAAGACTGAACCTTCGAACTCGAATCTGGATAGAGTTCCCCTCGATGAGGAGGAATCCAAGTCAGCAATCTCCCAACTTGACGGCCCAACTGGAGATCACCCTACTCTGAAGAACGTCGCTAGTCTCAAGAACAGGGCGTCATCAAGAGCGTCATCGTCTGATCGCTCTTCTCCCGCTACGTCCACGAAGCCCGGCGCGGTCAGAAAATCGGCTACTGCTGCAACCAAGAAAGGCACTGGGAGGAAGTCAACGGCCAAGAAGAGAAAAATAGACAATCTTGACAACGGGGATGTAGATGGCCGTCGTTCGAACACTCCTACATCAGGTCGCACTAGCAAGGCCGCTGGGAATAAGAAACGAAATCCCGCGTCTGTGGCAAACTCACCTGGCCCCGATAGCAAAAAGAAGGGCAATAAGAACGCTGAAGTGGAGGAGGTAGAGGAGGAGGATGAGGAAGAAGAAGATGAATCAGACAGCAATGAGGTCTTCTGCATCTGCCGCAAACCTGATAACCACACATGGATGATCGGATGTGATGGCGGATGCGAGGATTGGTTCCATGGGAAGTGTGTAAACATTGACCCAAGAGATGCCGATCTCATTGATAAGTACATCTGTAATTCTTTCGCACCCCTTGATATGTTATTGCACTAACGCTGGCCAGGTCCAAACTGTAAAGAGCAAGGCAAGGGATGGACAACATGGAAACCAATGTGCCGGCTAAACGAATGCCGCAAGCCCGCAAGAGTTAACCTGAACAACCCGAGCAAGTACTGTTCAGATGGACACGGCCGGGAGTTTATGCTACAGCGAACCAAGAATCTCCTGGGTACTGGGCTGAAAGCCCAAAAGGGGACTTCAGCAGGCCGACTAGCAACCAATTGCATCCATTCCGGCGAAGAGAACAGCCCCGTCAATGGCTCTGGGACTGCCACGCCTGATAGGCGAGACCCCGATGATCTTGGAAGTCGAGGCGGTGTCCTCACAGCAGGCGATCTCAAAGCCGTCGTCATGGGTGTCAGCTCCGCTAGAGAATTTCGCAAACTCGGCGAAAGCATTATATCAATCCCCACCGAAGAGAACAATTCGGACGCAGAAGCGAAAACAAACGACAAGAAGATCGGTCTGGACTTCGATGTGGAGTGGCTTACATACTCGCCCGATGAAGCATCCAAGATAGAAAAGATACGCAAACAGCGTGACGATCTGCTCCATCGCAAAGAGATGCTCCGAGCAAGGGAAAAATTCATGACCCTCGTGCGTCAGCGATCCAAGAGCATCCTGGAGCATCTCAAGCAAACCGATCCCAAGGGCGGATGGAAAGACATCTGCGGTTTCGACGTTCGACTCTCCTGGTCCGACGAGGAATTCGACGAATGGCGCTTATCCGAGATCGGTGCCAAAGCGCTCGAAGACGGCTCACCCGAAGCCCTAGCATCCAGCTATCCCGACGCGACCGATGCCGACGGCGACACCGCGATGGATGACACAAAAGACGAGCTGGAGACCCTATCCCGAGGCGTCTGCACGAAGAAACGCTGCGAGAGACACAAACAATGGCTCAAAGTCCAACAACAAGATGCTCTTTTCGAGGAGAACACACTCGCCCTGGATCTCAGCAAATGCGAGAAAGAGGCGCAAACTGTTGTGGAGAGAGCTGTTCTTAGGATGTGGGCTGAAAGCGACAATGCACAGATTGGTGGCCAGTGAATGAATTCCTTCCAACCTCTGGCCTATACATACATATCCATCCTACCTCTTTGTTTTTTTCTTTTCGCCTGTGACAATTGACTTGACTTGGTTGATACCCACATTTTATATCCGGAAAAGCAGGATTCGAACTGGAGTTACTTAAGCCCAACGGTGGGCTTTTTGGTGTCTGAAAAAAAAAGTTTGGAACGGGTGCATGCTTGCATGATAGATGGGGTCTCTCGAGAATTTGTGTTTGAGTTTTTCAAAAACTCGATGTCTGAGTAGAATTATATTTCTTTTAATCCACGGGGATGGAATGTGCAGAGAATATGATCTTTGATTGGACTGGGTACGATGGTGCCAGTATGTACCGTCACCGTGAACCCTCCCAAACACACCATCTCCCAACATGCCCACCCACCCGATCCTTAATAACCTCCACGACCGGAACCTGCCCAACACTCGACAGCAAAAGATGCATATCCACACCCTGATCCAACATCCTCATCAAAAGACTCGGAAACAGCGACGTCTCACCACGAAAAGCAGAATAGATCCCATCACCTTGCGCTATTTGCGTCAATGACCCCGGATACCTTCGCGGAGCAGTAGTCTGAGACGTCATAGTTCCCAAACCACTAGTATTCACTAGCATCACGGAGAGATTCGAAGCATGAGCTCGAGTCAATTGCGTCAAGGTACGCAATACGGACGTGAGCATCGCTGCTCCCCTGACGGCGTTGGACGCCCGAATAATGCCCTCGGCGAGAGTGTCGAGTCCTGCGATTATGATGAGAATTGGGGAGATTTGTGATGGCGTGGTGGTGTCTATGGAGTCTGAGATCATGTCGATTGCTCCTGCGACAGCCTGGAAGTCGTAGACGGGGAATATTTCGACGGAGTCAAGACATGAGATTGCCTCGTCTCGGGAGAGGGTGGGCTGGTGGGAGGTGTTGAGTAGGGATGCGAGGAGTCGTTTGGGGGCGAAAGCAGTGAAATTGATGGGGTGGATTATGTATGTTTTGGTTTGGGTGTTTGTTGAATGGGATTGATGGAGATGGGTAGTGAGGAGGTGGCGGGGGAGCTGGAGGAGGGGGTGTTTGGTTAGTTTTTATACTGGCATGAGAGATTATAAGGGGGATTTGGGTTGGGTTTGGTGTTTGGGAGTATTAGGGATTTGTGGATGTTCTGTTTTGAAATTTGAATATGCCACCGGACGGGCAGTGAGGGAAAAGATTAAGCGGGTTGTAGAGAATGGCACTGGGCAGGCTTACCTGGCCAATATACTCATCGTCATCACTTTCTTCCTTTTGTATGTCTCTAAGCTTCGAAAAGCCGATCACGGTACGACTTCTGAAGACTGCGTCTGGACTATCCTGGAATCCCTTTCCCACATCATCTGAGAGGTTCCAATTCCGTGTCTCAGTGTGTGGTTGATTTGGTTCGGCCTTCGGATTTGCAGCTGCTAATTGACCATGTGACAACAGCGTATGAGCCAAGACTGGGGGAGCAGGCCCAGCCAGCTCTGTATGAGAGGTAAGAGGCATGTTTGCACTACCTTGGATCCTGAAGTCAAGAAATCGCTTGCCTCGGTAGCGTGTCTGTTCAACCTGCTCCTGCTTGTGGCATCCTTCTATAATAAATATTGGCGGGCAGCCCAGTAGGCTTTCGTACTAGAGTCGGGGTTGAGTTGCAGTGGCACACGTTATGATCGGAAATGTTATCCTATATCAAAGTCTGGTCGTGGTGGAGTGTATACAAAGTGTGGAGTAAGTTGGCGTGGACATGAACGGCATAGGCCGGTTTGACCAGTTAACCCGCCGCTTTTAGGCATCGCCGCTATGTACATATTCTGAACACTGTTTCATAGCCAGCGAGAACTTAGCTACCAAATTGTCCTATAAGTAAAGTTTAAACAATATGACTGAAGAATTGACGGAGTTCTTCACAATCAGACTTTATCACGTGACTATGATGTCATTTCTCACTGTACACCGTACGGAGTACAATTTCAAGCACAATTGGTTCGCCTCCTAATATTGCACATATTTGAGAGATTTGGGTAAATAATGTCCAAGGAGGTAGTGATGATTTCTTGGAAGAGGCCTGGAAAGGAAACTACTATGGACATGTCTAGAAATTAGTCCACCCGGGATAAAGGTCGACATGTGCTTTATATAAACATTAAGGAACATTTTCTCTTGTCGTCACAGAGTCGTCCCTTAGACTACTGTCATCTGACGATACCTTAATCCAAGTGCAGTGTCCATCATGTGCCCACTCTCTGTCATCCAATTCATCCCGTAGGATAGGAGACAATTCTAAACGCAGAGCATCAAAGTCAAGATCAGACGTATGGAACTCCACGAGACTGGCCATGTTCCCCATTTTCCTGACAGCGTGCGCAACAAGTGAATAGCCTGTAGTGATTTCCATCCATGGGTCGCTGGGGTCCATAGAGCCTCTTTGCTCCAACTCCGTGGTCTTATCATTTGAAGAAGGGGCAAGCTGAATACTGAATGACCGCAGATTCGTCATTAATTCAACTGCATCCAACACTAGCTTGACATGATTATAAAATGGGAATACTGCCGTATATCTGACCGATGTCAGAGACTTGAACGAACGGGAAAGAGGTAGTCTCTCTGGGGACGGTCGCGTAGAAGCCACTGTTCCCCACTTGTCAAATATGGAAGGGACTTGAAACAGGAAATACTCGTAGTGATTGTACGCTCTGAGTGAGGAAGACTCGTTGAAGTCGAAGGAAGACCATGCTCTAGCCTCAAGCAGACTAGCAGATTGCTTTGTCATAGCTAAAGGAGGAACCCAGATGCGCGATTTCCGCTGCAACTGTAGGATCTGGAAAGGCACCTCGAATGCCCAACTGTGGCCGTCCATGATCTGCGTGTCCAGCATCGCAGCCAGGAATGGAGGGGGTGCAATCACAGTGATCCGCAGCGGATCGAGACAATTGAGGACCTGGCGCCACCAGAAAGGATCCTCTCGATTATCGGCAGAATCCATTCCCTTAGCCACAATCGATATTACATAGCGACCAAGATTCAAGCTTGATATAAACGAGAGGAAATCCGCTACATCCTTGATGTTGAAGCACGCGTGAGCGAAGAGCTGGGGCCGCACCAGCTCCAAAAGTCGGAAAGACGCGCGTGAGAAATTCTTCAAATCTCTAGTTCTGGATGTGGTGAGACGCATACAAGGAGGTCTGTGCACCTTGTCCAGAGAAGGAGGTGAAGATGAAAGATAGGAGATGATTTGATCCAGAAGCTCATTAGGGAGGGAGTCCAAGGGCGATTGCGACAAGGACATTGTTCAAGTGGGCTATTAAAAACTATTTTCAGATGTCTCACATTTCGGACGCCGCGATATTTATAACATGTATAATAAGACAATTATTTGAAGCCTCAATGCCAATCTATAGCGACGTACTTCCCCGAAGGTGTGTGATGGCGTTGGTGAGCTTCGGGAAGAGGTTCGCTGTCAACTGCCGGGGCCCCCCACATCGGTTCACGTGATAGAGACCAGGGAGAAGAGGGATCCATAAACAGGGAGACGGTGACTGGATGGTCTGACAAGCCGAAATGCGATAGCAACGATAGCCTGGGTTATGGGAGATCTTCATGTAATACACCAGATTTCGATCGCCCGGGATGTCTTCAGATACTCGTGTGTTTATGTTCCGACTCAGGTCACTTTTGGCAGGACATACCTAGATCGCATCGGATTCTGGCGCTGGAGGCCTGGAAGATGTGGAGCTGCATTAGTCTCTCCCCGCACCTAACACTGCACTGGCCTTGGTCGGGAGCTCGACAGCAGTAGCAGCAGCCACAAAGCCAACCATCCGTTGCAGATTAGCGAGTACTACCTAACAATGCCGTTGTTAGGCAGATCAACCACTAGTCGTAGTTTTTCTGCTAGTCTCAGGCCTCTTTCATAAACCAAGCGGATTGGATGATGAGTCAGGACTTATACATCCAATGTCCAAGCAGGCCGCCCCACTGGGGATTCTCTTGCCGATCAATGCGTCCGTCCTCCTGCTTAGAGTCATGGACCATCGTTTGTTGATGAATGGTGTATATAAGGGTCTCTTGTTTTTCAAGTGGTGGCTAGATCACAGGTGACAGACTGTCTTGATGGATCATCCGTCACGTACTACCTAGCATGAAGATGAGTCCAGGCCAATGTTCGGGTCAGCGAGATCGGTGCCAGGATGTGGGGAAGACTTCGAGCGGTGGGGCAAAGACAGACCGGAGAAGAAGATGGACGCTTGTCGAGAACCGAGGAGGTCGCTTGCCCCCCGTCTGTCTCTTCTTTTAAACCCCGAGTCGGTTGCTGTCTTCTTCCTTCACTCTGCCTCCAAACTAGGTACGTTTCTGCTGTGAAGTCGGCGTGAACTTGGCTGCCACCTAACATCAATTGGATACATGAATAGAACCTTGATCATATTCTATCGTCATGGCCCCTCAACTTCACCGCAACCCCCCTTTCCGTGCTGAGCACTTGGGCTCCCTTCTCCGGACGGACGAGCTGCTGAAGGCTAAAACGGCCTTCGAGAAGGGCGAGCTTTCCGAGTCTGAGCTTCTCGCTATCGAGAACAAGGATGTGAAGGAGGTTGCAGAGACCCAGAAGAAGCTGGGCTATGCGGCTATCTCGGACGGAGAGTACCGCCGTCACAGTAAGCTGGGCCTTCGCGCATAGTAATCGCTATTCAGTGCTGACCCCGTCTTCTGCGACAGTGTTCTGGGGTTCATTCTTCCCCGGACTTGAGGGATTCAAGGAGGTGCGCGAGGTTGACGCTGATGTCTTCCGCCCTTACGCCCCCGACATTGCGGCTTTCCTCGAGGCTGGCCACAAGCCCGGAGAGACCGTTATCTGCACTGGCAAGATCAAGCACGTCGGCAGTACTTATGTCAAGGAGTTCAAATATCTGGCCAGCGTCGTTCCCCCGGAAGAGGTCAAGAACCTTAAGATCACCCTTGCTGCTCCTAACTGGTACCACTTGCGGTACAAGGAGGGCAACGCCTACCCGAAGGACGTGTACAGCTCCGACGAGGAATACTTCGGTGACATCGCCAAGGCAGTCCAGGCTGAGTTGCAGGAGCTGTATGACGTTGGCTGCAGAAACGTTCAGTTCGACGACCCCAACCTTGCTTGTAAGTCTGCCATTCCACAGGTTAAACCCTTTCCGGAAGTCATATAACCTGATTTTAATCGACAGACTTCTGCTCCGAGAAGATGCTTGCTGGCTGGAAGGAGGATCCTCTGAACGTGCGCTCCGCCGACGAAACCTTCGAGCAGTACATCAAGCTGTACAATGACAGCATCTCCAAGCGCCCTGCCGATATGCACGTCGGTGTGCATCTTTGCCGTGGTAACTTTGTCGGTAGCCGCCACTTCTCCGAGGGTGGTTATGACCGTATTGCCACCAAGCTCTTCAAGGAGCTTAACGTCGACACCTACTACCTCGAGTACGACACCGCCCGTGCTGGTGGCTTCGAGCCCCTGAAGGAGCTTCCCACAAACAAGAACGTGATTCTGGGTGTTGTGACCAGCAAGTTCGCCAAGCTCGAGGACAAGGAGGAGATGAAGAAGCGTGTCTATGACGCTGCCAAGTTCATCGCTGAGGGCAACAACATCTCTCTCGAGCAAGCCCTCAACCAGGTCGGTGTCAGCCCTCAGTGTGGCTTTGCCAGTCACAGAGAGGGAAATGCCATTGACCGCGATGGCATGATTTCCAAGCTGAAGCTTGTGCGCGAGATCGCCAACGATATCTGGCCCGGCCAGTTGTAAGATACCCGTCGTGATGGCCGCGACCTATAACTTCTGCCGATTCAACAACGCGCGGGAGAATGAACGAATGTGACGAATTTTGTGTTTAGGATACCAGTTATTTAACATATGGGTCGGATGTATAATGTTACAAAATTCCAGTTATATAATTCAATTGCCATTGACGGTGAATGCTTAGGTCCTTATATAATTCACCCTAACGAGTACCTTGGTATCCCTACACCTTGAAAGCCAATCACAAAGTCCCATTTGATCAGCCAGTGAAGGTAGATCATCTGTTTCCATACCAAAATCGTTCTAGACGCCCCCGCCCCGGACAGGACAAACACCTAACATCCATATGTAGACAACCAACCACAAGCCCTCACTCACCCCTTAACAATCCACATATCCATCCACAAATGTCCCTGTTCCTTCACTCCGCCGGCCCAAGAATACTACTCTCCTTAATCGCCGCTCGTTTATGGGTATGAGCATTCTCGATCTACCTCACATCAGCACTCACCCAAGTAAATAACTGATGTATGTATGGCGTGTACACACCTCATACCGCGGCATCTCATCCGACGCTTCGACGTTCCGACCCGTCATTGTACCCGGATGCGTGCGGACCTCACGAATAGTGCCGATTGCTTCGGCGGTTTTGGAATCAGGACCTGGGTTCTTGTTAGTTTTGTTTGATGATGGTTTGATAGTACCCACCGCCAATAGGCTTGTAGCGAACGGTATCTCCTGTTGCGTAGTCAGGCATTGTCTTGCGTTGTGTTTGTCTGGGTTGATTGTGGTGTGTATTGTAGTGTGGAGTGGAGTGATTATAGCACAGGGAAAGGAGAAAATATGTACAAGGCAAGAAGGGACCTACTGGTATTTACCCAAGTCATCGATTTATGATTCCGAGTTATAGTTTTCTCTAGTGCCACTGGTGTCAGATTGATGCGATTTGACAGGATGGATCCCATGGGAGGGAAAGTAGTGGCGGGTGCATGTGCTTGGAGCTTATTGTTTAGTATTGTGTGAGGTAGAATTGGGTTCATGATATATATCCGACGGGGCAGTGGAGGTGAGTGGTGGGACGATCCTTCCGTCCCATGTTGTGAAAGTGATTTCCGAAGCTTAAAGAGGGGTTGAGTTGGTGGTACGGGGGGTGCGCCTCAGGGTCATGAGTACGTCAATGACGCGTCGAACACGCATACTTCTTTCTCTTATCATCGTGCAATGTTTAGTATTATCTATGAGTATCAACAACCGACCCGGAAAGGAAATGGAAATGAAAGAAAAGAGAGCGATTAAAACAGTATATGTATGCTGGTATGTGCTGGTCCAAATTCCTTCTATTTTGAATGTTTCTACACACGAGAAGAGGGTGACGAATGGAAGCAGGGAAAGAAGACAACGAAGCAAAGGAAAAGGGAAGTATTATTAAGAGAGGGTATTCGGAATGACCCGCATCGGAACAGTGGGGATATCATGAAATAAGGAGAAAAGAAAACAAGCGGAACGGCAGCATGCGCGTGAAGGGAATTGCAAACACAGGATCCAAATGCTGCGTCTTCTGTCATCAAATCGAACGTGAAACGAGAGGTGTCTGATGGTTCAGTGGGTACAAAGGAAACTGTTGTACACGAGTGGCCGTGCCGAGGGCCTTCAATTTGCGGCTCGAAAGTCGTCCGGCGGTTGTTTTATTTCTGGGGTTGCGTCTTGACGTTGTTGGAGAGCCACGCCTGTCACATTCAATCGTTAGGCATTGAGCAATCGATTTTAAGGAACACGAAACTTACCAGGCCCTCAAAGATACCAGTACCCTCCGTTGCGACACTTGGAGCAACGTACCACAGCTTATCCTTCAACTTGGTGAGTTGCAGCGCTTGGGTAACCTCCTCGGGACTCATGTCTGCAAAGAAAATGTGGTCAGTCGCCATGTTGTCCTCAACCATGTCAATGCAGGACACATACGGCCTTGAACATCCTGCTTGTTTGCAAACACCAGCAACAGAGCATCTTTCATTTCGCGATCGTTGATAATCTTGTGAAGCTCAGAGCGAGCCTCTTCCAGGCGAGCTGTGTCGCTGGAATCCACGACGAAGATCAAGCCTTGGGTACCTGGAGGGGTCACGCGGTGTCAGCCAATTACCCCACGCATCGCCATATACATGCGAAAAGAGAAAACGTACCAGAATAATAGTGTCTCCATAGGGGTCTTATTTTGTCCTGGCCACCGACGTCCCAAACATTGAACTTGACGTTCTTATAGGTGACACTCTCGACGTTAAATCCGACGGTAGGGATGGTGGTGACGTCCTGATTTGTGAGCTTCAATTTGTAGAGAATTGCTAACGCAGCATGTTAGTTACCACACAGCCTTTGTACCTGCGTCACCCAAAATTGAGGAGCAGACTTACTGGTCTTTCCAGCAGCATCCAAACCCAGCATCAGAATCCGCATCTCCTTCGTGCCGAATATCTTCCCCATTATCTTGGACACTTGGCCACCCATTGTGACTAGCGGGAGGCGACTCCTGAGGGTCGCTAACGGTTCACGATATGAGGGAGGGACGGGCCTTGTGGTGATTCGATGAGCGCCAGAAAGCGTCTCCGATGAATTGCGACTGCTGAGTTGGTGGACCGATTGGTCGAGTAGGGGGGGCGTGGGAGGAAAAAGGACAACGAAATCTAAACGTAAGGTCAACTAACTACCCCGTGCTAGCGGTCCGCGTCAACAGGGCGACGTCTCCATAATGGACCATGCGCTCGCAGACGCAAGGTAAACAAGACATATGGGACTCACCTTATGTAAAGCAGGGGCGATAGCGACGCACGTTGAAGCAAAGGAGAGAATCTGTTGTTCCAACAGGGGCGAAAGTCAATTTGGATGGTGATTGATCGAGCAACAGCAATAAGAATTTCAGGGTTCACGATCCACACGAGGAGCGCCTCTTGCTCTCTCTCGCTCGCCTTTTGCTGCTCGAGCGCGGCCTCGGACTCCGTAAAAGGGGCTGTCCATGACTAAGCGCCCCGCGCCAAGCATTCGGCGGTTTCAGCGCCGCCCGCTTCCTCAGGCACCCTTCTTACCGAGTCTCCAGACTGGACCCAGTCCCAGTCCCAGTTTCAGGACCCAGTGTTCACCGGATAACGATAAACAATGTCTCCGAAGAGTATACCCCGAAGATCATCACCATGGTGGACTAGTAGCCCTATAGACTAAAGAGTGATGGACCTTTGTTCGACGCATAAGCTTGGCCAGCTCCCCTGTGCAATCCATTCCTTCAGGTATGGTGCCACAGCCAAGAAGTGCATTCTGCAGACTAGTGCGGTCGCTATCTGTCTAGCCCTCTGTAGATAGTACCTATCGGAAGTCCCCGCTCCCGGCGATAAACACCATCCAAGCATAGGTACCCATCAGATGTGGTGATGAATATACAATGTTCCTCGCGGTACCTTGATTTGACGTCGGAGACAAAGGAACCAACAAGCCACCCGCGCATCATGGCCCACCCCCAGCTGCCAATGGCCAATTACTCTTCATCAGACACGGTGAATAATGGCCCCGGAGGTGTCGTATTGTGTATTCAATACGTCATGGTAGGTAGCACACTGGTGAAGTCATCCCACCACCATCCATGGTCTTACAAACACTGGATCAGAGCACGAACCTGAAGTGTGTCTCATCCGGACTTATACGGACAGCATTTCCTTTGCTCCCCTTGCTGCTCTTGATCAAAATCTCAAACTGTCCTGGACGCCGTACGCCTTCTCCAGACCTCAGGCATCGCCGGCAACATGACGGGTGACGCTCCTCAGCCGTTCCAGCGTCGGTCCTCCTTCCATCAGCTGCAGGTCTCTCACCAGTTTGACAAGAACTCCTGGGAGGCACCTCCATCAAAGGCAAGCTTGCTCCTTGTTTCCGTCCGTCGTATGATGTCTCGGGCTGACGTTTTCTCGCTCAGACCATCTATGCTGGCCTTTCAGCGCTATTTGACAACGATGGGGTGACTGTCGCCCTGGCGATCCGCGATACAACATATCTCCTCGACTTTCACCAGGAGGACCTTGTCGCACAAGGCGGCCGGACGATATGCGCTGAGATCACCGATTATGTGCTCAACCAGTTGCGAGAGTACAGCGATGATCATCTTGAGAAGTTCATCGGTTTGGCAATGCCGACGTCCGTGGCTCAGAGATGCCCTAACCTTTGTTCGCGTCTGTGGTCGGAGCTGGACGTGATCCCTTTGGTTCTGCCGGAGGAGAGTAACATCGGAGTCGACCACCACGTCGACCACCCCGTTCGAAAGTCAACAGGCTGGGAGCTCAAAAGCATCGATGAACAGGCGGAGTCGATGGGCCGTAAATGTGTCAGGTATGCTTTACCCAATCTGAACAAATTCGCGGGTGCTAAAAGCAGTCAAGGCTCTTTGGCCCAGAAAACATTCCCTTGCTGCAAGTCGGATTTTTGGGATTAGTTGAAGTCGACACTGCATTCCATGTGCGCCTTACGAACTTAGAAGACTTCCAAAACACTGTCACCAAGAAGACGTGGGATGCGGTTCAATACTATGCCGATGACCTCAAGAAAAGAGGTACTAAGATTGCATTCTTCAGTGCCACTCCTCAAGGCGGAGGCGTAGCCCTGATGAGACACGCTCTCGCACGGTTCTCATACTCACTGGGAACCGATATCAAGTGGTAAGTGCTTGACCCATATTGTTTAATGGCATTAATCTGATGGCCGTCCTGAACCAGGTACGTTCCGAAGCCGCGACCCGGGGTTTTTCGCATAACGAAGAACAATCATAATATCCTTCAAGGCGTCGCCCCCCCGGGTGAGCGCTTAAGCAAGGAGGACTGGGATAAGGTTATCGATTGGATCAATGAGAATGCTAAGCGATACTGGCTCTCCCCTGGTGGGCCTTTGCGGCCTCCTTCTGAGGGAGGCGCCGATGTAATTATCATTGATGATCCACAGATGCCTGCACTGATTCCTATCGCAAAACACTTGGCACCAGACCGACCAGTTATCTTCCGAAGTCATATCCAGATCCGCAGTGATCTGATTGACCAGCCCGGTTCCCCACAGGAAGAAGCATGGTCGTGGATCTGGAAGCAGGCGCAACAAGCGGATCTGTTCATCAGTCACCCAGTGAGCATATTCGTCCCGAGCAACGTTCCTTCCGAAAAGGTGGGATACATGCCTGCTTCGACGGACTGGTCAGTATCACGGCCCACCTTATTGGCATCTTTAGCTGACGTTAAGAGCCAGGCTGGATGGTCTAAACAAGAACATGCGCGAATGGGACGTCGCCTTCTACGGCCGTGTCTTCAACTCCGTTTGCAGAAACTCGGGGACGCTGACCATTAACTACCCACAAGGTCGGGATGATCCCTATTCCATACTTGCCTCATAATGGTAATTACATGATTGTTGCTAACGACTTCTCAGACGAGTACATTGTCCAAATCGCTCGATTTGACCCCTCGAAGGGGATCATGGACGTTGTTGAGTCGTACAACAAGTTCTATCGGCGATTCACGGCTGCCTTGCCTGACCGAACACCGCCAAAACTGCTGATTTGTGGGCATGGCTCTGTTGACGACCCGGACGGTGCTGTGATCTACGACTCAGTGCTCAACTATGTCGAGGAAGACCTCTCCGACATAGCCGACAAAATTTGCGTTGTCCGGCTTGGGCCCTCGGACCAGGTGCTCAATGCGCTGCTTTCGAAGGCAAAGGTCGCTTTGCAGTTGTCCACTCGGGAAGGGTTCGAAGTCAAAGTGTCCGAGGCCATCCACAAGGGCACTCCGGTTATTGCGACCAAGGCTGGTGGCATTCCACTGCAGGTAGCAGATAAGAAAAACGGATTCCTAGTAGAGGTGGGAGACACAGATGCTGTGGCGCAGCATCTGTTCGATCTATGCACCGATGAGGAGCTGTATGAGCGCACCAAGAAGTTTGCGCTCGAGAACGTATGTGACGAGGTCAGCACAGCTGGCAATGCCCTGAACTGGCTGTATCTTGCATCGAAGCTTTCTAAAAAAGAAGAAGTCAAGCCGAACAAACAATGGATTAACGACATGGCGCGCACCGAAGCCGGCCAAGAATATTCCGACAAGGAGAGCCGATTGAGACGGATCTCACTGTAAGCAAGGCAACCATTGAGCCTCGCGGATATTGTCGCTATGAGTCGTGTATCTAGCTTGTTTTTGGTAAACACTGCACACACAGTTCCTAAATGAGACATAAACTAAACCTGGGGTATACCGGGAATAATAGACACATACAGACGCAATAGAAATATGATCATGATCATCAGTCGTCAAACGCAAGCTCGCGCCCCCTACCTTCCAACCAACCTGTACCTCTCTCTCGCCATGCCCCCCTCAGCTCCCTCAACCCCATACCCTTCCCCAACCTCGCCCACGATCCTCGCCGGCGCCCCGCCCACCACACACCAACTCGGAACCACCATCCCTGGCGCCACCACCGCCCCATCCAGCACATACGCAAAGTCCTTCAAAATCGCCATACTCCCTACCACCGCATCTTTCCCGATATGCACATGGTTCCCCACTGTCGCGGCCTCCACCACCGCCCGCTCGCCTACAAAGACATGATCCCCGATCTTGAGCGGATAAAACGAGTAGACGCCCCGATGTAGCCGCGACGGGGGCCGTAGAATTGCCTGTCGCGAGATGTAACTGTATCGGCCGACGGTAATGGCCACGGATGGGCTGTTTGGTGTTGCTGCTGCCGCTTGTTGGGGGTCTGTGGGGGTGGATGAGGAAGAGGAGCGGTAGAGATCGCCGCGGATGACGGCATCGGCTTGAATCACGGTCTTTCCACCCAGAATGATGTGTTGGGTTCCATGGATTAGGGACCGGCGGGAGATTTTATTGCCTGTATCCTGTGGGTGGGTGTTATTATGGGATTGGGGTTTGGAAAGTGGAGAGAAGGGTTGTGCTGCGACGTACTGTTTCAATATATTCGCCCTTGGGCGCTTTGGGGGGCATTTTGGTCCTGAGGACTTAGGTTTGGTGGATTTGGGAGGGACTGACTGGAGATTACTCCGTAGAGAAAGAGTGTCTGGTATGTTACAGCTGTAGATCTGCGATGCGGTGAGGATCGGAGTGGAAATCATCGGCAGTTGGGGCCGGGCGGTGACCCACCCCCCTTGCACCGGCTCGTGTTTACTATCTACTCCGGACTCGCAAACATCCTCCTGGGAGCTACCAGGTGTTGCAAATTAAAGGAGACTCATCGATTCTATGACGTCTTTTAAAGATATCTGATTTATGGCTATGTTGATCTTCAGATTCTACTCTAGAGCACAATCTACCATGCTTCGTTCGCGTGACCTTTTTACTCTTACAATGGTCTCCCACAGCAAGACTGTTCTACATGATTGCGAGAGGAGAAGATACTAATATTGGAATCTGCCGCTAATGAAGCCAGGTATCTAGGGCAAGCTCCTTGAATTTGAGTTCGTCGACATCTGGCTATGTCGTGCATGTCAACCAGGCCCATTCCCTCTTCCTAGCTGCGTCTCGTTATGACTTCCAGGCTACACCCTGCAAATCTGCAGTATTATTTATCATTATAGTTCAGTTTGCAGTGGGCTATTTAAACCAGTTCTATTTGGAATCTAGACTAACTCTAAATCCGCATGTGCTGGTGCAAGCCTGAAACGTTAAGTTCTCCAAGGGATACCTCCCGCACACCTGCGAACGGCAAAGCTTTTAGACCCTCGATCGACCAAGTGACATTCTGAAGAGTCTCATCATGCTTTCCGCAATAGGCCTCTCTCTCATAGCATTCTCTCTTATAAGTTGGTACTTCCGACTTCCCCCGTCAAGACGCCCCCTGCCGCCAGGCCCGACTCTCTTCTCAGCACCATGGCCAGAGAACGACGTCGCCAAAATATTCCACTCATGGAACAAAACTTACGGGCCAGTAGTGAGTGTCAAGGTCGGGTCCCGTATCATCATCATTCTTGGTACGCGACAAGCAGCGCAAGACCTCCTAGAGAGACGGAGCAACATCTACAGTTCCCGACCGACGTCGATCTTCATGGAACGGTACTTGAACAAGGGCCGCAACCCAGCATTCATGCCATACGGGTCCCAATGGCGGTTGCATCGCCGGTTATACTCGACCCTGTTAAATGCATGGGAGTCGCATGCCTACCGCCGACTCCAGGACATCGGAAGCACAGAGTTGCTACACGGATTGCTGTCAGCCAACGACTTCCCACAGCTCTTTTACAGATACACGTCAGACGTGATGTTGAGCCTTGTATATGGTAAAGGGAGGAATAGAGACGATGCAGACCACCACCGACTGCAGCGGATCAACGACATGGCCACCTTCATCCTCCAAAAGGCCTCGTTTCGGACGATCATACTTGATCTCTTCCCGCTGCTAGATAAGTTACCGATGGTGTTTATGAAATGGCGTAAGCAAGCAGAGCGACTACACGATCTGACCCGGCAAGTGTATGTCGAGTGCGGCAACGCCGCGCTACAGGAGGATTGCTGGAACTGGATCCGGGAGATACGTCACCGGCCGGAATCCAAGGGTATACCTTGGGAAGATGTATGCTACTCTTTGGGAGAACTATATGTTGCAGGCATCTACACGACGAATATGGTCTTGGAAACATTCATAGAAACATGCACTGAGCACGGAGAAGCGGTGCAGAAGGCCCAAGACGAGCTCGATTCAGTAATCGGAACCCAAAGGCTCCCTTCGTTCGGCGACATGGACCGTCTTCCGTATATCACGGCCTTCATTTCAGAGCTAGTGCGCTGGCGCCCAATATCCCCCATCGGCGTACCCCACGCCGTGATCCAAGATGATGAGTACATGGGTTTCCGCATCCCCCGAGACGCCACTGTCATCGCCAACCAGTGGGGAATCAACATGGACGAGACGGTGTTCGAGTCACCCGAGACCTTCAAACCAGAGCGATATCTAGAGAATCCTGAGCGCCATTTATCCGGGTTTGGATTTGGTCGGAGAGCATGTCCAGGGTATCATTTAGCCAAAGCGAGCTTCTTTATCGTGATTTCTCGGATTCTCTGGGCATATCGCATTGACCGAAAGGCACAGGCTGCATATGACCCTGTAGCAAATCCAATTCTGTTTACTGTCCGCAGTCCTCAACACCAAGAAGTCATCGAGAGGGAACAGGGGGGGATAAGTCAGCAGGACGTAAGACAGATATTAGAAGATATGCGGTCGCGAGACGCCAGGAATTGAATGGTCTATCCACCCTTTACTACAGTCATTCTGATGAAACACAGTATACATGCTAAGATTTTCACGCTCATGCTAAGCTTGTGGACGCATGCGCCTTTTTGGGAGGCCTAACTGCAATACTAGACCATAACTTGACTACGACATTGAATATTTCAGAAGATCATATGTTCCATTACTACTTTGAACACCCAAGATCCACCCATAAATCCGCTACCTAAACAATATTGGTAGTCAAGACTCTGTAAAACAATCTAATAAATTCCCCCCAAGCGGTCTGATCCCCCTCTTTCATCAAGTCCACAAATATCACCCAGCAATCATTCCCATACAACAACTACTCAAGTCAAACTCCCAACTGTTCATTCGAAACAAAATGCGACCCCCCAGTACACCGATACCCATATGTCTGCCTTATCCAGCGATATCCCATACAACAGACCCCCGTTTGCTTGAGTCTTTTCTGAGCTTGCTGATCTTTCCTGCGCTCTAGCTCAGCAGCCTCGCGTTCCTTGCGCAGTGCTTCCAATTTATCTTCCCTGGCCCTGCGCTCGAGTTCATGTTGAAGGCGCTGTTGCTCGTGACGCTTCTTGGCATCGTCGTCGTTGCCGTTGCCGTTGCCGTTTTGGGCCGGCGGGGGTGGTTGTTGTTTCTTGAGTGATTCTACGAGGGTTTGTAGATAATTTTGGTCTGAGATGAGTTTCTGGTGTTCTTTTTCGCGGGTTTCCGAGGCGAGTCTGTCTTGTTGGAGTTGGATCCATATGGCGTCTGATACTCCTGCGTCTCGGGGATCAGGGCCCTGGTTTGTTTTGGTTGGTGGTTGGGGTGGGGTTTCTGGATCGTTTGTCGTTGTCTCGGGGGTGGTAATAGTCGTAGTAGCAGTTGTGTTTGTGGAAGGACCGGTCATTGGCTGGTCGGTGGTAGACCTCGCCTGGGTCTGCAAAAGGGCAAGCGGGTCTTTGCATAGCGACTGCGCGCTTTCTCGGTTGGTTCTTTCCTGGACCATGTGGACCAACTCCGCAATAACAAGCGCTTCATCTATGAGGAGCTTTCGGTCATGTATCTTTCGGATAGCGTTTTGGAATATTCCATTGGCTAGGGTCTGCACGTCTCTTGCGTTGGCCCAATTGGAGATTTTGGATAGTTGGGAAAAGTGTTTCTTGCATAATTTATGGAAGGTGTTGCTCGGAGACTCGATCGAGGTCATGTTGAAATCGGTGAGTTTGGATGTAAGGCTTTTCTTCCGGGATTGGAGGAGGTTGGTTAGTAACTGCATGCAGCTGTCCGGGCTGAGTCCGTTGAATTCGATTGACTCGAAGAAGCGACTGGTTAGCCCGGGATTGATGGCCATTAGTCGGTTGACGTCCGTGTCGTAACCTGCTAAGATAATGATGAGCTTACGGAAGAACTTTGGTTTGGTGATGCAGTCCACGATCTCGTCCATGGCCTCCTTGGCGAAGTGTCCCTCGGCGAGTCTGTATGCTTCGTCGATGAGAAGCACCTTTCCTAGGGCTTTCTCGAGCAGGGACTGGGCTTTGGGACCCGTCTGGCCGACGTACTGACCGATGAGGTCTGCTGCGGAGCTTTCGATAACTTCTGCAGAACTCAGGAGGCCCATGTTGTAGTACACCTCGCCCATTCTTCTAGCTGTCGAGGTCTTACCGGTACCTGTGAATATGTAGTCAGCAACATTGACTGATATCTTGTTAGGATAGCTTAGTGCCATACCGGGTGGACCTTTGAATAGAAAATTAAATGGCACTTGGTCTCGCGGGTCCATGTCCAACTCTCGCATATTTTTGACGGTCTGTCGATATCCTTCCAACTGCTGGACAATTTTCTCACAACCAACAACACCTGAGAACAGTTTCGGTATATCAGTATCGGAGCGATCGGCACGGTCGAAGTCTTTGTCAAAGTCCTCCGGTTCCAGACGGGAGCCCTTAGCTGGCTGAGTTGCCGTAGACAACCGCCGTTGATGATTGATTTTGGCAGTATTAAGCAGAATATCGACCTCACCAGCATTACCAAAGTGCGGGCGGTTGCGTGCGCGCGCCAGAACCTCTAAGGCTACCTTCCTGCCTGCTGGCGTGGTCTCAAAGCCCTGTTGTTTTAACTTCAAGTCCAGGATCAGGCCAAGTTCGTGGTCAGTAAAATCTTCGAACACAAAGGCAGAATCCAGAGGAAATCGTCGGGACAAGCCTGGGTTAACTTTCTGAAACATGGTGGTCATCTGGTCTTGGTATCCCACCAGCAAGACGCAACGGTCGTCACCGGGTGTACTCTGGACCTCTGCGACAAGTGTGTCAATAACGGCAGTCTTATAGATATCGGTTTCGTGACCCCCGTAGAGACCGTATGCTTCGTCGATCACCAAAACCTTCCCAACCGTCGATGCTAATATGCCTTTGGTGTTCCTCTCCGATTCACCCAAGGCACTGCCAACAAAGTCTGATGGGTTTTTTCACGATCACTAGAAGAAATGCGGTCAGATTTACCACCTGCAATGAGGGACCAAATTCACAACTTACCTTGCCCGTTTGACAAATATCCAATGTCAACAAGTATTTGTCCGTAGAGCTTTGCGACTGTAGTCTTTCCCGTCCCCGGCGACCCCAGAAGCACACGGTTCAATGTAAACTCGATCAAAGGCTGTTCGCCCAACTCCCGGTTGTAATTGGATTGGATGCTGTCTAACAGGGCCTGTACGTCCTCTTTCACCCTTTTAAGCCCAATCATGGACTGTAGCTTTCGCCCTGCAGAACAGTTCTGGAGTGCATTGGAGGGCTCAGGACCGATCAGATCCTCCTTGGTCAAATAAAGGTCATCGACAAATGTTTTGCGTCTCCTCTCCCTCTTCAAACGACGGGCCTGGCGCTCAAATATCCTGGAACAAGCATTTGCCACGGCACGGGCATTTGCAAACCCTTCCTTTCCGCGCTGTCGGCCAAGGCGTCGGGCGACAATGCGACAGTACAAACCATCCATTCCCCCCTCCACCTTCATTCTGCCACCGTACTTCTTTTGTATTCGGTGCTTGAGAATTCGACGGAGCTCGTCGTCATTATAGTCTTCAAAGGAAAACTCCCGTGGGAAGCGACTTGGCAAGCCAGGGTTATGCGCGAAGAATTTTTCCATCTGGGTTCGACAACCCGCCAGAACGACAACCATCTTCCCAGAGAGCTTCTCGACTTCTCCGACAAGGAAATCTATCACATGTGCCCCAGATCCGTGCCCCTGTGATAACTGGTATGCTTCATCGATGAAGAGCACTCCACCTCCATTATTGAGGATGTTGCTGATCTGTTTTTCGCAGCCCGTTACTCCGTCGTTCGCCAGTCGTGATCCTGTCGTTTCAACAACGAAGCTTCCCGGAATAATTCCCATTGAAGTCAGGAACTTAGCATATAACCCCGCGACAGTCGTCTTGCCTGAGCCACATATGAGCATATCATACAAGCGAGAAAATGAGTACACTAACCTGTTCCCGGATTGCCCAGCAACACGGACCCAAAACGGTCCCCTTGAAGGTCAATGTTCTGTCTTAGTGCCGTGTCCACTTGAGCTTTTATGCCAAGGAACTGCTCCTTGACACTCTCTAGACCTATCATTTCCATTAAAGCATCTATTTCTGGGCTTTGAGTTCCTTCAAGTTCCTTCTGCTGTTTCCAGTCTGCTGCGGCGGATGACATGTTGTCATGCGTTTTACCCTCATCCGGAAACTTGGTTGGAGCTTTATCAACATGACGATTCACAAGCTGCTGGTCCGAGGGCCCAATATAAGGACAACTTGCTCCGCTGGCACCCTGTCGGCTATTATCTGGCACGTGTGTTTTGTTGGTGTTGCTTCTCAACCTCTGGAGTTCGTTCTTACGCTGCTGGAGGACACGCTGCTTCTCCTCTGCATCGGATTTGTCTTTTCTAACTCGTCTCTCATGGGCGATTTCTTCCTGGATCTCAGTCAGCTGACGCAAGTACTCTGTCTGCATTAGCTCTCGTTTGATTTCCAGGTCCATTTCTTGTTCCCGTCGTCGCTCTTTGGCCCTGTCTTCCGCATTGCAAATCTGGCATGTATTTTGAAATTGCATGCATGGTCGAGTAATGCGATGATTTCGTGGACAAATCCATTCAACAATCTTCAAACACTTCATTTTAGAGTGGTCTGCTAACTGATGGCACATGTATGGGCAGTCGTGGATCCCGCAGTTAAGTTTCGCACCACTACAGTCATGAGCATGTAATTATCAGTGTGACTTATCAAGGGCATCATACCAAGGCAGCCGACATCCCCCGTCAGGAGATTCGGTATCGAAGTCCTGCGGCCTACAAATAATTGCTGTATTCTGCGGATGCTGTTCGCATTTGATAGGCAACCCGTCGTACAAATGATGGTTGGCATGAAGCCGATCAATAAACGGTCCCCAAAATTCCTTTCCCTTCTTGCTTGACGTAAAAGTTGTGGCATTTCCAATCAAAACCAGGATATTCCGAGCACGCGATAACAACACGTTCAAGCGCAGTTGGGCTGCCATAAACCCGATGTTACCTTCATCGTTGCTCCTGGTAAGTGTGGCGACAACAATATCACTCTCTTCTCCCTGATAATTATCTGTACTCTTGTTCAGCATGCAGGAGTCTGCAATGGGGGCTGTTACCGCGCGCCTTACCGATTGATGATAGCCGAATGGGCCGTTTCGTATGCCGCGCACTGGCCTGAGATAGGAGCCCTGCACGCACAAGGTCGTGCGAGTCTAGGTCATTAAGTACCGGATCATTGTCTTTACGAAGACAGTCCCGGAGAAGATGCAACTGGCCCAGGTATGGTGTGAGGACAACTATCTTGTCTGTCCCGTATCCCTGTTGGCCAAGATATCTGACAATTTATAAAACCATCTCAGCCTCAAAGATATTCCGCTTGCTCGCTTTGGCACCTTCATCACGGCGGTCTGCAATGCCATCAAACCGTTTCTCGGGATTGCTATGGTTAATAAAGATGACCCTGTCTTGTAGCCCACGAGGAGCAGGGCGATTGGGCGTCTTGGGATCATTCAACAAACCTGGGTAGGTGAGAGCCTGGACTAATGTTGAAATTTCGGAACACATGCGATGCTGGATAGCCAAGGTAGAGTGTGGGTGTCCTGATTCCACTAGACGTTCAAATAAAGAGCGGTTGAGATCATAGCCCGCTCCCTTTTCCACAGAAAGCCCATAGTGGTTTATCTTGGGTCGGAGCTGCTGATGATCTCCGATAAGAATCAGTTGCTTAGTATGGGGTCCCATCGCGGCAAGAACATGTGGCTCAAGAATCTCGCCAGCCTCTTCCAGGAGAACGACCCCTGGCGAGGCAAGACTCAATGCCGCAGTATTCATGGAAGCTGCTGTTGTCGTACACCCAATTATCCGCTTGGATGAAATAATCATGCGTGTCTTGTCATTCCATACATCATCGAGCTGGTCTTGGCAATTTTCCAGCCGGCACATCAAACTGTGAAGCATTGTGACCTGTTCCTCAATGAGAGCCTTGGTCCATTTTTCAATATGTGACTGGCGCGTCATAGGGACCATTTCCCATACATCACGGGATGCCTGGCATAAATGATCCAATGATGGCAATCCCTGGTCTTTACTGGATAACCACCGCTCGAGCAGATACCCCCAGGTGACTTGCTTTCCTTTCTTTCCCATCATAGTCATCTTTCCTTCCTCTGGGGGCTTAAAAGCTTCGTAGAAGTCCGGGTATTCAAATTCGAGGAATTCATCCATAACGCCGGGAGATAGACGAAGTTTCTGGTATTTTTGGAACGCAGAAGGCATCGCTTCTTTGAGCTCGTCCGCGTCGGCATTCAATTTATTTATGACAGCCCAACTATCTTGGCTCCTTCTGTAGTCGGACTTCAGCTCGTGGATACTGAGTTGAGATGTCCTGTTGATGGACTTCGAACCGAGACGCACAATTTCTGACTGATCAATCCCAATATCAAGAAGGTCCTCTAAAAACTGGTCCAGTGCGTGATTGGTGTAGCACATCACCAGTATCTTCTCTTCGCTGTACTTGTAAATTGCTTTCGCTAAAAGAGCTCCAACAAATGACTTCCCAGTTCCTGTTTTCAAATCAATATGGTTTGTTTAGAAGCGATATTGCTGGAGTTACACTCACCAGGAGGCCCTTGTATAAGACTGACACTCTGCGATAGTCCAGAAAGGAAGGATGTCAACTATGCAGAATCAAGGCGAACCTCCTTTTCGGTCTCCAAATTACTTTGGAGGTTACCACTATTGTTCCCGGCCTGTCGGAGGTCCTCGATCACGGAAGGGGAGATGACATCGGCCATTGAAACTGGGTCACCTTTTCGGTATTCCAGAAGCTCCTTGGCCAGAGATATATCCAGTTTATCCTGGAGACACCGTAGAATCGGCTCATAAGCAAAGACGGATGCATCGACTAGAAGATACTCAATGTCGCGGAAAAGCTTGAAGTAGAGAAGCGTTTTTGCTAGTGCACTTTGTCCGATTATTCTCAGGGTGATCTGCGGAGGTGACCGGGAAAGTAGTTCAACATCGCGGTCCAATGTGCAGAACGAGATAATTTCCCCTCGTCGCATCAAGCATCCAAACGCTTGGTGACGAAGGTAATTCCGATGTTCTTTAAGGAATTCCTTGCGTTCCTGAGGGCTTCGCTTTGTAAGGGACCCCAGTCCTGATGCTCAGGAGATTACTAGTGTGCAAGGTCGAAGCCGTCTGTCATCTCCATATCGAATTTGGGCTAAGGTAAGTTCGCCTAGCAGAGGGGCAGCCTGGCGACCTTTTTTCTGGCCCCTGGCAATCTGAAATTCATCTCGGATATCAGAAAGCATATCCTCGCGCAGCAACCGAAACTGGTTATCCAAATGGGCTGTGAGGCGTGTCTCAACTGCCACTTCGGCAATTTCTTGTCCTCTTCGGTAGAATGGCTTTTTCGTCGACAGAAACTCGTCGGAAGTCGGGTATATGGCAATTTTACGGTAGTCGGCGAAGTCGTTGTCATGACGGCCACCAGGACAGAAGTCAGGATCTGCTGAGGATGTTGCTTTGGAAGATTTCATTTGAAGCAAATGTTTGATCTTGTAAGCGTGGCTCCTGATCTCTCTCGATGGGGATTCGAAAAGCGATCCATCATCCACGACCTTTTGAGCGTCATTGGTTATGTCCATCTGAATATCACTGGAAGTAGGCAGGGACAGAAGCTCCTCGATAGCCCAGGCAAGTGCACGAATAGAATCCTCGTTTAGCTGGCGCGAGTGAAAGGCCTGCATGAGCGCGTTCTATACTGTTCGTGGCTCCATGGTGAGCATCAGGAGCTCCCGCAAAAATCGTCCGTTGCATAGTTGCTTGACGGCTGGAGTCGTCAAATAAAGAAGAAATTGCGATGTATGCGTATTGATAACTTCGGGGGACGTAGAACAAGAAGGATGAGCATGGAGACGTCGGCGTAGATTCCAAAAAAAGGGGGTGGGGCTTTAAATCTTGTGCTAGATGGCAGAAGACCTCCTATAAAGCTTCATTTGTCCAACAGTTGTTGAGTGAAAAGGACGCAGGGCTGCCTTTGTTGGTGGCCCCAGATCCAATCATTCACTCCCCGTCTGCACATTGCCGCAGTCATGATGCAGTCACAATGACACGGCTGGAGGTCGCCAACTCTTCCACTGTTAGTACTTTTGCTACCTTTCCTAGCGCCCATGGCTGGGCAGCCTTATGAAGACCCCAGGATACTAGTAGAAGATACCTGGGCAATACAAAAGCTGAAGAACCTAGCACCAACGCATCCACTTCTGGTACAGATCCAGAGCTGCGAAGTTGTCGACTAGATTGATATTTTCGAGTGCGGATACTGAGATCACTAAGAAATAAGTGAATACAGAAGTAGTCGAGGGACGACTCTATACCAGTCAGGCGAGATCATTGGACTGCGGTTACACGGTTAATTGATCTGTGAACACTAGCTGTTGATTGTAGACGTCCCCCCCTTGCTTTCCAATATATTCAAGTGGATATCAACTGAAACAAGTAAAGAATAGAGGCCACTGTTACTTCGTACTATTTGTAGAGATCAGTCCTCTTACTTATCAATTCAGAGAGTAATATACCTATTGTTACCTCAAACCTCTGGCCAAAACATCCCCTCTAACCAAACAACCTGCCTCCACCACCGTTCACATCGTCCCAGCATCTCTTTCTCCCTCTCACCTTCTCCACTCCCCCTCGCAATCTCATCCACCAGCCCGCCAATCTCGTCAACAAAAACCCCGAATTCCTCACTCGTCCAATTAGGAATAAACCTCTCTCTCAACGCACCCCCATCTGCATCTCCACCGTTCCCATCATTCCCAGTATTACTCTTCTCCATAATCTCCCGCGCAAACCCCCAGGCCCGAAAATAGCACACTTCCGTAGCCCACAACACCACCAATCCCTCCAACAGGGTCACTCCACTCGACCCCGCGGAGAGGAACAAATCCGTGTAGGCATGTGTCGCTTCACTCGGACCGAAGGCTGTTTCGCCGGGTGGTGGGACAGTCAGGTCGAGGTCATATTCGGTGGCGACGGTTTCAAAGAAGGTGAGTTCGCGGCGGATGTTCAGAAGGGCGGAAGTGAGAAGAGCGATGATCCGGGATTCAACAGGCTCGGAGGAAGGGTTTGAGGAGTTGGTGGTGGATACGGTATATGGGAGACGGACTTTTGAGAGTAACAGGCCGATGAAGCGGATGTAGGATTGTGCGTAGAGACGGTCCTGAGACAGCCAGGCTGAGAGGGTGGCTTTGGAGAGAGTGGAGGTGCCGGCGGCGTGGAGGAAGGGGTGGGTGGTTGAGGTGTGGAGGGTGGCGGGAGTAAGGGTAAGGAGATGGGTTGTTAGGGAGCCCATTCTGCTTGTGTTGACCTGATGGTGGTGGTCGTGATGATGGTAATTGTAGTGGTAGTGGCAGCAGGTTAATTGTTGTTGTTCCTGAGGGGTTGAAGGAAAAGCGATGATGTGGGTGGGGCACGGATGGGGATTGTGGAGAAGATCGGCGACCATGGCTACTTAACTAGGATAGTGCATGAGGCATCAGATCCTAGATATGCAGTAATGGTGAGCCATCTGTTGATGATTGTAGATGCCTTATACGAGTCCTAGGTATGCCTTTTCCCTTTCTGCTTGTTGCAACCTACAATTTGTCTGTAGCATACAACTATTACGTTGCTATGACCGCAGGCCGCCTCGTATTATGGTGTGATGTCGTTTCGTTGATTTCTAATGTAAAGTAACTTGAGCTTTATTCCTCCAGCTATCCACCCTTGTTGTACGTATATCATGTTGCTTCAATTCTATACTGGTGGCCTATGTTGTCTTTCAACCGCTTAACAAGTTAATCAAAGTACATGCGAGAAACCCCAAAGTTGCATCTTCTCGTGACTGCCTGGTTGTAAATTGCTATCATTAATACGTACTACACTATCTTGATCGCTACTGGGACCAGCAAATATAGTGAGGCGTCTCGCGGAAAAAGAAGGAAAGAGAATGAATATTGAAATGAAGGAAGAGGAGTAAGAGCGTCCAGTGTCCATACTGGGTCATTGATCTAGCCATCTTGATCTTTCACTCCTGGCGGCATCTTCATTTCTCGGGGATTAGTATAACTTGACGTCGAATGCTCCAGGTCAGAGGCGATGGAATAGAGCAATGTCCATAAGTCAATACATTACTGCTATTCGTACGGATATTTCTTTGAATGCACAGAAGTGAAAGCTGCCTGATTGGTAAGTCTTTGAATAAATATTTAGATTTTAATACCTCAAATCAACCTGCAGAAGTCTTAGATTATGAATATAGTTTATTTTTGGCTCATTAATCTTTCACTTTCCTATAAATTTCATTTTCCTATAATTGGTCGAGGGATTCAGCTGGCTGCAATGCTGAAGCAGGAAGATGGATCATCCGAGGGCTAAAGGCCTCACCGAGGGGATGACACGCTACCGCGGAAGCTATTCATGAAGTGAGTCATCCTTTTCTTAAAGTATTTAAACTTGAATAAAGTCGGCTGTAGGCAGGAGACTTCCCATTTCTTTGTCAGAAGACAAAAGCCTTTCCTCCCACTAAGATCAAAGATCAGAAAGTAGCCAAATTGACGAAAAGACATATCGAGGGAAATACAGTGAAGAGTGATAGCATAGGCCTTTTATGCAGGAAGCCTCATATTCTTAATGACCGCACTGGATCTCTGGAATCGGAACTCGCATATATGCGCCCTGGAATATCCCCCACTCAACGGGGTTTGGCCATGTCCTGCCATCCAGACTGTAACGTAAGTCAAATGAACTAAATATGGCAATATCAGCTGCTGGTGGGACGCTTAGCAAATGCATTTTCTGCCATTGCCGGATTAGCTGGGATCTTCAAGCATATTTCACCATATATCGGATTTTTCTTAGGACCAAATTTACACAAAGACCCGACAGCCTATGTATCCTCTACTATCAAGACGCAGATAAAAGACATCAGTCCGTTCGTTTGTATGAGCCCCAAGAGCCTCCTCAACTGTTGGTCTGGGGCCAGCGGTAACCCTATAAGTTTCAGGGTCCGGCATGAGAAATCGTGATAATTTATGGTCGTTATCTGGCACTTGGCCATCATGTTGGCACTGTTCAGAAGCTTTGTCTTAGCCATTAGGTTCAATATGACTCCGGCCATATCTTCTGGGGCATAAGATGTGTTAACGACAAGCGTGTGCTTGGAAAAGAAAGTTAGAACAACGTGGCTTTTCTTCATCTCATCATCAAACTCTTCATCGTCATCAAGTAAGTTCCGTTCACCCTCATTGTGGAACCCCGAGGTATAGCTTTCAACCCTTTTTCTTAGGAGGGCTTCAGAAACGCTATCATGCCGAAAGGTCTGTTTGTCTATTACCACCACTGGCTAGGGTCGTTGAGGTTGAGCAGCCGGCTTGGGGGAAACTGATATTCTTTCCCGAACGTAACTTTCGAGGCATCCCTGTTGTGGCGCAATCTATCTTTTCCCTGGAGATAGAAGCCACACAGTATTGCTTGGTTGACTATCATGAGTGTATTTAATGAACAATATCTCATAGGCAGTGTTTGAGTCAATTTTCAAAGCGTTTGCCGAACGAAACGAGATAATAAACTCTAGGGTTGCCTAGTATCCAACTCCTTACTACTGAAAAGAGAAGTATGGCAAGGTAAAGAAAAGAAGACTCTTGTAAACACTATAAGCAATACTTACTCCAATGATAGAGAAGAGTTTGCATCTATGATGTAAAATTGGGAAGAGTTATTATGTAGTAAACTAGCAGATGAGTCAATAGATAAATGACATTCGAGTTGAGAGGGAATATTAAACTTTGATTCTTGAGTGATATGTAAACCACTCACTACAAACATTGATCATTCACTAGAATGGTGTTCAGTATAATGTGAATTTTACATGGGAATATCCATTATGATTGTTCTTGATCTTTCTCTTGAATTAGCATGATTGCCTTTCACTCGCGAATAGGGTTTAAAGGTCTATGCACTATGCCTGTCATAGCCAAGCTGCGTTCATCGCCGAATACTATCATTGTTATGACATCTCTCCGGGTCTTCCACCTTATACCAAGTATTAGTACTTTGGTCATATCTGGCACTCCTTCTTTTATTCCCCCAACTCCATTTATAGCCCTTTTGAACAGCCAGCAAGAAAATCCAGCTGGAGGCCTGGCGTTCTTAGTCAACATGCTTTACGAGTTTGTCTCCCCGAGCGCCCCCAACCTGCCCAGCAGACGTGAAATTGAAAAGCTTCGCCGTGAAAATGGCCCCAACACCAGACATCTAACAGTCACCCACAATGGTAAAAAATTCTTCGTCAAGTATAATTCACTGCAAGTGGAAGAGGTCCGAAATCAACAGTTCTTCTTCGATCAGATTGCCAAACGAGCGGATTCGCCCATTCGCATCCCGGAAATCTACGAGGTCTTTGAGACCAAACACGATGGTTATATCGTTATGGAACATATCGATATAGACCATTTTGCATCGGATAAACAGCGATCCACTGCTATCACTGAGCTGGTCACTATAGAGCCCCCACCACATGCTCCTCTGGGACCTATTGGCGGCGGCCTGATCAGACATCACTTCTTCGACTTTATCGATGCGGAGGCGCCTGTGGTCTATGACTCTGTGGAGGATTTAGAGTCTCATATTAATAGAGTCTGTACTTCCTTGCCATTTCTACATCTGGTCACATCTACTGCCTATCTTCCATTCCGTCCAGCTTCTCTTTTCTCCCACCCAGCTGACACGATCAATACACCTAAGGTACTCAAGGCATTCAAATATCTAAACCAAGACCTTCAGCAAGTCCACCTCACTGATGAACGGCTGGTCTGCTACTACTCCGATCTCTATAAAAAGAACTTTCCCGTCGACAAGAACGGTCAGCTCTGGGTGGTGGATTTCCATCACGCCGGGGTTCTCCCGATAAGCTTCATGTCCTTTACGCTCGCATTACCGATCCGCGACCCGATCCCATTTCCATATCGTAATATGATCCCCATTGAGCACACCGACAACTTCAAAGCTATGCGTAAGGCATCTTGGTGTTTCAAGACTTGCGCTGTTCGCGACTGTGAGTTCATCGGATATGTGGGACACGAGCTGGTAACTGACTGGTTATGGGTGCAGATATCAAGGAAGAGAATAATTGACTTATGTACGACCTATTTTGGAGAATGTGGATGGTAAACTGGATGCGCTCGCTGGATAATAAATCTCAGACATGAGTCTAACTAGGACAGATAAATCAATAGCACGCTGCTTATGACGATCTGCGATATTTTAACAATGAACTTTGGGGAGACACTGCGGTGCAGACTTCATTCGATAGACAAAAGCAGAAAATCAAGGTCTTATTATAGAATATCAAAGGAAGGTAGAGCGTACAACGTAACACATGGTATCCTCAGTCCCTGAGCCGTGGCTTTCCACCGAATGGGTCGAGGCTGCGTATGATATAGTTCTGTCTAAGTATGTTGTCAGATTTTCACCTACCGTGATCAGTACGGAATTTTAGTAAGTCAGCATTTTTGCCAGCTCTAATGCACAGATGCTGTCAAAGACAGGTGGAATCCCGTATAATAATTTCCATGTCAAAGAACTGCAGATGTGACAAGCGTTTACGGCTCAGTTAAACAGGCCTAGAGTCCAAACTCAGCTCGTAAATAAGTTCTATAGCAACCACTATCTACACCGCATTGATAGAATGAGGTGCAGTTGACCTACTGACCTGTTGACCTTACAAAATGGGCTAATTAGTACATCAGTGTAGGTATCATTATCAATGCTATTGGATGGACAAGGAAAGAATTAGTATTATAAATATAACAGAGAGCCAGGTTATCAGAAAAAAAACACTAGTAGGCTCGCAAGACTACTCAGTTTTCACCCCAAGCAGACTGGCGACCAGGACCTCCATCGTGTACCGCGCATCATTCCCCGCGTTGTGCAAGTACCAGCCTATAATGCCCAGGTCCGCCAGCACGCCTCCCAGAGACCGCACCGACGTCTCCCCCCGTAGCATGCGAAACAACTCTGCGGTGTCCACTCGGTCGTGAAACCCTTCCACATCCACTCCAATATGTTTGAGATACTTGACATCCGAGGATAGGCTGTGTCCCACCAGCACGAGACGACGACTCATTGCATCGCCCAACTGTAGGCACGATCGCACCACACCCCCTAAATCTCGTTGCAACACCCATTCACTCTCCCCAAATTGAAACATACCGGGACAGCCTGCCACAAAATCATGGTTCACGATATGGCCATATTCTTTTACCCGCAGATGCCGGGAATGAATGCGAGACCGCCACTGCTCGCCTGTCTCGCCCGGCGGGATCCCCACCAGAGTCAACATGTCCAGCGTCGACACTCCGACCTCTGTTATCTGCGAATGGCAACGCTCATTCGACTCAACGTCGATACTGATAAATACTGGCTCTCTCCAGAACTGGTATGGCACCGCCTTGGTTACATCAATCGTCTGTATAGTCGGCACCGTGCCTGGCGAATCCCATGTAAGCATCTCTGCTTCGTCATCGGTGTCTTCTACCGGACGCAGACCGAAGGAACGCTGCATTCTTCGAATCGTATTCTGCGTGTTATATTCCTGTAACGCGCGCATCATCTGTTTCTGCTTGGAATTCTTTTTCTTGTTCCGAATGGCCTCGATGGCATGCTCCATCATTGTTTCAAAAGCGGCGTATTCTTCGTTCATATCTCCCTCAGAAGAGTGGCCATGCCCCGATAGTACAGGAATCCGCCCCTCGAGACGGTCCTTGGTCTCACGCGTAGTACTGCGACCGACATAGAGAGGCTGAGGATATTGTTCTTTGAAGGTCAGGATGAAACCGGCTGTCACGTCAGTTGAAAGAGACAATCCGCACTTCATCTCACGGTTGATCTCCTGCAAAAAGCGATTGACTTCACTGGTGGGGGTGAGCAGTACGCATTTGGATCCGAGGGAGGGAGGCGCGTGGATATAATATCTTCTATTGGTCAGATCTGAGATTGAAGCAGCTACGGTGGTCACTTACATGTCCCATGAGCGGTTCCAGAATTTACCTGCGTCGAAGAAGCGGCTGGCTATCTGCTTGCTCAGGTCTCCTTTGATATTTTTGTAAGGATACCTAGCGACAGCCACAAGGGGACTGAACTGGCCGTTAGAGGGTCTTATAGGTAGGGTTGCGAGTTCAGTTTTGTCTGTTAGAAGTGAAGCAGACATCTCTGGGGAGGATTGAGGGCCCTCCAAGGGTGGCTCTTCGACGGTCTGCACTGCTTCCTGGCTAGGGGTAACCGGGGGTTTGCTTTCCTCTCCTGTATGCTCGGGGTGGTCCGCCTTAGGGGCCATGGGCCGGTCGGGCGAGTCAGACACAGGACGACGGCCAGTATCTATTTTGAGAAGGGCCTCATCCTGCGCAAAGAGCAGCACCAAACGTTCTTCTGGCTTCATTGCAAGTGATGGGACAATTTGACAGCGAAGTACAGAGATTGAGGATCAGAACAGCAAGAGTGAAGAGAGGGGTAAAGTTAGGAATGAGAAGGAAACAGAAAGGAGAAAGGAGAAGGAACGGTTTGGAAAACGGGGGTGGTGCAACAGTGCAAAGGTCCCGTAAATTCATCTTCCCTCAAGCTTCACTAGACAATGGACCAATCAAATGGAATTCACTTCGAGTTGAGCAGGCTCCTACTCTGCTAGATCTCGATACTTCCCTGTATAAAAACAGGAGAAAAGAAATTATCGGTTTAGGGGATAGTCGCAACTAGGTGAATTATGGGCAAATGGAGAAACATTGCGTGAATACATATCGCGATTATCCAGGATCTGAGTGGAGTTATATACTTTCCCCACCCGATGTAGTAAACAACAAGATACGATGGAGTGTTTACGGGTCCCACAATTCCTACCTTGGTCAACAGTATTACTTCAATTCCAAATGGGCATTTATTGGATCCATTTACCATGACAGTCTTATTAGAAAAGTACAAGGGAGTACGTAGACGAGAGGAGATGAGAGGTACTAGATTCTTATGCGGTGACCTGTCACCCTCCGGAACAACCATCTGCCGGGATCCGGTATCCGCGCGGTGGTTCCAAATTCCCGCTGCAACTGGCCAGCAACTCATCTGGACCCATCCATCCATGATCATTCACATCGCATCCATCTATTTATCCAATTCTACTGCTTCTCATCCCCGCCTTTCCGCATCGCTATTTTCCCTCGTTCCCCTCCTTTTCCTCTTCACCCTTACTTCGTCTTTTGCCTCAGCTTGCAGGCCCTGGTCTGTCAAGCTCCCCCCATGTAAAAGTGCGGACCAGTCCCTCTTCCTGGCCGCACCCTCCTCCATGGTGCCGTCCGGCCACCTCTGACCATCTCTCCGCCCGTTCCTTCAACGCCCCCTCCGTCGCTCCCTCGATCGCTCCCTCTATCACCCCTTCGCATTCTTACACACTCTCCGTCTATCTGTTGGATGGCATGGCGGACTACCACGACACCGGCGGCCTCATCCTCGACGGCCCCTTTGATCCCGACGCCCAGGCCACCGTCACCGACTACATTGACTACACCGAATACCTTCCCGCTGACCTGATCCGCTCCCTGACTCTCATCCGTGGTCTTGACGAACGCTATCTTGAGGCTACCCAGACCGTCCATGACCTAACCAAGGCCTATGGCCAGCTGCCCAACCTCCCCCCGGACGTGCGCCCCGATGCGCGTACGTTGCGCAAGGATATCTCTGCCCAGCTCGATCGCGCCATTAACGCGCGTGAATCGGCATATGCAGAGTCCTGCCGCCTGTACGATGTAATTGATCGTCATTTCAACCGATTGGACAGCATCAAACAGAAGCTTGAAGCTCTTCCCAAGCCCGTGTCGCGCGAACCCACTCCTCCGCCACAACCTCTCGCAACCACCAAACGAAGCCGATCAACCAAAAAAGCCGACGAGGCTACTGGTCCGCCCACCACTACACGCCTCACCTTGCGTCTAGATGGCCATGATACCTCTCGCGCAACGACCACGCCTAAGTCCCGCACACGCCGATCCCTCATATCTGCTGAGCATTTGGCCGACTTGCACCCCGATTCACCTATTGCGAGCACGGAGCATTCTGATGTGGAAGCGGACAGCAAAGTGACACCCTCGGAGTCGCCCGCAGAGCCGGCAGCTGCACCGACCAAGAAGGAGAAAGCCAATCGGCGATCGCGGGTCTCTGGGCCAGGTCAAGCCAGTGCGCAGGGACCTGCGGCTCCAGCCATATCGACCAGCAACGCGTTGGCGATGCTTAAGCCACCCCCGGAAGATGCTAAACCTGGAAGTGAGGACATGCCGTGGCTGCGTCTGACTGAATGGGAAATGACCAAACTGCGCAAGAAGATGAAGAAAAATGCTGTCTGGCAGCCCAGCGAAGTCATGATTCATCGTGAACTCGCCTTGCGCGGCCGCGGCTGGGAGGCGTACCGGGCGGCGAAAGCGCAGGCCGAAGCCATTGGCACTGAATTCCTGGACTGTGACGATATCATGAACACGTACGTTCCGGGCAAGCTGACCAAACGCAGCGAGGCAACTGGTGACACTGAGGGCACGTTTGAGACCAAGCTTAGCAACCGTGGCATGAAGCTGAACGAAGCCAAGAAGCTCAAGCGGGAGAACCAGGCCCGGGAGCAGGCCGCGGCAGCGGCGGCCGCTGCTGCTGCTGCCGCACAAGAACAGACAACCAACGATGCAGCCCAGCCAGGAGTAGCACCAAAGGATATCTCACCAAAAGAGATCCCACCCAAAGAGGTCCCGCCCAAAGAGATTCCGCTCAAAGTGATCCCTACTCCCAGTGCTCAGGATGCTCCAGCCGTAAGCAAGCCCAGTCGTACGGGGAAGAAAAGGAAACTCGAAGAGGTGACACCCCCAGAGGCTCCCCGCGCTCCTCCTGCTCCCTCCCCCTCCGCATCGTCTGCCCCCTCGGCTTCTGCTGCCCCATCTACGTCTGTTACTTCTTCAACGTCTGTCCCTCCCTCGACGTCTGCTGTCCCCTCTCCTTCTGGTGATCAGTCTACCTCTGCTGCACCTTCTACGGCTGCCGGTCCTTCTGCTCCTTCACCCCCTGTCCCTACTCCCACTCCTGCTCCTGTTCCACCAGTTTCTCCCGCTGATCCTCCAATTCCTGCTACTTCCCCTGATACCACTGCCCTCTCTATTCCGGTTGTTCCCGCTGCTGCTGCTGTTGTTGCGCCTGCGGAAGCTGAACCCCGTTCTTCGCTACGAAGTGCGACCAAACGCCGCCGAACTAGCAAAGAATCCCTTACTCCCGTTGACACAAATACTGCCACCCCTGGAGTATCTACAACTACAGCGCCAGCCGTCTCGATTGTGGAAACTTCCGAGTCACAGAAGCCTTCCGTGCCATCGTCTCCAGCTGATTCCAAACGCTCTATCCCGCAACCCGCGGCCGCAGCTGCGGCCGCAAAGGCAGCTACGCCCACACCTCCAGTCACCCGACCTCCGTCTCGCCGCTCGGCTGCTTTGTCACTAGAGCCAACGATCAATGCCAGCGTTGTTGCAACTTCTGCTAAACGCGAATTCCGCCAAAAGAGCGCGACTCCTGCCCGAAGGACCCCGGTTCCGGAAACTGCCCGAGCTGCCAGTGTAAGTGCCCCCAGTCGCAAGCGGAAACGTCCAGCACCCGGTCCGGTGTCTTCAGGCCAAGATGGCGGCGCAGCGGTTAGCTATGGTCGCCGCAAAGCGAAGCCCGGAAAGAAGCGGATCGGAACTCGTGAAGTTGGTTTGAAAGACGGGACACTGGCACGGGAGGACATCCGAATTGACGAGGATGGGGTGCTTGAGGAGATTGATCCAAATGAACCACGGTATTGCCTGTGCGGAGACGTGAGTTTCGGGACGATGATCTGCTGTGAGAATCAAGAAGTATGCATTCCGCCCTTTGACGTCACTTGATATAGCTAATGTGACTAGTGTGATCGAGAATGGTTCCATCTTGACTGTGTTGGCCTGTCTGAGGTCCCGAGTCGCACGGCGAAATGGTACTGCCCAGACTGTCGGGTCAAATTCAACAAGGGTGCGGATGGAATTGTGAAAAACAATCCACGGAGATGACGGTAGGCCTTTGTGACAGGTCATATTTTCCGGTATTGATTGGGTGGTGTATATTTGACGAGACCACGATTGGCAGCATGGCCCATTTCATGCATAGGGCTTAATTTTGTTCTCATAGTTTGTTATCTTGATTCGCAGCGTGGCGAAGTGATGGATGGAGTTGAGTGTCATTTCGGTGTATACCAGATTGAGGCAGCCGTCTCCCTTGTCAACCAGTTTCTCCTTCATCGGTGCATGCCGTAATATACTCTCTAAATAGGCTGCCGTGATCGCCCCGTTGTCCTCTAAAATTGAATGTATTCGATTTGGCTATGGGGCCGGGCCTCACTCGTCCGCAAACTATTCACACGCAGCTCGAGAATTCCTCTAACCTGCCTAACAACATTAGCTCTTCTGCGCAGTTTTTTCACATGTTTGTGCAAACGTCAGTTGGCTCATCCTTTAGCCGGCCTACGTACGACTAATCGAATAGATTCTCCCACGCTGATATACTTCAAATTTCATCAATCATCTCCACCTTGACCCTTAAATCCGACCGGTTTGTCCACCAACCAGCATGTCCTTAACCAGGCTATAGCGTGGGGGTCACATAATACTTACAACCCACCCAACTCGGAGTTCTTTCCGAACGTCGACTCTACTCATACATGCTTTGCTGCAAACATCCACATTTCGCGCATCTCTGGAATCGCTGTATCTCATAATAACAACCTATATGATACATTCAACTAAGCAATATCCGGCAAGGACTTCTCAACCTCCAGGGCATCCTTGATCTTCTCCGCTACTGCCTCCGCTTGCTCAGTAGTCAACCGACCCAACGGCCGACGCGGGTATCCACCGTATCCGTAGTAACTCTGGATAGCACTCTTCGTGCCCGGGATAGCCGCCTTAGTGAGGACCCAATCAGCCTTACTCAACAACTCCTGTGTCTCCATAGCCTCCGTAAAGCGACCCGCGCTCCAGAGGTTGAAGATCTGCACACACAACTTGGGAATGACATTCGCGCCACCAGCCAGAATCGCCGAACCCCCGGATGCCAACGTCTGCAGCGAGAAGTCCGCAATACCGCCAAAAGCAACGTATGGGTGGTTCGCCACCGTCTTGGTGTTGGGCACCTTGCGCTCAGCAGGAGCCAAAGGCGAGGGGGGTGTAATGGCATGCAGCGCGGACGCAACACGGGTAAGCTTACCCGTGTTGGCGCAGGTGAACTTCGTGCCCACAATATTCGGGTGTTGCGAGATCCGGATGATGAGGTCTGAGTCCATATCAATGCCTGCCACCGCGCCGGGGTAGTTGTAGAGGATGAGGGGGATGGGAGATCCGTCTGCAACGGCCGTGAAGAACTCGTAGAGGGTCTCGTCGTTGCCCGTGGCGTACCGGTAGTAGCTCGGGGGAACGATCAGGGCATATTCGGCACCTGCTTCGGCAGACTCCTTGCAGAGATCAATGGTACCTCGGATGGATTGCTCGCTGGCACCGGCAATGACGGGGACGTTAGAGAAACCGGCTTCGACGAGTGCGGTGCGAGTTTCACTGATAACGGTCTTGCGTTCAGCGCGGGTGAGGTGCACGGCTTCACCGTTTGAGCCCATGCAGACCAGCCCAACGAGACCGGCTTTGGCGAGGCGGACAGCATGACGGCGGATAGTGGGAATGTCCAGATCTTCGGTCGAAGGGTCGAAGAAGGTCATGGTAGGAGCATAGACTCCGGGGCGGAGCGGGGTGGGGGTCATTCTGTTGCTTTGCTGTTAGTCTGGGTTTGGTATGAAGGTTGAGTGGTGTATGTACTTGGCTGGCTCTTTGGGTATGTATAGATAATTGATCAATTGATGGGATGTGGATGGGTCATGAGGCAGTGGTTGGCATTGTGCATCGTGCGCTGATTTATATAGAAGAACCCCCCTCATGTTTACCCCGCGTGCCCTGCCGTACCGTTTTGGTATCATCCCACGTCCCCACTGTCTCGGAGGTATTTCTCCACCAATCAGCACCACCCGGTAGCAGACTTGCCTCATTCGGTCGGTATCAAACACCGACAGCAGTGTCATGCAGTGAGAAAGTACCAGCAGAGCTGCAAACCAGGCATAGGAATTGAGGGGCGCTGAGGTACAGGAAACTCGATTCATGGTACTCTGTAAGATACTGTTCGACTCCATAGATATCCAAGGGATTGTCGCATCGTGTATATATTCCACCATTGATGCAATCCCTCCGTATAGAACGACCAGCCATCGGCTAACGACCCCGCAGAAACCCGGTCCAGCAGGTTCTCTTATAAGACCGCCAGCCCACTAAACCACCAGATTTCTCTTCTTCCGTCGTCTTCTCACCCCCGTAAACTTCTTTCTCAGGTAATTTTACACAGCAGCAATCACAATGGCTCCCCCCGATGTGTTGATGGTAATCCCTTCCCCCATTCTTCACCCAATTCCCCACTGACCAGCAACACAGGTAGGAACAGGCGAGTACACGACCGGCTACGTCGGCGGTGCAGCCTCGACCTCCGACAAGAAAGTGGGTGTCGTGGGTCTGACTTTCTTCGACCTGCGTCGTCGCGGAAAAGTCGGCAACCTGAGCATGGTGGGCGTGTCTGGCTCCAAGTTCCCCGGAATCCGTAAGCCATCCATCCTCCCGAGTCCTCTACCACTCACCCGACCCCCAGAACTGACAAGTAGAAACCAGGCACACACCTTCAGAAAAATATCTCCGAAGTCTACAACAACCTCGATGTCTCCTTCTCCTCCTTTCCCGCCGATAACACCACCGACCCAGAAGCCTACAAGGCCGCTATCGACGCCCTCCCCGCAGGCTCCGCAATCACTATCTTCACCCCCGACCCAACCCACTACCCCATTGCCCTATATGCTATTCAACGCAAAATTCACGTCCTGATCACCAAGCCCGCGACTCAACTCCTCCGCGACCACCTTGACCTTCTCACCGAGTCCCGCAAACACAATGTCGTTGTCTACATCGAGCACCACAAGCGCTTCGACCCGGCCTACAGTGATGCCCGTGCCAAGGCCTCCAAGCTTGGTGACTTCAATTACTTTTACAGCTACATGAGTCAGCCGAAGAGTCAATTGGAGACGTTCAAGGCGTGGGCTGGCAAGGACTCGGATATCTCTTACTACTTGAACAGCCACCATGTGGATGTTTGTGAGAGTATGGTGCCAGACTATGTCCCCATCAAGGTGACGGCCAGTGCGGCGACGGGAACAGCGGTCGAGCTGGGTTGTGTCAATGAGACGGAGGATACAATTACCTTGCTTGTGGAATGGAAAAAGAAGGATGGATCGAGGACGGCCACGGGTATTTACACGGCTAGTTGGACGGCGCCGCAGAGGGCGGGCGTGCATTCGAACCAGTACTTCCATTGTATGCTTCTTTCCATTTCTTTTGCTTTGTATTCTCAAGGGATTGTTTGGAAAATTATGCTGACAGACGCAGACATGGGCTCGAAGGGTGAGATCCGTGTTAACCAGGCTAAGCGTGGTTATGATGTTACGGAAGACGAGTCCGGACTTGCGTGGATTAACCCGTATGTTTCCCTTTTTTTTTTAAGAGTTGCTTGGCAATTATGCTGACGATAGGTGGGCAGTTTCTATATGAAGTATGCCCCTGACGAGGAGGGCAACTTCGGTGGCCAGACTGGTTACGGATACATCAGTTTCGAGAAGTTCATTGATGCCGTCACGGCTGTCAATGAGGGCCGGTTGACACTCGACCAGCTGGATGCAAGACCAATCCCGACACTGCAAAACACAATTGCCACGACGGCAATTCTGCATGCGGGACGCATCTCCCTAGACGAGAAGAGGTCGGTAGAAATTGTGACTGAGGATGGAAAGTGGGAGCTGAAGTAGATACCTTATTATAGAGACTTGGATGTATTTGCTTGGTTATGTATGGCTGTATAAATGTCATTGATTCTAGTCAATATGTCACGGAGATGCAGGTCTGCGTCAACTGCCCATCAAAACCTTAATATTGCAGTGGCGTTGGTTCCGTACCCTTGATAAAAAAGGGGGCACCCATGGCTGGAAGGTCCAAACCAAGGGGTTCCTTAGTACTCCAAGTCGTGGAATCTTTGTTCGTTCAGGCGGTCGTGATTGAGGCTATGCCCTAGAAGGTCGCACAGACATATAAGCACTAATTTGGTTGAAGGGCGGTTGAGACAACCAGGTATAATAAAGACTTCAAATATATCTAATGAACGAATGTCAAAATCACAAGTCATGATGGTGGCTGACAGCAAACTCCCTCCTGCCAGGCCAACTGGCAGAGTGGGCCAGACCATGAAGGATTGGCGACCCCACGGGGGCGGGAAGCAGATGGGATGGAGTCGATCCCTGAATCGGGGATTCGAAGACAAAGGGGGGTTGCATTTCTAATTTGCGGAATGCACGGACGGGGGGTGGATATGTAGACATGAAAGGAGGGCTCAAACACGGGCGATTGGTATTCTGACTAGGGTGACTTTGCCTTCTCCACATGCGTGTTTACCTGAACTAAACTCCCCCGCTGATACGGATGTGGTATGTAGGAGCTCGAGATATCTTCTCATCAGGCATCCAGGTCGATGCCAGACCCCCCTGAGTAAAGTATAATCCCCTCCCATTATCCATTCCATGCGGGCCTTACGGATGCCCTAAGTGACAGGGGGGCAACAATGGTAGACACAAAGGAAAACATCCGCATGCGATCATCAAACCAGAGAAAAAGAAAAAAAACTCTGCAGAAATTGAAGCCCGCCACCAGGCAGTGGAGGAGGGCCAATCAAGGGCCTGGACCGGACTGGGGGGCAAAAGGTGCTCACCGCCCGGCCGGCGGGCCTCCCTTTTCCTCGCCTCGATCCCCATTCATTAATCTTTGCTGGCAGTAGTGTTGTTTTTTCTTTTTCATGCAGTTGTTAGGTCTTGGGGGTTAATTCTTTTGGGTGCTTCTTACACATTCGATTCAGTCGACTTTCCTTTCCCCCTTCCCTCTTTTCTTTTCTCGCCCGAATCCCTCTCTCCCACACCCCCTCCCGCACTCGTTTTTGGGATTACTATTGTCTATCTACTATCTATCGGTGTCCGTTATCAGGACTTTTTATCGGCCCTCTTCCTGATCGCCCAGGCTGCTGTCCTGTCGAAATTTCCCCTTACCTACGCCGTTCCGCCTCTCTATACCGGCCTATATCCCCTAGACGCACCACACATTTCTTCCTTGACCAGCGTCATTCCCTTGCGTCTGGCCCCTGAGGGTGTGTCTCAGCCGCGGGAAGGGGATTTACTCCGTCCCCATAGGTACTATATCAATCTACCGAGGACGCTCTGTCCTAGCTGTCCCCCGCGTGGCTGTCCTTAATTGCGGTTGCCACTTTGACACCGATCGCCGTCATGTCTCCACGAGATCCCAGCACTCTTCCTTCTCGTCGACGCCCCTCTCTCTCCCTCCGCACTCGGCCCCGGACTGCTACAACGTCGACCGTTCATACAACCGGAATAGAGCATGATATATGGCACGGGCTGTCGGTGGTGGATTCCGGAGATGATGATGACGGACAGGTCCTGGAGGACATGAACCATTTTCCCGAACCTGTGCCCAGGCGCCGCGGAGCCAAGAGCTTCTCGAGCTTACGCCATCCCGTGGATGGCCTGCGCGCTTTGGGCCGTCGCCTCTCGGTGACGCTCCGCAGCAAGTCGTCTAGACATTCAGTCCAACCCCATCCTGGGGGCACGAGGAATTCTTGGTGTACCGAAACAAGCATCAATCGTCGCTCATCCCTCAACGGCGTGTCGGCGCTGCATGAATTTTATACTCACACCGCTGCAGCCGTCCCCGGGAGTGGTTTGGAGCCACCCATCTTCTCGAACGATATCTACGCGGGCGCGGCAGCTCGCGCTGCAGCTGCAGCACAGAATGATCTCGCAAGGGCTCTGCGGGATGGTATCAAACTGTCCGACACAAAGCTGACTCGGGACTCGGAAAGTGGTATTGGCATCGATCTGCGCGATCGCACGGAACTGTCTGACCCAGCCCTGGCTATCCTGCGGATCGATCCAGTCGCCTACTTTCCTCCTGAGGTCATGTCACAGGTGCTTTCGTACCTCGACCCTGAGTCCCTCATGCAGTCCGAACTTGTTTCTCGTGCTTGGAGTGAGCAGGCCTCCTCCAGATATATATGGCGGCATGTGTTCCGTCATGCCTACGGACACCATCTAAGCGGACGTCTACACAAGAAGAGACAATCTGCGGGGGTGGGGAAGGCCCATCCTAACCAGGACTGGAAGAGGATGTTCCTTGTTCGACGTGCCTTGGAGCATCGGTGGAAAGAAGGAAAGGCTGCCGCTATCTATCTCCACGGTCATAAGGACAGTGTCTACTGTGCTCAGTTTGATGAGTATGTTTTCTCCCCGGTAATGCCATGTATGCACAATCATTTTCTAACTTCGTTCCAGGGACAAAATTATCACCGGGTCTCGTGACCGGACTATCCGTGTATGGGACGCTCACTACCCTTGGCCATGCCGGAAGATCATAGGTCCTCCCCAAGGGGATGCTTCCGGCATTGGCCCGGTCAACAACTCGGCGCAGCAATCAGCCGGAAAGCCGCCTTTTCTTACGATATACCCCCCTCCCACGCGCTCTGCGGGGATCATGGCCCCCGCCGAACAAAGCACGGACTATCACAGCGCCTCCATTCTCTGCCTCCAGTTTGATGAAGACATCATGGTCACTGGGTCGTCTGACTTTACTTGCATCGTGTGGGATATCAAGAACGATTACACGCCGATTCGTCGCCTGGTGGGACACCAGGCGGGAGTGTTGGATGTCTGCTTTGATGACCGATACATTGTGTCCTGCTCCAAGGACACTACTATCTGTGTCTGGGATCGCCACACGGGAGCCCTTGTGAAGAAGCTCCTTGGCCACAGAGGACCGGTGAATGCTGTTCAACTGCGCGGCGATCTCGTCGTCTCTGCTAGCGGAGACGGCGTCGCCAAGCTCTGGAACATCACGTCCGGTCTTTGTGTCAAGGAATTTCCCAGCAAGGACCGCGGATTGGCGTGTGTCGAATTCAGCGACGATGCTCGAACCATCCTGACTGGCGGCAACGATCAAGTAATTTATCAGTTTGACGCCAACACCGGCGAGATGGTCAACGAGCTGAAGGGCCATGAGGCCCTGGTTCGGTCGCTGCACCTGGATAGTATGAACCAACGAATCGTCAGTGGTAGCTACGACATGAGTGTCAAGGTGTTTGATGCTCAGAGCGGAGAGCTATCCATTGATCTCCCGGGCTGGACGACGAGTTGGATGCTCAGCGTCAAGTCCGACTATCGGCGCATTGTGGCTACCAGCCAAGATTCTCGCGCTGTTATAATGGATTTTGGATACGGACTAGATGGCATAGACTTGCTACAAGAGTAACTCATCTGGCTAGACTTTTCTGTTTGCTGTTGCTATTTGCTTGAAAAAGTGTTCATGGTCGCGGAGGAGTTTTGAGGATATTGGGTTCCTTTCTTGGGTTAATTATCAGGGACATACATTGGCTAGCGATAGAGATTCGTATACAATTGCTATAATATAGTTGCTTTCCCCCTTGGGATGAAGATGAAGATTTGCTCTCGATTAGCCTGCTTCGGGTTGCCAAGATCTCGACTCCTTGAGGTCGGGTCAGGCGTTCGCCTTCTACAACGGTCCCATTTTTTGGGCCTGAGGTATCGATAGATCGGGGAGGCGTTGTGATTGGCCGAAAAAGGCTTAGCGTCTGCAGTCCCGTGGGTTTTGTCGACAGCAACAAAACATCCCCTCGCTCAACTTGGCCTTTGTTTTCCCTCGAGATAAACAAGAGAGATCCAGCGCTCCAGGGTGATTCCCTTTGTTACCTACGCCTATCTTATCCCCTTCTTTGATTTCTGCACACCTCTGCGGAATCCTGCATTCCAACTTTCCCGAAGTTCAGACCTCCCCTACTCTACCCCACCATGTCCGAATCCAGGTTCGTTGGGCATTCTCTGCCTCTGTCAAGGAGGGTTTGCTGGCTTTGCTCACTGATGGCTGACACCACTGGATGATAGACAAGAGCTGCTAGCATGGATCAACAACCTGCTGCAGTTGAACCTGACCAAGGTTGAGCAGTGCGGAACTGGGTAGGCGCCTCCCTGACAAACGTGCTAATTTGCGTGCAACTTAGGCTTTGACCGCGCCTTCGGTGAACAATGCAACGCATTAGAGGCCATATACTGATGAAGTAATTATACAGTGCCGCTCTGTGCCAGATCTTTGATTCGATATTCAGTGAGTTGACGTGACGAGCCCCTTTTTCTCCGCCTGGGCATATGGCTTACTGGTCTCTCTTCTAGTGGATGTCCCCATGTCTCGCGTCAAGTTCAACGTCAACACCGAATACGCCTACCTCCAGAACTTCAAAGTGCTCCAGAGTACGCCCTCCTAAACGATTTGTGGTGGGAATCCTGTTTCTGTTAACGCAGGCCTGCTATAGACATCTTCGCAAAGCACCAGGTGGACAAGCCGGTTCCGGTAGAGTCGCTTACGAAATGCCGTATGCAGGACAACCTTGAGTTCCTCCAGTGGACGAAGAAGTACTGGGACCAGCACTACCCTGGTGGTGACTACGATGCGGTCGCTCGTCGCAAGGCCTCTGGCGGCCCCGCCGCTGCCGCGGGTGGTCCTCGCGCTGGTGCAACCTCCGCTGGTGCCGCGCGCCGTGGAACCACGCCCACCATTGGCGGCGCTGGTCGTCCCCGTGTCGCTGGTGCTGCTAGCGCGGCCAACGTGTCTGCCCTGCAGCAGGAAATTGCTACGCAGAAGGAGGCCATTGCTGGCTTAGAGAAGGAGAGGGACTTCTACTTCGCCAAGCTGCGTGACATTGAGCTGTTGCTGCAGAGCGCCATTGAGGCCGACCCGGATATGGAGAAGGACGAGGACTCTCTGGCGAAGCATATTCAGGGCATTCTGTACTCGACGGAGGTATGATTCTGCACTAGAGATGTGCTTGGTTGCACACCAGGGAAGCTGCTCGTTTCGAGGCTGTTGCTAACTTACGTTGCAGGAGGGATTCGAGATTCCTGAAGCGGAGGGAGCCGCGGATGAACTGGAGACCTTCTAAGTTCATAACAATGTTGGTCCATTATTAATACCCATTCATGTGTAGCACAAGCGTTCCTCAGTCGTCTTACGACACATCTATGTCTTTAACTAGTTTTCCTTCCGTTTAGACCGTTGGTCAGACACGCGAGTAGGGTGAAAGGTTTGAGGGGTGAAAAGCAAAGAGGGTGGTTGGCGATAAGCAGGCCCTTTGTATAGTTGTGACAGAAAGCCCATTTCCTTCCTGTCTTGATAGGTAGTTGGAAGTGTTGTTTCCATCCCCCAGAGTGCGCGTTGGTACTAATAGAAAGGCTCCCACCGCTCAAGAAATAGGGTGGGATCCGAGTGCATGCGAATACGGTGTATATCCTGTGCTTTGAGATCTGCATTGGCACGCTGTTTCTTATCCGACGATTTGGTGATTAATCTGCCCCTATCTTCTCCACGTATGAGTGATCGCCAAGTAGTGTACGGAGTATAAGTGGGGTATATCCTACGCTATCTTGAGTCTTCTTTACCCTGTGTAAAGTAGACATGAGAGCACGTAGGTTCACTTCACCTCGCTTGTATACCATGTCGACCTGCCACATACCAGTAAAATAATTCCACCCCGAGAGAGAAATGAGGTCTCGGACGTGAGAATTGATCCTTCAATGGCCACTACCATCTCCATGTAGTGAAAATCAGTGCAAATAGCGAAGAAAATTGCAAACCAAGACAACACTGGTCTGTTTTTTTGGCAAGATGTTGGGGTCTCCTGGGGTACGGATCATTCCAGATTTTCATTTCATATGATGATATATACAGGAAGAAGAATAGTGACAGGCAGGAGGGATAATGTCTTCAGTTTGATACTCCTAGCATTCTATGACTGATTTGACCCCTAATACTCCTGCAATGTGTCCATCGATGTGAACTACTGGACTGTTGTTGAAAAGAACTAGCTGTGAGGATGTACTGTTTGATGATGGTTTTTCCTACCCTTGGTATGATAAAGTAGAAGGTGTTGGGGTTGGCAATCTCGCATAATGGTATCCATAATTTGGATATGATATGGTTTGGTGAAATCCATAAAATGTACTGATTGGTTTGAAGAATGATCTTCTTGCTCGATTGAAGCCATATTTTTGTGGCTCCATTCATGCTTGCCACTAGTAGTTATTTTTTGCAATAGGGGAACGGGACAGCTATTTTGGGACAGGGGTAGGGGTTATCTAGAGGAACCGGGGGAGGAAAGGATATAGATAGATATGGTTACACCCTCATAAAACAGTTGGCAGTTCGTTCAGGACAAAACTACTATCCATGCTATCGAAGTGCTTTGTTGTGGATGACACTGTCGACGTCGGTGTCCGGATCCGGCCCAGTTGGCAGTCGGGTCTAATCGGGCATTATTGTTGGAGTTCGAGACCTTTTTACAGAGTGGTACTTCGTGCCATTTGACAGTTATATGATGTCAGGATCCAAGACAACACTTACGCCGACCACCCACCTTGTGTGCCGAGTTGACAGCGAGGTTACCTGACAACCATGTATGTAACCTTCCGACCGGTCACCTGATCGTGCCTTGAGTGACAATCGGAGATCTCCCCCCTGGGTCACGATAAGTGGCAATAGTGAACATTCCTCGAAGCTTCCACGACCGTTCTCGATGGGCGGACGGGAGATGAACATGACAGGAGCCGGGCGGCCTGCGATATAAATAGCGGGTTGGGTGGGGTTCTGAGACACGGAAAAGAGACATACGTACGTACGTGTATCTACACCGCACCTGGTTGGTATTGGCCTGATCACGGCAGCCACCAATATTTTCCTTCATTTCTTTCCCCCTCCCCCCCCTTCTCCCTTTTCCCCGTCTGGTGGTGCTGGAAGGGCCGTAAGCTGACTTGAGTATGGGCTTACTTTTGGGGCATGAGAAGAATGAGCCTATAGTATGGAGTAATTCGTACTCCGGACATCGTGGTGCATTGCTAAACTAGTCCCTGCTCATGGGTGGAGGACGTTGATTCAAATGGGGCGTACCTTGCAGAGTGGGTGGTGGTGGTGACATTGCGGCGGCTAGTCCGTAGTTGTGGTTACGGGAGACGAGGTCCCTTACGTGGGAACTGGGAAGAACTTCGGGAACTGACCGTTGTGGGTGTCTTGTGTCTAGACTCCAGACAGATTCTGCGTGGAGCAGATTAATAACCTGACTTCTCGATTAGATGATGCATGTGCCGTGTGGATGTTGTGCTGTTCCTTATCATTTATGGTGTTGCTGCCGTTGGGGTCGAATTTCGGGCTTATCTAGTACACAGTAAGGCATACGTAGGCAGGTATTGATGATGCCTTGTTGGGTTCGTGCTAGTGCATGCAGCCTAAGCAATAGACAGGACCGCAGCATACATACTAATGGTACGGAGTAGGTGGTCTTTGTCCCTGTCTGCAGGGTTGTTGACCTGCATGCACGATTGCTCGGTATGGGCATTAGTAGTCGTCCACACCCCCAGGTCCTGTGGTAGGAATGGTCAGAGTCAGACGGCCCTCACGCGGGACAGAACCGTGGTTGAAGGGATATGATAGGCACCGGGATGATATTGCAGCCGGGCCTCTAATTAACAGGCGTGGTCTAGTTAGATTGTCTGTCCAGGACTCCAGCGTAAACAAACATCTAATGAAACTTAGTGCCCGGCGTTTTATTAAACTCAGGCTTGGCTACCCCCCTTTCGGGCAGGGCACCGGGCCAATCGCGATGATTCGATGCCCCAATTCGGGTCGGGTCTATCGTACTGTATCGGTCGTACGAGGCTGCGTATGGACACATGCATGCCTGCCTGCCAGCGAGAACTGGCGGCACAAACTAGCGAAAAAGTAATGGTCAATGTATGTACATAATGTATATGTAGGTAAGAGCGACTATCACGTACCAACTACAAGGATGAGGGCTGCGGCTGCTACCATCTCCGGACGGGGTACATGGAGAGCTGCAGCTCGGCGAATCATCGCATTTTCATGGTCGGGTATAATTCCCGTTTTCCCCGTCGCAAAATCTTTGACCAGCCGAGGCAGCAAAAGAAGGAAACATCTCGCTATTGTCTTGCCTACTTACGTGATGTCAGTCATGAATCAAGTGAGAAAGGCGCGTTGGCAGTCGAGTCCGTATTGGCGTGGTACATGACCGGGATGGAACGGTACGGCACCCACAAGTGCCTTAGTGACGCTGCAGGTCTAAGACCCGGCGGGTGTTATTCTTAGGCCTGGCCTGATCGATGCTTCCCACGCGGGTCATTTACCACTACTACTGACTGACGGACTGCCTAACGACCGACTAGTCTAGCTTGTCTCGACCGTCTGTCTCTCATGCTCGCTTCCCTTCCCTTCCCTTTCTGTTTCTCACTTCCCTCGACCTGCTGAGCACATCTTTCTCCCCCCTCCCCTCTTCGCACTCGGTCACCACCAATTTACCCTAACCCAACTTCTTCTCTTCTCTCCCCACCTTCCTTTCCCCTTCCCCCTTTCTCTTCTTCCCCCCCCTTCCCCCCCAATTCTTCGCGGAGATCGCAGGCAGGCAGCAGACGGGATTCTGTGGACGGGGAATATTTCGAACACGCCCGCCATTCATCCAGCACCCACAACGCCCGTGAGCGAGCGGAAAACCCCGTCTGGAGCGAATTGATGCCGTAAAGGACCCAACCGAACCACGCAGACAGTTTCTGGGCGGACCAAGCAGAGCAAGCAAGAACGGTGCCAGTCCCGGGGCCGGAACCTTGGTCTAAGCGTGGATCCTTGTCCCGGTGGGAGGGTCAAGTGTGGAAACGGCATACAAATTCATCCAGTAATCACCACCTGGTACCTGACGGACCCTGAGGGAAAGGGTGGTGATTTTAATTCCTTCGACCGGCGCGCAATCTTCGCTCAATTCACTTGTTTGTTCGGCAAGTATGGATTAGGGACCCAGAGAATTTGAGATTACATCTACCTGCGAGGCCCGAAAACGGATAGTTCGATATAGAAAAAAAATTTTGTCGCTGTCGTTTCTTCTTCTTTTGTCCTTTTCTTTGCAGGTATGTAATGGCAATTGCGACTTTGCGAATTAGCTGGTGGGTGCGCTGCATGTTGCTTCGATGCTGACGGGTGTCTTGCCCTGTTGAATAGATTTCTGTCTATGCCTTTCGGTCTTTCTGCTTCGTTTTCTCTTATTACTACTACTACTACTACTACTAGTTATCTGTCTCTTGTCGGCTGTGTATTCCAGCTGACGTCCGCTCCTTGGTATTCGCTACGATTTTGAGGCTTCTGATAGACGTAAAGTCTTCGTCAGCTCATATCTACTACCGTCACTCCTTCGACACTTGTTTAATTCATTCGCCTTCGGCATCGCTCTTTTACCATCTTTTAAAAGTCGACTATCGTCTCTTTCTTTACGCTCCTTGAGTCCGCTTTTATTATCCCGTCGCCTTCGAACGACTTAATTATCCCACTCTTTTGCAGTCAGCATCTGTGTCGTGCAGGCAGACACCTTTCCTTCACGTCGCAGTCTATCGCTCTATTTTCGAGGCATTGGCGTATATATCATTCTGTGATATTCGTCAAGTTGCGGTCCATAAGCGCCGCGCTTACTTCCGCCAAAAACAGCAGAAATTACTTCGTTCAAACGACCAGACGTGGATGTTACCAGGATGGCCCATCATGGCACAGGACATACTCGGTTCAACAGGGTAATGCGGAGAAAATACCAACTAGATTCAGCATACTATAGCGAGACCGGGCAGAACCGCGAAAATGTCCATGATACACCAGCAACCATGTCCCACGAGACGGTCGTAGCTGGGATGAAGAACGACAAGATTCTGGACTCGGAGATGCAGAAGCACGAGGTGTACGACAGCCAAGAATTGCTCGAAAAGCGACAACAATCCGATACAGCCACTGGAGACCAGACTACGGTGTCTGCTACTGTGATCAACGTGGTCGATAACAATTCGCAGACTAGCTCCGGTACATCGGCAACCGCTCCGACCACGATATCTGATGAGTCGACCGTGCCCGCAACAACCGACTTGTCAACCGAATCAGACTCCTTTAGCTTGTCGCTTTCCGCTACCATCTCGGTTGAAGTACCCCTGACTGCTTCTCCTGCGTACTCCTCTCCCACTGCGGATACACCAGCAGTGACAAGTACACCTGAACCATCATCGTCCGCCCCACCCTCGTCCGCCCCCGCATCTTCAAAGACATCGACTCCGTTGTTCGGCTCTACCGCAACCTCTCTCCCTTCTTCAACATCCATCAAACCCTCGAGCACGGTGTCCGACTCCAATACGAGTGGAACGCAGAACGCTAGTCAAGTGACGGCCTCCAGCTCCGGCGTTGTATTCAGCTACGGTTCTCAATCCACGACGACGTCCTCTGTGTCCCAGACAAGCTCTGCCACGACATCCATCTTCTCTTCCGATCCCACTTCAACCGACTCGTATTATGGGGCCTGGACTACAGCTTCGAATGGTGGGGGCGGAGGATTAGGGGGAACTGCCACTGGACAAGCTGCCTCGGAGACTTCATTCTCTTCGGGGAGCTCAGGCTCAGGCACCAACTCCACTTCTAGCTCCGGTTCTAGTTCCGGGTCCGGGTCTCTTAGCACTCAGACTAAAGGCAAGATCGCCGGTGGCGTAGTCGGTGGCGTGGCTGCCGCTATGTTTGTCTTCGTGTTTGTAGTCTGGCTGCTCCGGCGCCGCAGGAGGAATATCCTGCCCGCGTCTGGGGATGCACTTCCCGAGCCAGACACGACTGGGACTGCCGAAGGTTCTATCCCCCGCTCAGCAGAGATGGCGTCGCGGCGGTCCAGTAATGACCCTCTATTCACTGCGTCGTACTTTGCCCCGGCGTTCATGAAGCGATGGCGCCAATCGCACATGACAACGCGCACCGATGATAGTACTTTAAGCTCCGAACCCAGTGAGCGCGGCTTTCAGAAGATCTCCGGTCGAAAAATCCCTTCAGTGCTGCAGTCAGGAGGGGACGGATACGGTGGTGGCTTTGAACCGGGATCGCCTACGGCATCTGAGCCGAGTACAATATTTTCCCCAAGCTCGCCTGTTCAGCCACGGTCACCAGCGACGCAACCGCCTCTTACAACCCCATATGGCATGCCGCTGGATGCCAGCTATACCCGTGAAGCGGAGGAATCGGGGGGCATGGTGGTGTTTCGACCATCTCCGGCCCGGACGCCAGTGACGTCGGCTAGTGCCAGTCTATCCAATGAACCTGGGGCGCCGCGTATCGTCTCCCAGGTCATTGTCCCGGGAGCTCTATCTCCGACCATGCCCAAGCGGCCGGATGCGCTCGGGCGGAGCCATCCGAGCTTTGATGGCAGCCGGGGGAGTCGATTTACGGAGAGTATATGAATAGCTCAGGGGATGTGGGTATATACTTGGAGCTATGTACATATGTGAAGGAGTTATAAATATGGCTTCCGGGGGGTGTCCCGGACTGGCCATGGTGATCACGTCTGGATTCTGTAATACTTGCTAGCCTGTTTTCTTATGGATACCCCAATTCATTTCTTTTTATGTTATTTTACTGTGGGTCGTTTGACCGTCTAGTCTAGTGATAATCTATCAATGTGATTAATGTCTACTATGCGCGTTGTCCTCGGTTCCGTCACAAAATGGCCTTCAGAATTTACTAGTAGTTCGCTTTACAGTCCTGCCTGTTGTGTTGAACTTGCACTCAGCGGCTCTTTGTTTATCCTAGCCAAGTTTACCCAGCTTGTTTCCATTGAAACCGTGCCAATGATTGACATGACAGGCGACGTCCATGATTCTGACCAAATGATTTGGTCAGGGAAAAAAAGAAATCGACAAGGACGCGATTTGAACGCGCGACCCCGAAGGGATAAGATAACTCCGTTAGGATTCACTGGATTAGAATTAGTATGATAACTTCTTGGGCAGAAACGGCTGGATCAACATACAGTCTTACGTCTTAACCACTCGACCACCTTGCCTGAGGTTACTGTTTTGGGCTCAAAGAAGATTTTGAGCTTATTGCCGCTGTCAGCCGGCGATACAGGTTGACCAACCAGCAACGGGCCTTTATCATCCGCACCCGGCGATACTCCTTACCATGCGGAGTTCTAGTATATGACCCCCTCCCCCTCCCCCTCCCCACCCCTCTTCTTTACACTCCTCAATCACATTACCATGAAAGAACCCGCCCTTCCTACAGTATCTCTCCCTCTCACTCCCTCCCCCAGGTCCCTCCGTTTCCTCATTATCGGCGCAGGATCCCGCGGCACCGCCTATGCCCGAGCCGTGACCACTGCCACCCAAGGCTCGATCCACGCCGTCGCCGAACCCCACCCCTTCAAGCGCCGACACCTCGGCCGCTCCTACATCTGGGGCGAGCACGGCAGTCCCCAAGACGGTCAGGAATTCCCCGACTGGCGCTCCTGGTTGCAATGGGAGCTACAGCGCCGCGAATCCAACAATGACCCCCGAGTCGGCGTCGACGGGGTCTTCATCTGCACCCTCGACTCCACTCACGTCGAGATCCTCCACGCCATCGCCCCCCTCCGTCTCCACATCCTCTGCGAGAAGCCCCTCGCTCTGTCCCTGAACGACTGCCTCTCCGTCTACCGCGCCCTCACCCCCAACCTCTCCACCAACATCTTCTCCATCGGTCATGTCCTCCGCTACAGCCCGCACAATGTTCTCCTCCGCAAACTCCTTCTTCTCGACCGCGTGATCGGCGACATCGTTTCCCTCGAACATACCGAACCCGTCGGCTTCTGGCACTTCTCGCACAGCTATGTGCGCGGCAACTGGCGTCGTGAGACCCCCAATGGGGACGGGTCCCTACTGACCAAATCCTGCCACGACATCGACTTCATTATGTGGTTACTTTCCAGCCCTCCCACAGACACAGAAACCACTCCCCATCACCCTCGAACAATCACATCCTCGGGCTCCCTAACCCAATTCCGCAAATCCCGCAAACCTCCCGCGGCAAGGGACGCGACCAATTGTCTTTCCTGCCCCGCAGAACGCGACTGCGTGTACAGCGCCGTCCGGATCTACAACGACATGCATGTCGCGAAAGGCGACCTCGACTGGCCAGTCAATATCGTCTGCGAGGACATCGAAGATGTCATCACTCCACCCCGGAAAGACAAAGATACTCCCTTGACACAAGAATCCATCCACCTCGCGCAATCCCACCTCCTCACCCGCCTCGCGGAAGACTACCCTTCCACCTCCACCTCCACTACCACCACCGACCCTGAAACCATCCACACACGCCCCTGGTATGGCCGCTGCGTCTACGAATCCGACAACACCGTCTGCGACGACCAAACCGTAACCATCACCTGGGACGGCGAGGCGCCCAAGACCGCTCTTTTCCATATGATCGCCCCCACTGAGAAACAATGCGAACGCCGCGGCCGCATCTACGGCACTCTCGGTGAGATCTCCTATGACAGCCGCACTATCACCATCTATTCGTTCCAGACACGAGAAACCACGACTATCACAGTGCCGAAGCGCCCGCCAGAAGAGGAGAAGGCGCACGGCGGCGGGGACTATGGTCTGGCGAGGAGTTTTGTAGATGCGGTAGATGCGGTGGTGAATAAAGGGTCTGGGGTGCGGGAGGCGCAGAGACGATTCGTAGGTTGTGATTTGGAGGAGGCGGTTCGGAGTCATGCGGTTGTTTTTGCGGCGGAGGAGGCGAGGAGGGAGGAGAAGGTGGTGAAGTGGAGGGAGTGGTGGGCGGAGAAGACGGGGGGGGGTTGTTGTAGTTGGGAGAGTGAGTGGGGATCGGTTATGATGTTATGACTAGTATGAGTTGGCTTTATATATAGCTCATAAGCAGGAAAGGGCGTTATGATACTTTAATGTCAGGGATAGGATTGCTTAGGTTTACAGAGCAGTGGACAAGCAGGGATAGGATGAAATGATTATGAACGTTTATTAAATACTCGATACTGTTGCTATTAACATAAATTCTCCCTCTATGTGCGAACGTCAGGCTCCTCGCGGCCAATGAACTCCTTGAATTTGAGCAGCTCCAGAGCCAGAGCCACGTTGTCCTTCAGGTACTCGTCCGTGGCGAGGCCGAACTTGCTGGCATCGCTCTCGTACTTTTCGATGTACAGACGGATGGTGGCGCCGCTGCTGCCCGTGCCGGACAGACGGACCACAATGCGGCTACCGTCGTCGAACTTGACGTACAGACCCTGGTTCTTGGTCACACTGCCGTCCAGGTCGGTGTAGGCGAAGTTGCCCACGTCGACGACCTTGCGGCCCGACACGGTCGAGCCCACAAAGGTGTCCTTGTTGTCGAGCTTCTCGGACAGCGTGGCGATCACCTTGTTGGCGCCGTCGCTGTCAACGTTCTCGTAGTCGTACCGGGTGAAGAAGGTACGGCCGTAGGTCTGCCAGAACTCGTTCTGGATCGAGGCGATGCTGGGGGTCTCGCTGGGCTTCTGCTTGGCCACACCAGCGATGACGTTCAGCCACGCCACGATGGCCCAGACACCGTCCTTCTCGCGGATGTGGTTGCTACCGGTACCGAAACTCTCTTCACCGCAGATGGAGATCTTCTGGTTGTCGAACAGGTTGCAGAAGAACTTCCAGCCCGTGGGCACCTCGTAGCTCTGCAGACCCTGGGCCTTGGCCACACGGTCGACGGCACCCGAGGTGGGCATGGAGCGAGCCAGACCATAGACGCCTTGCTTCTGGAAGTAGGGGATGAGCTTGGCGTGGTGGGCAATGATGGCCAGACTGTCACCGGGGGAGACGAAGGTGTTGGCGCCGTAGATCATGTTACGGTCACCATCACCGTCACTGGCGGCACCAAAGTGGATGCCGTTCTTGTCGACGCTCTCGACGAGCTCGTGGGCGTAGACCAGGTTGGGGTCGGGGTGGCCACCGCCGAAGTCGAGCTTGGGCTCGCAGTTCATGGTGCTGGTAGCGGGCAGACCCAACTCATTGACGAAGATGTCAACGCCGTAGGGGCCAGTGACACCGTGCATACCGTCAAACAAAACCTTGAAGTCCTTGTGGGTGCTGAGGAACTCGCGGATCAGGTCGAAATCGAAGATCTCCTTCAGCATGGTGACGTAGTCGGTGGTGGAGTGGACAACCTCAACCTCAATGGGGCCGTAGGTCTTGGAGCCAATGGTGGTGGTGTCGACATCGGGGATGTCGATGTACTTGTAGGAGGTGAGGGACTTGGAGGTTTCGTAGATCTTGTTGGTGACAGACTCGGGGGCGGGGGCGCCATTGGCCAGGTTGTACTTGATGCCAAAGTCGGCGTTGGGGCCTACGAGAAGAGTGACATCAGTTTGAGACTATAAATATGAAGAGAAGGATACCTACCACCGGGGTTGTGACTGGCGGTCAGGAGGATACCACCGGTAGCCTGGCGCTTGCGGATGAGGTTGCTGGCGGCAGGGGTGGAGAGAATGCCATTCTGGCCGACCAGCAGCTTCTTGACACCGTAGGCAGCACCAATCTTGGCGATCTTCTGGATGACCTCGGTGTTGTAGTAGCGGCCATCGCCACCGATGACGAGGAAGGAGCCCTCAACGCCCTCGGGGATGGAGAGGAGGATGCTGGTGACGAAGGACTCGGAGTAGTGGGGCTCCTGGAAGACCTTGACCTTCTTGCGAAGACCGGAGCTGGGATTGTCAGAGAGAGGCATCCGACAGGAGGATGGAAGCAAGCAATAGGGGGGAACTTACGTGCCCGGCTTCTGGTCGGTGAAGGGGGTGAGGGAGACGGTCTGGACAGACATGGTGGAGGGGGTGGGAGCGGTAGGATAGAGATATGGACAGGGGAGGGAGATGGAGGGGTATGGACGGGGTATATAAAGCAGCCGTGAGAGAAGCCCACCGACAATTGAGGCGAGGAAGAAAAGGGTTGGAGGGGAATAGGAGAAAGGGGAAAGAAGAGGAAGAAGCAGGCGAGACAAGAGCGGGGAGCAAGTAAATATAGACTAGGATGGATTAGTTTCAGTTACGCCCAACGCCGCCATCGCCAGACCCCCACTTGGAGGGGTCCACGCCAGCATGACCTCAGGCCAGAGCTTCATTCGAGGATCCTCCGAGACACTACGGCAGTCGAGCTGCAGACCATTGAAAAATCCTGCCATCGGCTGCAATCCCTGGCCCATTGGGCATCCATCCAGCCAGCTATCTAGTAGTACTGTGTTGTGGTCTACCCCTCTCGTAGATTGGGAACTCTGCGGTCGGCCTGCACGCTCAGACGCTGAGACACCTCAGCTATCCGAATAATCGCCCCCGGTAGAATCGCATCTCCTCAATGCTCTCCAGAATATCGTCTCGCGCCAGATGAACCTCCCTCTTGCCCGGCACAGCTCCTAGAAGCTCATCCGACCCCCACCGACGTACCATTTCCTTGAGCGCACTCACGTCCACAATCCGATAGTGTAGCCACTCCAGCACGGCCTGGTATGGTCCCTTGGCCAGAAACGCTTTGTCTGCGTGCACACTGTTCCCTGCCAGCAGGCCTCGCCGGGGCTGTGGCACATATCTCTGGATATACGCCAGGAGGGCGGTTGCGGCCTCGTCCGGGGTGGTGGTCGAGGCCTGCACGGCCGCGGTCAGCCCTGTGCGACCGTGGGTCTCGATGCACCATTCATTCATGCTTTCCAGAATCGAATTCGGGTGGTGGACGACGGTCTCAAAGCCCTGTGTATCGAGGAGGTTGAGGTCGGCATCGGTGATGAAGCAGCAGATCTGGAGGACTTGGTCGGTGTCCGGATCGAGGCCGGTCATCTACAGGCCCGATGGATCAGTCGCGGCTGGTAGAGGAACAGAGCAGAGGAATGCCACACCTCGCAGTCGATCCACACCAGGGGATCGGAGGAGCGGGTCAATGGCATGATGGGTACTTGGGGGATATATCTTGATTCTTCTCTAGGTCTCGTCAAGCAACCCGTAAGAATTATCTGGGTAAAAACGAAAGGGGAAGTGGGTGGGAGGTCGCGGAAAGAGATGCGGAAGATGAAGTTTTGTTTTGGAGTGGCGGAGAACGGCTCTCCACTCTAGACGATCGTCGGCAGGAGAGCTCTCTACTACTTTGCCTTCTTCTACCCAACTCCTGCAAATAATTGACTCCCAACCCCCATCAATGCCGCCAGATAGGGCCAAGACGGCCTGCAATTCCTGCCGGGAGAAAAAGCGCAAGTGCAACGGCCATCAGCCTTGTAGCAATTGCGTTAAATCTGGCCACGACTGCATCTACGTCCCGAATCCACGCAAGCGCCGGCGTCTTAATGCATTATCTTCGAATCCAGATGACTTGCGCGAAAGCTCATCTGCCTCTCCACAAGAACTGGCAGCAATCAATTCGGGGGTCGTGTTGACGAGAAGTCTTGCTGGGGCAGCGACTGTTTCTTTCCCCGTGCGCCTCTGCTCGTGGAATCTGGGGAGTCCGATGCTCATCCCTAACGACCTAGTTTCTGGATCGTTTTCCATCACACTCTTGACGGATGAAAATCTCCGTGCTATGGTGGACACATACTTCCAGAATATACACCCCGTGTATAATTTTCTCGATCCTGAAATGGTAAACCGTGCCGTTGACTATGTGACGTCCGAGAAACCCTCTCCAGGGCATCCCGTGGAATGTTTACTCTTGAACATTTGTGCCCTGGCGGCTCTCATAGTTTGCGGGGATGACGAACGCCAGGCTTTTGACAGCAGTTCTCGGATTTCTCTTGAATATTCCACTACCCTGGAATCCCCTACGTTGGATCACGTAGTGGCATGGCTGCTCCGCGTTATTTACCTGCGAATGACGGGTTTGCCGCACGCAACTTGGCTGGCCAGCTGTACGCTGATGCATTTTATTGAAACAACCAAACTACACATAGAGCCGTCTGATCAGACCCAAACCTCCCCCTGCGGTGATGACTATGATCCCGAGCTTAGAAGACGCATTTATGGCGTAGCTCGGCTTTTTCACATGTGGATCTCGTATGACTACGGGCGCCCTCCCATTGAGCTCCGCGGGGCGACATGTTCCCTCCCCCAAAATTCATGGACATCAGATGAAATCGCCGTTTGGCAGATATCCAATATCCTGAATCCCGATAGGCAGTTGGACCCTGCGACGTTGGAGCAGCTGCTCCGCCAGACGGTGGAGCTTCGACTGCCACATACTGTGCAGCGGTTGAAGCGTTGCAATATTGGCTTGTGCATCTACCGCCGAATCCGTGTAGCTGGCTGCTCCATTTCTGATGGTACAGAGAATAAAGTTCTGGACTTGGTTGATGATGGCTGTGATCTAGCGGAGGAGCTAGTATATGGCGAATCGCTGCCATGGTGGCACATCCTGAATTTTCCGTTCCAAGCGCTCTGCGTCTTGCTAGCCCTGGATTCGAAAGAATCGCTGGTGCGCGTGAAGCGAACTCTCCTTACCCTGCTGCTGTTGGTCCAAACTTATGAAAATGACGCCGTGAAGGAGACCTTTGCCAACGCTTGCTCACTGTTTCGTATCCATTCTCAGCGGAAAAAGGATCATCTTGACCTGCTCGTGACGGCGGAGGAAGTTTTGCTTGAATCGGAAATGATTGATGCCCCTTCCTTGCGTGCTTATCTTTATCCTACTGAACCAGCATCACCGACAGCTAACCCTGTGTCCACTGCCACAGACTTTCCGTGGGATTTTGACCAGCTCTTCTCAATGAATATGTTTACGAATTGGAATTGGGATGCATGACAACATCACCCTATAACTCTCTTCTAGCCAATTGACATCGCATCCTATTCCTCTAACAAACCTGGAAATATCCCTATCTTCGATTAGATACAAATCTAGACCATCACTCCTCCTGCCCACCCTAAGCAGTCACCTTATCATAAACGCCCCCAAACTGCTCATACCAACCGCGGACCAAGTCCTTACTCATCCCAGGGGCAACAACCTCATCTCCTCGTTCCAACATAACCGCCACCTCCTCCATAAACTCCTCCAACGACAACGCACCAGGATTCTTGTCCTTCTTATTATCATCCGGATCTTCCCTTTCACGATGCAAATCCGTCTCCACAGTCGGCGGCGCAATCTCCACGACGCGAATGCGCTCCCACCCTGCCTTCCTCAACTGCGTCCGCAGATTCATACTCCAAAAATGCACCCACGCCTTGGTCCCACTATACACCGGATTGATCACCGCAAATGGCACAAACCCCAACACCGACGACACATTCATCACCACCGCCCCCTGTTCCTTCTTCTTAAAATGCCCCAACAGCCCCAAAGTCAGATGCATCACCCCCCTAACATTAATGTCAATCTCCTGGTCCGCCCTCCCCAACACGTCCTCTATCGCACTCTCATCCACCAGATCCAACGGCCTCTGCACCCCAGCATTATTAACCAGACAATCCAGCTCTGGATGCTCCGTCGTAATCCGCGAAATAAAATCCGGGAACTTCTCCACCACCCCCGTATCAAGGACGTAGTAATCCGCCGCCCCGATTTCCTTCGCCGTCTCGCGGAGTGTCGATTCAGTCCGGCCCGCTATAATCACTTTCTTGCCTTGGGAGATGAAATACGAGGCTAGCGCTTTGCCTATGCCTCCGCCTCCGCCGGTAATGAGCGCACAATGGAAGTTGAGACTTGATTCAGACATGAGGTTCGATTTCGGGAGGAGAAATGTAGATTTGTGTGTGATATGTAATGTAATTTTCTCTGAACGAGATAGAATATAAGGACTTGTGACTAGAAGACAAGGATTTTATCTAGGGTCTCTTATGCGAGTTTATATAGCCTGGTAGGAACGATTCTTCTTTCTTACAGTACTATGTACTATTAGTACTATATGTCTGGTTCGGAGTGCGGTGCGGAGCGGAGCGGGCGGAGGGAAAGAAGCGTGCGGTCCGCAAGTCAGACGCTCCGCAAGTAACTATGACGTTATGTTGAGATAATACTTTGCGGGTAGTACAAATGTGGTATCTTGCTTTCTGACGCTTTGGTGGGGCATTGCGAGCATTTGTGTATTCGGTATACCATGGGAGAAGAGGAACTTTTTTTTTTTTGGCCGCGGAGAGTGGTCATGGTTACACAGTATTCTGTACTTAGTGGAAGTCACTCAGGAACGGACTGACCTATAAAGTGGAGTAAAGATTCTACATGGATATTGTCCTAGGTACCTGGACCTACGTCGTCCCATCTACATGTGGCCAGAATTCAATGAAATAGAATAAATGCTAACATGCAACGTGCGTAACTCATTGCGTCTATGTCGATTACCTCCGCCCGCCCCCCGTTCTAGCTAGAAAATCAAACGCCCAGCCGCCCTTCAAACTGCGGCAGTGGGAATAAAGTAGACAAAAATAAGGACTCAGTCATGATAGATCCATGAAGACTGGCCATATCCAAACCGTAACTGTCATCAGGAGACAGAAGGGAAGAATAAAAATAGGGAAAGAGTTTTAAATAATCCAAAATGAAGATGGTGCTGCCATTTGACACAGCTGGTTCGCGCGCTTTCTTAACGCCAGCCCATCATACCATTTAAGGTCAAGGAGAAAGGAAGAAAAGGGGGATTTTGGAAGAGGCATTGGTGGTAAACCGTCTGTCTGGACATGGACAAGGGTGGTATCGGTCTAGAGCAGCCGAGCCTTTTATAATTCTTCGTCTTCGGTTTCCTGCGGTTTTGGCGGGTGTGCCCCGAGAGGATTGGCTGAGGTAGAGCCATCTTCAGGGCCAATGTTGGTGATCTCCTGGGAGAGGCCCGACTCAATCCGCCGGCGCATAGACTCCTCGTCGGATTGTGAGACGCTCGCTCGTTGCTTCTTCAACGGACTACCGATGAATCCTCCATCCAGTGTGTTGGCAGCCGGCTTGGGGGCTTCGGGAGTGGCTGTAGCAGCGGCCACAGCTGGCGGTGTGTTAGATAGGTCAGGGGTCTCCCCGGATGCACCGGGGCTTGCAGTCTCGGCTGGGGGTGTGTTTGTAGCCAACGATGCAGATGAATGCTGCCGTTTGAGCTGTACTTAGGAGTTAACAAGTGATACCTGAGCTGTAGAATAAGTCAGCACATACCTTGATCTTGCGGATGCTCTCCGCGAGCTCCCCTTGCCGTCGGATATCGTCCGGAGATAGATGCAGATCATCGTCTTTGCCCTCTTCTTCATCGGCTTTACCGAGAATCGAGTTATCCTCATCGTCTTCACTATCCATCTCATCGTCATCACCAGTCTTCTTGTCCTTCTTGCCTTTGCGCTGGTTGCCCGTACTGTCACGGAAGTTCAAAAACCCAACCGTGCCGCCAGGCTTCAGTGGACCCAGATTGGCAAAATCTGGTTGTAAAGACCGGCGCTTTGCCGATCCAGGAGTCTCCTGCGCCTTGGAATCCCTCAAAATTCCCATCTTTTGCAATTGACCTGCATACTAGTCAGTTTATAAGCCCGCAAAACGCGAAGGGGACTGAACTTACGTCCACCACGGTACATGAATGTAAAGATGGCGTAAGGCTTATCGGACGGGTCGATACCGGTCACGGTCTGGGTGCTAATAGTCTTTGGGTCGAGTGTCTTTGGCTTTGCAAAGCTAGTTGTATGATCAATGTCCGCATCAGCTGCGCCGTTGTTACTGTTACCACCCTGGGCCTCATCATCGTCATCGTGGGCATCAAATTGTGGAGAGTACTCTCCGCGCTTGATCTCTCCGGAGGCCAGAACGCGAAACAGGGCTACCTTGATCTGACCTGCGGATTCGGGGATCGGATCATCGTCTGAGTCAGAGAACGACATGTCGTCGTCGGAAACATCTTCCAGTGGGGACTTCGCATCGTTGCCGTAGCGCATGATCCCCCTGCCTGACTTGGGATCCATATCCAGGTCACCAGTCGCCTCACGCTTCATTCGGCGCTTCTCCATCTTCTGCCGTCGGCGCTCGATCTGGGCTGCCGCGTCCTTCCCTTCCAGATCCAAGCCGTTCAGCCATCTCTCTAGTCCGACTTCACGGAAGAGGAACTCCCGTTCAGCGAGACCCCCACCCTCCGACTCCGGCACACTGACCCAACGAGAGTTGACCCATGTTTCCTCTCCTCTCCGTAGCAAAGTGGCTACCTCCTCCTTTGCCCGGCCGTCGAAGTAAATGTAGGCGGCGACCGTTTCGTTTGGCGAATTGGTCAAAGCCTGATAGGGAGCCACTGCGCTGCTGTACTGGCCACGCTCCCCGGTTGATCCGGGTAGCCCACCAACGACCTTCGGCTTGGGTGCGGGGTTGTCGGAGGTCGGCTTCGGCGCGGAATATGGAACATCTTGACCGGGGTTGAGGAGGGTGATGGAAATGGCGAAGGTAGATTGTTCAGGGCGCCCGGAACCAGATTCGGGGATCTTGGGCGGCGGTACGGGAATGTAACAGGCTATGCGAGAGGCACGAGACTGACGCTGAATCGAGTATTCGGAAATAGGGCCATCCGGAGTGTGTATGCTCACGGCGAGACCCTTGAAACAGGGCATGGCGGGGCAGAGGGGCGGATTCCGGCGTTAAACGTGGTTCGTGAAAGATTCAAAGCTAGCGTCACACCAAGCTGGAAGTGAGGGAAGAGAGGGGCAAGAGACGAAGGGCGAGGGTGCGTGGAATCGTCCGGAGGAGAGCTAGTTGTGGGAGGTGGAGGCGGTCAGGATCCGTAGTGTGTTTGGACTGCTACCGACAGCCCTCGTCGGGGTGGGAACGCCGGCTCACGGCGGTGGACGAGGACTAGAGGATGGTCAATTCAAAACGGGCGATGACTCCAATGGGGGAATCGATCGACGAGGCCCTCCTTCAGTGCAAAGCCCAGGCAGGGCCGTCAGTTGCGCGAAGTGAGGGGGGAAAGCGTTCCTAGAGGGCACCAACAATAGACTAGCTAACAAACATGAAACATACCAGGCCTGGGTTCAACGGCGGGAGGGCAAACGCAACAGGGCGTTGAAAAGCGATTTCTGCAGCAAGAGCTGTCAAGGCGAAATCTCGAGCCGATCGAGATACGGGGGGAAGAGTGGACCGGAAGAGGGATGAAAGAAAGGAAGATCCGGAGTGGTGGGAGGGAGAGGGAGAGGGAGAAGGAAGTGGAGGCGACGATCGACGCCGGCTGGAACTCCGCCTGCTTCCCTGGATCGCTTCCGCTGCTCTGCCCGGTGTCGGGCGCTTCCCTCCAGGCTCCCCCAAGGGACTTCCTCACGCGGCCCAAAATTCAATGTGCTGGCCATCCATTGGTCCCCTGCTGCTATTCGCTGGGTCTTCCTCATACAGAGGTAAATCATCATCGTCATCATCCGGGAACTCTCTGGATTCGCGACTTATAGCTTTACAACTCAAGCAGGTCCCTTGGTCATTTGGACGAGCGAACCGAAAGTTTATCTTCACCTCGTTGCTCACACCTGCTATTCTCCGAAAATGCTAAAGCTACTACAGTTATAATCCCTGTCGCCGTGCTTCCTCTCTGGCAAGAGTGGCCAGTTCTGGGAAGTCTCGATGGAGATTGTCAAAGAGTGTCTCCGCTTTCCGTCGCTTGCGCTCTTCGACCTGACCCTGCAGCTGACTTATCTTTTCAAGAAGCTTTGCATGCGATTCCACCAAAGAAAGATCCAAAAGGTCATCTGCGTATCGTCGAAGTGCCTGCAGTCTTTTCTCGAGAACAACGATGCTGGCTTCGTCTGTCAAGGGGGGAACGCTTGCCTCTTCGGAATGCCGTCGGAATGGGCCATCTTCCGGCGTCAGGGAAGGTGGAGGAGAACCCTGCCTAAACGGGGTCTGAAAGAGCGGTCCAGAATCAGCAGGGCTATGCTCTTCGACCAGATCACTGATTCGGAGTTGTCCCTTCGGGCCTAAATTTCGCGAAGAACTGGCGTAGGGATGGCGATAAGTGTGGATGTTCTCATCTGATCTTATCGTATGAGTCGCAGCAAAATTTGTGAGAGTACTATAGTCTCCCTGCAGTTGTTGCACTTCCCCCTTTCCATTATTAATTTGTGTCCTTGGCCGTTTTTGTCCGCGTGAGACTATCTCAGATTGTGGCGATGCACTGTGAGCAGCCATGCTAGCTCGTTTCCCTCGTTTCTGATCAAACACGTTGTCAGTAAACCCCATGACGCGGCCACGTGGGTCGATCGGCTTGATCCGAGCTCGCACAGGCTTGTCTCTGCTGGAGTAGGGGCGAGCAAAGTGACAGCAACGGCAGTTGCAGCATTGGGAACACTTTGGACAGATCCAGGGTTCAATTTGCCTAAGGAATGCGATTAAATCCACATCAAAGTGCCGATGGAGCCCGCGGAAGCAGAAGAATGCAGAGCACCGAGCACAATTTACCCCTTTCCACGTGGGATGACTATCACGGCACAAGTGACAAAGTCGTTCCTAGAATTAGTAAGTTTCTGGTCATCCGAACCATGAAAAGGAAGTATTAGGATTTTTCCATACCATTGATTGCTTCCGCGCATCTGCCGCAGCGACGGCCAAGGCGCCCAAAGTCTTTTGTCTAGAATAGTTGAATAAGAGACTCACTCGCGACCATAGTCATCATGTAAGATAGAAAAGCATGGGAATAGCATACTCGAGGGAGTGGGACATACGGTGGACTTCTGCGCCTTAAGAGCAGTCGATCATGTAGTCTGTTTCGGGTCGTCTGGATGATATCCTTGCAGTATCTCCGTGGAATTAGTTCAGCCCAAGTATAATCAGCAACATGTTTACAGCTGCGTCCAGAAATAAAGCACGTCAGACATAAGTCAAAGTCCCCGCATTGCTCGCAGTGCAAATGTCGGTTCCAGATTGTCAAACCACAAAAGTTGCATTCGACGATAGCTCCTTGGGTATCGACAGTCTTTATTGAAGTAGCTGTTTCAGTCTCTATGGCTTCATCTTCGAGGAGTTGTTCAAAAACTTCTAAGAGAAGTGCTTCATCCCTTGACTCTGGAGAGCCCCTGATCAATGCGTGTAACGGTATCAGAGGAACTCGGCCAGTGTCTGCATGACACTGTCGCTGGTAAGTTGGCTGGATGTAGTCAAAGAATGATATAAGGGAAGAGCAATGCATGATGTTCCAGACGACTTTTGTAACCATTGGGCTGATATTCCAAATTTGATGGGCGGTAGCGGAGGGGAATATGACCAAGTCTCCAGGCTCCTGGTGCGTGACGTAGATGGGGAAATTGGCAGACTTCAGCTGGGTGGTAGAGACGTTGGTCCAATCGGTGTGGGGGGACTTCCCTAGTCCTTCCATATATGCGTCGTATAGGACCTGTGAGAGTTTATCGGTCCCAAAGCAAAGAGATCCAGGCCCAGTACCTAGCCGCACTATCAGAATGTTTGTTGAGGGTCTCGAATATGTTTCATCGGGATTTCACCATCGGATTCAACCAACAGATTCAGGGCAACTGTTCCACTAAAGCATCTATGAAATCCTGAACTATCACATTCCAACAGATTAGCAGAGACTAAGCATTGAAGGCCCGAGTTCATACTTACGAAGACTTGCGAGTCCCGACATAAGCCATCAGCACCTCCGGGGTAACCTCCTTTGGCAACGTTCGGAACAAATCAAGAGACCCAAGATGCCTCATAGCTGAAGGGAGGAATGCCCCCAATGCCTTGACCCACTCAGCTGGACACGGAAGATCTTTCGCGTATAGACTGGCATGTCATTAGTTAAACAAGCCGGCTCTCGGAATCGTAGTTAACCACCATACAATTCTCGGATATCATTGGTACGGGCATAATCTGTCTGCGCAAGTAAATCTCGAAGCCGCATTTTAGTATCTCGCCCTGTGTGGCAGTTCCTAACTGGAATCGCTAGCGCGAAAGGATATGTCAATACAATCGTCCTGCTCAGAAGTGCATGAGCTTACCTGCCGAGGATGAAAGGGCGCCGAAGCTCTCATTGTTCAGGATAGATCGATTCCATTCCCCCATCTCAGTAAAGCCACGTATAACAAATGGCTTTCCTTGACGAAGCTTATTTTCAACCCATCCGGTGGCTTCATCTTGTGGCAGGTGGATGATGTCCCGGACAGAGTACTCGGAAAATGGGACAAATGGCTCTCCGGTGCACAAGAGGTCCTGCACAGACGGAAGATCCTGTTGTAATAAATCCATGTTACAGTCCTAATAATAATGACAACATCACCACGCTTTTTAAGATGAAGGTTCCGGTATAGCCATGGCCTCAGCCTCCGCAGAGATGGATATCAAGCCCAGATCGGCCATCTCGGAACCGAGACTCTGATTCGCAATGCACACGTGACTCAGCATCTCTCAGAATCATGTTCTAACCGTTTATGGTAATTCGTGGTGATGCGAAGGCCAGGTTAGCGGGTTTGACAGGAGACATCCCTCATTTCTGACACAGATTAAGGTCAATATTTAGTTCAATAAAAATGTGCAGAGCTAGCAGGTTGCACAACTTCGTGCAAGGGAAGAGTTTACGGTTCTGTATCGTGCTCATCACTGCCACCTCGATCTTCTCATTTCCGAGGCCAGACTCAATGTAGCAGTTCCAACTTGAGGTAGTTACACTCTACCGCAGCACAGTTGCTCATTATTAAAAGGTGATTCAATACAGGGAGAACCAGTGGGGTCCAACTGTAATACGATTATGTCACGTCAGACAGCTGGAGTGAGGAGCAGCCCCTAATTACCCACCACAATCTCCTGTTCTGATATGCCTTTAGTGATGGGACATCCTACCACAAAATCCTCTACGCTATTTAGAATTCTAAGGGACATATGTAGAGCGCAGCTTGAAGATGGAATTGAAGATCGTAGGAACCATCGTATGACTTATTCCGAGGAAGGGCTGGGCTCGTTACTTGCCTGATTCGGTAAGGATTCCGCTCAGGGCTGCCCCGATCCTGGTCAACGCTACAGCAACTCAATTGGGGGAATAACTGGTCCAACTCACTGGAAGGTATGGTTTGGGCCCCAATCCCACCTGGGCTGCCTTGTGCGTTACGCCAAGCCTTGGCCTGACATCATGAGATTATAGCAAGAGACCAGCCAGTATGCAGCCGGCAGAGGGTCCGGGCCTGCCAGGTATTTCCGACGCATACAATTTCTGATTTCCACAATATCTTTCATCTACAAAATGCCCTACAGAATGACTAGACATCCCTGTAAGGCCAGATCTAGTACCTCCCGGAATGTCTAATCTCCCGCCCCCAAATGTTTGTGTCGCCTAGCCGGGTCGTATCGAGCAGGTCAGCCAAGGCAGGTGGCCGGGGTACTAGTAGCAAGGAAGCCATCCAGCATGGCAAAAGGATGCGCAGGTATGCTTATTGGAGGGTTGCTGGATGCCGTTGATAAGCCTAACTAAGCCTAACCTAGGCTTGGTCCAGTCATATCATGGAGCCGGCCGAGACCCTTTCATCCCTTTCATCTCCACATGGCGCTGTAACCCCAGATCGAATCTCGACCCGCCTTGTGGACGAGCGGGTTTGGTCACCTGTCAAGAACCGGCCTTTGACCTCGAGTATGAGTCGGGATATGGCTTGGCATCCATGCCCGCCCGTTCAGGCAGTGCCCAAACCAATCCAGAATTCGATCTCCCCCCTGCGATCGAACCGTAAGTCTCGAATCCTGTGTGGCAAGAGAAACAAAAATCGCTGTGCACCACTGGCTGACCTCGACTTCTTTCAAAGAGTCTGATATTCCGCCCCTGACCCAAAATTACTCCGTCCGGTTACACCTGGTGATCAAATCGGCTAGTTGCGTGGCTTATCCGTCTTTGTAAACCAACCAAGGGACCGGGGCGTTTCTTGACAGGAATGGGCCCTATACTCCGTACCTGGTGCAAGATGACCGCTGGTGGTTTTCTCTAGTTCGTCTTGTTTAACTTGAAATTCCACGTGAGTTCCACGCAAGGGTGTATAAAGTGGAGGTGGAAATTCTCCGGAAATTTGGAAGGAGGACCTAGTGTCGCAAAAGGATCAGCTACCCTGTCAGATCAGACTCAGAGACTCGATCAACAACCACCAGTTCGGACTACTACTGCGAAAACGCTCATGTCGCTGCGTAGGGTCCCACCTGTGGAGCTTTCAAGTCCCTTTCATGCCAACTTTAAATTCCAGCATACTGGGCCCGATTCAGCGAAGTGCACCCCTACCCCGCTGCTGCATGTGGCCAATAGACGCGCCCGCACATCCACATTTGGCTTAGTACTTGCCAGGCATCGCTCCAGTTGTCAACATCCGGCATCAACACTCAAGGGTGGCGCTGACAGTGTTACAATGCGACGCGATCACTGACTGAGTGGAACAAAAAAAAGGCAAATTAGAAGAGACAACAGCATCAAAAGCATAGCTGTGTTCAGGGGGGCAAATCCGCCACGTACGCGTGCGTCTAGTCTAGTAGAGACGACCGCCTAAATTACACTCATAAGATAAGGTTTGTTGAAAGAACTGCTTACGGTCAGGGATAATGGAAGACTTGAAGAATATCATATGATGGGCTTAGCATCGGATTAGGTTTCTTTGAGATTTGCATTCGGATAATGCCCTCAGTGGTAAGTTGTGCTCACAAGTTGCTTTCTGTGCCTGGTCTGTGCACAAATAGTGACAATGGAGACCAGTACTATACATCTGCTGGAGTCAGCAGACCCAGATTAACCCACCTCCACAATTTCGCACTCCTAGGCTGTAGAAGTGCAGACTCTAAGAAGTCTTTAGTTTAAGCCTTCACTACCAGTACCTGGCTACTTGACCACCCGCTTACTTGTTTGTACCGTGGTTACTATGCCATGGGATGTCTTCTTTGGCAAGGTCGCCATTACCCGGGATGGATGTCCGGGGAGTCGAGTCGAGTAAGCCCAGATGTCAGATTGACATCAGCAAACTAGGCCTGATCTGTTGTTGTATTTCTGGGATTATGTTGCCAGTTACTATGATACATTAGAAACAGAAGTTAAAGAGAGCTGCACTGTAAGTAGAGAATGACAGTTAATCCCTCAAAGAACCCTGTGCATCAGCTCCTAGGTGCTGTTAGGAAGAATGAGGTTGATCATAGTCTCGGAAATTTCGGTCCTATTAGCCATCCTAGTCATGCACCTAGTTGATTGGATTGATTGGATTACCACACGGTCATCTTCCCCGGGTTCAGGGCCCCGCGGGGAAGAGCGGAGCTATCACGGTACCAGGGACTACTTCCATATTGGTAAGTGCCTCCTGCAGCCAGAGTGTGAGTGAATGCAACCGGCCCTCGCCTCTTTGTTTGTCAGGGCACAACCCGGTGAACCCCAACAGCCCACCGTCTCAGTTTTCCCCTGGCACCTGCCCGCTTGTTTCCTTTTAATTCCCCTCCCCTTTCCTTCCTCCGTTCCCACCTCACCCCGCATCTGTTGTGCGTTCTTCTTCTTCCCCGAGATTCTCCACATCCTTGCTTCTTAATCTCCCCAGTTCTCATCTCCGACATCCTTGCGGCTGTGGACTACTCAGTACACCTTCACTTCCTGCAATCACTCAAGCCACACATTCAGCGTTTGTCCTGAGCCTGGCAAACACCATGGCGAAGGATGAAGTGGCCCCGATTCAGGCGGTTGACGCGGTGATCGAACCCTAGTATGTGTTCTATTCTTGTACTGTTTGCTTTTTCTTTGAGACACGTCCTCAGTTGATTTGTGTATGTAGCAACCGCAATGATCCCGAGATCACTGAGAAAGGCACTTCGGAGCACATCAATCTGAACAAGAATACCTCTGCCAAGTAAGTGGCTTACACCCTTCTTCCTAAAGTTCCGTCCATGCTTCAGCTACTGATGTCATAATAGAATCAAGAATCCCCTGGCGGATCTGAGCCCGGCTCAAGTGGTGCAAGATGTTGAGGACTTTGCCAACGAGCATCAGTTGACCGATATTTTTCCCTTGCTCAAGAAGGGGGCTCTTGTGGCGCGCGATCCTCAGAGTTTCTCCGAGGTGCCTGACATCACGCAGGCTGAGGTCGCCGCCATTGAGGCCGAGGTGACTCACAAGTGGCGTCAGCCCAAGTCTCTCTACTTTACCATCATTCTCTGCTCTATTGGAGCTGCCGTTCAGTAAGCACTACAGCTGACGCATACCTTGCTCTATGTATATTAATACTAATCGTCTTGGACAGAGGATGGGATCAGACTGGAAGTAATGGTAAGTACGCTCTAAGGTTCCAAGGATGTGGATTTGCTAATGAAGTGATACCGACTAGGTGCCAACCTTTCTTTCCCCGTTGCGCTTGGAATTCCAGAAACCGGCCCTGATGCGTCGAGAAACCAGTGGCTTGTTGGCGTTGTCAATGCGTACGTAGCCAAGTGCTTCTTATTTCGTTCACAATAAGCTTGAGACTAACATGGTTGTATAGGGCTCCGTACATGTCCAGTGCTGTTATCGGCTGTTGGCTATCTGATCCGCTGAACAAATATATGGGTCGCCGTGGCGCTATCTTCATGTCTGCTATCTTCTGCCTCCTGTCCCCTATTGGGTCGGCTGTGAGCCAGACTTGGCCTCAACTGTTTGTGACTCGTCTACTGTTGGGTCTGGGAATGGGCTTGAAAGCATCTACAATCCCAATGTTCTGTGCTGAGAACACCCCGGCATCTATTCGTGGTGGTCTGGTGATGTGCTGGCAGTTGTGGACAGCGTTCGGTATCTTCCTGGGGACTTCGGCGAACCTTGCTGTCAAAGACACTGGGGATATCTCCTGGAGACTCCAACTCGGTTCTGCCTTTATTCCAGCTCTTCCTTTGCTCATTGGCGTCTACTTTTGCCCAGAGTCGCCTCGTTGGTACATCAAGAAGGGCAATATGCGTCACGCCTACGCTTCTTTGTGCCGCTTGCGCAACACCGAGATACAGTCCGCACGCGATCTCTACTACATATATGCTCAGATTAAGGTCGAGCAGGAGCTTGCTGGCGAAAGCAACTATGCCACTCGGTTCGTGGAGCTCTTTACCATCCCGCGGATCCGACGTGCAACTCTTGCTTCCTTCGTTGTGATGATTGCGCAGCAGATGTGCGGGATTAACATCGTTGCCTTTTATTCCTCGACTGTCTTTCAACAGGCCGGTGCCTCTGTCACGGGAGCGCTTTTCGCCTCGTGGGGCTTTGGGCTTGTGAACTTTATCTTCGCATTCCCGGCAGTGTTCACTATTGACACCTATGGACGTCGATCTCTGCTTCTGTTCACGTTTCCTCAGATGGCCTGGACCCTGTTAGCTGCGGGTTTTTGTTTCTACATTCCTCAGGAGCAGACCGCCCATATAGCGTGTATTGCACTTTTCGTCTTTTTGTTCGCAGCCTTCTACTCCCCGGGTGAGGGTCCTGTTCCATTCACTTACTCTGCGGAGGTGTTCCCTCTGTCTCATCGTGGTAAGCTTTTGCTGTCAGCCCCATTGGCCTATAAGCAGACTAACACAAGCATAGAGATCGGAATGTCCTGGGCCGTAGCAGTTTGTCTTGGCTGGGCTGCGGTGCTTTCGATTACCTTTCCCCGTATGCTTGCCGTCATGACCCCAACCGGTGCATTCGGCTTCTACGCGTAAGTACTGGCAGTTGCTGCTCGCTTCCACTCGGCTTAGATGCGGATGCACTAACATTATTCAGGGGATTGAACGTGACTGCCTTTTTCATGATCTACCTTTGGGTCCCTGAAACCAAGCAGCGGACTCTGGAAGAACTTGATTACATCTTCGGCGTTCCTACTCGGATGCATATGCGTTACCAGGTCTTCCATGTGTTGCCCTGGTGGATTAATCGCTACATCTTCCGCCGTCAGGTTACGCTAGAGCCCCTGTACAAGCTCGACCATCTCGCTACCAGTGGCTAGGGGGTAAGCATTTGTCCTGAGCGTTTAAGGCTTCATTGGTGGATGATGGGACTACTGCTCTCAATACGGAGTACGGATGGGCATGTTTTTTCGGGAGAATATCGGCGTCTTTGAGTGATTTTCCGCGCTCTGCTTAGGGGATCGAATATGAGTGCAGGATACAGTCCAATTGCGTGGCTTGCAAGGATCTTCACGAGTGAAGGACCATGTAATACTCTAATGAATGACAATTTATGATTAGTGCATCAGTTTCATGTAGAGTGGAGCCATTTCAGGCCCGGAAACGTATATTCCGTGCCATATTGGGTGAGTCCAAGGAGTCTGTGGTGCCACTGAGTGGGCAATTTCATGTCGAGGATGTGGAGGAAGAAGAATGGAAAAGAGGGGGGGGTGGGTTATACTCGAAGTGCCCAACTTCTGCCTCAGGACCACTGTCACGCATCACACCAAACCAATACGGTTCGGACTCTCATCAGTAGTACTACTCTGCTATTCCAATCTAACCCCCCCAGTTCAAAACGACTGACCAGCCGAACAATCAATTGATACCTCCTCATCTTCAAAACAACCCATTGCCACCACTAACCATGCCCCCTCTGATTATTGTCCACTTGTCCAGTTTGTTCCTCGGCAACATTATCTATGGCGTTCTCGCCGCGCTGCGCCGCACACGTACTTGGAACTCGTAACTCCATGTGGACGTCTCCACTAAGTCTACTTTCTAGGTCAGACTTTAACCTTGAGTGGTGCTTATTCGTGTTAAGATATCGGGTTGTACTACCAGGTGGGGATTGTCCCTTTCGTCAGGGACAAAGAATACTACCTAGAGGAGTCTAAATTTGGAAGACTGGTTGGTTTGACTGTTTGGTTTTTGGAGGGACGGCATGAATGGATAAGTACATACTTATATGAAGGTGGTGGGGATGGTGGTGTGGTGGGTTGGTTTATTGGGTTGGGGAGAGGTGGGGTCAAGGGAATGGAATTTTGGGGACGCTTGCTTAGTTGGGAGAGGTAAGTTATGGTTGGGTCTGGGGCTGGAGCTGGAGCTGGCAGCGTCCTACGACTTTTAATGGACTGGTCTGGGTTCGGGGCTAGGATGTGTATAGTAACTGTGTAGGCTGCAAACAGTAACCATGTCGTAGCTCTCGAGCTTGTATTGGATGGTGTCCTGGTCCCCGAGCCAATCGGGGTTCTTGACGGTGTTGGAAATGTACCTAGTACCGGCGGTAGTGGTCTCGGCCATGGTTCCCACCTACGGAGAGGTTGGTGTTCTCTAGGGCTGCGACGGTGGGGGAGCGCGTGGGGAAATGGGGATATTCAGGGGTTACTGGTGGTGTTTTCGCAGACTTGTGTATAGATACACTGGTTTCGTCTTACATATGGTCTAAAGACCTGACTCGGTCAGGTAGAGTGCATTATAAAGACTGATTTTGTTTGTGACTACGACAATGGCGCTATTGATATTGGGAGGTGTGGTTTTGAGGCATTCGTAGTAGTGATCAAATAGCGGGGCTTTGGATATCGGAAATGAGTGCCGGTGGAGAGAAGAGCATGGGTGTCGATGAAGCTATGGTCCGAGGAACATTGGCAGCGACCTTTCTGTGGAACTAGTGGATTAAGATGCTGCCTTTTTGGACACTCAATTTGTCAGGTTTCAAGTAAAGTGGCGATTGACTGTTGACCGCCGATGGCGGTTGTCTCGGAACGCAGCCAGCATCCCTTTCGAGGCCGGGAATCTCACCCGAGGTTCCTCTCGGAAGGGCATCTCCGAGACGCAGCCCTCAGCTACTTGTCAACACGCGGGATTGCCAAAGGGTACCTCCAATGATGCCTATATATACTAGTAATATCAGTCTATGGAATTGCTGTAATGCCGTTACATACGAAACGATGCCCGTCGATACTCCCGCCACACTTCGAATCCGAGCTGCTCATAGAACCCTTCCAACACCACCCAGTCGACAAATACGCCCTCAGTGCCCCTCCGCTTCAGATCCTCCATCGCATGGCCTAGCAGTGCAAGCCCAATTCCTCTCTTCCGATGGTCTGCATCAACCCCCACACACCCGATAAGTCCAGTCTTAGGCCCACACAAAGGTGGGAGGGCCCAGCCTTTCTGCAGAGCGGGAGAGTCAGGCCCAAGCATCAGCGTCCAGGCTGCCTGCTTCCCCTGAGAGTCAAATGCTACCATCACACTGAAGGGATATTCAGTAGGCTCCAACTCTTCGTACTGGCTCACCCAGTCCTATTCCATTTTGTTAGCGAGATCCGGAGATGCAACAGAACAAATGTCGAAATATTTGGGGTAGGGAAGAAAGAAAATGGGAACATTATTACCACGTTAGCTGAGAAGTTCTTTCTCTGTCCAGCCAAGCATTCTTCATAATGCTCGGGCTGGAGAGGAGCAAAGGTATACCCCTGTTCCTCAGCGCGGGCAATGTACGCATCCGGGGCCTCAAAGTCCCGGATATCTCGGTACAAGTCCACGTTTCGGGGGTTCGTATGCCATAGTGAAAAGCCACGGCGTTCGAAGAAATGTTGTATTGTTGACGGCAAATCTTGGGGGATACCAGGAAAGAACCTCGGAAACGTGCTGCTAAGCTCGAGCCGTGTGAGCTTCAGGTTTGCCCTATACCATTCAGTAACCTCAGAGACCAACGCTGTTCCAATGCCCTGGCCTTGCTTCTCCGGATCCACCGCAAGCACCGCAACATTACCAACCACATATGATGGCGCACGACTGGCGTACGTTAGGCAGAATCCCACGATATCACCACCCATGCGAGCAACAAAATGGTGCCCATGCCCCTGATATATCAATACCTGCAACTTCGGTGCAGGGAGTAGGTAAGTAGGCAACGCAGCATTCCAGACAGCAGCTAGCTGGGACATATCCTTATGGCTATCCAATGCCAGCACTTCAATAGACAGTCTCCCCATTGAACTCTTGACAGGCAAGACGCCTTGAGGTACTGATGCCCCAAAAATCACCTCAGCGGCTGCCACAAATGCTTCCGGCGTTGGCTCATAGGTGGCGATATATGTTCCAATACAGGAATCTTCCAGAAAGTCATAAGGGTTACAGGCGGCGACGCTGACTAGTGCACGAGCCCGGTTAGGTAGCTCCAGGCCCAATGCCCGTTGGAACGGAGACTCCCGCGCATTGATCGATGTGAAGATGACGACATCGGCAGCTTCGATAGTGCTCAGGTGCTCGGCCGATAAGCCTGCTGCGCCGTAGCGGATTTCAACGACCGTTGAATTGTATTTTTTGAGTATGTCAAGATAGACGGAGGCATTGTAAGAACCTTTTCTCCCGAGCCCCTCACCGTCCACTGCACCCCCCGCGGGGGTCTGTTCCCCGGGGAAGAGGAAAACAACTCCTGCAGACCTAGACACAGGGAGGACATGTGAAGCATCCCGGACAACGGCCACAGAGCGGGAATAGGCTTTCTCAGCTAATGAAGAATGGGTTAAGGCCTCTGCTCCCAGAGCAGGCCAGCTTTCTCCCGGTTCCCGGGGTTGCAATGCTGTCTTCCAACTCAGGAAGCCGCGCTTCAGTTCGTCCACACGACGGATAGCCTCTGCTAACCGCTGGGGAGGGATTTGTCCAGACTCGACAGCCTGGCAAACCTTGAGAATTGAGGCCACTTGAACAGCAAATGTATGGCATATCATGATGCTGTCGCAGCCAGCAGCTAGAGCAAGGACGGCGCCTTGCTCTGTTCCATATGTAGCACGAATGCCGTCCATCTCAAGGCAATCCGTGATGACCATCCCATCGTACCCCATTTCCCTGCGAAGGATATTCATCACATCTGGCGAGAGGGTGGCAGGCAATTTGCCGTCACCAATGCCAGGTAAGGAAATATGTGCAGTCATGATTGCCTCGATGCCTTCGCTTGCTGCCTGACGGAATGGAACCAATTCGCAACGGTCCAGTTGATCCCTCGTTTTGGGGATGACAGGAAGCCCAAAATGGGAATCGACAGCGGTATCACCATGCCCTGGAAAGTGTTTCACGGTAGGCACAACCTTGTGCTTCCGGAGGCCACGGGCGGTGGCACTGGCAAATCGAGCGACGAATTCGGGGTCATCTCCGAAACTACGTACTCCGATTACGGGGTTGAGCGGCTCGGAATTGATGTCACAGACCGGGGCGTAGTTCATGTTGATTCCCGCAGCGCCCAATATCTCACCGGTAGCTACCCCCACCTGATACGCGAGCTCGGGGGAGTTGGTGGCACCCAGAGCCATAGGGCCCGGGAGTTGCGGTGCAATCGGAGGTGAGATCCTGGTAACCAGTCCATTTTCCTGGTCAATTCCAATAAAGAGGGGATGGTTATGTCCTGCTAATCGGGCTTCTTCTTGGAGCGCAAGCGTTAGGGACTTCGATTGGGGTTTGATGTCAGCGACTGAATCCCGGTGTGGGCCTACTGCGGGTGCAGTGAGTGGTTATGGTGAAGGTCGGCATACCTGAAGTTGGGCTGCATCCCTAATATTTCTTTTGAACAGGACAACGCTCCCAATGCCATACTCGTGAATCAACGTCTTGACTTCGGGACTCGGGGTGAGGCCGTGGAAACCGACCGCGAAGAGCTAAACTCCGTCACGCTTCAGTCGGAAGTTTTCTCAGAGGCAATACAGACCTGGGCGACATCCTACCTGGCCAATTTGCTTCTGAAGCCCAGGGGCAGACATCTTGGGAGAAAGTTGCGAAGATGGAGGGATAAGTATGGCAAGTCCTAGGTGGTCGTGTGGTCGGAGGGGCTGAACGGATGGGGCGGGCTAGAGTAACGATGGGTTTATCGATAAACTGCCCGTGGGGCACAAGCTAGCAATACTTGATAGGTAGAAAACTAATTGAAGATCCCAGCAAACGAAGGTGGATCATCAAGCTGGAGCGGAATGCAGTGCAAAGGGAGAGCGATAAAAGACAGGCACAAATACTATGGACAAGGAAAGAGAGAAGCGAGGCCAGGAGCGGCGGGCGGAATGCAGGGCCATTTTCTCCAACTTCCGGCTGCAGCCTTGTAATACCCCGGCCTGGCCTGTTCCTTCTTAACAACGTATCGAAGGGAAAACAGATTGCATCAAGCTGGCCATTCCCTACTTTGGTGCGATTTTTCTCGAGCGCGAGGTGAAGCCTCTGTGTTCTCAGTCTTCCGCTCCTGTCCTTACCACTGTGACTGGGGCCCAGCCCTCTTTATCATCCCAGATAGGTCCGTTACCAGAATCCACTCACATCTAAAGTAGATATAATAAAGTAGTCAGGTCATTAAGTAACTATGCTAAGCCCTAAATATTTACAAAATAATAATGGGCAGCCCGGATGAGCTGAAGGTTCAGTCGTGACATGGCCAGATAATCAATGCTAATGCTTTTTTTTGTCTTTTCGAAGACATGACAAGAAATCAGACATGTGCTTGTGATTTGTTCTCCCATTTCGTGTCTTCTTTAGCCTGGAGCTTTGCATCAACTGCCTCCCTCCATCGATGTCCATACTCGGCGATCAGAAATACCGCACCACCAACAGCGGTCAGAAGCAGCGCGGAGATGGTGCTAAACCACCCCACTCCCAGAGCCTGGACAGCAGGGAGGACGACGCCTGTCCCCACTGCGGCAAATACATACCGAAAAACAAAGTTCGCTGCCACGACTTCCTCGCTTCGACCTTTCTCCTGCATCACGTCCAACCCGTAGGTGTTCAGACTGGGAAAGCAGAACATTGTGGCGACGCCTTGAAGAAACATAGAGATGACGGGGACCGGAACTCCACCGACTTCTCGGTCCACTGTCCAGCCATAGACGAGGACGCAGGCTGGGGTGGCGATGCAAATGAAGGGGACGCAGGAACGGAGACGGTCTTCGGGGATGCGCTGGCCGTTGCGGATTCGGGCGTATTTCCGGGCCACAAGATCGGCCCAGCGGCCGCCGACAAAAGCGCCGGCTAGGTAGCCAGAACCGGGGGCGAGGTAGAAGAGGCCAGCTTCGACGGGAGTGGTGAGGTGGAAGCGCGGGTTGAGGATGTAGCGGATGGGGGTGAGGAGGGCATATTGGTTCCAGACTAAGGTGCCGGCGGCGAGACTGGCGAGGAAGATGTTCGGGTATGAGAAAACCAGGCGGGCGATGCGGATAGGGCAAATGTGGCTGCCGAGTTGTTTGGCTTTTTGAGGGAAGGTTTTTCCTTTGAGTTGGGCGTCGGATTTGTGGGCGATGGTCTCGGGGAAGACGACGATGATGAGGACAGCTGCAAACCCGTTCAATGCGGCGAGCAACCAGAATATGTCTCTCCAGGGGCGGAAGGTGGCCACGACACCCTGGATAAGTAAGAGTTAGTTATATGTTACGCGGATTATATGCATGAACATACACCTAGAAAGGGACCAAGGGCAGGTCCAGTCAAGGTACCTGACAAGACCCATCCCAACGGTAAGGCTCGAGACATTGGCTCGAAGATATCGCCGACGGTGGCGCTGCCAAGCACTAAGAATGCAGTGCCCTGAAACGCGGTGCATATGCGGAAAACGAAGTAGGCTTCGATATTAGGGGCCAGCGCTGTGGCCACTGTGAAGAGAAAGAAAAGAATGGAGCTTGTGATAAAAATCTAGAAGGATAGCTATCATTAGCACCAATATAGAAAAGGCACAATTGAATGTCACTCACAGGGCGGCGGCCCGAGATCTGACTTAAGGGTCCCCAAAGTAGAGCAGCAATCCCCATGAAGGCTAGGTAAAGAGCGTTGCTGGCGTTGATGATATCCCCGGTGGTATTGAACGTCCTGGCAAGTTCGGGAACAGCGGCTAAGATGGCAGTGGAGGAGATAGGACCAAGAATAGCACAGTATGAGAGAATGACAACGATGATGATTTTTCGAGCAGGCGACAGTCGAGTGTATTGACTCGCATCGACTTCTCGGCTGTTGTTTTCTTCTTGGGGCAAGGTCTGGTCTGATTCGCGGGTGGTGGCCTGAATGAGGGTAATAGTTGAGTTGAGAGGCGGTCGATGATCTGATCTGAAGCCCTGATGTCCTGCATTCGGGACAACTAGGGTTGAGGATGAAGTCAAGAATTTCTGGTCAAACATTCTGCCGGTGTCCTTGGACATTGTAAAGGAAGTGGATCATATCAGTGACAGCGGATAGGATACGAGTGTTCCCTCTTGCTGAGAAACAAATGTGCTTTGCGTCTAAGGAATGGATGTCTAAAGCCAGGTAGCACGTCGATAAACGAGTCAATTAAGAGAAAATGAAAGGAGGGGTATCTCTAAAAGAGTTTCTGATGACAAAATCCAAAGGAGAGGATGGGGCTCCATAGCACCCAGGCATCTAATACTGTAGATTTGTCGTTCCACACCCCAGCAATGACATAGGATCATGGATCCAAGATCATCTTTAAATGATTGGAGTACCAGGAAGGTGAGAACTCTCATTTCCACCTGGGTGTCACAACGACTCCAATTTTAGGTAGACTATCATCAGTGTGGAGGGCCAGACCACCAGACTATCTGGCCCCTAAAACACTCGAACACCCAGATCAGTAAGAGTCGAAGTATTTTTGCTAGTATCCACACACAAATCTAGCCCAGGATCAAACTTTGTTGGCCGCTAAACCCATGGTGCTCGCAGTTCGTTGGCGCTGAGCACGCTTTAGCATCTATAAGCTCGGGACAGATGCGGGAACCGTAGCTTGCCCCAGAGGTGGAAATAGGATCGACACAGGGGGACCAGTAAACGAGATTCGGAGCAACCAACGCTATGTGGATTATTCTGCATTAGCAGCCACGTTCCGGAGAAAAGAACCAAGTTATTAAAGGGGCAAGATGACAATACCATTGTACCGTGCTTTTCATTCTCGGGTCCTTACGACCGGCGGCATAGGGTTGCACGACGTCGGCGGCCCCATGCCAAAATTGACTCCAGAGCCGCGACCTAGTGGAGACAGAGAGCTTCAGGATTCCAGGAGAGGAACAGTTCATGCCCCGGCCTGGCCGATCGCGCCCACTCCAATATAACTTGGTTTCGGCCTACTTGAAAATCATCGATGGTCCCTGAGTAGGGCTCCTTGGTGAACCGCTGACGATCGTGTTCGCATGACGAGGGTTGTTTTGGTCTGATGCTCCAACACAAAGAGTACCGTTGCTCTAAGTGTGCGCATGCTCACGGGCGTCTCTTCTTCTTGGGACGCCAGCTCATGTCGCGGCTGTCGAGGCTCTGTTCTACTGCGTAGGATGGATTATCTACCCGGAAAGGCGGAGACTCCACGTAGCATTCTAAGGTTTCAATAGGAAGGTCAGTGTTCCGCTTTCGTCCACATGCACCACCCCGGGGAACCTCTTCCAACCACTCATCTGGCTGTAGCAACCATCCCGAATCTCTTTATCGTGGTAATTTGCAGTCAACCCTGAGCGACGCAGGAGGCTTTGGAACCGCGGTCGCACTGCACCGGGAAGGTAACCGACAGAGTTGCAATCACACAAGGCGGATGGGTGGTTGCTAGAAATCTAGTTGACGCGTGCTATCTCACACGAAGTACAAAGTAGGACCTGAATCTGGAGCACAACGATAGAGGCTCTAAGACGAACTAGTCCCATGGTGCGTAGGAAGCAATTAACTTGGTTGTCGGGGAAGCGGAAGAGTTCACGCCCAGCCCGGTCGCCGAGTCATCTGATAAGCCCCGTCTAGATCAGGGGAACATGTACAGATTACGGAGATTAAGATCAGTTTATCATTATATTCTCTTGCTTTTGCCCTCCCATTAGAAGCTTTTTTTTTGTTCTTTTACCCCCTCTTTTCTAGTTTTCCTTGCTTTTCCCCCGCCCTTTACTTCATATTATAATTATGTTTTCCCGAGAAATAACGCAGTAGCTGGCCTCCATAAAATTTCCGCCTTGGAGCTAAAAGAAACGAGTGGCACGCGAGCCAGTAGGATTTATGAAAACCACCAACGAAGACCATGCAGGTAACCATATAAATCGCTGCTTGTCGCGGTTCAGCCTTCGGTCTCTACCCAATGGAAAAAGCAAGCGACCAAGGGCATCCGCGGGGGGGCATCTCAGCCACCCATGACGTCGAACGCGGCGCCCCCCCTGCGCGGGTGGCTTAGACTGGATTTGGTGGGTGACCCGATCGCCCTCCGGCCGCTTTCCTCTTCCACCCCCCCATGACATCTCCATCCGTCTCTCTCCTGTCCATCGCCTCCTCCCTCTTCTCTTCCCCTCTCCCCCCGCTTCTTCTTTCACAGTTATTCCCCCAGGGCTTATTCTTAGCCAGTCCTGCGGTCTTGTTCTCTATCTCTAATCGATATTGTTTCACAGCCACAAAATGAGTTCCAGCAAGGATCCACAGTCCGGCGTTCCCGCCAACAGCAAAGGTTCCTGGACAAGTTTCCTTAAGGTATGATGCCGGAAAAGACCAGGTCTCCCCCCTCCCCCGGGCAATTGGTCCCACGCTATGGAAGATCTAGGTCGCATATCATTCTATGGGGCTTGGCTAACCGATCCTGCGCCTTTCCTCTAGTCTATCGCCTCCTTCAACGGAGATCTTTCTTCCTTGACCGCCCCGCCCTTTATCCTTTCCTCCACCTCCTTGACCGAATATTCTGCCTACTGGGCAGAACACCCGGGTCTGTTTGTGGCCGCCGCGAGAGAGGCCGATCCAGAGAAGAGAGCTCTGGCTGTTCTTAAATGGTTCCTCAGTACCCTCCATCAGCAGTACTGCAGTCGCAGTGAGAAGCTCGGTAGTGAGAAGAAGCCCTTGAACCCTTTTCTGGGAGAGCTGTTCCTCGGAAAGTGGAATTCCGATGCGGATGTGGGCGAGACTACCTTGATTAGCGAACAAGTCAGGTAGGTGGTACTGCTCTCGACACATTTCTGGACCATATTGACCACACTAGCCACCATCCCCCGGCCACTGCTTATGCCATCCGGAACGAGAAGCATGGCGTTGAGGTACGTAGTTATTTCGGGCTTATTGGAAAGGCGGGGCTCTGACTTGAGGTTGAATACGTAGCTCCAAGGATACAACGCTCAGAAGGCCTCCTTCTCCAGCACCATTCAGATCAAGCAGATTGGACATGCTCTGTTGACCCTCACTCCTCCGGGTGCGGACAAGAACGATACTGCTCAGCAGGAAAGATATCTGATCACCCTTCCGCATCTGCACATCGAATCCTTGATCTACGGAACGCCGTTTGTCGAACTGGAGAAGTCCACCCGCATTGCCAGCAGCACCGGCTACGTGGCGAAGATTGACTACTCCGGCAAGGGCTGGCTAAGCGGCAAGAAGAACACGTTCAGCGCCATCCTGTATAAGGAGAATGAGGGTGAAAAGAAGCCTTTGTACACCGTCGATGGACAGTGGTCGGATTCCTTTGTCATCAAAGATTCCCGGAAGCACGAGGTGGACAGATTCTCAGTCAAGGACACGAAGACAACCCCCTTGACTTTGGCACCCATCGACGAGCAGGACCTGTATGAGAGCCGACGGGCATGGCGGGACGTTGCGGTGGGCATCGAGCGGGGCGATATGGACGCCGTGTCCGTAGCCAAGTCCAAGATTGAGAACGCCCAACGCGAGCTTCGCAAGGTCGAGAAGTCAGAGGGCCGCGAGTGGGACCGACGCTTCTTCAAGCGTGTCAACGATAACGATGACGATGGATTCTGGAAACTCGCGAGGATGCTCGGCATTACGTCTTTGGAAAGCGAAAAAACGGGCGGTGTTTGGCGGTTCGACGCGGCTAACGCCGTGAACGCTCAACCTCCTTACCATAAGACTGGGGGAGAGGGTCTCGGAGTTACTGCATGAATGAGATGAGAGTCAGCAGATATACACGTTGCGTTTAATCAACCTCTTTTTTTATCGTCCAGGTGGACGGGTGATTTGGCAAACATGGCGCTAACAGGTGCCCCTATAGAGTACGTTTGCTTTCATATGAGAATTTATCCTTTGGTTTTGGTGGAGATGTTTTGGCACCTGTACATAGAACAGCAACCGCAGCTGAATGATCGGTAGATCTCAGCGATATTGGAAAGATGCAGTACTCAGTACGGAGTACTCGAGGAGGAGTTTAAGAATTGACTTAATTTTGGCATTCGCAAACGGTCGGCAAACCCCCGGGTCTTGGCAACTGTTCCAAACTTCAAATATTACCCGAAAGGGGCAATGTTCAATAGTCTCGGGCTGTCTACCTCGGATCAGCCTTCGGTCCGTTACGCCACTAGATCCATGACTCGGTCATGTCTCACCATTGAAGTTTATCGAAATTGCTTTGATCGAGAAATTGAGCAATCGAGAAATATAGGAGCATGCAGGGTCCTGACCGGGTCTTGGCTTAGTTGGCTAGCTGCCATCTTGCCGGGCACCACAGCAAACAAGGGGCATTGGTTTTGCACAGGCCATCCAACCCATTTCTTTGTGGTCCGGATCTTGATCCGTTCAAAGCTACCACATATTGAAAGGTGCCAATCAAGGTCAATTGTGCACAGAGCCTGTCATGGCTCATGTCTGTCCCGGCAAGGAACAATGGCTCAAAGCTACTCAACAGTGTCAAGATGACTGCCTTTTCCGTGGCCTGTCATGTCTAGAAGCATAGGCAGGTACCCAATTATCTGATATTTGAGGCAAGATAATATACAATTCGTTACGGAACCCCCAATAGTCACTATCTACATAAAAGGGTATGCAGTACCTTGATTGAAGCTTGTGACTTAGCAATGGACCACTGAGAGGGGGCAGGCACTAGTCTAGCACCGAATTATGGGTTGCTTGAGTCCGGGAGCTAGGTGCCAGCGGCTCCTGGGACACAGAGAGCCATAACCTGAAAGACACCATTTACCCTGATCCCCCATGTGCAGAGAGAGAGGTTGGTTAAGTTCTTAGTTCCGTCGTTCAATGCGTCTTCATTCGCGGGTATTTCCTACCTAGGTTTACTAGGATGAACAACACAATTTAAGGTCTCTGATACGTGTACTCAGAAGAAGGATCCGGCAGGCACTAAGCTGGACTGACTTAGCTCTCCTATCATCAGACAATTATTCCTTCTTTGTTTCACTTTGCCATTACATCATATACCTAACTATCCATCTGGCAAGCATCCACTCCCTACCACCAGGCCTTTTCATACCCATGTGTGCAGTAAGGCCTATATTAGGATACTAAAATGATTGAAAGGGAACGGCAATCAATGTGTACAGATGGGAAGTCTGCATAAGGACTGTTGAGTAGTTTGTGAATGAACGAATCTCTCCGTTTCGGGAGGAACATGAGAGCATCAGACTCAACTTCATTCCCACGATACAATATCTAGCAATATAGGATGAGTTGTGGTCTTCGTTCGAAAGTTGAAGTCCAATGCTTTGCTGGCATATTGCGATGATCTAAACAGGTTTCCATATTGTGAGATACCTGAGGCGCTGGTGTCCGTCTGCCTTGATTGCCTGAGAGATGGGGATATAATATTCTTTTGCGCCCAGCTCTGTGCATAATTAAAATGTACATCAAGAGCGGAGCGACTCCAAGCTAAGAAAACAATGTGAAAGGCCTTCAGACCTACGCTTCACAGTAGGCAGGCAGTCAGCTGACACTTGTTGATGTTACATCATCCTGTATGATAAACTTCATCCACATGATCTACACCTATCAACCATCCAGGAACAAGGATCTTGATGCTGTACGTGCTTTTTGAGAAATCGGGCTGGTGACTGTCATCGTACCTTGACACCGTTTAGTTTGTCTTAAATTTTAGGTAATCCTCCGCTGGATTCTCGGCCGACTCCTGCATGCTATTGCAGGTAACTACGCTTATATCCAAGAATTAGCTTGAGGGTGAAGTTGGAATTGGAGCATCTAACTGTTCATTCTGTTCGATCCTTGATCCATCAAGGTTTCCCTCAAGCATGTTGGATAGACTTCCGGCCGAGATCAAGCTATCAACCAAAATGACTAGCTAAAACTTGCACGGTGGGTTTCAGTTTTCTGGGTATAAGATCCATCTATCGCCAAGGGTAACGTGCTTGGCGGTCAACTACAAATTATATTCCCATATAAAGGTGGACAAACGTACGATCTCATCCCATCCAACCAACCTCATATCTTCTCCTTGCGCACTGACAGCTAGCTAGCAATGACCATCCCAAAGGACCGTTACCTTACCATTGGGCCCCCTAAATCCACCTACGCACCGCACGCCCTCCGAAACAACTCCCACGGCACCGACCTCGACAAAGAAGCCCTCGAGCGGTTCAAAATCCGCGAAATCTGCGAAGGATGGGGCAGCTACCGTGACGCAGCCGAGTAAGTAGGTCTCATCCCCAATTAACCCACCAGTAACTAACAATCCCAAACAAGATGGCAAAACTACCTCAGCATGTTCTTTTCAGACGCGTACATAAACACATCCTGGCACACTGGTCCCCTCAATACCTTCCTCCAAGCCTCGAAAGACGCCTCCGCCCACGGCTCGGAGTTCATGTACATCCTGCACCGGATGCTCGGCTGCGCTGTCGAGACCAATGAAGAATTAACCCGTGCTGTGAGTAAAATGAAAGTCACTATAACGGTGCGGTTTAATATTGATGGCGTGGAGATGGATGTTGATGCTGATTGTCGGTTTTTCTTCTTCCTCGAGAAGAGAGAGGGGAGGTGGGGAGTGGTGTTTTTCACTTTGTTGTTTGATAAGGATCGACTTGTGCCGGTTAATCCGGGGTGTGTGTTGGAGGTACCGGAGGAGGAGGTCGAAAGGTTTCCCGCTGGATATCGGTATTTGGCCTGGGCGGAGGAGAAGGTCGGAGTGAAGGCGAGGTTGGATTTGGATGCGCGTGGGCCGCAGAAGGATGCTTTGTATGCGAAGTGTAGGGGGTGGTTGGAGGGGGAGGATGAGTTGTTGAGTTTCAATGGCGGCGATGGGTATGAACTTAGCGAGTAATATAAGTAGAATCAATATGCTTTGATGTGGGTCAAGGAAGGAGAAATGATGCATCCCAAGCATGTCATGGTTGTTGCTGGGCTGAAATATGTTGACATGCAAGGACTGACTAGCACCTAGCTATGATTTTAAGTCGACTTGGTAAGCCGTGAGATGCTCTGAAAAAAGAGAACTCATATTCCCGGGTATCTATCTATATCTTCACCCATCTGTCTGACTGGGTCCAACATTTGGAATATACCCAAAAGACAAAGGGGGGATGAACATAAGCACAATCATAACACATGAACTGCAATAGCAAAAGCACCAAAATCAAGTCTATACACTCTCACCATCCTGAGTAGCTATGAGTTCCATCTCAGGCTTCCCCTTCTGAATGTTCTCGGGGTATCTCACAGCCCAAATTACCATGACAAGCCACATCAACACAGTGTCGAACACATAAAGTGGCCATTCATTGGACAAGAGATAGCCATTGTTGCCCATTGCATACTCAATGACTCGATAGATCGATCGAATCATTATCAGAACACTGACGGCGAAGAGTGTATGCATGTGGTATTTCCAGGGCGTCTGTGACTTATCCAACGCCTCGCGTGTCGGACGCTGCCGCATGCACAAATAGAACACAATCGAGGCCACAATGAAGAAGCCGAACATGATCACTTGGATAACAAGGCCGACTATAATGATAATTTTTGCCAGGGTTCCCATTGACTCCATTGCCATCAAGCCCGCTCCGCTGCCCTGTACAAGGAAGGAGACAACGTCGCTTGTGACAAAAAGCTTCGTCAACCAGCGGACAGGAACCAGAGAGTGCTGCTCTGCATTGACGCTGCGAATTATCCGTCCTAGTACCATGTACACTGATGCTGCAAAGAGGACGGGGGCGAGAAGGATGAGCACGCTCTGTATAGAGTAGGGGACAAGCTCGGCTGTGTGCTCGTGAGCAACGACTCGGGCGATGTAGCCGATCACTTCAACTGTTATTTAGTTAGCACATAAGTGGGCGTTTGATATGATAGGGGTCTATTGCTCGTACATATGCCTCCAATGGCTAAAGGAATGCTGAACCATGACCGTGATCGGAATAGCTTGAAGAAGTGAAAGACGGTAACCCCCAGGAAGAGGATTATGAATATGACTGCCGCCGGAATGGATGGCATATAATTCCAAAGGTAGTAGCCAGGCACATAAGGTTCAAGTTTGGCCATGATGGATGGATCTGGTCTCTCTTCCTGAGTTCTTCTCCTCGGCGGTCAGGTATGAAGGTGAGTTGGTTTCCGGAGCAAATGTATTCTGCGTCCATGTTGGACTTATATGTCTGTAAGATGCCATGGCGTGCGTGGCTGTACTGTGGGAGGAGAAGGGTCGGGGTGTAAAAGGATTGATAGAAATGTAGCCGCTAATATGACTTGCACCTGAATACGCGTATAGACATCGGTTTCTGGAAGGCGTCGGGGCCAATCCGCTCTGGAGATATGTCCGAGTCGGGCTTAGTGGCTACGAGGTGGTGCGTGCATACGCGCATTGCCGGACCCCCCGCCACTTCTGCTGCGTCGGTTCTCATCTTCGTCTCGCCAGGGTGGACCCCTTCGCTACGTCTCGGAGTCGGACACTTAGTTGCTGAAAATAGCTCATCTAGTCTCTAGCCCTCATGGACCCGTCCTGGTCGTCGATGGGCCACGTTTTAAGCTTATCGCCAAATTTTTGAACGTGAGAGGGGCAAGAAGCCCCCAACCGCGTGCCAGGGACAATACCCCCCATCGCCACATTGCGGGCACATGTGCACTGGAAGATGCGCCTTCGCGACTCAGCTTAGCCATCGTAAAGATGCCGCGTAGAACACATACAAAGTCGCGCAATGGCTGCTTGGAATGCAAGCGGCGCCATATAAAAGTAAGTCCGGCCCGCTCGATGCGGCATTACAAACTGACAGGTGCAGTGTGACGAGAAACAGCCCATATGCTCCAATTGCCGCTCTTCGGAACGCTCATGCGAATACGCGGACCGGTTCATTCGCGCGACGCGCTCCCAATCCAGCAAATCATCAACCCCTTCGCCTGCTGGCCCAGTGCCAGATGAACTTCCCTTGGGCCGGCTTGCAGACCCGAATTATCCTTCTGACAATCCACCGGTCAATATGCTTCATGCTGAGCTTTTCTTCAACCTCACTCAGTGTACTCTTCGCTCACTCGGTGAAGGGGAGACTGTGTGGATAGGTTCCGCGGATGTGATGCGAATTGTGATCGCGACGCCTTATCTCATGAATGCAGTGCTTGCTATGAGTGCTTTGCACTTGAGCATAGTGCGTTTGAAAGACCGAGAGCAGTACCGACGCCATGCAGCTCAGCTACAAACACATGCGTTGGGGATTCACAATCAAATGCGCCTCGACGTTAACAAGGAAACCTGCGTTCCATTATTTCTTTTTTCCTGCATTCTCGGCATGCACACACTCTGCGACGTTTTAGTCCACCGGGAAGATGGTTGCTTTGACGAATTCCTTGAGAGGTTCATACACTGTTTCAGACTTCAACTTGGCATTCGTGTCGTGATTTCCGGCCCTACATGGCACATACTCCGGGAGTCGGTCTTGAAGTCACCACTTCAAAAAGGGGAAATCATGTTTGATTGGAACACCGAACTGGGACCCAACTGCGCGAGACTCTTGGAGCTCATAGAAGCGGCTAAATTGGGTGATACGATCACGTCCACTTATCGACATGCTGTCCAGGCCCTGCAAGTTTCCATCAATGCAGCCATTGGTAGCTCGGTAAATAGCGTTAGCGGTGTTACCGGCTGGTCCGTTATAGTTAACCCCGAGTACGTCGAACACTTGACACTACGACGACCCGAAGCACTGGTGATTCTGGCACATTACGCTGTTCTTCTCCATTGGCATCGGCACCTATGGCTGTTTGGCGATGGTGGCCGGTTCATGATCGAATCTATCAGTCGTTATTTAGGACCGGACTGGGAGGAGTGGTTGGACTGGCCGAACCGGGCCTTGAAGGAACCTAATCCAAAATGTACTAATATATAGACAATTTTGAAGCCAGCATACAACGGTATACGGGCTCTTGTGACTAATTTCATTCACACCTGCGAGAGGGAGCGTCGAGTTGGTAGTTGCAGCCGATAGCAGTAGGGAATTGCTTGACACCGATCCATGTCTGGCGTGTCTCATCTTATTCTCATTACAGGAAGGGGAAATCCCGGGTTAGATGCTCTGAGAGGGAGAGATGAGAGATTGCAGCCTTGCCGGTATCTTTTGGCGCCAAAAGGCGCATACCGAATTATTGAGGATTTCCCTATCTATATCATCCTACTATACACTTCGAGTTGCGATTTTGTTCTTTGATAACACCGCTCTAGTGAATTGGAGCCGCTGATGTTGAAGCAGAGATGCCCAGCTGGAGGAACGGGACAAGTGGGGTATATAAACCTGCGGGGTCTCCCCGGGAAAAGGCAGCCTTCAGTTTCCAGCCTTACACATGGATGATGCATGAACCCATATACAAAACCCACCACCCCCAAGTGAGACATGTCCAACCCTACCAGAAACCCGACTGTCAACTAACAACAATATAGCTAGACAAGATGACATACCAGCTCTCAATCACTGTCTTCGGATTAGGCGATGACCCAAATCATCGCTCGCATTGGGGTTTCACAATCCGCCAACCATCTACTCGTATTATCGACCTCCTCCATGTCCGACTCATAGATTTGGACAAACTCTGGTACCAATTCGAGCCCCGGCTCGGAACAGACCTAGCCGACCTAGCCACCATGCAGGCTGTGGGGATGTGTCGGTTAGCAGAATTAGATCATCAGCAACGCCAGCAGGTCATTCAAGTGATCGGTAATGAGCCTGCACCAAGGGACGGTGCACGAAGATGCCAGGATTGGGTGTTCAGTACGTTGATTGCTCTGGAAGTTGAGGAGCTGGTTCCACCAGGGACGTCTGAAATCTGGAAGGGGATGGTTGGTAGGCCGGCGGCTAAGGTTGAGATGGCCGTTGGGGATGACTGGACAGAGTTTGGATGCTTATGAGAGCTTCAGGTTGGAGCAAACGTGGGATGACTGTGTGTAGGCAGAGTGTTCATGCCTGAGTGTATGTACAGGTGTCATTTGACGATGATGTGGCTTGTTTCTGGGCTTCCTGTAGGTAGATGGAAGTTGACAGCTTATACTTTGAAAAGAAGGAAATTCCTTTGGCCACATTATATATATATATACCCCTGTTCTTCCTACTAACAGTCGTTTCACGAAGTCCTGTTTGGCTCGTTCACCAAGTCTTAGATCGGCGCCTAGATCACTTTTTAAAAAAATGTGACAAGTACGGAGTAGAAGAAACTACCCTTTGGACAGTGGAAGTTGTAGCCGTCTCACACCACCAAACCACAATCCAATTATCCAGGGCCAAAAGCCCCCAATTGTCTGCAACTAAGTCCTCCTTTGCAAGTAGAAAGAAAAAGAGGCAAAAACAAAAAGACAAATCAAGCACAAACGCCAATTTTTGGCGCTGCTGGGAATCGAACCCAGGTCGAAACGGCGCTGCGGAGAACCACAACGTTTCATGATGACCACTACACTACAGCACCTTGATTTGATGAGGAACCGAAATTTATTTGGCATCATCAGCTAACATAACAGAGGAGGGACATCGTTGGGTAGATCGCGGGAGTCAACTGATTAATATTGAGTGATATGGCGGGTCATCGATTATCTACATGATTGTAGACACGCGACATGGATTCTTCTGGCTTCGTATTTGCGGGTCTAAATTTCGAATCTCCTGTCAAAAGGGACCTGTTGTGAGTTTTGAACGTCCATCGGTCTGGATATACTTCGGGAAGAACCCGTCTCCCTTGCGCCAATGCATGCTCTTCATGGTCCACTGCGTATCTCTTCAATAACAAGTCTTCCAGACAATGCGCACACTATATTGTCATTGAAGCAAACATGGAAACTGACAGAATCCACGAGTGGCTTGACCGCATTGACTGTGACAGCTGCACCCGCCGTGACTCTGGGGACCGCCCTCTTACACCGTCATCCACCCCCTTTCCGATTCCCATTACGCGAAAATGCACTTTCATGGACAATAGGACACTCCAAGAGACAACGACATGGGGTAGATGACTCCAAATCAGTTTCAACTGCATCATCACGCGTCCTCCCTCTCCATAATGACAATATTCTCTCCCCATCGGCCTCGACCAGCCAGCCACACCGTCGATCTCTCAGCCCAGCGCGTCAGAAAACCATCCTGGCCACCAGCGCAACACCCCGAGTTCGTTACCTTCACGAACTGGATGACCCAGGTAACGACACGGCAAAGAGTCTCCAAGAATTCCTAGCCGAAAGTAATGACTGGGAACCGACAGCGCAAAAAATCCAGGAGGCAGTTTCTGGCTCTTATAAATGTGCCACACAACAACGGAGTGAAAGCTCCTGGGCGACAGAAGTTACTCAGTCCATGTTACAGGCTGCAATTGAGGATCTACCCCTAGAAGCCTGGGGCGTGTACGTTATAATCGAGACCACACCGTTCTGCCCAAGAAAGACATAACTAAAAGCCTGTCTAGCCAGACGGAATCAGTCTGTACCGAGTACGAGCCTCTTTATACGGCTCAAGATCGATGCAACCGCAAAATAGACTACGTCGTTGGGTTCCCGAAAGATCACTGGAAGGAACTATATGTGAAGGTTGCTAGAAAGTTCCCCAACGGTTATGTGAACCACGTGGACCATTCACACACAGGGACACATGTTCTAGGCCTTGGATCTGAGATTAAGCCGAAGCATGGGAATCTGATCGAAGCCGAAGTCCAACTGGGGGTCTGGATGGCGGGCTTCTTCTCATGGGCGTTCAGGCATCGGACGGGCTCAGAAATCCCACCACCCATGGTGGGATGCATTTCTGTGGGGGAATCTTGGGAGTTTTATATCGTACACGGCGTTGCAAATGATTCGGTTGTTGATGGGACTCAGAAGTTGGGAGAAGTTCGCGTCTGGGGCCCGTTGTCGGAACTCGCTGGTCGGACGTCAAATAATAGGACATGTGTCGCGCTGGCCAAGACCCTCCATCAGGTTATGGTCTATCTGTGTGGGAGTTATATTGATAAGTTGCAGAAAATATTTAGTATTTCTGGTTGAACCCTGGCGACTGAAGAAATCCCTCTCATTCATTCTCCTGCACCTTGACATTTCTTGATACCCAGTGGCCTTTCCTTTGTCCCCTAGACAAAACAATAACTTGCCTAGATTTCAAAGAGCCTATACGCATACTGTTGTATAACTAGACCCAAACTGAGCCATCCGTTACGCAAAGCCCTTCCTTCGAGACTACTTCTTACCCCAAATAACCCCCCCTGCGTAAAATAAACCAAAGACACAGATAAGTAATCAAACATACAACCCAGCTTGATCTCTTAACAGCAGTGGATGTGTTAATCTTGATACAGCCGCCCATTGCTGGAATCCAGCTGTTCGACTTCCATGACATATTAACTCTGATGTGATAGTTTACGAGATTTATACAGAAAGAAAGTGATGGTGCAGTGGAAATTGCGGCTTCTATGCTAGGTATAGGACAATGAAGTGCTGTTTCTGCTGTTTCATGGTAGAGTTCTTTGGCAGGGTTAATATCTTAATCAATGGAATTTGTATCGCAATTCAGGTTATCAGATATCAACACATTTGATGTGGAAGAATAGCTCAGGATATGTGGAGATGGCTTTGATTCTTCTTATCTATAATTAGGATCCCCTGTATGTGGCGGAAGCTTTTAGCACAATATGACTGGTATTGGTTTATTTAGATGAGGATCATATGCATGTTCATCGGTGTACATTAGCTGTAATAAAGAGAGACGATACATAGACAGTCAAGACAGTGGAAGACAGTATACATAACAAGTCAATGAATAAGATGGCATGGCAATAAGTCCTTAACATAGCCGCTGCACAAACATAAGATGCAGTAATCATCCTGAAACACCGTAGCTCTGCCTCTACTATCATAAAACCGACTTGTCAATTTGTTTAACTTGTGACGGACCTCCACCAGAACCGTGACAGGACCTTGATTGTTGAAATTGGGTGTTAAAGACAACCGAGTGAATCTGCAGGACGAAGACTTACACCGATCGACAATCCATGGTCTTTGGTGTACTAGTCTAAGTCAGGAATATTGATCCATTATTGACTTCACCGAGGTGAATGCCTTCGGTGAATATTACCCATTCACTTATCACCTTGAAGTGTCTCAGGGCTACAGATTAATAGAGGGTTTATCAAATTCAACAACAGAGAAAGAATGAAGATATCTCTCGGTACCAGACGCCGAATGGCTGATGTATGGGATCTCATCATGCTGGCGAAGTCGCTGTTGTGATTTGTTTTGCGGGGAAGAGCTGTGACTGGCATTGAGGTACATGCATCAAAGAAGTCAGTTTGGGCAGAGCAGTGCGCCTTTCAGAAGTATGCACTCATAGAGCGCAGAATTGTTGTCATCACCAAGGCAACCTTTGCGTCATAGGACATCCCCGAGAAGAAAATGCGGGTACACTGACAACCCAGTTAGATTTTGCTTTCCTTGGCGCCTTTCAGAGATACGAGCGTTGGCTCTCGGATTTATTCTCATCACGAAGGTAGGAAACCTTGTTACGATGTATGAAAACAGTGTGGGTATGAGCGAGCTCTTGACGACAACTCCAACTGCCTCTCAGCATGACAAACTGGGCAAGAGCCTCTTGGGTTCACACACACACACACACACATCATCATCATCATCATCAAGGCGAAATTGAAATGAAAAGTTGAAGGGGTATGACTTTAGTTAAGGCCCTATCAGCAGACCAGGCAAAAAGCTCTGGAATAGAATCATCATCGAGCCGATTCAAAAAAAGAATAGAGATTGTGTGATCAGCTTTCGCTGATTTTCCCAGATATCTTCCAGGGGGCTTCAAATTGATAAGACCAGAATCAATCACCATACGTGTATTGTTTCCGGATTGTAGCTAACAAGCTATACTACGCCCTGATTGTTTCAATGAGGGGGTTTGCATGCACATAGTGCTGCTGGTATTTTGAGGACAACGTGACGCGAAGCCACGCTAGAAACCCTTTGAGTTTCTATGCTTGTCCTGCAAGGTCTAGATCACACTGACCACGGAGTGTTCTGACAAACCTTGTTTGCCAGTGTCAGCGGTGCTCGCAACGTCAGATAATCGATACTATCGACTGATATTTGTCAGCTTGCACCATTGTAGATCATTCCGAGTGGAACTGAGACAGCCTACCTGGACGTTCTCGAAGACCAAGTCTGCCAGATTGCGTCTGCCAGAGTGTTGATCGCGTGTCTTTAAGAACAGCGAGACAACGGAAGCGAATACCCTGAAAGAGAAGGGAAGAGAAGGGAGAGATAGAGCTAGCGAGGAGTATAGGGGGAGGGAAAGTGAGTGAGAGACCAGAGAGATGCGAGATGTAAGAGGTTTAAAGGCGGCAGTAGAAAGGAATGTGCGAGACTTAGCGAGAAAGCAGGAAGTGAATAAAGGAACAACCCCCGGGAAGAAAGTGGAAGGAGTCCAATGATCCTGCCTAAGGCCGGAGATGGGACCGGAGGGAGCACCGCCCCTCATATCTTCACCGAAGCAAAGGACAAGTGTAGCGGGAGTGGTAGATAGTACCATAACCTCCTGGACTTGATCTGATGACTCTGGCCAGCAGGCGTATATCGACAGTTACAAACATGGCTACGTTGTTGGAGAAGACCCAGATTCAGCTTGAAACGCGCACGCGCTACTCCATTGTGTCTTTTCCCTCGTCACCGTCTCTATAGTGAGTTACTTTTGTACACCGGAAAACAAGGTACAACGCCGTCCCAGTCAATTCTTTGCATTCTTTAACCCCTGTTCCTTGTCCTTATCCAGCCAATTTGCACGAACGACGTCCCAACCGAACCCAAAGAAGTAGTACAGGAAGCGGAAAGTATGCAAGGTAAATAAGAGCCAGAGACATGGAAAGGTTTTCGTCAGATACCGAATCAAGCAAGGGCAAAGTCCGGAGGGGAAGGAGAAAGGAGGATGTAGAAAAAACATTTAAGTATAGTAATAGGAAGACACTGGCAAATGTCGTAAACCGTGAACAATGACCATGGATGAAAAGAGAAACATAGAGATAACGTTTTTTTCCATTCAATACATCGTGAGCGCAACCCTGCAGGAAAGATCAACCAAAGATGTAAAACCAGCCAAGCTCTCATTGAGAGTAGAGATTACACACTTGAGAGTGACATAAAGGGGAAAAGTGTTAACAAGTGAATATAAGAGGAGATATGTTTTCGATCGAGGGATTGCCGCGCCCGAGAATAAAGGAGGTAAAGGTGCCATTAGGACCCCACCCCCCGGAAAAGATGCAACGCCATATCCTTTCAGTGACCGTAGTTGCCTCCCCAGCCTCCACGTCCAGAGTTTCCGTAATAGTTAGCGAAGCCTGCGCCACCGTAGTTGCCGTATCCAGTAGGCTGATGGTGAGTCTGAGTAGCCGCAGCCTGATGGCCGCCAAGGGAACCCAATCCTCCACCATACTGAGGGTTTAAGTGAGGATATCCACCGAAGCCCTGCTGGCCCTGCTGGCCCTGCAGCGGGGGAAGGCCGGTTTGGGCCTGGGGCTGACCAGGGGCGCTGTTGGTCGCGGAGCCAGGACGGTTAGCCTGGGCGAGCGAAGGGCTGGGACCCGCAGCCTTCGGGGTGTCAAAGCTCTTCGTTTCCTCCGTGGTCACCGGAGGTTGCTGGGTGATTGGCTGGTTCTGTCCGAAGCCACCCTGAGTGCGACCAAAGACATCCGACATGCCTGATCCGAAGGTAGTGGAACCGGCGGCCGCGGACTGCTGGCTCTCGGATGGCTGAGCGGATCCGGTACGGCCGTAGACTGAGTCGCGACCCGGGATGGCCTGGTTAAAGGTGGCTGCTGTTGCGGGAGACGAAGAGTGCTCATAGGAGAAGGCATGAGGTTGACCATACATTCCAGCCTTGCCGCCGTACGGGCCATACTGGTTTCCATAACCGTACTGAGTGCTGTGAGGCATGTAGTGGTCGTCATATCTCCGAGCGTCATCGTACATCGGGCGATTCCTGCCGTACTGGTTCATTTGACCGATATACGAGGCATAGTGGGGGTTGGAGTAGTACGGGTATCCGTATCCGTAGCTGTGAGCGCCCTGGCCAGGCATGTGCTGAGCTGTAGGTGTCTGAGTAGCGCCGGGAAGGGTGGGGTTGGGAGTGGTGTGGCCACTGTTGGGAGCTTCAACGTGACCGTAGCGGCTAGGAGGTTGAGTGGTAGGAACGTGCGGCTGCACCTCGGCACCCGAAACACCAAATCCTGCTCTCTGAGCAGCAACAGTGGCGTCTTGGGACTGACCGTAGGTGCCGTAGTAGTTGTAGGGAAGACGTTGATCAACTGCGTAGAACGGAGAGTACTCGCTACCAGTCGTGACAGTAGGTTGGACGGGAGCTTGGTTGGCGAATGGCTCCTGAATCTGAGGTTGAGGCTGCGTAACCTGCTGGGTAAAGGGGTCGAAGGGCTTGTGGGCATCGGTGTAGCGGGCGAAATCAGTGAAGGAGTTCTCAGCGGCAGACACTTGGGGCACGGGAGGAAGTCCCGGGGCCGGGCGAGAGACCGCAGAGGTTTCTGTGGGTGCTTGAGCCTGGGTGGAAGGGGGCAGCGAGGCACGAGGAGCAACAGGAGAGTGTTGAGGGGGTTGAGCACGGGTCTCGGCTTCTTCTCTGTTCTCATCAATGTCAACATCGGCAGCATCGCCGTTCAATCCCATGCTGCCAAATTGGACCGCGGCGCGATCCACAGCATGGTTTCCTGGCATGACCACTGCTTCCTGTTGTTCCATTACACGCCGTTGAGTGCCAGGAGTCCGTGTGCTCTGCTTGAAGGCACTGGAGGGGTAAGTTCCGGGAGCATGACGCGTGGGAGTTGCAGCCGCCGCAAGGTTAACAGAGTCAAGGGCACTGCCCACGGTGCTAGCTGCGGTAGCCGTGGGAGCAGGGGGAGAAACATCGGGGATCTGAGCAAGATTGTTCTTTGTCAAGTCATCCTTCGGAGCAGGGACATCAGCGGAAGGTGTAGCTGCCGGGGCTTCTTCTTCAACGATTGGCTGAGGCTGGGGAATGACCGGCTCGGGCGCTTTCTCTGCAGGAACAGGGACGGGAACGGGAATGGGAACTGGGATGGGAGCCTGGGCAGGAGTAGGTGTGGATTCAGCTGGCTTCTGCTCCGCTGCAGGAGCGGCAGCAGGCTTCTCGGGAGCCGGTGCAGGCGCGGGCGCAGGAGCGGGTGCAGCAGGTTTCTTCTGAGGAGTAGGCGGCGCCGGTTTGGCAAACAAGCTAGCCCAGCCCTTCTTTGTGCCCTCCGGAATCACGCTGGTCTTGGGAGCGTCCTTGGCGCCGTCGTCGACGGGCTCTGCGGTGGTTGGCTCGACATCGGCAGTCTTATCGGACTTCGTAGCCGGGGCAGGCTCGGGTGCAGCTACAGTTGTAGCTGTGGTCTCTTCAACAGAAGTGGCGACAGCTGGCTTCTCTGCGCGGGTTCCATTGGTATGAGCACCGGCCCTGCCACCACGACCACCGCGACCACGGTCTCCACGAGCGCGACCACGACCCTCAAAGCCACCACGTCCACGACTTCCTCGAACAGGGGGAACGACTGTCTCGACTGGGGCGCTCTGTACCTCCTTGGTCTTGGGGCGGCTGCGGTCCGTAGTCTTTTTCTTTACCTCGCCCCATTGAGCGACATTGCCTGTGCGGGTAGAAGCAGCGGTGTCAGCAGAGACCCAGCAGCCCTGAGCTGTCCTTGACTGTAGGAAGGAACCATACCTTCACTAATGCGATCAATTGCCTCCTCAAGGTCGCCATCCGCATCCTCCAAAGCGAAGACCAGATCCTCATCAGTCCAGTCAGAGAACAACTCCTTCAGCATGGGCAGAGTGTCCGAGTATTTCTTCTTCATCTGGCCAATCTCGCCCTCGTCTTCATATGCGGTGGGTGTGCCGTCTGAGTTGTCTGTCTTTGTGGATCTGCTACCACCTCGACCACCTCTGGAGCTATAGCCGCCACGGCCACCGCGGCCAGATACTCTGCCACGAGAGGCAGAAGGCCTTGTTTGAACTTCAGACATATCTGTTGATGGTATTTATGATTCTCCCGAATGGAGAAATAAGATGAAGGAAATGGAGAGGACCCAAGGTGGACGAAGGGAGGAAAACAAGGTGCGGCTAGTGGGAAGAAAAAGCGGGTAAAAAGGTCGTAACTTAGTACGGTAGCAATGATGAGATGCAGCCTCACGAGAGAGGTCAGCACCAGAACCACTAAGGGCACACAAGGGCCGCCAGGATTTTGTTTTGGGAAGGGCAGAGAGGGAAGAGAGGGAAGAGACAAGAGAGAAAAGGATGCAAATGACACAAGAAAAAGATAAAGGGAAAATGGGGGCAAGGAAATAATAATTAGAGAGGTGAAGGGGGAGGAGGTAGGTGCAGAAAGTTTAGTAGGGAAAGACTACTACAACTTAGCAGCAGATCGAGTTCATTGAATGGATGGGGAACGGAAGGGGAAGAGAAGGCGACTTTCGGTCGGTCGCTCGGTCGGTCGCATTGGTTGCCCGCCTCCGTTTTTAGCGAGCAAGCAAGCAAGCAAGCAAGCGCAGTGTTACCTACTTTACTACCTAGACCGCGTGCCCTGACGAGGACCACGACGACTACTACCTACTAGTATGTACTGAGTAAAAATCTGTGAATAGATATAGATTGCTCTCACAATGATCGGTATGTCATTTATCGATGTTGATGAGTTTGGGTTTGGGTTTCTGGGTTGCCTCCGTCGAAGATGATTTCGTCATCACTACTGTTACTACGAGAGCATCAGATACTAAGTAGGTAGGGGCTGTTCTGGTCGACCACTGCAGTGATGACGATGGCGTCGTGGGAATGCGATCGACTCCTCCGCTGTTCATCCGGAAGTAGATACATCGCTGCCGGCTGGTCGACCGGCCAACTCAATTGGGGGATGGATCATCTCCATCCCCTTCCTGGTCTTCGTCAGGCTGATCGCGTGGTGAGGTGGCACTGGCAGGCAGCCCTTGCTCACCGCCCGTCGTTTCGGGCCAAATCCTCTCGTGACCTCAATACTTGCTGCACTTCCTTGGAGAAAGGGACCATTTGTCGATAGTCTTCGTCCACCATCGCCCGCTTTTTGTGACTGACGACGTGTAAACCTACCCGCCATGAGGGCTACGTCGGCCATCAAGTTTCCTTGGTCCAAACTTCATCTTCCGCTGCCCCGCACCCCGCGTCAATCTAAGCAGCTCCTCAATGCCATTACATCCTCCTTCCGTCGTCAGCTCGATCGTGAATATCCGACCAACAACCCTTCCTCGTCCAACCGTAGCGATGCCCCGGAAGAGCATTCGCCAGCAACTTCCAATTCCTCGGCTCATTCGACCGATATACTGATGCACAACATCTTAAACAATCCTCTCTTTCGAGTGAACCCTTCGGAGTCTGCTATTGCCAGTAATGCGGCGGGCATGCGCGATATCAAACAGCAAAGAATGATGAAAGAACCCATGATAATTTTCGAAGAACTAGTCGCTGCAGGACATGTCGAGACAAAGGACGTTTTCCAATGCTTACAGTATCAGTTAATGCTTGCATTTGCCAGTGATGACGTTGGGAAGGCCATGAAAGATTCCAGAGCAGGGACCAAGGTTGTCAATTGGTTGCGCGCGTCCAATTGGGAAGATCGGCTATCAATCTTTTGCCCAACAACCCACGCAGTTCCACGACCGTCTACCAACTTATTGAAGTTCATGGTCGTGGAGGGCATGCAAAATACTGTCCTGCTATGGTTGAAAATGTTGATCGATTTTGATATTCGAGACTCCAGTGGTCGTATCAGTCGAGGCCTTGCAGATATGTGCGCTAAATTCCTCCTGTACGATTTTATTTATGCCGAAATTCAGTATGGGGGCGGCTTAGCCTCTGCTATGCGCTACTATGTGCAGGCAAAAGACCTGTGTTCCTCCGTGTATTCGAGGGAAAGGTCTTCGATCAAAACAATATTTCGCAGATCCGGTAGGGGTCTGCTCTGGCAGGCTCAGCGAGGGGTACCGGACGATGGTAACAAGATTCCTGCAAGTATCTATTCAGAATACGCCTCTGTTTACACCACTATTGAACCTTTTAGCCTATTCAAAGCCACTCTGGCTCTGTACCATCCCACAGAACCCGATCCGAGACCATTCCTCCGGTTCAATCGTCAATTTGATTTAGCGCAAATGAAGACATTGACGCCGCGCCAGCGAGACGTGTTTGTGCACAGTTGCTCGGATGCGATCCGTATCTTAACGGACCAGGGGAAGCGGAGGGAAGCCACATGGTTAGCAGGCGTTCTACAGCACGTGTCAGATCAGACAAATGTTGGACACGAAGCACCAGCATCCATGGAAGAAAAAGAGTCGCTTTCTGGGCTACTTCAAGTTGAGCTGGCCTTGACCTGATTGACGTAGTTATTCACCTACAACGTTTGTGGTATAAACCGCAAAGAAATTGGACTACATTGCTTCCCTTCCCAGGGGCAAATTGCAAAGTTGATGCCTCCCATTCATGCCACGGATCCTGGCGGAACAGTGTCGGTCGCCCGTACAAGATTCTTCAGCGAAGTGTGGCCGCCAACCAGCCAGCAGCATTATTGTCTCGACTTTCGAGGGTCATACCGAACCAGCAACACTCCAATACTCCGCACCCGGCTCCACACCTGCCGCAAGGGAGGGCTTCTCCTCTTATTGGCGTGCTTACCTTCGAGCCTTCGAGGAAAGTCCAGTGCAACTGGAGCTTATCTACCTATCTATGTGCCTTCGAGCTGAGCAACGAAACATATAATGGCTCCGTTGATTCCTTAGTCTAGCATGCACTGACACCTAGGAGGGGGACAACCGAGGTTTAGTCCCGCGTGAGACGGGTTAGCGCCCCTGGTCGCGTCTTGGTAAACGTCACCGCGGAACCTCACCTCTCGCTCTTCCCGGGACCTTCTACCAGCGATGACATTCTCCGAGCGTGTGTTGCTTAGCTAGTAATACAACAATCCATTGGCCTACGAGTCGCTTGTCTTTCACGAGCACAGAGTTTGCAAAACAATTGAACCTTCCTTGACCAGGGTCATTCTCTAGATTCTCTACACTGCGTACTGCCATGGCTTTCGGACCTAGTAGAAGCTCTAACGGACCTGCATTCTCAGGTATGTCTAAGTACTTCCCATCTATGCCCCTTGTGGCCGGTAACTCTGTTTGATTTTCATATGCCATATACATCTACATCTTGTACCCGGTAATGATGCCTCTACTATCAGAACCCACGAATGGCGCCAGTCTTCTAGCCAAACCATTCCATGCATCTGAGCCTGCGGAGGGGAGCAAGCCTAGCCCTGATGCAAACTTTGATGAAGCAAAGCATACCGACGAGACTACGTCTGCCCAGCAAGACCCCGATACTGCGAATGTTGTACCCGAGCAATCTACTACTAAGCCGAGTTTAGGCAATAAACGAACGTACGACTCGACTACTTCGCCAGTGGATACGGATAAAGCTGGAGCCCAGAATGCCACAGAGGCTGCACCCAAGAAGCAGAGGACCGATTCAGGAGATGCAGGAGCTCAGCATGGGCCATCAGCTCCTACACCCGCGAAAAACACCAAAAGAGGCCAAGCTACGAATGGGGACAAGAAAAAGGGAGAACGCCCCAAAAAAGCGAAGGCCACTATCAGGAGGGACCTTCTCATGGATGGTATTGGTAGCCGAACGCGAAGCCGCACTAAGGTTGCTTCTTGAGCCCCAACACCTGCTTTCTATTCAAAGATGGGGCTCGTTGAAGTGCAGGCTGAGGACAAGGTACTTTGGGTCTTGGGCAGGTGATGTAAGAATAAAATAGCCTGAAAACCTGCTCAACCACATATAGCCCATGGCCTCGACATAGGTAGTCTACCCTAGCGCAACCATGCCTGTCAGGACCATCATGGGGCATCGTTCAACTTTGTAATTGGGTTGTTTCAAGTCGCCGACATCGGCGGGTCGTGCTTGCTGAGTCACATTCCCGGAACGGAGCCACCGTACTTCCCCGCTATCACCAGAGGGGCAAGTCTGTGTCATAGGTCCTAGCAGCGATAACTAGCATTAGTTTCTAATCGAAGAGTCTAAAATTTTTGATCCTGAACATCAACTCACTGCAGAAGACCACCAATTGCTATCATTTAACCATGTCTTCTAACAAGATCTGGCTGCGTGCCGAAACCAAGCCCGCCGAGGCTCGGTCTGCCTGTGAGCATTGTACCCTTTATTCACGGGTCATGACACTAGGATACTAATATGCTGTACTATAGTGACACCGACTACCTGCAAGGCTCTTATTGATGCTGGATACGAAGTGACTGTCGAACGCTCGACGCAGCGGATCTTTGATGGTAAGAGTGACTAGTCACTACCATAACTGCTAGGCAGTAGTTATATCCCTTAATACCCCTAATAAATCGCCATCGGTTTCGCGTGACATGTCTAACTTGGCTATTGTCTTTCTAGATGAGGAATTCGCAAAGGTATGAAGACTCACAAAATCCCACAACCGAATAAAACATCATCTCAGAATGTTATGTATAGATTGGTGCCCCGCTGGTGGAAGAAGGTTCTTGGGTGAAGGATGCACCCAAGGATGCCTACGTTTTGGGTCTCAAAGAGCTCCCTGAAGATGACTTTCCTCTCGAGCACGTTCATATCTCCTTTGCGCACTGCTACAAGCAGCAGGGTGGCTGGGAGAAGGTCCTCAGCCGCTGGCCTCGGGGAGGCGGTACTCTCTTGGATCTTGAATTCCTCACTGATGATGTTGGCCGGAGAGTCGCTGGTAAGGACTGAGTGTTTCTTTTCGAACATGTCTTCCATGCAGAAGCTGATTTTCGTACACTAGCTTTTGGTTGGTCTGCCGGATATGCAGGCTCCGCTTTGGCTGTCAAGAACTGGGCCTGGCAGTTGACGCACCCTGAGGGCGAGCCTCTGCCTGCAGAAAGCCCGTATGCTAACCAGGATCGCTTGATTGAATCTGTCAAGGAGTCTCTCGAGGCTGGTAAGAAGCAGTCCGGCCGCTCTCCCAAGATTCTTGTTATCGGAGCCGTGAGTTTTCTTATCTTGCATTTTGACAGTATATCTAATAATGTCGCAGCTTGGTCGTTGTGGTAGTGGTGCCGTGGACTTGGCCAAGGATGTCGGCATTCCCGAGTCTGACATCATCCGGTGGGATATCGAAGAAACCAAGAAAGGTCTGTTGTGACTTACCTGTGTTTAGTCTTCATGCGTTAACATGTCTCTGCAGGCGGGCCTTTCAAGGAAATTGTCGAGGATGCCGATATCTTCGTGAACTGTATTTACCTGGCGTCCCCCATTGCCCCATTCGTTACTCCAGAGACTCTTACTTCTGCAAACCGTCGCTTGTCGGTCATCTGCGATGTGAGCGCTGATACGTAAGGCACCTAGCCCCCGACTCTGGAGACCTCTCACTGACCATTGTACGATATTTCGTTGACAGGACCAACCCACATAACCCTATCCCTGTCTATAATATCACAACCACTTTTGACAAGCCCACCGTTCCCGTCACGTTGTCGGGCGGAAACCAGATCGCTGGCCTGAGTGTGATCAGCATCGACCACCTCCCGTCTCTTTTGCCCCGTGAGAGTTCTGAGATGTTCAGCCAGGCCTTGCTCCCTAGCTTGCTGCAGCTGAAGGACCGGCAAAACGCCCGTGTCTGGAAGCAGGCTGAAGATCTCTTCAATGAGAAGGTTGCTACTCTGCCGGAGTCCCTGCGGGCATAAGATTAGCATATCTATTGAGGAACCATTGCATAAAATGTGGATACTGACTGATACGATGCTTTTCTGGGGGTTCTCATGAATCATGGGGTGTTGGCATGCTAGGATATGAAATCATTCGACTAGAATAGATGCAACAAAAGTAATCAAATAAGAATATGCACGTGCTAGTTTACATAAGTTAGAGTGCTACTGTTCGACCACCGTGGTTGCTTCGTGGATCAGGGGACTAAGGTTAATGGCCTGAGGCTGAGGCTGATGGCAATCCCAGGACAGTCGATTCCGCCCCTCTCCGTTTCCATCCCGATCACACCAAATCACCCGCTCATTGCTTCTTATGGGCCGAGTGGGATGATTCTTTGGCTATCATACAGATCTCGCAACACACCTGCTGCTCCAGGAGCTGCCGGCACGATAATTCAATTGCTTCATCATTTCAAAAATCGCCATGCTAATTCAGGAAGGAGGCAGCAAGGGATCTGCACACTTCAACGAGGAGAGTACTCCCTTTCAAGCTTGCAGCCGCTTCAAACACACATATCAGCAGATTTACAAACCCTCGGGCTCGCATATGATCGTTCCTTGATCATCAGAAGTTTGGATGACCCTATAGAGAAACTCAATAATGACAGGATGTGGGGTGGGGGTCATGAACCGCCCTGGAAAGCGTCGGGAGTCTCCCGTATGGCGGACGCTCGGCGCTGAGGAACATCCGAGAATACCAAGACACACGCATCAGCAACACGTCTGCCGCCAATCGACGAGTCTTCCATTGCGGCTACCGCGTTGAACGGGATTGTCGGATCTTCTTGCGTTGGCATGTCCTCGAGCGGGATATCAGCGCCTCTTACTACTCTAATCTGGTGAGAACGCTGTCATTGGCGGCCCCCTCCTGTCTACCTGAAGTTACCCCATGTCCTCTCCACATCCTCGGCTTTATGGGGACTGCTGCTGACTGTTATCCCGCTCCTAGTCACCGGCAACTGATCGGAGTCCATTCTGAATCCTTGGACAGCTGAAGCCCGCGTATATAAGAGGGGATTCGAGTGCAGGAAGGAAAATTTCGACTTTGCTCGTCTTGGCACCGGAGTTCCGTGTCTGTTCGAACAGCTCATTCTCATGGACCAACCATAGCATTGACGTCGGCCGCCACTCTTTTGCTCGTATCCCAGCCTTCTCTTCTCTCTTATATATCTCGGTGCTTGGAATTTGATGCAGGAAAAATCAACCACTGTCGCCGCTTACGCAGCGGGGGCATCTCTTGCGGCTATCGCTCTGTTCTACGTCTTCGGGCCCAACTACACTATCGATGGAGACGAGTCACTCGACAGTACCCGCAAGAAGAACATCGTGGGCCTATCCAATCCTGCCAATGACTGCTTCATCAACTCGGTCCTTCAGGCTCTTGCGGGGCTTGGCGACCTGCGCCTTTACTTGATTAGAGAGCTCCATCGACGTGAACTGGACGGGCCCGAGATATACAATACATTGCCTTCCCTAGACGAGATGCCACGGGATGCAAAGCCGGATAGAATTAGGGAATTACAGCAGGGAACCATTACCAGAGCTTTGAAGGAGATGTTGGACCGATTGAACGAACGCCCAATCTACAAGAAGACCATCTCTGCACGGCCCTTTATCCAGTCACTCGAATATGCCTACCGGACACGAATCAGCCGCAATCAGCAGGACGCACAGGAGTTCTTGCAGATTGTCGCGGAGAGACTTTGCGATGAATACCATGCCGGCGTCAAAGCCCGACAACGAGCGAAGGGCATGATTGGGCCGTCGCCAGGCCTGGAGATCGTGGAACCTGGCGGTGTGCCTTCCCCCAAGAGTCCTGCTGAAGTTGAGGTACGGATTGATGACGGATCCGAAACCGGTCTCCCGGCCATTATCGACAACAAGCTTCGAGAAATTGACCATGAGCATGGCTTTCCTTTTGAAGGCCAGCTCGAGTCTCAGATTGAGTGTCTGTTTTGCCACTACCAATACAAGCCTAACCAGACTTCGTTTGTGAACCTGACCTTGCAGGTGCCTCAAAAAAGCTCAACCACTCTTAGCGCTTGCTTTGACGGTTTACTGAAAACCGAATACATTGAAGACTTCAAATGCGACAAATGTCGATTACAGCATGCTCTTGAATTGAAGATTGAGGGATTGCGCCGCACGCGCACCAAGGATGACCGAAAACAACTCGAGGCGGAAATTGAGCGAATCCAGACGGCTCTCGCTACGGATCCAGAGGGAGCCTTAGATGGAGTCTCCCTACCACCTTCTGAACTCGCTCCCAAACGAAAGATTGCGCGGCATATGCGGATCACGGCCTTCCCTAAGGTCGTCGCCATTCATCTTTCGCGATCAATCTTTGACCACAGTAGCTCCACCAAGAATGCAGCCAAGGTGTCTTTTCCGGAGCGGCTTCCTCTCGGTGGTATCTTGAGCCGGGAATGGTTCAGACTGCTGGCAATTGTCTGTCACAAGGGCAGCCACCACAGCGGACACTACGAGTCATTCCGACGCAATCATCTCTATCCGCCCTTCTCAACACCAGACGCGTTCAGCTCATACGCCCAGAGTCGGGCTACTAGTGAAAACCCATCCCAAGCCCCTAGTCCTCAGCTAAGAGCTCGTAATTCCTCGGATACCGAGCCTGCGTCCCTCAACATCTCAACATCAATAGCGTCTCCGACTCGCACCTCTCAGTTGCAACCTTCCCCATCGCCAACTCCTCGGCCGACATCGAGCCCACGGGTTTCCTTCCAAAGCACTCGGACCAAGTCATCATCCTCAAAACAAAATTTGTCGCCCGTGTCTGACCCGCACAGCCCATCTTCCACAGAGGGTGGACGCTGGAGCAAGTCATTCTCACGAGCATCCTTCACCAGCGACCGCAGTACACCAGCAACCTCGGTCGAAGCGTCGAGCGGCTCTATAACCCGGCTTCACCGCCGCCGCAAGCCCAACGATCGATGGTGGCGCGTCTCCGACGAGAAAGTCAAGGAATGCAAGACATCCGATGTTCTGGGAATGCAGCGCGAGGTCTATCTCTTGTTTTATGAAATAGAAAAACCAACACCTGGCGTGTAAGAAGCCACAGCATCTCATTGCATATTGGAAAGAAACGGAACTGGTGGCATGTTATATAGATAGACGAGGGTTTCGGAATATATACAACCGATCGCACCCATGTAAGGAGCATTTTTGCGCATGAATGACAGTATGCAGAACATCCAAATTCTATTAGAAACATGCGCAATTCATTCACTACAAATTATTATATGCTGTATTGAGTTTCTTTCTTTGTTCTATCTTTAAATCCGCCCATATTCCTAGTAGTACATTCCACTCCCTAACCGTCATACGATGGGATTTGTCCCTTGACAACCGGCAACCCAATCACATCATCACCGCCTTAGTCAGTACAGTGACACCGGAACCGCCTCCCGCCCCCAACGGCACTCCCTGATTGGAGCGCACAACGCTCTGTTCCAACGGAACATCCCTTCCTACCATCATTTAATGATTTATTTATTGTTGTTTTTTCCTTTATTATTTATTAACACACACAACCCAGCCACCACCACCCTACTCTTGTCGCATAATATTCACATCCACATACAAATTGACCTACCTGTCTATTTGTTTAGCTAGGTATAGCTTCACCTTTCACATCTCTCGCCGTACCTTTCATCAGAATTAACATTTCCTCTTAGCTTTTACCGTGCTTTAGTGAATAAACAAGAACCACAATGCCCCCCAAACGCGCAGCCACCTCGAAGCGCAGGGTTGAGAGTCCCTCAGACACCGTCGAAAAGAAGAAGATCACGAATAAGACTGACGCCGCGAGCACGAAGCCGGCTCAGGCTTCGAGAAAGCGGAAGGCTACGGATTCAGTGGAGGAGACGACGTCAGGGGCTGCGCCAGCGGCCCAGGCGCGCGTTACAAAGAAGCAGAAGGGTGAGTGTTCACTGCTGTTGTGGAATTTGAGTTGATTTGTTTTGATTTGTTTTGCGCGCTCTAAACTTCGGAGAATGCCGTGCTAATGCAGTTTTTTGTTTTGTGGTAGAAGCTCTGGCTATTATCAACCTCCCGCCTACGCAGAAACTCGATGTCTATGTTTTTGGTACAAACTGCTACGGTGAATTGGGTCTGGGTGATGCGACAAAGAAATCGGAGATTCCTGGGCCGGTGTTGAACCCGAAGCTGTCGGCCGAGACGGTCGGTGTCGTGCAGTTGGCTATTGGGGGTGTTCATTCGGCTGCTCTTACACACGATAATAAGATTCTTACGTGGGGAGTGAACGATGAGGGTACACTCGGTAGGGATACAAAGGAGGAGCGCAAGGCTGAGAATGCGGATGCTGCCAAAGGTGAGGGTAAGGAGGGTGAGTCGGATTCGGACTCTGATGATGATGAAGTCGACCTCAACATGAAGGAGGCCACTCCTACCGCCGTGGACCCTGCTCTCTTCCCTGAGGGCACTGTCTTCACGCAGGTCATTGCGACAGATAGTGCCACTTTCGCTCTTACCCAGGAGGGACGGGTCTATGGTTGGGGCACTTTCAGAGTAAGTCATGTCACAAATGTTTCTAGATAGTTGTCTCTTTTAGCTGACATCTCATAGGGAAGCAACGGTGTGATTGGGTTTTCCCCCGAAACGAAGATCCAAAGGCAGCCAGTTCTGATCCCCGGTCTTGAGAAGGTGACGCAGCTTGCGTCTGGTGCGCAACACGTCCTGGCTTTGACCGCCAAGGGCGCTGTTTTGACCTGGGGCTGCGAGGAACAAAACCAGCTTGGACGGAGAATTTCAGGACGTCTGCATGGCAAGCTCGAAAGTCTCATCCCCGGGCAATGTGCCCTCCCATCGGACGTCGTGAGCATCGGTACCGGTTCTTATCATTCCTTCGCCATCCGCAAGAACGGCCGGGTGCATGCTTGGGGTTCCAACAACTTCGGTCAGACAGCCGTCCCCATGAGTGCGGGACAAAGCGATGCCGTGGTCCTCTACCCGACGGAAGTCAAGTCTTTCCGGAAGCAAAGCAAAATCGTTTCTATCTGCGGTGGAAAGGACCACAGCGTGGCTGTTACAGAAGACGGGAAATGCCTATCCTGGGGACGTGTGGATAACAAGGCCCTTGGCATTTCGCTCGAGGATATGCCGTCAGATGAGCTCGTGCATGATGAGCACGGGCGACCCCGTATCCTAACGATGCCAACCCCCCTTACTGATATCAAGGAGGAGGTTGTCTTCGCAACAGCCTCCAGTGACCATTCGTTTGCCATCACCAAAGACGGCCAGGCGTATAGCTGGGGTTTCAACGTACAGCGCCAGGCTGGTCACCGCGACGAGGATGAGATCGAACGACCGACACTGCTCCAAAACAAGCACGTCAATGGAAAGAAGCTAGTGTCTGCCTCAGGGGGAGGTCAGTTCAGCATGCTCGTTGGAGCGCACTCACCGCAAGTGAACGGGACTCAGGCCTGAAATCTTAAAAGCCAGCTTTTTGTAATAATTTTGTTACCCATTTGCATTGATATTTACGTGTATTAGTATGTGACAGCAGTTATCCCTCCAATCAAGAGTTCTGGCGTTTGCGCTCCGAGTACTCCGTAAAGTGGATACTGACTACTTGTGGGCACCCCGGCTGGTTACTTTCGACGCGTGGTTTCTGAAGGTCCTGGGCCCGAGTACTAGGTATGTAGGTCTGTCCAGCTAGCCAGCCGTACGAGACATGCACGTTGAGCGTCTTCGCCGATGGGGATCCGATTTTAGGCCCGGGATACTACATGGTTGAGGGCATCCCCAACCCGGGGTTGCCCAAGGGCTCCACATATCGGCGGAACAGCACCCCTCTTACCTTATTTTCAGATCAGCTGGACCGGGGAAGGACAGTCTAGGCCGTGACCGGCAGAAAGGCAGCGAAATGGTTGGAATGCCCAGTAACGAGAACGGAGGAAAAACCCCTGCTGATTTCTCCGGCCCTGAATGAAGCACGAAAGAAACACGGAGAGAAATGGGTCAATGTTTTCGGAGGAAGGAGCCAGCAGGGCCCAGTAGCCGAGCTGGTTGTCCAGTGCAACCAACCGGTTGACAACAGCCCACGGCGAGGTGGATGAGGTGCCACCAGCATCTATCTACTACGTACTATGTAAACCCTAAGGACAGAACAGGCACTGCGAGTTGCTTCCTGGGACCTGGAAGGATATTGCATCCATACTCGCAGCAGACCAGCAGCTGCAATCAGACTCATAGCTCATCCAAATAGTTAGACACAAGTCGGACCGAAGGGAAGGTAACCGAATGATGTCATGTGATGGGAGCGGGGATTCCCGGGAGGCCTCTAGCCTGAGGCCACCAACAGCGTCATTGCGGGCTCCGATCGAACCCCACCATTGCAGCAGGGAAGGGAACAAGATGGAAGCATCATCGTCGTAGCCTCGGACGGGATTCGTCCGGTGATGTACACAGTAAGTAGACTTAAGATCGGTACGGCATCCTCAATTGATCTTTTTCCCCTTCGACTTTCTCCTCTTCTTCTATCTTCCACAGCATCATCATCACCATCACGACCACTATCTTCCCCTCTCCGTGGAACCCCAACCGGTCACTGATTTCATACTGAACACATCATTCCCCACCACCCGGTGAGTCCTTCGAGCACCACTTGCCCCTCCATGTCCCAAGTTCCCCCCTCCTTCTGCTCCTAGTCATACGCTGCCCCTCCTTGCCCGTGCTCGTCATTTAAATGTCCAGCTCCGTATTCGTCGCTCGGTAAAGCTTTTAGTCCTCTGGTGCAGAATTTATTTGGTTCCTCTGTCTCGCTCCTCTCTGTCGTCCTTTCTTCCTCTCTCTCCATCAACCAATTAATTACTCATCACTTCCCTCCTCTTAGTCTTCAATAACAATCACAATGGGTGTCCTCGAGCAGCTCTCCCGCAAGTCCGGTGTCATCGTCGGTGATGACGTCCTCCGTCTCTTCGAGTACGCCAAGGAGAAGGGCTTTGCCATCCCCGCCATTGTAAGTCTCATAGCCCCTCAACCACCCCGGATCAAATGACTGACAGCTTCCATCGTATAGAACGTGACCTCCTCCTCCACCGTTGTCGCTTGTCTTGAGGCTGCCCGCGACCAGAACTGCCCCATTGTCCTCCAGGTGTCCCAGGGTGGTGCTGCCTACTTCGCTGGCAAGGTGGGTTTTGGAACCTCATATAGGGGTCTTCTCCAAGAACAGAGCTAATGATTCACTCCAGGGTGTCAGCAACGACGGCCAGAAGGCTTCCATTGCCGGTGGTATTGCCGCTGCCCACTACATCCGCAGCATTGCTCCCACCTACGGTGTTCCCGTCGTCCTCCACACTGACCACTGCGCCAAGAAGCTCCTTCCCTGGCTCGATGGTCTCCTCGATGAGGATGAGCGCTACTTCAAGCTCCACGGCGAGCCCCTCTTTTCCAGCCACATGATTGACCTTTCCGAGGAGCCCGTCGACTACAACATCCAGACTACCGCCAAGTACCTCCAGCGTGCTGCCCCCATGAAGCAGTGGCTTGAGATGGTATGCTTTGATCTCTTACTAGACGGACAGACGGAAGACTGACTCTCTTTAGGAAATCGGTATCACCGGTGGTGAGGAGGACGGTGTCAACAACGAGGATGTTGACAACAACTCCTTGTACACCCAGCCCGAGGACATTTTGGCCATCCACAACGCCCTCGCCGCTATCAGCCCCTACTTCTCCATTGCCGCTGGTTTCGGTAATGTGCATGGTGTTTACAAGCCCGGCAACGTCCGTCTCCACCCCGAGCTCCTCCAGAAGCACCAGGCCTACGTCAAGGAGCAGACCAAGTCCTCCCAGGACAAGCCCGTCTTCTTCGTCTTCCACGGTGGTTCTGGTTCCTCCAAGGAGGAGTACAAGGAGGCCATCAGCTACGGTGTCGTCAAGGTCAACTTGGACACCGACATGCAGTTCGCCTACATGGCCGGTATCCGTGACTACATGCTCAACAAGAAGGACTACCTCCTGACCTCTGTCGGCAACCCCGACGGTGAGGACAAGCCCAACAAGAAGTTCTTCGACCCCCGCGTCTGGGTTCGTGAGGGTGAGAAGACCATGACCAAGCGTGTCCAGGAGGCCCTGGCGGACTTCAACACTGCTGGCCAGCTGTAAAGGTCTTGACGTTTACCTGATGAAATGTGTCTTCGGAATATGACGAAACCAGATACCAGTACATAAAATAAGCAATCTATGAACGGCAAAATAAGTTGTTGGTTTAACCGTAACCTGGAGCAATGATCGGAGGCAATTTACTGCCTGTTTGGGGGTGCTGGGTTTGGGTCGAACGGAGTTGCGAGAAGGTGATGATGTATGTAGTCTTGAGGACGAAATAAAGTAATGTCTGCTGTACCAACTTGTGCGGGAGTTGTGAACTTTTCGGCAACGCTGCCGAGCGATGACTTCATTGATCTGTAGTGCCCCTACGGGCTACGGCCCGTACGTAGGTTTACTAAGTGTTGGAGTATGTCTCGGGACCTCAACCTACCCGAAGTCCCGAACAGTAGGAAGTACGGAGTATTAATAGAATCATTAATGCAAATCTGCGAGTTCGGGTCCATGATCGCCATCGAGTCCAACCAGTGAGATGGGAGCTAGCCGGTGTATATCAGGTCTACGGCTCGTCACTGCACCAATACAATCCTTCGCAAGACCTTTGCTAACTGCTGACCACTAGTTGCGTGTGGTACTCCGTACGTGCTCCATTGATGAGTTATACCGTCACTGGACCCTGAATCCTGGTCGTGTCAGTGGCCCTGCCTCCTCCCAATCCCTTGGCCCTGCCCCTTAATTCTGACCGTGGAAGATGGATCCTCACTATTGGCAATAGTGGTGAGATAGCCATGCAACCGCTCTGGGTTACATAATCCGAGAGATCAGATAGGTAGTCCTTGCCACCTGAAGCCACATCAGCTGGGAGTCGTGTATCATGGGGTACCGCAGTCTCTTCCCGCCATGACTTCTGATGTGCCCAATGGGATTGAGGCAGTCTTGTCCTCCATCATGGATCGGATCCAGTGCCACACTGAGTGCTGGTCAGCCACACTGGTATGGTCAGGTACGGTATCCGGAGGAGGGTGCCAGAAGTTGTGGCCAATAAAGTCAGCGGATGCCCCGAAATTTAGTACTCCACCGCGTGTGGTGGTGTCTCAGAATCTCGGCACTAGTCCGAAGGAGATCAGAAGATATTCACAATGGCGGGACCAGATTGGCCCACCAAAATAGCAGCCGGTCGAGGATGGGGCTTGAACCAACCAGCGTGCTCGAGTGGATCAGGGCTCCTATGATTTTGGCTTTTTTTTGTTACTGAAGCGCTGGGCGTCTGTTTCTGAGGCGGTCACTGCTGGCACGCCCGGCTGTCACTGGTCATCAAAGCGTGCGGGAAGAACGAGCATGGGTGGCCTGAAAGAGATCAAAAGGACGAGGTGGATAGAGTCACGCAGGGCACCATGACAACCGATGGATCAGAGTTACATCGTACATAGATCGGCTTTCCCCGTCGATGCTAGGGCCAATGGCACCAGCGACGATGGATTGTGCATGGTGCATGCACCCCGAGCCCCGGAGCCTGCCTGTCAATCCGGCCTAAATGCCTGATACGTACCCCCGGTACGTAAAGGCGGCGGCCATTGATCCCCAGAGGAATGATGGGCAACGGCCACTCCAAAGTCCAACCTTGTTGTCGTGGGTTCCAGACCCGCCTCCAACAAAACCCACTCGGCTCTCTCTGCTTCTCCATCATCGTTCTTCTTCTTCCGCGGCCATCCTTTCGTTTATCTGGATCGGGTTTACACTCGTTTTCTTCGGTTTCCCGCCGGTGGTTTTGTCCTCTCATTGTTTCTCGCGCTTCCTCCTTCTCCTCCCTCCATGCCGCCTCGCCTCGCCCGACATGCATCCTAGCGCTCTCCAGCAGCGCGATGATCCCACGGAGCAGTTCCTCAAACTCATCTCGAATCCCTTTCAATCTGCCGTATGTCCACCCGCCATTTTCAGTCTCCGACAGTCAGCTAAGATACTCAACAGTTCCAAGTCAACGCCATCTGGGCTTCCTTAGCCACCTCCGCAGGCTTCTCGATCCTCCTCGCCTTACTGTTCTCCCTCTTCCGCCCTCGTCACTCGGTTGTCTATGCGCCCAAGGTCAAACATGCCGATCACAAACACACCCCGCCCCCGGTGGGAAGGGGATTCTTCGCCTGGCTCAAGCCTGTCCTGCGTACCAAGGAACCCGCCCTGGTCGATTGCGTAGGCCTCGATGCGACCATGTTCATCCGCTTCACCAAAATGTGTCGGAACATCTTTATCATTCTGAGCGTGATCGGTTGCGGCGTCATGATCCCACTCAATCTCACACAGAGCACGGGAGATACGGTTTCACAATTCGGGGCATTCGCTACGATGACCCCGCTCTACGTCACCACCGACGCCATTTGGGGTCAAGTCTTCTGCGCCTGGGCATTCGATATAATTGTTGCTTTCTTTCTCTGGAGGAATTACCAGGGTGTGTTGAAGCTACGGAGGAAGTACTTTGAAAGCCCCGAATATCAGCGCAGTCTTCATGCGAGGACTTTAATGGTATATTAATCGGTGAAGCCAATGTGGAGTCTTAATACATGTACTGACACGTACGCTGGTAGATCACCGATATGCCCCCAGCCGCTCGATCGGACGAAGGCGTTTTACGTCTGACGGATGAGGTGAATCCGACTGCTGCCGTCCCACGAGCTTCTATCGGCCGCAACGTCAAGGGACTACCCCGCCTGATCAAGGAACACGACGAAACGGTGCGCGAACTCGAAGCCGTCCTGGCCAAGTACCTCAGGCGTCCGGATCGGCTTCCCGCGAAACGTCCGACCATGCGCCCTCCCCGAAAGGAAAGAGACGAACACTCAGGTGGCAACGTGGATGCCATTGATTATTTGACGGACAAGATCAGAAGGCTGGAAGAAGAGATCAAGCACGTTCGGGCATCCATTGACAGGCGGAATGCCATGCCCTTTGGCTTCGTCAGTTGGGATATGATTGAGCATGCCCATGCCGTTGCGTATACCGCGCGTAAAAAACACCCGGAAGGAACAACAATTGTTCTGGCACCACGGCCGGACGACCTCATCTGGGAAAACCTCCCGTTGTCGAAGTCTGCCCGCAAATGGAAGCAATTTCTTAGTGCCATCTGGGTGACGCTCCTCACGCTGGTGTATGTCGTACCCAACGGCTTGATTGCGATCTTCTTGTCCAATTTGTCCAATCTGGGCCTGGTCTGGCCGGCTTTCCAGACATCGCTTAATAATAGTCCTTACATCTGGGCTGCTGTCCAGGGTATCTTGTCCCCAGCCGTGACCTCTCTCGTCTATATCATTCTGCCTATCCTCTTCCGTCGGCTGGCGATCCGGGCCGGCGACGTCACTAAGACCTCCCGAGAGCGCCATGTTCTCAGCAAACTCTACTCGTTCTTCGTTTTCAACAACCTGATCGTTTTCTCTTTGTTCTCTGCAGCGTGGACCTTTGTCTCCGCCGTTATCGATGCAGAAAACAAAGATGAAAACGCCTGGCAAGCGCTCAGGGATGGGGCCTTCTATACGAAAGTTGTAAGCGCCCTGTGTCAGGTATCGCCATTTTGGGTGACCTATTTGCTGCAGCGGAACTTGGGAGCCACTATCGACTTGGTTCAAATGATCACGGTTTTTTGGGTCTGGTTCTCCAAGACTTTTCTCTCGCCCACGCCTCGCCAGGCTATTGAGTGGACGGCCCCGCCGTCTTTTGAATATGCCAGTTACTATAACTACTTCCTGTTCTATGCAACTGTGGCTCTTTGCTTCGCGACCTTGCAGCCGATCGTTCTCCCAGTCACCGCCTTGTATTTTGGCCTGGATGCGATGATGAAGAAGTACATGTTGCTATATGTCTTCGTGACCAAGACAGAGTCCGGGGGTCAGTTTTGGCGGGTTTTGTTCAACCGCATGGTTTTCGCCATGATCCTTTCCAACATAGTCATTGCGTTTGTTGCCACGGCCAAGGGCACGTGGAACATGGTTTATTGCGTGGTCCCTCCCCCCTTCCTGATGCTAGCCTTCAAGTTCTACTGCATGAGAAAGTTCGACGCCGACATCACGTACTACAACCGCGCAAACCTGACGGATGCCGAGGCCCTGGCGGTCAGCAAGCCAAACAAGAAGGCCTCAGAACGGCTCAACTCCAAATTCGGCCACCCGGCTCTCTATAAACCGCTAATTACGCCGATGGTGCATGCCAAGGCAGCGGAGGCATTGAAGGCTATCTACCGCGGACGGCTGGGGACCTTCGAGGGTGAAGGCGATTACTCGGACATCGCCATGGATACCATGTCGTCTTCGCAACCGGGTAAGTCCATGATGGACAATGCAGGGTCCTCGGCACCGTTCGAAGTGGTCCCGGAGAACCATCTCGATTTCTCATACTACAAGGACCGTCCTGATTTCCGGGACGAGTTCGGTGGTGGGATCTACGGCCGGCCCGACGATCTGATGACCGAACGCTCGCAGACACCGCACAGTGCGCTGGGCGAGTGGTCGCCAACCTCCTCGCGGGCGTCGTCTCCGGCCCCGTCGCTGCCGTCGCTGTCCGGCTTGAAGCCGCATGACCCGTACGACCCGACGGCGAACGATCACATCCACCCGGCCTTCCGCGTGCCGGCCCCGATGGGAGGCGGAATCTACCATCAGCGGAATGAGAGCGAAACAGGGCTGCTCAATCATGCGCAAGGCCCGGCGGTGAATGAGACGGTGACGCCGTTGGACCGGTGGCGGACGAGGGGTTATGGACCTGTAGAGCAGGACGACCCCGGCTTCACCTCTTACGAACACTACCGGATGGCACGCTAGATGATTGTGATTTATAGCGATAACGATTGTGCATAGAATTGGGATGGGATTTGGGTGGAGTACGGAAGACATGTGCCTACGACTATTTTGATTGAAATCGCTGTACATAGATTGCATATAAGCGTATGAACTGGATTTGATTAGAGCACCGGACATGGCTTTTTACAAAGTATATATGGATCGTAGTAATTAGTGTGTGAGAGGCCCGCCGAGGAAGCTAGCCAATTACCCGAAAGGGCCGAGCTCGTCCCCTCGCCAAGTCGGCCGGCGATCATCAATTCCCAGGAGTCTCCCCGTTTACCGGGTCTGTCCAGGTTCTCTACGCCCCCGGGGATGCCGCGGCCTGTCGTTTCTCTCTTCTCCGCACCTGAATGACGGTCTCCCGCTCATAAACCAGCTTGCATCACACCACTGCCTGCCTTGCCTGCCTTGCCCGCTTTACCACCGGATCTCCGGAGACCCAGCCGGCCTGCCAGCGTGCACAGTATATCTACGATCCCTCCTGCCAGCACAACACACCACCACCTTTCCTTGATCCTGAACAATCCTTCGATCGTCGTGCAAGATACCCCTTCCTCGTCCTTTCATCCTGCAGGGATACCGGACCGCCTCTGACCGCCACACCGATGCTTCCGACACCGACCGATTAACCTAACACCTAAATACCTCCATACCTATACTACCGCTTATATACGAACCCACCAACCAGGTTAGCCAACCTCACTATGGCGTGGTACTCCCTCCTCCCCGCCGACCTCACCTACATCGAAACCTGGGTTGTGCGCATCTTCGTCCGTTCCCCACCCTTCCCCGACCTCCTGCATGCGGCCAGAAGCTAACATACGTCAATTGTGGGCAGATATTCCTCGGTATCGTGTGTATATTTCCCTGGGCGGCGCTTCTCATCTTCGATATATGTCTGTATGTGTGGCGGATGGTGACGTATGAGTTCCCGGTCATGGGGGGTCGAGCACGCGGAAAGCAACGACCCCGAGCACCGAGTTTGAATGAGCGGCCGGATGGTCAGCCTAGGGTGTTAGTGGGATTGGGTGGTGGGGGTAGTGGGAGGGAAGAAAAGAAGGTGGAGGTGGAGGAGTTTAAGAGGAGGATGGTTGTTGGAGTGGGAGTGGATACGACTGGTGGTGATTGAGTTGATCTATCCGGATAGATGGAGTGGTATACTAAGATGGATATTTCTACGTGTCCGGCTGGGGTTATGGGTGGGTGATATTGCTTTCGGCTGTTGGTGTCGGGCCTCCTGGTGAGTGCTGATCGACTTTATGCTTTGATGCTTGGGTGCATGCTGTTGAGGCGTGAGTGTGATTTTTAGCATATTAATACCCCTGTATATATACTGCCTTTGCGGGCTATTTAACGGCTGATACTTTTGTTGTTTGTGAAGCGTTTATGCTGGAGATACCTGTTGTCTATTTGACTAGATTACTTGACCCCTACTGATAGGGTTACACATTGCTCATGTTATGCTATGATTAACCCATATAATTGTTGTTGAAACTTTTTCTCCTATGACTATATGGAGCGGTCCAAGAATGGGTTTGAATTGCAGCTTGTTCCCCGACTATTAATCAATCATACAGTTGGTACAAGATAGAGAATCGCTGAGAAGCAATGCGGTGGTTTTGCGAAACAGTTTTCGAAATGGGAATGTACTCCTCTAACAAATATAGGAATCAAGTTTGTTCAAGGCTGGAGTACCATTGATTGAAAATGATGTGGTACTCTAATTGATTGATAAAGGTTAGTTTAGCCAGTCTCCTTGCATGTCTTCTCTCCTACTGTCTTTCGTTCTTCTCACCCATTTCCCCACTACTCTCCCACTCAATTTTACCAAGATCTCACCAATCCGATGCTAATCACAGGTGCTAACTTCATATCAGAAGCCTGTATCTGTCTTCGATCTTCTGTTACAAGCTACCAACAAATTATATTGCTACGAGGCCGAAGAGAACCTCATCGAGTGCGGTCTTCTTGAACAATGAATATGAATCGGTTCAGCAACTTCAAGTTCCATCCCACATTGAGTTCGATGCGCTGATCTTGCTTAAATCTCATCACAGATAAGCATACAACCAGACCCCTTGCTTTAACGAGGACAGGCCCAACCGATAAGTCGAATACATACTCTATAACGTGAAGGCAACCGAAAAGCAGTCAATGATTTGCAGGTGGTATATTCTCATGCTCGCGGTCTCGTTGATGTTAATGAATCTTCAATGGTACAATCGGTTTCTCATTCGTCATAGGCCTGTCTGTGACATGACTCCTATGGCTGCTCTTAATATGACATCATCATCGCGGAAAGCTTTCTATCTGTTCATCATTGTCAGAGCTTTCCCTATCTATACACCGTCTGTTAAGTTTTTATAGCAGGGTAAGCCCGGGGATACTGTGAGTGACTCAAAGATACAGCTATCGCCAAGTCACTATCTTATCAGCAATAAGCACACCGTTCTTTGCAACAGTCCACTAGCGAGGTCCGCTTCATATCAGAAAATCGGAGATCATCACCGGTCAGGCCGGCAGGAAGCTTTCTCGTGCGGGGATCACCCCGCAGCATCTCTCTGCTATCTCCAAATTGGCAACCTCTTCCCTCAAGCAGCACTCGACTTGATGCCGAGTCGGTGATTCATGCAATCGGCGTTGGGCGGACATGCCAACCAATCGCGGCCTGCGATACGCTGGGATGTATACACTGATAACTGAGATATAAGTAAGGTACAACTCCTGCCGTGAGACTCCTCATTCACTTTCCACCATTCATACCGACTCAAGCCATCATAACATGGCGATAAACATAGACGCCTGGATCCTCCACATCCAGCAAAACCCAGTAGTGGTGGTCTTTCTCGTCGTCGCCCTCTGGCTGTTTGCACGATGGAATCAAGTACTTCTATCTACCCTCTACCAACAATCACCAACTAACAACATGCACAGCTATCCACACCCTCACCTCCACCCCAATCCCTCAAACATGAGACCCAGAACCAAGACACCTACCCCCCAATCACCCCCCTCCCATCCTTCAACTGGGAAACCACCGAGCCAACCAAATACCGTCCCTTCAAGCCCAAATACCACCTTAGCATGGGTATACCCCTCATATCTCCCACCTCCAAACCACCCACTAACAGAAACACCCAGCCCTAACAACAACCGACATCTCCCACCTAATCCCCATGGACAAAACTTACAAAGAGCGGCTCGCCCTCCGCCAAAGCCTCCTAGCCCAACACCCCACCGTCGTCGTGGGCGTAATCCCCGAAGGACAAAAAAAAGGAAGTCCCGTCTTCGCCGCCATAACCGAGCTCTACGAGTTCATAGTAGGCGTATACCTCCCCACCAGATACCCAAGCATGTTCACCCTCGAAGACTCCGAACCAAACACATCGAGCAAGACCCTCTACAACAAAACCACCAACCAACGAATCCCCCTCCCCCACCCCGGCACAGGACGAGAAATCCTCACTACGCTAGGCACCTTCGTCGACGAGGACTTTCTCGTCTTACTTCCTGATCCTTCCACCACCAATACCCCTCCATCCCCCTCTGAAAAAGCACCCGAAGCCGAAGGCGTGAAATACACACTAGAAGCATACACGACCTTCTACCCAGCCGGGTTCGACACGCGCGAGAAACTCGGGAAGAGACTCTCGACCATCCATGATCCCGTGCCACGGTACAAGGAGAAATTGGAGAAAAGCATGGATCGATTCTTTGCCCGATTGGAGGTAGGGAAGGTCGTACAGAGAGTGAACTGGAGTGTTACAACGGAGGGGACATCGCTGTTTGCGGCTTTCGGGGGCGTGCATGGGGATGAGGGGAAGAAGGAGGAGGTTATGGGTGTCGAGGAGGTGGATGGGGAAATGGTATGTTCTGTTCTGTTTCTTTGCTCATTTTTTTTCTCTTGGATTCGTTCTTTTCTTGCTCTTAGTTCTTCTTCCCCTTCTATTTTTACTTCTCTATTTCCTTTATATATACCCCAACCTCCCTCCACACCCTCACTCTCGCCCTAAACCAAAACCACCTCAAATATACTAACCAAACCCCAAACACAGACCCGTCTCCGCTGCGAACGCCAAACCCTCCACCGGCTACCAAAGACCAAAGCCCTAATCTTCACCTTCCACACATACACCTACCCCATTCAAGAAATCAAGGACGAAGGACTCGGCGAGGACCTAGCAGCGGCCATTGACGGGTTAAAGGAGGGTAATGTACCTGAAATCCATCGGTACAAGCGAGGGCCAGTATGGGGGGAGGCGGTTAAGGCGTTTTTGCGGGGGTAGAGATTATTCCCTGCTGCTTTATACCATGATTTTATCATAGATAAGGAATGGAATGGAATGGGATATATAGTAGTACTGCATGTGTGTGTATGCATGCGTTCATAATTTTCCGTTGTCTATATTTTTTATCATATTCTAGAGCTTTGCTCGCCAATTCAGCGAGTCTATAGGCAAGTAGGTAAATCCCTACTGCAGTCTCTGGATAACCTTGATCAGATCCGCCGTGACACCCATAGCAGTCACGTCACCACCGGCACCAGCACCCTGCACAATAAGCGGGTTGCTTCCGTAGCGCTTAGTGTAGAAGCTGATGATGTTATCACTGCCCTTCAATCCAGCAATGGCACTGTCCTTGTCGAACTTCTGCAGTCCAACGCGGACCTCCTTCTTGCCAACGTCCACACTACCCACATACCGCACAACCTTACCCTCCTTCTCCGCACCCTCCTTAATCTCCGTCATCTGGGCATCAAACTCACCCAACCGCTCCATGAACGTCTTGGCGCCCTCCGAGGACGAATCCAAGCTCTGCAACTCCTTGGGAATCAACGACTCAACGGGGAACGCATCGGGCGCCTGCACCTCCAGACCAGCAATACGCGCCAGAATGGTCAACTTCCGAGCAACATCCATTCCGTTCAGATCATCTCTCGGGTCGGGCTCGGTGTATCCCAGCTCCTTTGCCTCGGCCACAACCTCGCTCCACTTCCTACCGGCCCCGGCACCACCAACTGGCGCAAAGGTGTTGAACAGGAACGACAGGGTACCCGAGAACACACCCTCAATGCGGGTGACCTCGTCACCGGTGGCAACCAGATCCCGGAGCGTGGAGATGACGGGGAGACCGGCGCCAACGGTACTCTCGTGGTAGACGAGGGCGTTACCCTGGGCGGCGGAGGCGAAGATGTCCTTCCAGAGGGAGAGGTCGGACGAGAAACCCTTCTTGTTGGGGGTGACGATGGAGATGCCGGCGCGGAGAAAGACCGGGTAGGAGGCGGCGAGGGAGGGGTCACTGGTGTTGTCGACGAGGATGGAGCGACCCGGGGCGGAGGAGAGATAGTTGGCGATTTCTTCGGCAGAGAGGGCGCCGGATTTGGTAAGGGAGGGGGTCGCGCTGGCGGTCTTCCATTCTGCGGCGGGGATGCTGGGAGTGTAGGTGGGAGTTGGGGAGAGGAGGGTTTGGGTGGACCGCGCGAGGAGGATTAGCTTGGGGGCATTGGGGAGGCGAGAGAGTTGGTTGAGGAAGGCGGTACCGACGCCGCCGACGCCTGGGAGGTGTTAGTTCTCTGATTGCTTGTTGGAGGAGGTGATTCTTCGTTGTAGTTGTAATGTAGTTGGAGTGGTGACGATTCTTGCATGGGTGGATGAATGGGTGGGGAGTGCTGTAGGGGTTTAGGAGGGAACTCACCGATGATACCGAGGTAGATAGGGGCAGACATGGTCAATTGGATTTGAGCAAGTAGAAAGCTAAGCTTGACAAACAGGAGACAATTGACTCGATAGAAGAGAGAAGCAAAAGAGGAGGGGTGCGCGGGGCCAAGCTCGAAAGGCTTAGTCATCGTCCTATATCGGCTCCGATTCTATGATCCTCGTTCCAACTCACCTGCACCCATACTAGCTTTATCACAACTACGCACGAAGACACCCACCATGTCTAACCCGTCCCTCTACGGCCAACCCCGAAACAAAAAGTCATCCCAATCCGACCTCCCCTCCGCTTCCACCCTCGCCTTCACCAGTACCCTCACCTCCCTCATCTCCAAAGACGACTCAACCCGCGGCGCCGGCCGTCCCCGACCCTCCAAAGCCCCCAAATCCGACCTCTTCAGCCGCCCCAATAAAGGCGCGCAGAAACGCGCTGCCGCTGATCTTCGCGATAATGGCAACACCGCCTTTCAGCAGAAGCACCAGCGCACGGAGGACATCGGAGCTGTGGACGCCGCCACGCTGCACCGGTCCAAGCGGCGGATGGAGGAGAAGGTGCGGATGTACGATGACTTGAAGCGGGGGCTTTATCTGGCGGGAGATAGTGATGAGGAGGGAGGGTCTGGACCGCAGGATGCGTATCTCGCGCGATTGCGGCGGAGGGAGAAGGAAGGGTTGGTGGATTTTGATCAAAAGTGGAGAAAGTCAGGGGGCGAAGATGAAGATGAAGAGGAAGGGGAAGGGGATGATGATAATGCGTCGATCATCTCCTACGAGGATGAACTGGGACGGTCGCGGCGCGGCACTCGATCCGAGGCTGCGCGGGCGGCGGCACTGAAGGAGCAGGAGGACCCACGGGGAAATACTGAGCGGTGGCGTCCGGCGCGTCCGGAGAACCTGATCTACGGCGAGACAGTGCAGTCGGAGGCGTTTAATCCAGACGCGGCGGTTGCGTCGCAGATGTCGTATCTGGCTGCGCGGCGGGATCGGTCGCCGACGCCGCCGGAGGAGATGCATTATGATGCTGATGCGGAAGTGCGGAATCGGGGAACGGGGTTCTATGCTTTCTCAAAGGATGAGAAGGTGCGAAAGCAGCAGATGGAGGAGTTGCTGAATGCGCGGGACGAAACGCAGCGAGAGCGAGATGCCAGGCGGGAGAGACGGGCGGAGCGTGAGCGGCTGAGAGACGAACGGAGGAAGAAGGTCGATGAATTGCGGGCTAAAAGACGCGCGGAGATGTTTCTTGCCGGTCTCGGGGATGTGAATGTTCTGGCAGAAGGTAGTGGCTAAGGGCGCGTTTCCTTTTTTTTCTGGTTTTGTTATGACGCGAGATACCCCTGATGATATATTATACTAATGAGTTTATTTGTTTTGGAATGAATGATGCACGCAATTTCGTCCACCAGTGGACGAAGGGTACAATTGCCCGGGTAGAACCAGCTATATGTGCAGCGAACGTAGCTTCCATCCAAAACATCAGATATCAACCGTCATCATGTGGCTCGTTTCATCATAATTCGTAACACATTCATCGTAAACACTATTGATACTGGGGCGAGGTAGGACTGTTCCCTGCGCCTTGCCGCAACTAATACAAAAAACGCTGGATATTGTCAGCATCCCTAATCATTTGTCATTTTACATATGAGACAATTCGGAAATCGTGTCCATGAAACCCTGGGCGTCTGATCCTAGTTAGCAAGATGTATCGAAGAGCGGAGGCTGACCATACCAGAACGATTCTTGAACATTAAGATATGTTCTCCTTTGGGTGTTTGTGGTGGGTTGTAATTTGGAAATGTAAAGATAACTCGACGGAGGTCGCGCAGGACCACCGTTTTGGGATTCAGTCGGCGAATCCAGCCTTTGGAGGCGATGTAATCCGTTATAAAGGCAGTCCAAACAGGCATCCTGTGGAAGCTGCCCAATTAGTAAAGATAGTCTGCAAATTATCGTCCATCTTACCGTTTCATCTCTCCTTTGTGGACAGAGGCTTGCAGTCGGACAGCTCCAGACACGTTGTCTCGGTACACGCGCAAGGCGTGGAGGAAGTCATCGTCGACAATTTGTCTAAAGGGTCAGTTTCCGTCTGTGGAATTCCATGTGCGTTTCTTACCCTCCAAACAGCTCCTCCTCCTCGTCAAGCTCGTAATCGCGAATGCGTTCCACAGGCCGACCGGAGTCCTGCGATCGTAGAGCCAAGAATGTGCAGAAAAATATCACCATCTCTGTAACACATTAGCCTTACGTAGCTGAGCTCAATATACACCTTGACATACGCTCAATAGTGCTAAACTTGAGGTTGGCCCACAAAACGAGTTCAGAACCCCCGCGACGCCGTCGACAAATTTGCAAGCAGGAGCCAACGCGGACAATCTCAAGCAGGTTCAAAGGCAGGCAATAGTAATCACTGGATCGAGACCGCCGGGATTTGCACACGATCCGCACGCGATGGTCATCGTCTCGTATGTAAAAGCATACACGAAGATCTGTCTCGTCACTACTGAAAGCTCTGCAAAAACAGTCAACTCTGTGACTCATGCCAGTATCCCAAGAACTTACAGTTGGAACAGCTCCTCGAAGCCCTGGCCGTGAAGCCAGGATTTGACATTGACGCCTTCTCTCAGTTCTCCGAGGCATTTAGAGCTGGACGAAGATTAGTTATACATTGTCACCATCTCGATTTGCAGGGATATCTACCTTTCACCGACATAAGGGATTGGCGTCATTGGATGCTCGTCCAGAAATACTCGTCTGGCCCAGTGGTCGCTGGCAAGGGTTGAGTCCACTGACTGGCTGGTGGCGGTTGTGCTAGTGGTAGGGGAGTCCGGGGCATCGGGAGCAGAGGGCGGAATGTCAGAGAACGTGCCTGATGAAGTCGATGTAGGCGACTGGGGTGAGGAATGAACAGGCCGTGCTCGCTCGTACGACCTGCGGCTGCGAGGCCTACGGTCACTCACAGGACTCCCTGGATCAGCATTGCTGCTACTGCTGCTGCTGGAGGATGGCGAGCTCAATGACAGAGAGCCCAGACGCGGTGCAAGTCGGCTATCCTGATGGTACAAAAGTCCTTGGATAGTGTTGCGGAGCGAAGACATTAGGCGAGTATCATGATACTCACTATATTGATCCTAGGAGTTAGTCGACCCACGACCTTACTAGAAAAAAGATGGGATAGAGCTCACACACCCCTTCATTATGCGGTTCAAATCACCCAAAAAGGAGTTGTACTTGGCTAGTCGAGTGGATAATGACTCGTGGGATTCCGCGTTGAAGTGAGAACAAAGTCCAAGCCAGACTTGCTTGTATACTCCGCTGCTGTCTCCTCTTCGTGTCTCCAGATCATCGAAGAAGTCAAGCACGTCCTCGAGCGTATACCTCAAGCTAGCCCGAAGCAAATCCAGATCAAGTTGAATGGCCGGTAAATTATGTTGATAGGCTCGGTGTCTTGTAAGATCCTCCAGGCCTTTGAGAGAGACGCTGATCGAATAGAGCTGGGCAACGAGGCGGGTGATTTCCGTGTTATATTCTTGCAGAGGTTCGCGGAAATAGCGAAAGCCTTCAGCCACGGCCTCCGCGGTCTTGTAAGAGTCGTATAAGGCCATGGTGGAGGTCACCTATAGCGTGCCATGCATGTATGTGGGATTTGGGTATTTTGAGCAGAGAGATGGCACCGGGGGTGGGAAGAAAGTTTATAGAGCTCTCTAGGTGTAGGGCCAAGGTGGAAGAACGGTACAAGCAAGCACCCCGATGGCAGTGGCGGACGTGCAATTATATGGACGACCCTACGGGAGTATGCATAAAATAGGAAGACAGGGGATAGGGCCAGCCAGGAGCCGGGGAGGGGCAAAGGAAGACAACTCAGTAGACTGCAACAACGGAGTCAGAAAGGGACCTCTTATCGGCGGGATCAACCCCGGGGTGCATGGTGATTGGAGTCTCACCAGGCAACGGACGCAGAGCACAGCAGAATCCGAGTCTCGCCCAGCGGGTCTGAAGCAGAAGCAGAAGGGTCTTAAAGAGGCCACCCAGAGAGTCAAAGTCAAAGGGAGCAAGAGGGTCGAGATCATCCGCACACAAAAGAATGCAGAACCAGAATCATCCGCAAGTGGGGCAGGGATCTCGTAGTCAATCGCCCGAAAGGGCAGCAGGAAATGCGGCTCTCTGACAGCCGGACAGCCACGGCAATGGAGCCAGATGCCTCTCCCCATCCTCTAACTGCCTTGGGGCCGTTGACGTGTTCATGCGGGAGAAGCCAAAAGGCCAATAATGGGCGGTGGAATTGCATGGTGGGAGTGAGCGGTGATGGCCAGGATGCCCGGCCAAAGTGCAACCCCGCGGCCGGTCAGTCAGTCGGTCCATCCATCGCCCTCGGTGACACTCCTGCAGGTCGTACATCGGGCTCTGGGCTGCTGATGGACAAGACACTAGGAGGAGAGAAGAGGAGCAAGAGGCAAGAGGAGAAAATCCATGGCAGACCGAGAACATTTCTTGTCTCACCTGAGATGCGAATCGTACGACCGAGCCCGTCCCCGGTGCCCCCGGGTCTTAGGTAGGTAGGTACTATCGGTACTGTCTACTAGCAGGGGTGACATTCCAGCTGGGACTTCCCCCAAACTTTAATCGATTAGTATACACCAGCCCAGTCACGAGACTCCGCCACTGCAAGAATCGACCGTACTTGTTGATGGGCAATGGACGAGAGCCCAATTCACCTTTCTTCAACTTGGCAGTCCTCGCTTATTAGCAGTTAAGCTTTCTCATGTCATACGGGCTTCTATACGTTAACCAGTGTCTTCAAAACCCGTACTTGGGCCACGGAGTATGGAAACGGAATTCGACGAGGTGGATCGTTGCACCCTTCGACCTGAACTGGACAGGAGTCTGCCCATGGCTTATTCGAGGAAGCCGAACTCACAATCAGGCCAGCACAACCCGGCTCTCTTCAGGTTCAGCACTAACGGTCGGGTTGTCGGACAGCAAACAGCCATGTGGAGCTAATCACGGGCATTATATATCTGGACCGAGCCCCTGGAAACTCTCCCCAAAAAGGCCCGAAGCTTCTAAATCCAACAAGAGTAGTAGCGCCGGTGAATCACTAGTGAATCATGCCTACCTTTGCCGCACGTTACATCCCCGGATGATTTCGGAGCAATTCATAGCGTCGTCCTTGCGATTCAATCAGATAGAAACAGCAACCACGTTGGACCCGAGCAGAGCTGGTTGGCGTCTCAAACACCACCTATCTGTCTGCTTAGACTGGACAGTCTCAGCAAGATCTCCAAAGGTCATCGACACACTTCGATCCCGACTCCATTCTGCCCCCACACTTGCAAACACTTCAGCCCAAGTCAGACCATGTCTAGATAATCTAGGTAGCTGACGTGGAGCTGTCCCCGTATCTACCCGAAATTTATAGACCAAGGGGTACCTACCTACTATGTTCCAGCAAGCTTGAAAATAGCACACAGTAGCAATCGTTATCTTATCTTATCACACCAACCGTCAACAGATACCGATGACGATGACTTTTCCTGTCCCTTTGGACAAGACAGCATATCTCAACCTGGTTGTAAGGGATAAGGTATATAAGTACTTTGGCAGATGGAGGAGTCAATCGCTCACAGTCCACTGCGCAGCAACCCAACCTGGCTCGTGTCGCCAAGATTGTGCCCCTAATGTACACACAGGTAGATAGGGCATGATAGGGCCAAGCATGTCGCTAGCAGTGAGTGATGCACTTCACCGTTGGCAACGGTGTCTGATGCTGGCTTCCGCACCACAAATGCTTCCTGAAATTTAGGCCGGTCGCTCAGTCGTACAAAATCCTTGACTAATTTGCCAAACATCCCAATACCCAATTCGTAGCTATAGTCAAACGACTATGTATTTAGCCTCCATAATCGATGGCGGATGCGGACCCTCACACATGGAGGACTTGGTGTCCTCTGAGTTGTACGGGTGCTCTAATGCATGGAAACTGTTTGACTGTTGCTTTGGGTAGGTATACAGATGAGATGTCTAGGTGTAATGCTTCCCCTCTAATCCACCCATCCTTGGGACGACATGTGGACGTTACCTCCTGCAATTGGGTTATCAACCGTGTTTAGGCACACTCTCGGACCGCGAATCGCCGGACCAGTGGCCTCAGGCACCAAGGCCGCAGCCGGAGATATCGGAAACCCGACGCGTCCGACACGTAAACATTAAACAAGCTGTCGTCGCCCCGCGTCACCCCGGGGAGCTTGGGCCAACTTCTGCAACAGATCCTTCCCAGAGAAACGGAAGCAACCACGGGGCCGGAGCAAGCTACGAAACAGCAAAGGTGGAACCCATGAAAGACTGAGGACAAGGATGCGGTTGATTAGGCTAGTATACAGCAGACTTTGTGCTCACCTAATATCACTTCTGCAGCTTCCATTGCAAATTTCACCATAGGTACTCAAACAAGGTTCTCCCGTCGTTGTAACTCACGCCGGGCACCTCAATTCAAGTCAATTTCGTAATAAAGCCCGCCATTCCGTACAGTAAACATTTCCCATTGAGAATCCTTCATGAACAGAAAAGCAAGAGGTTAACCGCCGTCATCCCATACCAGAAGCCATTTGAGTAGATAAAGAGAAAATATAAGAAGCGTCAATTACAAGCCAGACAATCAGCGGAATAAACGACACGAAAAACGCCAATTGGCCAGACACACAAGACCTATGAAGATGAGGGGAACATCTAGGATGACTCCTCGTCTTCCTCGGCAGCAGCCTGTTTTAGATCGATTAGTATCGGTCGGCAACGGAGGATAGCAATGTCAACTTACATTGTAGCTGGCCTTCTCATCTTCATAGCGCTTCTTATCGGCAGCAGCCTTCTCCTCGTAGGGGCGACGGTCCCCATCGCTCAGGGCCTTCCACTTCTCTCCGAGCATCTTACCGACCTGGCCTACAAGGAAGTTAGACATCTAGGATCACCAACAGATTTCAAGTCGCCTGTCTTACCGAAGGAAATGCCGGGGTTTTCCTCGCGAACCTTCTCGCGGTTCTCGTTGGCGAAGAACATGTAAGCAGAAAGACCACGCTTGGGGGCGTTGGGGTCTGAGACATGGGTCAGCCAAAGTCTTGGGGCTTGGAGGCAAGTATACACACCCTTCTTTCTGCGCTCAGTGGTGCGAGCCTTGGTCTTGCGGGTGGTAGTCTTCTCCTTAGGCATTTTGTTTAAGTGTTCTCTATTGATTCGTTAGTAAACCCAGACATTGGCTTGATTGATTCGGACCCAAAGGTCCATGACCGGAGCAGGAAGTGATGCAGTTAACACATCAAGTGATAAAAAACATGATGGCGACAATGACATGGGAATTAGAGAGCACAGGGAGTGATGCGACGGAGTGCGCAGTGAAAGTGGTGGTCAGAGGTGCGGATAATCCGTGGTTTGCGCGCACCCAAACAAGTGAGATCGCGGTCGCAAGTCAAATGACACCACAAGGGAAAAGGCGCGCAAAAAAGTAACTTACCGGATGATCCACGCAGAAAGAACACGAAAATTGAGGATTTGAGGTCGGCAAATTCGACCTGTGGAGGAGAAGACAGCTTGGGTCAGCTCACTATGACTGGAACTATAGAATTGCCGTGGCAGAAGCGCGACAGCGAGGTCGCGCAACCAGGATGAGAGAAATTCAAGGGAAACAGATGATCGAAAGAAGCATTTGAAAAGGAAGACAAAAGTGTTGAGAGAGGAAAAAAGAAATGGGTTGGTGTTGTAAAGGCAATGCTGAGAAGCGGAATGTTTATTAGGGAACCCACCAGTGCGGTATATGCAGTACTTTTTTGTATGGGAGAGAGAATTGTATGGGAGGAAGCGTAGTGAGAGTAGGTAGAGAGGGAATGGGAGAGGGAGAGGGGGAGAGTAGTAGTAGTAGGAGAAGAGCGAGGGAAGACGGGAAGGCGGGCCATTACCTACCTGACCTCGCTCACTCTTGGGAAGGGGGGAAGTGGGCAGCACAGCAAGGGAAAGCGAGTAGGTCTGCCGGCTGCGACTGGCTGGCCGCCCGCTGGAGCATGGTTGGTATCGTATCATACCCGTCACGTACCGTCATCCTCCCTCTCCCCGGCCACTCTCGCCCGCCGCGGGCTGGGGACTCTGTTGCGCTGGGTCGCTGGGTGGCTGCAAGGTTGCAGAGCCTTTCCCAAGCAAGTTCGAATGCCACTCGATGGTGTAATCCAGACTTCGTCTGTTAGACAGGATGGAGCTCTACCGAACATTGCGCTGAGAAAGGTCCACCGTCACTTGCCGTACTGAACTTTACCATACTTCCCCGGTACACCAATTTGCGCCACTACTATTAGGTGGATAATATGGCCTTGCGTAAAATACCTGGCGGTATGGTGATGGAGGTGGTGTGCTACCTGTCGTACCGTACACTGTTACTCGTTACTGAGCGCAACAATACTATGCCTAACTAGCAGTGCTAGTACTAGGTAGTACCTTCCATACCGTGCAGCACCCGAGTCTACATCAATCCATGCGTGTCTAGGAGGTTACTGTATGTGTTACTGCAGAAAACCAAAAAGAAACAATGAGTAAAAGGTGCTCAAGCAAAATTGTGTATAGCAAGTACTCTGCTGTCTGGAGGGGCCTTTTTTGTTGCATGGACTCTCTCACTCTACTGGGCCGGAGTCGGCCACACACAGCGTTCGGTACCTCGGGGTACTTGCGCGATCTTCGAAGATAAACCCGCACTGATAATTCTCCGCGCCTTCTTTCATACAGGGCGTCTATCCTAGGCAGTGCTGCATCCTTCGAGTAATAATGTTTTGGTATACCTGGAAACGTATGAAGCGAGTACCCTACTCCATCCTCTGTCCGAAGTCCCGCTCCCCGAGTAATTACGTGTGTTTGATAGTAAAGGACTCGTCACTCATAAAAAAGCCTCATCCCTGGCCAGTGATTGTGAGATGTGTCTACTAGATATATTCCTCTAGACTGAAATAACAGTGGTACGATGTGGATACCTTACAGCTCTCCTTGCACAATTGAGCCTTTATAGGCCGGCGGATCGTGCTCGAGCGAGTTGCTGAGGCTAACCATGCCATTGCCGAGTGACACTAAGGAACGCTCTTCTCCTAGCATAGAGACATTCCCCCAATAGGAGATGGGGAATAACGAGAGTGATGTAGTGATGAGAGCAAGAGTGTTGATAGATAAATTAATAAACATGATTAATTCGACCGCCGAAGGGCATGTGCAGCCTACCTATCCGCACGGAATAGTTTACTTCACAGTAAGCATTGGAAGCCTGGTTACCGCTTCTGCAAATCTACCAGTCACAAACTAATCCTGCTTGGAGATCACCGATTAATTATATGCCAGGGTCAAAAAGTACGCCAACCCCCCCCAGACCACGGGATTCTTCATGTGGCTCACTCTGTAGGCTTCTGTGGACAGGGAACGCCTTGACCTAATTCCAAGCACGTACTTATAACAAAAAGTCTCGGTTTGGACCCTACTCCCTCCCAGTGTAGATATCTGCCGTAGGCTCGGTGCCTGCTATCAAAGCAATAGTCCATAACCCAACACTGGCAACCAGATCATTTCCGCATATAGGATATAGACTGGATACCACGAATTTTACGAAATTTGCGACTTGTTTGCTTGTTGACTATTGTCAGCCCAAAACATTAATAAAGACGATCGTAGGGAATTATGGTAAAGGCTTGCATAGATCGTTCGCTCAGGGCGAGTTGCTGCTGCGCTGCTGCCGCGACGCCGGATCTAAATGCCACCGCATTCCCATTCTAAACAGCACCAGCGAAATGTTACCGGCAAAATACTGGATCCCGTAATGATCGGACGCAACCAATCCTTCTGATGATACCTGCCGATTACTCTCGGTATTGTAAGCTGCGCGGTATTCTTAACTTCTTCTTAATAATGGTGAGGGGGTCGTTGACGCTGTTACTTGGTTCCAGGTGGAAACGCCGGCTCCTCTTTGGTCTGGCTACTCTCCCCTCACGGAGCTCTTGTATGCTCACATGCTCATTGCTCTGCCGGTGTTGGAAGGTAAAATCAAATGGCCTACTTGCAGTAAGCGCCGTTGTTGATTTCCGGCTGTCACTTCTCCTTTGTCTGCTGCAAGGGTTGTACCTTATCTCGGGTTGGCTAGCAATTTCTTCCGTCCTGTTCCCCGTCTGTTCACCAAGACTCCGTCAGCAAGCTCTGCGGACACGGTATGACGAACGCTGCTTGCCTTTTGCCCCGGTGGGCCATGATGTCACGTGGGTCGCACCACCTATTCTTCGTCGTTCTTCATCGTCGCCCCCCGGCTTAGGAAGCTGAGAAAGTGGCTAACTATATCCTGGTACTAACTAGGGGATTACTAATCCTTCTGCACATCTCCGCAACAATAACTAGTTACTACTAGCTAGGTAGGTATCTAGTTACTCAACCCGTCATGGGACACTGAGAATTTGATCAATCACAATATTAGTCAAACCCAAGCGTGAGAAAGACCATCATATACTACTCCGTACTATATAGCTCTATCGACTAGTCAAGGGTATACCACCACAACGCCCAATTCAAGTAAATGCAGCAAACCCGAACAGTATGACCGCAGCCATATCCCCAATACTGTGTACATCAATCATCAGATTCGTCAAGGACCAGAGCTGTGAGTCTTTCGTCCTCGGCCCAATTCACTCCACTGCCGACAACCAACCCGCTTGCGACATTTTTCATGGTCTCCCATTTGGCTTTGCTTTTTCTGCGATCCGCCTCTAGTTGATCTAATTGAGCCTTGAGCTCCGCGTCATCCAAGTCCTCTCTCCATGATTCATCATCCTCCGTAAGGGCTAATAGCTGACGGACTAGCTCTTGATTTTCCCGGTGAATCCGTGAATTCTCTACCTCCAGGCTGGAAAGCTTTCGGAGAGTCGCGCTATGTGCAGAATTTAGATTTTCATGCGCTAAAGATAGCACATCGCGACGATTAATGAGCCGAAGGAGAGCCCTACAGTTAATCAGCAAGGAGACTAAGTCGAGAGACAGAGACAACAGGAGCATCAAGGATATAAAAAAAAAAGGTAAATAAGGAATTAAAAACAAAATAACGTACTGTTCAGCTGGCGTCGTTGCTTTCAGATGAACAGCCTTGAGAACGGGATCAGTCATAAGAACGGTTCCAACAGCCTTCCTCCTGACGGTGTAAGTGGCCCTCGCTTCGAGAAGCTCACGTTCTGCGACGGCTAGTTGCTCTTCAGCATTCTCCCCTGAGAGCAGATCCGTGTCTGTAGAGAGAATCAGTATTGGATCATCAAAGAATGGCGATACGTTGCTCTAGCAACATAGGCACCGACCTTGTTCAAGTAGCGCTTTCTCTAATTGCTGTTCCTGGATCTGCTGATAAAGCTGCAGGATCAAAGCCTCTTTTTCGGACAGAGATAAGGCATCGCGAGGATCATCGGTCGCGAGGTCCAACAAGGACGCCTCACCTGGGTTCAGGTGAGGGAGGGAGCGGACCTTTTCAGATGTCATAGAACGCGACTTCGTGGCAAGTCGGGGAAATGATCGTGTGATTGGGAAGGCCCAGCATGGATGGATGGATGGATCATGGATCGATGGTTCACGGTGTTTAGCGGTAGGGCGGTGGAGATCGCGGGATGTGGTGGGTGGTTCCGGCGCCGTGTCAGACACCAAACCGACCAAACACAGCCTAGGCCGGGGGAGCTCTTTGGGCCTGGATGCCTATGCAGCCTTCACTATATCACTCCCGTATCACCTCCCCTCCCGCAATTCCTCCCCAGCCAACGTCGGAGCTTCTTTGCTCGTTTTGTGAGGAGGGGATGTCTTTGCACATCTACATAGCTCACACCGGTGAGCATTTCCTTCAAGATCCGGTGTCCTTCGCCTCGTATGTTGCCACCCTTCACTCTGCTTCCCCATCACCGCCCTTTGAGCCCGGGCCAGCCCTGGAGCGAGCTCCTACTACTCCCTAGCCCTTCGGTCCCCGGTGAATGCTAGCTGACCCTCTCTGCTCTCCCTTCAAGGCTGGACGCCCTGCGATCATGGATTACCCGCTATACCTCGATCCCTCCCCAGCGGCAGATCTTGATGACTGCTCGGGGGAAAAATGTCAAAATCCAAACGCTTGCCACGGAGGTATGGTCACCCCATATGCCCACGTGCTTCGAGCTAAATCAATCAAAAACAGAGCGAGGTATTCGTCTACGATAGGCGATATGTCAGTGAACCAAACAGCTTCGAGCTCCCGGAGCTGCCTCCACCGCAACCACTCCAAGCCGAGAACCCGCCCGATACCCTCACAAACCAGACCGACCTACAAGCATGGAGGAATCTCTATCTGGCGAGAAAAACTTGGGCGGTGAATCTTACAGAGCGCTGCGAGTCGGCGGATAAGCAGACTCATGAACACAACGAGCGCACGGATGTTATCAACCGAGCTGCTAGTGTAGCTCTCGAGAACCTCAAAACCCACGTCGGCACCCTAGAGCATCGGTTTCAAGAGGCCCAGTCATGGGCCAACGACCTGCTAAGTCAACAGCAAGCAGCACTCGATGGATGGAGAAGAGCACTGTCAAACTTGGATAGCATCCCAGCTCGGAAGGACTTCCCCTTCTTGGGCCGTCCGTCCACACCGACAAAAGGCAGGGATAAGGCGTTGGGCACACTACGAGACTATGTGGATACAGACGAGGTGCAGAGGGCTGGCTCGGAAGCCCCAGACGTATCCGCGCGCTTCGCTCATCAAGTTAGCAATACTGAGAAGAATGTTAGTAAGATTGCTGCAGATACCCAACGCCTGATAGATGAAGCATTCCCCGCGAGTGTTGATTCTGTGGACAATATCTTGGATGAAGTTAAGACAATATCCAAGAAGATACAATCCGACTACGAACATGTGCTGGCCTTGCCCAATAATCAAAAGACGCTAGCAAACATCTCCAGGCTTGCTCTCAGCCACACAAAAGACCTTCTACCGTCGCTATTTGACGTGAGTAACGAAATTCAGGCTGGCCTGGAGGAAGCCGTGAGACGATATAATGCGGCAATGAAAGCCGCTTTGAGTCAAATGCGACTCATATCTTCTATCGAGTTACGTCTGGCTGATGTGCAGAACCAGATCAGCACCATGACCTTCCAGAGTGAGGTCTTTGACGCTATATACACAGTCTTCCACATGCCCCTGGTTTATGGGTCTGTTCTGATCGAGTCTGTGCGGCGTCGTGAGTTTAACGATAAGATGAAGAATGACTCACTGACACTGGCGGAGGAAATGTCGGTATTTCGGGACGAGGAGCAGCGTCGAAGAAAGAAATGGTTGAAGAACATGGCGGATTTTATCTCTATCTCAGATTCCACGACCCCAGGAATCGAAGTTAATCTACGGGGCCAGGTGCAGGAATGGCCTATGGTCAGTAGAAAGGAGGTTGAGTCGTATATCGAGGACCTAAAGACCAAGACTGGCATGGGAAACCATGCCCAAGAGCTGTGCCAGCTCTTCAAAGAATTGGACACCCCAACACGGCTGCAGCGCCGCAGAGCAAAAGCCTTCAAACAAGGGAGTCTTTTTGACCTGAGCCGCAGTTCGCTTTTACTTCGCAGCGATGATATGGTTCGAAGCTTGAAAGACGAAAAGGTCAAGCTTGAAGACCGGCTGAAAGGCTCCGAAAGCCGCGTTCGAAAGCTAGAGGATCTTCTTCATCGCCAAAGCCACATGAGTCGACCCTCCAGCGGCAACTTCTCATTGGAGTTTCCCAGTTCGCCGGCATCACCTCATCCCGATTCGCTGTCAAGGAGATCATCGGTATCTTCGAGGCGGATGTCTTCAAATCAAGCTCCAGAGGAGAAGGCCCTTGTTCAGCGGATCACTCGCCTCGAGGCCGAGTTGGCGACCGAGCGAGATTTGGTGCAACGACTCCAAAGGGAGGCGCATGCCGAGCGCCAATCCAATACTGACAAGATACAAGAAGCTCAATCGACCAAGAAAGATCTGATTGGAAATCTGGAAGCCCGCCAGCGTGAATTTGATGATGAGCGGAGATTTCTGGAGGGAGAACTCAAGAGGCTTAGGATCAGGACAGAGGAACTTGAAGAGGAAATGGACAGGAACCTTGACAGTCGCGAACACGAGAAACAGGACGCTGATGAGCGGATACACCATCTTGAGATGGAGCTGCAAGATGCCCATGCTCGAGCCGAGGATGAGCTACGGAAAGCAGGTCAGATGATTGAACAGTTGCAATCAGAGAAGGATGCGGGAGATACTCTTCGGGCTCGCATTGACGAGCTACAAAACCAAGTGGCAGAAGATGAAAGGAAGGATAAAGAGAACACCCATGCCCTACAGGTGGCTTTCCTTAACTTGTCTCCCGGGGGCGCTGTTCCTGCCGAGATCCCCAATATCATCAAGGCGATCGAGGTGCTCTCCGAGGGGCTGACTATTCATGCCAAGAGCGCAGAAGAGAGTGCCACGAAGGCTGTAGCTGAAAGCAAGGCACTCGAGGAGCGTCTGGGCCAAATGGAGTCTGAAGCCGAAGAGCTAAGAAAGCGCGCAGCTTCGCAAGAGTCCGAACTCTCCCGGGCCCACATTGAGCTGGCCGAAGAAAGATCGAAACTGAGCATCGTGAGCTCTGAACTGGAGGATGAACGATCGAAACTCATTACTTTGCAGTCCCAGTTTGCTGCAGGCGAGACAGGATCCGATGCTCTGCGAGAACGCGTTACAGAAGAAGAACGCAAGTTAACGAACCTGGCCCAAAGGCTGGCCGAGGTTGAGTCTTTGGCTCGCCAGTCCGAAGAAGAGGTTACTGCCTGGAAGAAGAAGGTAGAAGCCATGTCCGAGGCGGAGCAGCAGGCTACGGTACGGTTCGAGACGTGCGGGTTCAGGTCTCAGGAACTATCGAAGCAGCTTTTCGCACAGGTGGAGAAATTGGAGCGCATGCTGGAGCATTTGGGATTCACCATTATTCGTCAGGATGGGGACATAGTTGTCCAGAGATCCTCCAAAGTCAATGCCCTCTCTGGCACTGGAGATAGTCTTAGCCAGTCTGGAGTGGTGTCTGTGAGGCCGGATGCAAGCCTCCTCGACTGGATGCATGCCGATACCAAGGAGGAAGAAACAGATAAGTTCATGGCTTTCATGGAATCACTCTATCAATTTGATGTGGATATCTTCGGTGACGCGGTTGTCAAACGTGTGAAAGACATCGAGGTACTTGCTCGAAAATGGCAGAAAGAAGCCCGCGGATATCGAGACAAGTATCATCGAGTTCAGAGTGAAGCCCACGAAAAGATCGCCTATCGGACTTTCAAAGAAGGGGACCTTGCTCTGTTCTTGCCAACCCGGAATCAAGCTATCCGGTCTTGGGCCGCATTCAACGTTGGCGCACCGCACTATTTCCTGCGCGAACAAGACGCCCATAAGCTGCAGACACGGGACTGGCTGCTCGCTCGCATTACCAAGATCGAAGAACGAGTTGTCGATCTCTCCAAGTCCATGAACGGTGCCAACCCTGACCGCCGGTCCATCGGCGAGGTGAGCGATGGCACCTCATTCGATGACGAAAATCCGTTCGAGCTGTCAGACGGTCTTCGCTGGTACCTATTAGATGCCACGGAGGAGAAGCCGGGCGCACCAGCGACTCCAGGCCTGGGCAAGAGCACCGTTGCGCCAGCGCACGTAGACGCCAAAGGCAGCATCCGCCTGAAGCGCACATCCGCCGGAGGAAACGTTGCCAGAACATTGACCAAGAGCCTAGACAGCCGACGGAATAGTTCCAACTCCAAGAAAGGGCATTCCTCGACACCATCACAGCGCGGCAACGAATCAACCACCGATCTAGTCCGACAAGCCGAGCAGGATCCCGCTGCTAGCTTACACTCACGGGAGGCAGTCCCTAGACCCGACGAGGTTCGCCGCAACCTTCTCCAGGGTCCGTGAAACCCGCGGCCCCGGTTTTCTTTCTCACGTCTTGCCTCACCTGAACGGAGCTGACGGACCGTCATAGGGCACGGAACGAACTCACCAGCGAAGAATCTCAGACGGTAGAGCGTCGCCCTTTTCCCCGCGTGTCGAAGACCTTGACGCTTCATCCATTCGCTCGCCCAGACGTTCAACGGCTCGCTACCGACCATGGGAGAAACTCTGGTCTGTCGATTACCGTCTGGAGAGCGGTAATAGTAGTCGCTGAGCGGGAAGGAGGATCCTGCCTGCCCCGAGTTTGCATCTTGCATCATTTCTCACGATAGATGATCTCAGGGACCCAATGTATGACAACCAGGTCATGGGATCGATCATATCATGTCTACCTGAATGATACCCGGTTATATGGAGAACTTGCCCTATATTTCTTTCTTCTCGCTCTATTTATATTCCTCGTTATGGGAAATACTTTATTCGTGATTACATTTGCTTTTTCTGTTAAGTTCGTGGCCCAAGTGGAATAGCGTTAGGGTTAGACGTGGTTTGTTTTTATTGATTGAGCGCTTTGACTACTGGCACTATATATGGATGAAATAGACTGATATGCAATGTGCCATCCAGCTCTGGTTCAATAAAGTACCGACAATGCCTGGCATCCTGAAATCCCCGAAAATAGTTCAAAAAGACAATGTATGTATTAGGTAGATATGTGAACGAAACTAATCAAGCTGCTCCATGAACTCATCCAGGCCACCGACATCCTCCCAGAACTGCGAAAAGTCGACGCCATTTTCTTCAAAGAGTTGTTTGACTTGTAGCATGGCAGACTGTTGCCTTTCCGGGGTGAACCCGCCCGGCTGGGTGCTCTCGTACTGGACTATCTCGACCCATCGGAAGAAAAGGTCCTCCTTGCCCATGGCCGTCAATTTTTCCTTGAACTCCAGGATTAGATCCCTCTGAGCGGATCGGGCTGGGTCATCCGGGATATTGCTGGTGCTGGGACTGGGAGCGGGCTTCTCGTTTTCGTCTCCGACATGCCAAATCAACCACCCATGGGCATCGGTGTTCACCACAACCGCCGTACGGAACTCATCCAATGAGACCTTCGCATCCTTCTGAGGGTTGTCGACCATCTCATGGGCCTTGATCATGGCGTCATAATCGAGGTCGAAGTCTGCATCCACAAGCAGGTAACCGGTCTTCATGATCCGCTCCGGGGTCACCGCCGCAACGATCTTGTCCCGCGTTTCCCCGTCTTCCCGAATCCAGCGATCACGTTTCAGACCCTTAGTCATGTCAGGCTGGCTCTTCCGGACAATGATCTCGTAACCCCGGAAGCCGACGTTGCGGCGCCATCGTACGGCGCCGAATAGGAACCGAATGGGCCAGGAAAGGAACACAGTTACAAGAAAGTAGTCGAACAAGACGTTTCCCACGCGACGGAGAGCCACATCGGCTATCTCGCCCCATGACATTGTCGATGTGTCCACTGTCATGGAGTTGTTGATCCCGATCATTGTTGCTATCATGGCGGGGTAGATGTTGCGGACCATGTAGACACGGAAGGCGAGGAGTGCGACAACTATGGCGTTTATCACGCATGGCACGATGAATGATTGCTGTTTGATCTCCACGGGGGAGGTGTCGATGTGGATGAGGTAGACTTCCTGCGGGGAGAGAGGTTCGAGGAGAGGCTTGAGAGCTTCAGGGGCTCTGACGAACGGCGGAAGAGGGCCCAAGCTGGGAGTGGAAGCGCCTGAGGAGGCCGCGGAGGTCGTAGCTGAGGCCTTGACCTTGGGGCCTCGCCTGGCGGATTTGGCCATCTTTGCGGTTCTGGTAGGTGCTTTTTGATTTCGGAGGTCGGATAGGCGAAGAGAAGTGATATCTTTCGAGGGGAGATAATAATTTATAGACTTCCTGGAAATTCCAGACGGTTATTAGTCTCAGTCACATCCAGCAATGCCGTTTTATAGCCCGTCTAGTTGAAAGCGATGCGGGGACACGACAGCGACGACGATCGATTCGCCTGACTGGGTCACATGTCGGCCGATGAAGGCGCTCAGATAGGATCATCTGGCGGAGGAGACGGGAAAAAGGAAGGCGTGATACGCACTAGGAGGTCTTCTCCACTGACTTGAAGGCTCAGCAGTCGGCCACGGCCTAGGTTGGAAGAACTGAGGTCGAGGAGGGAGGAAAGGCGTAGGAGATGCGGAAATGCTGGACTAACCCAATCGGGCAACCCAGGAGATCCGCGGCGGAGCTCGTGTTGATTGCTTGCTCGGCGGATTCACGCTTGATGCTTCATTCACTGCATTCCACTCCCATTCACCCCTGGCCCCTCAGTGTTAGACGCAAGGATCGGATTGGTTTATCCGTCCACCGACGGGGAGATTCTGTCTCTCATCATGCCTGCCACCCCCGAGCGCAGGAGCGATCGAGGAGCGCTGGCGCGTCGCAACCGCGAACACACTCAGGACCAGCAGCTCTCTCCCTTTCGACGAGCTCGTCAAACTCGTCTTGCCGACACATTCGACGCGTCATTTACGCCCAATAATTTTACCGAATACAACGGCCAACAACACCGGCGAAACTTTAGCCAAACCGGAAGCTTCCGCAAAGCATTCGAGTTTACATCGCGTTTACCCAACATGTCGGATCGCGAGGCCGCCTCCTACACTCTCGGGACGCCAAACCGGAACAGACGACAGAGTTTCAACCCCATCTCCCCCGAGTCCAACCCCCCGAACGAGCTGGCAGAGGCATACCGGCAGATCGATGACGCAGGGAGTCTTGTTGATTTAGACCCGGAGGATGACTTCAACTTTTCCCTACGAGGCAATCGCAGCAGGCGCTCATCGTCGGCATCACGCCTGAGAGGGGATGATCTGTTCGCGGCTGCCGATGCGGATTTTTTGAACGAGATCTCGGACGACTCCCTCCGCCGCAAGCTGGTCGACCATGTCCAAGACGAAAAGCGGTTGAGAAGGGCCACATCTAGCCGATCACCTGTGTTGAGCAATGCGGGGACTATAAACCCGTTGACCTCGGAAAATCTGCAACGGCGCGAGGAGGAGGACGAGCAAGAGATGGAGTTGGAAGAGGACGATGGTCTCAAACCCTCCTTGAACCTTCCCAACACTTGGGGAAGCCGGGCGGCTTATCGCCGTGACTGGTTGAGGAAGATGACGCGGCGCACTGAGCTTCCGGACATGCCAGCGGAAAGGGTGAAGGATATGTCGCCCCCAAGACTCAGCTTCGACAGAAACTCGCACACTAAAGCCCCAGAATCGACTGGCATCGAAAACAAACCATCGAACAGGTACAACAGGGTTCCCTTAGCCGATGCGCCGAACAAGCTGGCCTTTGAACAAAACGTCGAGAAACCAATCGATGGAGACCCAATACCGAATACACCAATTGTAGTTTACAAGAACTCGACCTTCACGAAACGAAGTCCGACAAAGAGAGACTCTCAGGACTTACTTCGGAAATTGTCAAGAACAGAGAGTCCAGGTCAGCAGCTCATGACCCCGGAGACGCAAAAGTTTCCCGAGAGACGTATCTATGACAAGACGCCCATTGTGACTGGTGCTTGGATCGATACTCCGGTGACTGAACGGGTCGGGAGGGTGAACGAATTTCCAGAACATCTATCCCAGGACATAGTGCCATCGCCACCAAGGAATGAAAGGTACGAGTCATTCGTGCCTACGCAACCTACGATCGATGAAGTATCCCAAACTCTCGAATTGGAAGACACACGGGCGAATGAGGATCGAGAGAAGGAGAAGGAACATCAAGAAACGAGACGGAGGGAGGAGCGAGATAGGGAACAGAGGCAGCGGGAGGAAAGGCAGAGGGAGGAGAGGCAAAGGGAGGAGAAACAGAAGGAGGAACAGCAAAGGCTAGAACGGGAGAAGGGAAAGGAGCGAAAGGATGCAGTGAAGCAAGGCCAAGAAAAGAGAGACGAGCAAAAGAAAACGGAACAAACAAGTGGGAAAATGAAGGCAAAGAATAAGCCACCACTGGTCAAACCCGACTTGCCCAAAAGTGCTTTAGAGACGGTTTTGCAGGATTTCAAATCCCACAAGGATTCACTGGACGTCGGTGATGATACGATCGAGTCTCTGCAGGACATCATCGACGGGCAACCCGGTGAGCTGAAGACCGAGGAAGAAGACGATGCTGCATACGAGAAGGAGATTTTGAAGAAACTGGAACTTGCAAGCTCCGGGAGCCGAAATACAGTGGACCTGGACCGGCTGAACGAAAAGCTCAAATCACTGGCTGAGAATATCCAGAAAGTCAAAAGCGGGCTGGATGGGTTAGAAGTCCAGGTATCTCGAGACGCGGATGTTCTTGCCGCGATTCCCTCGGCGCCTAGGGGCAAACAGTCCAAACAGCACAGCTGTGAGAATTGCAACGGGGAGCAGGATGGCCGCGTCTATGCACTAGTCACCCTCCCACGCCTGTGGAGACGGGACCCTGTCTCTCGATGTATCCGTCTGACGCGGCTAGGATGGTGCTCCCTCATCTTGCTCCTGTGGTTCTGCTCCGAGTCAACCATGTGCGATTTCTACTGCCACCCTTCCATCTCCGACACCTGTCAGGGCAACTGTTTGCTCCCGGACGCTCCCTGTTTCCCGTATGCAATCCCGACCATGCTTTGGCGTTGGCTGCACCTGTCTTCGATCTTCGGCCCTCTATGGACCGTCACCATTGCCCTGGTCAGGCTCCTGGCACAGGTCCTTGGCTTTTGGGATGGATACGTGGAGGAGGCACCCCGCCCGGTTAATCTGACTGGCGAGGTCCGCATCCATGGCCAAGTGACCAATTTTCCTACGGCGTCAGCTACATCTCGGGGGTTCTTCTCTCCGCCAAGATTGTGGTCTGAGAAAGGACAGACGGTGGTCTCGGAGGCGGTTCCCGAGTTGAAGGTGGAAGTTGAGGATATTCCCGTCAGAGCAGCATCCTCTTGGGAGGATGATAGCTCCATGGATGATGATGAGTTTATTTAGGTGGTCTGGTTATCTTTTAGATCCGTTTAGCGTGTTATGATTTGGAGTTACCACTGTGTGGAGTCAGGAACCTACCTATACCTTGGTGAATTTGGACAGATGGATTTGATTCTCAAGTACAATCTGATTATCTAGTTGGCTGTCCTAAGCATTTTAGTTTCCCAAACAATCCACCCTTATCTAAGGTTATCGTTGATCTGCAAGAACCCGCGGCCTAGCTCTTCCCAGTCAGTGCATTGTTAGCTGCAGCACTTCCATACTTTCATTACCTGGTGGGAATACCAGAAGAGAAATATGTCAAATTACACCGAAGATGTCAGAGTGACGGACGGGCATAGGCAAGGACGACCCTCTCTCCTTCTTTTTATCCCTTCATCACGCTTCCTCGCCATCCAGCCGCCAACACACAATTAACTGCTTTCCTCACATCACACAGTGCATCACATCATAGCATTTCCACGATCCTGGTTCAGCCAGGGAACCATCCGGCCGACCATCCAGCCCGGCCACACCGTCACCCTCTCCCACCCTCAACCAAGTACATGGAAGATAGAAGAGATTCTGAAAGAGCACAGCCACCAAACGGAACTACACGAGGCCAAACAACGCGCCTACTCTTATGCCTCAATCTTACTATCATGTATCGAGACTGAAAGTCCTCATCAACAGGCCATGATACGGCTTGACATGCAAGTCCCCTGTATCAATACCGAAATCGAAGACCCCGCAACTCGCGCCAAGCAAGCCGTGAAATTCAAGCCTAGATAGTTACGTGCTTATCAAATTCTCGCGAAAGCTGAAGCCAAAGAAGGCATGAAGCTTGCACCTCGACTCCTCGGTTATAAAGAGGGGTGGCAGGATAGCTCGGGACTTGTTCCGGGTGGGATTCTTACGTGGATTGCGTATGAAGTGCTGTCTGGAATACAATTGGGTGATCATTCCGGAAAGGCGACTGTGTGTTGGACTTTGGAGAGGGAGGAGCGTGATCAGATTCGGCGGGCTTTTCGGGAGCTTTTCTGTGAGTATATCCTATCTGGATTATGGATGTGTATCTTGTATCGGAGGGACTAGCTAACTAGAGTGTAATTAGCAAATCCACAAAGATAGTTATTTGGCCTAGTTCTGCTGCAGCAGTCAATCTGGTTTGGTCTTTGGAGTTGACGCTGTACGCTACTATTTTTCCCCGTGGTGGTTTTATATTCATGAATTGGTCGACTAACCTGTCTGTGGTTTATATACATAAAACCTGAGTAGGTTTTCGAGACGAGATCAAGCCACTGAAATGGAATGATTCCTGGCTGCCCCGGTTCGATTTTGTCAAAGTTCCCAAGAATGACAGGTGGGCGCGTTCAGATTGGAATGGTGATACTTCAGGCTGGACGTATTAAGGAATTGTTGCTTTTGAATATTTCCGGTGGTCTGTGAATACTATAAGGGATCTGAGTAAATAGATAGTAGTCAATAATATTGATTCACATCTTGATATCAGAGTGATAGGCAGGAGGATTAAGTAAGATAGAACTGGCTCTCCCTTTCCTTCTCTTTCTTTCCTTCCCATGTCATACAACTCTACTATGATAATCATAAAACAGTCCAAACCTATCTCACTCAATAGAAAAGCCATTCCCAGTGCTATATCTACTATTCTTCCATCAACAAGTCGAAACAGCCCCCTAACAAATTACCATCATCATCATACAACCCTACCAAACCCTAATTAACAAACATCTCTATCCCCCAAGCTACGATATCCCACCCCACCGATGAGCAACTCTGACAGGACACATCTTCGAGACTGGCTTATCCAACCCAACCTTCCCGATACGCACTCATCAAATTGAAATCCTGCGAAGTACGGGTGTACGAACAACCCCTAAACGCTATCAACTACTTAATGAACCTCATTCTGTCCCATACTAAACACAGAGAACGCGACAGAAACCAACCGGTCAGCTGATACAATCCACGAACGAGCTGCTCCCGATCCAAAAAAAAAAAAAAAAAAAAAAAAAACAACCCCAAATGCAATGAGCCAAGCCAAGGTCTGTCAAATACCTCACAGCCATACAGCGGACATAAATCCGAACTTACGGATCCTATCATCAGAGCACTTCGCCACCAGTTATTAGTTATACGACTGATTCATTTTCCTTATAGAGACTGTGATGATGGTATTTAGTATCCAAATCTCAAGCAAAAGGGAACATTTCGAAAATACTTATAGGTTAAGTATAATTTCGAAAGAAAACCGCCTTGCTCATGTAACAGCAAACCCAGGGCAGGATCTACTCCTCCATGTATGTCGACGAGGGGATGGAAAATCCCAACGATTTCAAATAGTTGATATCATTCTAGTACTGCGCTTTAATCTAGGGTCTTTTTTCGACCATGTCAGTTATTTCATCTCTGGACATGAGAATGGGTGTAATAAGAGCCCGGATCCTATCATTATGAGTGATAACGGTGGGTAAGAGAGTTGAAGACGCCGTGGGTAGCGTCCACATAGTGGATAGTCGAGTACAGAAGGGAGGCCAATGAGGATCAGATGACATTTCTTGCAGTTCAATCAGTTAATCTGATTGACTGGTTAACAGGAAGCAGATTAGCATACTAATCTGACTAGCTAATCGCTCAGTACATGTACGATCTGGGAAGAGATGCGTTTATGAGCACATATGACCATACGATACGGGGTTTACTTCGACAGATGGTTCATGAGAAGAAATGGACACTAGGATACTCTCCGCCAATTGGACACTCTCAGGTGTACGTTCTTGAGAAGAACTCGGCTATTTTACGGCAATGCTTTCTCCACATTGCATTGTTGGTCCAAGAAGATCCACACTTTAAAAAGACGGGGTTGAGGAGCCAAGCATGGATTATTCTCATAGGAGAGGATAAGTAGGCTATATTGCATTTTTAGTATAGGGGCCATCGATCGTACTGGGAATCCTTCTGTTTTAGGATGTTGGATATTCAAGGATGTGAAGATGGTGATAATTATCTATGTATGTACAGTATCGTTTGCATGTGCATGTCTATCTATACAGGAATACTAGTATACAATGAATACAGTCTATATAAAACAAAATAGGGTATAGCAAGTAAAACAATCCAACGCCGAACTTGCACAGTATTAACGCTTATATAAAAGGAAGAAAAGTTAGAGCTTCGCCTTCCCAAGCCACTCTTGTTCCAGCTCCTTTTCTCCCTCTAGTCGCCACTGGGCATTCTTTTCTAAGACCTCATCGACCTCCTCATCTGTCAAGGGAACGGCTTTTTCGAGGGGGATCTCATGCGTATACCGCAGCTTGTACCCGATAAAGGTGACATTCCCAGACGTGGGAATGGCAGCTGTGAGATTGCCCGCGACGGCATCGCGACAGAACTGCGCAGTGCTGTCAAAGAGCCGGCGACTAGCGGGGGCTCCCATCATGATCATCCCAAAGCAATGCGGCATACCTTCGAATTGCTCGACAATGACAGGGACACCCACGCGGTGCATCTTGCGGGCAAGAACCAGACCCTCGTCCGAAAGACCTTCCTCGCCCATGGCAATGAAGATCGGAGGAGCACCTTTCCAAATCTCCTGGCGGCCGGCGATCGGGGTGACGAGCGGGTGAAGAAGGGCGTTGGCATTCGCGTAGAGATCGACGCGAGGTGGTTTGACAGGCCAGACGTCGTCTTCGGGAACAGCGAGTGGGCGATAAGCTACCTCTGGGTTCTGGGATGGAGGGTCGAGAAAGTCGTAGACGGAATTATGAGTGACAGAGGGCATGGACCGGGTGACGTCGCACCAGGGGGAGATGGTGGCTACACCGGCAGGGAGCTCAATGGGAATGTCTCGTCCGTGAAAGTGGACGGTGGGGCAGACACGACGGAGCGTGAGGAGGGTTTGCAATAGAACGAAACAGAGGTTGCCTCCGGCCGAGTCGCCAGAGAAGATGATCTTGTTGGGTGGGACAGGATCATGGAGAGAGCCCGGAGGTGGAGAGATAAGCGATAGGTATGCAACGAGGGCGTCGATGAGAGCAGCAGGGAATGGATTTTGGGGTGCGAGACGGTAGCGCACAGACAGGACTGGAGCGCCTGTACGCTTCGACAGTTGGGTTACGACCGGGCGATGGGTGCAAGGATCCATGAGGCTAAATTAGATGGTGTTAGACTCCATGGCCTATGTGGCAAAAGTGACAACTCACAAGTAAGCGCCCCCATGAAGATACAGGATCACCATGTCCCCTTTGGACTCCTTCCGCAGCTCCTCATACTTGGCCTCTTCTGAGATATTCGGCTGAGGCGCGTTCTTACCTACACCACTGCGATATCCCGTCCACTCGGCCTCGACTGGCACGACTCCTGGAATATTGTATGTCTCGTCACCCACTTTCAGGTCCTCGATCGCTTTGATGACCGCATCTTGGACATTATTCTCCGGTCGAGGAAAAGTGACCTTGGACACCCACATAGGACCCCTGATACCGGGGTCCCGCAAGCTGTCTTTCTGCTGCTTGCCGACTGGCGAGGTAAAGACGATGATCGAGCGAATGATGGCGACGGTCAACTCGGTGCGCAAATCTTGTTTTCCGGTGACAGGCGAGAGACGGATGCCATGAAGGAGGATTGTCTTGAGAATGAGGGGCACTCGCATGAGAACTGCCATTAATAGGCGGAGGGGGTTCTCAAGTTTGCTCATCGTGGCATATATCAATCGAACAGGAAGAGACAGAAAAGAGCAGCCGAAAGGAGGTGACGCTCAAGAAAAAAAAAAAGAATGACGACCAGAAGATCGAGCCCGGATAGGGGAAAGGGATAGAAGAACAAAAGACGAAAGACGAAGAATCGACGGGGGCAAAAGAAGAGATTGGGGAGAGTCCTTAAGAGGGAAATACCCCGACGAGGCCCAAAAGCCTCGGCTCGCCGGCGGATTCCAAGTGGGGATTCTTCACACTCTTAATCAGTAAATAGTAGTTATCCAGTAGCCCCGCCGGCGCTAGATACTTAGCTGTTCCTTCGCCCGTCAGGATGACGATGAGAATGATGGAACTCTTATTTATCATCTCACAACAGCTATACAGGTCCCTCGCTGATCCATGGAAGATAAACAGGATTAAACCTTCTGTACCCCAGATTCCATTCGGGTGGCGCAATGCTGTCGGCAGCCGCTGCCATCCGCTGGTCAAAACTCATGACGAAATTCATCTACAAAACCAAACGCTGGTTATGATCACTCATTCCAATGAATTAACTATAATAATACATATTTATGACTCCCACTTTGGGGCTTTCATGTAGGTCATCAAGTGTGCGTAGGTATTTCCACCCTCCATCTAGAGCCGTCCAGCAGCTTGCTTGGCCTTGCCCTTGGCTTCACCAGCCACTTCCGAGGCCTTGCCCTTGGCCTCGCCTAGCGCTTCTTCGGCCTTGCCCTTGCCCTTGCCTGCCACTTCTGATGCATCTCCAGATAGTTCCTGAGACTTGGCCTTGGCATCGGTGGTGGTCTTGCCAACGGTGTCCTTGAGTTTCTCGGCGGCGTTTTCTGCAGTTCGTCATGAGTCATGAGCCCTAAACGAGCAGATATGTGGCACACGAGGGAAATTATACGTACCACCAACCTCAATGCCCTTCACAGCGGCGTCCGATACTGTGCGGTCGGCCTTCTTCAGGGTGTCCTTGGTGGCATCAATGGGTCCCTTCTCCCGGCGAGCACTGGCGGAGATTGAGCGGGCGGCTCCCACGGAGAGGGCTGGAGTGGTGGTGGGCCTGAGTAACAGCGAAGCTGTACGAGCAGCAGGAGCAAGGCGGGTGAGGAAAGACATGGTGAGTTGAATAATAGTCAACCGGTGGGATTGGTAAGAAAAGGATGGGAGGAAGTAGTTCAGCTAATTGAATGGACTTGGTCTTCTATATTGGTCAACCAATGTTTGAAATTGTGAAGAAATACATCCATGTTGTAGGGAGAGTGAGTCCTTATAACAGGCTTGCATGTTGGAAGACGTCATCACCAGAGCCAGCACGGTTATGTATCTCTTACGTCGATGGACTGTCACTGCAGAGCCCGATCGGGGTTAGCGGGAATCGTGACCAAGGCTCGGTTCAGTTCATGTCCGATCCACACTGTGCAGATCGCTCCTTAGTCCTCCTTAGTCTCCTTCTCGCCTTCTATCCGCTCTTCTAGATCACTCTTCCCCGGGCTTGGTGATCCGCTTGCTGAGTCGTTCACATCTCCCTCCTGTTCTCGTTCGATGCAGGGCCAGGCTGGAACCCCGGTCGGTGCCCCTAAGAAGAAGAAAAAGAAAAAAAAAAAAAAAAAAAAAAAGAAAAAAGAAAAAAGAAACAGAGGCAGACGACAGATGATTCGTTCAGACGCGTTGCCGATCAACACCATAAACACTGACAACGCCAAATGCTATGCTCCCACCTGTATTATGATATCTTTCTTTTACCAACACCTTTAAATGCTTTCATCCACTCTTCATGCTCCTGGGAATGCATATTTCTGAGAACCCGGATGAAACTCCAAACCTCCATATGCATGTGTTATCGTCCAATTAATCCGTCACTTCGTTACCATTCATACATTATCACTTTCCTTTTTAGTTTTTCCAGTTTCTTTCTTTATTTCTTTCTTTTCCCTTTCTCTTGGTGGGTGTCGGACAGTTTCTGTTTTCATGTCGCTCCTCACAAATCCATGTTGAGTCCGTCAAAGTCAGGGCGAGGAGGTGAGCTGCCACTCCGTACTCGCAGTCCGTGTGTTCCCGCCACTGGGACTGCCAGCTCGTGCGGGATCAGCGGCCCCGATAAGTTTGGATGATACATGGGGTATCCTGGGACTGTGGGCGGAAGATGTGTGGGATATTGAACACGTCCTCCCAGCCGCTGCCGTGCGTCGCGCACATTCACGCGATGTCCTCCAAAGTGCAGAGTGGGAGCCGGCTCGGCCGCCCACACAGGGTCCATGGTAGCGACCTGGCTCTCCAGTGTATTCATAGGTCGGAGTTGAGCTGGGGCAGCATAGGCTATTTCCGATTGACGGGCACCGATGATCGACGGTGGTTGTCCTTGTTGCGGTATGTCCGCGATCCAGCTTCCTGCTCCGGACAGCGTCTGCTGCGGTGGCATAACATGTGGTAGACCACTCACCAAGGAAGGATGTCCGGGTACTGGCGTAGTAGACGGCATGGGAGAGAACCGCGACGGATACCGAATCGGCTCCGTCGACCACGACTGATGGGACTGTGTTGATGGGTTTCGCGTCATAGCCTCAAGGGCCGGCTCGGAGGCATACCCAGCAGGCGGATCGGCAATCAGAGAACCTGGAGGCGAGATGCCTGGCATAATTGCAGATGGGTGGGTGACTGGTCTCGCCTTGCCCGTCGACGCGCCGATAGGGCTCGGCTGTGCCACACCTACACGTCGAGGAACTGCAACTTCAATGTTTCCTTCATATGGGAGCGGAGGTGGTTGTGGGATATATGTGAGAATCGAAGGCGTGCTGGCAGACATATCCCCCATTGGAGGTGCTATTGGTTGCACTGTGGACAAGTGACGGGACCGATACCGGGGCTCTTGTGCTATTCCCAGATCAAGAGCATTTAGCTGATGCTGAAGGTAGCCTTGATCAGGCTCGCTATACGTTGACTGAGTCATGCGGTCTGGCTTGAACTCCGCGGAGAGTGGCGATGCATGTGCATTGCTGGACCGGCTATGCAAGGAATCAGCCGAAGGCTTATTCTGCAGTGAGAGCAGTGTAGGCCTGGTCTTTCCACCGGGTGTTGACGACGATCGCTGCTTTGGGGGGCAAGCCTCGTCTTGCGTGTGTCTGGCTGCAACCGTGGCATAGGTTGGCGTATTCTCCTTGTTCACAGACGGTCGACCTGGCACTCGCTTAGTGAGGTCGTCATGAGAATGAGGAGGACTGGAGAGCTGCACTGCCGTAAGTGCTTCCGATGCAGAGGCGAGCGAGCTTCTCCGACTCTTACCCAAAGTGCTGCTCGAAGCACTTCTCCCTTCGACTGGAAAGATTTTGAGGACCGGAGCTGCCGGCTGGGAGCCCTTGATGTTTCGAGGGAATCTTGGCCGTTGCTTTGGCTTCTCATCCTTCAGTTTAGGTTTCGAATGCTTCTTTACCACCACATTCCAGCCCCAGTCATCCATGGGCAGCGAAGAACTGGCTGCTTGAGATAATTTGGGCGTCTCCACTTGCTGGCTCATTTGCGATAGCGCAGGTGAAGTTCGGGTAACCGCGTGGGCGCTCTCCCTGTCACTTTCATATCCGGTGTCTTTATCCAGGCTGGACTCCCTAAAGATATGAGGCAAAAATGGCTTGAGATTAACACGTTGCTGAGGGTTACTGATCTCCTGCGGCGATTCCACCTTGGGCGTTGTCAACTCGCTCCAGTCCCATCGTCCTTCCTCGTTTGCGGATTCAGGCACCGACGAGGAGGAGCCGCTTGACCGATCAAAGACAGACCTCTGTTTGCGGACAGATTCTTGCGATGAACTGGGCGATATCCGGTCGATTTCGTTTGCAATACTTTTAATTACTTGCTTCAGTTCTTTGCGAGCGTCACGGAGTATTGCTGGCTCTCTCGAGGATCTTTTGGGCATGTTCTCGGCCAATCTCGAAGCGTGGGTCTCGTATTCGCGGTAGTCCTTGACCAAGCCGCAGTCGTCAGCGCGGTCCATTCGGACCTTTGCATTCTCATAGGATGTGCATAGGACGCGGGTCGCGACAACTAGCCATGACTCATAGAAGCTGGCATCTGAATTGCTTCCGTTCGCCTTGAATCGACTTTTCTCTTCCTCGTCCATGATTTTCAGCTCGTCGCGGCAGAACCCTTGGACAACGCTGTGGATTTTAATCACATCGATCGTCCCGGAGTTCTGATAAACCGAAAAAAAGGCATCTTGGCTGCTCTCCGTTTGCGACTCCGACAAGTCAGGGGCCACTGACTTCATGTCTAGAACATTCTCCTTTTCGGCTACTGGCGAGAGAGCTCTTGCGTGCAGAGCATAAAAGTCGGAGACTCTCTCAATTAGCCCGTATCGGATAAGGATTCCGAGAGTGGTGTCGATGTCGCCTTGTTCGCCACGTCTACTGCTGGTGAGAATCTCCACGTTCCACTTGCCCAGGGCGGAGATTCCAAGAGTGAGAAGACCGATAGGGACATGGTGACTAAAGAAAGACACAAGGTTGATCAGATTCAAAGCCTCAAAGTGTCCGGTACGGTAGAGATCGTGCATAATGCTCAAAAAAGGCTCTGCAAGCTTCTCGTCGGTGAGATGGGAGTTGATATGGTACCGCTCAATTGGCTTTGATGTGGCGGCAAGCCGATGGCTAATAGCATGTATGGCCAGAGGAAGGCACTCATAATGGTTCACCAGATCAGTCGCTTTACGGATTTGCTCTTTAGTAGGCTTCCTGATGCCTAGGTCCTCGAAGAGTAATTTGCAGGCGTCGGCAACCTGCAGAGGCCGTACCATAAGGCAGTACGGTTCATACAAGCGCTGTTTTTTTCTCAGCGTTTTGTCGACTGAGGTGTATATGATGCTGCACTTCTTATTAAACGGCAAGAATTGTTTGAAGTGATTCAGGTCGTTCTCTTGGTTAAAGGTAACTCCATCAAATACCAAAAGCCATTCTTCTCGTGCTTGCAGCCAGTTCCGCACCGACTCGACATACTTCTGAGACGTGTCGGTGTCTGGATATTCAAACTCTTGCTCATCAGTCAGGGTGGCAGCCTGTGCGATGTCCCAGAAGCATTTGAAGGTCGACTGACGGGATTTCGCATCGACCCAGAAGACTCCACCGGGGTAGATTGCTCGATGGGTCCAGACGTACTGGCGTGCTAGATGCGACTTGCCTGTCCCGGGACCTCCACAGATGAGTACGGCCATGAGTCGCTCTGCTCTCTTCTTAGCTTTAAAAATCCTGGAATGCAATATTTCGAGTTGCTTTTGCATTCCCACAAAGGTCGCGTTCGGATGGAAGCCTGGGGGCACCACGAACAGGGGATCCCTCTGGAGAGACTGGGAGAGGGACAAATTGGTGCTCTCGCCGAGATTAGATACAAGGGACGACCTTCTTTGAGACTGAAGGGCCATCATTTCAGAGTTACCTAAGAGGAAAGAGTCAGCATGATCTGACTTGACAATTTGTTGATAAGAAAACACAACACTAGGGTACAGGAACAGAAGAAAACAAAACACATCGCCAGAGAAAGAGAGATCCCCGAAAGATAAAGGGAAAGAAAGAACACAACAATATATGCCGACAGCCTTTTCTGGGTTCTCCTATGCTTTCGAGGCTGCCTCTTCATTCTTTATCTCATGCACAAAAGGCCAATTTACATATGCTTGCTTTGATAGGAAGACTCTGGGGGCTCCTCAATCTCATACTCCCTCAACGTGACAGAAGATGAAGGGTCAGGAAGCAGATGTGTCCTACCAATTGAGCGAAGGTCGGGAACGCTCCTCCCTATCTGTTCCGTTTCTACTCGCTCTGCATTTGTCAGTACTACTCTTGAGAAGGAGTGGAGCTAAGGTTAGATCCTGGACTACATACCGTGGCCGAAGATTTCTCTGACTTTGGTCTGTCTCTGGACGCGGCGAGTTTTCTCTTCTTCAACCCAACGATCTGCGATAGTGTGCGGAGCATCGCGCGAGTACCGCAGCAGGGCTTCGGCAACCGCTTCATATCCGGGGGAGTTGTCATCATCGAACTTACACATGTGACTGTGGTCAGCTTCGATGCCCATGCGTTCAACTCCTTCGGCGTAGGGCGCGGCGGAACTTTCGTCTACGATCAACTCGCGTGTCCCTTTCACGTCGCTCGACAGTGTTTCGTGGAAGAAATAGATGTGGAACCGGCTTGTGATGTCGGCGAAGAGGCTGTTAATGTTCTGGAGCGTCTCGTTGTTGGTTTTGAGGGCCTTGACCAAATGAGGGGATGACTCCATGAATTTCTTCGGCATGACGGCACTGCAAATGTTCTGCAGTAGCAGGCCCCATTTGGCAACGTCCGAACCATTATGCGGCGTTCCTAGAAACAGGATCCCGTATGTGGACACATAGACAGATCGCAGATGCTCAATCTTCTCGTTTGACACGTTCCGGCAGTAAATGAGGGTGCGTTTTACGACGAGGCCACCCAACGAGTGACAGACAAAAATGATCGGCCTGTCCGAACAGTTACGAAGCTAGAGACGTCAGTTTGCTGTCTTTGAACACCACAGCGTAAGTGAAATCGACAAAACACTTACATTCCGGTTGGCCGCGAGTCCGGACGCCAGAGTCTCGGCATGATTGTGAATCCTGTCCTTCGACGCACCGTCCGTGAAGGCAGTCACGTTTGCGTTATACCCATAGGTCAGGAGCCTCACTCGGTTCGGGCCGAGAACCTCGGGCAATAGATCGGCTGGCCAGAAGGTGCCATTGTTCTTGGAAGTCCAGGTGTGGTGAGGGTGACCATTCAGACCATGGACAAAGACGATATCGACCAGCGGCTTTTCGGGGCTACAGTAGACCTGGGTCAAACCGTACTGCTTCACACGGGAGGCAAGGTCCGACATAGCTCGAGCTGTAGGTCGACTGTTAAAAGATCAGAGGAAACAAGTCAGCCAGGCACCGATCAGGGAGCGAACTCGATATCCTCACATCCACACAACAAAGTTTCCTGAAGAGGAAGGCTAGAACGAGTCGATTGCGACCATGCGCGAGAGAATGGTGGTTAATTTGGACGAAGCGATGGAGCTAAGAGGAAGATTTAATACGAAATGTGTTGAAGGATGGGGAAAGCAGCGAGGGAGGAAAGAGGGAAACAACGGGTCAGTTGGAGCGTGAAGGTCACTGAGTCAACATGGGCGAGCAGCTGGATGGTATTTATGTGGTGGGGGCAGCCAGCATGAGAACCGCAGATGACTGGGCCAAGAGGGGTGCCTGGTGCCTGTGGGCGCTGCTTCAGGTTCTGCAGAGTGAATTCCCGTCATCGACTTAATCTCCATGCAGCTACTTTTTACATTTCCTCGAGTTCCCGTGGACATCAGGGGGGCTGACCAACTAGAGGTCATGCCGCCCGCCTCGCTGACCAGGAAGATCGAAGCTCACCTGCAGATCGCGGGGAACCACTTTCCTGTACATAGATAGTTGGAGCTTTTGTAACTATCTCCCGCTATTCCTCCATCCCCATAATGACACGATGATGCCACCAACCCAACCGAGGTAAACCCTGTATCAAAATTACTTTTACAGTTCCCCATTTTCTATAGTTCTCTCCGTCCCGTAACCACGGACTCGCCCCGGCCCCCTCCCCCTCCCTCTCGAGGGGGCTGTGACGCCCGACGCGGGCAACTAAAGTTAGTTCTGCAGGCCACCTCCGGCCAGGTCATGCCGGCCGGGCAATTCGGGGAGCCCTGTCAACTCCCTCAACAGGCTGAGTGTTCTACGAGCCCTATGCACCGGAGGATTCGGATCTGCACTGGGCTGTGCTGATGCATGCATGCATGTATGTATGTATTACTTACAATTTGCTTATACATTGATTTAGTTCATTAGGGGATATTATTTTAGCGAAGAATGCGAGGCTCAACTTCGCATCGCCTGGTTTCGCTTTTTGGGTTTGCGAGGCTACTACCTACAATGGACTTTTCTGCCTGGTATGATGTAACAACCGAGAAGTAATTTTCAAGGTAGTATAATTTTATCATATAGAATATAACTCATTCACTCAGATATTGTGTATACAGCCAGTTAAACCCAACCCCAACCCCAACCCCAACATAATCCAACTCCTCCTCCAACCTCAACAACCATAGACAGAACCTCCAAAATAAACCGCAGCATCAACTAACCAACTCACAAGGCTGAATATGACTATCCCGCCCCAGGACCAGGGTCCGGTCCGGTCTACTCAGTCAGTGGAGCAAGTAAGCACCCACCACCAACGGAGCGGGTCTGGCCGCGGCGGATGGATATCCACCCACCACCAAACCCAGGGTTGGTTCCAGGGATCCAGGGTTCGCGATCGGCTGATTTATCATTTCTATTACTACCCTCTTACCACTAGGATGGGGTTTCCTGGGCTCGTGGCCTACCTATCTACGGGTTTAACTTGCCGGGATTAGTACTAGTTTCTTGATTGGGATCCTGGCGAATCATCTACCCGGCATGTCATCCCTGTTCTGAGTGATGAGTGAGTGAGTCAAATGGTTTGTGTAACGGGTTGGTTCTCGGATGTGTGTGTGTCTCTGCTAGGATGTTAAATGGCGTGGGTCGTATTTTATTTCGTGTGGCTGAGGAGGGACGGGTTTGGGATACGGGATGGGAGGGGGGTGAGTATTATTGAGACGGTCATGGATGGATCATGGATGGATCATGGTTGTTATATTACCTGAGTACTCGTTTTCTGATTTTAGATATTTGGATTTAGGGTTGGGTTTCTTGCTAGGTTGGAGGGGTGGGTCTATACTACACACGTTGACTCGCTCATCGTTTCATCTTGAGGCCTGAATAAAATGAAGGTTGATATGTTGTGAGAGGTTCGGATGAGGATATTATGTGGCTGGGGTTTGAGTGTGGTTGAGCAGTTGGATGGGGCTGTTTCGAGTTTGGTTGTTCATGTTGGGATAAGAAGAGGTATGTAACCTGGAGAGATGATACTCAGAAAAGGGTATGATGGTGGAAAATGGAATTCCGTAGGTTGCACCTAGATTTCCTACATACAGGGATGCGTTCCTATCTGTAGGTTTGGAATGTGACAACGCAACCTAATCTGGGCTATCAGAATGATCCCTGGATGATATAGACTCGGAAGATACGAAACAAGAGTTCCAGTCCAACGGGACTCAACCATAAATTATTCCAGGATACGATTACATGACTCACAAACTAGCTAGTTCTAGAATCTTTTCCAGTACGACTTTGTCCTACCTGAGTCACAATGTCCATTGGGCGTGTCGGCTTACAACCACGTAATCGGGCAACACGACCTCATCGCCCCCTGAACACAGGCTTCCGCTTTTCCGCAAACGCCCTGAGAGCCTCAAACCGATCCTCGGTGCCCATCACTCCCAGATACGCCTCGTTTTCGGCCTCCTCGCCCCGTTGGAACTCGCTCACAGCCTTCAGCGCCTGCTTGATGGCAATCGGCCCGCCCTCGCAAATATCCAATGCGAGCTTGATACTCTCCCTAATGACCTTCTCCCTCGCCACTCCTTCCTTGGCTTCCTCCTCCGGGAGCACCTCCACGAGCCGATCGCAAAGACCGATGAAATATGACTCTGGGCCCGAAACCCGCCGTCCGGTGAGAATGAGATCCCGAGCCCGGTTCACGCCAATTAGGCTCGGAAGACGATAGGTACCTCCGGCACCGGGGATAATAGCCAGTCTTGTCTCGGGGAGTCCGACCATGCTCGAGGAGCCGAAGACGCGGAGATGTGTGCACAAAGCGAGCTCGAGACCGCCGCCGAGGGCCATGGAGGAGATGGCGGAGATGGTGGGTATGGGAAGCTCCGAGAGGTTACGGAAGGTCGTTCGGAGAGTAGTTAGGAATTCGGCTGTCCTGAACAAGATCGATGCATGGTTAGTGAGGTATACTATGGGTTTGGGACACCAGGATATCACGTACTCTTCCCGAGACATGGTCGCGCGCTCCTTGAGGTCTGCGCCCGCGCAGAAGGCCGAGTCGACGTTGCTGGCTATAACGAGGGCCCGGGTGGGACCTGAGCCCCCTTCAGCGGCAATCGACTGGACATTCTTGGCCAGTCCATTGAGCAGATCACGGGAGATGGCATTGCGTGCGTTGGGTCGGTTCAGGAGCAGAACGCGAATACTCCCCGATCCTGGGGCGGGGACGTGTTGGGTCTGGATCACGGCATTGTCGCTGGTCGTGCTGAATCTCGCGACCGTGATGCGGTAGGAGAAGGTGGGTCGGAAGGAGATAGATAGTGGGAGACGCGGAGGCATTGTGGTGATTGTAAAGTAATCGCCTGGCAAGTTGGCAACGGAGGAAGAAGGGAGAGCTTGAAAGTTGAAAGATCCGCGGCTGCGGGGAAGCCGCGGATAAGCGGTGGAATGCTGGATGCTCTATTGCACCCGTTCTATCTATGTTACAGTTCTATTTACACTAATGTACAGAGTACCGAAATCGATCGCTGGCCTCGCGCGATTCCTGCTCCCCGTGAGCTATATAATCCAAAACCTCCTCATCACTCGGCCACGATCCCCAGACCCGCGAGGTAGTGATGATGTCATACGCCTCCTGCAGGCTGGCATCCGAGAATGTTGATCCCTCAGACGCTCCCAGACCCTCGGCTTCGTACAGATCATGCGTCGGCTCCATGCCCGGTTCCCACTCGAGGGAGGCCGGGGGTGACCTTCCCCAGTATCCCTCCAGAAACATGCGGACGGCAACAATGATCCGCCGCATCATCCTCTCGCCATTCATATTCTCGTCATACTTCTCCTTGAGCGTGAGCTCGTACTGCCGCATCCAGCGAAGCAGACTCAGCAGGCCATCCGTGTCCTCAGCAAACCCGAGCGCTCGCACAAACGCATGAAGCACGGCAGGCGAGGGAACGTGAAACAAAGATGGCACCGTCACTTGAGATGCAGTGGCATCCTGAATCGAAGATCGGCTCCGTTCGAAAAGAGACGAGGTCTTGGGGTCCAGGAAAACAAGCTCATCAAAACGGGTCTTGAGGATGCTGAGTCCACTTTGAACCATATCCTCGAATCGCGTGGAAATACCCTGGAAACTGGTCAGTCTCCCTCGCCGCGCCACGTCGCTGACTACCGCAAGTCCTTCTTCCACCGAGTCCGGCTGCTTGACTCCTGCAACTACGACCCGTGAAAAGCTGAAGCAGAGAACCTGGAATCCCTCCAAACTCAGCTCGATGTGACGCTGGTCCATCCAGCTGGCGATCTCCAGAACTTCATACCAGGAAAGTGCCAAACGGGCGTGGCGTCCCATTCTATGAGACGAAGACCCAATGCGGTCCCGGGCCAGAGCCGACATGACTTGAATCCACGTCTGAGGGGACCGTGAATGTTGAACTTGTAGAAGGTGGATGGCATGCGCCAGAATTTTTGGATGACGAAGATCCTCGCGTCTCTTCAATTCTTCGGAGTATGCAAATAGCGTGATCGCGTAAGAAGAAATCGTTGAATGACGGCCAAGTAATATAGGAAACATATCCCCCAGACGACTGTCGGGCTGCGCCAGACTACGATGTCCAACGGTAGAGAAGTTGCATAAGAATGCCATGAAGGATGAAATGAGGTAGTCAGGCAATTTTTCTAGTGCCTTGCTCTTTTGCGCTTGGTCGCCGCATCTTGGTCCTGAGACGGTGCACAATGCCTCTAACTGCTCATTTGTCAAGTCACTGCAACAAAGATAGTCCAAGCCTGAGCTGAAGGTCGGTGCATTGCGCAGTAGTAAGGCTAAGAATCTGCCCCGCGGTCGGATGCCCTGTGAGAGCATTTCGCGGAGAAGATCCTCTAACGTAGGTGGCTCAGTGGAGACATAGATCCAATCCCGGACAGACGAAGGTTCCGGGAAGACCTCCTTCCCATCACCCGGCAATGCTGGGCTGCGTTTATGGGAACTATTGCGGACAGCTTTCTGTCGAAAGATCAGTTTCTCGGCCATGGCGGCGTAAATAGTACCACGTGGAGGCAGACCCTGGTCGCGATAGGAGAGGAAGCATGCCCAGGCTTCTCGCACCGTCCTTGTAGCTCGAATTCGGGCTGCCCAAATGGTGTGATTAGGGCTCCCGGAAGGTCCATGCACCGTCTCCGGGCGAGATGTCAACGATCTTGTTTGGATCGTTGGACTTTTGTCCGTGTCCCAGCCTGCTAGGATACTGGATATATCTTCCCAGCGAGAGTGCGAATAACCTGCCTCTTTCATTTGTGACAGCACTCGCATCGCTCGGCTTTTCATACCCTCGACACCCCGCTTGACGTCGAAACCTATCTTCTCTTCCTTCCAAGGGGGCCACGACGGGGCTTTTAGTTCCGCTGACTGCCGCTCCTCTAATGTCTTCTTGTGGGCTATTTGGACCGCAACAATGCCCTGGTACCCTCGACGCGTGACCGGCAAAGCAGGCTGATGTCGCGCCATGGCGCGAAGGAGCTCGAACTGCGCTTGTTGCTGGATGGAGGCGGACGTAAACGGACCATGCCTGCAGGGCAACGATAGTATCCGGAGCACGGTATTGAATTTGTCGGTCATGAAATGATTGATCCGCTCTGTTGCAACAGCCCAGCCTTTGCCCCCATTTTGGAGGTTATCCAAATAAAACGCAAATGCGCGGGCAATAGTAAGCTGAGCTTGTGGCCACAGTTCGCGAGCATGATGGAGCAAGCGAACCACATAAGTTGCACACATGTTGGGTTCAATCAGTGGCTTCGTATCGCCGAGCGCCTGGTGTTGGTCAAAGACAGCGTCGTTGGTCATTGCTTCCATCGCAATGTCTGTGGTCGGGACAGCCTGGCCGCTCATAAGGTGTAGCGAATAGATCAAGAGCAGCCGGAAAGCCTTATTATCAAGACTCTGGCGCAAGAGAAGGAGCGGTATAAAAGGGGGCACCGTCTTGATCAAACAATCTTCGTTTGAGCTTCGTTCTGCTTCTAGGAATAAAACGCGAAGAGTAGCCTCATAGGGTGTACTGCTCTTGAGCACCCATGCCCAAGCCACCACATCAGTGGCGGAGTACTGCCGTGCCGCAAGATATTTGAGATGATCTTCGCAGAAAGCTAATTGAAGAGCTTCATTTAGCTCTGCTGCCGCACCAGGGCCCACGTCGGAGTTTGCCTGATCCAATAGAGGGTCCACCAACTCTATGTAGTCGGCGACAATTTCCTGTAACGAAAGTCGGTGATAGTGCTTGAAATTGTCCCTTTGTCTTTGGGTCAAAGAGGCCATAATGCCTGTATTTTGCGTCGTAAACGCCCAGCTGCGGCTTTGGGCGCCATGGGCCTTATGCGCGTTTTGTAAGGTATCAACCAGGTACTCAGTAGGTGTTGGCTCAAAGGTGGAACTTGTTGTCTTGGTGCGCCTGCGTGGTTCGGACAATTCATCCTCTGGCCGTGAACGTCGATGTGTTCCTTGCTCGTTTGATGATGACCTCGTGCGCCTAATCAAGCGTAGAGGTTTCGAATGAAGACCGTCTCCACTGTTGCCTTCTCCATGAAATTCGCTTTTCTCTCCTTTCTCCGGCCCCTCCGCTTTTCGTTCTTTACAGCCTGCGGCAGCCTGCCCCCTGGACGCTCCCTTGGACTGCTTAACTTCTATGACCCTCGGGTCCGGATAGTCTGGGCTCGCATCCAACGGACTGTAGCACTGATTTAACGGAGATTGAAGACGCAGTTTAGACCAGTCATCACCGGATATAGCATCGCATTGTTTGTCCAGGAATTCGGTCATCAGTTGCCGGTTCTGTGCAAATCCAGGCTGGAGATGGTCCGGGCCTCCCAAGGTGCTTAACAGCCGAAACGACAAAGAGGTGGGGAGAACGCCATGGGAGAGTTTCGCAGTTGGGTCCGTTGCTGATCGGGGAAAGCTATGGTAAGGATATCCCTGGCGAGCAATTGAAGAATTAGCACGGCGGACCAGGTGGAAGACGACATTTATTCCTCGGTACCTTCCGCCAGACACGGCTGTACAAATGTGCCGCTCTCAGAGAGGAAACTCTCGAGCGGCTCGACACATGATTCAAGACCGATGACATCCATGAAGAGAGGACATCGAGTAGCTACAGCACAGCCAATCTTCGACGTGGTGTTGCTTGTCCCTGGTAGTAGGAAGCCGGCCAGGAGCATCCAACCGGCGATTGGGGAAAAAAGCGGGGTCACGTGAGGGATCGTCACGAGTTGCGGTTCTGGCATGGCGCGCAGGAGGATCTCGCTCTCCCGCCTGGCGATGGAGTCCGTCCTGCGTTCTCCCAGTTCCGCGCCCCAACTGGCCCTGATCCTACTTATTTTCGTGGCGTCAAGGAGCCCGTCGCTCCGTGTCAATCTATCGTCGTGGTGACACCGCCCTATGCGTCGCGACTTGACTCTCCCTAGCTGCAGCGCACCGTTTCTCGATCGAGCCTCGTAACTATTGGCGCATCCGCTTCGGAGAACAAGGAACACTCAATCACCGGCCACTGTTCCGCCCCTCTCCTGGATTATATCCCTTTATTCCAATTTATTTCTCAATAGTTTCGCAGACTGCGGGTGTATTGGTGGGCTTCATTACCTGGTGCACCTCCCTCAACTTCATTGAAAAAAAAAGACAATCGAAGAGTCCCACTACACTCGCGTCAAAGAAGACTTCGAGAACGGCGCGACTCCGAGGCCATGAGTGCAGACGAAGGCGGAGGGACGGCCCCGGTGCCGGCCACGAACGGCGAACAACCTCAAAACACACCCGAATCGTCAGTACTGGCGACCCCGGGCAAGCGAAAGCGCGTTGCGAGTCACGATGACAAGGTCGCCCAAGATGCTGGGGCTTCGGCGGCGCTATCGCAAGAGAGAGCGAAGCTACAAGAGACCCTGCGTAATCTAGTTGAAATTCTAAGCAAGTGAGTGCTACGCGCCGCTACTGAACTGGGAGCGCTTCCCACTGACACATGCCAGGAGCGATGCCGATCTCCATCTTCTGTCCTGTCCCCTACCGTCTTCCCCGGCAAAACCACGCTCGAAACGCGCGAAGGTGTCAGGAGATAAGGATGAGAGCTCCAGCATACAAGCGCGGGTTGCGTCGGATCGGTACAACAATCTATCGGAGTTTCTGAGCGATATCGAAAAAGCGTCTACGGCTGTGATTGAAAGGAATAAAGCCCAAGCGACGGCTGCTCCGGCTGACGGGACGCCTTTGACCGAGACAGTCAACCGCATCGCGGCGTTCAAGAAGCTGCTGAATAGTCTTGTTCGTCAGGCACATGTGAGCCAGTCAAACATAAAGACGGAGACCTCGGAAGAAGACGGAGAAACCCCGGCAAAGACCACCCCAGCCAATGTTGAGACCCGGAATGAGAGCCTGGCTCTGACACTGTTCGGGAACCCTGCCAACCCGAAGCAGCTTTACTCCAGCTTGCAAAAGACTGTCAAGGTCCCACTGCCTTCGGATGATCCTAATGCAGACAAGTTTGTGGAAGTACAAGCACCATTACGCGAGGATGGCTTGCCCAACGGAATCTCCATCACCAAGGTGCAACCGGTAGATGCAGAGACCGCCACCAACGAGCATAAGAGAACTTTCGGCGACGTGTTCGCTCCTCGTCCAACATTGCCCCAACTAGAGCCGCCCCGCAAAGCCAGGACTTCTAGTCGCAACGCTACCAACGGCTGGATCGATCCTTTCGAGGCCATTACGAACTACAAGGCTTTCCTCGGTGAGCGAAATAACTACTGTCTTGCGCATCTTCCATCAGGGCATTGGCTCCAGTATGGCGGGGTCACGTCTGCTCCGTCTACCTGGAACCGTCGGCAGAAACAACAGCCTGCTCAACAACCGGGCGAGGAAGTCCCCAACGATGATTCTGCTCTGAGCACTGACGAAGATGCCGCGCTCTTGCAAGGCGTGTACTCGTCATTTGCTCCTTCTTTTGATAGTTCAGGGGCTGTTGTGCAAGCCGATTCCAAAGATTTGGTGTGGTGGAGCAAGCGTGGAGCTAGACGTTTGAACACGCTGCTCTCCCTACCGTATCTCGAAGAAGAGCAGGCAGACACAACGACGGTGCAACCTGGGAGTATTGGCGAGCTTGACGAAAGCACTCTAGAAGAGATGGTGAAATCGTTCAATCCGGATGATTTTGCAGACAACATCGCGCATGCCGATAGGTCTACAGAAAGGCAACATGAAGACCGAGACCTCGAAGAAGTACTATGCGACGTTTCTGAGCTGTTGGAGACACTCAGCTCATACCAGAGAATCCGAAGCCTCGAGACCGCCAGCTCTGGTAGCCAAGGTACTGATCCCAAGGAAACGTCACCTGAGATCGGAGGACCCGACATCCCGTCTCTAGCGGAGCGAAGCGTGTACGAAACCCTTAGGTCGAGTCTGGCTGTTCTTATCGCAACCCTGCCCCCATACGCTGTGGCCAAGTTGGATGGCGACCAACTGGAGGAGCTGAACATCAGCCAAAAGATCCTGGTCGAGAACCCCGAATACCAGGGTACGATGGAAAAGGACGACTATGCTTTGCAGCAGGAGCGCGCAGTTGCTATGGCTACCTCCAGCGGCGCCAACCGGACGTCAACGCCATCACGTTCTGGTAGCTACCAGGCGCAGTTCAACCAACGGGCCTTCGGGGCCAACAATCGGGCCCAGCCTCAGCCTTCCTTCCAAACTACACAACCCTATTACGGAGGAAGGCAGAACTCGACTCCAACGCCATACACCCCGGGCCATGCGCAACCGTTCGCAGGCGCGCGACCCCCATCAACACCGCAGCAGAGACCCGGCTACTTCCCGGGGTACGCGCAGCCCAGCCCGCAATTCAACCAGGGCATTACGGTGCCGCAGTACCAGCGGCCCGGGCAGAACGGCTACCACGCATACCCGGGACAACAACCGGGCCCCCCGCCGCCGGCCGCCCAGGGATCGCCGCAGCCCTACACGCCCCGCCCCGGCCAACCCGCGCCTCATAACGCCCCCTATGCAGCTGGACGCAGCGCCTCCCCTCAAAAACCTCCTCCTTACGCAACTCCGCGAGGCTCGTACATCCCCCCGGGCTCTGCCAACCCGCAACAGCGGTACATGCCGCAGCAACAACCAGGCCAACAACCCCCTCCCTATGGTAATTACCCTTCCAACCAAGCCCCGCCACCATCAGGGGGGTACTCCAACTCCGCTGCCGCCATGACCTACGCGCGAAGTGCAGCCGAGCAAGCCATAATGATGGAAAGAAATAAGGCCCAATTAGCAGCAGCCCAAAACAGCACCAGCTCGACGACACCACAGCCCGCGGGGGGTGAAGCCTCCCAAGATCGAAGCGCAACGCCGGGAAGCAAGCAAATTGGAACCCCGGTTTCTTGATGAGTGGATGAGATGAGACCACGGTCCAGATGTAGGAATGCTGCCATTGACTATGCACTTCATTTCTGTTTACTATCTACCTTTTACAACTTTCCTCTTGTCAACATTATACCATTGTTCCTTTTCCCCCTGCCCTGTGTTCCTTCCTACCAGTGAAGTTTAGACAAACGACTCGAGAGAAAAAAGCCCTCCCCCAAAAATATATGACGAACTCTAGGCGCGTGGACAGTCTTGTCTACTTTGGATACTGGGCACACCCAACACTATCTACCCTATTTCTAATTTCCTTTCCCTCCCTCCCACACACACACACACACACAAACACACACACCGTCCTCGCGACAACAGACCCCCTTTTTAGATTCAACAGGTAATTCCCCCACAGGATGTATGACTGGCTAGCTGGATGGATCGATGGATGGATATCTGCTTCATATTCTGACCCCCTGTTCTGTTCTGTTCTCTTTCCAGTTCAGTTCCTTTCCCCTCCCCAATGGAGTACTATTATTACTATAACCATTACCATTGCCATTGCCATTGCCACTATCATTATTATGATTTCCACATTCAATGCACCCTTCAATAATCCAAGAGAACATGATGCACAATCCTGCCGTTGCCCGGGCCATTCATGCTTCGGTACAGCAGTACTTCTTCATCTAGTTATTGCTTCTAGGCCACGCGCGACTTCCTTTCTATTTTATTTTATTCTATTTTGTCTTCTTTGTTTTCTTCTTTTTTTTCTCCTTTTCTTCTTCTCTTTTTTCTTCTTTTTTTTGGTTTGGATCCTATCACCTGTCTTTCCTCTTACTTCCTGCGGGTATCCGGTCACTTTCTCATCTCGTTACTTTTGGACTTTATGTCAAAATGTCTTTCAGGATCCAATTCAGGCTTACCATATGGTTAGCGAGCAAGGTCATCTATTTAGTTGGCGTTATGGATGATGATCGGGGTGGGTGGAGGTAGGTAGCTTATCTCTTTCATTATTAGTGGGTTGTGGTGAACGAGTGTAGTATACATCAGTCTCATGATTGCACATTCTCATAATACATCACAAGAATCAAAGGCAGAATCAAAGAATCGTGAAAAGCAAGCCCTCAATGGCAGAAAGGTGTACCGTATTCCTAATCATGTTGGCTGCATGGCCAATCCAGAGTCGATAACGTCTACCTTTCGTCTAGATGTTCGGTCTCAATTTGCCCAACTCCCAAGCCGAGTAAGAGATTCAGGGAAAAGAAACGCTGCCCAAGAAAATTCGTAGATTCATAATGGTTAAAGGCATAATGGTTGCTGAGGTCAGGGGATGAACATTGCTGCCGCGGTCATGAACATAAAGTATCTGGCACAGATAATTAGTACTTCGTTGTTCTGAAAATGAGGGGAAGGGGAGACATACATGGTCGCACATCTCCATCCATCTCGAGAGTCGACTATCTGATCTGCTCCCGTTGAGTGGGTGGATGCAATGGCAGAGGCAGCTCCACCCACGACTGCGACCACGAGAATTCGACCGGAGAACTCGGAGATCATGTTGAATGCGAGCAATGGAAGGAGCACCGCAGCAGAGGCGATGATAATCGCGGAGAATACAGGCTTCGTGGTGGAGGTGGTGGAAGCCGTGATGTGTGGAGTTAGAGAGATCAAGTCTTTGGAGTAGTCTAAGAATCGCGTTTCAGCGGCGACGACAGGGTTCTTTTCCTTCATCCAATCACGGTACGTGTCGATATCCTTCGTAGAGGCAGATGGGAGAGTTTGAAGGACTTTACTATATGCGCTGAGAGCATTGTCTGGAAATGGTCAGTCCCTATATGATCGACTGCCCGGCTGATACTCACTATATTGCTCTGTTTTACGCGCTAGCGCCCCTAGCAGCTCCTCGCGCCTGTAGTGAAGGGAAGAGTAGACCTGTGCTTGGGCATCCATGCGCCGTGAGGCAGGAAGAATTGTCGTGCCCTCCTGCTCGGCAGCCGCAAGCCGATGCAGTTCCTCGTATTCGTCAAGCACTCGCAGGTCTTCCTCCATTTGTGCAATCTCATCCTGAAGATGGAGCAGCACGCGATGGTTGATATCTTCAAATCGGCGATACAAAGGAGGGATACGAGGCTCTTGGCTCTCAGCGGCCGAGCTCAACCGAGAAGCGAGAAGACCATATCCGGAGGAAGTAGAAGAGGATTTGGTGCTGCGCCTGCGTCGTCGAGTGGGCCGATGGAGATCATCTTCCGGGCTTCGCGGCGGCGAAGGAGGTAACGGTGACCGCTGCAAGGAGACAGAGTTCCGGGGGTAGTAAACCTCCGGCCTGGAGCCTAGGTCCATGCTTCGCTTCTCAACATAGTTTGAGCTTTCAGGGAAAGACCCTACCGCGCTGTAAGCTCCTTCCATGGAGGGTTTGTGGGTAGGGATGTTATTCCTCGTTACGTGTGAAGGGGTTGCACTTGGAGGAATGTCAATTGAGCTGGGGGTTTTCTGAGAGTTCGCCGAGGACTTGGACATCACGGACGAGGTGCGGCTGCGAGTGTCCATCCCTTGAGCCGCCGCTGGATAGGTTTGACGAGCAGAGCCAGTGTACACCATCTTGGGGTGGCTATTGGAGACCTGGTGGTGTCCATACTCGTCTGCTGAAGAGTCATCTTCATCCTCCTCCTCATCATCATCCTCAGTTGTAGAATTATCCTCGAGGTACTCGAAGACATTTGGCGCTTTGCGCTCTGATTCATTTTTGGCCTGAGTTGCTTGGGGCCGCACAGGGTGCGTGGTGCTTGATCCGCTGCTCTTTGGTACCGTGGATTGGACCTTGCTGTCTACCTTTGGTTTTTCCCCAGAAAGCTTTGAGCTCTTTGAAGTAGAATGTGAATTGGACGAGATGATCGACGCTGCTCTACCCGTCCCATCTTTCTTAGGTCTCTTGGAACGAGTCGATCCAGAATAAAAAGGCATCATGGGTGGAATTGGTTGATGAGAATAACAATTGAAGACTTAAGCTCGAGATAGTTATACCCCGAGGACGAACGGGGGAGTGGTGGCTAACAATGAGATGCGCCTATAAGATATCTAGTCTGCGTTGTTTGGAAGGGGAAACAATGGAGGCATATCAAGGGAGAAACAATAGGATGAGAGCCCAGGAATGCAGGACAGAATGTGGGTGACTGATGGGTCTCCCTTGGGCAACCACGGCCCGTCAGGACGGTTTAGTGAATTAATTTGGTGACAAGCGGAGACTTGAAGATCGCTAACGGATTATGGAGCCGTCCATATGGAGATCCCGCTGCTTAGCCTGTTCTTAGACCGATCGTGATCAGTAAAAAGTAGATACTAGATAGATAGATGAATAGTAAGTAGCAAGGCTGACGGGAGACGCACCCGGGAATGGCCAGCAGTAAATAGTCAATCCAACGGCCAAACAGCCCCCAATACCAATGCTCAAGATGAGACAGATCTCCGACAACAGCCAGGGAGAAGGAGAGCTGAACGGGTGCTTTTTTCGGATGCGATGACCTTGGAGGGGTCTCATTCGTTGTAGTAGGCGCCCCGAGTTACAGATCGGCTGCGATCGCGAGGGGCTTTCCCTGTCGCGCGGGATGAACTTGATCTCTGCTTCTAGGCAGAGAGGAGGGGGAAGGCGATACAGTAGGATTCAATGACACTCGATTAGGAGAAAGAGAGGGGCTCGAATGGAGAGCAGCGGAGAAGGAGAAAGGGAATGAATGGAGAGGAAAGAAAGAGGGACGGCGGCATCTGGAAGGCCGCCCTTTTCGGGGGTTTCTATACATGCTCGAAGCGTGATCATCTGTCCCTTCTCCTCCTCCTCCTCCTCCTCCTCCTCCTCCTCCTCCTCCTCCTCCTCCTCCTCCTCCTCCTCCTCTTTTTCCTCCACCAGATGTATCTATGTACTGCAAAGGTTCCTGTGAAGGTTATGCTGCGTTGGCTGACGGTGACTCGCTGCCGATCCCACCTTGCATGGTCAAATTCTTCGGCATTATCGTCCCGGACACGATGGCGATGGTCATTCATCGCTTGGAGAGCCCAGGCACCAGACGATGAGTTGGTTGGAAGCCATCGTGAGCTGGTTTCTTGCCGGGTCTCAAACGGGTTTGTTTGAATCTATCTCTTTATCTCTGTCTGCCGTCTTCCTCTACGGTTCCGCTAATCCCCGAGCTCAATGCATGACATGCCCTCTTCGTGGATGCTCTGGAAGCATGACATGCAGGAGAGCCAGTGGCCCTCTATGCGCGAACTTACCACCAGCGCATCGCGAATGGGAGGTCCTGGAACCCTCTGCGGATATGCCCTTATTGGTGCCAATGCGCCATCTGGTCCCCTCCATTCCATCCATGATGCCATTCATGATTCGTGCTGCTCAGCGGTGAGCGTAATTACCGTATGGTACGGGCTATAATCTCCTTCGCGCGCTTAATTCCGTCCTTCCATCGATTCCCATCCACGCCCAGGCCGTCTCCAGTAGACGAGAATTGTTCTTGCTGTTGGACGACCCCCTCTTTTCTCGTCCCCTGCAACCCTCCGATCCTCCGAGCCTCCCCTCCCCTCTCCTCCAGCAGGCCCGCCTTTCACTTGCCTCGGGCTCATGCTTCGACCATGGCTTCGGCAGTGCCCACGAGCAACCCGCTCGCTCGCCTGCCCGCAATGCCATCTCCCCCGGCCGCAGTCTGCCAGGCGCACCTCTAGCCCCCTCCCTGCCTGGTCCGTCTCGCAACCATTTCGATCCCTCCAAACAACCGCGACCGAGTCGCAGGACCGCGTCCCCCTTCGAAAACAGCTCAAGCAGGACGCCAAGGCCGTCAAGGCGCGCAAGCGACAGACACGAGAGAATGAGGAGGCCTCCCGGCAGAAGTGGGAGTTGACGGTGGGAATTGAGATCCATGCACAGCTGAACACCGAGTCCAAGTTGTTTTCTCGTGGGTAACTGGGATTGGGTGGATATATACCGGGAGCTCTCTAGCTGATCTCTGTGACCAGGAGCGCCAACGTCATCTACGGATCTTCCCAACTCGAATGTTGCCCTGTTCGACCTGGCGTTTCCGGGGTCCCAGCCGGTTTGTTGATCCGTTCCTCATGCATGAGCTGCAGATGATAACAGCTGGATGTGTACTACGTAGGAGTTTCAAATCGCAACGCTCCTCCCCGCCCTCCGCGCCGCCCTTGCTTTGAACTGTGACATTCAGCCGGTCAGCAAATTCGACCGGAAACACTACTTCTACCAGGACCAGCCGGCAGGATATCAGATCACCCAGTACTATGGTAATTAAATCACCTCTAGTGGCCGTTTCTGCACTCTAACACGGAGCAGAGCCATTTGCAAAGAATGGCTATGTGGACCTGTTCAGCCACGACGGCATTGCGCCCGAAGACGGCGACATGGTTCGCATCGGCATCAAACAGGTCCAAATGGAGCAGGATACCGCGAAATCCCAAGAATACCCGCCCTCGACGCAACTCCTCGACTTCAACCGTGTCTCCCATCCACTCGTCGAGATTATCACCATGCCGCAGATCCACACACCCGCCACCGCAGCGGCCTGCGTTCGAAAGATTCAGTCTATCTTACAGTCGTGCAATGCGGTGACAACCGGCATGGAGCTGGGAGGTCTGCGGGCTGACGTCAACGTCTCCATCCGCCAGCGGGGGGACGCAGCGGGCGCGCATCAGTACGGCGGCATCGGTGGACTCGGGCAACGCACAGAAATCAAGAATCTGAGCAGTTTCAAGGCTGTGGAGGATGCCATCATTGCGGAGAAGAACCGACAGATTGCTGTCCTCGAGAGCGGCGGGGTGGTGGCAGGCGAGACCCGGGGCTGGACGATCGGAAGCACGGAGACGCGCAAACTGCGAGGCAAGGAGGGGGAGGTCGACTACCGCTACATGCCTGATCCTGATCTGCCGCCCCTTTACATCGGCGCGGATCTCGTGTCGGAGCTCCGAAACACCCTCCCGACATCCACGGACGCACTCATCGAACTGCTGGCGGGGCCAGAGTATGGTCTGCCCCTCGAGGACGCGAAGCCGCTGGTGGAACTTGAGGACGGCGCTCGGTTGGAGTACTACCAGGAGGTCGTGGACCTACTGCGGGCGCTGCAAGAGGACCAGGGTCCCAAGGCGCAGAAAGGACTCGCGCGCGTGGCGGGGAACTGGGTCCTTCACGAGCTTGGGGGATTGTTGACCAAAGCGGACCTGGCGTGGGATGGGGAGCGGGTTCCTGCCCCGACCCTGGCCGCCCTGATCGACCAGCTGCAGCGGCAGCGCATCACGGGCCCGACGGCGAAGCAGGTGCTGGCCATGGTGTTCGAGGGGGATGCGCGGGCGATCCCTCAACTACTGGAAGAGGAGAACCTACTGCTGCGGCCGCTATCGCGGGAGGAGTACGTGGCACTGGCCGAGGCTGCGATCAGCCTCAACCCGTCGATGGTCGAGCAGATCCGGCAGAAGAACCAACTGGGCAAGCTGGGTTGGTTTGTCGGACAGATGATGCGGATGGGCGAAAAGGGGCGGGTGGAAGCCCCCAAGGCGGACGCGATCCTGCGGGAGCTGATTCTGGAGGGCCGGAGTTGATGTAATCACTATTCATCAAACGTAGATGGTAGCTGTTCATGATACCCATTCCCGGCACGGTCTCCCCGCCGTCACGACTGTGACCACCATGAAATCCTGCGAGCGAATTCCCGCATGACCATCCCGTCACTATCACGGCGTAGCATTCCGAGCGTATCTTGGACGAATCGATTGCTAATGGAAACGGGCGGTGGAGTGAAAAGGGCCGCCGGGGCGGGCATCTCTCCTCGACCTGTACTTAGGGGAAGGCCTGATCCCTAAAAGCAGGTCTTAGCGATCGCGATGCCCCACGGCCGCCCGCCCTTTTAACCCGGCCCTTCCTGCCTGCTCCGTCGGATTCCCAGCTTTCTCTTTCCCTTCTTCTCTAATCTTCTCTTCTCTCTCAAGACTCATCAGCCTTGCTGCTCCTCTCCTTCTCTTCTATCCTTTCTCTCCCTCCGTTGCTTGTCTCGTGCGGTGTTCGTTTCAACGGCCGTGCCAGCCTCGGATCGTCTCCACCCGCTTGATCTTATCTCATCTTTTGGGTCCGCCCTTCTAGAACCTTTACTTTTTCTTCAACCCTCGTCCTCGCGACTCTCCTCTCCTCTCTCCTTTCTCCACCCTTCCTCTTTCTCTCTCAGATTCACCATGACTTCTCCTTCCACAATTCGCCAGAGATTTCTCTCCAAGCCCAATGAGTTGGGCGTCGTGGCTGTGGGCTTCAATGGCGGCCAGGTACGTACAAAAATCCGGCGACGGATCCGTCGATCATCGTCATCACAGTCTAGCGTCAGAACCCCGGCTAACCCACGCCCCATACGGGCCCTGGCTGCAGTGCAAAGTTGGCGTCGAAGCGGCTCCGATGGCTCTAGTCGAGGCCGGTCTCCTCGAGCAACTGCGCGACGACCTCGGCTACGACCTGCACTATGACGACCAGGTCCACTACTACGAGGACAAGATGCCCGCCGACGACCCCGACCACCGCGGCATGAAGAAGCCCCGGTCGGTCAGCGCCGTCACCCAGTCGCTGAGCGAGCAGGTCTATGAGCACGCCAAGGAGGGCAAGTTTGTGCTGACACTGGGCGGTGACCACTCGATCGCGATCGGAACCGTGTCGGGCACAGCCAAGGCCATCCGCGAGCGCCTGGGCCGTGAGATGGCGGTCATCTGGGTTGATGCGCACGCAGATATCAACATTCCCGAGATGAGCCCCAGCGGCAACATCCACGGCATGCCCATGGCGTTCCTGACGCGTCTGGCTCGCGAGGAGCGCCCGGACATCTTCGGGTGGCTGCAGGATGAGCACATTGTCAACACTCGCAAGCTGGTGTACATTGGTCTCCGGGATGTGGACCGCGGCGAGAAGCAGATTCTTCGGGAGCATGGCATTAAGGCGTTCAGCATGCACGATATTGACCGGTAGGTACCAGCTTCTCCCAGGATGTTTGCGTCATGCTAACCCTGCCAGGTACGGCATTGGCCGCGTGGTCGAGATGGCCCTGGCTCACATTGGCAACGACACGCCGATCCACCTGTCGTTCGACGTGGATGCGCTGGACCCGCAGTGGGCGCCCAGCACAGGCACGCCGGTGCGCGGTGGACTGACTCTGCGTGAGGGCGACTTCATCTGCGAGTGTGTGCACGAGACGGGCAACCTAGTGGCGATGGATCTGGTGGAGGTGAACCCGAGCCTGGAGGAGTCGGGGGCCAGCGACACGATCCGGACGGGATGCTCGTTGGTGCGGAGCGCGCTGGGCGACACACTGCTGTAAATTAGAATTGGTGTTCTAGATAGATGGGCGGTATGACTTAATGACGAGCAATCGGTTCCTTCTGCAAGCTTATTCGGAGTAAGCCTCGACCGGCTTAGATTTACCCGCCACCATTTCCTGCCACCGGATTTTCGGATTTTCAGTTGATTTGTACTCCGCACATGGTACCCCATGCATTCAATTCTTCTTTTATCTTCATTCTTTGTTTATTACTCCGTACCTTGTTTCATATTCTCCAATCCTTCATAAGCTGTCCGGTCGAGACAAATCGTGTTGAGCACCGACCGCAGGGCATCGATCGATCAGCCCAAGCATCATTGCGGTCAGGAACATCAATGCGCTGGCATTGTCGCAAGCCCCTCTAACAAGTCAGGCGAAAGTGACGCTTCTGCCTGATGGGATGCCTTTATACCATACATACCCATACCCCATACTCGATCCTATCTACTTCTCTTATCTACTATTACTACAACTCTACGGAGTACCTACCCTATCTCGATTGATCGATAGATCGACTCTATACTAACCACACACCAATCGTTATATACCCCATCACCACTACTACCACCACTACCACCCATTACTACATTTATACATAACTATACTATCAACACCACACTACCAACCCTACCCTACCCCAACCAAAAACAAAGAGAAAAAACAAAAGAGAAATGGCCGTCCGAATCTACCACCGCCGTCGCCGCTACCACTGGCCCGAACTGCAACTCAACGTCTGGATCCTAGTGGTTCTCTCTTCCTCAGCAATCTGTCTGGGAATATTCTCCTGGTTTATGAGTGTTCAGAATGAATTGCAACTTGAAGTTCCTTGGTACGCCAATCCCCAATCCCCTCCCCCCAATAACCCATCAATCCCCAACCACAATACTAACCAAAAAAAAAACCCCAGGCTCTTCCCATACATGATAACCTCCGGCGCACTAGGAATCTTCTTCGTGATTCTCATCCTCGTTCTAGCAGCCCAACGCTTCCTCCTCCCCGGCATTATCATCGTGGGCGGATTCATTCTCTTCGTGCTATGGTTAACAGGTCTCGTGGAGACCTCGCTTCAATTATACGGGGTTTTATCCAATGTGAATGATAATTGTCGGATTTATGTCACGGATAGTCCCCATCCGGTTGGGGATGGGTGGAGGACCTTGGCGTGGATTACGGAGGATACGATTTGTGAGTATTTCGTTCTTTGTTTGTTTTTGGGGGATGGGGTTGAGAGATAATCCTAATGCTAATGGTTGTGTTGGGTATAGGTAATTGTTGGAAAACGGCGTTTGCGTTTGAATTGGTAAATACCATCTTTTATGTTTGGATGATTATTATGTCGTGGCAGGTGAATCGGGATTTGTATCGGTGAGGTTACTTACTATTTGGTGGGTTTTGTTCTTTTTTTTTTTGGAGAGGGGGTGGATAGGATGTATTATGAATGGATGAATCTGTATGATTGACGCATCAGTACTTATGGTTACTATGAATATATGAATGATGTTTATCTACGAAGTATCCGGAGATAGTATAGTATGAAGGCAATTATATGATCCAAACAAATAGTTTTGGAGTATCCCAGAATATAGTCAATTGACCAATAATATACCATAGTATGTGACATCTTTTTTTCGCGCTGCACTAAACGCCCTCGCTATGCCATCATCGCATACCGACTCAAGCAAATGCTCCCGTCGACAGCTTCGCAACGCCCTTCCCTGCCAATGAAAAGTACATATCCAACATGACATCAAATCCAACCATATGTCCGATCATGTCAACCGTTTTCGTTTGCAATCTGCTCCTCTGCTTCGGAGTTGTAATCCCCGTCCTCAAACGCCGCCATCATCTCTCGCTCTAGCTCGTCATCCTCCTCCGCCGGGTCCACTGGGGAACTCCCCGCCGGGCCCTGCGTCGCTGGCGCCTCGTCCGCCTCGTCCGCCGTCGTCGATGCAGCCGTCGCCCCCTCAGTCCCCGCGCTGGCCATTTCCTTCAGCCCCGTGCTCCGTTCATACGACCGTTTGATCCGCTGCGACAGCCGCGAGCCCGGCACATCCCCCTCCTCGCCTGCACTGTCCATCTCCTCGTCCCCGCTACCTTCGCCTTCCTCGCGCTTCCGCTTCTTGCTCGGTCCCATCTCGTCCACCAAAGACACATCGCTATCGCTTTCACTCTCGTCGTCGCTGCCCAAAAACTCCTTCAGCTCCTCATGCACGGCTGCTTGTTGCTCTTCATCGTAGCCAATGGGTGACGTTTGATCCATGCCCGCCGACTTAAGGAGGTCTTCGGTCGCGTCCTCGTCATCCGCCATGGAGTCCCCTGTCGCGTCGTCGGAGGACGAAAGCCACGAGCTCTCAACAAACTCTTTGGATCCGGGCGAAATCGGCTCCCCGCGGTCGTCAGGGTGCACCGGCAGCAGATATGGTTCCTCCGCCAGTCGCTTCCATTGGATTAGACAGTCCAGGAGCCACTGCGTCGTGACGATCTTGATATTGGGGTACCTTGTCGCTTCTCGGACTTTGGCGGTGCGGTTGCGTCCAGCCACAAGGTGTGTGGTCCTTAAGCTGATCTTTGATGAGATAGCAACGCCGAAGCTCTTCGCCCAGAGGGAGATGTCAGCATTCTGCGTATCTGTGCCGAGCGGAAGGACGCCGGAGAACACCAAGACGACGCCGCCGAGAATGCGACGCTTGATCTGGGGCATAATGTCCTTGACATCGGGTACCAGTTTCAGGTCAACATCTTTCTCCTTAGATGGCACCTTTTCGCCTCGCAGAGCCGCCACTCGGCCGCCCAGCGCCCGTGACCTTCTTCGATCGTATTCGTCAAAGAAATTCCGGTGCACTTGCTCCAGGCGCACCTCCAAGTCGAACAGCTCCCGATCGTTGTCTTCCAACAGGTGATGTCGGTGCTTGCTCAAATCTTGAGAATCGTCTATGCTACTGGAAGTATCGCTACTATCCGCCGCATCATCCTCCGCGTCCAGCTCTCGCTGCTTCTGTAGCAATGGCCGGTCCTCCACCTGGTGCATGATCGTTTCCTCCTGTGCATCAGTCTGCTCCTGCAATAGTCTGGGATTGTCTCCGCCACCCATAGTCACCAGCTGTTCCAATGTCGAGACTTCGCTCTGCTCATTGGTCTTCGCGGTCGCCCCATTGACATGGTGCTCCTCCAGTGCACCCTTCGTTGGCTTAGGCGCTGGCTTCTCGCCAGCCTTGCTGGGGGGGCCAGCTCCTGCTTCTTAGGGAGGAAGCTCGAGTTGATGTCCCCAATGCCGACGAAGAAGTCATAGGGCGACACCTTGATGAGATTAGGGCTCCAGCGCCAGACGTCCCCGCGATCGTCAATAATGACCACCATCTTGGTGTCCACCGGGAACAGCCGGTGCAGGTTCTTGGCCGTCAGGCTGCCACTTTCGTCACGGCTGAGGATACGGTCGCCAAAGAGTGAGCGATCTGGATCTATGATACTAGCGATATGTTGCGCATAAGCCCTCGTTCCCATGGTGTAGATATGTAGCTCGAACATCTCTGACACATTCTGCAGGAAAGACTCTAGCCCAGGTCGTAATTTCACATAGTACCAACATCCACGCATGCCCGGTCCGTCGTCCACCAGCTGAAATGCGCGGACATCGTTCAGAGCTTGGTAGTTCGGGTTCTCCTTATCCTGCATCCATTCACCCACCGTCGGGTCGACAGTAGCATGAATAATAGTCTGGTCCAGGTCGACAACAAGCGAGAGCTTCCGGTTTGACAGCAAACGACGCTTCGCATCTTCTTCCACTCGTGTGGCTTCTCGTGCACTGACGGTCAGTGTGGTATTATCGTGGGCCATCTGAATTGGTGCGCGCATCACGTCTGCCACCTCGGTATTATATGACGACCTGTAACAAGTGTAAGCCAAGTCCCATCACAAGCATCTCATAACACCTACTCAGTCATATCCTTGCCACACTCGGCACAGAGACCGCCAAACTGAACCTCGTGCGCACATGGCTCATCAACCTCCAGAACATCCACCCTAGACCCAACGAATCACGCGTCAGCCACCATCACCAACAACCAGTTTCCCGGGATTAACAGCGAGAAAGAACATACGGTTCGTCAATAACATCTCCCTTGGCAATCTTCCACTGCACCACCTCTCCATCAACGGTCGACTCAAACTTCGTCGGAAACTTGCGCTTCACCTCCACCTTGTTCCCCAGCCCATCACCCTCCGTGACGGTAGTCTGGTAAACATACCAGAACAATGCCTCATCACGTTCCACCGCATCACCAGGCTGTTTAAGCAGCGACGTGACGGTGATTGGGTAATGGAGACTGGGTGGTAACCGGAGAAGCATGCCTGAATCTGAGTTTCGGATTGTAATCAATTCCTTCGTCTCCAACCCCCTCCAGATTTCCCCCTACCTCCCTATCACCGGTAGCGAGGTAGCACTGGTCGAGGAGTTGCGGGGTGTTTCGATTGAGAAAAGAAAGGGAATCGAGCTCGACAGCTACGGAGCCATGCCCGATGACTGCTGTCGGGGGGAACAACAGCAAGCAAACGAAGCTCGACCACGGCGCGAGGGTATCAATTAAAAAAGGCTTGCCTGGGTGGAACGCGACCGGGAAAAGCGGGATGATGATCAGATGGACAGGTGAAAGAAGGTAGGTGGTGTTGTCGCGGGTGGTTCGCCACGCAAGGACGCGACGAATACAATGAAGCGGGAAGCTCTCGAGCTAAATGAAGTAGACCAATCCGCGCCGTGTGGTGAAGGCGCAGGTCCAGGACAAAGAAGTGGTTAGGTGGAGAACGAGGGAAGGATAAAAGGACGCGGGAGAGGTGATGATGAAAGAAAGAAAGCAAGAGGAGCGGGCGTGGAGGTCAGACCGTGGATGAAGAAGGTTTGGCCGCCAAGAGTCATGGGTTCGGCGGCTGGCCTGTGCGGGGCGAGACAGCGGCCCAGACTCGGCCTGCTCATGCGATCTCCTGTAGTTTTCGACCTCCTCGGCGAGGGCCCCGCTTACGTCTACACAATACACATCGAGGTACCACCGAAACCACCATTCACAGCGAAACTGTTATTTCACCTCTAGGCGTTACTAGTATTGCATCATCAATCAAAATCCCAGCAAGAACGTAAATAAACCCATATCACCGGCATTCCATTGGAGATCCCTAGAGCTTATCCGGCAACCGCTGGAAACATGAGGGAACCATCCGCAAAATTACGTCCTTGTGCGTCTGCAAAAAATAGATCAAGCCAGCCCGGCTCCGAAATCTCCAGCTACAAATAAAATCATCACGCTGAGGAAGGGTCATATGTGCCAGATCACCTTTACTTGGCCTTGGCAAGACCAACGGCGCTGTTGCCGAGGTCATACACGCTGTACCACTTGCGCAGGAACGAATCGCCCAGAATGGCCAAGGGGCCCACGGGCTCGGGGAAGTCCATGCCCATGAAGGCACTGATGCAGGAGCCCTGGGTCTCCAGGGTGTAGTCGAATGCAGAAATCGAGAAGTTGTGGCCGCTAAGGGTGAAGGTAACGTCGGGCAGGGACGAGCGCTTCGCGCAGTCGAGGGTGTACTGGCCAGTCCAGCCCTTCTTGGCACCGATCTGGGCATTGCTGTGAAGATTGTGAGCAGTTTGTCGTGACGCGAGAGAAAGTATTAGACTTACATCATCTCCGCAAGGTCAGCGGGCAGGGCAATCAGGGAAGTGCCAGTGTCCAGAATGACACCGGTGTGCTCGAGCTCAGCAACATCGTCACCAAGAGCGATGGCATCAAGGTCAACCTCCCAGTAAGCCTTGCGGCGGAGGGGGATCTTGATCAGCTCGCCAGTGTAGTGGTCCTTATCAATACCACCGAAGGTAGCCACGGAGCTGTCACCTTCGGTGTTGGCGTCCCCGAGGTAAAAAGCAAAGACCGGCTCATCAAGGAGCTCCTGGTCAATCATGTTGTAGAAGGGAGGGACAATCTTGTTCACGGAGATGGTATCATAGCCCAATCCGAGGATGCCATCGAATCGGCCGAAAGCGAAGGCGAGACCAGGTTCGTTGGTCGCCTCAGCGAAGTCCTGCCCCTTGATCTTCAAGTCACCAATCTTGAGGGTGTCCTGGGAGATGAATCCGCTCAGGCTACCAGAGCCGTATTTGATAGCGAACTCGCTGCCGTTCTTATGGTACGAACTCGAGGCAGACGAGTCGTACTTATTATGGAGGTAGCAGGCGATAGAGCCACATTCACTGGATGGGACCCACAGATTCGAGCTGCCAGTGTCCAAGACGACCTTGAAAGTCTGGGGGGGAGTACCCAGTTCGATCTCGGAGAAGTCTATGGAAGGGAGTGTCAGCAGCAGTTCCTAATCAAGTTGGGCCACAGGCGACACTGTTTGCGTACATTGTGCATTCATGAAGTTGTCCACCAAGACGTCGTGACGGCTCATATCATTGATGGGGTTCTGTTCAACGAGTTCCTGATGGATGGATGGGCGGATACCCATGTACTTCTGGCCCAAAGCGCGGACATGGGCGTCCATGTTATGCGTGAGCTACGGATGACAGGGTCAGCTTTGGAAGTCCCGGAAGCTTCAATACTACTGTCTAGCTAGTAGTATTCGCGCCAACAGGGGAGAAACTCACAAGCTGCTCCTCCAAGGGAACCTTGTTAAGCTTCAGCTTATGAACCTCGGCAGAGGCATAGCCCAACAGCACGGATGCCGTGAGCAAGGTGGTCGACTTCATGATGGGCGACAGCAGAAACAACGACCCAGCGAGATATGATGACCCGAGACAGATAGACTGGGTGATGCACGTATGGATAAGGATGAGAATAAGGACTGAAGGGGATGGGGAGGAGAGGGAGAGATAGCAGGGGAGAAGAGGAGGTCTGGGGGAGAGGGAAGTGATGCGGGTGACCGTAGAGCCCGGCCTGGTTGCGGAGCGACCTCCCCAGCCGCAGCCAATGGTTGGCTGCCCTGGCTGCGTCATTGGCAAGGGATCGTCACGGGTTATCGGATCAGTTGATCCTCTGAACCGCCAGGTCCTTAGGTACATCTCATATGGATATTCAGGCTCTACGTACTTAAGCTCTATCTCGAATTTCTACATCATGCTCGTTCATTTTGGATTCTCATTGAAAGTTTTGGGTTGGATGGCTGGATTCCTGAGGTCTCCCCGTTGCTGGCGCCTTATCATTGCTCGGATCACGCGAACCCGACCGCGGGTGATGATGTAAGACCGCCTTAGGTTCGGTGCCTGCCTACTTTAAACTAGCGCAAGCGCCTTGCCCAACTGGCCAACAGCTACGGACAGGTATCTACTATCTATCGCCCAGGCAGCAGATACGTAGGTCCCTACATACAGTAGCCGTCCAGGGGGGAGCGTACGTTGGCACAGCCCAAAACAAGTAGCTGCGCTGATGTGTTCTACAGTTTCACTACTTGGACCCAACAGACAGGCTACTCCAGCGGAATACCCAAATGCGTCAGTCGTTGTCCTAATATATGATAGCCTAGATTTGATAATACAGCTAACTGCCCCCATGTCCGCCTTGAGCCACCCGATCTCCAGCTTAAAGCACGCTCTTCGCTTGGTTTACCGGTAGAATTCAAGTCTGTGTACCTTGTTAGCCGAGTCTCGATGGCAGGGTGCATAGACAGTGTTCCGTACCTATCTGCTTCCTGTCCGGTTTTGACCTGGGCGGAATAAGCATCCTCGAGATCGGATTGGATGATGTTATAACGGTTCTTCCGGACAGCGCGGAGACCCGCCTCTTGCATGATAGCCGCAATGACCGCACCCGAGAGGGGCTCGTTGCGCACGATCAACGAGTCCAGGTCGACTTCGGGGGAAAGCGACATTTTAGACGCTATGGTAGAGAAAATCAACCGGCGCTCACGCCTGTCCCGCAGGGACGGGAACTCGATCTTCCGATCCAAACGACCCGGACGTAGCAAGGCAGGATCCAAAGTATCCGCCCTGTTGGTAGCCATGATAACCTTGACATTGCTCGTCTGTTCGAAACCATCCATCTGGTTGAGAAGTTCCAGCAAGATACGCTGCACTTCACGGTCCGCACCAGTTTGGGCGTCGAAACGCTTCGTGGCGATGGCGTCAATCTCGTCAATGAAGATAATAGCCGGGGAGTTCTCTCGAGCCATGCGGAAAACATCGCGAACCATGCGAGGACCTTCACCTAGATATTTCTGAACAAACTCGGATCCGTTTACACGGATGAAGCTGGCGGTTGTGCTGTTTGCTACTGCCTTGACCAGCATGGTCTTACCAGTACCGGGAGGACCGTACAGGAGGACACCGCGAGGAGGATCGATACCTAATTCAGCCGGCATTAATAATCGAGAGATTCTTGGGAGGGTGGCGAAAAAGAAATATAAGCTCACCGATCTGTTTGTAGAGGTCAAAGTGCGTCAAAGGCAGCTCCACTGCCTCCCTAATCTCTTGCTTCTGCATGTCAAGCCCACCAACATCTGCATACGTCACATCGGGCTTCTCATTCTCACCCAGCATAGCGATAGAGGAGTCCGCCTCCGGAGGTAGGATATCAACAAGGGCATTGGAGTGACGGTGGAGTGCGACCGAGGATGAGGGCTTGAGCTTCTCGCGGTCGAGCGTGGACAGGATACGGACGACGTAATTTGAGCCGGTTGACGACTGCACGATACCGGTACTGCAAGATGTCAGCTACTTGATGCTTGTCAGCACTTTGCATAGCCATACTTCTGATCGATCGCTTCCATAAACTGGCCGATAACCAAAGGCACGCTCTGTATCCGCTTGATTTCCTCCTGCGCGCGGACGAGTTCTCTCTTCAAGCTCCTACACAGATAGCCGATGTTAGCCAATATATCAAGTACCATGGGAGAGATGGTATGTAGCTTGCCTTTGCTCATCCTTGATGTACTCCTCCTGGAGCTGGATGTACCTGTTGTTGAAGCGTCAACTTGTGCCGCGGAAACCGTTGTCCATGCTCGTACGTACTCTAGGTGTCTCTGCAGTCTCTTCAGGGTGGCGTATTCATCACCTCCATCGTTTCCTGTGCCTTCGAGGGAGTCTATGTTGGGGATCGTATCCAATGGAGCTGCCTTGGTGTGAGGCGTGACGTTGTTCGCCGGAGTCTCGACGGCGACGTCTCCCATGGCGAAATCTAGATCGGAAGACGGGGCAGATGTGAAGATGAGCTAGCGCAGAAGCTTATAGGTCGGGATGTCTGTCCTCCAGAAACAAAGAAATCGGTCGGTCGTGGGTAAGTTAAAGAAGGACTTGGCTGGTTGTTGGATCTATTGCGTCGATGCCAGACAGCCGGGCTCACGAAGCTCACGGCTATGGTCATGTGACCTTGGAGCTCGGCGACCATCGGGGCAACAGTGGCAACGATGGGGCACGGCAGCGCCCTATCGTTACCATATTCGACCTCACGGTTAGAAGAGCCGGTATCCTTCTTTTTCTTCCTTCGACATTCAACTTGGCGCTGCTATTCTTTCCTGAATTTGGAGCATTTGCGTCTTAGTAATTTTCATGGAACTAGTATCATAATGTTCAGATGTTCTTTGGGTCCTATTCGTGGTAATGAACTTATATATATAGTATTGCTTGGCGGATAAGCTAACTATAATATGTTTGTTAACAGGCTGTAATCAACACAGAGATTGTATGCCCACATGTGTATTAAACCATACTCGTTCTTCAGCCCTAAGCGAATAGTAGACTTTGTTGCGTAGTATCCAGTCAATAGGGTGGTGAATGGCTATCTTGTATTACGAGCAATGATGAGCTGCATGCGGAGTAGATATTACAGAGAGCCCGCCGGGTGTATATCTACCTTGGGTAAATATTTCGAGCTTGCCGTCGGTTGATCGCTCCTATGGAGGGACATTTAATTGGTAGGGTTTCGTAGGTAGATCCGGATATTCTTCTTCAGATTGCTGCAGTGGACACTCCACCTAACCTCACATGACATACATCTAATTACATAATCCACCGGTACCTGATCGGGTAAAATATCCAGCAGCCTGGTGATGGATGTCCCTTTCTAGACTCAGACGGTGGCACAACAAACCGTGGGCTTAATTTGACCAATGGCAATAAAAGTCCCCAGATAATCTCCCTTTAAAGCTCCTGGGATGAAGCATAATCCATGCATGTGATGTCATCGCCTATCTAAGAATCCCAAGTTATCAGTCATCCCTCCCATGCGAAGGATAGCCCACTAGTTGACGGCGGAATGCCACGAGTTGGTACGACTGTACCGAGATAAATGATCCATGAGAAGCTGCTTGTTTGATGCTTATTTCTTATTACAGGTCCCGCATGCCTGACCTGCCGGCAAAAATGCCGCAAGTGCGATCGTGCTCGTCCTGATTGTCAACGATGTCGCTCGAAAGGTTTAGTATGTGGAGGATATCCGGAACAATTCAGATTCTGTGGAATCGCCAGTCGGGGTAAATGGAAGGGTGCTCGTATCCCGGTTAGCAGTAGAAGCTCTACCAGGACACGAACAGGAATAAGCGATGCAGCCCCAGAGACCCACACATCACCGACGCAAGAAGTTACTGTGACTGCCTGCTTCCCTTCAAAAGGCGATCAAGCCCCTGCAGCCATCACACTTGGTAGCTCGAAGTCCCCAGCTCAGGAAGCACCTGTCCCGGGAAGCTTTCACGAAAAACATAGCCGGCCACTGCCAGAGCTTCCAGACGATATTACCACACTTCTCAACTCCCCCGACACGGCGAAATTGTTAGGTCATTGTAGGTTCTGGTACTTGAATTAAAACAGGATGGAAGCACTGACACCATGCCGCAGACGATGAGATTATTTGCCCTCATCAGATAGCTGAGGTGGGAGATGATCCAGAAAACCCGTATCGAGCGTACATTCTCCCGCTGGCGCGAAAGAAGATTGGCTTGTTGTATGCCGTCCTTGGACTTGCTGCTTCTCACCTCGGGCGAATGATTGGCGACGAGTTCTTACATGAAGCTACTGCAGTTGAGTACCGAATGAAAGCCATACGTGCACTCAGTGAGGAAATTCGAAAGAGCCAAAGAACCTCTTTGCTTGAAGACGAGCAGGATACGGTTTTGGCAATAATCCAGGTTTTATTACTTCATGATGTAGGCTTGCGATACTCAGCTCTTGCGGCTCGAGCACAGGAGCTGACAGGAAATTAGATCAGTGAATCAGGGGTATCGAGCCATGGCATTCATATCACAGGCGCCATGTCCGTCTGTAAACAGCTGCTCATCGCCGAGGGACTGCACCGCCGACGCCAGCGGGCTATGTTTTTTCTCGGCAACCTGGCTTGGTATGTCAGTTATGTATGTCGCCCTTGAGACAAGACCCACTAAACAATGAAATAGGCTTGACATAATTCGAGCGTTTGCTGGCTCCGAGAGAATGTGTTTTTCTCAAGATATTCGCGAGTTGGTTGCTTTCGCAAGTGATAAGAAGTTCGAGTTGGTAAATGGTTGTCCTAGAGAAGTCTTCTTAGTCATTGGTGGGGCGCTGGAGAAAGCAAAGGAATACACACTGGGTTGGCTAACTTGGGATGAGTATCAGATTGCCCTGCTCCTGGCGAGGCATAAGCTCTACTCGTGGAACCCGCAAGGGAGGGACTATCCTAGCCCCGATCCTCTCTGGCTGGCCATCGCGGAGGCCCATCAGTTCGCAAGTATACTGCGTATTCTCTGGTTGTTAGACCCGTCGAAGCCAGCCAGCAGTCCGGATATACAGGAATGTGTCAAAAGAATACTTGATGCAACGGCCTTGATTTCTCCAGACTGCTCATTGTTGGAGCTTCTCGTCTTACCTGTCTTCATGGCAGGGGCTGATTGCCTCTCGCGCCATTCACAGTACTATGTTCTGACGAGGCTGCACGAAATCGAGCGGAGATCGGAATTTCGCAACCCTGTTCCAGCTGACTTACTGAGAAAGGTGTGGGACGCGCGTGCGGCACAGGCACCAGATGATTCTGCAAACATTTCATGGACGACTTTCGTAAGTGACCTTGTCCGATTTTCAACCTTTCCCCCATGCTTACTAGTCGACCCAGACACACTGTCCCGGATTGGCGCGACAACATGATTATCTGATCATTTGAGGATGCACGCATGAGAAACTTGCATTGTGTGGAAGTGACTTGGTTGCGATAGACATGAGTGCTTTATCAATTAACCACCTGCACATACCCCTTAAAGTAAGCTCGTTTGAGCCACCTTCTTCAATAACTACAGGGCATGATGGCGAAGAAATGAAAAGGTGATGGTGTATCCTTGTCTATGGCATACCTAGTGCGAGGCAGACGATCAAATCCCGGAAAATAGCTTATAATCACCCGGGTTGACCTTGTTTGCGTTATTCGTCGGGATCCATGCTCGTTTCAACCCGGCGTATTATGCGGGCTGGATTTCCGGCAACAAAATGGAAGGGAGGGACGTCCTGAGAAAACAGTCACCAATGCTGTTATAGCGAGACGAGATAGTCAAACAAGTCGTCAAACGAACCTTGGTCACCACAGAACCAGCTCCCACCGTGCTTCCTCGCCCAACAGTTACTCCAGCTAAGATGATGACGCTACCTCCTACCCACACGTCATCTTCGATATGTACCTCCTTGCCAGCTTCTGGGCCTTCCAAGCCCCGCCGCACGGCCGGATCCAGGGGATGAGTAGCTCCATAGATACAGACGTTAGGACCGAAGAGCACCCTTTCACCAATTGTTACAAGACAGGTGTCAAGAACAAGCAGGTTGAAATTCAAAAATGTGCCCTTTCCAACCTTGAAATTCAAGCCGTGATCCACCGAGATGGGAGATTCCACAAATGGATCAGTGCCATTGAATAGTTTCTCATCTTCCTGGGTATCGGGATGAACTGGCGGCAGAGGACGTCTATCACCTAGGATGCTATAAATTAGGTAATTAGATTAGAGTGTCCCTTTCTCGCACAAATGGCAAACGATCCCACTCACTCTCGCCATAGCTCCACCCTGCGACGCCGGGAGACCTGGCCAGCTTGGTTGAACCTTGCGCATGCTGCTTTACAGCGTTCCCTATTGGCTTGGAGGTCTGCGTCCCAGGCCCAGTAGAGCTCGCCATTGAGCATTTTTTGCCACTCTTTCGATGTCGCCATGATAACCGCTCAGATTGTTGCCACATGGGATGGGTACCTTGAGAATATTCAGGCGAGGTTGTCCCTCCTTTATATAGAGGGCCTGGAAGGCCTAAGGAGGGACGTGCTGGGGACAAACAGCCCTCCAGTTCTAATTTTGGATTACATTGCATGGGGTTGTGCTCATTCATGATCGATGAGAGGGACCAGCTGGGCAGTTGGGTGTACTTCCGAATTAGGCAGGTCATGCCTCGACCGACGCGGCATAGGGGGATGTCGAACCGGACGCATTAAATTGAGTACGTTGAAAGAGATATGTCTGACGCACGTAGCCCGCATCATTGATATTTCTCCAAAATATTATGTAGCAATTCGGGGTGACAATGGAAGGGTCACGGTTGTCTGTGGTCTTGTTCAAAATATGCTGGTAGATAGATAGATACATAGTAGTTATCTGGCGCGGATATGACGTAACATCTGGCCCATGACGATTACCTAATTTGCCGACAAGGTCCGCCTACTGTTTCGGCTCACCCCTTTTACCCGCGCCCGACTACTACCGACTTGTGCTCTGCTCCTGCTGCTGCTGCTGCTCCAGGCTGGTTGCTGCTGCTACGTACTGGTAAGATAACTTACTGGAAATCCTTACGCCAGTCCCATCCATACTTGCCTATCGTTCTGTTCCCTCTTCCCGTCCGCTCGACTCGGATTCTCGACTCCTGAGGCGCCTCTGATCACTCCACGCCCGTCCCCATTCCTGCCTTTCCAACCCCGTGTGCCTCCACCTTTCCAGAAGCAGACGCCCCCTCCCTTCCTTGGGGAACAGCAAGAATCTAAAAAAACAAAATTAAACGGCTCAAATAAAATACCAAATTTCGAGGTACTGCAGTGTACCGAATCCTTACGGAGCTTTCAGTCCAGGTACGCCTGTCATTCCTGACCATTGATCCCCCCCGCTTGTCTCCCAGTCATTGGATTGCCTTCCACACGCCTCACACAACTGTGGCCACGCACTAAGCGCTGGCCACCCTTCCACCCATTCCTCGGGACTACCGCGCACGTTGCAAAGCCCTCACTGGGGGTCCTTCGTCGGTTCGTCCATGGGTTGCAGGCCATCTATGGCTGATCCATCATCCTGCTTTCGATCATTTGCATTCTGCAGCTTGTTGTCACCTGAAACCCCAGATCCCGGCTCCTGCGATTTGCTGATCGGACTTCTGCCACCCAGTGCCGCTCGCACGCCTCTGCGAACCTCCCACGGATTTTCTGCCTTTTGCGGTACCAGCGACGCCCATGGTCCCGTGACTTCCTCGATCTTCTCGCAATCTCTCTCTCCGGCCTTCCAACCACTGCTATTCGGGACCGGCCTCCATCCGCTTGTGAGTCGGCATTCTTAGTTGTCCAGCCTTGTCGGTATGTACATCCTGCCTGTCCCTTCCAAATTTCTCCCCTTTTGAGAAACATCAACCCATCCACCCCAGAGTATCCCCTTTCCGTCCCTCCCGTCTACACGTTGAGGTGGCTGTTCTCGGTGTGGTCGCTGCTTCGTGTCGCAGACCGAAGCGCGACGCCCTCACTGTCAGCTTCCTCACCTGACGCGTCTAGACCCTCTTTTCCCTACAACCCTTGGAGCTTGTGTCATATACCCCTAAAAATTAAGCTCATGATAACTGTAACACTGCTGTTCTTATCGATCGCGTACCGATGATGGCCTGGGTGCTTGTGTCTTTTTTCTGACAGCTCTGGTCACCTTACAGATGGGTTGGTAAAACCACTCGACATGAATGCCTGGCTAGCCGACGCCTCGAACCTTCCGAACCATGACAATGGTGCTTTTCATCAGGCGACCATTGATCCCTCCGCGGCATTCCTTCACACCTCTCCCACTCCCGACCCTACCCAGTTCCAGCGCATGTTCAATGGCGTACCGCGAAATGCCTCCCCTGGCTTCCACAACCCTAACCAGGTGATTCCTTCCAAGAGGCCGCGACCAGAGGATGGTCTGTCGATGTCGCCCCGACAGGCCCCGGGCGGCATCGCTGCATCCCGGTCACAAACTCCCCATCAAGTGCCATACCCAGGGTATCAAGGAGCTGCCAATGGCACGCCGCAATATCCTCCGCATCCGACCCCGTACCAGCATCTCCAGCAAGGAGCTTCCCCGAACGTCACCCAATCTCCGATCATGCAGGAATTTGACCAACACGGGGTACAGCGGATGGGCACAGCCTCCCCCAGCCCGTTTTCCCCAGCCGGCCCTCAAGTAGGCTCCCATATGTCTCCGTCGCAGTCGGACCATCCGAGTAGGGTGAACACCCCGCAGAACAGCTCTTTTATGCCTGGTCAGCCCTTTCCTCAGGCCATGGGACCCCAGTTTACGCCCGCACCTGCAATGACTTCTGCTACTGTGCAGGCCCCGATGCAGGCCCCGATGCAGGCCCATTATGGTGGCATGCCTCAGGGTTATCAGCAGGCGATAGCTGCCCAGCAGCAACAGCAGCGAATGCATGCCATGCAGATGCAAAACCAGGGTCGCCCGATGGTCATGAATCCCGCCATGGCTGGGCGGCCTGTAGCAGCTGGGATGAATGCGATGGCTAATCCTCAACAAATGGCTGCGATTAGACAGATGCAACAGACTATGGCTAAACCGCCGAATCCAGAAGGATTTATGAGGTCCTTGCAGAAGTTCATGATGGCGCGGAATTTGCCCCTAGATCAGAATCCTCATGTTTGTGGTCGTCCGATCAATCTAGTCCAACTTTATGCTACAGTTATGAAGCTAGGTGGATCAAAGAAGATAACCGCCACGAATATGTGGCATGTCATTGCTCAGCAGCTTCAATTTCCCCAGATGCAGCTTCCAATGGCTGTGCAAGAGATCCGGGACCATTACCAGCGGAACCTTGCTGCATACGAACAGGCCTTCCTCAACACGCAGCAGAAACAGTTTGCGGACCAAATGCAGCAGACAGGGGTTCCACGACAATCAAGTGATCCATCAGCCTTGCAGTACCAGTCTCCAGCTATGAAACCGGGCCAGGGTTTTGACAATGCGCAGCAGATGGGAAATCCATCCCCTGTCGCTGCGCCTGTACCCAGTACTGTACAACACAGTCACAGTGCCTCGAACGGGTTCGCAACACCCACCCCTGTCAAAACTCAGGGCAAGCAACCAAATCAGCACCGCCTCAGTATATCACGCCAGTCACAGCCCCCAGCGACGCCGCATGATCCTACTGGCCAAATACCGAGCCAGTCGCCTGCGCCGCCCGGCAAGGGTCCAGGTCAAATGCCTGGAAAACCTTCGGAGCAGCTAGACCAGTCGTCTGACCAGCCACTGAAACACCAGATTGAGGACCCTTTCAAACCCATGGTCTTGCCAGAAAGCAATTTCCATGGTCTGATAGCCGTCGATGAAATGTATCAAATCGGGGAGGAGATTTCCCGATTTAAGCCTAATGTTCCCACTTTTGCGGAGCTGGGTGTAATTGACATTCACGCTCTCACAATGAGCATCAAGTCCGGGATACATGCCGAAATGCGCATGGCCTTGGACACTCTTACCTCTATATCTTCGGAGCCCGCGATTCAGATCTCTCTAGACAACTGCGATGATTTGGTGGAAAGTTTAATAGAATGCGCCGAGGACCAGGCGGAGTTACTCGCAGAGCATGCCGCAGAAGTGTCGGACATGATGCTTCTTTCTTCATATGAGGAAATAACTCGTGGATGTCAGTCAGAGTGGACGACATTGGCGGACATTCCTGAATTTGGAAGCCTTGACTACGAATTAGATCGCGCTGTCGACCGCCTCATCTGCATCACTACTATTCTACGCAACTTTTCGTTCATCGAGTCGAATTTCGGGATACTGTCCACCCCTCCAGTCGTTCAGTTCATGTCTACTATCATCCGTTATCTTGGCACCCGCAATATGCTACTACGGACGCATCAGAACACCCTGGACTTCATGAAGGACACGGTCACTTACTTGAGCAACGTGGCCCACACCATTCAGCTACCAAGTAAAGAAGAAGCCCTTTGTCTTTTGCACTTCCTTCTTTCTTTTGCACCGTTTCCAGGACCAACGGGTCCGGATGGCATTATGTTCACGTCATATAACCCCTCCATTCACAAATACACACCGGCAGCGGTTGACAGCTTAGCCAAGCTTCTGGCACGCGATGAGCCCAATCGGACCTTTTTCAGAGCGATCTTTTCTGGCGATGGCAGTTCGATTCAACAGGAGTTGCTTACCCGTGCCTTTGGACTGGCCATTTGTCCGGTCCCTGATCAGCCCCGGAAACCCTTAGCTATAGCGGATGCTCGCAAGGTTTTCCTCATGCAAGGACTCCTAGCTGCAGATATCCTTTCAGGGTTTGCAGATGGTCCTATCGCCAGATCATGGCTGGAGTCCGTTGATGGGTTCGCCATCCATCTCCTCCGGCTTTCTTGCCTCCTGAGTACGGAAAGATTCCCTCCGCCCAATACCACTTCACGCCAGACCCATGCCGCAAGGGGCCAGGCTGAAGCGGAAGCCTCAGCATACAGTTCCATAATCAATCGAGGTCTAGCGATTCTGCGCCGACTGGCCGAGAAATCGAAGCTCACTGATTCGAATGCTATATTACGTTTTCCGTCGGGAATTATACCAAGGAAAGAGAGCCTGCTTGGCGCACTGTTGATGCCTAACATAGATCCTGGTGTTGTTCGGCAACTGATAACTTATGCACGACTTGCGGAATGATTGTGGTCACTTCTGGACGGTTGATTTGTGAGCCGTTTCTAGCGAGGGCAACCAAAAGCTTTAGCCACGCTTTGAGCATGCCTTGTTGATGTCTGCTTCTGTCATGTCTTCTATTCATCTTGAGTAAACCACTATCTACATCTCCTCATTCTCCTTTTTTGCCCTGTTTGGCGCCGGTGGGAAGATTTATCGAGAGGCGTGACAATGTGTATCTCTGTGTTTACCGCTGTACAATGTTCAATACCCTCGGGCGAAAAAAAATCATGCATGATGTCTAAACGGGTAATTTTATATCATGGTCACCAACTGAACCCACCCAGATCTCTTCTTGCCCAGCAGGAAGCTTTGGTGTCTAAGCAGATGGTAGTAAGTCCTATATCTAAAGACTGGGCAGGACAGATAGATCTACCCGGCGATTGCCGTATCCTGTTTTGATGTATCACAATTACCTCGGACCCGGTATCTTGAAACATGGCATACAGCCAGATTGGTAAATACCGTGCTAAGAAGACACATGGAGGAAATGGAAGACGTTGAGATTGATACTACACACTAGATAGTGGGGGGGAGGAGACTACTATCTGGAGCACGCAAGCAAGACATAATGTACCGAACCCGCAGCAGTTCGCGCCGTAGACTTGAAGAAATCACGCCAGTATACAATAGCTAGAAAAGCTCCGCGAAAAGAAATGGAGACAGAACACCAGCACTAGGAAAGTAATACACGGTGGAGGAATAAGAAAGTGGGGAATTAACAAACAGAAATAAAGGGAAATAAAGGAAGTCAAGGAATCCTTGATGACCATCGCGTATGGCTGGTTGCTTATGCTTAATTTCATCCCATCATCTGTCTGTCCTTTTGCACCAAATCTGCGGTGTTGCGTTTGTTTGGTCCCTGGATCCCTGACGCTTCCCATGGTGGATGGGACATAAAAATGTGTCTGGCATTATCGTTGGGTTCAATGGGTTGTTGACGATGGGGTAGTGGGTAGAGGGTAAGTGAAACGGATCCAGGGGCGCATCCATGTTCTCTTGTTTTTTCATTTAGAAATTACGTTCCTCGAGGAACTTCAGGATCTCGGGTTTCCGCCAGCCCTAAGGGAAGGAATCACGTTAGCTCGGTGCTGATCAGATGGAGAGTGGTATAAAGAGCGTACCTTAACGATAATGTGACCGGTCAGACGGTTAATTGTAACATCCTGGCTCTTGGGAGCACGCGCGTCGCCCGACTCAACGCCCAGGTACTGTGCCAGGTCACTTCTAAGGGCATCCAAATCGCCTTCAGTCTTCTGGATCTTGGTCTGCTGCTTGGTTCCGCCGGCCTTGGTGACGAGGTATACGGGGAGCTGGTTGGAGGCTGTGCGACGAATGAAATAAGGGAGGTTTGTGAGTTGCAGGTTGGCTGGCGGTTGCGACACGGCGTTCTCCTTTAGGGTCTGAGATTGGCGCTTCAGCTGGACGATGAAGGTTCGACATTGCTGGGCGGCAGTTTTGGGATGTGAGTTGAAGCGGGAGGAGGGATGGAGAGCGGATTCTAAGAGCAGGTCAGACAGAAGCTCCATCGGAATTTTTGGCCTCCTAAGTTTTTGCTGTCCAGGAACCGCCATGCTTACTGTCACGAGGGACAGCCAAATGGTGGAACGGACGGAAAGGGTTGCAACGTACGAGAGGGGGACAATCTAGTAGCGGAACATAGCGTGGAGAGCGAGCTACGCGTCCCAGAAGAGGCACCGGACTGTGAAACTTTTTGGAGATAGAAGGGGACGGTGGTTGACTGCTTGCGAGCGGCCGAGCAGAGCGGCAGAGACTGGAGAACGGAAGCCATCGGGGTGGAAGGGATGGGGAAGAGAGGCAACGGAGACAGCCGAGACGATTCCTAGCAGCGAGGGAATCGAGCAGCAACCCAGAAGGGAGTCTAGTCGAAGAGGGGGAAGGAGGAGAGCAGCCGGAAACACTGAGGGAAGCGAACATACGACATGCAGAAATGAAGCGATGATTTCTTGCTTCGGCGCGGAGACCTTCCGCTAGGCTGGAAAGGGACTAGCGCGTCTTGCAGCCCTTCGCCCACATTTTCGCCAGCGCAAAAGCCGCCGCACACTGACTGCCATCCCGAAGAAGGTCTGTCTCCAACCATCGAGATCGCTTCCTTCTCTGGTTTTGTTCTCCCCTCTCCTCCTTCTTCTCCCCCCCCCCTCCTCCGTCCTTCCCCCTCCCCCGACCCCCGGTTCATCCCATCCCCGCTGCTGCTGTTCTTCACCATGGCAGCCAACGTTCCTCCTTCCGCTGAAACCCTTCTCAGCGGTGCTGCCGCCCACCCGCCCAAGACCGCTGAAGAGATCGCCAACCAGTATGACCTGCTGCCCAAGTTGATCCCCTACCTCGACCGCCACTTGGTGTTCCCCCTTCTCGAATTCAGCTCCGGAAGCCAGGATGATGACAAGGAGATGATCCGTGCCAAGTATGAGCTGCTGAAGCACACCAACATGACCGACTATGTCGCCAACCTGTGGAAGGAAATCAACGACTCCGACACCATCCCCGACGAGTTTGTTAAGAAGAGAGAGGAGGTCCTCGCCAAGTTGGAACACTACCAGGAGCAGAGCGCCAAGATCACCGAGCTGCTGCAGGATGAGAGCGTTGTCGGAAACCTGCGCAGCGACAAGGTCGCCAACTTGAAGTTCCTCGAGGAGGAGCACGGAGTCAGTGTGGATATGGTCAACAGCCTTTTCGACTATGGTCGCTTCCAGTACAGCTGCGGTAGCTACGGCAATGCTGCCGAGCTGCTGTACCAGTTCCGTGTCCTCTCCACCGACAACGACAAGGTTGCTTCCGCCACATGGGGTAAGCTCGCCTCGGAGATCCTGACCACCAGCTGGGAGGGTGCTATGGAGGAGGTCCAGAAGGTCAAGGACTCGATCGAAACTCGTCTATTCAACAACCCTCTGGGTCAGCTGCAGAACCGCTCCTGGCTCATCCACTGGTCTCTCTTCCCCTTCTTCAACTACGACCCCGCTCGCGATGTCCTGACCGACCTTTTCTTCTCCCCCGCCTACATCAACACCATCCAGACAAGCTGCCCCTGGATCCTGCGTTACCTCGCCGCCGCCGTCATCACCAACCGTAACCGTTCCCACAAGAACAGCAACGCCTACCAGAAGCAGCTGAAGGACCTGATCCGTGTCGTTCGCCAGGAGGGCTACGAATACAACGACCCCATCACCGACTTCGTCAAGGCCCTGTATGTTGAGTTCGACTTCGAGGAGGCCCAGAAGAAGCTGGGTGAGGCCGAGGATGTGTTGCGGAGCGACTTTTTCCTCGTTTCGGCTGCCGATGCCTTCGTCGAGGCTGCCCGTCACCTGATCTCCGAGAGCTACTGCAAGATCCACCAGCGGATCGACATCAAGTATGTCTCCTCAACACGACGATCGTTCCAGTCATGCTAATCGAACTCTAGGGACCTGTCTACCCGTCTGGGTCTGAACCAGGATGAGGGTGAGAAGTGGATCGTCAACCTGATCCGCGACACCCGCGTCGATGCCAAGATTGACTACAAGGAGGGCACCGTGATCATGAACCACCCCCCTCAATCGGTGTACCAGCAGGTCATCGAGAAGACCAAGGGTGCCTTCTTCCGGACGCAAGTTCTGAGGTTCGTCTCCCGCCAAACCAAATCCACTGCTCTTTCCACGTGTACTAACGTCATACCCATAGTGCTGCCGTTGCGAAATAAATGACACCCCTTCTTGAGTTTACTCCGAAACAAGAAATCTTCGTCCTTTTACCGTTCTCTTAAGTTCTTTTCATGTTAGTAGTATTCCCCGCCGGAGTGCGGACTTCCTGATAAATGATGGGACCAAAGCAGAGTGGCATCAGGCTGGCGTTCAGGTTGTCCCCTATTTTTCTTTCTTTTCGTTTCGTGTCTCATTTTCCCCACTACCTATATTCGTTTATTTCCCCCCCTGTGTATCTCTTCTTTTTTTCGTTGACACCCTTCGGGATTTTGGTGTGATGACTCTTAAAAAAAAGAAGTACCGTCAATTTTATCCACAAATATCTGGGCATCTTTTTATCTGATAAAAGGGCCGACCAGGAGGAAGAAAAGGAAGAAGAAAAGGGCAAACCAGAAAACAGGACCGGGGAGAAAAAAAAGCGCAGTCCTTGCACACACAACTCCCCCGCCCCTTTTGCAGGGATGTGTGTGTTTCTCTCGTCCCCATGGGAGCTATCGCTTGGCCACGTGTGATCGATCTATGCTGTTACGAATGATCTATAGAGATGATGGAATTAAATACTCAACCCTAAAGCCATTCCTGGATCTGATCGCAATTTGTATTATGGCGTATTCCCCTCGCTTTGGCTCCTCTTACCCGTATCCCCCATTCTCAGAAGCATTGTTACGTGCCGCGTTTCAGTATTGATTATACAGTCTCGGCTGCATCGCGATTGAAAGCCCCGAAATAGAAAGCAAGATTGACGAACCAAAGAAAAACATATCTAACAAGGTATCTGTAGAAGGAAATCCGCTCGAGAAAAGCACACGCGGAAAGAACAAAAATGTTGAAAGCCAGTTCTTTACTTCTTGGTCACTAAAATTATCGAGTTCGTCGAGTTTCATATTCCATCGGTCTCCGGCGATTTCCTGACATTCCAACAGGTACGATTTCATTGATATAGGGCTCGGACTGTCTGGTGGAGTTGCTGGTGCCTGCATCCCCCGCCATTCTGAGGGACTCCTGACGTTCGTATTCTCGCGACATCGTTGCGAGGTCGTCGATTTGTTCCTGTCGATATCTATGTCAGTAGCTTTGGTAATTTGGGACTAGAGGAAGCAAAGGACTGCGACGGACCCGTGTGAGAGGTACACCGATTATTAGGTAGCCATCACGCCCCTTTAATTTCAAGGCCATATGTTAGAGAGCTCTGATCATTTGCCTTGTGCCTCTGGTATAGTCTACCTGGTAGGAGTATGGTCTGACACTGGCCGATGGCCCTAGAAAGTATTGTATGTGGCCCAGGACAATGTGACGCGACAGTCCGTATCCTGGAAGCCAGTATTGCTGAACTTGGGACATATTGGTAGAGTGAGAACAGCTAGCGTGGATATGAATAGGTATGAGTGAGGTAGCACTGGGCGTATGTTATTATGAGAGGACTACTTTGGACCATGACGACCGTAGATTGGAACCTTCAAGGGGTCGTATAAATAGCCAGGCAACTTTCTGGTCATGCAAGGAAAGAGATAACAAACGGACATAAGATTCATTCGTCACGCTTCGGTGGGTTCGATGTGGATATGTCTCTCAAGTGTCGGGATGCCCTAGGGCAATGTGACTGTACATAGCGGTATCCATCACTAAGGAGTTGATCAGCACGCCCGTCATCGGCCAGAGAAAAATCTTCCTGTCGTGATTGCGCCTATGCAAATGTGGCTTTCCAAATAGACTCTTTTACGAGCAAAATGGAACGTCTGCAAAGCCTGCTGCTCACGTCCGATTCCGGGGAAACCGCCTCACTCTTTCATCCAACCCCTTTGCGCCGGTAAAGTGAGGCTTGGCCCTCAAGGAAGACTTGCAATTCCCGCAAATTGAATGATATTGCGCCCGGTACTCGCGTTCCTATGTCTTCTAATGCTTGGCTCTTCCTGCGGTGAACATGCACCACTGAAGTGGTCGGCGATGTATGTATGTAGTAGAGACTGTACGTGTGATGCCGTGGCTCCATGGACCGAGCGTCTCGGATGCAGCTAGTATGCTATCTCGAAGTTTATTGGTGAGTGCCCTAGATCTTGCAGACCCAAAATGGTTTCGTACAGTTCGGGATTTCTTGCGTCTCGAGTCCAGGCATTCGTGACACCTGCATGGGACCAGGGCCATTATATTAACCTGTTGGTCGCAGATCTATGAGGCCATATTAATTCCACTTAGCCGGTCCCGCTAGAACGGACTGATTGAGCCCGAAAATCTAAACAGTTTGAGTCACAGACTTCGGCCCGATTTCTTTCTTTCTTTCTCCTTCTTTTCCTTTCTCTCTCAGTCCTTAATCTGACTTGTATCCTGTCCTACCTAAACTGATGGAGGTTGTGTGGGAGCTTCGTCTGTATGTAGGTGGATACAACACCTATCATCGGATGTCACAGAAATAATAGGCTTGACAATAGATGCATCGGGTTAGCCCTATCTGCCATAATCTCAAGGAACTATAGTAGTATTTAAAACCACTGTCACGGTTCATCCCAAACAATCGAGGCTGTCCTTGCTATAAAGAGGGATGCCTGTTGATCGTCGATGACATATTGCGCGGTAGGTATGCTTTACAAGGTAATAAAAGCAGCAGCCTATCATGCTTCATTCCGTCCCGTTGCAGCTTGGGCTGCGAAGTCTCTGGCGCCTAGCCTTACCCAGTAGTCACTTGCATCAGAGCTTGAGCAGATCCGACTTAGTAGTAAGCCTTGCTTGCATGGGCCGGTCTAGCTATGTATTAGCCAGCTTAGGTAGACCATATTTCAGTTCCTTGTCTGTTACCCATCAACGCCCCCAAGGACGAAGACAATAGTTGCTTCTGCTAGTATTGCAGCCAGGTTACTGCAGATACAGCACATCAGATGCATCAGGATTGGATGGATCTAGACCCATATAGCCATTGCGGTGGTCGTGGTATGCCATGTAACAATGCGACATAGAAAAATAACAGTTTTTTATCCGTATGATCAGTTTGCGATAAGCCTTAGAAGCGTACACTATCGCCAGAACGCAAATGTTTGTTTCACAGGAATACCTTCGGACCGAAACAGTCCTTCTCTCACCGATGAGGACGCATCAGGACCGGACAGGATTATCCCTGCTCAAAACTATCGCTTTTATTTGTGCCTTCGAGTGGTTGTAGCTTATTTCTGCAGGGGGGCTGAGAGTGAGGCTGAACAGGGCAGAGTTAGAAATACCTAGACCACGGGGAATCCGTATAACGCATCAGGGGCAAGTTTGGTTTCGAAGAGCTTACCGCCAAATAGTCCAGGTGCATATCACCAGGGGAATGGCTTGCCACCTTGGGGCTACAGCTGGGTGGGAGGAACATACAGAGGTGATGATTCGACTGTGAAAAGGCGATCGCTTGAGGCGGAGGACCCACAGGTGATGTGATTTGATCTGCGGCAAGAGGATCTCATTCCTGGATATTTGCAGATGCGGCTAGCGGAGCCCTTAGCAAGGCGATACAGTATAGTGAGGCGTTGACTAGATAGAGCGACGACATCATGACAGGAAGATGCGAGCGGGAGATGGGAGGGGAGGTTTCGAGGGGAAGACAGGAGGAATAGGCAGGCACGGGGGAGAGGGGTAGAGTTAAGCCCGCAGAGGCACGGGTTTCAATGAGTGCATCTCCATGCTTCGTGTATTATAGTCTATACTCTTTTCATGATTCGTCCAAATAACAACATTTCGCCGCAAATACCATACTGAAACTAACTTGCCATCCCACCTTAGTTGCCCTCCGGGGGAACATACGGGTTCACAAGCATGTCGCTAAATCTGTTGAGGAAGTTAGCCATCACGACGCATTTCACACCCAGAGTTTCGGGTTGACTTACTTCTCAAGTTTCTCCTTGCCTCGGACCTCTTCAACCAGCAATGGCATTCTGACCACGTTGAAGTCTTCATACAGCTCTTCGATCTGCTCCAAGTACTTCTTCTGCATCTTCCTCCGCGCATTGCATTGTTCACAGGCGCTGCTCTGTTTCGGGAACAGGAGCTGGTTGACCACGATGGCATGGGTATCGATATTATAGCTGGTGAGTTCCTGGATCATGCGTTCAGTTTCGTACAGAGACAGGAACTCTGCAATGCAGACGCAGACGAAGGTGGTCAGGTCAGCGTCCTTGAACTGCGAATTGACTTCGCTGATCGTTTCCCTCAGGGACTCCATCTTCTGCAACAGTTCGTCAATGTTTTGGCCACCCGGCAATCCACCACGAGAACCAAGGATCGAGTTCAACATGGGACCAAACTGGGACGACAGCTGCGACAGTTTTGCGAGAGCCTTCTCTAGCACGGTGGGGAACTGGAGGAAGCGAAGAGTGTGGCCGGTCGGTGCGGTGTCAAACACAATAACCTCGTAGGACAGGGACTTGACTTGCTTCAAAACTTCGGCGAAAGACATAGCTTCATCAACACCGGGGATCTGATACAGTCAGCCATGTTCCAAGAGCACTAAGTTGTACGGTTGGTTAGCTAGGGTGCGTTTGACAACGTACACTGAACGCCAGATCCTGCATCATTCCACCGACACCCATGCCAGACATAGGGTCGTCTCCTTGGCCTTCGCCGCTAGCCAAGAGATCTTGAATGCTGCCGTTCGGGTCGATCTCCATAGCGCTGAGGTTCGAATAACCGTCAACAAGGCGGGCCTCCTTTCCGAACTTCTGTCCGAAAGCATCGCTCAGGTTGTGTGCGGGGTCGGTGGAGATGAGTAGGACCGATCTGCGAACTTTGGCAAGCTGAATCGCGAGAGAGCAAGAAGTCGTAGTCTTGCCGACACCTCCTTTACCGCCGACAAAGATCCAGCGCAGGGTCTTCTGGTTAACAACCGACTGGAGTGTGGGCTCCATGAGGTCGTCGCTATGCACCACGGCGGAAGACATTTCGAAGCTCGTATAGATTAGTACCGACTTTGATTCGTTGTCTGAGAAGGCGCGATTGAGTGAGCTTCCGTGCTGAAGAGGCTATGTCGCGATCTTGAAGCTTGGACTTACCACGTATCGTTTCCCCGCAGAGGCCCAAAACTTTCAGTAGTGGCGGTTGGAGAACTTCGAGAACTTTCTCGGGAGGATTAAGTCACCCACACACTTGCTCGAGATGGGCCAACTCAGGTCCGGATGACAGAGAGCACAAACGCAGGGTGCTGGAAGGTCAGGTACGATTTACCCGGTAAAAGGCGTCGCTGCAAAAAAGCGTTTCCATTCGAGCCGTTGTAACGCGGCACGTGCTAGAGCCATCCTCTCTGCCTGAGGCGACCCCACCCGTCAAACAGTGACATCAATCTAGCATCTCACGGGAGATGTGATAGAATCAGGTTGCTCTTCTCCTAGTTCGAGAATCAAGACCTTTGGCAGAATGTCCATGCCGTAGGTATTTCGATATCCATATCTGGCCATCTCCACTCGGATGGCGACCTGTCAATCGCTTCCGGCGAGTTTCAATCCCCGCCATTGAAGACGATCTAGGGGCTGCGATGGCTAGAAACGAAACCCGAGATACATCTCAGCGATTTTACTAGGCTAGATTAGTCCCTCTAGCCAGAATACTGTTGTGGTTTCCACTTGATGGAAGTCTGTCTTGCGTTGCAAAATGGGCTAGGTATGTTGATCAGGCCAGCAACCACCACTAACATCCCAAGATCGCCAGTCGGAGAATCAGGAGTCGGCACTGTACACATTTCATGCCAAAAGAAAGAAGAAAGCTATGGTTACTTGCAATTGTTGAATCATAAACCCCTGGACAATTTTGAGTTGATGTACTACATAGTATGTAGTAATATGAACCTTGATTGCGATTTGAATAATCAACAATCCCCACGACTTACCCCACTGAAGGTATACTCCGGGCATCCCAAGGTAGCTCTGTCGGTGCTCTCCGATGCATGGGACGCGGAGATAGAAAAGCCCTCTCGCACGCTGGACCCCCGACGACCCTTTACTTCTTCTCCGATTCAAAAATCCTCCTCTACTTCATCTACCTTCTTAATGGACCCTGGCTCAGAACCTGCACCGTCGAATGGTCAACTGGGTACAATCACAGATCGTCTAAGCCTCTACCGCAACCAACTCCTCCAACCCTCGAATCTCTCGGCAGCACCCCCCTCCAACAACCACAACACGACATCAAGCCCCAATCCAAACCCAGCAGCGATGTCTCGCGATCCCATCACCTGCCACGTCTTGAATACCCTGACGGGTACTCCCGCCGCGAACCTCCCGGTGACCTTGACCCTCCTGTCTGGACCCTCCAGCAGCCAGAGTCCCATCAGCTTTCGTGCGACGACCGACGCAGACGGCCGCGTCAAAACCTGGGAAGCCACAACCACTTCATCCACGTCAGTCCCTGCTATCCTTTCCGGTCTCCCCGCCGCCGATAGCAAAACGAATTGGGCTGTTCGGTTTGAGGTCGGTCCATGGTACGAGGCACAAGGAGTTGAGAGTTTCTGGCCCGAAGTCGAGGTGAAGTTTACCGTTAAGGGACGCGGCCGGGAAGGCGAGGACGGATGGCGGCATTATCACGTTCCCGTGCTGTTGGGACCCTGGAACTATTCAACTTATCGGGGCTCGTGACGCATTGATAAAGCTCTGATATGTAAAGGGTCTTATCGCTCCTGACTATCGTGGAGCCCACGCACCCATATGACGTATCTGGAGAAGGGTTGAAACACGACGCTTATGGGTCTGACTGCTTTGATAATAATGAATCCCAAGCTTAAACTATGGGGATGCTGCTTGACTTATCCACTTAGGATATATATGTAGCTGAATTTGGATTTCATGGCAGATTTGATCGCTCTTTGCAATTGATTGTAAATGAACACTTTTCCGGATGAAGGAAAATAGCAACGGATCTTGACGAACTGCAGGGTGGAAGTATAGCTGAACAACTTCACCTACTAAAACACGGGTAGGTACTAGTATCACGGCTCCATCGGCTTCTACATAGTACTCAGTAGGCTGCAACAAAGGCATGCAATAATCTAGACTTTAAGACACATTCTCGGAAAGGCCTGCATGGCAACCACTATTTTCGGTGGCTGCATGGCCAGAAAAGCTAAATCGTGGCGGGAGTGTCATGTATGTGCTAGATGGTTGGTAGAGATACCTCCGGGCGCTCAAATTTCCTACCTTGCGGGAGAGGTGCGGGAGATGTTGATTTGCTGTCTATCTACGGAGTATCTAGGCCTCTCTTAGCCCTTAACTCTGGGACGTATGAGGTACCCAATACTTTTTCATGATCATGCACTCCGGAGGAGAGCGGCGAAACTAGGCTTGAAGACGTTGGGCCTAAAGGGCGGCCTTATTCAAAAGTACGCTGGGTGACAGGGATCGTCTACAGGTATTCCGTACCGAGTAAGTACATACATTGTAGGTGAGTGATCTTGCACTTGCACATATGCATGTGCAGATGAAGTATTCTACTATGTAGTCGGATGCAAAGCATCCATCACCGCCGAGATTATTGACCTGGTGGTGCTGAGTAGATAGAACGCAAAAATTAATCCTTCCCTAGTCGACATCGATCGCGTGCCTGGGAAGTGTGGTAACAGATAGATTAGCGTGTAGCACTATCGTGTAGTCGTTGAGGGACGCAGTAGTATCACTGCCAAGACCCCAGTCCAGATGCGACTTCTGGCAGGCTGGCAGCTGTAGGGGCTCATTATTGTGGAGAGCGCACAATCTACTCCGAACCTTCTCCTCCTGTCTACCAACCTACCGTGTACCCCGTACCACTCCCTCCGTGCATTGAATGAATTGTCCAGAATCCAAGTGGCAACCCACTAGATTCCTCGATCCTTGTTTTGGGCCCCAACGAGACAGCGCGACACACCCTCACGTGATGCTAATCCACGGGACGAAGGCCCTAGAAGCATTGCGTCATCACCCGGGACCCAATCAGCAAGCGGACGGGTCAATCGACGTTCCGAGCAGACTGCCCCAGAAACCGGGCGACGGCGATAGGGAGCGGAGGATTGGAAGGATTTCTTGCTGGACCGAATCTATCTCCAGATTTGGGCCCGCGGGCGGCCATTCAGACGATGGCTTTGGGCCGACTTGGACCATTCGACCAGACGAAGATCTTCACCGCCCTGCGGCCGGACAAACATGGCGCCCTCTCCATGATTCGTTCACCCGCTCCAGGTTGAGACTCTGCAGGGCGGGGCTCGGAAGCAGGCCCGTGAGTGGCTGGGCCAAGTGGATGCGCTGGTACGTTAGTCTCAGTCGCGAGTGGCCACCCGGCTGGTCCGACTGTCCGACAACCCAGGAAAATTCCTGTCGTCGTCACCGTGATCTCATTCACGTTTTTACCCCTTCCCTTCTTCCCTCTGTCCAAACCTCGCTGGCCAGTTTGTGGTGTACCCCCCAGGTCGACAGTTACTTGTTTATACTGCTGTCCCCGTCAATCTTACTTTGCCTCTTATCGGGAGAACGCCTTCGAGGTTCCATCCCTAGATTGCGACCAACATTCTTATAACCTTTCCATTTCTTCTCGGCGCGGAAGTGTGTCATTGCTCTTGGGTTGAATTGCCTATCGTTTCCGCCGTCATCCAACAATCGCGTCCACCACATTTCCACCACTCGGATTGGTTGAAAAGTATTGCCGGGAACCCACCCCGTCTCCAAGTTCGTTTTTGCAAGTAAGGGCCAGCCAGCATTCGCCTGCATAATCATACTGTGCCTGGTCACTATAGGGTAAGGTGTTCTTTTTCCTTTCTCGCCTGCCTTTCTTCCATTGTTCTTCGATTTGTTCCGGAGTATCGATATTCCTGCTTTGAAATCAGAAATCATAAGGTGGCCATCCGAAGTACCAAAAAAGAAAGGGCCATTTGAAAAGGGAAAGAGCAACAAAGATTTAGTACTCCATTACGGAAGGGAGTAAGGGAAGAAAAAAAATAAGAACCAGAAAAAAAAAGAAAAAAAGGGAAAAAAAAGAGAAGGAAAATTCCTGAACCTTTCTTTTCTACCTACCTTAGTGTTTCGAGGTTGCACTCTGGCTGGTACCCGCGGGCTTTTTGTATTCTCAGGGTTGCATGGTTTCGGGGTGACAGACAGTCGAGTCCGATTAGGCTTAGCCTCGCGGACGGCCACTTCGACCGCCTCCCCTCTTTCTTTCCCCCCTAAATCTCCCTGTCGAACCCGGACTACGTCACAACTTTTTCCTTTCCCTTCCCTACCACTGCTACTATACCGTGTACTTGCTCAGTGACCTCTGGGTACAGGCGTTTGCGCAGCAACCGTACGGCATTAACAAGTCACATTTACTAAACTCACGGCTAGCTCTGACTTTCTGCTCCCTTTCCCCCGTACCCTTCCATTATACTTGTTCAGCGTCGCCCGTCCTTACTCTGTGTCGTCGCCACTTCGTCCGCTCGCTTGGCTATTTTTTTCCTTACATCCCCGGGTCACCTGTCGACCTCCCTCGCTCTAATATATCGACCCCCCTCCACGCTACTATGTCTGCGGCTGTTGCTTCGACCGTTTCGACTACTCTAGCTCATCATACTGACACACGTAATTCCTCTCCAATGGACGTGAAAAAGGCGGGCCTAGACACTGAAGGTGAGTACATCTATTGTTTCGACCCTCGTGTGCGCGCGTGGAACTCTGGTACCTCCCATGCCAAATTATGAAATTCCGCTGTATCTTGCAATTCCTTACTTCATTATCGAGCCTTGGCCTGTTCTGGCTTGGTCGCGCGCCACTGTTCCCCAAAATGATCTGTTGACTGCCCTCCGCCGTCGGGATGACCTCACAATTGGCGTCATCGGCCGGGTGTTGCTGTTATCAGATCCCCTTCTCTTGAACTTTGGCCTCGGCGGTGTTGTTTTGTCAACCTCTGCATCCCTACCCCTGTTTCAGACCCCACTGTCCTATTCGTCGTCGTCTTAGTGGCTTCACTGACGCGAGCATCTGCTTGGTTACAGACTCCAGGGCGACGTCGTCGGATCTCAAGGACCCGAAGCCGGATGTAGATGCTCAAACATCATTGGCACCACCTCCACGACCAGCCATAACAAGCGCGACTGACACTCCCGATTACTTCAACTCCGTTCACAACCCTTTCTCTCTGGAACCCAACCCCTTCGAGCAATCCTTTGGCAGTGGTGGTTCCTCGGGCGAAACACCCGGGAAATCGATTCTCCCCCCTGTCGCAGCACTTACTTCTCCTGCCCTGCCAGGTGCTACTTCTGCAAGTGGTGGCTACGGCTGGTCCAACTCGTTGCGCTCCGGGCCGCTGAGCCCTGCTATGCTCCCTGGGCCGACTGGTTCCAGCGATTACTTTGACAGCATCGGTAGAGGTTTCCCTACTCCCAACGAATCTTCTCTTCGCACTGGATTGACGCCAGGCGGAGGTGGTTCTATGTTCCCAGCTCCAAGCCCAAATTCTCAGGCACTTCTGCAGCAGCTGCAAAGTGGGGGCGCAACACCGTCGACCATTGAATTCCACCGCACTGCGCTAAATGCTGCTAAGAAGAACAGCTTAAATGGTCCAACCTCTAACCCAACTTCTGATCCTGACTCGGCCGCTCAAAACTCCAGCATGGATATCAAGCCCAACCAACCTGCAGGTGCCGACCCGTTCGGTCATCATGATGCTGCTGATGCAGCTAATGGACTATTCATGCTAGCCAAAGGCGGACAGGCCAACCCCAACCAGTTCTCTGTGCCGAATCAGACATCGATTCAGCCACAAAGTATCCAAGCCAATGATCAACAACTTGAAGCTGGTGCAGACAGACGTAACTCGCAAAACATCAATGGTGTAACGGGCAGAGAGACCAGTGGTGATGCTTCCGATATGCAGGGCGAGCAGACGAAGCCTGCTGGCAAGGGCAAAGCAAAGAAGAACTCATCGAAAGCTGGCACTGCGGCAAACAACAAGCGCAAGCCAGAAGATGCATCCAAAGGCATAAACAAAAAGGCCAAGACGAGTAACGGATCTGGTAGTGTTGAGCCTCCATCCGATGTAGGGGACTCCGAGGATGAAGATGATGATTTGAAGAGGAAGTCAACGACAGAATCAAAGAAAATGACTGATGAAGAAAAGAGGAAAAACTTCCTCGAAAGAAACAGGTAGGATGACGAGCCCTTTGTCACGGTTAGGTCTAAGTGACGGCTTTACGTGCTAACACGGACTAGGGTCGCGGCGCTTAAGTGTCGTCAGCGAAAGAAGCAGTGGCTTGCCAACCTTCAAGCAAAGGTTGAACTGTTTACCTCCGAGAACGATGCACTCACCGCCACTGTCACTCAGCTCCGTGAGGAGATCGTCAACCTCAAGACTCTATTGCTGGCGCACAAGGATTGCCCAGTCTCCCAAGCCCAGGGCCTCGGGCCCATCATGATGAACACCATGTCGACAGGATTTGACCCGCACCCATACAACCTCTCTGGCACTATGGGGATGCAACCTGGTGCGCCTATCCCTGCGCAGGGGCTGCGACGGTAATGAGCCCTTATTTGGACCGCGACAATAATACATGGGATCTGCTCCGTTACCTTTGGTTAGACGAGCAACCCAATTTCTTTGCTTCAGGAGTGCAGGGTTAGGCGCTTTGCATGCCTGCCACGTCTTACTCTTATTATTGGCTACGAGCCACCGGCATGGATAGGTGTTTATGATGTATACGATTCTAAAAACGGACGGCTGAATTTGAAGTGGAATGGGCATCACTCGATCCAGAAGGTGCAAATTTGGCGCAAAAGCTTGGCTGGCTGCTTTCATTTTCTCTCGTGTTTTCTTTCCTTTACTTCGACCCTGAAAGCCCTCATCCTGCCTGGCTTCAGTACTTGCAGGAGAGGGTGGTGTATTGTGTACTCATTTTATGTTTTCCTTTACCATCTTTTTTGTCACCCCCTTTGCTAAAGGGCTTCTCTTCGTCTGTCTGATACTTGCGGGCCACTGGGTGTTTGCCTTTTCTTTTGCTGTGAAGCACGGTATTGGGTGGCGTACTGGAGGTTTCTTGATGTCGTTTCTTCTTTCTTGCTAGATGTCATTGAGCGTCTAGGAAATCGGCTGATATTGAATCCCAATGATTCCAGATTGAATGATTGCAACTCGATGGGAGGACGTAGCGTGGAAGCCACTATGTAGTCGGGCTGTACTATCTAAGACTCGGACACGGGAGACCGGCAGGATGCAACGGAAGGCTTGGCAAGACGCGGGTTCAGAGGCCAAACCACGCAAGCCGGGCAAACCATCCATACGCGGTGCAGTCAGTCTTCAGCGATGAGTCTCGACGCAACAGATGCCTAACCACGTCGACTAATCTGTATGCTATAGCTACCTCTAGGCGTCCCTCTGACTGGTGCGGGACGCCATGCCCAGTGGATTGGAAGACCAACTATTCACTTGTGTTCGACCCTGCTCGCCGCGTTTAATCTCGCCGGCGGTATTCTACGCCAACCGACCTATAGTCTATTGCGCGCAAGAGACAGCGACCTGTCAGCTATAAAGAATAATTGGAATTGACCAAAAGTGGATCTTTAGACAGAGTCTCCCAGGCGAGCTAGAAAAGCATTCATGTCTGCTCGTCACCCCGCGCGCCCACGGCGCATCGACGACGCCCTCTCCCAACTTGTCGATTCCCTTACCCCTCCCCTCTCGCTTTCAGACATCAACGACGATTATGCAGATGACGCAGAAGATGCCCTCGCAGCGGCGGAGGAGAGACGACACCAGGAAATTCTCCAGCGCTCGTGGCGCATACTTGACACCCACACCAGCGCAGCCAACGACCCGGCTTCGCCATCGAATGCTCCGGGTCCAGGAATAAACAGGAGGGGGAGCTTAGCAGGTGGGGAAAATATCAACAACGCGTCGGATCTGATCAAACGGAAGTTGCTGCGCGAGAACGCGAGCCCCGATAAGGCCGTTCGATTCTCCAACCTATACTCGCGTTTGTTGACGCAGCCGGTCTTGTCGCAGAAATGGGCGATCTTATACCTTCTTTATCGACTCTCGAGTGCGGATGACCATGATGGATTTATGGATGAGGAGGGAGAGCCCCGAAGCCCCCTGGTAGAACCAGCGAATCTGCAGAACGTGCTCTGGAAGGGTCAGAGGGCAAAACAGGTTTGGGGGGATCAATCTGATGAGGAGGGCCCGGCGATTAGCTCGTCTGCATCTCAGTTGCCTGCTCGGATCGAGCGACAGGCTTCGATACGTCGGCAAGAAATGGTGGCAGATAAGGAACGAGAATCTGAGCATGACACTGGGTTACCAGCGGTGGAAAGGGCTCGCGAAACCCGAGTCACTCGGAGTCGGGCCAATACTGGGGTGAGAGAACCGCTCAGCGACGATCAAAGGACGATACAACCGGAGCCTACTAGCTTGGAGAAAGAACACCAGCCAACTGCACCTCTGGAAGATGGGCTCCTGCGTGATCTACCATTCAATCTACAGGGCTTGTCCTCGTCGAACCTACAATTCTCCTCGACCTCCACTTTAAAACTACCACCTTCACTACCTGTGCCGATGGTATCTCTTTTAAACTCCCTTGCAGAGCCCTGTCTCCTGTATCGTGGTTTATCGTCGTTCGTCGAGAGTTCAGTAGGTGGACTTCTCAGTCAGAGCTTGCGGGCAGCTCTCTCGAATGAGCTCCGTTCCTACCTAGGTCTAGTTGCCACGTTGGAAGGGGAGATTCGACGGGCGCTGGCCGCACCTGCGGATCCGAGTGATCCTAGGAGTGCCTCCAAGAGTGGTGTGACGTTGAAACGATGTGTTGTCTGGACGCGAGATGCAACAATGGCGCTGCGGCTGATGAGTCTTATTGTTGAAGAAGCCCAGAGTAAGCACTCTTGTACCGATGATGAATGGTATCCCCACTAACAGCGGTATCACAGACAAGAAAGGTGGTCAATTGATTTCCCTGATCCATGGCTTCTCGACTTCCCATGGTGACCCCTTTGTATGCGCTCTGGCGGAGAAGCTCCTTAACCATGTTACCCGGCCGTTCTACGACATGTTGCGACTTTGGATTTACGACGGCGAGTTGTCCGACCCATATAAAGAATTCTTTGTTGTCGAGCCGGAGTTTAGGCCCAGCACAGACCCGCGGCGGATTGCAACCAGTGTTTGGGAGGATAAGTATAAGCTCGACGATGAGATGGTACCCTCCATCATCACACAAGACTTCGCTAAGAAGGTGTTCTTGATCGGGAAATCATTGAACTTCATACGATACGGTTGTGGAGACTCGGGATGGGTTGAGGCCTACTCAAAAGAAGCCTCCAAAGAGCTGCGGTATGGCGATACAGCTACCTTGGAGTCTTCGATTGACAAAGCCTATAAGACCACGATGGCACGGCTGATATATCTCATGGACGAGAAATTCAAGCTCTTTGACCATCTTCGGGCGCTAAAGAAATATTTGTTGCTGGGACAGGGTGATTTCATCGCTCTGCTGATGGAGTCATTGGCTTCGAACCTGGACCGACCAGCTAATTCGCAGTACCGCCATACGTTGACTGCCCAACTAGAGCATGCCATTCGTGCTTCTAATGCACAATACGACTCCCCAGATGTCCTACGTCGGCTGGATGCCCGCATGCTGGAACTCAGTCATGGAGAGATTGGCTGGGACTGCTTCACCCTTGAGTACAAGATCGATGCCCCGGTAGATGTAGTCATTACTCCCTGGGGCTCCACTCAATATCTGAAAGTCTTCAATTTTCTCTGGCGTGTGAAGCGCGTAGAGTTCGCCCTGGGCAGTATTTGGCGACGATGCATGACTGGTGCTCGAGGTGTCTTGGGGAGCGTCAACGACAAAGTCGGGCCTGACTGGAAGCGGGCAAGGTGTGTGATCGCTGAGATGATCCACTTTGTTTGCCAACTACAATATTACATATTGTTCGAGGTGATTGAGGCCAGCTGGGACCAACTCCAGGCTTCCATTTCCAAGCCAGGATGCACGTTGGATGACCTGATCGAAGCACACACTAAATACCTCAACTCAATCACGCACAAGGGCCTGCTAGGCTCTTCATCCTCATTCAAGAATACATCTACCAACAAGCCGGAAGAGGGTTTCCTAAGCCAGTTACACCATATCCTCAAGATCATGCTTGCATACAAGGACGCCGTGGACGGCCTTTACTCTTTCTCCGTCGCAGAATTCACTCGCAGGCAAGAACTCAGCGCAAAGATCGAGACACGCACCGCGCAGGGTCGTTGGGGCGTTACCGAGCGCGATCTTCTCTCATCCAGGCGCACCCGAGGACACAAGGACTCCGTCTCGTCGTCCATGTCTCCCTCGGTGGCGTTTACACCAAACATCGGAAATGGCGGCGACGACATTGGTACCCCATCCTCGGTGCACCATGATCTATCCGCCGATGACCATATGCTTGCATCCCTGCGCGTCCGACTCCGGGACCTCTCAGCCGAGTTTCGTTCGCGACTGAACGTTCTCCTGGGCGACCTTGCCTACCAGCCTGATGTGGATATGCGGTTCCTCGGCGTGGTGATGAACTTCAACGATGTCTACGAACCAGTTCGCCGCAGAAGAACCGCGGGTACCAGTTCTCGCGATAAGGAAAGAGCGAGACGCAAGGCAGCCGCCGCCGCCGGGGCCAGTGCGGAAAGCAGCGCGTCCAAGGAGGCCAGGCGAGAGAGAAAGGACCCGTACGGAACGGAGAATAGCGGAAATGGAAGCGCAACGGGGCCCTAGTAGTCTCGTCTGCCTTATCTCGGTCGGTTTTATATCTACTTGAGGAGCATTTTGGTCTTGTTCACGGAGTCAAGGATTCGATTGGGATGGGAAGGGAAGGGAAGCGAAGCGAAGTGAAAACAAAAAGTAATGAAAGTGATGACGATCTCACGGGACTATACGTATAGAGATATCTCGCCATAGGTTGTATGTATACCAAAGCATAATATGTCAGTCGAATATATCCCATATCAATCTTTTACTTGGTATTGATAATTCCGATAACCAAAGCGGAGCGGAGCGGAGCAATCATTCGAGCCTTCCAAACCGTCTCCGCAACTCACGTGGAAAATTTCCCCCCAACTTTCTACAAACCAGCAAGAACAACCCATACACCAACACCACCCACCCATTGTTATTTTCTTTTAAAAACCTCTCCATTACGATCCGGGAATCCACGCGACTCGAATAAATCGCACCTTTACCCTCCTACAACACGAGTCCGGCACTCGCTCAATGTCGAGCACCCAATCGTCGCAGCACATCCCGGCTTGGAAAAAGATGGGTCCGAAACTCAAGAACGCTAAGGATACGCCTGTGGCGTTTCCTGAAGAGAATAAGGAGAATGCGAGCGTGAATAAAGATCAGGATAAGAAGCAGCGCAAGAGCAAGAAGAGACGTCTTGAGAATGATGATGATGAGGGGGTGAAGAATGACGGAGGAAAGGAAGATGCTGAGGCTTCGAAGAAGAAAAAGAAGAAGAGAGTGTCGTTTTCGGCTGGGTCGAAGGAATATGATGGTTCTGACGAGGAGCTGGAGCAGGAGAAGGAGCAGGTGAAGGATGATGCTAAGGACGAGAAGATTCCCGAGGATGATGATATTGCGGATGACGAAGGAGGGAAGGAGAAGAAGAAGAAAGAGAAGAAAAAGAAGAATAAGGATAAGAAGAAGGAGGGTTCAACCGAGGATGCTTCTGCGACACCGAAGATCCACGAAACGCCTATCCTTTCCTACCTGAGTCTTTATCACAAACATCGCTCGGCGTGGAAGTTTCAGAAAAATCGCGAGACGCATCTCTTCAAGCATGTCTTGTCACAGGAGCAGGTTCCGGCGCAGTATAATGCGGCTTTGCTTGCCTATTTGCAAGGGTTGAAGAGCGAAGGTGCGAAACTACGATTGAGGCAGATAGCGGAGGAGGTTATTAAGGCTGAGGCTGAGGCTGAGGATCAGAGTACTGCTGAGGAGACGGAAGAGAAGAAGGAGACCCCTGCGACGACAGATGCGCCGAGCTATGACAAGGCTGTTGCTGCTTTCCGGATACGCTTGTCTGCGGGTCAGGAGGATCTTGATAGCCAGGATATCGCCGGGCAGTTTGATGCTGATATGCTGAAGAAGATCGAGAACAGACGACGGGCAGAGCTTGTTCTGTTTGCTGTTAACGGCACGCTGTTCAATTACCAAAAGCCGAGGCCTCCTCCGCAGAAAGGAAAGAAGGCGCAGGCTCAGCCCGGCAAGAAAAAGAAGAAGAACCGTACTGCTTTCGTGGAGATCTCGAGCAGCAGTGAGAGTGAGAGCTCTAGCGACAGTGATAGCGACAGCGACAGCGACGATAAGAAGAAGACCAAGGCCAAGCGTACAAGTGCTAAAGCCTCCACACCTAAAGACAGCAGCAGCAGCAGCAGCAGCAGCAGTGATAGCGACAGCGATTAGACGCTGTTTCCGTCGGATTATCTGGATGTTTATATTCCTCTAAAATCTAGCAACTCTTATGGGAGGCCTCCAATGCGTGAATCTGTGCCCTAGTTCAGGAACGGTGCGTTTTGTTAGGGATTTATATGTATGATCATGGACAGTCATGAAGGCCGCTATAACCCAATGAATCACAACTCTGGTAGTCGCTTGCCGGTTGCTGCGCTACGGTGGATCACGATACTGGGACACCCAAGTTGATCGAATTATAAATGCATCTCGTAAGGATGGCAATGATGATACCTTAGTGAGCGCTATCATGCCCTAGGAGTTGTCATACTCATTCTGTGGAATACTAGCTTTCCCTCTTCTTTATACCCTACACTTACAAGATGTACTGAACTTCTTATCACATACGAATAGATATCCTTGCTTCCATCACTATCATCATCCATATGGAGGGATGATTGGAGGCTATGGAGTCAGATGGATGGAAAAGAAGATGTGATGATGGTCTTCAAGGTCTATGGAGTGGTAAGAGTGCGGGTCATAGTGTTTTGTACTGTGATCATACTGTGTTGCGTTTGGCGTGCTCAGGCCATGTCAGGGCTTTGAGATAGAAAGACAAATGTCCAATGCATGGCGAATTCTAAAACTAGATCTAGACTTCCTTCAAGAGAGAAATCCTATAAATTGAAGTGGATGGCGGCACAATAAAGGATACCGGAGAAGGCGGTGACGCTGGAGCTTACTCAAACGGGGCCCCAAAGCTTGAGCTCCGGCCAGGCACCCTCTGGCACGCGTCCTTTGCTACGTCCCTCCTCCCTCCTCCCCCGATCCTTCCTATCCCCCATCCCGATCTATTTCGCCTCGCTACTACATTAATCACTACCTCCTGTGTCTTCGATCCGACTTTGATCCATCGCCGCAATCATGTCTGGTAAGCCTCCCCGGAGTCGCTCGACTGGCCCGACGTCCATGACTTCATCGACCGACTGACACCCTTCGTGAGCAGGAAGTGCATATGACAGACACATTACCATCTTCTCAGACCAGGGCCGTCTGTACCAAGTCGGTAAGTGACCCTCCAAAGCCCACCGCCACCTCCCCTCTTTCCGACGACGTTCGAAGAGCCCCGACCACCGATCACGTTAGATCATCAAGACCGTCTACTCACCATCAATGTCCTCGGCGCTTAGAATATGCCTTCAAGGCCATCACCTCTGCCAACATCACCTCGCTAGGTGTGAGGGGAAAGAACTGCGCAGTGGTTCTGTCCCAGAAGAAAGTTGCTGTAAGATCGCTCCGCTGCCCGAGACGACATATCGGGCATCGTCTGATAGACACTCCAGGATAAATTGATCGACCCCTCCTCCGTTTCGCACATCTTCAGACTCTCCCCGTCGGTGGGCTGTGTCATGACTGGCTCCATCGCTGATGCGAGAGCAAGTGTTGACCGTGCTCGTGGTGAGGCGGCTGAATTCCGATACAAGTACGGCTACGAGATGCCTTGTGACGTCCTTGCAAAGCGTCTGGCCAATATCAACCAGGTCTACACGCAAAGGGTTTGTGTCACCTGTCTGAAAAACTAGCCCAGAATATTGGCTGATGGATCACGGTTTCTTTCTAGGCTTACATGCGTCCGCTCGGAGTTGCCATGACCCTGATCTCCGTTGATTCGGAGAAGGGCCCACAACTCTACAAGTGTGACCCCGCTGGGTACTATGTCGGATACAAGGCGACTGCATCTGGACCGAAGCAGCAGGAGGCGCTCAATTACTTGGAGAAGAAGCTGAAGAACAAGGATTACGCCGAGGGCAGCTGGGAGGAGGTTGTCGAGCTGGGTATCACGGCCTTGAGCAATGTTCTGAGCGTTGATTTCAAGAAGCACGAATTGGAGATCGGGATCGTCGGAGGACCACGAGCTGATGGCCAGGAAGGGACAGACATTGGTTTCCGGGCCTTGACGGAGGAAGAGATCGACGAACGACTGCAGGCCATCAGCGAAAAGGACTGAGCTGTTTTCATTTTCTGCACTGGGAGCATCCATGTTGGTAGACGCAAACGATCGATGAACATCATTTTTCTCTGACGCTCTATGCTGGCGGTTGTCTGACGAAACTCTATTCTCCATCCTTGTCGGTTGACTTGCTTTTGCACCCCTGTTTTACTTGACACCCAAAACCTGGAAAGCCCGCTTGCAGCTCTTGAGACCGGGCCCGGCGATCGGAAAGGCCCGCATTTGTCCTGCTTCTCTAAACCGGTGGCAAATGAGAATAAGCACGTCGGTGTGATAAAGTATGGTCTTTGCGATCTGACAGGCTTAGAGCGACGTCGTCCTATCTGCATGTTCCATGCTGCAGTGCTGATAACTAAAGAAAGAAACGTTTGAACCCGGATGATCAATGCAGACCAACGTCAGACGTCTCTAGGGCCTCGAACATCTGCAGGCGTTAGTACTACCTCGGCAGGCTTGCAGAGTGAGCTCTTTCACTGAGCAGCAACGTTGACCATGCTCATTGGCAGGAGAGGGAAAAAAGTTGCCACCGACGAGGCCGGGACGGAGATTCTGCTCGTATTATGTAGCAATGTGACGGACTCCATCGATAATAGTCGAGTACTAGTAAACAGTAGAAGGTGAGAAGGTGGAAGATCCATCAAATGGTGGAGGCAAGCCTGAGGCTGCGGTGTTTGCTTTTCCATTTTCAGCTGGTTCACTAGCCGCTCTGTGGCTGAGCTGGAGATGGGCGTGTGTGTGTGGCTTTCGTTCTCGGCTTGGTTGCTCGTTCCTCTCCGTCCATCACTGGCTTCTATTGTCTCTCTACCTTTCTTTCTTTCTCTCTGTCTTTCTCCGTCGTTGCCTGGCTGTCCACCGTGGGACCAAACGGTGCCTGAATCTAAAACGAGTCAGTGGAAAAGTCAATTCTCTGAGCAGTTCCCTGCTCCTGCAGTCGGGTTATCCTGTTCTGGTCGATATCTCCGGTCCCAAGCTGCAGCTGATCTGAACTATGAGCCACTAGAGTGTGGCGTTTACCGAGGGTGGATGACCCCCCAGCTGGCTGTACTCGCGCTTCTTTTTTAGTGCCGCCAGCAGATTCCCGTCATGACGGTCCCCACTGTGTCTGCAAGATGACCCGAGATCCAGCACCCCCTCCAGAGAGGGAAAATTCAAAAGAAAAACCCGAAAAAAAAAAAGAATTATATTGTGGCATTAGAGGATCCCACTGGTGCGGTACTGTGACACATGCGGCGATGTATCACCCTTCCGGCCACAGTCCAGTGAGTCCACCCAGCCAGTGGAGTCCTGTCTGGCCCGATCTTAGACTTGGCTTCGCGCTTTGGATTTTCTTTTTCAAACCATACCCCCCTGCCTCGTCTGATGTCGCCGGTTTCCGTGACCCATTTTGTGTATATCTCATTTCGTTATGCATGCAGGCCCATCAGCATTGACCCCCCTTCCTGGGCCAGCTGCTTAGTCTCGCGCTTAGATATCAGCCTTAGATCCATTCACCGTGGGTGGACATCCCAGGCCCTTTCGGACACATGGCTCTCATGGGGCCTGTCTCCTACTATTGATCCACAATGGTTGCCATTATCCAGCTGCAGTCCCGAGCTGTGATGGTTTCCTTTCTCCATCAGCATCCGTCGGTACAGCCAGCCACGACTGAAGATGATGATCCTCTTTCACCAAGTTCTCCATCACCGAGCTGATGGCTCATCGTCGTCAGAAGTACCCATGGCTGAACGTTAAGCTTAAAAGGATATCCCACCCTCGGCTCTGAGACAAGATATTAGATAAAGCAAACGCTCAACCCAGCAACATAGAAAGGTCGCCTTGTCTCACTTAATCAATTGACTTGACCATTGCTCTATCCTTTTATCTATCCATCTTGAACATAGTCCCATTGCCGGCCATCGTTCATTCCTACGTCCCCTTGGTTGATCATTTGGAGGCAATCCCAAGCTACCAGAACTAGCAATGGCCGACGGACGTAAGTATTGGTTTCCTTTTCGTTGAGTTTCTGTGGTCATTGAGATTGACATGTCGCAGTCAATCAAGCACGTGCCCTGCGGGTTGCAGAGATCATAAACGACTACCGAACTCTACTTGTGCATATCTCTCAGCAAAACGTCCAAATCCCGAGCGAGGAAGCCAACGAAGAGGGCTACAAGGCGATCAGAGAAGGCCTGGCTGCCGCACAGGCATTGATGTCATCCAACTACAACCCCAGCATGACACCCACCCAGTCCAACGTAGAGACGGAAAAGGCAGAACTACAGAGAGTCATTCTAGATGCCAGTGCCCGGCGATTCCAAGCCCATCGCATCTATCTCCGGGTGGCAGCCGCCAGAAGATGGGCCATCAATCGCCAGAACATCCTACGAGGCCAGCGTGCAGGACCCCAACATGCTGCTCAACTTAAGACCGTGAGCAATACCTTCCGACAGGTGAGTCAAGTCCCAGGCTGTCTAGTTTCTGAGCAATTGGTTGACTGGGGATACAATAGGAGATTACACAAGTAACGGATCAGTACGTTGTTGCTGATCTCCGGGCAGCCGACACGCGGTCAGGCCATTGGCTGGCCGATGATCCTGCCCTGCCCATGATCCTTGCCTGGATTCGTTCTCACCCATAGAGTGTACGATCCACGATATGCAACTTAGCACCCTGGTGATTCCGGCAACCAGGGAGGTTGCAATGTACGGATATGATGTTCTAAGCAGTTTCGGGACTACGGTACCACCTTTCTTGATTATTTTGTTATACCCTTTTGGGCGGCATGTTATTGGTGACATCTGGGCGCAGGCCGCCTTGCTGTGCACTTTGAGGGAAAGAAAAAGCTCTATGATTTCCTATGATTCGTCTCCTGTGTTCTTTCTTTTTCGTTTCTTTTTCGGCTTCCATTTCGGTCTGCTGCAGTGTTTGATTTCCTTTCATGTCATGATATCCCCTTGAGTGATGGTTTACGCTAGATGCGATCAATTCGAACTGCCAGCGCGGGTCTATTTTCTACATGGTATTTGGTATTTTCTTTTTCTGGGTCTTATCACAGGAAGGTTCTCCGGCTCTTTCTATTTTCGGACTACGAACGGGGAGTTGCTGCCTTAGAGATAGACTACTAATGCAACTCCGACGGTTTCTCCAATATTGACGGATCAATTTTCCGCTCCCCGGAGCTGGCCGACCAGTCTAGAGATGATAGTTACATGTTTAGTTTACATGTTAGTCGGATGTCGTTGGGGTGATACGGGAGCCCCTAACCGAGAGCATTAGTACCTACTATGTACGACCCAAACCACGCACGAGGGCAAGGGCTGCTTTACAACACGCCACAATGATGTCGAAGGGGACGGATAGCGTGTGGCTTGCCAGTCGTTTCCTGTCAACCGGTAAGCCCCTCCCCGGTGGACCCGACGGATAGTGGAGAAGGTTGAATTCTCATTTCTCATTGAGAGTCGAACCTGAAACAATCACTCTCCGTTGCCCGGGACGGGACCGTCTCAGTTACCACATGGTATTAGGTATATATGGTACTAGATACTACTATGTACTATAGTAGGGTTCGGCGGGAAACAACCTACCAGCTGAATTGCTGCCATCAGAATTTTCTCATTGGCGTCAAATGATTAATCTCGGGGGGGCGAAACGCTCTGACCGGAGCATCAAAGACGAAACGAGATCCCGACCACACCACCAATGACAGTCGTCGGAGATACCGATGTGCATGGGTCGATGCTAATATTTAGTGCGGTTAGTCGAAGACATCCCAGCTGAACCCGATGGGGCGGGGGACCCATGCTGCATGCGCCTGAGAAGCAAAATGGACGGGATGAATCATGAAAGGGCGGTTCCATCAGATCGGTCCGTCCATGACTCCATACTACAAGTCTACAAGTACTACTATCTACTAGTAGGTACTCATCATAACGCCAGTCAGAAAAATTTTCATCGCCAGTGGGTCGAGGTATCTACACAGTACACAGTACTGTAGAGGTCGGTGGGATCGAAACAGTGGCCGTGCAACCGTGCCCTGCAGTAGCTTATTTGAAGGTCGTACCCGCCAATCAGATTCCCGGCTCTGGCCATCGAAGGCAAAAAAGGTCCCAAGGTTTCAGCTGAGCATGTCCATGACTCTATGTAAGGGGATCCACTGACTTTCTTAATCCTGGCCTGTTAAGGTTCCTCTCGGAGTTGCTCTCCGTTCCTTGTGCCCGCTCGGCTTAGCGATCAAGATCATCAAGGTGATGACCCTTCCCGGGGTGAAGAATGAAGGTTGACGTCTCGTCTCGCCTGGTCATCGGCCGGTCGGCTCTTGCTTGGGATTTCTCCAATTTTAGACCACGAGGGTGCAGTACTAGTGTCATCTGCCACGTTCGGCCATGATATCCATGCATATTCCTTTTTATCCTGTCCTCCTTCCTCATTTGATAATTTAGACTATTATCTAGTACTGCTCGGGAGATGCTTCATTGCCATTAGTTGCAACCACTATGGAGTTTTCCCTGTTTCCCCGTGCGTTGACCTGAACGGGGATGGCGACGTGACAGGGTTGCCTCCCACAGTCCGCATCAAGCAGAACAATGCATCATGCGCTCTGGCCACTTTCAGTCCCAAGCACTTGGCTTGACCGGAGCCAGTCATCCTTTGCTTCCTTGCCTGGCGATACTTTGGGGCAGCGCTTCGTTTCAGAACATTCTACCTCTACGGTTGCTTCTACCCCAATGTCACCCACGGTCATTCCGAGGCGGGGGAATTGTAACCTCAGCCCCCGTGATATCTTCGGCAATGCGGACTATCTCGAGATACATCATGCGCTACGTTTCTCTCTCCAAGATGTCATCCGGATTGATATGCGGCTGGGACGATCGACGCAAGTCTGGGGCTTGGATCGTCGAACCAGGGTCCTTCCCCGGCAGCCTATCTACTATACTATGTTCTCGTGACTAATAGTCAGGCACCTATCACTTGAGGGGCTGTAAGCGTCCTCATTCTAATCCATCCACTCGGATCTCTTCTATTCTCCAGGATGGTCGACTTGGAGGGAAGCACGCGATGTAGTGTCGTAGTTACGGAGGCCTATACTGCCAGGAACCCTCCGGTTTGGGGGTAGAGCATGGCGAGGTCAGACTGGAAATGACCGACGCCACCAATTACACCAATTCGGTTTCAAAGGGACTTTACAACTCCAACTCAGAGTCGCTGTCCCCTGTCAGACCAAGGTATATATTTGCCTCTTTCCATCGTGTCCAGCAGTTTCACGATATCCAAGCCCGCCACTTCTTGATTGTTACATAAGCGGAGACTATTCCGTGCCGACCAGCCCGCCTTCCGCAGCCGCAGTTTGCACCGCCGCTATCGTATCCTCAGAGCCAATCACACACACCCTCGGGTGGTGGTTTATTTATATACTTAGTGCCAAAGGCATCAGAAGTCGTGATCTAAGGCAGGTACCACCCACCCCCTGCAGGTGTCCTTTTCGACTTAGCCTGACTTGCTTTTCTTACCAGCTCTTTTTGCTGGTAAGTAGGACCAAGTATCGTGTCCCAATGGCCTTCTCTCGTTTGATCCACTGTCTCGTACTTCTCATCCTTGTCCTTGTGCTCTCGGTCCGGTACCTTTGCAATAACGCAGCTGTTCTTCCGCTCCAGCCCAACCCCGTAACTAGTATCGAAACGAACGCATCCACTCCAGCCATGTCTACCGGTCTGAAGTCAGTGGCGTATTTTGTCAATTGGGTGAGCATACATATACTTTATATTTGTTTTCCTCAAACCAGCCCGTTTAGCTCTGACGCCATTCCCAGGCGATCTACGGCCGCAACTATAACCCCCAGGACATTCCGGCCGACAAGCTGACTCACGTGCTATACGCATTTGCCAACGTCCGACCAGAAAGTGGTGAAGTGTAAGCTCTCCACTCTCCTGCAAGGCGCTTGTCGTCTCCCACCAAAGCTACCGTTTTCGCCACCCCCATCAGCCGCACTGACTCTCGCCACAGTTATTTATCCGACACTTGGTCAGACATCGAGAAGCATTACCCCACGGACTCTTGGAATGACGTGGGCACCAATGTGTATGGCTGTGTCAAGCAGCTGTTTCTGCTGAAGCAGCAGAATAGGAAATTGAAGGTCTTGCTCTCCATTGGAGGATGGACTTATTCACCCAATTTCGCCCAGGCGGCTAGCACTGATGCTGGTCGGGCTAAATTTGCGGAGACTGCCACTAAATTGGTCACTGATCTTGGGTTCGATGGTACATGGCCAGTCTTGAGGCAGAGTGGAACTTGATTGGCTGATGCTGGAGATTGCAGGTATTGATATTGATTGGGAGTACCCCAAAGGTTAGTCCGGAGGGGTGGAGATGCTTGATCAGTCAGATCGGGACTCTAACGGATATCCATAGATGATACAGAGGCACAGAATATGGTCTTGCTACTTCAGAAGTGCCGGGAGGTAAATATTCGCATCATAAAAGTCTCCCGGTGTGTGCATATGCACTAACCTTGTCTAGACTCTGGACGCAACAGCTGGTGCGGATCGAAAGTTCCTCCTGACCATCGCTTGTCCAGCTGGTAAGTGCACGGGATCGATTTCGCGCAGATTACTGGTTACTAACTCATGTAGGACCTGATAATTATACCAAGCTTAAGCTGTCGCAGATGACGCCTTATCTGGACTTTTACAACCTGATGGCTTACGACTATGCCGGAAGTTGGGACACTGTTGCCGGCCACCAAGCGAATCTATATGCCTCAACTGACAAGCCAGCATCGACCCCATTCTCCACCAGTCAGGCCGTGAATTACTACATGCAGACTGGCGGGGTTCCTTCGTCCAAAATCATTCTGGGCATGCCGCTGTATGGACGTGCCTTTACCAACACCAACGGACCCGGCACCGCTTATTCGGGAGTCGGAGAAGGAAGCTGGGAGCAAGGTGTCTGGGACTACAAAGCCCTCCCCAGAACGGGAGCCACCGAATATGTAGATGCCACCCTGGGTGCATCCTGGAGCTATGATCCCACGGCACGCACTATGATCTCCTATGACAATGTGGCCGTGGGCGAGATCAAGGTGAACTACATTAAGCAGCTTCAGCTTGGTGGTGGAATGTGGTGGGAGACCAGCGGCGACAAGGGAGGCAAGACCGCAAACAAATCTGACGGCAGCTTGATTGGCACCTTTGTGGAGGGAGTTGGGGGTGTGTCGATGTTGGATCAGTCGCAGAACGTTCTTTCCTACCCCGAAAGCAAGTATGACAACTTGAAGAACGGTTTCCGGTAGACCCTATTGATACCCATGTCTGTCTGGAGTCCAGCATGTTCTTTCGTTTGAGCACACAGTTATTCTACGAGCTAGGTAGACTAGGTTGAATGGAGGCGGTTTCGAATTTTTTTGATTTCTCATTTCAAGGCACTATGGAACGATCAAAGCGCACACGTTCCATCCCTCATCCACCAAATATTCACGACCGACATTGCTAGGCGTTACCGGAAAGAAGACAGGGCGGAACGATCAACAGAGCCCGCTTATTTGGACTCGTCGAAGACGTAGGTGAGGTGGCACTTTCCGCAGTACTGGCGGTTGTGCATGGCAGCCATGAAGATACCGGCACCGCACTAAGAGGGGAGTTAGTCAACTGCCAACCACAACGCCAGAGCGGTGAGTAAAACATACCTCGGGGGAGGGGCACTCGCGGCGAAGACGCTCGATCTTGCCATCACCGTCGACCTTGTAGTACTTGAGGACGGCAAGCTTGGTCTTCTTGTGCTTGTGCTTGATCTTCTTGGGGGTGGTGTAGACCTTCTTCTTGCGCTTCTTACCACCACCACGCAGGCGGAGCACCAGGTGGAGGGTGGACTCCTTCTGGATGTTGTAGTCCGAAAGAGTACGGCCGTCCTCGAGCTGCTTACCAGCGAAGATCAGACGCTGCTGGTCCGGGGGGATACCCTCCTTGTCTGAGTGATCTTTAGACATGGCCCCATGATGATTTTGTTCATGGGATGCAGGTGTGCTTACCCTGGATCTTGGACTTGACATTGTCGATGGTGTCCGAGGACTCCACCTCGAGGGTGATAGTCTTACCCGTAAGGGTCTTGACGAAGATCTGCATCTTGATGAAGGTCTGATTTCGGGATTTTGTTAGTTGATGGCTTCTCCTGCGTTGTGCCCGGCGGGGAAGTTCGACATCATCGGCGTCATCCTCGTTCGCTTTCCCAGTTCTGCATCCTGCGAGCAGCGTCGCCGAGTTGATGCATTATGGTATTGTGAAGAATAGGACGCAGATAGACCGTATCTCCCTGCTTAACGGCATGGGTATAGGGCGATCACTCACCTCGACAAGACTTGTCTTCCTAAACCTTCGACGATCGTGGTGGAAAAATATGCTCGGTGGAGGGCGCTTCGTTAAAATCGGTTGTGTGGTCACGTGGTGCCATTGTTGCCGAATGGGGCGTAGTGCGAGCTGGCCTCGGATAATCAGCCCTCCGGGTCTTCAGTCATGTGATGGGGATTTGGCTTCCGAGGTCACGGGATGTGTTGCCGGCTACGTCAGTTAGTGCCTGGCGATATAGGCATCCACACGGCCCGGCAAAAGCCAAAAGCAGGCACCAAGATCCAGCCTCAGCTTCGGCCTCGTCACGACGTCAAGTTCGTCATCGTCATCGTTGGCGCCTCCCCCTCGGCTGCAAATTATTGATCGAATAGCACCCGGATGGGCGTCAATTATTTACGAGCTATTGCAGAGACAGGGTGAAATAATGTTTCAAACCCTCACAGACCACAGGTCGCCCCCCATCCTTGAAGGATGGCGATAGTCGATAATGGAGATAGGGTGGTGTCTGGACCGCTAGGGGAGCGCGAGAACGAGCTCCTTGCAGGGGCGACTAACCTGCGGGATCGCAGCCTTAATTGCGTTTGGACCACTGGTTGCTGCTGGCTGCTAATGCTCCGTGCTGGAACCAGGGCGCGATCCACTGCGCTGGCCAAATCGCCGGCTCCATGCCAAGGGGCGCTGGTTGTCCTGACGCCTCAGCCGCCCCGCGTTGCTAGGCCAACGCCGCCATTGTTGATCTGAACCGTGGGCGATAGATCGGGATAGCTTCATCATCTCCATCCACCTTTCCCTGGTTCCCACCTCTAAATACCCAAGACTCCCTTGGTCTTGCCTCCCGTCTTCCTCCCCATCAATCCAGGTGGTTCAATTCCTTCATCCGCGCGCAGGAAGCTTCTTAAGGCTTCGATTGCGTCTTCGTCTGCGTCTCAGAATTTAGATAGACGTCGCAGCTCCTACTTTGCATAGATCTAGCGCAGAGACTGCGTTAACCTACTGACTCCTGCGTTGCCTTTGCTCTTGTTCCCTCCTCCTCCCTAACCTTTCCTAGCGTGAGTGGTTTTGTTCAGCAGTTCACCGACTGACACCATTGCAGGGCGGTTCGTTACCATCTTGTCGGCCCAGCCGTGTGGCTAGCATTGAGTGAGGTTGGTACATCGTCGCTGAATGCGACTGGCGCAGGGGCTGTGCAGAAAGCTTACACCTTATCAAATCCTCCAGATCCAACCGAGAGGTCTGTCAATTCGTCGGTCAAGCACCTTGCGATAAGTGCTCCAAGAGCCTTTCCCGCCCGTCATGCTGTCCACGGCGCACAACAACCTTCATGAGCGACATCGACAACACCGCCGGCAGATCTCGACGCCGTCGGCCCTTGATGCTGTGAAAGCCCCCAGCCTTCCGGCACAAGCGATGCATCGTTATCATGCCCATCGCCGAGGCCAGAGTTTTGACAACAGATCTCTGCGCGTTCAACGATCGCAGTCCATGCAAGATGGTACCTTTCATACTAACCCAACAGTACCGCAGCACCCTTCCAATCAACGTTATCTCTGTGTCACGCAGCCTCCCTTTCCTCAACAGCCAGCCCCCATGCCCGTTATGCCCGAATGCCAGACATTCAGCCAGGAGGAATTGCACCCCTTGGATCGTCACAATGGCCAGAACAGTCAACCAAACATGGCTTATCTGAATGCGAGTTTTCCCAAGGAGAACCCAGCTATGAGCGTTCCGCACATGAATATGCATTTCAACCTGATGCAACAACCGCACATCGAGACAGGGGCTTGGGACCTCTACCAGCAGAATAACGTCGCGGCGACCTTCCCCCACCCAACACACCATATTGTTCCTGATGTAAGGAAATTATCGGTGCAGTCGGACGCTACTCCATCCCAGCACCCGCATACGCCAAAGCATGGCAACACACGTAAGTTCACCATACCGTCGGCTCTGCCGGATATACAGCGCTGACCAGTTGCATAGACTATATCCCAATTACACCAGCAACAACACCGTTCAAGCAAACCGTGGGCCTTGTTCAGTACGGCGGGGACATTCAGCCAACACCCACCAAGGACCAGGGTAACACGATGCCTGGATCAGGCCAGTCGTCGTATATGCAGCGAGCGAAGTCTCTCCAAGGCGTGGCTGGAACTACTTTCACGCAGCAGAAGTTTGATGTGCCCTCTCCCCCGAACACAGCCTCATTTGAAGTGGATAATTTTGATACCTTTAACTATGAGCAGGGTTCCAGTTTTGAAGTTCCTAAGTCGGAGAGTCTGTCACAAAGCCAGTATACGTCTTCATCGGCTTCGTCGTCCTTTATGTCATCTCCAGAGCTGGCTGCTATGCCTTGTCCCGAGGATGGTGGTGCAAAGACACCGAAAGTGCCCATCTATCCTGCCACCCCCAACCGTCCGCATCATAGAAAGTCCGTCAGTGAGACGCCTAGCACGTCGTCCGCCAAGCCTAAGCTTTCTCCGCGGGTCGCAAACATCGACAGCCTCAATCTCGACGCTCGCGTCCAGGCTTCGATCAAGGAAACCGGGGTCACCATCGATGAGATTGCGTCGTACATTCACGGTCCGGATCCCGAGGATGGGAAGTGGGTGTGCCTTCATCTCGGCTGCGAGCGCCGGTTCGGAAGGAAAGAGAACATCAAATCGCATGTGCAGACTCATTTGGGCGACCGCCAGTACAAATGCGACCATTGCAACAAATGCTTCGTTCGGGGTCATGATCTCAAGCGTCACGCCAAGATTCACACCGGCGACAAGCCCTACGAGTGCCTATGTGGAAATGTATTTGCGAGACATGACGCCTTGACTCGACATCGGCAGCGCGGGATGTGCATCGGCGGCTACAAAGGTATTGTGCGCAAGACTACCAAACGAGGCCGTCCAAAGAAGCACCGACCCGAGATGGACGAAAGGCAAGAGAAAGCGTCGAGAACGCGCCAGAGAATCGCAGAGAAGGCATCCTTTGATTCCTCCACATCCGAATCCTCCCGCAACACACCTCCTTCAGAAGTCTTCGAGAACATGAGTCTCCATGGCTCTAGTCCGACGGAAGAAATGCCGGTGTTCAACAACCCCGATTACTCGTTGCCACCTGAAGTTTTCACATACACGCCTCCTGCATCTCCCGGCTATAGCGTTGGGATCAAACCATCGCCTTCCCGAGACAGGCGATCGATCACCCCCAGCTCGGAGGACGAGATGTTGCCATCTTCACCTGCAAAGCGGTCCCTCGATAAGATAATCACGGACTCCAGCTTGCCTTACATGTCTGATCCGGAGACGTGCCCATACACAGATGCGTCTGGCACAGCCAGCCATTCCTTGTCTTCCCCACACGCAGGCCCTACTCTGTCCGAATCGTCCAACGGCTCTGATCTCGACATCTTCATCAGCCAGGGATCGACGACAGGATTCGGAAAGCCCGAATTCGGAGATCTTGCAGACCCTGATATGGCTACCTTCCCCGACTACGTGAACACTGCATCTTTCGAAGGTGGAATGGATCTTTTCCCCACCAAGCCCTTCTGTTCAGGCCCCACCATGGGCGATGACTTCTTCTTTCAATTCCAAGTGGACGAGCCACCCACGGACGCCATGACTAAAGAATTCTTCATGGACTAAAGCGACCACGATAACGAACTGGAGGTGATGTAACGACATGACAAAAAAAAGCGACACGAAAATCCAATGAACGGCGATTTGACGACGCAACGACTCAGGCTACTGGCCAATGTGCAATAAGACTCTTTACGATTTAGGACTGGATGACTGAACCTATGCATATAAGACGCGAAATGATTTGTTTTTTTTTTCTTTTCTGAAGAATAGCCACGACACGAGACTATGTACAATTTTTTTTCCCCTTCCCTTCTACGACCAACGACCGAGATTATCCACTGCACATGAGACACCTGTGTGACAACAACGACACACAAAAAAAGAATCCTCTTTTGATTGATTTACATTTTTTTGATGAGTTTTCGGGCATATGACTTGCTACCTTCCCTCCTGCATCTGATCTGATCATCTGTGCTTTATGCCTTTCTTGCTCCTTTTCAATGACACCCATGTACGACCACCAAACCAATTCATCCAACCGCCCTGGGATCTGTGGAATATGATTACTACGGAGTTCTACAGGTCATCCGTTCTTTTTGCTTTGTGATTTGTAATTCATGTCCTCTTTTTTCATCTATTTATTGATTATGTTAACGCCCTTGTTATGAATTTTGACGTTTTTTTTTGATTCTACTGCTTTGCTTTGCTTTGCGTGCTTTTGATATTGTATCAACGGACTGATTGCTTTTTGTAACCTTCTGTCCTATTATCACTTACTATCATCATCACCTTGGCTTGGGAAGTTTGTTTCCCCCCGCCAAACTACGCTCGTTACATCTTACGAATTTACTTAATACCTGTTTTGTTTTTCTTATACTTATTCTTCTATCTTGGTGGTCGCATGGCCTCGCCTGTACTTTAGCTTAGCGATAGATACGGGAATCATCCTGCGAATTGGAGAAAATCCTTGGACTATTTGGGTATATTGTATATCTTGTGGTATTTCAAGATAGATGGTTGTGTGTCCGAAATGTATAGTTGATAGTGTAAAATGTGGTTAGTAGTTATAAGTCAAGGAAATGCATCCAATACACTCTATAGTATGAATGAATATGAAAACAGGGCTGGTTCTACTTCTACTATGCGTATATAGATATCAGCGGGCATGATATCCAAGGATGAAGAGAGTGGGGGCGAAATTATGCCTCTCTCCAGGTTATGGCTAGCTCGAGAGGATGGTCCTCTTGCGTCGCGAAGACTTTACTCTTCGTTGGGCCTTTGGGCGCCTTGTCTGCGAAGAAGGTCGTGTTGCCGTTGTAGGCGAGCATGCCGTCTTCGACCTGGTTGGGGTTAGATACGGGTTTGTTTTATTTGCGTTGTGGTGTGTGTGTAGGTTCTACTAGAGAGGGAAGCGGGGACTCACAGTAAACTCCGTGGGAGACTTGATGAAACCACCGCATGTGAAGACATCATGGGAAAACCCGCACTCACCCTTGCTAGATTTCAGGGTCACAGTGTCATCTGCATTGGAAACGGGCTGTTAATGACTGGCTTTCTGAGGTCTGAATGGACAGGGGAGTGGTGTGGAGGTTAACAAACCAGAGGCCTTGTTGGCCGTAAAGGTTGCACAGGTTCCCGAGGTGAACCACGCGCCGTGGCTGATGATGCAGCCTCGCTTCTGGCCCAGGGTCGAGATCATGAGGTTGCCTTTCCCGGCAAAGGGCGTGCCCGGGGAGGTTGGTTCAGCTGGTCCACGGGATGTCTTGGTTGGCTCGTGACCGTTTCGGGGAGTTTTGGGAATGTAGTGGATGCCGCTGCGGGGGCAGTTGGAGATTTGCCCATCTGTTGTGGTGGGTTAGTTTGGGTTGGGTGAGGAGGTGACATGGTCGGTTGACGAACCTGGGTCAGATGGCACGAATTTCCCTGTCTGCAAGGCGCCGGCGACGTTGAAATAGTACCAGACTTCGTTGAGTGCCTGGTGTCGGCACCGGATGGTGACCTCAGCGCCGTGGGCCTTGGAGAGGGCATCGGCAATCTCGTCGCGGGTGTAGGTTTGGGTGTAGGAGGGGGTGATGCCGGCTTTGGTGAGGATCTGGAGGGGACAGTTAGTCTGGTTTTACTAAGAATGTGGATGGTGGCAAACCTCGTAAGTAGGCAGGGTTCGGAAGAGATCGACGGTCCGGTCGAAGTAATCTACGACCTCTTGCTGTGGGTAGTAGTCGGTATAGCAGTGAGTCTCCAGGGTACTGACACAAGTGCCGTGTTTGTTCCACTCATGTTCCCAGAGATTCGCATCGTCGCCCCTGAAGTCCTTCCAGAAATCGCTCATGTAGTCCAGTAAATCCCCGCGGCCGGAGTCGACTAGGATCAGCGAGATATTGCTGTACCGTCTTTTGGAATCGCAGTATTGATCGAAGCCGCCATTGCAGTGGTCCGGCCTAGAATGCGGGGAATTAGCATCAACTCCGGGGGTGGCAAAGTATATTATCGATCGGAGTAGTGTCCAGCGAATGTGGGCAAAGTCAAGCTTACCAGAGACCATGAATCGTCCAGGAGTCATCCGGTCCGATGGCCGGATCGGCATCCCAGAATTGCGTCTGCAGCATCTGTCCGCCGGGGTAGTTGAAGCAGCATGTATCCTGGCCATGGTAATTGGCTTGACAGCTCACTTCACTCCCGGGACATTGCCGGAAGGTCGATTCGGATGATGAGTGCTCCGGAGCTGAGAGCGAGGAGACACCCAGGGTGCCTGTTATGGCCTTGAGAACCTGTTGCGGCCCTGGGATACCTTGGAGCAGAGCGTCCCTCATGGAGCTGGCGGTGGACCCGATAGCACTAGTGCTACCGATATCGAGCATGGGGAGATGGCTGGGGCTTGCTGCTGATTCTCAGCAACGAAGGAAGAGATTACGAAACAATTGTAAGTGTAAAAGACTCAAAGGAGCGGAGCACCGATTGCGAGGGAATTGGGAGACAATAGGGGGGAGAGAAAGAATGAGGCGAATGATCGATCCAAACAGCAGCAGCACGTGCATCCATCCCACGACCAGCCCCGTCCCTGACTCAGCAGCATGTGATCTGACTGGTCCGATAAGCACCTTATCGTCGATTCCCCGGATCGACTCGAAGCTACCCTTATCGTGACTCATGGTTACTCCAAGTCCGCGGTCGGAAACAACAATGCCGGGGGTATCATATTTAAGACTCCATAGATGCGATATATACATGAGTAGAGATGGCAGTAGCTCAGTCAACGATCAGCGTCCCTCAGCCTGTTTGCTCTCGGCCTCTTGTTCGTGGATGCGCTCTTTCCAGAGCCTCAGAACCTCGAATCCTACCTCGACAGCAATGAGTAAGATGATAATCCACTCGAGCCGGAGTCCATGCGTTTCACTTAGCCTCTCCCGGAGAACACTCGCAATCTCTTGTGCGTAGTCCATCTTCTCGTTCAGAAGCTTGATGCGTATCCCAACATCGAGCGCTCTCCCTACCTGTTCATAGTATCCTTCTAGTCCCAGTTCATGGCGACTATCCCAGAAGATGTCGGGCAGGGAATCAGTGAGCTCCGAGTACAGGTTCAGCTGCGCACGTACACTGAGCAGCTGGCCGGTTTTGCGAAGTATGAAATCCCTCGTGAAAGGAAGACGGGAACCCTTGGACAGAAGCGTAGGAATGGCTCTTGTAGACTCAAAGTAGTTGGATAACAGGGACTCCAATACTGCCAATTTGGTACTGCGAGCCAACCCCGAGGAGAATGCCACTTTTGTGAGGACCGTATCTACAGATTGCCGGGCGCTTAGGTGCGAGTCGGGCCCATCGCTGCCCGGCTTGGTCCCAAGAATAATGGTGTCGCCTTTGATGCTGCTGTTATCTCGTTGAGGGTCTTCGACATACTCGAGGTCTTCTGTTTCCAAATCATCAAGATGGGCCCCTTCAGCGGCAGGCAGTAATGTCCTGGTTGCTAGAAAGGAAGTAAATCCTTCGGGCAATGCCCATGCAACGACGGTACCCGAGGGGAAGACAAACACATCACCCACTTCGTTCGGTGACAGATCTGAGGTGTTCGGATTGCTTTGGCGACGGATCGAGTCTAAAGGAACCTGGACATGGACAACTTGAGGATATAGCCCCGTCTCGTAGGGGTCTGGCTCGTAGCCTCTTTCCTGCAGGATCTCCCGAACTTTGCGAATGTTGAACTGTTCAGCTACGGCATATGCTGTTATGGTCTTATCAAAGAGTTAGCAACTGTCTATAACGGTCGCGGGGCTTGGAATTTGGACCTTAGTCTGATAGAGCCCCTGCTCTCTGAGCTGGGCTTTGGATAATATCCCATCCTTGGACCTTTGTGCCTCCACCGCAACTCTCCGTAATGACGTCGATGCGGCCGGAGACCGATTGCTTCGTTTCCGTTGTTTCTGGGTCTCTAGAGACACCTCCTCGGCCGCATCACCGTTTCTAAACTGCTTTTGATAGAGGTATGCATTGGACGAGAAGAAATCCTTCCGTCGAGGATAGCTCAATGGAGGGGAGGCGTGAAGGTATTGACTCCGGGGCTGCTGGAAGAGCCTAACGGCCGGATGCCGTAAAGACAGAGCGCAGACATGCGGTCTGGCGAACATGATCGTATCGTCCGTATGTGCGGGGGAGTTGGATAAGCAGAATCAGCCTCGAATATCATTAATATGGACTGATGCCATGACGAGGCATATCTGGGGTAAAAAAAATATAGTCAAAATATATCACGATGATTGGGACCTGCAGAAAGAACGGGGCGCTGAGTCAGCACCGCCTAGCTCTTAACTAGTTAGCTAGATTCGGCGACCACCTGGCGGGCGCCCGACTTGCCGGTCGTCAGTTATCGCCCCAAGCTCCCTCCAGCTGTGCTTCTGCTTGGCCGATGGGTGCCATGAAGCTGCCCATTGCCTGCTCCCAATTCCTCGAGCTCTGATTCCGGATTTCGCTCTCGCCATGGACGCGCCTGGCGCGGCAGAGGCAAATGAGAGTGTCCCTCAGGACCATCACGACTCCGACTCCAATGCCGTTGAGAGGAGTACTTACCCGCACAGCAACCACCGCGATCGGCCCGACCGCCTCAACGACAACGAGGAAGAACATGACCACAATGGGATACGGAGTGACGGCGATGATGAAGACGACGAGGAAACAGAGGAGGAAGGTGATGACGATGAGGAGGAGGAGGAGCCCCGGCTCAAGTATGCGTACATGACCAAACACCTAGGGGCGGTGTATCGCAACGGGGACGCAACAAGCTCCTTTCTCGCCGCTGGGGACAAGATGGTATGGCACCCAGGTATCCTTAGAAGCGCACGATGCTGAGACAGGGTCTAGATAATTGGTTCGCATAATGGAAACATTGTAAGTAGCACCGGTGCGGCTTGAAATGGCTCGAGAACTGACCATCTTTAGCATGTGCTATCCGTCCCTCAATTGCGCTCTCTTCGCGTGTATCATGCACACTCCGCTAGTATTACCTCCATCTCGGTGTCCCCGTTTCCTCCTCCATCCCACAATGTGAGGCCAGAGAACTTTAGTCGTGTTCCCGAGGATCAGGAATATCCAGTGAGGCCCTCATCCGGCACGGCTAGCCTGCGGAGTCGGCATCGGCCAGGTCACCAGGCAAGTCTGCCTGTCACCCCTTCCAACTCGATATATATTGCCACATCTTCGATGGACGGAAATGTCTGCGTCTCATCCCTCGTGGATTCCAAAGATGTCCTCTTGCGGAATTTTGGCCGGCCCGTTCAGGCTGTCGCGCTCTCGCCCGAGTACAAGAGCGACAGGACGTTCTTGTCCGGCGGGCGGGCAGGCGACCTGATACTTACAGTTGGTGGAAGAGTGGGTGTGAGCACGAATTCCACGACAATGGGAGGTGCTGCGGCTACGGCTACAAGTTGGCTCGGGTCTTTGGGGCTTGCGGCCAATACCGGCAAAGACACGATTCTGCATAGCGGAGAGGGTGCTATCAGTACGATCAAGTGGTCTTTGTCTGGGAAGTATGTCGTCTGGGTCAATGAAGAGGGTATCAAAATCATGCGGTCGAACCTGTACCTCGATTCTTCGGACGCAGAGCTTGCCTGGAAGCGGGTCAGCCACATTGATCGCCCCAACCGTCCCGGCTGGGAGGAGATGGCGAGCGTCTGGAAGGCTCGTGCCGAGTGGGTGGACGAGATCTCATTGAATAGTGACGACGGTCCAAACAACAAAGAGACTCCATCCACGGCCCACTCGACTATTGTGAGGGAGAAAGTGGAGAAGCTGGTAGTTGGCTGGGGAGGTACTGTTTGGGTCATTGACGTGTACCCGGATAGACCCAGCAAGAGCAACAGAGACCAGAAGATTGGCTCTGTTGAGGTTTCGACCATTCTGCGGACCGATTGCGTTATATCTGGTATTTCACTATATACACCTAGTCTTCTGGTCGTCCTTGCGTATATTGAGGCGGAAGAGGACGTCTCCGAAGAGCGGACCAAACTGGGAGGCCGCCGTCCGGGGACGCGCCGCCGGCCACGGGGCCTGGAGCCTGAACTGCGGATCATCGATATCGAAACCAAGGAAGAGCTGAGTGCCGATACCCTTTCAACCAGCCGGTTCGAAACTCTGACTTCCTCGGACTACCACATGTGTATTTTGCCTCCTTGGAAGACAAGTGCACCGATTTCGCAACGCGGTACGTTAGAAGCTCTCGGGAACGGTCTTTGGGATGCAACGCTCTATCCTGCGCGTCTGTTCAACTCAGCCGCCAGCATTCGCAGTACAACAAGCAGTGACAAGGGTTCAAGCCGGGCACCAAGCACCTTTGCGTCCCGGAGGTTTTCATACGAGGAGCCCCTTTCAAAAGAGATTCAGGACATTGCCGGAAGCGTAGGGGCTAAGATCTTCGTCCACAGCCCGTATGACTGTGTCGCTGCCCTGAAAAGGGACCTTACCGATCGCCTGGCGTGGCTAGATGCGCATGAGCGATACGAGGAAGCATGGGTGCTTCTTCAGGAGCATCCGGAAGCGGCAGGATCGGCGGGTGACATGAATGACCATGTTCTAGAGACCCCCTCGAGATCTCAGAGTAGTAGCGTCGGCGAATCCTTCCTCGGTGATAGGTCCTCAATCACGACTACTGGGCGAAATATTGCTTCCTCTTCTGCTGCCGAGCAAGAAAAGCGCCGTATTGGCGAGTTATGGATAGAACAGCTCGTTGACGAGGACAAATGGAAAGAGGCAGCTGAAGTTTGCGTAAAGGCAATCGATACCACCCGCAGATGGGAGCACTGGGCTTGGACTTTCATCAAGAACGACAAGCTAAACGAGATATCATCTGTCATGCCTGTTAATCTACGTCCAAGTCTTCCTGCGAACATCTACGAGACTGTGCTTGGACACTATGTTGCGCACGACAGGTCAAGGTTTAGCGAGCTCATAGACTCCTGGCCCTTCGACCTGTTTGACGTTAACAATATTGCGACAGAGATCGAGGAGCAGCTGCAATACGACTCCGTGGTCCCCGAGACAGACGACTGGCGTGTTTTGACGAAATGTCTTGCTAAATTGTACCTTGCAGGAGGCCATTACGGCAAAGCACTACACTGCTATATCCGCCTTCAAGATGCAGATACGGCGATGGCTCTGATCAAGGACCACCGGGTGCTGGATACGCTCACGGACGATATCCCCGCGTTCATTCTGATCCGGGTGTCCAAGGAACAGCTGAAATCGGCGCCGATCCCCGAACTCGAAGAGCTCACGGCTGAACCCATCAGACTCCTAGTCAGCGAAGCATATACGGGCATTGTCCGGCCTGATATTGTAGTCGACCAACTACAAGCCGCAAACAAGCTTCTATACCTCTACTTCTACATCCGGGCTCTGTGGCGCGGGGAATCACTTCCTCATGGTGCCGCAAAACCTCGCAGGGGCCACTTCGCACACATTCGCGATGCAGCCAGCAAGCTCGCAGCCGACGAAGGCAAAGCTTTGGTCGACAACTTCGCTGACACAGCCGTGGAGCTCTTCGCCGACTACGACCGTCCACTGCTGATGGAATTCCTCCAAACCAGCACCTCCTACTCCTTTGACATGGCCGTTAGCATCTGCGAAGGGCGTCACTTCACCCCAGAGCTCATCTACCTCCTATCAAAAACAGGCCAAACCAAACGAGCTCTCAACCTGATCCTCTCGGACCTGAAGGATGTCTCCCAAGCCATTCAATTCGCCAAATCCCAAAATGAGCCCGACCTCTGGGAAGACCTCCTCGACTACTCGATGGACAAGCCTCGCTTCATCCACGGCCTCCTCGTCGAGGCCGGAACATCCATCGACCCTATCAAACTCGTGCGCCGGATCCCAAGCGGGCTAGAAATCGAAGGGTTGCGAGAAGGCCTCACGCGGATGATCCGCGAACACGACCTCCAAGCCAGTATCAGCCAAGGGGCCGCCAAGGTCCTCCAAAGCGAAGTCGCAGTCGGCATGGACACGCTCCGACAAGGCCAACGCCGCGGCATCAAGTTCAACATCGTCGAAGAGGAGAAGTCCATCCCCAGCACGCCCACCGCCGAAGCCACCGAAAAGGACAAAGTGAAAAGCGACGCCGACACCGAGAAGACCTCCACCACTGCAATATCATCTGCCTCCCAGGCAGGGAAATGCGCAGGCTGTCATCGGCCGTTCCGTGCCAACGGTAAGAACCACCCTCCCTCCCGGCCCTTCTTCTCCAAACTCCCAAACGTCTCAACTAATACCCTCAACAGAGAAGGAGATCCTGGTCGGTTTTGCCTGTGGTCACGTCTTCCACTTATCGCATATTCACGCGTCGGATTCGTCTGCAAGTACACCTCACAGTCGATCCGCTGTTCAGACTCCGAGACCGTTCTCGCCGACACATACGCCGACCCTGGATGAGCTGTCGCTGTCTACATCCCGCACGGTCGGTCCCAAGGTGACGACTGCTCGGCTGTTGAGGGACAGGATCGGGGATGGCTGTCGCATCTGCGCCCTAGCCAAGGAACTAGAGGCCATCGGGGATTCGGATGCATGATAGTTGCACGTTGTCAGGGCACCCTCTTGTGCGGTTCGGCCATTCTTTCTGGGTTTATATTACGGTAGCTTTGGCGATAAGGCACAGTCGTCTCTGCTTCGCTGTATGAGTCGGACGAGACTCTGTTTCTCCTGTAGATTGATCTCTATGGTAAGTGTCCCTTACATAGCGACAGAAGATTCAGCACTAATGGATGTGCAGATGTCGATCCAGGGAGAGGAGTTTATGATCTAGCGTTTGTCATTCTACCGGTGTGGGGTGGAGGATGGACAGGTTCTACTACATGTTCCATAGTTCGCCTGGATGGGTGTATGTTTAGTCTTTAGGAGATACCCATGGTAGCAATAATTTACCGCGCAAATGATGTCAAGATGATAAGGTCTGTAAGACTTTGATTAGATTGAGCGGTGACCGGCCGCTTTAACTAGAAACAATCCGTTCGAAATTAAGGGAGCAAGCTGTAGCCATATGGGCGAGGCATCCCGAAACGACATGAAGAGGAAAGAAACATAACGCCCACTTTTTCAATGAAGGAAAACAGGATCGGCCGCCACGCCAGGTCTTCTAACACAGCCTTCAAGGAGTATTCAAAGAACCGAAGCATCCAACCGATAGCCTTCAAAGCATGGAGAAACCCAGGTGTGCCGCGGCAAGTGCCAGCAGAGCAGAGTACATTCCATCATTTCCGCCAGCAACGTTCTTGGTGGGCGAAGGAGAAGGAGTATGAGTGCCGGTGGGAGCCGTGGTGCCAGCAGACACGTTGGTGTGGGTGCTGACAGTGTGGTTGCTGGTCTGCTCACCAGAGGAGACAGAAGATGTGGTGTCTTCAGTCCCGGTAGTGGAAGCACTGTGAGTACCAGACGAGCTGGGGGGCTTCACGGTAGTCCCAGGAGTACCCTCAGTCTTCGACGTGACAGGGTGCTGCGAAGTGACCACAGGTCCAGTAGTAGGAGCAGTAGTGGTCTCCGATGCAACAGGAGACTTTCCAGTAGCAACCCCAGTCGGGGTGCCAGTCGGGGTGCCAGTCGAAAGCAGAGTGGTCCCAGTCACAACCGTAGGAACCGGGACAGTGGTAAAGGTAGAAGCCACAGAAGTCTCCGTTTCACAGACGGTCTTGATGATGGTCACTAGAATGAATTAGCAATGGCACAGGCCCAGGTTCTATCCAGTCAGACTTACCGTCACGAGGAAAGAGGTCGGATTTGGCATAAGCGAACGCGTCGTGGGCTATCCCACAAAAGTCTTGTCAGGTTGTGTCCCCATGCAAATGAGATTTGAACTACTTACCAGCAGCAAGCACCATGACAGACTCCTCGTCGAGGGCAACGCCGAATTCATCGACGACATCTGGCCGAACGTTAGCGGGGGGATAGACAGAGCTGGGCTCGACTTACCAGTGGCATAGCCAGCGACGGCAAAGAGCCAAACGGCCACAAAGACCATGATCAGGGAATTCACTTTGAACAACATCTCGGCGATTTGACCAGCTGGACGCGTCAAGAAAGAGGGTAGCTAACGAGCGTGTGGTAGAGAGAGTAAACGACGGTGGAAGATGGAATCTTTGATGAAGATGATGGAGTGAAACGAACGAGCGTGAAGGCAGGGTAGTGAGTGAAGGGTGGGGAGAAAAATAGGAAGAGAGGAAGGGAATGAGAAGAGGAAGAGAGAAAAGATTCAGGTGTTGTGGGCAGTCAAGTGTCATCGCCCCGGCGATTGGTGTTGTTTAGGCAAGTGCAACAGCGACATCCCAACTCGGCAAGGGCAAGGGCAAACACGAGCACCCAGCAAAAGAAGGCACTTTACGGTGCGAGCCGGCATGGTTGGTCTGCAATCAGCGCCGAGCAGCATGTTATATCCCTGCCAATTCACAGGATTGATAGGACAGCCTCATGAGACGGTAGATGCCGATATAGTATGAATATCTGCGCACAAGCCAGGACCGAGTCAGGGCTTCAAGGATCTACTCCAGTCAATGCAAACAAGCAACGATCTCCCCAGAAAACATACATAAATGGCTAGGCTGACAGGAAGAAAATCCAGGCTATAGTATACATACTTATATGTCGACACATACCCACCCTCAATCCACCAGACAATCAACGAACCCACCCTGGCGTCCTCTCTAAAACAACCTCTCATTTCCAATCCAATAAGAGTCTCGCTTCTCATACCAGAGCGCAAGCTAGTCCAGCCAGCCACAGCACCAACGGCCAACTAGTTGCATTACCCGCGAGGTTATCCCGAATAAAGTACACTGCACTGCAACCCGTCACTCAGAACGAATGTCTCAGATGGGCCAATCAACCCCGCCTACGGCCAGCGAAAACTGGAGCCCGGGAAATCTCAGTGGCAAAATTGTCTTCGATTTCCAGCTAGTTGGTTCCCCTCGTCGACTGCCTAGGCAGTAGGCACGTTTAGAGGCAACCTTAAAAGCGAATCGATCCTGCAGCAACCCTCTGCTCCACGGTCAGGAGCAGACATCTCTGTACCAGCTAGTAATTCTTCGTAGGATTTGATTATCTACATAGTATATATACGTAGTACTGTAGTCTGTCAAGAACAAGATCTGATCTATCATGATCATGATCACGATCCCGATTGCGATCACACGGTCGATCTCTTCTCTCCCTACTACAGCCCACAATATATATACAAACTCACATATTGATTATTAATAATCCAACATCTACCAAACCGACCCCTACATACTTACCCAAACAAAAGCCCCAAGCTAATTTATCTCTAAAGCACAACATCCTCACCCATACGACGTCGTCCTCATCATCAAGTACATATAAGCAAGTATACAACTACCCGGAAATTTACCTCTGTTTGGTTCCCGTACGGGATACTCCGTATGAATGGTAATCAGGTATTTCAATACAGTTCCTGATGGGAAGCAAACCAAACAGAAACTAGCGAAAAATACCGTGACAGATGGCTGGGGTCCCATATCGGCACGACCCGCGTGGAGGCGCCATCCAGCAAGCAGCACAAGTGATGGGCAAGCCGCGGCGCTCTTTCCAAGGAACTTGAGCGAGCTATGACGACATGCTAAGGTACAAGTCCGATCCCGATCCGATGCGTTGGGACGATGACATCATAAGTGACTCTCCCTGTAGTCCCTTGATGATCTGTCAGAATGCACAACTCACAACACTCACAAACCGGTGGTGGTTGTCTTAATCTGGCATTCTTCACATACATATGTATGTATGTAAGTAGTGTGTCGAAGTAAATTGTTGGGGAAGACAGGTAGGTATATATAAACTTTAAGCTATAGGTTGTAGAATGAACGACCTCACATTCTTCCTTCCTTCCTCCCTTCCATTCCCGTTCTCCTGAATAGTACAACCAACAATCCTTAACCCCATCCAATACTACTATTACCTATCAAACCCACAATCATATCCCCACCCCAAAAGCAAAAAAACGGCTCACCTCCGAACCATCCATTCCGCATCCACCCAAAAAACCCAAGTCCCCCCCAAGGTCAGAAGGTAGAAATCCAGAAGGATTCAATCCCCCGGCCCACTCCGCACGAGATCGGCAGGCCCCGATTCCGATCCCAGCGATTGGCCAAAGATCTTCAAACAAAGTTTCATCAAAAATAAAATCCAATAATCAGTCGTCGTTAATTTCTTCCACAGACGTCATCGGGTCAACGGGCGCGCGGCAGCGCCTAGTACTTACTATAGATAAGCCTTCGGCTGGGCCACAATTGGATTAATCATGTATGGTACACCAACTCAATTCAGGAAGGAGCATATTTAGATGTTACTACTACATGTGAGTAGATTGGTTATTGTCGTTGAGACATATACTCCGTTAGAAGGTCTAGAACTGTCGAGTTGGGGTACCTGGCCCCCCTCCCCCCCCCCTCCCCCTGGCTTATTGTTGTGTCCACGTTGTCGTGTTTGATGATCGGCCTTATCTAGGTTTGGGCGGGTTTCATCACTCTTTACTTACTGGTTGGGTAGGTAGTACCTAGGAGGGTAAGTATGTATCTATCCATCTCTGTCTATACACAGTATTGTATGCTGAATCCAGTATCACATACATACATATATGTCTATTTACCAAAGTATATACGGAAGTAGCAAGTAAATATCATCTACATCCACAACACCAAATATGTATTATCTCCCTAACCCCAACACAGTAAACGGCAAACGCAAGGATATCAAAAGACCTTGCACTATCTATGCAGCTAAACGGGGCCGCAGCCACGGCGGCGCCATGCCACCCACGCCCACTAGCCCACTCCGCCCACCTAAGTAGTACCTAAGCAGTATGCACACTAGATAGTGAACTAACTAACCCCAATACTTGTACCTATTGAAGTATAGTACGGACTTAAGTACTCCGAGTAGATACAACCACTACCTACCTAATACTCATACCTACTCAAGCATAGACAGGGGTACACTAAGTTCACCGCGTTACATAACCCATACATACATACTTTTCAATTCCAATTCCATACACCCAGTAAATACAGAAATAAGTAAGTAAATACTAACATCAAATCCCGAATCCCTCGGGATCCCGAACCCCCCCCCCCCCAAATCCATTCCACAAGATGATAATTTATGGTATGATAATCCACATGATACAATGGAACCCCATCTCCGGATATGGCAGGAGGACGACGACAAGGGAAGTGGAATGCCCCATGGCAAAAAAAAAAGTCGGGTAAAGACGCATGCGCTCGGCCATGATAGACCCATAGGGAACGGAGTAAGGTAGACCGTAGAAAAAGTAATGACGGACTGCAATGAATGGAAGGGTGGTATGAGCCCCACTAACGGTAGCACCTAATTAAGTAAAGTTGAATTCGACACCTGCATGAGCGGATTTGGCTTCCGCCAGTGAAATTGCTTTGCGGTCGCCGACCTTGCCTGTTTTGGACAAGGGTTTTATTGAGCTAGCCGACGTGCGCGCTAAAGGAACGCCACTGGGTACAGCTGTGGTCCCATGGATGGAAAAGTCAGGTCCCCTACGTATCTACTCTCAAATATGATGTAATTGCAATATATCCAATCGATTTTTCTCCAATTGTTGTGCCGTCTGCATGGCTGCAGTTAGACGTCGATGGGGCTGCTAGTAGTACTGTACGGAGTAGATACGTCCCTACGCATACTAACCGATGTATAGATAGAAACATTACAAAGTAAAGTCTATTGGCACGGTTCTTCGTATATCCAACCTAGTGCTTTTGATATAACAAGATAGAAGCTCCGAACCTAACCATCTTCACCAGGTTCAAAACGATCAGGTCTGCACAATCCCGATATAAAGTAGGGAGCATTCCAAAAACAATCTTGCCGTGTAACAGCGCTTCCTCTGTTGTGGAAAACTGAAGCGCTCAGAAGAAGAATGAAGTCAAGGCTGAACCGAAGAACGGGAGCAGCCAGGCAAGAGGGGAGAAACAGAACCACCCAGTGAAACAAACAAGACGAGCAATTCCGACAAGAATGGACAGGGTATCTATCGTGTTCCTCGTACCTCAACAAAATCCTCGAAATTAGAAACCAAATAAGATCATCGAAAAGTTCGAGGTCGTGTATCCCCAAAGCCCAGACAACGTTGCCAACGATGAAAAAATTTAGGATATCGTAAGAAGATATAGCACAAAAAAAAAAGGCAACAAACAGGGCAAATATATGGCGACAGGGTATCATTGCTCGGGAACTCGTGTATTATTCCCTATCCAACGAACGCCCCCAAATATTGAAGCACGCCAACCCCAACTCCGAATAAACAGGCAAAAGTATGTGCTTGACTGATGTATATGACCAAGCGTACCTCATGCCGCGCACCAGGCGCCAAAGAAACTGTAAATCTGACCCGAAAGATCCCCTTTCAAGGGTCAATCGAAGAAGAGATTTACGAATGACGTAAACAAAACAAAGAGCGTCGTATATTTGCAGAGCAGTATTAATAGTATTAATAGCTCAATTTGACCTCGACAGCTGACGTCGCGGCCGCGTTTTCGAATGATGATGCCTCGGAAATCTCCACAACCATGTCTTGGCCGTCAGGAAGCTCACGAACCACATCGTCGTCGACCATGATCTTGAGGCCGTTCTGCTTGACGTGGAGGACCCGTACAATGCGTTGGGGATCGATGCGCTGTTTCACGGAGATCTTCTCCATCAGATCACGGACTGTCCGTTCAGTCAGATAGACGGCCCGGTAATAGTCATCCGACCGCTGGTCATTCCGCGGAAACCGTACATAGAAACAAGCGACTAGGGCGTTGTCAGTTCGCATCCCTTAAGCAATTACAGGTTTTACTACTTACTAGGCTTGACTGGTCGGTCCACCGGTGGTCTGTATGTCGGGTCAATGTCCACCGCCTCAATGTATCCCATTGGCGCATTGCCATCAGTTGAAGCAACTTTCTGCACTTTGACGGGATGTTTGAGTGCGCCCTTGTCGCCCAGGACTTCCGAGCACGACCGTGAGTTATCCCGGGAAGTGGACATTGATCCATGGTACGCCGAGTCATAGAACAAATTTGACTGGACGTTCGTGGGGTGACAGGGTGAGTTTATTGAGATGCTACTGCTAGTGGGCGAAACAGCGTGCAGGGAGGTCCCGTCGATACTGAAACGGGACCCACGGTTGTTCTCTTGTTTGATAAATTCACGGGACCCAGGCAGCGAGACAGGAAACAAGTCCGGGTCATCTTGCTCTTCACCCCGTAATCCAAGGATGCTCACTGGTCGTGTTGACGTGAACATGTCTTGCATCAGTGCTAGCTTCGCATGAAGGTCGTCTTCCAAAGACAGCTTGCCAGGGCCGTCCTGCGAGCCCATGGACCATGTCCGCTTGTGTTTGGTGATCTTGGTTGGGCGCGGGTCGGTGCCCTTAAGCGCAATCGAGCCCCCGCTGCGCTTGCGCTTGCCGTAGTTGCCGGTGCCCATCTCAGCCTGGGCAATTTGTTGTCGCAATTTCTCGATGGTCTTCTTGACATGGGCAACATCGTTGGACAGCTTCCGCTCAGCTCCATGGTCCCGGAAGAGCTTCACCTTGCAATAGCACACTTCTGAGTCTTTGCCTGAGGTTGGACTCGCATCATCTGGTAGGACCATCTCGGTCTTCGCGCACAATCGAACCGGGATGCCCTTGACACCCTTGGAATGGCTGAAGTCTGTCGATAAGAAGTTAAATCGCACAGGGATCGAACACTCAGATGCGCCAGTTGATGGGTTAAGCGTCCAAGTGACGCAGAACCCATCGAACGATGAGCTCTCAAGCTGAATCTGCCGGTTCTTGGTGTCTTCAATGCCTCCCTGGATGGGATCAACATACTCCACTGCCTGGAGCTTACCACCTCGTTGGTGCGCCTCGTTAGATCCCCGACCTTCTTTCCAGAGTTGCCAACAAGAAGCCGGCTTGGCCCGCTGTTCTTCTTCCTGGAATGAAACACGGATGTAGGTGCGATATTTGAGAGGTTGAACAGTCATGGGTGGCGGCGTAGAATCGATCACGGACACCGAGTATGCCTGGCCTTTATTGAGATATGTGACAGGAATTTCGGCTTGGTGATTGATCATCGCTGTGGGTGCGCGCAAAGTGACATGATAGCGGAAACTGCGGTCCATTGGGTTAATAAGAAACAAACATAATGGAAGGATTGGAAGCTCACGTTTCACCAGGATTCTGGATGCTTGCCTGATCATCTTGCATCGTCGATGTTACGAATTGGGAAGGGTGACCCTGCATATCCATATCATTTAGAGACAATTCATCGACAGAGTCGTCCATGGCATCGTAACCTGTATCACCCTGAACAAAAGCGCTAGGCGCAAACGCCGGTTGTTGAGCGAACGGTTGCGGGTTTTGAAAGTGCGGCGGGATATATTGCTGGTCGAAGTGATCAAGGCCCATGGCTGCAGTGCCGGCATTGATAGTAGCTGCGGAAATTTGCTGAGGGAGGGACAGTGGAGTGATCATGCTCAGACCCATTCCCGGGGTGTGCAAATCACCCGCTTGGCTGTGGTACATTGCACCCAGTCCGCCCGAGTTGGGGGTGTAGTAGCCAGGAGGCTGTAACGCGTTGACATATGAAACAGCATTCGGGTCAACATAGGGCGGTGCGAACCGCATGTCTTCTGTGGCGCGAGGGGTAGGATCATTAAGCTTCAGATCGTGATTCATACTCAACCTGGGGTAGGCGTGTTATGTTAGCTTTGGCTCCAGGACACCCTTAAGTCGTATTCCAGGAGAAGAGGAACAAGACAAGAGGGTCAGATTTGCAAACACAGAAAAGCATATTTACCTAGCTGGAGTGATAGGTCCAACGGGCATCTGACCGAAGCGCGTGGCATTGCGGTGAGGAGGGGGGGCTTGGGGAACGACATCTGAGAAGGTTCTTTGGAATTTCTGAATGAGCTCATCGTCAGGCTTCTGGGAGTTTTTTCTGCAAGGGCGATTATTCCCGTAAGCATGAGTCCCCAGTCGCCGCTTCAGGAGTTGAGATCCTTCACGTACCTGTTACGAAACATTATCGACAGAGTCGTCGAAGATAATTTACTTTTCTGTTCTGTTGATCGCGGGCGCCCGATGAATTATATCGAGATGTTAAATCCAGAAGAAAATGGGGAAGTGCCTGAGGGTAAAGGTGGCATTCGGATCGCCAAGCGCTATCTGATCCGGAGCCTCGAAGTTATCGGGGGCGTGCGTAGGCGGTGGTTATATAGCTCTCCCGTTTCCGTTGCTAACAACTAAACACTGGTATGGCGGAGGGTTGGAAACGGCTCCAGTCTCACATCACAATCGCCGTCTACCGAAGAATGGCTGCGATCGCAGGTATTACCGCCAGAAGGTGGGCGAATTCGAGATGTTATCGGGGTCGTGAGGAGCGGAGACAAAGAGAGAGGGAGGGGGGGAATAGTTTGGGGGGAGGAGGTCCGAGTGGTGTCGAAGACGAGCGGGTTTTGGCAGGTAGTATTGGGTTTATAGCGGATGCGCCCCTTACTCAACGATCATATGAGAGGCGGCGGTGGGAGAGGACCAAGGGAGAGAGAGGAGGAGAGAAATAGAGAGGAGACGAGCAGAAGCGACAGGCAGGAAAGAAGATACGTATGCGGGTATAATTTGTACAGGAATAGCGGGGGGAGGGAGGGTAACAAGGAGGGAGACAAGAGTAGTAGTACTTCAGGGCCCAAAGGAGGGGAGCGAGGAAAGTAGAAGTGATGATGAATGTTGGGGGAGCACTGGGACCAGACGGTAAGACAAGCCCCCAATAATAGTAGTTCGGGATGTAGGGTGGATATGGACGCTGAGAGGATGTGAAGCCGAGTACGTTGCGCTGGAGACTCGACCGCCCAAGAGGATTCTGAAAAAGAGATTTTTTCGTGCTCGGAGGATTTGTGGAAAGAATGTGATAGTTATTAATAAAAGAAGAGAAAAAGGGACCACATGGGAGGCGTGGTGACGTGCAATAATAAAAACGGTTGGTTGAGTGATAAAAAGGCGCAATGAGGTAGGTATGAAAGAAAGAAACCTTCCAGAAACTCTTCTGTCCCTTTCTGTTCTTTCTCTTACTTTCTCTGTCGCGCGGCCTGTCGCTCCTACCTCTTTTTTCTAATTGTTCCACCATTTTCATTTCTTTTTTTTATTTTATTTTAGATTAATCTCTGGGTCTGTCTCCGAGATGATTTTCTGGGTCGGACTCAACCAGACGAGACCCAAGGATCAGTGGGGAGGGTGTGAGGGGTGGAGTGGATCCGGTAAATAGTAATATCCCGTCGTAATACGCCCGTACAGTACCTCAAAGTATCCTCGGCTGTACTTTACCGTTTCAGTATTATACCGCCGACCTCCTCCTCCGGAGGACACTGCGAGCGGGCATCGAGTAACGACCATCTATGCCCGAGTCAACAGATTCCCAGCACCATTGATCCTAGTAGTCGTGGACATTCCATGTGTCTAACAGATCCGTATATCCTTCGCTTAGATATCCCGCCTGCGGGACCAAGTGGGCTTGGCCCAAGACCACATCCGGATGTAAGATCCCACCTAGTTCCTACTGGATCAATACTACCACTTACATGGTATATTGAAGCCTCATGCACCTATCGCTAGCACCGTAGCAGCCACGATACGGTGCCAGTCCACACAATGGAACCGGGGCCAGACGCTGGGGAGTGGGTTTGAGCCGATTTCCGAGTTCCCAATCAAGAGGCACATTTACTAACCTGGAACCGACGTCATCTTTCCCAAGCGGATGCTGCTGTTGCTGCTGCTGGCAGCCCCGTGATAATGCGATAGTAAAATTCAAATTGTCATTGACTTGCCATACACCTCGGCGCGTTCCTAACCCTACCGGGGGACTCCTGGCGGTACCTTAGCAGTCAAAATCAGCCACATCTGTAGCCTATCCCAAGACGGCGGTAACTCAGGCATTCATACAGATCTGGTAGGTGGTCTTTTTGAGTTGGGCGTATAAGTACCTCCCGACATAGTACCTAGTAGTTACCTATGTCCTTTTCGAGTAGCTGTGGTGCGGTCTTGAACCTTGGTTGTCATGCACTGTGTACCGAGTATCTCGACCCATTATGACACCTGATAGAGATTACACTTTTTCTGCACATACGTCTTGTTCGTCACAGGGGGGGTGGAGAGAAGCGAAAGAAATGGAACATTCCGGAGGGTCGCAACGGGAGTGCCAGGTCAACACATAACAACACTGATCCCAGTTTGGAGGAAGGTGGTTCGGCCCTCCTTCCTGAACATTACGCGAGGGAGCCGCTACTGGAGCTCCTCTCCCCCAGCCGCACGATTATGGTGCAAGGGTAGGATAAAAAAATAAGGGAAAAAAATAAAAAGAGGGAGGGGGGGGGAAGAGAGAAGAGAGAGATCTAGAAACAACTCTGCAGTAGTTGTGCCAACCCCATTCTGTCCGCGTCGAGTGGATCCACCAACTGACATCTAATTTGGAAAAACACAGACTACTGCCGAAGTAGGCATCTGGCCAGACCAACTAAGCCCATTGATCTGCAATTGTTATCACATGGCACCGGCGCCATTATATGATTGATGTGCCCTCGTAGCGTTCCTCCCACGACCCATCTCTCTGGACAACACTCCCATTTTGACTCGAAGCGGAATGGATGACCTCCGATCGGTCCCAGTTGACCCATCCCGGTATGGAGAGGGGAGCAGCTAGGATGCTGTGCGTGCTCGGGACGGACTTGATCCCCCCATGCGGGCTGGTGGAATCCTCTGGCCTGGGCGAGTGGAGGACGGCTAGATGGAAAAGCCGAGCAGGAGCGAGAGGTGGATAGAACTATCAATGCGTACTTGTGACTTGGGAGGTGAAAGTGAAACATCCGACTGCCTTAGCAACAGTTATGGGGTCAGAATGGAGTGGAAATCTGGGCCGGGAGCTTATTCTGTCGTGCACGGGGTCTTTGGGGGGGACATCAAACCATGAATCATCCACTAACCATGGAAATGGATAATCATGACACAACCTGCGCCAAGCACAGACACAACTAACTTAGGATTCGCTGTTGATTCAGCAGACGATGCTGCAGGTCAACAAAAACAATTCAAAACTTACTCCTGCGCACACACTCGGTTTCGTCGCAGAATCTCCATCTCACCGACGAGCGATGCCGGAAACACACACACCTCTTTTCGAGGGTCGAGTGCTGATACTGTATCATACTGGGTACCCGGATTGTATGGGCGTGGTAAATGGTGGTAGGGCTAGACCGGCGCCGATTGCTTGGGATAGTGACCCGCCAATAAAAAGCATGGGATGTCAGGCCCCGGGTCACATCGGACGGAGCTCCTCAGAACCTTATTACCTAAACAGCCGCGTCGTTGGCATGGGGGAATGAGCAAGTGACAGTCCAGTCTGCCGCCCTGCCGTAGCCCAGTTAGTCAGCCCAGGCTAGCACGCTGCACTAGGTGGAAAGACACCTGAAGAAAGTAAGGCACCGACCAGACGGAGGTCATCCAAAGATCCAGGTGTTGTCCGAACCTACCAGTCGACCATGGGCAGATGAAGAGCCATGAGACATTAGAACTATTTCCTTTTCGAGGCAAGAGCAAGGGTTACGTCATGTGTCTCAGGGGTACCGGGGGCTGACAGTTCATGCCTGCCATCGAGAGGAATTCAGAGCTGACGGTACTGTGTAGACCTACTTTCCTGGAGTGGAAATGATAGGTTCTGTTAGTAAAGAGTGTCATTGAAAGGCTCGCTCTCATTTGTTGGACGACTGCTCCGAGTCAAGGGGAAAATAGACCCGCTTCCGGATGCACCAATCAGTGATGGTTTCACCGCGACGGGCGACCCCCAGATTACATCATAGCATTCATGGGGGCTTCAGGAGTTCTTTGCTTTCTCCTCCTTCGCCTTAGCTATTTTCCCCACCAGCGAATGCACAGCTCCATTGCTGCTTGGAGCTCCCGTCATTAGAGGTGGTCGGGGTACTTTTGTTAACGTCATGGTGGATTCGGTCTAGACGCGGGTATACTAAGTATCTAGTAAGTAGTTAAGTAGTAGTAGGTATCAAAGAACATCGAAGCGATACAGTCGTCGTCCCCGAAAGCGTGCTAATTTTTGGGTGTATTCTACTCCGTTCCGGTGGGTTTTCTTTTAATAATGTCTAGACAGATGGAGTATGCATAGATTATTATTACTCTGACTTCGGACAATGCCCGTCTGTGGGCTTGGTCGAGGGATCTTCAATGAGGAAGGATGTGGCTGCTTTAGTACGGTTTTGCGTCTTATCGCGGGTCCCCCCTGTCATGTTGTCCTTATCTGCCACATTTTCTATTCAGCCGGCATTCTAAGTACCATCAGACGGTGAGCATCTGCTAATTTATATTAGCCTGCTTTGATATCAGTTCATGAACCTATTGGGATAAGGATCCCATCCGATTGTAGATATCATTCTAGTAATATTACGTATGACTTGTTTCTTTTCGCCTCAGGCACCACGCTTCCTGGGATACTAGTTAGTACCCTATAACAACGATAAGAAATTAAGAATATATGCAGTTAATGTGTATATACCTCCCTCGAACCTCGAGACGGACCACCGAATGAACTTACAACCTCTAGCTGCACTAGCTACCGGCATGTCCAGATTATCTAAGGTAGCTGTGATAATCAAGCCCTGTAAGCAAGCAAGCAAGCAAGCAAGCAGTAAGTAAGGTGTCGCTTGACCGAAGCGTAGGGGGGGACCCAGACGCTTATTCGTCGGAGCCGCTTGCGCAGCTAATCCACAACCGTCAAGGTGCATGGCAACCGTGAGGAGTGGCCGCATTGGGGTTGTCTGATGATGAACACTGCACCGACCATCATTTCTCTTCGCGAACGCCATTCCCTCCCATATTCTGCAGCTCTGCCTACATGACAAGGGGCGCGCGGGACAATCTTCGATCCTGCAGAAAGGAGAGGGAAATATTATTTGTGGATGACATTCCGTAGCCTACTACAGAATGAATGTGCTGGGGTTGTACTGTGTACGGAGTAAATGAACCATGAATAATGTATGTGCATGGGGGTGGGAGATGGATGAATGGCACGGATCCACAATACTTTAGTTACCCCAACCAGCAATGATCCGACCCAGCTGGAGACCGCGGCTGGCTCTGAGTAATTTGCTAAATCCGGCATGGTGATTGATGGTTGATGGCTGATTGTTTGCATGCAGTCCGCATATATTCTCCGTAGGACGGATGTGGTTGTTGTCTGTGTAAAGTGGCTCTCTTTTTTCGGTGGGTAAGTCTGGGATGACGGATGTGTGGGGTTATAGTACTACATACATAGTAGTATATACTATAGGAAGTGTCCTTACTAGGTCTGTACTCTCATACGACCTTGTAAGGACTCTGTTTCTGATCGCAACACGGTCGATGGAATCTAGAGTGGACTGGAGTGTAGGACGGAGTACAAAGTACGTAGATGGAAAACCTCCAATCTCCGTGATATCGGACATGATTCGCTCGCGATGATTCTGGTGGGCGATCTCCCCATACTGGATGCGGCAATGGGCGAACTGTAGGGCCGCACGACATGGATTCCCCGGGCCCCATCTGAAAGCTACACAGTTCCCTCGATGCGGTTTTAATCTAGGGTGAGGCTGTGACCCATGGTTCCGATCGAATGAGAAATGGTCACGCTCTCCCGCTCTGCCGTCCGACACGGCAGAGAAGGAGGGCGCAGGGATCAAACTAAATCGGTGGCAAGTATCGTGTTTAACCAGTCGGAGCGGGCCCTAGTAGGAATTCGATCCTTTGTCGCGGATCGGATCAGATTCGCTGCATCGGCGGATGGCCAGATGATGACACTATCATTACGCATTCGGGCATATCCATCAATTCTCAAAAGGCTGTACTTACTTATTAATATGTCTGTATGTATGTGTGTCGGCAAGTGCTTTAAAGTACTTACCATAGTAAGTACTGTTTGCCTAGGGCAACCAGAGTGCATGAATGCGTGACAGGTCTGGGAGATCTACCTACATGAGGAAACCTACCAGAAGCCGAGTGAATAGTAATATAGATGGGTGGCTTGGGGGGTCGCTCCACGTTGGTTGAAACGAAAGGATGTGGATGCATTGGATGCACACGCCACACTCACTGCTGGTGCCGAGTAACTGCCTAGTACCTATACACCCCCCCTGAAAGAGGGAATACCTAGACAACAGGTATCTATACACCATGCAGAAATCGGATCATCATCCTACTATGGTAGGGCTATTGCTCCATGGTTCGCAGTACCTTGATTCCATGTCTCCGTCAGGTAGCAACACATGTGATTGAAGATGGGAAGCGCCATATCTATCCCGTTCGGGTAACAGCCTGGCCTGGGAGGTCGGGGATATATACGGAATACTTAAATAATGTTAGGTAGATATCAGATAGGAAGTTCGGCAGGTAATGCGAGGGAGAATGCCAGAGAATAATTCCTTGGTGGCGTTGATAGTGACCCGACTAGTCCCTTGGCTGGCCTGATCCGGATTGCTCTGACACGGCGTCCCCTTGCGTGGAATCAACATGGAATCTTCGAACGGTTGCTGCCATGCTCGTCATGCCTTTTCCTCCTCCTTCAAGAAACCAAAAAAAAGCCCATGAAGAGATTCGCTCTCATGCTCCATAGTCCATACATTACTTACTTCCTTACTTACTTACCGACTGGTTGGGTCCTGTCATGTCAACGGTAATTACCGGGAGGTAACCTCGGTACCAACAGGCATTACCATTTGGTATTGAGATACTCCGCTCTCCGCCGCCCTCTCACTGAGTGCTTTCTGCATTCTACTCTGTGTGGAAGCTTTGACAGCCAACCAATGCCCCAGGCTGAACCTCGATCTGCACGGACATCCATGACAACGAGTCCTACTCCATCCATCCTTGATCAACGGTCCGTCTAAAAGGCAAGAAGCTCAACTCCGGTAGGCTGGTTGCTTCTAGTACTAGGTTTGGAGAAGGAGGACAGGTGACACACTGCCTCACCAGAACGCTGGATTCCAAATCTCCATCCGGGCTGTCGCCACCCATGGCCCTTCGCTGACTGGATGGCGGCGGTATGGCTGACACGGGCCAGATCCATTGGTCCTCCCACTGATGACTAGGGAGGTACCTGACGCCGTGGCTGAACCATAAGGCTGATGGCGATCAAACCAGGGGATGTTGTGACCCGACGGATTCTCGGATTTCAACAAATCTCGATCGACACAATGGGCCAGGCAATGACAATCGCAATGCAGGAGGTGCAGCATGGTCAAACCTGAAAGGGGCAGGAGGCACGGGGACCCAGCAGAACAGGGGTTGAAGACTAATAATGAGCATCAGCGAGGGAAGACCGATATTCGACCTACACTCCACCCCCGAGTTTCAATCGACGTAGGCCCCAAAGCTTGTTGGGCCAGGTCAAAGCATTCTGTCCATTCACAGGCTCGTGGGCTGGTTCCGTATCTCAGATGCAACTGCCTTGGACTGAGGGCTTCTCAATAGGTGCAAAATTTGGTGCACCTGCGACCATCCCAACCGAGAGCAATGCAAGTCATACTAAGGTATGACCCGTCCTACCTGCCATGCAGATGATGCGCATGCGCATCACTATCCGTTTCTCACCCGCTGCTGATCTTGATCGAGCCTAGGCCATCCTAGACATCGCCCTGCCATCGGACGAACCCATGTGGGAGGCTAGGTGATCAGTGACGTGCTCTCATGTATCACCTATCGCCATTCCCACCCCCCTACAATACTGCTTTCTCGGATTCACTTTGGACACCGGCCCAGCTCCACCCCCAGAGGCCTGTACGGCTGGGTCTACCCCATTGTAGACTAGAACAAACCCCGATGAAAGTGCCAACAACTGGCAGATGCAGTGCATGTGCAATTATCTATGGGCCCGTCGGCCAACTATCAATTATGTCCTCTAAACGAATATGTCCCAGTATGAATCGCCATGGTTCCAAGTCCTGCTTATTTCATGGCATGCACCGTGTACTGACTCGCCCCATATATTCAGTAACAGCACCCACCCAGCACAATGCTCCAAACGGGAGAAAAAAAGAGAAAAAAAAAGAGTGATGACAAAAGGAAAGAGGAAGGAATGAAGGCCACCGCAACTCCTGGGCGCTGCCCAATGTAGACACGTCAAGACTCAAATGGCAAATAGAAAAGAAGAGACAAGAAAGGTAATGACATATAGACACGTGCGCTCTCAGGCGCAGGGCAGATATACTGCAAAGCTCAAGCCGCTCTGCAAGTTCCACTCAGTCATTGGCCTTGACAGACAGACGTTTGCTGCAAGCTGCCAGAAGTCGTTGAGCCGAAGTCAAACCGCAAATGACGTCGGATGCAAGCACAAGATGAACGGAGTGGGCATCAGAGGACGTTCCAGAAGCAACACGAAAAGGCGTATCCAGATCGGGATTAAGGTCTGGTGTTGCCGAAACCGTGCTGAGTAGACACTGGCTATGAGATCCAGGTGCTTCAAGGGCAAGTCAGATATGGCCATGGTCGAGGGAGGCGATAACTCGCACGCCTTGCATAGCGCTCCTGGCGACGAACGTTGAGAATCCCATGGCAATTAGTATGCTATGCGAGATCAATGCATAATCACTAACGAAAAGCCATCGATCCAAGGTCCACTGGATCCTGAAATGCCAGCAATCTTGTACCCAAGAGGGGGGATCAGAGTGTAACTGGAAGTGCCGTGTTAGATAAGGCGACGCTAAGATGGGAAGGGGCTCGCATACCCTGTGCCTCCTTGGGCATTTCCAAACATGCCGGATTTTCTGCCCTGGCTGGTCAAAATCTCGATGCCATCGATCCACAATCCAGCTCGGACATAGAAACCGAGTAGTATTTCTCCTCTCCGGGTATCTGATTGAAGTTGTCAGACTTGGTCGATACCGAGCCCATCGAGGTACCGAACATGCGCAAAAAATTGGGCAGATAATAGGAGGGAAAGAATTACTTACCAAGGACGAAATCATCAGGCTTTCCTCCCCGGTTACCGAAGAGCTGGCTCGTAGCATCTTCATAGAAGAATTCCAAGCCATGGAGCGCATTCTCGTGATAGATCCGGACAGAGGTCAGGAGCTTGGTCGACGCAAAGGCACAGTCCAGCAATAGCTGTTCTGGCTGACTACCTTCCAACTGCGAAAAGCCCATCTTGTTCCCCTTGTACCCGGTATGACTCTTGGGCAGCTTCACTAATGCCTGCTTCGATTTCAGATTATTGATTGAATCGACATTGTAACTTCCGAGGCCGCCTGAGAAGATGACCAGCCTGATAGACTTTTTCTTCTCCTTCTCGGTGCCATACACACGTTGCCGGAGTTCGCTTTCCGTCACAGTGACTTGCTTCGGCAGTCCATTGCTGCTCGACTCGCTGTTAAGGTATTCGATAAAGTTCCGACATACGTTGTCCCCCTCAGCGTACAGTTCTATGAACGCTATACCCGTCAAGGCAGTAAAAACGATCTTCCCGTTCTCAACGGGCCAGACCTGGATGCTATCGTCCGAAGCCAATGGCGCATCTCCAGGAAGTCGGAAGCAGGGGTGAAACCGAAAACGCAAAGCGTCGAGCCGATGCCAACTGCACTCATCTTGAGGCAGGCATAGCTTGAGGCCTTGGGTCTTTGTCCGGGTTGCGAAGGGCTCACGGGTGAGAAAGGACCGGCTCAGACGGACATAGTCCCGAAGCATGATACCCGACTCCTGATGCGGACACCCGAAGAGATGGCCGACTTCGTGAAGATGAGCACCAATGCCGATATTAGCAGCTTCCCAGCTGGAACCACCCTCGCCGGAGTCGTTAGCAACGAATCCTGTGTCGGTCCTGGTGCAGTCTGAGAAAGCGTCTACAACATCTTCCAAACTGGAAGGGTAGCTCTGCAGGCTGTGGGAGCCAAATATCGCTAGCTTGAGATCCCCGGTGCTCGAACCCAGAGCGGCGTGACCGGTGATAGTCTGCGTGCCCACATCCCAATGAGAGTCGAGAAGTAAGACTGAGACATACTGCTTCTGACCGGGTTGGAGACGGAAATGGTCCTTCACTGCCTCTCTGGCGATTCGGAACAGCTCATCCTTGTGGGTAGCAGAATCATTCTGCTGGGCGAGGTTGAGGTCCCTGAGCTCTGCGACCGTCTTGTCAGTCCGGACAACGTGGACCTTAGCCTCGTTCCGCATCTGGCCGTTCACTGCATCACGGCGACTCAAGGTGCCCGCCTGCCACTCTTCTTCGAACCGGAAGCACCGACGTCCGAAGTTGTTACGGAACATCTGTTCGCCAGTAAATGCCTGCCAGAGGTACGCCGCCATGCGATATTTTTGAATCGCCGTTTCAAGACCGTTTCCTTCGCGTTGTTGTCTCTCCGGAACGGCGTCAAATGTCCCATCTGAATCCTTTCCTAGCAAAATGACAAGGTGTAAGGGAGGCGTATTGACCAATGGGAGATAATTTATGCAGATATAGGAAGTGTGGGTAGTCGGATGAGCACTGCCGGATGAATGCTTGGCTGAGACGAACTCGAAGCGCAGGCGGTTCGGTCCCGGAACGAGGTGCACCAGGGTCTTGAAGTGGGAGGATGTGACCGGCCACGCCACCGATGGGAAACTATCCTGATGGTGATAGACTGTTACAGTTCCGTCCAGCGGATGTTGTCTTGGGTCTCCTATTTGGCCGTAAACAAGCAGGACCTTCTGATGGACCTGTGAGTGAGTTGAATAGTCAGCTTTATACACGTCCATAGACAGACCACATAGGACATGGGGATATGCCAGAGTAGGGATACAAACCCAAGAGTTATCGGAAATCGAGATGATCCTCGGGGCGTATGGAGAAGAGGGAGTGGGCGACCGCACGGCACCATTGACAGACATATTACTGCCAAACTGTATAATTGAACAAGATGGTTAGTCTAGGGATCAGGTCCAGATGGTGGATAGATCTTACATAGGCGCTATTCCGCTGCGACGGAGCCGTAAGGAGGCCGGGACGTTGGGGAGGTACAGAAAGAGGGGAAACAGCGTTAGTGGAGGCGCCGTTGCTCTCGCTGAGGGATGGGAGGTTTGGTGATGAGAGGTTTGGTTTTATGGAAGAAGGCGGGGTGAGAGAACTATATGAAGCAGTATCAGGCGTGGTTGATGACTTGCCCGAATTCAGCTCCCCATTGGATTGGGATTCGTTGGACTTGGTCTCTGTTGACTTGGTGTGGAAATTGGCTTTCGAGCGACGACGAAGCTGTTTGAACAACGGCATGATGGGCGGGGTTGCTGTTGCTGTTGCTGCTTTTGAAGAAGAAAGAAGGTCGGCGGAGGGCGGAGGTAAGTATACCGGAGAAGGAAAGAGTGGTCGAGTATGGACCTTGCCTCTTTTGCCTTCTTCAGGAGGTAATGGGTATGGACAAGACTCTCCCAATGGACGTCAAGTGATCTGCCAGGGATGATGAACGAGTGACTGTAATCCCAATGCCTGCGTTCCCTTTTTTTTTATTGTTTTATTTTCAGTGTTATTTCCAACCACTGTTTCGTGGACAGCTCAGAGGAGTTGGTGGCAGCGAGGAGTCGGAGAAAGAGGAGAGCGACCGTTTGCGGCAGCGAGTGACGAACGAATGGCAGAAACACCCCCGCATCAACCAGAGTAGTATCCAGGAACCAGGTGATGAATGAGTAAGCAGTGGTGCTGAGTATAAACGAGAGAAGAAGTGGAATAGAAAGCGACAATTGGTTCAACGGGCGTCCATTTAGCGAGCTGTGGTGGGATGAAGGGAACAAGAAACGAGGGCGACAAAAAAAAACAGGAATCCCAGGGTCAGGAAGGAGGGACTTCGAGGGGGGGAGGGGGCAGGAAAGGCAGAGGAGAAAAGAGGAGAAAAGGGAAAAGGAAAGGGAATTGGCAATGGGCAAGCTAACCACCAGGGAGTATGGAGAGAAATCAGGATGGAGTCGATTAGTGCCTGGCCTAAGAGCTAATCGCCAACAATAATGTCATTGGTATGTGAGACAGCAAATAATAATGCAATCTCACCTGTGTTAATCTGCGTAGGCGAGACCTAGATCGTTACTACTCCTTTCGAACCCAAAGCTTGTTCGTTTCTAGTAGGACTTTGCGTGGCTTGACGGACTCCTCCAGGCTCCTGGTGATTCAGATCTGATGAATATCCCTCCATCCCCTTCAACTCCAACTCCGAAAAAAAAAAAATCAAATTCGCCTGATCATTAAACCGGGATCGGAAAAGCAATGCGATGCGATCCCGGGCCCTTTTTTCCTAGGTGGATAGATTATGTAGGTAGGCTAAAAGACGGAGTACAGTACCCTACATCTCCAGTCTCCAGGCCACGCTGATAATAATTGCTATCATTCTAATAATAACAGAATATTAATCAAATAAAACATTAAAAAGAGGGAAAAAAGTAAATTGATCCAGGCACACTAAGAACGCAACTGCCACCTTGGTGGGGCGCATCCAGCTGCAGCTTCTTGTTCGTTGCGAATAGACAAGGGTGCGTTACGTAGGCCGGATGCCACTGGCCAACGGGCGGGAAGAGATAGGCTTCCTGGTTTCACCGTCTCACCACCCGAGACGGTGGAGCCCAGACGATCGTCTGCTATATTTGTCTTCGTTGGCGGCGCTGGTAGGCTCTGCTACAGTAATCGGACTGCCTCCTGCGTGCTCACTAGTATAGTACACAGTAAGTCGCCCTCCCAAAATGGGGCTTTATCTAACCCTTGATGACCCTGGGTGGTTATCTGGCCACGGGGTAGGTATCTTTGGGTCTCAAATTTCAGGGTGGCCAGGCCTGTGCAGGAAAGTGAATGGAGTTATTAAGAAGAAAAAATACTGGAGGGGAAAAAAAAGACCGAAGATAGGAACGGCACCAGCGTCAATGCTGGAAGGAACATGGGGGACCCCTTAGGTCTCACCAACACCAAAACAGTAATCAGGGGAGTATTTAGTCCCCAGCACGTCCAGTGGAAACATTATGGAAGAGTTGCCGTAAGACAGCCTTTGTGGTTGGCATTGTTACTTTTTTGCCTCTCCATAGTCCATAGTTGCCCCTCCCCCTCCCTCTCTTTGTGAGTGAACCATGTTACAGAATCTGATCCGGGTTCCCATTCCTGCTGCTTCTACGACCCATCTCCGGCGTAATAAGTAGAGAAGAGCCAAAAGGACACCAGAGCCCCAACCACCCAGCCACGACCGACAACTAGTCTCTGTTCAGCTCGGGGTCGGTCGTCATCCCCTCCCCTTTCCTTATCGGCCATCGCTGCCAGTTTGCCTAAGGTACCCAGTTGAGTTAGTAAACGCTGGTCGGGGCCAGTCCCCTTCAAGTAAAACGAGCTTGGCGGCAGGTGCGCACCGGCTCCAGAAGCCAGAAGCCAGAAGCCAGAAGCCAGATCCATCCCCGAACCTGGATAGTGGATGGATCCTGCTACTAGCAATCTCCATCCCCTTTAGTTGGCCTGCTTCCTTGGGGGCAGCCGGCCTGCGACACACGTCCCTTATCGCACGCCCTGGAGTTGGCCCGACTGACTCGTCCCGGCGCAATGTCATCACTTCACGCATGTTTTTGTTTGTCTGTTCTCAACTTCCTGTATGCTCAGCACCAATCAGACCCTCTCCGGGTACTACTTATGCACTTGTGTACTTGGAGATTCTCCTCTCCGCTGCCCACTCCGTAGGTGCATCTTAGATTGGGCTTTTCGCTCCTCGTCCACGTCATGTCCTGACAAGTTCCCTGTTTCTCTGGTGCTTGGGTTCCATCCCCTCGTCCCGTGTCGCTTTTCTTGTCCTTCCTTGGCCGCTGAATTACTTATTATTTTGATTGCACCAAGAGCCACCGGTCTCCACTGTCGTAGGGCTGGCATTCATTTCACCCAGGCAGTCATATTCCGCTGAATAATCATGGTAAGCAATCAACAGCAGTTGATCACTTCCTTTATAGCAAGGAACATCCACCAGGAAACGCAAAGTTTGTCTTAAGTACCGACACCAGGCACGCAGCAGAGACAACCAACTGAGGGAAAAGAAGCAACGGCAAGGTGAATTTAGAATAATAGGTATCACTGCTTGGGGCCCTACATACTGAACGCCCGACCTTTACAAACCCGAATTGTTGCACCGACGGCCCATAGCCGCAGCAAAGGCCTATTTGCAACCATCTACATGCATCAGACGAGCTTGCTCCGACGCCTCCTTCAGGACTGGCCATCCGATGCAGGTCTGGGGAGTTAAAGACGACGACCGACTCGCAGTTCATAGGTGACACTGGCATTGCAATGGTGTGCTGCTGACCTCGACCACCTGGCAGGACCTCATGGATTCGTGCGTATAGACGGTAGGAATAAGGGCCAGTGTATGTGTAGTAGGGTATGTGGCTGAGAGCCAGAAAATGGACAACATCTGCCATCTGTACCCCGAGAGGGAAACAACAGGCATACTTTGCTAATGCTGTCAAGGCAATTAGTGAGAGGTCCATATGGTTTAAAATCCCCTGAAGAACATGCTGCAGGAGAAACAAAGAGAGGGGTAAGAATGAATGGATCGGAGGATTCTGTGGCATGTGTCTAGCCAGCAGTGCGCTGGAGCATTCCGAGCTGATCGCAGGAACCATTGGCTCTGAGGGGACGAGAGTTATCGGCGGCTGCTTCAGAAAGCGAGCCGTAGCTTTCTTATGTAGTACTCGAGCCCTCACGAATCACGGATTGTAGAAGAGGAAGACAGAGGGTGTGGTGTCAACTGGGGACCATCGTCGATCGTGGGTGGAATGGGATGCATAATATCGTCTGTACTCCGTAAGGACTCGGCTGTTATTGACGGCGACCGGGGAATCCGTGGGCGACGGGATGGGACGACATCCCTTTATCCACCACTTCTCGTTTCCGCATTCCCAACCGACACCAAGACCGAGCGAGTTCTTTGAGTGCTTTTCCGGGCGGGTTACCCAGACATCCCACAATCATACCGCTTCCGTGGTGGGCGCTAAAGAAAGGAAGAAGGAGAACGAAGACGAAGGGATTTATTTCCCCAGAGTTGGTGGCTGCTTTAGGCCGTAGTGTCCCTTCCGTTTTGCTGACCCGAGCCCAAACTAAACCTCACTACTAACTATCCACTATCCACTAACCACTACTACTACTACTACTACTTACTCCCTACTACTACTACAGGCTAGACACTTGTTCGCCAATTGGATTGATTGCCCGTGCCAATCTCATCTCCCTCGCCTGTCTCCTCGGCCTGTCGTCCCCCTCCCTTGTTCCAAGTCGACCTGACAAGACCCTGACAAGACTCCTCCTTGACTCGGTCTCAAGCCCTTCCTTTACAAGGGCCCGCATCTCCTTCCTCACCTTCCGTTGGCCCATGCCCGCCGTCAGTTCTCTTCTACCTACCGGTTGAATAGCGCTCCCTGTCATCGAGACCACCGAGCAATGGGTCTTACGCAACCGGCAACCTCGGAGCGAACAATCCGCAAAATTGACATTGCCCAGGTATGTGATCGTTTCTTGATTTGTATTGCCGTGGTCTGAAATTTTCCCTCTCCCTGTCTGTCAAGCAAAGTCTAATCGAATGGTTTTCTTCACAATCAGGTGTCCCTCAGCCTCCAGGATCGCTTGGGCCTCGCCAAAGTCAAGTACCAAAACGGCCGTCTACATGCCCTCGGACCAAACCACAATGGCGGGATACATGTCTGCTTGGGGAGTGACCGGCCTTCGGACTCGTCGTCGGAGATCTCGCACAGCCGGAGTGAGACCCCATTGACGCCGCCTCCCTTGCCTAACTCGTCCTATTCGAAAGAACTACCTAGATCATCACGGAACAGACATGCAGCAACTTTCGATTCCAAGGCAATGCAGCCGATGCTGTCTGCGAGCCGAAAGCGTCTGCGGTCCGACTCGATCACAGACCGGACGGTCAAAGCCCCTCGGGTTTCATGGAAGAGTTCACATCACCTGCCTGAGTCGTCTCCGGGCTTCAACCGCCAGCGTATGAACCGGCACCTCCCCCTCCCGTTCATGGCAGAGATCCCCGAATACTCATCCCCGGCGTACCCTCCACACTCCGAGGATGACAACGACCCCGACCTTCCCGTCCACAGCTTCCAACATATCAGCTCATTTGCGGGCTCCTCACCTCCTCGCACGCCTCCTCCCAAGCACGCCCGTCTGTCTCGGACCGACCGAACATTGCGGCATGCTGATGGGGCAGATCTGCTTTTGTACCTGGCGAATTCCCCAACTCCAGCCAAGTCCCAGGTTCGGGATTTCCCTCCTTCTACGCCCCCGAGCCAGCATGCCGCTCTGCCTTCGCTGACCCCGACCCCTGGCGGCGGTGTCTTCCCAAACTTCGGTACTCCCAATCAACAGTTCAATTTTGCCGATTTTGTGAACGTGACACCCAGTCCTGCTCAGCTACCCTGGGGCGGTCGCACGCCTGGAGGCCCCTCAAAAACGCCCCTTGTAAACAGGGAGCGGAAGAGATCCAACCTCGACGGCCTGCTGCCCCCGAGCACGGATAGTCCCAGGAACCGCGGGAAAGGGCTTGCCATGGTTCTCCAACTGGGTGAAGAGCTACGACCCGAAGCCCGCAAATAATCTGGATGTACAGATTTTTCTTTTCTTGTTTATGCATTCCCACCCCATTGTTTATGACTCCTAATGACTGTTATGTGCCCACTACCTTGTTTCCGCCCATCTTCATACCCCGCCGCTGTATTCAGTGTCTATCAGATCTCCTTGTGTTGTACGGCCACGTCCTGTGACCGGTGTTCTAAAATAATGTACACGTCACTGTCCATACCACATACCCTTTCTTACTCCATGTGTTCCAGAGAACTTTTGGAAACGTTTCCTTTGTGTGCAAACATCGTGTGACCCACTATTCGGCTAATATTTGACTTCTTTGCCCCTCTACTGCTGGTTCTGTTCGGCACCAAGAATGAGTAACCTGTACGTACGGGATGTCTGAGCATAGTCTGATTCTTACTTGAAAAGGGCCAATGAAGGAAAGACATTAATTTGTATCCACTCTGGTGTGTCAGGAATACTCGGCCGTGTTCATGTGTAGCTTAGATAATAGAACCCGCGTCCAGGATCGACAACCCGATCACCGAGTTCCTCTACACTCAATGACGTCTACACTTGACAGCGGCCTGAGAAAATTACCAAAGAAGACCATAACCAGTCAATTACTAAATTATTACCATCTAGTATCATTTTCACATGACACACAACTTTAATTCCATCTCATCAGTCATCACAATACTTCATCGCATCAACCAAACATTGACACAGGATATTAAGCAGGAATTCCACGACTTCAATACATTTCTTATATAACCACCCCCAAGTAGCGTCTTAAGGGACAACACATCTCTTCACACCTCTCTCGAAATTCCCAGTCCAAATATTTCAACATCTACATGACCCTTCTCGCTTGCCGACACAGACTCTCTGTACGGAGTAGATAGATAGATACTAACTACTAGGGAGCATGGAGTCCTCCGTACTCAATCCCCACTTTAAACCCTTCACGAAAATGGGTTACTATCCTTTAAAATCGACCACCATCATACCAAGGACTAACGAACTAGTACCTATATCGAGCTAATAATGCCTTAGAAGGCGTATACTCCATACTATTGCAAAATTAAGCTTCTCTCATAAGGCTACCAGACATACCCATCCATAGCTCAGCAATACAATCCCTAACCAGACACCAATTGATTGATTCTCCATATCTAACTAGTACAACATAGATAATCCATCCTATCGTAAAACCCCCAGTCCCTCCCTTCCCCCAAACCTCACTAAGTACGGAGTAAAATACCCCGCACCAAACCCAAACCCAAACCACAAAGCGGGAAATCAACACACAGAAAGAAAGAAAAAAAAATAATATGCAACGCGACGACGCGTCCGGGTAAACTTTAATTCGTGTTGATTTCGCGTTCGGGTTAGACTCTGTTGGGGTTAGTGGGGGCTCGGTTTGGTCGGGGAATTTGCTGTTTGGGGTTTAGGGTGAGATCTTGATCGGTGCGTTGGGTCATTGGGTCATTGGCATTGGATGGTAGGCGAGTGGATTATTATCACGTGATTGGCATGGTTTGTTCTTTGGGGGTTCCATTATTGTTCGATGGTCACAGGGTCTTGGGTTTTGGGTGGTATGGTTAGATTTGGATCTAATTTTTCTTGGGTTTTATTGACCGACTGATTGAATGATTGCTTGATCGATTAGTTTACTAATGGGGTGGATTGGATCTATTATCGTTATGTAGGTTTCTTGTATATTGGTCTCGCAGTGCCTTTGATTATACCAACTTCTATATTCATTCTTCCAATACCTCCTCGGCTGGTCGCTCCACCTCCTGCTTGGTCCGTTCGGATTGCTTTCGCCAAAGCAAGGCCAGGTAATCAGATGTGGTCGCCTCGTCGATCGATTTGTCTTCGCGGACTTTCAAAAATCGGGGAAATCTGAGACTCAGCCCTCGTTCATCGCTCACCAAGCCGATGGCCGCCGTGTACGTGGGACTAAGAGTAATGTCGGCAAATGCCATTTCCCAGACTTCCTGCGGCTCGAACCACACGTCTGGCTCGCCGTAGTATTCGACGTAGCTAGGGCGGGAGATGACGTTAGGTGTCCCCTCGGCGTATTTGTCCTTGTTCGTTTGGTAGAACTTATCAGTGAAGCCGGACATGCATTTTGTTACGGCTTCTAAGCTCCCTGTTTCAGGGTTGCGGACGGCAAGGAGGATCGGCGACCACCATTTAGCCTTGCGGCCTTGGCCGTGCCACCCGGCTACGGGAATCAGATCGAGGGTCTCGGATGAGGCGCTATAATCTTTCTTGACCTTGAGCCAGGATTCGAGCCGTTTGTCGGGCTCGTAGGTGGAAAACAGTGCCTTTCGGCGACTGCCTTTGGAGTTCTTCGACTCGGACTTTTCGTCTGTCTTGGACGGCTGATCTGGCACACCGTCTGTATCAACGGCCGGTGTTCCGTTTTCTTCAAGAACCGGCTTGGTCATATTGTCAAGCACTTTAACCATGATTCCTTCACATTTAGTGTCGGTGGCGCTTTTGAAGAATTCCAGTACCGCCTCTGAATCGGCAGACATGGCGTCTAGGCTCTTCACCCACGTGAACCGTCTGGGAATCTCGACGAATAAGCTCCGTAGCAGCTCTCGTCGCTCACGGAATGGCCGATCTAGCAGTGGCTGTCCGTTGAGATACATCAGGTCGAATGCAAAGAGACAGACGCTGACTTTGATGGCCCCGATATCAACGTTTTTCTTCGCACGGTTGGTCAAAATTTGGAAGGCTTGCAGTTCGCCCGACTCTTGGTCCACGGCGACCACCTCTCCTTCTAAGATGAAGCTCGACACACCTTCTCCCCTTATCTGAGGGACCAGAGACACAAGATCAGGGTATTTCTCCGTCATATTCTCCAGGTGGCGGGAGAAGATCGATACTTTGCCTTGTACATCGCAATGCACCTGCGCGCGCTGACCATCATACTTGTATTCACAGCTGAAATCACGCCCTTGCAATTTCGTCAGCATGTCTGATAGGTCCCGCGTGATGCTGCCTAGCATAGGTCTTAATGGGATATGCATCTGCAGACCACAGCGGACAAGGAGTTCGTCGGAAACCCCGACTTCGAGCAAACAGGGAACGAGGTCATCGTAGTTTGGATGCCGGGCATAGGAAGCCTTGACAATCTCCTCTGCATTGTTATAGCTTTCAGCTAGCTCGTCCTTCTTCAAGCGCGCCATTTCCTCCTGAGAGTAGATTGAGAATTCCGCCCCTTCAGGTCTGGAGTATAGGAATGCCCTTGCAAGCGCAATGAGCATCGTGGTTTTGACAGCGCCGATGCGCAGATTCTGGACCAGAGTTCTAACAATGTATCGACTTTCTTCCGCACCGCGAGCATCTTGTAGTAGTTTCTCGACAATCCTCTGTTTTGTCTCTTGACTTCCACCCCCCTTACTCATAGCTATTTTTTTCAAAGACTGATAAATCCCCTTTATCCTGAGCGGCTTAGGCTTCATCAAAGTGAAGGACTGTCTCTTCTTGGCCTCGAACGCCACATCGCCGGCATCTCCGTGTCTATCATATAGTGATTTCAGACCTTGACTGTTTAGTCCATACACCTTCTTGAGCGCCTTCGATATCGAGGACCCGCCAAGGCCCAGCTCCAACTCGTCGTAGGGAGGGGAGATCGAGCTGGTCGCCAGCCATACTGCGGGAAGCACGCTGGACGGGTCCGCTTCAATTACCACGCGGAGAAAATTGACCAGCGTATCCACAATCTTGATGCGACTAGTTGTGGCGTTGGCAAGCACGAAAGCTCTGGTGAGTAGGGCGTACGAGGCGTCGCCACCTTCCGAAGCCCAGTGGCCCTGCAACTCGCGCGCATATTTGGTGGCATCGAAAGTGACAGGACTTTGATCGAAAGGGACAGCCAGAGAGACAGTATCCTCCGTGCCTGTAGACGACTGTAGCGAGAGGACGCCTTTCTTCTGCACTTTGGTCGGTTCCCGATCGTTGTCGCCGGCATTCAATGGTAGCAAAGAAGGGTCATCGCTGGTGTCGGCCTGCGGGGTTGGAAGCGCATCTTCTTTGTCCCATTCAGCCTGAAGCTTACGGGCCAGCGCCTCGTCCGACAAGGTCTGTTGTGTGTGAGCTTCAAATACAGCCTGGGGCGGTTGTTGCGTCTTCTCGGGCTGTTTGGTTGCCTGGCCTTGGAAGAATGACGCTATGGTCCGGGTGGGCTGCGAGGTAGATCCTGGATCATCTCTCTTGCGCTTTTTAGCCGGACTGGACATGGTGGGACTAGACCGCAAACCATCTAGAAGTTAGATGCATGGCCATTGCACCCGACATCCCCCCGGCGTGATCCATGGGGTGTGAGAGTTGGAGGCGGGAGTGACGTTGCAGTGGAGGCGGAAGAGGCGTGAATCACCCGAAGCGGAGTTGGCAACACCTCGCCCGTCTCGCCGTGCGTCTTCCCCGCCAGCTCAACAATAATGGCAACCCCGGCTTCTGCCCTGTCATCGCACGAGAGGACCCGGGTCGAGGATTATCTGAACGACAAGCTGCAGGTTTCTGCCGACTTGGACAGTCTCGACTCGTTGCTGTCGAGTCTCCGGGCCCAGCATGAGCTGCAACGCAAGCAGGTACCGCGGTCTTCCCTCCTTCGGTGATTTCATGTCAATGTCCAAGACACTCACTGACCAGCCGGTTCTATAGTTAGCGGAAGCACAAGAAGCGCTATCCAACGCTACGAAAGCCTCCAATGACCACGCCGAAGCCACTCGAAAGCGAGCCGAAGCATTCGGTGAGCAGCAGGCGGATATTGACCAGCGTCTGAAAGCTCTCACGGGTTCGAATTCCAGCGATGAGGCGGCAAAACGATTCGAAGCTAGTATCGAGAAGCTGCGGAGACTTGAAATCTCCAGGGGTTATATGACTTTGCTGAAGGAGGCGGAAGGACTGAGGTATGGGATCACAGTTCGCCTTTGAAATACCGCAGTCGCTTAGATCAGATACAGCAAGGAGGCCTTGAAAAACATCAAAGACCAGCCCCAGATCGCGATCCAATCATATACCCGACTGCGCAAGATTGCTCGATCCCTCACAGAAGCTCAGCCGGCAGCAGAAGGAGCAGCCCCTCACCTGGTCGACTACGTGGGAAAGCTGGCCTCTGCCCTTCGGGAACACATGAAAGCAGACTTTACTCGACGACTGCAGGGAACGATGGAACAAATGAAGTGGCCGTCGAAGGACCTACATTTCCCGGACGATCTACAGAACCAGTGGAGGGAGAATGTGGAATTGCTTCTTGATCTGCAGAAACCGTACGTGTCACCAAGGATAGCCTTGACCGTTTGGGTGTAACCAGTCAGTTATAGGGAACTTCAGGGCCATGCAGCTGGATTCACTCACCACGGTAACGAGCCCCTAGTTCTGCTACCATTGGAAGTGATGGTGCACCCGCTCGAGCTTCGCTTCAAATACCATTTTAGCGGAGACAAGCCGACGAATAGGCTGGACAAGGTATGTGCGTCGATTGCAGCAATGAAGACGAGTCTCTGACCTGTTCCAGCCCGAATATTTCCTAGCTCATGTGATGGACCTGATCAACAATTTTGGCGGGTTCTTCGCATCGTCCCTACAACCCATTTTCGATCAAGAGGCGCAGAACGTCGGCGCGGACCTGGGGTGGAATTTCCACAATGCCTCTCACGCTGTTATCACAGCGCTTCTGCCTGTGCTGAAGCACAAGATCACTACCTTTCTGCCCCAAATCTCAACCCACCCGCAGCTCCTCAGTCACTTTATGCACGAATTGATGAACTTTGACAACGAAGTCCGCGAGTCGTGGAACTACCTACCCGACCCATATTCCAACGAGGACTGGAAGGGAATGACCTGGGATGTCCTGACCAAGCAAGGCTGGTTTGACCGCTGGCTTCAGGTCGAGAAGGATTTCGCACTAGCCCGCTACAGGGAGATTGTAGACGCTCCGGATAGTGGCCACATCGACTATGACGGAGTTGATCTCTCTTCAACTAAGCCCACCAAGGCTGCAATCCGGGTAAATGATCTTCTCGAGACAATCACGGAGCGCTATCAGCCACTGTCGTCATTCAGTCAGAGACTGCGCTTCCTCATCGACATCCAGATCACCATCTTCGATCAATTCCACGAACGCCTGCACTCCGCACTCGAGGCCTACCTTGCCATGACGTCGGCTATCGGACGCACCGTGCAAGGCGCGGATGCAGCTAGCATAGAAGGCGTCGCCGGCCTAGAACGACTCTCCCGGGTCTTTGGCAGCGCAGAATACCTCGAGAAGAAGATGGAGGACTGGAGTAACGAAGTCTTCTTTGTGGAGCTCTGGACCGAGCTCCAGGAACGAGTTCGACAGAACAAGGACGGCGGCAAGAATGTGGCAGGAACCATGTCCGTCGCCGACGTCGCATCTCGCACCTCCCAGGCCGTCAACAACAACAACAGCCAAGGCACCGCGTCCGAGGGCGCACTCTTTGACGAAACAGCCTCCGCCTATCGCCGTCTCCGACTCCGCTCCGAATCCATCATTACCTCAACTCTCACCTCCAACGTGCGCTCCGCCTTGAAACCCTTCTCCCGCGTTTCCACCTGGGCCACCATTTCCGCGACCACACCTGTCGCCCCCCTCCCCCCAACCTCTGATCTCTCCCCAGCCATGCGTACGCTTTCCGCAGAGATATCCTTCCTTTCCCACGCACTGGGTATTGCCCCCTTGCGCCGCATTATCCGTCAGGTCCTCCTCGCCATCCAGACGTATCTCTGGGGTAACATCCTAACACGGAACACCTTCTCCGCGGCCGGAGCATCCCAATTCATCAGCGATGTAGAACACCTCTGCAGCGTGGTCGATACCGCTCTTGGAGCAGCCGGCCAAACAGGCGGTTCCATGCGAGTAATGCGAAAGCTCGCCGAGGGACTCGTCCTTCTCGGATTGGACACCACAACCACGACGGAACCTGAAGACAAGACAGGGGGAGAGGGAGAATCACGCCCAGGCCTATGGGAAGTCGAGAAACGACTGTTCAAAGATAACGAGAGCGCTCGTGTTGTGCTCGCCGAGCTAGGGATCGAAACCTTGACCGAGGCAGAAGCAAGGAGTGTACTTGAGAGACGAGCTGAGATTGGTAACTAGATTGGCAGTTCAGTGAGGTGCCTCTGGCGTTACGGTCCCGGTAGTATTATACTTGCAAAACACACCGGCGGTGGTACCACGTATATAAGGGGGGCGAGGAGGGACGAAGGGAGAGAGACGGTTTTCCTGTCCAGCGAACAGCATGAGATATCCCATTGATTCTGGTCCTAATCGAATACTAATACTACTAGTACTCCGTATTTCTTTTGGTCTTGCGGCTTCCGTTATATACATACCTCTATAGATGATCAAGCCATTTTCCTTTCCTCTATTTCCCTGTGAACACCCACCCATCTAACCAATCAATCTAATCAAAAATATACATATCGTACAAGTACATTCTATGTTCCTTCCCTTGTTTTACCCTTTCGATTCGATGGCACCCCTCACCGATGATGTACAACAGGTCCGTGTCCCCTTTCGCCTGGTCTCCGAGTCGGAACCTCGGTAACGTTCTCGGCCTTCAATCTGTCGACGATCTCCGGCCCGACCTCCTCAATGGCACGCAACAGCGCCTCAACGGTCTCCCTCGTCGTCTGAACATTAACCACGCAGCGGAAGAACTTTCCATTCCCGACCGCATCCTCGTCCCCACTGGGTGGGGCAAAATCCACCATGAACCCCTTGCGCACGATGGCATGTGTCACCTGCTCCGTAACCTTGCTGTTGGCCTTTCCGCGTTCGGTTTCGTTGGAGACTATGCCCCGCGGGTGAACAAATTGGCGGTTTGGCGCGTAGTAGAAGCAGACTTGCAGGCACGGGGGTGGGTTCTCGCTCACGAGGATGAAGTTCGGGTTCTGGGAGACTAGGGTGGCTAGGTGGGCGGCGGTGGAGCAGGCGGCGTCGATCTGGTGCTCGTAGCCGGCTGTACCGTAGTAGGTCCAGCCTAGGAAGAGCTTGAGAGAGTCGGCGCGGCGGCCGCATTGGAGGGTGAGATCGGCGAGGTCCCAGACCTCTGGAGAGTCGACCTCCAGCTCGGTCTCGCCGTTGAGGGCGTCGGGGTCGGTGTCTGCGTTGTGGAAGAGGTAGCCGGCGGGAAGGGTGTTGGCCAGGTGGAATCGACGCATGTCAGCTGCGAGGAGGAACGAACAGGTTACAGGGACGCCGAGCATCTTGTGCGGGTTGATGGCGATGCTGTCGGCCTTCTCGGCGCCGGATAGCTTGGATCGCTGCTGAGCGGAGAATATGAATGAGCCGCCCCAGGAGCCGTCGACATGGAACCAGAGGTTGTATTTCTTGCAGATGGCGGCAAGTTCGTGGAAGGGGTCGAAGGAGCCCATAACCGTTGTGCCGGCTGTGGCGTTGACGTAGAAGGGGGTTCGGTCCTCGGCGAGGGCCTTCTGGACGAGGGTCTCCAGCTCGGAAGCAATCATGCGGCCTTGTTTGTCGACGGGGACAGCCCAAACGGAGGAGCTGCCGAGGCCAAGCATCTGGGCGGCCTTCTCGATGCTGTAGTGGCCGTGGGCGCTTGTGAAGAGGACGAAGCGGTAGTTACCATTGCCGTCTTTCTTGGTGCTGGGGTAGAGATTGTTGCGCGCGATGACGATGGAGGTGGTGTTGGAGGCAGAGCCACCTTGGACGGAGATGCCCCCGGCTCGGGAGCCATTGAGGCCAAAGAGAGAGGCAAGTTGCTGCCCGGTGTGCTTCTCGATAATAGTCAGGGCAGGGGAGACCTGGTAGACGTGGACGTTGGTGTTGAGGGCCGCCAGGATAAGCTCGGACGCCACGCCGGGGGCATTAGTTGATGCATAAAGCTTGTCAAGGAAGCCCTGGTGCCATGTGTTGACCGAGTACTGCAGAACCTTCCGCAACACCTCGACCAGGCCGTCCTGGCCGGTGCCTTGCTCTGGAAGCGCTAGCTGGAGGAGCTTCTGCAGCTCTTCCGGTTTCTTGTGATTGACGAGCGACGTGCCTGGTGACTGATGGTCTCCATTGGTACCGTTTTGCAGCGATTTTTGACCGAGAGGGACCTCGTCGGCGCTTCGGATGAACGGAATCAGAAGATCTTCGACGGCGCTCAGAAGCTGGTACGAAGCCAATGCTGTCAGTATATGTGCTGGGTCGGAAGGCGAATAAGCTCAAGCCGCATTGGCACGGAGTATGGTCTCCAGTATGTGCGCCAGCTCAGATGAAGCAGGAAAAAACAAGACTCACATTTTGTACTTCATCTGCGCGACTGGACGGCGGGGAAGCAGCCATGGATGTGGGGGAAGGAAAGAGACAACGAGAGAGGGATGCGTAAGATCTTAGGGGCTCTCGAAGAAATAAACTGGAGCTGAGCACCGAGAACCGACAGCGACTTCAGAAGGATTGGGAGCTTCATAGAATTTCCACTCATGATTCCTCGAAAGCCATTGTGGCCGTCGACGTGAGAGCGGAACCGTTGGGGGAGGGATCCACTGGGATGATGACATTTTCCGGGTAATCGACATCATGGGTCCCCGAGGCCCCAAGACCAATGGCGAGAGGGTGAATCAGTCGCATGTTGGTGTGTCCGACTGATCTCCTGGCGGGGAAGTCGAGCTGGGATTGATCGGATTGAGGCGATGGCGATTTATCGGTCGGTACTAGTCATCAAGTCCCCCGCATCGGCCGAGGGTCCGGCAGAGAAACGAATGAAAGGAAATATAAGATGCGAATAATATTACAACCCTGGATTGCGACTTTTCTACCCCAAACCCACCGCTGACACGCCCAGAAAATATGGCTAATATACATAGTGTTCATCATACATAGAAGGAAAAGGGGAAAGCATTATACAGCAGAGTAGATGGCAGAGATATGTCGCCCGCACTCGACGCGCTGTTCCATGCTCACTGTGCGACGGTCGACCTTGCCCTTATGCCGGGGCATGATCTGAAGTCGCGCTTCCTGCTGATCATCGGCCCTGTTGCCCTCTGGGGGTGCGTGGATGTAGTTTGGCTTCGACAGATTACTGCGCTTGCCCGTGCCCAGCTGGAAGTGCTCATTGCCTCCCCACCAGAGCGCATCATAGCCCCAGTCGTTGGTCTCATCCAAGGAGGTGGAGGGAGCAGCATTCACATGCGTCTTGTTATCCATGACCGCCGATACGTGAGTCGTGCCAACCGAGATGTCATGGATACGGATGGGTGAGAGGCTCTTAGATTGCTCATCATATTCAGACAGACCACTGAGTGCCTTCACCTTGGCCGGGGCGTCCTGCACATGAATCCATTTTCCGGTACCGAGAGCGCCCCAGATCCCCCGGCCGCAAGCCCATGTATCGGCTGTGATACGGCCCAGGTCACGGAGGGTGGCAGGATTCTCCGTGGAGCTGAGGATCCGCTGTGCATCCACGGTGAAGAAGCTGTTGGCACCCCCCGCCGCAACGCGAGTGGCTTTGGGCAACCAGGGACCCCGGTAAAGTTTCCGGATAGGCACCAGAGTCGGAGTATCGCAGAATGGCGATGCTGGGTTGAAATCCATGGCTAGTTGTCCAAAGGAGTTGTCGCCAAAAGCAAACACGTTGCCGTCCTTGTCAAGTGCGAGCGAGTGGTAGTCACCCGCAGCAATCTGGACGATCTTAGAGCCCTTAAGCGCCGTGACCTCGTGAAGGGCGTCCACCGGTCCGTTGGGTCGAGTAGCCCAGGTCAAGCCCGGAACACCGAGTTGACCAAAGGAAGGATAGTTCTCAGTAGAAGAAGCAACGGAGAAAACCCGGCCAGAGCTTGTCAAGAGAAGGGCATGGTCCAGCCCGCCGCTGAGAGCCGTTATACGCTCGCCCAACTTCAAACTTGGCTGGAGCAAGCGATAGCTGACACCGGCTGTTCCTGACCGGAAAGGCACCCAAGATCCTTCCTTCAGCTTGCGGCCTGTCAATTGGTCATCTTTGGCAATGGGCAGTGAGTAGACGTTGCCGTCGGATGACAATGCAAGGATACGATCGTTCGACATGCACAGCGAAGTCAGATTCTTGCCGGTGAGAGTCTTTGCAGGTTTAAATTCAGTCTCCGAGTAGCCTTTGCCCCATTGCACAAGGTCGCCGGTCTCAGTAATCGCCGCCCCGGATTGCTCTCCGAGCTTAAGATCCCTAAGCACTTGGCCTTCGAAATAGGCAAATTTCCGGGGAGTCTTCACAACAGACTCTTTCGAGTTCGGGTCAACCACACGATAGGCATTCGTGCCCCAGACATAAACGCCAGGGCTCTTGACGCTCCGTTTATGCTGCACATACTGCAAGCTCAGTTCTTCGGCCGACTTTGAGAGGTCTTTAACCTTCTCTGATGCACTCTCAATCTGACTTCGGTTGGATGTAGCATAGTCGTAAATCAGAAAGGCAGCAGTACCTGCGCCTGCCACGCCCAGCGAGTTCCGGAGCCAATGCGCGCTCGTCGACTGCTCCGATCCCTTGTTACTGCTGGCATAAGTTCTCCGCCACGGCGTGGCGATAGATCGGTTGCTTCTAGCAAGGTGACGTGAAGAGGTGGTGACGGCGGTCGTCACCGATTGCCGCCCCCGATGTGTCCACATTATGTTGGAAATACTCAACAAAGTTTCATTCCGTGTCCTTCAATGACTCGGCAATTCTTTGCTTATTCCCGGCACTGATCTGGTTCGATCCATGAGAAAGAGGCAAAAGATCAGCTGGAATGTTGCGTCAAGTCGCGGGAGCGGAAGACGGCGGCAGAATAGCGCATTGAAGACACGGCGGAGGCATTGCCTCACCTCTCTCTTCTGCGCGTTGCGTCTGGGGCTTGATTGGGATTGTTTGCCTTGTTGTTGAGAGGCCCAGGTATAGGGGCAGTCGCTCGAGTATTATTGCCATTGGTCATTCCCTCATCATGCGCCAACAAGCTGCGGGACAGCGAAGTCGACGCCAGACTGCCCCGTCGGGCCGGGCTCTGGAACTGAAGGTCAGGGAGGCCACCGAGCTCGAGACGATTCCAGATAGCTTAGACTCGATTACCGATATCCATAATGAGCTGGAATTTTCGCAGTGGTATAGCGAAGTAGAGGAGAGCCTGCTGGAAGCCAGCTATGATGAGTACCAGTAAGCAGCGACATCTGCGATCAACCCCCAAGAAGCCCCTGGCCGATGCTGACATCCATTGCTATTAGAGCTTGCCTCCAGGAGCTACAAATGTCTAAATCTCATCTGGATTCGCTATTGTCCGATACCTCGTCGACGCTCAACCTTCTGACCAGCCTATCGAACGACTTCCGAGCCGTGGAATTGCAGACATCCAATTTCCAGAAACAATGCGAGGGGCTCCTCTCGGCACAGAAGCATGATTCGGATTTGGCAGCGGATATCCAGGAAAACCTTCAATACTATGACTTCCTGGATCCTGCATCGAGAAGACTCAATGCTCCGGGTGCTGGGAACACGGTTCGTGGGAAGGACTTCTCGGATATGCTGAGACGGCTTGATGAATGCTTGGACTATATGGAGACGCATGTGCGTACGATTCGTATCTCTATCGCGCTCTAGCTAATTGTCTGGTTCCGCAGCCCGATCAGAAGGAGGCCGGTGTATACCGCTCCCGGTACCGATTGCTTATGACGCGCGCCCTCACTCTTATTCGAACACACTTTGTTTCCTCCCTCCGAGATGTATACGCCGACGCCTCGAAGAAAATCGCAGACAAGCAACTCAACGACACCACTATGTCTACCTTGCTCTACGCCAAGTTTAGAGTTGGTGCGCCGGAACTGAAACAGATTGGGCTTGAGATCCAGAAGAGAGCGGTTCCTCCATTGGACCTAGATCAGGGCATAGAGGCTGAATACCAAAGCTTACTCAACGAGCTTCATGCCAACTACGCAGCCACGCGTGGCAAACTGATCATCCCGTTAGTCCGCAAAAATCTCTACGACATCGCGCAATCTCCAACATCGTCACAAGATCTCGTGTCTTTTGCCCGTGCGAGTATCAGCTACATTCGCGGCGTATGCCTAGACGAGTTCGAACTATGGCGCGAATGGTTCCATGGTCAGGGTGGACTGTACGACTTCCTGGAAACAATCTGTGAGCCTCTCTACGATTACCTCAGACCTCGAATTATCCACGAGGACAAGATTGTTAAACTGTGCCAACTCTGCACCCTGCTGCAAACCCGATACCTGCTCGACCAGGATGAAGAGATCGAGCAAATAGACGCCAACCAACTCGATTTTCCTGCATTGATCCAGCCCGCACTCGAAGACGTCCAAACCCGCCTTGTCTTCCGCGCGCAGGCTTATCTCCGCGATGAGATCGAGCGCTATAAGCCTCGCCCCGAAGACCTGGACTATCCTGCGCGGAACAAGCAACTCTCAATATCCGTCACAGAGGGCCAGATCAGCGGCCGCAAAGTCGCATCCGCAGATGCCCTGGTGAACCTTCCTAAACCAACGAAGCAAACCGAGGATGGCGATACTTCCTTGGAGCAAGACTCTAAATGGGACCTCGAGTCGCCGAACGCGCTGAGCGGATGGTATCTAACCCTCCGCAAAGCCATCTGGCTCCTCAGCCGAATCTACCGCCTCGTAAACGTATAAACCCACCGTCCATTCCCATCTCCATCCATAAACAAGCCCCCACTAACCACCATCCCAGTCAACCGTCTTCGACGACCTCGCCCACCAAATCGTCCACCAAACCAACACCTCCCTTCACTACGCCAGCACCCTTCTAACCAACAAATCCACACCCACCGACGCCCAACTCTTCCTCATGAGCCACCTCTTAATCCTCAAACAACAAATCGTCGCCTTCGACATCGAATACGTCGCCCCCGAAGTAACCTTCGACTTCTCCGGTGTCACCAACACCTTCTGGGAACTCCGCGAACGAGGCGGTCTCTTCAACCCGCGCAACCTCATACGCCTCGTCGGCCACGGCCTCCTCCCGCGCGTCGTGGAGAACATGCTCGACGCCAAAGTGGAACTAGATGGGCGCCTTCGCACCGTAATCAACGACTTCATCAACGGGTTCGCCTCCAAAATGACCGCCTCCCTTCCAGCCAAGTTCGTCGACGCCCGGAACCTCCAGCGCGGGGAACTCATCTACCCGACGTGTCAAAACATCGAGAAGGAGGTCCCGAACTTACGCAAAGTGTTGTCGGAGTATCTGGATGATGGACGGATGAAGGAGACGCTGGTAGGCGCGGTCCAGGATCGAGTTATTCAGATCTATGAGGATTTCTTTGAGAAATATACCTCTTCTGAGCGGAGGAAGGGAAACCCCGTGAGTACGAAGGGGAAGGGGAGGGAGGATACGGTGTGGGATGTGGATACGTTTGCGGAGTGGTGTGAGGGGATCTTTCGCGTTGGGTTCCTTGGGTCGGGGCAGGGGTTGGATGGTGATGGCGATGACAATGATGATGCGACGAGTAGGAGTTTGAGTCGGGGTGGAAGTCCTGGGTCTTAGACCGGGACTATCCTTTCTTCTCTCTCTCTCTCTCTCTCTTTTTTTTTTTCTAACAGTAGATATATTTTACGTTTGACTTCCAATGTATATACAAAGTATCGAAGAGGAGAGAGACTTCTTAAAGTCTCGGAGAAGCGAGATATAGAGAGCAATTAGGAATATCCAGGATTGTCATATTCAAGTAAGGTCACCAGCCAATCATCGTCAAATAAACTATGCACACCGAACGAAACGCTGCTGAGTTGGGTATGATGCAGGGAGGAAACAAAATGCATAGCCGAAACACTGGAATAGAGACGCTTGCGAATATATTACTGAACATTGTGCTGGGCTTAGAGGACGTGGCGAATCTTGGCATAAAGCTCGGTATCCAAGAAATTGTACTTCGGATCGGGTTCACAGAAGGGATGGGTTAGGAGAGTCTCGGCGGTTGGGCGGTCACGCGAATCCCTGAAGAGTATGTCAGTCTGGGGGAATAAACTGGAAGAGAGCAATCTTAGGGTTACATACACTGTAAAGCAGTCGTACATAAAGGCGAGCGCTGCTGGAGTGATATTCATGGAAACATCATCGGGGATTGGAGGCGCCTGACTCAGACTACCGAGTTTGAAGATAGCTCCAATGGCCTCTTCCTTGCTCCATGGCCGACGGCCAGCAAACATCTCCAATACCACGCAGCCAAGAGACCAGATATCAACCTTGGCGCTGTAGCCTTGTCCTTGGGATTGGATGACCTCGGGCGCCATCCAAAACACCGATCCTTGCATGGAGTTGGTGGAATCGTTTCCGTAGATGTTGTCCGTCTTCTTTGAAATTCCAAAGTCGGAGATCTTACACGTCCCGTCGAGATCCAAAAGAATGTTGTCGGCCTTAAGATCGCGATGAAGGATGCCCTGGTTATGGAGATACGCCAGTCCACTCAGGGTCTGGTGCGTGAGAGATTGCACAACGCTTTCCTCAAACTTGCCATGCTTGCGAAGACAGCTACCGACGGAACCACCAGAAATATATTCGAGGTAGATTGAGATGGAGAATTCGCCACGTTCGCAACCCAAATACTGCACGATGTTAGGATGCTCAAGATGTTGCATCGTATCGATTTCTTGATCCATAGCGGCGACCATCTCCTTGATGCGGTCCTTATCGGTTCCCGCAATCCGTGCATTGACCTCCACTTGCTTCACCGCCAGAACTTCACCATTATCAGCGTTCATGCCTAGGTATACCCGGCCATAAGTTCCTTTGCCGATAAGCTGACCACGGATGATACGGAAAGTGGGCTGTCTCTGGGGCAAGTTTCCGGGCGGCGCATGATTCTGAGGGATCGGGTCAAGCTGGCTAAGTCGGCTGCCACGCTTCGGACTGATCTGCATAATCTTGGCGCCGAACATCTTGGTGCTCTTGCGACGCAAAATATCACCCGATCTCTGGTTGCCAGTAGACGATGTTACGCTTCGATTCCGACTGGCTTGGTTGGCCCCCTTCGCCACCTCTCGAATAGACTTCATCCGGGTGAGTCCGCCCCCAGAGCGGCTGACATTCCGGCGAGCAACGACACCTGGATCCTGGGGCTTTATGGGTGGCTCGCTAGCGCTGGAAGCATTGTCACCCGAGGCAGGTGGATGTTGTGGGGTGGTATATGGTAAGCCATCTGGCTTTTCCTTGTGGCCTTTGTCGTTCTCGGCCGCAACCTTGGAAGCTGGTGATGATGGAGGCGACATGCCCTGTCCGTCTAGGTAAGGTGTATCAAGATCGATATCCGGGAAGAAGTCGTCAAGGTGGTCAATGACGCCCTCAACTGGAGGTCTGCTTGCCCAGAGATCGCCTTGGGCAAATGAATCCCTGCGAGGTGGTCTCTCTTCCTCCGGCGAGGCACTCAGGTCAGAAAAGGATGCGTTCCTGTTACTCGACTCCCCGCTAGAGCTGGCAAACGTTTCGCGGGAAGCACTGGGGGATCTGAAGCTAACGGATAGTCCCTTCCGTAGCCTATTTTCGGTATTCAACGTGAGGGACGGTTTCCCGGCTCGCCTTTGGGATTCCGGCGAAATGGCCACGGGCGCATTTTCTTTGACTGGAGTCTTGGTATTTGCTAGGGGAATAGCAAAAAGACCATCATCGGAGTCGTCATCAGACTCCTCCTGTGGCACCGGTGAACCTTGGAAGGAGACCTTGGTCTCTTCGAAGTCGAACTCGGGTCCAAAGGACTTGCGAGACTGTATAGCGGGTCTCGGCTCTACGGGGGTTGTAGACGAAGGTTGTGCAGGAGACTGACTGGAGTGAACCGTCGGTGTAGTTTGGTTGTCTTGCTCCGTAGATGATTGGGACGGTCCCTTCAGCTCCTGACTGCTCGTAGCTGTCGGGGTCGGCACTGATGGCGACGGGGTTCCAATGGCGCTGGTCATCCTACCAACGCTAGCCAACACTGCCCCGAGACCATGACTTTGGGTTGTGGTTTGAATGCGGGGACGCTCGGCGTCTTTCTTTCTTAGCGAGTTCACTTTGGTGAGCGTGCTTGATTCGTGAGGTGCCGTGGGGGGTTTGCGAAGTGGCACAAGCGTTTCTGACTTCTTGTCTTCGTAAGGAGAAGTACGGGGCACGTCAAAATCAATGACGCCTTCACGCCGGTAGCCAGTTTCGCCATATGCGTCCTTTCTTGGCTGTGGCATAGGGGGGACCTTTGAGATGCGGTAGGCCCTCTGCTTCCGCTCTACCTCACGCAGATGTTCCTCGTGTCGGGCCAGCAAGTCTGCTTTCTCCGCGTCAGTAGGTAGTCCTACTTCTGCCCCACCGTCAATCGGAGACGCGGTGATTGATGGCTGTGGAGTTAGCTTAGCAGCGGGAGCCTTGAGTTGTTGTCGCGAAGAAATCTGAGGAGACGTGGGCTTGGCTGGATTGTGAGGTGAGATTCTATTGAGTGCTTCATCATCCAGCGGCTTTCTGTGAAGGTGATGAGCAGATGTTGGCGAGGAAGTGCTTTTGTCTGGAATCGAAACCCCCAGACCAGTGAAGAGGGTAGAGCTGTTTGCACCTAGTTGCATGTGCGAACCCCGGACGAAAAGCTTCAATGAACCAGTTGTGTCTGATTTTGTTCTTCGACATAAAGCCAAGCTGGTGTCACTCAAAGGCTCATCGTGTTCGGTCTGACCGGGCTCTGTCAGGAAAATTTGCGCGCCAGTCCAATCGGCGATCCCCAGGCTTTGGCATATGGCAGATCGCAATGTCTCCACGGAGTCCATCTCCGTTATGTCAACCAAGCGATAGTTCCATCCGTCCAGCGTCACAAAGGTCCACTTCTTGCTCTTTTGCATTGGCTTGCCTCGCAATGCCAGTCGTTCGTGGTCCGACATAGACGAAGACGATGGACGCTCACCCAATGACATATCACTGGCACTGAAATTCGGTTTAGAATAAGGTAAATGAGAGCCATTCTGTCGCATGTTCACCGGGCTGGTGGGAGATTCCAGAAACTGCTCCTCCGGCGACGGGTGATTGGAATCGCCTGCCTTGGATCGTTTTTTGAAAAACCCCAGAAGACCATTGCGGTGATCCTTTGGGTATGAGGACGGGGTTTCTCCGCCGGAATGGCGGTTATATGATTCCTGCGGCGAAGGACGAACCCCGTTGTCTTGCCTAATCGACTCATAGTAACGCCGCCCCGTTGTTGAATCAGAACTGTTCCCGCGCGAGTGTTCGGATTTGACACCCAGATCCCCCATGGATGACGAAGGCCCGGCCTGTGCGAGGGTCGCATGTTGCATAGCTGGGCTCCCGCTCTTAGGACTGTCTTCGTACGATCGGATAGGAATTTGAAAGGTCCCGCCATCGCTGGAAATCGAAGGGCTTTGCCTGTGATGATCGCCAATACTAGACAACACGGCTCGCGAATAATCGGATCGGGGCCACATCGTATTAGCATCGCTTGTAGCAAGCTCGGAAGACGAATAATCATGAGTTGTGGGTATGGGTGTTGTGAAGGAGCGCATCTGCACGCTCTGTCTTTGGCTATAAGCAGGCTGGGGGGCCTTGAGATTAGGGCTGCTTGCAACATTTCCTGAGCCGGGGCCAGCGGACCGGGGCTCATAAGTTGGCTTCGGTGAAGCCTCAGATCCAGCATCGGGGGCACTGTTAGGGTGAGAATCGCGTCGCTTCTGGATGGAGATCTCAGCATCGTAGCTCCCGTCATCATGAATCTGCTTGATCAACCGGCGCATGCGTTTTCCCTCTTCTCGCTCACGGGTCTGATCCCACCCCGTACCACTTGCCTCGCATTCTTTAGCAAGCTGGGGATAGACAACATTGTGCATCTTGCCCAGATTTGGTCGGCCATTCGACCCATGTCCCAGCTCGAGAAAATCTGCCCCCTCAATTTCCAGGGCTCTGAACGTCTCTTGCCAGTCTTTGGAGAACCCATTGTTCCCAAGCCACAGCAGTACACGATCGAGGGGCCACTGAACGGCGGCTTCGCTCGGTAACATGCCACCAATGTTGTTATGACGATGACTGGCTGACTTTGTGAGTTCAGCGGGTGGCGCTGACATCTGTTGGACCGGATTTTGCACGGTCGCGGCGGAAAACCCCGTCGAGGCTATGTCATGAGCACCATCATTGACGGCTAACGAGGAAGGGAGATTGCGAGTTGAAGGTGTGGGGGGATGGTTGGAGTCTCGCTTATATGTAGAGGAGTCCGTGCCGGCATATTCGTAGGCTTGAGTGGAAGGTATCCGCTGTCTATCGCTGGACTGCATTGTTCCCAGGCTTTCGTACGTGGGGGTGGAGTGTACATCGAATGGTGGTATCCCCACACCCGGTCCAAAGGTGCCAGCTTGAGGCACATAAGTCGCAGATGTGCGCGTTTCAGCCGAAGGGATCGATAGAGCTGCCGGACGCCCATACGGAGATTGGTTCGTAGGTACCATTGGGGGAGGCGGAGGAGGTGGAAGATATCCTTGAGACAGCGCTTGTCTTGCCCAGCTCTGTTGCTGCCACCCAAGTGTATTCTGGTGTTGCAGTTGGGGATTGGTGAGTTTGGAAGTTCCATACGCCGTGCCTGGAGGCGGTCCAGGGGGAGGGGGAAGCATCACACCCTGGGATTGAGTGGGAGGGTAACGCGGCGGCGGCGGTGGTAAGGGGATTATGTGCGATTGAGAGGATTGTGTCGCCGAGGAAGGCGGGGGGACTGGTATGTACTGCTGCGGCCGTTGTCCGTCCATAGTGGCGATGTCTGCGACGTCTCCAATGGAATGATGCAAGGAGGTATGTATGAGCTTAAAAAGCAGACAGGAGTTCTGGAAGCCCAATAAGATTCTTGCCTCATATACCTCACTGGGTTGCGCTATCAAACACGTCCCTAAAGTGGGGAAAGATACACCATGGAAGCTTAGAACTCAGGGAAATTCCGCATTGTCCGCGCTGGGAACCCGGCTTTAAGTGATGAACGCCTCTCGTTCCGGCCGTACGGCGACGAGGAGAATCGGGGCGGCGGCCAAGGGAAAGAAGGATAAGGAGCAATCGGCGATTCGCAATGCACGTCAATCGGGCACAGATAGCCTCCAGATCGGGGCGGACGACAGTACGTAAGCAGGAGCGGAGGGAGCAGAGGGCGGCCATCAGCTTTCCACCTGATCGGGGAATGGACGGGAGGCTGGAGAGATCACACGCAGTCGAGCTGCAGGCGCGGGCTGGGGCGAAGAAGCGAGTTGGGCGTTCTTCGGAGGGGAGGAGAATCTTTAAGATAGCTGGGCCTCTTCGGTCAGCTAAATCTCCTGGCAGATTGCGGCACTCAACCCCTGATAGTAGGCGTCGCTAAAACGAAGGGGGAGGGGGGAAATGATGCCGCGGAAGGCTCGACGGGAAGCTAAGACATACCATTAACAAAATTGCGGTGGATTAGACCACGCAGGAGATTAATCGCAGGCGGTGGTAAATTAGCAGCCCACCGCATAGATTAATTATCGTTATTCTCGATTCGGTTCTCATCAACGAAGGACAGCGGCCTGCTCGCAAGTCGCCAGAATCATGGGGTAGCCTGTCGCCGGTGTCGAGGCCCGCCCAGGGAAATCCTGAGGAGCTTTGATGCGCTGGCCGCCTTAGCGCCTGGCCATCCCGTCGATCACGTGGTGCGCCGATAAGCAGCCGAAGTCTGTCGGTCCCTTTTTTTCTTCTGTTCTCGGCTCTTCCGCCCTCTGCTCCGGTTCTCATAGGCTTCTGGTGCCCGGCGGGTGGGGTTGGGAAATGGGAACCCGTTACTAGTCGTCTACCAAACATCCCACGGTGGCACTGACAGTCAACCACCCCCATCCCCCTTCGTATCCTTCACCGGATCGGATTTGCCACAGTCTGAAGCCCTCAGCCCTATCCAGATCACCCCTTTTCTTTTTCATTCTTCCTTTCTTTCTCTCTCTCTCTTTTTCTTTGTTCGATCCTAGATACGTACAAAAACAGCTATGTCGTAAACGCAGCTGCCAATCAGCTCTCGTTCCAAATGTCTCAAAGTGACAAGTGTGGTGTTAGCGCCACTACAGTTCCCCTTGGCATTCGGAGGGATGATAAGCACTAGGCTCTAGACAGATAACCCTACAACGCCCATCCAGGCTCGGAGCAACTACCGGGGCACGTGAGAATGAACAAAATTATTATTTGAGATCATTACAATTCGTGTTCTGCATCCAGACTACTTTGCCAGAGTGGGGTCTGTTCCTCTCCAGGAGTTACAGGTAAAGTGAAATGGGAAAGATGACAAGCAGAGAGGGGAAATCGCCGCCTCTCCGGACCAACCCCCATTATCTACTTGTTTCTGGTGGCCGCCGCCTCAGCCGTGATCTTCAACGCGGCCGGAGCATCATCACGAGGCATGTGAAGCTCCACCAACTGTATCGTCCAGGTTAGCACTTCTGGACACCGTTGGAAGGTCAGGGCAATGAACATACCTGCAAGAATGGCGCCGAGGCGAACTCTTCGTTCGCAAAAAGTTGCCTCAGCTCGTCCCGTGTGGTCACCTTGTATCCCTTGTATTTGTCTTTGGCTCCGAAGACAGTAGGGAGACCTTTGATGTCCCACGGCTGAATGTCGTTATAGCCTTCGTCCCATCCATGGATGTATCGCTCAATGGTGTATCCGTTATTGCAGATCACGAAGCTTGGTTTCGTCAGTGCCGTCACATGGTAATAACTGCTGATTGCACTTACATAATGGGGTTGAGATTGTTTCTGATCATGGTGCTCAACTCCTGCACCGTAAGTTGGAGGCTTCCGTCACCGACGAAGAGAACAGTCCGACGGTTGCCCAGTTCCTTCGCAGCCAATGCAGCACCCTGACAAGCCCCAACCGAATAGCCAATGCTACCCCAAAGGACCTGACTGATGGCTGTGACATTCGCCGGGAACCGAGTCTCCCAAATGCCAAAGTTCGCAGTGCCGGTTTCGGTGATGACAATGTCATTTTCCTTCAGCCACTGTCCAACGTTGGGCCAAAGCCAGTCATGCGTAATCTCTTGGTTGCCCGAAGACTGCTCGACCTCGGGAACCGCGTTTGAGAGATGGGGAACGGGCGCGGCGTTGACGGCACCCATCTTCTGAATGACCTTGCGCAGGACTCCTTTCATGTTGATCTCCGGATATTCGGAATATCGCACGCGCACGAAGGTGCTATGGAAATCGATTGTGTTAAGCTGCCCAATATGGTAGGAGAATCCACTCGTGTTGAAATCCGACTTGATGGCACCGATGCTCAGGATAAGGTCGGAAGACTCGACTTGCTCGCGGACGCCCGCATTAGATCCCGTTCCGGCATACACTCCTCCGTAGTTTGGGCGAGTCTCATCCACCGCTCCCTTGCCCATTGGGGCGACGAAAGTAGGCAAACCGGACGTTTCCATCAAGTCATGAACCTCATCAAGAACCCGATGGCGGATAGCACAAGCATCCACCAGAATCACCGGTTTCTTTGCCGCATGCAAGTACTTCAAGACAACATCCACCACATAATCTTCCTTCTCAGGGTCATTCGGGGGCAAGGATAGATCCAGCGGTGTATCGAGTCGGTCACCCTCAATCTGCTTCGTAATCATGTCCGTGGGGAGACTGATATAGACAGGCCGACTGCGGGTCCAACATTCGCGGATGGCGTTGTCAATAAGTGTTGCCGCCTCCAGTGTCTCATTCAGGCGCCCAAGGGTACAAGAGATGCCTGCACTCATCTTCGCAAAAACATCGAAATCCCCATTTCCCAGTGTGTGGTGGAGCAGCATGCCGTCCTTCTGAGATTTGGTGTTGGGTTGACCGACGATGTGAACAATTGGCACAAACTCGGAGTATGAACCAGCGATGGCATTGAGCGCCGAAAGCTCACCTACACCAAAGGTAGTGATCAGAGCACCGATTCCATTAACTCGCGCATATCCGTCGGCAGCATAGCCTGCAGTTTGACCACGTTAGTCATTCAAGGTGGTCTTGACCCTGGTGTGTAACAACGGTGGAGTCGATTCAAGCATACCAGCATTGAGTTCATTGCAGTTTCCCACCCAACGAAGACCACACTTGGGTAAATAGTCCAAGGCTGCAAGGTTGTAGTCACCTGGAATAATCCATGATTGTTAGCAAGATCACCCATACACCAGCCCACGGGGGAGGTCTCACCCGGAACGCCGTGCACGGAACGAACGCCGACCTCGTATAGACGACGGAAGAGGTACTCAGGCACCGAGATGGGCTTCCGAAGCTCACGCGTAGCGATATCGGTAGTCGCCATCATGAAGCAGTAGGCGAAGATAGTAGATCAAGGTAGATTTGAGAATAAAGAGATGGACGAAGGAAATACTGATACGAGATGGAGGAATGAGTGTTTACATGGATTGAAGAGGGGGCGAGTATAAATAGGTGTCATAAACGCGACAACGGGGAGTCTGGAACCCAGCGTGGCCGTACGTCATGAGGAGGACAGGGCGTGATGTCATGCTGTCGAGACGGAGACGGAGACAAAGCCAGTGTCACCACCCAACTGCCACGCCATTCTCCGGTGAATGCTTGCGGGATTATAGGGATCCATTCTATGGAGTGAGAACTAGCCAGGGAATGGATGTTTTGCGTGAATTCGAGGAGATCTCCGGCCACGACGGCATGGATGGGGTGGTTCGATCGATATTCCAGGCCGAACAAACCATGTTCGGATCCCTGGCAGCGGCGCAGCGGAAGTGATAAGAGTAGCGAAAACTAAGGCAAGATCGCAGCTAAACCAGTCCGGCCGAGAGGGCCGTCACTCCACCGAGTGGGATGATGATCGCCTGCCTTCCCGCTAGTCCTCATGTGGAATTTTAAACCCCCCGCCGCCATACCATTCCTTATCTTTTCGTCCCCCTTCGTGTCACCGGTAGTGCATCTAGATCTTCTAGGACCGGCTTAACATCACCACTAAGCTTCGATTCCTCCGAGTCAACTCCGACAACCAAGCAACGTGTACCCCTTGTGTGGCCAATACCCTCCCAGTGCTCCCACACACTGAAACATCATACTGCCCATCCCCATCCACCAGCGCACTGACGCCTGCCGATGGCTGGATCAGGGAAGAGAGCCATGCCCAGTAATAAGCCAGTTCAGTGTGCTAAGAAGAGAAAGGTTCGTCTTCTTCAGATATCTGTGGCATGCTTGCCACAAACATCATGTGGTTGGTGTCTGATATGTGGCACAGGGAGGTGCCCAATGGCAGAAAACCCAAGGCAACAAAGCAGGCATTGAGGGTGGTGATTGGGGAGTTTTTGTGACATGCGATTTGGGCAAGGAAAGCAAATGTATGGCAGAGGTGGTGGATCTTTTCTCCCAGGTTAGTGGCATGAACGGTAGGCTTCGGGCATGGAAGCAGCCCATTTCATCTGTTCATTTATCTGACTTGCGCTACTGCTCAGAGTGTGGAATCAACCAGCAGCGATGATCATGAAGACAAGTCCGACTCGGATGACGATGACATCGAGGCTCAAATCAGAAAGGAGGTCGAAGGACTAAAGCCCAGCGCGAGCAAGTCCCGTCCGTTCCATGCTATCAGGATGGACCTGCCATGTTGTGCGTGAACGCTTTCGCTCTCCTTCACGCCTGCCTGAAGATGAGAGACACTAATACGCTTCAGTGTCATTTGTACGATTCGACAAATCCATTGATCCCGAGAAAATGGTTCACCAGCTTTGCACTGAAGCCTCTGCCAACCCTGAAAAGAAGCGATCCAGATGGATCCAACGCATGACTCCTGCAATTTCTGTTCGCAAAACTCTCAGTGTCGACCTGGAGGCCTTTGCGCGGGAAATCCTCAAGCCTCATTTCCATTCTGGGGGACCCCCTAAGAAGGTGCGTTCCAACTCTGGAAGTAAGATTTAGGCGGCCATGGACGCCTGCTGATGGAAACCTTCCAGTACGCCATTCGACCTGTGGTGAGAAGCAACAAGAAGTTCAACCGCGACGTCGTCATTAAAACCGTTGCGGATGTCGTGGGACCCGAGCATCCTGTTGATCTTACGAACTACGACTTAATCATCCTTGTCACAGTTATCCAGGTCAGTTTCTACGAACGTACCTTCTTGTCCGTCTACACAGCCTATGACTTACAACCAACTTGCAGAACGTAATTGGCATGAGCGTTGCCGGGAGCGACTACGATCGGCTAAAGAGGTATAATTTGGCCGAGTTGTACGATCCAGCACCAGCATCTGAGCCCGCCGAAACCCAGGCCTGAGCCCACTAGGTAAAGTTTGGGATATATTCACTTCTTGAATTTCTTCTCTTGGATCATGAATAATCTCTGGCTGCACCTCGCAGCCGATGATAGCAAAAAGTAAGAAAAGTGTATATACAGAGTTCGTGGTGTCCTTACCATCCATCGACCTTCCCATAGAATCATCCGGCAACGCGCCACATAATCTCGATAGCATATCCATGGTGTGCAGGAAACCCCTTCGGCCCGGTGTGCTGTAATCAAGGTATAGGAGGTTCAAGCGGGGGAGAGCTTGGTTCCCCCGTCTCCCCGCCGCAGGGACGGTCCGCCTGGTAGATAGCCTGATTCAAGAAGGGGAAGAACAGGGTCGTCCAAAGTTTCCCAGACACCACAATGGCACAACTGTTTTGAACTCCTGAGGAGCACCCCGGCACGTACTGTGTATTACTGTATAGTACCCAGCAGTTCCCCCACTGCAACATCGGCAATCGGTCAGTCCAGGCGGGGCCGAGGCCCTTCGGTAAAGCCGCTCGCTGATTGGTCGGCGGCGTGGTCCCTGCATCGCGCCTTCCTCAGAGCGGGAGACTTAGGCGAGTCCGCGTTTCCATGGAACATCATCCATACAACTACTAGCAGTAGTGGTAGGTAGCCACCTCCCCGGCTGTGACCATTATGGTCATTCAATCTGCTCGGAGATCTGCCGGGTGCTTCTTCTCCAATTCAGATAGTGGAAATCGCGGACGGATGTCCTCTTCGGTCAAGGGGTTCAAGATGGAATTCCCGCTTCGCTTAATGTTCTCAAAAACGGGATATGCTCCATCTCCTCGTCACGACATCATTTATCATCTGACTCGCAAACCAAGATGGATTAACCGCGGTCCCTGTTCCTACCATGCCAGTGTCTGGGTTGGGCAGTTCAATTGCCTTACTTGTTCGACTGCAGGAACTTGCATCTCACTTATGTTCCATGTCCGGCTTCTATTGTATCCCGGGGTTTCCTGAGCCCCTCCCAAGGCTACAGGAATGTTTGCTCACCGTTTATATTGCTTACTATCCCTCGGCCTTATGATTATATCTAGTGAGTACGCAAGTACTGGTGCTTCAGATATGAACAACTGCTCATAATGTCGCCTTCTCTATCCCCTCTCTTGATTTCTGACACTGAACTTTTCAACCCACTTGGCTCGATCCTTCAACGCCACTTTCCACCTTCGGTGCAGATCAGGGGAGTTTACCCCCTACCGGGTCATCTGCACTCAATTAATCGCCTCGTACTATCGAATGGGGTCCAACTGCTCTTGAAATGCTCCCCGGGGTCGACAACCCCCCTCTTAAGGCGAGAACAGCTCTTGCTTGAGACCGAAGCTCGGGCTCTTTCCATCCTGGAGCGAAACGGGATTCCGTACATCCCATCATTCGTGCATTATGGTCTCCAAGGAGGTTTGCTCGGATCTGCCTTCTTAGTAAGACACTATGTTACCGGAGCTACATTGCAGGAGATGGAGGCCCAGCTTACTATGCAAGACCGGGACAATGTCAACAGGGCACTTGGCTCATTGGCTCAGCGGATTGGACAGAACATTTCCAGCACTTTCGGGTCTCTCGACCAGGTAGCCTGTGGATCTGGGAAAGAGTCGTGGCGAGAGGCGTTTGTGACGCTCTTGGAAGGTATTCTTCGGGACTCCGAAGACGCCTTTGTCCATCTCCCATATGCCGAGATCAGACACCAAGTCCGCCGGCTGTCACCTGCACTCGAGGAGATTACGTCACCGCAGCTAGTGATTGTTGGGTTAGGCCGACCATCGCAAGTCCTGTTGAATCCGGGGTCCAAGAAGCTAGCGGGGCTCATTGGACTTGAGAACGCACTCTGGGGTGACGTACATATGGCGGAGATATTTGAGGAGCCATCTTTGGCTGTGCTGGAAGGCTATGGCACCCAACTAGCAAAAAGCGAGGCCCAGGTGGCCCGGCAGTTGCTGTGTGTAATCTCCGGATGATATGTCGAGTGGTGGTCTATGTGCTGACTGCCGTTCTTATAGATATGCCTGCTATCGTGCTGTTCATCGAGTTACGATACACTACTACCGAGATCAGGGAATGACAGCCGAGATTGATGCCAGGAGAAGATTAACGTCGGTTTTAGGAGAGATGGTCACCATACACGAGGATCGAACGCTGGGTTGAGAGGCGGACCCTCCAAAAGAAGCGGACATCTATACTTGATGGATGATTAGATGCCCCCAGATGCAGGTCTCGGACTCGAAAAGATTGCCATCCCCAACAGTGCAAAACAGCAGTAGATATATAGTCGAGTAGAAGGCACAAGAGGATAGTGAATGCAATATTTGTCATTCCGGCATGAAACCTGTCTTGGCAGGACATAGCCAGATTGCTGCTGCCTACCTACAATAGTTCTGGTTCCTGGGGACCAACCATACCACTCAAGAGCCCGCCCTGGAAACGAGGAAATGTAGAAACGTGAGAGTGTAGAGCAGGGCAAAATAACCTACAGAATCATGTTTTCAATTTTCCTACAGAAATCACTATTACAGCGGAGAGCGCCCTACATAGTAAGCCCGAGCCAGGCAGGGTCGGTCCCATTATTATTCACCGCGGGCGGGGCAGATCGGCCGCCCTGCAACAACGAATAACGTCAACCTTTGGGTCTCCCGCGGCACTGCGTTTAACCTGAACCTCTCGTGGGGTCGCCGCTCCTCTCTAATATCATTTATTTGTCTATTCGGTATTCCTAGTTACCTTGTTACAACCTCCTGTCTTTTCATCTCTAGTCCTTTCCCGGCACCATCCCTTCTGTCCCGTGTCCGTCAGAATGGCGCATTTTCTGCGGGGAAAGCAGGCCGGCATCCAGAAGGACTTCTCCGAGAACCTGTCGCCACACTTGTTCGCCCTCGATGATGTATGTCTGAGTAGCAACTAATAACGCGCCTTCAGCTGAGGTCATCATACTGATCGAGTATTCGTCTTCCTTCTTCTTCTAGTTCGCTCGATGTGGTATAAATTCTCGGATCAGTGCTATCGCGTACGATCCCGTCCAGTCGCTCCTCGCTGTTGGGACAAGCGACACGCAGTTCGGTCACGGTCAAATCTATGTTTTCGGTCAACGACGGGTGTCGGTGGTCTTTTCGCTGCCTCGCAAGGCGTCCGCCAAGTTCATTCAGTTCTGTGCCGACAAGCTGGTCAGCGTCGACTCCAAAAGCGAAATCAGCATCTTCTCCCTGGCGACCAGACAGACCCTGGTCTCTTACGCTCCTCCAAGTCATGCCAGCGCATTACTGACGGATCCGAGCCTTGATTATGCATTCATTGGTCTACAGAATGGTATGGAGTTATTGGTGTATGAAAAGAGGATTCCTCTTTGCTGACGAGGTCTACAGGAGACATCATTGCCTACGATCTTGACCGCGAGACCTTGACACCGTTTCGAGTGCCCAACCTGTGGGCACAACGCAATCCACGTGCTCGCCTTTGCCCTGTCCTCAGTCTCAGCTTCTCGCCCCGCGATATTGGTAAAATATTGGTTGGATACCCGGAAGGTGCTGTGACCTTTTCGTTCAAACAGAACGTTGCCCAAAAGTATTTCGAATATGAGGTGCCGCCGGGTGCGTTGGGTGGAAATGGTGACGTTCCGTCGCCAGACTTGCGCAAACCTCGACTGACCAGGGCGCTGTGGCACCCAAACGGTATCTTTGTTTTGACGGTGCATGATGATAACAGCTTGGTGTTCTGGGACTCTAAGGACGGTCGCAAAATAATGGCTAGATCGATTCAAACTCCCAACATTGACCAGCCAGGCGTAGCTCCCGAAAGGCCCCCTTCGGCTGGCACGGCCGGACTTAAGGACCCTATCACTCAGATCGCATGGTGTGTCAAGGATAACGGCGATGACAGTGGACTCTTGATCGCTGGTGGCCGACCAAAGGCTGAAGCCAACAAAGGTCTGACTTTCATTGACCTGGGCCCATCACCCAACTATCAGACTTCTTCATGGGCTATCATCTCGAAACATTTTGAAACCCCCAAGCGCAGTGCATTCCTACCTACTCCTCCAGGCGCGGAGGTAGTCGACTTCTGTCTTATTCCGCGCAGCACTCCCTACTATTCCGGTGGCCACGACCCTATTGCATTGATCGCCCTTCTGTCCTCGGGAGAAGTAATTACGATGAGCTTCCCCAGTGGCCATCCGATCACCCCTACCAATATGATCCATCCTCACCTCAATTTTGTGCACCCATTCGTGAACAAGGCGACTCTTACTCCAGTCGATCGCGCTGCCTGGCTGGGCCTGAAGGAAAAGAGGTCGCAGGGTCCCAAATTCTTGCTCGGAGGAGCAGAGGCAAAGAAAGCCCTGAAGCGCTTTGAAGATCGCAACGTCCTGACAACATCTCATGCCGACGGGACTCTTCGTATCTGGGATGTCGGTAATGATGACGAGATCGAGAACGGAGACGTTATCCAGGTGGACTTGGCCCGAGCTGTCGGCCGTGTTGGCAACATTGAGGTGACTGAGATGTCTTTGGGGGGCTCAACTGGGGAGCTTTCAGTTGGTCTTAAGACCGGTGAGCTGGTAGTCTTTCGATGGGGAAGCAACCAGAACTTTGGTCGTGAGGAGCCTCCGGGTGCCAATGAGGGGCCTGGAAGCTTGACCAAGATCACTCACCGGGTCGACCCTGGGCTGAAACAGGGTATCCTTCCGCTGACACTTTTGAACATGCAACAAGGCCCAGTGACTGCCTTGAAGCACAGCCAAGTGGGCTTTGTTGCAGTTGGATTCGAAGGTGGCAGTCTAGCGATCATTGACTTGCGTGGGCCGGCCGTTATCCACACGGCACACTTTGCAGAATTGCTAAAGGTAAACAAGCGAAGCAGTATTTTCAATAAGCGCAGCTCCGAGAGCCCTGCTCCTGAATGGCCCACCGCCATCGAATTTGGTGTGCTAACCCTGGAAGGCGAAGGTAAGAGCAATCACACAAAAAGGCACATGCAGTGGGTAAGACTGACGTCTCGTAGATTTTTCCAGCATCTGCTGCTTTGTAGGTACCAACAGAGGTAACCTGGCAACATTTAAGATCTTGCCGGCAGAGAACGGAAGGTACATGGCCACATTTGTCGGAACAAGCTTGCTAGATGATAAGGTCATCAATATCGTCCCCGTCAACGCAGACGACGGTGGCCTCGCGTTGGCCACGCCAAATGCTGTTGGAGGCCTAAGAAACGGGACCCGAGTGAACGGTGTAGTCATTGCTGTAACCGTTTCCGGCTGCAGGATTTTCAAGCCAGCAACTTCCAAGGGCGCTCATAGGTCCTGGGACGACTATCTGTGCGATTCTGCAGCGGTTGTCAAGACCGAGGCCCGTGGCTACAGTATTGTCGGGCTCTTCGGAGACGGTCACACCCGGGCCTTCTCGATCCCTGGTCTGAAAGAAATCGGGTCAAGTCCGATCAATCAGATTGCTGATATGAGACGCCTTTCGGATGCCACAATCTCCTCTAATGGCACGGTCCTGGTCTGGACGAGTCCTTCTGAAGTAGGGTTGTTCAGCGTCTGGGGGGCTGGACACGGACTGTACGTAACACATGTCAAATTGATGTTTGTTGATCGAAAGCTGACCAACTGGATAGTCGACCATCTGAAGACCAGCTTTACAACCCGCAGGCCGTCATTCCCCCACGGCCCACAATCACCAACATCCAGTGGATTTCTGGCACTCAATACATCTCTCCGGCTGATATGGACATCTTGAGTTAGTAAACATTGCTCTATGCCTTGAAGTCAGCTGACTGACACTTAACAGTCGGAGGCCCTGATCGGCCGCCGTCGAAACGGATGCAGGAACAGATGCGGATGGACGAAGAAGAGCGCCGGAAGGCTTTCAGAGAAGGCCGGACTCCGACTAATCAGTCCTCGAGCAGTAACCAGGAAGGCTACTGGTCCTACATGCAACGTCAAATGACGGAGCGCACCGAAAAACTCAACTTTGCGGGAGACAACATGGAGCGGTTGGAAGAGAGCAGTAGTAACTTCGCCCGTGACGTGAACAAGTTTGTTCAGAATCAGAAGAAGAAAGCAGTTCTCGGTGGTATGTATGTCCCATGATTCAAGTTGATCCGGACTAATGGAGTTGCAGTGCTCGGCTCGAAGTTTGGCCTCTAGGATACTCGCTATCGCCGGCAACATAATGCTGCGATCAAGCATCATAATACAACATTAGAACCATTATTCTTATACATACCCATACTCTGTTGGCGTTTAGGATCTTTACTTGTTCATTTTTATTCAAGCATTGCACCAGAATCCAGGGCGTGTATCTAATCAAATTCAAATCGTCTTTCGGTTCTTACTAGTCGAAATTATTCCAAACAACCTCTAGGTCCTCTACCCATCATCATAACCACCCACACACTTCACCTTAGATCAAATGAAGTTACCTTCCCCGGTACTACCGGGAACCCCCAATCGAGCCCCTACATCACAAACCTGGATGCATAACCCACCGCTACACCCCATTTCGACCCCATCCTTAGTTCAAGTAGTACCTTGTTTACCTAACAATAACCAACACCATCACCCATAAACAAACTCCCCACCCCCCTATCCACCTACATAGTATCTATCTATCTATGACTACACACCAATCACTAACGCAAGGAAACTACTACTAACCCATTCCCTTACTTCTATTTCTTTCCCTCCGCAATCAATTCCCTTGACCGCAGATCCACAACCTTCAAGGGAAGAAATACTTATTATGGCTTATCACACTATTACTTCATCCATCGGCAATTCAATAACATGCCTCATACTCGTCATAATCAAGGGAGCAAAGATATTATTTCATCCTGGGGAGGCCGTGGAGATATTCATCTGCACTGCATGCTGTAAAGGGAAAGAGTGAAGAGTGACGGACTAGTCGAGTTACACTGCAGAAGCAGGAACTACCTATAGATAGTATAGTATGTAGGAGAATTATGCGGGTGGTGGGGATTGTTGTTGCTTTCCTTGATGGGGTGCTTTGGCCTTGCGTTCATACAATGTATGTGGTTAGGGATGGGGTTGCTATGGCATTGGGGTTTGTCAGGGGATCCTTGCGTTGGATGCGGTGAAGAATGTGGAGGGATTTAGATGGGGACAGAGGATGGAAGGTAGGTAGGTACCGATCTAGTATAGGATGAGTAGTTATATTCGATTTTCGGATTATATTCGTTCTATGTCATAAACTAAATACTGTAAAACTTGAGGATATGATAGACGGATGTCATGAAACGTTGCAACCCAATCATAAGATCATTCGACGGATAAGAATAGAGTGAAATATACCAGTCCCAGCTTGTTGCCGGGACGAAATCGCTTCAATTTAGTGGACCATCAACTCGGCCTGCTGGTGGGCCGCCGGGTTGTTACTGGCACCTCCAGCCGACTCATCCTTCGGCTCAGAATCATCCCCCATCTCGACGTCCTCGTCGCCATCATCACCCTCCTCCTCGTCGAGCTCCTCGTCGTCTTCGTCACTCTCATCCTCAATATCCTCACTCTCGGCATCCGAGATGTCCTCCTCCTCTTCCTCCTTGACGGCAGGGCCTTCAGTTCCCTCCATATCGTGATCCTCGCCCTTGGGGGCTTCGAGTTCCCGGAGCTCGTTGAAGAGGGCGGCTTCTAGCTCTGTTTCTTCCGCACCATACGCCGCACTATCGTCTCCCTCCTGGTCGGCTTCTGGCTGATCGGGCGGGTATTCAGCGGGGGCGGATTCCTCCGAATCCCTAGAACGGCATGCATTAGCTTGGCATGACAGACAAACAAACGGAGGCACTCACCACTTGATCGCGAAACGGGTTACCCTGGGCTTCTCGGCCAGGATATTCCGGCGAATGCGTTCGATGATCGGCCGGGCTGGCGGTTGTTCCATCAGCTCTTCGGAATCGTATTCATTGTTCACATAGTATCCGACACGGACGAATTCTCTGCCATCGTAGCTGCATGTGAGAAGAATCACGGTCACGCCGAGAATTTCGGAAGTAGGGATGCGCTTGAGATCTGGCGGGTCGGCCTCGAAGATGAACTTGTTGACACCGACGGGGATGGGTCCGACCAGAAGGGAATCGAGTTCCTGGTCATACTCGGAGCTAAACAAGACAATTAGTATTAGCGTCTAGGGGTGCTGTCTGGTCGAGGTCCAGCTTACGATGTCGCAGAGCCGACGTAGGTGAGCTTCCACTCCAGATCTAGAGACTGTTAGCTGCGGCAATTTCAGCTGACGTGGGGTTCGCAGCATACCCTTCTGGAGCTGTTCAAGACATTCAAAGGTGATCTCGAATTGATAGGGGTCGAGGAAAGAGGCCGGGTTATTGACTATTTTAACCCCGAGGAGAGAGACGACGGACATGGTTGTAGAGGAGAGGCGTCAAGCCTGGTGGAGGTGGAGTAGATGAAGTATTAGGAAGGGAGGGGTGATGAGATCGAGGAAGAAGTGTAGGTGAGAGGAAATCAAGGGAAGAGCGAGACGACCGGGGCGGTATAAAAAGATTGGAAGGGAGGAGAGAAAAGCAGGCGCTTTCTCATGGAGGGGATGCAGCCAGCAGGAGGAGCCCACAAGCTAAGGCAAACAAACCGATTAATTAAACCAGCGGAAGAGGGATCGACGACGCGCCGCGTGTGGGCAGAAGTGGGCACGCATCGCGCCCGCCCGACTCAGCAATCGCCCTGACCGCCTTAATCTGTCACGTGCCCCTACCCGCCCGACTCGGGCAAGTCTTGCCTGGAACTAACAACGGCCTCGTCCATCCATTCGAATTGTCTGTCGTCAGTGTCGCTGATCCACCAGGGGCCTCTTCATCGCCCGCTCCGGTCCCCTAGGCAGAATCTGTCCCTCCCCTAACTTGCTCCGTCCTCTTTGTCGAATCCTGACAATCTCCCTTCCCGACTCGTTGCTCTTTGTCGTGGGTGTTCCCCCCGAGTGAGTCAATGAATGATCCATCGCTCATTCTGCGCCTCCCCATTCTGAACCTCATCCGCTAATCAAACTCAGGTTCCCTGTTCATCTGTCCTCCCCCCTCAACTCCCAACTCCCAACCCCCACCCATCACGCAACACACAGTACCTTTGTCGCAATTGAGACAACCTTCCCCTGTCATGGCTGAAGATGATGCTGAGCAGGCCTTTTTCCAGGCTCAGGCAATGAATGCGGACTCTGTGGACTATAAAGCCGTGGAAGAGCAGGATGCAGCAGATAGTTCAGATTCAGATGATTATGATCCTTCAAAACCACTGCCAGATCAGTATTCTGGTTCCTTGACAGACCCCAAGCAGACCGAACATGTTCCTTCTGATGCCCCTTCTGATGCTCCTTCCGATGATGCTTCTTCCGACTCCAACCCCCCCGAACAGACTACTTCCCTGCCTCCCCCTGAATCAGACCCTAGTCAGCCAGCTGGCACTGTCTACCCTTCCCAGACACCTTCACGAGCTGAGTCTCAGGCATCAACATCGGGCCCCGCCACCGGGGCCTCGGTTCCGCCGAAGACCAGGACAATTGGGGGCTTTGTGGTCGAGGATGAGGATGAGGATGAGGCGGGTGATGCAGATTATGAGCCACCAGCTGTACTAGGTGTCGAAGACATGAATACTATACCTTCGCAACCCATTGGAAATGCAATTCAAGCTACTTCTACCCCTGATGTATCATTGGATGAAGCTGCGCAGGTGTCTGCCAGCGCGAAGAATGTCCCTAATAGTTCTTTCCCTGCTGCTTCTAAAAATGATGCGTCTGTGACCTCGGGCCAGGATCTGTACAGCACACGTTCCGCGCCGCCGGAAAATGCGCAGGAGGCGACCACCTCGACGCCCGACTCCCCGTCGACCGCGAGGGGCCGGTTACCTCACGACCGCGTCGGAATCCTGGAAGACCGAATCCAAGAAGACCCCCGTGGTGACATTCCCGCTTGGTTGGAATTGATTAACGAGCACAGAAGCCGCAATAGGATTGATAACGCGCGCGACGTGTATGAGCGTTTCCTAAAGGTCTTCCCTTTTTCTGTAAGTGTCCTTCAACGTTGTGGGAAAAGACCGTATTGGCTCACTGTTGTCAGGCCGAGCAATGGGTGGCCTATGCGACGATGGAGTCCGAACTTAATGAGCTCTTCCGCCTGGAGCAAATCTTCAACCGGACTCTGCTGACGATTGCGGACGTACAACTCTGGACCGTCTACTTGGACTACGTTCGTCGCCGCAACCCCCTCACCACAGACACCACTGGGCAAGCGAGGCGGATCATTTCCTCCGCCTATGAATTGGCGCTTCAGCACATCGGTATCGACAAGGATTCGGGGTCGATCTGGTCGGATTACGTCCAATTCATCCGCTCCGGGCCCGGAAACGTTGGAGGCTCCGGGTGGCAGGACCAACAAAAGATGGACCTGCTTCGTAAAGCTTATCAACGAGCTATTGGGGTCCCCACCCAGGCTGTCAATACTCTCTGGAAAGAGTATGACCAGTTTGAAATGGGCTTAAACAAGCTGACGGTATGGCCCATCAAGTGAAGTGTCCTTTGAGGTCTCCATTCTAATCAGGTCCTTGGTTGAATAGGGCCGTAAGTTCCTGCAGGAGCAGTCTCCGGCGTACATGACTGCCCGCAGCTCCTTTACCGAATTGCAGAACATCACTAGGGACCTTAATCGGACAACGCTGCCAAGGCTGCCTCCTGTCCCCGGTTCGGACGGTGATATCGAGTTCCTGCAACAGGTGGAGATCTGGAAACGCTGGATCCAATGGGAAAAGGGAGACCCGCTTGTTTTGAAGGAGGAAGACATGGCTGTTTTCAAAACACGTGTGGTTTATGTCTATAAGCAAGCGCTCATGGCCCTCCGGTTCTTGCCCGAACTGTGGTTTGAAGCCGCTGAGTTTTGCCTTCATAATGACATGGAGACCGAAGGCAATGAGTTCTTGAAGCATGGAATAGATGGTAACCCAGAGAGCTGCCTGCTTGCGTTCAAGCGTGCCGACTGGCTGGAAATCAACTCTGAATCTGAGCAGGATCCCGTCAAACGCGGTGCTAAAGTTAGGGAGCCCTACGATAGACTACTGGACTCGCTTTACGATCTGATTGCCAAAGCTCGTACTCGGGAGTCCCAAGACGTTGCTCATCTCGAGGAGACCTTTGCAAAGATGAACCCCGAGAAGCAGCCAACAAGGAACGAAGACGACGATGATGATCAAGGGGAGACGAAGGCGAGAGAGTCCGTGAAGAACGCGCAGATTGAGGCGGTCCGACAAGCACATGCGATCCAGATCGGTATTCTTTCCCGGACGATCTCCTTCGCCTGGATCGCTCTTATGCGCGCAATGCGTCGCGTTCAGGGCAAGGGCAAGCCTGGGGAGATGCCTGGCTCAAGACAGATTTTCGCGGATGCGCGCAAGAGGGGTCGTATCACCAGTGATGTCTACATCGCCAGTGCTCTCATTGAGTACCATTGCTACAAAGACCCCGCCGCAACCAAGATCTTTGAGCGGGGTGCGAAGCTGTTTCCCGAAGATGAAAACTTTGCGCTGGAGTATTTGAAGCACCTCATCGACATTAACGATGTGATCAGTAAGTCAAATGCGTTTATCTGCGACATCCTGAGACACGTTGCTGATAATCTTCAGATGCTCGAGCTGTGTTCGAGATGACCGTGAGAAAGTTGGCCTCCATTCCCGAGAATGTGCAGAAGACGAAGCCTATCTTTGCCTTCCTTCACGAGTATGAGTCGCGGTACGGTGACCTTGTGCAAGTGATCAACCTCGAGAATCGCATGCGCGAACTGTTCCCTGAAGACCCGACGCTGGAGCAATTTGCACACCGCTACTCGATCCCTAACTTTGACCCTACCGCTGTCCGACCCATCATTTCCCCATCTCAGACGCGGCCCAAGATGGCCTACCCGGCAGAGCAAGTCATGTCCCGCCATGCTACACCTACTACGCGATACCAGGACGCCTCTGCGACCAACTCGCCCAAGCGGCAGCTGGATGACTTCGACGACGACGTGGGTCGGCCGCGCAAGTTTGTCCGTGCCGAATCGCCTCTCAAGACGACGCAGAGGCGCCAGCTGGACCAGAAGCGCACACAACAGAATATAGGTAGCCAGTCTAGGTCCCAGTTCCAGTCGCAAGGATCGCCAGCGCCATTGCCGCGCGACATTGTTTTCCTTCTGAGCATTATTCCTTCCGCCTCAGCATACAATGCGGGGAGGTTCTCTCCGGAGAAAATGGTTGACCTGATCCGGAGAATTGATATGCCAGGTTCGATCTCCCAGATCCCGCTTCCGCGGGGACTGAGCGGCGGGCAAACGCCCCAGGCATTTTCAGGTATGTCTACTCACCATGGCTGCCTGTAGAGGCAGTTGACTGATTATGTGAGCTGGCAGGCATGTACCGTTCATAATCTATTGATGATATAGACGATCCGTCACCACCCTTCAAGCGCAAATACTCCCTCTCAACCTGGCGCCGTATCTTGTTATTCTTCACGCTGGCTCGACCGCATGGCATTGCCGCAGCGTGGTACTGGAGTGTATAGTTGTTGGATGTCGCTTGCATTTGATGAACCGGCGTTTTCCTTGGTTGGCAATCACTTATGAGACTTTGGCGGCTGGGCCTTGAGTGATGCATCATTATTCGACTTTGAGATTGGGTGATTCCATTTCCGCACTGGGTGGGTTTTGTATATTTTAGGTGCCGTTTCAGCATGGAAGGAAGAGTGCAGCCGAAGGGGCTACTTGATATCTACTCTATTTATAACGAGGAATCGATCGTTAGTCTTTCTGCTTTCGACCCCATCCAGTAGTTTTCCTGTGTTTTTCTGTACAGTATAGCACAACATCCTAATTGGCCGGATTCTCTATTAATCTAACCGAATGTAGTTAGTGTATCATCCGCTCACCGCCCCTGCGCGGTCTACTTTTTCTGCCGCGAAATTTGGAAGAAAATCGAGCAAAAGTCGGCCTTGATCAATCTCAACCATCCATCATGGCGCCCTCCCTTTCCCCAGAGCCCGTCGTGGACGAGCCCTACGAGTCCTCCGACTCGGAGGCCGAGCAGACCGACCTGCAATCCCGCGCCCCCAAGAGGAGACGCCTCTCGGAGTCCTCCAACGACTCCTACGTTGCCCCGGCGCCGCTCCCCACTCTCTCCCGTATCAAAAAGAAAGAAGCAAAGGAGGACAAGCCCGCGACGTCCGACAAAGACGAGCCCGTCCTGATCAAGGACGCTCTGGAGATTGGTCTGCAAGATGCGCAGTCCTCGTTTACATCCCTTAAAGTGGCACCCTGGTTGATCGGTGCCCTGACGACAATGGCTGTCCGCAAACCCACCGCCATTCAAAAGGCATGTATCCCGGAGATCCTGAACGGTCGAGACTGCATTGGAGGAAGCCGGACTGGTTCCGGTAAGACCATCGCCTTCGCTGTTCCCATGCTGCAGAAATGGGCAGAGGATCCCTTTGGCATCTTTGGCCTCGTCCTCACCCCAACCAGGTAGGCATATACATCCACCCACCCTTCTCATGCGCCCACCTAACTCAATTCTTCCAGAGAACTCGCCCTCCAAATCTACGAACAAATCAAAGCCATCTCCGCCCCCCAGAGCTTGAAACCCCTCCTAATCACCGGAGGCACCGACATGCGGGCTCAGGCCCTCGGCCTCTCGCAGCGCCCACACATCGTCATTGCCACCCCCGGCCGTCTAGCAGACCACATCAACACCTCCGGCGAAGACACCATCCGCGGCCTCAAGCGCGTGCGCATGGTCGTGCTCGATGAAGCCGATCGCCTCCTCGCCCCGGGGCCAGGCAGCATGCTCCCGGACGTCGAAACCTGCCTCTCGGCCCTCCCACCCTCCAGCGAGCGCCAAACCCTCCTCTTCACAGCCACCCTCACGCCCGAGGTGCGTGCACTGAAATCCATGCCCCGCTCCGCCGACAAACACCCAATCTTCGTGACCGAGATCTCCACCGAAAACAAAAGCTCCATCCCCCCGACCCTCAAACAAACCTACCTCAAAGTACCCATGACCCATCGCGAGGCCTTCCTCCACGTCCTCCTCTCCACCGAAGGCAACGCCACCAAACCCGCCATCATCTTCTGCAACCACACTAAGACCGCGGACCTGCTGGAACGCATGCTCCGTCGACTCTCTCACCGCGTCACCTCGCTGCACAGTCTGCTGCCGCAGTCCGAGCGAAACTCGAATCTCGCCCGGTTCCGCGCCTCCGCGGCCCGGCTGCTCGTCGCCACGGACGTCGCGTCCCGTGGTCTGGATATCCCCTCCGTGGCCCTGGTGGTCAACTTCGACGTGCCCCGCAACCCGGACGACTATGTGCACCGAGTTGGTCGTACGGCTCGTGCGGGCCGACACGGTGAGGCAGTGACGCTGGTTGGACAGCGCGACGTGAGTCTAGTGCTAGCCATTGAGGAGCGAGTCGGTCGACAGATGGAGGAATGGACCGAAGAGGGCGTCAGCATCGAAGGCCGCATCGTGCGCACGGGCGTACTGAAGGAGGTCGGCGAAGCGAAGCGCGAAGCAGCGGGCGAGATCGAAGAGGGCCGAGACGTGTTGGGCCGGAAGAGGAACAAGTTGAAGAAGGTTCGGTAGATGTGTTAGTATCACTTCGTATAATTGTACATATCATATCATTTCCCCAACAGAGCATAGTGTTCAATAGTGGTATCATTGACTCTAACCATTGCACTCGGCAATGGATCCTAGGTATGTATGTATGTATGTATCAATCAGTCATCCATCCGCCATCAATACCTAGATAGACGCTATACTCGACAACCTCTAACTTCAACTCCAACACACCCGACAAACATAACGCCTTCCCTTCCCCCTTTTAAAAAAAAACACACAAAAACATCACCCACTCCAAACCTCCAACCCCTCACTCTGATCCCCCGTATTCATCAACTTCAATAACCCATCCACTGCGTCCCCCTTTTGTGATAACCGCCGTTGTCTCTCCTCGGGGTGCGACTGTTCCATATCCTCTCCTGCCTCTCCTACCTCCCTCATCACATCTTCTTGCTCATCGTCCGCACGCAAAAACTCCTCGGTAATAGCGGTGGTAATTCTCCGTCGCGAAACCGTCGCCGGCGGAGAACTCAACTGCATTGGGGATGTCTGCGTTTGCGTGTACATGTCCATCCGACGGTGTGACTTCTGCGTGGGTGTTTTCATTGGGTCGTTCTCCTCCTCGCCCTCTTCTTTCTCATCTCCTTCTAGGTCTTGGTCTTCTACGTGGGGGGCAGCAGGTGTGGTTGTCGTTCCGGCTGAGAGAGGCGGGGAGGAGAGGCCTGATGCATGTAATGCCGAGGAAGGGGGAAGTTGTGGGGCGGTGTGGACGCGCGGGGTGGTTAGGCAGGGATTAGAGCTGGAGGAGGATTGGGTGGGTGTGGATTGGATCGTGGAGCGTTGTTCTTGGGGGAGGGACAGGCGGGGGTATTTGCGACTGTGAGCTTCTAGGTCGGAGAGACGGCGGTCGAGTTGGGGGTCGTGGATGTTGCGCATGGCGGTTTGGAGACGGGTGCGGAGGAGGGTTGCTTTCTGGTTGGGGTTAGTGGTTTGGTTATGGGAATTGGGAGGGGCGTGGGGGAGGGGGGGAAGGGTACCTCTTTGATGAAGCGTTTGCGGGTTTCTGGGTCATTGGGGATTGGGTGCGTTGTTGTTGTTGCTGGTGGTGGTGAGACGAAGTGGGTATCTTCTTGTTGTGGTTGTGGTTGTTGTTGGGTGGGTTGTGGTTCGTGGTGGTGGTGGTGTTGTTGTTTGTCTGAATCTAGAAGTGTTGTTTCTGATTCCGTCGCATGTGATTGCTGTTGGATCTGCACATTCGGGTTAATCTTGGGTTCTGGCATCGGTTGGCTGCATGGGAGTACATACCTGAGAGTCCTGCTGGGGGAGATTGTCATCCTGCACGTTCTGGGATGCGTCTGGCCGCGACGGGGCCTGCGCGCTGGGTTGGGTGCTGCTTGGGGGCTCGTTGGTGTCCACCTGGTCGATGGAGCGTTTCTGACCCGCGAACAGAGGCGAGCGAAGCAGTTTCTTCGGAGAGGAGGGCGCCTCGAGGAAAGGGCGTTTGAGGGGCGAGACAGAAGCGTGCCGATGGTGGGCCGGGGACAGGCACGCGTTGGCGGGCTTTTCCCCGAGAATTCGCCTGCCGTCTTTGACGGGGCTGGGATGTGATGCGGCCATGATGGAGGACATTTCAAGGAGGATAAGATGCTCCGTAGAAGAAGAGCTTGTGGGGGGAGGATGGTGTCGTGTTGTGGACAAGATGGAGAGAGTTGGGGGGGGGGAGGATGAGGGCAAGGCAGCAAGTAGAAGTAGTAGTAGTACTAGTAGTAATAGTGGCACGCGCCGCACACACACACGTCTTCCGGGCTCAAGATCACGAGGGACTGCAATTGGAACCGGAAGATTGAGCAGAGGGAAGCAAGGAAGAAAGAAAAGGTCGTAGGTGCAGTCAGAAGACTCAATGGCCGCGAGTCGTGGAGAGATGGGGGGAAACGAGGCGCGTGGGCATCCGCGTCGAGGGCCGGTGGTCCCCTTGCGGTGAAACTAAGCGTTGGCCAGCCTCATAGCGTGTTCGGTCCTCCTCCACGCGTCGCCCGCAATCTCTCTCCCTTCCACTTCATGACGTCTCGACCCCTTGGGCGGGCTTGAATTGGAGCATTGCGCTCTTTATCTATCTAATGCTATCCCACGGATTCCAAGGTCGGGTTCCACCACATCGCGAATGAGATCCGAGCAGACAGCGTCCACATTCCTGAAGCCGTGCGAATGACTGGCTGCAGTGCTTGGCATCCATCTCCTTAGGGCTACGGTTTAGATTAATCCGCCGTTTTGGATCTAGCTGTTTGACAAAGACGCGACGTTGGTCCCTTCGAGGGTCCGAGATTCGGAATCCGATGGGCATACCATTGTGGAGCAGAACCTTCCACCGTCGCGACCTTATGATAAATCTAGAGAGAAGTAAGATGTATCTGTGTTGGACACATTAGTGAGCCTTGCGTCCAGCTGAACGCGCTCGCGTAGAAAGCTAGTAGCAGTATGCAATCACAGCTGTTGGGCATCAATAAAAAAGAATTTGGTGCGGTATAGCGGTGATAAATGGGCGGGGCAGTATTGCATATTTCTTTGTACAAATAAAGAGTACATGCATCGATGCTTCGGCGGAGACATATTTGACAGCAGGAAAGATCTCCGCTCTGGCATGGCATTGTGTCAATTGAACGTTGATTCTGAACTCGGGCAGAAGTGGCATTCTGCTGGCTTCAGCATAAACCATGCTTTGCAGCAGGTGCAGTGTTTTCATATGAAGCAGTCTAAGCAGCCTGATCTTCTCCTCCAGCATCAGTCCGACAGATGAATGTCCTTCCAGAAGAGTCGCCATACCGGGTTAGTGCAGCGCACTTGCGGGGTAACTAAGTCCCATTTAAGTTAGCCTCTTGCTTCTTTGGGAGAGCATAGACGAGTGGGGTTAGATCAAAGAAGCATGACAGTCCCTGATTGGCGGGACACATGCATCCTCTATCCCTGCAACATTTAATCATGTGAAATTGTCGGCTTATCCAGCAATTCATTATCTTATCGCATCTACTCTACTCCGTACGCAGTACGGATTAGGTAGATAGCTATGCAAGCAGCCTGATATATGGGCTTGCTTCTTTACGTCCCTTGACGCTGGTGAGAGCAGCTCTTCAGGCACTTGCTGTGATGGTTAATGCTCCACACACCCGGTTTCCAAAGGCTATGATAGTCGATTGGATTTGGCAACAAGCTGCTTTATGGACATAGTCAATATAAGAAGCGAGAATAATTTAGCTCAACTGGCCAGGGAAACGCTGAAGCTATATATTTAGATGCTTGCTGATGTCTGTGGGCTGTTCCTCACGAAATTAACGCATCGATTGACGTCTCTCCTGCGTTGGTTTGTTGAAGCCACCTAACTGGTTGAGATTACTTCCCACCACTTGCCCGAATGGAAAGAATGTATCCTGCGGCCTTGTTTTTAAAACCACTAAAGAAGTTCCGAGAAGTATCGCCTGGTGATATGTTAGAGTGAGCCAACTACTCGATGTTCCTGAGCAGCCTCAGAGAGCCCCAGCTGCCACCTATCTATCCTACACCGGTATGATCTCTTGGACAGAGACTACTTGAGCATGTCTTAACGCCATCTCTTGCGTATTATGACGATGAGATTATGGGTACACTTGTCTTACTTGCTGGGCTTCTGTCCTAGGTGAAGAAGAGCCAAATCCGCAGAGCCAGCATCCAGTATAGGGGTTCATGAAGCCCGACGAAAACCCCCACAGGAGCGATGACTACGTGGACTTTGGAGTGCCGACCGGCAGCATCTTCAGAAGAAGTGTAATTACCGAAGCAGTGTTGGGTGGTGACAGTGACAGGTTAGCTCCGGCTGCGGGAATCCCCAGCTTTCCCCGCATTTTGGTCCTCTGCACTTGGCCGTTGCGAACTTGCGAGCTCGTGTTCCATTGCGTGGTACAGTGTACCCCGGAGGAATTTCTCAAGTCCTGCCTGGCTGTAACTAGGCTGTCTTGCATTGAGTCCGCTCGTGGTCAGTGCAGCGCTTGTTCCTTTGCTGCCCCGACCTTGTCGATCGTTGCTCTGACCGTCGACTGATTGCATCATCCAGCCAGCCCGGCGGCTGGCTCACCTCCGTCCTCTCTTCTCTTCCACCTTCCTCCATCGACGCTGGTTGATGGACCACCTTCCCTCATCATCCTTTTCATCTTCGGTTGTCCTTTTTGTTTATTTTTCATTCATCGGCGGTCACTAGACTCTCTTCGATTGACCACACAATGCGCCTGTCCCTTGCGGTGCTGGCCACCGCCCTTCAGGCGACCGTCGGCATTGCATCCAGCTTGACGCCGCCGGTCCTGCCCCTGACCGTGCGCAATCCCTATCTAAGCACCTGGCTGGGAAATGCCCGGGACGTTCCCTGGTCCAAATGGCCTATGTTCTACACGGGCGAGGAGGTGGGCCTGTCCCTGATGGCCCACGTCCCCAGCACCGGCACCGTATATCCGTTGTTGGGCAAGCCTCATGAATCCCTGTCCGGGTACGCGCCGGCATACTGCTATGCCCTCCAGGCTCAGCTCAACTGACGTACACTCCTAGATCGTTGCAAGTCGACTATCCCACCTATCTCGGGGCCAACTACGACGCGTCTACCACCAATCTGACCTACCGCATTGAACCCTCCACCTCGGCTTTCCACCCTCTCGAGATCACCGTCTCTTTCTTATCTCCCATTACGCCCACATCGACTCTGCGGCAGTCGATCCCTGCGTCATATGTCACAATTCATGTCCACGGTGATGTGAGCGTGAACGTCTATATCGATATCAATGGCGCCTGGGTGAGCGGAGACGCTGGAAGTCAGATCGCTTGGGAGTATGACGGGTTCGATGCTAAGGACAACACACCCACCCTGCGGCGATGGCGCTTCCAAAGAGAGACGGAGATGCTGTTTTCGGAGATCCGCGATCGTGCTGAATGGGGCACCATTCATTTCACCGCGCCTGCTGTGTGTAGACCTTGTTGCTCCTGTTAGCCTACCCGTTTGCTAACCGGTTCACCTAGGATGTTCAATATCAGTCTGGTGAGGCCTCAGCTGTGAGACAGACGTTCCTGAATCAAGGAGTCCTGGACAACGTAAATGATCAGGTATTCCGTGCAATTGGAGACCGAGAGCCGGTCTTTGCGTTCTCCAAGTCATTCGTTTTCTCTCGGAGAGACGGTCCGACCAGTGCCAGCGTGACCTTCAGCATTGCCCTGATCCAAAACCCCGTCGTGCAATATGCCTCTGCACGTGGCCTGACCCTGATGCGGCCCCTCTGGGAGTCATGGTTCCCTAGCGTCGACTCTCTCCTGAGCTTCCACTACCACGACTTTTCCAAAGCGAGTGTGTTGGCCTCCAACTACTCCCAACAGCTGTCCAAGGATGCCTATCAGTCGGGAGCTCATGACTATGTCGATATCGTGGCACTGTCGGCCCGACAGGTGATGGGTGCAACCACCTTTGCGGGAACACCTGATAATCCCATCTTGTTTTTGAAAGAGATTTCATCCAACGGGAACTTCCAGACAATTGATGTCATCTTCCCTGCGTTCCCATTCTTCCAGTATACCAACCCCCGGTGGCTGGCATACCTCCTGGAGCCGTTGATCGAGCACATGTTGAGTGGTCAGTATCCGAACACATACGCCATGCATGACTTGGGAACCCACTTTCCTAATGCCACTGGACATCCCGATGGAAATGATGAGTATATGCCAGTGGAGGAATGCGGTAACATTCTTATCATGGGCCTGGCCATCGTGAACTCGCTGCGTTATGGCGAAGATTCAGCCGCATCGTCCATATGGTCAGCGCAGGGCGCAATGCCCGTACTATCCGAAGATCATCTCGGGTACCTGCCTCTTGGTGATCTCCAGGTGTTGGGTGGTATTGACAAGCAGGACGGAAGATGGGGTGGTCCTTTGCAAGGTCATTTCCTCGCTGAGAAATGGCTCAAGCGCAGCTACCGTCTCTGGAAGCAGTGGACTGGCTACCTTGTGGAGTTTTCCCTGGAGCCTGAGAACCAGCGTAAGGTGTGATCCAAGGGAAGCGAAAGATATAGCTAATATCGAAGTAGTTTCGACGGACGACTTCGCCGGCTGGCTAGCGCTTCAAACGAACTTGGCGCTTAAAGGCATCATCGGTATCAATGCCATGAGCAAGCTGGCCCAGGTGGTTGGAGAGGCCGACGACGTCTCATATTACAAGGTTGGTGCTCGAAATAGACCCAGAACAAACATCACTGACCATCCATAGAATATCTCGGACACCTATATTGCCAAATGGGAGGAGCTTGGCATGTCTCGAGACCAAACACATGCGAAGCTCGCTTACGACTGGTACGGATCGTGGACCACCATCTACAATCTGTATGCCGATGCTCTGCTGTGCTTCCATCTGGAGGGCACTGGTGTCTTACCAGTGCCCGCAACATCCTACACCCAGAAGCCTCTCCAACCTCACCCCCACAAGACCGGCTTCGTGCCCCGGCACATCTACCAACGACAGTCCATTTGGTATCACAATGTTCGTCAAAAGTACGGTCTCCCTCTAGACAGCCGGCATTTGTACACCAAGACCGATTGGGAGTTCTTCTCCATGGCCGTGGCTAGTGAGAACGTCCGCAGCGAGGTTCTCGAATCCGTGGCCAAATGGATTAACGAGACAAATACCGACCTTCCTTTCACCGATCTCCACAACACCGAGGGCCAGGGCGAGTTTCCAGGGCCAAACTTTTATGCTCGACCAGTTATCGGCGGCCACTTTGCCTTCTTGGCCCTGCAGCGCGCCTGTGGGGGCCGCGCGATGGAGGGACTAGCCTATCTGGACGGTGGGAACAACGTGTTCTCGACCAGCACATTGGAGGAATGGGAAAAGGCCGCAGCCAGAGCTGTCGGACAGTCCCAGCCATCGTCTGGACCCGAGGAACCCGACGACAGTGGCTATGAACACGGCTATGGGTCTGAGAGTCTGGAACTGTGATCGTCGGTCCTTACCTTATACATAGCGCATCTACTCTGATGTTCCGAGCAAGTGGATGAGAACCATTGCAATCTAGGTACAACTTGACCATTCTACAATTTGAGCTATACATGCAAAAGAAGTCAAGATTGCTTCAGCAAACCATTGGACTAAAATCAATCTATACATACCAACCACTCGGATACATACCTATACGGCGTAATTCTCACCAATACCTACCTGCTCCAACCTTGTCTTGGCAGTCAGCAATCAAATCACGCAGTTAATTAACTCACTGCGACATTTTCGGAGATTAAATCACCACACTAGTATCTACTCGGTAGATAGATAGTTCTAGACTAGCTGGTCGATCTAAAATCGCGTCGTCGACCGGCTTTCTCAGTAGTATCCACTACACTATCTTGTAGTTCGTCAAGGAATCAGGAAGCCTGAAAGGGGTTTTTTTCTCTTTGGCTTTCTACTTAGTAAGGCCGATAGTTTCTGCAGGCTAATAGATAGATACTCCGGTGGGCTCTACGTTCCTGGCTCCTAGGAGGGTTACACTATAGGGAAGGAGGGAAGGAGGGGTGGGTTTGTCACTTTCCTATTTTTTGACATTCAAATCAAATTACATGGGAGGAGCCACATTTTGATAATTTATTAAAGGGAAAAGATTGGGAGGGAAAACGGAAAAGATGGAAGAAAGAAGAGAAAAAAAAAGGTTGGTTAAGAAAAAAGAGTTCACTGGCATCATCATCCATACCGTACGTACCATAAGTTAGCTTGCGTGGGAGGCCATTTGCACATAACCTTTGGATTTTTTTTTCTGACTGTCTCTTTTTGTTACGTCCTTTTCCCTCTTTCCCTTTTCCGGAGCGCTTGTTCAGATCCTCTTTCATTTTCGTTCCATGTCATCGATCCCTGGATTCGACTACCTAGTGCTAGGGAGTAAAGGGAGAAGATGGCTCATGCGAAGGGCATGGATGCACTTATTTACCGCCGAGGCTCGGGAAGTTCTTCTCGTCGACGGAGACGGAGGCGGGGGCAGCGCCGGTGGGGCGCTCAGTACGGGGACCGGCGCCACGGCCGCCGCGGGCACCGCGACCACCACGGCCACCACGGCCACGGGGACCGCTGGCACCGCCACGGGGAGCCTCAACGAAGCGCATGTCGACCTCGAGGACGTTCTTCTCCTTGCGCTGCTTCTCGCGCTTGGACTTGTCCTCCTTGCCCTTGAAGTACTCGTCCTCCTCGGTACGCTTGAGCTCCTTGGCGGCAGCCCACTTCTTGTCGAGCTTGCTACCCTCGTTGGCGGCACGGACGGGCTTGGCGCTCAGGTCACCCTGGGCGGCCTTCTCGGCCAAGTAGTCGTTGTAGGACTTGGACTTGTCGGCGGGCTCCTCGGGCTCGGCGGGAGTCTGGGGCTCGCTCTCCTCGTTGTGAGCAATGTTCTCGCCGGCCTTCTCATCGTCAAGGGTCTTCTCGCCGCTCTGGTTACCCCAGCCCTGGTTCACCTGCTTGCGGGTGTCGCTATCAAAAGTGTTAGTTCAATGGTCCACGGGAGTCTTGTCTCCATGACTTCAATCACCATGGAGGATGTGAAAGAGCTTACGTCTGGCCGGTGCGAGACTGGCGGTCGTGGCGGACACGCTCACCACGGTCTTCGCGAGCGCGGAATCCACGCCGTTGGGCGTCCTTGCCATCCTCGGTGGGCTTCTCACGGTTGTTGGATCTGCCAGCGTTGCGGTCACGGAAAGCTAATCGAGTGAAACAGGGTCTAAATCAGCCGGACTGGTTCCCTGTAGCAGAATGGTTGTGGAATACATACCGGCCTCGTTGCCAGTGGCACGGCCACCACGGCGAGGGGTGTTGTTCTCACGGGGCTGGCTGGGGACCTCCTTGGGAGCATCACGCTTGCCAACGCGAGGAGCGGGCCTGTCTACAGCCTTCGTGGGAGGCTCGGGAGCTCTGTTGGGGTCGAGTTCAGGGTCATTGCCTGTAGCCGCGCAGCGCGAAAAAAGCACGCACGATGTTAGAAATGCTGTCCTTTTTCCAGAAGCGGGGTGTAGGCGAATCCGCAAAATGCGAACGAAGTCAAGAGAAGGAAAGACACGATGGGTATTGCAGAACAGGGTAAACTCAGGTGGGGAGGCAGGTAGGGAGGGAAGGGCGAGCATTACCAAGAAGCTCGTAGAGGTTCTGTCAAAAATCAATCTGTTAGCCTTCTCGTTCTCGTTCTCATTTTCATTCTTCCTCCTTTCCAAGTGTGCCAGCACCCCCGAATTGGGGCCGGAAATTGCAGGTTTCTGCGTCCAACCCCGCTCGCTTTCAGGTGACTGCGCCCGACTCGATCGAGAAAACCTGACGGCGCAGCAGCACCTCCCAGCTCGCGGATTCGACGCCAGCACCCGAGGGAAAAGTTGAGAAGGCCTCTCGAGCAACGCACCTTGGAGCGGATCTCCGCCATGACGCCTGTGTTATGCGGGGCCTTCCGGGGAAGGCTCTCTGTTATCGCAGCAATTCGGTCCGACGGAACGGGCGGGGGAGAGTCGACACAGGCAGAAACCTCGACGACGAACGGTATCTGACCTCTCCTTTTCGGGGGATGGGATGGGATAGTGGTTGGAGTGAAGGGGTTGCCAGACGGTGGATGGAGGCGACGTTTGTGGTTGCACTCGCCCGATCCGGTAAGGTGCGGATTGCTGCTAAGCGAATCCGAGAATGCGCCTTGTGATTGGCTACCGCCAGCTAGGGCTTAGGGTAACTGCCGGCGGATGACGCTGAGATGATGCTCCCTCGCTGCCCTCAGCGCGCGCCCGCCTCTCAGCACCCAAAATGAGTAGAGGAATGCCATCTTCATCCTCGATTCCGGGGATGCGCCACGAGGAAGAACCGCCAGCAGGGAGAGCCCCAGGAATGCCGGTATCGAAACGTCTGCCTTCCCAATCCGGCAACCCGGAAGGTGCTCAGCTCCTCACCGGGCAGGCATCAGGCATCTTCTGCAGGTCGGGAAACCCCTCTCTGAAATCCCCAATGGGATCGTGTAGCTACCTAGCTCGCCATCATTTGGTGGCTATTGCAGCCGGGCTACTCCGTCCTCGGGCCAGTGACTCCCGCGAACTCTGTCTAGAGTCCTTCATTCCTAACTACGTCACTACCTGCTCAGCTCCCCAGCTCCCCAGCTGCTACTACCGAGGTAGCTACTCCTAGCATGATTCGTCGTAGATCCCTCAAGCTCGGCGAGCTCTCCCCATGTATAGTAGCTCTCACTCTGAAGAAAGAAGACCGCGAAAATAGCAGGAAAAGAAAGGGAGAAAACGTCCATAAGAAATAAAATATGAATGCAATGCCGCAGCCATGCAACATAGTCCGGTCCAGCAAGAAATATACATGCAAGCCACCGTTCCACCGCAGCCAGAATCATCACCGTCACAATAATAAGAGCATATATGTATGTCCACAAGAGCTGAGAGTACGGCCCGGGCCAAACCGCACCGCAGTCTCCCTCGGGCCCATTATACCAGTCATGCATGTACAGAACCCATTTCCCGACTTTTTTCGACCTTTTCCTGCGCTCTTGGAACAAACAATCAACCGCTTTTTCCTTTTAGAGAGCCCATCAAACAAAAGCTTCACAGCAACAACAGAACAACACGCGACTAACAGAAACAAATGGTATCAACCGCAAACGCCAGGCAATGCTTCAAAGTTTCAACTTTTGTCTTCCAGTCATAGAAAAAAAGCTATGAAGGAAATCCGTCAAGCATGTCTCTCCTTCGACAGTGCCGCCACCCCCCAGTTCCTGCAACCTTGGGGACAGGGGGGCAACACGTGCGGAACGAGAGACGAAAAATGGAAACAAAAGGTTAATGGCGGGTATTATTCTGCTCGTAACTAAATGGTGTCTGGAAATGCATGCTGGCGCTTAACCCAAACGGATCCGCATCCAACATCGGCTCGTAGTTCCCCATGAGGTGGTTGGTGTTGCCATAGGCGCCGTTGGCCCCCTCCGCCGGGTGGGGGTTATACTGGTTAAGGCCGTGAGCCCCCATGGGGTGGGAGCCTGCAGGAACGGATGCGGTGTTGTTGTAGCCGGAAACGTATGGCGACGCACCCACCGCGGACTCGTGCTCCTCGTCGATCATATCGGCCTGGGCATCGTATTCCTGTTCTATGTGGACATTAACAAAGGAGCTCAATACCACCACGGACCTGAAACAGCAATGCGACATGGAGTCAGCTTACCCAGTTGGTCATAGTGCTTCTGGAATGGCGATGGGTAGTACGCGGAGGGGACGCGGGGAGCGCGGGGATTCGTACCACCCGGCATAGCGGACTTCGGATCGGTCGACTCCGGCTGGCCGATGCTCATCGGGGGTGAGGCTTGGCTGAGATTCCGCGAGTGCGAGAGCATCTGCGAGCGCTGCTGTGCTTGGGGATCGACCCCGACAGGCGACATCGCTCCCTGGAAGGGGAAGCCCGGGGACTTGGCGTGGGATGGGGAAGAGACATGGGACGGAGGCGTGGCCTGGAACTGCGGCGACGGGATGCCGTATGCATTATCGCGGTGTTGAGCCATGCTGAACGGCTCCTTGGGAGCGATGCCGGGATGCCTTTGGGCCGAAGTGCGGTTCACAGCAGCTCGCTCCAAGGTGGTGGGAGGCTTCGCCGCCATCGGGGTGGGCTTACCCGCGCCCGCGCCAGGAGCCCCGGCCTTGAGTCGCAGTTCCGCTTGCACATCAATTCCTGCGGTGGGTCAGTGTCGATGTAACGACGAAAGAAGGAAATCAGGCACCCAGTGGGGAGCGCGACGGGGACCAACCTTTTTCGAGCAAGATGCGTTCGAGTAACGAATTCTTGTAGCGCAGCATCAAGCACTCATCGGCAGCGGTGCGATGATTCTGCTGAAGGGTCTGGAGGGACTCCTCATTGCGCTTGATGGTGGACTCGAGCTGGCGAATGTACTCTGTGCGACGCTCGCGGAAGGCGGCCTGGGCCTGGCGGTTGCGTTGCTTCCGCTCTTCCGAAGTGGCGTAGATCTGACGGCGGCGGTTAGCTCAGGTAGTAGGAGGAGGAGGAGGGATCAGGGTCCAAGAGATAAAGGAAGCGATAAAAGCTGGGGAGGTGCAGGAGAGATAAAGCGAGCAGCAGCAGGGAGGGATATGACAGGACGATAAGGATGATCAATCGAGATGATAAATGATAATAATAGACGCAGTGCGGGGCCCCGGATTGCAGGCAGGAACAAATAAAACGGGGGGAAGGGGGCAACGACCAGTGAGGACGAGGATGAGGATGAGGACGATGAGAGATAACAGATGATAATGGAAATCCAAGATAAGACAAAAAGCAACGACAGCGCGAGGTATAAAAGGGCAGCAAGCCATCTTACGTACCGGTTTTCTGCCACCCTTTCGCTTCTGCGTCTGGGCCACGTCCTGCATCAGAATCTCTCCCTCGGCCTCAGGCGTTGACACAGCCGAGCTGATCGAACCTTCAGGCAACGGCTCGGTCTTGGGGACGACCGGGTCCAAGGCCGGTTCATTTTGCGTGGAACTGGCGGTCTCAACCATAGAGACCATTGGATACTAGGATGAAGGGGGGATGTGATTTGCCTTGTGGTGCTGTCCCCGAGACAGGTCCGTTGGATCCCCCCTTGCGTGCTCGATGGTGTGGATGACACACCCAACAATCCGGGGGCGTGGGATATAAAATTAGAATGGGCCGGGAAGGAGACAGGCAGGCCAGGCAGGATTATTGAACTGCCGCTGACGCGATCGTATATCAAAAGCCCGCAAAAGCCGGTCTAGCAAACAGGCGGACTTATTTTCCCCCTCAGCAGTCAACACGAATAGACGCGATGGATGATAAAGATAATCGTAATAGATACACGATAGGAAATTTTTTAGCCGGCGGGGTATGGGAATCTGATAATTCAGACGCAGGAAACGCGCGGCTGGGCGGCAGATGGGGACGTGCGAGGGCTGGCAGAGGGTCGCAAGGAAGCCAGCGGATGAGGTGACATAAAGGAAATTGACGATGGATAACGAGATAACCAGCAGGCTCGGGGAGAGAGGGAGAGAGAGAGCGAGAAAGGTAGAGGCGGAGGGGGGGAAAGGTGAGAGTGGGAAAGATGTGAGGTAAAATTATTTACTAAAAAGAACGGGATGTTATTAAAGGGAAAAATGGAAAAGGTCCAAAAGAGAAAATGGGGCAGCAGGAGGGAAAAAAAATTCTGGGTTTTCTTTTTTCTTCTCTTCGATTTTCCCTTTGGGTCGAGGGCAGAGACTTTCCAGGGGAAAAAACCAGTCCATCCCCATCCACTCAACCTCCAGCTCTGACCTCTCGGAGGGAGGCACAGAGAGGGGTGGAGAGAACCCCGACTGCGACTTCGGTTTCGCCGCCGCTGAAACTCTGACCTTACGCCCTGTCCTGTCTAGTCTTTACTTTTTTAAAAAGCGCCCTGTCCCGTCCCCGGGGCTGCTTTGGCTTCTGTGGTTTCTTCGATGCATTCTTCCCTGCCTGGGCTGGCTGGCTGGCTGGCTGGCTGGCTGTCTTACTCTTAACTCCCAAGTCCCAACAACCACCACCCTCGTCCATCCTCCACTTGGTCCTCGCCGCAATTATTCCCTCCTTGCTACTTGCTAGGCGTTCTCTCGGCCGCGGCACCACTGGCAACAAGAGATCCACTGCAAGGTCAGACCCAGCCGAAGATCCGCCCAGGATGAGTCGTCACTGCCTCCGTGGTCGAGTTATGCCCTATTCGACGGGCTTACTACGTACGTCCTGGTCTGTACCTAGTAGTTTGGTCTCTTCTGGTGGTGGTGGTGGTGGTCCGTCCGCCAGGCCATGCGCACTATGCAGGCTCCGAAACGGGTGGAGAGCAGAGAACGTGTTTCCTTTCCGTCTTTCGCGGGCTGGACTGAATGCAATGCCATTGTTGAGTCTAGTACCTGGGACCAGGGCTGCGTAGTAGATAGAGTAGTATCTGTTTCCCGTCGATAGTTCTGGTGGACTAGACAGACGGAGCCTCCCCTCTGGGTGGACTGTGGACAAGCTGTTAATATCTTCATCATCCCGCGGAGATGTTCCGGCAGGTCAAGACAAGGTTTTCCATGGTTCAGCTGGGGCGGATTCCTTGTCCTGCAGTCATACGGTGTGGTTCCTGCACCCTATGCCTTAGACCTCGCGGCGGAAACACGGTGGGTTATGAAGGGTGAGGGTTATGATTGACCTCGCTTGTCTGCAATATGCAATGGCAGAGAGCATCATTTGGATTTCGGAGGGTCGTTTTCGGGGTGGTACGAAGAACGGATTGGATTCCAGTCGAGCAGGAGGAAAATCACGCAGATCCAGAACGCCCAGCCGAACAACGGGGCAATACGGACCATACGGACCATACGGGCCATCCCCCGTGACCCCGTGGCCATTACACCTCCGATACCATACCTGATACCACGATACCACTGCCCGTTCGACTAAATTGCCTTTCTCATCCATCCATCCATCCATCCATCCAACCCTTAAGAGTTAAGATCCATGCTGATGCAGTGCTGCTGCCATTGTTTGATGAGGATGCTGGAGACGAACACACCTGATCTGACATCCGGCTTTCCGGGTCACCACCACCACCACCACCATCTGGACGGCTCCCGTGGCATGTCCGCCACCAACAAAGTACCTGCATATGGTGCCTTGACTACTAGACTAGACGGTAGGAGACCTCCGATGAAGGAGCTCGCCGCCAGCCCAATCCTGTCGCTTACTCCCAGTTGCTGCTCCTAGTATCGGATGGCAGCGCTGCCTTGGGAGCTTCTTTCCGACGCCTCGAAGGCAAAAAGCAACCAAAATGTGACCTGACATCACGAGGTCCCGCCACGGGATCATCTGAGCCTCTGGCTGAGGGGGAGGGAAATGGGCTGATCGGATGGACTGGAAGGCCCTGCTGCGACTACCGACGAGCAACAGCAACTATCGAGTATCGACCAGCCCATGTTTCTTGGCAGGGTTGAGTTGTTCTTGTAGCGGCGTGAGATCGGCTGCGAGTTGGGGGGATGGAAAGTGTAGGATGTATGTAGCATGTCGCATGTCGCATGTCGCATGTCGCCTGTAGGTTCTCTACGACTACTAGTAGTAGATAGTATTGTAGCACCGGAGTATTTCCCATCCAAACCACCATTGACATATAGTCCTTGGCTGGCTGGCTGGCTGGCCCTGATGTCATTCTCAGCAGCGCCAATGTGGACTCTCTCCTGGACTCCATATACGCTCTCGTCCCCGGTCCATATTGTCAGTACCTCCTCATGTTGCTTTCATGAAAAATCGAGTCAATTACTGCCAAAAAAAATCCAAAATGCCCCAATTCCCTGAACTCAGCCAACAACCGCGGCGATCGGCTTTTCTGTCGGCTCCCCACCAGCGCGATGGACTGATTATTCATTCTTGGGTTCTTTTCACATGAACAGTCCGGCTTCACCTTTCACGAACTTCCATCTGCAACTCCCACTCCGATCCGCCCTTATCCGCCCCTCCTCACATCCTCACCTCCTCCACTTTCCTCAAGACCTCATATGCGCCTACGCGATCCGTCTCCGCTCGCCATCAACTAACTTGATCCTGCTGCATCGTTTCCCCTCTCCCCCCCCCTCCCCTCTTTCTTCTCGGCTCTCGGGAATATGGCCTCCTCATCGGCCCCCTCCGCCAACGCTGGCGCAACCCCCAAGTCTACGGACTCCACATCCGCGCAAAGCCCAGAGAAGATTTCTGCTGCATCTGGAAGCGATCAGAAAGCCTCCGCGACGACCCCAAACGCCCCCTCAGAAACCCCCGCCGCGGCCCCAACGCAGCAACAGCACGCGAACAACGCCGATGATGACGATGACGACGAATCCGACTTTGATGAATTGGACGGTACTTTCATTCCCATCATCCTTTAAACATGATCCATTGTAACAGACACAAGAAATCAACTAACATCCTACAGAGGTCCTCGACGATTTCAAGCCCAAACCAACCCCCGCCCCCGCCCAACCCGATGCCGCGCAAGCCCCATCTGCCGACGACTTTGACGAGGAGGCTTTCCTCCGCCAACTCGAACAAGACATGGCGAACATGATGGGCGGCGCCAGCAATGATCCCACTGGCTCGTCCGCCGCCCAAGCCGACCCGGAGTTTCTCGACCAAGACGCAGAGACCTTCGCCAAGTACCTCGAGGAAAGTGGCGTCACGCCCTCGGATTTCTTGAAACAACTCGTCGGAGATGTCATGATGAAGGGTGAGGATGGAGACGACAGCACCACCGCCGCTACCGCGGGCTCTTCTTCCTCCGCTGCACCACCACCAGCGGCGGCGGCAGCAGCAGCAGCAACACCGGCGGGAGGGAACAACGCTGCCCCAGAGACATTCAATGACACGATCCAGCGCACTATCGAGCGGATGAAGGAGTCCGGCGATAAGGCTACGGCCGCTGCATCGGAAGACGACGTCTCGGATGACTTAGTCGCGCAGCTTATCAAGGCGATTGAGGCGGGAGCGGGCGATGGCGACGAGGGCGATCTCACGAAGATGTTCATGGGAATGATGGAGCAGTTATCGAACAAGGAGATCTTGTACGAGCCGATGAAGGAGCTCGATACGAAGTTCGGACCTTGGATCGCCGAGAACAAGGGCAAGGGCAAGGTGTCGGATGAGGATATGGCCCGATATGAGAAGCAGGCCGGGGTGGTGGCGCTGATTGTGACCAAGTTCGAGGAGAAGGGATATTCGGACGAGGACCCGAAGTGTAGGGAGTATGTGTGGGAGAAGATGCAGGAGGTGAGTCCTCGCTTATCATACATATCCTTTGGATTGTGCCATACTGACCAAATCAATCTTTTAGATGCAAGCAGCTGGTAACCCTCCTGACGAGCTCATCTCTGCTCCTTGGATGGAGGATCTCAAGGGACCGGGTGGTGCTGGTGGTGCCCCGGAGTGTCCGCAGCAATGAGTAGATGTCTTGTATGGGTGGGTGATATTGAATGAACGCTACTATGACTATCTCTGTTGTTGTCTCCTGTATTTATGTACATATAGTCTGGATCTCCATGTCATTTTCGGTCAGGGCCAATATTTCATAGTACCTGGTCTTTCTTGTAGATATTCATCCCGGCTATATGTAACAGACCTAGTGGGATCTCTAGACAGTTCCCACTAGATTAGAAACCTCGGCTGGGTAATGGTGACTCGAATTACTTGTACGTCAACAGTATAGTGTATCATTCCATTCCAAAATTGTCTTATGGAAACAAAATAGTTTGAATGTTCTCAATGTGACTATATTATCCAGGCCATTCTTTGACTGGCCTTTTATGTTGGCGTACCAAATACATACCTATATACCTACATGCCCGCATAATCAGACCCTGGAATGGGTTCAATGCTATGCTGCCCCAGCCAACGAACGCCAGACCATGCTATCCTTACCTATCTAGTAGGATCCAGTAAGATCCCATCCCAATCCAATTATCAACGTCAGTGTCAATGTCAATGTCATCCCGTCGGCCCGCGACAATACCCCAAACCCAACCCCCAAACATATACACCGTCATAAAATCACGACATATCCATATCCTGACTATGTGCAAACTCCTGCCCCGACCCGCGAGTATGAGGCTGATGCTCCGCCAGATCCATAAATAGATCATCGTATTCTTCATCACTGAATGAAGCACCCGCACCCGCACCCGCGCCACCACCACCACCACCACCATCAGACTGCTGTCGATGCGGTCCATCATACATATCATTCAAATACTCCAACCGTTCCATCTCCGCCGCTTGTTCTTGCAAATACTCATCTAGAGCATGCGCGTCCATGTCATCTACACCAAGACGTTAGCAACTGTCCACCCCCAAGATGTCATAAATGAGGAACAAGAGCGAAGACATACCAGGTATACCCTCCTCCCCCACCACTTCATCCTCTTCCTCACCAAACCCCCCCAGCCTCTCCGCCCGCCGTCTCATCACCTCCCCCCACCTCTTCTCCTCCGCCACATGCTCCATAAGCACCAACTGCTCGCCCCGGTTCTCGAACCGGCCCTCATCACGCGCCCGTTTCACCCGGTTCAGGAAGAGGTTTCGGCGCGCGGAGGGCGACGCAGACGTCATCATGTGCTTTGTCATGGGGTTGGAGATGGTGGATGCGTAGCGCTGGGCGTAGCTGGAGGGTTGTTGGTGTTGTGGGGTTGGGGACGGGGAGATCGGATCGAATTTGGAGGGGGACTTAATGGGGGTTGTGGTGAAGGGACTGGAGAAGTTGAGGTTGAATTGCGTGGCGGCGGTGGTGGTTGGGGTGCGGTGTGGTGAGAGGGGAGAGGGGCGGGTGGGGGTGTGTTGCTGTTGTTGGTATTGTGACTGCTGGAATTGATGTGGTTGTTGTGGTTGTGATTGTTGCTGTTGCTGCATGGGGAGGGCAGCGAACATCATTTTGGATGTTTGTGTATGTAGGGTGTGTCGGATGACGAGATTTGCGTGTGGATCGATCCAACGAGAATATCTCTGTTGTTGTTATTGCAAGATAAGATAATCCTTAAGCGGTTGCTAGTGAAACCAAGATCAAGAAATGCAATTGAGCAATTAACAACTGCGGAGTATCTGTATTTAGAGTACTCCGTACAGTGAATCGATCGTGATGGAGTGGAAGTGGGAAGACCAGCCAGCAGCCACCGCCGCGGATGGGGAAGTGGCTGGGATTCGCGAGCGCGTCACGACTCCACGTGCCCGCTAGCCTGCTTCGGGATATATTGCGTTCCTCAGGCTCCCTCCGTCAACCATGCGAGGATGCGACTCATCGTATGTACCATGTATCTAGAGGGTGGCCAGATCATGCGGTCCTCTGCATCGTACGTTATCGCGATCTAGACGGTTTATTCCGACGGCGCTAACTATGGATCGACGTCGGGCAGCTGCTAGATGTAGATACTGGTATTTCTAGACCTACGGTATAGTACTACTGGACTCGAGTTAAGCTTGAGACCTGTCTCAGATACAGACAACAGTAAACCCGCATGGCGGTGGGATGGCCGGCCGGGAAAGAGGTAACTAAACTGATACATCGAGCATCCCCAGCCGACAGTGGATCGATGAATGAAGTATCTTTCTTGTCTGGAATCTAGACGGCTAGCTGTATCACTACTAAACTCTACCGGATCGGATTCTCTCAAGTCATTTCTCTCAATTAAATACATACAATCAAAGGCTTTTGAAGGCTGATATCGAGGATCTGCAATCCAGAGAGCAGAGACAGAGATGGACACACCACCGTTCACCGTCCGCTAGAAAAGAAATCAAATGCTCGAGGGGGGAATCAAAGTAAATCACCAACCACAATGCTAGGACAAAATCGCTGTGCTAAGAAAGGAGCGTAATATCGGAAAGACCCGACAGATGGTCTATCAGAGCGAAAAGAAACGGTTGCTTCTTGAATGCAAGGCGTACAACAACCCAAGAAATGGTGAAAAAGCCAGACCAGAGGATTTCCTCGCCAGAAGCGCCAACAATAACTGGGTCATAATCGTACAAATTTACAGTCTCGGGAACGGTATCGAGCCAGACCTTATGCTATCCGGTCCATTACCGTGAGGAACATAGGAAACGCCGGTGTCCGTATTCAGACAGATCCCCGGCCAGCCTAGAAGTTCGATGCAGCATTCACTGGTCCAGGGTTGTGGTACTGGTCAAGCGTGGTCTTGAAGGGCGTGCCGCCGACACCCGGGCTGGGGGCCTTCTCGCGAGCACCTGCACCGACAGCCGTACCGCTCATGAGATCAGTAGATTCGTCGTTGTCTTGCGCAGCCTTCCGGGCGTGGATCCTCCACCCAACAACGGCGAGGGCACCCACAATAATGGCACCGCCAACACCCACAACGACACCGATGATGATCTTCTTTTGAGAAGAGGAGAGACCAGAGCTGCCGTTGGAGTTGCTAGAAGAGGTACCGCTCAGACCAGGAGAGCCAGTCGAATCAGCGCTCGCAGGGGTCGATGTAGTGGTGAGCGTAGTCTGCACAGGCGTTCCGCTGATGGTCTCAATCGTCGTGACCGTCTTCACAACGGGAGTTGCCGTAGTCTGCTGGGTCGTGCTTTCGACGGTGGTCTTGCCATTCTTATTCGTGGTAGTGGGTTCAGTTGTCTGTGCATTGTTGTTTGTCGTTGACGTCGGCTGCTGCTGCTGGGTGGTGTGGGCCTGTGCGTCCGTCGTGGAAGTCGTCTGTTCGGACGTGGTCGACGATGTCGTTGTGGGCTGTCTTTCACTGGTGGTCGAGGAACTCTCCGAAGTAGAAGTAGAGGTTGATGAAGAAGTCGATGATGTTGATTCAGCTGATGTGGTAGCCGCCTCTGTGGTAGCCGCCGCAGCGGGAGTGGTGACGGCGTTGCCTACACTCGTGACCGCAGCGCTCTGACCGGCGACGACGGCCACGAGGGATAGGGAGTAGAGGAGGAACGAGAGACGAGCGGCCCGCATGATGAATGAGTTGAATGGGATCGATTAGTCAAAGTCGGGATATTCGAGATTTTCCTCGGGGCTGCCAGAGCCGGACGAATGGGGCGAGAACAGGGCAAAATCGACACAAGGGGTCAGATTTCCAACGCGACAGAGCCCAGACGGGGAGAAACGATGGGTTGTAGGGCGAGCAGGAGGATAGCAGGAGGAGACCCGGGGGGGCTATCAGGATGGAAATAGGGTTAACGAGTGACTGCAGATATAGAGCACACAGAAGGCACACGCGATGATGAGGACGGGAAAGAGCGTAAGGAGGCGGGATGGAGATGAAAAGGGACTGGAGATGAAAGAGACTAAGAGAGGGAGACCAAGGGCGGGCCACTCGCCGGTCACTGGGGCCCAGCGGGCCTTTCTGCGCAACACGGGTGGTTCAGATGCACCAATCCCCTCTGCCCGCCCAGGAGCGGGCGCTCTCTAGCGCGGACGCTAAGGAGTCTGCCGGCCAGTCAGCGGCGGCAATTTGAGACAGGTTGGACAGGGGGGTCCCCTCGTTGACTGCATTTTTCGGGCGCCTGACTTTGGGCCCAGAAAGTATTTAGTATTTACTAGTATTTTCGGGCCTGTCCTTTCATTTGCCGTTGGCTGTCACGCCCCCCTCCCCGAGCTTGTCTCGGACTACTACGCGGTAGTCCGGTTACTACCTAGTTTGACCCTTCTGGTCCGTCACTTGTACTCTAATGTCCTAGTGAGGTACCTAGAGGAGGATTGAGTCATTATCAGGTACATAGTCCGGGAGATCCCAATGCGATCATGCAAAATTCTGGGTTCGAGGGATGGTTATGGTACACACGTTGCTATTTTAAGGTACGTACCATGGGTCGAAGTACCGTTTAGTGACCGTACCACAGAACACTTGTTCATTTGACTTACCTAAGATTCGGCACCAAAACAAACCAACCCCGAGCCAAAATCCACATAACATTATTATTGTTGTGTATGAAATATGGAGTATGCCTTGTGAAATTTCTCCTTGTCCCTTGAATGAGCAGATTCGCCTAGCTCCGCGTCCAGAAATTCTCCAGGTTCTATCGTCCACTCCTCAGCGTGTTCTTGGGAATGTGTCCGCACTCCTCAGGCCTCACGTGTTCTGCCTTTTTTGAAACCCTTCCTCCTGGCCCCATCGACGTGTGCCGGCTCAGCCGACTGCAGTCCTCGTACTAGTACTCCGGAACTCCGTGCGCTGCAGGGAAATAGCCCGCCTAATTGACTTGAGGGCGGCAATTGGACGGGTTACTCCGGACCAACACCGTCGCTGCTGAGCTGTCTCGCTCTATGGCAATAATGGGGCTGGGGAGGGTCATCGACTCATTACTCATCAAGACCCTGCATCCTAGGGACGGCCGTTCTAATTCGTAATGATCCATCCTCCAAAGCCGTTAGTCCGGCTGCGACACAGCATGATTACCACTGTCCATTATATTCCTGAGAGACTTGAGGCACTGTGAGTCGGGTGATCGGCAGGACATGACGGGTTCTAGATTCTTCCCAATCCACTGTTTTTCAATCCTCATTCACTCGTCGCTGGGCATACGTCGGGGCTCTGGAACGTTGTTGACGTTGTCCTTTGTTAGGCTAGGCCGTGCTTGCGGTGTTTGGCATGCCACGGCGTCGTAAGGTGGCTCTGTGCGTGTGCCTAGACCGTCCCCTAACCCACGGTGTGCACAAGACGGGACCACTCGGGACTCTGCAGCCACTCGGTCTTCTTCTACATAAGATGCTCGCGTGGCAACGACTGATTCCGATCGCCTCTTCTGTCCGTTGACAATGATTAGTCAGGACCTTAAGTCTTGTCCAGTGCTTACATTATTATTGTCTGGAAGGTGCGAAATATCAGTGACTCATTTATATTGACGAGGTTACGTATCTATCTCTCCGGAGTCTGCCTATCCTCGGTTCCGGGGTTGCACAATTACCAGCTCGCCTGCATATGCAGGTTCCGCAGAAAATAGAGCAGCCCTGGCAGTGGTGCAAACTCGTGCCGGCGTCCCTGAGAGTGGGTATGAAACATACAGATCCTGCCATCCGGTTTTCCCGATCTACACGTCACATGGATACTATGGATCTTTCCATTCCCAGCGATAGCCGGCTATGATTGCATCTTCCCGTATCGGAAGAAACAACGCTGATTGTCGACTACGCCTGACTTGCACCTAACACTATATATGTACGCTTCGACTTTCAAAGCCCAACCCAATAGTCCAAAGAAACGCGGTAGGGCAAAGCGGATGAAGCCATCGAAGTCTTTGGATGGAATGAGGGACATGGCTCATGGTGCTCAAGAGCTACAACCCAATCTTCATCCGGTGTACTACGGGTACATGGTGATGTAGTGGGAAAAGGGTCAGATGAGAAACAGACAACAGCAACCAAGCATATAATGAATTGATGGGTATCATAAATCATGGATGTCAAGGAAAACGTCGACGCCGGAAGAGTGGGAATACCCCCTCATTTCAAGTCAGAACTTTTTGGGGGGTTTACCTCTCATCTGGTCTTTGATTTCTTCCTTGAAGTACTGGAAAAATGAGTTTGCAGCAGAACCTAAAGTGAGGAGCAAATTAGTATCATGTGATACTTTACAGCTATTACGATCGTCCACAGCATGGAGGAACCTCATACCAGACTTCTCAATCTCCGTGTCCCGCGCCTCTGGTGGCACGCCATTCTTAAAGTGACGAACTCGGCGGTGGATGACCCCAACCATCTTGTGAAACGACCGGCTGGCTAGCAACTATACATGGCAATATAAGCGTCAAGCCCAGAGGTTAGATGCCATCAAACACCTACTCTAGACGTAAGCCAATCCTAGATGAAGTAGTTGATTAGTATTGAGTGTCCGTATACGATGGTCCAGGCCCATCATCTCCCTGATACGCACCTCGAGGGGCCGTAGCAGCATGAAGTGCTTGATGAAATTGAACACCATCTTGAGAATGGACTCTCCAGCCAAGCCAAATTAATGCGTCCCCAATAGAGAAATAAAACCTATACACCGGAGGGGGGAGGGGGGGTTGGTGAGAGCCAGAAGTGAGTTGGAAGGCAACAACTAAGTCGAGTTCCATGTAATTATTCAGCCTGAGGCTGGTGACCGATCGGCCTTACACCAATCAGGGCGGGAGGATTGCTTCCGCCCGCTGCAAGAAAGCCGGGGAAATGGTTGTTCCAGGCTGGCCAGGGATGGAAGTGATGGATTGGAGAATGGAGAGAATGAGGTCGTTCATGGCTGGCGATGGCCGGCGCGATGATCGAGGCACCACCTGAGACCTGATCCATGACTCGGATCGTGAATTTATGGTATCTATCTCTAAGAGGTCGTCCCCGAGGGGAATCTCCTGATTACATCACTGCTCTTCAATCACCCTTAAAAAAAGCCGCCGTACTGTAATCTCGTCCAAGGGCTCCATACCGTCCTGACCCAGAATGATCAATAAAAAATTACTCTCCAAACGAAGATTCCGTTGATCCCAACTTGGGCAATCCCGTTGAAATCCTCTTTTCTTTCCTCCCGTCTTCCTACTTCTGGACGATTTGATTTCTTCTTATATAGTCGTACTTTCTTACCGTCGTCCAGTCCCACGCTCCTTACTCCTCTTCTGATCTAATGACTCCATTTCTCGGACTGCTGGCCACGTCCTAAAAAAAAAAGGTGCGGGGAGAACTGCATTGCCACAAGGTGTCGCGAGGGGCCTGCTACCCAGTCTTTCCTTCGTTTTTGCTGCTGCTGCTGCTGCTTCTCGGGGCGCCTCTCGTTGACTAGGTTCGAAAATCCACGGACCCTGCCGTTCTCCCTTCCTTCAATCCGAACCGAACTGGTGTCGTGTGGTGTCGTCGTCACTGTCGTGGGCTGCAACGGAGTTGGCTGTCGGCTTTGGTGTGCCGGGCGAGTCATCCTCCATATTGTCGAGGCCCTCCCAGTCTTCCTATTCGGCCGCGTGTTGTCCCCGTGAGATCCAGAAATCTGGCCAAGCACAATATTACGTCGAGGGGCAGCTTCCACAGCTGTCCCGATCTGTCCACGCTACAGATATCATCCCTGCCGCATTCCCCCAACGGCGCGCTTGACGATCCGCCCGACGGCCTCGAGGCCAAAGTCACCACCGCCCCAACCTCTCGCTCGCCCTCGCCCTCGCCCTCTACTCTCAGTCTACGCAGCGGTCCCCGAAAACTCGCAGCGACCAGGAAGCGGGTCTCCAAGAAGGCGCGCGGCGTCCTGGGTAAGGTTCGGGCCTTCCAGAGGATCGCTGCGGCCAAGATGGCGCATCCCACCATCAAGATCGATACCAGTGTGCAATCAACCAAGCGGGCGCTGCCCGAGGATAACGACGACGGGTTCGAGATCATAGAGGGTCCTGAGAATGAGGACCCGGGGTTGGAAGCGCGCGATAATGAATCCGTTCCTACATTTCTGTGCCAGTCGGTCCTAGGTCAGTTTGCGCCCGTTGAATACATCCCCGCTTGCCTCTAGTTGTCCGATCGTGTCTTGCGCCACCCGATATCACCATCTTTAAATTCTGGTCTACAGTCCGACTAATATCCTGTGATCCATTAGAGATCCATCAAAAATTCGAAGAACTCGAATGGATGCAGCGGTCCCGGATCCATGAGGGGATGCTAGCCAACGACCCCTCACATCGTTGGGCGCTAGAGGGAGACCCCGAGGTCAAGGCAAGAAACCGATATATTAACGTGCAGGCATGGGCCAATTCCCGCGTTCATCTGCGGGTGCCGGAAGGCGAATGCGATTTTATTAATGCATCGCCCATCGTCTTGAAGGATTCAGTTTCGCGCCAGGAAAGACGGTATATCGCGACTCAGGTAGGCGAAGGTGTTCTTCCGGATGCTGGAGGCTATACACTAATCCGCTAACGTGCAGGGTCCGAAGCTCGGCCACCTCGCCCATTTTTGGCAGATGGTGTTCCATGAAAGTCAAGATGTAGGCGTTATTGTCATGCTCACGCAGACCTTTGAGGCGGGCCGAGAGAAGTGCTCCCAGTACTTTCCGCTGGATAGTGAGAACGCCTCGATGACTCTGCGACGTGTCGAGCACGATCCGTTCGTGAACGACGACCACCCTCAGCAACCCAACGAGGACATTCTGGGTCAGGTCACGCTTCTCGAGACCCAATGGGATCCTACGGCCCGCTCGGAAACCCGCAAACTTAAGCTTACCATCGGTGCAGAGTCGAAGGTGGTCTGGCATTTCCTCTTCGCTGGCTGGGCGGATTACTCCAAGCCCGAAGGCGAGGACCGCGATGCGCTCATCCAGCTGATCAAAGTGTCTGGCTCTAAATGTACCCCAGCCAACCCCCGTATTGTGCACTGCAGTGCTGGTGTCGGCCGGACAGGCACTTTCATTGCGCTCGACCACCTTCTGCAGGAGCTCGAGGCGGGTCAGTTACTCGAGGCGACTGAGCCCAATCTCGACCCGGTCTTCGAGACGGTCAACCAGATGCGCGAACAGCGAATGATGATGGTTTATAACGAAATGCAACTGCAATTTATATATGAAGTCCTCCGGGAGCAGACCGATGTCAAACTCGGCAAAGCCGTCGTGCCGAGCGGGCGCAAGTCGGACGAGAGGTCGACGAAGATGGCCAGGTTGTCGACGGACAACAGCTATCGACCATCCTCCAAGCCCGAACTTGAACCCGCCGAAGATCACCGGTCCACGCCGACACGGAGTTGGTCGGGCACCCCCGAGGTTTCTGACAGCGATTGAGGCGCCGGCACCGTCCAGTCGACGGGGCCCAGATTTCACTATATTACCTTTCTACGTACATATAACCTTCTAATCACCTATTGATGTTTTTTTTTTTTCTTCTATCTGCCATGTCCTGTTCTTTGCCATGACTAGCTACGAGATCCGGCCTGCATCTCCACCATGCATCCATTCTGCCCTTTGCGCCAGCCACCCTGCATCTTCTGTTTGCGTATTACGACATCGTGCCTTCATTTTGTTCAGTGTCCGGGATCACCGTCCGCCTTGCGCATTGTCATTCGCCCTCGGCGCTTTTGACTCTCTAGCATTAGAAGTGGTGTACCATAATGGATTTGTGCATCTGCCTGGAATGATTAATGATGCATCTGCTCGTACCAGACCGAGTCCTCCATCCATTTATCTATATATATCGATGTAAATTAAACGATCTCATATTAGGCAGACGCCCCCCTCTTTCGTCCTATTTACAACACAGTCCCTTCCACGGGGGTGGGGTTATAGAACCAACCAGAAACGGGAACAAACAGATCATTGAGACGCGGTATAGAAACAATACGAAACAAAACACAAACTCAAAAGTGAAAAATAAAGGCAGACTCAAACGCCGGGAACGGTCATGATAACATCATAGTTAGTGACAGTAATTTAGTCTGTTACTTTTTTTTCCCTTTCTCCGTGGCAGATGGGCGTCATGAACCGGAGTATAGTAAAAGCGAAAGTGAGACAAATCCCGCAATACTTATTGAGACATCAGATGAGCGTGGAGTGGATGGATGGATGAATATAGTATCGGAGCAGTCGTGCATGAGGGCGTAATAGTAGAGAGTGGAAGCGGAGAGGGAGAGTGATAGGTGGAGGTGAGTTGAAATCAAAGGCATGCGTATACATCTCGTTCTTTCGGGGAGTCTTTTGCTTCATTCAGCGGGAGACGGCCAAAAGAGGTAAAGCAGAGTACTGAGGATGATGGGTAAAGTGAGGGAGGGAGAAGGGAGGGAGATCAATCACTCCGCTTCGCTCCATGCCCATCAGCAGGCGACACCCGCTTCGAGGCATCACCCGCCAAGTCGCCCGTCTCGTCATCCTCCTCCCAGTTGTCAACGGCATTCTCGTCCCAATTATCCACCTCCTGCTCGAGACTCATCACACCTGTTTCTTGGGGTCCGAGACCCTCTTCCTCGTCATGGAGGTGGCCGAGCTCGACATCATTGTCGGTGCCGTCGCCACCTAGAGAACCGAAGCGGGCCTTGCGGCGCCGGTCCAGCATGCGTCGGTGGTACCAGCTACAGAGGCCGACAGCGCCGAGACTGCCGACGATGTTGGCTAGGAGGTCGAACGGGTCGAAGTTGCGGCCGTTGGGGAGAATGCCCTGCACGATTTCGGAGCCGATGCCGAGGATGAGGGTGCAGACAAGGAGGGTCAGGTGGAGGTTTCGGCGACGGGTGGTGTCGAAGACCCAGTAGAAGATGAGGGAGAGGAGGAAGAAGGTGACGACATGGAGGAATTTGTCGTTGGGTTGAAGTTGGGATGGGATGGTGGATGAGGTGCTATGGGGAAGAAGGCCGACGTAGGCGGCGAGAATGAGCAGGAAGACAAAGGCGCCTGGTGAAGAGGAGGGTTAGTAGGGGACATATCTAGATGATCGTGGTGTTGGTGTTGCTGATTGTGTGGGAGCTGTGGGAGCAGTGCGACGATCGGCAGATGGGGCATGGTTGAGCTCTGGTTTGCTTCGGAAGAGATGGACAAGCCAATGGATGGGGACAGGGTGGACATACCCGCGAAGGGATACCGGATTCGCATGGTGGGCGATGTGGAGGGCCGGTGGGGGGGAGGGTGAAGTGGGAGGAGGAGAGAAGAAATGAAGGTGAAGGTGAAGGTGATGATGGCATCTGGCGGGTGTACAGTACCGGCAGACGGCAGCCTCAGGACGCCAGGCTATGCGGCTTCAACTGGTCATCCGGTGTGTTATGGTCGGTTATTGTGGTATTCGAGTCGATCCTCGGGGGGCATTGGCATTGTTGTCCAGGCAGGTCGACGGGCTTGCTGGGCCCTGTCTGTTTTGTGTACCCATCTGTCTATATCTGGACCCCGGATTCAATCGTCTAAGAAAGTGTTAGAGGATTCTTTGATGGAGGATCCTTTGAAGCCGTTCATGGGAATTGCGCGGTTGGTCTGAAGCTGCGGCGGCCGGTCCGCCTTCACGCTCCGACTTCACCTCCTCCGTTCGCGCAGAGACCCTCGAAAGAAGCCCTCCGCTTCGCCATCAAATCCCTCATCGCCCCATCTCTCTGGGCCCCGAAAACATCGTCTCTCATTTCCTTGCACCTGCCCGCGGGTCTCTATGTCTTTTTCCGCCCGGAAAATCCCCCTCTCCTGCCCCAGCTGGACCTGATCCTAACCGTGGAGAAAGAGCCCCCCTCGCCCGCCCCAGAACCGGGGTCTTGGAGCGAACATGTCGCTCGGACACCACCACGCCTGGCTTCCCCCAGGTCATCTGCGCCCGCCTGATGATTTCCATGATGCGCGGTCCATCAATGGCTACCCCAAATCATTTTCCGGTTCTCGAACCCCCCAGATGCGCGCTTCGGCCGATGCCGACGGGTCTCACGCGGGCGGTCTGATATCGGATGCGGATATTGCAGGTGATGAGGACCCGCGCATCGCCATGTTCCGCGAAATGTACAAACGGAGTGAGGCGAAGATAAATACCCTCTTTGCCAACCAGAAGTCGGCCGAAGATGCCCACCGTGGCGCGGTCCCTGACTTCGACGGCCCCCAAACCATGAACCAACGCGCCGACGAACCCGCTCCGCTCCCGGCGCCCCCTAAGAAGCCCGCCAGAAAGCTAGACGACGATGACTATGACGAGTATGATGAGGATGGTGAAGATGAAGCTGACACTCCCCCCCCTGCGAAGAGCAGGTCTCTTGGTTGGTCCCAGGTCCCGAGTAGTTTCCCGTCGCCCAGTCGACCACCCAGCGGCTCCATCTCGGTAGGCCCTGATGCGCAAAAGGAGGCCAAGAAGGAGACACTGGAGGACATCCGCAAGAAGCTAGAGGAAGACAAGAAGGCAACCGAGGAAGCTGCCAGAAGAAGCTTCCACACCCTCTTTTATACATTAGAGAACGATAGAGATGCCATGTTGGATCAGCAGCGGCTAGAAGAGTCGGAGCGACAGGTTGAAGCTGAAATGTCGGGCCAGGCGAGTGCGGGCAGCAATGCAAATCCGACTTCCAACGGATACGGGTCGCTGAGCAGCGCGAACCTGGGCGCCTCGAGCCTGACCCTGAAGAACCTGATCGCACGGATTGATATGAAGCGGAGTCTAGTCCAAGCCTCCGATGCGGAACTTCGGAGTCTGATGAGCGAGGTCAGGAAGAACCGAAGTAAATGGGCCAGCGAGGACAAGATCGGCCAGGAGGAGTTGTATGAAGCGGCGGAGAAAGTCCTCAGTGAGCTCAAGGCGATGACCGAGCATTCGAGTGCGTTCTTGACTCGAGTCAACAAGCGCGATGCGCCTGACTATTACACGAGTGAGGCATTCTGACCCAGCTACCCCGGACGTTTCGTTGCTGACCCCTGCCCTAGTCATCAAGCATCCAATGGATCTAGGTACTATGACCAAGAAACTCAAAGCTCTGCAATACAAGTCGAAGCAGGAGTTTGTTGATGACATCAATCTGATATGGTCCAATTGTTTCAAGTATAACACTAACCCGGAACACTTTCTCCGCAAGCATGCCATGTACATGAAGAAGGAGACGGAGAAGCTCGTGCCACTCATCCCGGAGATCGTCATTCGAGACCGCGCTGAAGTCGAGGCAGAAGAGCGGAGACTGCAGATGGCGGAGCTCGATGGCGCCGAAGAGAGCGACGACGAGCCGATCATGTCGTCCCGTGGTCGTAAGGCCCCAGGAAAATCATCGTCGAAGAAGGGAACGGCTCCGGTTCGGAACACCCCTAGCGGGTCAGAGCCTCCCGGTGGCCAGGCCTCTCAGCCCCCGGGTCCTGTGCGTTCGGATTCTGATGTGCCAATGGAAGGGACTCAAAATGGGTTTGCAACGCCACCTCCCGGCACGCAGACACCCTCCGATCCTGCCGGTGTTGGTGCTGGTCTGCCAGGAAGCCAGAGTGACGCCATGGAAATTGACGGTCTCATCCCAACCAGCACTATAGTGAACGCCTTACCTGCGTCGGGGGTGGAATCGGAAGACCCCGAGTACAAGGTTTGGAAACAGGTGACGAAGAAGGATCGAGCGGTTATCGCTGCTGAGAGGCATCGGCTCTTCAAAGGCGACAAGCTCAACCCTGAGGAGCCGGCCTTGCTCCGGACTAAGGCTGGCATGCGACGGTGGCTAAGAAACCAGAAACAGGTCATTGCGGAGGGCGATAAGGCGCGTGAGTCGACTTCACAAGGCCTGGAGTCGGGCGGCGCAGGGGAAACACTAGCAGAAGGCATTGAGGTGGATGAGGATCGAGTGATCCCTGACTATTACGATGTCATGTCGGGGGTCCCCGACTTGCCTGCTCAGCTACTCTGGAAAGAAGACTCTGATGGCAACATCGTGGATGCATCCGAAGAGTTCTTGAGAGTGCTCCCTCGAGGCTCCTTCACGCAACCAGACAGTAAATTGGCCCGAAAGATGGATGCCAACATGCGCCAGATGCAGGAGACGCGGAAGATCTGCTCGAAAATCGGCATCGTGAAGCAGATGCAACTGCAGTCCCAGGTAGGTGATCTCTCTGCTCGCCATCGTGCTCTTGTCTAACGCATTGCAGATGTACCAGAATCAATTCCAGAAATACCAGCCGGAGCCGTTCGTCGAGCAGGATGTGCCAGCTCATGTGATGAACGATGGGGGACCGGTCGTTTCTCCCTGGGTCTGCCGGGCTGCCTTACAGCGCTCCGTGGCGAAGATCTTCTACCACACCGGCTTTGAGGAATACCAGCCATCTGCTCTGGATGCGGTTACAGATGCGGCCTCCGACTTTTTTCAAAAGATTGGCGAGACGCTGAAGTCTTATATGGAGTCCCCCAAGGTACCGGTGACCGACTCGGCCGATGCCACCGCTGCCACTCAGTGGAAGCGAGCCTATACCGAGCCGGAGATCGTGCTCCATACCCTCTCGTCGGTCGGCATTGATGTGGAATCTCTGGAGTCCTACATCAAGGACGACGTGGAACGGCTTGGCACGAAGCTCTCTACCGTACATGACCGGCTGCGCTCGCTGCTTTCCGAGCTCTTGCGACCGGCCCTTGCCGATGGCGGGGAGGACGGCTCCAGCGCCTTCCATGATGGCAGTGAACAGTTCATTGGCGGGGACTTTGCTGAGGATATCGACGAGGACTTCTTCGGGTTCAAGGAGCTTGGGCTTGACAAAGAGTTTGGTCTGGCTACCCTCAGCGTACCTCTTCACCTCCTACAGAACAGGATGTACAATGCCGCCCAGGCCCAGAACACAAGGTACGTACCTCTCTTGTCTCGACTGCAGCGTTTCATACTGATCGGTTCCGCAGTGCTGCCCAGGCCGTCACACTGTATCCACCACCGCCTTCATATCCGCGCATCACGTCGGCGAACCTTTCGTCGCAAATCGGCTTGGTCCAAGGATTCTTTGGGTCGAAGCTTCAGACCAACAACAACGAGCCGCTGGTTGAAGACCTGGAGCTGCCACCGAAACAGCGGCCGATGGCCGCCCGGCCTAGACTTCCCGCGTCCGGCAAAATCCCACCGCCTTCGGGGCCCTCAGGCCCCTCGTCCAGTCCGCAGAAGCGTCCGCTCCCGCCAACCGCCCCGGGCCAACCCGCCGCGAAGCCCCCGGCCTCAGAACCCAGCAAGAAGAAACTCAAGAAAAACAGCGGAGTCGCCCTGAGTGCCCCTGATCCACCGGCCGAGGGCGACGATGCCGCTGCGGGCGCAGAGAGCAGCAAGGCTACAAACCCGTCAAGGACCACCTCTGGCAAAGCTTCCACAACAGAGGCAAAGGATCAGTCGGCGGCACTCGAGGGCGCCGGTGTCGACAAACATGCGCCAACGGGCCCAGCCGTGGTGAATTCCAATCACAATAACGACAGCGCCGCGCCCCCGCCACGAGAGGACTCTGCAACGATGCTGAGTATTCGAGGCTGAACGGGACGGCGGATGATGCGTCATGATGTGTATGATCATCTACCTTTTCCTCTGGTATGGGGACGGCCCGGGGGTTTTGTACTGTAGTTTTCTCTCTCTCTTTCTCTCTTTCTCTCTTTCCCCTCTATTCGATCCGATCCAACCCTGGCACGGTTCCATTCATCCTCATACCTTTTCTTTCGTCCGTGTCTTTTATTGATTGAGTATATTAACCTCGCTCCGCCATGTCTGATTACCTGCTCTGTTGTCATCTTTCTCACTCAATGCCCTTGAATCTGGATGATAAAACGTGCGATATGCATCATCACACATTCCTATCATACCATCATATCTTGTCATCTCGTTCCTGGCATGTTTATTCCCCTTATCGACAGCCAACAAGAGAACCAACACAATTGCTTAAAGAGGAAAACCTAATTATACCAAAATCCAATCCACCATCCATGTTCTTTCCCTCTCCCTTTCCATTGGTTCCGGTCTGGCCCGGTCCGGTCTTGGTATCGTGACCCAAAGTGTAGCGGGCAGCCAAGACAGACCATGTACACGTCCATCCATACGGAGCCCTCCGTAGGAAATCCTCTGATCGATTGATTGCCATCTGGCCTGCATATCCGCCTAGACCAAATCCGGCGCTGGACCTGGCCTTGAACCTTGTATCCCAACGTTATGGGCTCATAACCACACATGCATTCCTAGATACGATACGGGGTCTTGTTCGCGTTTCATCGCACCAGCAAACGGTGGATGGCCAGGTGACACAGACACGTCATGGTCAGGGTAGACGGAGGCTTCCGATGCCGGATGAGAGAGAGAATGATGGCTTTATTCCTCTACCAATACTCTTTCTCTCTCTCTCTCTCTTCCTTTCTAGGTACTTATCCTTGTCGTATCACTAATCTTACATCCATTGAATCTTCCTTCTCTCCTCTCTGATGCATGTATATCACGTCCTACAGAACAGAGCAGAGGAGGGCAGAGCAGAGCAAGCATTGAACTCCCCCCCCCCTCCCCCTCCCAAAACCAACATAGTACTCCAATCCTTGTACTACATAGATAACCCCTCCCGTCCCTTCCTCTTTCCCTCTTTCCTTCCCTATTTGCCACCGTGGACCTTCCTCGCCCTTTTCCTCTTTCAGTTTCCTTCCCTCCCCGCTAGCACATACAGTGATACCCAGACCCACCCACCCTAGGTACGGCCATTGCCCAATCCCCAGCCCCAATTCCCAACCTTGAATAAGTAGTACGTAGTAATCAACACCCGGGCCTCTACCGTCCCTCACAAACCTATACATAGTACAAACAACGGAGCCGTTTCCCCCTGTCCGTCCAGTGTCCATCTCCTCTCATCCAGCCAGCCTTATGCATTCCCGGCCGCCCCACATCAGATTCAGCAAGCAAGCAAGCTAGCCCTAACCAAATCAAATCAAATCCAAATCAACTTCAACCACTTGCTGTCCTTCTCCTTAAATTTAACTCAACTCTACTCCCACTTTTCTTCTCAAGTAGACTAGATACCAATCCCCCCCCCCCCTCTCTCTCTCTCTCTCTCGGCCTAATGCGCACCAATCCATGCACCATAATCCAAATGGATTCCATAAAGAATGAATGCCTGGTTGGCGTGTTTCTGCTCATTCGTCATCTTTGGCAATAGACGCACGGATAGACGGCCGTGCCTGGCAGCCCGACAAACGCCCAGTTCTTTGTAGGTCTAGGTCCGGTCGAGTCTGGTCGTTTGTTTGGCCGGCCCGTGGCTTCGCGTGGCTTCTTTCCGTTAATTTGGGTCTGCCAGGGTCATCCCGGACGCGCCGTTTGATGGTGCTACGATCGTACTTCCTACATGGTTTGGATCGGATCGGTGACAGATGAGGACTGAGCCTAGCTTTGCCGATTCAGATGCATCGTTTGGATGCTTAATACAGCAAAAAGTACGGCAGCATGGCTCCAATTTTACCAATTTCCATTACTTTACTAGCTCTACTGCCATTCTCACGATGAACCTTTAGCGAAGCAACAATAGTATTGACTAAACTCAAGGACTAATGTACGGTAACCCTGTTCCGGCCTGCATGATCTATCAACCTAGTCCATCCTGCCATCAAGGCTGGTCAATTCGGTCACCAGAGTATGCTACCTGAATATGAGCTATACCGTCACAGTCCGAGTACTAAATAGCAAGCGAGAACCACCAGTCGACATGCCGGACGTCGCTGGGAATAATCGAAAAAAGAGTTACCAAGATCGCTCTCCACCGTGGACAACTCCCGTTCAAATGAACCACATCGTGAAAGGCAGTCGGTTGACGTTGTTCCAAATGGGGAGTAGCTTCGCGTCCAAAGGACGATTGGCCGGCTTTGGGTTGGTAAGCTTGATCTGATTACCACTCTGTGGCCCAGAGCTGGCGGGCACATTTTCGTGCGAGCGGGCGCGGTTAGCAATGATATGGGCATAGTAAATCGCGGGGTCTAGTGTTGCAAACATATTAGCCATATCAACCTCAACTGGAAATATATGGAGACTTACACAGAGACACCGACGTGGTGGATCTGATGTACTGATAACAATGATCGTAGATCATGTTCTGAATCTCATGAGGCTTGTGCCCAATCTGGTCCAGAATCACATGGTAGTGAACTGGCCGCGAGGTTCCCTGAAGTGCAATGTGCGAGTACAACAAGAAGTCGTAGTCATGTGCACTGGTTATATCCCTCTCGATAAGGATCCCAGGCAGAGGGTTGTTATTACGATCGCCAGAGCTGCGGTCATTTGCCTTAGGGAAGGCCCTGAGATGGTGACGCTTATTAGCAACCACAACGGTAAATTTGCCCTTCCACTGATCGTTAGTTAACGACATGAAGACGCCTTTCATGTCCGTCACCTCCTGGCTCAGCACCGCGTCGAATTGGCCGGTAGAAACACCGTCGCGGAAATAATAAACATTGTCGGGCGCGCGTCCTAGTCCAACTGTGGACATCCACTCGCGAACAAGGGGCTTAAGCATGAACTCAATGTTGGTCCGCGCGATAATTTCCACGCGATCGCTGTTGCCTTCGCAAGCACCCCAGTAGCTGCCTCCGAAGGAATCCATGCAAACAGAAATGGCCGCCATTGAGGGAGACCAGACACCCATGGGAGGATGGGTCACATCGGCGCCGATGATCATGGACTGGGGCCGCAGGGTTGCGCCGGAAACCCTGGATGCGACACGAGCTGTAACTCCCCCAAGCTTGGCATTAATTTTCATCAGCACGTTGGAAACATACTGCGGATTGACCCCGTTGGGCTTGTTGAGATGGTCCGCCTGCATGACTTGTGAGGGCACACCCCAGCGGCAGTCGCACGACTTCTTGATCCTTGTGTAGGTGAAGGAGTTCTTGTCCGGGACGATGAAACACAGTAGCTGGGGATTCAAGTTCATTGTCTTCCCAACAATCTGATGCAACTTCTTAATCGCATCCCCAATGTCTTCCTTGAGCTCAACAACTACCGGGCGGCGCGTTATGTGACCACCATGTCCGGCGTAAGTTTTCATGAAAACATCAACGAATGCGTCCACCCTGGCCTTGGAAATTGGGTTACGTCTTCCCGGGAAGACACCAATTCCCCAAGACTCGAGGGGCTTCTTGTTCGGCGCATAGAACTTCTTTCCACGAAGGTCCCACCGGCCATTGGTCCCGGGGTCAACGCGCTGGTTGTTCCCAAACAGGATGTGAGGGCTAGGAAGAAGGCGAGCCTTGGTCTTGATCATGGTGTCACCGATTTGGAGACCAAAGGCGTTAAGGACTGGATCCGCGGAGTGAGCAAGCATTGCCTTGGAATTGAGAATGGTTTTCAGCCTCTCCTGCGGGCGAGACGCGGCATACTTGATCATCTGAGATGTCTGCCATTCGTTCAACTTCCAGGGATATCGCTGGAGGCCCACGATAGTCAAAATCTCCATGGGGTAGTAGACGCCCTTCTTCGTCATTTCGACCATTGGCAGTTTCCAGTTGAAGAGAGTCAGGTTATACTTGCGCTCGAAGTATGCCTCCACGCTCATGTTCTCCGTCTTCCCAGTCGCTTTATCCTTGACATCGATCTTAAAAGTGCGCGCATTGGCCTTGATAATGCTCTTGATGGTGAAAGGCTGGCCTTGAACAGGGCATCCTGTGTAGAACGGCGCCACGATGAGCTTGCGCAGGCGTTTGTCAAGTTCATTGACCCAATTGTCCCCGGTTGGATTGCCATTCCGATCCTCTCCGGGAGTAACAAGGGCCTGAAGGTGCTGGTGGTCTCGGGCGTCGCAGACAGCCATTGCTGCGCCTTGCAGACTGATACGGGCCCAAAAGCACGTATTGGAAACATCGACGTTGACAACCAGGGTGCGATTCTAGAGTACGAGTTAGTTTAGAGCCAAAGCCGGAGCAAAGAGAGGATAGGGCTCACAATCGAAGGCCGGATGGCTTGATACACGCCCTTAAAGGCCAAAACGCCGTTGCCAATGTCGTCGTGTTCTCCCAGCTTTCCATCGAAGAAGGAGCGCTTGACAGCTGTAAACTTCGAAGTGGGATGTTCTCGAAGAACGTGGTCGAGGAAATCTTGAAGGGTTAGCCTACCGCCCGCAAGATTCCAGCCAGCGGGAGTACTTACTTAGAGCCTCCAGAACTCCGTCCTGCATGGACGTCTTGCCCTGGAGCCAGAGGTTCAAGACCGATAGGTCGACCTTTCGAGTGGGCCGAACAACCAGACGGAAGGTATTGCCAGCCTTGCCGGTGACGGCCCGTCCCGCGTCGGCGTCTAGGTCGATCAGCTCATTGAAACCGTCCTGGTAGTATACCAAAGACCTGTCTGCGTAAGTAGTTGTCTTCACCAAATGGATGCTCTGATGCGTACCAGGCGAGCTTCTGCCCGTCGAAGATGATACCCTTCAGGGCCGCCTTTCTGGCGTTAGAAGCCCAAACCTTCTTGTTGATAATGGCCTTTTCGATACCACTACCGACTTGAACCTAGGTTGAGGGTTAGCAAGCCATCCAATTCTGTCCGGTAGATGCAACTTACATCGTACTGATAGACGGTACGGCTCGGGAACTTGTTGATCGGAAAAGCATTGACTTGCAGTTCAACTTCTTTTCCCGTGTTGTTGAAACCCGGACGGGCGACGGTATGAACTGGAATGTCATACTTCATAAGCTGGTTAGCATCACGAAGCCGCAGATGGCGGAGGCCACCATCGAGCTTATTAATAGCCTCGATGTCCACCATAATGAGAAAGTGTAATCAAAGTATAATTGACGTGGTAAGAAAACTGAAGGCTGAGCAAGAGAAGAAACCGATTGCGCAAAGGAAAGGGGGTGATGAGGAGAGGAAGGAAGAGATGGACATCGGGGGGGACGAAGGAGTTTATATAGTAATAGGGACTGTCTCCTGTGAAGCAATAGAATTGTCCCCAAATACAGTGAAACCAGCCGATGAATACAGGCCAATGGGTTGCTGTAAATGTAAATGGTGAATTCCTGCAATATAATGGATGATAGCGTTCAACCAATGGCCAAGGTGAATGCATGCGGCAGCTGTCTGAACATACCCAGCTTAAGATTGGGGAATCTCTTCAACGGGGGTGACGATGCGAGTAGGTAATGGGCGAGAAAGGGAATAACCGGGGATTGGTGAAAGGGCTGAGGGAACATGCAGCAGGACGCTGCTGCCGGAACAAAGCCAGTGCAGAGTAGCAGTTACACCACATGATGCATGTCCAACAAATCCCAGCCGGACTGATGGACCGGGGATTTTCCAAACCAAGTGAAACTTACCAAATGATTGATGGCAAATGCCGACATTGGGAGGTCGACATTTCTGCACATGTCGGTTTTCAACCTCGGCCTATCCAGTGCCGGGTCTTGCAAAGGAGGACCTCTGCTTTGCATTTTTGAGAGTGGGATCTTCCCTGAGAGTGTTGATCGATGGTATTTCTAAGGAGGAGGATCAATGAGAAGTTCTTTTCCAGAACAAGGAACAGGAGGAGATGCGTGTAGGAGATGCGTGGTGGAGAGGAGAGAGGAAGAGGAGGGAAGAGGAGAGAGGGCTTATATACCTGGCGCCTGGCGAGCGAAGTGAGAGATGATGAAGCAATGTGAGACGGATGATGAGGATGATGAGAGAGAGGCGAAGAGAAAGAGGATGAGGAGACGAGAGAACAGCAACAACACGTCGAAGGCGAGTCGGGGGGGCAACCACGCGTGATGATCTCTGGATGAGGAAGGCGCGAGCCAGAAGTGAGCCCGCCGCGCCCTCGCGCCTTCCTTTTTTGTGCGCCTTCTACGAATGTCCGGAGAGGATCAGGTGAGCGGCCATCAGGCTGAAGCACTTTGTGCAGACCCTTTGGATCTGATATGGTTGACACGGCAGCCTGGGCGATATGCTGAACTGAAGACAATTGCAGCGGTCGATAACCTTGGTCTGATATACGTCTCCTGGCTGACGCCAATTCCTCCGTCTCTACGTCTTTGTGTCTTCAGATCGCAAAGCTGACCAGACTCGATTACCCCAGATCTTTTCGTCGTCCTCTCACCCCAGTTGTGCATTCCGACACATGCGCTTGATATCGAAACCGCGGCGTCGATTCGATACGAAGGGACCGACAGCGCAAGGAGCAATGGCATCGAAAATTGACAGTTGGAGGGATCTGGTGTGTCTATGCCACCAATTTCTGCGAGGCTGGTTGTGCTGTGTCCGCCATTGCCAACCGACAATGCGTTGGGCAGCGGAATACGCGCAATATCTTGTTTCAGTGGACGTTGGCCGTCTATCAGATATGCTCTAGGGCTCGACCATGCCCTTCTCCAGATTAGTCCCGACAAGTCAGGTTCTATAAAATGGTTGACAAAACGGCAAGCGATAAAACCACGAACCCTTCTAATATGTCCATACAGTACTGCAGCCCATCCTCCGAGCCCTAATTCGATGTAATCAACTGCGTAGACCTGCTCAATACTCCTATCCTACCCATCACTCTACTCCTACAGACAGGCCTAAGCCATATCAATTTCCTCCTCCTGACCCGAATAATCAGTCCCATACCAATATAGACATGCTACAGCTATAAACCCACATCCATACAGCACACATACCAAACTTCAACCAACCACATACCCCAGCCAAGCAACCTAGCCCATGATCAGGACTAGAACCAAGACCAAGACCAAATCCACGAAACATCCGACAGCTGCCTATCCCACACCAGCCTCGCCCGGTCCAACACTACCTACAAACGAAACAGACTCCAAGAGTAACTTCGTCTACCCAATCCCAGACACGCACCCCCTCCGCCCCTAACAGCTGCAAGTCTAGACCACTACGATCGACGTAATCCACGCTTAAGCCCAGACCCAATGAATAGTAGAATACTATCTAGCTGCTACCCAGCCGTTACACTAACCGGTAGCTACGGGTCAAGTCAGGTCAGCCCATGCATGCCCGTAGGGTTTCACGAAATCAAACGGCGCTTGGAACGACGCATAAGTCCATTCCAGACAAAAGAGCACAATAGAAATAATAGGAAAAAAAACAGAAATAAATTAAAGATTAAATAATTGACTAGACTAAAAAAAATCACATGGAAGATAAGGAAGGAAGATAAGGAAGAAAGGATGTTCCAACCTACTCCTAGGGACATGACAGCATCAACCAAACCAAACAACTCACACCTAACCCAACCCCAAGCCCTCATATAATAACAAACCAGTTCCCTCCACCCCAAACCATCTATAATAGCATATCCCTCCAGCCCAGAAACAAGAAGGATAGCTTTTCCTCTCACCCACGAATTGATGTCCAAGCTTGGTTGACATGCAGGAGTACATAGGGACGTAACCGTTTCTCTATCGCACCCCCGGTAGCCTCCGATATGCCCTACATTCATTTACACCATGGAGGTAGTAAATATTCGAATATTGGAGTGAACCAACTCGATTAACTTAGTTTAGTGACGGTACCATGCTGCAGGGAATAGAACTCCCCTGAGAGAGGGCGGTGATTCGCGCATTCCCGGAATTCACGTTGCAGAGAATGGGAATTCAGCCGTTGGCCTATTGTAATACCTTGCTACATCACCTACCCTGCCTAGTAAGTAAGGTCTAGACAATAGGATGGTGATGATGGCTGCGTAAGGGCTGGGAATGTCGGTCATACAGTATATTTTTCAGAGGTAATTTCTTGGTTTATTGACTGGCTGGCACTGCAGTGCCAAGGTGGAGGAGTGAGTTGGTCTTGGGAGTGAGATGTGGGAGAGAGGGGTATTGAAGGGTCTTGGGGGTTAGCGTTATTTATGATGGTAGTGTGAATGATGGACTGGGTTGTTGAAGGGTTTGTTCTGGATGGTGATGTTGAAGGAAAGACCCTGTCAGGGGTCATGGAAATGGATGTTTCGATGGGGAGTTAGAGGTGTAAGTAGTAGGACTCTTCCAGGCAACTGATATCAACTGTAGTCGGGTAAATTAATCCAGCACTAATTTCAATCCTAGATAGCATATTGCATCGCCCGAAATCTTTACCCTCCAACTATGCAGATCTCTCCATCCATCGTATATACCTTTTATGTACTTTTGCGACAACTTGTCTAAATATAGTCACTTAATCTCCACCCGTCGTACTCCGCCGCCGAACAGACGATCTCTGCATCTCATACACCTCCCCCCTCTCCAGATCATCCTCGACAGCCGACTCCGACGAGCTCTCATCTCGACGCATCATCACACCATTATCACCACCCATTTTGGAATCCCGGCGGACATTATCCTGCTCCGTGGAGATATCAGACTCCTCCAGACCGTGCGTGCCGCCCACACTCTCCATGGTGAAAGGACTCGCCGTGGGCGCATCCAAGAGGGACAGCTCCTCCGGGGTGAACCACCAGGGGAACAGAAACGAGCGAACCGGAATGAGAAGCAGGATAATCACAGGAAAGCCAATGGCGGCGATGGTCTGCGTGATGGCAAAGGTGGCGCCGAATCCGATCAGTTCCAGGATGACGAACACCCAGATGGATAGCCGGCGTTTGATGCGCTTGAGCGGGTTGGATGCCGGAGTGAGGCCACTGTCTTGGGCGAGGAAGATGAGTTTCTGGGTGATACCGTTACCTTGAAGGGCTTGGACACCCATGATGAAGAAGAGACCTGCGAGAACGGCCTGGGGGATCAGATGCAGGACAATCAGAAGGGGTCCGGTCATGGTGCCTAGCGTCATAATGCCCTGCGCGAAGTTGCTGACGCGCTGTTCGACGACATGGTCGGTGATGCGGATGGCCTTGCCCTTGTTGGTGTCGTCCTCGTCTGCAACGTCGCGGGTGACGCAGAGCGCGGCCGTATGGAAGGGCGCCTGTGGGATCAGACCGTTGGGGAATGGAATCCCCAGGAGACCAGCAACAAACGTGGTGATTCCCAGCAGCCACAAGTCCCAGTGGAACCCGGCCGGCTTGCGAAGAGGGAACTCGGTTCCTTGGGCGATAAGAGACGAGACTATCCGGTCAGCTGGAGGCCACCGAGCACATTATTGTCCACCGACTTACCATTATGGTCAAAGTAGAACAAGATCGTCAACAAGACCGCAAACGGAATTGCAAGGAACACATCGCTCACGCTGATATCCCAAAACTGAACCAGCCAGCCTCGATCGGCCGTGGGAAAAAACGCCTTGCTGGTAGGCAGCCTCGCAACGTCGACATCCCTCATATGGCCGATGTGAACGAACCCCGTGAAGAACACAATAGTCAAGGGCGTACCGTAGTCCTCCAGGAACTTGCGAATATACCGCTTGAAGAGACTGCTGTTCCCGAGCTCTCCGCAAATCCAGCCACTCATGAGCACCAGCAAGGCGACCATGATGCTCAGATAGGCAGAAGTTTCCCCGGCCGTTCCCCACTGTCTCGTGAGGACCTGGATGCCTTTCTGGAGATAGATAAAGGCAACGTAAAAGCCAAAAATATCGCAAGAGAAGCGCGTCACATAAGTCAGCCCATTGCAGGCATTGGTAATGGCAAGCACCCAATGCATAATCAACGACCATCTGCAACCCATCAGCATTGCCCTATCCCACAAGAACACAGACGGCATCAACTTACATCCCAATCCAGCACATGAACGCCAGATAGTTCGTCCCCCGTGGCGAGATGATATCATAAACCGTATAGTTAAACACCGTAATCGGACCTATACCCATCAACAACCAATCCTCCACCACCATCAGCCAACCAATCCAATCAAGAATCCAACTCACCAGTAACCCCAACAATCACCAACGGCTGAGCCGCAAAAAGCGAAAACACGACCGCCGCCAAAACCGACGCCAGCAGCACCTCATTAACCCCATAGCTCTGGTCCGTCTTTTCGAACATATCCAACGAGAAAGCCAACGCAGGCAAGATACTACCGAAACAAGTCAACACTCACGCAGAAAAAGGAAAGAGAATGATCTGCAACCCACTTCGCAAAATACATATACACTGTGGCCGGAACGACACGATAGTCCCAGGCGTCGGTCCAATCACTCCAATAGTATGGTGCCCGGCGCTTCACGTCCTGAACCATGCCACGGAAGAGATGCACTTTCCACCATTTCTCCAGCCTGGCGGACTGATGGGTGTGCTCTCGCGAGAGAGCAGCAGTGGGCTCATGAGGAGGGTTGCTGTGATGCGATCGGCTGCTGGTACTCGCCGGTCGGAGAGGGGAGGACCGCGACTGCGATTGAGATTGAGACTGCCATGGTCGTCGCGAGTGCGATGAGGGCGAGCCGGATGACATGAAAATGTCCCCATGGGAGGTGGAGGAAGCAGGTCCCTGCATGGTGGGAATTCCGTTGTGACCGAACTACACAGTATATGCAAGTGAAGTCTGGCGGGTGTAAAAAGCCCGCGGCAAAAGCAAGGCCGAAATCTTATCTGGGGAAAAGGTGGAGACGTCCGACGGCACTCGCGGCGGTTGTGGAGAGGATAAAGCAAGACAGAAAATTTTAGTCCCACGCAAGAAAGGGACGGCGCGAGAATAAAAACAAAGAGGATGACGGCCAGAGCAGAAGAATGGGCCATACATATTCGGTAGCGACGCCGAGGGTAATTAATGCTAGTGCCTAACGTCATTGGCTTTAGCGAGCGACGATTTGCCGACGGGCAGCCATGCGTATTGCGCGCAGAACCCACCGGTCTTCTAATGCAGAGCAAAAGCAGTACGCTTGATGCGCAACTAGTTAACTTATACACGGAGATTTTAGTGACACCGCCCACGTAAACCCCCATCGCCCGTTGATCCTCATGACGAATCGTAAGCTGTTCCAATAGACTGTCACATCTCCCTACGTTATCCTCCACTCAATTTTCCCGGCCAAATCCTCTTACCGGTATCCCTCGTTAGCGTTCCAATCAACAACATCAACCATTTTTATCATCACGTCCCCTCTAGGCGGGAGGGGGAGGGGGCGGGGGCTGTTCGCTAGGCGGCTATATCATCCACGTCAGTAAGCACTCTCATTGAGAGAAGGGATGATCAAACGTACCGGAGGCGGGGGCCCCTCGCCAGGAGGCGGAGGGGGAGGGCTGCCACCCGAGGCATAATACATCGAAGGCATACCCGGCGGCGGCGGAGGCGCGCCCAGGCCCGGAGGAGCACCAGGGGCGCTCATGCCGGGGTAAGCAGGATAGGCTCCGTATCCATACGATGCCTGTCCGCCAGGGGGTGGTGGCGGAGCCTGAGCCTGCTGTTGCCAAGGAGCAGCAGCAGCAGCCCCAGGAGCGCCATAGCCACCGTGCGAGCCATAGCCGTAGTCGCCACCACCACCACCGCGGTTCTGTGCAGCCCATGGAGGGGCACTGCCATGGTCACGGGGGGCGTAGTCGTCACGGCGATCGCGGCCTCGCTGCTGCCAGGGAGCCACGTCGCTGGGCGGAGGTCCGCGCTGCCACGGCTTCGCATCACGGTCATCATAGCCTTGATCGGGGCCAGCCTCGATCCGACGAGGCACGTGGCCGTCTTCACCGGGTGCACCACCAGACAATTCTTGCATGAGTTGCTGGTTTAAAGTTAGTACGGCATCGAGATTAATGGCGTACGGGGATAGCCTACCTCCATCTCACGGTCAACAGCGTCACCGCCGCCAATGGCCCTGCGGGGACCGCCGAAGCCACCACTGTTGTTGTTGCGCCAGTCGGAGCCTCTCTGGCGGTCAGGACAATCGCGAGCCATGTGGCCAGCGTTGCCACAGACGCGACAGATGATGTTGGCGGTGAAGTTGCGCTGCTCAGGACAGTCGTACTTGCGGTGTCCGATTTGACCACCTAGACCGGGTTAGCCAGGATTCAAGATCTAAAAGAATGGGACACTCACAGTTCTGGCAAGCCTGGTTCTCATCGTCACGGAGAGTACCGTTGAGCGCGGCCAGCTCTCGAAGCTGGTTCCTCTTAAGCTCGTTCTGACCCTCGGGGATCGAAGCGGCCTGTATATTGTTAGATCCAGGTTTGACCTTTCATACAATTGCCAACTTACCGTCTCAATGACGTTATGCACCAGCTTCTTCGCCTTATTAACCTTTTCTTCAGTATCTGCCATAATCAGACAATGAAGATCTTCTTCCTGGTTGCTGGCGTGAGCGGCATCAGATCGACCCTTTCCTTCCTTGACGGAGCCTTTGCCACGAATAGCAATCTTGGCCCCGGACTCCGACTCCATCTTCTTCAAGGTGTTACCACGAGGTCCTATAAGTAAGCCAACTTTAAAAGATAGCAAAAAGCTAAGTGTTAGTGCAAGCTGTTTTCTTCCAGATGGTTGAGCGTGAGTGAGCAAATGCAAGAGAGAGCAAAAGGGTTCGCAGGAAGCGAGCTGGAGATAAACAACGCCCGACGGCGAAGTCTTCATCAGAAGCCCGACTCGAGCACAGAGCCAAGGAATACAGAATACAACAATGGTTAGGAGTTAGAGGGTTAGTTATCATACTGAAGTTAATCTCTGGATAGTCATTCACAGGCACATAGACCTTCTCCTGCGTCTTAGTAGGACGTCTGTAGTCAGAGGGCGGGTGATAGTTAGGAATGGACTTCATCGCCTTTTCGACGAGCTTGTGGCGCTCATCTTCAAGGCGCTTCCGGTAGCGATATTCCCTAGTGTTTACACGTCTGCCAAAGTTATCGTACTGGGGAGGCGGGGAGGGAGATCTGCAAACATTCATATCCTCGTTAGTCAATCTGATCTTCAAATGCGCCCAACAGACACAACAAGGGGAGGGGGGGAAGCGAACCTGTCGCCATCAGCAGGAACCACATCGTTGATTCGCAGCTTCTGGCTGATCTCCTCGATACGCAGGTGCAGCGTATACGCCTCCAGCTGTTCGTTGGTGAAGTTGGCCATGATCATCGTGGGCAAGCCCATGAGACCGGCGGCCTTGTTCTCCTGCGCATCGCCCCAACGGTTGCGCTTCTTACGCTTCTTGACACCGTCAACGGAGGGTTCAGCTAAGCTAGCGGTTAGTATCCCGTAGCATCTAGCACGCGTCCTCCAAGCCCACTCACCACGAACAGGGCTTCTGCCACGCTTGTAGCCGGTATCCTCGGCCGTGGAGGCGGGCGTCGCAGTGCGACTCTCATCCTCCTGGCCCTCATCACCTCCAAACCGTCTCCGGCCCAGAGGGATGTTGTTGGACCCGGTAATTCCCTGGTTTCGCCAGGCCATTTTTTCCTGTTTCTTTGCTATGCAGTAGAGTTAATCTGTCTGATAGGCGAGCAATAATAGTCTCAGTTGCTGTGTCTAAACAAGATGGGGCGAGTCCGCAAGCAAAGCTCCAGGCGATGTGGCAAGCTTTTAGGCCGGGGCACGTGGTGGATGACTAAGCTTACAGTAAGCTCGGGGTGAAGCTGGTTACGCAGATTGAATGAGGGAACGGATTAACGCTTTCACATTATATTAAGACCTATCGACAGCATACGGAATACATAACCATCCCATCTCCAGATGAGAATTCTATAAAGTCATTATGCAGTAAAAGTGACCAAGCTTACAAGCTACTGCTTCGCATCAGCCTTCATGCCCGACTGGATCCAGGACCGAGACTCAGCGGCCAGCTTGTCGGCAGCCGCCTTATCCTTGATAAGCTCCTTGATAGTATGCGGCGAGGGCACATGACGGCCCTTCTCGACGCCCTCATGAGCAGCCATGCGCTCCTCCCAAGCCTTCAAATGCGGGAACTCCTCGATGTCCACGCCGGCCCAGCCGGCGGCAGCAACCCAACCCCAGTGCGAGATATCAGCAATGCTGACATGGTCGCCGACCAGATAGCCGGACTTAGAGGTGGAAAGGTGCTTGTCCAGCACGCTGTACAGACGACGGGTCTCGTTGACATAACGGTTGATGCCGTACTCGACGCGCTCGGGCGCATAGCGGGAGAAGTGGTTGGCCTGGCCCTGCATGGGACCGACACCGGCGTTCTGGAAGTAGAGCCAGCTGTTCACCTCGTAATACTCACGCGTGCCGCGTGGGTAGGAGATCTTGTGGTCCTTGTCGTATTGTTCCACCAGGTAGGTGAGGATGCTGCCGGATTCGAAGATGCGGATCTTCTCTCCATCAGTGAAGGTGTCGGTGATGGCGGGGATCCGGCCATTGGGGTTGATTTCGAGGAACCAGCTGGGTTTGGGTTAGTGACTTTGACTTTGGTGAGAATGGCCTGGGGCAGACGGTTGCATACGGCTCTTTTTGGGTGTTCTTGGAGATGTCAATCTTCTCGACCTTGTAGGGCAGACTAGATGATCGGTCAGTCAAGTGGAATTGGTGTCAGGCAACGGGGTGTCTCGAGCATACCCTAGCTCCTCCAGCGCAATGGAGATCTTGATTCCATTGGGGGTCTGGGCAGTGTACAGAGTAATGTCGGGGCTGCTCATCTTGGCGGATGGATACTGCGAGGATAGGAATCGGCTCTGAAGAGGAATGGGTGAACACGAGCTGCGAGAGTAATGAGAGTAGACTGACGATACGAAAGACCCCGACCGAGGGGTTTTATATAGGCCTGTCACCACACGAACCCCGCTCATACTATCGGATGAATAATACGAATAATATGAATAATGAGCAGGTCATGCTGGAGATGATGCCATTATTATCTCCGCCAGTCGCCGACCTCGCCGACAAGCCCCACCCGCCAGATGCTTGATTTCTAAGCTGCGTTGAACTTTGAAGGAAACCTTCCGTCGATTTGTTTCTACGTACTACCTCGTATCCATTCAGAATCATTAGTAAACAAGAGATGCTACTCCTAGGTATGTTGTTCATGCTTTAATTGCACCCTTGGTAATCTTCCCAACGTAAGCTTGGGGAGCGGCGGAACTCAAGGTGGCCTCACAGGAGAATAACTAGTTACTCCACAGAGAGAAGAATATCTCCGAGAAGGTGCAAAGGAAAGTACACCTGAACAAAGATATAGGCAGATATGACATGTCCACGAAATATACTTTATTCCATAAATGGATTGGTACTATGTGCAACCCGGAAGCTCGGAGCCACGCAGAAAGACAACTATATACCCTAAACCAATAGCAACCCAAAAAAACACCGGCAGAATCCGACACGAGAGCAACTCGTAGAGATAATCAAAGTGAGCGAATGAGACATGGCTTCCAAGCCTGGTTGGGACGGGGGCGAAATGGGGCCAAAATGACCGCCCCATTTATAAAGGAACCCTCAGCCCAGCCTTACCACGTAAAACTCTCTTCGATGAAATCCACCTGGGTCTGGTCCTGTTTCTTGCGGCAGACCCGACGAACATCGTCGCTCAGGCTTCCGTTTCCGCAAACGAGCACACCCATAGCCCCGATCTGGTTCTCGACCTCCAGGCCGACCAGAGTGTCCACATTGGGTCGACCGGGGAACATCTGAACGGTAGCGCTGGGGCTCTGGATCTCCTTGGTGTTGCGCGGCCGGGTGATAAACAACATAATCCGAAGCACTTCCCGGCGACGGTCCATGGCGAGGATGCTGGTCATCCAGGGCCGAATCCACTCGAGGTGTTCGGGGGACTGAATGATCCAGACCAAGGTGACGCGACGGGCAGCCACGGTTCCTTCAGCAAAGCCTTTGACGAGATGGCGAACAAATGGTACTTGATGCGTGATTCCAACACCGCCGGCAAAGAGCATGACTGTGCCGTAGGAGTCCATGGTATGGATGCTGCCATACGGCCCTTCAGCGAACGCCCGTAGGGACACACGCCCCCCGGTAGACTTTTGGGCACGTTGGAACAGTTTGTCGGTGAATCCGGTTCGCCGACGCACCAGCAAGGAAATGGTTGTTTTCTTCAAGCTCACCAAGTCTTGCTGTGTCATGGGGATGCCTTTTTCGCCCGCGGGGAATTCTTCAGCCTCGCTCCACCCGACTGAGAACGGGTGGCTCATCCACCATCCAACAGATGGGATGTATAGGTAGATGTGTTGACCGGGGTGGAAGGCCCAGGGACGTGTCATCTTCAGTGTAATCCGCATTGCGTCGCCCGGGAGGGCCTCGATATGCGCCGTCGTGGACTCCCTCCCACAGTTGCGGTACAGAATGATGAAAATCCGGGCGGCTCGCTATACCCACGATTAGTTCCCAGTCTCATGACTCAACAGCGAAACAGTGACTTACCTCGAGGGCCCAGAAGATAACGGCCACGAGAAGGTAATTTTGAGAAACCATGCCATCCAAGTGCAGCCACAAGAAGCCGAACGAAAGCGCAACCAGCACCATGTGAAGGTGGAGGAAGGTCTCATAGAATGCATGGCGGATGGGGGAGGGCGAATGCACGAGGAGGGCAGTGAAGGCGCATGCGGCCTTGAGTTCAAGTTAGCCGGTTCCACGTCGCTATCGCCTTCCAAAGATACTTACGATCAGCCCATTCAACATAAAGCTGCTCTCGCCAAAAACCATTCCAATGACATCCCAACCAGCTATGCGAGGGTTAGCATACATCAACAACCACTTGATTTGGAGCGCGTTCACAAACATTTCTGAGCCTTGGGGATAGCCCAGGCAAACACATGCGCAAGTGACTGTAGGACGACAATCCGAGCGAGCCAACGGTGGATCAAATTAAAGGTGTCGAAAGGCACCTGAAGCAGGGTGATCAGGGGATTGTTCCTGCCGGCCATAAGCACCACAGGAATAAGGTTCACAGTCGCCATGGTTCCGGTGCGGTTGCGGATCAGGCCCGCAACTGTGGTCTCTGACGACCCATAGGGCACAGTGACGACGCAAAGGACGATGTTCATGGCGACGATACCAACCAAAAGAAACGAGTGGAAACGGCTCGGCAGCGTTCCCATGTTGACGGCCCGGGACAACTGAAACTCGCGATTGTGTCGGGTGCGGAATAACGGAGCATAGATGATATAGTTGTTGATCTTTGCGAGCATGCCGTGGGGGGAAACGAAGTATCGTTGGCGCTCATTGGTAAAGCTCGCGAGGCGTCTCATATGGCTTGCCAGGCGGTGCCACATCTTCCATACATAGATGAAGGCAGCCATCAGGCCTAGGACCATCAGACTGAGACGTGCGAGGTCGTCGTTGAGCATCTCGTACACCGAGAAGCCTCCATGGCGCTTTTCGAGCTCTGCTGCAGAAGCAAGTCCAACCAGGGACGAGCAGAGAAGAAGGGAATGCATCTTTTGATAAGGAGAAGTGAAAAGAAAAAACGAATGGGAAGAAGACTCTACAATCGACGTCGGGGTGCCGCTAGGGACTTCTTGTACGAGAGACCAGCTCTGTCCAGAGAATCTTGTCCAGGAGGAATTGCACGAGAAAACTTGAAATGACCCCTGTCAATCAACCAGGCGAGAGACCCAATGATGGTTATTTGAAGTCTCTGGGAAGTGTTGGCTGGCGTTGTGTTCGGGAGACAGGATATCCCACGTCCAGCTAGACCAGGGTTCACCAACAAGGGGATTGTTTCGCGCTTTGTTTCGCTGAGGAAAGTACACACATGAACAAAGACGAAGCAGCAGCCGAAGCTGGGTTGAGGGAACCAGCAGAAAGCTTGGTGTCCCAGTTACAGGGAATGGACGGTCGCCCGGGGGTCTGGATACTTTTGTGCGGAATCTCTCGAGGGTGGCGGGCAACGACCGGAATGTGAGTTGAGGGTGAACCGGTCACTCTCCTATTCAGCTTTGGAAAGGGTTTGGAAGGAATGAAGATATGGCACCAACAGCCAACAATGGCCAACAGCAAGCAAGAAGCGAAAGAGGCGATTGGGGGAACGAAAGCAGGGATGACGAAAAGAAGGGCTATCCTGTAGCCGCGTTGTGAAAGGAAAGCGCTTAACACAAGGTGTAGAAAGATGCAGAGAACTGCAAGAAGATGAGGACTCTTCCAGCCGTGGGGAATGAATTGAGAGCAAGCGAAACCTTCCTCCGCTTATCCATCACCTTCACGCCCTTGGCTGGAGCTCGCGGCTTCCTTGGACTCATCCGGGCAGCGCATCAGGGCCCATCGAGTCAGTGCATCGTCGAGTGGGGGGGAATGAATCCAGGCGACGGGCGACACTCGACAGGTCGAGCCATGGGCCATTGGCCATGGGACTATAGCCCGTCCGGTGACTCCTGTCAAATTTGCCTCCACGCCAAGGGATGCGGATATATGAGGCCATCGATCGCAGAGGGCGCAGGATGAGCATCAGAGCGCGGCGACTCCGGAAGAGACGCTGAATTGTTCGAAGGTGAAACGACCCAGCGGAGGCCGGATCAGATCTTGCGGCTTGGCTGGGGATGCGCTCATTGCGCTGGCTGTCGCCCTTGCGTTAGCGAGCCAATCTTGGCGACCATGGCGGGCGTGGGCGGGACCAAGTGGGTTGGCGCGGTTTGAGGTGATGAGCAGAGAGTCAGTAACCGGGCAAAGACCTTTGGCGCGGTCAAATAACCGTCGGAGAATTGCAAGTCGTTGCCTGTTTGGTGGGCGATTATTGATATTCTGCTCAACAGGATGGAGAAGAGGATGAGAAGAAGGATTCTATTCTTGGCAACGGCAGAACTAAAAGTAGTAGATTAGGTAGGCATTGTGACATTGTGGCCATTGTCTGATTGTACTGCCACCAATAATGGCCATGGCGGTATCTCCCGTCAAGCCACTCTCACTACCACCAAATGGATATCAACTCCGAATGGCTTCTTACTGAGTTCTTACTGAGTTCTTTGTCATCACCCAATCTTGGATTCCTGTACTCCACTCGGCCTCCAAGTCCATCCTTGCGCATTTAGCTTTGAGACATACTCTTCCGTGTCCTGTAGAGCCCAATTCAGTATGCTTGCCGCAGTGAGAATGCTATCGTTGGCATCCTATACGCCACTGGGAAGGTACGAGAGACGCGTCATGATCTATTGCTTCTTCCAGGAGTTTGCACCCAACCCTCGATTCTGGATTCTGGTCTCGGAAAGCTTGGTGTCTGATGATATGGGCCAGCCGCCCAGACGGCCCGGCGCAAAGACCTGTAGAATGTTTTACTTTTGGGGGGCGCTATATCGTCACGCCTTCCCCAACACGGCAGGTGGGGAGCGAGCCCGGGTTGGAAAGTCGAATCGTCGGATGTGAAGGTGGAAATCAAGCGGAGCCGGGAGTTGCATCTATCTAAAAGTATCTCGAGGAAGGGTGACCCCAAGGATCCCCGGCGTTGAGTGATGGTGGACCGGGCGCTGTCGACCGATGTTCAAGATACACTTCGTCGTCTGTCACTTCGGCCGTCGCTGTCAACATTAGTGTGACACTGTCAAGTGTCACCAACCTGTCACTGCGGATGCTTCACTTCAATCGGTCACGTCAGGGGTGACTCCGTGGGGTGGTTTAGGGAGTTTCAGAGTCCAACGCCGCCAAAGCCAATATCGTCGTCGAGTACAAGATATGTAACTCTATCCATTATCTAGAAGTCGTAGCATACGGGTGGAAGCAACACCAAAATTCTGCTCATCCCCCTCATCCAATCCAATGAATGGAACCAAGAATGCCTGCCGCGGGTATCAATCATCCTTAACCAGAAATCCCAAAATGATGCAGCCTAAGAAGCAGGGGAGAAAAAAAAAGAAAGAAAGAAAGAAAGGAAAGAAACTGAAAAGGCCTCCCAGAGTCCCAGGAGGAGGATACAGGGCCCGCCCAAAATTGAGATACTCCCAACAATCCAACGCCACGCCCAGAGCCAACTACCCCGCTCACAAAAAACTCAGCTCGTCCTCGCTGTCGTCGTCCGACCCGGGAATTACCCGCTGCACTGGCAGAGGGCGCGTACGGGTGGATCGTCGAACCCTCTCCGTCTTCGACGGGCTGGGAACCGGTAGCAAGGGCATCACCGGGGTTGGGTGGTGGTGGTTGATGATAACAACCTCGATCTTGGGAGCCAACTTGATTGGATCCGCCTGGGTGGTGGACGGACCTTTCTTTAAGACGCAGTTCTTGGCCTGGGGTAAGTCACGAAGGGCCGTCCGCGTCCGGGCGGCTATCGGTGCGGAATCGGGCTCCTTGGAACGAGCGGCTGCGATGCGCCCGCGAATCGCTGGCGAAGCGCTGGATGTGACTGGAGCTGCAGCCATCGTCCTTGCACTGGACCGGAGTCTCTTGGGTGACGGTGGCCTCCAATCATAGTTCGCGCGCTCTCTTTTCCCGGACATGGATGGCGCAGATGATGTCACGCTCGACGCGACCTCCTCCGAAGGTTCAGGACTGGACGACATGCTACTGGTCGAGTTGGCCACCGATGATCGCTCAGCTCTCCCAGCTGTTGGGCTTGATATGTCGCCAACACCACGTGTGACCAGGGGCCTAGGGTGGGTCGGCGTACTGGCCACCCACTCGCCAATGCTTTCTTCCCATCGGTACAAGTTGATCGCTTCATTGGGAGGCACATGCGCCACTGCAGGAGACTGTTCTGCACTTCCGCCCTGTTGGGATGAAGCCGCCTGTCCTTGGATTTCCAGGGCCCACGTGTGGTCGTCTTCGTCCAATGTAACTTCCGCCAACGCCATAGCTGTTTCCGCGGCCACCTTAGCGAGCAGCAGGGAAATACCGCTCATGGTTTTAATCTGAACAAGCCGCGATACGATCGTTTGGATTTCCCGAGGCGTCCTAACAGGATCACACTTGCGCGCGTGCCCGCAACAGTGAAACACTTGTTGAACAAACTCTGCTAGCTGTTTGACCACATCATGTTGGCTGGCTAACGATGAGCAGAACGATTCTATATTCTCCCTTGAAATAGAGTCAGACTGGCCAATGACATCGGGCGTGGACGTTTCGCTACACTGGAGCGTCCACTCCCCCAACAAGACGTATCCTCGGCGCAGGGCTTGAAAGCTTGGGCCCTCCATCTCCCGGCGCGACAAGATCAATCCAATGGCCCGTTGCACCCCGAAAGACAACGCTTCAACGACATGCCTGACCTTCATGCTAGTTGACTTATCATTGCCACCGGACGCTTGCGATCGCGCAATGTACATACCGCAGAGGGCGGTAACCAGGCTCGCTGAGAGGTTGCTGAGCGCATCCTGGATTGGGATTGGGCACGGAGACTGGTCTTTTGGTACGCTCGTAGGATTCATTACTGAAGCACGGGTGTCCATTGAACGTGTAGAACGAGATGTGTCTTTACCCTTCACTCGAGCTATGACCGAGTCCGTGGCTGGATAGATGCCAGCGGATGAAAGGACGATGGCCTCGATGGCCCTGGTTGCGGCAGCTGATTCTCCATCGCCGATAGACAGCGATCTGATGGCCCCATCCACGCACTTCTTCCACCGCGTAGTAACCATCCACTCCGGTGGGAAAGCCCTACGGGACAAAAGCTTTGCCACCTCGTCGAAAACGAAATGCCTCCTTCCAGGAGCTTTCGAGTAGTAATCGCGCAGTACGTGAATAGGGTTATCGCAGTGGCTCGCAGGTCTGGGAGGATCAAACGCCGGCGGATAGTCGTATGTCCTAACGGTGGTAAGATACTGTGATATAAGCGATTCAAAAGCGTCCAACTCCCCATGTTCGAGACACTCCTCTAGAAGGCGACAGGCAGCCAGTTTGGATACCCATCCTTTCAGTATCATCTCCGAGATGAGGTGGATCCCTTGCGCGCGCACGGCGTCGCGGAGCGGCTGCCATCCATTACCGCCAGGAGCATAATGAGCTTCGAGTTCCGTAAAGTACGCATCGCACATGTCGACCTCAGAGTCCTCATCCGCCTCATTCTGCAATCTCTGCTCTTCGGCAACAAACTCCGGAAGACGTCGCGCCGCCATAGACAGCAACGACCGAGCTCCACGGCCTCCCTGTCCATGTTTGCTGATGCCTGATGAAACAGCCCGCGTGCTCTTCAAAAACTTGATAAGCATACGATCTAAAGAGCGCGCGATGTCCACAAAGCCCGGGTCACCCGACAGGTCAAGGACTTCTTTCCATGAGCCCTGGTAAGCTGGGAAATTGGGGTTGTTCGTTCGGGATTGCCTCCGACGATCGCTTGGTTCAGCGTTGCTCGTGGGCGGTAAAATATTTCGAAAGAGTTGCTTCCGTATCGATGACGAGACCTCCGACGGTCCTTGTGCGGTTCCGGTGATCAACGGGGTCGCGATTTCAATTGCACCAGGCAGCGTCCTCTGCACCTCCGGGCTCTTGATCAACAGTCGGCTGCGCCTTCGCGCCCCATTCCTCTGTCCGCAACTCGAGTAGTTATGTCGTATTCGGCGATTTCCCGGTTTTCCAGGGATCCAGGCAGGATCGTCGGGTTCTTCATCCGAGAGGTTGCAGCCTGCTTCGGCACCGGCCTTCTTTGCCGGGGGTCGCAAACGATCGGGGACAGGTTGATCGGATTTGCCCTTCAATTTCGCATCGGCAATGCTGGTTCGGATCTCGTAGTGTTTCTGTAGTCGGTGGTGGATGGATGTCAAGGGGCGCAACATACGGTTTGCCCATTTCGCGGTCGGTCGGATATCCTCCATGCTGCGCCAATTGGCTCACTGTCTACCGGGAGGGCTCAGAGGAAGCTTCACGTCCGTAATAGGATGCAAGAAAAGGAGGGCGCATCAGAACCGGGCTCGTCGGGATTGTCGATGCTCATAAATAGTCCATGTTCTGCGGGCTCGCGACCGGGCTCTGTAAGATAACCAAGCCGCTAATACATTTCCAAGTAAACCCAGACAATTCCAGAGACCAAAATAAATCTGTTATAAAATATACAGCGAGTCACAAACAAAAGAACCGGGAGGTTAATCGAGAAATGTAGGATGCTGGGGTGACCGAGTGACGGGAAGATGTGCCGCCGCCGACGATGTAAACATTGCCGGCCCCCGCCGGATGCGGTTAGCGTCGATACTTAGTCAGTATCGACTCAACAATAACATAGATAGTATCTAGTGGTCACTTTATTCACTATCATTCCCTGACGCTTCCGTTCATCTCAATGGTGCTCCCGAATTATACGATGATTCTTACCTGTTGATATTGTTACACCTTCAGTCATACTAACACCTTTTGTGTGTTACCTTTGCCAACTCGTTGTAAGTCATCTTCCGCTAAATCCCATTTAAGATCAAGCCAATGTCCGTCAGGATGCTCCTTAGCTATACATCCTGTAGGCTATTGCCATCATAAATACTAAATTATATAACAAAACACGAACAGAAAGGCAATAATCAAGCAGAAAATATGCTTTTCAGAGACGAGGTACATATATCATACAAATTATATGTGTCGTACCTGGGCAGAGATAGAAAGCCTAGTGAAGAGAGTGCTGATACCAGCCCAATATCTTTGCTAGACATGGTGTATCCAAAAACGATAACAGAAACAGATGTGCAGCGCCTCAGGACTCATGATCACCTGATCAACTATTTTTCTACACAAAGAAACAAACATCATCATCCTTCCCTCACCCCTCCCTCACCCCTCCCTTCACTCCCCCTTCACTCTCCCTCGCCCTCCCCTCCTATAAGAGCTTACATCAACTCTTTATCTTCTATCTACCTGAATACTCCCTTACAGTATGGAGCCCGCGTCTCAGTTGATCTTGCGAACCCTACCCCCTCTTCAGAAGATTAATGGTACAGCGTATGCATCAACATCAACAGAAACTGTTTCCCTTCGGTTCTTCCGAGAGTGGGACAATTTTGAACGTGATGTTTTACAAGCCTGCGGGGCGATCGACCTAAGCCAGCACGTCCCTCTTACTGGCGACCAAACGGAAAATCATGTAATCGGTAGCGAGCTGGGGTTGACAGGAAGATTTTCCAAACATGTCAGTGATGCGGTGACCAAAGCGCTCTCGGTCACCCATCTGTCAGGCCTGAAGTTTGGGGATTATCAAGCCTTGCCAAACCGAGAAGCGGATAGCGTCCCCGATGTTGTCATGCTGACCTTACCGGATGCTGATGCAGTGGCCGTCGGCAAGCTTAAGACATACTGGACTGTGAACCTTGGAAGATACTCGATTAGAAGAGGTTACATGGATCTTCTCCCCCTCCAGCCCCATTTAGGCCAGCTCGTTCAGTATATGCGTCAAAATGGGTTGAAGTTTGGGTTCTTGTCAACTTACAAAGCCACCGTCTTTGTACGACGAACAGCCCCATTTCTATTCGAAATTACTTTGCCAATAAATGAAAAAGCCACGGGCCCAACACTAAGACAATGCTTTCTCGCATTCGCCATTTTCGCATCCTCTGATCCAAGGTTTACTGAGCCGGAAGGATTCTTGGAGAGTCAGGTAATTCACTTTTCATACATACAGGCACGAGGCTAATAACAGTATCTAATATAGTTGAAGATGCCTTCACAACCGTGTGCACAGGCATCCATCCGTCCTTCCCCGTATCGTAATCAGGTTACGACCAAAGATAGCACACAAGGGGAAGCCATTGGTTCCCAGACGATCTTCTTTGGCGGAGACGACGGTGTTGCAACCGGCTTTGTAAATTGTAAAAGACTAATCAAAAAGTCAGGGACGAAGGCTATATACGAGGTACAATGGGACGGACGTTCCGCCATCGCAAAATGCTGGACGGAATCCAGATATCCTCGGTTTGTGACAATGTCCCTGACGACTACATATCCATAACTGACTTTTGTCTATTGTAGCTACACCGATGAGGCTTGGACTTATGAGAAACTAGAGATGAAGTCTCCAGAAGGGTATAGCTTCTTCCCGAGACTTTTAACTCATGGCAAAATATGCTGTTCTTCTGTCTTTCCCAAAGGGTTCATCCTCATAATGACCAAATTCGATGGTCAATCAATCGATAAGCACTGGGATGCCATTCCCCCCCCCTATCAAGGAAAACATACGCGTCGTGATTTATGAGGCCATAAAAACTCTCAGGAGTATAGCTCTCGTTGCCATCGACTGCGGGCGCCACAATGTGCTCTACAATCCTGAGACACATGCAGTTGCGATGGTAGATTTCGAGCTTATGCAAGCATGTGAAGCGGACACCACCAGCCCAGACCAGCCCGAAATGTTTTCAATCTTCGAGGATAGGTTCTTGCCTGTTCGGATCCGCCACGAGGGCGGATAGCCTGAATGCTTCCTACCCTAAGATTCATCATATGATTTTCTCTTGCTCATTGTGATAAAGTATTGCTCTATCTTAAATATTTCATATTTTGTCACTTCTGACTTTTTTTTCCCTTGCAATGTTTTTACATTAATATCTACTGGCCTAGACTATGGCCGGCCCTACAGCAGGTTAGAAATGCGCAAGTGATGGGTATGCTCCGCACGCGAGTCCCTCACAAAGAAACCCTTACTAGAACTGTTCAGATACTCAGCGTTACCAATCCAAGCGTACTGAGAAACCACTTTCGCATCTGCATCAGCGTGGTTGGGTTTCCACGCATGCGCATATGTAGTCTTATGCCTGCGGGCGGTGTTTCTTCCCTTTGGCATCAATGTATCCGATTCTTTCTTTCTTTGGGGGGCAGGGTCAGGATATCCTATCAAGGGTTGTATGCCAATCTTCCATGTATTGTTCCAGTAGATCTAGTCAATTATACATAGTAGATTACGAAGAGCAATGAGGGACAAGCACCAAAGCATAGCATCGTTACAGGGTCGTATTGGGATAACCACCGATCATCGTATATAATACACAGCATGCGAATCGCCCGACCAGGCTATGCACTGCCCGCGATAGAGAACCCATGCAAATAGACATCAATGAAGAAAAGACACATGAGAAGAAAAAGGAAACCATAAGCACCAAATCGGCGCGAGAGTAGAGAGATTTCTACAGGAAAGTAAAACGTCCCGCTCATCCAAAACATCAACTCTTTGCAGGGATATATAGAGCCAAATAATACCTTTAGTAAGACAGGCAGAGTCCGAGAAAATGGAACCAAAACAATTTTAGCTTAGCCGGAGGCCATGCGAAGAAATATGGGGTGGCGGATGGAAAAAGTGTTCACGCTTAGGCCGAAGACTTCTTCGATCCACGGAGCTTGGGGTTGCTGGCGGCAGCGCGCTTCTTCTGCTTGGCCTTGGAAGAGCCGGTGTCACCACCCTCGATGAACTTCAACAGCTCATCGACGCTGCGGGAGTCCAACGAGGTGTTGCCCCGGGCTCCAGCGGCCTCGACGGTCTGACCGACCTGAGGCTGGATCTTGGTTCCGAGAGAGCGGGGGTTCATGTTGACCCGACGCAGGCGGCGAGCCTGGATGTCCTTCGCGTGCTTCGCGATGGAGACCGCGTTCTGGGTGAGCTGTTCCAACCAGGTCTCGGCCTCCTTGGTGTTCCGGTCGTTGGGGCCCAGCTGGCTAAGGAAGATGTTGTAGGCATCACGCATCTTGGCAACGGCACCCTTCGAGTCCTGGTCAAGAGCCAGCGCCTGGGCCAGCTGGAACAGGATCGTCGCGGTGTTGATAGACTGGCGGCCAAAAAGCGACTCGCAGACGACCAACGAGGCCTCGAACCACTTGCGAGAGTCCGAGTACTGCTTGAGGTGCTGCAGCATCACCGCGGCATTGTTCATGGTGGTGATGGAATCAGGGTGGTTGGCGCCGTAAATGATCTTCCAGAGATCCATAGCGTGCTTGATGTAAGCCAGGGCAGTCTTGGTGTTGCCGGAGGCGTGCTCGAACAGACTGAGATTGAGGTAGCTCAGAATGGTGTCGGCCGAGTCCACACCCAGAGTACGCTCAGTGACGATGACAGCCTTGCGAGCCAACTCGACAGCAGCTTCCTTCTCGTCGGTCTGGTAGTAGAGCATGGACAGCTGGTGGTAGAGCTTGGCAACCTCGGGGTGGAGGATACCGTAGATCTGCTCGTGCAGAGACAGAGATTCCAAGATGAGCTCCTGGCCCAACTGCTTCTGGTTCTGCATAAGAGAGATGCGTCCGGCTTCCAAGGCCTCCTCGGCAAGGGAGCTCCGGGGAGAGGCGTCCTTGACCAAAGGCACGATGTTGAGGATATCATCGGGCACAATGGAAACGACGGGCTTCTCCACGGCGGCGGCGCGGACGGGCGAGCTAGAGTCGCCACCCTTCTTCTTCTTCTTCTTGTTGCCCTCATCCTGACCAGCGCCGTTGACGCCGTTAGTGGCCGGAACCTTGGCAGGGATCTGCGACTTGTCGAAAAAGAACTCGCGGGCACCAAGCTGGAGACCGAGCTTAATCGACAGATCGCGGAGAAGCTGCAAATGTCTGAGGGAGCTGGTCCACTCGGACTCCAGAGTGAAGCGGTAGCGGATGGTAACTTGCTTCTCAATCTCAGCGCGGAGAGTGGCGGGGGTGGCCTTCTCGAAGGAGAAGTCGCCTTCGGGGTAGATCGTGCGCAGAGAGGCATCGATCTCGGCACTGGGGTTGGCGTTGACATCAGCGCCCAGAAGGCAGTTAAGCAAGTGAGCAATGCAGGAGGCAACGAATGGTGCCGGGACATTGCGGAGGTACTCGTTAGCAATGTGCTTGAAGGCACGAGCGATCATTTCCTGAACAAGGAGAGTGGACAGAGCATCGAGGCGAGCACCCTTCTCCTTGGACAGCTGAGCCAGCTTACCAAGGTAACGGATGTTGATACCACGCTTGTGCAGGAGCTGGCTGAGGGACTGTCCGTCCATGGGGAAACCGACATCACCGTCATGCAGATCCTGGATCAGTTCGGGCATGATCTTGGAGCGCAGGTAATCGCAGGTCTCGCGAACCTCCTTTTCGTCCTGAGCCCACTGTTCCTTTTCTTCGTCGGTTTGAGGGACCTGGCCACTGCAGACGTCAGGGTTCAGCGCAAGCGAGAATCCGGAGATATCGACACGCTCCTGGTCCTGAGCCTCCTCGGGCTTCTCCTCGGAGCCCTCCTCCTTCGATTCCGTAGCCTCGGAGGACTGCTCCTTGGCAGCTTCTTCCTCAGCCTTGGCGCTGCGACGGCGTTCAACTTCGGCCTTCACATACTGGCTCATCTTGTGCCTCCAGTAGGATTCAACGAGCTCCAATCTCAGGACCGACATACGGTGAGGGTAAGCATCGCTACCTTCCTCCTCCTGCCACATAACATCCAGAGGAGTCACGCGGTAGAGGTCGAGCACGTACTTCCGGCCATCAGTGCCCAGAAGACCCTTCGTCTCAACGCTACCCTCGAGCTCGTAACGCTTGCCCTCCTTGTCCCACACGGAGTGCTTCTTAACACGAAGAGCCTTGGACATCTTCTCAAAAACGGGCTCGAAGTCGGGGTGAGTGGCCACGACGTCCTTTCCTTCAACACCACCGTAGTCGATCTGGTGCTCGCCGGGCTCACGCTGCTTGAAGATACCGGGGACAATGCTCTGACCAACAATACGCTTGCCAAGATAGTCAACGACAACAGTTCCCGGGGTGAAGAGACCGTTGATGTCGAGCTGGTTGACAGCCTTGATTCCCAGAACATCCTTTCCGACGGCGACACGAGCAGCCTCGTCACCACCCTCGGAAGCGAAGGTTCCAACACCGTCAGCGCCGAAGGAGTAGAAGATGTTGTTGTACACGAAAATCTGAGCATCCCGGCCCTCGGTGGGGTTCAGAGGTGCGACTTCACCACGAGCGACCAGAACCGCACCGCGAGCAGCAGCCTCGTTGTAATCCGCGAACAGCTTGGAGGTCAGGCGCTCCCGGAAGACACGGTCCTGAACTGTCTCACGAGGAAGCTCCCGGGTAGTCTGGAACTCCTCATTCCAGTCACGCAGGGTCTCAGCGTTGTCGACGCCAGAGATCAGGTAGTTCTCCTGAGAACGGGTAATGTCTGGCTGGTGAGCATTCGCAGTCGAAGTAGGAGGGGGAACAAGCCAAGGGTTGTTGGGAATGGCATTCTGGAAGGGGAAGGTGGTGAGGAGATCCTTCTTGTTGTTCGACTCCTGGAGGGCTTCGAAAGACGCGCTGAAGGAAGGCGACAGATGGGCGATCAAGGTGAGCAACGAGTGCGCGCGGCCACTCTTGGGAATGGTCTTCGGGGAAGGATCGAACTTCATGTTGGAGTTCTTGTTCACGTAAAAGCCAGTGATGTGCGAGGTAATCTGGAACTGCTCACCCTCGTTGGTGGTGACCTGAAGGTAGAGCAAGTGGCCCTTCTGGCGGAGGTGGTAGGGAACGGGGTTCCAAGGGGAGAGAGAAATGGCCTTGACGGTCTTGGGAAGGGGAGCTTCGGCGCGAGGGAGGATGGTCTTCAAGGATGGGGAGCTAGCGATGTCATACTTGGACAGAGAGTGGTCCTTCTCCGACGCCTCAGCCACTTCGGCAGAAATGGCATCATGCAGCGACAGGCCAGCGCTAATGCCATGAAGGTTGTCAACCCGGTCACCAGCAGCACCGACCAGCTCCCTCATGCGGACGACATGCATACGAGCTTCCTTCTCGTTGTAAGGATCCTCCACCAGGGTGATTTCGGAGTCGGCCTTCAGATCTGGCACCTCAGATAGCTCGACGAAGTCATTGATACGCTGGCCGTTGAATTCGAGGTGGAAGCAGGTGTACTGGAAGGTGCTGGGCAACTCGACGATCGATTGGCGCACATCTTGGACTTGTTCTTGGCTCGACACCTAAGTATACGGGTTAGAGGTCTCGAATACTTCCTCTCGTCGCATGACTCTTTGCGGACACAATACCCACCATCACCTGGATCTTGTAGGGCTCATGAGGGAGCTTCACGGAGATCTGGAAAAGACCTGTGGGCGAAGGACTCGGGGTCAGTGACAGTACGCGAGCAGAAACGAAGCGACACAAGTGACATACCACCGGTGTTGTCCTCTTCCTGAACCTCCTCGGAGTGGTTACCATTAGTGAGCTGCTCGGGAGTCTCTGTCGAAAAGATTAGCTTATCGGGCGGCGATGGAGATTGCCGGTGGAGGGCGAACCTTTCGAGTGCTCCATTTCGCCATTGGTCTGAGCCATTAGGACGGATTGGTTGGTGGTAAATGATGGAATTCGAGGAATTGAATGAAGCAGTAGCACTAAGACAGACAGCTACCTGGCGACGACTTGTCTAGCACCCAGCAAAAAGATGAAGCGGGTGGCGGTGGAAGTAAAGGATGAAAGAGACGGAAAACAGAAATAAATGGTATAGTACAAGGACAAGGGCAATTGAATCGAAGACAACCCGACCCCGTACCCAGGACAATAAAAAGGGAACCCAAAAAGACCCGAATAGGAAAAGAATTGGCAGGCAGAGGAAAGGTTGAAGCTGGAGAAAGCACACGGGGAAGCCAGCCAGGAGAAAATTTCGCGGATGCGGAATACCCTCGGAAGTGCTCGGGGCGGTGGGCGCCAGCGAACCACCTCTCAGCCAATATGGATCCCCACAACACTGGCGAAACCCCGGCGACCACGATAAGGTGTGTGGATAGCGTCTTACTACTACTGTCTTTGCACATCGTTTTAAGCTCCATCCATCTCTCCGAACTCCGTAGGACCGATGGCCCTCATCCTTCCACTGATATACACATTTAGCAGCACAGACAATGAGATCATTGCCAGCGGACGGACGGCAATTGGCTTCTTTCATGCCTTGCTTTTGTGCGACTTCCTCCAGCTGTCACCAACGCACCAGCTGCTCGAGTGTGTACCGTATTCCTAGAGGCTTCATCACAATCAGATACAATTCACAATGGTTGCATATTATCCAATGATTCAGTCTCAGCCCTCATGGTCGTGGTTCTTGTTTATCATCACCTCTGTCTTTTTTTGTAACATCCATTTTTATCGCTGGCGCCACGACTGATTTAAACCAATCGTGGCAGAATATGTATCCTGCTGGGTGAAAACACGCACAATGTCATAGATAACCACCTCATCACTATTGCCAGTGATTTTATATCTGCATCGAATATTCCAGTACGGAGTTTTCCCAATGGAAGAAAAAATAACGTGACACTTATTCGCTTACTCCGTATGTACTCCGTAATATATCTTACCCGATGCATCCAAAAGTATGCTACTCCAACTCAACTGACTGAAAGAATCGCCAGATGCCACCGATGTATTCAATCCACCGTCTGACATAATTATATAGACAAGACTTACCTAGCAAGGATTGGAATCCCCCAGTCGCTCTCGATCCATACAAGGGCTGCATTCAGCATCAATAGATCGTACGCGGTGGTCAGCCACAGTGGGCCCGGCATCGGAGGCGCAGCACCGGAGAATTCGAAGCCAATCCGAAGGAGCAGCGTTGTGACTGCCGCGTACCGACTTTTGGTAACAATAGATTCGGGCCCGATTCCAGCTCATCTCTCCCCGTGCGCATTAATCCTTCTTTCTCTCCTTTCTTTCGGTCTGCTTTCCTTTCTCCCGCACTCTTTACCTGGCCCATGCTCTGCGACGGGGAGCTTTGTTGCTGTCGATAATCTCCGCCTCGGACAGTGGTTCCCTTGGATGTATAGATAGGTGGTTCCGCCCCGTCTCCGCCTCTAAAAAGTTCCACACACTCCTTAGACCTTTCATTCGATCTCAATTTCTCATATAAACGTCCAATTGCTTGATATTATTGGATATCGTTTCCCTCAATATTGCCCGATCTGCAGCGAGGGTGCTTACCCAGCAGACGAACATGTTGTATCAAAATGCGCAACGGTCCATGATTTCTTTTGCCCGGGCTGGCTTGGGTAGGCCTCCCGGGACAAACCGCATAATCACCCCCTACGTGAGACGGGGCTTCTCGCAGGGACAAACCCGAAAGAACTCAGATAATTCGGATCAAAATGCCACCAAAAACGATAAAAGTCGGAAGAGCAATGACTCGGAGGACCCTACTCTGAGGTCGACGCTGCTGAAGATGATGGAGACCGCAGCTACTACTTTTGCTTCTATGGCCATTCTAGGGTGAGATATTTCCAATCATGGGTTCATGTATTGTACACTGATGGTTTCTAGCCTGGCTGGATATGCATACCACCGGTACTACAAGTATCTGATCCTGGAGAAGATGGAAAATGCCTTCAAACCCGGTGACCCGGCCCTCGAGCTGGCGGGTGTAGAAGACGGGAAGCACAAGTACAGCGAGGAGCACTGGGTGCATCGTGACGAGCAAGCCAGAATGGATAAAATCATTTCCGGTCACGCTGGTGGTCGCTACTATTTACTGGTTGGAGAAAAGGGCACTGGAAAAACATCAATGCTTCTAGAGGCGATGCGCAAAATTGACGGCGAGGGTTGTGCAATGTTCGAGGCTCACGCTGATCTCGAGATTTTCCGAATTCGCCTCGGAAAAGCTTTGGACTATGAATTTCACGAAGAGTAGGTCCTACTAAAGCACCCTCATGTGTTTGTGGGTCGAGCTACTTCTGACAACTTCTTCACAGTTACATTGGAAGTCTTTTCAGTATCAAGGGCCCCCGGGACACTACTGCTCTCTTGGATATTGAGCGCGCATTCAACAAACTGGAAAAGGTCGCCCTTGCGAGAAGACGCAGCAAGGAGTCACCCTTGGTCTTGATCATCAACAGTGCACACCTGATCCGAGATGATCATGATGGCCAGGATCTCCTCGAGGCTATTCAACAACGAGCCGAGCAGTGGGCGGCAAGTGGTCTGGTTACCACAGGTAAGCCTTCTTGACAGCAACTGACGGACTTGACACCTTTTGACACCAAAGAAAGTTCTGAACAGTGACGAGTACTGGGTTTACGAACGCTTGAAGAAATATGCCACGAGGATGGAAGTCATCCCGGTTAGAGATTTGCCTAAAGACCGAGCAATGGAGGCCTTGAGAAAATATCGCAAGCAGTACTTTGGTGAGGATCTATCACCGAACACCCTCGAAGAGGTGTATGATCTTGTCGGTGGGCGACTGTCCTTCTTGAACCGGGTTGCAAAGGCCGTGGATTACAAGAAGCTCTGCCACAGCATCTGTGAGGCTGAGAAGACATGGTTTCTCAACAAGTGTTGGATCCTGGGTCCCGAAATGGACGACGATGTGATGGACCAGCAGAAATATGCGGTAGGTTGTTCCTCGTCGGAGAAGAAATCAGGCTTGCCCGCTAACAGAGTGACAGTCTGCCGCGATGGTGCTGGCTAGGGCACTTGTGCTCAAGGGAGAGGAAATGGACAAGACCTATGATCCCAAGCTGGGCCACATTCTACCGGAGATTCCTCTCCACGAGGCACGACAGATCATGACAAGAGCGGACTTCATCCAGAGCTACGACCACGAGAACATCTTCACGATCGACTCGCGGGCTATGGTGCGCGCCGATTCGGTCCCCATGCAGAATGCCTTTAAGCAAATCTGTAGCTGGGAAGGATTCGACGAGCACCTGGAAGGCACTCTTACGCGCATTGGTGACATTGAAAGCTTGGGCCGCACTCGTGAGCTGACGATCAAGGACCTCTGGAACAACGGCAAGTATCAGCTTCTCATGCGGGACCCCAAGGGTCGCGAGCAAGGTGCTGCCGAGTTCTCCGTCATGGAGCGAGAATATGAAAAGAAGGAGGAGGCGGAGGATAAATGAATGCTACAACCCGCATGGCGAGCGTTGTACGATGTATAGAAATAGATCGAGATCATCCAGATGATCTCGGGGTGATCAGTGTACTATATCGGGAAAGGGGGGGTGGTTCTTTGTTGGATGGTGGCTTGCCGACCCATGTTCTGTGTATTTAAACCCTTCGATTCGACAGCCACTTACGACGATATTATAGAATCCGTATCCCATCCATTGCCATGGTATAGTGAGGGCATCGTCACCGGTGACATCATCCGCCGCCCCCCTCACCGCCCGGCCAATTGGGAGAGCCAATCCATCATTGCAACATCTTCATCCCAGCCTCACCCATTTTCGCTTCGCTCCCCTCCGTGGTTCTTCTTCGCAAAGCGCTTTCCTCTCGTCGCTATCCTTGCCCATCCCCCAATCCCTCAGAACCAGCCAACATCCTCAATTCCAACCCTAGAGGACAGAATAACAGAACAATGTCTCCCCGCAAGAAAGAGGTCCTTTCCGCGGTCACAACAACGGCTGACTCTAGCGCCGACACCGCCGAAAAATCTACGCGCAAGCTTCGTCAAAAGACGCGCGTGGAACGCATCCACCCCGCCGTGCGCTTCTCTCTCGCCGTGTTCAGCAGCCTCGCGTTGAGCTCCACACTCTTCACCCTCACGACCGGCATCACCCTCGGCGAGCTAGGTAGCGTGAGCAAACACCTCGAGACATGGTGGGAAGTAGGAGGCCTGATGGTCTGGAAGGCCGTTGAGGTCGGACTCGCCTGGATCCTGGGCTTTGATGGTATGCTCATCCCCCATAATCCCCTCCCATTCAAACATACAAGCTGACCAAAACAACCCAAGGCCGCGACGTCCTCTCCTTCATCTTTCTCACCCACTTGCCAACCTACAGCCTCCTCTCGACCTTCTACGGCCTGCGCCCAACCACAACCCTAACCAGCTACTTCATCACTCTCGCCTCCACCACCATCCCCTTCGTCCTTCTTCGCAGCCCGACCCCCATCCACTCGCAAACCACCACCATCCCCAACCGCTCCATCCTCCAGGACCGCCCCACAACCATCTACACCACCATCGGCGCAACCGCCATCTTCACCGTCACCCTGTACCTCAGCTACGCGACCACCTGGCTGCCCACGAAACTCGTCACCCACTTCCAGGACCTCCCCGACATCAGCACCGTGCATGCCGGCCCCGCCGGTCTCCCCGTACTGTTTTTGACACTCCTGCCCGCAGGCCTGGCAGCGCGCGATTTCCTCTTCGCCAGCTCGACGGGAGCATCGCCGTCAAAGGACACCAAGAAGAACGCCAGCCCGGAGGGCGAGTATCTAGCCTGCACAGTGTACCGGAAGACATGGGGCGCGTTGACAAAGAAGACCCAAGTGCTGATCTCGCGCACGGGTCTGCTGGCGAGCATGTTGTTCGTGAACACGGTCATTCAGGTCGCCGGGACAGTCAACCGCGTGGATGTCGAGGGCGCCATGGCTTGGGGAACCGTGTGGAGTGTTGCAGCCTTGGTAACGGGTGCTATGTTCGGATGGATCGAGGCTGTTGACGGTGTATGAACTGCTTCTCAGTAGCCTTATTTCTTCTTACCTTCATTTCTCCTTTCTGCCTCGAAGTTGTATGAGAGAGAGAGAGGGGGAGTATGTTGAAATTCTATCGCGTGGTAATTTCTTTGAACGTGGCTGCTGCTATGACCACTGGGATTCTTTTGGCGGAATGTATTCTAGTTAATTAGTTAGTCGGCCATGACGTGGACATGACAGAAACACGGAGAATCAAGCAAAAAACACAACGGCGGGCGGGTGTGAAGAAGGGGAAAAAAACAAAACCAGATTGACCGGGGTTGGGTTGGGCAGGGTTCAGGGTCTAGTCTAGTCTGATCTAATTGTTTCAGTGGGGTGATTCCGATTCCGTTTCAAGTTGATTTGGGGTTTCAGCCCATGTTGATGTTGAAGGTCTTATTTTTGAGCTTGTCGCATATGCATGTTAGTTCTGTCGAGTCGCTGTATACCTCTTACGTTGATTATCTTGGCTTGACTTTCTTATTTTTTTGTTGATGTTTCGGATTGATTGATTGATGCGGGGGGTTGGGGTATTCGTCGGGTCGATCGTCAACTACATGGTATTTATTGCGTGAGTTCATGAGGAATTAATTACATGATGTCATGTCTGTGTGTAATCGGATATATCACTCTAATTGAAGCGCTGCGTTGATGTCGGCTGGTTTTTGGGGAATAAGGTTGAGAATGAGAAATAGATAGGAGAATAGGGGGGAAAGAAACTATATGACTGGGAAAGTAAGGGGTGATATGATGGAGGAAGGCGATGAAGGAAACGATCACCGCATCTCCATCCCACTGGCCAGTCCGTCTGGAGAGTAGATCTCGCGGTGGAAGGCCTTGGGCCCGTGCTTGGGTAACAACCAGCCCGGATGGAAGATGTTGAATATGCCCACGGCCAGGACCATCATGACGCCGTCCAAGACAATGAAGTACCGCTCGTGAGTAATCAGGAATCCCGTCCAACCTTGCGACAGCTCAATGGTTCGATAGATACTCCGGATGTATATGCAGACGACAGAGAAGATCATGGCGCCGAGAAGGGGAACGATCGTACCGGTCATGGTTTGTAGCAGCTGCTGGCGGAGAGTGCGACGAATGAAATCGGCGGCGAGGAAGACAAAGACGGTGATGGATGCCAGCTGGAAGACGATACCGGCGACCATGGTGTGTGTGCCTGGGGCAGTATTGCCGTTGACCTTGTTTACTTCTATCGAGGCCATGCCACCGCCGACGGCTTGGACGACCAATGAAACGACGTCACAAGTGACGAAGATCCAGAGATAGAGTTTCGGACTCAAAATTGAGGTCTCGGGACCCAAAAGGTGGATGAAACGGCCCAGGAGTATGTAGATGCCTGCAGTGAAGAAAGTGGGCGCTGGGGGAAATTAGCACATGTTTCATGGATCTGATAATCGTGCTTCTGCCTGCGTACCGATGATCAGGGTGGAAATTTGCATGAGGAAGGCCGTCCCGTTGTAGGGGCATTCAGCAGACCAGGTACGTCCGGCCCAGCCCAGGACTTCGACTGTAGCAGTCAAGTCAGCGATGATTGCAAGAGTGATAATAAGACGGAATAAGGATTCACATACCCATACAGCCAAGGACGAATACGGCGCACCACCAGGTCCGTTTCCACACGAGCTGCACCATGTGGAGGATCATTGACAATCCGAAGAGGGTGCAGAATACGATGCCTGCGGCCAGCGAGGGCACGTAGCCGTACGACGTGCCATAGCCTTCGATCTTAGCGTGACAGCCCTCTGTCAGTTGCTGCTTGAAGTCATATGCCGCTGTTGCGTTCATGCCCGACATATTGGCGCAGATGGAAGGTTGGTATGTCGTCGGCTAGATTCTGAGGCCAAACGTGGCTATCGACCAAAGTAAAGAGCGAACGCAGATAGATATAAGTAAGGCAGAGAAACACCTGGAGATTAAGGTACGACCGTAACTGGAGAAGAGAATGACACCGCACGGCAGACAGAGCTAATAGGGCCGAAAGAGTGGCTGAGCTATCTAGTTGCTCTCGAACGTGAACTCGGCACGATAGTACCAATCAGAGGGTAGAAAAGAAAAAAAAGCAAGAGAGAAAGAGAGGCTCTGCCTATAAAGGAGAGAAATAAGGATGACGATAGCGATCCTTCCAAAATCCGCTCCCAATAATACTTAATCCTCCATCCTCATCCATTTGAGACCGCTCCCCATCTGCCTCCTGGCTGCCCGGTCCTGAGCACCACTTGGTACGGCGGGGGCACCCGCTGCACAGGACATTCTGATTGCTCCCCATGGGTGTAAGCAGGGCCTCCGTTGCAAAAGCAACCAGCTCATTCGGCAAATAATTTGGCGAGACCCAAAAAAGAAGTTGTCGGACAAGCAGAGGGCTCGCAAGGTCCGCCTAAAAAGGTTTAGCGCATCTTCATGATGCCGGTGGCTCCGAGCAGAGTATCAACTATCACCTCCTCGCCGAGGATCGCCCTCCTCATCGGACAGGCCTTCTCTCTCTCTCTTTGCTTCTGATAGGACCGCTACAGACGGCGTCGCGAGATTGTTCCAGGTTCGTTGTCCCGTTACAGCTGGACGGGGCCATGCCATGCAGGCCAAGAGCTTGTCGGCGTAGGTGGACCCGGGCCTCCGTTCGCGAGCAGCAGGCTGTAGCAGCCTAGCAGGACATGGTTCCTAAACGGAAGTCCGGGAGAGACCAACTCCGATACTATTTGGTAAGCATAACTAAAAGCTATCATCCTCCTTGAAGGATAATGGTGGACGTCGTCGTCATCTGCCGCGGGAAGAATGATGCTGAGGGGCGGAGAAAGCATAGTGATGGAAAGAAAGATAGTCTCGGCAAAGTCCCGCCCTCCGCCTCAGGCAACGACCATGGCTACCTACTCCTGGTGCACGCCACCCTCCCTTTCGCAACTCGCAAGCTTCGACGTCCTTGGAAAAGCTTCAGGCCCAGGCCCATTCTTGGCGATCCTAGCCGCCCTTCAATCGGCGGAACGCCTTATCAATATTTAAATACCTACGGCCGCTTGCAGTGGCTAATGTCTCCGCCCAATCGACATTGCGAATATAGAAGTTGAACGAATACAGCTTGGGATTCTGGTCTATCTCTAATAATAGGTCATTTCTCAAAGTGCCTCAATCGAACGAGGGCGTATCATACGTATCGTCGGGGTCTGTGCACCGTCAGCATGAGGGATATTCGACTCGTCATTATGAGGTGGACTTCTTACCTTTGCGGTTGGCGAGAATGTATTTGCGTGCCTCCACAATGTTATGATTCAACTCGGTCACCAGTTCCTGCTGGCGCACTTGGACCCTTTCGTTTCGCCGCGATGCCCCGATCACAGCAGCCTGCGCCACGTGGAACCGCGACACTCTGTTCACAAGCATCATATCGAATGGCGTCGTCGTGCTTCCTTCCTCCATGTATCCTTCCACGGTCACTCGGTCCAAGCGAGGTCGCCCAAACAGCAGGCCCTTCAGCTCGGCCGGGTATCCGTGGTAGTTGAAGTGGATTGGTCGATCCGAGCCAAACAGGCTGTCGAAAGCATCCGTGGTCAGAGCGTGTGGATGCAGTCCGTGGTTTTCAAGAATCATCAAGTCGGTCACATTGACCACTCGCACCCGGAGCTCTGGACAACGCTTGCGTAGGATGGCTGCTGCGTAGATGACTTCGAACATCACCTCCACACCAATTCCAACCAGTACGACGTCTGGGTCCAGCCCGTCGTCGGTACTACAGAATTTCCAGATCGATGCGCCGGCTCGACAGTGACTCTCCGCCTCTTCAGTACTTAAGTACACGGGAGTCGGCTGCTTCGACCCAACCATGAGGTTGACGTAGTTCTTGGACTTGAGACAGTGGTGCACAGTTGTCAGGAAAGTGTTGGCATCGGGGGGCAGATATACGCGGGCGGCTGTGGGCTTCAATTTGAGCACGGCACCGATGAAGGACGGGTTTTGGTGAGAAAATCCGTTGTGCTCTTGACGAGCCCATGTGCTTGTTTCAATATAGTTGATGCTGCTAACCGGCTTATGCCAGGTCGTTTCTTGAGCCTATTGCAGCATCAGTCAGACTTTGGCAGCTTACGAAACACAGTGCATGGTAGAACATACCATCTTGTTGAACTTGGCATATTGCACCATCATGGTGTGAATAATACCCAAAAAGCTTTCATATGATGGGAAAATGCCCACGCGACCCGTCAATGTATATCCCTGCATGAAGCCCTGACACAAGTGTTCACTGAGCACTTCAATGACACGGCCGCCTTTCGCGTTCGAGAACTGATCCCACTGGAAGTTCCTTCCAGTGTGCGCCAGAGCTGCATCCAACTTGTTACTTTCCAGTTCATCTGGCGAGAACAATCGGACAGTGTGTGGATTCTGAGTAAAGACCTGGTCAATGAGCTTTCCGATGGTCTTCATTGCGCTCTGCTGGGTGCCTTTTTCGACGCCAAAATCCCGCCAGTCAGGGAGGTTGGGTGCCACATATCCCTTGTAGGCCTCTGCACGCTGGCCAAGCTTTTTATAGTCATCCGAAGGCATCACAGACTTAATATCGTCGATGACATCCCCGGTCTCAGTGAAAAGCTCGTGCGGGCTATACGAGGACAGCCATTTCTGCAGAGCTTGAAGCTCCTCCTTATCCTTCTTTGCGTTGGGAAGAGGAACCTGATGCGAATGGAAAGAACCCTCGATGAACGAGCCGTGTAGCTCTTTGGGGCCGGACCAACCCTTCAAACTGTCAGCTCAAACCAAGCTCAGGGCAAGTACCATCACCATACCTTTGGTGTGCGCAAAACGAGCATTGGCCATCTAGGCTTCATAATCGGTTTTCCAGAGCGCGCTGCTTTCTGAATTTTGTGGATCTCCCCAACCGCCCACGTCATAGAGCTGTGGAGATCTGCATCGATATCATCCAGGTTCTCGACAATGCGCACCTGGTAGCCATAACCTGTGAAGAGAGTGACCAACTCTTTGTTATCCATGCAACCGAAGATAGTGCGCTCGCTAATCTTGAATCCGTTGACATGGAGAATCGGAAGGACGGCACCTGATTCAGCAGGGTCGATGTACTTGATTGCATGCCAGGATCTGTCTTTCGTCAGCACGGATTGTTGGTTAGATCCCATCGGACACATACGTCGCGGTAGGGCCAGTCTCTGCTTCTCCATCACCAACCACGCAAGTAACAATCAAATCCGGGTTGTCCATAACAGCACCAAAGGAGACGGCCAACGCATAGCCTAGTTCACCACCTTCATGGATTGCACCTGGGGTTTCCGCATTGATATGGCTATACGAAAAGGTCAGCTTGACTTCAAACAGGATTTAGCCGGGCATCAAACCTTGGTAGTCCAGCGCTTGTACTGAAAGTTGAGATAAGTTCATGCAGGCCATTTTTATCTCGAGAGTATTTGGGATAGAATTTCTCTAATGAGCCCTCGAGCCACAAGGCAGCCAGCATGGCTGGTGCACCGTGTCCTGGGCCGACAACATAGAGCATGTCTAGGTTATGCTTCCTGATGAGGTAGTTCAGATGGGAGTATACGAGGATCAGCCCGGGACATGTGCCCCAGTGACCTGATAGGGTGTGAGCGGAGCTTGCACCGAGGACATCTAAAAGCGATTGGCTACACTAACCTAGAAGCCTGGGCTTGATGTCGTCGTGTTTCAAATCCTGCTTCAGCAACACATTATCCTGGAGGAAAATCATCGCTACAACGTGTCAGCGAAGCAAAGTGGACGGTAGAGGGAGAAGCCATCTCACCAGCAGCGATGTACGCCGCTGCACGACGGAACTTCAGCAGGCCATTGTAGCCAGCCTCCCCTAAGGTTGTTTCCTGGAGCTTGACCTGCAGTTGTTCAACAAGATCTGGGATATGCGATGGCTCAGCCTTGGGATTTGGCCTATCGATGATTTCGCCCGGCATGGTGAGCTGATCGGTGATCGATCAATCGGTAAACAAATCTATGAAGTTCCAGGGTCCGTCCGTCTCAGGGTTTCTAAGTATTAGGTAGATAAATTTGACCGCACGTGGAAGCAGGGAAATAAATACCCACTTGGTAAAGCTGATTGAGAGGAGAAAAGAAGATCATGCCACAATCACAAGTGCATTGAATGAAGGGAGATAATAAGAGTGGTGAGGCCTGGCGGGATAGTTGCAGCAGGAGCACTACGTCACCTGCCGAGGATGGCAGTGACATCACCCTCCGTCGCAACCGGGAACTTGTCACCTCCAATTCAACCACCGACGTCCGACATCAAGGCTTAACAAGGACCAGAACACTTATATACAGGTCGCGCATTCCTTCAGCGATCAGACAGCCAGTCGCTGTGTTCCCCGCTTCCAATTGCCGCCTCTACGATGACGCGCAAGTCCGTCCTTTCCGTCAATGCCGGATCCTCTTCGGTCAAGCTTACATTCTATACTTTCGAGAAGACTCCCAAAGTGATCGCTGCAGCTCAGGTCTCCGGCATCACCGCTCCTCCAGCGAAGCTAAAATACACCAGCGGCTCTACACAACACAATGAGGAACTTAAGGACAGCCTCAACACCCCACAGGATGCCTTCAAGTTTCTCCTCCATCGCTGCATCTCTGACCCCGAGCTTTCCGAAGTCGCCAGCACCGATGATCTAGCATATATCTGCCACCGGGTGGTTCACGGCGGGAACTACGAGTCATCCGTGGTGATCACCGACGAAACCTTACACCATCTCGAGAAGCTGGAGGACCTTGCTCCATTGTGCGTGATAACCACATGTCATCCAATTGTAATCGCTTCTGACACGACACAGACACAACTACTCCGCGCTGGAAATTATCCGCCATTGCAGAAAGGAGATCCCATCCGTCAAGAGCATCACCTTCTTTGACTCGGCCTTCCACCAGACCCTACCTAACCATGTCAAGACATATCCGATCGACCAGAAGACAGCCAAGGCCAATAAACTCCGGAAATACGGTTTCCACGGCATCAGCTACTCGTTCATTCTACGGTCGGTGGCCGAGTTTCTCAGCAAACCCATTGAGCAGACCAGTATCATTGCGATGCACATCGGAAGTGGTGCTTCTGCCTGCGCGATCAAGGACGGTCAATCAGTTGATACCACGTAAGGACGAAAAGGCCTTACCCACAGAGCCCGTCTCATACTGACACTTATACTCACAGAATGGGACTCACGCCTGTAGCCGGACTACCAGGCGCTACACGAAGCGGCGATATCGACCCATCGTATGTCATTACTCCAAAATATCTCCCTGGCAAGAAAAGAGACTAATCTCACCCAGCCTCGTCTTCCACTATACCAGCGAAGCCGGCAAGCTCAGCCCCGCCAGCACCAAAGAGATGCATATCAGCACAGTAAGCTCCACTGCAATCAACTCTTCCCCTCCCCGCCATCCATATATCTAGGGGAAACCTCACCTAACCCACACTAGGCCGAAGAAATCCTCAACAAAAAATCCGGTTGGAAAGCCCTAACCGGCACCACCGATTTCGCCCAAATCGCCGTCGAGAACCCACCCACAGAGAACCACAAACTGGCATTCGATATCGTGGTCGACCGCATCGCCGGCTACATCGGCAATTACTTCGTGAAGCTCGACGGACACGTCGACGCCTTGGTATTCGCAGGCGGGATCGGCGAGAAGAGTGCACTGCTTCGGAAAGCAGTCACCGAGAAGTGTCGATGTCTGGGGTTCGCGGTTAAGACGGAGAAGAACGAGAAGGGGGCAGGCGATGGGGAGACGGTGGTGGACATTTCGAGGGGTGAGTCCAAGGGTCCAAGGGTACTGATCTGTCAAACGGACGAACAGGTGAGTTGTCTTTCTCTTCCTCCTCCTACTGCTATACCGTTTTCATTGTTGTATACACCTGCTAATAAACGTCATATCCAGTTTGAAATGGCCTACGGATGTGTCAAGAAATACGGCGAGACGGAGTCCAACAACTAATACCTAGAGGGAGAATGCCACCCGACCTTCTACCTACCTACCTACCTACCTACCTACATAGCATAATCGTCCCCTCTCTCACTCCGAGGCATGCGAATCCACTACCACCAACAAAGTTCAGACCCCTTCATCACCGTCACCTATTCTAATCCCATCCATCCACTTCTATCTAAATATAGCCCTCCCAGACACTCCAATCCAAGTATGTATGTGGAGTCCGAGCTTAATCTCCCAACCCAATTCCAACTAGTATCAAAGAATGACCAACAACATTCCAGACCCGACGACAATACCAAACCCCTCAATACTGAATCCAGGTCCCAATAGCCAATACATAATACACAGTACGCTGTACTCAGTTGCTTTGTTGATATTCTTATTTCATAACTGCGTACTCTGGAAGATAAGATATGATTTGTAAAATGAAGGCTACGTATGTACTTGATGCTTATTGGTGAGCTTGGTATATTATTTACAGGCAGGTTAAGTATTATTATATTATATTATATCTAGGATATATATGTAGAACAAAGGATAGGAAGAGGGGGGTGGGGTGGGGTGGGGGGTGAGAATCCCTGGGATATAGCAACTAAGTGGCTAAGTATAGTAGTAGGTAGTAGGTAGTAGGTGTCTAGGTTGGGGGTTTGTTCCCATTGGTACACGTAACGGGAAGACCCTGGCTAGAACCCCCAAGTATACTTAATAGAGGTTGTATTTGATTTAGTTTGATTTGATTTGATTTCTACAAAGCGAATAAGCATCGCAGGCAGCTGTCATGTCAGAACCAACTCATGCTCGCTCACATGACAGATTAAGGGTGTCTTTGTTCCATACGAAATTGATATTGATACTGATACTAAGAGAGGGGTAATGAGTGTTTTAGTTGCCACTTGATCGTCGACCGAATAGATCCGGTCTGGATTCATGTGTTTTCCTTCTCTTTTTTCTTTTGGTGTTGTTTTTTGTTTTTGGAGGGGGCGGAAGGTTGGATTGTCTTGCTTCGCTTTGCTCCACTATGGGAGATGGGGAAGGGAGAAGTTAATCAGTGCGCAGGAATGTGCTATGTAAATCAGTAGAATGCAAATGCAAATAAGATTGACAATAAATGGAGTTGATTGATTCTCATTGGTTATGTATCATCTCGCTCTCCTTGCTTTTGGCTGATGATTCGCCTCGGTGGCTAATTGATGTTGGAAGGCGTGCCCCGTGGGTGAGTGATTTGCGAGATGGCGCAGATGTCAGATAGGAGATAGGGATTAGGAGTTCCATGGAGGTTGTACTCCGTGGTAAGAAAGAACAGCGATGGTGGTGGTGGCCCCGCGGAGTTGGAGACCGGCTCCGACATGGTAGCAGTACTTTTGATAAAGAAGATGCACGATTATCGGGGCCTCCTTCATGCAGCTAGAGGGTTAGTCGGGACTGGTCTAGATGGTCCATCCATGTCTTATGTGAACGGATCCGTTGAGAAACGCCCCGGTCAGCATGGATCATGGATGTGGCGGCCATCGCTGGAGTACTTTCTTCAAAGGATCCAAATTGGAGGCATTGGATGAGTGCTCCACTGACATTGGATTCTGCGTCTGCCTATTCTGGTATATGTCGCAAGTGAGAAGTGATAGAGCGCAAAGCACAGCTCTTCTAGAATTTTCTGGTTGCGATCCACGCCTCAGAATCAGGAGGAGTCCGCCTCGTCTGTGCGGAGATGAATGATCGCTCACTTGCGCATCATCTCCGAAGCGCATGGGGCTGGCGGGAGTGATCTATCCATTACTTCATCAGTAAATAGCCGGTCCGACACTGAGGCGACATGAAGATCATCGTGCCGAATCGGGAATTGCGTGCAATGCATTGGCTGGGCCTGGGTCGTTCAGCGTCCAAACTAACGATGAGGCTGAGGACGGGGCAGGCGATCACGCATCAAGCCGGTGGCTGGAGATAAAAAAGATAGATGCATATGGCGTGTTCGGTTTGCACCATGGCCCAAAAAGGGGAATTGAGTTCTGGTCCGGAACGGGGAAGCGAGATGAGGTTCCAGAGTGGCGGGTGGATGCGTTAGTTAGTTGGTGGAGAGGAGAATCGATACGTCCAGCCGCGTAGGAGGAGCTAGTACCTAGATAGTAGTAGAAGAAAAAGAGAAAAAGAGAAAAGAAAAAGCAAAGTGCGCGGCGGACAGGCAGGATTGGCAGGGGACACGGGACTTATCAGGCGCCTCCATCCCCGTTCGTAATAATGAGCCGGGAGCCAAAGGGATGCGCAGGCGATCCGATCAGTTCCCCTTCCAGAACGCCATCCCGTGGGCGCTGCAAAAGAGTAAAGAAAGAGTCTGACACTTGACACACTAAAAGAGTCCCGGCTGCGGTTCCGCGGATTAGCTTGGAACATCGTTGCCTGATCAGGGATGACGAGGTGGTCCTATTCAGGCTGACTGTAATTTAGTGAATGATCCGATCCGTCAGTCGCATGGATGATAATGATAATGATGAAGATGAGAATAATGACAGGCAGCTTGGCAGTTGGCAGGTCTTTCTACACTGACCAGGCACGTGCGGGCCCATGAAGAAACTCTCTGTGGTGGATGATGAACATGAACATGAACATGAATAAGGAACTGTCAGTAAGTAAGGAAAACCCATCGGGAACTTCTGTGCCCCCATGCAAAACATCTCCAATCCCCGCTTCTGCACCAAAAGTACAGCGGACCGATCAAACCTTGTGGCATCATCATCATCAACAACCATGAACCTTCACCATCCATCACCAATCTAACCATGCAGCCTCCCTGCGTCGGTCGCATATCCTCACCCATTTCCCCGTTCCAGGATTCTGCAAGGTTGTCCACCATGGCGAACAGACCTCTTCAACCTTCAGCCTTCCTAGCCTCTGTTGCACAGCAGATCGGTCGATCTCCCATGACCTCCTGTCCCTCCATCCCGGATGGACAGAGGCACATCGTCCTGTAGCTTAAAATGATCTGCTGCAGAAACTCAATACCCCGGGCTCGACACAAATACCGCATCTCGTATCGAGCCAGGCCGGTCCGACAACCTTGTTTCAACGGGAATCAACGTTGGGGTTGAGTGGCTAATGCACTCTGCCGAGCGGGCGGAATTCAGGCCAGTCTGGATTTCTGCATAACGCCTCGGATTACTTCGGTCGTCATCAATCATCATCATCATCATCAAACAACATGACAGGTCAATTCCTGTATGATTGATCATGAAACCACCCGGAAATCCAACCCAATCATATGATCTGATCTTACCTATCTACTACTACCACCTACCTATGTACCTTGCTAGTTAGTTGTTGCAACTCACCACACTAGTTAAGCCCTCCGTACTATCTATCCAATGCAATATATCCCCAACGCCCTACTTTACATCCTTCCTTTCAAACCCCGGTAAGTACTAGATCCATGAATAGATAGGTACCTTTTACCCGAACAATCGATCAATCAATCAATCACCACCATTACACAGTACCTACCTAGACATGATTGACCATCCGTATCCCGAAAGGATCCCACCTCAAACAAGTCAAACTACCTACCTAATTATGCCCAATAAAATCCCCACCCAGCTGCAAGATAGGGCATCCATCCATCCATCCATTCCCCTAGCGTGTGCGGAACCGGAACCACAACCTCTCGTCCAAACGGTTCTCCCATCCCATCAATCTTAGTCCCGTTCCCTCGGTTTCTAGCGCTCTTCTAGCTCTTCCCTGTTCCTTGTCCGTGAGCCAATTACACTTTCCATCTGAATGGGGTCTTTCCTCTTTAGGGAGGAACCGTTGGAGGTGTGGATTGTTTGTTATTTAACTTTGCAAATTTCAGTAGGCGATTTTTGATTTGTAGCGGTGACAGTTCCTGATACCTATCTACCTAGTAGTAGGTATTAGGTATGCTAGGTAAAGTAGATGACGATGGATGGATGGTACGATCCGCAAGCGGAACGGAACCATGGGTTGGTGGTTCAAAGGAACCATCCGCATGGGACTTCTAGAATGATTCTGGAACTGGGTGTGGATTTGAGTCAAGTTGGTGACGTGACCTATCTACCTGTCTTTTTGTTCAGTCTTTTGTTTTTTTGGGAAGTTATCTAATTCATGATTATTATTACTCTAAGTGTGTGGTTAAGTGAAAAAGAAATATTTAGTGTAGGCTCAGTCATATGTCACAGTCATAGTTGACACAAACACAGTAACCGAGCATTCTAAAATATACATGTCATGCCATTGGATGGTATCATGTCTCGGAATTCTGATGCTATCACCACAACCCCGGCAACAGTTCAGTTCATTCGACCAACGGAAAAAAAAAGAAAAGGCCAAATATGTCCGTCCAATTGATTCCCGTCATTATTGGCTACCCTGAAAACGACAAGGAAAAAGTACCACCGCCATAGATAAGGGTAATCAGACATCTTCAAACAAAGATAAAGCACGTATCACAGCTAGCTCAAATCCATCGGTGGGATTGAAACAGTAAACACGCGTACGTACCAGCCTAGCAGGGAACCCCCATGTTGCGAATCCCAGTACATGCGTCGCTTGGCGCTGTCGGACCTCGTACTTGCTTTAGATGTCTACCTACTAAAAAGTGTAAACAGTAAACGCGGGTTCTGCGATCGACGAGACGTCAGTTCATTATGGAAGAACCGAGAAGATACCCAAGGGAGAAAGAGGTTGGGCAACGTGGTCGGCACTGAGCAGCAGTCTAGAATTCCGTCTTTACTTTGCCCCATTGTGGCGAATGTCAGGAATAGAAGTGTAAGAATGATGTAGTGGGATGGGTGTGGAGTCGAATAATTTAGCCCATACTGGGTACGGACGACAAGCGACAAGGTAATTTGCATTTTCCAGCCACTTTTTCCCAAGGGTGCTGCTTACCTGAGGCAGCTACCTAGAGACTAGAGAGCTATCTATCTACTCCGTAGAGAGCTAGGAGATGTCACCCCCCAGAAACCCGCACGGGGGAAGACGTCCAACATCCTATTCAGGATAGACAGAGCCATATGGACCCCGGCTCCATTGCGCCTATCGTTTGCTACTAGAGGACAGCCGAACTGGCGAACTGGCGCGCTGGCTGTGGTGCTCGCAGCTCCATCCGCGGTCGCGGGGACGAACAGGCAGGGCGAGGCGCTAGAAGGACTAGAAGCGCGCGAGAAGAATGCAAGTCGCACATAATACGTAACGGAGGCGGGTAACAGTGGATTTGCCGGATCATGGATCGTTATTAGGGAGCCCCACTGCCCCTTTCAGCCAGCCGATTTCCCCGGTGACCAAGGGGAACAGCGCAGAACTCAGAAGGCCTGGCGGAAAAGAAGTCCAGAGCCAGCTCCACGGGATTAAAAAAAAAAGAAAGAGATGACGGAAAAAGCAACGACAGCCAATGTGGTCTCCTGCCACTTGACCTGTATGCCCAGAGGCGCAGACAAACGAGTGCCAGAGTTGACAGAAACGGGGGCTAATCTCCCTGTCGCTGGCATGAAGCAACCAGGAGAAGGGTGGATCTGACTAGGGGAGGCCATCGAATCAATAAACAGTGATCTTGGTCGCGATAGTCTCCCGAAACTACCTCCAGACTAAAGTGCAGCAGGTGACTAACTACCGGACGGAAAGCTTCTGGATTGGTTCTGAACCTGGTCCTCCGTATCCCCGGAGGGTGTCCACCCGCTCGTAGGGTTGAAACTTGAAAGCCTGCTGAGTCGACCCATGTGAATGTCGAATGGATTCGGGTGAAATGAAATGAACAGCTCGTCACCACCTCCCCTTCAGGGACCATCCCCGGTACTTTGTCGAGCAGGGACTACTGCCTAAATCCTCAGGTACCTACCTGTCTCCCAGCCCAGGATAATTAAAGTCATAGCCGGGGGCACTGAGCCTTACCTATCAAGCAATTGCATGCGTGATCAAAGTTCGATCATCTCGATCGTATGTACAGTAGAGTGCGGCTATGCAGGTACTACTCCGGCCCTCCCAGCCTGGCTAGCCGCGTTGGGGGTAAGCTACCGACCAGGGTGTGCTGCTCTAAATCTTAGCCCTGAGAAGCCACCACTGGCAAAGAATAGATCCAGCCCAAAAATTCAGAGACCCCGTTTCATCGATCAGGAAAAAGAAAAAGAAACGAGAGGAAAAAAAGAAAAGAAAAGGAAGACCAGAGCTATCATCAGCATGGGATCACACTGCGCAAAAGCACCACGCATCCATGGAATTTAGGATAAGTAGGGTTTCCGGGAAACACACTTCCCCCCCCCCCCCCCCCAAATCCAGGGGCCCCTGACTCTGGTCCTGCCCCCCAACACCACGCGAGAGAGCATCAAGACAAGCCCCAGCGGATCCATTGGTGCTGGATTCGGATCCATCCGCGGGATCCTTTGAGCGGCTGCCTTTCCCCACCCACCTGCACCTGAGGTGTCTCCGAGAAATCGGTTCCTAGCTTCTGACTGATGTACTCCGGTCTCCGTATCTACCTTCAGTTCCAAGCAGTGGAACCTTGAATTTTCTTCCTTTACGGAGTAGTTCCTTAGTATTTCCTTTTTTTACATTGGTGTGGTAGTAGTAGTGGCGTAGTGGTCGCCGCCACGATGGGTGGTGGTGAACTGGTGACTTGGTGAGAGTGGCTAGATTCCCGACGCCATTACGGATTTACAGTACCTTAGCCGGAGTCCCTAGTAGGCTCCCCCGAACTAGGCCATGATCGATGAATTTTTTTCAGAAACGACCTAAGTCACTTCCGTTGCGGATTAGACGGACTCTCTTCCTGTGGTTTCCCTACAATTTCCGAAATGAACCCGTGTCTGGAATCAGCCATCAACGGGAGATTCTCCCAGCTGACGGGGAGATGCGGATGGAGCCATTGAGTGACCGGTCGGGAGGGAACATGAGGCAACTCTCTTAGACAAAGAAGCAAAGGGATGAGATGAGATGAGATGGGGGTGCAAAGGAAAATAATACCAACCTTAGCCTTAGCTACAAAAAGCCGTCACGACGTTGGTGACCGGGGCCAGAAACCCCTAAGAAAAGAAAAAGAAAGGGGGAAAATGGATCGCACCCACTCTTCGCCTACCTATGTATGGTACCTTACCTTCGGGACGGGAGAGCCGCCTAGCTATGCTAAAGAGAGCTGTTGCTCGACAAAGTAGTAAGTTATTATCATTACCTACCTACTACTAGTATGTGTATTTTGTTTTTATTTTTTTTGTCTCTCGAATTTCAATCCAGCGCGCGCTGTATCACTATGATTCCATTATTGCCCCGTTCATTCTGGCCACTTTCTAGCCTCTCTCTGGGGGTTTTGGTTTCCCACTTTTTATTTTTTACGTGACTATCCTGATTGCCCAGGTCTATCTACTACTTGGTATCTATGGAGTACCTTTATTCTGCTTTTTTTTTTTTTTTTTGATTTTAATTTTTTAAACTTCCCAAGAACTTTAGGTTCCTTTCTGTCCAAGCCCGGCTGGGACAGATCACCCCAATCTTAAAAAAAATCCCCAAGAAAATAAAAAACACCCAGTCCGTCAGAGAATTGAAGAAGGTCTAGTCAGTAGTCACTACTAGTATATATCTATGCGATGGGCCCCCTTCAACCATCTGGCTACTAAATTCTTCAATTCATCCATTCCTAAAATCAATTAAACTCACCCTTCCTCTCCTCCCACTCCTCTCTCGTCTGCCTCCCTACGTACTTTCGCCCATTCCCTCGCCCTCCCTCGGCTCTATCCCCGGTCCTCCTCGCCGTGACGTTACCAGGCCGCGTTCCATCCTCCCTTGCGATACGTCCAGTCTAGCTTGGTTTCTTTTTTTTTTTTTTTTACCGGATTAGACGGAGCTCACTTCCGTGGGACTCCTTTCCAGGATCACCTCCTTGCGGGCTGCATTAGTCGCCTCCGTGTCCTTGGTCGCTGGTTCTTGATCCGATCTCAGCAAATACTATTGCCCTGCACGTCCCTGCGTACTTTTCCCGCTGGAATCATCCAAAGGGGAATCTACAAGAAAAAAAGAAAAGAGAAGGAAATCAAACCCAGACGCCTTCCGAAGAAACCACCGCAGGAGTGCCTGAGAAAAAACAAAATAAAAGCGACCTGTCCACTGGGTTCACGGACTCCACCCATCCTCATTCTTACAAGCCCATTTCTTGTTCTTGGTACTTCGAGACGTCGCATTCCTGCCCTACTCAGATCTACCTACGCACCTACATCACCCTGTCTCGTCTCCAACCCAGTGTCAGACTTGTGCGCCTTAATAAGGATCGCACTTCCGATCTCACCTGCAGCTGCAGCAGCATCGATACCGCCTGTTCGCTGCCGGGGGTACCTCACTAGTCGCTACACACGATCTATCAACACGACGCACAGTCGCAATAATAATCGAGCTCTTTTTATTTATTATTGATTTCTTTTGGGGGGCTGCCGTGTGTTTATATTTAATCTTCCTGTGAGTACTCCTTCAAGCTTGAAACACTTCCCTACAAACATCCGTCCTCGCCTCTCTATATCTTCCTACCTACCTTCCACTCCATTCCCCCCAACTCTATCCTCAGCATCTGACCATGGCCATTCGCTCAGAATCTGCAATGATCCTTCGAGATCTCTCGGCCTTCAACATGGGACGAGGAGCTTACGACACTACCGGGGTCAAGAAGCCGGGTGCACCACCGCCGCCGCCCACGACCCGATGAAACCCTTGGAGACATCTGCCAACCACATGCTGCTGTTCTGCTGTTCTCTCGAGCGAAAAAGTTATTTGTGACTTGCAACTGGCGCATGGCTCCTGGAGTTTGACGTGACTGCTATGAAGTCGAGCTTGTACGTTGCTTGCACAGCTACCCCCGGCGTCGGATCCCCAACTAACAGCGAATCATAGTTCCTGTACTACTACTATTTCCTGACCTTCCTGCGTTCTTCTTGGCCACCACTGGTTTCGGTTTCTACATATTTTCTAATCACGCCTTTTCCGCCGTCGACTTTATCATGGAACGACACGGCCACCACCTTTTCTTTTTCGATCGACAATTTACCTTCATACACATTTAATCCGCCGACACGAACCAGCTCAGATCTATGATCTGTTCCATCAAAAGTGATTTGTCGAGCTTTGTTGTTGTTTCTATTTGGTCTGCTTTGATACCGGCGTTTGGTATAGACGGATAGGGGTTTTTTTTGATTTGGGATACATGGATTGATACCAAGACAGACTAGAATTTCCGACCTCGCGGTCAATTACCTCGATCTCTTTTTTTTTATTTTCGTCACATTTTGCTCCTTAATACACTTTGTGCTTGACTTGATTCTGAATTCTTCCAATGTTTCTTTTTAGGGATTGTTTGTTCCTACCATTTCGTTTGTCAATGTGGACAAATTGTGTATGTGTTTGCGCGTATGTGTACACTACTGAAAAAAAAGCACCATTTTGAGAATGCAAAGCCGGCGTGCCTTTTGAATCCACAGCCTCAGACGGGACTGCAAATCCCCTTGTACACCACAGGATTGGCATCCGGACGAGTCACCGACGATGACATCTAACCGTGATTGTCTTCAGGGTTGTTTGACGGGAGCCCACAGAGCGTCTTCAATCTGATTTGCCGGCGGGGGGGGAGGGGGGCATTATCTGGGTGGATCCTGGTCGAGAATCAAGAAGTTCGAACGGCTTGCATGTGCTTCTTTTTTGGGCAGCCACCGGGTCTGCACAAATCATGTCGTGCAACGTTGGCTCCGTGACACGACTAGATGCCATTGGGGAGGCGTTTCCAACTGTCTGGCGGCGATCAATGGCCGTTGGGGCCCATTGGCACGTCATGCTTGGACGCCATGACATGCTGTCGGTCTTTGTTGTTTACCCCGTGCCTGCTTGCGACCTATAGATATGCACCTTGGGAAATCCTGGTTGAGTTGGGCCAGATCGCTTGCCTACCAATCATCGGATGCTGACGGGGGGGAGTTTGGGGGTTACTTGAAAAAGGTGATCTGTCGCTTTTTCCGCGATGGTGAGGCCTAACAATCGGGGGGGTTCTGCGTTGGAGCCGGTGGATGGGTATCGACAGCCGGTGTCACGGGTACTGGCGACCACCACGGACAGCGTTGCTTGTTTCAGGAAATGGATGGATGATGGATGGATGGATGGATGTATGTACTTGTCGAGCGGGATACCTCACAAACACCAAACAGCCCTAAACGCTCCCCAGCCTGTACCTCTCCGCTGTCACCCACTCTACAGTGAGTACCTACATCCTACATCCATAGTACATACTCTGGTACCCGCAAAGCCACAATGGATAGAGCGTCGGGTACCTGAGGTGTTATTTTTTGCCTTGTTCGGCGATGCGGGAACATCCCGTGACTGCCCGCCCGCCCTGGCCGCGCTAACCCCAGTTGGGCCTCGCGCCGTCATCTACTCGACCCTCCGCCTCACTGCGCATCTACCTGGGCCGGAGCATCTCTCTCTCGGTCTCGCTCTCTATCCTCTCATCCACGCTCCCTGTCCACCGCCATTTCGCTTGGTTCTGGTGCGTAGTATCCGTCTCTCTCATTTGTCCGTTTTCTCTCCACGTTCCCGCAGTCACATTACCCCTGCTCTAATCCACCCCCTCCCCTCAGAGTCCCTCGTGTTTCTGGCTTACGTCTTCCTTCAGGCTACCCCGAGCGTTGCCCTCTGTATCGCCCAGCCCGTGCCGCCCTTTGCGAGCTGAAATCATCCTTTAGATTGATTCTCATCCCTAGTGTGGGCTGTTCCTGCAAGACGACCTGATCGCATCCCATCATCGCTCCCCGTTGGGCTCCCGAGCCATGTCTGAATCAACTAGCACAAATACCCCAAAGCCGAGTAGCAGCGTCAAGCTGGTACTTTTGGGAGAAGCGGCTGTGGGAAAGGTACGGACGACCTCGGCACTTTCCTTGCTCTGACCTCCGGGTGGTACCTGAGTAACCGGGGGAGCTGACTATGAACGCAATGGCTGATTGCCTATAATAGTCATCGCTGGTACTGCGATTTGTCAACAACGATTTCCAAGAGAACAAAGAGCCGACCATTGGAGGTAAGCATCCGATTGTGGCGATTGCGGATCACACTTTTTTTGGGCTCGGGGGGAAATCCTTGCCATCCTCTGGTTTCCCGATTGTGGCTGTATCTCCGAGGCTGATGTCATTGTTTCTACCCAGCTGCCTTCCTTACCCAAAAATGTTCCCTGCCTACGCGGACCATCAAGTTCGAAATCTGGGATACCGCCGGTCAGGAGCGTTTCGCCTCGCTCGCTCCCATGTACTACCGTAACGCCCAGGCGGCGCTGGTGGTCTACGATGTCACCAAACCGTCCTCCCTCACCAAGGCGAAGCACTGGGTTGCGGAACTTCAACGACAAGCTAGTCCCGGTATTGTGATCGCTCTTGTCGGCAATAAGCTGGACCTGACAAATGACGGAAACGACGCGGCCGGGGAGACTCCCGCTGAGGCCGAGGGCGAGCCATCTGCAGCGGATGGAGATGAAACTGCCGGGGAACCTCAGGAAGGGCAAGACGTCACTTCCGGAGATGCTCGAAAGGTGCCTACACGGGAAGCTACCGCCTACGCGGAGGAAGAAGGCCTCCTGTTCTTTGAAACTAGCGCCAAGACGGGCACGAATGTCGTGGAGGTGTTTACAGCGATTGCTAACGCGATCCCGGAGAGCAGCCTGAAGAGCGGACGAGCAGGTGGCGCTGGCACGGGCCAGACTAGTCTGGGCAGCGGTCGTCCGGCCGAAGACTCGCGGGTCAACCTGGGGGAGCGCGGGCCTGCCACGGCAAAGGAAGGGTGTGCCTGCTGATTTCGGATTGTTTTGCAGCGTGTCATGAGCTTTGGTCGTGCTTTTTGAATCTCTTTTTTACTGTTCCGATACAATATCAGGTTGATTACACGGTAATATCCTGCGGCGAATGGAGCCCGACCGCCCAGGTCAGACTGTCATGCGGCTTGAGCCATGTCATTTCCGGCGTCTCGAGTGTTTTTGTTCTGCTGTTTCACCCTTTTGTGTTGTTCCGATGACTATGCAGAGTTAATACGGCGATGGATGAATGGGGAGGATGTACAGAAGTCCCGCAGGAGCTGTGCCGGCCATAGTCATAGATTCTCGATGAATTCGGATTTGCATAAGTGCATGTCTGTAGCAGTAGCGGCAGCTGTAGCGATCAAATGTGCTACCTATCTGATGATATAGTAAGGAAGGATATCCGAAAAGGGCAGCCGGGTCACGGGACCAGACATCCCCTAACTAATCCCAAAGCGGACTACGGCCACCCGCTAAGCGAGAGGCCGAGCCTCCGATCCCACAGCCGACCCAAGCGCAAATTGGGGACGTTCAGTGTGAGATCTCCGTTCAACCACCAACCTCGACAACCAACCTCACGACAGAAGGCAGCATCCGCAGCACAGCCAGCTACCCGTCGCTCGTCTGCAAACATGGCTGCTATCAACAAGATCGCCATCAACTCGCCGTCGAGGCAGAACCCCTCCGAGCTGGAGACCGCGATCGCCGGTGCTCTCTTCGACCTCGAGAGCAACACACAGGACCTGAAGGCCACCCTCAGGCCCCTGCAGTTTGTCTCTGCCCGTGAGGTAAGGATGATTTGGTTTTTCTTCGTCCGCGTACAGATCAGATGTCGGGGGTTGTGAATTGGCGGAAACACCATGGCCAATATACGAGTGCGGAGATCAATGTCTTGGTGGAAAATGAATTTGTGTGCGGTCTATCTACATGGATACCATTGAGGACACATCTAGGTGTACTTGATATATACCATGATTGGGAGGAAACGAATTGGAGTATCCAACACCGACACTGATCTGATGCGCGAATGAAGCGAAAAAAATTATTATTATCATTCGAATTGTGCGCAACTTGATATTGACTGCCTATTTCACAGGTCGAGGTCGGCCACGGCAAGAAGGCAGTCATCATCTTCGTCCCTGTCCCTCTCCTCCAGGGCTTCCACAAGATCCAGCAGCGGTACGACTACCTCCATACCCCGGAGTTTGGCAAATTCTCCACTCCATCATCACCACTACTCGGACGTGCTGTGGAGCAGCACACACATGAGCACGGGAAACTCAGACAGAGACATATATACTGACGGAATGATATCTAGTCTGACCCGTGAGCTCGAGAAGAAGTTCTCCGACCGCCACGTCCTCTTCGTTGCTCAGCGCCGCATCCTGCCCCGCCCCAAGCGCTCCGCCAACTCCCGTTCCAACCAGAAGCAGAAGCGTCCTCGTTCCCGCACCCTGACTGCTGTCCACGACGCCATCCTCACCGACCTCGTCTACCCCGTCGAGATCGTCGGCAAGCGTACCCGCACCAAGGAGGACGGCTCCAAGACCCTCAAGGTCATCCTGGACGAGAAGGAGCGTGGTGGTGTTGACCACCGCCTTGATGCCTACGGCGAGGTCTACCGTCGGTTGACTGGCCGTGCTGTTGTCTTTGAATTCCCCCAGGGTGGTGCCGACTACTAGATCAATTTTTATTTTTGTTGACAGTGACAAATTTGACAAGACAAGACAAAATTTGATTTGAACTTCTTTTTTTCCTCTCCTTCCCCAATCCTTCTCTTCATTCAATTCAATTCTTACTTTCCACCATGGCCCGGACCCATCAACAACAACAACAATCTCTGAAAATGTTTTTGTTCATGGTTCCACCCGTTACCTTTGTCGCTCTGTGGTTGAGACAGTGAGGTTCTGGTCAGGTTTCGGTTCGTCTGGTTTGGCTTGGTTCGGTTCAATTCGGTTCGGTTTCGGTCAGGGAAAAAAAATCACAGGATTCCATAGGTTTTGGGGGGGGATTAGGGATGAAAGTGATTGTTGTTGTTGTTCAAAGTTCCAAATGCGTCTTATCTGTCTATGTCGGGGTCACTTCTCAACGCTAAAAAAGAAATAAAAAGGATCTGTTCTGGTAGGATAGGATTAGGGGAAAACAAACAGATCAATTGTCGAGAGATACATACTTTTTTTTTCTTTTCTTTTTCTTGCTGAGTGAGAGGACAGGGAGGGAGGGCATCTTGAATACTTTCTACTTCTACTTCTCTTTGATATGGAATCAATATCCATGTTATGTGATGGATGTGATGTGATGTGATGTGATAATACAATAAGTCATGATCTGGAATGTTGTTTTCTGGTCTGTTTGTCTATCTAGTTGTAGGTGTTTTCATTAGGTTATGCTTGCTTACCTAGCAGGGGAATGAATGTATGGGTATGTATGCGTGTAAGAAAGGTATCATTAATCAAGCTCTATACAAAGTGGCAACTACACCACCTCCCTCATAATTCTTCCCACCCCCAACACCATCCAATATGCTAATTCCCTCTTCACTGTATCTGAACTCGATCCGCGGCCTACCCCATGCTCTTGATCAATCTGATTATCCGAGTCCCACTCCATGTGCACAAACACCGGGATCTCCAGGACGTCTTCATCGGGCTGGAGTTGCTGGTTCGGGTCGGACGTCTGTCCGCTCCAGTCTAATGCCACGCTACTGTCGGAGTCGGAGTCAGAGTTGGAGTCCTCGTCATCGTCATTGTTGTTCTTGTTGGTGTGGCTTTCTGCTTCTAGCTCATTGGCGGGATATTTCTTCGGGGTTCGTTTGATGCCCCCCGGTAAGGTTCCCGGTACCACCTCTAATACAACCGTAGTCCAGTTCCGTCCCTTGTCCCACACTTTTCCGGCTTCTGCGACTTTCTCGTAGACGCCGAGGCCGCCGGATCGGGAACCTCGCGGATCGGTGGTGGTGGCAGTGGCGGGGGTAGCGGTGTTCGTGGTGGTGGTTGCTGAAGCGCCTTGGAGGGCTTCGTCCCACACGTCGCTGTTCGCGCCAATGTCGAATTGCGGACATAGGATCGTCACTTTGGAGGCCACGCGACCTGGAGTGACGGATGGCGTGGCCAGGGTGACGCGGACGGGATCGAACATGTGATTCTTTAGGGTGAGGAGCAGCTGGATGGGCCGCAGCGGAGACAGGGCGTCTAGGTTCGGGTTCGTCGTGGAACCCGGAGCCGTGGGGGCCGGGAGAACGGTCGCAGCTTGTTGCGGGCCAGGGTTCAACGGCCGTAACGTCGGCAGGGGAATGTAGCTGAGGGCGATGAGGCGGATACGGAACCGCGTGGACTGCGGTTTCAGTTCGGGTTTGACAAGAATGTGCTTGCACGACTTGCACCGTTTCGACCGTTTCGTGCGCAGTAGGACAGGGAGCGGGAGGAGGTCGTCTACGAACCGGGCATCCGGGGACTGGAAGGCACGTTGCTCCAGGGAGGCCAGTCCGTCCCAGCCGCAGTCTGGTGAGGCCATGCGTTGGATCAGTGCGTCTTCTGCGTCGGGGGAAGGCACCTTGAGGCCCTCGCCGGCGGTGAGGGCTTCTCGCATCACAGGCGGTTTGGTTTTGGGCTTCTTGTTGCCTCCGCCGTAAAGGCTGCTGAGTCGGGAGGATGAGGTGTAGAGGGACATGATACGGTTCAGGGCCCCGGGGGAGGAGAAGCCGGCTCCAAAGTCCATGCCCAGGGGATCGGTTGGTGAGGATGACGTTGCGGAGATCTGGTTCTTGTAGAAGTTCTTCAGGGCGTTGAATCTAGCGTCGGGGTTGAGGGGAGCGCTTGGCTGGTCCAGGGGGTCTTCCGGCTTGCTCTCTCCTGGCGGTAGGAATGCCTCGTCGATGGAGGAGTAGGTGGAGAGGGGGGATTTGAGGTCCCCGAACGTCCGGGACATCTGTCTCGAGCGAGAGGGGGTGGCATCGGTCATCTTGGATAGTTGGGTGCGGATGTTGGTCGGCTTGTCGAACTTGATGCCAATATCCAGGGTTGACCACATGCAGTATCCGCACGACAGCACCCAGGGGCCTTGTTGACTGGTGCCGCCTGTCACGACGTTCTCGAGGGTGTTGACTGCCAGGGGGGCGGTGCATATCGGGCAATTGAAGCAATTGCGAGCGCATCTTATACCCATCGAATTAGCACATGCCTACAGACGCCGGCTTGTGTAAACTTTGCTCGACCTACCGATTCCCCTCACTCCGAACCATGCTGCTGGGCGTCTCGAACAGGCAGTTCGGACAATACCAGCACACGATCTCTTCCGTTATGCATCGCGGACATTTGATCTGGTGACAATCTTCGCAGTAGAGCAGCTGCTCCGGAGGGTACAGGGAGAAATTGGCGCGCGGAGACCGAGGGTCGAAGGTCTGTTCATCTTCATCATCGTCCGGGAGCAGGAGAGGCTTGGGTTTGTCCGGGTTGGATTTCTGTGGCGAGTCCCTCGACCGCCGTTTCTTGGCCGGGTCCGGAACGGGGGTATTGGCGCAGGGACATGAAATGAAAGCGTAGGGGAAGGGACGCGACATAGTGAGAGGGGGGTTGGAATTGATATTGTTTATTGCATGCTAGGCGCATCTTCATCAGCCTGAGATCGGAAGAGAAACATCAGGGGGGGGGGCAGCAGCATACCTAATCGTACCACCATATATCATAACAAACAGCCAAATCTAAGCCTTCACTGGAAGCTGCATCCAACGCATAGCCATGACTCCGTAGACTGTAGAGAGATTCCCCGCGAAGGTGAACGCGACGTGGCGGGAGAAAATGCGGAGAACGACCGGATTTCTCGCCAGCAGCCGACGTCACGTTCCCATCCGACGCCCGCAACTTTTTCCCCTCGCCTCGACCTCTCCTCCCCAACTCCAGAAAACACCCCCCAATTCATCCAGAGAGCCCCTCATCATGTCTCTGGCCCGTCTATTCCGGCCAGCAGTACGCTCCTCGCGCCTCTACACCCCACGCACACCCCTCTACACAGCATCATCACCATGTCTATCGCGAAGAACCTACGCCAGCCAAATGCCCGGCAACCCGGTCATGGAAGTCTTCAATCGGAAAACAAAGCATATCCAGAAAGACCGCGCTGCCCGGAACATCGAAGAGAGCCGCAAGACCGACTACATCAAAGACGAGGTTGCCACGCGACTATGTGAGCGATTGCTGGTACATATACCTCCCTCCCACCCACCGACCAACACAGGATACTAAATACCATGGATAGGACATCAAGCGCACATTCCCTCAAGTCCTCGACCTCGGCGCCAACAGCTGCAACATCGCCCGCGCACTCACCATGCCCAATCCCGACCCCGACGCTCCCAGCTCCCCACCCCTCAGCACCCGCATCTCACACCTAACCTGCATCGACACCTCGGAGGCGCTCCTCCACCGAGACGCCGACGAGCCCTTCAACGACCAAATTGCACTCACGCGCCAAGTCGTCCCCGACCTGGAAACTCTCCCCTTCGCCGAGAACTCGTTCGACGCGGTACTCTCATCGCTGTCGATCCATTGGATCAACGATCTCCCTTCGTTGCTGGCGCAGGTGAACTCGATCCTGAAACCCGATTGTCCGTTTATTGCGGCCATGTTTGGCGGAGATACGTTGTTTGAGTTGCGGACGTCGATGCAGTTGGCGGATTTGGAGAGACGGGGGGGAGTGAGTCCGCATGTGTCGCCGCTGGCGGATGTTAAGGATGTCGGGGGATTGTTGAATAAGGCCGGGTTTAAGATGTTGACGGTGGATGTGGAAGATATTGTGGTCGAGTATCCGGATACGTTTGCCCTCATGCAGGATTTGCAGGCGATGGGGGAGAATAATGCGATCTTGCATCGTGAGTTGGGCCCTATCTCGAGGGATGTGTTGTTGGCCAACGAGGCGATTTATCGCCAGTTGCATATGGCGGAGGGGGATAGAGGCCTGCCTGCTACGTTTCGGTTGATTTATATGATTGGTTGGAAGGAGGGTGAGGGTCAGTCGAAGCCATTGGAGAGGGGGAGTGGGCAGCTGAATTTGAAGGATCTATTGGGTGGTGGATCCTTCTAGAGGACTGTTACTTGCGATGATGGTCTGTCCATATCATGATAAGAAGGTTATGTATAGTATAGTGTAGAGGTGTATAATATGGACGGGGCAAAAGAAAAAGGGACATCTAGGATATAATCCTGACGAAGCGAAGCACGGAATGAGTACACAGAACAAGAACAAAAGAATACACCTCCTCTTCCTCATCTCACCTCCCCAATCTTTTAACAAACAACCAGCAATTTCAAAAGTCCTCAAACCGTCCTCCGATCCGTCATGACCCTAACAATCGACCCCGTCCCCGCAACCTCAACCAACTTCTCATGCCAATTCAACAACACACTCATCTGCTGCCCACCACCCCCCTCACCCAAATTCCTAGCCTGAATCTGCGAAAACCCCGTACTCTGCGGCGAAACCGACTTGGAGCCGCCACTCCCCGACGCCGCCATACCCTTATACCTATAGTAACCACCATTAGCCCACATCAGCAGAACAGGGGCCGAAACACATACAAATACTTCATCAAGCAATCCGCTCTCTCCGAGCCACCCTCACCAGTACACACCCCCTCCAGAACACGACTCATCTCTCCCTGGCGAATACCCTGTAGGACGTCCACGACGGCCGCCAAATGCACCTCCTTTGCGCGGTCATCGCCGCCCAGCGGCGCCGTGTCGAGCACATACCGAAGGGCACCTTCGGGGTCGCCACCGCGGAGGAGCTGACGGACCTGGGATGCGACGGAGGCGGCGTCGCTGGAGGTTGTCGGGGCGGGGAGCGTGGTGGGGAGGAGAGTGTCCATGGGGAAGTTGATCGAGGACTCCGGGTCCAGGACGTCGATGTTGATGGTGCGGTAGTTCAGTTGGGCCATTGTTGCGGTGGTTGTTGTGTGAAGGGTTGGGTTCTGGGGGAGTGTGGATTGGTTAATTGAGGTTGTGGGTGGATGGAGCTGGGTAGGTAGGTAGGCAGTCAGGCCGCGGGGAAAGGAGATGACGGAGGGAGGGAGAGACGTACTTGGTGAGTGGACACGGTGGGTGGACCGGGTGGTGGGATGGTGGTGGTGGTGGTGGTGGTGGAGGAGGGTGGGTGCAGTTGTTGTTGTTTGATTGACTGCGGGGAATTGATGGAGTGGAATTGAATGCCAAGGGAAAGATTCCAGAGCTAGCTAGCTAGCTATTGAGAGATGTTGACGATGGGGGAGGGATGAAGTGGCGGCGGAGACCGGTGTTGGCCTGGAGGCCTGAGGCAGAATGTTTGTAGTATGGCCCGGTTGAAGTATACGGCTACTGATATGGAGTACAGCTCACAAATTGGTCACTTTTTTCAGCTAATTGCGATGCTCGTCTAGCCATATTATCTATCGTACATGTAGTATTCTTTTTAGTGTCAATCGCACATCCAATCCAAATAGAGAAAGCCACCCGCCCCAATAGTTACACACCCACCCACGCTGAATCGCTAGCAAACATAAACACAAAAAATAACAGGCTAATCGGTATATCCTCAGATAAATCATCAAGTTGTCGTAATAGTAATTGGAGGCACCGGGAGTGAGATCGTAGGCACCTCCGGGGTCGATTGTCGTTTCACATCATGCAACGACGCCGTTGCTGCCTCCTCGTCTGGCAGGGCAGCAGTGGTATCATGCTCCTTCTTCACACCTCGGTTCATCACACGCTGAGCAGCCCTTTTCACGGGCCGCATCGAGGACCGAACCATGGCCGCGAGCCGTCCCAGACCCTTGCTGATAGGCGTAAAGACGAAGTTCATGCTCCGGATGACAAAGTCAAGAGCAACCTGGCATGGCCCATCGGGGATCACACGCAGAACAACCGCCCACGGGAGACAGCCTAGAGCACAGATGATGCAGATGGCCCATTGGATCCCATCTAGTCGGGTGACGCCAAAGGCGTCCCCTCCCACGAAAATAATCATGATCTGGCCGCCGACCATAATGCAGTTGATTCCCAGGAACCAGTAGTTGCGGAACATGCCCTCGAAAATGTTGAACTTGTTGTCAAGTCGGCGGTTGTTGAACTCATTAAAGATCTGCATCCACACAAAGGTATTGAATACAATGGTGTTGAGCACCGTCTGCGGGTCATGCGTACCAAGTCGCGATCCGATGATACGGGTTCCGCCAAAGTAGAGCATGAAGGTGATGGCCAGCTGGTACAGAGCTTGCCCAAGGATCATTTTCCACATGACTACCGTGAATAGAGACGCGCTCTTGGGAACGGGCTTGCGGTTGAGGATCTTCTCTGTCGGTGCATCGGTCGCCAAGGCAAGAGCTGCGAATGTGTCCATGATCAAGTTGACCCATAGCAGCTGCACCGCGTTCAAGACGCTCGTGTTTTGACTGCTATACAAGGACGAAACAAAGGTCAAGATGACCGCGGTGATATTGACCGTGATTTGGAACTGAAGGAACTTGGCCACAGCGTCATTGACGGCCCGGCCCCAAGCGATGGCAGTAACAATCGACTTGAAATTGTCATCAAGAAGGATGATTGAACTCGCTTCCTTGGCGACTTCCGTTCCGGCAATCCCCATGGAAAAGCCAACGTCGGCCGTTTTCAAAGCTGGCCCATCATTAGTACCATCACCAGTGACGGCAACGGTTTCTCCTAGTTTCTTGAGTCGTGCTACTAGGATTCGCTTATCCTCTGGAGATGAGCGAGCTAGCACCTGGAGGCGAGGAAGGACCTGATCCATCTCAGCGTCGGAAAGCTGGCGGAACTTGGGGCCTTCCATAACGATTCCATCCTCGGTTTTGATACCGCACGACGAAGCTATGGCACTGGCGGTTACAATGTTGTCCCCAGTGACCATTTTCACCTGCACGCCGGCAGCATGGCACTTCTGAATAGCAGCTGGTACTTCAGGCCGGAGGGGGTCTTGGATTCCCACGACCCCAATCCATGTCATCTCGCGGAAGATGTCGTCGAATCGGGCGGCATTTGGATCATCTTCCAGGCACCGAACGTCCTTCGGGGGCCAGCTCGGGAAATCACGGTACACCAGTCCGATCGTCCGTAGAGATTGGCCCGCGTAAGACTCAATTGTCTCCAGGACTGTCTGCCTGTCTCCTTCGTGCAGTTCATCAATGGTGATGTGATCATGGGAAGCGCTTGTCCCAGTCATCTGGGTCGTGCAGGCGCCAGTAATTATCTCAGCAGCACCCTTGACAACGAGACGATATCCGATGGTTGGTTCCCGGTAAACCACTCCCATGCACTTACGTGCAGAGTCGAAGTGAATCAGTTGAACAATTTCCGCGGAGGCACGCTCTGCAGCAACGTCCATGCCGAGATGATCTTTGGCCATTTGTAGCAAAGCCACCTCGGTCTTACTGCCGATGAACTCCTTGGATCCATCTTTCTCTTCCTCGAAGGCAGTAGAGTTCAAGGCAATGCTCTGAATGAGGAGGTCTCGTCGCTTACCCGAATATTGTTTGAAGAACTCAGCGGGGGTGGGGATATCAGAAGAACGCTCCTCGGCCAGAGTTTGCTTGAACCTTCCAGAGCCCAAGGTCCCAGCCACAACAGTCATCTTGTTCTGCGTTAGGGTACCGGTCTTGTCGGAGCAAATTACGGTTGCATTTCCCATTGTCTCACAGGCACGAAGAACGCGCACGAGGTTGTTCTCCTTGACCATTCGTGTTGTGGCAAAGGCAAGAGCCAGAGTTACAGCAAGTGGCAGACCCTCTAGCAATATGAGTCAGTCATGGTCACAGGCCTTAATGTTTGAAGCATCACTAACCAGGTATCGCAACAACAATAACCGTAACAGCAACAATGAGGATGTCGACGAATTCCTTTCCTTTGGCTGCCGGCGACGCAGGGTTATGTGACAAATCCGCCACAAACCTGAAAAACAGAGCGAAAAACAGGATGATCGCGGCCCTGAAAGATATTAGTAACATATATACATGGAGGACGGATTGGTTCTTACCCTGAGCCCAGCCAGCCAATCCAATTAGCAAGTCGAGCCAATTTGACTTGTAGGGGGGTGGGATCGTTCGATTCCTGTAATGACAACAAGATCCGGCCATAAGTCGAGTTTGGCCCGACACTTGTTACTAGATAAGTTCCAACACCTTCAAGCACTTTGCTACCCGAGATCATGAACGGGTCGAGTTTCTTGGTGGCTCTGCCATCCGAAATCAACCGCCCAACTTCATGTCCATCCGTCTTCTTCATCTGGTCCGACTCTCCCGTAGCGGATGACTCGTCGCATTTTACTCCGTGACCTGAGACAAGAACTCCATCTGCAGGAATGGAGTCACCCGGCTCGACATGAAGAATGTCTCCCACTGTGACATCGAAAATTGATATCATGGAGACCTTGCCGGAACGGACAGCCTTGACTTCTCGGTCATTATTCTAAGACAGTTAGTCAAGTGATCTTCGCTAGCTGAATCACGAAGAAGATCGAGAACTTACACGTTGGTTCAGCTTGGCAAACTGCCTTTCCTTCTGCCAGTCATTGGCAGCAGTCACGATAGTGACTATCAGGATAGCCACACATATTGCCACTCCTTCGATCCAATCAACTCCACTGCCTTCGCTCGTGGTCTCGTAGATGCCTAGAGAAAGCGACACGATAGCAGCTATCGTCAATAAGATGATGATCTTATCGTTATACGCAAGCCAGAAGAGCTTCAGAAAGCCCGTTGGCTTCCGAGCCGGCAGTCGATTCTGACAGAACACACGTATGCGATCTTGGAACTGTGTACTGGGCTCTGATGTTGGAAGATTAATGATTTGGGAAGGGGGCTCCTTGAAAGAAGCATAGTCCGGGGATGTCGCTTCTGGAAAGCTGATCGAACCCTCCAAGAGGGTCTCATCCACAGACAGACCCGACATCAAATCTGTCCGTAGGCCCCGTTCTAATCCCCTCATGCCCCCAAGTGCCTGGAACGCAGCCAAAGATTTAGGATTCTGCATCTTGTTCAGCTGGCCTGGAGAGAAGGCGAACTTATTGTCTGTGACTATGAAATCCTGCTCGTTGCGAGGATCTGGGTTCAAGGCGTCGGCTACCGAAACATCGTCGTACTCCATCTTGGTCGGGGTGGCGGTGGTGGCTGCAGAGTTGGCTCTCGATCTGACAGCGGTGTCTGCATTGGAGATGGTAGAGTCTGCTCGTGGCCGTAACGTCTCACCGTCCAGCGAGTGAGACGTCCGCGTGTCACTCCGTACCATGAGTCTGTCTGGTGATAGAGTGGACGCCATGTCCGAAGGTGAGTATGGACGAGCAGATGAGAAGCTTGAGTGTTCTGAGCTGAGTGGGAAAGGGTGCTGTTGGTATCTGTATTAGTACATGGTCCTCTCATCAAAGTGTAGCGCTATCAGACGTACCTCTCTATCTGAAACCCCGAAAGGGTTCAGATACTCAGTCTGACGATGCTCGTCTGGGGTCTGCATTGATGCGACAGGAACAAGCTCTGATTTGGCGAGAACAGTGACGCGGTCATCAATTATGGTAGATATAGTATTAAACCCCGATTGCACTGGTTACTGTTGGTTCTTCCCCCGAGCGACTCTCAGTATTAGTAGACTCTGACACTGGGGCTGTGCTTCTTCCCAACAGAGCCTAAAAGTCACTAGTCGTGTGTCTCATATCAGATTCTTCGGAGCAATTCTAATCTCTGATTTAAAATTTCCACGGTACTGAGAAAGGAATTATAATGTCAAGGAGGATTCTACCAAGCACGGGATGAAAGAAAGCGCTGCAAGGCCCGAGGAAAAGGCTAGCAGGCGCTCTGCTATCGCCATTCCCCGAACTATGAGGTGTGTGAGTGACCCATTCGCTTGGTAGCATATTACTGCACAGCCTCCTTGTGTCGTCCTATCACCTGCAGCCTAGGCCAAGGGGGTGGAGAGGCATGACCATGGCTGCAACTAAGGAGCGGGGGTATATACCCAAACTCAAAGCGCTCCCTATCTAAAAGTCGTAGACGACATGACACCTCCACTCCGTCAAAGCAAGTTAAATTGCACAGTCTAGGCGCCGACGGAGCTCCTGTTCATCCCAGTGCACTCTTATCTTTTCCCTTAGAGGACAACAACAAGGAAGAGGAGGAAGGTGAACCTCCAATCACAGGAAACCTGCCATCGCGTCTCGGCCGTCGCGAGGCGCGCAGACCTGGCAACTGGTGCCCTCTGAGCTCTGAGTGGACTGTTGCAAGTTCGCATACCCCAACTCGAGATGGAAATACCAAGCGATGTGGTTCTTGGAAAGTTGCCGCCGGGTGAGGTTGTTTCCAGCAAATAGTATCTTAGCGGGCGGCTGCGCCTCGTTCGTTTAGTTCGGAAGTCAGACGATTATTAGTCGGTCAATAACAGGTTGATCGGGGGGATCCGAGGAATCACTGCATGCCGTTGCCGTGGCCGCTAAAGGTTGAGTTCCGTATTGCCTAGTGCGCATCGGGGATCGGAATTTCATTCAACCTCATCGTCTCGAGGATCACGTTGACTCTATCCTGAAGAATGCGACGCCGGTGCACGGCCACACTTGTTGCGCCACACTTCCCACAATTTCCCCCATTCAGCTTCTTGACCCGGGGTTTGCCCCTGGTGGCTGAGAGAGAAAATCAGATAATCTCATGTGGCGTCATATCTCAACAACTGGCTGGAGCCCCATCGGTCATCGGCGAGGCGATTAACTCTTGGTGACCTGCACCCCGTACGATGCCCGGGTTTGACACTGCGGTTGTGGCTGGTGAGCGTCTAGGCTTTTGCCGAGTGGGCGTCACGATGGCAAACTCGCATCTGACCAGCTGAGGTTGACGAATTCGAGTGAGGCTTAGAAGCTTAATCTCCTGGTTGACGGCAATATGAGACAGATGGAGGCAACGAAGCTGCCATCATGTGGGATGAGATGAGACGAGGCAAAGAGGATGAGTTTTGTAAGCAGGCAGCACTGTTGCTGAGTCCGAGTCCCGAGTCAGCCTCGCCATCTGTACTGCAAGTTACGTATGGTTCAGTATTACAGGTATCATAGGCTGTGCTGTGTGTGATCTACGGAAGGACTTGTATGTAAGCTATTTACAGTATAGTCATTTTACATACAGCATTAAGGCTTCTGAGACACTGAGACAGCACATCTTCATCATGATGAGCCATTGTATTCTTTGAAATGCATACAGCCTATGCCTACAGCCCCAAAGCATAGTCTCATGTTCATCACACTCGTTGTCTCACCCATCTACGTCAGCAAGTTCAGCATATCGATTCCCCAACCCGCAGAAACACTGCTTGGATCTTTCAGACCCCGTATCCTCTGATCCTTCTCGACCCAATACCTCCTCCATTGCCCACGCGATTCGCTCTGCCCCCAGCCTTGCTCCCTCGAGATTGGCCGCACCCGGACCCAGACGAAGGGACCCCAGCCGGCCCGTTAAGAAGAGAGGTACATCGGATTGCCACATCAGGTCATCGGTGATACAAGGCAACCCCTGCTTGGTTTCAATTGGATAATCATGATTCATCCGCTGGAGCGGCGGAAGCTCGTTCACATCTGCCTGCATGCCTGTTGCGAAGTATATATAATCGATGCGAGGGAGGTCGGGGATCGGGGGATCTGTCGTAAGACGCCATGTGCGTGAGGAGGCGCAGTACTCCCTGCCGCAAATGACGGTCCGTGGGTGTATAGAAAGTCGGTGACACGCCACATGTTGCTTCAGGATCTTCTGATACCGTGGCGTGATACTGCCGCCATTGCGCGCGGCTTTGATCATCTCAAGGCGTTCCTCGTCCGTGTCTGCGGACCAGAAAGCTGCCTTCTCGAAGTTTTTGAATTTGCCCATCCAGTTCAAAGCAAGGTCGAAGTGCTTGACTGGTTTGCTGGTCAGCATCCCACATAATTGTTCGGTCATGCCGGCTTGTGGGCTGTGCTGCTTACCTTTAAAATCCGACCTCAAAAGAAACCACACATTGGTAACGCCTCTTCGAATTGCCATGTCCACGACCTGCGCTGACGACAGCCCTCCTCCAACGACCACCACATTCGTCTCCTGGCGCTGCTTGATCTTGGCCTTCACATTAGGACTGGGAAATGTGCGAATCTCTGTGCTATGACAAGCACCTTGCTCCTCGTCCCCGGACAGATTGAACGGCAGTATCTTTGTCCTCCCCGGCCCAATAGCCAACACCACCACGCGACTATAGAATCGTGTGCCGTCGGCCGTTGTGACAGTAAAAATCTTGTCAGATGGTGACAACTCTGGGTGGTAGTCGTAGCATATATCATTCACCTCACACTTCCTGATCATTCCGGGCGAGTCCAGCCCATACCGGGACACAATACTCCCACAGTAATCGGCAAACAGCCCCGTCGAAGGTGAAAAGTAATCTTTACGGTCTCTTTCATCGATTTCAACCTCTCCAACAGCCCTGTCAACCATCAAACCCCCATCGATTAGCATATGCTCCAGAAACACACGGCTCAACATCCCAGGGGTCAGGAATCTACTCACTGTGCCCTCGACCGCTGCTTCTTCTTCTTATGTTTACTCAACTCCTTACCCACGCATCCCGAAATCTCCCACAGATCTTTCTCCCTGCTCGACTCCTGCGTATACGCCAACATGCCATCCCGATCTCTCGGATCCACATGGAAGAACATCGGACTGCGAAGCTGCTCGATCTCCAACGTTCGGAAAGCCCTATTCCACCTCTGCATCCACTGATCCCCCGAACTATCTAGCACGAGGGTGGAAGTACCATTTTGGCCACCTCCCTCTTCCATAACTATTTCCGGGTCTGAAGAAACAGACGAAGACAATGACGGCGGAGAAGACGCAGACGAGTAGGAAGAAGAAGCTGAAGAGGACGCCCGTCTCGAACGACGAGAATCGTATCCCTGCCATTTATCCGCTTTTACGCCCTTTAACTTTCCCCGATGCGCTTGCACCAGAGCCATTCGACCACTGTGTTTGTTGATCCAGTGATAACGTTGGTGTTCGTCGTCTGTGAACATGGCCGAGGGGGTTTCTTCTCGTAGTCTGGCGGCGACTGCTAGGCCGCAGGGACCGGCACCGACGATGATTACATCGAGGATATCTGGGAAGGATGATGTGGTGTTGGTGGTGTTGGTGGTGGTTTTGCCTACCATTGTCCGTGATGGTTAGCCGAATGCTCTCGTTGAAGGTATAAAAATGGGATTGATGATAGAGAAAATTCTCAATCTGTATGAGAGGCTTGAATTGGAGATAGTATCTTGCCTTTATATTGGGTTGAGTTATGGTTGATGCGCACTCCCCAGGGTACTTGGATCCCAAGGTCCTTATCGCCCAAAAGGGAAATTCGGGATCGCCATCGACGACACGCTTGAAATCGGGGTAGACAGTGGAGTGAGGACCTTGGGAGACGGTTTCATGAACTGATCTACCTTCAATCTGTCGTTGTAGGTGATTATCGATGTAATAGACGACTCTGGGAGATCGGTGGGTTGGAGGCATTGGTCTGGGCTGCCGACGGAGACTGCGCTATGTTTGTAGACATAAGCAAACAAAAATACGATGAAAACTACGAGTTTGATGGTCAGTTCAGTGATCTCTTGCTGCCTCCTATGTTGGGATGGTTCATGCCTAAGTGAGAAGTTTCTGAGAAATACATTACATTACTATATCCGACCAACCAAAACTATGTAACCACCACGAAGCCAGTCCCCGTTGATATTAACATTATTTGTGCCACTTTTTCGGTCGGGGTTCTGTTGTCATCGCCCGGGAACGAGGAGCGCCTCCCCCTTCCCGGCGATGCCATGCATCTTGCGGCCACACCCAACCTCGCACTCGCTTGGCATCACGGCGCTCTCCCATCTGAGGCTCAGGGATCCATTTGTCTTTCCCCTCGGGTAGGAAGCGCTGCCGGGTCAGCGCCCCCGGTCCTCCCACGTTGAGATGGGCAGAAGGTTGCGCCGGCAAGGGCACCGACTTCGAAAGCATCAGCAAAAAGTACAACGCCAAGCTGGCTGTCATTGGCACATCCAACTCCTCCGATCCCGACATGGGATAACTATCCAGCACGGGGGATTGGCTTGCCAGGGAACTGTCGGTGGATGGAGTGGGGGAGTGTGGATAGCCATAAGCGCTGGAATACGGTTCTGGGCCATGCCCATGCTGGCTAACCGCAATCTTGGTTGGAATGGGGGAAGAAAGTTCCAAGAAACCAAAGTAGGGGACGTCGTCACCCTCATCACAACCGGCCCGCACACATACAAGCTCAATTTCGGTAAGGATGAAGCCGTATCGGCAGGAATGCTCGCGCATGCATCGTTGCAGGTGTGCCAGCCCGTTGAGATACTCGACTCTGCGGTGAGGCGCTTCATTACGCATCCCTGTATTCCAGCGGTCAAATGTCTTGACGATGCCAACGAGCCGTCCTCGTGGAAGGCCTGAGCTTGTCCGTTCTGTGTCTGACGCGTAGTTGGCAAGGAAGTGTGGCCCACCGTAGTGTTTGTTGGGAGACCCATGCGGAATAGGGACATCGTAAAGGGTCAAGTGATCCGGCCCTTGAGATACTGCCAAGGCAGCATTGATCCGAGGTGCATAGATGTCTCGGATGACGCTTACCAGAGCTGGTTCGCAATCTGGAGATAGATAGGAGCTTGGAAGAATGGTTGAAGGAGTGAGGTGCGACGAGATCGCAGTCTTGAGAAGCTTGGGAAGGCCACTGATGGAGTTGAAAGTACTCAGAGAAAACGAGGTCCAACTGCGCAAGTTTCGAATGTCCCACCAAAAGAAATCATGCAAGCCCCGCATCGGAATCACGTTTACGTTGCGCACGAGATTGATTGCTTGCGTCGGAGCGGTTAAATACGAGAGCAAAGTGGTCGACTGCGGATGCGGCCCCTCTGTGTGGTGGACAAGGCCGACGGGAGAGCACTGGGCGCTGGAGGCTCGCACATACCCGTATGGTGAGCCAGGGAGCATCAGTGGGACCTGCATTTGAGGCCAAACTTTGGGGTAGCATGGCTCAATGGGCGAATGCTGAGCATATGGCGGGTACACTATGATATTAGGCGTGGCCGGCGTAGCCGGTGTGGTGGGGGAGCTCTGAGGTTGAGAAGAGTATCTGAGGACCTGCCGATATGCTGGGTAGCTGCCCCGGTTCGGTCTTGAGTCGTCCACGTTGGAGGCAGATACGGATCGAGAATGCCCGCTAGTCGCCTTGCGCTTCTGCAACGGGGTTACACTCACGGGAGACGACAACGTCGAACCATGGCGGGCTGTGTACGTCGGAGAGGCCACCACCGGAGATACCAGAGAGACGCATTCCGAGGCCTCGACAGCATTGTGTTGGCTCGGCCGGCGGTTGGAAGAGAAGGGCAAGAAGCCTGGAGGATTCCGGGTATTTGATAGCACCCGCCGCTGACGATGAGACCCGCTGGTGGGTGGAGGCTCAATCACAACGTCTTGTGGTCTGATCTTTGGAAGCAGAGTAGGCCCATGGTGGTGCTGAGGGGGGGAATCAACGATTGGACTGGTGGCCGATGTGATGGCAGACCAGGGCGATGAGTTGTTGGAGTAAACGGAGGAATCGGAAGCGTTGCGACTATGCCCCGTTCCAACGTATTCTTGCAGGTGTAGTGCAGGGGGGGTGGAGGGCTGATAATAGGAGAACTCTACAGACATGTTGTTGGTTTCCAGTCACTGTAGGTTTGAAACAATATAGATGAAATAAGCGGCCGGCAGATAGCTTAGAGGAAGGTCCAGCTTCCCACAATGTATCAAACAAGCAAGGCCCACGCGGGAATAGGGCGAAATGGATGTGAAAAGATGCACTTGGGCAAAGGATATGCAAGGTTGTCAAGCTCGACTTGTTGTTGTGAGTGACCGTACTGAACTCTGGCACATTCAGATGGAAAACGGTTGGATATTAAATGCTCTTCGATTTGGGGCCTATGAGTCCCTTGATCCAAAAAAAGATACAAGATCAAACGAATTGGCTGCAGGCGACATGAAACAAAAAGGGCTCCATTGCGACACCCAGTCGCTAGCCCATCTAGGTATCCATGAGGGAGGTGGTAAGATCGTGGACACAGGGACTGCCGACATCTGCTTGGATGATGTGCAGCGCAAACGCTCATAGGGCCAGCGAGAGTGTTTCATCGACTGTCGCGCGTCAAAATGTTTCTATATTTGACATCTTCTTCGGTTCTTCAGATCTGAACCAGGCTGCCGGTAGTCTGTTCATGCTTGGGTTCGTCCAAATCTGCATAGGATCTATATTCGGCAACATGGTCGTTTCGTCTATTCTGGTCATTGTAGCTAGATCGACGGGTTCCCGCCAGAGCGTCAAGCCCTGAATGTCTATTAGTCGGCGGCAAGCAGATGTTTGAGGAAAAAATAAACCACGAGTGACTAGTAGACCTCCACGGCGCGTGGTGCTTGAGGGAGTCGTTGCAGTGCTACGCGCCGAGGTTTGATAGCAGGGTCTGGGGGAGCCGCAGCCAGGTCGATGGGCATTGGCCATTGCGCTCAACGCCCTTAGGTTGCAATCGCCCGATGCGATAGTTTCAGACCCAGAGAGATTCTAAGAATATACCCGCCGGAACATGTCGATAAATCAGAGGCCTGGGAGGTCGTCACAGTACGCGCCGGCCATGACCCTAGACGGCGCCTGGGCGCCTTAGTGGTTCTTCTCTGTCGACCACCTGCAGCGTGCTTGTGCTTCTTGAACTGGACGAATCACGTCCACGCGAGACAAAGTTGAGTGCTTATGATGTGATGAGATTGACATGTAGTGGGTCACTACTAGGAAGGACGACAGAGTCGGCGGGAAGTAAAACAATAACCCCGGCCGGATACCTCGAGTTGCTGCTATTCTTGGCCGGTGCCGGATTTCACTCCGTTGAGGAGGTTCATGGTCCTAGCAGCAGCTCTATCGTTCTCTTGTCCCTTAGGCGCCCAGATCAGGGAGTCAACCTTGTACCGCACCTGCAATGGGTTGGGTTCAGGAACTGGAAGACCGCGCCACTCTTAAACCCCAGTCACATGACCCAACATGCCGCAGCAACTGGCCTTCAAAGGCAGAAAATAGAAGAAAGAAGTCACGCAGGTTCAAGTCAAGTGTCTTGATTAGCTATATTATTATCATTGTCCTTGAAAGTCTCCCAAGAGTCGGAAGCAATTGGTCATCGCCTTATATAACTGCGTTCCAGCCCCCGTCTGGACAAGAAAGTTTCCTCACTGGGAGGAAAAATGAACAAGATATGAAACATTAAAACCCAAGAAAAGACGCAGAGGAAAATCAGATCCGGAGACCTGAAGGAGCATCCCGCTGCATCCGAGCTCTATTAAGGCGGAACAACACATAAACAACACGCATGCTGAAGGGAATCTAGTAAAACCGTCTAAGCAACTGGTCATGTCCAAAGAAGAAAGGTCGAAAGCAAGTCCATCATGTGCTCGTCATCATTTACGCCTTGACGTCGTACTTGCGGCGGAACATATCATCCACCTCAGTAAGGTAGTAGGTACCGGGGAAGAGCGTCTCCGTGTTGCCAGAAGGCTTAAAGTTCTTCTTCAAGTGAGCGTGCTCACGGAGGGCACACATCTGTGTAAGTCCATGTCAGTAAGTTGTTTCGGTGAAGCATAGAGCAAGATCGAGAGGTTCTTACATCAACATAGGCCTGAGGAGGCAAGACGGTTCTGGCGCTGAGACGGTCCTTGAGGTTAAGTTTCTCAACCATGTTGGAGACATCTCCAACGATCTTCACACTGAGCAGGGAGCTGGCAAGTCCACTGCCGTACGAGAAGAGACCGATGCGCTTGGGCTGACTAGGGTCGAAGGTGACGTGGGAGATCAAGCTAGCCAGACCAGCCCAGACAGTGGCAGTGTACATGTTACCACACAGAGTGGCAATCTCAAGAGCAGGCTTCACGCGCTCAGCAAAGCGCTTCTTGGTCAGGCCCATGAAGGTCTTCTCCACGTTCTTATCGGTGAGAGAGGTGGCGTAGTCCAAGTCACGCAGCTCAGGAGCAACTTCGGTGAAAGCAGTGTGGGTGGGGTTCGTGAGATAGTCGTTGTAGAGCATACGAGCGAAGGACTTCTGCACCAGCTTGCAGGTAGGTGCGTGGTAGCAGAGGTAGTCAAAGCGGTCCAAGCCAGTCTTGGTCTCGTCCTGGGCGGTACCGTTGGTGCCGTTCTGGATCTTTTCCTTCAAGGTCTTCTCGCGAGCGTTGTAGGCCTTGTAGCAGGCGTCGACAGCCTCAGTGTAACATCTGAGGGAGAAGTGGCCGTCCACTACCGGGTACTCACTGGTCAAGTCGGGCTTGTAGAAGTCGTAGGCATGAGTGACGTAGGAAGCACGAAGACCAGGCTCGAACACGATAGGAGCGTCGGGACCGATCAGCATGGCCACGCAGCCAGCACCGCCAGTAGGGCGAGCAGCTCCCTCAGCGTACAAGGCAATGTCACCGCACACCACAACGGCATCTCTGCCATCCCAGGCAGAGGACTCGAGCCAGTTGATGCTGTTGAAGACGGCATTGGTTCCACCATAGCAAGCATTGACGTTGTCGACACCCTCGACGTTGGTGTTTCCGTGAGGAGCCAGGAGCTGCATCAGGACGGACTTGACGGACTTGGACTTATCCAAAAGGGTCTCGGTACCGACCTCGAGGCGACCAATGGAGTTAGGGTCGATGTTGTACTTGCGCATGAGGGAGGAGAAGGTGGTCAGAGCAACGGAGTAGATGTCTGCGGGCAGTTGAATGTCAATATTGTCCCCCGACCATCGAAACTATATCTCAAGCATTGCATACCTTCACGGTCATCACAGAAGCTCATCTTGGTCTGGCCGAGACCAATTGTGTATTTGCCTTCACTCACGCCATCGAACTTCTCGAGTTCAGCCTGGTCGACACACTGCATACGCGGTTAGTATACCGCCCCAAATTGGAAGCATTAAAAGAGTGGACGGAAGCTGAAGACGTACCTGGCGAGGGAAGTAGACCTCAATGGCCTTGATACCGATGTTCTGAGGACGGGCAGACATGGTGATAATGTGAAATAGGAGGGGTAAGTATTATTAGAGGAAAGTGGGACAGCAAAGTAAAGGTGAGGTGCACTCAGAAAATAAGAGAGAGCTATGGCGTGGGGGGGAATCAAGAGAGAGTAATGGAGGAGGAAAAAGAAGAATACAGGTGAGAAGAAAAGGAGAGCTTTGGAGCAGGTGAAAGGGGAGTTATAAGTAGTGAAGCACACGATATACTGTAGGCTGCAAGTTCCAGCGGGCGAACGGTTTCCTAGGCGGGACTTTCCACCGGCCGGAGGCAAAAAAAAACGACTGGGTCAGTCCCCCCGTTCCTAGTTCCTACACAGTACTATGCAGGACGGCACTACGTTCGTATCAGCTAGTGGCCTGTTAGTGCGTAGCCCGGTGGGGCCGCCTGGTCCTTCCTTCAAGCTGTGGTTGGTGGGTGCCCTGACCTGCCCTGGGGTGCCTGAGGTTGTCAGCACCGGGTGCTCTCCCCCTCCAAAGTCACGCCGCGGATCTAGCCTAGATATACTACTATGTCGATGCTCGCGGAAGACACAGATGCGGCGCCGCGAGACCAGCAAGAACGTTCCATAATACCCTTTGCCTTCCAGCGACCGGCGATCGAAAGGGGCTGAAATTGCGGATGGGGAGATTCACCGGACGGTCTCTAAAAGAGATCCACCTCCTAATTTCCACAATTGTTGGGAAGGGAGAAAATCTGAAGGTGTCCAGGATCTGGTATACGCCGTACTCTTCATCCTATGTCCCGAAAACGGGGGGGATCAGGTTATGGCTGGCTCCAACCACAGCTCTCCCACCCAACGCATCATTGCACAACCTAACTCCTAGTGGTCTTACCGACTGCTGCTTGCTCCGGGTGGATGAGTCTTCGCCCTTGGCTTTCCGTTTCACCGACTCTTGTGAGTTTAGTACCATCGGGCCACTCACTCACTGTACTGTTATACATCCCCGCCGCCGATATAGATATCCATCCCACCCTCCCCATCCACTGTATTAGTACGGAATCACTGCTACAATAATAAACTACACCAATGCAGCATAACTGCAGCTACATGATGTAATCCGCTGTTAGCCGTTCCCCTTCCAACATGCCGAGCACCTGACGCGACAATGGGGTGCGCTCCCTGGTACGTATCCTTTGTCCCTCCCCTGCATCCCGAGCATTGATTGCTCATGATGACAACTCTGTTTACGAGGAAATTTCGTGTGGCCTCGGAGTATCTTCACGCGAATCCTCTGATCGGATTGCATATGCGACCACGCAGGATAAGTCGTCTAACAGTCCTGCTGGATCTGTGGGTATCAAGTGTTGCCCCTCGTCTCCTCCCTGTTCCACACTTTTCCCCTCCCCACCATATGACAGTCATATTGCTGCTAACAGACCAAACCCCCGGCAAGGGCCAAGGCGATGCAGTCAGCCGATCCCCCGACTGCGCTCGCAATCATGTTGCGTTTGCCTGGAAGCCTGAAGTATGTCAGCTTAGCAATTCGACATGTGTTAACGCCAAATGCACACAACAAGAGTAAAGCATGCAACCAAAGTTAAACCCCTCGAGGGTAATCTCAATCCCAGTCAAATCAAATGAGGTTCCGACTACATCCCCCCGGGTGTGACCTGGCCATGGTGTGAAATAAATTGAGGAAATAATCAATCTTATCTTGTGGAGCTTTCGGGTCCAGCCTGTATATAGGACTCCATATTGCCGCGACTCAGAGTCCTAATCAGGGCCCCAGTGGGTTCGGAAGCGGAAAGTGTTAGGATTGCAGAATAAATCCTCCAGTGAAGATCAATACCGATCTTTGGCCGTGCTCTTCGCGCGAGATGGGTCGGCGGCGCTCAATGACTACCCACTGGAGCCAGTGACGAGGAATATCCACCGTACTTGACATTTTGCTCTCACGTTGCCTGATACTGAGTGGCATTCTTAAAGCTGCGAAAGAGTGGTCGTCGTTGGGGTCTCCATGTCGGTCCCGGAATGGAGACGCTAGAAGGTTCTCGGGTAAGTCAAAGACATAGTCGATGCCAATACTAATGCCTGGATTGCGTGTGCTGCAGATATTGTAAGAATATGTGGGTAACTGACTATGTGCACGGTGGGCAACGACATGATGAAGCAAAACTGCTGGAACTTGGCTGTCCAGTTAGTTCAATTGCATAGAGAGCCTTAGAAGATATAATAGTATCTATGAGAATCTCTCGACCACACATGGCGCGGAATAATAATGCATTCTGGTGGGCCAAGAACTAACTAAGCAAAATGCAGACTGGGTTGGCTAACTAGATTCGAAAGGTGGACAGGAGATAGATATTAGATCCTCAGCAGATGGTTGTCTTCAACGAATACACACACTCTCTGTATAGTAGTACAGTACGGCTAGAGTCGAGAACTGTATGGCATCTCCAGTTGCACAGTTGTTTCCTCCAGCATCAATTATTCATTTATGACCCCTCCCTGATCATCACCGGTTGCAACCAATCCATACCAAGTTATCGACGGTTGTCAACGGCATATCCAGATCGGCATGTGGAAGATCTACGCAGGAAGTGTGTCTGGATTGTTCTTTATCGGTCGGGAGAATTCTGATCCAGAGAACCCTTCTGCCTGCGGAAGCCGAGCCGTGGGTCGCCCAGTGCTCGACTGCGCCACGCGTAGGTAGCCTCAGTCACTCACTTCGACCTGACTGACGGGTGGTCCGGGGAAAGGAAAGAACGGCGAAACCCAAGTGAGTTCTGGCTAAATACACTTCCAACTGCCTCACTCTGATCTGACACTGCGATCTACTGCTACGCTTAGCATTCATTCCCTCCACAACCTCCTTTCGCCAAAAACCCCTCTTAATCCTCCCCCCTCCCTCTCTCCCTCCCTCTGCCTCGATATCCCCTGTCGTTCGTTCCCGCCCCCTCCGATTCGGGAGCATGGCTGCACTTGTTGTCACTCCTTTCGCATCCAGATCATGATCCCGCTTAGCCCGGTATCTGTGATACTACCCAACTCGCACGGCTCCCGGGAGCCCCATACCTCCCGCCATGGGGAACGACGATAAGTTCGAATACGAATCCCTTCCAATCCCATCTTATGAAGAGGCTATCGGCGCTCGTCCGGGCTCTTCCCGATCACACCTCGATTCTTCCGATGAAGTCAGTGACAACGCCGAAAGACAAGGTCTACTTCAGCGCGGCCCTCAAACCGGTGGCCGCGCAGAATCTCGACACCATGGATATCGACCTCCCACCGTCGAGTCCGCCCGGAATAGCCTCGATGACCTCGAGTCGGCATCCGGCTCGGATAGGGGCTCGCTCGAGGAGTTGCAGCGGGAACTGGATCAGATGGACGTGGAGGATGCCGGCCATCAATCGTCATCTCAACGTTCTCGCCTACGGTCTCGATTCTCGAAGCGATTCAACGATTTGACCCGTACACTCTCTTCGTTCAATCTACCCCTACGTCGTTATCTGCCAACGCTGCCAAGTTTCCGATTCACCGTCCACCTAGACGAAGCTCGATCGGGCCTGAAGCACAACGGCTGCATGATCTTGCTGCGCGTCTTCGGGTTGTTGCTGGTTGTCACTGTTGTCTATGTCTTCTTCATCTCGGATCTTTTCAACACGAATAACCGATTCGTCATGGGACAGTCTTATAGCGCGGCATCCGTGGAGAATTTTGTGCAGGGACATATCAACGAAACCAGCATTGCAGAGAACTTGGAGAAGTTGACCGCATATCCCCATATTGCTGGCACGGAAGGCAGTTTCGTTCTGGCGGAATGGGTCGCATCGGAGTTCAAGCAGGCCAATTTCGATGAGGTCGAGATGGAAGAGTTTCAGGTGTACTTGAACTACCCCCGGCAGGATGGTCGGAAGGTGGTGATTATTGATCCTCCCGACCTGGCCTGGGAGGCTGCCTTGGAGGAGGATAATGAGCGGACTCCGGTATTCCATGGTCATTCTAAGTCCGGGAATGTTACCGGCCACCTCGTGTACGCCAATTATGGCTCCCGGGAAGACTTTCAATATCTCGCCGATCAAGGAATTAACCTGAGCGGCTCCATAGCGCTGGTTCGTTATTATGGAACAGAGACCGATCGGGCCCTGAAGGTCAAAGCTGCAGAACTGGCTGGTGCAGCTGGTTGTATAATATACTCTGATCCGGCCGAGGATGGTTATGTTCAAGGCCCTGCATTTCCAGAAGGACGTTACATGCCAGCAGATGGCACACAAAGAGGGGCTGTCAGTCTGATGTCATGGGTAGTTGGAGACGTCCTTTCACCAGGTTTCGCGTCGACACCAGACGAGAAGAAGAGGCTCAAGCCCGAGGAAAGCTTGGGCTTGACCAATATCCCTAGCATCCCTCTCGCCTGGCGTGATGCTCAAAGGCTCTTGCAGGTGCTCAAGGGTCACGGATTGAAGGTGCCGGCTCAATGGGTTGGTGGTGTCCCAGACGTGGGTCAATGGTGGACCGGAGACGCATCGTCCCCCACTATCAACCTCGTGAACATCCAAGATGAGGTAGAAAGACAGCCCATTTACAACGTGGTGGGGAGGATCATTGGGCTAGAACAGCCGGAGAAGAAAATCATTGTCGGTAACCACCGAGACTCGTGGTGTTTAGGGAGCGCAGACCCGGGCAGTGGCACAGCTGTTTTTCTAGAGCTTGCTCGAGTCTTTGGAGAGTTGCTTACGTTTGGTTGGCGCCCACTGCGCACCATCGAATTTATCAGCTGGGATGCAGAAGAGTACAACCTTGTTGGCTCGACGGAGCACGTTGAGAAGGATTTGCAAGCTCTTCGCGAGAATGCGTACGCCTACATCAACGTCGACGTCGGTGTTAGCGGGAAAGAATTCGAGGCCGCGGGAAGCCCCTTATTCGAAGGTATCATCATGCAGATCCTAGGCCGGATCTCGGACCCTATCAGCAATGAATCGCTAAAAGATCTGTGGGAGAAGAAGAAGAAGAGACTTGGGCCCCTTGGTTCTGGCAGCGATTACGTGGCTTTCCAGGACATCGCTGGAACCTCCAGTGTGGATTTCGGCTTCACCGGCGCACCGTTTCCGTACCACAGCTGCTATGAGAACTGGGACTGGATGGTCAAATTCGGGGACCCCGACTTCCAGTACCACAAGGCTTTGGGCCAGTTCTGGGGCTTGCTAGTTCTCCAACTTGCAGACAGTCCCATCCTGCCATTCGATTTGGAAGCATATGCGGACCACGTTGGTAGCTATGTTACCGATATTGAGAATTATGCCAAGTCAAGAAATGTCCCGGTTGCTAATGGCGCTCCTGAGAACGCTGTCCGGGATGTATCTGTGACCTTCAAGCCCATGTATGAAGCAGCAGCGAAGCTCAAGGACGACACGGCACAATTCCAAAAATGGGCCCAGATATGGCATGATGCTGTCTGGGGAGCCGGCGGTTATGAGAATAACGTTATTGCGGTTCAGCGGCTGTCGCATAATACGCGGATGGCTCATTTCGAAACCCATCTTCTAGACGACAGGCCAGATGGCGGTGTAAGTGACTTGGTAGCTTTTCTTGGGATACGAAATCTAACCGCATTTAAACAGGTTCCGAACCGCACACAGTTTAAGCACGTTATCTTCGGCCCTGAGCTCTGGTCCGGCTATGATCCCACACTCTTCCCTGCCATTCGAGATTGCATCGACTCTGGAAATTGGACACTGACCCAGGAGTGGATCGACCGGGTCTCCAATATCATTAGCGACGCGAGCGACCACCTCGTGCATAAATCCTGAGACCTCCGTTGCAATACGCGACATCTAATATCTTTCAATTCTCCTTACACGACCATTTGCTTCAGCCAGCTACTTCCTGAACTTCCTACCGCTAGGTTTGACGACCCAACCCTGTCGTGCACTCAGCGCCTGCTATATACATCATTCTCCCCTATTGCACAGTATACCTATACGTCTCCTATCTCCTGTGTATTTTGATTCGCCCAAAAGATTCCCTTGTTTGGCACACATTGTCCCTTGATAGATGGGTATTGGATAGCCCTCTTCTTTTCTATCAATATCATGCCTTCTCATCACGCCATCCATCTCGGACCGTACGTTCCTGTATCTAGTCATCCTGAGCTCATGAAACGGGCCTCTGGTTCGTTATCGACTGTCTATCTTTCTTCCTTTATGTATCTACATCGGTGGTTTGTCTTTCTTGGTGCTATGCTTGCACCGTGCTGTGAATTATGGAGAATTAGGAGTATATCGACTACTAGTAGTCAATGACAGCGTCATTATTCTTTTGTCTCACCGTATTGACCGAGTATGTTTCCATTGCTCACGCAAGTCAGGTGAACGAGCCGCCCTTGTTTTCCGTACGCTGAATTCAATACACGAATCAGGAAAACTTACCTCTATTTAGTAAATAGATGAATCATTGGGTCTCAAAGATAGGAATCAAACACTCATGCGTCACTCATTAAATTAACCAACCCATCCTTCCCTTGCCTTCCGATCCCTTCCCTTGCCATGCGTTCACAATCACTATATCCTACATTGCGTGTGCTGCAGACATTGCATTGCAGCTAGCTACAGCCCAGTAATGATGGAATGAGATAAAAAATAGAAATATGGGGGGTAAAGCAGTCACAGGACACAGAAAATAAAGGTGGAAAAGAGTAATGTAAAAAAAAGGAAAACAAAAACCCGGACCAGACCCCGCCTATATGTAGGTAGTAGATTGAATGATGCGGAAAGAAGAAACGAAGAAGATATAGTAATAAAGGAGATAAGAAGAAAAACAGCCCGACCCTCAACCCTACCATGCATGCGCCGTGTTATGTATTAGTCGATCAACCCAAGTTATATATACAGGACATGTTTTGGAAGTCGTGGAAGGAAAAGAAGAAAGGAGACAGGTTGAGAAAAGGTATAAAATATGCATTACCCCATTTTTGCCTTTGATTGTCGTATCATTGTATGCACTATGGAATCAGAAATGCTTCCTTTGCATGCTTTATTGATTGTTTGGTATGTTCGGATGGAGAAGGAGGTGATGTGGGAGAGGTTATGTAGAGGTCGGAATAAGACAGGATGTTGTTGATGGAGTGGGTACATCGAGCGGCTGGATTGTTTGGGTTTGGATCCGGTTACGAAGGTATAATATCCCCGTCAACGCAAGTCAGGACTGACTCAAGATCAGTATGGAGGGTGTCCACATATCCACGCTTCTCACAGGCTTCCAGTGCGCTGCTTACTTGCGGAAACTCTCAACTCCCAGCGTTGGTGTTTCAACCAAGCGATCGCAGGGTACACCCTCGTCGCGTCTGCGGGCAAAGAAGCTGTCGCATTCGGATACAATCTGCGCCCATTCCGCAAGAGCCCTACCTGCGTACTTACTGACCGCAAACTTGTCGTTCAATGCAAGCCTAATATCCAGATCTTTGGGCTGGTTTTCTGACTCCAATGTATCGTCTGCGCGGGCCTGTTCGTCTGATTCCGGTGCACCCTGAGGATCAAAACTCATATCATCGTCGTCTCCTTCCGCAGCCGATACGTATTCCGACGTTGTATCACAATCTTCCGACTGGATCAGTGATTTCCGGAGCTGAAGGTGCAGCTGCGACCCCACGGGAAGACAGGGTGTGTAAAGACGCTTATTTTTGCTAGGCCACTGAGGCCGGTCCATCCACTCCAGAGAAAACTTGAACGAGTAGGGCTGATGCGCAGTCTTGGGCCGACAGAGTTCCCCAGATTGGTTCTGGGGCCGCCAGTGATTGTCTAGGCATTTGTCTGCTGACGCCATATTCTCGGAGCTAGCAGAATCCGACTCGTCAGAGCTGCTGGAGGAAGACGCCTCACCGTTGGACTTCACGCTAGAAGAGCCACCGAACATAGCTTTGAGGATACTCCACTTCCGTTTAGGTGGGGGCTGCGCTTCGGATGATTCCGTTTTCAGGGAAATGTTGCTATTTGAGAGCACGGATGCCTTCTCTGGCGGTGCCGGAGGGACGACGCGATCAAAGGACACAAAAAAGCTTGACGGCGACAGCTGATTATCACACCGGATAATAATGATTCTTCGCCCTGGTGCCGGCGTACAAGGAGCAGATGACAGCGGCGTGGTGAGCTCTTCGTCTGCTTTGGCCTGAAAGGCAAGGTAGTATTTCCAGGTACGCTGCAGTCGGCCCCATAGTGTCTCATATATCGTGGTGTCAAGAGACGTGGGCTCATCATTGAACCTCCCCAGCCTCCAGCACAGCAGACGGTGAAAATATGCACGAACCATTGGACTCCAATGACTAAAGTAGTGGTAGAAGATCGATTCGTCCAGGAGGAAGCCCAGGCAAAGATCTGATTTCCTTTTTTCTGACGTAATCCATGTGCTCCAAATGCCGAAAAGGAAGGAGAACACCCTGACCTCGGTGAGAGAGTTGTGGCTTTGCATCATCTGACGACAAACCTCTAACCAGAACTTCCAGTCAAACAAGTCAGACCCGATAGAGTGGGAATAGCGTGTGATGATGGGGATGACTTCTTCTACAAAGTCACACAGAAGAAAGCATGCATTATGGTCGAACAGTGATGTTCTCTCGGCAGCTGCTCTCATGATGGTACAAAAAGATTCGGCATACAGTAACCTTGCGTGATTCGGCTCGAGGGAAGATTCCGAGAGAAAATCCCGGAGCAGGATGATCAAGCGATTCTCAGCCATCAAACGATGGCTATTCGCCGCTCCCAAAGGAAGTGCCGAGACGGCTGCATCCGTCCCTTCAATAAAATCATCGAATGTGACCGCAGCAGCTGTGTGAGTGCTTTCCGGCATTTGTGGTACCGATTGCTTGTAGAGCGTATCCTCTAGAACAACGAGGAGTTGCGAATGGATGGGAAGCAGGCCTGGTGCCAATAACCGCTTCGTTCTCTCGAGCTCTGGGGGCAGAGCGTCAGCGTATAGAACGTGGATGTACTTGACGAATACGAAAAAGAGATCCGTATCCCGGCCGCTCCATCGGGAAACCCACGGACTTTGCCATGGAATCTGAGCGGTGCTTAAAGGCACATCGGGCTTTTGACGAAGGTATCGCACCAAAGCTGTATGGGCGTGGAAAGCCAGCGTCCGCAGGGCCGCCGGAAAGTTCACGGCGAGTTCTTGTGTCAGCGCTCTCGCGCCGTTACTCTTGTCGGGATTTGACTGGGAGAGCACTCGCCGAAAGATGCTGGGGGGTGTATTCCATAGTCGCACGAGAATATCTGCAACTCCTGGACAGAAAAAAAATGCGTATGCACAAGCCTTGCCACAGAAAGCCACTAAGCTGGCGGGTGCATGTCTCATGGACATTCTTTCAACCACAAAAGACATCTGAGACAATAGGTTCTGCGTGAAAATATTCCTTATGTTGTGATGGATAGATTCAAGGAGAAAATCGGACCCTGACGAGCCTTCCGAGTCCTCCGAGATTGAAGTCGACGCATGCTTAAGAGGCTTTGGGAAACTGCCACTTGATGGAGGTAGCGGAAAAGGAATCCGCCATTCAGGTCGAGTCATAATACCGACAATTGCTTCCAAGTACACGGGCCTATCCGTCCCGGATATGGACTGGTTGTTCTTGCCGTTGAGCATTTCTAACAATCCTGTCCACCACTTGTTGAGGATGTTTACGCGGCGATCTAAGTCCTCGGGCCGCAAATTCCTACAGGACGGATGTGACGGGTTTCGATGTAGGAACGGCACAAGTGAGGAGCGGATGACGTTGGCCTTCAGAGCGCTGGACTTGGCCTGGAACCTGAGCGAGGATAAGTTAACTAGCGCATGTCTGTCTTCCTCGTGTAGAACTCACTTCTGAAAGTCGGCCTCAAGGGTTCGGAAAACGCCCCAGAGCTCATCCTTCTTCCGCGGCATGTCCATACTTCCGGCGAGATTCGCAGTTGCCGGTGCTTTGGGCACTGGGGGCAGGACCGGTGTCGACACGTTCAGGGTTGCAGTGAGTTTTTCCAGGGAATTCTTAGCCACTAATGACTGAGGAGAATAACTACTGGGAGTGCTCGGACTATCTGCTCGACTCTGAGTCACCACCGCGACCATCGGGCGCCGTGGCCGTTTTTGTAGGATAGTTCGCCGGCGGGAAGGGACAGTAGACTCTGGTTCTGTCCCCGGGTCTGTTTGGCCGCCGGTCTTGGATGGTGTTATCGGTGGATTTAGGGTTTGTTCCTCTGTACGCAGAGAACGGAGCCGGGAACCTTTCCCGGAAGGAGGAGAACTTGATATCCAGGGTTTCCGAGCCAAACTGGCCAGTCTCCCGGACATCGAACGGGCTTTAGAGGGGCGAGCAACGGGCGAGGGTGCCCTTGTTTCCGGAACCTTGGTAGGAGGCACGGAGGTCTCCGGGCCAGTCGGATCTGACAAATCCTCAGTAGAGACGGTAAAACGAGATACAGCGATGGTTGGTTTGTTCTTGGACCGAAGGGAGGTCCGTCGCAAGATGTCTTTGCCTGCAGCCACATCCTCCTTTGACGGAGACTCGGTCTGGATGGGGTGGTTCAGATCCGAGAAAGTTCTCCGCAGACCAGGCCGGCTCGTTTCGGAGGCCAGCAGATCCGGAAGGTGGTTGTAGCTGGCGGCATGGGACAAGTGGGCGTGTTCGTCTTCAAGGCGAGAGTCTGCGATCTCAGGGGACGACGAAGACATGTTCAAGGACAGCCAATTCTGGCTATAGATCCACGCAAAGGAAGAGCCCTAGAGAGATGTACATCTCCCCCAGTCGCAGAAAGTTGGAAGGTATATTATCGCTCAAACGGGCGTTGGGGAGACCAGCTCCTCCATATACGACGAATCCGCTCCTAGAGAGATTAAACCATATGCGGGCGGGCCTCCTCCAGTAGCATTGAAACGTCCGGTCGCTGTTGCGGAGAGAAAAGAGGGCGACGAGGAAGGAGGCTTGGGATTATGGCGGTGCAAGAAGGTAGAGGATGGGCAAGCGACCACGTCGAGCGAATACGGTAGTTATTGACGAAGCTCGGGATGGGACGGTCTCCGAAAAGCTAAACCGGGAACTCTCGACGACGCACGGCGGACTAGGACCGAAGGTTAGCCAATGCTGGGAAGTAAAAAAAAAAAAAAAGAAAGGGCACGGCGGTTGATCGACGGACGGGCAGAATTCCGGCGTAAATTTGGAGTATGGCGGAGAAACGATCGAAGGTTGAACGAGGGGCAGGTGGGAGAGCTGGCACAGCGATGAGGGATGGGCTTTCTTCTTTTTCTAGTTCTTTATATGCTAGAAGCGCTGGAGCGAAGGGAACAATGGGAGGGGAGGGGAAACGAATGTGCAGGATCAACGAGAGAAAGGAGCAGAGCAAAAACCGAGAAAGAGCAGAGTAGAGCAGGGGAAAGGGAGAAAGGAGCCGCAAGATGGATGGGATGGATAAGAGAGCCAGCGAGCCAGAGGATGACGAGCAGGGCCGAATGGGGCAGCGCGGCGAACTGACCGGTTTCAATAATACTTCCAGATGGCCCGTCGATTATACCTTCTCATTACATACACCACCAGCACTGCCGCCCTCCTAGTTTCGTTCGTCGGCTGCCACGCTGCTCTGGTCCCTGCGAAGTGTGAAAAGTCCCAGGCCGATGAGAGAATCCTTTCGACTGGAGCAGCCCCGCGAGGCGTAGCCCGAGTGATGGAGGAAATAACAATCACCAACTAGGGGGATGAGGATGGGGATGGGGACGGGGATGATGATGAAGAGGAAGCTGGGAACCCTACCACGTTTAAGATGGAAGAAAGAAGATCGGCTCCTTCAATTTTCAGATGATCTTATCCGAGCAGCCCGTCGCTTAGGATTTCTTTTTCTTTTTCTTTTTTTTTTTTATAAATTTCCCATCTGCCTGCCTGTCTCGATTTATGGAGGAAGGAAGTACACACCGTCTAGCTTGCGCTTGGGCTGTCTCGTCCATTACGGTATGTATCGATCGAGGTCAGTACGGGGTATGTAAGTATCCAGGTCTCTGGCCGTTACGATACGCAGTTCCCCGTCGGAATTCGAGCGATCCGAATCACGGACTCGTCCAGAATGAAATCTCGCCCTGCGATTAGGGTCAATGGGGACCAGAGTAATGATGCTCGTATGATGAATTCGAGGGCAAGGAGTCTGGTCCCTGATATAATCCACCCCCTGGCCCTTCTCTTCCTCCACCTTATGATGTCTGAAATCTGAACCATCTGGGGGATTGGTGCTCAAGCCTCGAAACCAATAATACATGGGGCCCCTCAATGCAAGGCTGTGAAGAGAATTCAATAATCGCGTCATGACGAATCACCCTCCAGGCTGGCAGTCCTATGAATAACCCACTGTCTTGGTCCTGTAGGTAGATACTAGATAGGTGCTATGGTAACAAAGTATCGGATCTTGCGACTATTAATGGGATTCCGGAGGCCAGTTCAACTGTATCATGACGATACAGGAGACGAGGTACCATATTACATATCCACTCTTTCGCTCGCTCGCTCATAAGTCTCTGGACTCCGGGTTCCGACTCTTGAGGCTGCATTCACGTCCAACAGCAGCTTGCAGGAACAGGTTGGGTACGGAGTAGACTTTCGATCCTTGTCCTGGCCCGGAGTTGGGCAATGTGAAGCGTCCGTGAATCGATGTGCTGACTCGTCCGAGGGGAAGAAAGTGGAGGGGGACATTCTCCCGTGTTATAATTAGTAGCCTAGTTGTACCATGTAGTTATCTATTTCGTACAGGAGGAGGGATGGGAGCTTGGCAGGACCCTGATATTAGACCCTATCTGGTTACCGTATGGGGTAATTGTGAAACACGATGAGTAATGCCGTGCGCGTTCGACTTGGCATATTAAATGGTTAGTCAGGCTGGCGAACAGGCACTGGGAGTCATCGCTTGACGGGCTGGGGGAATTTACTACCATTGCGACGGTGCTGAATAGAGTAGTGTTCATTGCTTGTCTTCAAGGTCTTGGGTGTTGGTTTGTCCTCACCGTCACGCTGTAACTTTTACCATCTATTGATGGTTTTTACCGTTGATATACTTGGACCCCGATCTCCAGCAGGACCACCGTGAGTTAAGTTTCGATCCAGAATCCTCTTCGAATAGTCAGGTCGCTATTCAAATCTTATTTGATTGGGTTTATCGCCCATAAGACAGTGGTGGATTCCTGCCAATCCAATCCTCCGAAGAATGTTGTACAGTTATAAGCGGTCCACCTGGAGACTCCCGCTCCTTTCATTCCATTTGACCAACGTCACTCTGTTGATAAACGGGGGATGAACTGGCTCAGCCAGCCATTTCATCCCTGTCGCCGTGCCCTGATCTTCCTGTCAGGATTCCTGGAGCATGAGAACCCATCGACTCGCAGACTATCGATCCCACAACCCGTCCACGGATCGACCCTGCAGGTATGGATGTACGAGCTCCAGGTGAAGTCGATTGCTACAACCTCATGGTGTGATGGCGTAGACACTAGACAACCATACTTACATCCAGACCCATCCGGACAGCCTAGCGTATCTCCTTCCTCCAAGGGCGGAAACTCTAGTGGTCTAGCGGTCTGAGAACTGCCCTGGAGCTGTCATATCTCCCCCTTCACACTTCACCCACTCAAGAACAACGACGCTAATCCCCCTGCATGCACTTGAAGTCGACAAATCTCACCTGAACTCTAGCAGCGGTGATCCGTATTTCTTTTTCGCCCGATGAAGAAGAACACGTTATGATCGTCTCTCAGCCCAAAGTAAGGTAGACGGGGTTGCGTCTCTGGGAAAGCAAGAGAGTCCGGTCACCGGCGCCCATGTGCACTTGACCAGATGTACCGGATGGATTCGTAACTTTCACACGTCGCACGCTGGGGTCATCATTGCAGGAGGCGATTTGTATTCTGGCTGGTTGTACCCAGCCCGCTGTACTCCGGACCGCGTTCCCAAATAGCATGCTGGGGCTGGCCTTCGACTTATCAATCAGAGGTTGGGACGGTCGGATATATCAATCCCGCCTGCCGCCACGGTCGCCTGAGGCCAATTTCTGCGCTCGGGGTACCCGCTTGGGCCAAACGTTGGTTACTACTTTCACTCGCCTCTTTCTTTGATCACAACAGCGTCCTGGGTTATTTTCCGAAGAATGCACGACATACTTAACGAGAGGGCACGGGGGGGGAAAGAAATTTCATATGCTCCAAGTAGGTTTAATTTACAAAGTTACTCCAGGACTCGAACAACGGGTGATATCACGTTAAGTCCATCCCATTGTCTGTCAGCCCCGGCTTTCCATTATCTTGTCGGCGAAACAAGAAACCTAGTGGGCAGCGGGAGCCTCCTCCTCTTCCTCAACAAACCAGCTCTCCTCAACGGGAGCAGCTTCACCAGCGACGGCCTGGCCCTCAACCTCGACCTCCTGGCTCTCGTAGGACTTCAGATCATTGGCGAGGTTGGCCTCCTCGGGGGACAGGGGGGCAGCCGGGGGAGCGAACTTCTGGACGTGAGCATCGGCGTCACCGGGCTTGACGGGGGTGGGCTTGTAGGCACGGAGTTCGCGGAGGTAGAGCTCCTGAACAGGGTCGGCTGCAAGAGGTTAGAATCCGTAGATGCCTCACATGGATGCATAGTCTGCCAATTGGCTCTGGCCTTCTGAAGTTGGAGAAGGTCGCACACTGCAAAAGGGATTTCACATACCCTGACGGACAGCGGAGGTCAGGAAAGTGCGGCGAGAAACAGAGGAAACCTGTTGCCGAGAGACGCGGGAGAAGAGAGAGCGCTGCCAAACAGGGTCAGTCATAAGGGCACCCGAGGGAGTTGGGCGGAAGGTCGCAGGTGAATCGTAAGCTTACCGACGCTCTGAGAGACTGGGACATCATCGCGGCGGGGTTGGGGATGAGGGGGGTTAGAGGTCGGTGGGTTTCTGCGAAGAGAGCAAGTGCTGATTGAAGCCGATGTTGGAAGTTCGACGTTTGTTCGGGAGGCTTCGGCTTGGCGGCTGACTCAGCGGCGGCTCTCTCTCGACCTCCCGTCAAGTCAGGTGCAGCTCAGGTGAGTTTCTCAGTCGCCCCTCTCAACCTTCTCGTTCTTTCTCTCCCTCTTCCCTCTCGACTCCCTCTCCCCTCTCCTCGTTCTTTGTTCCCCTCCCTTTGACACCCCCCAGCCACCTCTTCACACGGCCTTTCTTGCGGCCCTTGTTTCGTGACATTTCACGGAGACCTTGACTGGTTTATCGCGGTCGGGCAAGTTTGGCGTCGAGGCTTCGGGGCAGCCGCTGGAGAAGGAGATCACTGAGTACTTCAGTGCTTTACTCTGGGAACTTTGGCAGGACTAAGAGTCCTTTACCGGCCCGGAAAGGTAAAGCACTAGCTTATAGAACCTGATCCCCTCCTTGAGGTTAAGCAGCATGTCGGTGGCAGCCGGTCAGCCTCGACCGTGCGCTACTCGTCATGTCGTATTCCTTCGGGAATTCTGCATCGTCTCCGTCGGAGTTTTCAAGACTTGCTTGGGGCATTCAGGCTAACATGAATACAAAAGGCAGTGACGCAGAGACGTGGTTTGCAGACAAGTCTGAGCGATTTGCGCCCCTGCTGTCCCGTCCTTTATCGTTGTTACTGTTGAGAGCGCCTCGACTCTCAGGGCGGCCTGTTAACGGTCTTCGGCCGTGAGCCTCCATCCGTCACTCTTCGATCATTACTCTCGCGGACACAAGAATTCTTTCGATCACTTTCACGAAAATCGCAAACCGACCACGATAAGCTATCAGATTCATCACTGTGCCCGTCAATATGGCCGCTGTTTCCCCTGCAGCAGCTAGATCCGAGCCCGGACAATGGAAGAAGAACCTATCGGCCCACGTCATCTGCCCTGAATGCAAAGAAGTCCCCCGAATTTGGAGTTTCCAGGTTCACACGAAACGGTATGCGGCTCATGTGGCTTGGTGCTTGCCGATCGGGAAATCGATATGCACTCCGAATGGAGAACTTTTTCAAACGATGATCAGAACAACGACGATCCCTCTCGTGTTGGAGATGCTACGAATCCACTTCTCAACGGTGATCAGCTGGAGACCCAAATCGCTAGTGGCGGGTCTGGTCGTGTCCGTGACCTTTATCGTGCTCAAAACAAACAGTCAAGTGAGAAGGCGAATAAATCTCTTCTGGCGGCCTACAAGGAGATTGGCGCACTCTGCGATGGTTTCAACATCCAGAAGAATGTGGCAGATACAGCAAAGTATCTTTTCAAGATTGTGGACGACGCCAAGGCCTTCAAGGGCAAATCTCAGGATGTGATCATTGCGGGTTGTATCTTCATCGCTTGTCGCCAGTGCAAGGTTCCCCGTACCTTCACTGAAATTTTTGCGGTTACCAAGGTCACGAGGAAGGAAATTGGGCGTATCTACAAGGCTCTGGAGAAGTTCTTCACCGCTCAAAACCTCGAGAGAATCAACGCTGTGGTCTCCAGCGGAGGTGTTCCTGACCCCAACGACACATATACCGCGACCACTTCCACCAAGCCCAGCGATCTGTGCAACCGTTTCTGTAACCTTCTTGATCTGCCATTCCAGGTCACCAGCGTGTCCTCTTCTCTTTCAGATCGCGTGACAACGATGGGTGATTTGGCTGGGCGGTCTCCGCTGTCCATTGTGGCAGCTTGCATCTACATGGCGTCGTACCTGATGGGACATGGCAAAACTGCCAAGGAGATATCTCAGGTAGCTCATGTCAGCGATGGAACGATTCGCGGTGCTTACAAGCAGCTCTACGCTGAAAAAGAGCGCCTGATCGATCCCGAATGGATCAAAGATGGGAAGGGTGATCTGAAAAACCTGCCTGCTAGTTAAATTCCCGGGTCTTCACTCAGTTGATTGTCGACGCTTGCAAGAGAGGTTGCTTGTGCCTCAACAACTTGCTAGTCACACTGTGCTATCGAGAGTAAACATGATACCCCAATCAACCTTAGACATAAAGAAGAAAAAAAAGCAAGATACCAATCCCACCCAGTCCTTACAGATACATAGCATGATTTCATCAGAGAGTGGATATTTGGGGAAATATGGTCAGGATGTGCTTGTTCACAATTGAGAAGCATCACAGTGATCGCCATGCATAATTGTTTTTAGTTTATTATTTGTCTCAATTTCTGATTGATGCCTTAATAAGTTCCCCGAAACTACACACTTATTCCAAAAGCAACGTCTTTTTTATATGCTTTGCATCTTTTGCCATACTTTGAGCCTTACTGCCTCTTCAGATCGCATTTAACTCATAGCTTTGGTCATTCTAGCAGTCCTGAAATTCCTTTCATAGCATAAATTGGCAAATATTAGATTGAAATTGAAACCTATCTCTCTGTTATGGTGGGGCGTAAATAAAGTTGCATAGTAATTTAGTGGTAGCAGTCCTCACATGACTCAGGCGGATGTACGGTGGTGATATGAATGGACAGGGGGGGGGGTACCCAAGCTAGCTCCCTAGCTATACTTACTTTGTCGGGTGGCGGTGGCTGCTCTATGGCTACTGCACAGATATGTGGTGGTACTATATGTGTATGTGCTATCAGAGAAAACATGAACGGGCAAAGCGCAGAAGTGAAAATAGAGCAACAGGTACAGGCAGACAATCGTCAACCACCGTTACTTCACTGGATGTCGCCGATGTCGCCGATGTCGCCGGTTGAGAGCCGTTTGCCGTCCGCAGAGGCAACTAGGTTGTCAGCGACGTCGTTGACGTCTTGCTCAGGGGACAAGGCCTGGTTGGCGACGGGGGCGTCTTCCTTGACCACAGGTTCTATAGCGGGGCTTGGATCAGCCGGGCCATCAGCGGTTGTTGGTATTGAGGGGGCAGTGTCGGTGAATGTGGGTTGTTGGGCCTCGGCTACTTTCGCGGCTCCTGGTGAGACGGGGGCTTCGTCTTCCTTCTCGGGTGATGGAAGCGGGTCGACGGATTGACCGGCGATGTTCCTTGCTAGCGCGGGAGCCATGGTATCAGGCGTGGTATCGGGGGTAGCAGCTTTGACCTCGCCAACAACCAAGTTACCATCTTCGCCAACTTGCCAAACGTTCCATGTTGTGGTGATCTTAACCTCGGGAATTGTCGGCAGCCTCGTACTGGCTTTCTCGACAGCAGGCTTTCTTCGCGCGGGTCCGCGAGCGCGTCCCTTCCGAGCATCACTCAGAGGTTGCTTTTCAACCGGAGCTGCTTCCTCTTCTTCCTTCTTCTTCTCTTGCGGTTTTGGAGGCGCTTGCGGACCAAGCTGAAGCCGTGAGTTCAGGTCCGAGAGGAACCCTGCCTTCAAAGCAGCGATCTTGCTTCCACCAGGGCGGGCTGGCACCGCCGGTTTCGGCTTGGCAGCTATGTCCTTGGGTTCCTCTGAACTGACACGGAAGATGGGCTTAGCTGGACGGACTGGAATCTGAGGCTTCGGCCTATCCGGGATTACTGGTGGCTGACGCTTTTCGGTGGGCGAAGTGACAGGCTTCGTAGGAGCATCCGCTGTAGGAGCTTGTTGCGGGCGTTTCTGAGGACGGGATGGGATACTTGGCTTCGAGGGTACTTCTGGACTCTTGACCTGCTCCTCTGACGGCTCAATAGTTGTCACTAGCGTATGGCTTTCAGGCGCGTCCTCCCAGATATCCCGGCTGGGGAACCTCTGCTTGGCCACTTCCGGTCGAGCGGGAGGCTTTTCATCATGGTCTTCCGACTCCAAAATTTGAGACGCAACGTGATGGGCGTCCAGATGGTCCGCGTGGCTCCTCCGGAACGACTCCTGCTCCGGGGTTTCAAAGGTATCATGCTTTGGGATATCTGGAGTAGATACCATGGCGTGCAGCTGCAGACTGTTGGGCGAGTCCTCCCAGATATCCTGACTAGGGAACCTGTGCTTGAGCTCAGGGCGTTGTTTGAAGCGGTCTGCGGTCGAGACAGTCTTCTTGTCCTTCGCGTCATCCTCGGGAAACAAGGGTTCGTACTCTTCGACATCTTCAAGGGGTGTATAAACACCGTGATCTTCACGCGAGTCATATCTGGTCAAAGTCGGCATACCACTCGGTATACTAGCAGTCCTACTGTTTGACCGGCTGTGAGTGACGCTTGGTGTGCGACTTCTGCCTTCATAGTCAACACTTCCACTTCTCCCGAATGAGGGCGAGACAGCGGGGTGCTGAAAGGCCGACTCAGGGCGTAGTTCATCGGCAGCCAAGATGGGCTCATCTTCCTCGGCGTTCCGCTCACCAGTCCCGTGGGCGAGCTCTTCGGGATCCGGGGTCTGGGCGAACCCATCGGGATGATGCAAGTGATGATACGGCTCGTCAACATGAATGACTCTTGGTGCTTGCGGCTTTTCAGCCGTGTCATTTTCCACCGTGTCATCCTGTTCGCTCTGAGCATCTGACACTGGTACATTCGACTTGCGGAGAGGCGACTCGAAAGCCGGGCGTGAATTACGACGCGAATCTGGAGGTGGCGATGACATGCGATGCGTATACTCGTCAGAGGCAATATAACCTACTTCCTCTTCTGGAGTTCCTGCCACAGCAGGCGAGGTACCTAGGTATTAATGTTAGCACTCGCTGTTCGCTTCTTATAGACGGATAGTATCAGACATACCGAGTCCTGTGCCAGTAACGGCAGAGCCCCGGACAATCTTATTCAAGTCATCACTGCTTAAAGCCCAATCTGGCCTGGGCGTTCCGACACCGGGACCATATTGACCTTGTTCTTCCTTGACGTATTCTTCAGGGTGCTTCTCGTACCAAGCTTTCTCGAACTTGTCGTTTGTGGGTACACCATGCCCATGCAGACCATAACTTCCAGGTGGCAAAGAAGCCTCGCGACCACTGCGAGATCGGTGGTGACTGCGCCCCGGGCGTTGCTGTTGTTGGTGCTCTACAACGTATGGGCTAGGAGAGGGAGCCTGAACGTCACCCGCGTTAGGATACATTGGGACTCTCTGCCCAATCTCCGGGATTCCATGCTCATCGCCATGAAGTGACTCCCGACGATCAGCGGATGCGGTCGAGGACTCAGCCCGTGAGCCACTAGCCCGTGAATGGAGCGAGCGGGTGGGTCGTTCGGGGTGGTCGTCATGAATAGGGGACCCGGCGCGACCCAGGCCTGCTGCTGCTGCTTGACGGGAATCAGTACGTGTGACGGCCTGCACCTTGGCCTTGGCGCTTGAAGAGGGCAGTGACGGTCTTGGCGCATGGAGCTTGAGGTCGCTTCCCACATTGCGTGTTTCCGCGGGGGTCGGCTGATGGTTGTCGGAGACATTACCGACATCTAAGTCCTCATACTCGATTCCCTCTTCACCCAAAGAGGGGATCGTCACACTTGGGGGGCGAGGAGGCAGATCGTTGGAGGTGGTACGCTTCATGTTTGACCCGTTGGGCAAATTATTCAATGGAGAAGGCGCATAACTATCGCGATAGGGAGACACTGAGCGCTCAATGCGATGGCCAGGACGAGGGGGAATTTTGGGCATGTCTGCTGATGGAGGTGCAAGGCCTTGTTGAGGTGATCTTGACGGTCGGGGAGGAACGACTGGAGCTGTTGGCGTTGCCATGGCTGGTCTTGGGGGATTATTCCGAGATGTGCTAGATATTCTAGCAAAGGCATGTTAGTCTCACCAGAACATCAACATAAATCGGATTCGGGTCACATGAGTCTGAATGGGGGGTGGGGGGGTGATAAGGGTTGGGCTTGGGCTGGAGCTAACACAAGGCAGCTGTGCATCGGGAGTTGAATCAGGATCGAATGCAGGGGTGGTGTTTGGTCTTAGGGGGGGGGTGCTCCCTCTGGCAAAGGAGGAGAGAGCACTAGCCAGCAGAGGGGTTGCGAGGCGAAATCTGCCGCAGGGATTGTACATATGTAGCCCGAAGCAGGTTGATAAGATAGGTAGGTGCCATGCAAAGCCGCTCCCATTCTTTGTTGTCTTGGCTTCTCCGCCAGATCTCTGCAGGTGTAGGCAGGCAATTCACGGATTTGGAGCAATAGGAATGAAAGCATCGCGGTGACTGATAAGAGATGTGGAATTGATTCGCTTACCTGGGGGAGATAAAGTGTAGACGCAATGATGATTAGGTGCTCGTTCGAGCTATAAGGAGGGAACGAGACAGTGACGGGGGAGTCAATTCCGGGAGATCCAGTAGTCAACGTGGATGGGTGGCAGAGATAAGATGGGATATGCCAGGGTGACAGAGAAAATGAGGAGAACGAGAAGAGAAAGAGGAGAAGACCTTGGCAGAATACGGTCAGGCCTGCAAGATATGGGGACGAAGCAGCAGCGGCGGATGATGTATGACTCCCGCAAAGTGGCCGTAACAGCCAGTCTAACCGCTTTCTTCCTGCCACGGCCCACCGCCCCGTCGCGTGACGTGCTCTGACGGCATTCTACCGCCCCTTTCCCCAAAAGAAACTGTACGGTAACCGTATCCGGGCTGTGAACCAACCGGAGTCTTTTGTTGCATTACTTCGAGGCGGTGGCAGAGGACCCCGCTGGGATTAGGAGTCTTTTTTAGGTTTTCTAGTTTTTTCTTTCTGTATCACGGTGTATCCCTCCCTCCGTTGGATCTCTGCCTGCAATGCCTTTCTTTGGATTGTAGAACGTTCGTTTTGACTACTACAGGGCCATCTTCAGAGTACCGAAAGCCTGCTTGCTAGTAGGTAGTATACAACGGCTGGACTCTCAGGTATCCTCGTTCAGCTGACAACACTCGACCAATGATAACAATTCAAGACTCATAAAGGGACCTTCCTTATGCATGGATGCATTGTATTGTCGCAACTGCGATTTTACTTTTTCCCTTTTTCGTGCCCTTGACACATTGCATCATTTTGAGGCATTTTTTGTCTCTGGCATGCATCGTTCAACCTTCCAAGAGCAGACTAAAGTTACAGGTCGTCTACCGACCACAACGCCTAGGTCGCCTAGGTACCTTAGTAGCTTGACGATGGCAAGTTAGCGCTCTGTGATGCTGCGAATTGGCATCAACCATATGGTCAGCTCAGGCCCAGGATGGCCCCCGCCTTGGACGACGCAGAAACTCGGGATCAAGTTGGCGGGCCGTGGCTGATGATCTGGCCGATCCATTTTTGGCCATCGCTCTAAGAATAGGAGGAGTAGTACCTACTCCGTAAATCCCTCCCCCTCTCATATGTATGTTTAGTGTATGGGGAATAATCTCAATACTGGTAAGAAAATAATCCCTCTGCGTCAGGGACCACTTTTCTCCCCGTGTTGGAAAAATGCGTCGGGCTAGACCGTGGTCCAGATGTATTATTCTCAGCCACAGCGCCACGAAGGGGTATCCAGGCTGGATGCAGTTGCAGCTGTTGTACGGTGTATTGGGGTTAGAAGTCAAGACGTAGGAAACACTGCTAAGCCCAGTAACCAGATCCGTGTTCCATCAAACCCCACGACGGTTGTTTCTCATGAGGTAGGTATGTTGCTATGATTCCGATTGTTCCCACCTGCAGTCGCCAATCCCCTCATGTGGCGGTGCAGGCTATTCGCGGACTATTCAGTGGTACAGTGCTGACTGCCGACACCAGTAATAGATGCATACATAAATATATCCCTCGTGGTTTTATGAGGACAAGTGAAATTGCCCCTCGGGCATCTAACCATGTCCATGGATGTTACATAGAAAATTGATCCGCGTAATCCTATATAATTAACGCAAGAGTTTGCAACCACATTTAGCGTGGACTGAAACATTACCAAATGACTATTACAACATCCAGATACTACCTACATGAAGCTTGAATCATTGATAGCTCCGATATATCTGATGAAAGATAGTAAAAAGAGGCGCATTGGCCATTGCTGATTGGTTAGACGGTCCCAGGTCTTACTACTAGTACAAGATAACATCCATTTCTGTCAGTGGCCTCCCCAAAGTATAGATATCGATATTATAGATTCACTCCGTATAGCATGATCGTATTAGAACGGCAGATGGATGTATATAGAGGATCATGTGAAATTATTTCCAATAAGTTTTGTGATATACGGACGGTTTCAGAGACTGGGCCGACCCTGTATATACAAAATCTTGAATACAGAAAACAACCAGAGGATATGTGGCGTAAAAAAGGGGAGTATAAATGCAACCTACTGCAGGCCCCTGCCAGTGGAACTACCTTAGGCATCTTTGCTTGTCTGAGAGTACTAGCATCGAAGTAGAGCCACGCAGCACCTTCGGGTTGCCGTGCGTAGACGCCGTCGAGAGTTCCACGATCTATTGAATAGTACGAATTCATGGTTGGCTATAAGTCATCATGAACATGACAAGTATTGAAGATTTGTCTAACCACGGACGTGCTGGCTGGGGGAAGGTAAAAATCATGCCCGGAAGGCATGCGGCGGGCGCTCTTGACGTGTTTGGCGTAGCTGATAATTGGTGCGCTGGCCCGGAAAACTTATCCTACCGACAGGACCAACTATCACTGGCCGTCCTTGCTTCGTCCTCCTCCATCTGGGGTGGATTCCAAGTCCAGTCTCCAAATTCCAATGTTCCCTTCCTCCTCTCTCACTGCCTTTTGCTTTTCACATCTTCTTCCTGGGATCTCTCATCCGAGGAAGTGCCGGTCATCTCCAGCCGGCTTCTCGTCATGGCGTTTGAAGATCATGCTATCCTTTTATTATCAGGAAATGCACGCTAACACTGATGAGGCCGTGGTACAGGATGCTAACCTTGACCTTACGCTTTCGACTAAACATGTTTTATCCGTCTTCATCTGCTGTCCTTTCTAACCTAACATCTCTATGTGGCTCAATTCAAGCACGGCGAAACTTGATGGAGAACTATTGCAATTCTTACGTGTAATGCGGTCATAACACGGCTCACAGCCATTGTGAAGTCTCCTGCCCTCGGTGGTCCAGCACTGCAACAGCTTCGGGGGGCAATGTGAGCTTCGAGGACTGAACGATGTTTTCTAGGTTACGAAGCATCTCCTTGGCCAGCGCTAATCTCTTGCTGAAGGCCACCAGAAACCGACACAACTCCACAAACGCGTCTTTAGAATCCTCTTCGTTCAAAGCACCTAGGAAGACAAGAAGACTACTGTTGGTGGGCTCGAGTATCTGCCTGGGGATGTGGCGCAAACCATATGCCTCATGATACGAGCGGAGGTACTGGACAACTTGCTTTGCCGATCTAAGCTGGTTCAGCCTGGCTTGTTCGAATTCCGCTGGATGTGACGCGGGCCCGAAATGCTGGTGCTCTAGGAAAAATTGGAACAGTGCCATTATCGTATGGTGGCACCTGATACTACACCAATCGTTAGAATCTGCGTGCACAGCTGACCTGCGAGTTTCCTAGTACTTACTGCAGGTATAGTATCTGTGGCGGTTTTTCGTCATCGTTCTCAAGGATAGTTGGGAGGCTCTCAAGCCACCTTTGCAAACGGCCCCATTTTTTATATGCTGTTATCCATAATTCGCCAACTGCCATGTCGGGTCCCTTGTCAAACAACAGATCTGGTATGTCCGCGATGATTTCGGTCAAATCGATCATTTTGGTCATGACGAATCGGAGATGTGCCGGTTTCGAGACTCGGTCGAATTGATTGAAGCGAGGATATGGAGTCCACATAATATCATCATCGAGCGCATTCTCGGTATAAGGCTTATATTTAGGTGGCTTCAATTCTGCAACCTTGCGACTCTGCAGTGATGTTTGCCTGCACGCTGGCGGTTAGTCTGGCGGACGTATGCGGGGACGAAGCCATACGAGTTCAGGATAAAAAGACCCCAGGCAGTAATCGCGCCAACATGCTGAAGCCTGGCTGAAGCTCCCTCCCACTGGCGGTGTCTCGTCCTTGGAGACGTAAACATGCCAAAATCTTGTGCGAGCTGGACAGCTTGCCTGAGCATCAGCCAGCTTAAATCATCTTTACCCTGGAATTTTAGACTTCAAGTGGTCAGCTCCTGCACATTTTCAATCACGAAGTTGGGGAATTTTGCTTTTCGCAAATCATACAAGCGACTCATCAGGGCCACAGCCTGAATATTTGCTAGGGAAACACAACCCTCCTCCGCGTTCCACAGTCGCTCTGCCTCCATATAGAAGTGCTGGCCTCGTGACGTCTCATCGTCAGATAAAGCGAAAACTTCTGGAAAGTCGGAATAGATCTTCTCATCATCAGAAATGGCTAATCAAGAAAGAACAGGACAAACGCAACGCACACTTGCCACCGCTAATATACTATTCACAAGGAGCGAGGTGCAGCACTCCGAATTCGTGGCTTTGGTAGCCATCTGTCTCAGGAACATCTCTTGATCCACGACCTGCAATAATGGATGGTCCCAAGTGAAGTAAAGAGATACAAGGTGCGAAACAATATGGTCATCATTAGTGACGGCTGTCCAAGGCCTAGAAGGTACCTGAAATAAGGGACTATCACAAAGCCTCTCCACCGTTATCCGCAAGTGGGCGTCGATGCCAGGGCGCTCATGTTGCGCTATGGCATCTTCGGCAACCCCAACACTTTTGGAATGCTCGGAACTTGCATCACTGAGATCGTTGACTGGTGCATCAATGACTGTGACAAGGTCGCTCAAGTGCGTATTGCCACGGATCTTTTCCAACATCTGACGGGCTTTTTCTTCATCCGATGATCGAAGCGTTTCGAGAAGGGAGTATAGCAGGCCTCGGTAATACTCCAGCTCTCCCTGAGTGCGCCTGGCAGCGACTTTCCGCCTAAGGTCAAGTGTCTCGTCGAAGATGCATAGCCCGGTGTTCTGGCATGCTTTGCAAGGTGGCGGGCGTCCACTGCACTGTGACCTCCAGAAGTTAGCCAGGTGAACAAGAGTGGGAAAACCAATGGATCCGTGAACCGGTGAGATGTGTGGGATTCACAAGAGAAAAGGGGACATCTATTTCGCTCAATCTGGCGAGCCCCTCTCTGTTGGTCTTCCTCCACATGCCCGCGGGGTAACGGCTTCAGCATTACCTTTCGCTTTGCCTGCTTACATGGCAAACATGCAGTTGAGTTCTTTCTTGACTTAGCTAATGTGGTCGCCCCAGCTGCAACCGGACCGCGGGGCCCTGGCGCGAGTGAGGGAAGGTGTTTGCCCTGGTTTTCGGTGTTCATTTCAGACAACAATGTCCTCCCAAGAGCAAGGAAAGGTGTCTAACAGGGGACAGGTGGATGCTCTAGCATCACTAAGTTAGTGGTCGAAGCTGCCTTATGGTCAGTCTAATTCGCCCGACTGGAGAATTGCAATGAAGTGTACGGTGGTAATTTCCAAAATCGAGCTGGTTATACCCGAGAAAAAGTTGCAAAGAAACGGACTTTCACGGGGTTTCGGCCCAAGGTCAAAGGCAGGCTAAAACGCTAAATCATCTCACCTTTTTATATTTTTTTCTTAGTCCGACGTGCGACCTTGGTGGCCCAACCGTCAAGAAAAAGATAACCTGTTCCCGGATTGCTATCAACAGGCATGTTTCGTCTAACACAGATGGGAGGAGGCTCTAACGGTCGGTGGCCGTTGCTGTTGACTCGTGCCACGGCGGCAAAGAGGTGACAACAAGGTCCAGTGCGGGTTGGGGGCGGATTAATTACCCCAGCAGCGATGAAATGATTCAACAGATGAAGAGCACCATGCTCCACGTGATCATGGACCTCTTCTATATGGAAGCCTGGGAAAGAGAAGGGGCAGCAGGGGAGAAGCAGGAGGACTGACCAGCTAACAACCCGGGAATATGACTAACGGCCATGGTTTTAAGCCAAAGCGCTGGTTTGGTATGGAAGACCCCTCAGCGGAAGCAAACAAGCATCAATACCGGTTTTTGCCTGAGCAAGAGACTGATCACCAACAAGGGGCCCTGATGATAAAGCTCAACTAGTGGTTAAGCTGCCAATATCCTTGCGGTCCCTGACTGGAAATTATGGCATCAGCGCGAGGTGCATCGGATCAAGACTGCCGTCGTAACCATTACAGCCTTATACCGTTCGTTTCAGTCCGATCTACAGACAATGACACCTTGGCTAAGCGCTTCGCATCCCCCCAAGTGACTAGTTCCAATGCCTTTTGGCGCTATAGGTGAGGAGGCTTGGGTGTGACTAGCCTAGACTCTTGCTGGAAAGCCTGAATGCCCGTTTAAAGTGACAGACACATTGGTTGACAGGTATGCACGGAGTCCCTAGGCCGAGTTGGTCTACCCTCAGGCCGACAAATGACCGTGGCACAAAGTACTCCGTACTTAGGCCACGAAGGCGCCCATCCTGCTGCAACTCCCATCGGGCTGTCCCAGTGCATTATTAACCAGGATAGGAGTCCGGGGTTCGAGTGCATACAATACATGACACAGGCCAAACTCTACTTGCGGGTAACATCAAAATCTAGCAATCTTACAGGTTGGGAAAAAGAGCCATTGGACCAGCGAACCGCAAAACAAAGTAAGGGAGGCTTTTAGGGAAAAGGAGAGGCGAAAAAGAAAAAAAATCAGACGATATGGCTAAAAGTTGCTTCTGCCGACATCCGATATACAGCAAATACAATAGGTGGAAACGTTTCCCGGCCCGCAACACAATGGAATGGCAGCGGTCGAGGGCTCCAGATCCTAGACTGCTAGAGGCCAAGGTCCACCATACATCCGGCCGCTGGTCCACTCTTGGAAAACGAATAAGTACCAAACCAGACAGCTTCTTACATCAGCCGAGCCGGCTTGTCCTACAGAAAGGGGCCCCAATCCTCTCATTGCTTCCTTACTGAACGGCAAAGGAAACTCCGTTCTAGCCTGTCGTGACATGACCCCGCACCCTTTTCTTGAATGATCCTGGCTAGCGTCTTAATCGATGCTGATTTATGTACCTCGGACCTGTTGTGGTTTGTGCGGTGTGAAGTTCCGTGGACGCGACGCCTCGTGGCAAATCCGGCCGAACGGGTGTTAGATGTCGATTGGACCGGGGTGTACTGATCAGAGAACAGAATCCTCTTATAGTGGGACTTTTACAGAGGCTAGAGCCTTCGTGTTATAAGCTTAATCGGAGAACCAGCGATCCGTGTTCTTGACATATGACATCCACTGAGGCGCCTCTCATCCTACTTACAGGATAGGGACGGGAGGGGCGTGTGCTGGCTGATTTCTATCCCCACCTAGCCTCTGCGGCGAAGGTCATGCCGGTCGATCATTGATAGTCTCAGTCTCACAGTTACATTAGGGTGGTTATCTCTGGCCGTTGAATCCTGGAAACAAGTGAGCATACGCGGCTTGATAGCGCATGCGAAAGAAACTAAGTGGTCAGATTACTGGTTCGGGTCACCTGATAGCCGGGAACCCAAGTGATTTGCGCAAAGCTGCCCTTTACATCACTGTGACATTAATATCTCAACTTCGGCGTGTACGAGGAACCAATCTTTGCGCAACATTGGTGCCAGGGATGCTGGCCACTATGTAGACCACCCTTTCGCCACCAATCATGATGGCGGAACCATGGGGCCCAGTTTTTCCTGCCAGCGGCACGCGATTCCCCAGCATTTAGGGCGCTAAAGTCTGGGGCAAGTCTTGCTCTCCCTGAGTTGGCCAGGGGCGAGTTAGAGCACTCGGCGTCAGTATATTGTTGCATCGAAAACCCGATCAAGCTTATCGTTCGCTCCGCCCTTACATAAGTGGACTGGGCGCCAATCGGATGTGCAGGCAATGGCATATCCCCATGTAGGTAATAGGTATGCTGTACTTGCATCCTGCCTAAACGTAAGATGTTTACTTATCAAGGCCCCTGCAGCCTGGCAGTCAAGGTGCTGACGACGGTGGGCGACCTAAAGATGACAATTGCATTATTTCTTCTCGGGCACCGATTCGATTCCCAACTTATCACAAGGATGTACTTACTACTAAGAGACCCCAAAGCTGGGCACCCATGGTTGGACGGCGTGCCCGTGGTACTTTCCTATTATAGTAATTCTCTTGGCTTTTCTTTTTCCCATGTGGCCCAAGGGTTTAAACCTCCGAGGGTCACTTTTTTCCTTTGCTTTCTGTGTGTGCATCGACCTAGTACTATTCGTGGTCTCAAACCCAGACCATTGGTGATATACTTGCGTATGGATCTATGTCTTTCTAGGTGTTTCTAGCTCTGTAAGCCCTGCTGGTGTGGGTATGATGGCCAGATGCCAGGTGCCAGGTACCCAAGAATAAGGAACGAGGTTGTATAATATACTTAACCCCTCCACCTCCAGCTGCTCGGATTGACGGTATGGGGGCCTTCTCTTGGAGTGAAGGTAAGTCTGTGAAACAAAGATTAGTCAGAGAATTATGGGCGTATACCCCGCAGAGGGGTTTTCACCCCCTATCGATAAAGGTGAGGGGAATCGGAAGGTAGATGGGTTCGCACTTCGCAGGTAATACTCGGGGAGATTAGGGAAGTAGTTAGTAGTTCACTGACAGCCTGAATTGACGGTCTGTCTGGTTACCTGAGGGTAGTTTCGGTTATTTCCGGGAGTAGACGGGGACGCTTATTCCCTCCAGTCGCACGCCCAGCAAAGATTGCCTATTCAAGGTGAGCATGACGCCTTTCACGCCCGTTTTCGGAGAGATAAAGCCTATCTAATCGGGAGACACCGCCCTCGGCTAGAATCGGCACAAGAGGCTCGAAGCGGCAGGCCGATTGATATGCAGGCACGGCAGAGGATGATCTAGAAGGTAGAAATGTAGATTCTGTTACCAAATTGGCGCGAAAAAGGGTGAGTGCGAGCCTATCATAACCTGGCGCCCTGTCATTGACAGGAGCCAAATGCGGGATACCTTGCATATCGCGTGGTGGTTCGGATATCGATGGCGAAATGTCCCATTGAATTCAAGGAACTCGGCCCGGCGAAGCAAAAAACTTTTTTTTTGCCGCCCCCCTGGTGGTTCGTCGCCTTGTTCCTTAAATTGCGTAGATGCGACTTCATCATTCATTTCTGTAGAAAATTTGTCTTCGATTGTACCTTTCTCTTTGCCACCGGCTTGCCACTTCAAACCCGCAATCCCTGCAGTTGATCCTCTCCGTTGTCGGATAGGTACTTTGGTTTGTGCTTCCGAACGGATCGCCAGAGTCGTTTCGTGACTCATAATCACCGCGGAAGTCAATTGCACCCAATCATTTTCCATCTGCTGGTATATTAGCTTGGTCCTGGCCACACACGCAAACTACACCTACACCAAATCAACTTCGCAATAATGGGTTCCATTGCGCCTTCTTTGCCTGAGCTTGACGCCTCGGCCGTCAAGGTCACCCGCTCGACCAATCTCCGCGATGTGCCTCTTCCTGGCTCCGCAGAGGAGTTGAGCCACTCCTACTGCACCGACCATATGGTCACTGCCCGCTGGACCGTGACCAATGGCTGGGAGGCGCCCGAAGTGAGGCCGTTCGAGAACCTCAGCATCCCGCCCACAGCTTCCTGCCTGCACTATGCTACCGAGTGTTTCGAGGGTATGAAGGTATACCGGGGGTTTGATGGCAAGTTGCGCCTGTTTCGGCCGGACTGCAATGGAGAGCGTCTGGTGAACAGCGCTAAGCGGTCTTCGTTGCCCGGATTCCGGTACCAGGAACTCAAGCGTCTCATTGCCAAGTTGATGGAGATCGACGGACCCCGTAAGTGGTACCCATTCCAGTGGCGGATGCGACATCCGTAGCCCCGACTGACAACTCTTGCCTATTCCATAGGTTGGCTGCCCAAGGATCAGCCCGGTCGTTTCCTCTATCTCCGCCCTGCGATGATCGGTAGCGGCCCACACTTGGGCGTTCAGAAACCCAAGGAAGCCCTCCTCTTCGTCATTGCCGTGCCGTGGCCCGATCCGTCCAAGAAGAAGACCGATCAGCCTGGTATTCCGTACGGTCTGAAGCTTTACGCTTCTCAGCCCGACACTATCCGTGCTTGGCCTGGTGGTTTCGGATACGCGAAGCTCGGCGCGAACTATGGTCCATCGTTGGTGGCCCACAGCCAGGCCCAGGAGCTTGGTTTTGACCAGGTCCTTTGGCTGTTCGGTGAGGACCGCCAGGTTACCGAGGCAGGCGCTAGCAACTTCTTCATTGTGTGGGAGAACAAGGAGAGTGGAAAGCTTGAGCTGGTCACCCCTACGCTGGACAACCAGCTGATCCTTCCTGGTGTCACTCGTCGCAGTGTCCTGGAATTGGCACGGACGCGTCTGTCCCAGTCCGTCGGAAAGCTTGCGGCGGTTGATGTTGTGGAGAAGCAGTTCACGATCGATGATGTCCAGAAGGCTTGGGAGGAGGGACGTATCGTTGAGGCGTTCGTCTGCGGTACTGCTGTAAGTGCAACCTTCCATCAGTCATAAGTTTGCGTATGTCTAGTGATACTAACAACAGTCCAGTACTTCGTCACCCCCATCAAGCTCATCCGCAACGGAGACGTGGATATGAACATGCAGGAGGCTGGTGCGGAGCGCGCCGGATATTCGACTCAGATCAAGTCCTGGCTGGAGGCCATCATGTTCGGCATGAAGGGCGAGGAGGCCCACGAGTGGGGATATGTCATTGAGAACGAAGCTGAGCAGTAAAAGATGTGCGTTCTAGCAAATGAGTAATGTCAAAAAAGAGCCCGCTGGATGGACTCGTGCAAGAGCAGAAAAAGGGCGAGTTGGAGATTATTGGCGCGGGGCGGGAGGTTGCAACGATTTACTTACTGTATATACCATTTCAGACCTTCTAGACTACTAGATAACTAGGATAGACTCATGTGATATGTCACGCTCTTTTAATATGCCAGCTGTCTGCTTATTGGCTCTCGTCCCCGATCCCTGCTATGTGCTCATCTGCACTAGTATCGGAAGGGCCATGGTATAAAAATAATTCGGACCAGAATATATTGACGCGGATAATTGGACCGGTCCAGAGATCCAGCAAATTAAACATCATGTAACTTGCAGCAAGACTTCCAAATATAGCCCCTTAGGTGGTTGGGATGAGCTGTTCTGCTCATAAGTCGGTCTCATAGTTTAGATAGCATAGTGTCATCAATCCCGATTGTAGCCGTCGGGAATTTTCACTCCTCTTCCGTATCAACATGATCCGGCGTAGAGTTAGTTCTCCTCCAAATCCACCACCATCGGAGCATACTCTCCTAGCTCATCGTCCTCGTCATCATCGTGCATGTCCAGCTCCACCTGTTCACCATCCTCCAGCTGAACCATTCCCCGTCGGACCACAACCTCGCGATTGAGCTCCCAGTCATACTCCTCTTTGACCCAAGCCTCGAGCTTGTCAAATTCAATCTTCACCACCGACTCCGTCCCATCAACGATCTCGTAAAGCGACCGTCTAAACTTGATAAGGAGCTTCCGCAGGAACTCCCCACCTTCTTCCCCATCAAGGTCGAATAGACCCCCTTCAACATCATCACACCTCTTCAGCTGTAGCAAAAGCAACCTTAGCACCCCGCTCACCAGCATCTCCCGATCCCGTATAGCACTCCGACACGTCAAAACCAACTCCAACAGCCTCTTCCACTGCTGAAGACAAGAGTAATTCATCAACGTCAAGATCATCAAAAACGTAAACTGCAACTCCCCCAGCACCTGAGCCTCCCCACCCCGCTCACCACCCGAGTTCGAAAACCGCTGCACCAGATCCCCCAACGCCCACGAGCGATCCTGCGCAGCCTCCGTCCTCTCACGCCCAATAGCCCCCTCTCTCCACGTCCTCTTCAGATCAACCGGCAAGAAAGAGAACTCGCTCTCCTTCTCCCCCGTAACCTTCTCCAACTCCTCCGCCTGCTCCGTATCCGTAATCCCCGGTATGACATCGTTATCCCTCTGCGCCGAACTCGCCGACGTAACCATCCACCGCGGCCGACCATCGACATCCCGCACCGGATCGCCAACAACCCGCATCAGAAGCCCCGGCGTCAACCGATCCGTCAGATCTCTCCAGGTCTGTCTGCCCTCTTGTTCATCCTCCTCGTCAATCTCATATTGTACTGGCCGCCCAGAATTCTGCTGCGATAGAGCCGCTGGAGATACTCGACTGCAGTATCGGAACAATCCACCTCGTTGCCAAATAGCCCCCAGGTTCGCTTTATGTCGCATCGCCTCCTGTTTATCTGCGTCGCTGTTGGCAGTTAATGGAGATAGGGTCTCGGTATCCGTGTTCCATTTCCAGATTATGATGTCTGCGCTCGTATGTGCGGGGATGATCGCTCCGTCTTGGTGTTCGCCGAGGGTATTGAGGTCACCGACGTAGAACCATCCGCCGCTTCTTAGTGAGAGACTCTCGGTTGTGCCGGTGTATAGGAAGTGCCATCCGGATGGTAGGTAGCGGATCCCGTGGAAGTTGGGGGTGGATGTGAAGGTGATGAGATCGATGCCGACAAGGGTCTTCGGTGGTAGGTGGGGGAGGAGGATGGTAGGCGAGGGTGAGACAGAGGATGTCATGTTTGAGGACGCGGATTGTGGTTCGTGTGCCTTATTGTAGGGCGAGCTGTATGGGAAGTCTCAACGGTGGGATGGTTCGAATTTGGTGGGTTGGTCGCGTCGCATGGGAAAAGATAGAAGGCGGGCTGCAAAGCTGACGTCAATTCTAGATGAGGTTTGGTGGAGTATGGTGTTTGATAGTAGTGTGGATATGAGTATAACAAAGTCAGGAGTATGTATATTGTTAATAGCTGACGATTATGCGCAGGATCTGAAGTGAACAGAATTGGGGTAGACACAGCCAGCAGGTGGTGTAGGCGATCGAAAACATGTGCTTATCTTAGCTGGGCTGCGGCGGAGCTATTGAAAATTAATTTCCGGCATGACCCCGCGCTTTTCACAAGCATTAAATATGTTCCTTCGAAGGGAAAAACAATATGACGCTGCATATCATGACTACGGATGTATTTGCCTATACACGCGATTTACATTTAATGAAATGTCCAGTTCTGAATTCAGTTATATTGACCAGAGTAGCTGCCATAAAGACAACAGACTACCTAATTCCAGAACCGAAAAACACACTTCTGGGTATGTAATAAATTGAAGACCAGGCGATAAATGCCGTTCCTCGCGTTTATTCCATCCACATCCCGTAGGCAAGGCGAGATCCAATAGGAAGCCTCCATTCCAACCATGCGAAGAAGCCCCGCACAACTTGGAAAAGATGAACCCGCACATGCTTACAGACGACGACCACGGCGACCACCCTTGCGACGAGTAGAGTCGGAGGGGGTGGGGGTGACGTCCTCGATACGGCCGATTCTCATGCCGGAACGGGCAAGAGCACGGAGAGCGGACTGAGCACCGGGACCGGGGGTCTTGGTGCCGTTACCTGTGGAAGAAGTAGATTAGTTTGAGATCTTGAGCTCCTTCGTAGCGTTCTTCACATACCACCAGTGGCACGGATCTTGATGTGGAGGGCGTTGATGCCGAGCTCCTTGCAGCGAGTGGCAACGTCCTGGGCAGCCAACATGGCAGCGTAGGGAGAAGACTCGTCACGGTCAGCCTTGACCTTCATACCACCGGTGACACGGCAGATGGTTTCGCGACCACTGTAAACCCCATCAGTTAGCCAACTGTATCCCGTAACAGCCTATGCGACTTCTTCACGATATCCGACTCCCGGTTCATCGCGGGCGCAAAGTCCGCGGAGGACGGATGTCGTGTGAAATCGAAAATCGAGCGAAAGATGCGACGAACCTCAGATCGGTGACGTGGACGAAGGTATCGTTGAAAGAGGCGAAGATACGGGCAACGCCGAAAACGAGCTTGCCTACGAATCTCCCATGTTAGACATGGCCATGTCAAAATCGAACGGCGTGCAGTTGTACATACCATCTCCGGCCAGAGGACCGAGAGAGACGTTCTCCTTGGCGGCAGTGGGGGTCTTCTTGGGAGGCATTTTGTCGACTTGCTGGTTAGTGGGATGGAATATGGAAAGGAAGGAAAACGGACGAAGTCGAAGCGCTTCAGTCGGCTTGGATACAGAAAATGACTGGTGTGTGCCCTACCCACGGCGGCTCGAATCCTGATTGGTCGAGCGATGATCTTCGGCCGTGCTCAAGCGAGTTGTAGCCTGAGGCAGCAGATCGCGGTGACCTCTTTTGACAGCCGTTGTAACATTACCGCGTCGGGTTGCAGTCGGCCCGGACTTGGTGTTCCCAGCACTATTTAAAATTTCTGCTGCAACTCCCCGAGTTCTAACTTTCTTCTTCCTCATAATATCCAATCGGGCAGACAGCCGGACTCAGTGGCTTTGTGTCCTAGTCTATTCATTGGCTCAGACGAGCGTGTTGCGCAGCCTAGCTCCTCAGAAACAGGACTGGACAAGGACTAATTCTCAGCAAGCATGGGCTTCACCAAGGAAACGGCCTCGATTGGCATAATCGGCATGGGGGACATGGGCAAGATGTACGCCCAGCGTCTGAGCGCGGCCGGATGGAGGTAATATTTAACAAGCGTCCCTCCCAGTCATTGCCGACTATCACCCTAGCCGTTTGTTATCTGTAATAGGTGAGCATCCCCTCTTTTTTTTTCGCTCTTTCCCTTGCCCCTTTGGATGATGACTTGAGTGCATTTGGCTCGAGTATGACTTGGTGGTGAGCTTCCATACCATTCTGGTGAGGTCGCAGATCCGCCTCGTCGTCAATGATGTAACTTCTCAGCTACCTTTTCTTCATTTGTCTGAAACCAAAACAACCCTCATCTCTTGTGATGACTCAATTCAATTGTGCATTATGGGCTTGTGCTAATCATTCTGCCTATAGGTTTTGCCTCGTATAATTTAGAAGAACTGGACTGGATTAGCTGGACTAACTCTTTACTCTTACTTATATAAGGATTAATGCATGTGACAAACTCGACTCGTATGAGAGTCTTCAACAGGAATTCGAATCTCAAGTACGTCCTTGACTCGCAGCTGATGCTGTCCACACTTAAACTCATCTTTTTTAAAACAAGCAAAATGTCACTATCTTTCCCAATGGCCACCTGGTTTCCAGAATTAGCGATTACATTATTTACAGTGTAGAGGCCGGTGTGATCGACAAGGTAGTGGCAATGTATGGCCCATGTATGTCTTTTGTTTTATGCGAGGCTGCGCCCTTACTTTATGCATGAAGCCTGTCTGACTCGTGGAAAGCTACCAAGGTCGGCGCGATTGTCGGTGGTCAAACGTCCTGCAAGGCCCCTGAGCTCTCGGCTTTCGATAAGCACCTTCCCCAGGATGTAGAAATCGTATCGTGCCATTCGCTCCACGGTCCTCAAGTCAACCCTAAGGGTCAGCCTCTGGTATGCTGCTTGCTGAGCACGCTCCGATTGCTCAGTATGATAACGCCGTGTCTAGGTCTTGATCCAGCACCGTGCCTCGGATGAAAGCCTCAACTTCGTCAAGGAAGTTCTGTCATGCTTTGACTCCAAGTTCGTCTTCTTGTCGGGGGAGATGCACGACCGTATCACCGCCGACACCCAAGCTGTCACCCATGCAGCCTTCCTAAGCATGGGAACCGCGTGGCAGGCAAACCAGCAGTTCCCATGGGAAATGTCCCGCTGGGTGGGAGGCATCGAGAACGTCAAGATCAATATCACACTACGTATCTATTCCAACAAGTGGCACGTGTACGCCGGTCTCGCTATCCTCAACCCAGCTGCAAAGAAGCAGATCCGGCAGTATGCGGAGTCGGTGACCGACCTGTATAAGCTAATGATCGAGGGACGTCGGGACGAACTTAAGAGTCGCGTCAGAGCTGCAGGAGAGGCTGTTTTCAGAGCGGGTACGAATGGGCAGGATCTCCTGTTGAAGGACGAAGTCCTCGATCGCTTCTCTCTAGGAAACCGGGCTCGTGAGGAGTCTCCTCCGAACAGTCATCTGAGTCTGCTTGCCATCGTTGATTGCTGGTCCAAACTGGGGATTGTTCCGTACGATCATATGATCTGTTCCACGCCTGTGAGTGTCTTAGTTCACTTCCGTTCTCTGCAACACAAAGTCACGTTGCTTCGATTGGCTAATCACGGTATTCAACCTGTAGCTTTTCCGTCTCTGGCTGGGTGTCACGGAATACCTGTTCCGCAATCCCGAACTTCTCGACGAGGCCTTGGACACCGCAGTCGACGATAAAACGTTCCGTTCGGATGACTTGGAATTCACTTTTGCAGCTCGCGTAAGTGTCAATCGTTGACCCCTGAAAGCCATCGCTGCTTGCGCGGTTTAGTTTGATGCATGGAAATTGGCACCAGTGACAAACAAAATTCCTTCAAATGGATATAATCGCTGACGTCATTCATATAACGTACAGGCATGGTCGGACTGCGTCTCATTCGGCGATTTCGAGTCCTACCGCGACCGTTTCGAGCGCATCCAGCAGTACTTTGCTCCCCGATTCCCCGAAGCCGTCAAGCTGGGCAACGAAATGATGAAGACCATCCTGGAGAAGACCACCACCGGCAGCGCCTAGTATAGGATGAAGATATCGAACAATGCAATGGCTTTAAAGTCTAAAACCGCCCCAAATTTGACTAGCGAAGTCGGGTAACGCGTCTAGGTATCGGTGCCTGATCGGAAGGGGCACGCTAATCGTCGCCATAATAAGTAATAATGATAATAATGTGTAAAAGGCAGCAGCTGGCTGGTACGATGGACGGGACGAAGTAACGGTGGACCTGGCGTGTTATCCCTTGAACTAACCGCAATCGGGCAGGTAGGGGCCTTGACTGACAGGGTTTGAATGATGGAGCCTGGAGGGCCGTGGATATTTGATAGTAATAGTGTACGGAGTACGGAGCATTATGCTGAGATTCGGCCCGTCAGCAGCCATTGTGCTGTCGTTGTTGAGTGTGGTTGGTATGGAATTGATGGGTATGCCCAAGCGCAGAAGTTCGCCTGTGCACGGAATTTCCCACTGTATCCTATGGGCTGGGCTTTATCCATTTAAGGTAATTCGCGTACGTTTCATGGGTCCCGCCGTGCCGTCACCAGGCTACTTTGCTTCGTATCTTGAGGTGCCAAAAATTTGGGTGTTCATATCGTAGACCGATCTCGACGGACTGATAGGGTAGTCCACTCTCCGGCGGCCTGGAAGGATTGGAGGTGTCCACCCAATCCGTGGTGGCTACCTGCTAGCAGCCTCGACGGACGAGATCTCACATTACATGCATGGCCTGCTTTGGGAAACTGTGTGGATGATCATATATTCGTTTCACTCCCCCCAGGCCGCCACGGGTGGTGGAAATCCGCATTGCCGTGCTCACGGGGTGCTGCGACGGTAAGGGGAATTTTACACCGGACCTTTATCTATCGTTCTCCATACGGGGGCTAGATAACGTATGTATCTCAGATGAAAGGTCAGAATTCAAGATTAGGGGGTCTGGCACATTTTCGTCTGTATACCGGGGCACAGCTGTTTTGGGTGCTTTGACGGTCATACTAGGTCAACTTAGACGCCGAAACTTTGCCCAGACCAGTATGTATGCCCGACGTGATGCACTACTAATACTACATGTCTAGCACCAGAATCTGATAGATAGTCCGTGAACGCCCAAGCACATAGTGGGAATCTGCTTAGCTCAGTAGGTAGCCATACGCTTCTCCGTCAACTGACGGGGACCGGCCGGGCCGTGCGGAGGGAGTAGGTACTATGGCGTAGTTTCCGTATATAGCCGGGATTAGGACTATTGCAACCCAGGCCATGGCGCCCCCTGTCCTGCATCATCAGCTGCATGGCCATTGTTTTTCAGCCACCGGATGATGTAGTGGTTAGCGTTAGAGTGGGGTATCACATGGCTGCAGTAATATTTGCATAGCAAACTTTTTGGCTTGTGAAGTGCTAAGAATAACCGAGCTGTGGACTCAGACTGATTGAGTAGTTTGGAGGTGTCGGAGACCGGCTTTTTCTCAGAGTTTTGAAACCATGCTGCGCAAGCTTCCCCATACCCTCTCAATGCCTGTACCCCGTACTCCGTACTTTGCTGCAGAACCAGTTATATTGACTATCAGTCAACCATGCAAAGGTGCCGAGATTTCTGTCTGCATTGGCATGGACAAGTAGGAGACGGGTGAAGAGTGTAGGTTTGCGTGCAATGATGATTAGACTTTTAGCTCCCTCCATTTTGCCTCGAACCCCTTTATGAGAAGAAGGTTGAGCCCAGCTTTCTCACCCAAGGTCACCGCATCCCCTAATTCGAGAAGGGTAAAGCCGTCGTCTCGAGACCTCGCAATCGAGCGACGACCTCGCCCGTGGATAACCCGCAAAGTGCAAACGACCGTTTGATTGGTTCCGTCGTTCCGTCGGCCCACCCCTGGTGAGAGCCAAACAACGCCGGGCTGGATGATCTGGATGAATCGAAGACGACCGCTTCCGAGATCCGAGAACTTGGTCTTAGCTATGAAAGGCGGATGCTGATTGGAAGTGGTGGCCCTCCAGGATTCACGCGTCCGAGAAAAGTCGGGTGGGTGGCCACTCAGCTCTCATAACAAAAAAAGAACATTAAGCGGAGTAATTTCGACGGGATTTATGCGTTAAGGAGTCCTAGAAAGTAGAAAGCTACCTACCGCGTAAGCCGGGTGCGATTAGGGGAAGGGGCGATCGCCGAGAGAGGAACTCGAAAGTACTACCTACCAAGTGGTTCTTGACGGAGGACTTCCACTCACCTCACAGTACCTAGCTCATCCTTCCCGAGGGCTCTTACCCCGTTCCTGGTAGTGACAGTGTAGATTGTAATTTCTCATACCAACTCTAGTCAGGATGGTCCCGGAGGCGAACCAAACGAAAGCATATTTGTTTAAAGAACCTTCAAACGAGAGGAGTTGCGTTGCCGGAGGCACAAGTCAGGCCGGGGAAGGGGAATGGCAAAAATAAAGCAGAATAAAATAAGAAAAAAACAAAAAGGGAAAATCGAACGGGTCCGTCTGCAGGCCGCAGTCTGATTGATCAGCTGCTGTTCTCCGGCCCAATTGGCATGCCCCATCCACCGACGGTTGAAAATCATGATGCTGGATTCCGGCACAAGTCCCCCTCTCTCCCCCCCCTCCCCACTCCCCCCAAACCCACCCCCAAGCAAAGCCAGGGTCTCCTTCCTCCGTGTTCAATGATTCAATCACTCCCGCGGACGGAGGAATATTTACTAGGATTAGCTACAATAAGCACTCAAACGGAGACCGGACCCAGTCCCATGGGTAAGACATAGTCCGGCCAGTTAGAAGTCCGCTCGGCAGTACAGCTGCCCCGGCTGCTAGGATGGGCTGGGAGTTCAGACATTGCTGGGCTCTTCCTCCCTCCAATTCTTTGCCTGGGCACGACCAAAAAAAGCACAGACCATGTGGCCATTCCACTCCAAAATATGTCCACTGACCACTCATCCACTGAGAGCCCCGAGAGGTGTGGCAGCTGAGGGAACTTTAAACCTGGAAAAAGCCCGAGGATTTTCGCCATGGTTGATCTGAGAAAAAAAAAATCCAAGGTACCCGCTTGCCTTGCGCGGTGGCATATCTATCTGACAATCGCCCAAATCGATTGACGATCTTCTCCTTTCATAGGCCCAATATTGCTTCCTTTCGCTGCTCGATCCGAATAGGCTCGATTGCCTTCACTTCAGCTCAGCCCTTCCTTTCCCTGGCAGCTGTTAATCGGTCCATCGGAAGTATTCTCTTCATCGTCGTGATTGCCATGCAGATCTGTTACATGACATCTGTGGCACAGCACTATGTGGCTTAGGACAACTATGCGCGACTCAATTCTTCACTTACTATAAGTATGAACAACCCTTGTTTCAATCCCCTGGTGCATGTATGCTATTGAAGCCCTGCCAATGACCCCAATGGCGAACTCCCACCTTGAAGGTCCGATGGTGGTCCATTGCGAGTACGGGGGCGTTCAGCTTCGCATATCGAAAGAACGCAGTAGAAGAGGATTTCCTTGGTGCTTCCAGTCTTGACTGACAGGACGTTGCCTGCGCAGTGATGCTTCTCATTCCTCCTACACAAGCATCCAAGATTCTAACGTTTACACTTCCAGGAAAGCTTTCACGACAAGGGGTAGCCCACGCCCAATCCTGGGGATATTTTATTCAGAACGGTCTTTTCATGATATCATCATTGTGATATCAATTCTCTTGTACTATCCGTGAAGTGGCTTAGGTCCACTATTTCCTCTCATTTCCACGACATCTACACTGATCCGACGATCAATCACCTAATTTTCTCCTTCATTTCTCCATTACTCACCTTAAACCGATCCTTACTACCTTCCAAATGAAGGTACCAAATTTTCTTGCTGCAGCAATGGCTGTTTTTGGCTTGGGTAAGTTCGTCCTTCATGGTGAAACCGCTGTAGGTATTGATTGATCGAATATAGTGCGCTCGAGTTGCAGCCAAATAGTCAGCCACAGGCCCTCGGAAGGTGCGGGTGTTTCTTACAGCGTCAATGTACCCCAAAATACGTCGCTGTCAGGATCTGGTCCCATCTTCCTTCAGTTGAAGGCTCCACCTGGTATCAAATGGTTCGCCCTGGGTCAAGGGTCCCAGATGACGGACGGGAACATGTTCATTGTCTACTCAGCATCCATGCACAATGTCACCCTGTCCACTCGGAGAGCAGCTGGCCACGTGGAACCCTTTTATGACCCGAGTATCCAAGCTTACCTTCTTGATGGGTCTGGTGTCCATGATGGAGTTATGACCGCTAACATCCGTTGTGACAATTGCACAACTTTGACCGACGGAGAGAGTGCGCTGGGAATGTCCAGCTCTTGGACGTGGGCATTAACGCATGGCCCCCCGTTGATGTCCAGAAACGTATCCGAAAAGCTGTACCAGCATAATTGGCACGGCTCTTTCTCCTTGAATTTGACCCAAGCTGTTGGCGGCAACAATACCAACCCGTTCATTGTTCCGATGCGGTCCTTGTTCGAATCATACACCCATCAGCGGCAAGTGAGCGATACTCTTCTTCACAAAAAGCGAATCGCCCATGGCGTGATGACCTCGGTCGCCTTCGTCCTTCTTTTCCCCAATTTTGCCCTTCTTTTATACATTGTGCCGTCCCGCCGTACCGTCCCGTGGGTACATGCCCCTCTTCAGCTATTTGCCGTGCTTTTGGCCTTAGCCGGCTTTGGGGTTGGAGTTTCTGTCTCCAAAGATCTCCAGGAGATTGGGGGTTACCATCCAGTCATCGGTTATGTGGCGGTCGGCGGTGTTGTTCTCATCCAGCCGATCCTGGGAATTATGCAGCATCTGCATTTCCGCAAGACGGGAACAAGTTCGCTGTATGGCGTCTCCCATCGTTATCTTGGGCGCTTTTTTGCCGCCTTAGGGGTTATAAATGGCGGGATAGGTTTTCATTATGCCACCGCCAAAAACCCTGATATCCCGCAAGCTTCCCCGCTTGCTTATGGCATCATATGTGGATCGATGTTTATTATTTACGTCTCCGTCATTCTTTGGAGGAAGTCAAGGTTGCAGCCTAAGACCTCGACGGGGAACGGATTGCCATTCTTCAGACGTCGACAAGACCAACCAACTCTTGGCAAACTTGAGAACAGCAGCGACAACACGCTTTGCGAAAGTGTTGAGGTTGAAGCGTCTCGGGAAAAGCCATGGCTGTCATGAAGGTTACACAGAATATCACGATCGTTAGCAGCATTTTGTACTACCAAGCGTATGTTTTCTTTGGGTCTTGCATATCCGGAGTTCGTCCTACAACCTTTCCATTCTCTTCTATCTTTCATTCCTACCCCTGGTTTCATGTAACAACTCCCTGTATCGACACAATCTCTCGACTATCACGGCTCCCTTTTTTTAATCGCATACATTATACTCTCGAGAACTATTCGAGATATATGAGTTATGTAGTATCTCAACACTTTCTTGGTCCTTCGTGGATCAGAATCAATCGCTGTTGGCTCCACCGCCATTATTAGTTAATCAAAGGCATGGGATCTATTGATGTATGCGCCTACCGGCGATAGTCATGTAACTCTTGGCCAGGAGAAGATCGAGGACGATAGCGGCGGGCAGCACCGCAGCCTGAGGCGATAAGATCTGGTTAGTCAGCCGGGAACCAAGCCATGGATGAATCCAGCCTGAAACCACGGCGGTGGGATTGGAGAAGAACCCCGGTCATTGAGGCAGATTGCTTGCTTCCTGCTCTAAACATCTAGCGTTGTCCTCTGCGGTCTGTGCTACATGTGATTTGGTTTTAGACGCCTCTACGCCTCCCGACCATCCCCTCCTCAGCCTCACCATCAACCTTTGTGACCGCCGTGAATTCGTTTCCCCTCCCCTCCCTCCCTCCCTTTTGAGGTGCCCGCCGTCAGCAAATAGGTCAGTCGAAAGCTTCCGGTCTACACTTGCCCCGGGCATCTTCATCGTTCCGATAGCGCTCGTGACAATTTTCCGCGAACTCAATGCAGTCCTCCATCCTTCATTCCAATTGCGACAGGTGATACGCCCTCCTCTCTTGCGGCTAGATGGAGCTCTATGGCGTCCGGACATAATTCAGCGTTCTCCGCGACATCAGTCCAGCCCCGCGCTCTGGGTGATGGACGGTCATATAACAGCTTGGATGATGGCCCCGCAGATGGTAGCTGGGCCGAGGCCGCTTCGAGAACTGGGCGAAATGCTCGCTCGGAGTCTGGGGGCAGTGCGACCATTGGCCTCCGGGGAGGGTCATTAGCCCCTTCTTCTGGGGCCCCTGGTAGCTTCAGTTCTGAGCTAAAAAGCATGAAGACCTCGCGGAGTACTACCCCTCGACCGGATGGTGGCCTCGCACGAAGACCGAGCAGCTTTCTAGAGCACGATGATTTGTCCGGCACGGAGGAGCGCCAGGCCGTGATCCGGGACAAGATCGCGAAAGAGATGAAAATCAAGACGGGGACAGAAAATATGCTCGAGGCGCTACTGGCAAAGAACCCGAAGCATACAAAAGAGCAGCGGTTAAGGGTGGAATCAGAGCTGAGTTCATCCAACCGCAAGCTTGCCGAACTACAACATGAACTCGAGGAGGAGATGCTACGTGCGCAGGCGCCGTCCACCCCTCCCCGGAGTCGCCTCTCGAGTCTATTCCAAAGCGGTTCGATGCGTTCACCGACTCGCAACAATGTGACACTCGATGACCATCAGGTCCAGGAAGGAGAGGCAGAAATGGAATCGCCGACGTACGTGCTTGCGGAAACACTACAAGCGCTAGAAATCGAGGGCATGTCCCCGGATTACTACGTTGAGCGTGCAAATAGCCTAGTCGAACTGTTCAAAAGGCATCCTACCTTGAAATATGACTTGGAGTGGTCCGTGTTCGGGCTACGCGTGCAGATCATGCTCTTGAGCGACAGCAAGGAAGCTGTGGCCGCAGGTTATCGTTTGACTCGTTACGCTATCGCAGACCGGAAGTCCCTGCAAATTATCAGGTCATTACATACAGATGAGCTGGTCATCTTGTCCCTTGTGAAGGAAAGCAAGGCGAGCATCGAGCGTGAACAGGCTTTGAAGTTTGTCAGGGCATTCCTTGATGTCAAGGATGGGGTGCGTGAGATTTCGCGTGCTGTGGTCAGAACGATCGTCTCCATCGCCGAGCATTACGAGGACCGTCTTCGGAATATCTCTATCATGACGTTAGCGGAAATCTTGGTCAAAGACCCGGCACTGATTGCATATTCTGGGGGCTTTGCCACGCTGCATGATGCGTTAGCGGAGGGGACTTTTGGCGCCTCAGAAAGTCTGATTGCGAGCTTTCTTCATGTTCTGGATACCCCTCACAGCAGGAAGCACCTTCGGGGAGGCTGTGAGCTAGAAGCTGTCCTCGCACCGTTCACGGACTCCTTATCGGACTCTGTCCGCAATGGGCGTCTCAAATCCTCAGCCAGGGCTATCTCTGCCATGCTCAAGACGTGGCCCGGATTGATTGTGCTCGCAAGAAATGGCGCCAAACCTTTACAGTCACTTTTGGACTCACTACATTACCCTGACCCGCAGGCAAGGGATCTTATCATGGAGCTCCTGTTCGACGCATTGAGGATAAAGCCGCCTTCATGGTCTTCGTCGTTTCTCGCTGGTCGGAGACTCACGACCTATGGAAGAGTGGCTAACCTCAGGGCTGAGACGGATCCAAAACAGGCCCGAGGGTTTTTTGATGACGATGGAAATAGGTTTGATCTGACAGCGCATTTCTCAACACTGATTCTTGCGACCCTGGTGGACGCAGGATTGTCCAAGGTCGGGTTCTCTGTGTTCTGGAATACTATACGATGCTAACAGGATGCAGGCTCTCTCCGACCTTATCGAGGATGAAACGGACCTCTCTCTAAGACGGAAGGCGACTTTGCTCCTGACCGAAGTCCTGAAGTTGGCACACCACTCTCTACCTCAGCATATCAGCGCAAAACTTCAAGTCCTTCCTCATCTGTTACCGGCTGCCATCCAATTTGATGTCGAAAATCACGATGTCTCCACTTCAACGATCTACCAGATCGAGAGTATTAACAGAACGTTGGCTCGCTCCGTGGGAGGCGTCTCCAATGGGGCAGGACGTTATAATGTCGACGTCGATATCTCTGCCTCTCTTCTCTCTGGCGACCAAGGCAAGGAGAAAATGAATCCTGCTATGGATGAGACTCAGTTTCGAAATGCGATCCTGGAGACGCATGTCCTAAACACCGTGAATTATCTCAAGTGGAAATGGGACTTGATCCACCGCATCGTTGAGGGTCCTCTGACCAATCCCAAGAGGCTGGAGGAAGCCATCAAGGGCTCAAAGTTCATGAAGCGACTGATGGGGTTCTACCGGCCATTCAAGTATAGGTTCTCAATGCTACCGAACACAAAGCCAAATCAACGTTATGTTCGAACGGGTTGCGCCTTAATGCGCACGTTGGTGCAACTCCCAGAGGGCACAAAATATCTAGCCGAGAACAAGTTTTTGAGGCAGGTTGCGGAATGTCTTGCTCAAGTCGACCGCATGAGCGGACTTACATCTTCCTCGCCCCTATTCTCAAGAGAACAGATGGCAAACACATCAAGCGGGGGATACTTCGCTTTGCTAGGAGTCCTCAGTGGTGATTCTAACGGCCTCGCCATGATGGAGCGTTGGCACATGCTCAACATGTTCTACCATATCATCGAGCTTCGGGACCGAGATGATCTCATCCAGACCCTGCTCGGTAACATGGACTACGCCCAAGAAAGCCACCTAAGGGTCATCCTATCCAAGGCACTCACCACTGGCTCCAAAGAGATTCGAATATTTGCGACCAAGCTCCTTCGAAAATATGCGGTAGGAAATGTTCCTCTTTCTTCGCAGTCGCCCACTGGCAGTGCGGATTGGGTGGTCAAACTCCTCGTAACGCAACTGTACGATCCCGACGTGTCTGTTTGTCAAGTAGCTGTGAAAATCCTTGAAGAGGCATGCAATCAGCGGCACTACCTCGAATTCGTGGTTAAGTGCCGGCCTTCCCTTGACCATTTAGGGGAGATCGGTGCGCCACTACTCTTGCGGTTCTTGTCCACTTCGGTAGGATACCACTATCTAGATGGACTTGACTACATCACGCAGGAGATGGATGATTGGTTCCTGGGCCGTAATGATGCATACGTGGGGCTCGTCGAAGCCGCGCTTTCGCGTGCCTACGTTGATCAGCCGCGCAGAAGTAGCTTTGTTCCCGAAGACCTCGTGGATTTGCAGGATATTGGACTGGTGCCACCACATTTTTATAGAGAACTCGCTCGAACCGCGGAGGGATGCAAGCTTCTGGAGCAGTCAGGCCACTTCAATGAGTTCGCATGGACTATCCGGGATTTTCAGCTGGATGAAGAAGACACAGAGGCTCTTCTCAAAGTCAAAGGCTGTCTTTGGGCCGTTGGCAATGTTGGGTCCATGGAACTGGGAGCGCCGTTTCTTGAGCCTGATATTGTCCAGCATATTGTAAAGATCGCCGAGAGTGCAGAGGTGCTGACGATGAGGGGAACAGCATTCTTCGTGCTAGGCTTGATTTCTCGCAGCCGACATGGTCTCAAGGTCCTGAGAGATTTTGGATGGGATTCTGCTCTTGACCACAAAGGAAACTCGTTGGGGTTGAGCCTTCCGACCGATTTCAACAAGCTCTTCTTGGTATGCTTGCAGTCACCAGCACCAATATCCAAGTCATTAACGATTGTGCTTTCACAGGTTGATTTCCCGAGCCATTCCAGAAACCCCGAATCAAAGCGCACGTCTCAAGAGAAATTCAAAGGAGCGGCTATGGATCCAGATCCCGCGAACCAAAAGATCTTGAAGTTGATTGTCGACATGGGGAATACCGTTCTGTCAAAAAGGGCAGCGGCAGACCTCCATAGGTAAGCAATATGCGCCATCGATTGCACCCCTGGTGCGACCAAGGCTAAAAAAGTAATGGAATTCGCAGTATGAAGTCGAAACAGCCCGATCGGTTCCACCAACCTCACCTTTTCCGCAAGACCCTTAGTATCCTCGAAAGCCACCACTTCCGATTGCCCGCTCGCCGCTTTGCTCTGGACCTCTTTGACAAGAGTGTCATGCGACGCATAGTGTTGGAAGACGACTCCGATTCCGACTCGGAGGCGTCGTCTTCCCAAGTATCAAGCTGATTGCATTGCCGCTTCAAAGAGGCTAAGCCACAGATTCCAGTAACCCTGCATTTGCCCCCGTCTTGGAAATTTCTTTCTCGGCCGCCCTTTTTTTCCTGTCTTCTTGGCTATGGCGTTGGATGGTTCCGGTCATGAGCAACGAAGGATGCTAGCATATCATGTTCTGCTCTGTTCTACCTGATTCTCCGGCCCTTTGTGTCGGTGATCCGATACCTTTACCTTTTTGCCTTGCTTGCATCAGATCGAGGGTTTCTTCATGAGTTTGTGGAGTTCTCTGTCGGTTATCATTGTCTTATGATGAATGCCCTGCCTCATCCACGGCACATGTACTGTACATATCTAAACCCCATCATTTATGTCCATGAAAGTTACCGAGCGCCGTATATAATGGCTAGCCGTAGGGTTCTATTTATTGCGTGGGTCTATTTGCGTGAGAGTGATCCCCGGCCTCCCATCGGCGCGTTCCTGAACCTCGGATGGCGGACGGAGCTTGAACGGCTCCGGCCTCGAACCAGCTTGTCCCCACCTGTCAGCAAAACAATCCCATGCCCCGGCTCCTTTTGGTGAATCCTCGCATCTCACCTCCCTTGGAACTCTCCGACTACCTTTCATTCCTCTATCTATCCATCTAGCGATTTGGAATAGTCTTTTCCTCCTCCATGGAGGATGCTAGCACGGCCAGTTCTCCGCCCCCTCCGCAGGACCGAGATGACGATCTCTCCGCCGCCTCGACCGCGCTGAAATCAGAAGACACCGATGACAACCAGCTTTCCCTGCCCGCACATTCCATCATCCGACTCATCCAGTGCCCGCGCTGCTCCCTACCACTACGAACGCCGCTGCGACTTCCGTGCGGAAACACCATCTGCAAGTCGTGTCTCCCGCCGATCCGTCAACGGACGGGAATCACATACCCGGCGAATGTAGAGCGTAAACAGGGGTTTACATGCTACTGGCAGAAAGAAGACACGTGTTCTGGAGAGCATTGTCTCGGGGACTGTGGGACGGATGTCTTGTTGAGCAGACTGGTGGATGTGTTCGACGAGGTTTTGGCAAACCGCGGGGCTGGACCAGATACTGTTGAACCAGACGCGGGGTTGTCTTTGACGTGGGAAAGCTCGCGGATACCAACCCCTCAGAGTGCTATAATCGGCCCTGACTTGTTGGGAGGGGTCTACCATCTGGTGAAGCAGGGTCGGTTTGACTACGATGCGTCGGAGGTGGAATATACGCCCGAGGACCGTATACAGCAATGGGATGGACAATCATTTGGGAGGCTGAGAGAGGCCGTGCAGAATGAGCTGGACTGCCAGGTCTGTTACTCGCTAATCCTGGATCCGTTGACGACCTGCTGTGGTCATACGTTCTGTCGTGGGTGCGTCGCGATGGTCATGGACCATAGCGATTTATGTCCTCTTTGCCGGCGCAAGCTGAATATGTCTTCAACCGTGCGGTCCGAACCGATCAATAACAGGATTTCGAATCTTGTGGAGGCATTACTCCCTGCACAGGCTTTGTCGCGTCGGCAAGGATATACCGAGGATGCGACTACGGCGGATGAAGAGCGGGCAATTCCTTTATTCGTGAGCTCGCTTTCGTTCCCGACCATGCCGACTTTCTTGCATATATTTGAACCGCGGTACCGGACTATGATTCAACGAGTGATGCAAAGCAGGGACAAGAAGTTCGGCATGGTCATGTATAATCGCTCTGGTCGGTTGCAGCAGGGCCTGGGCAGGGCTCAGTTTATGCAGTATGGTACGGTGCTGCTGGTGGAACGGTTCGAGTTACTCCCCGACGGAAGGAGTCTGGTGATCGCTTCTGGCGTCTCGCGCTTCAAAGTCATCAGCTTCGAGATGTTGGATGGCTATCATGTTGGTAAGATACAGCGAGTGAACGATGTCCCGATATCTGAGGAGGAGAGGCAAGAATCATTGGAGACGTCAACAACCGGTGATTCGCCATCCACAACAAGCGTTGATCTTGCCAGTACATCGCCAGAGTGTCTGTCAACGCAGCAACTGTTCCAGGTGGCGTTGGATTTTGTCGAGAAAAATCGCCGCGAGGGAGCAACATGGCTCCATTCACGTGTCCTGCTAGCATACGGCGAAGTTCCTACAGATCCCGCTCTATTTCCCTGGTGGTTCGCCAGCGTTCTGCCTCTCTGGGAAGATGAGAAGTACCATATTTTATCAACGACCAGTGTTCGGGAAAGGCTAAAGATGATTGTGCGGTGGGTGAGGAAGTCGGAGTCTCGCGAGTGGTAGGTTGAAGTCTGCTCAGTTTCGCTTGGGTTATCTTCTCTATCCTTTCCGGCGCTCACCGTTCTTTATAACAAGGTTGGCTCGCCCCCGGCCATCAATCACCTCGGTCTTATGACTAGCCGTCCCTCTCCTCGTCTTTTCCCTTGTGCCGGTGATCCTGGGCCCCGGCTTAACGTACCTGTCACCGTCTACAAGGGTCTTCACGTCTTTCACGCCGTTCTCCATGTCTGTCTCCTTCTCTTTTGGGTCCGCTCGTCCGCCCGCATCTGACGGCCGGCAACGGGCGCAGAGTGAGGACTCGGAAGCGCATATACCACAGACCCTTGTTCTGGGGATCTTCTTGGCTCTCTTCGCGATGCAAATGGCCATTAATGTTGTCCAAATTCGGCGAGCCAGGCGGCGTGAACCGGTCGCAGCTAGGCAGACTGTGGTGCCCGAACGACAACGACGGGAGACGCCAAGGGAGCTACAAGATGAGGTAGAGGGACCGAACACCGGACGTGTTGAAGATACGGGATGACCTTCAAGCTATCTAGGACACTAATGATATTTGCAGGCAGTTGTTGGTCTATCTACTAGGGGTGCGCCGCTTTGCAACTAGCTTCCCCACGGCCGTCTATTAGCTACCGAGCTTAAAACACTGGCAGCCACAATTTCCCCGCCGACCTCTCACCCTCCGGAAGAGGATAAAGTGGCGTCGACCTGTCTTGGCTAGTAACTGGGCCAGATACCCCTATCTCGTAGTCCGAAGCGACTCCATACAGGCCCATGGTCGGCCGCTGCCAGGGTCACCGGGAACTTACAGCCGGCTGCAGATAAAGGGCCAGCAGGGGGGGGCAGGATGTTCAGGCAGCTGTTTGGGATTCCATGCATGTACTGAGGGTAGCATCTTGATGGGTATCTATCTGGAGGGGATGGCACGTAGCGATGTATTACTATCTACCTATCTGGAGTATGTAGGATGGAAATGCGCTTTGAGAGTGCACCGCAGCGGCATGGCGCCGCTAATGGAAACCTGATAAGAGAACAATGTTGCCTAACTGGCAGGGGTTGAGCCTCTGGTAGCAGTGGTAGGAACAACGCTGCAGGGATGTTGGAGTCCAAGCTCTGACTTGTCCAACGCCATGCAGCCATGGTGCGGTCGTTTGCCGCTGGGCCACTCTGGTTGGTGGGTGTTGGTCACAGAAGCGCTGGGGTTGGGAGCTCCGACCCCAGAAAGCACGGCGAAAAACTTCTCCCATAACCAGTCTGCCTCGTCGCTTGCCTGTTTGGGTGCCATTGGGTGCCATTGGATACCATTGGATACCATTGGATTCTGGCGCCCTCCTCATGCGTTGTTGGCCCGTCATGCCCCCCGGCTCCTTTCCTTCTTCTTCCGTTCTCTTTCCCCTGCACTCGATCCATCATTGCGTCGGGTCTGCAGTTTTCTTCTCTTCTGCAAACCTTACCGGGTCTGCTCAGTCCCGTCCAGCTTCACGGTGAGTATAATCCCGCTGCGCGCTGCGTTGAGGGATTGAGAGTTGAGACCGTCCAGCAGCCAGAGGACGGGCGACGAAAAGAAATCCTGAATCACACAGAGAGTCATGAGAATAAGGAAGAAAAAAAGCAGAAGAGTTGCTGGGGGTCCATCGCGCCTGCACCATGGATGGAGAGTGGCCTGAAATTGGAGATATCAACTTCCTCCCTTCCTCTCCTTCTCCTCTTTTCTTCTTCTCTTCCTCTTCATCCTCTACCATCTTCCGGCTGTCTCTGGCCTGTTCCCAGTGAATGTCACCTAGGCTGATCAGCTCTCTCACAGATTATTCACATGTCTTCACCGTCACGTAAGTCTGGCCTTCCCCTTCACTTATTATTATCAACTTGGCGGTGCGGATGATCGTCGGACCTCTACTAAACCAACCCCACATCCAGATTCACAAACCATGTCGTCATTTGCTTCATACGGAGGCCAATCTAATCAGTATACGTCTCAGAGGTGAGTGTCAAGTTCTCAGTGCTCATTTCTCTTTTCTTTACTGTTCCATACGACTTTTCAGCCTTCGCAGTCTATGTACCCATCTAACTGTATTGGTGTCTGCACAGGCCATACGCGGTGAGTGACCTCATCTACTCTTGTCATTCCATCCATCGGTGGCTGATATCATGATCATGTCAAAATCCAGACCTATAGAAGTACCCAGATACATACAGATACTGTCACTATCCCCCGCTCAGAGTACACCGGTCTAGTGAGTGCAATGTGACAGGTCCAAAACGTCCCCTCACTAAGTAATGACTCCTCACAGCTCCAAGATTCACAACATTTCTGTATGCTACCATCACTGGTACTAACATATTACTGGCTGCTGACCCGTTCACACAAGTGAAATTGAGGGATTCGCTCCTGACTGGAGGCCTGTCGCAGGAGACTCTTGATGTCAGAACATGTGCACCGATTGACATGCACTTACTGACCTTTCCAGATATTGATCTACGGGGCTGCTCAGGCGGACTCGCAAAATGGTAATCAGGAAAACTTCACTGCAACCGTTCCTGCCGATAAGATACATGGGGATGATGCTGCTGGCTGTCAGGAACACGCAGAGGTGCAGTACCAGAACCCTGGCGAGTTCGACGACAATGAGGATGAGAATGAGGATGAAGAGGCTCTTCTAGACTCCCATGGTAGCGAAGAAAAGGACGACTATGATATGTCTTCTAGAAGCGCGGGATCTTCTCCTGCCCCAAGCGCTCAACGCACTGTGATGATTCGGAATCTTCCAGACCGGGTCACGCATAGAGAAATCGTTGCCGCAGTAAGAGGCGGAGCCTTGCTTCACATTTATCTACGAGCACGCGAGCACATTGCGAGTGTGTCATTCGTTGAAGAATCCGCTGCTCGTGATTTCTTGCTGCATACCAAGACCTACGGTCTCTATATGGCTGGGAAGCGGGTGAGTAATAAAGTCAGAAATTGCCCAACGCCGCTAATTAGACTATCAACACAGGTGGAAGTGGGGTGGAATGACCGACAGTTCTATCTTCCTCCATATGTTAGGGTGAAGATCAACAATGGAGCATCGCGGAATCTAGTCATCTACAATGTACAGCCCAACGTCACCGAGTGGGTCATCCGGAAAGATCTGGAGCATATCCACAACTTAATTGTAATCGCGGTGAAATTCAAGAACGGCAATGCCTACATCTCCACCAATTCGGTACATAATGCACTCTTTGCACGCTCCTGCATGATGTCTCGGTTCATGTATAAGGGGATGAAAATTGGGTTTTATGCCGACGAGTGTATGGAGTCTCCGGCGAAGATTGCCAAGAAGGAGCCACAAGTACCATCCAAGAAAACCACTTCGGTGCCCAATCGCTTTCAACTTCTGTCTCTAGATGGGGTCGAGGATGATGAGGATCACAGCAGCCATGATGGGCTGAGGATGAATACTGGGATGCGATGGGCAGACAACAGCGTTTCCGCCTGAATGGGTTTCTCTCACTTCCTTTTGTACTTTTTCGGTGCGCCATTCTTGCGTTCGTTCATTTGTTCAACTGTGGGTTACTATGGGACCTGAGCGAGGCTAGGCCTTTGGCAAATTGCTACAATGATGCGTTAATTGAATACGGCACATCTCGACGAGCCTGTCCAGAACGCTGATAGGGTGGGGGCTTGGTGCATGATCGTGCATGGGAACGGTACGATCTACGGAGAACGGCTAGACTGCTTGCCAGAAATGCTACCGGCATACCAGCGTTCAACTTGATATCATCTGCAGTGATGTATCAAATCGTAGATACGCGAACCAATGACAAAAAAAGAAATTGGGTGATATTTGAGATAGTCCAGGCCTATACTAATTCCAGCCTAAGACCGAGCCAGCATTGCACCATCATTTCCATACAACCACTGTAACAACCCAAGCCTTCCTCTATTGAATGAATTGTTCAGTGGAGGGATGGGACCACCACACCAGATCTCTCTCCACCCCAGTAGTACACCGTTAAAACGACACCATCCTGCGCATCCCGTGCGCCACAACCCTCGTATGCGGGAGAATAGGAAAAGGTAAACTTTTTGAACGACTCGAGCACGAACGACCCGAACCGGAGAGCATAACCATGAGGGCGACAGCGACGGCAGACGACAAAGAACAGACGACGGCAAAGCCGTTTAACGGTAGGACTTCTGGTAGCGGGCACGGGCACCACGACCACCGAACTTCTTGGGCTCCGTACGACGGTTGTCGGCGACAAGGAGTGTGCGGTCGTACTGGACAAGAGCCTGCTTCAGCTGGTTCTTGGAGTGCTCATCGACGTACTTCTGGTAGTAGGCGACGATGGACTTGGCGATGGCCTGACGGATGGCGTAGACCTGGGAGGTGTGACCACCACCGGTGACGCGAACGCGGATATCGACACCGGAGAACTTGTCGGCTCCGACGATCAGAAGGGGCTCGTAGACCTGTTTTGGTCAACACCATTGTTTCATTCATTCATTCCTGGATTTCCCATGCTGGTTTGGTTCCGAATGGGTGGGTATGGTGTGTACCTTGAAGCGGAGGATCTCAGGCTGGACCAGAGAGAGGGGCTGGCCGTTGACCTTGATGAGACCCTTGCCTTGCTGTATATTGTAATCAGTTTCTGTTGTTTTGCGGTGTGTAGTTTTTGCAATGCGATGCGGATGCGGATGCAGTGGTCGTTCGTTAATCGCTTCGCTTCTTGTTCGATGTTCTCCTTCATATCTGTTTCTCCAAGTTTCTTTCATGTCGCTCGTATCCGCATGTGTCGTCCATCGCTCTTTTCCTCCATCATTCCGTAATTCTTTCCATATTCCTTTTTTCCATGTATTGTCGAATCCCCATTTTCCCGAAACTCACTCACAGACCAAAAAACCGAACCGAATCGAGCCGATAATCGAACGACACACGCATCCGCAAACAAAAAAAACATCATCTTTTCAACAACAGAGACATATAAAAATCTCATACCTTGCAGTGGGCGACAGCAGTGGCTAAATATATCAAAAAGAAACGTTAGCATTCATTCATTCCTTCATTCATTCGTTCATCCATTTCCCCATAAATCCATATCCGAAAATTTCCCCAAGGGATCAAAAAAAACTAACCCGTCTTCTTCTTGCCGAAGCATTGCACACTCGGAACGGAAGCCATAATGACAGTGTGTGCCGTGGGTGGTGGGAAGTAAGGTAGACGGTCGGTGGTGGGTTGTCGGGTTTCGTTGAACTTGTCGCTGGTCGTCGATTAATTTTCGCTTCGGCGGGCGGGCAAGGGCGGGCGGTGTTGTTTCGCTATCCGTGCGGACTTGTCTTCGCTTAGTGCGGTACGCTAGGCGGTTTTCGGACCCCTTGGGGGTAGGGCTTGATTGCGTGGGTGATGCAGTCACGTGAGGAAGTTCTTGACTCCGGAGAGGAGCTGGAGTTAGGTGTGGATGTAGGCAGGCAAGGTAGTAAGTAAAAGTGGTTTTGATATCATAACTTTTTATACCTTGGTTGTTGAAGATGTCGTCGACGGTTGGAAAGGTATTCCTCCCTTCTTTACTTTACCCTCTTTCTTTCCTTTCCTCCCTATCTATCTGGTTTTCAATTGAGCAATTGGATATAAGCTAACTCTGAAGATGATAATGATATGATAGTCTCGTCTCGCCTTCTCGCGAACATGGCACTACGTTGACGTCGGCAGTGACCCTCGCAGTCTCGGTCGCGTCGCCTCCTCCATTGCCCTTACTCTCATGGGCAAGAACAAGCCCATCTATGACCCCTCTACTGACTGCGGCGACTATGTCGTGGCTGTCGGCTGTCACGATCTCCGCGTCACCGGCAAGAAACGTCAACAGAAGAAGTACTACACCCACAACACCCGGCCCGGTAGTCTGCGGAGCATGACTATGGATAAGATGTTTGAGAAATGGGGTGGTGGTGAGGTTCTCCGGAGGGCGGTTAGAGGCATGTTGCCTAAGAATCGGCTGAGGGATAAGCGGTTGGCGAGGTTGAAGAGTACGTTTTCATATCTTATATTTTGTTTTATAATGGGGCAGGGTATATGCTAACAGGACTAGCTTTCGAGGGTCTCGCTCACCCCTACAAGGAAAACATCGTCAAGATCAACGGTCAGTCGGTCATTGGAAACCTCCCCGAGGTTAAGGAGGCGTTCAAGGAGGCCGCGGTGGCTAAGACGGAAACGTCGGCTTAAGTGTCTCGTTGTCTACTGTCTATTGACTGATACCATGCGGTGTATTACTGTACTTTTACCTATCATTGATATTGTCGTTGTCATGTATAACTTGCTAGCGCATGGGTGGGAGTTTTGTGATTTTTTTTTTTTTTTTTGGTTTTCTGTGATATATTACCAGCTTTACAACATTATATCTGTCTACTGGGCTTGTGTGTCTACATTGATCTGCTGCGCTTTTGTGCAAATTGCTGTATCATAAAGTGATTGATGCTATACCCTATCCGAAGACCTATATACAATATGCCAGAACTCCATCTCCTATGCATGACCAACTACATACACTACAGCTTGGCCTTGGTGTTGCGACCAACGGTGCACTTGATCAGCCCGTTCGGGTTGGTCTGGGGCGCATACACCTCGGCGTCCTTGCCGGTGTTCTTGAGGCCCTTGTGCCAGCTCAGATCTATAGACTTGCGTTAGCATGATCCGAAACAACGGATTGCGAAAATTAACATACCAACTTCAAAGTAGTGTTTGTTGGGCAGAGAGTACTCGACCGTCTCGAGCAGCGACTGGCGAGCCAGGATCTGCTCCGCCATCTTGTACATCGTGTTCTGCACACTGGCCGAGTTATCCTCGGCGAAGGTCTTAAGGGTGATATCCCGGGCCGTGGTCCAGGTAGCGTCGAACTGGGGCACGGTGTTGCGCACCTCGTCCAGCCCGCTGAATCGGCGCCACTGCCAGCTGGCGTCGACATCGGTGCTCAGAATGCGATCCCAAGTCTCGGGGAGAGTGGTGTACTCGTCACGCACAAAGCCCCAGAACTGGGAGTTGGTGCTCTTCAACACGGTCAATTTGGCCAAGGACGAGGTGATGTCGATGCCCTTGCCCTCGACGACGTCGACCTGGACGTTGCGGGTCTCCTCGCCATCGCGGAGGAAAGAGTGCGGGTGCGGCTTGCCGTCGATGGTCAGACGGGTCCAACGGTGGGTGATGATGTGGACGTGGGCGGCGTGGATGTGGTTATATTTAGTGATGAAGTGGTTTCCGAGAATGGAGCCGAAGAGCTCGGGAGGAGTGACGGGGTTTTGCTTGGCGGTGATGTAGATGGTGTTCTTGATGGAGTCGGTTGCGACGATAACGCTGTTATCGGCCGTGGTGTAGCTGGAACGAGATCGGTTAGCTATGAGGAATTGGGATGGAATGGGGGGGAGGACATACGAGGTGTCGATGTCACCCTCGAGAAGGACGCAGACGGTCATCTCGACGACCGTCTGGATGCCGGTCTTCTCGTCGCGGTGGACCTTGTATACTCGGACATTGTCCTTGCCGTAGCGGGCCGCAGTGACTGGGGAAGACATGGTGGGGATGAAGGTGGAGGTGGAGGTGGAGGATGAGGATAAGCACAGGGTTCGACAATCAGTATAGAGATGGATGAGTATGCGCCAGGCCCAGTTGCAGCAGGGATGAAGCTTTTTAAAGAGCGCCCCGAGCCCGAGAGCAGGTCGGGATGGAGAGAGGCAGGCTGTCGGCCACCTCCGAAGCCCGCGGGTCTGGACGGCCGCAGCCTCCCTCGCTTTATCTTATCGCCCCGGGATTCGTAACCTGGAGTATGCAACCATCAGGCAATCCCGCTGGCTTATATTCTCGGAGCGCGGAGGTCCCCCAAGTCGTGGGTTGATGGAAAGGGGGAGGATCCTTTGTCGGAGGTGAGGTTGGGAAAGGAAGCAAAATCGAGTTAGAGCTCAATGAAAGGCTCTACTCCGAATCCATGACCATGTGACTGTGACTGTCTGTGACTGTGTAGACGTCATCCACTCAGCACCAACTCAATCAACAGAGTCATGGTGTCACCTTGGGATACAGATGCCGGGGTTTGCTGTTGGTGAATGGAGCACACCCCGGTGGGCTCAAGTGACGATCCATTGCTCTGGCACGATTCTGTCCCACGACGCAGGAACCAACCAGTCAGCGATGAGAGCAACCCAACAATTCCACAGAGACTGACACACTCAATCAACTATCTCGAGCATACCACGTGGTTTTCCACTTTTTTTTCTTCGCAGTAGTGAGCAACTATACCCCTACCCCCATCATATGCCGCCGTCTAACTCCCTGGGTCGTCCCTGTCCAGCCAAGTGACCTGCGAGACTACACCAATGCCCCCTATAAAGTTGAAATATCCCCTTAATCCTTGATTACAATAACCTACCGGCTGGGTCAGCTCTAATATGTGAAGCCGCTGTCGCATTCAATTACCACTCGGTCTTTGGATACTTGGTTGACATTGCCCCATGAAACTCCTTGCTTCCTCGACCTCACCCTGCTCGGCGCCTTCGTACTCGTGCTCTCCCTCGCACACACCGTTGGTATCTTCTTGTATGGGTGACTCCTTAAGGTGGTCTAACTGTCCTGGTTATGTGGTATATTGATGGGATGGGAGAAGTTGCTTGGTGGTTGTAAATGAAGCTAGGTAGGCAGATACGTAGGTAATTAGGAAACATGTTAGTGGATCGTAAATAGGCTTATACTAGTCCTCTAGATCCATACTACTAGTTCTTTACTTCGTCATGGAGGATCTTGTATGTGGATCCTAGAACAACACACTCAAATCTAAAATCATCCATTCATCACCAGTCAATCAATCAATCATCTTTTATCGACAAGAGGAAACGCGCCACAGGATTGTCTTCATGTACAATTCCACCAATCCAACATGGCATGTGAGCGGAGCGGAGAATAAACAAATAAAAAGTCGTAGTTAAAAGCATCCGTTTTCTGTTTCCTTCCATCCATCCCAATCAAGTCAGAAGAAACGCCATCCAATGCCCTAATTGGACGCCCAGTAACCCAATTACAGAGGGAAGAAAGAAATTGATACCACCCTTAACGCCATGTTCCCGGATATAATAACGTGCACGCGCAGACAGACAGAAAATCACAGACTCAGCTGATCAATGCTGCCCACTCTACCGCTTCCACCTAACCGACCACCACCCTTCGTCACCATCCCCAAACGGTAGAACCGCTCCTCGCCGCCCGGCGTTCGACCCCCAATGTACCACTTCTCCGGACCCAGCGCATCGCGGAACCCACCCGAGCCACTGGAGCTGTCGCTGCCGCGCCGTTGGCGCCCGTGGCTGTTTGTGATGGGGATGGGATTTGATGCAGCAGGGGTGGGCGGGGAAGAGGCCGCCTGTTGGGTCGGTCCCGGGGACCCGGAGGAGGACTCGGGCTGATTCAAGGCGGATCGGTGGTGGGAGTGTGGCCGTGAATGGGAGGAGGAGGTGCTGGTGGTGGAATGGTGATGGTAGTGATGGGTTGTGGTGGAGGGAGAGGCGTCCGAGGAGGAAGTATTGCCGCTGGCTTTCGTGGCTATGGCTCGGGCGCTTTGGGAGATCTGGGAGGAGGACAGTGAAGAGGAGGGACCGCCGGCAGTCTGTGAGCCTGCTGTTGAGGCCTTGTAGGTGGACTGCGCGCGAAAGGCCGCCAGGAAGTTGGCCAGGAATGGCCGGTTGGTGGACATGGTTACGAGAGGGGGCACTGAGATGGAGACTGACAGGGGTACGCTAGTCGGAGGGGACCAGGGCCTGTAGTCGGTCGAGCAAATACCTCTGAATGCGGATGTAGAGATACAAGTTGCTTTTGTTAGGAGGGGTGGAGGGAGGGGGATTGCAAGTGCGGTATATAGAGTGGTGTTGGCCGTCGGTCGTCGGTCGAGGCCGGAGCGACAGTAGCCGCGGAGTCGCGGAGGAGACGAGATCTAGACGGGGTCTGAGAGAAGAAGGCAGATGGAGGAGGACAGCACGAGCACAGACAGCACCATAGATGACTGCAGGAGGGGGACGGACGATCGGAGGCAGCAGGAGGGAGGCGTAGTGGGAGACGATGACGAGGGAGCGAAGATGGACGAGTCCAACCTTGAAGTGACCCTGGAGGCCCTCCGGGGCGTCCCGTGGGCGGCGGCCAATCAGCGGGGGTGGATATCAATCCGGGGCAGCCCCTCGGCGCCCGGCCGTGACGTCGCGGCGATTTGTTCGATATAGTTTCGGAGAAGGACTTGATCCTGCTTCTGACTCCATACTCAGGAGTCTCCGTGCATCCCATGGAGATCACTAGAAATCATTGGGGTTGACCAAGACGTTCCCTTTCAAGCCGGGGTTTCCCCGGATACCCCTCTACACGAAGCACATGCGAACTAAGTACTCCCTAAGAGATGATCCCCATCACCTGAAACGGGGAAGCCGGCCGGGCTAACCAGCCAGCGTTCACCGTAGGGAAATCCCGGGATCCCCAGCCCTCTCCGCCCCGGACCAAAGGACGGTGGTCGCGGTTCACATGGTCGGCCATCTACAATCTGGCATCTGCTCTCATCATGGAACATCGGATAATGGCCCTTAATATTTCTCGTTCAACTCCGAATCACTGGCTGTCTATATTCTAGCTTTTGAATCCCCATGGCTTCCCATAACTGACAACATCCACCAGGCCCGATGCGGGGGTTCGACGGCCTCCTCGCCTGCAGACTCCGGGACCAGGTACATGAAAAATGCATGCAGTAGCATAGACAGAACAAGCAAATAACCGACGTATGGAACATATGGGCTGACCAGGGGCGTGCATCCAGGCAGATCAACCAGCCGCCATCCAGAGAGGAGCTCCAACACAGCAGGAGTGTTCCAGGCTGCGGCCAGGATCCGCAGGCAACCCAGCCGCGAAATGTAGGAAATCGGGCAGTCAAAAAGCACCGTGCTACCTTTTTTCACAGGCAAAAGAGAAAGAAAGACATGAGACACGAAATAAACCGAAGCACACTGACATGGAACAGAGGAACAGGCAACACATGAGACAACGACGAAATAGAACACACAACACCTTTCATCCCACCAGGTCGACCGCGTATGTCCCGGGCGGACACACAACAGCTACTTACAGGATCGACTGGGAGACAACATGCGGATGGGAAACGGCCGTGACGGTTATGCAAACAGAACCCGAACACACTCACCCTCCGTGCAGCTCGGATTGGACAGGAAAAATGGAACATGCAATCGGAACGAAGAGTCAACGGATACCTTCCCCGCAAAATCTTTTTAAGACTCATTGAAGAGAGTCCAGGGACAACAAAAACAAAACACATGCCCAAGTCTATGATTGGACGCCAGATAAAACCACACACACCATCCCGTCGGCCCACTCATAATGGATGGAAAGAAAGCAAAACAGATCCAGAACCACCGCAAATCTGCACTCGCCGTAGAAAATGCTGACAAGAGTTTTCAAATAAAACATGGATGACCAGATACCCCAGCAGGAGAGAAGAAAACGTTTTCATAACAATGAGAAATCCGGATGCTGTAGTCTAGACCAACGCTGAGGCGCGCTGCGCGGAGTCGGTGGCCGTAACGAGCTTTTTTCTAAATTCTTTTTTTTTGGTTCCTTTCTTTTAGGGAACATCCCCCGAAAATCCCAGTGGCTTTCCAGGTTGTATTCATGCGCATAAGCTGAGAGACTGATAAGGCGCAAAACCGCACGACATGCAAATCCTTGTAATCGAGCATCAACAGGCATAATCGGAGAAGCGTCTCCACAAACCCTCCCAGTCGAATGTCCAGCATCGCGAGACATCTCTTGACTTATGCATAAAATCGTTTGACAACGTAGCCCAGTTAGTAGGTCAAATTTGTATTCGTTCGTTAAGGCCGCAACACTCCGTTTCACTCGATGCGCGTTCACACCAAGCTCAGCGTGGTCAGCTCAAGACATCCACTTTCATGTCACCACTATTGCCTAGCAGGCTGAACGGTACCTGTGTTCAAAGATCAGTAATCGGGCATTCAGGCGCAACAATAATTATGTTACTTACCGTCACCGCTCAAGGTGGTCGAAGCCAGGTAGAGACCGTTCATTCCACCCTCCTGAGGACCAGCGGTGGTGGTGGGGTAAAATTTGCGTTCGGTATCGACGTGAGCGTGGATGGGCTCCTGGCCGGACGCCATGGTCTGGGGGAAGACGGGATTGATATAACCGTCGGACGCTCCGGGCTGAAACATCGAGGTCCAGTCAATTTCGCCAGCGTGATTGGGAGGTCCAGTCATGACAGGACGTTTAGGGTCTTGAACAACCGGGGGCTTTACCTGCTCAATAGGAGGACGCTCAACATTCAGCTGCTGGCCGGATGCATCAGTGCCAGGCTGCACAAGGTACGGGTTCTGCTTGGGAGCAGCAAGCCAGGGTCCTCGCTGATGGGGCTGGCCAGGGGGGAAACCGTCGTCGGGCTGACCACGGTTCATGCCATTGACAGACGACATCGAGAAACCCAGAGGCTGCTGATCCGCGTATCCTGGACGGCCGGGAGCCATCCCGTTGCCATTCACGGGCGCCTCACCATATGTCGCACCTGGCATACCGTTGGGATGCGGGACGGTAGTAGGGACTTCATCCTGAACTGGCTTGACAGGGTTCGCCGCAGCTTGAGACCTCTTCAGATGCGCCTGGGGATGCGACAAGTGGGTCGCCCCAGTGGGGTTACCACGTCGCAATGAGCACTTCTGAAAGTGGCGCTTCAGGATATCACTCCGAGAGAAGGTATCTTTGCAAAGAACACACATGTACGGACGATCACCAGTGTCTAGAGGGGGGGAATATTTATCAGCAAAACGATTTCATCCCCACAATACACCCCTATTATCTTGCTAGGTGAGGTACTCACGTCTGAGCAAATGACGCTTCAAGTGCTTAGCATGAAGATATGTCTTGTTGCAGTGCGGACAAGGGAACTTTCCATCGGCGTCCTTGGCCGGGATGGTTGTGTTCTTGGCGGTACCATTGACACCGTTTGTGACGGGAGTCGCGCGTCCCGGAACGCTCGGGAGAATTCCGCGACGGCCCTGAGACCCAACAACCTGAGTCCTCGGCGGCTCCTTCGCAGCGTACGGCGCAGCACCGTTTGCACCCGCAACTGGATCGGGGTTCATCCAAGGCGATCCCTTGCCATCATTGTAGCTGAAAGCACCGGATGGAAGACCGGAGTAATCCGAGCGACGGTCCCGGGGAGGCGCCGGCGCAATTGGCTGCGGATAACTCTGAGCGCTGGACGCGGGAGGCAGCACGCTATGAGGAGGAGGGTAGGGTTGCGACGGCTGGGGTTGAGCCTGCGGGTTGGGATGGGAGAGGAACGATGACGGAGGCAGGCTACCCACGGTGGTGTGAGGCATGATAGGCGCGGCGGACGACGCGTAAACATCGTGAGTGGAAGCGGGATACCTCGACAGATCCGGCCGGTACGGCTGGCCCATGTAAGAGTGAGGGGCAGGAGATTGGCTGTGGTGAGGCTGTAGCGGGGGAAGGGTATGCGGCTGGGACACAGGATACTGAGGCTGCATGGTGTACTGAGGCATGGGCATGCTCGAGATGGGTGTCGAGGACAGAGGCGTGGAGCCCTGGGGTAGGCTGGTGGATGGGGGCCGTGAAGGATGAGATCTGGGATCCATCGTGACGCGGAGAGGCTGTCAAACACGGGAGGGGGAGGAGAATGAGAACGGGGTAGGAACTGGCGAAAGATTTCACGGTGTCTCGATCATTGATCGCAGAGCGAAAAAACCTTTCGTGGGTGTATGTCTTGCGACCAGGGCAGTGCTTCGTGGGAGCGAAAAGCTTGCCAATGCCACCTTGTTCGGATCCTAACCGCGTGCCTCGCAAAATTCTCCTGTCTGGAGTTGTGTGTTCGGTCCTTTCCGGCCCAGTCTTCTTGTCCTGACTTGTTCCGACGAAAGCGATTCTCCCACCTGATGCGGAGAATTGACAACTGAGATGCTCGGAAAGAGTAGGTTCGATAAGCAAATCGACGCTCAAGGATCCTCAAGGTCGACGATAGACGTGCAGGATTAAGTCGGACTCCACTGCAGAAAAGAAGTCAGGAAGAGGTCGAGATGCTTAATCTGAATTCCCCACGGTCACCCACCAGAAAATCGAATTGTGTGGGAACTTCTCACTATCCGCACGTTGTCAAAACAGTCAATGGTTCTGATCCACCAGGGAGGCGGCGTGCAAGTGGGTCTAACACAATCAGCAGTGCTAGAGGGAAAAATCGCTAGCCAATTTCTGCTTCGCGTCAACAATGCGCGCGAGATTGACCAGGATAATTCTGATGGGGAGATCTCAACTGCCAGGGACAACGCGTATAGATGCGGAGACCAGGGCGAAGGAGGAGGAAAAGTAAGGGGGAGGAGATTTAGAGGGAAAAAGAAAAGAATGATAAAATAAAATAAAAAAGGTTAGGAAAATTTGTTCCAGAGAGAGCACCCAAGGTAGCCGTCTCTTGGTAGTCACGGGAATGGAGGGAGGGAGGAGGGGGGGAAGGGGGGGCGACGAACGGCGGCGGCGGCACAAAGTTAAGTGGGCAAAAAAAAAAAAGGGAAGGGTAAAGAATATCGTCAGGATCGGAACAGTAAAAAGATGACACACTACCTACTAGTAAGGGAAAGGAGGAAAAAAGGTGGAAGAGCGAAAGGAATCACGACTAATTGAAGGTTAACTGGAGATTGGCGGTGACGATCCTAACTCTGGGAGGCGAACAACCATAAGGGAACAAAAAAAAAAATAAGAAAATGCGCGAAGAGGGAAAATAATAAAAATAAAATAGAAAATATTAGTTATTTTTATGATTATTAGCATGATTCTACTCAGTCAGCAACCCAACGTTTGGGACGGTTGCTGGTGCCGTTGACTTGATTCGTGCCTCACCCGGTTTCCGAAACCCAGTCAAGAGCCGAACAGGTCTGCATTTCACTGGACTATCCTACTTTTGTGTTCCTCGTTGCTTGACCCTCTGGGTAGAACGATGTTGAAAACGTTAACCAAGATCTCCGTCCACCGGTAGACTTTGCAGTACCTCTGGCTCTGGAATCTTAACCATGAGGAACGGTTCTGTAACTTTCTTCCGCCCAAAAGGACGGCAAATTCGGCTCAACAATCAGAACCCTTTCCGATGTAGACCGGAAGGGCAGGGAACCCTTCAAAACAACACGATCGATTTTGGTTGGCACCAGCGGCAAGCAGGGGAAAAAGTGATGAAAGGCGCTGTTCCGATCGACGATGCTGGTTGGTCATTTCGTCAATCCCATAATAATTTTTAATTATTCGGATTTCTTGGTCAGGCTTCCTCTGTGTCACAGATTGGGTTGGTTGGAGGCACATCGGGCGTGTACCGAAAGGCAATCCCCGATGTACTCGATGGTATCCTTGCCGCAGGCAGCTACGGAAAAGATACCTGGCAGGAACTTGTTGTTACCGGCTGTACAGCCTACCAATCAGAATTCGCCCAAGACCGGGCGGACGCAAGCGGAGAAGCGCATGAACTGTTCTAGGCCAAGCGTCAAGCATACTACGTAGAATTCTCTGTAGTTCAGAGTATTTGATCTAGCAAAGTATTTGAATATTCAGAACGGCGGAGGAGGATGTTCGAGGTCCGCGTTTCACCGTTACATAACTGCGAGAACGATACTTAATTCCGCACTTGTTGATTATGCGGCCAGAGAAGGAGGGCCGACGGCCAATACTAGGAATACTAGTAGTAAGGTACCAGCCCGGATGGAAGGATCAAAGGATAGATACAGCGCAACAAATCAGAGGCCTTGAGGACTCCTGCTGATGAGGGGTGGGAACTGGGAAGTCATCAATGGAGGGGCGGGAGGTCTAAAACTGCATGCCAGCCGTAGTGGGAGCTCCGGCTTACGCTCGCCGACCTTTGGACTCTAAAGCTTAGTGATCTGGACTTGCCTTATTGAGTAGGCACGGTATTCTGCCAGTACGCTCCTTGTTTTCTAACCACTCCGGTCGCGTTCGACTTTCCCTTCTCATCTTGGACCTGATCCTGAGACCTCGCATCGCCCTGGATGCAGCAGAATTTCTCTGAACTCCTGGAGTGTCGCGGCGTGGGAGTTGTCTCCCATGCTTGATGTCATGAGGCGGATGGACTTCTGCATCCCTTCTCCGCAGTTGACAGGCCCGCTTGCTCAATATTGGCTCCTCGGACGCTCAGTCCTCATGGCACATCCACAATCCCACATGAGTTAGGTAGGGGCACGAAACCTTATCAGAGTTATCATCTTTGTTCGAAGTGGAGTGGCATCCTGGCTTGAACCTGAGCTTCACGATTGGGAACAATGGTAGAGTTGCCCACTCGACTCCACGGCTGTCAATCTCGATCTTAGAAGTATATACTCCATGCTCCATCGTGTTTGACGTCCGATGGGGATCCTTATGGGGCCCTTCATCCTGCGTTCTCCATCATCATCCGTACTTATATCGAGCGGCTTGTCCACCTCTACCCCGGGCTTCCCATGTTCTTTGTTCCCCAGGCCACGGGCGGCAACAACCGATTCGTATCCAGCGACAGCGCCCCTGTCATCGAGAACCGAGTGCTTCGTACTCCGTACACTCGTCACCTTCTACACCACCTTGGATTTTCTAGCGGGTGTGACTGCAGGTGGTTTTTGGTGGTGTCACAAGAGACTCAACGGCTGAGCATGCATAGTGACGGTCACCCCAGTCGGCTGCGGTTTGCCTACTTGATATTACCCCGATTATGCTGCGCTCGCCTCGTACTATTAATTTGGACTTGCGTAAGCTGTGTTGGAAGGTTACCTACTAAAAGCAGGGTACGTATGTGTCTCCTGGACATCTTAATATTACAGGTCCGGCGTTCAGATCACCCAGGCCACCCTCCAATTCCCTGGAGATGAAAATCCCACGCCTTAAGAGGACAGTGATGTTCAGCGCAAAGTCACCACCACCACCACCACCAGAACTCCGGCCATTGATCGAACGCCTCAGGTATACACCATCTGCATGGAGCTTCTAGACTGCAACCCGCAAGCGTGGTACTTTTGCGTGTCGGGGAGTGGCAGAAACCCGGCCAATTGACAACATTATGAGGCCACGCACCTTGTTTCAACCATGCCACCCTAGCAGGTCTACTTTACGAATGACTATGCCTGAGAGCCGAGTAATATCATTTTTTCCAGACGTAACCCGTGGCTCGGCTGCGTATCCTTGCCACTTCCGACTGAAAGTATGATGGATCATAACCGACTCATTCCGGAGTCACTGCAGGCGTTGGATTCTCGAATTCTCGAATTCTCACCCCGGAATGGGACACCAGGGCGGCGAGACAAACATTCAATGCTCCATATGTGCAGCTGCAACAACACTTTGAATCACGATTCTTCATCAAAATGGGTCCTTGTTTAGGCTTCGAGTCCGCGGCTGTTCTCCACCAGGAGATTTTCGCTGGGAGCTTCTCCCGCTTCGATTGTGGACCTTGACCTCCTGCCGTAGGCGGGCGAGTGGAATCGCTGCAGTCGATGCTCCGTATTATATCCGACTATCTGATCTGACTATCCGGCAGGGGTCACAGCACCACCCGGTCCAATGCAGGTAAACATAAACTCAGGCTCAGCGAAGTGATATACTATACTTCCACGAAAGCGAATCGACGATGCATGACGGAATTCCGCGGATGAAAGATTCCGTCAATTGTAATGCGGAAGCCTATTTTGCCTTCTTGCCTGATGAGGCCTCGCTCTCGTGGCCACGGAGCGCTTCGGGAGCGCGAGAGGAGAAGGATGCCGTCATACACTGCCCGTACCATCCATACATACATACCGGGACGGGCTGGCTGGACGGAAGCGCGTTGGCCTCTGGAATCTGCCCTCCCCCCCCCGGCGGAATCTCCCATTGCCAACTGACACCAATACGAAGTGGTCCTATCACTATCGCGCTGGCATGTTTCTTGGAGATTCCGTACTATTATCGTTGAGGAATCGACTATATCGCTCAACCATCGTCCTCCCTTAGACCCGGTGGATTACGGTTCTGCAACATCTCGCCCGACTTGCCACTTACGCCGACGTTCCAAGGAACAGGCGCCCGCAGTTCTCGCGCCGGTCAGCATCCCAGCGATACGCCTTCCCCGACTAGGTAAGACCAGCATGATGCATCCAGTGGTAGCCTCCCGGTGCTACCCTGCACCTCGCCCAATGTGGCGGTCCGATCACGGCCGCCGGACTCCACCAGCGAAGCCGATGGCCCGCTCATGGAAACTTCTACGGAAGTGGCCAAGCAAGGCGGTGTGGGAGATCCAGGACCCAGTCGGACAGTGGCTGTCGTACGAGAGAATCCGCACTAGACGCTGTCGGTCCTTAGGCAGCGCATAGTCAGAGGTTAACACTTAACCGGGTGCTTAACGGGCATGGGTTAACGAGAAATTGTCCGACCGATCGCCGCCAGCTTGCTATCGTCTCAAAGCTTGGCTTCGCTTGTGAGACATTTACAGTGCTCTGCCTCCTGTACGGTGTCAGGCACGCAAGACGATTCGGGGAGCCATCTGGAGTATTCAGCTGCAATAGTAGCCCATACCCTACTCCATATGTTGTGTCGAATACCCCGTACTGACACGTACCTATATCGAATGGGGTGAAATTCCATATATAGATCCAGACACCGCCGTGTACTATCGACCCGAGTCTTTCAGCAAGCTACCATGTACATAGTATCTCTACTATGAACGACGTGGCAGGGATAAACAGGCACAATCAGCGTGGCTGGTCCGAGTCCAATCCCCAAACAGTGATAGCCAACAGACGCCGCGATAATAACATAATGATGATATAACAATAGAGCCTGACACGGACTAGTCCACACCACTAAAGTCCCTAGCCCTCAATGAAAAGCATCCCTACGGGCCTACAGAGAAGAAAAGAACTCAAAACGACCGCATGCAGATCCTCCCGCCGAATCCGGGACGGTCAGAGTCGGCCGGAAAGTTCCTCGGCACTTTTACCCTGCCAGGATGGTTTTTCCGGGCATGACCGGAGTAATGCCGAAGCCCAAGTCTGGATCGGCTCAGTTTCAGACCTCGCGTGCGAGCCAATCAACGCGGTATGGTTGGACGAGGCGAGAACGCCACCCACCTCATTCCACCTGATGCCAAGCAATGGACGCTCTTGCACTGGACTGTTGTTGTCGTTCGGTGTGTGCTGTGTGTGGCCTGAGCCTGCGCTCTTTCCCACCTATCTAGTAGTAGCGATGCGATGGACTTGGATCGCGTGGATGAAGTAATCATGATCATGTGCCTGAAATTTTGCCTGCCCTAGACTAGGTAGGTACCGAGGTACTAAGGACTGCCACTATGATACCTCTGCTACCTATCTAGATAGTACCTAGATAGGCTCCTAACCTGGGCAGTTTAGCTGGCACCATCATCAATCCTACCAGCCCATGCCCAAGTTGGCAGGAGCATAAGAACGCCTAGGATAGTTAATTGGGGTCTTATTGCAGATTCCAGCCTACGGAAATTGTTGGCGCTTGCACAGATTGCTCTGCTCGCCAGCCACCCAGACTAGGCAGGGACTATGCATCGTCGGGGAAGTCGTTCGATCGAATGATGTCCCCAGTCGGACATGGGGCACTGGTCGTCGATCCGAGTGTAGTCATCGAACCACGGTCTTGGATCCGACGAGGGCCCATGGCGATGCGATCGCATGTCCCTGTTGACTTTTGGATGATACGATGGCGGATCCTTGGAATGCTGGATGTATCTACCAGGGCCGCGTCATGTTGTTTCCGATTGTCTCGCCTCGCATATAGGATCCGGAGAGTGTGATATGTTCGACCGTCCGGAGGGCTACCCAGATCCGGAGCATTCAGGTGGCTATAGTACGAATGGGCCGATAATAAGATTAGAGTTCGTTGAGCGTAACGCCGTCACCACCACTCTTCAGATAGAGTATGTGGCTGCCTGAGGCGTGATCAGATAAATCACGAACCGCCCCAAATCTGCAGGGGTACCGAGTATGGAGTATGGAGGGACAGCTAGATACTACGGCGGACGGTCTACTACCTAGACAGTTACTACGTACTGACTACTGAGGACCGAGGGACTACTGTTTACCTTCTAACTGAGGGGGAGGGGAAGGTATCCATGATCGACGGAGACTCTGCCGGAAGAGCTCGTCTCCGACCCCGTCTCCGTCCCGCTCGGTGTCGTGTATAAGAATTTTGCCACCAGCGACAGCCACGCGGACCGGGCTTAGATAGATAGGCTTGGAATGGATTATGAGACCCTTCCAGAATAGGTATCTTCCACGGGCAACTGCCACTCCTGAATCCTGGTGGTATTTGATAGGTAAGCTTATTTCCAATCCTGCCACCATATCAATCCCAATAATAGGAACTTGTAATTGGGACGCTATCATCGCCGGGTGCCGGTGCATAATGCCGCATGATTGTTGAGAGGGGCAGGATGTAGCGAAAGCACGGAATAGCGCATCCACGGAACCTCGCCAAGTCTGCCAACCTCCTCAGTCCTCCCTCCCCTGTCAATTGTCAATCCTCAGCCAGGAGCCAACCCAACCCACGTAACTCGGTCAAGGACTCGTGCGCGGATAAGGAAGTGAGAGTATAACTCACACCAATATAAGGTTACCATAAGTAGTATGTATACAGTAATTTCGTAATGCGAGTCAATAATTCCTACACAGCCTACCCACTAACTTAACTAACCTCCTCATCCGACGGAATAATCCTTCATACCAAACAAATCGGTAGAACAGAGCAATCACACATGGACGATTTGCCGAGACACTGCCTACGGTAATCGGCGGTGAGTCTGCTTCCTTCCTTTCTCTACTTATCTACAGATACATCCATACATGAAACCAGTAATTGTCACTATACCTGAGTAGTCCTATCTATCTCCAAAGTATCAAGTACTACTCTCTGCATCGAACATGACAGGATGATCCAGTCGATAGTCCCAACAGCCCTACTGCCGTACCTGCAGGAGAAAATGACCCCTCCTTGCCCCATCCAGCCATTGTTACGATCCGACCGGATCAATTAGGTTAAGGCTTAAGCAGACGGAACCTCCGTAAGGGACAGGGGGAAGTCATTCGTTCGATCGGAGGGTGAGGTGGAGATGGTCGGGCGAGTGGGATGTGTGGATCGGTAGGGATTATGCTTGCTTGCTTGCTGTGCTATCTCTATCTATCTCTCTGTGACTGTCTCTGCTGTAGGAGGGGTACTATATAGATTCTTGTTAAGATTGTGTCTGTTTGTTGGTGGTGAGATCTGATATTTAGGGAGTATAAAATTCTAAGTCATAAAATACCATACCTGGCAGTACTCTTGCTTGGGCTTAACCATTCGATTATTCACTCGAGTACTACATACTAAATACTCATCCCTTCCCTATAGAACCCCCAAGTACTCCGTACACAGTAAATACTACCTATCTATAATTAAACCAACACCCTACCAAATCACCCAAATATCACATCCCAGCACCCAACAAAAATAACACAACCTATTAAATACTACCCCAACCCACCAACCAAGCATACTTACACACCTCCAAACCCCGAACCAATAGAATCCATACTACCTACATAGTACTTACTAGGTCCACGGTCCACGGTACTCCCAACTCCTCCTGCATATGACACATACCCATCCCCAACCCAAACACACACACCATCCAATCCTACCTACCTACCTACGCATCTGCACCTACCCTCCATACCTACCCATCCATTACTTATTTACGATATACATAAAAAAAAGTACTCAACCCACCTCACATGCACCGCCCCGTCCAGCCCACACCCCATGCAGCTTGCCTGCAGAGAAAAACCCCCTAACTCAGCCAATCAATCTCCATCCTTTCTGCAATGCAGCTGGTTTTGCATCGGGAGGTGGAAGGACTTCCCCGATGTACTTTAGTTATTTTTATTACTGTGGATGTGTGAGATGCACCTACTGTATGTAGGTAGGTATATGTGATGTATCTAGGCAGGTAGGTAGGTACTTTGGTTTGGATGGGGTGGTTTCATGTATGTATGTATGTGCAAGGATACTGCGTTGGTTAGTAAAGTGTTGGGGGTTGTTGTTATTGTCCGTGTATGTATGTATGTATGTGTGGGTGTGGACGGGGAAGCCGGGTCTACGTATTCCGGTTTGCGTACGGGGAACGGCGAACGGAGTATGGGGGGTGTAAGTGGTACCATGTACATATGCGATGTATATGTGCATGTGAGGTGTGGGTGGATGGGTGGGTTGGTGGTGTGATAGGTCGATTTGTTCTGCAGTTGTTTCGATGGGCTGGGGCTTGAAGAGAGGATGGATGGGGGGGTTGGATTGGGCTGATTCCTGTGTATCTATCTATTTGTAGAGTGAGGGTTGTTTGGGTGTAGTGAGGGAGGATGAGCTGGATTGGGGGGGAGAGGCGGGAGTGAAAGTAGAAGGAGTGAAGAGGGTTGAAGAGAAAGGTTGTGTTGGGTGATTGTGTTGGGGATTGATTGTGAGATATTGATGCATTTCTGGTATATAGGTTATTTCTCTGCTTGGGAGGTGGTCATGGTAGATGTGATACTGGGTGTAGGAATATAGTAGTAGAAATATCTTGTTAAAATGTAGGGTTGGAACACGTTGGTCGGGCTATATAGGTAATAGTCATCAATCCATAAATATAATGGCAGGGTCCAGCAAACTGCTGCCATTCGATTAAGTATTCACAAGGTACTATGTATATATGGCTATATCCAACTAAAACACAGCATTAAAAGCACAGCACACGGCCAAGACTACCTTGTAGACGCCTTGCTCGATGTATCTTGCCCTGCATCATCATCTCCGCCCACGCCGTCGATGCCGTCAATAACAGACGCCTCCTCCACAGTATGAATTGCATGCTCCACGTTCACCTTCGGTCCCTTGAACCATTTGTGTGCATCCACAAACCACCAGATAGTCACCCCCAGCATCGGTGCCCCCCAGACCAGACACGTCCAGTTCATCAGATCTGGCGTCAGATCAGACCCCGTGACGCTGGGCAGGCACAGCACGGGCACCATAAGAAGCACGAACGCCACACCCATTCCTCCGATCCATGGTCCGAAAGGGCCCAGATGCCATGGGCCCTTGCGGAATCGGTGTCCCACGAAGAACACCCGAATCGCGATGGGAACGGCGAAGGCGACGAATTGGGCGATACCTCCAATCGAGAACAACGCTCCAATGGCAACATCGCCAGCCAGGATTAGCAGACACATGAGGATTCCTAGAACGCCGTTGAGGATCACCGCGTTGACAGGGGTCTGGGTGCGCGAGTTGACCATCTTCCAGTATTTTGATAGAGGGAAGCAGTCATCTCGCGCGTAGGCGTACGTTACTCGTGATGCGGCCACCATGCAGCCTTGTCCCATGGAGAACCCGCTGATGATGGTCAGTGACAAAATGGCGAGGGCGGTCTTACGCGGCATGACCTGCAGCAAGTACGAGGCCCAGGGTTGGCCCAGATCCGAATTGATGACCGCATTGATATCAGTGACGGTGTAGGCGACGACGAGCTGCAGGAACCAACCCAACAGGCCTCCCACGCCGGAGGTCATCACAATCGCACGCGGCGAGGCGATATTGGCGTTGGAGCATTCCTCGCTCAGGTGGAAGGGCGAATCGTAGCCGGACATGGTCCAGATGACTCCGACAAAGGTCATCAGCACGGCAACGCCGTCGGGGAAGTCGGTGAGGTTGGTGATGGTACCCCAGACTTCCTTGGACGAGGTGAATTTGGGCTCGTTGGTAGTTCCGGCAGGGATGGCGATGAGGGCCACGATGAGGGCAAGCATGTTAAACGTTGAGCCCCACGAATTGACGCGCGCAACCCATATGGTGGGCATGCTGCTGATCGCCGTATGGATGACCATGACGAGCGTTGTCAGGAGGTAGACCTGCCAATTTGTCGGGACATAGTCCGGATTCTGTATCGACGCAGCGGCGAGAATCATTGCAGAGAGCGCATAGTCCACAGACGGCGCTGCGGTAATCTGCCCGATCCAATTGGACCAACCGGTAATCCACGCGGCAAAGGGCCCGTATTTTGGAGGGGCAAGAACTGCTGCAGCGTAGTAAAGCCCACCACTGGCAGAGGTCAGTTTCTTGCGCATATTGTGGGCGTTGGAATATCACCGACCTCGTAGGCATCGCAGAGCATAGCTCCGCCATGGACATTGCAATACATTGGATGAAGATCATCGCAATGATCCAGCCCCAGACCATACCGGCAGTCCCTGCATAGCCCATTCCTTTGTGGACGTCAGCCCTACCCGTCACGTCCATGGGTCCAGGAACAGCTACCGTAGTATATCGTGCTTGCAAACGATGGAAGCAGCCCCAACACCGAAAAACTAACGCAGAAAGTCGTCCACAGCGAGAACTCGCGCTTGAACTCTTGCTTATATCCCAGGGCCACAATCACCCTTTCGTCCGCGTCCATCTCATGGTCGACAAAGGGGATGTCGCCTTGCGGCAGGACGGTCGTGACGGGTTCATGGTCGATGTCGGTGTATACTGCTCCTTTGGGAATGACCTTGTGGCTGCTCGCACCAGACATGGTGGCAGCAGGATGCAAAAGGCAGTAGGCAGTAGGGATGGAGTGCGGCGGATCCCAAGAGGTAAGGGTAGCGGGGCGTCCAGTGGCGTGAAGGGAAAGAAAAAGCAAGCAAGACTATTATGCAGCACCCGTAAACTCAAGCTCACAACCTCATGAACTATTCCTGAATAGAATGATCTATGGTAGGGGAAACCCGCAGAGACAGTTGGGTAGAAGACAAGACATGTTGACTGCGCGGTAAACGGGGTCATGCGCTGGTACATATATGGGGTGGTTCGGAATATAAGACAGTCATCTTATCTGCACGGGGTTCATAGGATCCTGCAAGACGGGAGTACCGATAGCAACGGCACTGAGTAACATGTAGGTGGAACATGATAAACGCCTTCAAAAGTTAAGATGCCCTATCTAGCTGGGCACAAGGGAAGCGGGGATCAGACGCCGATACGCTTGGCAGCTGGTCACGATCTCACTGGATGGTCGGAAGGGAAGGAAACGGAATACTCGCCTGCAGCTAGCCAGCAGTACGAGGGGTCCGGTTCGCCAGGAAGGGGAATGAGATAGGGAGCAGCTCCTTGCTGGCCAGAGACTCGAAGCTTGACGTGCAGGCCATACTTGGCTGGGAAACTCTAGGCGGTTGAAACGAAGCAGAACTCGGGGAAGCTTTCAAATCGACGCTAAGGCGATGACCGAGAAGCTGGGGAATTCATCCAAATGGCTCATCGGGACATTGGTTGGCTATAGGTGCTGGTCTGGCGGATGATAAGCTCGAGCAGATATCAAGTTGCTGCCCACGGGTGGGAGATAAGACGAGCACTGGCGATGATCGGAAATAAGACCTAGTGGCCAAGAACCATTGGCTTGTTTCGAGCGAGTCGGTCGGAATTGATTTGCCAGGCTATACCTGCCCTTGTGAGAGTAGCGGGTTGGAGTATTCCTCTTCAAAGTTGTCGTGTTGCTACTCCGTACAGTGTGATACTATGATCCCGTTGTTGTTTCCTAGACAGAATACACCCCGCATCAGCACTCGCATACAACATGCATAGAGATCATGGTTTCCCACCCTGCACAACCACCATTGACTTACCTGTCTCTCATTGATCTATTTGAGGACAGTCCAGACCCCGAACGGATTGCCCATACGCTATGACAAACATTCCATTCTGAGCGCGGGTATCCATAATAGTAATAGCCTTGTCAACTATCCGGCATTGGGTTGTCAACGGAGCTCGAGGAATCGCCCTCACCGGATCATCCATAACCAGCCATTTGGAGACACGTGAGAGCACCGAGACAAGATATAGTACCGGAATTTAGAAGTAGATGCATCTGAACCATAAACTCCATGCTCAAATTCAAACCTTGCATCACAGCGAATCGTGAAGTCCGTCCTAATGTGACGCCGGAGGGCTGGACCTGTGCTGCCGAGCACATGAGTGGTTGCTGCACAAGCAGCTCATGTGTAGTAGTTGAACGCCACGTTCCGGTGGTCCCGTACCAGTGGTAGAGGTGTTAGATCTGCACTTGCCTTCGACTGTTTCTCGCCAAGTGGACGTTAAGAATCCTCCATGCCGGCGTAAAGCATTCCCTTGAGGATTTAAATGTATCTCCATTGCAATACCATGGGAGGGTGTATATGTAACGAAGATGTCGTAAAGTCTAGTCAAAGGCTGGGGAGAAGAGAAAGATGAACAGTCCCACCAAGGCGGGGACACTGTTATGACCCGACGCCGTTAAGGCATGTCTTCACTTATGTCTTGTTGACACCACACCCCTCACCATCGATTATTGGATCCCTGCTAAATACGGAGACACAGCGCCTATGGTTACTGAGGAATAGATGAAGCAGCCAGTATCTATGTGCTATCAGAAACTCATCGCTATTCTACACGTACAGCACCGTCTTTCTTCACCATCTATCCGATGTGGCATATCCATGTATGTGGAGTCTTGTAGATGGTCGGAAAAGCATATCCCATACGGCACCAGTTTAGAAGGGCTAGACTATAGTTAGCATCACAGTCCCCTGGATTCCTGCGGCAACCAGAACGGTATAGTTCAATAGCACTTACGTTGTCCTCAGGAGCGATCGTGCGGTCGAAGTACTCGTCGAGGAAGGGAACCTTCTGGAGGATGTCACGGCGGACACGGGGGATTTCGCCGAAGAAGAAGAGGGCGAAAGTACCAGCGGCGACACCGAAGGTGCTGGCAATGGTAGCGCTGTGTGCCCAAAGTTATAAGCATGCCTGCATGAAGCCAGAGGCGAGAGGTAACCGGCTGACAAAAGGGTGATACTTACTACTTGGTGGCAGTACCGGTGGTCAGGCCGTGCCAGTGAAGGGGAGTGTAGTACCTGATTTTATCCAGTCAGCGATGATCCTCCTTCACACTGTTTGCATCCCCGGTCTCAATTGGTGTTTTAACTAGCTGGATCTAGAGGTCCTATCGGAGGCAGATTATGTTGACAGCAGGCGATTCCATCAGCCCGCAATGCCAGACATTTATGAGCGAGAGCCCTGCCAGATTGACCCAATCCAAGCCAGCGCGGACACCTCATTCGAATTCCGTAGGTTGAGCAAAGACTATTATATCGGGGAGTCTCACTTGGGAGCGAAAGGGGAGCGGTAAGCAGCGGCGTTCTGGGCCGCGGCGCGGCGGAGAGTCTGAGAGAAAACCTATTCACAAGATGATGAGATTAGCACCAATACACTTCTTCCCAACCATGCCCATGCCCTTGTCATATGGAAAGCGGTTGCCGACGCGATTGAACAGAGTACAAGGCCTGAGAAACCGGACGGGATGCCAGCATGATGATACTAGGCAAAAGAGCTCTGGAAAAATACACACCATATTGTCTGAGTCTTAAGAAGCACGTCCGGCAACGACAATTGCTCCAGCAAACGATGACGGCAGCTACACTGGGGAGTCTGAGGCAGTCGACGAAAACCGGGAGACTCCGCGACGTTGAGTGCTTGCGGCTTCCGACAGCCAATCAGCGACTGGCAATTGATACCCACGTGACTTGACCCGTGGTCGAATAAGATGCCGCGTATTTCCACTTCTCATGCCATCACCTAATCAGACAACTTAGTATACGGAGGGATACTGGAAGGCAGATAACAAGCAGCAACGCAAACTCCCATGGAACCGAGAATTAAGCTACTGCTATATCATACAATCAGCGTAGTGTTTCTGATAAAGTTCATCAGTAGCAGTTGGACTACAGTAGTAAAGCCGACAGTAACCCGCAATGCAAGCTTGCGAGTCCAAGCCCTAAGAAAGTACCGACACGTTAAGCACACTTTTTTCTCTTCTGCGTATGGTTGACAGGGGAGAATGGAAGGATCAAAGTAGATTGTGTACAGCAAGGCCTGTTTCTAACACCACTCGAAAGAGGAAAACAGAAGAAAGGATAAGAGAGAGCCGTCGTATCAAGAAACCAGACTCTGGTGAATGTAAAACAAACCAATAAAAGTTGAAGATAGACACGAAATTAGGGGCGAGGAAGAAATATAAATGATGTAACTGTACAATACCCCTAACAGACTCAATCTACCTTGCCCGTCGAACCACCATTCAGAAGACCTTCCTTTCCATCAAGATTGAAGAAACCACCGCCAGTGTTACCAGTGACGCCGAGAATGCCGCCACGGCCCCCACGTCTAGCAGCTCTTCCCCGGGCCAGGAATGTGGCTCCAGCAACCGAGAGGGTCAGTAGGATGAAGAAAATTATCGGGTGACCACTGATGAAAGACCGAGTGAAGAAGAAGACAGACTCGAAGGTACCCACGGTGGACTTCGGTGTAAGCTTCGGTGGGTTTGCGATGACCAAGGGAATGGTCTCAAGGATAGAAGTCCGGGAGGCCATGATGGATGCCCCGCTGGAAGACGTATCCCAATAGCGTCGGTTCTATAGAGGTCAGCTTCAAAAACTCACCAGGTGATACTCAGCCTTCTGCAGTCACTTACATCTTGGTCATTGATAATCACGCGTTCGCCATTCTCGACATCGATACCATAAGTGGTTCTCAGCCACCGCTCCCAGAAATCACCATCGATCCAAGCGAAACCGACCTGTTTCTTGTCATCTTCACGGATGGTGATGCGCATGTTCTTGGCTGCACGTAGGGCACGCTGGTCGTTACGGTCTTCGGCCTCCTCGATCCGCAGCTGCTTGGCATCGCGCAGCTCTGCACGCTCCAACTGGAACAGCTGCGTCTGCTTGTCCATCCATTCGAGGGCAGCATTCTTGAGCTCCCTCTTGGATTGCAAAAACTCATCTGAGTGCTTTCGACTCAGAATACCAAGAACCACGTACTTGCCGTCCATGATCTCCTGTGCGTTGGAGGCGGTGAGTTCGGGAACAATGGGCAGCCACACAGTGCGCATCCAGTTCAGAATCTGGCGAAAGTCTCGCATGTCCTTCGGAGCAAGCGCATTATAGTAACTGGGACGGCTATCCCGGGACACAAGAAGGCGTGGCCAGGTCGAGATCTTGAACCTTTCAGCAAGAGCAGCGCTGTTCGTTTTGACAAGCCTAGCATGGCCGACCAAGCTAAGGGTCAGACGCTCCAGAGCTTCAAAGTCTTCCGAGGTGGTCGCGTGATCATAAAAGTACAGGAAGATGACGTCTTCTTTCTCTTCCAACTCCTTGAAAGTGGTGGCATCGACATCCTGAACACCGGATCCCACATCAACAGCCGTCTTGGCATAGCTGATTAGATCTCCGAGGCCACGCAGACCAGTATATTCAACTCTTTCACCGCCACGGAAGAAATACATCGTCGGGAAGGCGCTAACTCGGGCATCTTTGCAAAGCCGGGATTCCACATCACAGTTCACCTCTCCAACGTTGAGAACACCTTGCATCTCCTTGGCCATTTCCCTCCAGTTAGGAGCCAATGCCTGACAGTGGTGGCACCATGGCGCATAGAACTTGATGAACCAAGGGTCTCGAGTGGTAGTGACAAGCTTCTGGAAGCTTTCCGCGGTGAGGGGGACAGAAATACCCTGAGGGTTTGCGGGGGCCGGCTTCGCTTTGGGCTTAGATTTGGATGACGTCTTATCAGCGGGTTCATCTTCGACGGTCAGTTGCGCAGCCTGCTCGTTGTGTTTCTCTCCAGCCTTGGCACCCGCCTCACGATCCTTATCCTTAGCAACAGGGGTGTCCGGCTCAGCCTTGGTATCCACCCCCTTGTCGCCCGGCTTGGGAAGATTCAGGCCTTGCGCAGGCCGAGACCCAGGCTTGATCTGCTCCAGCTTGTCCTCAACATATTCGCTGAGCCCTTCCATACTTTTCTTTCCAGTGTACTGCTCAACCAGTTCACCGTTGTGGTATAGGGCAAACGTGGGGAAATACTTGACGTCAAGTTTCCGGCAGAGATCGCCATGCGCAAGACAGTTCATCTCCGCAAAGTGGAAGTTATAGAAGCCATGGAAAGAGTTCAAGGAATCGGTATCGGGCGACTTGGACGATGACGAAGACAAAGGGTTGGAAGTCTAGTGGACGTCAGGCAAGGTTAATGACGAACAACTCTCGTACTCTATGGTAGAAGCCGACTCACGTAGTAATATTCATACAAGGTCTGCCATGTAGGAGCGATCTTTTGGCAGTGCGGGCATGATGGAGAGTATTGTTTCACAAACCTGGTTACTTGTCAGCTTTCGGGGGAGGATTTAGGAAAATGATACGAAGAGAATGCTTACCAGTAACCGTCCTTGACCGTTTCCTCAAAGTTATCAGGTCCCAAGGCCTTAATCGGCGGAACCTCGATGCCATTGAAGGTGGTTGACTGTAACTCCGACTTCGCGTCGGAAGGCCCGTCTCTCTTTACGAGGTGATGGCTCGGAGAGACATCATTAGATGGGGCGGCTAAGGTCGGAATAGAGACGAGAGAGAGAAGGGACCACGCCAGCAAAGAAACCCTCATGCTGGCTGCAGTGCAAGGTCTGGAACCTTGAATGTATAACTAAAAGAAAGACGGTTGAATGGGGAAAGGAGCCGTCGAATAAGTCAGGAGCGGGCGTCACAGGTGGCACATTGGACTAACGACGGTCTAGAATCGCCCAGAGACGCGCTGAAAGAGCCCCTTGGTGGAGAGATCAGCCAGTCGGTTGCTTAGAAGATGAACCGGGCGCAGAGACTGCTGCGGAGAGATCCGCAGGCCCTCAAAGTGCAGGAAGGACAAACGTGTGGGAGAGAAGGAGATGCCACCCCTACAGGGACGATAAGCCGGCCAGGTGGTGGAGGCACTCAAGGAACCGCAGAGGACCGGCGCAACGGTTTCTCCGGGACCCGACGGGACCTCAACCCTTCGCGCATTCATCCCGATCGAGTGTGCTATCCTGACGACCGACGAGCTGATCCGTCCCCGCTTACCGTCTGCCATTGGGTTTGTCACCACTGGTCCTTTCGCCCAATCACACATCCTCCGATCATAATGAGGTCTACATTCAGGTTGCTGGCCAACGTCAAGCCGGCTCGGTACTTGGAGCCTTTCGCTCCCACCGGCTTGACCGGCCTCGTCACTCACCCTAGCCCTCGCCCGACCCTGATCTTCCTTTACACATCCACCCTGGAGAAGCTGAAGGCTTTCCCCGAGTCTTCCGTCTACCGCCAGTCTACCGAGGCTTTGACCCGCCACCGCCTACAGATCGTCGAGTCTACGAAGCCGCCCGGATTCGATGCTTGGTTAGAGCGTGCGAAGAAGGCCGTGGCTGCTGAACCCGAGCGCTTCGCTTCTCTTCGCCGTTCCGACGGTTCATATGCGGCCTTTCAGCGGGATGATGGATCCGACAACCCTCGTGGTGAGGAATGGGATGGAGAGAGCATCGAGCCGACCTCTGAGGGTCCTGCTCGCACAGCGGAGGAAGAAGCCCGGTGGCACCAGGCCATTGAGGAATCTACTAAGCCCGGGGCCGATGCAGCAGCAGATTTCTATCTTAACGATATGAAGTGGGAGAATGAACCCGCCCTGGAGGCTGAGCAGTATGTGGCAGCATCCCTTATATATCGCGTTGCTGTGGCGGTGTTGACAGTTTACTTTTAGGGTTGCCGAAATCGAGAAACAGATTGGCGCTGGCCTCATCGAGGAGGTTATCCAAGTTGCAGAGGGCGAGTTGAAGGTCGTTGACGAGCTGTACAAGTCTGGAGCGTAAGTTGACTGATTGATATGCTTGATGATATAGACAGAGATGCTAACATTTGCTCAGGTGGGAGGAGCTCGAGGAGAAGGCCAGACCTGGCCAGTGGTCCTACTTTGAGCGCCAGACAGAGTAAGCATAGAATGTTGCTCTCATGAATGGAGGATTTGAAACTAGATCCCGACCCGCCTGTAATTATTAGTTCATGTGTGAAACAAAAATGGTTGTCAACCTTAGGCCAACAATTTTCATGACGGTTTATCACTTTACCTGCAGCAATGATCGTGATATCTGCTTGCATGGATCCCGTGGGAGCTACGGACCTGGCACGACAGATGGATGAGATACGTGGAATGCTTCGTATAAACCCCCCTCCCCATAACACGTATGGCTTCCACATCCACGGAACTTCTGTACTGTCCCATTGTGAATCCATCCTTCGCCCCATGTATCTATGGTGGACATCGCATCGAGTGCTGAGACCAGCTGGGATGTATGGAATCAGAAGCGTAGGCGGTGAGCCCCATGTGGCTAGCCGATTGCAGATAGCTGGCGGGATTCCGTCTCCTTGTGGACACATCGCTGCCAGTCCCTGAACATCTGCATTGACCTTGCTGGCCATTCCGGTCAGGGACTTTCCTTCTTCTCTCTGCGATCTTATCCAGCCTCTCCTCGGGAATCCTTTCCATACACGGGTGGCTGTTTGAGCGGCTCGTGGCCTGGTTTCCCCTCCTTCTCATTGCCCGTTCTCCGACGCCGCACATAGTCGCGACTCTCCTTCCCCACACAACATGAAATTGGATGTCAAGGTACGAGCTGTGTTGCGGAGATAAGGTGCCCCTGCTCGGTGAGGGGCTGTAGTTGGGGATATATACCTGCGAACAATGACAAGATGCTGATTGTTGCTGTGTCCTACAGAGACAGCTGTTCGCCCGCTCGGAGCGGGTGAAGGGCATTGATTTCCATCCCACAGAGCCATGGGTGAGTACCCAATCGTCCCCGGTTCGTTGATTGATACTAATCTGTCATAGATTCTCACGACGTTATATAGCGGTGCGTTGAGGATTTGAGCCATCGGGTTGAATGCGCTAATTGGACACACAGGTCATGTATACATCTGGTCTTATGAGACCCAGGTGAGCTGTCCAGAGACAAACCAACCATGATACACTGCTAATCACTAATATATCTAGTCAATTATCAAAACATTCGAACTCACTGATGTTCCTGTACGAGCCGGTCGGTTTATCGCTCGCAAAAACTGGATCGTCTGCGGATCCGACGACTTCCAACTTCGCGTCTACAATTACAATACCTCCGAGAAGATCGCCTCGTTTGAGGCTCACCCAGATTACATTCGTTCTATTGCAGTGCACCCCACTCAACCCTTCGTTCTTACAGCGTCCGATGATATGACGATCAAGCTCTGGGACTGGGAGAAGGGCTGGAAGTGTGTCCAGGTGTACGAAGGCCATAGTCACTATGTGATGGGACTATCGATCAACCCTAAAGATACGAACACCTTCGCATCTGCTTGCTTGGACCGCACCGTCAAGATCTGGAGTCTTGGCTCACCGCACGCCAACTTCACCCTGGAGGCCCATGAAACTAAGGGCGTGAACCATGTCGACTACTATCCCCAAGCGGATAAGCCATACCTTCTCACGACATCAGATGACAGGACTGTCAAGATCTGGGATTACACGACGAAGGCGCTTATTGCAACCCTGGAAGGACATACGAGTAACGTTTCGTTTGCCTGTTATCACCCGGAATTGCCGGTTATCATCTCTGGATCGGAGGATGGAACCATCAAGATCTGGCATGCGAATACATACCGGTTGGAGCAGTCGCTAAGCTACGGTTTGGAACGCGCCTGGTGTATCGCCTATCAGCGTGGCAGGCAGGGGGTTGCGATGGGTTTCGACGATGGTGCGGTGGTTGTGAAGATGGGCCGGGAGGAGCCGGCCGTTTCAATGGACGGATCTGGCAAGGTCATTTGGGCCAGACACAACGAGGTTGTCTCTACTGTCATCAAGGGTGGTGATGCTAGCATCAAGGATGGAGCTCCACTGTCTTTGCCCACTAAGGAGTTGGGATCTTGTGAGGTCTATCCCCAGACGTTGTCTCACTCCCCCAACGGGCGTTTCGTTTCGGTATGTGGTGATGGCGAGTATATCATCTACACTGCCCTTGCCTGGAGGAACAAAGCTTTTGGACAGGCGTTGGACTTCGCATGGGGTTCCAAGGACAACAGCAACGACTACGCTATTAGAGAGTCCACCACCAGCGTCAAGATCTTCAAGAACTTCAAGGAAGTGAGCGGTGGCCTGGACGTTGGCTTCCAAGCCGAGGGGCTTACCGATGGTGTGCTTCTTGGTGTTAAGGGACAAGGAGGTATTGGCATGTTCGACTGGGAGACAGGTAACTTGGTCCGACGCATTGAAGTCGACCCGAAGGCCGTAAGTGTGCCCATCCACGGCGAAACCAGGTGGCTTCTCGCTAACAAACCGAACAGGTCTACTGGTCCGAGTCTGGCGAGCTGGTAACCCTTGCCTGTGAGGATACTTTCTACGTTCTTCGCTTTTCCAGGGAGAACTACATCAATGGTCTCAACGCTGGTGAGGCCGATGAGGATGGTGTGGAGTCCGCTTTCGAGGTTGTCACCGACATCAACGAGTCCGTTCGGACAGGTCAATGGGTTGGAGACTGCTTCATCTACACTAATTCGACGAACCGCCTGAACTACCTCGTCGGCGACCAGACCTACACCATCTCCCACTTTGACCAGGGGACGTATGTCCTGGGTTACCTGCCCCGCGATGGCAGAGTCTACCTGGCTGACAAGGACGTCAACGTCGTATCTTTCGGCCTCTCTCTCAGCATGGTCGAATATCAGACCGTGGTTCTGCGTGGAGACATGGACATGGCGGCTGAGCTGCTCAAGGATGTCCCCCAGGATCAGATGAACAAGGTTGCGCGATTCCTTGAAGGCCAGGGTTATAAAGAAATGGCCCTCGAGGTGGCGACTGACCAGGAGCACCGGTTCGAGCTGGCACTCGGGCTCAACAACCTCGACATCGCCCTGGAGATTGCCCGCGAAGCCAATGTCGAGCACAAGTGGAAGATTGTCGGAGATGCCGCCCTGGCAGGATGGAACCTGGCCCTGGCCCAGGAATGCTTCACCAACGCCAAGGATGTTGGCTCGCTCCTCCTTCTGCAGACCGCCAGCGGTAACAAGGATGGTCTGCGCCAGCTGGCCGAGCAAGCCTCGGAATCCGGTCTCCACAACGTCGCCTTTTCCACCTTCTGGTCCATGGGCGATATCGACGGTTGCATCGATCTCCTAGTGCGTACCAACCGTCTGGCGGAATCTGTCCTCTTTGCACAGACCTACAAGCCTTCCCGTGCCCCTGCACTCGTCGCGCAATGGAAGGAGTCTTTAGAGGGCTCCGGAAAAACCAAGATTGCCCGTCTCATTGGTATTCCTCCGGGTTGCCCTGACATCGCCGCGGACGATGACCTCTTCCCAGAGTGGGATGAGTATATCCGTCTCGAGAAGGAAGGAGTGGTGGTCCCTGAGCCTCCGTCATTAGAGTCCCTGATTGATGTAAATGCGGATGAGGAAGATGCCGAGTCGGCAGCCAATGGCGACGAGCCTGAGGAGGAGGTCGAGGAAGCTGAGGAGGCCGAGGAGACCGAAGCGTGATCAAAGTGAAAGAGCTGACGTGATGTGATTGAAGTGGAGGCTTTCATTAATTCTGCAGGAGTGAAGAGGAAAATCATTTCGTGTATTGTTGGCACGGTTCTCAACCTGGCTTGCTTGGGGTACCTATCTATCTCCTTACATAACTTTATCTTCTAGAACTGTTTGCGTTATTCTTCTTCTACATTGCTCGTCTGTTATGATTCAATCTTATGTTTTTTTTTTCTTGACCCAGCTTTTGAGACTCCTTGAACACTTTGATCTGTATCTTTTTTCCAGTTCTCTCGACCTGTAACTATCACCCTGTTTGAACGATTTGAAGTGATGATCATCCAAGCACTCTCCTATTCCTTCAGACAGTTTAACGAGTCCCCGCACGAGATGGTTGGAATGTGTACAGTTATAGTCTCCATGAGAAAGAGTGATTCAGATGTAGATAATTCCATTGTCTATGAGCCAGCCATGTCAATCAACACCCTTACCATCAACTGCCTGAAGCCGTCCCAGCGCGCGCAGAAGCACCCACGAAATGTGAACAGTAACATAAAGGAAACAGCTAAGTAAAAGGTCTAAATCAGGACCGCTCAAATGTGTACTTTGATATGTAAATCGACCCAAATGGATTCAGCTTCCCCAGAAGCAATCCGTGTTCCGCCGAAGCAGGGGAGGATCGGACAGCAGATCAGAAACAGGACGGACGGACCGGTTCCCCAGGCATTTGGAGGCCATAAGCAGACTCTGCTGGATGCGTGCCATCATCCTAACCTTCGGAGATCGAAGCAAATCACTGGTGCAAGCCCGAGACAAATTGGTAAATGACACGGCAGTCAAAAAGAGGTGGTAATGACAGGATATGAGAAATGCACGAAAGGGACCTGCCTCATTGTACCTCAGATGCAAAACAAGGTAGAAAAACACAAGCGCTCAGCCGAGATCACCGCCACAGAGAACGGATTCCAACAGAAAGATACCGTATACCCCTGGTGCTTGTAGGGATAAGGAGAGCCAGCAATGAAGCAAGTGCTCGAGCTATGCAAAGAATATGCACGAGGAGTAAAGGTGAGATGCAAAGAAATTGTCTCAAACAACTTCCCTTTATGTCTTGAAAGAGCATATTGTTGCTCAAGTCAACTGACAACATACCACTTTCTTACTCAGTGATGCTACCAAAAGATGGGTCCTTCACACTGCCACCAGCATCCCCGAGGCCGGCAACTGGCCGGTTATAGGACCAGCCTTCGAACTGTTGCTGCATAGTCTGCGACAGGACTGGTCCGTCCACATATGAATCTTGTGGGGCTTCGCTGGTGAACTCCCGGTCAAAGTTGGTAATGTCGCGAGCGCCCATCTGCACATGTTAGTAATCTTCATCACGAAGGAAACTATATCAGAATAATTGCATACCACGTTCGGACGGAAGCTTGGCTCGTACTTCCTCTGAAGCAGCTTGCGCCAATCAATGTTGGCGAAGAAGTGATGCGACTTGATCTCCGCTGCACCGTTGGCTCCCAACCGACGTTGTGGGTCGCGGTCAAGCAGTCGGGTCAGCAGATCGCGAGCGGCCGGGGGAACGATGTCGGTACTGGGGAAGGTCAGGGGCTCCTGAAGGATCTTCCGGTACATATCGTTGGTGTTCTCATCATAGAACGGGGGAAGGCCTGTGAGCATCTCATAAAGGAGAACACCCAGCGTCCACCAATCAACGGTCTTTGTGTACCCATTTCCGAGCAGAAGTTCGGGTGCAAGGTATTCAGGGGTGCCACAGAAAGCTGCCCAAAATGTTAGAAATGTCAAATCAGAATGATTCAAGTGTCTTACTGTTTGTCCGGTCTTCATCCTTCATGTCCAGTTTGCACAGACCGAAGTCACAAAGAGCAATGTGGCCAGTGTAATCCAAGAGGATGTTCTCCGGCTTGAGATCACGGTAGATGACCTTGAAGCCATGCAGACACTCCAGTGCACAGAGCAGCTCAGCAGTATAGAAACGGGCACGGTTGATATCGAAGCGCTGCTCGCGCTGAAGGTGGTGGAACAACTCACCGCCGTTTACGAATGCGAGAACGAGGTACAACTTCTCCGGGGACTGGAAGGAAAACTTCAGGGGGACAATGAAGGGGTTGTTGATCTGAGAAAGCACGGATCTTTCAGCAAGGGTGTGGGTGACTTCCGACCGTGAGATAATGTGCGCTTTGCGGATAGTCTTGAGGGCGTAGATTCGACCCGTATCCTTCTTCATGACCTGCATGACCTTGCCGAAACTACCCTTACCCACCACCTTTAGCAAATCGAAGTCCTCCAGCTTCATGCTGCGTTGCTTATTCTCGACGAACGAGACACCGATCTTGATGGAGCCGGTGCCGAACTGAAGATCTAGCCATTCGGCGCCAAGCTGGCCCAGCTGGCGCTCTTGTGGCGCCTTCTTAGACTTGGGGTCTTCCGCATGTAGCTGGGCCTCTTCGAAGCGGGGTTGCACCTTGACAGCTCCAAGGAAGATATCCTCGCTGCGACCAGCACCGGGCCGGGCTGCCGGGTTCCGGAGATAAAGCTGAACATTCAATTCCGTCTTGCGCGACACGTCAAATTTATAAGCGGTGTTGTCTCCGGCCCACAGGGGATTCTCGGGCGACCCTGAAACGGCGTCGACGAAGACTTGGTTCTTCTCAAAATCCAAAAGTGCGTAGGGAAGGTACTTGGTCGAATACCGACCGTGAATGGTGGGAGCGGCATTGATCCCTCCACTGGTCGACTGAGGACGGCCGCTTTGTACGAAGGAGGCGGCCTGGCCGTGCGCGGAGTGGGATGACGAGGAGCTTGGACGCATGCCATATGAACTGTTGGTTTGGAAATGCGAGTTGAAGATCTGTTGGTAATGAGGGGAAAGGGAGAAGCTTCGCCCTTCGTGGAGGGTGACGATCAAGATCCCGGGCTTGACAGGGGCCACGGGCGGCGAGACGAGCGACTCCGAGGCATCTTTGCGAAAGTTAGACGGTCGGCAGAGGGGGAAAGGGACAAGACGAAAGAACATACTGATTCCATTGGAGTTGGTTGTAGAGATGCTCGGGGGTTGCGAGACAACAGGGGTTTCTTCGCCAGAATCACCTTTGATGGTAGATGTGGAGGAGGATCGGGTGAACGTTTGGGTCAAAGGAGCAAGGTGCGTCTCCTTAAGTTCTGTATGAGGGATTAATTAGCACCCAGTATGCAGGACAAAGGAACCACCGGGAATGGACAGTACGTACTTCTAGTGAGTTTCCACGACATTGTAACGGTGGTTAAGTAGAAGTATCCAGGACGTAGGAGGGAGAGTGAGGGGGAGTAGCAGGAAGAAGATCAGTCTGTTTTGTGACAGACGATTTAAAAAAGAGAAAAGGAGAGAAATAGGAGGCCACAACTGGTCGGAGGCCTGGCAGAGGAGGGCGAATTAGCCAGACCAGTCAAGTGCAGTGATAAAATGCAGAACCGCCACAGCCACAGCGGTCAGCAACACAGAAGGAGAGGTAGTTCAGGAACCAGCGATTGGGCGACAACAGGGGAACCACCACAAGTTTATACAGTGCGCTTGAGAGACAAACGGAATCGCAATGTAGAAACCAGGGCCGGGAACACGATAGAACACACAGGAGGATCGACCCGGGTTTGGATTTAGGGAGAGACGGTGATAAGGCGATTGGGGGGGCAGAGGGGGAGAGGGGGGAAGGGACTGAGCGATGGAGAGCGAACGACAAGAGTTCGGCCACCGCGAGAACAAACCAACAAACAGGGTCGGGGAGGCTGAACTCTTTGCCTGAGTACTGAGGGCTGAGGAGGGGAAGGGGGCCCGAGTCCAAAATAGAATAGCGGGCGCGCCCCCCACCCTTGATTGGCCCAGGAACAGCGTTGCCTGAATTATCAGTGCCTTGGTGCCTGACCACCCGCTGATGGATAGCCCGCCTGAGGCATCGCTCTCCTGAACATGAGGCGGTGTCGTCCCGGATCGAGGCTAGGGCTCGATCGGGCAACCGCAGCGCACTAGCCCCAGAACTCAGCCACCGCCCCCAGAACCTCGAATCGTCCACCGGCGATACGCGATCGATCCAAGTTTACTGCGACATCAGCTGTCACAATCTCTCCGCCATCCCCAGAAAGCTTGTCGGTGGTTCCGAATCGTCTGTTCTGGAGCCCTCGCCTGTCGGACAAGCTCTTCCGGGACTCCAAGCTTACTCCACTGTTGTTTCCCCGGCATTTCCCACCCCCCGCTAGTCGACTGCGGAGACGTACATCCCTTTGCGCTACCGACGTTCTCCAGTCCACCATCTCGCCCATCGCGTAACCCTCCTCTCTTTCTAGCTCCAAGTTGCCCTCTCGATCTACTGGAGGGCGTGCCGGTGTGGTCGAAACGGATCCGGGAACAGTGGAGGATGAAAGGGACCCGCGACCGATGGGTGTAATACGGAAGAAGACCGCCTCGCGCGGCACTGAAGCGGGCACCAAATATCACTGTGATATCTGCTCGGTTGACGTGACTTCGACGGTACAGTCTTGCGATCTGTGTCCTTGTGACCTCACTGCCACTTGGCCTGATCTAATCAGCTGGCCCCTCTAGGTCCGCGTATCCTGCGCCCATCCCACCTGCCATGAATATGATCTCTGCGTCCCCTGCTTCGCTGCCGGAGAGAAGTCCAAGAACCATGACCCGTCAACACATCCGTTCCAAGTGATCGAGCAGAACTCGGTTCCGATCTTCGAGGAAGACTGGGGTGCAGATGAGGAGCTCCTGTTGTTGGAGGGTGCGGAGATCTACGGGCTGGGGTCATGGGCGGACATCGCAGACCACATCGGTGGCTACCGCACCAAGGAGGAGGTCCGAGACCACTACGTCAGTGCCTACATCGACAGCCCAAACTTCCCATTGCCAGAACGCGCCGACCCGGATGACAAACGGCTGTCAGAGGCTATCTCGAAGGAGGAGTTCCAGTCACGGAAGAAACGGCGCATTGAGGAGCGCAAAGAGGCGGCAAAGGCAGCGCCGCCCACGACACCAAAGCAGAAACCTACGGCCAGTGTACCGGCATGTCACGAAGTGCAGGGATACATGCCGGGTCGGTTGGAGTTCGAGACGGAGTTCATGAATGAGGCCGAAGAAGCGGTGCAACACATGACGTTCGAACCTGGTGCGGGCGAGACAGCAAACGGCGAGACGGATGCGGAAATGGAACTGAAGATGACAGTCGTGGATATCTACAACTCGCGGCTTACGGCGCGCACGGAGCGCAAGAAGGTCCTCTTCGAGCACAGTCTCCTTGAGTATCGCAAGAACACAGCACTGGAGAAGAAGCGCACGAAGGAGGAGCGCGACCTGCTGAACAAGGCGAAGCCATTTGCTCGGATGATGAACCATGATGACTTTGAGGAGTTCAACAAGGGTCTGGAGTACGAACATAACCTGCGACTGGCCATCACACAGCTCCAGGAATGGCGCCAGATGGGGATCGGCGATCTCAAAGGCGGAGAGAAATACGAACAAGAGAAACAGCAGCGAGCGCAGCGACTGGTGCCGCAAGGCTCATTCGACCGGTTCGCCAGCACGCGACCGGCAAAACAGGTGCAGCAACCTGAACAGCCGACCGCTGCCAGTCAGCTGACAACTCCGGAGCTTCCTCTCCGGCTGCAGAAGGTGTCCGGCACACCCAAAGCGCCGGAGCCTGTCAGTCAGCCGATGAACGATTTCGACCGGGCCTTTGCGGCCACCAACGGGGATGGTGTCAGCACGCCGCAGCCAGCGAAGACCAAGTTTGTGATTCCGCCACTGAACGGAGTGATTCCATGGAAGCTGGAGAACGAAGGGGCGCCAGATCTGCACCTGCTGACAAAAGAGGAAGTGGAGGTGTGCAACGTACTGCACATGCAACCGAAGCCGTACCTAGTGATCAAGGAGACGATGCTGAAAGAATCGATGAAACAGGGCGGCAGTTTAAAGAAAAAAGACGCGCGCACCATATGCAAGGTAGGCCTCGTCGCCAGATAATCGCAGATAGATACATGCTAACCATCTGTAGATCGACAGTACCAAGTCGAGTCGAATCTACGATTTCATGGTGCACAGCGGCTGGATCAACAAGAGCTGAGCGTCTATTGCATGAGCTGGATACCACGTAGTTCTGTGCGAGTATGGAGTTGGCGGCGTTGCGGGGGCGTGGCTAGATGATTGATTGACGACTGATTGATTGCTGGATTTAGCTACCCGTAGAACTTTCCTCTTGATATTATTACACTATATCAATAAAAGAAACGCATGATAATCATGAGAGTTGTGGCTACGTACTTAGATACTGGCCAGACCAGACCGGAGATGATACCCACGCGGGAGCTAGCCCCGAACTAGCCTGTCTTCTCCGCACTGCCAATGCTAAATCCAATCCCCTAGATACTCCCCGGGCCTCGGCAACTCCATACTCCAACACTTCTTTAACATCACATCCAACTCTCCCTCTCCCTCTCCAAACAACACTCTATCCCAACCCTACCACAATCTCAACCAACTCCGCACCCTAAACCAACCAACCTACCAACCAACCTACCAACCAACCAAAAGTCTTCCCCCAAAAAAAGCAAAATCAAAATCAAAAATGCCCCCTCTCAATCTCCCCTCCCCCAAAACCCTAACACTCAGCCAACCCACCCCCTCCATCCTCCTCGTCACACTGTCCCGCCCAAACGCCCTAAACAGCATCGCCTCCGCCGGCCACCAAGAACTCCACGCCATCTGGACCTGGATGGACGAAGAGCCCTCCATCCGAGTAGGGATATTAACCGGTGCGGGACGAGCTTTTTGCGCAGGCGCGGATTTAAAAGGTTACTTATCTCCATCCATCCCCTCAAATCCCCTTTTTTGTATCCTAATCGCCAATTCCACACATACACAATACTAACAATTCACAAACAGAATGGAACAATACTGTGCAGCCCAAACCTACACCCGAAACAAAGTCAAACCACGCTGTAAGCATGCCTCCCACCGGCTTCGGCGGCCTCTCTCGCCGCAGCGGCAAAAAGCCCATCATCTGCGCCGTGAACGGTCTCTGTCTCGGTGGTGGATGCGAAATGATTCTCAATGCGGATTTGGTTATCGCCGCTGAAAAGGCTTATTTCGGACTGCCGGAGGTGCAGCGCGGAGTGGTGGCGTGGGCGGGGGCGTTGCCGCGGTTGGTGCGGACGGTGGGACGGCAGCGGGCAATGGAGATGGCTTTGACGGGGCGGCGAGTGGACGCGGCGGAGGCACTGCGATGGGGATTCGTGAATGAGGTGGTGCCTGCGGAGGGGAATGTGGTGGAGCGTGCGGTAGAGGTCGCGACCCAGATTGCGGCAAATAGTCCTGATGCGGTGGTGGTAAGTCGTGAGGGCGTCAAGCTGGGATGGGAGGGCTTGGGGGCGGACGAGGCATCGAGCCGCCTGATTGAGGTCTGGTCGGAGCGGTTGAACGCGGGTGACAATATCAAGGAGGGCCTGTGCGCCTTTGTGGAGAAACGGAAGCCCCGGTGGGTGGATAGTAAGTTGTGATCAATTCTACGTTACGCCTACGAGATACCAGTGCGGTTTCACTCTTAAAGTTATGTATTCCTTAGTCTTAGCTGCCGGCAACTAAGTACATCATTAACATTGTATGACTGTGCTAAACCATTTCCCATGCCCATGCTCAATCCGCGCCGACCATTGTTCGCCGTAATCCAGATGGCTCATATCCGTCCAGCGGCAGAGCCAGTTGTACATGCATTTGGACATTCGTGTCCGTGATCGACTCGGAATGCATTCGCAGTTTTCGTAATCGTAATCGTGAACATTATGAATCTCGACATTGCAAGAACAACGCGGCTCTTACTTCGTCTCCTCCTGCACCTTGCGCACCCGCTCCAGCACGGCAGGATACAATGAGTGATCCTTCTCCAGGCCGGTCAGATGACTGGTGGCATCCTCCGCAGACTTTTCCTTGAGGATGTTGGCCAGATCGGCACTCTCATTGTCGCCAGGAACGTTCTGGAAGCGCAGCGCCATCTCCACAGCGTCCATCAAGGCGTCGTACTTCTGGCCGCGCTCCGCCAGTTGAGAGGCCGGTCCGATGAACCGCTCCTTGCGGGATAGCTTGCGAAGTGGAGCACGTCCCACGCGGTCAACGTTGTCCTCGAGGTAAGGGTTGGAGATGCGGCTGATGATCTTGTCGACGTACTCCTTCTGCTCCTGTTCGGAAATGCCGTGCTTAGACACGATGAGCGAGGCAGTCTCGTCGAGAACTTTGTGGACGAGGCCACGAATCTCCTGGTCCTCCAGGGCATCCGCAATCATCTTCTTGCCCCGGATGTGGCCAAAGTAGGCCGTAGTAGCATGGCCGGTGTTGACAGTAAAGAGTTTGCGCTCAATGTAGGGCTCTAGGTTGTCGACCCAGTGGATAGCAGGGATATCTGGATGACCAACGGAGCCGAAGGGGGTCTTCTCGACGGCCCATTCATAGAACTTCTCGATCCGGACGTTGAGACCATTGTTGGGAGGCTGCTGGGGACGATCCGGTCAATGGCAGAGTTGGCGAACTGGGCGCGATCATACAGGGACTCGACCCGGCCCGAGCTAGTGTGCTGTTTGATGAAGCCGTGCAGTGTGTCAGTAGCTCCAATGGCATTCTCACAAGCAATGACAGCCACGGGCTTCGACTCGGTGCGGGCATCGATACCCTTGGCGATCACTGGGGCAATAAACTTGAGGATGTTGGGGCCCACGGCGCACGTCACAATATCAGCCGTGGCGATCTCCTGGATGGCATCGCTCTCGTTATGCTTGGAGTTGATAGCACGGTAGTTGGTGATGGTCTTGGTGCTCTCACCCTCCTCGCTGACCTCAGTGACATCATACGACTTGGTGTTCTGCAGGGACTCGACGACACTGTCGACGACGTCGACGAAGACGACCTCATAGCCGGCCTCGTGGAGGAACTCTGCGACGAAGCCACGGCCGATGTTACCACCGCCAAACTGAATGGCTTTTTTGCCCATGATGTAGAACAGTGATGAGAGGGACAGGTAGATGGAGAGGAAGTGTGCAGTAGTAGAGGGAGTACTTAGATGGTTGATAGATAAGAGAGGAGAAGAGAAGACAGGCAAGTGTTGATCACAAGAGGAGGTGGTGACTGTGAAAGGGAAGACAAAGGATGATGGAGAGAAAAGAGTGGTGAGAGGAGGGGGGATGGAGGGGTATATAAAGTATATTCACGAGGGGGGAATGAGGGAAATGAGGGAATGAGGCAGGCACGATGGAAACGTAGGGAAGGTGCGACGGTGAATGGACCGCCCGGGACGAACTGGGAGCCAAGGGGGGCACTTGCCTCTAGAGTGCACAACCTCACGATACCCTACCTTCGCTCCAGCAAGTGGGGGAGAGCGAACGGGAGTATGACTTAATGGATGAGGCCCAACAGGACCAGTGCCAACCGTTCCAATGAGCGGCGATGACGCAGCCTAATGCGGATTGGCGGTGCGGGCGATTCAGGCCTGCATGGGGACCTCCTTACTTTTCCCCTTGGCTTGAATCCCAATCAGAGGCCACCGGAGGGAGGAACCCGGTTGATTCCGCACCAGACACGGCCGTCTGTGCAGGTGTCGCATGTGCAACAGTGCCATCGCGATGTCGACTACGGCTATACTCTGTACTAGTGAGTCCTTTGGTCCGGCGGGTGAAAGTCGGGCAGATTGTCTGGCAGTCTCGGAGATTTACAGCCAGTATGACTCCCCTTGATCGCTGACCATCATGGCTTACGGGCAGTTTCCCTGTCAACTACATCATCTCAGGAACAACATCGTCGTCCATTACATAGGAAGGATGTCGTTAACATCATCATCATTCAGACCCACTGGGGGTTGTCAGGCCGGCGGTAGCGCTGGACGATGCCGGGAACGAGCAGCGCAGGAGGGGCCATGCGCCCATGTCATTCGACCCTCACCCGATCCCCCTCCACTGGTGACGTGACCGGTTCTTCCCCAGCAACACTACCCCCCACTGGGTGCGATCAACATGAACAATGGACGGTCGTAGAATCCCTTTCATGGGGTTTCTGTGGGTCTTTATACATCCTGGACGCTCTTGACCCCAAGATAACCCCGTCCAGGCCATCCGCCCCCTTCCCCAATAGCTTCATCTTCTATAGCCCGGTCTGAATTCGGTACATTTCGATCCTTTTCTACCCGCACTATCTACCCCCTGCAACCAATCCGCTCTTATCAAGTCCTTTCGATCAGTGGTTTCCATCCTTTTCCGTTTCCGCCTCCGCCTCCGCGTCCGACGGCCCTGCACTTGATTTGACCGATACCTGGTCCGATTTCATTTCATCACCAGGGTCGTCTGCAGGGGTGGCTAGGTCTGACCGGCTGCGATCGAGCAAAACCATCACCAAACTGGTTATGCCACCCCCCAGCAACAACCCCGTGGCTGCCCATGTCATCCCCAAAAATTGTGGTCCATACTGGGCACTCACGTCGGTATCCCGACCATGATCATTGATCAGACCGACAAATTGGAACGCGATAACCGTGGCAATGATTGAGGAGATTCCGAGCATGGCGAAACCCGACTGGATCGCTGTCAATGGCCAGTACCATACGAATTATACCTTTGGGGAAGGACCCTACCAGTAATAGCACTAACTCGATCACGGACTGCCGTGGTCCGCGCCGGATCGTCCACCATAGCCTGCCCACTATCGCCAGGCCAGCAACCCCGGCCCCAATGCAGTAGAGGGGCCCCATACTTCGGCTGGTCATGCCGAAGGCATGGAAATCATCCGTGATGGTGTCGGGCCACCCCAGGTTCAACAGTGAGGTGGTATTCCCAGTCTCTTCTAACAGCACGGCTGAAGGGTCAAAAGCGAAGGGCAACGAGGCTCTGGAGCAATTCATGAACCGCCTGTTCCCTGACATGAGATCCCCCTCACAGTACGACATGACGTAGATTGAGTAGAAGTCATGTATGCCGGTGTTCTGGCTTCTATTCGAAGGAAAGACCTAGTTCATGGATGTTTCAGTTCACCGATCCGATACAGTGCCAGACAGACGAGAATCAACTAACTGTGAGGATATCGGCCCCGGGCAGGACGGTCAATTGTGTGCCTGCGAAGAGACATAGTAAGCTGAGTATAAAAGCGATAAACGCTGTTATCGTGGGAAAGTAGTTCACCAAGCGGGACATGGTGGAGGAGGATCCGCTTCTCTGGGTGTGTTCGCAGCGGAGATCAACAGATTGACTGCAGCATGACAGTCGCTGGTATATGGCCCGCTTGAGGACGACATGAGCGACGACTTTATGCAGCAGAACTAGAGTGTCCCTCGATCATTCCTTGAGATGGTGGGTATACATCCTCAAGGAGCGACAGGCACTGCAGGCACGTGGCATTTCAACTGACAGGGCGTCCAATTGGTCGAGGCCGACTAGGGGAATGTGCATGCCCGATTCTCAAGGCCTGGAATGCTGCCCCGAGGAACCGCCCACTGCAGGAATGGAGACCCGCCAACTTGGGGAATCTGGGCTGAAAGAACACATAAAGTTACATGATGCCATACAACAGGATGTTGGCCTTCGCCGCCATGGCGAAAGATGTCAAGGTTGAAGGGCTTTGTCTCGTGATACCTTCCAAGAAGTTAGATTTATCCTCCCTTGTCAGAAACTAGGTGGCTGGAGATTTCTATTCTGGTATACTGGTTGATTTGGTAGAGATCCACATCTCATATGTGTGGTTCTTGCTGGGGGTGACAGCGCCACCGATCTTCCTTGCTATACGGAGAATCTAGCCCAAATTATGGCAGCCTGGTGAAGAGGCTTTCCTGATATAACATTATTTCTCTCTGTTGACAAGGTTATGGGAGATGCGTGATAGCTATTCAATCCTGATTAGAACTATGTTCTGACCAACTAACAGCTAATAAAAACATGCCTCTTGCCATACAGGATCATTCACTTCTAACGTCCACATTGACTCTCCGAGAATAACGCCAACGAGAAAGGGGATGAGAGTCGCGAAATGACATTCCATCAATATCCCGCTCGATCTAACAATACAATCAGTCCTCAATAAGAAACCAAAGACAGCAGAGACAAGGTCCGTGAGGTCGCTGAAGACCTCGTCAAGTTATTTCCCTTCTCTAGCTGTATATTTAGGATTTAGTATGTACAACTGCCTGAATCACTTGGTTGGTGAGCTGCCCAAAACGAGCGGATGAGTTACTAATTTGGTCTTAGAGCGTCAGATGAATGACTATAACTTCGATCTCTATATTACATCTCCACACCTCACATTGATCCTACCTAAACTCGATGGGATTTTGCTTACTGTGGGTCATTATGGAAAAATTCAAAGTCGATTCGAGCGAAATTCCTGGCATACTGGGGTCACCTCACTGGGGAGCTCGGGAGAAAATCGGTATCGGCATGCCTTTGAAGGCCAGGAATAGAGCATCGTGTTGCCATTGGACTATGTTCTTTGGTGTGGGAGACAAGAAGGGCTTGGAGGCAAACATGGTTGTCTTCAGAGAAAATGATCTCATCTCTGATCGAGATCGAGATCCCGCTTCTTATTCTATAAGGATGGTTATCGATGGGGTTTTATATACCTGTACCTAGATAAAAAACGTCTAGTATAGTTCCAATCCCATACAATTCTAAATATTATACTAACTAGCTTCGTCATATAGTGCAAAGTCATGGACTTGAACTGGCGGCAAGGTCGACGGGATGTACTTGTTCACCAATTTTCTAAAGTCTTGATTAACGCATGTATGCAGACAATGACGGCTTACCATTCATAGACCCAGTAAATGTAGCAGGTCTAAACCCGGCCAGGCTTGGAGTTGTTTTCTGCCACCATTGCCCAAGTCTAAGCCCATCCATTGAAATCTACGTTTATATCATATTAGTGGGCCCTATGATTCCCCATCGATCCTATGTCAACTATTTCGTCTATCTACTGGGCTCCAGTAAGCCTGGTCATATATAACTGAGATCTGCCCACTACTTGGGCCCCTTCCTCCCGGTAAGCCTCGATCTTTTCAAGTTCTTTTGCCCCTGGTCTATTATTCAATGCCATGACTTTTGCCGTGGGATCATTAACTTCTTGATGCTTACTCACATGCACAGCAAACTCTTTCATCCCGCTGGAAAGATGGCTAATAACCAGCCCCTACCCTTGTGAGGCGATGCCAGACGGTTTCGACTAGATAGCGGGTGTGGATATCATTTCCCGCACAGGTTCTATCAACAATCATAAGGCGGGAAAGATCATGACCCTGATCTTGCAGATACAATCTCCGTCTGCGGGCAGATAGGTTGTCTGTCGAACCGTGAACACCTTTCCCTTGGTTTTGTCTGAAACATCGTCTAGAGCGACGGGCAACGATATCTACCCGAGGCTGCAGCTCATCGGTGGGAACAACGAATAAACTGAGTAGATGGTTGTTAAAAATAATGAGCCATATGCGAGCAGTTTTCCTGATCGCTCTATGACCGTACTTTTCTGACTCCCTTAGCTTCGGTCAACCAATGGTCCCTGCCCGTTGCCAGAAGGCAGCTGCGGCTACGGGCCCCGGATCTGGTCGCCTGGAGGAGCCTATCCTGTGGTGAAATAATTATCGGGATTTCTTATCAGTGGTCCTCCGTTGGTTGGCAGCGTGTGGATGATCTCAAAAGGCAACGCGAACCAGAACGGGCTCTGCTGGGGTCTGAAGAATCTCGCCGCCGTGCAGAGGCTGGCGAGCCATACTACGTCGAACGACCTGCCGGCAGCTGCAGTGGTTCGGGAGCTACAGTTGCACTATAAATGCAAACAATAACTCTGTGTTGTTCTTGCACATATCCTCGAATCTCCCCATTGGATAGCCTGGCCAGTTGTCTTTAGGTTGAAGGAGGTGGTGGGGGGGGGAGGCGGGTCCTGGTAGAGGTTTACTTCATCCTTCGAGATACTGGATGGCATTCCAGTGTCTGGGGCTTGGAATACACGCTTCTATCGAAGGAGGTGGGGAGTTCCTCCTTTTCTGTCTCTTATTTTGCCTTGTCCACTGCCGTGTGGTCATGGACGGAAGGAAGGATCTACGGTTTCCCCTACGTATACCCAAAGTCTCCTCCCATCCTGCTTTCAGATCCAGAATATATATCCTACCATGCTCCCGACCTTTGCAATATAGCTTGGTATTCTAAGCAAGTACCTAGATCCAATATCATCAGTGCTCAATAATTGCGATTAACATTTTAAAAATACAGGCAAAGGTTTTGGAGCTATCCACCAACCCCTGATAGTCTGGCCGGTTATGGCGTTCGGCTGTAATTGTACATATATTGTGACGACAAAGACACCAGTTTTTCTGGTCCAGGGAACTTAAACTTAGTGCCTCCGAAGGTATTAGCTCATTAGCTCTACCGGCCCAGTAACTTAGAGCTCTGGCTTCTGTTTTTCCTGGTAGTTGAGTTGGTAACATCGATGCACCACTCGGTGCACCTTGGGGGACTGCTCATTGCCAGCATTCTAGAGCCTTATACCAGTTCCAAGGGGCCATCATCATACAAACCCCCGATGGTCTAGTTGGTTCATGGCGTCTGACTGTAATATTGTATTGTGATCAGAAAGTCACCAGTTCGATTCTGGTTCGGGGGATATCTTTTTATGTCTTTAGCGGGTGCACAGACATTGGCTTGATATTTGCTAGCCGGCGTCGGAACTACATCAGAACCCCCGATGGTCTAGTTGGTTCATGGCGTCTGACTGTAATATCTCATTGTGATCAGAAAGTCACCAGTTCGATTCTGGTTCGGGGGAATCCTTTTTCTTTTTTTTCCATCAGTGTCTTCCTTGGACTGCTGGGTGGGAAAACATTGATCATGAATTTTTTTTTTCTTTCTGACCCTGGTGAGTTCAGCGTATCTCACTGAGAGTTTCCTTTTCTTATGAGCTTCCCCCTATTGCCGAAACGAGACATACTGTAACCCGAATTCCTTCCCCAAGAGAACCGTTGCCTCCCCACCGTCCTTAGTCCTCACTCGGCCAGGGTTTCCTGTCGGTCGATAGATGACAGAACTGCCTTCTGCTCAATGCAAAACTATTATGATGTGCCGCCCGTCGGCCTAATTAAGATGCAATCCCACCGACTAGGATGTGCTCATTCTTTCAACTGGACAATGGTTCTGCGAAAAACGAACCAGCAACCTCCATGTGAAATGTTCATATGCAGAACGCCCATTTCATCGGCTATCACAACCAAGCTCCAATTCGCGCAGACAGCTGACTAAGAGATAACCCATCCACGGCCCGTGTATGGCCATTAGAGCATGAATATCAAAGGAAGGACCTTTGACATTCTATATCGCGCTCAGACCATATGGATCAAGTATTGGTTGGTGTAGTCAACCCACATCCTGAGACTTGCTTTTTTGCTGACTATTCACTATAGAAATGCGAACCTTTGCCTTTGGCATATGCAGAGCCGCTATTTTAGATCGGGGTTATATCCGGATGGCTATGGGACATGGTCGCCAGCAAATAACCATGTCGTGTTTCAATTACACTTTGAGGTATTGAGAGTAACTCGGTCCGAATGGCCCATATAGCCTGCCCATAATGTAGAGTATTCGAGGTAATCTACCTCCAGCTCACAACTCGCAACCAACAACACTGGAAGTGCCTGGGGGAGGGGGACACTGAGCGTAAATCCCAGCATGTCTTCCAACCAATAGAGGACATATTTTATAGCACTAGTAGGGTTCAGCCTACTTGGGTAAAAGCTACCCCTGCAAAGACTTCACAGATCAGGTTGCACAGCCAGCCGCTGCCTTGATGTCCGGGTACTGGCATTGCTGTGAATTCCCGAGGCAAGGCATTTACATTGAAAACTTGAGTAGGAATGATATAAGTGCTTATAGAAATGCAAGCCAAGCCAAGCCAAACCAAAATCACCTGAGTTGTTTATTGAGGAAGTATATGCGCAGCTGACGGCACATCTTGCTGCTCTGGTTGGCCTGACTCTGTCATGCTCGTGTCGGATTGGTTACTCCAGAAGCTAAGCATCAAAAGACCGCTTAACCCTTGCGAGAGGTGACACCCGAAGACAATGATCGAGGCAGGCAGAGCCGCGTTATGCAAGGGGCACTCTGCTCGTAAATATCCATGTAAGTAGTATCGATTCCGCCTTGTACATGTCAGCGGCAGCTGTCCCACCTTGCAGCTTATGGTAGGATCGGGTCACAGACTTGACTAAAAGAAACCAGTTATAGTCAGCTGGTTGATTGTATGGCGTGGGATGACAATAAGATGAAACAAGGCAACCCAACGGGTCGATAGTTCGATATCCTGATATGGTTTACCTTGCATTATTAGGCGAGGGACTCTTGATAGATGTTGTACTGGTAGTGTAGTGACAGACACCATTTTTAATGCAAGATAATGCAGCATCGGTACAACCAACTTACACCGAGGATGTACGCTCAGTTCTCGGAAGACTGCAAGAACATCCGTCGAATCAATCCAGAAGGCTAGAAAAAACCTCATCGGTATGCTTGCTGACCATCACATGAACCGAGATGCGAGGGGGTTTTACTAGAGATAGATCATAGAGTACCCTGCTTTTCTACGACCTCCCTAATGCTCAACGTCGAGACTCAGCTCATGAACCAACTCATATTACGTCATGAGCCACTCCTTCGATCCTTTCTGGTTTCAAGGCTGACCCATCAGCGAGGGAATCAGAAGCTGCGTCGGTTGACCGGCATTTGGAATGTCCTGACCGCTCTATACAGAACGGAGGTACCGTCTGACCACCATCTCTTGCGCGTTTATTCTCGCATAGACGACAATGTGAGAACTCTGCGCGAGCTAGACCAGCAAGGCGGCCCGGCCAGTTTCAATTCTAATGGGTGTAGTCCCTTCTGCATTGACCAGTGTATCTCGGCTCCCGGGCTCACTGATGCGGGCCAGGGTGGCTAGCTGCTTCACCAACGCTAGATGAAGGATCACGGCAATCGACCAACACGGGCGCCTCCAAGGGACCCTGCAGAAGCCGAAAGGCGATTTGAAGAAGAGGTTGCGGGATCATTAGGGGTAGCATGTAATTTGGATCAGCAAGATTATCCCACAGGGTGCAAGGTGCCGGAGCTATACGGGGATTCCGTTGCCATCAGGAATACACGGAGCAGGCACGGGGTAAATCCTTGAATGTCATTGGCTCCCAGAAACACAGAACAACCTTCCGAGTACTAGGTGAGTATCTAGTCTCGGTGGTCGATAGTACTACTAAGATAGGTAGGTATCGTTGCGCAGGACTCCGTACTCCGGAGGTAGAATATCTAGCTCCATGGTAGGTAACCTGAGTAGTTGTCCGCAGCACTCATCCGTGACCGAGACACAAGAATGACCCACGTTTCTGGACCGCACAACCACCGTCTCTCGTGGTCGACTTACAGCCACGTACCATAGATTCATCCAGGTAAGGGATACGGCAGGTTCTCTTACCATGTGGGATCCCCTCCGATACGTCCGTCCACCGTGGAGACGCCGCCGAATCATATGTGGCCATACATTGGTGTGATTATCTGGGTGCCAGGACGGATGTTGATTAAGGTTCCAGGTAGATGTGGTCGTTATCATCAAGCAAAAAGACTGTGTCCCGCAACGTGATCGCTAGACGCCCTCCCACTGGCTGATGGCCGCGTCTGAGCGCCAAGATTCCCTCGGACTAAGGTACTAATCTTAGTAAATCGGCTAGGTATCGACATGCATCCTCCATGTCTGCGGCACCAACATCGGTCCTGGATATGTATCTAGATCGGCTGCGGGCTGTGACCACGACCGCCGTCCCCACGCATTTCTGAATGAATCGGGGCTTTGGCTAAACCTGCTCCTTGTCGTCTTCAAGGCATATGGAACATGATTGGCGCCGCTATGGAATTTTGACTCTGGAGATCTGTCAGCAGGCACGTATGCAAGGAGGGGCTGACAAGTCAATGGGAGCGACGCATCCAGTCAGTAGTGTGTACTGTGTAAGTAGATAGCGAAATTTAACCGTTAACCGTCGAGGCCCGAGGGAACCCCTCATCTCCATGTCAAATCCCCCCCACCTCATGATCGTGTAGGACACGGATACTCCGCAGCGCTACCCGCCAGGTAAGCATCATTTCAGACCTGCTCACTTGGCCTCCTTCCTTGTTGGGGAGTCGAGTGCATCCCTCGGCATCGGATGGCGTGGAGAGACAACAGCTTAGCCATGCCGGACGCTGCCAGGTCAGCCGGTTGCGTCCGGGAGCGGTGTTTGATTGGCGGGGTGAGCGGTAGGGTCCATGATTCTAGAAGGCGGTGACTGTCGATCTAGCGGTATTCTGCCACCACGTGCGCCGTTTATTGGCCGGCGGCAGAAGTTCGCGACCGGAAGATCCCCGCCTCGAGTGCAGGACTAAATGTAGTTAGTCTGTTAGCTCCGCCGCCACTCGCCCGAAGTGGGCGGGTTTAAAAAAGTCCAGCCTGCGATGGAGTCGCAACTAGGGTGGATTAGGAAAGAAACCACGAGATACACAGAGCGAGGAGGACAAGGGGGGGGGGCCCAGGGAGTGTGGACACAACCTGGGAGGACGAACATGCTGGGACCCTGACACCACCTGGAGTTGTAGAACCCTGCAGTGTGACCTCAGGTCGATGATGCTATGAAAACGCAAATGCCAACCCGCCGCAAGAAAATTATGCTTTCGAGGCTCGTGGGAGTTTCACCCGCTGGGGACTACCGGGTCTGGGCAATGGGGCGGGCAGCCTGCCATGCACCACTGACACGGCAGCCTCGACTTCGGAGCGACGGTGGAACCCGCCACTACGCTGGATCTTCTCCGTAACCAGTCCTGCGTTTGGCTTATCACGTTCCACCATTTCGACATGTGCCTGGGGCTCGCTGGTGGGCTGGTCCTGGTCCGCCTGCGCCCAGAGATTTTCTTTTGCCGTTACCCTCCGGATATAAGTTCGACGGCTGGCCGTGTCCGACGTGGCCTGCATCGTGTGTGACGCCTTCATCACGGTCAACTCGAGCTTGCTCCCCCTCCCCTCCCCCTCCTCCTTTAGGAGTATCCCAGGACGTCTCAAGCTCGCTTCTCGCGTCCACCCCTCCGTCGTCAATTGCCCGGACCGTCGAGCCTCGAGTCGACTGGTCATCCGACGACGCCAAAATGACCGACTTTGGCCTTCGTGCTCCCCATGGGCCCGACATGTCGGGTACCCATAACCCTCTCGAGGATATGGACATCCACGAGAAGGGTGCCTTCGACGAGCTCATTCGCCCCGATGACAGCTACACGCCGGATGGCACGTATTGGGCGGACTTACCCCTCGTGAAGCGGATCAAGTTCGTCGGATCATACGATGCTGCAGAAGCCAAGCGTGAACTCAGTGAGATCTGGAAGATGACAAAAGAGGATCCTCTGTCTCCGATATCGTATTATTTCCGAAACATGGTGCTTCCTGGTGCTGGTCTAGGTCTGGAAGGGTACGTGCTGTTTTAACCGTGGGACTTCGGAATTTATGAGGCTCACATTTTGCTTGCTCTAGTTACGTGCTATTCTCGATTGGAAACATCAAGCCTCTGTTTGAGGCCTCCTTTAAGTCCTGCTGGGATGAACATCAGACCTGCAACCAGCAATGGATCAACGCGGTCGACTACCTCGAGATTGTCGGTATCATTATGGGTCAAATCTTGGTCGGAATCATCGGTGATTGGTATGTCGGGGGGGTAGTCTGAGGGTGCATGCGGGCAAGGTTGGCTAATTCAATGTTAGGCTTGGTCGTCGATGGGGTCTTATCCAAGACGCTTCGATCATGTTGCTGGGTTTGATCATGCTTACCGCTGCATGGGGTGTCACCGAGAACGGCTGGATCATCTGTTACGCTTGGTCATTATTCGTCTATGGCGTTGGTGTCGGCGGTGAATACCCAATGACTGCCACTAGCGGTATGGAGAATGCCGTTGGCTCTGGAAAGGTCTCGACCAAGGAGGATCGCCTTCACCGTGGCCGCAAGGTCACCAGTGCGTTCCTGATGCAGGGTTGGGGTCAATTCTTCAACCAGGCTATCCTGATCATCCTGCTGTTGATCTTCCACCACGGTAGCGGTAACCCACCGTACTCTACGGTGGCTACCCAGTGGACCTACCGTATCTCTTTCGCCATTCCCGCCGTCGGCACCTTGTGGCTTGTGTACTACCGTGCCTACCATATGAAGGCAGCTAGCAAGCAGCTCGCTGCTGCTAAGAAGAAGGCGTCTGTTACTGGCTACGATGTCAACTCTCTGAAGCTGACTTTTCGGTATTTCGGTTTCCGCATCATCGCTACGGCGGGTGGCTGGTTTGCCAACGATGTATTCTTCTACGGCAACAAGCTCTTCAGCTCCGAGTTTATCAAGGTTTTGAGCCCTGGCAGCAATTCCATTATGCCGACTTGGCTCTGGAGTCTGTGCAATATCGGAGTGTCGTTGGCTGGTTACTACTGCGCCTCCTTCTTCGTTGACAACAAGCTTTACGGTCGCAAGTGGATGCAAATGATCGGCTTCCTCATGTGCTTCATCCTTTTTGTCATCCCCGCTTTCCACTACCACTATTACATCCAGCCGGAGAACATCCACGCTTTCCAGGCGATGTATTTCCTGAGTTCCTTCTTCAACCAGTTCGGCCCCAACTCGGTCACTTTCTTGGTGGCTGCGGAGGTGTTCCCGACTCCCATCCGCGCTACAGCCCACGGTCTCTCCGCCGCTTGCGGTAAGAGCGGTGCGCTCCTGGCATCCGTCTTGTACAATTACATCGACACCCAAACCAAGTTCTACGTTGTCCCTTGGTTTGGACTTGCTGGCATGCTCCTGACTTTCGTTTTCCTTCCGGATACCACCGGTCTTGACCTTAAGGAGCAAGAGCGTCGCTGGCAATACATCCGCGATGGCCGCGAGAGTGACTACCACGGACCCGCTATCCACGCCAAGCACCTCTCTCTCTGGGAGCGCTTGACGGGCGTTGGCAAGCACTACGACGCCGAACTCGACTACAAGCAGAAGGTCGAGGAATACCGTGCCGAGTGGGAGGCTGCCATGACTGCTCGGATCTCCGAGAACGAAAAGGGTGAGGACTTCGTGCAAGATACGGATGACTCCCTCCTCGAGGGCCATGTCCACGCATACTTCCACCGTACCAGCCCCATGTTCCGCCCGATGGAGCAGACTGCCACCAAGACGGACAATTTCGCCCTTCCCCCGGCTGCGCAAGATTCCTCCACGGAGTCATATAATGAAAAGTCCGAACTATAAACATGGCGTCTTTTTGGGTCTTTTTGGGTCTTTTTTTTTTTTTTTCTTGGGAAGCGAGTATGTGTGATTGATTGAATGTGGCATGTCTGTTTTGAATGACGACACGCTTCACTTTTGCATTCTTAGTATATTGTTTTTGTCGAGCGAGAGGTTCTTTCGTCTTGCACTCAATACCCAGGTACATACATGGTACTCGTTAGTATATAGAAGTCGATTAATATTATATACCCAAGTGACTGTTGCTGCATTATATCTGACCTCATTCAATCCCTCCATGGTAACTCTGGCTCCATAAAAATGTAACTTCCTTACCTCACGACACCAAGTCTTCCACGCTTCCGGACTCCCCTCATTCTGCCGGCCAAACCATCCCACCATCCCACCTAGCATCCGAACAGGCAGGCGATAAGGAAAGCGGTATCCTCTTCCACCCATCATGTTTACAGCCCCGCCACTACATATCATTGCCATTTCCTCAAGCTTGATATCTTTTCCTTTGCCCACGGTGACCATCCACCCATTAATCCATCTATCCATCCGTCCCCAAGGACCAGCAGCAGCAACACACCCTATATATCCACTCACACACCCACATTAGATCCTACCATACAGCACAACCAGCAAACTTCAAAATCAATCCAATAATGCCCCTCTACGCCTTCGGCTCCAACGGCTCAGGCCAGCTCGGTATCGGCCACATTGAAGACGTCTCCACGCCCACCAAGTGTCTCTTCGAGGATACCTCTCCCCCATTACCAGCATCAGAGATTACCCGCATCGCAGCAGGCGGAAACCACACCTTGATATTGTTCTCCGATGGACGGGTCTACGCGACGGGGATGAATGAGGATGGGAGATGCGGTAGTCTTCCTGGGGTTGATGATGCGGTGACGAGGTTTCGGCAGGTGGTTGTGGATGGTGTGGAGCGGTTTAGGGATGTTTCGGCTACATGGGAGGCGTCGTTTTTGGTCTCCGGGGAGGGGAGGAGGGTGTTTGTTTTGGGATCAGGGGGAAGGGGGAGTTGGGGCTTGGAGGGGGGGTTGTTTGTGTTCCTTCTGGTTCTGGTGGTGGTGATGGGGGGTGGATTGGGTTTGGAGATAAGGTGGTGGGCATTGCCAGTGGGATGGGACATACGGTTGTGGTGCTGGAGAATGGGGAGGTGTATGGATGGGGAGCTGCGAGGAAGGGGCAGTTGGGGCAGGCGAGGAAGGGGGATAAGGTGGTTTGGGAGCTTGTGAGGATTGAGGAGGTTGGGTTTCGAGCGACGGGGGCGGCGTGTGGGAGAGAGTTTACGGTGGTGGTTGGGGATAGAGAAAAAGGGGAGTTTGTTGTACTTGGGTCCGCGGATGATAGGTGGGGTGTTTTGGTGGGGAGTTCTATTCCTGCACCCGTGGGGTGTCGGAGTATAGAGGCTAGTTGGCATGGGGTTTATGTACATCGTCAGGATGGGGAGGTTGTGGCTTGGGGAGGAATGATCGCGGGCAGTTGCCGCCGCGGGAGATGGGGAGGGTGATGGATCTGGCGGTGGGAAGTGAGCATGTGCTTGCGACGGTTGATGAGCGTACAGTTGTCGCTTGTGGATGGGGGGAGCATGGCAATTGTGGGCCGGTCACGGACGCCCAAGGTAATGTGAAGGGGATATGCAGCCCGATTTCTTTGCCGGAAGAGGCGTTGGATGTGGTTGGTATCGGCGCGGGTTGTGCGACTAGCTGGGTGATCACTCGTGATTGAGGATCGTGACTGTAGTTGCGCTGCGGAGGATGACAGTCTTGCCGAGGGTGTTTACTGTACGGCTGCCGGTGTTGTTGGTCAACCCCAGATGCGTAGAGCTATGTTTGGCCGCTCAGTCGAAGAGACCGAGGCCGTGCAGCTGCGGGTTGTTAGCCTGAACATCAGACAAGGATGCGCTCAACGTACCTGTGACATGCGCTGGGTAGGGGGGATGCCCATCTCTTCTTCAGCACTGGTCTCTGCCATCTTGGGCTCGATATCCCGTAGCCCAGGGCCCATGCTTGCCTGCTGGCGCGTGTCAGTGAAGAAGCGCAAAGGCGAAGGTGGCCTAAGGTCGTACCTGATCACCGGTTGCATCCCAACCGAGCTCGTCCTCTGCTGGACCCTCATCCTCCTCATTCGGTACGTCCCATTGTCTATCGTCGTCCGCTGGTACAAACAGGCTATCGAATTCGATTGATGGTGGAGGTCGCTGAGTCTCTGCGTTTGACTGTGAAGCTCGAGTGGAGGTCCCGGTGAGAGGTCGAATAGACCGACTGCGGGGAGGGGGCATTTGTCTCGTGTCCGAAGCCGTGCTTCTCTGGCTTATCTGCACGGGTGCAGGGGTCTGTCGTGCAGATAGCTGGGCTGGTGTTGCCCGAGAGGAGTCTGGAGCATCGTCTCCCGACGCTTCGCCTCTGGTCATCAATGTAAATTCAGACTTGATGCCCTCAAAGTCATATGCGAATTGCAGAGGGCGGCATGGGCGAGTGAACCTGGCGGTTATCATCGCATTTGCCGTCTCTGCATGCGCTATCGCCGCCTTAAAGTCTTTCATATGGATGGCGACGTGAAGGTGGTCCTCAGCCAAATAGTAGTCAAAGTCTCTTTTGTCAATAGCTACCGAAGTGTGGATTGGTTGTCGAAGAATCTCTGCGGTCAGACAGTAAGTAAGACGTATGCATGTATGGTCACGCCGGTAGCATCACCTTTTCCGTCCGAGCTTTTCGTGGTAAAGCTGGTGAAGACCGCCTTGCCATGTTCGGAATAGATGTCCAGTTGCTCTGCTGAGGGACCGAAATGATCTGTTATCTCCTTCAAATACTTGGGCTGGATACTCCATTCATTTGTCGTTTTGGACCTGTCAAATATGGCATGTTGTACATGAACGGGTTCATAGGTAAGCTTATAGAGCTTAATGACGCCTGGAATCATAGTAAGTTACAGCTACGTTGACGGGGGAACGGGACATTACCAAATCCACAAATCAATTTGATGACGAGTCGACACTCGATTTCGTCTAGATCATCCTGGAGTTCAACCTCACAGCGTTCAACAGATGTGTCTTTGTCACGCCCACTTGTTCTTCCTTTGAAGGCCGACAGCATGGCCTACCGCATGTTAGCTTAGGAACAGTCTATCCAGTTAACATGGAATCTCCCCACTTTGATCAACACCTGACAACTGAAATTTTCTGGACGAGCTACCCTAGAAGAGCTGCCACCCCTCCCTCTCCCAAAGGAATAGGATTCAAAAAAGCTATCCGCTTCAAATACAAACGCAGAGTATGCCGTCTTGGTCGAATTGAGCACGCTTAAGCGAAGCTTTGGTAGTCAGTTAGCACCAGCTCAGCCGATATTCTCTCGGAAAACATGGACTTGCTAGATCAATTTCAGCCTCAATAGCCACGCTGTCATCAAATTTCGCCAGACAGGTCAGAGCATCATGTAGCTGGTATATCGCCTTTGGGGCGAGTGAGAACGATAAGTTCGCCATGTCCGATTTTTTAGAAGGAGAACGGGCTCATCTGGTGCCATAGATTGAGCCCTACCGTTTTTCAATGCTTTAGAGCCTGGAATGCAACAAAATTCCAGCCAACTCCCCAATATTGCTCTTTGTTGGACTATTGGGGATCTGGCCAATCTCCGTCACGTCGGATCGCAAACACGACGCGAGCTTACATAAGCGATACTGTACGGTAGGCGCCTTGCTTCTCCTCCAGGGACACGACTGCGCATCGATCCAAGAGGCGCTGGGTCCTGAAGTGAGAAAGTCTAAGCCGATAAATGTTTGTTAAAGTGAAAGTCGTGTTTCTCTTTTTGAAGGTTGTGATATTTTGCCGCGAAAATGACCTTCGCGTTAGCCGGTGACGTCCTCTATATCATCTTGGATATCCTTGGCAATGAGAAGGATTACAACAGCCTTTTTCAGTGCGCGATCTCTTCGAGATGTTTTACAGAGCATTCCTTGGCTGTGTTATATAAGTGAGTCTGTTCGGATGGGTACAATGATGTGTGGCGTTGGGTGCTGATATCAATGGCAGGCTGTGTGATACTTCGCCAGTGAGGGGCGGAGGAACAGAAGACGAGCAATTCAGGTCCCGGAGAGTGGCCACCACTTGGGCCAGTACCAAGGGCGAACAAGATCCTGCCATACAAAAATGGGCGTTGTTGTGGCGGTCCATTATCCTGTCTACTTTGGATCAGACTTACCTCCCTTACTACAGCTATATCCGCTATCTTGATCTGGATGACTTTGGGGACCTTCTCAAGGACCCCGGGTTCACGAAGAAGATGAAGGAGTATGCACCCCTAAATAAATGATAGATTGTTCGCAGGATAACAGAGCTTAGGGAGTTCTTTACTCCGGAGCTCTTCAGTCTTGTCTCCCGCGGCTATCAAGCCAAGGGGAATAAGCGACTTCGGTCATCAACCCTTGCCCCTGATAATGATTGGGTCATGGTAAAGATTGGCACAGGTTTGTCTCATATTTTTTAGTGAATTATTCAGTAATCATTGACATGCGCCGTGTGCTAGTCCCATAGGCTGACTTCTGAAGCAATCGTCGAGAAAACAATGTCAATACGAGGAATGTCTTGTAACGGTAGTCTCCATCTACGGGCTCCCAGGAATTTGATTAGGGAGTTCAGAAATATCTGACTGCTCTCTAGTTACACCGGAGACCCTTTCGTCATGGATCGAAGGGTTGCCCTTGCTGCAGTCTCTGACAATCTGGTCCGGGGATGCTCTTAGCCAACATGCTGGAGACAAACTCCGCAACCACTGTCCTGATTTTAAACATCTTACAATATATGGATGGTACGATTCTGCTACCAGTATCTGACATATGATGCTTACCTCATGTGTTAGGAAGAATACCCCACCCAGGAACGCGGAGGCAGATTCTGAACAGTTCTTGGATGAACTGCGCCCCAATACGCTGGAGTACTTTGAGATACTCAGTTACGCCCAACTAGGTCCTCGTTCCATCATAGCCCTAGGCTCACATCTGAATTCCCTATCTGAGCTGAAGTTGGCGAGTCTTACAATTGAGACAATCGCAGAGCTGGCCTCACTAACGGCGGCGCCTATGTTGAGGGTGTTGGTACTGACAGACTCAATACCGGCCGCACGAGACGATAACTTTTACGCCGTTATCACACGAGTCGCTGAATGGATATGCAGTTGCAGATCATTGCGGCGCTTGGAGCTCAAGCGATTCGTCGACGACTCCTTCTTGTTGTCGCGTGTTCTAGCCGATGAAGGACTTCGTCTAACTACTCTTTCCCTGGCTGGATATGCAATGACTGACAGTCATGCGTTTCACGAAGCTCTCGCCTGTCAGCAAACCTTGCAATATCTTTATCTTCGCGGTGAAGCGAGTGAATTCATGCAAGGCAACGAATTGCTTGTACAATCGATCAGCCAGCTCAACAACCTCCGGGAACTGGAGCTCAAAGACATATCTGATTGCTTTACTGTAGATCATGTGATTGCCATGACGCCATATCTTCCTCAGCTTGAGAGGCTTTGGATAGGTGGCGATTTCTTCGATGATTGTGCGCTCACTGCGTTCCTGTGTCTGCCAAAGCTCCAAAGTCTTGCGATCCATGCCTTTAGCAGATTCACTGCTGATGGCATACTCGCCTTCATATCACAGTTGGGCCTCGGAAACAAAGGCTTCAGCTTAACAATTCTAAATGCAGTCGACAGCTCGCTCACTGAGGAAGCCCAAAACGTGATCCGTGAGACTCTGAAGGTAAGTCTAGATGGGTCATTCGACTATGGTCTCGCTCAAGGTAGGTTGACCGGCGGAAGTCACCGTAACGAAGACTGACAACATGCAGAGGAATATAGCGACACGGATTCAGATGAGATGTACGAGTAAATGTTGGATAGTATCTATTGGAAAGATTCTTGCTCGTGCCAGTAGCTATCTAGGAGCAATGCGACGGTACGAATTTAGTATGATTTTATCAAGGCCCGGGAATATTCAGCTCCGACAGGTAACCAGATATTGGTCAGTGGGGTTTTTAAATTTCCTTTTCTTAGATACAGGTGTAATTCAACATAGTGTAGGTTGTTTCGTAGTTGCTGCTTCGTACTTTGTCCTGCTTACTTAAATCGGCAAACAAACCACTTAACGGAGATTGGCGGAGCGCGTCTCGACCGCGTCCCGCACGCGTTACTTTCTCCGCCGCGCGACACCCGCCTTTCGGAGTTACAGCAGCCACCAGAACCGTCAACCCCTTCCTTCCCCATACCCATACGGGAATCAAACGATTTCACCACAGGAAAACTTCCATGGACATCTGGTTCCTGTGGTAAAAGATCACCAGTGCGCCATGTCTGCTTCCCGCGCGAAATTGGCGGAGCTGCGTGCCCTTCGCGCCGCAGGAAAGAAACGCCTGTCGACATACGAGGTTGAGGAACAAGGCGATATCTACGAGGAAGTCGATGATGAAGGTTATAAGAAAATTATCCGCAACCGGCTAGATCAGGATGACTTCGTGGTCGACGATAACGGAGAAGGTTATGCAGATGACGGTCGCGAGGTTTGGAACGAGCGGAACGCAGACTACGGCGACAGTGAAAGCGAAGACGATGGTTTGCCTGCCCGGGGTAAGGCTGCGAAGAGGAAGCGTGAGGAGGAAAAGCAACGGAAGGAAAAGATCAACAATGGCATCTCGAAGTATTTCAGCGGCGGGGCTGCGCCCTCTGCTCCGAAGCCCAAGGTGAGTTGGATAGATTTGTCGAGCACAAGGTGACCCTCTAATACGTTTATAGCCTGTTGCTACCGCAGAAGACGATGCATTCATGGCCGATTTGCTCGGAGAAGTCGACACCAACGTGGTCCCGCATCGTGTGCCAACAAGAAACATAATCAAGTCTGAGACCCGGCGCAAAGTTCGCATCTTGTCACCCCCACTAGCCGACCGAACACGCAGAGAGAAGCCTATTAGGAAGGATGAGAATAGTGATCCGATTTCGCCAGTCAGGGACCAGACAGAGTCTGCTTTGGACGACGACGATGGCCCGCTTCCTGATATGGATGATGACGATGACTTCCCGATGGGTGATCCGATGCCATCGTCCCCAATCAGCAAAGCGGTAGAAAGGAAATCGGTCACCGTGCCTGTCAAAGTGGAGGAGCCTGATGACGATGACAATGATATTATGGAGGTTGCAGAAGTCACTGGACAGAACGAAGCTAAAGCTACAACCATCAACATGGCCGGAAGCCGACCGCCGCCGAAACTCAAGCAAGAGGATCGTCCGGCTCTTGCAAGCTCTTCGCCTACAAAGCCATTGCCAGAAGTAGATGCATCCTGGAACGATGTTAGGAGCAAGCTGAATGTCCTCAGCAGCCCGGCGTCATCGGAAATGCGTGGCTTCGGTAAGCTTCGTGCCCAGGATGTTATTGAGGAAGACGGCAGCCTGCGCATGTTCTGGTTGGACTTCACAGAAGTCAACGGCAGCCTTTGCTTGTTTGGAAAGGTGAAGAACAAGCAGAACGGTTCTTACGCCAGCGCATTCGTCAAAGTCGACAACATCCTACGAAAGCTCTACTTTCTCCCCCGAGAGTATCGGCACAAGAACGGGCGAGAGACAGACGAAGAGGTAGACATGGAAGATGTTTACCAGGAAGTCGACGGGATGATGTCAAGGCTGAAGGTAGGAATGCATAAGATCAAGCCTTGCACCCGCAAATATGCATTTGAATTACCCGGTGTCCCGAAAGAGGCGGAATATTTGAAGCTCCTTTATCCTTACGACAAGTCTGTCTTGCCAATGGACGTCAAGGGCGAGACATTCTCCCATGTTTTCGGGACAAATACATCATTATTTGAGCAGTTCGTGCTCTGGAAAAACATCATGGGTCCTTGTTGGCTCAAAATAGAGGAAGCGGATTTTTCTGCTGTTAACAATGCCTCTTGGTGCAAATTTGAATGTCAGGCAACAAAGCCAGCACTTATCTCCCCGGTTCCTGATTCTGAGAACCTGGAAGCACCCCCTCTTACGATCATGAGTCTGTCCTTCCGAACACAGCTCAATGTGAAAGAGAATAAACAGGAGATTCTGGTGGCAAGCGCAAGAGTGTATGAAAACGTTTCACTCACGGACACAACCCCACCCGAGAGACTTCCCTGCAAGACTTTCACGGTCATGCGGCCTGCAGGCACTTCATATCCGATGCATTTTGAAACTGAAACGCGGAAGCAGCGTGGCATGTATATGCTAGAGAAGAGTGAACAGTTTCTGCTCAGCAAATTCTTAGCACTGTTTGAAAAAATGGATCCGGATGTTCTAATGGGACATCAACTCCAGGAAGTGGACCTCAGCATTCTACTCAGCAGATTGAAGGAAAAGAAAACACCTGGCTGGCATCGACTCGGGCGGTTAAAGCGCGGCGATTGGCCCAAGAATTTCAACAGGGGTGGCGGCTTCTTTGCCGAGAGGCATCTTATTGCAGGAAGACTGATGTGCGATGTTGCCAATGATATGGGCAAGGTAAGATTCTTCGCTTTCATATGAAGAGAATGTATACTGATGGTTGGAAGTCTCTGATGATGAAATGTCAATCCTGGAGTTTGACAGAGATGTGTGACCTCTACCTCGGAAAGGGAAATGCCAGACAAGAATTGGATTGCGAAGCCGCATTGAAGACATGGGCCACTACCAAGGATGGCCTCATGAATTTCGTGAATCATTGCGACGCGGATACCTATTTCATTGCTGCATTGGTGTTGCGACTTCAGATGCTACCGTTGACCAAAGTTCTCACAAATATTGCTGGTAACTCTTGGGCACGAACACTTAGCGGTACGCGAGCAGAGCGGAATGAGTACATTCTGCTGCACGAGTTCCACCGTAATAAATATATCTGTCCCGACAAGTACGCTTCTAAACTGCTGAAAGCAGAAGAGAAGATGCAGGAGGGCGACGATGATGATTCGGCGGACAAAAAGAAAAAGGACAAATATAAGGGTGGTCTTGTCTTTGAACCCGAGAAAGGTCTTTACGACAAATTCATCCTTGTGATGGACTTCAACAGTTTGTATCCGAGTATTATCCAGGAATACAATATCTGTTTCACGACAGTGGAACGGACAGCGACTGTGAGTCTCTTCAAAGAAGTGACTTGGGCGCGAACTGACATTCTATATAGGTTGACAACGACAAGGAAGAAAAGGTGCCCGACGTTCCTTCCTCAGATCAGGAGCAGGGTATTCTGCCTAAACTCATTGCTACCTTAGTTGGCCGTCGACGCGAAGTCAAGAAGTTGATGAAGGACAAACGCGCTACCCCTGAGCAACTTGCGCTGTGGGACACCAAGCAGTTGGCCTTTAAGCTTACCGCTAACTCCATGTACGGTTGTTTGGGATATACGCAGAGTCGCTTCTACGCTCGTCCCTTGGCCATGCTCACCACATTTAAGGGACGTGAAATTCTCAGAAGCACCAAGGAGCTGGCCGAGTCAAAGCAGCTCAGAGTCATCTATGGTGATACTGACTCGGTCATGATTAACACGAACATGGACACGATCAGCGATGCTCTCAAGGTCGGTGATGAATTCAAAAAATCGGTAAACGAGCGCTATCGGCTGCTGGAAATCGACATTGACAATGTGTTCCGTCGCCTCCTTCTTCACGCAAAGAAGAAGTATGCCGCTGTCAACATGACCGAAGTAGATGGCAAGTATGTGGACAAGCTCGAAGTCAAGGGCTTGGATATGAAGAGACGTGAATATTGCTCGTTGTCCAAGGAAGTCTCGCAGAAGCTGCTAAACGAGGTTCTTTCCGGTGAAGATCAAGAAATTGTCCTCAACCGAGTCCATGACTACCTGCGCGAGCTAGCAGAAAAGATGCGCGAGTTCTCGGTTCCAGTTCAAAAATACGTCATCTACACGGTATGTATGCCCTGGTCAATCGACACTGGTCTTGTTGGCACTAACCTTCTCGCCTAGAAACTCTCCAAGCGACCCGAAGAATATCCCAACAAGGAATCGATGCCCCCGGTACAGGTTGCTTTGCGCGAGCTCGCCCGTGGAAAGTCGGTTCGTCCTAGCGACGTGATATCGTACATCGTGACGAATGGGGATGCAGAGACTGCGTCTCTCCCACCGGCCAAGCGGTCATATACACTTCAGGACGTAATGAAGTCTGATTCAGGGCTCAAGCCTGATATTGAGTTCTACCTCCTCAAGCAAATATTCCCGCCCATCGAGCGTCTCTGTGCACCTATTCCTGGTACCGATGCCGTTCGACTAGCTGAGTGCTTGGGGCTTGATGTTCGCAAATACCAGATCAATAGCTCCAGCGGGAGCAGCCAGCAGAATGCCGATATCTTCCCGCTGGAGTCGCAGATTCCCGACTCCGTGCGCTTTGAGAATGCCACACGGCTTACACTCACCTGTCGGTTCTGCAAGGAGAAATCGGTCTTTGAAGGACTGGCACAGTCAACCCACATGTGCACTACCAATGGTGTCGTGTGTCCCAACCAAGCTTGTCAGAAACCGTTTACGGTCTTGACAATCGTGGCCCAGCTCGAGGCACAGATCCGAGCGCAGACTTCCAAGTACTATGAGGGCTGGCTTATCTGCGACGACACGGCATGCGGTAACCGGACCAGACAAATCAGTGTGTATGGGCACCGGTGTCTTGGACCCCGGGGCCACGCCGAAGGTTGCCTTGGCCGAATGACGTACGAGTACACGGAAAAACAGATGTACAACCAATTACTCTACTTTGCTGGACTTTGGGATGTGGACAAGGCTCGGAAGGCAGCAGAGAAGGAACCCACTGGGGAAAAGAAGGATAGTGTGGCGGCACTGGTTGAGTTCAATCGCACGCGGTTTGGAACTATCAAGGGGGTAGTGGACGCGTATTTGAGGAAGTGTGGCCGGCAATGGGTCGAGATGGACAGCCTATTCCGCTTCATGTTGCCATAGCTCCTCGTGGATTCCCGGTTTTGTATATAGCTATATTTAGGCGGTTTGGGTTTGTGATTTTGTCGCCAATATGAATAGCGGGCATTTGCTTTTTTTCTAGATGATGGGATGAGATTAATAAACATGAAGAACATTGTGATTCCTACAGACAAGTGAATTGTGGATACGCTCTGTATCGATAAATGGGATGCTGCTCGATTTCCCGCCAGCCCCGCACCCCGCCAATCAAGCACACGGCTTTCTCTGCCCGGCACTGAACTCTCCCGCCATCCGCTTGACACCTCAGCTGGGTCACTCGATCCTTTCCCTAAATAGTTTCCTGTGACCTTTTCTCCCTCCAATTGGTTCTTTTGAGCCCCAGAAAGCTTTACGCAGTGACCGTCACCATGTCAGTCGCGCGGGTCTTGGTCATTGCAGGCTCTGACAGCTCGGGCGGCGCGTATGTTAACATGCATTATCGCAGCTTTGAACCTCTCGAGCTAATGCAGTTCGTTCGGATCTAGGGGTCTAGAAGCAGATCAGAGGGTTCTAGCTGCACATGGTTGCTATGCTCTCACAGCCACCACGGGGCTCACGGCCCAGAATACCCTGGGGGTGCAGGACATCTTCATCATTCCCGCGGAGTTCGTGAAAAAGCAGATCAACGCCGGCCTGGAAGATGTCGGCGCAGATGTTGTCAAATTAGGTATGAATTTCTTAGCTCTCTCAGATGATACTTCGTTTTCTCTCTTCTTTTCACTCCCTTCGGGACATTTACCTGTAGACTGATAAAGTATAGGAATGCTCTCTTCCGCGGAGACAATAGACGTCATCGCTGAAGCATTGACCCTCCACCAAGTGCCTGCGGTGGTGCTGGATCCGGTACCCTTGCCCCAAAATCATATGATGACTTAGAGAGAGCTTCTATCTCTGACTCAAGGCGAAACAGGTCATGGTATCCACCAGCGGATCACGGCTTTTACCCGAAGCAGCTATCCAAGGTCTACGCATAAAACTACTTCCATTGACGACTATTCTTACCCCGAACATTCCGGAAGCCATGCTGTTGTTGAAAGACGCCGGTATAGATGTGCCCGAACCAACGGACCTGCCTGGTATTATTCAGCTCGCAAAGCAGGTCTGTTCCATGGGCCCCAAGGGAGTCCTGCTCAAGGGTGGCCACTTGCCGCTCACAAGCGATAATCGGACTGCACACAATCAAGGCGATGCCTCCAAGGTCATTGATGTGCTTTACGATGGGCAAGAGGTTACCTTATTCGAGACTGACTATCTGGTGTCGAAGAATACTCATGGCACCGGCTGCTCTCTTGCCTCGGCCATTTCGGCCAACCTAGCTCATGGTAAGGATCTGAGACGGGCAGTCCACAGTGCCGTTCGATTTGTTGAGGCGGGCATTAAGACCAGCATTGATCTTGGAAAGGGAAGTGGGCCGATCAATCACTTTCACTCCTTCTACAACCTGCCTTTTGCTGCGTAAGTTTGATTGTCATTTGCAATTGACGAGATTGCCCTACTAATGGGACAAACAGCGGTCATTTTGTGGAGTATGCTCTAGACCGTCCCGACGTCCAGTCGGCATGGAAGCGTTTCACGGAGCATGATTTTGTCAAGCGGATGGGCGACGGCACACTCCCCGAGGAAAGATTCAAATCATATCTGGTGCAGGACTATCTTTACCTGGTACGGTAATCAAGATCGATCTTGCAAATGGGGCTCTCTAACAAATTGATGTAGATTCAGTTTGCCCGGAGCAATGCACTCGCTTCATATAAAGCAGGAAACATGGAGTCTATTGCTGCAGTAGGTATCCTGCAATTCTCTATCGAGTGTTTTCACGCAGTGGCGAATTTTAGCTGACTTGCAATATCTCACTATAGTCAGCAAAGATTGTTCTCCACATCCAGCGTGAAACTGCGTTGCACCTCGATTACTGTGCTTCCTTCGGTCTATCTAAGGAGCAGATGGAGAGCACCCCAGAAACTATTGGTCGGTGATGGGTCCCTAGCTGTTTGACTCTCTGTAAAATGATTACTGACAGTCAGTTGTCTCATGAACAGCGTGCACCGCATACGGCCGGTATATCCTTGATGTAGGACAATCGGAGGATTGGCTCGCGTTGCAGGTGGCCCTTGCGCCCTGCTTACTCGGATACGGAGCCATTGCACAGAGGCTGTACACCGACAAAGAGTCCGTCCGCGAGGGCAATCGGTACTGGAAGTGGATCGAGAATTATGTCGCGGAGGACTATACGGAAGCAGTGCGCTTGGGATCCGGTAAGACACCAGCTTGTACCCACCCATGACATAGTAAAGGGAATGACGGCAGCTGACACTGGTTTAGAGCTACTTGAGACCCAGATGCGACGCGTTTCCCCTAGCCGGATGGAGGAATTGATTAAGATTTTCATACGAGCGACAGAGTTAGAGATTAGTTTCTGGGACATGGGCATGGGTGGCAAACACCTCTAGGGGCGAATGTGCCGAACTGGGGCCGGGGAGAGGAGCTAGCAACGCGGGGAAAGGGTTGATGGACTGTGTACATGAAGATAGACATGCGGAGAAGACGATCATCCATAGAGACTGGACGGGAGGCCCTGTTGTGTCTGGGCGGCTCCTCCTGGCATATCGTATCTATCTATGTCCCAGCGGCGGCATGAAGGGCGCGGCGCAAGTTGAAGGTCGCCTTCCGCCTTAATCAGCGGTGGCGGCGGGGGCCAATGAGAGGGCCGCATTGACGCATTTTCTGCGCTTTCGAGTCGCCATTTCCCCTGCACTAAGCCCAATCGGCCATGTTTGCCTCCGCCTCCCGTCGTTTTTTCCTTTTCTTTTCTTCGCTTCCCGCCCGGGGCTTCCTTCTCTTTTTCTTTCTTTCTTTCTTTCTTCCTCCATCTCATCATCATCTTTCGCTCTCCTCTTTTACCTTTCCTTCCTCTTATCTCCTCCCTATCCCTGTCTTTGAAGGTTGTGTTACTTCCTTCATTGTCTTCTTCCGTTTCATTCGCTTCATCTGTGTCTGTTTAACGCCTCTGTTTCCCTTTCCTCGGCCAAAAAACAAGTTCTCGTTAATTTCATCATGTCTTCCTACGGCGGCGGCGGCGGCTACCAGCGCGATTCGTATCGGTAAGCTATCCTTTGACTCCCCGGGCACTGGTCGGATGAAATGTCTCTTATCAAATCCGCCCTGTCGGTGTACTACCCGAACCATGACTGTATTCACCTCAAGGGTGTTGCAGTCTCGGTTGCGGTCACGCGACGCGGTCAGCCTTGAGAGAACTCCAGACTTTTGCTTGATTATCACTGCAAGGATCAATATAAATTGTGAACCAGCGAGGCTTGGATGCTAACACCCTTTGCAGCTCTAGAAACGGTGGTGGCAGCGGTGGTGGCAGTGGCGGCTACTCCAACGGCTACTCCAACGGCGGCGGCTACGGTGGTGGTGGTGGATACGGTGGCGGCGGCTATGGTGGTGGCTACGGTGGCAGAGGTGGTGGTGCCGGTGCTGGCGCTGGTGGAGACCGCATGTCCAACCTGGGCGCTGGCCTGAAGAAGCAAGAATGGGGTAAGTTGCGAAGCTTCGCGGGAGGAAATACCAGCAGTGCTAACAGTCATGGCAGATCTCGATGCTCTTCCCAAGTTCGAGAAGTCTTTCTACAAAGAACACCCCGATGTCGCCAACCGCACTCAGCGTGAGGTTGACGAGTTCCGTAAGAAACACGAGATGGCCGTCCAGGGCAAGAACGTCCCTCGCCCTGTCGAGACCTTCGATGAAGCTGGGTTCCCCCAGTACGTTCTGGGCGAAGTCAAGGCCCAGGGCTTCGATCGTCCCACCGCCATTCAGTCCCAGGGTTGGCCCATGGCTCTCTCTGGTCGCGACGTCGTCGGTATCGCTGAGACTGGTTCCGGAAAGACTTTGACCTACTGTCTCCCGGCCATTGTTCACATCAACGCTCAGCCCCTCCTCGCTCCCGGTGACGGTCCCATTGTCCTTATCCTCGCCCCCACCCGTGAGTTGGCCGTCCAGATTCAGGCCGAAATCTCGAAGTTCGGAAAGTCTTCTCGTATCCGCAACACCTGTGTCTACGGTGGTGTTCCCAAGGGTCCTCAGATTCGTGACCTGAGCCGTGGTGTTGAAGTCTGCATTGCCACTCCTGGTCGTCTGATTGACATGCTGGAAGCTGGTCGTACCAACCTTCGCCGTGTTACATACTTGGTTCTGGATGAGGCTGATCGCATGCTGGACATGGGTTTCGAGCCCCAGATCCGCAAGATCATCTCCCAGATTCGCCCTGACCGTCAAACTTGCATGTGGTCTGCCACCTGGCCCAAGGAGGTCCGTCAGCTTGCGTCGGACTTCCTCAGCGACTACATTCAGGTCAACATCGGTTCGATGGATCTGTCTGCCAACCACCGTATCACCCAGATTGTCGAGGTCGTCTCGGACTTTGAGAAGCGCGACCGCATGATCAAGCACCTCGAGAAGATCATGGAGAACCGTGGCAACAAGTGTCTCATCTTCACCGGCACCAAGCGCATCGCCGACGAAATCACTCGCTTCCTCCGCCAGGACGGATGGCCCGCCCTTTGTAAGTTCACACTCTACCTGCGAACTCTAATTGTCTACTAACATACACTCAAGCCATTCACGGTGACAAGCAACAGCAAGAGAGAGATTGGGTCTTGAACGAATTCAAGACGGGCAAGAGCCCAATCATGGTGGCTACCGATGTGGCTTCCCGTGGTATTGGTATGATGAAATCGCAATATCCCCCCTCCCCCTCCCCCTCCCCCTCTCCTCCCCTCCCCTTTCTTTCCTCTGCTGAGGCACCCTCACCCGTATTGAGGATGTGTGTCAATGGCACGGTGCTTGACTCTCTTCCACCACCCGTTGGTGTGTATGACTCTTCCAGGCTTTGTCGGGTCTCCTGAAATGGTTCTCAAGCCAGGAGGGCCTTGGACTCACAGTGCAGTGTAGCAGACGTATTACATCTTCTGTTCTGATTCACCATCTCTATCTTTGAACTTGGCCGGTAGAGGGATGGAAGTTCCTCTTCACCGACTCGTTAAAGCTGCATTCCAAGGTTGCTCTAGGACCACGATTTCTGCCGCCCTCGGACTCGTCCATCACGGATCTTTGATGAAAGTCTGAGAGAGAGAGAACGATGCATCAAGTCTCACATGACCGAGAAAGGGCTCCTAAGCCACGTTGCTATCTTGACTAATGCTCTGTTTGCTAACGTTACATGTGTCTGAAGATGTGCGCGACATCACACACGTTCTTAACTACGACTACCCCAACAACTCGGAGGACTATGTTCACCGTATCGGTCGAACTGGTCGTGCCGGTGCTAAGGGTACCGCCATCACCTTCTTCACCACTGACAGTAAGTGTTTGCCTTGTTCTCGCCTGCTCCTCTGGATTTGATGCTAACATGGCCCTTTGCGCAGATTCCAAGCAGGCTCGTGACTTGGTCACCATCCTTACTGAGGCCAAGCAGCAGATTGACCCCCGTCTCGCCGAGATGGTCCGCTACAGCGGCGGCGGTGGCCATGGCCACGGTGGTTACGGCCGTTGGGGTGGTCGCGGCGGCGGTGGTCGTGGCCGTGGCAACAACTACACTGCCTCCAACGCGGCTCCTCTCGGTGGCAACCGTCGCTGGTAAACTGACCTTGATGCCCAGTCCAGTCACTGAGCTTGTATTCCATTGTCACATCGGTAGACCTTTTCCTTTCTCCTGCGCATGACTTTCCTTCTCTTCGTAACGGTCCGGGCGGCGTTCATCGATATCACGATAGACTATTCGCGTGTTTTTGCTCAGTTTACAACAGGCTCCCCGGCATGGGACGGCCTCGAAACCCATACGATTGCACACTGATATCTCACGGATACACGTTAATTTTCTTTCTCTTTGCGTGGTTGTTTCTTTTTCAAAAGTTATGTGTATCACTTGACTTGTTCCGGAACGGATGGGTCTAGATAGTGTGTAGCTTCAGTTCTTGCATGCCGATAATTGGAGAGAAAATGTACCTATCTGCTTCTGGTTTTGTTAGTCGAAGTTATCAAGAAATGAGTTATCCGTACATCCATCCAACTAGCCAAGGCCATGTCTGTGTTCCCTCAATCCGTGCATGCACGCCTTTCCTCTCTCGACCCAGTCGAGTTGCCTACATTAGTGGCTGCATCCCGATACGAGCCTACTGGCTAGCTCGACGCAATTCCAAGCGTCTACCTAGGCCTGATCTGCAACGCATAGCAGACACCCTTGGTAGATGCACAAGGCAGCTGCTACTGCAGCCGCCGCCCCGCAAAATTGCCAATCGAGCCAGACCAGCACCGGGTTCCAAGTAGGCATCATCCTAGTGGGCTAGCTAGTCACGACACGGGTGCTTGATAGATGATTGCTTGGAGTGCTTACCTGATTGCATTATCAATTTAATTGAGTAATTTCTGATAACTAATAGTTGGTCGATGATGTGATCGCTGACGATTCCGGATACATGTGTATTTACCGTGTATGTTAGTTGTGGTTTTCAATCTGATTTTGTAATGTTTTCTTGGTTGTTTGCGTGGGCTTCCTTTTCTTTTTTCTTTTCCCCCTTTTTCCCTTGGCCTCTGGGCTTAGGTAGGTAATTTTTTTTCTTGCTCTCTTAGGTTTTATGCAGGGTATGTGGAGGAGGGTGAGTTGTGTAATGATGGGTTATGGATAGTTGATTTAAGTTGGGTGTGGGGGATTATTATGGATATTGAACGTAAAGTGAAACTAGGATAGATATGAATTGATCGTATATATCATATAAGTAGAGACAATATATGTGTTGTTGAGAATGTGGAGCTGTAGTGAAGATATCCGATATTCTATATATTTTCGACGGCTTGGAACTGTTAATAATTGATTCATAACATGCAATGATCTACCTTTCTAGTGCTAGAAGAAGAAGAAGAAGAAGAAGAAGAAGAAGAAGAAGAAGAAGAAGAAGAAGAAGGGAATAATGTATATAGATAATGAATTAATCAATGGGTATACTGTTAAGAATCAAAACGGTATTGGGAGCCTTAAGTACTAAGAGCTGAGTTAGGTCCTAGAATATGCGTTTAAATTGCTGGGTGGAATGCCCTTGCGCGCTAACATGTCTGAATTGTAAGTGTATATACTAGGTAGAGATTGTGTTCTCTGTGTGGAGAAATTTCCTGTAGACTAGCTATTGTATCTTGATAGGAAATAAGACAGGTGTATTGTTAACTTCGGACAGCCATAGTTATATACAGGCTGCGGTGATCATGGTTACTTCTGCATATAGTCATCCAAAACTCCGCATAGAGTATCAGATCAACCAGACCATTCCTTTAGCTTCTTAAGCACAGCACTGGCTAGTATCTTGTGAATGTGACTCGTCATATGCCCTGAGTTGTACCAGAAGTAGGTGTTCAAAGGCGTTGGACACCCGTATGCCTCGTAGTTCCATTCAATATCCGGCTGGTCGTAGCCCGCGCAGAAGTTTGTAGTGTTCACGATGCCATACTGGCTTGGGTGATCTAAAATGTAGCTGAGCTCACTATGAGCGTCAAACAACATCACATTCGTGTCTGAGTAGCGTCCATGGAAGGCATCTGCGTGCTGGGCCAATGCATCGTTGTACCAGGTGATCTGTGTCGCATTGGGGCTGGGATCAGCACTGCCTAGGTTGCCTGGTCTCCGGTCCAGTGGGGGAAGGTTCATGAAAAGATAGGAACGGTATCCCAGAGAGTAAATTGTCTGAACAGAGGAGAAGAGCGTATCCATGAGCTCATTGTAGAAGGTCGGGAAGTCGACATCGTACTTAGAACTGTCGCCAATGTCGTTGATACCGATCCATATGGCCACCAACGCATGCGACTGGTCTACAGTCTGCTTGAGAACGGGCTGTCCGTAATCGTTGAATTGCTTGACTTGGTTGACGAGCGAGACGGTGAAGTTATGGTGAAGAGGCGTGCTGTGGTAGGTTAGAGGGCAATGGAAGATGAGCCACCGCGGTTTCGTACTATTCAACGGAAATGTCTGCCCCTGCAAATGCAAAGTCCCACAGCTGTTGTCCACAGTCGAAGGGCGAGGTAACTCCCTCCTCGAGACCACAGCCCGTTAGATATTCCACCCAGTTTGGACCTCCTTCTGCAGTTGCGGCCTGCATTCAGAAAGCTGCATCAGCAACAGAACTGGATAGTAGGGCCTGTAATTTGCGATAGTATAGTGGTTGTCAAACCTGATTCTGGACAATCTTGTTAGTAAGCAGAGTCTGTGGGCTATATTCGAAGTTTTGGAGGTCGCCGATGAAGCTGTAGTTCTGAAGACCATGTGTCCCTTGGACGTATGTATACGAGTCACCGAAGGCGATTCTGGTACCCAGGTGTCAGTAAGCACCCAAGGGCTTTCCAGACACTGCAAAATATGAGCCCAAGCACAAACAGGTATTTCGTAGAGCCCCATTTAAAAACTCTCTTCTGAAGAGTACCGGAGGGGTGTGCCGAAATCATCGGAATGGCCGCGAGGGCCAGAAACCGCCAGGTTACAAACATAATTTGATTAATTCACTGTATGAGATTTGAGAAGACAAAGCTAGACTGCCAGATATTGCCATGTTAACGTATTTGCGGGTTTTATACGCATTGCAGGGGAGGCACAGTCTCTCATACTGCCCGATTAACCCCGCAGAGATATTCAAAATCCGGAGAAATCATAGCACGGAGTGGTTGAACGGAGGATAATTTTCCACTTGTAAGTAGCTGCAGCTGGCTGACAAACAACAGGCAGGCAGATCTGGGAGCAACTCCAGATCTGCAATGGGTCTCTGAGCTATCACTTCTGGATGCGCTTCTAGATGAACCAACGAAGTCTCCCGCGCTCTTGTAGGGACCTGACACAAGCCTCGGCTCGTGGATCGGCTGGCTGCGGACAGCACCGTCACTGACTGGAAGCGCGTGGGGGCACTGGGGAGCTGTCTAGCCGAGCCTTTTGGCCATGTAGCTTGCCGACGCCGGCAAAAGGGACATCCAGGAAACAGGTCTCGCTTGAGGGCTGTCAGCCTGTCAAGAGTCAAGAGTCAAGATGCTAGCGAACCAAGCCTGCCGATCTCCGCGCGCAAGGAGGCCAAGATTATCCGGGGTTGGAGGGCCCAAGGGAGGCTCAATCGACTGCGGGGAGTTAGTAAGTTAGTTCAGCCAAGCGAGATCGTGCTCCGGTTCACGGCGACGCGATGCAGAGGCCGTTGATGGACAGCCACGCTTCGGAGAGAAGGTGCAGGACACCCTGCCCGATGGTTTTCCACGGAGAAGCCATCGAGATAGATGATGGAGGAACAGAGGGAAATCGCGTTATCTCCCAGGCGTTGACGGGCAGGTGATTGTCTCCAGCTGAATGCCTCCGAATACCACCTCACTATCTTACTGTAAGATATCGCGTAATAATGAACCCAGGGTGGGGACTCCGACCTATCCAGTCTCCAGTTCCAGCAGGTGTGTCATACCAGTCGGACCGTGACTTGTGTTGGTCAGATCGGATTAAATAATATCTGAGGGAACGACCTGCCGGACACCGGACGCCAAAAGAAATCGGTTATCAGAGTAATCTAAATAGAGAGATAGAGAATGAGTCTGCAGCTGTAGCTTGTATGTACCTGCCTCCTTGGGACCACATATCATTGTAGGTAGATACTACTAGATACTGATAGTGACTTGTCTACCTTGGGGGGTGCTATGTACTGGAAAGTACCATCTTACGTACCTCCAGGGGAAAAGGTACCGGTAAGGACTCGGTACGGGTGGTCCGCACTAGTTCTCCCCGGTACGACCCAGTTACTAGTGAGGTAATTTGGACGAGCCGGGGCCAATGAGGACCACAGCAGCAAATGCAGGTTTAGGTATATACCGCTAGCCCCGACGGAGTTAGGCCGATGGTGCGGGAGGTAGGGGTGGTTCCAGTTCGGGTACGCTAACCACTAAGGTCGGCCAGGACCAGGACCGTGAGCGGGCTAGGCTTGGGGCTACTGCTAGTCCAATATGCGGAAGTCGGGAATTCCGCAGATAGTATCACGGGGGGTCGAGATTGGACACCCCCGACTGGGTTCCGGTCAAGCCTAACGTAATAAGAATGGCAGCCTTCAAGCCTCATCAGTCACCGGCGTAGAACATGCATGGAACATGTAACCACTCGCCCGTGATCCCAACTGCCCATAGTGCACGAAGGAAAAGCATGGGTTATCTCTGCAGTAGTGTGTCTGTGGAAGATCTCGAGTTGAGATCGTGGCAGGTCCGGTCGGGTCCTTCCAGTTTGCCTAGGTACTGTGTACCCATCATGGATCTTGAATCCGAAGGAACGCGGGCTTGGCGGTCCGCCGATTCGGAACTATAGCATTATCGTATATTAAATGCTTGCTCTCCAGGGCATGAATAATAAGACTGACACGTTGTCCTCCGTCACCGCGATAAGTGGAATACTACTACGGAAGAACTCGGCCGCTGATTCGTTCCTAGACGCTGACCAAGGATGGAGCCCCATTACATAAGAAAACCCTGATAATGGCTGACTGACTGACTGACTGACTGACTGTCTGTCTGTCAGGTCGGAGGCGTGTTTCCGGCCGATGTATCGTCTTAGAGTCTTAGGAACAACGGTAGGGTTCCCGTTGCGGATAAGTCGATTAGTTGACTCATTTGTCCTGGAGCTTGGACCTTATCGTTAGGCGGTTAGGGAGAGAGCTCCCTAGTGTAACCGATGTTTAGTTGGGGAAGCACCGTCGGCGTCTGAGACTGTCTGATCTTCCGGGTGGGCCATTGACAGTCGACTGGTTCAGACGAGACCGTCCGAGGACCGGACGGAGCACGGAGGACTCCGTTCATCCTCTCAGCTCTCAGGATACCCAATTGGTCTGGCGCCGAAATTTTCATCTACGCGGTCAGGACACAATCTCGTTAATCGCGCGAGATGCCGTGATCTCGCCCATGATTATCGGCGCGCAGCTACACAAGGTTTTCGCTACCACCAGTCGTCACGGGCAATCATCAGGTACGGAGTGGCCTACCGATTTCCGACCTGCGACTAAAACGACCCCATTATCTTAAAGGTGTCTTAGTCTACCGACTTAATCAAAATCCTAAAGCGCCTGAGAAATTACTGCTCTCCTCATTGGCCCGCCCGCGCGATTTCCCTGCCATTCTTTTTGGATTTTGAGTTTGGAGACGGGGCGACGTCGGTCGCTTTCCTGATTTTCGTCTAATTCACTTACTACGACAAATAACCATATCCATGGCTCCATCATGCTCCACCCAACAAAGGACGGAGAGTGAGCCGCAGAGCCGTGGTGGGAATGATGGCCCTAAGCAGTCAAGCCCGGACGCTCTGCTCCATACGGTGTCCAAAGACAGTTCCGCGGTATCGATCCCTTTGAAGTTTGGAGGTCTCTAGGCCACTAAAGGCAGTTCCTCGGCAAAATAAGGTGAGCTGAGCGATTTCGCAATTAGCGGACAATTGGATCACTCACTTAACCAGCCTCCGCATATAACCATTCCTGTGTATTATCTATGGCGCGAGATTTTCGACATGATGATCGCGTGCAGGTATTGGCTACAGAGTACGGAGTACCGTTCCGCAGTTTATTGAGGGCGACTGCGGTTTCGTCCTGTAGTCGGCTCAGGGGCTCATCCAGATAAAAAGAAAAGAGCGCGGCAGGGCGTCTCACTGCCTATTCTCCCTCCTCTTTGATCCTCTCTATCTTTCGGCTAAACTCACGCAAACCCGAGCTCCTGGTTGCTTCTTGCTGTATCCGGTACATTGCGGGCGGTGCTGGGAGCTGTGCAGCCTCGGGTCACTTGAGTGGATGCTGCTTACTGTGTAAAGCTCAGACAAAACATTCTAAGACGCGCTCCTGCCAGCTAGTCAGCACGTGGAGCAACTTAGCACCTGAGATCATGCCAAAATAGCTTGGTCACGGACGTGACATTTTAACAGCGGAGCTATCCGCATAAGCCAGACCACCAAGCCATGAAGCCATTTATTTTACGAATCAGCGACAATGCCATACATATGCGCATAATCGCATCCACATGCGACAGGAGGAAGGAGGAATACCCAAAGCCGGAGGGTACGGAGTAGAGTCGGGAGAACTTTTCAATTGACTGTTTCAAGGGAAAAAAAGGGAAGGAGAAAAAAAAGACGCATGCCTACCTCATTTCAGCGTCAACAATTGGTAGGTTACCCCTTTCATGTGCATTGGTAGGGTTCCCCATCGGGGAAGAACAATAATAATTGATGGTTTGGGATTGATCCAGCTCTCCTGGAGTCCTGTGTTGTCCCGGTGGGCCCCCGACAATACTGGGTCGATACAAATGCAATACATACTTTCTCCGCCCACTGTCGTCGACCCTCCTCGGAGACGATACTGGTCAGGAACATATGCAATGTGCACTCATCCTATGCAGCACGGGTGCCCTATGAAGGTCGTTGCAAATCTTAGGATAATAGAGATGGTAGATTATGGATGGTCATTGCTCAATTGGACTCGGTTTAGGAAGGTCCATCGTCGTTTATCAGCTTCTCCAAGTGCAGCTGTGGAGGTGCCCTCCGTACCAGTAATACTCCTCAGAAAAAGTCCCGATCGACACCCATCTCTCCAAGTCCCAACCTACTCATGCTAATCGGCCGGCGTCCAAAAGAGTATTAGCCTTTGGGTACGCTCTCTCCTAAGGCCTTGGCTATCTAGAAGCGCTGATAGTATTACCCCATACATCCGGGGATGGGAGGCTTGATTCCGCGCCCAGATGATACTCTGATTGTTGCATTCTAATTTCTCTAGGCAGGAAGCAGACGAGAGCAGAGCCGGCGGGTTTGCTGGAAAAACTCCATGACATTTGCAATGATCTAGTTGATCATTGCTTGAATCGATGCTCACTAAGCATATCAAATCCAGCAGAACCAATCATGGCCACCCCCAAGGTGCTCCGATTTGATTTGATCTTGTTACTCCGTAGGTACGGTGGGAGGTACGGAACCATACCTCCTTGAAACTGACACCAGATATTATTATTGATTCCTGCGATTCACCCGGAATTCATATCGCATGATGGTTGCCTTGTGACCTGCTGATTCTTTCAACTCTCCCTCTCGTTCATGATAGCACTGTTAGAGCAAGCATTTTACCCCCATCCATTCAACGTGGCAGTAGGGTAGACACAAACGAGGGATCTTCTTACGTACACTGCCAATGCTAGAAGAGTACTGAGTACGGAACTGACTGTTTCAATCGAGCCCGTGGATGGCCTGGAATGGTACGGACGGTATCACCGGCCTGAGGTTTGTCCTATTTGCTTCCTGGCTCTTTCACCGGCAGTGGGTGTGTTAGGTTCCGCCTGCGCGGGGTATGACCCAGTCGGAATACCAATCATCCAACGTACATCTGCCCACCCAGGGCTTGCCTGGAGCAGCGTCCTTCCGAGATTGGAGCCTTGCATTATTTCTCACGTCCCCTTCTCTCCTACCTTGCGCCTGGCCTTCCTATCAAGAACTAGCCCACTCTTTGTTCTTATATGTCCTGGAAGGATTTGTAGATATAATCAACGATGAGAATTAATTATTATTATGGATACTTTGGTTTGGTCCGGAGTAGAGCCGGTATCTCGCTTCTGCGTGGGCTGTTGATTGTTGTTTATCACGTCTTCGATGCATTAACCTGGCATTAACCTGACCTCAACGCAAGCCAAGATAGCATAATCGGGATGATGAAAACCTACCCAGATAGGATACCACGGAAATACACTTGCGATTTTCTGGTAATTTTCCCCAGCCTTACCAAGTCCCTCGTACCCCTATATGCAACCATACGTCCGATCATATGGATCACGATATGAAACCTGGGTCATATCTTATAATTTTTAATTCACTATGGCCACTGTTGTGCGCGCAGGTATTATTATCATCATTATAGCACATATGATTCAGGATATCCCACTACATTCACATAGGGTGGTACCCCTGAATCGAGAGCAGGACAGTAAATGATATGACCCGGGTAGATACTGGCCGAGTAGCAAAAGTACCAACAGCCAACGAGCAGCCGATGCCAACGCCTGCAAATACTACGTATGAATGATGATTTTATCCTTGGCTTGCCTCTTCACCCACTTAGATACCTGACAACATCCCTGGTCATACCTACATAGTACATACATCCTCTTCCAGGCAACCCTGAAGTAAATTAATTTCTTCTCTTTCTTGATTCTTCAAGATCTAGATGCCTTTTGGCATATGAATAACATCCTGACTAGCGTTGCTCATCCACTTAGCCTGGGGGCTGGTTGGCACATAACCTAATTCGTCCGACGGTCTGATTATTTCTGTATATCTATTGGACTGCGACCCTCGTGTTCCCCACTGACGCGTTCCTGACTTGCGCAGAAGATAACGACTCGACTGGTTACACCATGAATTGTAGATAGGCGCTTTATAACGACTGCATACATCTGACTGATCTGCTCCATTGTAGTTGCGAGTTCAGAGGGGCAACCGGTTGGTGAACCGGAAGGGGGGCAAGGGAAAGGGGGTTTCCGGGACGGTATACCTAGTACTTAGTTCCAGCGCCCTTGGTACGGCGAGAGGAAATCTTCCGATTTGAAGCGACATAACGGAGTAATATGGAGTCAGAAGCTGTAGTTATCTGAAGTCAACCCTCGACTCCACTGAATGGCGTGCTTTTGATTGGCGATCCCGCGGCCATACTTCGGTTTGTTGTTCTGGCTCCCCCCTGAAGTCGGCCGTACCGCAACAGGTGACCGACATGCCCTCAGCGGATACGGGTGGTATTGCTGTCGTTCTCCCTTTTCCCACCAGTAGCAGCAGCCAAGACTTCCCTTCCCCCCCTCCAGTGCCTCCACAACCTAACTCTACTTACTTGACCTTCCAACGCGATCAAGTAGTACGGAGGAGTACACACACCTTCTCTGGCGTGCCAGAGCCAGAGGCTATCGCCGGCATCAACCGCCGCCCTTTTCCATGGTTGTCTTAATATACGGATGCTATTGTTAGTAGCGAAGGATTTATAATACGTTTTTGATATCGACTTTACCGGCTTCCATTAAACTCGCGCCACTGTTTCCCCTTTCTCATCACTTGGACAGACCTCGTCGAGCCTCCACTACTTACGGACCCTGCACGCGGTCTTCGCTTCCCCCCGACTTACGCTACGCCTACTCTTTCACTAGCCTTGAGTCTCTTCGCAGACCGTTCCAACCTCCAAGCCGTTCCTCGGGCACGCCATCCCTAGCCCATCGTCATTTGGTCACTAAGACCTGATTACCTACTCCCGCAGCCGGGACGTTGGCCAACGATCTTGGTTGGTATCCACGGGCGCATACGCTAGGTTCACGACAGTCTCCCTGCGACCAAATTCGACACGCGCACCGTCCGTCCCGAATCGCGGGTAGACTATCCAAGCTCTAAACCCCTATCAAGTAGTATATCAACATCAATCCTCTACGTAACAAGTTTATTTTCAACTTCACCTCTCAACGCTTTGGTTGCAATTTCACGCCACAACGGAGTAGCGAGGTGGGGTTGACAGGTTGGAAGAGATAGATAGGAGGAGGATAAGAAAACGGAAAAGGGGGTGTCGAATTTCAATATTTACTTTTTGTTTTCTTTTTTTCGCCCTTTTTCTTTCTTTCCCTCCCTTTTCAATTATTATATTTCATTTTATATATAAATCTTTTTTTATTCTGTACCTCCTTTCGATTTTGCCACACTACTGGCGGAGTATTCCGCTCCAGGGAGACAGGCCAGAGACGGCAAAAGAAAGGGCACGATGAAAAAAGCACCTTCAGACAAGGAAAGCTTAGCCGGGTTACGAAAGAACAACCACAGTACTCCGGGCGACAGGTTGAGCAACTGAGGGGAAGGGGCTAAAGAGAGGACAGCAGAGAAAAGAAACGAGACGCAGCGAAAGGGTAAAAAATAACTAATTGAAAGAGAAAGTATTACAACGACCACTCTTTTTGGGCCCTGATAATTCATCGAAAAGGAGTGGGTCCAGCTACTTACTGGCAACGGACCCGTCACCACAAAGCGGCAGCACTCCGCTCCAAGGGCGAAAACAAACGACCAATCAGAATTAATACTCCGGGCGGCCCCACCAGTAACAGTAGCGTGACCTTACGAATACCGCCCCCCCACTTCATGGTGGTTTCTTATTACCTACATGTTACCACTACCGCCATCCCCCTACTGTGCACCACCACGACCGGAAACCACCACTTTTTTGCCTCCAAGCTCCCTTTTCCCCTACTCCATAGGGAGCGAAAAATTACGGGGCCCACGCGCGCTCCACCGTACCCTCGGATCCCACGAGGTGCTGCTCTCTAACCTGCGTTTTTCCTCCTGCCGAAAAGCCTCTTTGCTCGTCCTGTCCGAAGCCTTTTAGGCCGCGTCCTCTGCCCAGGTCTCTCTTTTCCGGGTTGAGTCGAACCATTTTTTCCTCCGTCTCGATTTTAGGGTGATTGTGCTACTGCGTTGCCACCTAGATCGAAGCATCGTCTTTAGCGCTATCGCTGATTTGACCTGGTGGAATCTTATTTTATTATTACTCGTTTCTGTTCGTCCTAGCCAAAGAGACTATTTTGGCCCTGCCCTGGCTGCTTTCTAAACCCTCACCCACCCCCCCCTCCCACCCAAAGCTTGCCCGAGCGCAGACAGGACCGTCCCTTTCCATCCTCCCGCGGGTTCCTCGTGCTGTCGTGCTTACCGCCACCTGCAAGGCCATTCTCCGTCACCCTAACAGGCGACTAAGGCAATTAAGCATCACGATCCAGCGCTACATTTCCCCCGAAGACCAAATACCTCGTCTCGGTTTCCCTTGATCTTATCCGTGATACGTTATTTTGATTTCCCTTTCCTGACCATACCGACTTTATTCCTCTTCTCTCTCTTCTTTCCCTCTCTTTCCCTCTATCTCTCTTGTCAGTGTATTGAAGAGGGTCGAAACCATACGCGCCAGATTACGCGTTGGTTCTTTCTTTTATTTTCTTTTCCCTTCACTTTCATTCTCTCAAGACCAACACGCCATTTCGGGACGTGCAGCATTTGGTGTGAATCTTGAATCGATTACCTGGTCTGCTACTCCGATTCACTAAATAGTACGTTCCAACAAAAGAAAAAAGAAAACCACAAAAAAAAAAAAAAGGAACGAGGATACTGGCAACCAACCCACCTCGGCCACCTTACTCCTGCTTTCCGAAGCAATCTTCTTTTTCTTCCCTTCCCATCTGTCACTGCGACACCTCTTTATATCCTGTTGGCAATCACAAAGCTCATTGTGCTCTCTCAACGCGTCTTGTATAGGCCCGTGAGTTTTTAGTTTGGAGGATTGTCACGGATCGCTTGCAACCCGCTAGCGGCGAAGATTGTATTATATGGACAACCGACCTGCCTCGGAGTACGCGCAGTCAGGTTCGCACTTTCCATATCCACCGTCTGCCGCGACGCATCATTCTGAACCTCCAGCTGCAGACCAGGCTTCTGCTGCTGCCACTGCTCAATACACCCCTCAGCCTGAGGTCCGCCCTACGCCTCAGTACACCCCTCAACCCGAGGTCCGCCCCGCCGCCAATATTTCATCCTCCAACACACCGCAGTCGGACTACGGTCTGAACCAGCCGCCCGCCGCGCGCTCTCCTGCGTACCCCGAATACCTCGCCCGCCCACCCCAATACCATCACGCGCCCAACACCCAAGCTGGTGGTGCGGCAGGTATGGCTCAAGCAACAAGTCCGTCCATGACCACCCTCAGTGATGGGCAGCACCATGACCATCGCAATCACTCGAACCTGAAGTCTGACGCGGCCGTTCCTATAGATCCCTCAATTGCGGCATCCAGCCCCACCTATCCTCCTCCCTACTCCCCCTATCAGCCCCAGGGCCACGACATGGCACAGTATCAAGGCCACCCCCCTCCTCCCCCGCCTCAGATGTATACGCGTCCAGAATGGTCGCATGGGTATGGACAACATCAACACGGTCTGCCTGGACCGTATACCACTCCTGCCACAACGGTTGGTCCCGCCTCCCCTGCTGCGACCGCAGGGCCGCGCCCTGGCCAGGTATGTTTTTGATGATTTTGGCGTCTGTTTCCAAAGGCTGCGCACTTGCGTTGGTTTGTTGTCTCGGACGTCTAGTCAGGGCTGCTGCCAGGCGGCCTTGCGGGACGTGGGAAGCAGCGCACTTTTTCATCTGTTTTTGGTCCCGGGGATCATAGGCTCATCATGCGCTTTCTATAGGTATACTCGTTCGTCCCAATCCCTGGCGCGCAGCAGCACAAGAGGCCCCGCCGTCGGTACGAGGAAATCGAGCGCATGTATAAGTGTGGGTGGAACGGATGTGAAAAGGCATATGGCACACTCAACCATTTGAACGCCCACGTCACAATGCAATCCCATGGCGCCAAGCGTACGCCCGAAGGTAAGCCGGTTGCCCATCATTTCGCGTTGAGTCCTGGACCCGCGACCTCGCATGTGTTGTTTTTGTTGGTCGCGAAACTCTGGATTGGGCTAGTGCGGGTGGCACGCGCTAGTCGTGTTACACTACCTTAGCGCCGCGGATCGCAGTAGCGTGACAAGCCGGTGCGGAGGTTAAGCGTCTTCGACTAGCTCTCTCTGTCGCGCCTGTCCCTCCCTCTCCATCCCCTTCAGCCATCACCATCCCTAACGTTCACTACCTCGAGGCTATCATGCGACCCCCAACTAATTTGTTTTGCAGAATTCAAAGAAATTCGCAAAGAGTGGAAAGCACGCAAGAAGGAAGAAGAGGCCCAGCGCAAGGCGGCGGAAGAGCGCGAGCGCGCTGCCGCTGCTCAGGCTGCTCAGGCCAACCAGGTCGATGCACCCAACCCTGCTGATCCCGCACAGGCTGGGCAACCCCCCGCCTACCCTGGTGGTGTTCGTCCTCAGCTCCCTCCGATTGGATATCAGCCCGCCGACGGTCAGGTACCTGGGCAATATGGAGCTGGGGCTGGTGGTATGGTTTACCAGGGTAATGGGCAAATGGCCTACCCGCCAAACTACCCTCACTCCCCTTATGGACAGACCGGTCAAGTGTATCAGACACGTAAGTAGTCAGTCCTTTGTTATGTTTGCCTTATCAGGACCGGGTCATGAGGAAGTCTCGAAAGAGACATGAAGAACCAAAAAAAAGAAAAGAAGAACCTAAAAGGGACACACGACCACCACACCCGGATGCAAGAGCAAGAAAAAGGTTAAGGAGGAGGTCTTTGGATCTATTGCTGTAAGGTCTGTAGCTGATCGATGATGGCTTCGCAGAAAACCAATCGACCAGCTACCCGCAATAGATGGCCAGCTTCCCTTACTTCTTTCAGGTTGCATGTTCTAATACAATATCTCCTAATCCCGTATCGCCATCCCCGGATCTAATTCTCTAAGTTCCTCTGCGCACATGATACCATTTTCTGGCCTTGATTGCTCCAGTCAAGAGTGGCCTTGCGACTTACGCTTCTGTCCCAGTTATGTTTTTTTGAATTAGATCGCATGGAAAAAAGGCTAATCGAGGGGGTTCGTTGTTTTTTCTTCCCTGCGCGAACACCGGCTATGGGATTACGACTTGGGATATCTGGCGGGGCCTTCTGCATTGTCTAGCTTTCTTTTCTCCTGTGAATTATGCGACAACTGTTTCTACTAAGTGCTCCCTCTGTTGTATGTGGCTTACTGCTATGATTCTTGTGACCTTTATTCTGTGATTCTCCTTCATTGTGCTTGTGTTCGTGCTCGCTTCCTCTCTTTTCTGATGCTCTGACCAAATTATGTTACCCTGGGTTTTTGGTCCCCGAAATTGTGCAATATTCTTGTCCATGTCCTTTGCGCCGCGGACCTGGGATGGTCACGGTCTGGTGGTGGCAGTCTTCGGATTCTGATGCACATGGTTTTCACTCCCACCACTGTTGTGAGCCGGCTGGGTGGCGACGCTATTACCGATGGCGAACGCCGTATGCCTTGGCTTCAGGTGCGGAGATAGTGGGTAGTTACTCAATTGAAATGACAGTGGTTCTACTACCCTGTGGATACTTGTAATGATTCTATCGGCCGTTCTATTGATATGAGGCGATCCCAAGGAAGCGGCTGAGGCGAAGGGTGCATAGTTCCATGGTCCTACATACTCGAGGAACTATCGTGTATTATTTCCGAAGAACGTGGCCCTTCTCAGTGAATTATCTGCATGCAGATCGTGCATTAGTGGTTGTGGTTCTGCAGCCGCCTCCTTCGGGCTTCTTTCTGTATACCGGCACACGGTTTGACTGTGGAGAGCCGTCGTTAACTTTAATAGATCTGCAGCACCCTCGGTGGCGATACCCTGACGACTAGTAGGGTGACTATTGCAGGTGGGAGTCGCTAACAGAGTATGAAGAAGGTGCCCTCCAAGAATCGGGGATGCCGACTACCTCCGCAGGTATGCACATAACTAATCGTGGTGGTCGATCTGCAGGGAATCTTCCACACCAGGATCGGTAGGAATAAAGTTATCTGCCACGGAGACCATAATGGGGTTTAGTGTTTAGCGGTCTTCTGGACGAGATCCGAATGAGTGACAGGGCAGACAGATACTTGGTTCTGGTCCAACTAGCGGCTTCCCCGGCAGTTAGTTACTAGTGAGTACTGCCTGTACCTGTACCTGTACCTGGTACCTAAACCCTACTGCTAATTACTAGTCAGACTCGCTGCTTAGCGGCCGTTTGGCGACGTCGTTTGCCCTGCACTGGGATGCCGCAGCTCTTGCCGCCCGCCCCCTTCATGGATGCCTGAGCTCAGGCCCCAAGGATCCGTCTTAGCGGCGTAAGGCTGAGCTACTGCCTGTAGCTAGCTGGCCTAGTCCCATGGATGTGTGCGTTTTTAGTGTTTAGCCTGCATGCCTGAGGTTAGGCGTGGTATAAATACGGTAGTGGTATAATTGTTGGTGCCTGAGGCAAATAGTTAAAATGCCGGAGCGGAGTTACTTACTTGATCGGAGGCCCCTATCGACTAATACCCATTTGTCCTAGCTGCGATGGATGCGATACGGCGGAGTTTGCGATTGTTCGGAGATCGACTTGCTTGTGCATCTTCGTCTTTTTCTTCATCGCCGGAGAAATTTTGGGATTTAGACTTGTTGAATTTTGCTTCTTTCCTTTGTGTCTATCTGCATCAAGGCTGCGTTGGTCCCTCACTCCCTTGACTTTTGATCTCTTCTCCCAAATTTTCTTCGCCGACCTCCGAGATCCTACGGTTGACGCCTTTCACGCTGCTCAGCATCCGGTGGCAAACAGCCTGACATTTGTCCGACCCCCTCCATTCTTTCTGTCGGAAAACCGAAGTCGACAAGACAAATCGAAGAGTGATAAATCCAGTCCTATTTTAGATGCTTCGTTGCGGCAATACCACCGCCCTCCGGCCGGCGGCCGAGAGATGCATGGCAATAAGAAGCCCTCTCCGCGCGCCAGGACTCCGAACAATCGAGAACCGATTCCCTGTCCAACGTATACAATATGGAGGCATGTTTATGAGACAGAAAGTTGACTCTCTCGACATCAGAAATGATCTATCCATCCCGCCGACGAAACCGTCTGGCAGGGGACCCAGAGATTCGCTCAAGGTGGCCACCAAACCGATCGGCAGAAATGCGCCGAAGAAAGCCGAAGCAGAGGATACAAGAGAGGGCTTGCTGTACAAGTTGGCTCATTCGGAAGTCTCTTCCAGAAGGGGGGCCGATTATTACATTCCGCATAGAGTTTTGGAGCGGGAGATGAACTGGTTGAAGGACCCTCGAGCACTGGCTGATCGAGTCGTGGAGATTTTGAAATCTCAAGATCCCATGCTCGCCGTGGCACTTATTCGGAGGGCCCATTATATGGATATCTCGACCGTTGTGGCCTATAATCGCTTGTTGGAGTATTGTTTACGTATGAAGGCTCCGAAGGCTGCGTTCAGGTTTTGGAACGATGTAAGTGTTTCCCTCCCTTCCATAAGTCCCCTATTGTTGTTGATCTTTGTGGGGTCTGTTTGGAGCTGTGGCTGACTTATTTCGTTGTGGTCGTAACAGATGAAAAAAAGAGGAGTTTCTCCCAACTCGAGATCTTATACGACTATGTTGGATGGGTTAGCGCAGGATTTCCCAAAGGAGAGAGTCAAACCCGTGGAAATTGCCCTGAAAATCTACCGGTCTCTCTCCGAATCCAGCTCCCGTGTCGAACCCAATATCATCCATACCAACGCGATGCTTAAGGTGTGCTGGCACCACCGTGACATGGATATCCTCTGGCAGGTTGCTGGCGAGCTGCCGGAGAATGGCCCACTGGCTCCGGATACATATACATACGCTACCATATTACGAGCTATCTCGGATGTCACTCTGTCGAACACGGCCGCAATGGGTGAACAAAATCTCGAAGCGATCTTGGAAAGGAGAGCCCAGGGTATCAAAGAAGGTAAACGTATATGGTCCGATGTCGTCTACCAATGGAAGAAGGGCCGACTGGCTCTCGACAACCATCTTGTTGACGCAATGGCCCACCTGCTAGTGTATAATTCGAGTTGCGACCATGATATCTGGGAGGTGTTTGCATTGTATAACCAAACAACTGGTCTTCCAATCTTCGCAGAGGAGCCCCCCAAAGAGAGGAAACGATTATATTCGAGGACTCGGCAGGAATCTTCTGCTATTAAGAGAAGACATACGGAGGAAGATATCCCATTCGTGGACGAGGGTGAGAGATTGTGGGAAAACAAGTCTGAAATTTTGGAGCAAGAGGAAGCAGAAGAAGAGAACTTCGATGGTCTTTTCGACGCTGTTGTTGAATCCGGCGATTCATCGACGGCGGAGAATAGTTCGGAGAAAGGCAAGTCTGCTCCGTCATATCTTCCGGTGAAAAATGTAGAACTGTCGATGCTTCTCCAAGCTTGCATGACCATGACCCAGGGGGCGGGTGCTGGAAAGAGTTACTGGCGGTACCTTACACAAGAAGAGCACTCACACAGTGTCAAACCCGATGGACCCTCATATTATCAATACCTACGCCTTCTGCGATATTCACGGTCCAGCCGTGACGCTGTCCAGCTGATCCGCGATATGATGGAACCCAATGGGCTTGCCGAAGGAAAGGCATTCCACATTGCCATGTCCTGTTGTTCGCGTGACCGCAGAAACCCCAATGTATTCAAGTACGCCAACGAGCTTCTGGACATCATGCGCAAGGCTCTTGTAATGCCTGATGCTCGAGCATTGAAGGGTTATTTCGATCTGGTCCGGTCTCTGGAGAAAAACCCGCAATTTCTGATGACGCTCAACGGCCTCGACTCGGGCGACAACACCAAACAAACCGACTTAAGCGCCCTCGGCAACAGGCTGAAAGCGAGCTTGCTCACGACTGCAGCGGAGAATCTCCGCTGGCATGTTTCCAAGCTCGAAAGTGCTGTGGACAATAGCGTGCAGCCAAACCAACGTATGCAAAAGCGATTGTCTCAGGCGGCCGAGTTTAGCCCGCACGTCGTGACCCTTGGGGAACATGCCCTTATAGCAATGACCGAGATGCGAAGACTATTAGACTCGATCAAGAAGGACTTCGCGCGATATGTTTCTTCCGATGACCTCGCAGAATTCGAGAAGCAAGCCGTGGAGTTGAGGAAATACTCCAAGCAGACGGTTACCAAAACGATGCGGAAGAGCTTGATTGGAGCATCTCCCGGCATGCGTATGGATTTCAACACGGAAACTCCGATGTTACCCGAGACCAGGTGATTTGTGTCCATCCGTGATGGTCTCAATCGAGTTGATGAAACTGTTTCATGTACCATAGCGCTTGTATACTAATTCTCTACTATGTACATTGTCTATATAGAACGTTATAGATATTGATATCCGTGGCACGGGATCTCCTGTTTCAGATGGCGGCCGCGCGAGTTTCCGCCTGCCGGATTCAGCCCGGGCGGTGGTGCGTACGTAAGGAATGCCACTCTAGCCTCTCCCACGCGGGCTGCTCCTCCAGCTCCCCCATCCGGGTTTCAGCTCCATTGCGTCTTATAACTCAGCCCGTGATTCTCTGGATATTCGTCCTCTGGGTACAGCCGGTCTGTCCAGTAGCCTTCTTTCTGCACCTTTAGGAGCGGGCAATGTGCCTGTAGTGGTGATCGATCTACTCCGCAACCAACCCGTACCTGAACCCAACCAGTTGACCACAACTCCGTGTCCACCATGGCCAGCGCACACGCACACTATCCCCACGGAGACATCCGAGACGATGAATCAATCCTCGATGACGACGTGATTGAAGCTGATGATGGTAAGCTTCTTCCTGCTGCCTCTCGTTCTCTGCTATCGGGTTGAATCTCGGCCACCCTGCATGCCCGAACTAACACCGCTCGCTCTGTCTCGATAGCCATCGACGCCGATGACCCCTTCAATGATACATCCGATACGGCTCCTCTGCGAGGAAACATCCAGCCCGAAGCTTCTAGCTCCCGCGGCGCCAACATCTCCGGAAATTACCTGACCTCCTCGATTCCCGGCGAGGACCGGCGCGCGACTCAGAGCACTATCGATGAAACTGTGTGGGAGACGCTTTCGCGCGACTTGCGGGCGGTCTGGGAGAAGATGCGGCAGGTTCTGTGGCCTAAGTACTTGATCGGTGGGATGCTGCAACGGGGCGGAGGTGGCATTGGAGCGGCGGAGCGAGGCGAGGCCACGGGTTTCGGGGGTGGCTTGAGGAACATGGTAGGACGCTGGCCGGATGCCGATGTTGTGCTCCAGGGCGGAATGAGTGAGGGTTTACGTGATTGGGATCTTTGGTAAGTTTCCCGGATGTAGACAGTGGTGGCTACGCGGATGCGCCTGGGCTTTATGGGGCGCTAATGATGATACACTCTACGTTTAGGGGCCCGCTGATTTTCTGCCTCCTCCTGAGTATGTTCCTATCGATGCGCGCCAAGGGCGACCAGGCATCACTCGTTTTTTCGGGAGTCTTTTCGATCGTGTGGATTGGGGAAGCGGTGGTGACGCTGCAGATCAAGCTTCTTGGCGGGAATATGTATGTGCTTGGTGGTTCCTGATTGGCTGTTCGATTGCTGATGCTTGGATCTAGCTCCTTCTTCCAGTCGGTTTGTATTATCGGATACACCCTGTTCCCCCTGGTCATTGCGTCGGTTCTTAGTGCTTTTGGGCTCCCGACCATTGCGCGGATACCTGTGTATCTCGTGCTGATTGCGTGGTCGATGGCGGCTGGGGTGAGTATCCTGGGAGGGTCGGGCGTGCTGCGGAACCGGGTGGGCATTGCGGTGTATCCACTGTTTGTGTTTTATGTCGCGATCGGGTGTCTCTGCTTCATCAGTTAGGAACGGACCGGGACATGTCGGAGGGGTATGGTGGACTGAAGCGAAACTCGACGGGGGGCGGAGGGTGTTAAGTGTTGGCGTGTATTTCATGTCGTATTGACTCCGGATGATTTCCCTTCTGTGTTTGTATGTTGTGCGATAGAGAACTGGCCCTGATGCGCTATCCAATGGGTTCTGCACAAGTCGTAGATAGTATGTAAATAGTAGAGAAGAGGGGAAAGGCGAGCGGTGACGGGGTGACCACCAAACCGAGTCCGTTCCGCCCGAGCGACAACAAAGCACTCCGTCACCCGCTTTCGTTCGCTCGTCCATCTGTCGACCGACAACTTCCCCCTCGGACTTTCCAGTACTCTCCTTTGCCCTACGAGATTTGGGCCATCTATCTACGGCTCCCTCCGACCATCCGGCCTCGACCAGCTCTAACCAGCTCTGACCTGACTTGACCTTCCCCTCAGCCTCAGCGCCAGCTACCTGTGCAGGTCCTCGACAACTCACCCCCCACTGCATGCTCTGATACTTATCTTTGTGCGTAATTCCCACCCCCTGCAATCTCTCTCGACTCTCGAGACCCATCTACGTTCGAGCACACGTCGCACCATCCCACCAACCTGCAGATAGCAATCTCGCATTGCGTACGCATGCGGACGACCGACCTGTTCGATGTGGCCCAGTTGCCAGTCATCTGCTTATATGCAAGTATCCCAATGGACTAATATATATCTTTTCTGTCATTATTGATACAGGACATACATTCGACGCGCATGTCCGAGACGTGAAGCCTTTTTTTTAAACTATATTCTTCGGCACGAAAACAAACAATATAGTGGTGCGGCTATAAGAAGATTTTCGTCATGGCTTCGGATACTCAGCGGAATGGTGAAGTTGAAGGTATTTTAGCCTTGTTTTGAGGGTATGTTTCAGAGGGGAGAAATTGGTGATGCTGACGTCTTGGGGTGTTAGAAGAGAGTAGAAAGGAGGTTTTGGAGCGTCAAGGTATGTCTTCGTCAGTTGCGGTGGATATTGGTTGTTGGTGTAGTGCGATGGCTGACGGATTTGGTTATGGCAGCTGCTGAAGATTCGCAAGCCTCTGATAATGACGGTGGCGAGCGCCCGGTCCGGAACAAGTTAAAGGAAACGTCTATCACTTCGGCGCCTAAGGTCTCAACGGAAGATGAGTCGATGGGGAATGCGCAGGAAGGAGATTCTAGTAGGGCGAGCAGTAGGGGTAGGAAGAGGTCATTTGATGAGGATCAAACGGAGAATAATGAGGATGACTCCGGCCATCGACGCAAGCGGTCCCGCGACTCGAACACCGATGAGGAGAATGCGGGTGATGATAAGGAGGAACAGAAGGAACAGAAGCCGGAGGAGCTCTCGAGGAAGATTCTGAGCCCGAAGAAGAAGAGAAGTAGGGATCAGCTGGATAAGGATGACTCGAAGGTTGCGGCTGCTGGGGAGAAATTGGTTCAGATCACTGCGGAGGACGCGGCGAGGGAGAAATCTGGTGTAGAGGGACAGCCCGAGAAGAAGAGACACACGGATGATTCCAGAGAGAAGGAGACGGTAAGTGCTGTATGGATGTTCTGAGAGAAACAAGCTGATGCGCCTGGCAGGCTCATGTTACCAGTGCATTTGCGAACACATCGTCTGTCTCACCGTTTGGGTCAATGGGTGCTGCAAAGTCGAAGGAAGAGGAATCATCGAAGCCGAGCGCAGCTACGTCATCATCTGCCTTTGCTGCGTCAAGTCTGGCCGCGTTTGCCAGCTCGGAACAGTCGCCCTTTGGCTCTCTGGGAAGCTCTACTCCCTCCATATTCAAGTCCCCATCTTCGACCGACTCTCCTCAGCCGGCCACGACCGGATTTGCTGCTGCTGCCGGGACATCAGGATTCGTCGCCTTGGGTTCTGGTTTCTCGGGATTCAGCGGCGGGTTTGCATCAGCCAAACCCGCAGGGGGTCTCACGAGCTTTGCCTCCCCTGCTGGACCTAGTGTCCTCAGCACCTCCAAGGCCACTGGTTTCGGCGCCCCTGATGAGGAGCAGCACAAGGAGGAGGACGATGAAGAAGCAGGCGAAACTGGACCAGGCGAGTTTGAGCAGGACAAGACAGACGAGAGATTCTACGAACGCCCAAGTAAGTGACATATCGGGTCCCCACCATTGCCGGGTATGCTAACGCTGAGTGCAGTCGAAACCGGCGAGGAGGATGAGAAAACATACTTCTCATGTAAGGCGAAGCTGTTCCAGTTCACAGACAAGGAGTGGAAAGAGCGCGGCATCGGGACTTTCAAGGTCAATGTGCGCGTCACGGATGGAATGGAGGACAAGAAGGCGGCTCGGATGATCATGCGCGCAGACGGAGTGCTGCGCGTGATGTTGAATACGCCCATCTTCAAGGGAATGACGGTTGGCGACGGGCAGGGCAAAGAGCCCAAGTCGAAGCAGATTCACCTTGCCAGCCTGGAGAATGACCGGTCCATTCCCATCCTACTTCGGGTAAGTCTCCCTTCGCCCCTCAGGAAGCATGACTGACCAGCGTAGACGGGAAGCGAGGATCTCGCTAAGGAGCTGTACCGCGTGGTGCGCGAACTTCAGGAATATCAGTGAGCCGTGCATCACGACACTGAATTGGATGCCGCGACTACACTTCACAAAAGCGCCAGTAATTAGTCGATGCGACGTTTACATAGCACCAAGAACCGAGAGGGTTGGCATTTTGCATTTAGGCCGAGGAGTCAGAGATACTGGAGGGTTTGCGTGGGTTGGAGCTGCGCACATTGCTGGATTGATTACTGATTGATCGCTTTCTCTATAATATTTTTCTTCCCTATCTATATGAGTATACACCCACCATCACTACCTTCGTTGGCATTTCATTTCCTTCGTGTATGTTTGTTCCCTTTTGGCTAGTGGATCAGATGATTACCTAGGTGACTTGATAATTATAGCTATCTACTTTGTAGTGTAGCGACAGTGACCCACACTAGCTCAAGCTCAATATGATCTATCTATGGACCTGTCCCGATAGGGTCTAGCCTAGCTTGGTTTGTTTGATCGACAGTGACACGAATGTCAGAAATTAACTACAATTACATAGATAGTAGTACATGCAGTAGTAGTATCTACTAACTCTAAGTACGAAGTTAATCTTATCAGCTCAGATGCATGCATAATCTTACTACTTAGATCGGTAAGAGTGATTGATCACAAGATTTCTATTCCTCATTTGGCACGAGTATCAATACTATGTGTCATAGGTATTAGGCATTATACTCTCGTCCCATCTTATCTCATCTCTGTATCGATGTGGTACGAGATGACTCTTAGGAGTAGATCGGTTGTATACTATTTATCGATGGAAATTCATGTCCTTGCAAGCTACATGTGGGGAAGAGAAGGAGGAGAAGGTCATATTATTCCTATAGGAGAAACTATGTATAGAATGGGTTGAATAGAAGTCATCTGGGATAGAAAGTAAAAAAAAAAGGAAGGTCTACCCCCACTCGTTTGACCAGCACTCCATAAACAACAAAGGTATGGGTATAGAAGGAAGCAAAGCAAGATATGTATATCTACGAAACTAGCTAATCGTAAGCGAATAAAGCAAGGAAGGGGGAGATCACTGTGTCTTTAGTAACCAAGCCACTGCACCGATCATCAACGCCGCCAACACGGCAGTGAGGATCCACGCGCCCGCTCGATCCCCCGTTTCGATGGGATCTGATGCCGACGGATCTTTCTCATCGTCGCTCGTGTCAATATGGTGTTCCGATGCGTCAGGGTTCTCGGAGATGGTCTGCGGGGACTGAGTGGACAGTAACATCAGGTTGGAGGTGACGCCGCCCAATGCGCTCATTTGCACTTCCAGCCCCAATGACCCGTCCCAGGTGTCTTGGTACCAGCGGACACCGCAGAGGTTGTCCATCCCGTCTGCAGAGCCGGAGCATTGTTTGGAGATGGCGGAGGCGGAGCCTTGCAGTTTGGGCACGATGCGGTCGCTGGTCGAGGGGACAAGGAGCGCCGTGAAGGCGAGCCACATTGCCACATACCCCTTGAAGCAGAGCTGGTTGCGATCACAGGAGAGGATAGGCTCGCAGGCGACTTCGGACAGGACGGTGCCGTTGAGGTAGGTGGCTGGGAAAAAGCGGGTGAAGGTGGAGTCGAGCAGGTTGTTGACTCGGTTGAGCCATTTGGTGGAGCCGTTTGTCTGATGCCACGGTTAGTACGATCTTGTTGTATGTGCGGGTTGGATAGGAGGGGGAGGCTTACGTGGTTATACATGAACGCCGCACCAGCCAGATACGTCCCGTAGTTATACGTCCACTGGTTATTCCCGGCGTCTTTGCAATTAGCTTCGTTGGACGTGCTGTCCGCGATATTCCATGTGCTTGTGTTCGTGTTGAGAAGCGGCGTAGTCGTAGACCAGTCCCAGATCTTCTCTGCCCATTCGGCGTAGGTCTCGTTCTTGGTGAAGCGGGCCAGCCGCGCCGAGAGCTCAAACAGCCCGCCATTCGAGATGGCATTCTTCATCGTGTAACCCGCTTGGTAGGGCCAAATTTGCCAGCGCATGCCGCCGTTACAGGCGGTTTCGTCCCACCGGTTGACCTGCATGTTAAAGACAGCGCGCGCGAGGGACGTCCACGAAGGTTTGCCGGACACCTCAGGGAAGCCAGCTTCGGAGGCGGTGATAGCGGCGAGTCCCCAGAACATTTGGTCATCGTTACCCTGGGTGTGTGTGAGTGGATTTCGCTGGGCTAGAGTGGAGCAATAGACTCACCAGCCACTGGCTGTAGTTGGCAGAGAAAAAGTCGTAGTTCTCGCCGGCCTGGAACATCAGGTCGTGCTGGACGACAGAGTTGTAGGTATCCACGCCCGAGGCCTGCCAGAATTGGATCAGGGTCATGAACATGCTCCCCGCGACATACCAGGTATCGGTGAGCTTTCCGGGGATGCCTTCAGTTTGATTCTGTTTGTAAAAGACCATCAAGGGCTCGGCGATGGCTTTGCCGGCGTCGGCGAGGGAGTCTGGCGGACATGGTGGTGAGAAGCGATCTTCAAGCGGGTGTGATGGGAGGTGGGCGATGACCTACCAGCATCGTCGACTTGGATATTCAAATCGGAGTAGGCCCATTGACTGTGCAACAGGAGGAGCAGCAGAGCGCCGATGTGATGGAGGCGGCGCATGGTGGTGATAATCTGGTGGATGGCTGGCTACCTAGCTAGGTCGGGAAGTTGCAGCCAGACAGACCGACAGACCGACAGATAGAACTGACGGACTGGCCGGATCGAAAGACAGCAGGCAGCCATGATGCGATAATGCCGTGGAATTTTTCAGGGGGTCGGACTGAGACGCCAAGGGTCTTTGCCCCCCTTGGCACGCCGGCCAAGAACCTTCTCTGGGTTGTTTGTTGGAGCGGAGGGGCCGGAGCCAGCAGGCAGGCGCTGGCCAGGCTATATTTGGCACGGAGGGAGAGCCAGCAAAGGCACAAAGAGGCAGGGCGTCAGGTGGGAGGTCCAGATAACTGGGAACTGGGAACTGGGAAGACACAGGGTCGATTCAGGGTCTGCCGCAGGACCCTTCCCCGGATTAAGAGGGTTGCTATGATCTCCGCTAGCCAGCCCTAAACCACTCTAGCTGGGCCCGCCGTCCTGACACTTGATCAGAGCGCTGCAAGGAGATGTTCCCCCACTAAATTTAGAACATCGTCCGGGTTCGGATTGCGATGTCACCCAAGATCGAGCCATCCCGGTCCATGACTACATTGTACAGATAGTTCGAGCTCACAACATCAAGCAAGCCATGATATCTGATCGGAGAATAATCCCGCCCTAAGAAGTAAAAACAAACCGGCTCAAAAAATTCAATCCGACCGAGACGCGACTCGAACGCGCAACCTTTTGTGCCGAAAACAAACGCGCTACCGTTGCGCCACTCGGCCAATTCTATTGGTCAATGGGACCCACATATGTATCTGTTTGCTAGTTTTGCTCGGCCGCCTGTTCCCCTTACGGTAATATTGGACGCACGTGACACCGCGTTTCTTGCCTCAGTGCCGAATGGCTTATCGACTTCATCCAGATCGAATGCCCGCCTCTTCACCATGGGGTGCCAATATGCCCGGTCCAAATACACAAGCGGAATCTTCAATTGCACCGGACCGGAAACGAGCCCATGCTGAATTACCACCTAAGGATCCCGCCATATCCAACAGCAGCGCGTCGACAGACCCTCCGTCGCAGCCCAGCACAAGGAAACGCCGAAAAACTCCTAAAATCCCGACAGAGACCAAGAATACGGAAGATGGCACCGATGACGGGCGTAAGGTGGAAAAGACTACGAAAGGCAAACGCAAATCGGCTCAACCGAAGCGTACCCCGTCTGCACCATGGCCGGAGGCGTTCAAGAAATTGTCCCGGACTCACAGAGCCTTGAACCTCGTGTATACGTTCTGTTGCACGCGAAAGCACTTCACTACCACGTTCGACAACATCAAGAACGCTGTACAGGTGCAGATGCAGGGTCAAGAGTTGACGGTCGAGGATGTCGCGCGAGTCAAGGTGCTCGTGCCGCGGGCAGTGCGTTTTGAGTATGTGGACGAGGCGAAGTTGGAGGTCATGACTGTTGGGGAGAAGGAGGCGAAGCAGCTCGGCTATGGAAGGGATATGTTGGGCCATGGGGGAGAATCGGTAACAAAGACTCTTCTGTTCGAGCTTGTGGACGGGGATCTGAAGAGGGAGGTGACGCATCCGCAGACCGGGGAACCGACCAAACCGGTGCGGAAGATAAAGAATGAGGATCTGAAGATGCCGGTGTACAGCCAGAAGCAGATGCTCGGACTCATTGAGAAGCGGAACAAGAAGTTCATGGATGCGATTGATACTTTTTTGGTGCAGTGTGAAGACGAAGGGGTGAATCCAGTTGAGAAACTGGAGACGGACAAGGATGGTTGGATTCCTGTACCCCCGGATATGGACACTGGTATCGCTGTGTCTTCTGCGGCGCCGCAGCAGATTCCCAAAGAGCGTAAGTCGATGTCGCAGATTGTGGACGAAATCCGCGAGATGGATTGGTATACGGCGCAGATCGTGCCAGAAGGACATCGAGTCTTTGAAGCGCAGCCTGCTGTCTATGGGGAGCTGGCGTTCCAGCTCTCGCAGAACATGGTCAACGCCTTGTATAACACCAAGGGAATCACGCAGTTCTACACCCACCAGGCAGAAGCGATCAATCATCTATACGAAGGACATAATGTCATCGTTTCTACCTCTACCAGCTCCGGCAAATCACTCATCTACCAGGTGCCAATGCTGCATGAACTCGAAACAGACCCTGCAAGCCGCGGCTTGTACATCTTCCCTACCAAGGCCCTGGCGCAGGACCAGCGCCGCAGCATGCAGGAGCTGCTTCAGTTCATGGAAGGCTTGCAGGGCACAATGGTTGAGACGTTCGACGGAGACACGCCGATGCCGAACCGGAATGTCATCCGTGACGAAGCGCGCATCATCTTCACCAACCCTGATATGCTGCACATCACAATCCTACCGCAGGAAGGCTCTTGGCGCACATTCCTGCAGAACCTCAAGTTTGTTGTGGTCGACGAGTTGCACGTCTACAACGGTCTCTTTGGAACTCACGTCGCGCTCATCATGCGACGACTGCGTCGGATCTGCGCAGCGGTAGGGAACCATCGCGTCCGGTTCATCTCCTGCTCGGCCACTGTGGCCAACCCGGAGCAACACATGCAGGCGGTCTTCGGCGTCGACGACGTCAAGCTGATCGACTTCGACGGCTCCCCATCGGGTCGGAAGGAATTTATCTGCTGGAACACGCCCTTCAAAGACCCCACCGACCCAACATCCGGGCGCGCAGACAGTGTCGCTGAAACAGCGCGACTCTTCTGCCAGCTCATCCTCCGCGGCGCGCGTGTCATCGCCTTTTGCCGCATCCGCAAAATGTGCGAAGTACTCCTGCAAGCCGTCCGGGCCGAGTTCCAAGCCCTCGACCGACACGAGATCGGCAAACTCGTCATGGGCTACCGCGGCGGATACAGCCCCCAAGACCGTCGGACGATCGAGAAGGACATGTTCGAAGGCCGACTGATGGGCATCGTGGCCACCAACGCCCTCGAACTCGGGGTCGACATCGGCTCCCTCGACGCCGTTATCACCCTCGGCTTCCCCTTCTCAATCTCCAACCTGCGTCAGCAAAGTGGCCGCGCCGGCCGTCGAAATAAAGACTCGCTCTCCATCCTCGTCGGTGACCGCTACCCAGCCGACCAGCATTACATGCGCAATCCAGAGGAACTCTTCAGCAAACCCAACAGCGAGCTGCAGATTGACCTCACCAACGACCTCATCCTCGAAGGCCACCTCCAATGCGCAGCCTTCGAACTACTCCTCCGCCCCGATACCGACGCCCTCTACTTCGGCCCTCTCCTCCCCTCCCTCGCATCCAGCCGCCTCACTCGCGATTCCCTGGGCTTCTACCACTGCCACTCGCGCTTCCTCCCCCATCCATCCCGTAGCGTTTGCATTCGCGACACTGAAGACCAGCACTTTGCCGTCATCGACACGACCAACGCCCGTAATATGGTCCTCGAAGAAGTCGAAGCCTCCCGCGCCTTCTTCACCATCTACGAAGGCGGCATCTTCCTGCACCAAGGGCAGACCTACCTGGTTCAAGAACTCAATCCCACCCGGCACTTTGCTCGGGTCACTCGAGTGCACGTCGACTGGCATACTCAGCAACGCGATTACACGGACATCGATCCCATCGAAACCACGCTCATCCGCCCGATCCGCCAATCCTCCCCTTATCGGGCCTTCTTCGGCACGATCCGCATACACGCCGTGGTATACGGGTTCTTCAAAGTCGACAAACGGGGCCGCATCCTCGACGCGGTCCCCGTAACCAACAACCCACCCATCGACATTCTCAGCAAAGGCACCTGGCTCGACATCCCCCCGCAAGCTCTCTCCATCCTGCAATCCCACAATCTCAACATCGCCGCCGCCATCCACGCTGCCTCCCACGCCATCCTCTCCCTCCTCCCCACCACCATCATCTCCTCCCCCGGTGACGTCCGCACCGAATGCAAAGTCGCCAAAAAGGAACTCGGCCGGACCCTCAAACAAGCCACCTCCCACCTCCAAACTCTTAACCACGTCGAACTGAAAAAAGTCCTCAACCCACCCGCCCGCCAACGCCCCGCCCGCTTAACCTTCTACGACGCTAAAGGCGGTGCCTGCGGAAGCGGCATCGCAGCCAAGGCCTTCGAGTTCATAGACGTCTTATTAGAACGGGCCGTGAAGAGAATCGAGAGCTGTACGTGTGTAGGCTCTAGGGGTTGTTTGGAGTGTGTGTGCGATGAACGATGTAAGGAGATGAATGAGATTATGAGTAAAGCTGGGGCGGGGGTAGTGCTGAGATGTTTACTTGGGTGGGAAGTTGATGTGGAATCTTTGCCTTGGGGAGAAGAGGTAGAGGTTCACGCTATGGATGGGGAGTTGATGGGCGGGCTGGAGACTGTTATTCCGGCTGTGGAGGTGCCAATGCATCAGCCTAGGGTTAGGGATGTGGATGGAGGTGGTTTCAGAGTTTAGGATACATGATGAATGTTGCAGAGTCGAACATGGACGACTACATGAGAAACTGAACTCTTGATGACATAGATCTACATGTCCGAGCCACAGAAAGAAGAGGAAGAGAGTCGGGAAGCAAAAGAGGGGGGGGTTTATACTTGGGGCTGCTCCCCGATTAGGAAGGAGGTAGCTAGCTCGGCTCGGGCAAGTGACCACTCGCGCGATACTGCAGTCATGAGGTAGAGGAGATCAGGCATTAGGATCGTTGATGCAAAGCTAGCGACCATGGCGTGTCTTGAAATTAAGGGGTTGTCCAAGCGCTCCAATGCATTGGACGGCTGGATGCCTCATACATTAAGGGGAGAGAAACCCTCCGATGTTCACCTCTGATGGCTCCGCATGTATCTTTCAGGTGAGAGCCCGCAGTCAATCGGCAGATGATGCTACATTCGCTTGGATTGTCTTTATAGTAGCACTTTCGTAATAGCTTGCATGTCTCTACACCCCTCAGGGGCGTTGATACTACTACTACTACTACTACTACTACTACTACTACTACTACTACTACTACTCGGCTCTGATTCGAGTACTCGGGCTGGGATTGTCGATATTGTATAGTACACTGAACGAATGGAATGCAGTAAATTAGATGGATAGTAGTTGTAAGATTCGGTGAATAATCGCGCAAATGCATAGACTATGCTGATAGGGTATCTAGCGTATGTATATGATCCAAGAGCTACGTAGGCATATCGGTATGTAAGTATCATCCAATCATCGGCTCCTAATCAATCCGGGTATCAATTCTCATGCATCGTCACCTTCTGAGCGAGCGTGCCAAAGAATATGGTTGAGTCATAACTATAGATAGAGAGCGTAAAGGTGAATGAAGGGGTTACCGGCTGGAGGAGAGTCGGTGTCCTGATTAGCCCCCTGGGGGCTGTATGTAAGGTCTGGTTCACGGAAGGAAGCACTGGTGTAAAGACCAAGAAGCCTTTGTCATGAGCGCCTGCTGTTGTGAGACATCCTCAGTCCTCCGGTCGTACAGGGAACCACAGTGACTGGTCATATTCACCGGACGTCCGTTCCCACCGAGGCGGGACTGCTCTCGCTCTCGGTGTCGTCTAGACTGATGTTCCAGAACAGCGTCTTCATATGGCTGACGTCTTCGCGGAAGTTATCGCGAGGGTGGCTCGTGCGTTCTTCCGTCATCGCTCGCACTTCGCGGATGATGCTCGGGTATCCCTCGTCGGGGAGCCACCAGTCGTTGATTTCAGGCTTCTGCCACAGCGCCGCCAGCGCAGCTCGGAAGGCCGCTGCCACAACGTACCTAGGATTGATTATCAGCTACGATCAGGCCATGTGCCAGCGCACAGAGATTACTCACCCGCCTTGCTCCAACTGAGCGAACTTCCGCCGCGCCCACTTGATGTATCTCTCGTCCCGAGGGCAAAACATGGCGGCCATTCCAATGCTATTCTTGAACGCCAGAATATACCCGCTTTCCTTCACCGGCCACCGATCCACTGCTTCCATAAACCGAGCCAGCTCCATCGAGAGGGCTCCCAGTTCCTCCACCGATGATTGCTTCACAGATAGGAGCGTCTGATACTTGTACATGGCCTTGGTGGAGTAGTAATCAATCCACGCCATGTTGACTTCCCAGAGGGGCCCGTGATACAGCCCCCCCGGGATATACGGATCCACAATATCGTCCGGGGTCAAGGGGACCCGATAAGGATACTCCTGCACAGTGTACTCCGAGTTGTGGAATGTCTCTAGGATGCCTCTCACCCGCTCCAAGGTTTGCCCCAAAAGTTCGTTCTGGACAATAAACTCGCTTATAGGAATCAGTCCGCGCGATAGCTTGGCATACAATGATGCCATTTCCAACCCAAATCGACGGTTGATCGAATTTGCCAGCGCCAGCTGTTTCTCTACATCGCCTGGGTGGCTGGCAGCCTGTTGAGCGTCATACTCCTCTTTCGCAGTGTACCATTCTCGGCTAAGGATCGTCTCGTTCCCGGCCAAAATACCGGCGACCACGTCGAATCGGGCATACCAAATGAAGATATTGCTATGAAGCTCGTTCAAGTTGGCCGACTCTGGCGTTAAGATTTCCCGCACCAAGGCATGAGCCGCCTGATGGTGGCCAATGAGGTTGACCCAGTCCCCAATGGATTCCTGGGCAGTCAGTATGATACAGCAAAAGCACGATCACTCGGGCAGGGTGTGTTACCTCGAAGGTGGTGAGGACAAGAACCGTGATCAGCATGGCCTCACTGTGTGGCTCACCAGAGCTCAGGGACTTGCGCAGCAGTGTCAAGGCGATGTTGTAGTACTTCAGGAATGAATATAATTTGCCACTATCGGTCTGAACACAGTGGTGATATGCCGAAAATCCCACCATCGCATACAGCAGGGGATCATACTGCAACGCCAGCTCGACGATACCATGATGAATGAACCGGTCATTGGCTGGCTTGAGGAAATAATGCCTATACGTCATAAAATCTTGATGATAGCTGAGATAAAATCGCAGGTCGTCAGCCAAATGTGCTATGCTGGGCAGACCAAACCCCGACGGGTCGGGCAGGGAAGCGCCGACGCTGGCCGACCGAGCGCTCAGGGAGTCAAATCGAGATGATGTATCCGTGGACGGCGAAGGCGAAGTACTAGTCTCGATCCGTGAAATGCCCGGGTCGATAGCCACATATGGCCTTCCCCCGTGTTGCCTCAGGGACTGCCCGGACTGTCTCTTGGGGGGACTTGGTTTGGGCCATGTTGTTGGAGTCGGGGCGGTTGACGGTGATAGATGGGCACTTGACCCGACGCTAGTTCCATCTTCTTCCTCATCAACGATGGGCTCCAACACGCGGATATCCTCGGATCCCGCTTGACTGGATGAATCGGTTCCGCGCAGCAACGACCCTCGGGGCTTGGATACGGCACGGGCTCCCGACTTGGATGCGCCCGCGGTGGCCGACGGATAGACACAGTCGCGGTTTCCTTTCCGACATCTGTCGCAGATGGGGCGTGCCTCGTCGCACTTGATCCGACGGGAACGACAGGTGAAACAGCCGCTGCGGGTGCGCTTATGCTTCTTCTGGTCTGATGCGGGTTGTAGGAGCGACTGGGGCTTGGGGGGGCCCGACGGATAGGAGGCGGCGATGGCGGCGGGAGGGAGTGGAGGCTGGGGTTGCGCGGGCGGATTGTGCCAGAATGCGACACTGTCGGGATACTGCCCGGTCCCCAGGATTGAGTAGGCCGACAGTGGGGGATTCTGGTCCTGGAGCGACAGGAAGGAGGACGAATAGCCTGTCAAGGGGGCCTGGGAACTTGGGTATGGAGGTGCCATGGCGCGGATCGCATCGAAGAACCCAAGCGGATCGGGGTTAAACTGGCCAGCATCGACTGCAGTCGCTCAGCACCGGATGTATGGGCACCGATGGCGGGGAGGCCCGATCCGCATAGCAAGTGATGGCAGAGAAGGTGACGAAGGCCGAGGACGAGGGCGACAGATGCTGATGGAGGAGAGGGAGAAGCAAACTGACCCCGGTGACTTGGCAGCAGCAGACAAAGCGACCCGCGGAAGCAGAGGAAGCGAAGCTGCCAGCACAGCAGATGAGGAAGTTTCAAAGGAGGGAATAGAAAAAGACGGGGAAAACACCGTGGTGCTAGAGATGAGCGAGCGAGCAAAAGAGAGCAAAAGGATGAAAACAATAATGAGGGAGAGAGAGGAAGAGAGAACGAGGATTGGGGATGGGGCTGGCCGGAAGAGGCAATGCATCAATCAATGATGGAACCTCGACTTTAACTACCACCAGCGCTAGGTCCCACGAATCTCACCTTATTCTCTTCCACTTGTCTCCCGGCATTAACTAAGTCCCCTAGCTCGGAGTCAAGCCTCCCGAGTCCGGAGTGGTCTGGCCGCCACTTGGAGTATCAACCATCATAGCAGCACCCCGAGTGGGCCGCCCTGGATCGGAATGATCGTCCTACGATGCACTATCTAGGTCTTTCGGGGGGTTTCGTATATCTACAACATACTATATTCAGTATCCTAAACGCGGGCTGGCAGCGGATCGCCCGGTGAATTCTCTATCCTTCCACCACTTCCCCCTGTTGCCCCCAGTTGCTCCTGCCCCCCTCCAACTATCCACGGATAAGTTTATGACCAGGACAAATCTTCTTCCTGCCAAGAGCTTCAGGCACGAGAGTTGGGGATAGTTTCCTCCCCGCTAAGCGGGGACGGCTTCATCCTCAGCCACCTGCTCCTCCCCGACGAAGGTCGAAGCCATGTTCCCATGACTTCCATGGGCTTCTGCGGAAACACAAAGACCAAAGCATTGTTGCAAATAAAGTAGGAGCTAGTTTGGAGGACCTCACCTACCTTCGTCATGATTCAGGTGAGCCTCTTCCAGCAGTCTGGGACGTCCGGAGCCATGGGCGGGTGGATCCGCCCGGATCCGGGAGATGCCTTAAGTCTTTAACAGCTTGGAGACCGAGCGAACGACTCCCTGAGTCCTGTTTGACCCGTCCGAGAGTTCACTGTTCAACCTGGCACCTGCAGATTCAGCTAGCGATATCCCTGCGCAAATCCACAGGTGCCTCGCGGGCCGAGTATCTGTTTTATGAAGGTGTGAAAATCGTAGGATTGTCCACACCTGGAGCTTATACGAACCCGGATCGCATTAGCATTCATAACAAAGTATACTTTCCACCATCTCATCTCAATCGGGGTGGATGCGGTCAAACCTTCTTTGATAGACCAGCAACCACTGACGCCGTGGCATTCCAACGGACGACTCCGCCGGCCCCAGTACGGATCCACTTGATGCCGCCAGAATGCCCTCGGCTAATCTGAAACTGCCCTTGCCCAATTACACCCCGATCTGGGAAATATTTGCCGAGACGTTCGTCCGCCCGTGGAGTCGGAAAAGGTCTAAACCAGCCTGGGGTCTCCGTCTGTCACCGGGGAAGGGTTATAGCAGCCGTTACTATAGCAGGACCTTGATAATAAGCTATCGTCGGTCCAGCGGGGAAGGCCGGGGGCAGCGAACTTGAACTGCGCTGACTGACCACGTCCACACTTTTCTTTAGACCGGTCATTGCGTCGTCAGCCAAGGAGCCAAGGGATAGTGACCACGACGGCGCGGCCTTGTCGCTGAGAGGCAAATTGGACTCGGCTCAGTCGGATGTTCCTGATCGACACTGAGGGTTTGACAGCTGAGTAGGCTGAGTGTCCTCCGCTGGTGACTGGTCGCTGTCCAGCCCACCCAGATCTAGGCTGGGGCCACCAATCTAACCCGGCACTGGGCGATTTTGACGGCCCTAATCTCTGCCGTAATAATTAATCACTTCGTACTTCATCGCATCGTTGCGGCCCACATATGCCCTAATCCGATATAGCCTTGCAATCCCATGTCAGAAAAGGAAAAAAGAAAAAAAAAAATAGGATTCAAAAAAAGGAGAGGAATCACAATTCTGGTACTGATCAGTGATTGTCTGGGTTGTACATTCTGGAGGAAACGTGGCAGGAGAGAAGGTTTAGTGAATCCTGGTGCCGACGGTCGCATGTTGGTCTCCATCCAGGACACCGATCAAACGGGTAAACACCACGAATTGCGGGCTGGAAGCAACAATGTACATTGTACCCCTCTCGAAGAAGCTAGGAGTACGGAGAATATGTGGGCACATCCATGTGGACAGCACGTTTGTTCTCCGTGGGCTTGATGCCTTATGGAGGGGTCGGCCAGTCTGGAGTCATGGTTTTTATTAGGGTGTGCCAAAAATGGACGGTTCCTAATCCCACTGCAGAAGCACCATGGAGAATTTGGACCTGAACTTGTTGACTGACACCACCAATCAAGTAGACAATGGAAATTAAACCTACATTCCAGGAAAAACTGGAGCCTCGGGCGGCTGGATAGGCGGACGTGCGGATGGCGGATTTCCCCGTCTGTGGGAAAGAGACATGACTAGTCAATCAGCAAGCCGGCATTGAGGGAATTGAGGCCCATATGGTGACTACTCATAGGTCGCCCAGACTAATACCCGACTATCTGGTCCATCAGGACGATCTCCGCAGTTCCCCGGGAAGGGAAACGGCAGTTATATCCTTCTTTCTTCATCCGGGCGTATATCTTGGATGCCCTTGTTGATCAAGAGCTCTGAATAGACTCGTGCTTTTTTGGCTTCTCAGATTATACAGACTCATGACAAAAGGTAGCCATCGACCTGCATATGCTTGGCTGAAGACCTCGACAGGAAGGGAGCAATCTAAACCAGGCGTATCCCGCGGGCTCCCTAGTGTTCGGGCCTTCGGGGAACATAGTCGAGGATCCCCAGTGACCCAGAAAATCCAGTCTGTAGTCACAGACAGCTCCACCACGGAGCTCCGCCGTCGCCGCTGAATAATATTAATCCATGGACTTGTAGCGTGTATGCATAGGCTATCAATCAGCCAACGGTTTTGAAAGGGCCTTCAGCAGGGCAAGTCGTAGATATCAGGTCCCCAGAGGCCTAAGGGTGATCGATCCCCTTGATAACTAATGTAGATGGTCTGATCTGAACTTTGTGTGACTCGCACAGTACGTACCCAGATCAGTTGTTTTATCCTCTCTCCGCTCCTTTTGTCTTTCCTCGTTCAAAATCTATGGTAGAGCGGCGAGAACCGCCGTTGCTACCAGGAGAAAGCCAGCACCGGGCTAAAAGCCGGAAGATTGCCTAAATGGATTGGCCACTAGTAAATCCTGTTTCTGGTAAAGGCATGCAGCGAATGGGGCGAGTGAGGGCAAGGGAAAGGTTTCCGTGCTAGTACGGTGGCCACTAGATTATGTGTGTCGAGTCAGAATCGGCCTCATCTTGTGATATAATCCTAATATAATCAGCCAAGTGGAGCCGGTGCGCATACCTTCCTAACTCAGTCTCCTAGACGCCATTCCGCGTGTCCACTCATGATGTTACCCTAGTGCATACTTAGCAAAGACCACAGTAAAAGTACCTTGCTGTCGGGGAACGGGGTAGCTGTGATGCAAATCAGCCGTTAGATCCTCGTCCGGGCCTATCAGGACGTGGGTTCCCTGGAACCCATGGGCTTCATCCCACAGAGCAGTGCCATATGAAGGGACTCGTGACGAGCAGAAAAAAGTAGATAAGAAAGTGGAGAGTCAAGAGACGTATATATGCCCTGTCTTGTCAAGATTCTTCGAGGGAAGTTCCAAGTTCAAAAGTATCCGAGGATGGGCTTTCTGCGGCTATCCCGAATCAACGTTTCAGTGAAGATGAATAGCCAATATGAGTGGTACTGTATCCTCGAGGAAGAAGCGGAGGGGATCAGGGAGTGGGGAGACCAGAAGGGTGGGGACAAGCCATGACATGGCATGACCTCGAATCACGGACGTGACTTCAGCGTAAGTCAGTATTAATCTCCCTGAAGTGTGTCAGCAAGATGATCTCCGGTGTGTTCAGCTGATCTTGACGGTGTCCAGACAGAATTATCGGGATTAGAAGGCTTGTAGCTGCCGACGTACTATTCCCAAGGCCCCCGTGCAATAGTTAGTGTATGTTTGTTGGAGAGGTCGACCCTTGTCTTCCCCATTCTCAAGCTCATTGGGAGGTTTTCCATGTGACTGCCCTGTAACCGGCTGTATTGATGCCGTGCCATGGCCATGTACCAATACATTGGCCTTGTTGTTGGGACAACTGCACTGGCAGGGAGCTATACCAGACCAGCAGAAGTACAAAGACCGCCCAGGGATCAAACACACCAATCAGCCCAAGCTTCAACGTAAATTGATGTTCTCAGCAGGATTCAACTAGCCAAAAAATACTTGGCAAGGACGTTGGTTGCAGTCTCCGCCGCCATGTTGTGAACCAATTGACTTCCCCGTATCTGGTCATCCGATACGCACAGATGCCTATCTCTGATTCATTAAATAAGAGATACCTGTTGCATCCAACCGGGTCACAACAACCATTACATTTATCCGCAGAGATTAAACATCCCACACATGGCACATTTCTGATGTGAATGTGGATGGTGTACTCCCATCCCGGAGAAAGAGCCTTAATTTTTTTTTTCGCAGATATTATACGTCTCAATTCATTTATGGTATCAATCATGGACAAACCGACCCACTAATAACCCCCTCTACCTTCCCTCCTTGACCTCCTGGATCGTAAGCTGCACTCCCTCAATAACCACCCCCCACTCAACCTCATGCACCTTCTGCTCGAACTTATGCAGATCCTCATCCTCCCCCTTAACAAAGGGTATTTCCTTCACCAGGATCGGGGTCCCCATATCCACCTCTGAAATGACCTTATGGATCATGACCCCCGTCTTATCGATCTTCCCCTCCAACCAAGCGGCATGCGCGCGCTCAATAGCATTCTATCCATCCCCATCTGACGTCAGCAAATCCCCTCCAGCGAAATTTAGAGAGAATAGAACCTACCGCGCCATTGAACGCCCCGGGCAAAGCCGGGTGTAGATTGATAATATTAATCTTGGCCTCCTCCAACGGCTCCAAAAACCTCGGCGAAAGAACATGCATGAATCCCAAACAAGCAACCATCTCCGGCTTATCGGCCAGCACCAATCGAGCCAGTTCGGCGTCGTATTCTTCGCGGGCGGCCTGGACCCCCTCTGGTGTGGCGGGATGTTGCTTCTTGTACTTCACGAGGTTGTGGTATTGCGTGGGGATATTAGCCAGTCGAGCCCGCTCGAGGCCATAGGCATCCTTGCGGTTGGAGATGACGCGGACGATCTGGGTTGAGAGTTGCCCTTGGAGGGTCTTGTCGATCACTGCTTGGAGGTTGGAACCATTGCCGGAAATTAGCACGGTGAGGCGCACGGGGGTGTCCATGGTGATTTTTGTTCTATTTCTTCTCTTCGTTGGAAGGCTGGGGTCCGGATTCGAGGGTGAGTATCCAATATTGGGGTTTTATCGTGTAGCGGGGTAGGACTGAGATTTTTTTTCTTGCCTGTCTGCATGTAGATGTTCAGTTGCTTGACCCAATTGATCCATCAAAAGAGAGATTTGCGCACCAGGAACCAGACTATCTCTCCAATCGTGATGCGGGGAATGTGCCGAAGGAAGTCGGGATTCAAAGCACATACAAGCTTCGTGCTGAGCCAGTGGATTGCAAGACGCGGGGTGGTCGACGGCGGTGGGCTGAGTCAGCGGAGGGGCGGAGATGCGGGCCTCCAGGCTGGGGATTGGCTCCGCTCCGCCAGTGGGAGGTTCGTTGGTCCAAGCGTACTATGCCTGGTCTCTATTACAGTACTACTAGCAATACTACATTAAGAACATGGTTTCATAACCAGTTGCATTCAACTGAAGCCCGCCAAAGAAAAAGCTAAGAGCTTTACCACCAGAGCATCGAACGGAGAGGGGAATAATACAACAAGATGAGACCAATAGAGAGAACTCGAATGTCCGAAGATATGTCACATAACAGGATCCCATGCAATGCCAAGCCCTCCAATTCACAGCAATCTGCAATGAGCCACAAATGCACCACTCTACCATTGCTTCACGCGTAAACCGCCGGACTTACCGGGGAACCCAGATTCCAAGGATCTTAACCAGAAGGGACCACCTGCATAAAATAGACAAAAGTAATCGCCATGCCCGCCATCCGTAAAAGGCCAAATCAGCCAGTAAAAGACATTCGTTAGGGTATGAGATAGACGCTTCATGCTAAGCTTCAAATAATTCAAGGTTAGTTTAAAAAGATGACGTATCGGCGGAGAATGACTAGCACAGCACAAATTAACACGCTCATGCAGCTGTAGCGTTGGGCGCATCTGGGGTGGGTCGGTTAGTTGATGTTTCAGCTACGCCTTGACCTCGGCAAAGAGGGCAAGAATTCCGACCCGTGGTCAACCACTAGGGAAAAGTCAGTCGGATCCGGGATCCTCAATGTACAGAGTCACGAACCTGGTCTATGCAATCGCGGTGGAAGAGGTGTTTGCATTTGGTCAGTTGTCGAAGCTCCTCCGCCACCTCGTAGTCACTGAGACAGATCAAGCAACGCTCGCCTTCGGGAAGTTGAAGGGTGCCAGCACCTTCCAACCCTTCGGCAACCAGCGAGCCAGCATATTCCACGAGACGGAACAATCCACCGGCTGTGGAGAGATCCTCATGGGTGGCGACGGGCGGCTTGACAGGCCCAAGAAGAGAAGAGAGCAGGATCATATCTTCGTATGTTGGGTTCTGTAACCGTATTAGCTACCGGCCATAACGAATAATGGGATTCTTACATCAGTGAACAAGCTTGGCGTCGCGAAGGCAGGGTGATTTTCAGAGAGGTTAGTTCCGACAACGTAAATCAGCCAGCTTCGGCCTGTAGAAGGTGCAGCGCTGTCGGGTTCCACAACACCGTTGCGTCTAACGGCGCCAGACCCAAGATCACGATGGCGCGCATATTCCGAGTCACTTCGACGTCGCTGGCGCGTATTCAGCGGAACACCGTCTTCAACGGGCTCAGCCGTAGGTTGCATTGGCCGGATGGGATCAAGCTGGGGTAGAGTACTTGGTGACATCGCCGATGCAGTTGACGGCCTTCGGCTGGGAGTGGATGCGCTAGACGACACGGTTGACAACCCCGGTTCAGCTGGCGTTGACGGAGGAGGATGGGGACCTGGGGGGCTTTCCGAAAGCGCGGAGGGAGCTGAAGAGAGCGAGCCAAGTGGGACCCGGCTGCCCATCTCAGACAATCTCGGTAATGGGGTAGGAACTCCTTGTTGTGTGGTCGTCTCACCACCCGCGTTGAGCCCGCTAGGAGCATCGCCATGAAACCGGATAGGTGGGAGCATTGGCCGCCCTTCCGGACGTGGTGGGAATCGAGAGCGGTTGCTGTCAGGGTTGCGTGCAAGACTTCCCGGCGACAGGAACGGTAGGCGAAGAAGGGCGTCCAAACCAGTTCCCGCGTTACCTGGCTGATCTCCGCTGGGCCCGTTTCCCGAGGGGACGGATCTTACCCCAACCACAACTAGAGTCACAGTACGTCCCTCTGGTCCATCGGGAGGATTGTCCACATCCATACCACCTCCGTTGTTATCTGTATTCTCGGAATCCGCCGTGGAGCGATTCAGTGGTCCGACGGGTCGAGTACCATCCGAGTTGGCAAACCGGAAGACTCTGAGAAAGTTGACCGGGGTAGGGGGGCTATTATCGCCTGCCAAATTCCCTGTATCGTTCGGACTTGTTTGCGTTGATGTAGCATGCTGTAAGCTCTGTATGAAATTCTCCAATGAACCGTCAAGACCATCATCACCCAGAGCCTGTATATTGGGCATGGCTGGGCCAGTTGTGCCAGAAAGTTGGGCAGCAATGGCGGTAGCGGCCAGTTGAAGGACACGCGACAAAGGTGTTTGTTCCTCCCGACGCATGACCCTGGATGGTCTTGCACGCAACAACCCCGGAAACTGGCGTAAACCAGGCGGGCCTTGCGCAGACTGCGACGACATGGGTGAGGTAGGGCGCGTACTGCCTACAGCAGGTTCCACTGAATCGAGCTCATGAGGCTCGTCGAAGTCCATATGGCTACCTATTGATCCAGGATAAGGAATGAAGCCTTCAGGGTCCTCACTAGACAATGGGTTTAGGGGCGGTTGTGGGGTAGGCCCTGGTTCCTGACCCGACATGTTTGGATAGGATTGGCCGAACATATGACCAATGGGTCCTGACAAAGAATTTCGGACACGATGTAGCCTAGCACTGCGGCGCCAAGAGCTCCGTGTAGGCTCTGGAGCGTTCTCAACCGCGTTCTCAAGATACGTGCCGGAGTGAGCGGGATCTGACGCGTTCGAAGTGTCATTGCGGGGAATAAAGTAAGGTGCACGTAGCGAGCGTCGTCTGGAAACATTTCTCGAACTCAGAGAACTGAATGGGCTAAAGCGAGCACTACTATGTGTGGCTTCTGATCTCGGAATCGATCTGGATACAATCCCATGGCGATGCGCGTGACCTTCAGCAGGCGTTTCTTCTTCACTGCTCAGCAGGCCACGAATGACCGAGTTGGGGAGGATCCTGGACCCTAATCGCGACATCGTGGACTGCCTGCGTGCAGCCATTCGGGCAAAGATAGCTGAGCGATATTCCCGTTGACCTGGCTCATACTGGGGGTCGCTTTCCTCCTGTATAGTTCTCATTTGTCGTTGCTCGTCGACGGGGACATTCGGTTGCCATATTTCGGCGGCGGGATTCAGGTGAGCGGATTCTACCGGTGTCGTGTGCGTGCGGTCATCGTCTGTTTCCGTTCCCGACTGGGGTGCGTATTCCCCAGTCTGCTCCGAGTTGTAGCCGTGATTCATTGCTTCATCCCTATTGATGCGACCACGGTTCGCGTGAAAAGAGAAGAAGTGTTCTGATGGGGTACTGTGGCGACGAGTTCGTTGCGTAGAGGAAGACTGTCCCATAGTAACAATAACGCAAGGACGTAGCGATGGGAGTCTATAAACTGCCTATTGCCATCGAAAGATTGATGACTAAAGGTGCGACCAACATTAGTAAGACGGTACACAGCAGCGACTCACTTCAGGCACAACAAGATGGGCAGAAGTGAGGGTAGGGAAATTGCGACCAGGAACAGATGAAGCAGTGGTCGTTGAGACAGATTTCCTAGGCGGCACACTCGGCAACGCCACCAAAAGAGGTCTGACTCCTGAGGACGGTCTCCTGCAACCGATTCTGGCAAATTCGGGATGGACATACCATTGGACAGTTTCAGCAATCCAGTCCTTGGCGAAAATGTGCTCGAGTGCCGTTCGGAAATCAGAGATGTTATCGCGGGCGGGCGTTGGGGTGAACGTGCCTGATCGCACCGTGTGGTAGGTTATTCGGAGACAAGGCTGCTGCGGCCGAGAAAGTTGGGCAATAGACGATTCTGCGAGATCGGAGTCGAGAAGAGCGGGATTTCCCAGTAGAGAAAATACTAGGCGGCGTATGATACTATCTGGAAGCCAGCCGGCAAGTGCCGATCCTTTAAAAGGGAGCCACGAAGGAGAGGACGTGTGGTGGGATTAACGCCGTACGACTTTCGGGGGGGACGGACCCCACGACTAACCGGAGACTGGAGACGATGGTGGTCGAGACGGTCGTCAAGCAGTGCCCGCCAATGACAGAGAATGAAGGGGGGCAGCGACAAGAGGGGACGTAGAAAGAGCCCGGGGGCTCGGAGCGATGATAGAGCACGACGGGACCAGGAGACGATGACGATGACGACGACAACGATGATGGGGGGGAGTGAAGATGAGATGAATGATAACAGTTGGTGTTGGTTTGGCCGCTGGTCGGGCGGTTTTGGTTCGGCTTGGCTTGGGTTGCTTACTTGACCTACAGTAGCCTAGTCGTTTCTTGTGGAGTGAAGGAGTCCTGCGTAATTTCGTCTGGTTGGTCCAGATTCTAAGGCGATCTCGCCCGTGACTCCAGAGACCCTGGAACGGCTTAGCCGCCGGGCGGTTTCGGCGGTTTCGTCTCAGCTGGATGTAGTCTAGCGCTCAACGTGCTCAAGGCGGCATCATTCTTGACGCCGCCGATTGGCCGGCGGACCCTGACGAACGGCCTCAGGTTTCTGCCTGGATCTGCTTGATTTTTGGACTTGTCTATTTCCGACTCTACTCTACACTTCTTATCTGAGTGTTATCACTGGTCCGGAGTCATTTATTTGAAGCACCACCAGGGGATCTAAAACAAACAGTGAATACCATCCATGTGGTGATTCCCCTTGTCAATCCCCATGGGACCTCCTCGTACAATAACCCTCCTCTTCCGGAATAGGTCATCGGCTCTTTGATCATCCGGGCCTCTATGGCATCTGTTCCTGCAGCGTCGGTTTTTTCTCTGCCACTCACGCCATGGCAACAACCTTCTAGTGTGCGCGTGGCCCAGTATGAGCCTAGGAAACGCAAGAAGGATCTTGATGACTGGGGAGACAATGATGAGGATGTCGACGGAGACACAACCGATGCTGCATCGGAGGCAGCTCCTCCTGGCCCGTCACTTACTCTATCCCCTGATGAAGCCCATCAATATCGCATTGCCGGCCTCTCTTTCGACCAAGAATTACCAGGGGGAAACTTCCCGCATGCGCCGATGAAATGTCAACCTACTCGTCGGCAGACCCGGAATCGGGTTCTGAAAGAGTTGACCTCCCTATCGTCTCCGATCTATCCTCCCCAGTCTGCGGCTCATCAGGGAAACCTTCGTCTGCAACACTTGGCCGTGCTGTCTTCCATCCTCCATCGTTGTCTCCTTCAGAAAGACTTCGTCCGAGCAGGTAGGGCGTGGGGTTTAATCCTCCGTGAAGAAATCGGGGGCACTCCAGTTGACGTTCGCACTGAAGGAAGATGGGGTATCGGCGCGGAAATCTTGCTCCGACGTGGCTGTCAGAACCCGGACATGGCATCTGGCAATGCGCAGGAGGGTGACGCAGGACACTCTGCAGCACCGTCGTCCGGACTGCTTTTCACACGGGAAGGATTCGAAAATGCCAAGCAGTACTACGAAAGGCTCATCATTCAGCACCCATACCGGAAAGCAGCCCCCGATGCCATTAGTTCTTTACACTTCTACCCTGCTATGTTTGGCCTCTGGATATACGTCACCGAAGAGGAGAGCAGTGTTTCTCGGCAAAGGATCTGGGATACTCATGGTGCTGTCCCCGACGACAACTCGGAGGATGAAGATACTGCTGCCGAGCTGCACGGTCATGCTAGCTCCAGGCAGAAAACAAATGCGATGATTGCTGGTGTTAGGAAAGGCGAGCTGGACCAAGCGCAAAAGATCGCAGCAAGGATGGACGAGATTCTCGGGTCTCCTCCCTATTCTGATTCCCCTGAGTTGTTGGAGCTTAGGGGAATGGTATCACTCTGGATAGCTGATCTTTTCGTCTCGTCATTACCTTATGGACAAAAGGACGAATATATGGACGATTCCGATTTCGAAGACGACAGTTCAGAATCCGCAGATGACATTCAAGATTCGCTCCAAGAACGGCGGGAACGCCGGCTTGCGATCGAGAGGAAAGAATCCGAGGTACAGAAATCTCAGGATTATTTTGAGAAAGCCAAACAGCGTGGCAAAGGGGTCACCTCTACTTTCAATGACCTGAATATTGATGATGACGCTTCATTTGGGTATATGGATTGATAACTTGAGCAAGGTGGTATACATATTACATATTCCTTATTTGAGATCACATAGACAAAGATATGACTAGCTCCCTCTTGGGATCATTTCTCGCATTGTAATATTCTCCCGTAGTTACACCATGACTTCTCGGCTCCCCCCTGATGTCGACTTCAATATTGAGTAAACGGGGAAATTGGCAGCGATTGATGCCCATCCACTCCACGTGACCTCGTGGATGCCTCGCGTGCCTGAAGAATCAACCTCTCGGCGCCAGCAATTCGGCGAACTCAGGACCATGACCGGAACCACCCGTCTTAGATAACAATTGTAATTTGCATGTCATTCGAAACCAGCCCAGCATATATCTCTTTCCTCCCCCTTGTTGCCGTTTGTTGAAATAATCATTTTCGTCACCTCACCCCGCTCCGACCTCCCGGATAAACCATGGGAGTGGGAGATTATGTGCATGCAAAAGAGGCTGGCCAGCCTCGACCACGCACAACTGATGTCCCAACCCAGTCCCGGCAAACTCTAGCTGCACAAGCAAGGGTTGAAGTCCCTCCGACAAATCTGGTGGCGCCGGTGCCCCTGCCAGTCAACAAATCAATACCCCTGGAGCATTATGGAGCAGCATCTTTTACCGAGCAGATGCCTCAGGCGCCCGCGGAAAATGCCGTGCATAGAGACATGTTCGACACGGACGTGGAAGGAATCGACGAGTCCACCATTGCGGCGACAAGTGTCATCGGGGCAGAAGATGTCCCGATCCAATACCAATTACGACCCGCCACGGTTCCCCAGTATCAAGCAGCGCCGGTGGAGGAGAGGCCGCTGCACCCGTCTCGACTGCCACGCCGTGCATACGATGGCAAATGGTACGAGAATCTTGGGGATAACGCTATGAAATCGGCCGGTTTCGATTCCGAAGAGGCCGATGATGCAAGCCAATTGACCTCCATGGCTGGAGATGATGAACGATCTGATACGACCGAGGATGGGAACTACGCCCGCAGATACAGATCATCGACCGAAGAGCCTCTGAGCAAGCGCCTGCAGAACTTCTGGGCTGCCAGCAGGAAATCCCATCAGAATCCTGAACCAACCACGTACCCAGAGCCATTGAAAGGCCCTTCTCTCAATCAATCAACATCCGACGTCAGAATGACTAGTCAGGTCCTATCCAACAGAAAAGTCACGCTCCAACGCAGCATGACCGCAACTCCACGGACACGCTTCAGCCCACCCAAGCCATCTCTCCTAGAGCAGTTGGATCTAACCCCTACCCGGCGGACCTCCGGGCCTCGCCCACAACCCGGCAAGGAGACTGGTGTCACCAGCACCACCAATCACCGCGATAGCGAAGACGATGGCCGTCTATTCGGAAATGGACATGAAAGACGCGACAGCCTACCACCATTAAGCTCCTTTGACATGACCAACATCGACGATCTCGACGACGATGACGACCCAATCAATGATCCATTCGCGCGACGCGGCTCAGTCCAACGCATTATCCCCTCTCCCGATCCCCAATCCAAGAAAAAACGAAACATCGAATCAGACTACCCGCCACACGTACTACGTGAGAAATCATTCAACGACCTCCAATCTGAGCCCTTCGACCACACACCCACCGCACCCACCGCACCCTCCAAAACCACCACCACTACCACCGCCCCCATCTCCGTTCCAGGACCCAAAGCCACCTCGGAAGACAAATTGTCTTTCCTCCTCAACTCAACCGACAAAGACCGCCGCAACTTCTTCTCCACCCTCTCAATTGACAGCTGGGAAGACTACGGCGATCTCCTGATCGACCAATTCAGCAACGCCCTCTCCAAGATGAAAGATCTGCGTCACGCTCGACGGAAAACCGCCGCCGTGTTCGAAGCAGAGATCAGACGCAGAAACGAAGTCGTTGAGGAACAATCTTCCGACCTTTCGCGGAAATTCGAGGAGATGCGCAGCGGAGGTGCAGAGGTCCTTCGCGGTCGTACTCCTTGACCCAATTATTATAAGAGACCGGATTCTACTTCATGCATATAATTCTAAGCTTGTGTGCATGGTCTACCTTTCTCTCTCTCTCTCTCTCTCTTCACACAAATTCCATTATTGTTATTTCCCCTCAGATATTCTTACTTCATGTTGGGTTCAAATTGTATGTGTTTGTTTGTCCTTCGAGATTTCAGAGTTATGAGATAGAGTTTACGCGAGGATGACCAGATTATGTCCGTGTTGTATTTGCCAGTCGGCGCTTATAATGACCCCTGTCGGTTTCATATGTTTTGAATTCATCTGTTAGTAATGTCATTATACCCCCACCAAATTCATTGTTTGAAGGAAACTGCATTTGATTAAATACTAGCACTGCTAGCGATGCCTTTGACCCAATGGCTGAAAATGCAAGACATGAACCCAAACAGTAAGCACTGAACACCAGCAGTGATCTACAATTTCAATCATAAAAATGAAGAAAGAGCGGGAAGTCGCCACGAAAATACTTCAAAGAAGAGGGGGATAGTATAAACAACCATGTGGGAATCATATGCCTTGAACAAAGAAGAGTGAAGCTTCCACTCAGGTAGAGCTCTGCTTTGACAACGCTGCAGCGATGCGCTTGTAGTCCTCCAACAGAACAGATACGTCCCCAATCGTAAGTTCGCTGACATTTTGCATCTGGAGGAAACGCTGAATAGGCGGTTCAACTCGCTCAACCCGGGGTGGGGCACTGGGAACGTTCGAAGACGAAGACTCGCGCGAAAGGATCGAGGCTCTGATTCTCTCAGTAGGAGTGTTGGGAGAGGGCATTGGCCCAGGGGTATCAGGAGTGCCTGGAGTGCCACGTCCAAAGTTCCTGATCATGCCGGGAATGTGATTGAGCGGGTTAAGGGTGTTCCCGAAGCTCCGCATCGATTCCAATGGAGTAGTAGCCAGCGATGCTGTGCTTGCAGGGGAAACCTGGGGTTCTTCCTTCTGCGGGCCCTGAGAGACCGTGGTTTTCCTGGAGCTGCCCTGGGTCCTGACGCTGTCGACACTCCGGTCCCGTGGGGTTCTCTGGCCACTGACCAGCCCTAGAAAAGTATCCTCTGCTTTGGATCCGATGCGCCTCAATGGAGGCCGATCGGTGGAACGAGGCTCCCTTGCTGAGTTTTCGTCTTGGCCTAGATTGTTCCCGGTAGATATCGGATTCGTGACCAGACGTCGAGCATCTGCCAACGTCTTCGGCAGGACCGGATTGTTCCCATCTTTGACAGGGAACTGGTTGGACTGTAACTCTTTAAGACGACCAAAGAGGAAATTGAAACTGCTGTCCAGGGATGCCCCAATGTTTTTCAGCCCCTGGTCGGCGGTGTTACGGACAGCATCATTAGCGGCACCGAGCACCTTTGCAGGCGGTTGGAAAAGATTGTTCAGCCGCCGTTGTTGAGTGCTTGCTGACGACTGAGGTCTGGGCAAGGTGCCCAAGGCGTCTTGCCCAACTGGATTCGAAAGTTCAGGCGAGGCTGTCACGGGTGTAACCGACGATACTGCTGCTTCCTTGGAGGCATTATGGGACTGGAGAGAATCGGTCTTCCCAGCCGAGGTCGAATCGTCATTGGCTGCCTTGGTTTGGCCCTCAAAGGCCTCCTCCCCACGGAGTTCGGTCAGGTCTACATTCTCGAGAAAGCTAATGGCCGCTTCAAGGTTAGTCAGGCAATATGCAGTTTCACCGTCTATTTTACTAGACGACCTAAACCGCTGGATGAAGAAGAGATTGCTAATAATGTTGATGCCCTCAGGAGGACAAGTGACGAGGGAGTATATCAGAGTAGGCAGTATCTCGTCAGCGGAGGAGGACGATGGTAGCAATTTAGTCAAGGCATCAACTATTGCCTTGTGTGCAGCAGCAAGCTGTTGGAGCTTGCCTAAAGGATACTTGTCATCGTTCATCTTCGCTAAGCAATCTCGTGCAGCAGCAAGGCATTCATCTGCCTCCTTCTGCTTCTCTTCATTGATCGCACCAAGGTCGAGATCGACGCCGAGGTCCTTTAGATTAATGCCAACAAGAGAGAGCGCCGCCGTCTTGGAGCGCAGCTTCTCGTCTCGAATCTCATCCAGAGTGCTATTATGCCTCCATAATTTGTCGTAGATAGTCTCACAAGCTCTCCGTTCCACTGCCTCTTCCAAAGCAACCCGCTTGGAAGCAAGATGTTTGCGTGCGATTCTCTTCTCCGTGACTTCCGATGCTGTCAACATTTGACGGCCATCTGAGCCTTTGTTACTAGACTTTCCCTGCGTGGCACGGAAGGGAGAAGGATCACGATTTATCCGAGATGCCAGAGCAGAGATATGAGTGGCTATGTGTGATTCCGCTCGAACATAAAACTCCTGGAAGCGACTCGATACCTTCTCGATCGTGGGGGGAGAGGAGTGTACCTTGGCAGTAAGCGAGTGGACAAATCTACCAGCAATGATATCAGCAACCCGTTAACCAACATTGGGGGAGGAAGGGTTTTACTGTACCTGTCTGTCATACTTGCGAGCTCAATCGGCAGCTCCTCCGTGTGACCCTGGCTGCCTCGTGAGAGCACCGAGATCTCCTCACCCTGCTGCCCATCGTCGCCCAAGTCGGAAGAGCCTGGTTTCTCGAACAGGTCGGGGCTGCCAATCCGCTCCTCATCTGGTGTCGACAAGGGTAACGGAAGGGCCTCAGCATCTACCAGTTCAGGTATTGCCACGGATTGAACGGTCTTGGCTCTTGATCGAACGAAAGGGCTCGTATCGGGCGAGTCCATTCTTGGGAACGAGCGGGCCGTGTGTAGGCGCGGCTTCCCAGCGCCATTATCGGAAGCATTGGCGGACATGACGGTATATTAGATAGGAAAGCAGGTATGGTTCAGTCCGACGGGATTTCGGCCTTAAAGTCCAGGTGACCGACTCATGCAGATCAAGTATGTATGCCGTATGGGGCCAGTGCGTATAGATGACACCTGGAACTTCGGTCCGGGAACCCCAACCAAACAGACAGGGGCAAGGTGAGAGGGTAGGGACAAGATCTGGTAGACTTATTTGTTGGAGCCAAGCATGGTGAACGACACCTCACAGGCCAGGCTTCGCAAAGCGGCAGGAGTCCACTATCGGAGGACCGGATCGAGAGGGAGTCAACAATTGGCACTAAGAATGCGATGATGCGCAGCGGGCGGGTAAGCGTCGGAGAAACCCAAAAGCGGCCGGTGGTGGTGTCACGCGCAGATCACGTGCAAGTGGGCCTGGTTGGGGCTCTCCGCAATCACTTGATGCGTCATTCACCGCCTGGGCGATAAGTGATCATCGTCCAGCTGGGGTGGTGACGGACTCTCTCCTCCATCGCCTTGTCCTCTCAGCATCATCCCTGCATCTGTTTCCATCACGCTGTCACCATGGAGAGCCGAGCTAGGAAGCGCTCTCGGGGCAACACAAGGCTTTCCCACCTGTTATGGCCGGTGACACTGTTTCCAGGCCTCGTCGCCGCTTATCAGCCTGAGCCTGTATACTTCGGATCCCGACAATCTTCACCCTTTCTTCCTCCTCAGATCCCACTGGTCGACCATCCCTCCCTCTCGGGCACTCATGAATTTGTAAGTAGGTCCAGAGTTTGCTCAACCCCAATCCTACTGACCCTCACGATAGACGCTTCGCCACATCTTCCACCGAGGAACCTACCAGGACCCTGATCTCCACCGGAGGCTAGATATCACGCCCGACACTCATCTTCGGGCCGCTTCAGATGATGAAGTCACATTCGATACTCCGCTGGTGGCTTCGTCGCACCCTCTCATGATCGAACGGCTTGCAGATCGACGCCTTTCGGTCATCGAGCAGCATCTAATGGCTGCAAGGTCCGGATCGGTAGCTGCGCTGTCGCCATCCGACTGGGTTCTAGATACACTCGCCGGTCCGAATGTCACAGAGAAGGAAACGGTTGTTGCTCTAGCAATGATGACTGCAAATGATTATATCGAAGAGCCAGGTACAGGTGATTGGCAGGATATCCGTGATCGATTCAATCACTCGGGAAGTTTTGGATGGAAAGATGACGGACTTCGAGGCCATGTATATGCCGACCAGACGAATAATACAGTTGTTATCTCTCTCAAAGGAACATCTCCAGCCTTATTTGATGGCGAGGGCACCACCACGAATGATAAAATCAACGACAACCTCTTGTTCAGTTGCTGTTGTGGCCAGGGTGGTTCGTATCTCTGGCGGCAAGTGTGTGACTGTCAAACTACTCTGTACAATGCGAACCTGACCTGCATTATCGAGGCCGTGCAAGAAGAAAACCGTTATTATCGTGCTTCGATCGACCTTTATTCCAACATCACCGCGTTGTATCCCGACGCAAATGTTTGGCTAACAGGCCATTCTCTAGGGGGGGCTGTGGCTAGCTTGTTGGGGCTTACATTCGGAGTGCCAGTCGTTACTTTCGAGGCTGTCCCGGAGGCACTTCCAGCAGCTCGTTTGGGTCTTCTTAGTCCGCAGTCGCGCAAGCATACCGGGGCCTATCATTTCGGGCACACTGCGGACCCTGTATACATGGGGACTTGCAATGGAGTCAGTTCCGTTTGTACATGGGGTGGCTATGCAATGGAATCTGCATGCCATACCGGTCAAATGTGTGTCTATGACACTGTCGAAGATAAGGGATGGCGTGTTGGACTCGAGAAACACCGTATCAACTATGTCATCGCAAAAGTTCTTGCTGGCTATGACGATGTGCCTGCCTGTGCACCCGAAGAGGAATGTTACGATTGCGAGCTGTGGAAATTCTTCCGCAGTAACGGCTCTGAGATTACCACTACTACCGAGGCCACCTCCACCTCCACCACGTCTACCACCAGCAGAACGTCCACCTGCAAGACCCCCGGATGGTGGGGCTGTCTGGACAAGACCACGACTACCGAGGCAACGTCCACCTCGACGTCTATATCAACGACATCCACATCAACATGCAAGACTCCAGGCTGGTTCGGTTGCAAAGACCCAACAACCACATCTGGTATCACATCTGCACGACCAACGATCACTACAACAGAACCTCCCCAGACCACCAGCTCCTGCAAACACCCTGGGTGGTTCGGCTGTCGCGACGCCACCACCACCGCTGCTCCAACTGCCCCGCCGGTAGTTGACTTCTAGTTGACATCTAGAGCTTTGAGCTGTTATACTATCTCACATTACAAATATACGACTATACGGGCAGTCGGTCATATCTGAGCGGGCGTACTTGTGCGACTGGTGTTCTTGCTTTTATAACTGTTAGTCTGTCCTTTACCGTCTTGGTTGGATACAATCCTTTTGCATACATTGGATCGAGCGTCTTTGGAATAACTATATACAACAAACTGTTTTGATTACCTTTTTGGTCTAGGAGAATACAAGGCGGTCGCAAAAAGGGCAAGGAAGAGATACAGCCTTTTGTCGAAGCCAGCAATGGCTAGGAGTGCACCCAGACAACTAAAGTATTTGCTTGGAGGCGAGGTGCAATGAGAACAAGTCTTTGAACGATTTGGAATATCTACTCAACTCAAGAGACAATTCAATGCAAGGCCAGTTACTTCAGTCTAGGTCCGTCCAACTCCTATGTAACGGGGCGCACTTCGAATGAAGCATAAACTCTCTCTGCCTATATAAACGTTGAGACTTCTAATCCATCCATCCTTGCATCCCAAGTATTCATATACTGAAATACCTCAACTATCTACACCAACCCTACCCACAACTGGGAAAAACAAAACACAAAACAAAACAAACAGAAGGTTCGTATCCAACAATACCATTGGTCGCCGGACCACCCCCTTCCGCCGTAGATCTATCCATGCCCCCCAACCAAAGAATCAGACACCAAGGCCATTGCAGTGCTCGAGTGAGTGACTTTGGTGTGAATTCTCTTTGGTTAAAGGCTCGAAGTTGGAGAGGTTCACATCGTTTAGTCCCACCAGATATTTAGAAATCTACCCTTACGATGGCATAAAACATTTACAAGAGATAGCGCGGTAAGTTACAAAGTATGGTAAAGAAAAGCTTTGAAGCGATAATTCTTATATTGCTGGTCATCTAAAAGACGTTCAATACACCCAAGACAATGCAAAATGCAATCATTTCGGAGACAGGTATCATATCTTTTTAATCATCATTTTATGCTGATCATGCACGCCAACCAAGAAACAAGGCTAATACAACTAGGTAGGCTTTGATTTACAGACGAGCGGTGTTGTTGGCCTTGGCCTCCGTAGCCTTCTCGATACGAGCACCCAGGTCTGCGTTGACGCGACGGAACATGCCGTAGGTGGCCTTGCGCACACGCTCATGGGCAGCGCTCAGATGGGAAGAGACGTTGTGAACAAAGTTGTTCTGCTGGCCGTGCTGACGCCCCAGAACCTGCCAGAGACCGTTGGCCTGGACGTAGTCGTCGTCAGTAACAGGCAGCTGCTCAACAACGACAGAGCCGGACCACTTCTCGTGTTCCTGACTGGCCTTGACGGGCTGGTAGCGGATAGGACGGAACGTGGAGGGGTAGTTGGGATTGGCGCCATAGTTTCCGTGCACGTTCATGTAGCCGTCACGATGCGTGGGGTTGAAGGAGCGGAGCGGGCAGTTGACGGGGATCTGTTCATAGTTGCCGCTCAGACGGTGGCGGTGGGTATCGGGGTAAGAGAAGAGGCGGGACTGCAGCACGGGGTCGGCTGAAGGCTCGACGCCCGGGACCATATGCGAGGGGGAGAAAGCGGCCTGCTCAACCTCCGCAAAGTAGTTCTCGGGGTTCTTGTTTAGGGTGAGCTTGCCAAAACGACGCAGAGGCACCTCGCTCTGAGGCCAGACCTTGGTCAGGTCGAAGACGTTCCAGCGGAACTTCTCGGCCTGCTCGGGGCTCAGAACTTGGACGTAACAGGTCCATGAGGGATTCTCGCCCCGCGCAATGGCATTGAACAAATCCTGGGTGTGCCAATCGGGATTATCAGCCGCCAGGCGGGTGGCCTCCTCGTTATTAAAGGTCTTGTTGCCCTGGTCGGTCTTGAGATGGATCTGGACGTAGTTGAAGGTGCCATCGGGCTTGATCCACTTGTAGGTGTGGCCAGAGTAGCCGTTCATGTGGCGGTAGGAGTAAGGGGTACCACGGTCACTGAAAAGGTGCATAATCTGGTGGACGGCCTCCTGGTGAGTAGAGAGGTAGTCCCAGAACATGGTGGCATCCTTGAGGTTGGTCTGGGGGTTGCGCTTCTGGGTGTGGATGAATATGGGGAACTTGGCGGGGTCACGGAGGAAGAAGACAGGGGTGTTGTTGAAGACCCAGTCCCAGTTGCCCTCCTCGGTGTAGAACTTGATGGCGAAGCCACGTGGATCACGGGCGCTGTCCGCGGAGCCCTTCTCACCACCGACGGTAGAGAAACGGGTGAACAGCTTGGTCTTCTTGCCAATGCCCTTGAGCATGTCGATGACAGTGATGTCGCTGATGTCATCGGTGACCTCGAACTCACCAAAGGCGCCAGAACCCTTGGCGTGGACAACACGCTCTGGGATTCTCTCTCTGTCAAAGTGTGCAAGCAAATCAATCAGGTGAAAGTCCTGGAGCAGAAGAGGTCCGTTCTTGCCAATGCGCTGAGCAGCCTGGGGATCCATAACCTGAGATGTGTCAGTCTTCGTCCATCTCTTTCAAACGCCTAAGTGACGTCTCTCAAACGTACTGGACAGCCATTGGAGGTAGTGTAAATGGGAGTCTCATTGTAGCGGTAGGTCTCTATGGGAAAGACGAGAGTCAGTCTCCTTCTATCCTTTTGGAAGTATGAAGAAACAGAAGCCAATAGTTATAGACATACTAGATTGGTCGTCCTTGCCCATGGTGACGGTTTGTGAAGTTGTTTGAATGTGAAAAGGTCGGTAGGAAGAGGAGTGGAGCGAAGATGGAGACAAGCCCGGACAAGAAAGGCAAATGCGGGGTTTAAGTAAGGACGGGGGATGTCAGTCCGTCGGTGGAACGAGGAGGTCCTTGAGCGCTGTGCGGGGAAGGGGAGGCGCCGGAGCTAGAGTGGTAGGGAGGGAGGAATAATAATAGCTGCTGCAGCGCAAGCGACAATGCCAGGGAAGAAGGAATTATAAGGAAAGATTCGAAGGCCGGTGGCTCGTCGCCGAGGAACGCGAATGGGGAACCCCATCCAGCCCCAGCCAATCGAGACCCACGGGAAAGTCAACGCAGCCCAGGGGTTCCACGGAACCGCCTTCCTCCATCATTCCCGCGGGTCTAAACGCGGTACCTTCCTCGGGTGATAGCCAAGACCATTTGAAGCAGTCGGGCTTCTTCAATAGTATCTCTGGATGGTATTCAAGAGACTTGATCACTTCTAGCACAGCAGTCCATGATGGAGAAAACCCGCTACAGCAAACACTCCAGGTTACAGGAATGCAACAGACAAATTACAGAAAAGGAGCTTTCCGATACGCTAGTTACCCCGCACATTTGTACCAGCTCGAGCATGGATGCCCACCAATCAGCGCCCATCCAATGTCAGATCCCAACCAATCTGGAACTTACCTTCCGCCCAGTGAGGGGATCCAGCATGGTCCATGACGACGTGGAGGATGTCTCCCGGGTGTATCGTTCAAGGCCATGATGTACGGGGTAACCCACAGTAGTACTTCGTACGTATTCCGTAAGTGAGCACAGAAACGGCTCGAGGTGGACCGTTTGCGACTAGATACGCTAAAGCGCCCAGGTTAGTCCATCCGATATCGTAGCTCTGAAAATCGATCTTAGTCAGTGGACCAGGCCAGACGGTCAGGCGACAGGTCGTCTGGACCTTCCGCGATCTCCATATTGCTAATAAAGATGCAGGCCAGGCGGGCGTAACTTTTGCCTGTTTCAGGAAATGGCTAACGGCATTGATGCGTTGTCGCGGATACACGTGTTGCTAAATTCCGTAATAGGAAGGCGATGCTGAATAGTGACTTTCTTGATCGAGTTCCGGCACTATGATATTAGTAGTAGTGTTGTTCTCAGTTACCTAATACGGATGCTCAATGGGATCTAATCGTTCAAGATAGGTATGTTACCGCGGGCGGATAGGTAAGACGAGCTATCGCGATAAAGGTATCTCCACTGTGATCACTTATCTGATTGCATATGAATAACTTCCCGCCCGGAACGCTGTCATATATGACTTTACAATGCCCATACTTGATAGAGCTACTCCACACAAGCCTCATGCGTCAAGTGCAGCAGGCGTACGCGTGCACCAATGTTATTGATGTCGCGATGAACAGCCGAATCATCTCAACATCACGACCATCCAATTCCCAGGTATTACGATTTGCGAAGTGCTATTTCCACTCACGTCGGGGGGTTCCCCGCGGAAAGCTCCGGCCTCCGAAGCGGAACAAGACTCTCCTAGACTCCTAGTGGAATAGGAATCCGAGCAGGGGCTCGGAATGTCTCCCGCTCGGTTCCGATCACCGCTAGTACTGATTTCTTGCTTGATGCTCCAAGAATTTTACACATTGTTAATTTGACATGAAACTCTGTTCGAATAGACGCAGCCAAGTGATCAAGAAATGTCATATCTGATGGAACGAACAAAGAATCAACATCCACCAGCAATCTCACAACAAAACATATTCATCAAGTCATAACCCAACCAGACCCAACCAGAGCTCGCCATCATCTTTACTTCTGAGAATCTCCACCCGACCTGTCTCCATTTATGCTGCTCAGGATATCTCCTGTCGACTGTCCGACGCCTCTGGTCGTGTTTCCCAGGCCTTCAGTGGCCCCGCCGACGGTCGTTCCCAGACCCTGGGTCGCTCCTCCGACAGTTTGGCCTAGGCCTCCCACAGTGTTGCCCAGAGTGTCTCCAAGGCCACCCACGGTCTTTCCTAGGGTATCGCCGAGACCTCCGATGAGGTTGGCTATATACTTACATTAGCAATGTGTGGGGAATGGCATCGTGGTTTATCGGGAGTTGGTACCCAGGGGTGCGAGGACTTTATCGCGCTCGACTAGATAAGCCAGAGTATAGACGGAGGGGAGGCGCAGAATCATCAAATGTAGGTGCAAAGGTCAATGGGCACTTACGGTTGTTGTTGTTGTCGTTACCAGAAGACATGGTTTCAAGATGGTGCAGTCAAGATATCTTCGAAGGGAGTTTGAAGAGATAAGACAGTTGTCTGCAAGCGAGACTGAAATACTCGACCAGAATGATCTTGCGAGATGGATCTTGCGAGATGGATCTTGCGAGATGGAATGGAATAAACTCCAACATTAAGATAAGGTGTTCTTTTTATATATACAAGGTACAGTGTTCGAGGTCGTCGCCACGGAGCGCTTCCATCCCGCTATGATATCATCGTACTCCGAAACCAGGTCGGCAGCACAAGCGGCAGCCAATGGTTTCGGGAAGCGAGAATCTGAGGGCGGCGCCAGATGATACTCTTCAGCATGATGATGAAATGGGGTCCTGAGGGTTATGGCAGTGGCTTATTGTCCCCGACTTTGCGACTCTTGTTATTGTGCCTATTGGCCCCTTGAACGCTCACATACGTAGGGATTATGCAGGTCAACAATCTTAGCGAGCCTGAGGAAATATTGCAAAGCTGAGGGCAGAAGACAAGGAGACTCTTACGTCATGGAGTACATCCATCTGTGGCATGGGTTCCATGCGGTAAGCCTCCATAGAGAAGGGGAGAAACCGGTGGATATATGTATCCGAATAGTACCATGTGAGATATCTTGATGAAAAGGGGATCTTTTGCTCAGCAGGACCAGAAATAAAACCGGAAATCCCGGTCTACTTTTCTGAATGACAGAGATGTTGAGAACGGAGAATGATGCCATAACTCATTATTCTAAGTCTTTCCCAAACACTTCTGGACCTACTATGTACAATGAGTTGGTCAGTCGACCGCGTGATTAGCACAACATGGGAAGGGGAGGCGAAGGCAATGAAATGGCGAACAGCCAAAACTATTTATATGAGAGGAAATGTTCATTGCATCGCACAGCTCATTCAGAGTACCATGAGAGAACAATATATGGAGGGATAGTTCAAAATATACGCTCTTCATAGTATAATCAAGCTTGGTATGTCAAATCACGCACAGTGTCTCCCAAGCATACTACAGAAGTTCTAGTAGTAGATGGCCGGTCGGCTACCGCTTAGAACATGGCCAATAAACAAAACCAACTGCAACCAACAAATCGTTCGTTGTACTTATAATTATACGCGTTGCTTTGGACAGCGTATAAGGAAATTAAAGTGCCCACAGGTATACGAGGAGCAAATCATCGATCGGGATTGGAGCCGCGTATATAGGCCAATGTGCTCCGATCAGTCAGCCCCTTTTTAGCCGAAAGACGAACAAACTAGGTTATGACGCTGCAGAAAGCTGTCCGGGGATCTGCATATACGCCATGTGCTCAACGGCGTTAAATCGGTTGGCTATTGGGTCTCCAAGGTTGTCTGGGTCAAGGGAAATCCTTCGTCGCCCGATTGCACGTATATACGCGCAACCGACGCTGGTCGGCCGGGTCAAGCTTCGCGCACCCACCAGGCTTGGCCGGGAATGGGATAGACAGCAGGCCAGGGCTGCCAGGCAGGGACGGCAGGCCGATCCTCCAGGATTAATCTTATCGGAGAATGTTGGCCTGCATGCCAGCCACGAGGCTCTTGCAGACGATGCATCTGGTACATCTGATCATGCATACGCGATTAGATACGGTGTGAATTGTAGAGTGTAGACTATAGAGAGCCTACCCACCATGGGGTTAAACCATATATACGGACGGTTGAGTTTTAAACCTACCGGACTTTTCTTTTCTCTCCGATCTGTCTCAGGCAGTCAAGCTCCCCTGCCATCGGGAATGCGACGCCAATCAGGACGCCGCGATCAGCTGGGCACCAGCAAGCATCCAGTCCCCGACAGTCCCTTTCCCCGCAAACCCCTCGTGTCGGTCCCCCGGCGTAATTGCCTGACTGACCTAGTAGGAGTTTATTATTCTGCTGGGGAATCCTTCCCATCCGTGTTCTTCGCAGGCTAGAGAGGATCCGAGAAGAGCCCCGCCTGGCTCTCGAGCAACTGACTAACTCATTACATGATTACACGCCCTGCCTCGGCGACGCAGCAGACGACGCCAAACCGGTTCCTGCACGCGGTGGGGGCGCCATTCCCACCGGGCCTCAGCCAGCGCTCGTCAGTCAGTCAACCACCGCCGGCCCCGCCGCCGCCATAAAAATCTAACGATAGCCGTCCCACTGCCAATGCTATCCGGTGCGGAACGTCCCTGATTTTCCTTCTGCCCACTGGCCTGTACTGTCTGTCCCTTCCTTCTTCCCTCCTTTTTCCTCCACCTCCTTTTCAGCCCTTCCCTACCCCCCCCGGGCCCTGCAATTGCTCGCCAGCATGGCTTCCTCCAAGGCTCCGGATGCCATTGCCCCGGTCGAGCAGCCGCCATCGCCCGCCATGGAGCGCCAGGACTCGACCACCTCCTCCTCGGCCAAGATCATCCAAAATGCCAAAGCCGCCACGGATAAGGAGCAGAAGATGACCTTGCTGCAAGGCATCAAGCTCTATCCCAAGGCCGTGGCATGGAGTATCCTTATCTCCACCTGCATCGTCATGGAAGGCTACGACATAAGTCTGGTCAACAACTTCTACGCGTTCCCCCAGTTCAACCGGAAATATGGCGAACTGTCGGCGGATGGGACATATCAGGTGCCAGCACGGGTAATACCAACCCCCTTTTCCATCTATCCTCGATTATCCTTCCAGTTATATTCTCTCCTGCACGCAACCCAATGATCGCGTGACATGATGACTGACGAACATATCTGTTTAGTGGCAATCGGGTCTGAGTAATGGTGCCTACGTCGGAGAAATCATTGGCCTTTTCATCAATGGGTGGGCCTCGGAACGCATCGGATATCGCTATACCATCATGGCCTGTCTCGTTTTGATCACCGCATGGACCGCCATCTTCTTCACCGCCCCTAATGTCCAGACGCTGCTGGCTGCGGAAATCTTGGCCGGTATTCCCTGGGGTGTGTTTCAAACATTGACCATCACCTACGCCTCGGAGGTGTGTCCGGTTGCCCTGCGAGGATACCTCACGACCTACGTCAATTTCTGCTGGGGATTGGGACAATTGATTGGTATCGGCGTGATCAAGGGCATGATCAATCGGGACGACCAATGGGCTTACCGGATCCCCTATGGACTGCAGTGGATGTGGCCCTTGCCACTGTTCATCGGAATTTCCCTCGCCCCGGAGTCTCCCTGGTGGTTGGTCCGGAAGGGCAAGACCCAGGAAGCCAAGAAGGCCCTCCTGCGACTGACTAGTGTGAACCGAGAGACAAACTTCGACGCAGATGAGACCATCTCGATGATGGTGCATACGACGGCACTGGAGAAAAAGATCACCAAAGGCGCCAGTTATCTGGACTGCTTCAAAGGCAGTGATTTGCGTCGGACCGAGATTGTCTGCATGGTCTGGGCCATCCAGAACCTAAGCGGCAATTCCTTCTCCAATTATTCGACCTACTTCCTGGAGGAGGCAGGCCTGAGCACGGATGATTCTTACGCCTTCGCCATGGGCCAATACGGCATCAACATGCTTGGCGTGTTTGGGGCCTGGTTCCTCATGTCCTTGGGCTTGGGCCGGAGAACGCTCTACCTGTATGGTCTCTGCGGGTTGTGTGTCATGTTGCTCATCATGGGATTCCTTGGACTGGTGCCGCAGGAGCACAAGACACAGGCGGCCCTCGCCACGGGCAGCATGATGATCATCTGGGCGCTCTTCTACCAGCTGACCGTGGGAACCGTGGCCTACTCGCTGGTCGCGGAGATCTCCACCCGCCGCCTCCAGATCAAGACGGTCGTCCTCGGCCGCAACCTGTACAACATCGTCGCGATCATTTGCGGTGTCCTGACCCCGTACATGTTGAACCCGGGGGCCTGGGACTGGGGCAACTATGCCGGATTCTTCTGGGGCGGTATCTGCTTCCTCTGCATCGTGTACACGTTCTTCCGGGTACCAGAGCCCAGCGGACGATCCTTCGCCGAGCTCGATCTCCTGTTCGAGCGGGGGGTCAGCGCGCGCAAGTTCGCCCAGACTCAGGTGGATGTGTTTGACGAGACCATGGAGCATGGGGCGGTCGATCACTTCCAGACGGAGAAGACAGCAACGGCGGATGTGGCGGCGGTTGAGAAAGGTCCCGCACCGCAATGACCAGAATGTGCTACGCTTTCTTGTAATAATTTAATATCTTAATGTACATAGAGACAACTAATCATGAATACGAGACGATTAATGATCGATCCAGTTTCATTCCAGGTCGCACTGATAGGTAGGTGTTGCACAATCATTCTGATGCTGACAAATGAACTATCTCACTTACAGATCCTTCCAGCTTTCACATCCTCCCAGCTCTCCAAGAGCCCCTCACTTACTCATTCGACCACTCCGGCTTCTTCTTCTCCGCAAAAGCCGTCATCCCTGCACACCATCAGAAATTGTCCAAAGAAAGGGAAAGAGGAGCTCAAAATCTCACCAATCTTCTGATCCTTGCTCCCAAACAACCCATGAAACAACCTCCTCTCGAACTCAACCCCCTCCTTCAAGCCGATCTCATAACTCTTATTCACAACCTCCTTGCCAGCCACCACCGCCACCCTCGAATAGCCCGCGATCGTCTCCGCCGTCTGAACCGCTTTCTCCAGGACCTTGTCCTTTCCTCCCTCCACCACCTCCGCCGCAACCCCCACTCGCCCGCCTCCTTCCCGCTAAAGTTCTTCCCCGTCAGAATCAACTCCATCGCCTTACTCTTTCCCACGGCCTTAGTTAGACGCTGCGACCCCCCAGCCCCGGGGATAACCCCCAGCTTGATCTCGGGCTGACCGAAAGTAGCGGTCGCGGTGCAGTAGATGATGTCGCACATGAGGGCAAGTTCGCAGCCACCGCCGAGAGCGTAGCCTGAGACAGCGGCGATGACGGGCTTGCGGATCGTGTTGGCGAGATGGGACCAGGGGGCGATGAAGTTGTTGCTGTAGGCACTGGAGAAAGTGAGGGGAGCCATTTCTTTGATGTCGGCGCCGGCTGGAGGTTTCTGTTATCAGTAGGATATGTGATTGGTGGGGTTTGAGGACAAGGTACCTGCGAAGGCTTTCTCGCTGCCGGTGATGATGATCGCGCCGATGTCTTTGTCGGTGTCGTAGGTCGTTAGGGCATCGTTGAGCTCTTCGAAGAGAGGACTGGAGAGCGCGTTAAGGGCTTTGGGCCGGTTGAGGGTGACTGGTTTGTACAGGACACATGCTTAGTTTCCGCTGGATTGGAGGGGGATATGGGCAGGGTTGAGTACTTAGTCCTACGCCTGGCTTGGGAGTCGAGGTGAGAATATGCTCGTATGCCGAGGTTGCGGTTGCGGAGAATTGGCGTCCGCGGGCGAGGTAGGAGGTTAGAGGGATGGCGGTACGGGAGGAGACCAGACGGGAGCACTGGCGGGCAAACATGATGGTATATATTATTATTATTATCTTCGGGGTATTGGGGGAGTGGACAGTCAATTGGGGGAGGAAGTCAGGAAGGGCCGGGGGGATAGTTGGACTTGGATGATGCGGACGATAGGAAGCTCCCCGCAAAGGTGCCGAGGAAAGCCCGGCGATAGCCGGCCGTGCCTGCACGTGAGGGCTGAGTCAGCGGAAAAGCGGCCCCTGAGGCGCAGTCGCCATGACAGTGGCTGGAGAGCCCAAAGGGGCCTAGCGGGCGCTTGCCGGGCAGTGGCCAGTTTTCCCGCGAGCAGCTGCTGTCCTTCCCATCATCGCTGAGCTGCAGTCTTGCCTCGTCGCATTCAGTCTTGCTTCTGTCCGTGCTCGTTGCTGTCTCTAGTCGCTGCCCTATGCGCTGAGCTTGCTGAGATCTTCTCGTCCGCTTCGTTGCATATCCCCCCATCTCTCTTCTCCTCCGCTGCCTGCTGGGCAATAGATAACAATCCGCTTTTACCATGGACGTTCCTGAGCCTGAGCAGACGCCTTTCACGGCCGTGACGGCGCAGACTTCGAAGCTGGCAAGGGTGCGTGCTTCCTTCATTCCTATATTTGCGACCACCTCAATCTCGCACCGCCAGCGCAGATGCACATTGCCCCCCAACAAATCCACGCAGCCACGCTAACTTTCCACAGCAATTCCAAACCTATCTCGACGCCTCCACCCCGTTCACAGCCTACCGCTGGACCAGCACCGTTGTTCTCCTCCTCGTCTTCTTCCTGAGGATCGTCTTCGCCCAGGGCTGGTACATCGGTACGACACCCCCGTTCTCTCCGCATCCTCCCCAGCTTCCAACCCACTCACTAATACAATTTCAACTACAGTGGCCTACACTCTCGGCATCTACCTCCTCAACCTCTTCCTCCTCTTTCTGCAGCCCAAGTTTGACCCCTCCCTCACCCAGGACGAGGGTCTCGAAGACGGCGACGCCGCTGCTCCCAGCCTGCCCACGAAACAAGACGACGAGTTCCGGCCTTTCATTCGCCGTCTCCCCGAATTCAAGTTCTGGTTCTCGGCTACCCGCGCCATCCTCATCGGTTTCATCTGCTCATGGTTCGCCGTCTTTGATATCCCGGTGTTCTGGCCCGTGCTGGTAGTTTACTGGGTGATTCTGTTTGTGTTGACGAGTATGTCTATCTTGGATCCGTTTGTTCTAGACCCCGGGTGAAATGGAATCGACTAACCTTGTTCCAAAACAGTGCGCCGCCAGATTCAGCACATGATCAAGTACCGCTACGTGCCGTTCTCATTCGGCAAGACACGGTACGGCCGGTCATGAAGGAAGAATATTCCATCTACTTCCGCTTAAATCATATGAGATGCGATGAGATGAGATGAGACGATGATGTGGTGTGATGATCGTCATGCCATGCATAGCTTTGTGCGCTGGCCAGCTAATTGGCTGGCTGTGTCGTGCTGCTTTCCTCCGTCCGCTTCCTGTCCCCTCGTTACCCTCGATTCATGTTGGGACCAATACCATCGAACCCCAGAGTGAACGTGGTGACGGGGTCATCATGGACAGGAGCGGACCTAACTACAACCCTTTAATTTCAACCTGATGATGACTTTGTTGCGTGTGACCTGACCTGAACTGACTTCATGAACTGGGATTTTAGTATCCTCAATGTACAGAGATTAAGTCTATGCCGTTTATGCTGTTGCTGATTGATTGATTGATTGATTCCTTTTTTTCATTGACTTCCCTGTGATACTAGAGTTGGACCTTCGTGTGTAATCTACTGTGGTGGTGAATAGATAAAAGTGCTCTACTGTAAATCTATCCTTAGGAAGGATGGGGATGGGGATGGTTATTGTGTAAATCGGTAAGACACTCTGCCTTTGGCCCTGCGATTGCCAGAATTGAAAGTAGATAGTTATGAGGAAGGCGATCCCTCATACATGATAAAGACACGGATAAGGTCTATCCTATGTGGTGTATGTATAGGTAGGTTACCAAGGAATTCTCTACCCCACAACTACAAGATCCCACATCATGAACAGTATCAGAATTGATTCCATGTCTAAGACTTTTGATTATGTGCATCTATACCCTTTGTCGACATGCGCATGTATTAGAGAGGGCAAGGTAAGGTTGAAGGGAATAATAGGATAAGGATAAGGCGGCGGGTATGAAAGGTTTATCCATGTAGACCAGAGGAAAAGGTACAAATTTCATATTGCCATCAAGGCCTTTTAGTATCATAATCGATGAAGAAGGAAAGAAGGAAAGAAGGGGGAAAGGGACGGAGGACTATATCTCGAGATGCTCTACGCTGTTTCTCTGGGTGGAGTTGTCCAATGAGAGGGCGGACATGGCGCGGCTGGGGGTCGGGCGTTCGTGTTCCTGGGTCTTTGTGCAGATCCAGGTTGATGCGTACATGTTTACGCTATTGTCTCTGTTAGGCTGTTTCTGTTTGGGATTGGGTGTCCATGTTGGTGGGCTTACCGATCAATGCAGGTGCCAGGGAACCGGGCACCCACACGGCGCGCGGAGAAGCCATTCTGCTCGAAATGACGAATGTACCAGGGATCGATACTCGCAGAACGGAGCAGTATCCGGCCGCCCATCTTTAGGGCGTGGTTGAGTTTCTGTGCTTGGACGGCTGCTTCGCTGCCTTCGGGGTCGAACCAGTCCATGGAATCCATGACCTGGTTGGTCAGTTTGGGTCTTTTTCTGGGTTTTGTTGGATGAACTCACCACGGCTATGGTCAGGCTGTGTGGTTTAATACGCTTGATCACTTCGTTGATCTCGTCGGTGTGGATGCGGAGGCCATCGAAGGCTCCGGGGGAGGATAGCTTCACGTGGGCCTTGGGGGAGAGGTATGCAGGATGGCATCTGTCGCCGTTAGCTGGGTTTGTGGGAGCTTCTGTGTTGGTATCTTACCTCCTTGAGAACTGCCCCTGCAAAGACAGGAAGTAAAAGTAGTTATCGTTGCTGATCATAGTCTCCTGGATCAAGGGGTCCAGAGTGTCCACCACATACTCCCAGATCGACTGGCCGCTCACATCTTTCGTCTGCTTCATATCCTTATTCAAGCCGTTTCTCTTGAAGAAGTCGTCGACTATCATATTGCGTTGGTTGCGGGGCACGCCTGCGGCCTTCCATGCAAACCATTCGGTACCCACCACAGCCCAGTGAAGAGGCTTGCTCAACAGGACAGAGCGAATCCGCGGCCAGATTTTTCGCTGCTCTGCCAGGGTCTGAGCTTCGCAGAGCTGTTGCACCTGACCTTGCAGGCCAAACATCTTAAATAGGTAGCGAACCATCTTGATAGCGTGGCGCGAACCGCCCGTCTCGTAGAGTCCCTTGCCGGAAGAAGAAGTGAAGACATGACTGTGCTCCAGCCAGTACTGGAACGCTTGGCTGGATAGATGTGGGCTCAGTCGGGAGATGAGAAGGTTGCGAAACTCAGAGTGCTTTCCTTCACCGAATATCTTCCACACATCACGGTGACCCAGGGCCATAAAGCTGGCCACCTTGAGCTCCAGTAGATGGTTCTGGTTCGGGTTCAGGTCAACTGCATGCACCCGACGTGGGCTCTTCTGCAGATAGTCAAGGATGTTGTCTCCGGCGCTTGTGATGGCCAGGATGACATCGTCACGCTTGATATTTAGCAGGCGATGGTCGACACGAGGGTCTTCCCAGTTGAAGGCATATATGTACTCATTTCCGAACTGCGTGTGCTTTGGCAGTAAGTCATCATAGAAAATCCTATGGTTGTGGTTCTGGTAGAAGGATGAGGGGAGGGGCAAGTTCGAGCTCAAGTTGACCACAGCAGATTCATAAGCTTTGGATCTGATTTCTTGCGTACTGTTCTCAACAGCGGTCTCCATTTCCTTTCGGTGGTTGGCTGGTGCGAGATACGGTGATTCTGTGAATGAGGCGTTCAACTTCTCAATGGCCTCGCGACCTGAGTGGGTGGTTGAATCCTTTTGGCAACCGACAAAGATATAGTAAGGAATGCCACCCAAAAGGTAGTTTCTTTCGCTGGCTGAGATGACGGTACCGAACCGATACTCCAGGTAGTCACGACGGGCTGCCTCCAGACTGACTCGATCCACGTCGAACCAGGCACGCCAAAAGACTCGTCCAAGCCAGTTCACATGACGGTTGAACGCTCCACCGGTATAGTTACGCGAGGAGACGTCGACAATGCTTTGGACTATCCGGGGGTCAGAAGACACACGTCACATATTTATTTGGATATGCATACCATAGAAATCGCAAACCCCGAGAATGCCGGAGGATCTCAAGAGCGCGGGCAGGGCGTCGACGACGCTGTAATAGTCTGCATTGTATGAGCATCGCCTTCAGATACGACACGAAGCTTCACTAACCTGGGATCATAGACAAGCTATAACTCATAGTCGCCAGGTCGGCACCGGTGGTGCTCTTGCTGCGGGGATCAACCTTGTCATCATCGGGCAAGCGGAAAGTACGGGCATCCTGGCAGATGACCCGGACATTTTTCCATCCCAGTCTTTCAAAACGTTTGCGGGCCACCTCACAGAGGGAGGGTGAAAAGTCGACCAGATATACGTGTGAGAAAAATTCCTGGACAGGGAGGAAGGCAGACATGGCTTCGATGTTGTATCTGATTGTGGTTAGGATATCATCCCAGAGATGCTGGTCCCAAAAAGTGCTCACCCTGTGCCTCCACCAATCTGAAGGGTCAGTTGGGATTCGGACAATAGGAATTGGGCAGAGATAGGCTTACATCAACCCAGATGGCCTTGCCGGACTGGAGCTCCTTGTTTTCGACCTTGTGTTTCAGCTGGGCTGCAACTAAGCCCAGCATATCCTCCCGACCACACAAAAGACGCTTGCGAGTGGCATCATACACACCAGCCTATATTCATTGCTTTCAGTCAATGCCACTAAAATGGCATCTTACGGGAATTCTGAGCATACCTGAGTCTTGTAGAAGCTCTCGAGAGCATCCTGTTGGCCATTTCCATGGCTCTGATGGGGCTTGAGGAAGGTTGCGTAGATGAATTTTAGATAGGTGAAAACACCGCTGTTGTAGTCAATCTTGCGCTTCTGCGATGACAATATTATGATTAGTGCAACGAATCCGCAAACCAAAAAGGCGGTGCCAGCAATATAGATATGAAGCCAGTCCACTGGACCCCAAAAGGGCCCGGAAACACTGGTGAACGACATGAGGGCGCAAAAGGGACAAAGAAACAGCTATGAGAGGCGGACATTCTCCCCCCAGGGTTGCGAGGAAGGGCAGCTTCTTGAATCAATTGCGCGTGGAGAGCCGACAGCCAGATGCGGAAGAAATTGGCCACATCTTTGGGAAACGCGCCCCACTCAAGGTCGCCCCTCTATCGCAAAGTAAGTTGGCTCCAAAACCTCGACCGTAGCGCCATGCCCTATCAGGGAGACACATGGCCCGGAGGTGATAAGGTGCATTGGTTGGAGGGAAGGGAAGGATCCCCGGGTGGCTCCTTGCTGGCCAGCTGGCACCGAATTGGAGGGGGAGCTGGCCCCAACCTGCCCGCAAGAAGTGCTGAGATGGAGATGTGCACTTGCAATGGATTCCGATGCGGGATGAAGTTCAACTTGTGGAAACTGGAAAGGTTGCAGCCCTCCTGCATATACTTCGGATGGGCCAATCACAACCTGCAGTGCCCGCACGCCTTGGGCCGCCCGAGCCACTCGGGGCCAATGGATCCCGCACGACAGCCCCAGGGACCAGCATTGCCGGGCCTATTGGTGGATCCCGATTAACGGCCAGCTTCCATTCATGATGGCATACGGAGGGGTATCTTTGGCAGCAAATCCCGATGCGGAAGGGCCTAACGCAGTCCACAGTGAATTTCCCCTCATTTCTCCTCGGGTGGAATCACGGCAGGTTGACCTCCAGCTAGTTACAAGAATTAGAGCGCTCGCGTATTCTTTGAAGGTCACTTACCTGCTATGATTAAAGACACCCACATCCAGCTGGAGTATCAGTCCATTGAAGTCTAAGTGTTTATATGTCTGATAGTACTCACAAGATGAGAATAGTCTGGCCAGGCCATGACTCGGCTATTCTCTTTGCAGCACATTCGCCCGATTCATGCACGCCGTTAATTCTTGCAGCGTATCCTGCCACCCTGGATGCTCAATACCCCTCATACAACCGCGGAAGCCGAGCTTTTTCTTCTCCAGCTGCACGAACAAAGGCTGCAATTGCATTAGCTTCAGGTTATCTGGACCATCACTTGTGCTGAACAAAACCTTGTTGCAACATAATATCTGGACTTTCTATGTCGAGCATCGGTATGATTCGGAGTCTGGACCTCAATAAAACTACTCAAATGCCCCTCGCAAAGATGTCGGACCCCTCATAAATGCAAGGTTTTGGCGTACATATTGTCCAATGATAGCTTGCCCGCGGCTCTCCATGGAAAGACGGCTGTGAAAAAAAATGGTTTTGTTTGTTTTGCTGCTTTCCCTCGCTTTGAGTAAAGAGGAAAAGGCCCCTTCAGCATAGTAGAAACCGATATTGATGAAGCCGTTTCGGTCTCGAGTCCATCAGTAAGACACCCAAGTTGTTCCATGATTCTCGGGGCAAAGCTTGCTGCGGGATGACCATTGCCGTATGAGCCCTTACAGAAGTTTGTCTTATTGTTGAAGCCTGAGTAGACACCGGTCATCTAGATCAATGGATCAGGCCTCACGCACAATGTAGGATGAAGTGATATTTGGATAAGAGTAAGCCGCAATCCAGTCTATGAATCTTCTTATATAAAAAGACTTGGTTGGTGTTACCCACACTGGTTATGTTCATCTGATTACTGGATCATCAAATATTGTTATATCAAACATACATGTCAAGATAAGTTTCAATATGCACCGGGACTCCAACTAAGCCCTCTGTAGATGCAATATACCTCTCATTGCCATGGATGACAGGGGCGCTTCCAGCGATGTCCGACCACACTCTGTATCCCTGAGCTGACGGTATCTAAATTTCTTTTTTGGTAATGGCATTTTAGGCCAAGTTGAGGACTGGTGAGAGATTCCTTCTCTAAACTTGATGTTCAGTGATCAATGCCTGTGCTATTTTCATCACCTAATCTCTTATGGGTGAGCTCAGCGCCAATGGAAGCGCTTAAAGGTAGACCGCGAACAAGTCAAAACTAGTACTCTGCTCAGTGCCATGTCTGAAATATGTTCTATTAGCGCGCAGGCACAGTCCAGATATCTGGCCGAATTCCAACACTTTGTGCCCATCCCAACCCGCATAAATCCACATATCTGTTGTCGCCTTGAGTGTGGGGCAAAATATCTCAATTGTCTCACAATAGCATTGAATGAATTGGTGATAGGCTATGGAGACTTGCTGTTAGCGCTCATGAATGAAGTGCTCCATTCATAGTGGGCCACAAGCGCCGGTTCCCACTTTTCTGATACGGGTCTGCCAGGTACCTAGATAAGCACCGGTTGATCCCATTCTGAGTATATGATTGAAACTACTATAACGACTAGTCAAATTATACGGCCCACTGGGTGGGATGTGCTTTCGTGCTCACTCCAAGTATTGCAGGGGTCCCTGTCGACGTTGGAAAATCCTTTGGCCAGTACCCAGTACCAAGATGCAGGGGCTGCGAGCTGAGCTGTCGATCCAGCTGATGCACTGATAGCATGGGCGCGTAATCTTTGATGCGCTATTTTTGCTGGGCCATCAATTTTTCATTCCGTTATCACAGCATGCTATGGCGGACAGCTGAGCGCACTTGTGAGTCAACGGAGGTGTCGCCTGGGGTCTAGAACCTATGAGCTGAGCACAAGGCTGAAGAGAGACATTCTAGTCATATCCTGGCTTTCTATTCGAAGCGTATAGACGCCTACGTTCATGCATATCTCTGGCTTCGTTGGCGTTGGGACATGTTACCAATATTAGCTGACGCGGCGCAGCGCCGATTTCCCTCTTCTGACGCATGTATCGAAAGGTGAGTCTAACGCTCGAGGTAGAGACGAGAGAGATTTATCTGTGAGCGCAGGCTATATAAATCAGCTACCAGCCCAGCTTCCGGGGCATTATCTCTCTGTAAACCAGACCTGCCTTTCTAGTCTTCATTCTCTATTTCAAGCTTGTTCACTCTTCAATCTTACTGCCGGCAGAAGATGCAACTTCTAAGCACCTCTACAATGTATTCGGATACCAAAACAAACGTGGTGTCGGATTCCGCAAGCTTTGATATCGGCCTCAACCCAACCGGCGACGCTGGAAGTGGCCTTCATACCCAAAATGATCCTGCTGCACCCTATCAGCGCGAAAATTATATTGAGCGCAAGACCGCTGTTGACATTCGCTGCTCTTGTGTCGACGTTGTCCATGGGCTTCTGAAGCCGGACGGCAGTTCGTACGCTACACTCATTGTTCTACAATTCCGGTTCGACCCACGCAAGCGTGCCCGCCGCATTTCCCAAGTCGATATCGAAATTCAGTTCTCCGGATCTGAACCTGGAGCAGCAGACCCAGAGGTCTACGCTATCGCTCCAAACGAGCATTTGAGTGTCTCTCGCATCACTCAGACTGAGACGACCTCCACTGAGAGCTCCTTGAACCTTGGCGCCGGCAGCATCGTCAGTGGATTCGTCGATGTAGGAGGCTCCGTGAAGTTTGGCCATGACATCAGTCGGGAGACAAACTATGCGGCGACAATTGTTGGATCAATTGACCTGAGAGGCCGCAACTATGGCAAAGCCAATTGTGCCTCATGGACGCTGATTGAGAATCCGGCAACAAAGGCCGGAGTTCCCGCTGGCATGAGAGCAGTGATACTGCTGAAGAGGAAGGATGAAGCGAAGTTCCAGGCCAATGTCTCGATTCGGGCGAAGGCGGACTGGAAGACGCAGCTGGAATGGCTGGTGGGCTCGACACGAGCAGATGACCCAGTGCTGTTTGATCCGATGATGGAGCCAACCAGTACAAAGTACGACGATATGGAGCTAAAGATGGGGGATATTAATCTCGAGGCCATCTCCGAGATCGTGGTGGAAAGCGGAAAGAGCATGACCTAGTAATTGGATTGGAACTCCCTGTATGGTAGTACATTGTGGATTGTTGCTGTTTGCCACTTTGAGATATTGAGTTATGTTGGGATACAGTCTTCGTTCCGTCTGTTCTCCAGATGGCCAGCGGTATATCGTTTTGGCATACTGGTAAGAACGCGACAAGTTATCAATCAATTATATTGTATTTTGGGACTGGCTTCCACACCTCACTGTCCTGGTGTCTCGTCAAGTGACAGAAGAGTAAGACTTCACTCACATGTTGAAGTATATGAAGCCTGGCACCTCAAGCCAGTGATTTACTCCTGCCTCTGAAAGTCACTGTAACACAATGAAGTAAGAGTTTTTATTTATTGTTTGTTCGTGGCCGGGGGGGGTGAGGTCCTCTCTTTCTTTGCTTCCTTTTTTCTTCCTCTTTCTTTTTCTCCTCCTCCTTCCCCTACTTCTCCTTCTCAACTGCTACAGCCCACGTTCAATCGCTTGTCTATTTCACTTCACTTACCTACTAGGCAAGACAAGATACTCGGGCTTCCACAGCAGACAACCGAGATTTGAAGTGTTGTCTTCACTTGCTCTTTCGATGGCTCTCAGCTTTCATAACAACACTCCTCAGAAATAAGATGAATCGTCTACCAAATGAAATCCTCCTGTTAATTGCAGAGCATACCGTGAAGGGAACTTGCTGGCGGGAGAGATGTCGTACTTTGCATGCCCTCATACTGTGCTGTCAGCGATTTTATAAGCTATTCCAATCTCTCCTCTATTATGATCTGAACCTGTGGAATTTCTCGACTAGTGAAGTCCGACTGGTCATACACCTATGGAAGCATCCCGAATTGGCGAGTCGAGTGCGCAAATTAGAGCTTTGCTGGCCTTCGGATGATGAAAACTGTCTGGAGGTGGATGATTACGAAGACGACGAGCAATCCAGAGTGAAATTCATCGAGCAAGCACTACAGGAAATATTCACGCCTGAAGAGAAGGAGACAGAGTCCAAGTGGAAAGATTGGCTACACGACTTTCGGGAGTGGGCTTGGATTGGCGTGTTACTCGTCCGCTTGACTCATCTTGAAAACATCCAGTTTAATCAAGGACAACACTCTAAAATAATAGTCGATGTTCCACTTAAGGCAGCAAAACGACATAAACCTTTCCATGATTCTCCTCCATTCCCGTTTCTACGAAACGTTTGCATCTTGTCTAATTCAGGGGTCGACAAGAAAATCATCACTCCATTCTTCTACTTCCCGAACGTCCGCTCAATTCGTGGCGGCTCAATCTGGGCCAATACGGAAAGTGCAAATATTTTGGATCCTTGCGATATGATCCCCTCGTCCTACTCCGTCCGGGAAATTGCAGTCTATGGGGTCTATCATTGCCGTGGGATGCTCGACTGGCTTGCAGCATGTAAAAAACTCGAGCACATTTCCATCGAAGCTGCATCTCATCCTAACGATGATGAAATCATATATCCCCTTGATTCTCTGGCATTTCACCATGCTATTCTGCCCTTCAGAAAAACACGCAGGACTCTAGAAGTGACATTCAGCATTTTATACAATAACAGTCTTGTAGAAAACAATGGATGGGGCCTGAAAGAGGATAATATACCTTTCCCGTCCTTGCAAGATTTCTCTGTCCTCGAGAATTTAATCATACGACATGCTCATCTCATGATCTTCCCGGACATTATGACTCTTCAACCCAGCAATATTCAGCTAATTGATAAGCTTCCGACCTCTCTAAAGAGACTCAGCATTCGTGATATCGTGGATGGGTTCTACTTTGATTTGGAATCAGAACTTCTGAGCATGGTGAGGAACCGGCATGCACTTCCCCACCTTGTTGCGCTGGAACTCGGGGAGAGCAAGATTCTCGATGAATGTTCTATTTTTGAGGAACCGTGTGATAAGCTGGTAGTTGAATGCAGAGCGGCAGGGATTTGTTTGAGCTTGGTGCCTTATGAAGATACATGGCCCCTGGCAGAACCGCTATTATTGTTCTATGAAAGTTTAGCTTGATATAGCAGCGATGATGTTCCAAGACTGCAGTCGATTGTGACGCGTTGATCTTTAACACACGGGTTAGCTTGAAAATTGTCCAGGAAATGGTTTGAGAATCACATCGGTCAATCTGATATATGGATCCTGGACATAATCATGAATTAAATTCCAAACCATTCCATATACGATGAGTCTACCAACTTCAACCGGCTACGGAATAGCGTCCCTATTTGATTTCTGCCAATCCATAGCTGTTAGAACCCGAATAAAAAACTTCGGATTCCAACCAAGTGCTTGTCACATTTGGTCCTCAGTCAAAAGGCTAAGCGAACGCTCGACCAGAACATCCCATTCACTCAGGAATGCGCACAACTGCTCGTCCCTCAATCTCAGACCGTCCCAGGCGTTGCAGCACATCATCAATGCAATCAAAATCAAAGCACTCAATATGAGCCTTCACATCGCCCGCCACAGCCATCTCCATCAACTCCCCCATCTCCTTGGCGGTTCCAGCCGAGTTACCAACAATCGTTAGCCCTGTTTGAAGTCAGCTTCTGTGCTACTGCGGATAACCACCTATCCATATCTCACCTTTAACAATCATATCAAACGGCGTAGCCGGTAACTTGAACGGCACACTCGGTATACCCACACAAACAAGGACGCCCAGACTGCGAAGCATCTTCATACTCTGGATGTATGCGGGCTCGCTGTTGGCCGTGCAGATGACGGCTTGCGCGCCTAGACCCGAAGTCAAGGCTTTCACTTCACGCTCAACGTCGTCGGTCTTGTAGTCTAGGAAGCTTGTGGCTCCGAGGGAGAGACAAAGCTTTTTTTCTTCTCACCGCTAGTTGATGAGGTTAGGAAATTGTAAGGATTGATAGAATAGACCGTACCTGTCAATTGCTATGACTTTGAGGCCCTTTTTGGAAGCAATTTGGACGCCCCTGGGATATAATTAGTGTTGATCTATGGTAAAAAACGTATGCAAATGTGTTTACATGTGTCCTAGGCCCCCTCCTGCTCCGGGGAGGACAATCCAGTCTCCGGGTCGGGTTTTCGTCTTCATGATCGAGGAGTACATTGCGATACCGGCTGCTCTCAAATTAGCCTAGACGGGGTAGGGTTGAGGGTTAATGGAAGTTCGACGCACCGCATAAGAGTGGCGCAGCTACATCTGGTGCCAGCTCAGGAGGAATTATGGTTGCGTGGATGGCAGGGCTGACAACGTATTCTAAGGTCCATCATCGATTAGCAAGGAGTACTTGCAACAGAGAAAGGGATACTCACGTTGAAAAGTCCCTGGCACATTCTACACCCTATCAGCATAATCACGAAGACCGTTGAGACGCATTAATAAGGACTCCCTACCGCTCCAGCATTCTTCTGATACGGACAGGCCGTATTATTGATAGCGCAAATCTCACACTCCAGACAAGAACTGTATAGCCATCTGCATTTGCGGCGTCAGTTCCTGCCTCTATTCATCAATGGCCATACTAACCGTATACCAACTCTCCGTCCCATCCAAGCTTGCTCGTCAAGTCCACTGCCCACTACACACGTACCTGATCAGAACATGGACAATTGACACCGGATGACAGCAAATCACACTTACCTTTCACTACCTTCCCCACACCTTCATGGCCCGCTATATCGGTCAGCATGGGGGTTTCCCCGCGCACACTATGAACATCTGAGTGGCATAGTCCAGAGTACTCGAGTTTGACTAGGACTTCACCCTCCGTGGGAGAGGGAACCGGACGGTCATGTACAATTTGTAACTTGGATGTGGTGGTCGCCCCAGATGGGGGAAGTACGGCCGCGATCTGGGTTTGGGGAACAGCCATGTTGTACATTGGGGGGTCGTGGAGATGGAGAGGGCCGTTGGTGGGCTGCTGCGGGGTGAATATGCACAGGGTCAATACTGTCGGAGAAGCTCGACAAAGTGGAGTATAACTAGAATAATTGTCTTATCCCTCTTTTGATCAATCATCGATTGTGAGATTGAGTGATTTGTCGTTGATGCAGATAATCTATCTGGCCGAAGCTATATCGTGACTGATAGGCGCTTTGTCAATGATAGGCTCCGGATAGTGATAAGGAGTCTGAAATTGTTTAGTCGATGTTAGTTGATGTGAGACACCGCTCCTTACTTTGTGTCGAACTTGTTTGTTTAAATACTAGATTGGCACGTGTTTTATTGCCGGTACCTGTTTTGAGTCAATCTTGAATCTGGACTCGAGTGTTTTTAAGTCCTAAGAAATCGAGTCCTACGGATAAAATACAGTAGAATCCTATTCTTCTTCTGATTCTGAGAGCAACGGATCTTAAGATACAGCCAATCCATACGACATCAGCATCAGTAGCATTGTCTTCTCGTCTGTAGTCTCTCAACATTGCCGTGAGCACGGCCGATAGCCTCTGACAAGGGCAGGCTCCATCCAACCAGAAGCATTGCAAGCGACGCAAATCGGTCTCAATCATGACCGTAAAGCACAAGCAAAGCCCGCCAAACTCAAATTTCAAATCAATTAGGATATTATGCTAAGTCTGGGGAATTTCGATATCAAAAAGGTATACTGTATAAACGACATGAGCCCTGAACGGAGTAGAAAAAGGACATGGAAGGAGAAAGACGAGTGAACGGCACCAAGGATAAATGACAAGCATTCACAAGCTCTGCGGAGCCTTACCACCTGAAAGCCGAGAATTATATCGAAAGAAATCTATAACATGTCATAGAACACCGTCGCTCATGCGTTTTCCGACTGAAGAGTTTGCTGTGTGCGCAAGACGTCAGCATATATCCATGGTAGGAAGAATGAGCCTGCAGCAATGTACATACCACTAGCCAATCCATGCCTTCATTAAGGCCTTTTCCATCAATCGCAGAGCATGCGACGATGCTCCAGTTCCGATCCCGCAGCTCGCCCAGCTTCAGAGCCTCTGATATCTCGCCCGCGCCTTTGGCGCCGGGCTGGTCCTGCTTGTTGGCAAATACCAACAGGGCCGCGTCGCGGAGTTCGTCCTCATTCAGCATGGCTGCAAGTTCATCAGCAGCCGTTCCGAGTCGTTCAATATCAGTCGAATCGATGACGAATATGACAGCAGCTGTGTTGGCATAGTAGCAGCGCCAGTAGGGGCGAATGGACGTTTGACCTCCGAGATCCTGAACGAGCGCATATGTCAGCAACCACCGAGCGTCCCCGTCCAAGGGCAATAATTGTATCCCAGGGGCTCCAACTTACCCAAACATTGAAATTCAGATTCCGATACGTCACCGATTCGACATTGAAACCTATGGTAGGTATCGTAGTGACCACTTCACCAATCTATTGGCAGGATATCAGCACCAGGTTCTCACTGGTCATCTGGTCGATCAGCAAGTCCACACGCACCTTGAGTCTGTAAAGTAGGGTTGTTTTCCCCGCGTTATCCTATAGCAGAGAGGGCGGATTAGTCTGGGATCGCTAGTAGCTTGAAGCCTAGTGCCAAAACATGCGTCACATACCAGCCCGAGAATGAGGATGCGAATTTCCTTCTTCGTCCAGAGGAAGGACCACATACGAGATAACGAGCCACCCATTATTGCAGCTCTATGGGCGACAGGAGAAGCAGGGCAGCACTGGTTAGAGGGGGACGGGTCTCGTCGAGAGAATGACGGCAGGAGATATTGCGGAGGGATGATCGGGTGTCGAGCGGTGGCGGAGACGATGCGGCGAACACGAGAGGAGTCGCCCGGACGGTGGCACCAACCAAGGAGACGGCAGATGTTCTAGGAGGCCAAAGGAGCTGCAGTTCACTGGAACTGAATGAGAAGCACCACGACACGAGACGGCCACGATCAAGAGCTGACTAAATGACATGGAGGGATGGGTGGTGGCAACCATTGGCCCGCGGTCTCCTGCCGATCGGCCTGGCCCAAGCTCGAATCAACTAAGGATGGGATGGTTTGGGGATGCGGTTCACTACCGCTCACGCTGTCCGATGCTGTTCCAGCCTGCCACGATACATTGTCGTCAGGCCGCCTCGCCTATCTTTCCCCGGCCACAACACTTTCCGCCCAGTCATTCCTCTCGTCCTTCCCTACGCGCAACACCGCGAATGGGGCGCTCCTGATCTGAACCTCCTTCCGACATCCTTCGCGATCCGCTTGCGATCTTGCCGGACAACTTTCTCTCACCACACCCCTGCCAGCAATTCGATTGCCGGTCTAGCAACACATCATGGTCGGCAAGAAATCGGGAAAGGCTCTCCTTCGGGATGAGGGTACGAGATCAGCAGGCCATCGATCGATATTTCTCTATACTGACACACATGCGTAGGCCTGGAGCGGACCGATAACAATATGGAACTGTCAAGCTGGCCGCAAATCCCTCCCATCAATCAGAAAAACTACTACACGTATGTCACTGGATTTTGGCCCCCAATGAATGACAGTTTTGCTATTCACTGCACCATAGCGCCCTCGTCCCAGCGCTGACCCTCCTACCATCACAGTGACTATCTCAAGCGAGATGATCAGTACCTGGCATTCAGACTACAGAACGAAGAAGCTCGAAACCGGATGGCAAAAACCGCCAAAGACCGTGATCGTGCCCTAGCCATGGCAAAGGCCAACGACCTGGGACTACCCGAAGCGGACGCGGAAGACGGCGATACCAACATGGAGGATGCTGATGAGAGTACCGCGGAAACGCTAGGCTCAAAGGTTATTGTCATCCACATTGGCAGTCAAAACCTGCGGATCGGATTGGCTAGCGATGCCTTACCCAAGACTGTGCCTATGGTGATCGCTCGGAAGGCCGCTACCAGTGAATCGGAAGAGCACGAGGAGGAGCCTTGTCCCAAGCGGTTAAAGATGGACGATGGCTCGGATATGGAACCAGAGAAGATGTTCGGTCCTGAGGTCTGCTCTTGGTCTAATTAAGCCACATCAGAGTCTAGATTCTGACCTATCACAGTTTTCCTCACAGTATACGACGATGATGGCGGACCTCAAATCCCATATGCGACAGAACAAGCGTCGGACTCTGCCAAACTCCAAGGAAATGGTGATCAATTTCAACCGGAGGACAGTCCCAGAGACTATCTCAGAGCACAATGACCCCATGCGCGTTGAGTGGACAGAAATTCCAGACCCAGCACCCGAATACATCGTGGGACAAGCGGCCTTGAGGATACCCGATGCCTCAAAGCCTCGCTACAAGCTTTACTGGCCGATCAAACATGGTTGGTGCAATGAGCGAGACTACAATAACAAACGACTGCTCTTTCTTGACATCTCCCTCATCCTGGAGGACGCTTTCAAGACTCAACTGGGACTTACTAGCAAGAAGGAGTGGCCCCAGTACTCCTGCGTCTTTGTTATCCCTGATATCTACGAAAAATCCTACGTTACTCAGGTGCTTGAGTTGCTCATGAGGGAGTTTGCCTTTGCCCGCGTCTGCTTCATCCAGGAGAGTCTGGCCGCTACATTTGGCGCCGGGTTCACCTCCGCTTGCGTCGTCGATATCGGTGCCCAAAAGACCTCGATATGCTGTGTCGAGGAAGGCATGTGCATTGAGAACTCACGTGTGAATCTCAAATACGGTGGATTGGACGTGACAGAGACGTTTGTTAAGATGATGCTTTACGATAACTTTCCCTACGCTGATATCAACCTATGGCGCCGGTATGACTACCTGTTAGCAGAGGAACTGAAGAAGAACGTTTGCACCATGAATGAATCCAGTGTATCGGTGCAGGTTTTTGATTTCCACCTTCGTGTCGCCGGCCAAGATACCCGGAAGTACTCTTTCAAGGCTTACGACGAGGTACATCTCGCCCCAATGGGCTACTTCCAGCCGTCCATCTTCGACCACTCCCAGAAGCTCAAGGGGCGGCGGAAGTTAATCGCCCGGTCGGTCGATATTTACGATGGGCAGCCGAACGACCCAACTTCGACTGCACAGTTGCATATTCTGTCTAGCATTGCTCCCCCGTCCACCAACGGTCAGGTGAATGGCGACATGCAATCGAACCATCTGGACGTACAGGCTACACCAAGTCGGGCTCAGCAATTCAATGCTCTTAGTCGCGTGCAAGATCTCGACGCCACCTCTCGATCATCGGTCGCCGGATCCCCTGTTCCGGAGGCAGTAGGCACCCCTCTAGCCGGCGCTGCTACCCCTGTTCCGGGCGGACAAGGCCAGCACACGTCGCAACCCCGTGCGCCCACGGTTGAAGAACGAGACGACATCCTGCCAGTATACCCGTTGGATAATGCGATCTTGACCTCCATCGCTCAGGCTGCTCGATCGGATGAGCGTAAAATGCGCGACTTCCTCGGCGGTATCATGGTTGTTGGAGGCGGGAGCTTGGTGAATGGGTTCCACTCATTCCTGGAGGAGCGTCTACAGGTTCTTCGACCGGCCTTCGCCAAGGAGATTATGATCGGCACGCCCCCGAGAGACCTCGACCCGCAAGTCGTTGTCTGGAAGGGCGCGAGTGTCTTTGGCAAGCTGAGCGGAACGAATGACAGCTGGATCGGGCAGCTGGAATACGACAGACTGGGCCATAGGCTCATGGCGTACAAGTGCATGTGGGCCTACTGATGCTGATGTCTTTATCGATCTCTTTTGGTATTTTTACGCTTGAAAGATGGTGTTGGTTGATCCGGGAACTCGTTGTGACTATTCTGTAATTCTATGAATCTTTGGCTAGCTTTCTTCATGCATGTCCTGCGGCCTAGAGTGACAGGCAACCAGCCATATGAATAATGACAGTGAATTGTGAGATTAAAATGTATTCACTGCACCATACAACAACATAACACTATGCCCTGTGATTGTAGCATCCCCAGCCTCTCCGGCTCCAACTTCATGCCTGGAAGATTGTTAGTCCGTTTGTCTGTGCACCCTCATGCTAACCCAACCCGCCAGGCGGTATGGATATGCAGAATGACCCAGCCAACCCCAAGTGAGTTTGCCCTGCATCCCGACGCCTCCAATCGTGCATGCCGTTTTTCAGGTCTCACTGACCGGGTGATCGCTTCTCTCAGTCCTTCAGCCGATTGATTGTAGCTGCCAGGGCTCGGTTGGGTCTTTTGTGTCGGAGTCTGCAATCCCGCCGCTTATTCTCCCAGAGCCACGTAAGTTCCAATGAGCTTTCTGTCGCAGCGAGGTCGGAGCTCTACTAATACGGGTCGCATTGTACAGTCCGCCTTCCTCTTGACGACGCTGAAACGAGAGTCTTGCAGCTATCTGTACTTCACGCAGAAATGTCGAAGTCCAAGGACAGCAGCTCCTCTGGGGGCTTTCACCAGGAGTATATTGCGTCTCTGCGCTATCGAAATGACCTGCCGCCTCCGGATATGCCCCCGAAGTTCCTCGACATCCCACACGAAGGCTTGGATCGTTTCCTCACCCCGGGCTTTGCATCCAATCTGGCCCGCCGCGAGGAACTGAATATCGATGTCGATGCGGAAGGTGGTATGCCGATCGACCTGGTCGGTATTCCGGGCCTTCACCTGGGCGATGAGAGTGGTACGTAGCCAATGCTAGCTTGGTCCCCGTCGAATTGGTGGCTAATTTGTCTGGCAATGCAGCGATTATGGCTCCCGAGAATCCGGAACCCATTGACCCCGCTGACCTGGCGCTGCTCATGACACCGGAGCAGCTGAAGAACCCGGCACCGAAGAATGCTAATGTCAGTTTCCTTCGTCGTACGCAGTACATTTCCGCCGGTCTTCGCGCGCCGGATAGCCCCAAGGTCGCCCCCATCCGCTCTAAGCGTGGCCTTGACAAGACCAAGTCGCAAGACGATCCCACCTACGTCAAGAAGTACCTTCAGAAAGGTTTCGATATCGCGTATCCTCACAGCAGACATGTCGGTGAAGATACGGCGAGCAAGATTAAAGGACACACTCCTACTAAGCTTGAGCATGATGCATGGGCCCATCCAGTGCACCCGGATAACCCCAAGTTGAAGCCCGTTGGGATTTACCCTCTCCTCCCCGATCTGGCAGGGTTCCCGGATCCCGGTGGTTTCGTTCAATTCAAATTCGACAAAGCACCGGTACAGGATGTCTCCGGAAGAAGGGACAAGCGCATGGATGTTGCGGTCTTGCTTCCGTCGGCACCAGAGGAACGCATCTGTCAAGAGCACGCGACAAAGGCCGCCTTGCATAAGACTAACCCCAACCTGTACCCCGACCCAGGCCCGATCCCATGGGATTACGATCTCTTCCTGCCCGAGAAGAAAGAAGCAGCCAGGAATGTTTCCGCAAGTCTGCGCATCACCAACCCTGAGCGCGATAATGAAGAGTTGTACACGCATGAGGGAGCCGATAACGCCAGGTTCCATCGTTTCGACCGTGTCCGCACGTATGCGACCAGCGCTCAGACTTTGGGCAACGACCAGAAGCAAAAAGATGTCGCGTTGACCCTTTTCGACCCATCAGAATTGAAGGAGGGTCAGCAAGGCGGCCTCGCCTCGAAACAGAAGGCCGCCTACTACTATCCTATCCTCGGAAAGACCCGTCTCAAGCCTGAGAGAGCCAGGACCATCGCCCAGGCGGGTCTGGCGCCCACACGCCCGAAGACCAAGGAGGACCAGGTTGACCAAATCCAAGTGGTCGTCCGCGACCCTGATGAGGCCGAAGTCTACAAGCGTTCTCTGCATCGGGCTGCCATTGACCCGAAGTTTGCTGAGACGATGCCCCCACCCCCGGAGGAGGAGCCCGAAGCCACCAAGGAGGACGACGAAGGTGAACACGGTGCAGACCGTCAGGCTTCGCCGGAGGACGCGAACGACGATGTCGACAATATGAGTGACGAGTGATGGACACGGTCCACCATGTATCACATTGGGGCTACGACGGCGGCAGACATGCTCCTTCATCTTCCCGAGTGTACTTTTCTTGTGCATTGCACTTTACATACCCTTTCATGTCTCATTATACTGATCTTCTTTGGGTGTTCACCTTGCATGGCTGTCTCCGCGCGGAGTCCGAGCTACTAGCCGCGTTGTTAGTCTGGTTGGCTGGTATTGGAGTCGCGGCAGCAAAAGGCGTTGTGTGGCATGATGACTTGGAGTTACGTAGCGAGAGTTTGGTTTTTTCCTTGCAGGATGTTCAGAAGCAGGCTGCCATTGGCGATTCATGTACATCCATAAAATACCTAGTCAACCCATATTATCCTGCACGAAGCTCGAGTCCTGCACATGTATACTCAATACTGACTAGATTCACACCGCCCGCGAGTGGTTCTGCCGGATAAATCCTTGACCGCCTCGGGACGTTGACGCAAAAGAACCGGACGAGGAATGCCACCGACGTCGATCCACCGCAGCCTTCTGCTTGACTGGAGGTGTACTCGCGGCATCCTTGGCTGCTTTCTGCTACTACAGTGGATTGAACTGCAATTAATTGACTTTGGCTGGTGAGTTTGCAATTCTCCAGGATCGGGTGTTCTTCGGCATAGCATATAGGAGGGGGCTTGAACCCACGCTACTGTCTTTGGACCTCCAATAGCAATTGGCCTTTCTATACTATATCACCTGCTTGAGACGGCTTCACTAACCACTGTGCAGATCAATTGCTGTGCCAGGCTGTCCATACTCCCTAATCGATATACTAGAATTCATACCAACCCCACAATGGCTACCCATGCAGTTGCTCTCGCCTGGAGATCCGCAGGCCGCAGGGCTCCAGCTCTTCCCTCTCTCCGTGCCACTCAACGGACGTCCATCCTCCACAGGGAATCACTCCTCCGTCAAGTCCGCTATTCCTCGGATGCGGCATCCCAGACGAAAGAGGCAGCCAAGGAGACCACCGCACAGGTTACGGAAACAGTGAAAGAGACCCCCAAGAAGGCCGGACGTAAGCTCAAGCGGACCATCCTCGGCACCTCTCTCGCCCTCACTCTCCTGGTCAGTTACATATACGGAACGGATACCAGAGCTAGTGTGCACCGCTACGGTGTCGTTCCCTTGGTCAGGCTGCTTTATCCCGACGCGGAGGATGCGCATCACTTCGGAGTGGATATTCTGAAGACGCTGTACAAGTACGGCCTGAACCCGCGGGAGCGCGGCGACCCGGATGGCGATGGCTCGCTCGTGACTGAGGTAGCACTCAATTCTTTTTACCGATATCTCACCCATACTCAGTCTGAATAGGTCTTCGGCTACACCCTATCCAATCCCATGGGTATCTCCGGCGGTCTCGACAAGCACGCTGAAATCCCCGATCCCCTCTTCGAAATTGGCCCGGCCATCGTTGAAGTCGGCGGCACGACTCCCCTCCCTCAAGAGGGCAACCCTCGTCCGCGCGTGTTTCGCCTACCCTCCCAGAATGCCATGATCAACCGCTACGGCCTCAATTCCAAGGGCGCTGACCACATGGCCGCCATTCTTGAGCAGCGTGTGCGCGATTTCGCCTACGCCAATGGCTTTGGCGAGCATGACCTCGCCGAACAGCGTGTGCTGAACGGCGAGGCCGGCGTTCCCCCGGGCAGTCTCCGCGAGGGAAAGCTCCTGGCCGTTCAGGTGGCCAAGAACAAGGCGACACCCGACTCGGATATTGAAGCCATCAAGCGGGACTACGTGTACTGCGTGGACCGTCTCGCCAAGTATGCCGACATCCTCGTCGTCAATGTCTCCAGCCCTAACACCCCTGGTCTTCGCGATCTCCAAGCCGCCGCACCCCTCACCGCAATCCTGAAGGCCGTTGTCGGCGCTGCCAAGAGCGTCGACCGGAAGACCAAGCCATTCGTCATGGTCAAGGTCAGCCCGGATGAGGACTCCGACGAGCAGGTCTCCGGTATCTGCGACGCTGTCTGGGGCTCTGGCGTCGACGGTGTGATTGTCGGCAACACGACGAACCGCCGTCCCGACCCGCTGCCCAAGGGCTTCACCCTCCCCTCGAAAGAGCAGACAGCCCTGAAGGAGACGGGCGGGTACTCTGGTCCTCAGCTGTTCGATCGCACCGTTTCCCTGGTGTCCCGCTACCGGTCCCTCCTGGACGCCACCGCCCCGACCACATCCAAGGTGATCGAGGCACAAGAAGCATCCGCCACCGCAACGAAGGCCGAGCCGGACATGGAGAACCTCCCCCCAGTTGAAGCCCCCAGCGCATCGGAGGTGCTTCCTCGGAAGGTGATCTTCGCCTCCGGCGGCATCACCAACGGCCAGCAGGCCAAGGCAGTGTTGAACGCGGGCGCATCCGTCGCAATGATGTACACGGCGATCACCTACGGTGGTATGGGCACGGTCACCCGCGTGAAGGATGAGCTGCGCAAGGAGCAGCAGTAGGTCAGCACCAAATGAAGTAAGTAACCAAAAGGAGTGACCGGTTGATGGTGTAGGGAGTATTAGGACGTAGATGGGATATTGTAAATAGGAGAGTATTCATTCATAACTGGATTACATATATTCATTCTGCAGTCAATTGATTTATTAGTAGTCAGTTAGTCTATTGAGTCAGGAGTTGACTTCACATAAGTAAGGGTGGTATGTAGCTATATTCCCCTCGGTAGAGGTTGTTAACTACTTGTGTAACTGCAAGAATTCCTACCTAGCGTCGATAGTATCGGTGATTATTAGTTAACTTAATTGATATCTTTATTGGGTGGTATTCTCTGCCTACTGGTTGTTGTTGGAAAATATCGTAGCTCCAATAGATACTGGAGTAACAACATACCAGATGCCTGGGAAACATGGCAAACATGTTTTAGTCCATGGTAGGAAACCATCCCTTCATACGGAGTACAGATCACATGTAATCGGCAGAGTCCTCTCCTCTTTACCCTCTCCGATCAAGCCACGGGGTTAAATAGACAAGACCATTGACTACACTCTAATAACTATTCTCAGTCTCCTGAAACCCCCCTCAGTATCAATGCATAATCCAACAGTCATGATATACTTCCAGTCACCCCAAATAAAATTAGATTTAAACTATGCTATCGGCCGGGAGGAGTGGGCCCGTCCGTCCAACGGACGGGTCAGGTGCCGCCGGGTCACACGTGCAGGTCATGCAGCCCGCCGAAATTTTCTTCAACCTCACGGGACTGAAGTAGGCAGATCTGGGCCTAGATGGAATTTTGCTGGTGGGGATTCGCGACCTTCGAGAAGGGGCTCGGTTCACCGACTCAGTCAGTCCCGTGGATCCTGAATCCACCTGGATGGTTGATGGATCGAGCCGGCATTGCCTGTTTGAGAAGCGGGGGCGAGGCCCATCGTCAATGTGTCACCATGTAACGATCATACTGCTCGGGTTGCCTGAATAGGATACCCGGGGTGGATATCACCAGAGCATACTCCGTATAATCAATAGAAATGGGGATGTCTAAATTTCTGTATCCCGCGTGATGAGATTCCCCACGTCTAGCAGTAGTGGTGTACTTTCGTCCGAGCACCTGAATCCGAACCGCTCAAGCCAATGTCTCCTCGACCTCCCTGACTACCTTGCGGACCCCTTCGACCTCGTGCGCGAACCGGCCCAGGAACATGCCATCGATGGCCTTCCCCAGGCCGCCCGGGCCCCACAGACCGGGTCCGGCACTTCCCCCGTACAGGATCCGGACCTCCCCCGCGCGGGTGCCAATCACCGCCTTGATGCCCTCCACCACTGCCGAGATGTGATCCACGCCCGCGGGCGCGGGCTTCCCAATTGCCCACACCGGTTCGTAGGCGAAAATGACCGGCGCATCCGCGGGGATAGCCTTGAGGACGGCCTGGATCTGGATCCCGCATTCGCTGACGGCCTGGCCGATAGCCTGTGAGGCCACGGGGCCTGGAGCGGTGATTTCCCCGATGCAGACCAACGGAACCATGCCCTGGGCACATGCGGCGGCGGCTTTACGGCCGGTTTGCTCGTCTGTCTCGCCGAAGATGTCGCGGCGTTCTGCATGGCCTAGTTCGACAATGGAGACGCCCATGGAGCGGAGCGCCAGGGGTGAGACTTCGCCGGTGTAAGCGCCCAAGGGCTCCCAGAAGCAGTCCTGAGCCCCGAGCAGGAATGGGGCCGGTAAGGAGGGGTTGTCATCCTTCGGAAGAGTGGACTCCCAGGCCTTGATGATCTCTGCGCAAGGGTATATGGTCAGGTAGTCAGGAATGAGGGCCAGTAGCAGCTTGGAGCGGTTCTCCGGGCGGACAATGTCATTTTGGGGGTCGAGAAGAGCACGGCAGTAGTCGAGGGTGCGAGTAGGTGTAAAGTACATCTTCAGAGAGATGATGAGCAGGTTCTTCGGGAGAACGGGGTAGGCTTGCTGGGATGCCATGTTGTGTGTGTGTGTGTGTGTGTGTGTGTGTGTGTGTGTGTGGCTTGGTCTGGCGGGATGGACTTGGAATGAGGTCTTCGAAATTGTTTTCCGTAGCAATCAGGAAGCACTCAACGAGTCCCACATTTAGTTGTATTAGGATGGCGGTCGGTGTTTGGGCCTAACCTCAATTATGCTGGTGAGCACCCACTTGAGAATAGTATCGATGGTCTGCGAGGTGGTGGATCGAAGGAGGCGGCCGGTGGGCAGACGAGAATAGCAAGGAGGAGAAAAGAGGGGAGGCCAATCAGTCGAGTACGGAAGTAGTAGCCATTGCGTCAGTGGGCACTTCCATTGGAGCCTAGAGTGCAGCCGTGATTGGAACTAAGGAGGAGACATTGACGCGGTGTTGGCTCGCCGGTTAGCCTGCAGCATTTAGTACCCCGTAGGTTGTTGGGATGGTACGATCGGCTGATGTCAGAGGCTACTGCGAATGCTGGAGAGAACCTGGGGAATCGCGGGCTAGTGCGGTATTGAAGGGGCCGCTGTATGGCTGGGATACTGGCAGTATTCAAGAGGGGATGATTCTGAAAGAGGAGGGAATCCCCTCGAGAAATCCAGGCAGCTGTTGGCCGGCGTGCAAGACGAGACCAGCAGCTATCTCCCCGAGGCCGCAAGGAAAGATACCGAATCGACGGGAAATGAGGCCGTCCCTGGAGTCCAGAACGGGGCATCCGAGTGGTTGCGAGACGGTAAATTACCGGGGTTTAGTTCTGCCTTCTGACAGCTCGTCTTCAACGACGCCCTATCAGACACGGGCAGGTGGGGGAGCACGGTGGGGCAAGTGCGACCCCGTCTGAGGCCCAGCCTGGACTATCAATGGACATCCCCCATCACCCCAGACAGTTGGGGCTTTCTCTGGTTTCCGTTCAGCAATGAATTTTACGTTTCGGGGTGCGTTGTGGATGTGTGTTGATGTGGAAGGAAGAAACCGGGCAGAGCAGGAGACAATCTGGAAATTGGAGAGCTCAAGTTTTGGACGGGTCAATGGCGCAAACTGCACTCGGAACGCGACGCTGCCGGATGCCTCCCCGGCTAGGCACCCTGGTTCCTTTGAGCCAGTTTACTGGTTCCGATAGCTGTACACAGTACCCCCAGCGCATTGATACACGGGATCTCTTGCAGCCTGCCGTGACCCAAACCCCAGAATTTTCTCGGCTTGAGCCTCGTAGAGAAACCAAGGGACTGGGCCAGAATCCAAAGTAATGCATGCTAGCGCGCAATACAGTATATACTTCCGAACTAGGCCAAATCGACCGACGATAGCGTCGCGGCGTGCAGCCCCCACTCGCTTGGTCGGACTGGCCATCAAAAAATTAAGACAGCAGCAAGGGGGAAGGAAAGAAGGGGGAATCCGGAGTCGTCGATGGGTTGAGACGCAGCAGAACGGAAAGAGAGAGGGCGGGTTTACATCATCGGGACGGATCGACTATCTATATTTGATACTATGTAGATACCTACCGTGTAAGAAGCCCAGCTCCTAATCCATCCGAGGGTAATAATCAATCCCCGATGTAATTGGCTCACAACAGAGTTGCAGGCGCAGCACACTTTGCGCCGACCAGAGAGCAAAGAACGATGGTTGTACATGTTCGCAACCTCATGACGCCATGGTGGAGCTGCCAGACCCAAACATGGCCGGGCCCAAAACCGGCTTCTTTGGATCGCCTCTACTGTGGGGTTCAACTATCTTCGCGCATGAAGATAAACGATGAGGGATAATATCTCTGTTCCGGCGCCATTGGAATGCGCGTCCAGCAAACCTTGGGTCCGAGGCACGGCCTCCTGATCGGGGGGGACAAATGTATAAAGGCCGGCTGCATTCCACTGCAAACTCTCTTTCATCACCGTTCCATCACTCCCTGATCTCTGAAAAAAAAGCAGCTTGGCATCCTCTGCTATTCTCTACTCTCAACACCATCAAACACTTTGACCCACCATGTCTGATCCCAAGCCCCTCCGCATCGTCATGGCCTGCGACGAGGCCGGTCAGCCCTACAAGGAGACCCTCAAGGCGGCCCTCGAGAAGAACCCACTGGTGGAGTGCATCCTAGACGTGGGGGTCAACTCCACCTCCGACAAGACAGCCTACCCACACCCTGCCGTCGCCGGTGCCAAACTCATCAAGGAGGGCAAGGCAGACCGCGGCCTCTTCATCTGCGGCACTGGCCTGGGCGTCGCCATCTCCGCCAACAAGGTGCCCGGCATCCGCGCCGTGACAGCCCACGACTCGTTCTCAGTGGAGCGGTCGATCCTCAGCAACGATGCGCAGGTGCTGTGTTTCGGACAGCGGGTGATTGGCATTGAGCTGGCCAAGAAGCTGGCCAACGAGTGGGTGACATACCGGTTCGACCCGAAGAGCGCGTCGGCAGCCAAAGTGCAGGCAATCTCCGACTACGAGAGAGAGCTGGCGGGGACGGTTTAATCTAGTGCCCCATCAAACGGCACACTTGTTATTTTTATATTCACATTCGAGCAAGCGATCTGGTCGGACTGGCTCCGGGCCTTCCCTTGGATAATCGACGAGACAACGATACCACGAGAGTACGGACTGAATGGCCGGCCCATCAGACTAGACTAGTGATGAACTTAAAGTCATCTATCTGCTCTTATAATCTATACCTTACCAAAACCATTCCTCTGTAGTTCTTACTTATCTCTACTTATCAGCATGAACAACACCTTGCTGACTCATCCCCGATTCCGCGGGGATCGATCACCTTCGACACCTCCACCTACACCACAAACAATATCAGATTCTATCAAGATGGGCTGAACGTTCGTCCCTTGGAAGGGCCGCTATCAGCTCTCGATCCAGGTACATTGTGCCTTGCGAAGCAATTCCACAATAGTACCCGAACATCTCCCGATCCACCCATCAGCTTAACATATCGCTGCATTGGCCTCATATGCAACCTCAAATCACACAAATGCCCTCGTATCTCGTCTTTCCGCACCTACACAATAAAAAGTCATTAACATTGAATATCCGTCCCGCACACTACCTGTGATAGCCATCAATACTACTACCAAATACTAAAAACTACCTAAAGCAGTGGCTCACAGTGGGGCAACCAACCCAACTCAGTGATCCACTTATCCGACATCCGAGGCCTTCTTTCTTTCTTCTTCCTTCCTTCTTTTAGCAGTGTTCAGTGTTCAAACGAAAACACCCCCATTCAAGTGTGCGCGCACGCACACACACACAAGAAATCACCATGTCCTTTGAACTAAAGCAAAAGGGCAATGAGCTTTTCAAAGCGGGAGATTACAATGGCGCAGAGGAGATGTATTCGCAGGCGTGAGTTCCATCCCCTCACCTTCCCGGTACCTCAATCGTGATCGGGATCGGGATCGTGATCGTAATCGGGATCGTGATGGCGATGGCGATGGCGACAGCGACGCACATTCATGTCCCCGCTTTCACGCCCACTCACACCCAAGGCCCGGACCAATCTACACAAACTAACAATGAACACTAGGATCCAAAAGAACTCCACTGAACCAACCTTCTTCACGAACCGCGCCCTAACACGCATTCGTCTTGAGAACTGGTCCGGAACCGAACACGACGCTCGCGCCGCCATCGCCCTCTACGGCGCACATTCCCCCTCCAGCCTCAAGAGCTCCTGGTACCTTGCGCAGGCACTACTGGGCCAGCAACGACCCCAAGAAGCGCACGAAGTCGCGGTCACGGCGTATGGACTGAGTTTGAAGGCCAAGGACATTAAGCCGAAGGATAGCCAGACGGAAAATTTGTCGAAGGCGGTGCTGCGCGCGAAGCAGGCGGTTTGGGCGGCCAAGGAGACAGCGAGGATCCGGGAATTGGATGAGACTTTGGCGAGTGTGGAGGGGTTGATTGAGAGGGAGGTGGAGAGGGGGTTGGAGGAGTTGAAGGGACGGTTGGAACGGGGGGAGATTGGAACGGTTGGGTTTGGGGAGGATGAGAGGGAGATTCGGGAGGAGTGGAAGAAGAAGGGGAAGAAGGTGAGAGAGGTATTTGGGATTGCGGGGGGGTCGGAGGGGATGGTTGAACGGGTGAGTATTTTCATTCTTTCTTTGCTTTTGAGGTTGGGTGATTGTGTATTTGAGGGAGGTTGTACTAATGATGTACTCTGTAGGTTGTACCGGATTATCTTATCGACGGAATCACGTTCGAAGTCATGCATGATCCCGTCATCACACTATCCGGGACCAGCTTCGACCGCCTCAGCATCATCAAGTACGTTGAGCAGGCCAAGGTCGATCCGATCACACGCGAAGCCATGACAATGGCGGATCTCCGGCCAAACTATGCATTGAAGGCAGCGTGCGAGGAATTTCTAGATAAGAATGGTTGGGCTGTGGATTGGTAGTTACAACTAACAGAGCAAGGCGTTGTGGTCATTCTCTCTTAATAAATGTAAACTATCAACAACAGAAACCACTGACCTGTATCCACCATCCAACGGAGTATACATCAACCGAGTACTCCGTAGAAGTACTAAATTGCCAAAAGCAAACCTGAGGCACCCACCCCACCAAATCAACAAAACCGCCCCCCCAACCCCACCTTTCCCACCCACCACTCAACTCCCAGCTTCCCTCCCAAGCTAAGAACCTTCCCCTCCCCCTCCCCTCATCCAACCTCCACCACTACTACACACCACCACCACCATCACCACCACCACCACCAAAAATGTCCGTCCCCAAATTCACTGAAGCCCTCTCGACCGCGCAATCCGGCGCCAAGTTCACCGCCGAGGTCCAAACCGCCGCCAACAAGATCGACACCTCGGCTCTGTCCGCCGCCATCGAGATCGTCTTGGCCGGTGATGACAACGCCTCCGTTGAGGGCGAGCAGGCTGCTGCCCTGAAGAACGGGTTTGAGTTCGCTACTGAGTTGGTGAAGATGTTGGTTTCGGAGCCTGGGACGGAGGAGAAGTTGGCTGTTAGTATTTCTTTTATTTTTCTTTGCGTTGTGTTGTGGTTGTTGGAGGGGGATATTGGGTGGGATGTGTGGATGTGGAAATGAAAATGCTAATCTGTTTGGGAAATGAATATAGCTGTACAAGTACTTCAAGCGCTCGAGGAACGAGACACCTGCTCAGCCGTCGTTTTATCAGATGGAGGTATGTTTTTCTTTCTCTCCCTCTCTTTTTTTCAGGTCTGTGGGGGTTGAGGTTTTGGTTTGGTGGAATCTTGGCTAATATGTGTTGTGTTGTGTGTAGGCTAAGTTCAAGTACAACGCCTGGAAGGAAATCAGCCACATTAGCCAGGCCAAGGCTCAGGCTCTTTACATCAAGGAGGTTAATGCTTTGATTGAGAAGTATGGAACTCGCGATTAGATTCTCTTTTTTGGTCTCTTGTGATTGGGAGATAAAGATGGATAGTGGATGAGTTATGAGATATTTCATAGTCATCGATTTGATTCAATCTGGCTGCTGTTTGCTGTCTGGGGGTTCATCTATGTGGGGGATGTGGTTGTAGGGTAGGGTAGGGAATGGGTAGCTGTAAATGGTGGCATTAATCCTCCCATGTCTGTCCGAGCCAGTCTGGTTCGCTGTGGCTCGCTGTTGCGCACCAGGGGATATCATCGGCTGTATATCGTGTCAATGGGAGGTCGTAGGGCATGCGGAAGCCAATGACGGTGTCTGCATCCACGGCTGCAGCTGCAGCTGCATCGGGTGTGTCTGTTCGGAAGCAAGGGATCATTACTGTATTCCCACTCCCCTTTGCATCTTCACTTCCCTCTGCACCCAACAACTCCGGCCACACCACAACCCCAATTTCCCAACTACATACCCTCACCTCCCCGTTGCCATTCACGGCAGCCCCCCACGCCTGCGTCGACAGATTCGCCGAGGTCACCATCGCCCAATCGATCCGGTCCATCTCCTCCGTCGCATACCGGATATACGTCTTGACATGGGGTGCTGCGCGCCGTCGACCCGCGTCACGGTCCGTATTCTCATCACCCGCCCAGCGACATAGATACGGCCGCAGATACTGTAATTGTTTCTGCTGTGCCGCGCTCTGCAGTTTCATGTGAATGGAGCCGCCGGAGCCGTAGCCGTTCAAGGAGCGGCGCATTTCGTCGGGAGTAGGGAATATGATCGAGAAGGTGGGCTTAGACCTAGGAGTATCTGGTGCTTGTGATGATGGGGCGAGAGAGGTGAAAAAGACATCGTTGAGCCATTTGGACGTTTGACCCAGGGTGGCGATGGAGGATATCTTTCTTGTCAGTATCGATTGATAACCCGAATGGCAGTAGACATACCTGGGTGACAATATGCGGTCCCCCCTTCTTCTTATCCCCCTCCGTAGAGCTAGGAGACACAGGAACAGAGCGTAAAACATCCCTTAGGCCCAACCATCCCCACCACGTCTTTATCTCATCATAACCTCCCATCTTCACCTTCGAAGGCACACTTGCCACCAACGCCGCTCTCACGGCACCGAAATCATACTTCTCCAGCTGCTCAACCAGCGAACCCGTCTTCTTGGGACCATACGCTCTTAAATACGATAGCAGGTCTCTTTTGAACTTACCCCCTGGCCCTACATCCCCTTGACCCCGAGGGGAAGTGGAAAGTGGGAGAAGAGGAGACCGCCACACGGCCTGGGTCATGTTCGTCCAGTCACCTGGGATCATATTTGCCGTGTGGATCACCACTCTATATAGCCATTAGCATATCCCTTATACTACAAGAAAAGGAAAGTTAGGGGTAAATACTCCACCACATCATCCCACCTGACCAACACCATCATCTTCGAATGATGTGTTCCAAATGGTTCGGGCATGTAAGCTGTGATAGCTTCGACGTTGGGATAGCGCGTACATGCTTCCTACAAACATCCATTCCCTCTTAGCACGTTTTAACCCTCTCACATACACCCTATAGTTAGGAGAGGGGAGGGAAGGGAAGGGGTCATACATCAATCCTCACCCGATTGTCCGCCTCTTTCTTCCACGACCCATGAACGACCTTCACTTTGACTAGGTGTCGTACATCCTCGTCGAACTGGTTCATAAGAAAATCCACATCGAAGAGGTAGTTGAATTGCCAGCATTCGCGAATTAGAGGGGAGCTGAGGATGTCGCGTAGACGGAGAGTGGAAGTGTTGTGGGTTGTGGGGAGGTCGCGGATGTGGGTTAGTTGGATGGGAGAGGGGAGGATCTTCTTCTCTTTTTTGTTATTGGTATTGGTGTTGAAGTTGAGGTTGATATTATTATTGGGCTGGGGTTGGGGAGGGAAGACATTGTTGTGGTGTGTGGCGCGGGATAGGGATGGGGGTGTGATGGAACGGTGTAGAGATGCTAGGGGAACATGATGGTTGTCGTCGTTGTTTGTTCCTGGGAGAGAGGAATCGGTTGTGTTGGATAGCTTGGTCCTTTTGGTGGGACGGTCTGGGTCGTCCATTTTGTCTGAGGGAGAAGTGGGATGAAGTGATGATGCGGAGGAAGGCGGAGGATGTCACCACCGGGTTTGCAGATACAGTTGGTCCATGACATACAATTTGTTTACAGATTCTGTAGTCCGTTGGGTTGCATCAGCACTTTAAATCTACTATACATTGACTATTATACACCGACAATCTAAATCTACTATACACTAATATACATACACTACACTACAGTATCATCACCACATGAATCGCTGCACCTTCCCCGGTTCCTGAGGCCATTCAAACCCGCAGTACAAGAAAATGTACCCCGTCACCGCATTGATCACCAGGAACCAATACGTCTCCAGGAACAAAGCCATATTCGTCGCCACCTTCGCGTTAAGCTCCTCAGCCGCATCGCGAGCCCGCTGCCGGTGCACCACCGGCGTTGGCAGCGGCGGCAGATGCAGACGCCACATCACCCACGGGATGATAAAGTACCGCGGCTCCACAAGCGGCGCCGTGATCAACGACAGCGCCGTGGCTGCAAGCCACACGAGCACAAAGCTCACCTGCGGCGCGCCCTGGTGCTGCTTCTGTCGCTGCGCAATGTGCTCCTGGATCCGGGCAAACGACTGGAACGGGATCGGCTCGGGCTTGGGCTGGGATTGCGCAGTTTTCTTGGTCTTCCGACGCTCGGCCTTCTTCTGATCCGGCTTCTGGTCCGGCTTCTGCGGCACTGGGACGGGCTGGGGACCAGTCTGCGGAACACGCATCAACTGGGGGACAGCTGCAACGGTCGAGAATCCGAAAGCCGAAATGACCATCCACGCGCAGAGGAAGTACACCACCACCGCGGCGTACTTGATAGCAGGGTGCGTGCGCAGCAGAATGCGGAAGACGTAGAAAACATAGTGCCGGTTGTCGGCCAGTGTGAAGGGATGCACAATGGTGTTGAAATGGACCACAGCCAGCATAATTGGAAGAACCACAAGCGCTGTCAGCAGCTTAGGAAGGCCCTTCTGTTTCTTCGGAAAGCCAAAGTCGAGGAACTTTGGCAGAAGCGACTTGGGAAGAACCAGATTGACGACCGGCGAGAGGAGGAGGGGCCAGGAAAAGAACACGAAGTAGGGCCAGATGTAAAGCATCTGAGGCAGATGCAAGCCAGCCGTGTGGAACTCCTTGTGTCCTGTGGTTGTCAGTTTAGCACTCAAAAATGAGCAGTGAACCTACCCAAAACCACACCATCGTTCCACAGCACGAATCCGCCAAATCCAGCCAGTATAATCAAATACGGAAGAGCCGAGCCGATCACCGAGCCCAGGTTGTTCACAGCAACCAGCACCAGCGAAACAGCCGTTTTGAAGTAGTCTATCCCAGTCAGCATCGGCCACAATTAGCATCAGCGCAGCAACAGCAGACTAACCTGCAATCGAAGCCTCCGACACAAACGGATCATACAGCTGATTCGTCCACCCCGCCTTCGCAACGTCCGCAAAGCCCGACGATTCGCATCTTTTAGACGACAGCCGTAACCGCCGCACGACCTGCAACCCGCCCAGGAAGATTGCCACCCAGAAGATGTTGGTCTGTCGGAAGGCCAGCGTCGCCAATCCCAGCACAATAAATACCAGCGTCTGCAGCGGCGCAAACGCACCTTGCGACCGCTTCAGATCCCAGTTGTATGCTTCAATGACCACCAACAACGCCAAGATATCGGTGTAGTACAAGCCGGAGAAAAAGAACAGCGGGGGAAAGAGGCAGATGTTCAAAACGGTATGACTCAGCCACGCGCCAGAAGGGCGAGTGTTGCGTGTCCTGCGCAGCCGATCCAACAGGGTCTGCAATCGCAACGGCAGAGCCACGGCGGTGGCGGCCACGTTGGTCGCACGCAGAGCATCCGGGGTGAGCTCCGTGGGGGAACCGCGCAGGAAGAGCGCAATCACACACAGCACATAGGACCAGAGATACAATCCCGGAGGAGTGGTGATCTTGGGATCCCAATGCGTCCATTTATGAGCCCAGTAGGCCTGGGCCTGGGGGACATGGAAGGCCTCGTCTAGATACGGTTCGGGAACGACGGCATTGATCTTGGCCATCCAAAGAGGGATCAGCAGAAGAACAAAGGGGATCGCGTAGCGGGCAGCCAGGGCCACGCCCGACTTGGGTTGCGCATTCATGGTCGAATGATGAAGGAGCGTGACATGCTTGACACGAGCTGAAATGCCACTTCACTCCACAGTCGAGAAACCCCAGTCCAAAGCCCAGTGCAAACCAGCCAAACACTCCGCATCGGGCAATAACGCATCGCGATCGATTTTGAAGAAACGCCTGCAGCTCCCCTTCATCCAGCACAGACAGACTCCAGAGCATGGGATACTCCCATCCGACTGATCCGACACGTCCCTGACTCCTACTATCCGGCCAGTCCGCCCATCCCGCGCCGTGAGGGTCAATGGCCTTTCTCCTCCCGCGGGGCATCACGCCCCCGGAGATCTCCTTCCTGGCCGAGATGGAGATGGTCACCATTCTACCTCGTCAGCGTCTCGAGGGACTTGAGCTCCTGGGGGTATGCACTACCACCAATTCAAATACTACCACCACTAACGAACAAAAAGGGCCCGGTCGAACCCCTCCTACCCCCCCGACGCGCCTCCCTCCCCCTCTGGCTCGCCCTCCTCCTCAAACGCCAACGCCGCGCCAACATCCTTCCCCCACCATGGCTACACCCGGAATCCCTCGAACTCATCCTAGAAATTGAGACCAAAAACGACGAATACCAGCACGCGTTCTCCCCTCCCCCACCACTCCCCGGCCAACCCACACCCCGAGACCGTCGACCACCCATAGCTGCACCGCGCTACACCCCCTCCGGCCAGAAATACTACGCCGCCCCACCTTTCCTACCCCAGAATGCGGCACGCGATCATATCCCGCCGGGCGAGCCGCCGGCCCTGCCGTTCCATTGGCTGGAAGTGGGGACGATGCTGCTGGAAGCGGCGAGCGATGATCTGGTGGAGCCGGATCAGACAAGGCGGCTGTTGAAGGAGTTGAGGGAGGTGCGGATGGCGAAGATCCGGTCGGGCGTGGATGTGTTGGATGCGGCGGCGATGGGGGGCGGTGGGGTTGCGTTGACGGGCGTTGGAGCGATGGAGCTGGGCGAGGAGAGGAGGTTCATTACGGGGGTTGTGGATGGGCTTAGGTATGTGCTTTCGCTACTGTTGCTTGGTGTGGTGTGATACTAATGATGGTAGGCGGATTGGAGCGTCGAAAGAACAGGCTCGTCGGGAGGAAATGGCTGAGGAGATGGCGAATGGCGGGTATGACGGTACACAGGACTATGAGGATGATGAAATGGAGTTTTAGATCGACATATCAGAGGTCTTTTCGCGTTGTTTGTTGTTTCATGGACGGAGTTCTCGGGCAGGATATATTGGCATGCGCATACATGGACGTTCAGATGTATATATACCCTATATCAATGATGGATTGGTTGGCGAGTGAAGGTCATTCTAGTGGTAGTCCATTCATTCCACCTATCAAACACCATCCGCATGCGACGCTTTGAAGCAGAGAGGAGAGGAAAAGAAAGAGAATAAAGCAATGGACATCACCATGGCAATCTCCGAAGAAAACAAGAAAATGAAAACAATGCAGGAAATGCCAGCATCGATCGGATCCTACACATCCCAACGCCGACGACAAGAGGTATATAACAACCGAAGGAGAGAAAAGGGATCCAAACTGAATACACAACGAAAAGAAGAGCCGTCAGGCACCCTGCAACGCACAGGCCCTGAATTCAGTCCATGATGCAACTCTTAAGCGACGCTCTGGTCTTTCTGCATCATCTTCCTTCGCGCCGCCAGAATCATCTCGTCCCTCCGCTTCTGAAGCAGGCGCTGGCGCTCCTCCTTGCTCTGCGACCAGCCCGTCGAGGGGGCCTGCAGCTCGGCGCCGTTCTCGGCATCGACTTTGGCGCGGAGGTTGTAGCGAGAGATCAGATCCTGACCGTCGGCCTTGGAGGTGCTACGGCTGGGCGTGGATTGCACCGGGGCCGTGGAGGGGACGGCGATCTGAGGTTGGAAGGACGGGGGCGGCTATATTGCCATTTCATTAGTTGATGACATCCGTGCGGGGCGCGAGAAGGGAGAAAGAGGGGGTGGATGGAAAGCGCGCAAAAGATGCCAAGCGGGTATCATGAAGGGAAAAGTATCACGAAGGAAAAGGCACATACCACTTCCAACCCCCGACCTGTCAGAATTCTTTCAGTCGTCGCCGCAACATTCCCCCCGTTGCGCTGCAGATCCCACATAATCTCCCGGGCGCTGAGCTGAGGGAACATCTGAGAGATCTGCTCTACTTGGGCTGGGTCAACGACGCCGCGTGCGCGACTGCGACCGCTTCCGGGGCTGGGTTCCCCATCGCGGTTGAGGAACCAGCGGAGCACGAAGAATGACACCACGGCGAGGGTGAGGAGAGAGGGGATGTTCAGGGACGGCTCTTCGTCGGGCATTGTGACGGTGCTGGATGAGGAACGGGTGGATGTGAGAAGTCGGGGAGACGCGAGTCGGTCGGATGAGGAGTCGCGACAGAGAGGGGATGGTGGAGTGAACGAGAGGGCTAGCTGGAAGGGCCAGACTGCGGCGTTGGGGTGAATGGGAGGGTGGAATAATGATGAGGATGCCGCGGCAGATTGGGGGAAGCGGCGAGGTGGCGGTGGGACACTCGGAACGGAGCGGGCACGTTGTCCGACCGGGTCTCGGGGGCTTTGAATAGCTAAGTAGGTTTGGCCAGGGGACTGGCAAAAAAGCAACCATGCCCTAGGAAAGGGGATCGACGGACGACTACAGTCCTTTTTATCCCTTTTTTCCCTTTCGCCCCTATCTCTACTCGGATCCTCGCATCCATCATTAACATTTCTCATAAGATGATAGGAGTAAACCGGCAGAATCATCCAGAAATCATATACATCATCCGAAACACCTAGTCCCATGCCCGTCATGTAGCTCCTGTCCCAGGTCCAACCAAAGATTCCAACGCACCAGAGCAATATAGACAAACGAAGAATAAACCACCTCAAATCTACTTCAAATCGGCGGGAGTCAGGGCCTGGACTACACTTGTTCCTTCGCTGAACCTCGTCCGGAAGATGCGGTTGGCGTTCTGGAACATGCCGTCCTTCAGCGACACAATGATAAACTGCGATCCCTTGAACCGCGTCTTGATCAACCGACCAATGTTCTGCGTGTGCGACAGATCCAGCGCGGCGTCGACCTCGTCCAGAATGTACATCGGGGCCGGTTTGAATTGCAGCAGCGCCATGATCAGCGAGAGCGCAATGAGAGACCTATACACACATTAGCCCTATGCCTCGAGAGGGGTCGAAGATACGTACCGTTGTCCACCACTCAGCTCAGTCAAGCTCTGCTTCCAAACCTTGCCCAGAGACACCTTGACCTCCAGACCTTCGGTGATATCCTTGCCCTCGGGGGGTTCCAGCTTGGCGAAACTGCCGGGCAGGAGGTCGGCGAAGATCTGTCCAAAGTCGGCGGTGACCTTGGTCCATGTCTTGTGGAGGGCCTCCTTCTTGTACTCGTTCAAGTTGATGATGGTCTCTTCGATCTTGCTCTTGTCGCGGATGACAGTCTTCATCATGTTCTTCAACGCCGCCTCCTTCTTCTCAACGCTGTCGATCATGTTCATGACCTTCGGGTTGATCTTTTTCTTCATGCCCTGGAACCGCTCCGTCAGGTTGCGCAGAGTCGACTTGCACTCGGCGATGTTCTGGTTCTTGAAATCATAAGCCGTGTTGGAGCGTCCGAAGTTGTCCTTCTCGTCGGCGATCCATTCGTGCTCCTCCTCCATGTGGGCCACCGTCTGCGCCGCGGCGTGTTGGTCTTTCTGCAGTTTGTCAAGCTGGTGACCCAGCTTCTGGATCTCCAAGCCCTCTTCCGTAACCTGGGAGTTCTTCGACTGTTTCGTCTGCTCAAGTTCACGCAGTTCATCATCAAAGCCGGTGAGCTTAGCCCTTTCATCATCAAGATGAGCCTGGGCAATGTCGTGGGCGTCCTATGGCTGTTAGCGACCATCAATAGCAATCAATCATTATCCCATACCTTAATTCGAGCTTGCTCTCTCTTCAGAGACTGGATCTCCTCCATCTGGGCCTTGAGGGTGTTCTCAGTCTCGGCGCTCTGTTCCTCGGCCGCAGAAAGATCACCGCCAACCTGCTCCAGCTCCAGTCGGGAGTTCTGAAGCTCTTTCTGCAGGGACTTGACCGAATTGGAGTTCTTGGCCAGACTTTTCTTGAGAGAATCCAGCGAATCCTGCAGTTCCGCGAGTTTGCTGTCCTTGTTGTCATTGAACTCACTCATGTCCTTCTCGATCCGTTTGATATCCTTGGATGCCTCACTTTGGCGAGTCTTTGCGTCGGAAATGTCTTTCTTCAGCTGCTCGATGTTCGCTTTCATTTCTTCAACGGCGTGAATGATCTAATCATGTAAGTTTGGGCTAAGAAAAGGGGTCGGATGAGACTTACCGAGGAGGATGAGTTGCTGCTGATTTGCTCCTCCGTGAGTTTAATCTCGTGGGTCTTAAGGTCCAGCTCCTGCTTGATGGTACGCGCGGCGTCAAGCTTTTTCTTCTCCTTCCGCATGGTATCCTCCACAGTAGCCAGTTGTCGCTCCTTGCTCCGGATCTCCCTCGTGATTTCGTTGAATTTCTGCAGGGTAACAAGCACGCCGCTCGAGTTAGGCGCACTGCCTCCGGACAAGGTACCGGACGGGTCATAGACATCACCCTCGAGCGTCACACTCTTGATTCGAACCGCAGGGTCGAAAGTGACCCTCTTGGCTGTGTCAGCATCATTGCAAATCAGGGTATTGCCGAACACGTAGTTCATAGCCGCTGTGACTTCGTCGTCGTACCCAATGAGGGACAAGGCAAGGTCGACTTTTCCGGGCGCGATCTTTTGCGCCGCTCCGATCTTCTCCGCCGAGGCAACGAAGGACGAGATTTTGTTGAGAGGGATGATGGTCACCCGCTTCTTCAATCGTCCTTTCTGGAGCAGTTGGGTACCGGTTTCGGCACTGTCGACAACGACGTTGTACAGGCGGCCGCCCGCACAGATCTCAAGGGCTGTGGCAGCTTGGAGCTTCTCTTTGTCGAGACTAAAGAGCTGAGCAACCAGACCCTTGACCTTGGATCGATCGAAATGGGGGTGGGGATCAGTGTAGTTGAAGTCGACATTTGCGACCTTTCTTTGAAGCCCGTCGGCCCTCTGGCGCAACTCCCGGATCTCCTTTTGGAGTTCAGTCTGCTGCTGGTAGAGCTGTTCCTCACGGCCAGGCTCAAATCCCAGCCGGGTAAGCTCCGATTCAAGCTTCTTGGCCTGGGTCTTCAGGCCCTCCAGTTCTTTCAGAAGGCCGGAGTTCTGTTCCTTTGCCTTTTTCGCCCGAGGTTCTTCTTCCTTGATCCTCTTCTCCAGATTGGCGATCTTGAGTTTGGCCTGTTCTTGTTCGGTGGCGGCTGTGCTAGCCCGGTTACGGGCGTCCTGGAGCTGGCCCTGATAGCCACTTTCCTGACCTTCTTTTGAAGCGACACCAGTTTGTAGCGTCTGGAGCAATTCCTCCTTCTGCTCCACCTCGGCTGTCTGAGCATCAAGCTCGGCTTTCGCGGCGTCGTACTGCGCCTGGAGTTTATCGTAGATCTTCTTCTTTTCCTTGAGAACCTTCTCCAAGTCGTTCACTGTTTTCTGGACTTCGGTTCTCTTCTCTTTTTCTTCGGCAATACTAGCGTTCTTCAGATCGAAAACGGTCGTCAATCGAACAAGTTCATGCGAGTGGGATTTGACCTCATCCTCGAGGGCTTGGAATTTGCCTCCCTTTCGTAGTTCCTTATCGCGAGCGGCCCGGACCCGCTTCACATCCTCTTCAAGGTGAGCAATCTCACTCTTAAGCTTGGCCGCATTGTCCTCCAGCGCCTGCGCCCTGCGCCTCTTGTGTTCGCATTCTTCACCAGTAACCCGTAGTCGCTCATTGCCTCTGAGATAGTCGTGTGCAACCACCAGTCGGGTCAAGCGCTCCAAGTCATTCTGAGTCTGCTGGAAATCGAGGAAAGCTCGCTTTTCAGACCGAAGCTTCTCCAGCTTGGGCTCGATTTCCTCCTTCAGCAGTTCCTCGATTTCGCGCAGCTTCAGCTCCTTCTTGCCCATCGTCTTCACGGCCTTCTCCCTCCTGTCCTCAAACATTCGTGTACCGGCCGCTTCCTCGATCATCGACAGAATTTCGACGGGCTTCATGTTCAAGACCTTCGTAATCCGACCTTGCATAATAAGGAAATTGGGGTTATTGATATTCAGCTGCACACTCTGGAACAAGTTCTGCACCGTCTGTTGCTGCGCACGGTGGCCGTTGATCAGATATTTGCTCGTGCCACCGAGGACGATTTGCCGGGTCACTGAGATGGTCGCATACTCTTCGAAGCCGATGGGCGATTTGGCTGTGTCGCGGTTATCGAAGACGATCGTCACACTGGCCTTGGTCACACCGGCTTGACCACGCTTGTAGATCAGATCCTGGAGGTTTTGCGCACGAACGGTGGACATGTTCGTGATACCGAGGACGAAACAGATGGCATCGAGAATGTTGGATTTACCACTACCGTTGAGGCCAGTGATGGAGTTGAAGGATTCGTCCCTACAAAAAGAAAGATGTCAATCGCCGGTAAAGGAATCACATCTCAATCGGCGCATACCATCCCGAAATCACCGTACGCACAGCGTACGATTTGAAGCCCTGTGGTTCAAGTCAACAATCACACATTCCCGGCAACTCAAGTAGCCTGACTTACGTCAATGATAATCTCCGTAATCCTCATGGTTGCGACTCTGATCCAGCCCCATGAACTAGAAGATCAGGTGCATAGGCGATGGGGACCGAGTGGATGGTTGCCGGATGTTAATGTCTGGGGAGTGTTTTTGCGGGCGGTGTTTTGCCGTCGGGTCGCATCTGTTTACGGTTTGCTCTTTCGGGGATGGTGCGCGCTATCGGATAATGTAATCATGGAGGGGTTACACGTGATGGGCCAGGGCACGTCACCAGGAGCCTCGGAAATATTCTAGACCGTTGAGGTTGAGATAGCATTTTATCCTATACACACTGAGGACTATGCTAACTGGGCCTGTTATCCTCGCTTCTTTGGCATCAACAGCTGCCATAACCACACCATCGATGAGAGTAAAGTATGGGCCAGTTTCTGTGGTCTATGTAGCACTAAGGATGCAACATCTCCAAGAACTCGTCTCGGTGGCGCAATTGGTAAGCTTGTCCTTCAACATCTCACAACATCACTCAGTTACTAATTCAATATTACAGGTTAGCGCGTACGACTGTTAATCGTGAGGTTGAGAGTTCGATCCTCTCCCGGGACGCATCTTTTTTGCATTTCCCCTATCCATCTGGGTGGAACCATGGTCCTGTTCCGTTCCGTTTCTTTTTGATCCTGTTTAATATGCTCAAGACACTGTTGTGTCCTTGCTAACAGTAGGTTGCTTTGCTCTCTTTGTCCAGAGTAGCCGACAAGGGCTTCATATTCATGGTGGGGCTTAGAAATTCCAGCAAATTGAGATCAACAAAACCAGCATTGTTCGATATACCTAGTCCCCTTATGCATCTTGGCCTTAAGCCCAATATGACTGGACTGGGTTATAAAAGATGGACCGGGCATATCTTTGGGATGCTGTCTGGTCATCCTACATGTATACTGCTTCCATCATCTATAGCAATTTTGCCAGCTATGCGGCCACTGGGTGCTGTTTTTGTGATCACATCAGTATTGTTCCATCTTCTGGGTGGCCGGGACTGCATTCAACCTGCAGCTCCCAGGGAACCAAACTGATTGACATGCTTCAGCTGGGATCCCCGGCCGGCGAGCGATATTACCATCATTGCGTAGATACGTTTATATTCTTGGCTACGATAGTTGAGGGAATTCTTCCAGGCTTTTAGCGACGTAGTCTTACTATTGTAGCTACTTACTTACGGTTTGAGTTAATATGTCCCTTGGCGTTCTGGTTTTGGACGGCGTAGCGTATTTTTTTCTTTCCGGTGGTTTTTGTGTCCAGTTGTTCAGTTTTGTCTGGCATTCAACGGTATTGGTACCGTCGCTTCTCTTCCTATTATGGTTGTACCTATGTCGTTTGGCGGGTGTTGTTCTGTTTATTTGGGTTTCTTTGATGCCCTCTGAGTTGGCTAGATGCAGAAAACTATATCTAGTGGTCTGTGGGATGGAACGTTAGCTCGGTGTACCAAGTTAACATGTCTGTCATCCATTATCGGGAGGATATGCTCCGGCCTTATACAACCCCTGATCGATTGAGTATGGTTCTTGGGATGATGCACTCTTGGTCGCTCCTGGGGAGTCTATGGTATTCTCAAACGGTGCCCATATTTACTGGACACATGTGTATCCCAATATATGGATGGATTGTCATGGGATAGCTGAGTTGGATATGTACTTTTGGCCCCTCATCTGACTTCTTATTAACTCGTCATGCAGTGTGCATGCGAAGATGGTATGCGTCTGGCTGCTATTGGAAACAACACAGACACTGAGGCCGTAGATGATCTACCTGTCATCGGCACACATATTTCTTCGCATACCTGCCTCAGTGAGAGGGACATCGTACTCGTTGATCATCAATTGTTCTTCGGCTCTCTTGTGGGTAATGCGTTCCGGTGCCCTTTGTGTTGGGTGGGCTCGTTTCTGGCCACGTGAGGGAGCTGTTGCCTTTCTTCAGATCCTTCTTTTCCTGTGGGCTTGATGTTGTTGTGGTTGCATGTGTGGCCTGTCTGCATTGGTTTCGTGGTCTTCCCTAGCCGTGGTGTGCGCTTTTCATGGCATGTCATTGAGATCTGTAGCCGGCGGAGCATCGAAATATACAGAAGCAGATCACCAACATGCATGCATAACCTAGGGTTCAACATGCATATAAAAGTTTGTAATAACTGATTAGTGTAATAGACATGGCCTCACAAGATACTTTAGAAATACATAGTACCTCAATATGCAGTCGCTGTCGAGTTCTTGAACAAGGTTCGAGCGATGTCGATTCCATGCCCAGATCTGATTCATCGGAGTCGTGCATTGAGGAGTCTAAAACTCGGGGCCGGCATCAACGAGTTGTCTCGGTGGCGCAATTGGTGAGCTTCACCTTCCTATACAATTCAACTCCATCAGTTACTAATTCAGCATAACAGGTTAGCGCGTACGACTGTTAATCGTGAGGTTGAGAGTTCGATCCTCTCCCGGGACGTTCACTTTTTGTCTTTTTAGACCCCATTATTTCCCCCCCTGCAAGGCAAGGAACCAGCCAATTAAAATAGGGACCACATCGAGCGGAAAAATGCTCTCCTTTTTTGTCCTTGCAACGTCCAAGAGTGAAGCCATGACAGCCATGCCATACACGTTGTGTCGCGGGTCACCGTAGCGTCGATTACCCCTCGAGCCTCAGCAGAGGCCTGACGGTTGCAAGGTGATCATTCGTATAACAGCCGTAATCCACATAGCCAAGGGTTGATTAGGACCACGGATCTTGACGGTATGTAACCCGACTAGATCGAATGAAGATGGATAGATAGGTGGGGGATACACGGAGTAGTGTGTAGAAAGATGTAGTAGGAGCCGGAACAAAGGCGACGACACGAGATCACCTGACATAATTCCACAACATCTATGTAGACCCCAGTGATTGCCACTATCAAATCGCGTGACCGATTCTGGAACTACACTGGTCACTGCAGTGATACACACCGTCGTTGCAGCCAGTCATTCCTCCACAAGCAACCATGCCAGGCAGCTATACTCCCACTCACCACCACATGAACCGGACATCAGCCACTATACCATTACTGACTAGCCAGCCGAATGGCGATAATATCCCATACATGTACGGATACTTTTTTTTTTTCCAGGTGTCAGAGATGTTGATGAGAACAGTATGTCGCGGGTAATAAGAGCTATCTTCGCAGGGTGGTTGGAAAGGTTACCTATCCAAGATGACCTTATCCATACATCTGATTTCATATCGGGCATGACGCAAATTACATCCACAATTTTCCCTTGCCCTGACACTGATGCTCTTCCACCAGACAGAATTCCAACACCCATGACATAACAACTGTCCCATTGGGAATAGCATCATCGTATTGATGGCTGATGGGTTTGATTCTCATTGCAAAGACCCCCTTCATGAAGCCATAACCAGACCCCTGCAATAACTGAGTAGTCTCGGTGGCGCAATTGGTAAGCTTGTCCTTCAACATCTCATAACATCACTCAGTTACTAATTCAATATTACAGGTTAGCGCGTACGACTGTTAATCGTGAGGTTGAGAGTTCGATCCTCTCCCGGGACGCTTCTTTTGTCTACTTTTTGCCGCCATCCCTTCTTTTTGCCGAGCTGGGCCTATTACCAGATGACAAGCGATCGGTTGACCCCAGATCTCGTCTTACAGGGAGCTGCTGGAGATCCTATCTCATTCAAGCCTCCCCCTCGGGTGCAGTTGTCGATAAACGCACCCGAACTGGCCACCCACCCTCTACCGCTGGCCCTTAATGCGGTACTTACCCTTGAAATCATTCCAACGACCAAAAGACGGCTGAAATCTGCAAAACCCCACCTTTTGCATAGCACCCTTTCTACTGTAGCCTCTACCTGTCATCTTTCGGGTCGGTGCCCGTAGACTAACTATCTTGAAAGCCGATTGACCAAACAGTCTACAACCAAAATGACACTGAAGTCATGGACCAGATGTTGTCTAAACGCAGAGACTTGTCTTCCCCGTGCCCGTTTCTATAGATAATCCCTAAGAACTTTCACATCCATTGAACATGGTTTCCCTGCTAATTAGCAAGCATGCGTCCTGTCCCCCAAGCGCCTGCACTGGAGGGAATCGACACCTTGACAGCCACTTCTAAACAAGATCACCAAGTGCAAGATTTCGATTAAAAGCTGTCAACAGCAGTATGTACCGGCAAATATGTGGCGTGTAGACCTTTCAACTCACATTAGACGTAAATCGCAAGCACTGACATAACAGTTGATTATATAGAGGACTAGTAAGTATCAGTCTATCAACAAACTGCCAATTTAGAGCGCCGATTGCGGTCTAGTTAACTGGCGATATCCATGTCTCCTTCGACAACGGGATTGCACCAGGTAAAAATGCACACCATGGATCCACACTGAAGAAGGCTAGTGATTCGAAGCTTCAGTGGTGATCAACAGGGCATAGTATAGATAAAGTTAAATAGATAGGTTCCTAGACCAATCCTTACTAGACCTTTCTTCTAGCAATGCGATAGAGGTGATATCGCGGGTTAAAGCTCCTATTGATTGATGCTCAGCCGTCTTCGTCAATGCCGTCCCATCGATGCCTATTGAGTACACGGAGTAGCAGACCAGCAAAATCTTCTCCAAAACATTTTACAGAAAATCGTATGCATGCAACAATAATATGACCGCCCTCAAAATTCAAAAGCAAGGATAACAACAGAACTTTCTTATCGATCGGAGCTCGAGACAGACGATCGGATGCACCCATCAACGAAGGTAGGCAAGTGTCCATAAGTAAGTAGCCCCTCATATAGCACATTTGAGCAGGGTTCTTCAATGAGTCGTCTCGGTGGCGCAATTGGTAAGCTTGCCCTTTCAGAAATTCATCCCATCATCCAGTCACTAATTCAAATAACAGGTTAGCGCGTACGACTGTTAATCGTGAGGTTGAGAGTTCGATCCTCTCCCGGGACGTTTCTTTTTCATTCTTTTTTTTGCCCTACCTACCCTTCTTACCCGGGACTAATGGCTTCTCCCCTGCTCCTATGTTATTTATTTTACCCCCCCTTTGAATGTTCTAAGTTTGTCGTGTCTGCCGAGATTCAAAAGTAGGGTAGATCGGATGGCATCATGGGTGTATGCCAGTCATGCGCATCCGAAGTATACGAACCTGATCCATCGGGTGGTAGAACACGAAGAGCTTCACACTCACCACCAACATGCACAATGGGTCTAGAACCCAACTATGTAAGTCATGCTACTACCTAAACACCCTCTAACCAATCCCATAATCCCACCCCAAGCCCCCAAGGTGCCTACGGAGACATTTCGGAGACATTACTTCTCGGCCACGAAGCACAGCCCATTCCCTCAATGCCAGACCAAGGTATAAAAGGCATCTCAATCTCAATCAATTCCCATACAAACCAACAATCTTCCCAGTATAATCTCTCAATCACCTCCATCATCTAATCTATTCCCAAATCCAAACCCCAATCAACATATCTCATCAACCAAAATGCCCAAACTCTCCCCAACAACCTACTTCACCCCAACCTTCGTAAAGCGCTACTACATCGCCGAGAAGCTCACCGGGGTATTTGTCGACCCTCTGATCGAGCAGTCCGGCATCCTGAATCCATCCCCTCATCCCCGGGTTATCCTCGACAATGCCTGCGGGCTGGGCATCGTATCCAGCCACCTGAACCGCACCCTCGAGGAAGAAGTCAAAAAACAGTGGACCTTAACCTGCGGGGACGTGACAGAGATGATGGTGGAGCATACAAAGTTAAGGATTGAGAAAGAGGGGTGGGTTGGTGCGGAGGCAAGGGTCGTGGATGCTCAATGTACGGGGTTGGAAGGGGGGAAGTATACGAATGTGTTTACGGCTTTTGGTGAGTCATTGATGTTATTCTCCTGGGAGTATTGTGGCTGACGTATATTGACGATGTAGCGTTCATGATGCTTCCTGATGCGAGGGCTGCGATGAAAGGTATGGCTTTATGGAATAATGTGTATGTTCTGAATTGAGGCTGATATGGTGACAGAATGTTTTCGTATTCTCCAGCCGGGAGGCGTGCTTGCGACTTCGACGTGGAAGATCTGTATGCTAACTGTCCCGTGTTTGGAATCAAGTACTGATGTTAGATAAATTAGCGACTTGGATCGTTCTCATCAAAGAAGCAATCGATACTATGCCTGGAGGGCTCAAGTTCCCTAATATGAAAGAGTTCCTGGGTATGCATAATGAAGGATGGGATGATGAGTCGTTTGTGAAGGAGCGGTTTGAAGAGGAGGGGTTTCAAGATGTGAAGGTTACTACGGTTGTGAGGGAGACTTCGTTGACTATATCTGAGTTCATGGAGATTAGTCAGGGTGTCATTTCTATTGTGATCGGTGCGTTCTGGACTCCCGAGCAGCGGGAGCAGCATGAGGCGAATGCTCTGGTGGTAGTCAGGGAGTATTTGGAAGAGAAGTTTGGGGCTGATGGAGTGGTTAGGATGGAGCCGGTAGCGGTCATTGCGGCGGGAAGGAAGCCTTAGGAGGATTTTGAAGAATTCACTATCAGTCATTGAAGTCATTTGATTTCGATAAATGTCCTGTCCCGGACCAACCACTAAGCCTAGAGAAACACCTGTTGCTCGGTAGTACAGCACCTGAACAATCATCTGGTAACTGGCAGTGAACCTAACGCCATGCTGATCCAGCCCTATCTTTCTCAGATATTCATGAACCATGCGGAAATCCAACCCGCGCAAGACCCCGGTTAGGATCCATTCGGTTGTCCAGATCCTCGTACCGAAGGATGAACTCGCGCTGTAGCCACCTGTCAGCTTACACCGATGGAGGAATGTCCTCAAGAAGAGCAGAAGGTAGACATACTCGGACCTTCTTCCAGCTGGCGGGGTCCCACAAAAGATAGACGCCCCTCTCACTCACGCCGCGCTCGACATCAACCGGGCCGGGATACGTCTCGTCGCGGGTAAGCCAGCACCGTTCGATCTTGTGGTACCTCCACTTCCGCCCCATCAGTTCTTCCGCAACGACTTCCTGCAGTATATCCCTAGGCATGCTGTAGAAAATGTAGAACAATGTCTCATCGCTGAAGCTTGGAATTCGCGACTGAAGAGGCTGGACATTGGCAACACTGTAGCACGACGGAAGAGCGAAGTCCTGCTCCAGAGGAACACCCGACATGGACGCAACAAACGGGGAGGCGAAGGATGTATGTAGAGGTCTAGAGCGCGTGTCAGCACAGCCTGATGAGCTCGGGAGATACGAGGTAGAACATACTCCGGTTGGTTCAAGTCTAGGCCTAATGTCATCAGATCCTGCCCTACCGCGAGACTAGAAACATCGGCATTATCGCTATGGATCATCCGCAACAAGCCTGCAAGCCCGAACTTGTCGAGCTCGCTCATCTCGGCGAATGGTAATTGATCAGTACTAGGCGCAGCCCCTGAAGCTTCCTTCCCAGTGGTGGGAAACCCCGGCGGTCGCATAAGGTGTTGTTCGCTGTAGACACTCGGATTCGATATTACGCTGTTATTCAATTCCTGAACCCGACTTAGTGACGGAGCGAAAGCGCGGGCGGCCGTAGTCCTTACCTCCTTTTCTTGCCCCGGAGCTCTGCTAGACCCCTGATTCACCGGCGATCGCGACGTTTCAATGCCTAAATAGAATGCTTAGTTGAATATCGGTTATAATCATTCACCGAAACATACCTCCTGATCCTGCATTGGCAGGCGACATTATCCGCTCTTGCCCGTTTACCGACGCGGCGACCATGCTGCGAGCTTGGGCAGACTGAGCTTGGCTCACACCCGTGAACGGAAGGCCACCAGTGTAATTGCCAAGCCCTGCACTTTGCATCAATGATCCTCTCCGATCCTGACCGAGGTCCGTGGGGACATTACGCCCGAGTGGGGGGAATTCTTCGATATTGCCGGTCTGCGGTTGCCCCCCAGCACCTAATTGACCGCTAATCCCCTGCCCGCCATTTCTAAAATCATCCAAGCGATTCGCAAACTGTGCGCCCGAAGGGAACACGTCGTCATGAGAAGGTTGTGATGGCTGTTGAGGGTGATGGGTTTGTGTTTGCGGGGCTCGTGAGGGTGCTTGGGACGTAGCATGCTGCGGCCTTTGGACGGGGGTCTGCTGCATCGCACGTTGGCTAGCGTTTGCCCATACTAGATGACTCGGGTTTTGGGTTTGCGATTGCGGTGGAGCTCCGGAAAGCGAAGGGAAATCTCTGGGTAAGATAACAGGAGTTCTCAGCAATAAGCTCGACACGTCCTTCGAACAGGCCGGCCTCGGAGAGCGCCATCCTGGAAAAAAGAGAGCCACACTCACGATAGATCCAAAGGCGTAGCAGGTTGGGAACCGCTCAGACTCTGTGCAAACGTTCCCATCGTTCCTATGCTGCGCTGCTGGTTGCCTTGTATCCCTGGCGTTCCGCTGACGGGTAAATTGAAGTTCCAATTCGCTCCGCTGCCTGTTCCGTCCGGCGCCGTTAGCTTTCAAGGCGATTCTACCAGTCGAGGCCAGACAAAAGTCGCACCAAGTTTGCCGTTTGGCAAGCGCGCCGACGCCAACGCCGCATTTCGAGCTTGTGCTTGTTGTTGTGCGGGGAACCCGGACATGCCTCGCAAGGGCTGGGGGCCTGGACCTGCAAAATCATAACAACGGTCAGCGATGTAGCCAAGGTGATTGACAAGGCCGGTCAAGATCGGGGGACTTTAACCAAAGCCGGGCGAGGGGCTTGGCATGGTGTTGGGGAGGATATTGCGGTCGTCGTGGGAGATCCATCTGTGAGAGCGTTTGCAATTGAAGCCAGGAGGACAACGAGCCGTGGGTCCAAGCACCAACCGCGCTCCGCTCCGCACCGTGAAGCTCGCTGATAATAAACACAAAAGAAACCACCGATCGGAGACTGCTGGGGTTGCCATAGCCAGCCCGATCGGGAGGACAAGGGAAGGACGTGAAAAAGACAAACCTGGCCTGTTCATGATGGAGATATGGTCGGTCGAGCAATACTGATGAAAGTCCAAGGCTCTGCGTCCAGATTTGAGGCGATAATCAGTGTCAAAGCATGCAAGTGATAAGAACTCAATGTGCACCCAGGATCTCTGCCCACACTCTGTTGCGACGGCTCTGGGAGGTGGAGTGGCTGCAAACGCGCGCTTCCGCGCGCACAGACCATCCACAGCCGCCCGTCCACATCAATGCACGCCTTCTTTGTTGCTAGGAGCACACGACCATACCTGGGATCCAGCTGAAATATGAGCTTCCGTGATGGGGTGTTGGAATTACTCTACGTGGTATGCAGATGAGTTAACAGACACTGTTGGAGGGGCTAAAATAAGTGGTTATTATGTACATGCTCCTCTCCAGCTAGCTATATACTCTCTAGTAACGGCAACATGAATGGCCTCCTTCCCAGCTGCACCATACAGCCAGCCCCCTGCTAAACTCAGTATAGTCAGTGTGGAAGCTCCGATCACATATATAGAAAGTACCGCATCTATTTTTGACCTTGATTTTCTCCCCGCGTCGTGCATGAGGTTGTCCTCAGCTGGTCGCACTGTGTCACCCGCAGCCGCAGCCGCACACGTGACCTAGGCGCCAAAAGTCCGTCTCGTTCGCTTTTGATCCCGAGGCCGCAAGGACATCCTCTCCACTGAGCCCCTTCGCCGTCACCAGGCTGCCCTTCGGTCACAATGCATCGTCAGTCGGTTTTGCGGCTGGCTCGCCAGAGCGGCCTCCCGCTGGTCGAATTGCCCCCCCCCTACCTCGCCCCGTCGCTCCATTTCTCCCTGAACCGATCGTCCGTCCAGTGCTCGAACTTTTCTTCCACCGCTGCTGTCGCCGTTCGTGGCCGTGGTGATCTCAACAAAACCCGCGGCGTATCCGCCATTCATGCCACCGGCCCTAAGTACCGCCTGGGTGTGTCGAAGTACCCATTGCCCAAGCCCGCCTCCCCGGAGTCCATCGCGAAGCGCAATCCCACCCCGGACCATGGACTATGGGGATTCTTTCCCAAGGACCGCGGGGCCTTGAGTACGCCGACATATGATGTTGAGTTCGGTTAGTTGCGGATCCTTCCAGGCCGGAGTGGGAGTGATACTTACGATCGATCGTATAGGCCGTGCGTGGTCCATCCAGGAACTCCGTGAAAAGTCGTGGGATGACCTCCATTCTCTGTGGTGGGTCTGCGTCAAGGAGCGCAATCGCATAGCCACTACCAACCTGGAAAGACAACGACTGAAGGCTGGTTATGGAGAATGGGAGTCTACCGAGCGGGAGCGGGTGGTAAGTTTGTCCTGTCTTTGGTACTTGTTTACACCCGGGAGATCAAAGCTATATCATTCTACCCGATATGCTTCAAAGCAAGCATTCGACGGAGTCTGCCCGTTTTCAGGACCAAAGTGCTAACAGATGGCTCCCTAGATCCGCGTTACGCAAAACGGCATCAAGCACGTGCTCCGAGAGAGATGGTACGCCTGGGAGGATGCACAGCGTCTCTACAAGAAGGGCTACCGGCCCCAGGACGAGGATAGCCAGGATGCCTGAAAGACATGAGTTCGATGAGAGATGTCATAAGGAGACTGGGTCTGGAGCTCCGTTAGAAACTATTGGTCTGTACTTTTGTATGTAGTATGTAGTATATGTTCTCTTATTATAAACTCTTTCCCTTTTTCTTCTCTCCTTATTTATTATTTTCTTTTGTCCTCTGGATGGCAATCTGCACTCGGTAAGTGTCATGACAGGAATGTCGAGCGGGTGGTCGTTCGAAGGATGCCAGATCTAGGTAGGCTGTCAATTCCGATAGTGAATTATAGAGCCACGGGGGAGATGAGTAGCAGATAGTGTCCAATAGTCAGGGAGCTGGCCAGCTGTTAGTTGCGTCGAAATCGGACGACATGATCGATCCACTGCGGAAACCGCGCCGGAAAAGGGGCAGGAGGATTCAGGAGGCGAGTCTGAAGAAGGGAATCCATCAAATTAATTGCATGGCATAATGGGAATCACCCTGAAATGCCAACGTTATTTGGGCCGGTGGAGCCCAGCCGGCGGGCGTCAGAACAAATAACGAATAAATATTTCCTGATCGATGATCCGCGGGGGGTTCCAACTTACTTTACCCTGGACCTCCTTTCGCCCTCCCCTTCAAGTTCAACCTGACCGCTGCCGTCTCCGCATCTTCCCTTCTCCTCCTTTTCCTGCATCTTCCCTGCTCCCCATAATCCTGCCTCGAGTCCATCAGGTTTCTTTTTTGTATATTCTTCTTTCTTAGCCGCCTGCATTACCACCCGCCATGGAGGAGATTGCCCCCGAGTATGATGTTGTGGTGCTCGGCACTGGTACGTTTACCCCGCCGCCGCTCGACGACAGCTGTACTGACGCCCCTCCCAGGTTTGACCGAGTGTGTGCTCTCGGGGTAGGAACTCCTTGCTGCTCGCATCTTCCTCGCTGCGGCCTACTGACATCCTGCCTGCAGTGTTCTCAGTGTCAAGGGAAACAAGGTGCTTCACATCGACCGCAACGATCACTACGGAGGGTAAGTTGGGCAGCTTCCTTAGCTATCCGCCATCCACCCGCCACTAACCACAACTCTAGCGAGGCTGCCTCGGTGAACATTGAGACTGTAAGTGCTTTTGAATCCCTGTTACGATAAAAAAAAGTTTCGGAGTTGTATGTTGGACTCTAACGCATCTTCCGTGTGCAGCTCTTTAAGAAGTACGGCAACGTCCGCCCCGGCGAGGAGCCCTGGAAGAAGTATGGTCGCGTCAACGACTGGAACATCGACTTGGTCCCCAAGCTGCTCATGGCCAACGGCGAGTTGACCAACATCTTGGTTTCCACCGACGTTACGAGATACCTCGAGTTCAAGCAGATTGCTGGCAGCTACGTCCAGCAAGGAAAGGGCCCCAAGGCTACCGTGGCCAAGGTGCCATCCGATGCCGGTGAAGCTCTGCGCTCATCTCTCATGGGCATGTTCGAGAAGCGCAGAGCCAAGAAGTTCTTGGAGTGGGTGGGCGAATTCAAGGAGGAAGACCCCTCCACGCATAATGGTTCGTCTAGACCGTTTGATTCCAGGAGCCCCCGCACTAACATAGCATAGGTCTGAGCATCCATACCTGCACAATGAAGGAGGTCTACGACAAGTTCGGCCTGGAGGACAACACTCGTGACTTCGTTGGCCACTCCATGGCCCTATACTCGTCCGATGAATACTTCCTGAAGTCGGGCATGGCCCCTGAGACCATCAACCGCATCCGCCTGTACGTGAACTCGATGGCCCGCTACGGAAAGTCGCCGTACATCTACCCCCTCTACGGTCTGGGCGAGCTTCCCCAGGGCTTTGCTCGTCTGTCCGCCATCTATGGAGGTACTTACATGCTCAACACCTCCGTTGACGAGGTTCTCTATGACGAGAGCGGAAAGGTCTCTGGCATCAAGGCCACCATGAAGGACCGTGACAACGAGGCCGAGTCCATGGCGTTCACCACAAAGACCAAGAAGATCCTCGCAGACCCCTCCTACTTCCCTAGCAAGGCCAGGATCACTGGCTACCTGTTGAAGGCCATTTGCATTCTGAACCACCCCATCGACAAGACCGACGGCAGCGACTCGCTGCAGCTGATCATTCCCCAGTCGCAGGTCGGCAGAAAGCATGGTAGGTGTCTTCAAAAGTCTCGTGGTTGCCCTGTACTGACCTTCCCTAGATATCTACATTGCCATGGTGTCCTCGGCACACAACGTCTGCCCCAAGGGTTACTACATTGCCATCGTCTCGACCATCGCCGAGTCCGAGGCCAACCACCACCTCGAGCTGGAGGCCGGATTCGAGCGCCTGGGTAAGATCGAGGAGACCTTCATTGGTGCCCCCATCCCTCTGTACGAGCCTCTAGAGAGTGGCGAGAACGACAACATCTTCATCTCGAAGAGCTACGATGCCACATCCCACTTTGAAACCACGACTGGTAAGACCGCAAATAGCAGACTACCCGGAGAATGATAACTGACACAATCTAGATGATGTGCGGGACATCTACCGTCGCGCGACGGGCGAGGAGTTGGTCGTTGAGGGTCTCCGGGAAGGCCAGAAGCTTGTGGAGTAAGAGGCCCCCGTGGGGTGCATATTGGGGTAAAGTAATATCTTGACGCTACGGCGCTTTTGAATCGAGTTCTCCTAATTTCTTTTGGACCTTCTTTACGCTCACGAATCATACCATTATTGGACTCGCACATTCACTTGGTTTCTGCATCTTGAGTAGCAGTCGGGCCTGCATGTCTCTCGACCGATCAGTTGGTGTCTGGTGCATCATCACTGTGAATAAATCTATTTAGCAACCAGCCGCATTGTAGAATTGTTGCTCTATTGATCATATGGATATAGATACAAGCCAGTGTTTATCACCTAAAACGAGATTAGATTGCCGCCGGATCAGTATTCGCCTTCTCATGCTCCCCCACCACACATATGCTCCCATTTATCCTCTGAATCTCGGCCCTCAGAAGCGCCATCCGCTTCCCCATGTGCACCATTTCACACATCACCCGAATCTCAGTCCCCGACGGCACCGGCCGCAGATACGTAAGCTTTAGATTCCGACTGACGCCGCCCAGCGAGTAGTGCCCAGGCTTGGACAGTCCCAAAAGCAGCGTCGAGGAAAGAATATCCACCATAGTGGCGGCGCAACCGCCGTGCAGACTTCCCATATAATTGCATTGTTTTGGGATTACAGTGAGGAGGTACGAGACGCGAGCCGGCGGTCCCGGAGTGGCGGATTCGAGCCGAAGATTGCAGGCTTCGGGGAAGTAGTCCCAGACCTGCCGTGGTTATCAGGTATTAGGAAGATGTTCAGAGAGGCAGAGGGGAAGAGGTTTGGAATCCACATGCCTCGCCGCCTTCATTTGATGATTCAGGCCCCGTGGAATAGCTGAGGACGAGCTTCTCGAAGGGAGATAGTTCGGACTCCGGGCGGACGGTGCCTGCGGTGATTGTGGATGGGAGGACGGGCATAATTGCGGTTTGTTGTTGATGAACTAATTAGATGTATCTGTCTGAGAAATGACTGACTTGGAGGCTCCTTCCGGAGTATTATATTCAGGGGAATGGAATATATAGACGAAGGAATGGTGCTGATGCCCATGCCGATGCTCGGGTCTTATAGTCCGGTGTCCATGGATAAGGGACCAACAACCGAGGTTGACGGCTGATCTAAACCTCCTTGCGCATGCGGGTTTCCAACTCGAGATTGAGCATAAAGGAACCGTTTAAGATCTTAGATTCGATCGTTTCCTGGTTGGCATACTATCAACCTCATATTTAGTCTGATTAGAGTATTTGGGCGTGGGTGATCCTGAGATCGGGTGGGGAGTGACAAGCTATGCCATGGTGCTCTGGCTGCTAACCTGCAGGGTATTGGTCACGGACCTATTCTTCCCACCTTCAAGATGGCGGTTCGAGAATGGTTCGTCCAGACAGGTTTGGTAGGTGTTGATAGGAGTCTGCATGAATGCCTGCTGCCTGTCTGTCAATGCGACTCACCTGACTTCGCGTCACGTATGCTGCCTCAGGCATGAATGGCTCCGTGCCGGGCCAGACTTGCTCGACTCCTGAATCAACAATCACGACTCTTCCATAAACTGGCGCCAGTTCGTGGACTCGCGGGCAATGGTTCAATTGGATTTGGATTATTAAACATACTCTTATAATTAACACACCAATAGTTCGCCCCCATCTCGAGCATCCATCGAACGCCCGGTCGCAACCCAAAAATATTTCCTTCTCCGCATCTATCCCTCCGCGCCGTTACGAGCCCCATGTTTCGCACGCACGCATGCCATTGAATCTCAATAATACTTACGTGAAGACGACTGGCGAATTGATGCGAACAACTACCAGGAAGCACTTGATCTAACGAAAACGCTCCCGACGACTTATACCATAGATACGATGAAGGACCCGCGCGCTAGCAAGAGGAGAAGGGTGTCGGATGTACAAAATACAGACGGGGATGGAGATACCACGATGCGCGATGAGGCTCAAAACGTGCCTGCATCGCCGCTGGCTGAAGAGATGAAGGTCGCGTCCCCGGCGGCTGAAGAACCAGAAGCACCCGCCACGTCGAGGTCAAAACGGCGGCGATCTTCGCAGGGCGCCGTGACTGAGGAGAGCCAGGAGGTGCCTGCTGCAGAGACGCCTTTGAGAGCTGGACTGCGGTCTAGTGGACGACAGCGGAAAGCGCCGCAGAGGTATGGAGACGAGGTCGTGGACTCGCCCTCGGGAAGAAGAAACGCTTCAACACCGGGTCAGAACGGGTCGGCGCCGAGAAGCGCTCGGAAGGTGAAATATGTTTCGGATACAGAGGGTGAAGAGGAGGACGAAGAAGAAGAGGAGCAAGAAGAGGAAGAGGAGCCGTCACCACAGCCCAAGAGGCGACCGACAAGAACACGGTCGAAGAAGCCCACTGTACGATTCGAAACAGATAATGAGAAAGCGTCGATGAAACGGGAAGAGTCGCAGCAGCCTCCTACACCAGATGATTACCAGGATGGGCTGGAGGATCTCGTATCGATCCAGCTACAACAGGACCTGGCTAACAATGAGCTGGTGAGCACGGATACGTCTACTGTCAGGGGAGGACCGCTTCCGGAGTATGCCCAAAAGCTCCAGTCACTCGTGCAGGAAGGCTTGACAGAGGAGCTCCGGCTGCTGACAGGGATAGTTACGGAGAAGCTGAACGGCAAACGACGGGTGCCGCTGAAAGGGCTAGACACGGAGTATCACAAGGTCAACCAGCTTGTTGAGCAGACCGTCGAAGTTGGAGAAGGCAACTCGATGCTGCTCCTTGGGTCGCGTGGCAGTGGAAAAACCGCAATTGTCGAGACAATCATCGCATCGTTGGCAAAGTCGCACAAGAACGACTTCCACGTTGTCCGACTCAATGGCTTCCTGCATACGGACGACCGATTGGCTCTTCGTGAGATGTGGCGTCAGCTTGGACGTGAGACAAACACCGAAGACGAAGCTGGCAAGGTGAGCAGCTATGCTGATACCATGGCCACCCTCCTTGCTCTCCTGTCGCACCCGGAGGAGCTCTATGGTCCGTCCAATGATTCGGAGACGGCGACCGCCGCCAAGTCGATTGTCATCATCCTGGACGAGTTCGACTTGTTTGTCACCCACCCGCGCCAAACCCTGCTGTACAACCTGTTTGATATCGCCCAGGCCCGCAAGGCTCCGATTGCGGTGATTGGGATCACCACCAAGGTGGATGTGACGGAGATGCTGGAGAAGCGAGTCAAGAGTCGCTTCAGCCACCGATACGTCTACGTGCCGCTGCCCCGATCCCTGGAGACCTTTTCGGACATCTGCTTCGCGGGGCTAAACCTGGAAGACGGGGAGATTTCGGAACTGCTGGATGAGGTCGATGCCCAAGAGCATGTCATCCTTAAGTCCGACAGGTGGACCCGCTTATTGGAAGGATGGCGAGCTTATCTGCAGGTGAGTGCGCCTCATTGCATGGTGACCACACACAGACCACGTTGCTGACCCTAGGCACTAGGCACTCTGGATCGACGAGGCGTTCGCATCCCACCTACGACGCATCTACCACCAAACCAAATCCGTGAAGAAGTTCTTCACGAGCGCCCTGATTGGGCTGAGCGACCTCCATCACAGCACCACCTACCCTGTGACCCCCGAAGGAACGTCCCCCCTGGAGATCCCAACCGCGAGTACATTCACCAGTCAGCTTCTGTCCTGCCCTGACCCCGCCCCTCTACCATTCTCCGCATCGACCACAACCTCCGCAAGCCCGTCATCCCTGCCACTATCGCTCCTCCTCGCGGCGACACGCTTGGCAGCACTGTACGACACAGGGCTCGAGACAATGCAGCCGCAGAGCACTGCGCCTCTGGCGCTGTCATTCCCCGCGGCATACGCCGAATACGTGCGACTGCTGACGACGGCCAAGACCTCGGCGTCAGTGTCCGGGGCTGCTGTCACCCCGGGACGGGTCTGGGGTCGGGACGTGGCGCGCGAGGCCTGGGAGAAGCTCGTCAGCTGGGGATTGATCAGTCCGGTAGGCGGAGGCAGTGGCACGGCAGACGGACGGATGTTCCGGGTGGAAATCAGCTTCGACGAGGTGGTCGAGCTGGCCGGGACGGGAGGATCATTAGGACGATGGTGGCGGGATGGCTGAGTCCTGCCCAGCACGGGGCAGAAAACGGTTGCAGCTTAATCTACCGACCTATCTTTGTAAAATTGCTACCTGATACTTTCATCTACTGCCTAGACACAATCCGTCTGCCTAGTGTCTAGAACAAATCTACCTTGCAAAAAGCCTCATACATACATACATACATACATACATAACAATCCCTACCCTAAATCACCTATAACTATAGCACCTATTATGCACTGTAATCCACCCACAATCAACCCCCCCCCATCCCTAAGCTAGTATCTACCTACCCACCTAGCTCGCATACACGCATATGCATACCCCGTAAGCAGTAGTCACTCTCACTAACTCTCTCACTATTATTACTAAAACGTAGTTGGGTTAGTTCAGTGGTCCCAACACTTTTCAACACAGCCCGAGCTTCCCCTCTTCTTTCTAGTAGTTCCGAACCCATTGGGTCTAGGTCCTATGTAGGTGGATTATCCACGCTAGATATGCAAGTATCATGCACGGGCTAGATGTTAATCATTTCAAACTGTAAGCTTTTTCCTGTTGGGGAGGATAAGGATGGTAGATTGATGATTAATTGAGTCCCTAGGATATAGTATTTACCTGGTAGGGTTTATACATTCATGTATGTATGTATGTATTGGAATAGATACGAGAGTGGATGAATCGTTCATTTCTTCCTTTAAATTGGACGTAGTGGGTTTGATTCGTATGTAGGGTAGATACATACATACATACATACATAGGTAGGTAGGTAGGTAAGTTGAGCCAAGGCTGAGGATACAATTGTAATCAAACATCAGGATATGCGATGTAAGCGATGCGGGCCTATTGTGTGCTCTGTACTCTGTACTCTGTACTGTAAGTATCTTGAGTAATACATCCCTTAGTAGTGGGTTTAATATCCCATGGTATGATCTTAAAGGTAAGCGGAAGAGGGAGGGTATGGGGTACCTAGTAGGGATAAGCAAGCGTTGTGTATGTAGTGAAAGGTATAACTATTAGGTATTGTATTTACTAGGTCAGTAGGAATGATTAATGAGATGGAGATTACTAATGGGGGACAATTTGGACCCCAAAGTCATAATGTAGGTACAATGCCTAGATTTGGGGTAGTGTGGAATATGCAGGAACATATACGCATATTGCTTGCTGGTGGTGATGTTGGGGGCTAATTGATATGCGTACGGAGTATCCGGAGAAAAAGGATGGGGAGGAGGGAATAATACCTCGCTTCACGAAGAGTTGGGTTATGTACATATTTGTTTGTGTAGTGTAACTGGGACATACATTGTACTACATAGTATATAGGTAGGGAGAGTAATAAGATCATCGGTTAACGTGTTGTACAGACGATGCTCGTTCTCACCGGTCGGCGGTTAGTGTCTGGAGGATCTACTTCAATGTACTCCGTACATAGATGTAGGCATGGGCATGGGTATGTACAGGGATGTTGTTGACTGCTTCAGTCAGGAGGACAGCAGTCACTAACGTGGGTCTTGTAGGACGGTTGAAAGGACGATGTGATAGATTCTACTCCGGACAGGGATAAGAGTAGTGCTACCTGCACCAGTATCAGCCTAAATATGTACCTATTGCTAGGGTCGCCGGTGGGGAGACAGTGTAGTCTGTGTCGTAGCTGGGATCCGAATGATTGAACATGGATGCTGGCGACGGATTGACAAAGCGACTGACGGATGAAGGCTGCGAAAAGAGGGGCATCGGCAGAGCTGCCTTAGCTCACATACCACCACCTCATGGCGAAGCAAGGTAGCCCGTCTCCTCATGGCAGGCAAGGTACATGGCTAGGCATTCGCTAACGCCATGCAGTGTCCGACCAGACACTGGCCACACCCGACGGTCTCGACCAGCCTTGTGCAACCCTAACCACGCCAGACGGCGAGCAAGGGATGCACCCACGGATCCCGGCCAATAAGGGCGGCAGGCTGGGCGATCAGCGTGACAGAAGCATCACTCGGTCGAGATTAGGTTCCTTTGGCCAGTGACCACCCCGGGCGGTGGTCCTCCGCACTGCACCAGGCATAAAGACAATAACATATGGCGCTATAATTAAGGATGGGGGGCGGAAGAAGGGCACCGTTGGTGATTAGTACTTACTTACCTACTAGTACCTACTACCTAGTACTACTTATCTACCTAGGTGCCAAGGTGGGAGAGAGTAAGCATGGCGCTGCAACAGCGTGGCTTTGAATCGAATCCTGGTGCGATCCTGGCTGGAGGCACTAGGACGAATCGGGGGCGTGTGTCTTTGCACACTAATGCATGAAATGACCTTCTTGAGCTGGTGCTGGTCCAAAGTGGAATCGGCGGCGGGGTTAGCGGGAATCACGCTGTCTGCCAGTGCCGACTGTGAGGTGTTCGTCTGGGGGTGATGCTCTCTTCATCTTGCGCAGTCCTGTTCTCGATGGGCTTCCGTAATTTGAACGGGATATTCCGCTCTAGTCATAGTCCTGGGGGCCATCGTTCTGACATCCAGGCCAAGCCACCCCTGTAGATACCCTCCAGATTGAACCCCAGCCTCGTACTCGTACTTCGTCTCGCATCCAATGGTCGCCATGACTGACTGCCATGATCGATGCAGTCAACCGTCCGCATCCCTGTCACACCAGTCCATCATAGCGCGGCGTCCAGTCAGCGTTCGGGCCCGACCGGTCTCGCGTGTGGAAGATGGGCGACGTGACCAGGAGAACGGTGATCCGAACCATTTTCGATGCAGGAGCACATATTGTTGGCCTGAAGGCCATCGCCCTCGGCAACCAGGATAAGCCTCGTGTTGAAGCCACACTAGCCGCCCTCTAGTACTATGTAGTATCGAGTATCAACCACCCGGACGATGACGATTCAGCGAAGCTGGGTAAGTGGGGCCACGACGACTAGAGTAGTTGGGTATTTCGCGTGGAGAGCAAGGATCAGCGTCTGCCAAAGACCGCATCAATCATCATCAAATAGGAAGCGGTGGTGTTATCATGCAGGCCGATAACCCCTTGCTTCTGCAGCAGAAAAAGGCGTGGTTGAGCCTGGAACCAGGCCATGTGCAGCTAGCTAACCAAGCCAAGTAGCTCTCGCTAGTCGGCTGAGGAAGGGCCCGGAAGGACGACAAGGGGAGGATGGCCCTCTTTTCTTCAGCAGGCATGAACGTGAGCCAGCCATCCGCCATGAGGATGATGATGATGATGATGGCATCAACAAACATTAGGTTGGCCCGAAGGAAGCAAGGCCCCCGCCCGCTCCGGCTCCGACTCCGGTTCTTTCCGGCTCCGACTCCGAGCTCTCCTGGCCTTTTCTCGCCCTATTTTCGGTTTCCGGTAAGTGACCTGGCCGCTTTAAGCCCGTATCGTTACCGCATGTACCAGACTAGTCCGTACCGTTTCCCTTCATACGCAGTGTAACGCTCAAGGTTCGATTGGCCGCCTCCCGGAAGATCCTCCACGTGCGTCTTTCGTCTTCTGGGAATTACCTCTTCAGGCTGTGACGGTCGGAGAGTTTTGCTTCTGACTAAGCGCCTATATATCGGCTGTGATGGTAAACACACCGGCAGTCGGACAATTTCCCCCAGAATCGATGCAGAAGAAAAAAGAGTGAAGCTGGCATGTGGAAACTGTAAACTGGGCTCTATCGAAATTATAAAAAGTGACAGGTCCGCGGTCCAACTTACCTCCGGACAGTAAGTTACATCACCAGCAGCCACATGTCTCTGAAAAAGTAAAACCCCTCCGTAATCCCGTAAAGCCTAGCCCGGTAGGCTGTCCCATATCCGGTCCTACACCGGGTGATACATAGCTTAGACAGGTAGTACTATTGTAAGATTATTCCCTGCTGCCCCAGGGCGCCAAGGCCCTCAAGTTGGATGAACCCAGCCCTTCTAGCGTCTTCCAGAATCCTTCCAGAATCCTTCTAGCGTATCCTTTGCCCGGCCCCCACCAGCCCCCGAAACAAAGAACCACCGCAATAGCGTCCCAGGATAGATTAAGTCAATTAACTCAACCGTGGATACATCGTTCGCTAGTTTTCTCCAACGGGGAAACCGAACACCGTATGATTTACTGGTACGTGGTTCCATCGATCGGCAAGATCTGGGAGCAACCATGAACCAACAGTCGGAAAATTGGAAAGGAGGAGGATTTCCCTGCTTGGGAAAATCCAACACGTTGTTGACGGATGGATCTTTGAGTTTTTGCGGGTTGGTCGATCCAGAAGATCGAAAATTGGACCGGACTACCCAGACGGGTATTATGCTGCGAAATGCTTAAACGGAATGGGGATGCAAATGGCGATAATTCGGCGTCGGCCGAATACACAACCCTCTAGTTAGTACTACAGTAGTTGATGTGGTGGTGATGTGCTGGTCCCTCTCAAACGTCAACCATCAAACTTTCCACTAGAAAAAAAGAAACCTGCAGGGTTTGTTCTTCGGCGAGTTCTTTTGCCACCGAACTACTGCACCAGTGCGTACTTACTACGTAACAACTAACATGGGTGGTTGGATTAGACATATCCCGATCCTGATGGATTTTTAGCCCGACTTCTAGAAACACCAGTGCTTATTGCGCTCCGGTGTTCTGGTAATCGGGGCTATTCTATGCTATAGATAGTTAGTACTTTGTAGCGAAAGTGCCCGACAGGATTTTTCACCCCCCAGATAGATTGTTTTGTGTGTCGAGCAAAACAATCGATGTCATGGTTCGTCTCCTGGACAGGGATTGGATTCCTGGCGGTCTACATGTACGTTATAGATAGATAGATGGATGATAGGTGCCGGGAGCCGAATGTATGCATCAGCTTTCACTTCTACCCTACCACCTGAAACGATACCTTCTGCCGACAGTTCCGTGATTGATCCAATTGATAGATGAATGTTGGTTCAGGGGTAGTAGGGTAGTATCGTGGATGTGTTGATGCTATTTCCATCGCCCCGACCCAACAATTAACTTCCATAGTGAAGTCTGGGGGTTTCAGCCCCGACCATCATAATCCCAGGAGCCAGCCAAGCCAGAAAATAGACTCAGTCAGCTAGTGAAGACAAGACACGGTTATCGATATATCAAATCAAACTCTAATGCGCCTAACCGGGTAGTGTGTCGAGCAGCGGAATATACCGCCTTTTCAATACGACCTAACTAATTAACCTAATATACCGGTTACTGGTACTGGTCAATTGGTGTTAGGTAGATATGCTAGCACACACTAAACAGCATACTACTATGGTAGAGATAGAAATCTCCAACTAAGTTATACCCCAACTTGAACTACGGTGTCGTAACCCACCAAACAGACCACCCGTGGAAGAATTTTCCTTTCATGGCCCCATTATGACGACACTGTTGCACACATGGCTTTACCGTATGTCTCTCTTCCTTTTCTTTTCTTCGTTCCTTCCACTGCGTAACAGAAAGAAAAAAAAGATATGGACCCCCCACGTGGCGTTGCGCCCGATTGCTATACCTATCCAGGAGAGGGTTTCCTGGTTTGGTTGGATGGGGATGGATCCACCGAAAAAGAGCTTTTCTTTCCATTCCACAGACCGAATGCCTACCCCACTTGAATACCGGCGTGCCAAGAGCCTAGACCCACCACTTGGACTCTGACCGCTTTTCAGGCCCGGTTTTGGTTTTCGACTTTGGTGTTGGGACAGAGACATCCTGCGTTGGTACCGTGGTTCGGGGAATTAGGCGAGTTTCATCAGGAGAATACTTGCCTAGGTTGGTTGGGGCCGAGGTAGAGTTTGGATTTGTCGCATTACCTGTTGCTATCCTGATTGATATTATGACGTGGGTTTAGGTTGGGTGGTGGTGGCTGTGGTTGATGTTGGTGTATTTTGTTGAGAGTCAGTGTAAGTGTGGCGTTTTGGTGTAGGTACTAGGACGGTGACGATAAGTAGCAACCGTCAGGTTGGAGCTAGGATACCTAGTAGCTAGCTATCTAGGATACCCAGATACTACTGTGAAGCGGATACTCATATCTAGATCCACTTCTGCAAGTAACTAGATTGGGTAATAGGTAGGTGCTGCATACTTACGTAGTTGGGAATAGGAAGATCCATATACTCCGCTGTAGTATGGTTCGGTGCGAGAAGATAGATTGTGAAGCGGCCTAGAGGAATTGATGCGGAGTCCGCACGATGTGATTGCAGACGTGATAGATTGGTGAGTAAATCACATGATATTCATGGAGCTATGGCGCGTATCGTTAGTGACTGGTGTCGCATCGGGAACGTCAAAAAGCTAAGTACTGTGTAGTACTCCGTAGTACTGCTGTGTACTCCGTGGGAACCTTGTTGATCATCCAACTGCCGTAGCTACCCGGCTATTCTCGGGACATTGCATGTATGGCGCGCCAAGTGGTCGAGCACAGTTGCCTACTTGGCGTACAGACGCGTTTCAGCCTTTCAGGTGTCACTGCTGCCAAGGCCTGTGGCAGGTTGTGCAGAATCATCCAGCCGATGTGGCTGTCTGATTGAGACCTCTAACTGGCAAGGTCGCGGAGAACGCCAAACTTTATGTTGAATAGCACGGATAGTTGCTAGCCCCTGAGTGATAGACACGGGGGACAGACCCTGACCTAGCCAGGCCCATGGCTGCCCCTATCCGCGAGGCTCGCAAAACAAAGTTGATATGTGGCTGAGGTCTAGCCCCGAGAGGCCTGACTCGATCGCAAGCCACATCCCTGACGCGACTGACTCCGGTCTTAGCGAGTAGCGACAGCGCATGGACGGGATAGATAGTCAGTCTGGAGAGTGATAGGTAGTACGGAGTACGGAGTACCCCGTCACTAAGAATATCATCTAATGTCGAATAGGAGAGGCGCGAGGGAACCGACAGTCTAGATGCAGCCTTGTCTGCAACCCGACGGGATCATCCCTGTCAGCCGCGTTACTCCTCGCGTGGCGGTCAGGGATCATGTGTATGCGTGAACTGGATAGTGAGTTTCGTATGTCGCGGCTAGTAGCGCAGCTAGCTGGTCGTCCCCTGGGTGATGGAGGCTCTAGAAGCCTCCGGACCGGCTGTCATGCAGCAGGATGACCGCGCGATCTCACCGATTCGGCCCCTGTGCTGTTTCTGTTGTGTTCTATTTTGATGGGGCGCTGTCACTATCGAAAGCTGACGCGGATCCTGTCATACCACTGCTGTGATCTCTCGCCTTCAATCCTCTTCTGTCTGGGCAATGGACCCCAGGGCACGGCATGATGTCTGACCGCAGGACCTCCAAGCAGTCCCAAGGCTCTTAACTAATTAACTATACGGTATCGTAGTAACGTAGTGTATTACTTACGTGACGGACAACCGGGGTTTCAGCCAAGTCTTTTACCGCCAGTCGGTCACGGCTCCAGACGGGCGGAGAGGGTGGATAGCTCCGAAACGGGGGAATTACGCCATTGTGCAGCCCCTCCTCCAAGGCTCCCAGAGGAGTAGTACTTGAGTAGTTCGTTCACCGCTTCGTGTTGCCCAATTGATTGGGTGGATCTGCTACTCGCCCGATAGGCTAATAGGCTGATAGGCAGGTCACCAGACTCAGAGTCAGAGGCTCAGAGCATCTGCGTAGTGGGGATGGGGATGGGGATAGAGATGGAGATGGAGATGGAGATGGGGATCTGATCGTGAATCCTTTCCACCCAGTGCTCTGGTTATTACTGTTAGTGGTTAGTAATTACGTGGCAGTGATCGGTACGTACACGCCCTATCTTGACCGCTCTCCGACTGGCCTGGGAACTTTATCCCGGAACATTTGGCGACGCTGTAGCTAGCCGGCTGGGGCGCACGTCAGATGCAATCCTACCGCGATCAGACCTTGCGTTCGGGGAGGAGGATGAGCCTCAGAAATAGGAGGATCAGGAGGATCAAACTGTGTGTTGGCAGGATCGTCTCTCAACCCTCATTTCCTTTGTTCCCGGGTTGGGGAATTTGACTTGGTTTGACCTGGATTGGCTGATGGCCCTGACAGCGCATTGGCAACTGTACCACAGTAGACCGTATGGAAGAATGGAGCATCTCCGGTGGTCAGTGTACTGTGTAGCAATGTAGCCGCTGTGAGGAAAGAAGACATTGGTAGTAGGACGGGTCTAAATCCCTAGCGGCCCCCTAGTACTCCGTACGGAGTACTCTAATAGGTAGCAATCAGCAGTCGGACCACCCTTGCGAACCTTGTTGGCGTCCCAACAATGAGGGATCTGGAGATGGACTGGAGAAACTAGTTGGAGTTGGATGCGATGCCCCAGTCGATCCTCCATGTATGTCATAGCGGTACCTACGGGATTGGAAATTCACCTCCTCCGTAGTCAACACCAGGGTTATGACGTGACCTGGTTAATCAGCGACTGTAGCTAGGTAGGTAGATGCGTTTCATATCTATCGATACGATTGGCACCAGGGTGGGTGCAAGGGCTACTGAGCCGGGACTGACCCAGTTGTCAGACCGGGATAGACGGATGGCCCAATAATGAGAACGAACGATCGGGCTTGGACCCCGAGAAGGAAGATATTATTGCGAGTTGCGAGTTGCGAGACACGCCGCGGGCGAGGCCAAACGGCGGGCGACAGCCAAGCCGTCCGAGAGCCCCGAGCCATCCAACCCAGCCGCCAGCTCTTCTCCACGTGGACACACGTGGAACCGCATGGGTCTCGGCTAGACAGAAGGCAGGAAAGAAGACACCTGGAAGAGTCGTGGAACGGTGGAAAAGCGGGAGACGCATCCAAGAAGAAGGCGAGCGAGAGGCATCCACGCGAAAAATACGAGCCATCGGGCTCAGCCACGCGCGAGTCATTCTGCTTGTTTGCTCCACCGTTTGCTACGTACTTCGTACAGTAGGTAGGTATGTGAGTAGGTAAGGTACTTACTTTGGAGGCCTGGCCTGAAACTTGATCGTCTCGATCACATTATTGAGACGCGATCCGGCAGGGGTTCGTTGCTCCTGTTGCTGCTGTTGGCAGCCCGCTAGTTGTCTGGACCGATCAGATCAGAACTGGACCATAGACTTTCATCACATGCAGCATTGCAAATAGTTCCCGTTTGACTCCCTACACAAAGTGACCCCCCGAACCTTAGCCTAGGGGGTTGGAAATGATATATCCATTCTCGTGGCTCCCCAGATGCCTGCCCGGGAAGTTGGGGGGCCTGAGGCTCCCGGCCAGATAGATAGTCATGACTTTAGTCCCACGTAAATATTATTGATCGGCATCAGGGAATTGCTTGGTTCGCTTGGTCCGAATCAGAACGCAACAAGGTTTTGTTCGGGAGGGTTGCCCACGTGGGCGGGCGGAAAGAAGAGACGGCTTTGCGAGGCTGCACTATACCAGAGATGGGCAACAATTTGGGATCATCGTCGCCGTTGTTGGGGAATGGACAGGGGAGGATATCAATAATAAAGATGATGAGGGTGCATGTGGAAGTAGACGAAGCCTAAACACAGGCTCTAGCCTGTAGGGCCATGAGGTGATGGGTCGTCCGGCCTGGGATGGGGGTGGGGAATCAATCAATGATGGAAGTCGGTGTTCGCCAGTGTAAATTGGCGAGCACTTCGCTCTGGTACTAGTGGCGCACTAGGCTTCCTTTGGCAAGAGCCTGCCTGCAAGTGTTCGTTACGAGGCCCGCTGAGTGGCTGCCGTGCTGGGGGATTTTCCGGTAATGACTCAAGGATGATCGTTACTACTTGGAGGCCGACCAGGCTCGATGAAGTCTTGCTTTCTACAGAGGGAAGGTGCATGGTAACGTGACGGGCTTGGCGCTAAATACTCCCTGCTGCTGGTCGGTCTGGCCAGCGACGTATGTACCTTTGGCGGCAGCTGCCCAATCCCGTGGACAGCACCGTAGCACACAAGAGTACGACAGGCAGAAGAAGCGTGCTTGCCACGTTTTCTGCTCGCATCACTGGAGGGATAACGTGCGCTGCGCTAAATTGCTGTACAGTGTACACAGTACACAGTAGAGCTACATTCGGGTAGAGAAGCGATCTCGTCGTCATATGATAAGAGATACGGTGGGAACTTCAGATGCACATTAGTAATGGGCAAAGGCAGATAAACCAATAGCCAAGTCGCATCACTCCGATGGCTTTGCAGCAATTAGTGTCGATGATGGTGATTATGGCCATTTGCTTGTTTCCTCCTTTCTGTTCTATAGATATATCTTGATTCCATTTCTACAGCCCTCCCCGTCTCTCGGGAACCATATCCACCAGTAATCCCGTCGCTGCTGCCGCGAACGCTGCGTGATCTGGTGGAAAGTTGAAACCCTCCCCAGGCGTAGATTTCGCTGATCATCCGACGCCAGCAATTTTGGAAACCGGCCCACTTGGAGGTGGTTGAGACGGAGCAAAGGTATCTCTAAGAACGATACGTTACGTGACACGGGTACGATACACCATCCTAATACAAGCCGGGAGGAAGAGGCAGGCCCTGGTCGCCTTCACCGTCCAGGGATCTCCTTGCATCAAACCATGACAGGCAGGGATAAATAAAAATAAAAAAATAAAGAAAACTGACAAAGAGGGAGAATTTAACTCAATTTACGTTGTAGCCCCCTCCCCAGTCCCCTCATGTCAGACGAAAACAGTGATGCTTGCTAAGGGGAAGGAGGGCTGCAGTGGTAACCTTACCCAAGGTAGCCTTCCGGAGGGCATTGCCCGTCGCAGGCTCCCAGCCCATTGCCATCCCACCCATGATCCATCCCACCCTGCCGGACTCTGCAGGGAAGCCGGCCTCTGATCGCCCCAAAGGACGATCCGTCCACCTTTGCCCTTGGCCCACGTTGTCTGGTGCATGAAACCGTCCGCGTGCACAGTGGGTCAAGAATGACAGGCCTGATTCTTCACGCCCCTGGAGACCCTCTTGAGCAGCCGCTGTTCACTTGGTTTCTGCTCATCCTTTCCCTCTTTCTTCCCTTCTCATTCTTTTGCTGCCTCTGCTCGCTCGCTGTAAGGGATCCATACGATACATCCACTGTACCAAAGCCAGATCGTACTCCAACTCTGGGAAGTCAAATCCACGTTACTGTCTTGTACAAATACCTGACTAAACCACCGACCGAAATTCCCCGCTTGCTCTTTTCGTCACTGAGTTTCGATTTTATTTTATTTTACTTTTTCCAATTTTTTCTGGGTCTGTTCCAACTGGCTTCGATTTTTGGGCCTTTCTCTCTCCCTTCACTGAAAAGGGCTATTATTTTATCTCGTGTTTTATTTCATTATTATTATTATATTTTTATTTTATTTTTCCCTTTGCTTTCCCTTATCCATACATACACCCACCCCTCCACCCTCCCCTTCTTTTTTTTTGCCCTTGACCCTCTTTTCTCCCTTTTCGAATAACGATTTTTTTTTACCCTTTTTTTTTTCTTTACCCATTCATACATACATACACATTCCCACCTCCTCTTTTCTCCCACTCCGTCTTGGTTCGCACTATTCAATGCCAACCATATCCTCCGCTTCTCTCGACCAAGGCTCTCCTCCTTCCTCTCACCTTCTTTACTCTCAACCTCCCCGATCTTTTGCTGTTCCTATCCCGGTCTCTTCCTCCCCGGTTGAAAGTCGTCCTCGTACTGCTTCCGCTCCCTCTCTTCAGCACAACTCCGCACCCTCCGCTGTTGTCGCCCCCTCCCAGCCCACGGCTACTACCACCAACCCAATCAGCTTTACAGGCTCAGTCATTGGATCTATCTCTCGTCGCAATCGCCGGTCCTTCGCTGCACTAGCTCGTGAGAAGACCTCAAACGCTCTCGCCAATCTCTCCGCCATTGGAGGCCCGAATTACCCCCTCCGCTCCTCCGCCTCATCGGGAAGTCTGTCCAAGCATTCGCGGAAGGCCTCGCAGGTCAGCATCAGCGAAGTGCTCAGTGCCACGCCGTTGACTCCGCCATTGTCCGACGGTAGCGCCAGTAGTGAACGGTCGAGCCCTGCGCCCATTGACGCCGCTACTAACCGTTGTGTCCCCGCTGTGGTTGAACAGCAGACTAATTCTGTTGAGAGGCGCCGTTACACTCTTCAGCGTGCCCCGTCCCCTCTTGAGCAACTGCCCGAACTCGGACCTTCTGTGTCCCCCGCCAAGATGCATCAAACCTCGTCGCGTTTGTTGCGTATGACGGAAGATGATCGTCCATTCACAAAGGTAAGATGACCCAGTTATGCGCTAAAGTGGCCGGCAGGGCGAGAGGAAGTGAATCTGGAATCCAGGGCGGTTTTGTTAACAAGGATGGTTTTGCTAGGATTTCATGGACCTTTTCTCGACATTGATGGTCAGCTTGAAGTTGGATTCGCATCGTGTACGATTTACGAAATATGACCACTCGTTCACCTCGGAAGAAGCAATCAACAATCTTGGATCCCTCAAGTTCTCCCAATCGAATCGCATGCCCGACCCGAAAGACCCCTCTCGTATCGTCACCACGACCACGACCACGACTTTTTCCATGGCCAAGGAAATGGCTCGCTCGGTCTGCCAACGGTTTGTCGACGCCCGCTTTATCGAGTCTGTGGATGGCAAGGCGGCACAAATATTCCCGTTGAAGGGCGCGTTGTACCAGCTTACCCCGAAGGGCATCAATATCCTGCAAAGATTCTGCCAGAGGAACGGTATTACTGCTCGCCATGTGATTGACGTTTTGGAGTCGCCCCGCAACACAATGCAATTGGTCAACCTGGAGCGCGATACCGAGACCGACAAGCTGTCACACGATCGAGCAACTATTGAAGTTATCTTCCGCCGCTTCGCGGGGCAGGATGGTCCTAATGTGAAGAGCAGCATTTCCACGTCGGATTCGGACTCTTTGAGTGATTATTCGAACGGTTTGGTCGGCGTGAAGATGGCCAAGGAGCGCAAGATCAATGACAAAACCTTCGTCAACACGTTTACCGGCAAGGCCGCGGTTGATTGGTTGATGGACTGTTCGACCACGATCGAGCGCCGCGAGACGGTTTTGATTGCCGAGCTTTTCGTCAAGTACGGTTTGATCACGATGTTGCAGGAAGACCGTTTTATCAACCAACCAGACGACTCGATAGTTGCTTTCCAGCCTTCGAAGAACGCGATCTACGGAATGACGGATCGGGGCCAGAGAGTTTGCGGTTGGATCGCACGGGACAAGTCTCGTGAAACTACCATGTACGACAATCGGGGTATCCCGAAGGATTCCAACAATGCCCGTTTGAACCACATCCTTCACGACCCTGCCCTGCGACTTTTGTTCCGCGAATTCCTTCGCTTCTCGCTCTGTGAGGAGAATTTGGCGTTCTACATCGACGTGTCGGAATTCACGTCGGCCTACCACAAGGCTGAGAAACTGGGCACGTTCAGGAAGCCGGATTCTGTCCGCGAGACCCTTGCGGCGGCATACGGTAAGCTTTCCCCACTAGAATGTATTTGGGTCATTCGCATCTAATTGATTCGACAGGTCTCTACAACGCGTTCCTCGCGCCTGGATCTCCTTGTGAACTGAACATCGACCACGCGCTGCGCAACAGCCTGGCCAGTCGCATGACCAAGGCTGTAGGCGATGATGAATCGATGTTGAAGAGTCTCCAGGAGGTGGTGCATCTGTTCGAGATGGCTCAGACCTCGGTCTTCAAGCTCATGTCAAGTGTAAGTTCCCGACCAGGTTGCGATCCTAGCGTGGTACTAATGTGCAACAGGACTCCGTTCCCAAGTTCCTGCGCGATCCCAAGTGTGCGAGCATCCTCCAGGAGCATGATGTGGACTTGATTGGCGCCCCAAGGGCTTACTCGCCCACTTCTGCCCCAGTCCCGGAGCGCTCGGCGAGCCGCTCAGCCCGATCATGATAGGGGCACCATGTGTGTCATGCAGGGATCCGAATCCTGACCGAGCAGGCCTTGACCTTGATGATTACTAAAGGATCTGACGGCACGTGGCTCGCTCTCGGACTTCACCGATCAAAGATGAAACACACCATACTGCGCAGCGCGGTGCTAATTAACGGAACGATTTGAACATGATTTGGCTTGCTCTGACTCGCCCCGCCTAATGTCGACGAGGCCCGGCCTAGCCAGCAACCCCCACCAAAAGTTTGGAACCCTCCCAAACTCCTGACACGACATGATACACGTTATGCGTCTCCGACACGAACGCTCTTCTGTTTCTATAATCTCTTTCCCTTGGTTGCCACTTGGGTCCCGCCACGCCGCTTGCCATTGCCGGCCAGGGATCCATGGTGATCAAGTCAGCACGACCACTGAAAGACGTTACGATCTATGGATCATGTGATAGAGATGCCGGAACCGAACCTTTTTTTTAATACACCATTTCCTTTCCTTGGTTTTTATTTCCTTGAATTTCCTACATCTGAACCCTGATGCATGGACGGAGACTGAAGAGAAGGCTGAAACACGAGAAGTATTCCAGCATTAGAGCGGCGTTTAATTCTCGGTTCTTGATTTCCTTTTCTCCTGTTGCATACCTGCATGATTCTCAAGATTTCCTTTCTCCTGGATTTTTTTCCCCCTTATATACAACTTATTTCCTTTGTTCAGAGTTGATGTGTATGTTGTCATACGCCCCCCTGCATCGAGCATGGATACGCGCATTTGATTTGCATTTTCAGGGTACAGCGATTTTTATCTATCTTTCATTCCATAACTTGTCACTACTAAATCTACGAGAACAAACAAACCTCGCCAAAGAAATCCAAACAAAGACCATTCAAATACATCCATCCATCCATCCCGTAGGCAACATCATTAAAACACGAGAGTTATTAAATTACTCACTCACCTTACCTACTCCGGACCATGCCCCTCCGGATTCAGTATTTCCTTCCATCCCACCTACCTCGGCAATCCCAACCCCAACCAAAACCCGACCGTCAAATCCATCCATCCATCTACCCGATCTCGTATCCAGCAATTAGCTTTTTTTTCCCCCTCTTATCCATACGTAATAATAAATAACAGTAGTTAGTCCCAATGACGCAAACAAGTCCCTCCTTACTGGTCCAAGCCATACAACCCACATGGCGAGACACGTGGTTGAACACGTGAGTGCTGGATGCATTCTTTGGCGTATATACGTGATATCACTTGACTTGGTTTGGTTTAATTCGGGGTCGGAGGCGGGGTCGGGATCGGGGTCGGGGTTTGTTTGTTTGTTATCTGTGATTGTGATTGTGTATGCATGGTTTTGTGTTTGATTGATTGGTTGGTTGGTTGGTTGATTGCTCGATGCTTGTTTGTTTGTGAGTATGTATGGTGGTGGTGAGGGTTATGCTGTTTTGTTTGGATATGAGAATCTGCTGAACTGTTCTATGCCTGACTACTACTGTATTATTGATTGATCCTAGGTAGGTAATTCAGGTTTGGTACTTGGGTACTTGGGTACCTACCCCGTGGTTGGGTATTACCTAGATGGGTAGTGAATACGGAGTAGGTAGGGTAGATAGGTAGGTAGGTAGGGATGAAGGATAGAGTTGGCTCTTACTAGGACTAAATAGGATAATGTAGAAGGGAAGGATTTCTAGGTTCTCGGAGATACGAAGGATACCTAGGAGTAGTAGTAGTAGTATAAATAGAATAGGTATGATATGACGATAATCTAAGTTAAGTACTAAGCTAGGTTATGTAAGGTTATACACAGGCAGAAAGATAGAACGAAAATAAGAGGAAAAAAGGTGAAATGCAACGCCAAAGGACCGCCATACGCCATTGTATGAAACCAAAGTGGAAGGATAGATAACATGATGCGAGATATAGATAGATAGATGGATAGATAGCCTCGTATGAATGGTGATCTGTTGAATCCAAACGCAGCGGAGTTCTGCCGTCCGGAGTTTAGCCCGAATTTGGGGATATCTCCTCCGCAATTTCCGGATGGAGGGTGGGGGAAGGAAGGATGGGAGTTTATTATGGGGGCTGATAGTAATTGTAGTCGTAGATTTTTGGGGGGATTTGTCTGCTTGTTTTCCCATCCATTCAATAGATAGGAAGTGGATTGAGACCTCGGATAGAACGGCTAGGTCAGACCATAAGGTTCGATAGGTGGACAGGAGATGACGGAGATGTTGATCATGAATCGGTGCTTGTTTCGGATTATCCCTCAATTTTTTCTTGTTCGCACGGACGGACAGGTCTAAATTTGGGGATGAAGAGAGAACGAGGCCAGGTGAAACATGACAGTTTCTACTTGGTCCCCCAGCCTCGCTGTCTCATCCCCTCTTCAATGGCCGTCCAGATCCCCTCGACGACTTCCCGATCACGCCACCGACCTGCGCCATGGGCACCACCCTTCTCATCCCAACGTTCGACTCCGAAGCTCTGCACGCCACGACCCCAGCTACGCACTTCCCGGGGCACATCATCGCCACGCCAACCGACGTGGACGCCGGTGGCGTGTTTGAAGAGCTCCGGCGGGGACGACCACTTGTATGACTTGAACTGCCAGGTCTGGCCCGTCGTGAACACCGCGACCAGACGCTGCCAGTAATCCGGACGGAAGTTGGCCGTGCTATCGACCAGGATGAAGCGGGTGGGTTTTCGGGATGTAATCTGCGAGGAGTTGCCTCCGCCCGGCCGCAGAGAGGAGCCGGACGGGTCCGAATTCATGCGTAGCGGGCGGGAGATGTAGAGGATGTTGGAATTCGACATGGAGAGGCTGCTGTGATCGGGGGGAATGAAAACGCCGTCTTGTAGGAAGGAGCGCACGTTGGACATGCGGATGAGGGACGAGGCCGAGGGCGAGAGGAGGATGATCGGGTCTTGCGTCTTGGAGCTTCCCTTGCGCGACTGGGAGAGACCAGCGGATGGTGAGGGAACCACCATCGACTGTGGCTTGCTGCCGGCTTTTACGCCTGCAGGGTATTGGCCTGGCCGTGAGCGGTTGCGTCCCAGGATGGATTCGGCGGTTTTGCGGACGTGAGAGAAGTCCTATGGAAATTAGCATTGGTGGACAGCGTTTCTCATTTCCCGCCTGGAGCCTACCGTTGGTTTGATACCCCGTAGAACGCTATTCCGATCTCCCATCTTACGCTCTCCGTTGTAAATCTCCTGCAGCCTGGGATCAATGACCTTGGCCGCCTTGCCCTGCTGAGTCTGCGCAGGACCCCCGGGTGCACCACTGGGCACCGCAGAAACACCTCCTGCAGCACCCGAGGCGATGTTCGCCGAAGCCTGTGCCTGGGCAGCTGCAGAAGCCGCCGCTGCAGCCGCCGCGGCACCCTCCAACGGCTTGATGTACTCACTCTCATCAGACGCGCCCTCCAACCAGGTGAGGAGATCCAGGCGCTCAACGAAGACCAGGTTCTGAACTTTCTCCTCCTCATCGCCTTCCCGGCGCTCCTTTTGCTTTAGTGACTCGTTGAGTTCCTGTGCAGAGGCGATGTACTCAGGAATCGCAACATCTTTCTTCTGCCACGCGAAGAAGATGCTGCGGAGGTCGACAGCGGAGTCGGAGGAGCTGGAGACGAAGCGGGTAGGTGTGTTGAGGGAGATATTCTGAGGAAGGGGGTTTTGGAAGTACAGATGGGTGGCTTTCGCTAGGTCGTCGGTGGCATTCTGATCCGAGAGGTCGCTGGAGGTTGTCGGCGTGGGAAGGGTCCCGGCCGCGATGGCGCGACGCAGCGAAAGGAGGGGGTCTTGGAGAGAGGGATCAGTGGCCATAATGGCGTATGAGGATGAATAGATGCTACCACCGCTCCGAGGGTCCAGGAAAGTGAGCAGGTGGATGGCAATGGACGACGATGGACGGTGTTACTCGCAGCTTCACGTCCTCGACTTGGCGATGCGCAGGAACTGCGGCGCGCACGTGATCTTGCCCGCTTTGTATAGGCGGTGGCTTGCCAACGCCTCGAATACTTCTACATTATTCTCGACTGTCAATCCTATCTATCAGAACCAGTCTTGAGATGATGCCACATCCAGCTCCATCCCCCGAAAATAGCCGTCACGCCCGTGAAAAGAATCAACGATCCGTAGTCGGTGGCATACCCGATCCCACCGCTCGCCTTTCCCGTTAGCGAGCCCTGTTGCATGAGAGCTGAGCTCAGCGGGCCACTGATGACACTGCCAATGCCCCTACCTCCAGCCAGCAGCCCGAAAACCAATCCTGTTTCCAAAGATGGCACCTCGCGCTTGACCTGGGTGAGCACTCCCGACCAAGTGGAACTGAAACCGCCGGCGAAGAATCCGTACGTGATAGAAAAGAGGACTAGAAGGGCAATGGCAGCTTGTGGATAGCTTCCAGAAGAGGGGGATATCGATAGGCCCCAGAACAGCAGGACAGAGAGCCCCGAGCCTACGGAGGAGAGCAACATGATGTTGGTAACGGCAAAGCGATCACAAAGAGATCCTAACACTATCCCTCCAACCACGGACGTGGCGTTGAAAAGTGCTAAAAGAAGGGTCCCTGTGGTGTCAGATAGACCCGCTGCAGTGGTTGAATAGGACGGTAGATAGGTGCTGGGCAAGAAGTAACCGAAGCTCTGGATTATATTCCCTAGTTGAAGCATCCAGAACGTGGCCAGCTTCAAGAAAGCAAGGTCTAGTGGCTGAGGGGCAGTTGATGGTGCCGGTGGGATCCGTGGCCTGATAGAATACAAGGCCGCAAGGGTGGTGAGTAACTACGATGTCTGGTCAGACTGAGTATGAATCATGAGCCATCAAAAACTGACCGTGACTACCGTCCATGCCCTCAAAGTCGTACTGGCTCCAAACTGGTCGAGACAGGCACTCGCCACAAAGGGTAGAGCGACGCCGGAGATGCTTTTGGCAGCCCACATGATTCCATACGCGAGACCTTTGCGGCGAATAAACCACTGGTCTAAATAGAGGGTGGTAGGGCTGAAGACGAGGCCATTTCCGAGGCCACAAATCACGCCCTGGGTCGCGATCAATTGCCAGACGGTGGTGGAAAAAGAAGAGAGCAGAGAGCCGCCAACGCTGAGGACCAGTCCGATCGACGCGCAGTACTTTTGTAGATATGGATAGCGAGTCAGAAGCGTGAACGTCACAGGTGACAGGAGATAAAGAATTCCCTATCAGAAGGAATGTCAGCTTTGTGGAAGGAGCATGATCGTAATTGGAGCAGCTGGCAACCGTTGACGTTGTTCCCACCATTGCCAGGCCCCCTTTACCTCTCTCGAGATCACTATGTGTCGAAAAGTATTCCTGGAAGAGGCCGGAAACAAGAGAAAAACCTGGCCGTCGTGCGTGAGCATATATCTGCAGCTGGTTCAAATCAATGTATACCCCAGACCGGCAATTGAATCAAGCAGCACGAGGCAAGCATCAACCAGGCGCCTCTGCCTTGGTCTACAAGTGGCAGTGGACGTTGCTCCAGTTCAGAACGCGGGGTATCATTTGACTCATCTATTGATGGCCGAGGCGAGGAATGAAATCGAGATGGGTACTCCGTCAACTCTTGGGATGCCATGTTCGACGAAGCCAGGCGATATGGAATGGAAGGCAGAAGTGAGGCAGGGAAAAAAAGGAGAGAGAGAGAGAGAGAGAGAGAGAGAGAGAGAGAGAGAGAGAGAGAGAGAGAGAGAGAGAGAGAGAGAGAGAGAGAGAGAGAGAGAGAGAGAGAGAAAGGACGGATCCAAGGTTACCCCGCAATCCACCGAGGCTCAAGGATGATTCATCCAGAAACCAGTCATGATGATCCATCATATTATTCTCATGCTTATCTATGTACAAAACAGATTATCGTAGGTTTGTTCACTGCGGGATTCCTAGGGTCTCCTTAATATCCTCTCCCCGCAGCCACTGCTCCATGGCCTCGTACATGCCCCGGAATTTGTCATTGTCCTCCATGGTCGGCAGGTCCAACTTGATCTTGTGGCCCAATCTCGCCTGGCAAGCCCCCAGGTACCGGTAGCCATAGGGGTAAGGCTTGAGTTCCTCTACCGAGAAATCGGGCACATTCTTGCCATCCACGGGCAGGATCTTGTCCTTCTCGTAGAACAGACGCTTGTAGTGAACCTTCCACCCAGTCGGGTCCTTCTGGCACCACATGATAAACCGGCAGTCACATTCCACATCAAACTCCACGCCATCGAACGAGAAGCGTTGTGTGATGGTCGCCTTCATCTTGCCCACGGCGCGGCCCGTCTTGGAGTTCAGCTCCACCAGAGTACCGTTCTCACGATGCATGATGTGATCACCGTTTCGGCGGCCTTTCTTCGAAACTTCGATGAACTCATCGATCGGCATCCCACCGCTCCATGCTGTATATGGTTAAATACAATTAGCAAGGCTTGCACGAGTCAGGGTCGAAAGAAAGAGACAGGGAAACGAACTGGTAAAGATATAAGCCTGTTCGGCGAAACAGTTCCGGTAGTGAGCCCACTCAGATGCATCTCGGTATACCGGCCAGCCCTTCAAAAGCTCCGTGACACAGAGCCGGTCGAGAATCTCCTCTGTGGTGCCATTGATGTGGCTGTGGATTGTGGGCTGGGGATCTTCGGCGGTGATGTTAACAACCATGGCGTAGATGTGCTCGAGGAAAAAAGGAAAGGGATGCTTTTGATTGGAAAATGATCCCGAAACTGTTTGATATCAATTAGGAACCACCTCGCACATCGTTGGGAAATATATACTTGGTGGTTTTGTAGCCACCGTTCGGAAAGCCGAAAGCCGACTGTCAATCTTGACCTGATGTCATCCGATGGGAATGAGACTATCAGGCAACCAACGACCCGTCCTCGTCATTGTCGGTGGGCCGGTGGAGCCGGCTAGCGTCTCGATGAGCTTGTCTGGACACCCAACCCAAACTTAGATCCGTATAGATTGGTAGGAGTCCATGCTGGCCGGTATCCCGAAGGCCCCTCTCCGAGCCTAAGTCAGCATGATGAGAGCCATTTTCCGTGGCCTCATTACTCTTGGCCGAAGGATATAGCTCATTATTGTAATGGACGGACAAATTCTCAGCCGTACCGTTGTTACATCCGCGATAACGAAACGCAGCCGTGATATTGGATACCTTCGAGACTACCTCGAAACCAGTCGATTGGAGCAGCTCATGGCCGCCCCTGCTATCACCAAGCACAAGGAGCCAATGATGGAGAGAACATTCTCCGATGCGGCAGGTCGCAACAAGTCTTAGAGCGATGGATGCATCGTTGTGGCACCATAGACCCTCCATTGGCCTAGAAGCAGTCCAAGAAAGGCTGAATGCAGCCCCTGCAGCTTTTTTCGCCCAGGTGGATGCCTCTCAGACGTGTTGTAGACGAGGATTTGGTGAGTGGCGCAGGCGGAAAAAGTCTCAAGGTACAGACGCCCAGCTGGTAATTCTTTACCCGGCTTGTCTCAGGGGGTGTCTGGACCGATATAGCCATTGGCCAAATTAGTCATGAGAAGTTCTTATCCACCTAGTACCTACCGCACACAGCCAGCTAACAGCGATGAGTAGGCCGGATAGTTGTTGACTGATGATTGTTGAAGAGATAGATCGAGTAGCTCCCGATCACATGGCTGGCCCGGATCACGGGGTCCGTCCTGGTTTGGAAGGCCTGATTCCCCAGGAACAACCGTGGAGAGGCAAGGCTGCGAATCCTGCATCCTAAGATCACGCATGGGGATGGACCCACGTATCATTCTCGGGCCCGGTGTCTTCGAAACCGTCCAAAGTTTATGCTGAGCCGAATGGGACCCTGACTGACGTCACCGAAGCGGCTCGTATCCAATCCATGGTCGGCACTCAAGCTTCGCCTCTATACCAGGCTTCACCTACGAGATCGGTGCTGTCGAACAACGTTCAAAGAAGCTTTCATTCGTCATGATCCGCTCCGTCAGGCCCGTCAGTCCGGCGCCACTGGAGAGCAATGTCACAAATATCCTAGTAATAGAAGGGGAGAACAGAAGAAGACAGAAATAATAACGACAATCGTGAAGCAGGTGCTCACATCATGACCTGTAAAGGTCCTAAACCATTTCCCATGCCCATAACCCATCCGGAGTATTTCCCGAGCCCGCTCCCTTTCCAACACGCCGAATACGCCGGTCAAATCAAAATAGCTCCGCCGGCTGAACGCCTGTCAAGTCCCATCGTGTACAAGTCGAAGAAGAATAATGAAGAACGGATAAAAAAGCAGAAAGTGTTCCACAGAGAAAGTAATCAACGCATATTATATCGTGCAACCCCCGGCGTTCAGGGTAGTAGTCCACAGGAGATAACATCAGACCGTCACGTCGCTGAGGGTATGTGTGAGGTCTGCGTAACCCCGGAGATGCCCTTCAAGGTGACATTCTGGGCACCCCGGTCATCTGGTTTGGCCATTTCAGGTCCCCCGGCCGCCTTGGTGTGGGCGTACGAGTTATGTCCGGTGGTCGCTCCATCACGGCTGGCCGGAGGCGGAGCAGCTGGTGTGGGTGGGAGCATTGCCGTGACCGGAGCTTGGGTCTTCTCAGATGTAGGTGTGGACAGGGTGCCCCTTCGAATGAGATAGTCACCTAGACTCAGTTTCTTTTTCACCGGGCTAGGGCCTGCCACGCCAGAGACAGGGGTGGTAGGAACGTGGGGCTGTGAAGCTGCATCGGTGGAAGGTGATGATAGTACCGAGGGTGCTATAGGACCCGGGCTGGTGGCTGACTGGTGTGAGGGTGTAGTAGCGGGGGGTAGCGGGAGATGAAGAAGATTGAGGTTGCGGTGATTATCTTTGACGTTCCTAGGTATCCGTGCGTTATGAGCGGCAGTTGACGGCCAGGGAGGGGGCAATGGTGGCTTGATCGACCCCCGTCCTGACAACGGGGATGCATCAAGATGCATATCAGAAGACCGCGACGGCGAAGTCTCCACGGGCGAATCTACATCTTTCATCACTATATCCGGATGTTCTGCAGACGCGCTGGGGGTCGTGGCTGTCAACGGTGCCGCTTCATGTGGACTCATGGAAGTAGGCGACGAGTCCTGGTGCTCAATAAAGATTGTTCGAGGTGAAACAGGCGATGGACTGCTCTGCTCGAGCTTGACACGATCGGAATAACACCTCTTCAGCAGCCGTTGTGTTAGGGGGACGAAACTTGGCCGTCGCGGTGATAACAGAGCAGGCGAGGCCGGCGAGAGCACACCATCGCTGCTATCCGGTTCTGTTTGCATTGCAGAGTCCACGTAATGTAGATGCCCCAAAGGAGACCGTGCAGAAGGGGTGCTGTGACTGCCAGACGTCTTGCGCGGCGAGACATGACGCATCCCGGGTAGTGAGCCCACAGGTCCGCCCGAGGGAGGAGAGTGTGACTGGCGGTCGCGCGGACCGTGGGTGGATTGGCCACTGGTCCGCTTCTTCTTCCTCTGTGATGCTTGTTGATCTTGCTCTAATTGTTGGAACTTCTTCTCTGCAGCAGCAATCTTGCGCTTTTCCCGGGCTGAGAGTTCAGATTCTCCGAGTACAAAACCTTCGGTAGAAGTTTGTAACGTAGGGGTGAGATCACGGCTGCGAGTCTGGCCGCGAACTGAGCCCGATGCAGAACGGCTATCGGCCTGATCTTCCTCATCTTGGTTCTTGGTAACCTCACTCCCCGCCCGGCTCAGAGCCGCAGGCGGGGATATATTTGCCTTGGGCTTGGTCTTTTTCCGTTTAACACTCGCCTGCTTCGCATTTGCATCCATCACCTTCGGGTGGCGTCGGCGATCAACGCTAGCCAGCAGACAATTTGACGAAGGGACACAGGCGCATCCACCAAAGTGGGCGAGGACATTACTGATGCAAATCGCTGCATTATCTTGAGCATTGTCATTGGATTCCTGCTTGACTAGACCATTGCTTGATTCAAATAGTTGAGGATCCAGATACCACATGGCGGTGATTTCGGAGTCGGCGGCGATATCTTCCTTAGCAACAAAGCAAAAGTGATACTCGACCTGGTTCGTGATGTAGGTCTTCATGGTGACATTCGGACGACACGAACGCCGTACGTAGCGAAGCACGCTCCCTTCATTTCGACTATCGACGTAAATTGGGAGCTGAGGGTGAAAGAAGACAAAAGGCTCCGGGTGACGGAGTTCTTGCCATCGGTTATCGGGATTAAGACAGTAGTCTCGCAGGAGACCAATCTTGCCGGTAATCTCTCCGACAATTTCATCCTTGCCCACATGGTCGCGAGTCTTGAGTAATTTCCATGTTGGGTGTCGTCCCTCAACCTCGATATTGGAATCTGTGATCTTCTCAATAGACAATGTCGGCCAGCGTGACCGATCAAGGGTTGCACCAGACCACGTAAAGATGTCTTGTAGGGAACGCCCATTCGCAATCCGGGCGAGAGCCGCCGGCTCTGTGACCCAGGAAGCCAAGTCTGCCGCAAGAGGAAGGTTAACGAACAGATTGCTGTCCATGCTTGCATAATCCTTGCTATCTTGATCGTAGAGCTGGAGAAACTCTTGTGAATACAGGGGTATGGAGGAACCTGATGACTTTGTCGGGCTCATGGAGGGTGCTGCGCGTTTGCGCACATCAGAGGCGAAGTTGGGAACACCCGACACGGAGCTGACGGAGCCAGAGGCGCGATGATTAGTTTTGACCTTCTTCGCAAGGGGTTGATCCCGAGCACTCGATTCCGACCGGTGATGGAAGCCGTTCACCTGATCATCGTGCTCTTTGGACTTCTTCTTATGACTCTTTGCTCCAGACCGCTTGGCTTTCCGGTCACCGCCGTCGCTCTGTTCTCTAAGGCGCCTCTGTCGCTCAGTGGCGCGCCGGCCGTCAAGGGGACGAGGCTCGCACTCCACGCAGTTATGCACTTCTGGCACATCCCGACCATGGTAGTAGCATTCAATATGCTGCCAGGTTTCACACCCTTCGCAGAAGACCGTATTACCATCATCATCCTCGAAAGCACAGATGCATTTGATGGTGTACGGCTCCTCCTCGTCAGGGGCGATCGAGTCGGAAATAGCGCCGTTAACGACGGGCGAGTTCAGAGGGACGGTGACCGGAAAAGGCTCCGTGGTTGGATGCGTGATGGCGACTGGGGAGGTATCTGTCATAATCCGACAGAATACCCCCTCTCTAGCTGAACAGAAAAATGCGCTGTTGTGGTTCGAGAGGACCAACGGGTTGAGGGAACCTGTCAGATCCCAGCACGCATATCACCTGTCGTCCACTGGTATATGTCGCCTGGCCTAGACTCCCACGACAGTCAACAGTGACGAGATGGATGGTCTACCTAGAGAACCGATGGTGCCGGACGATGAAGTCCACAATGTGCCGCCCTCTATCGAAGAATGATCCACAAAGGAATGAAATCGCACGAGGTGACAAGCGACTTTCGGTTGCTCAGCGACGGAAGGATCGTGTGGTTGTGGAGAATTATGTTCGAATTAGAGGATTCGACAAGGGACAGGTTGTTCGAGGTCTCAGTAGAGTCGTCTTCCTCGGTGGCGCGTGCGACCGTTGGAAAGCAGGAGATCGAGGATCGGTAACCGATGATTGGGAATAGGCAGACGGGCCACGAATCGCATGGAGGAACAAGGAGACCGAAGGATACGAGGTGAAGAGAGAAGGTGGAGAGACCAAAGAAGGATGATGCTCGTAAGGAGGGTTAGCAGTAGGGGGACAAAGACTAGAAAAGGAAGATAGGTCGGAGGGAAGAGGTGAATGGTATGACGAAAGGTGGACGAAAGAGAGAGTCGAGAGATGAGACGGTGAATCGGGAAGAGGTGAGGGAAGACAAGTGAAGAGGAAGAAAGGAGAGCCAGAGGGAGAGAAGCGAGGATCAGAGGAGGGAGGGAGAGCGTGAGTGAGTGAGAGAGAGAGACAGAGGCTAAAGCCACGGATGGGCCATTCAAGCGGCGCGTCCAAGACCCAGAGTGAAAAGGGAATGGCGTGGAATTTTTTCTCCCACCCGTCCAGGTTCTGGGGAGTCGGTGCTGGGTAGTAGTAGTTAGTTGTCCTTGGGATGAGCTTCAAGGGCTTGTTTTCTTTTTTCCCTCTTTTCTTTTTCTTTTTCTGGGGGGGCCTTTTTCCCTTGAAACCCCCGTTGGGGAGGGTTAATAATACACACGGCAGAATCGAAGAATGAGGGGGGTGTCGTGGGAGAACGAAAGGGACAGAACCGACTACGGGCTGCCCGGTCAAGGAACGAATTGGAAGCTCGAATGGACGGAAGGGAGGGGGGACCATGGGGAACCAAAGGGAAAAAGGCGAGATTGCGAGGCTGGCCGGAAACGAACCCACGCCAGCCTGGACTGAGCTCACCTCCCTCAAACCTCAAACCTCAAACCTCAGACCCCAGACCTCAGACCTCAGCTACCTTAGGTACCGGGCAACCTGGCTAGCCTGGAAGCCTGGCAGCCCGGCAGGATCAGATGCCTGAGAACTCAGGCGACCAAAAACCAAAGCCAAAACCAAAGCCAAAGCCAGTGCTGCTTGGGGGGATGGGAAACTCGGGTGGGGAATCACGCTTGTCTGGTTCCGGCAGGAGCTGTGCCTCTAGCCCCAATCGGGGTAGAGACCATGCCAAGTCCCAATTCAGGCATAGCAGGGGAATAGGCTGGCCGGCCATCATATGAGAGGCGGCCAGCTCGATCGGGGGAGAGGATCCAGGCATCACCAGAGGGCAAGAGACTCAAGAGTCCCAGCGCTCAACGGCAGCCCCAGGATCGTGGATGAAGGAGTGGGAAAAAAGAAAAGGACAGACGACAACAAAATCAAGGTGAGGGAGAACCTAACTTCACCTGGCTGTGGATCATTCTAGCAGCACTTTTGGGCAAGAGTCTCGCCTGTCGTAAGCCAGTAACCCGCCATACAACGCATGCATGCGTTGTCTAGCCGTGTTAGCGGTCAAGGAACAATGCAGAAGATGTGAAGCAGCAGGGCGGTGGGGGATGACAAAAAAAAAGAAGAATGAAAGTGAAGAACAAGTTAGTATCGAGGAAACTGGTTAGCATCAGAGCAATGTCAAGTCATGAGCAAAGTCGAGTGTCCATCTTGGTCGCTTATTGTACCTGTCGCCAGGCGGCAAGGTCGATGAGCGGCTGCAAGCTTCACAGTGAGGCCACACCGAATGCAAGTTACCGATGGTGGACTCGTAGTTCCATGGGAAGACAAGTGCGGCAAGTCAGATATTTCAGGAAGACCAAACAGATGTGGAAGCCACGATCTCCCATGGGATGCAATGTCCAAGCAAGACATCAGGCTCGGGAGTCTTCTGGGTTGGGGTAAGGAGGAGAGAAAGAGATGGAAAGTATTTTGACGGAATCACCAGGATTCCCGAGCGATTTATGAGCTGTCGCCAGCCTTGAAGGGTGGTTCTGGTAGTTTAAGGGAAAGGGGGAAGATTGGAAGGGAGAGAGAATGGTCTGTGAGTAGGGCCGATGCTTGTGCTTAGAAAAATAAAATAATAAAGAGGGAATGGAAAAAAAGAAGCGATGGTTAGTAGTTGGGATCCTCTCATGACTTGCTCGACTCATTGAATTACCCATTCAGCCCGATGGTGGAGGGTGCTGGTAATGGTATCGAGCGTTACGATGAGGAGGGGAGAACGACGGCGAAAAAGAGGGACAATATGGAGGCCAGTCGGGGTCATCAGGATTATCAGGATTAGATATGGCGTTGGATTTCTCCGATAACATGATCTTTGCTAGCAGAAAAGGTTAAAGGGTTAAGGGGCGGGGGGGAGTTGGCAAAAGTAGGGAACTGGAAGAGACCGAGGGGGGAGGCCGTGGCCTATATTAATAGCGAGCGAACAAGCAGGAGAGGTAGGTGGTGGTGGTGGTAGTAGTAGTAGTAGTGTTGGACTGCTGCTAGGCTGACCTAAAGCGGTGTTGATGATGGCAAAAAGACGACCGAAGGGGAATCATCCCATCGCCATCATCATCATTATTGTTATTCCCCCGAAACCCTCTCGAACCAGTCGCGCTAGATGGCCCGCCCTCCCCCATTTTCACTGAGTAGGTAATAGATATTCTGATTCACTAGCACTGGTGTCCGCCATCAATGCCAATCACTGAATCATGGGCCCGATTACTCTTCTGCTCTGACTACCTACTACTACTAGGTAGGTACCTACAGCAAGTGGACGCAGGTCAGTATTATCGGCGCTTGCTAGCGTGTGAAAAAATACGTTAGGGGCTGACAGGCCTGTCCTGTGCGTGGCGACCCGCCCGGGCCTGTCCCAATGTACTCTATCTGGCCTGGCAATATCCGTAATGCTTCCGCTCTCCCCCGTAGCACTCGTCCTACCGTGTACCTGCTTGAGTGCAACCTGCCTAATCTCCCCCCCTCTCTATCCTCGTATTTATCTATTTATCACATCCCTCTCGGCCATCCCAGGTTCCTACGGGGCACCATCGAGGAAGATGCTCGGGATGGACCAACTCTCCAAAACGAAATCAAATAATCGGGGAAGAATATCACTAAGGAGGCAGGTTCCTTAGAGCCACACGTATCATGTGGCAAAGGAGGCGCCCGCGTACTATCAATACAAGCCATATTAATAATCGTCATGGCCAAGCTGGAGACGGGCACCACACGAATAATACAGGTATCGGGACAGTTTTAGGATGGACAATTACTTCTCATGGCTCCAACGTATTTGGCGTGCGGGCACTCCGTGAGACACTTGGTGACAGCCCATCACGCTCCGGCCACAGAGTTCTCCACCAGCTTTGGTGCGTGGTCGCATTGGCTTCAACGCTGTCCCGGTCCGATTTGGATGTCCGTTGGAAAATAATTGATCGCACCTGGTGACCGAAGTACAGCGAAATGAACGAGCCAATTCCCAGGTACACAGGAATAGCATTCCCAAGCCTCAGTTCAGACCATGACTCGACGGGAGTCTCCTCTCGCGACGGCGCTGGAAATGCAAGAATGAGAGCGTTGGCCATGGGCAGCAGAGTGCAACCCAGGATACCAATATACACTCCGTAGGGCTGGATGCGGGACTGGTGCACCCGAAAAACTCCCTGCTCATCTGTCTTTCTTCGGAAACGAAGGTAAATGATGCACGAGCATAGCCATGAGATGGAGCCGGACGTAGTGATGAAGTACATCAGCGAGTTGAAAAGTGCTGAGCTGGACTCTGCAAGGGACAGATAGGCAAACACCGAAAACAGTGCAGATGTGATAATGGCCACATAGGGCACGTCGTATCTATTGCGCCTGGTAAACATTGCAGGGGCATGCCCATAATCGGCTAACGTGTACAGTGTGCGAGAAGATATGTAGAGGAACGAGCGTCCAGAGGCGACAGACGAGAGGAAAATAAGTACGGTAACAGCAATCCGTAAGGCAGGGAGATTGGCTCGGATGAGGCCCACGACGAACGGTGTTGTCCCAGCGCCCATACCATGGTTGGTCAATCGAGGCTCGTCAAACGGGCTGACGAAAGTCATCATAAACACACTTAGAATGTGAAGCGCGAAGAAGTGGATGCTATCAACCCGGGCCATGCTCAGGATGCTAGGACCTCGTTCGGTGTTGGAACGCTCGGCTCTTTGGACGGTTATTTCTGGAGTCAAGGTGAAAGAGATCACACTGTACAGGAGGCTCTGCAGGAAACCCAAAAAGCGTCCGAGATTGCCATGAACCAGGTACTCGTTCAGGGGTCCAGGTTCGTGCCAGTAACGGAAGCCTCGTATAGGGGTCCCCGGAAGACCTCGAATGGCCAGATACAGCGAGAAAGCCACCATTCCCGCAGTAGTAACGATTTTCAATCCGGTAAACACTGTCTCTGTTCGTCTGAAAGCCCGTTGCGGAAGCATGTTGAATACAAGGATCACGACCGTGACCATCGAGATTCGCACCGCCATTCTAGGCTCAGGACTCCACAGGCCAAGATTGACCATGGCGGTGGTGATCTCAAACGGGACCATCATCGCTAGGGAGTACCAGCGGAGGTAGCCCAGAGAGAATCCCAAGTGGTTCGAACCATATTCATAGCTGTGCGCCACCATTGTACCATTGAGTGCTGGCCGGTGAGCTGCAATCTCTGCAATGGCTGTCGTCAAGCAGTATGTTAACACAGATATCAGTACATATGAACCGAGTAATGATGCTGGACCTCCGGCAGCGAGGGCCTGGCCGGCCCCGATGAAAAGGCCGGTCCCAAAGGTTGGAATAAGAGCCATAGTGCGCGGTTAGGAATGGAGGCGTAGATGGTATCCCGGAGGTCTACGAATGCCGTGGTATTGTTTTTCCCAGAGCAAAAGGTTGCCACACACACGGTTGCCGTATTTGAGGTAAGGGTACGTCCTTCCTCTTCCGACAGGAAATGAGAAACGGAAGGTTGGCTGAAAAGCCTTCGCGTATTAAGTAGTCACCCTGCACCGGCAGGGAGATGCGGAGATAGTATTAAAGGACAGGCAAGCCAGAAATCCAGGGGTATCATTGTATACCAAACAGAGAAGGAATGACTGCAAGATAATAAACCCGAGATCTAATCTTTCCCAGAGATAGACCGCAATGAACGCCAGTTCGAACAGAAAGGGTGGAGTGGGAACATCGCGAATGAGCAGAAAGGGGAACTTGGTTAATTAACTGGGCAAGAGCGAGGGAAGATGGCGCCAGCAGAAGAAGGGCAAATCCAAGTCGAAAAGCTCGAGTCTCAGCATTCAGCCGCAAAATGCTGCAAAAAGGGACCTAGTCTTTACTGATAAGCCATATCGGTCTCAGCGTACTCGAGCCATTCCCCAGAAAGGGACTTCTTCCAGAATCGTACAATACCATCATCGCCAGAGGAAATAAGACAGTCACCTATGTAGCAATTAGCCAATGGCAAAATAAATCACAGGGAGCTTCACTGCCAAGGTGTGCGCGACTAACCGGCGTATGAGAAGCCTACTTGCCACACATCCAAGTGCTTGCTGTCGATGCATGCGACTTCCTTGAATGAATGTTTAAACTGGGAATCTGCGGGTGCTGCACGGCTGGACATGGACACGGGTGCGCGGCTAGCAAGGGCGGAACCGATACCCGACTGCGTTGTCGCACGAATTGATGGTGACTGTGCAGAAGACTGGACATGGGTGCCATTGGGATTATGGGACCCAGTACCAGAGGCAGTGGTGTAGACCTCGAAAACCCGAATAAACCCATCTTTGCAACCGCTAGCAATGAGGTCATATCCCCTCACTGAGCCATTGGCCCAAGAAATGTCTCTCACAAGGCCGCCATGTCCAGTCAGTTCGATTGCGTGGTAAAAGCGTCGACTGGCATCCGTGCGATATACCTTCACGCTGTCCATGGCTGCTACCACCAAAGAAAGACTCTTGCGATCCGACGATGGCAAGACGGAATGGGTGATGTCCGAGGGATCGTGGTGGAACTGCACTTTAAAGCTTGTTTCTTCTCCCCTCTGGGGAGCCGTGCAGACTCTGAACTGATCCAGAGGCTGCCAGTCCGCGAGAGTGTCCGGACTTACAGGCTCCATGACCATAAGATAGCCATCGCGAGTGATGACAGCCATCCATGATTCCAGGTCGATGTTGCGGAAATCAATTGAAACAAAGGGGTGGCGCTGAGGCGCGGTCATACGAAAGATGGACCTGAAACGCCGGCCTGAGTTCGGAGGTTGCGTAACATCTTCCTGCCATATTTTGCATTTCATATCCTCCCCCACGCTGCCAATGTGCTGGCCCGTAAAGGGACCATTCCAAGTCGCCTGAGTAACGGTTAAAACAGCACAATACCAGACCAGATACTAAGCAAACGGGGCCACTGCGGTGGATGCTTACATCACGGATCTCCGCGTCATGGGCACGCCAAGTATCTACGAGCTGCCATTCACCATCTTTCTGGTCCCAAACCTTCATGCGGTGATCGGTCGAGGCTGTGACAATGCGATTGCCATAGAAATTGAACTTGGTGACCGAGACCAAGTCCCGATGACCAGCATCAAAGTCGGCGAATCCAGCCATGGTGGGCTTGTGCGGTATCCCCGATCCCAATCAGAGACAATCAGCAAGCCTAGCAACTACCAGCCTTAGCCACCGCCTCCAAGCACAAACATCCAGGGACGTGTCGAGAGTCGGCTGCAGAAACCTCAGAGGGGGATTGAAGTTCTTCCCTGACCCATGTAGATCCGACTTTTCAATCACCTATAGAATCCAAGCAAGGCGTGCATGTGAAGCGCCGGGATGCGATCATTTAGGCCGATTAGCTAAGGCGGGCCAGCCGATGCCGGTCCTGGCGCCGTCCACCGCCTGTCCCGGCGGTCAGCCTGTGCCGGCAGAATGGGCGCCTTCCCCCGATTTCTCCACCATCCATTGATGCCACCTTGCCTTTCTCCAGCGCGCTCGAGATCCTCTCTCCTGCCGGATGTGAGCGTCTATCGAACAGGGGCCACTGGAGACATGCCGATACCCAATCTCGCGTGATACTATGGCAAAGTCAACCTCCCTTTCCCACCAGGAGACCTGGCGTCTCTTCGTCTTGGTGGGAGCCTGCCTCGGCATCCTTCTCAGTACGTTCCAAGGCGATGGCGCGCCCTTGGTGGCTTCCTTCGCGTTCAGCGGGATCGCGTTCGTGGTCACATTTAGTATGATTCGATGGCTCGGGCCAGTATTCCTGAAGGCAGGCCTGAAAGGGAGGGATATGGCGAAACCGACGAGGCCGGAAATGTATGTCTTACCTCCATGATAGCTGCGTTGCACACTTGGAAACCATGGCCCATACTAAAGACGCTTGTCACTAGACCTGAAACAATGGGAGCTGTTTGTGCGATTGTCTATCTCCTCGCACTGATTTTTTTCATCCCTTTTGCTTTCTACAAGGATATCGTGGCGGCCACTTCGGGTGGAGGCAACCGAGATGTTGTGATTGAAATCGGCCATGTCGAGACTGGTCGGATGCTACACCGATTCCCTCATGGAAAGGTTTGTCATCTGCGGCATATCAGTTTGCGTTACCCTACTGACGACGGGAAACCACAGCTGGCGTCATATCTCTCCGGCCTCCTTTCACTCCAATGTATCGTTATTCTCGGCATCGGTGACGATCTGCTTGATATTCGATGGAGGCACAAAGTTCTCATCCCCGCCTTCGGTGCGATCCCAATGCTTATCGTCTACTTTGTGGACTTTGGTGTTACGCAGGTTGTCGTGCCAGTGCCGCTGCAGCCCTACCTGGGCTCCACCATCGACCTCGGGTGGTTGTACTATGCCTACATGGCGGCGGTGGCTATCTTTTGCCCTAATGCCATCAACATGTTGGCCGGAATCAACGGGGTGGAGGTAGCACAGTCCCTGGTGATAGCAGTGCTGCTGATAGCGAATGATGTCTTATACCTTGCCCCTGTTACGCCCTACCCGCATCCCGCAACAGACTCTCATCTGTTCTCCCTGTACTTCTTGTTGCCTTTTGTTGGGGTTTCATTGGCTCTTCTGTGCCATAACTGGTACCCCTCCAAAGTCTTCGTCGGAGATACATATTGTTATTTTGCGGGAATGGTGTTTGCCGTCGTGGGCATTTTGGGTCACTTCAGCAAAACGCTGTTGCTTCTGTTTATCCCGCAGATTTTCAACTTCTTGTATTCGACCCCACAGCTTTTCAACTTGATCCCTTGCCCGCGCCATCGTCTACCCAAGTTCAATGCCAGCACTGGGCTATTGGACGCATCGGTGACCGAATGGACCGTGCCGCCGTCCCCGCTGGTGGCTACCGCCCTGGATCTCCTGCATCAGTTGCGCCTGGTGCGCGTGACCAAGAATGAAAACGGCCAGATTGTGGAGTCGACAAATCTCACCATACTCAATCTGTGGCTTGTTTGGGCGGGGCCGATGAAGGAAAATCAACTTGCCTGGAGCATGGTGGGTGTGCAGACATTTTGCGGGCTTTTGGGCCTATTTGTGAGGCACCGCCTCGCCCTACTGGTGTTTCGAGAGGACAACCGGGCATTTGGGGGGTCTGTATTGTAGTGTATATTATATAGCCATTATCCATTATTCATTGTAATCAAGGCGTTTCGTTTGACGATTCCGAAAGAACCAACCCCCAGTACTATGTTCTTTCTTCATCCAAATCCTGCTTTCACTCAGGCTGTGCAGGTTATAGCTGCAAGTCCCTCGGCAATGGTCATCATACCCAAGGAAGTGCTACGAGACTCATCTTCAACTTCATTCGCCCCGTTCCTTCCTCATCTTATATTTTCTTTAAGAACCTTCCAGTGGATGGCGTGTTCTGGGACACTGATCTGTGCTGCTTAAGGGAAGGAAGCAAAGTGAGGGTATTGATTGAAGTGCTGGCATAGGATCTCACAGAGTCCGGACCTGCGGGTTTTAGTTGTTTCAGATATGATGGGCATTGTCTATGTTTTTCGACGAGAATAGCCTTTCGAAGTCAGAATTCTTACATCATAAGAAATTGCAGGATCTGGCATGGTCATAAAACAACACAGTAATACTATGTCAGAAAGTGATATAGGGCCTGCACACCCCAACTAGCTTTTACAGCTGATGTGATAGTCATAGAAGGTTGAGTGAGGCCAAGGTAAGAGAATATAGAGGTGGATCCTATTATTAACACCCCCTAAATCCACTACCTTCTTACAACCCGTGAAGTTAGGACAATCTTCGAAGAGGTCTCTCCCACATCAAACTCAAAGCGAACTACTGTGCGGCGCAGAACCCAAGGACCATGATGAGTTGCTTCTGGTAGCCATCTGCAAAAGCAGCTCGAACGAGCGTTTGTGCATGCGCTGAGAGTTTCTGCATGGAGGCGACATCCTTCAAGACGTCTTCAAGGATGTTGAGCGGTAGCTCGGATTTCAGGCGGCTTTTTACGGTGTTATTCAAGAGGTTCGTGGCGATTGAGACTCCGATGGCACCTCCGAGGATCCTTAGCTGTGAGATGCTGCCTAGGGCCACGGCTAAGGGACTCGTGGGTTAGTCTGGTTTGTAGGCTGGTGATGATGTGGAGACGAAACTTACATAGGTTTCGTTTGTCAACTATCGACGGCATTACCATCATTGCGGTGGTCAAGCTTAGACCGATGCCCAGGCCAGACAGGATCTGATAGCCGTAAAGCCTCGCGGGTAAGGCTGTGCTTGGGTGGACGGAGTATAGCAGTCCGACGCCTAGCACCTGCAGTATGGCGGCGACCACAAACACCAGGAAGGGTGGCACTCGGCCACGGGCTGTCAGTCTGCCGGTCAAGCCCGAACCAAGAGCAATTGTCAGAGTGAGGGGCAAGATATGGATGCCTGCATCTAGGCCTGAGTTGTTGTTCAGGGTTTGAAACCGTCCCGGCAGCTCCAGGATCAGTGTCATGAATGGCACGCCTGATAGTAGGGCAGTTCTGAATTCTCGTTAGGGCACGGCTTTGGGTAAGGAGGGGGGGAAGAGAGCTTACAGGAGTGTTCCCATTAAGACTCGGTTTTTGACAAATTCCCACGGGAACACGGACTCTCTGATGGATTTGCTTCGGTGTACGTGCCACTCCCAGCTCAAAAATGCACAGAGAAGAACAACAGATAGAACTAGGAAGACGATAACAAGAGCCGAGTCCCACGCGAACGAGACTCCTGCTTCTTCGATGGCCACAATTAATAGTATACAGGCAGCAAGGAGGATGAAGAATCCTGGATAGTCGACTTTGCCGTGAAAATTGACAGGCTTTGGAGCGCCCCAGAGGGACGTTGGTTTTGACACATCGGGGAATGCGGCTGGCATAGTAAGGTAAATTAGAACGATACCAATGGCGCCAACTGGGAGATTGATATAGAAGATCCAGCGCCAGGTTGTGCCGTCTGAGATAGCGCCCCCGATTAACAGTCCAAGCAGGAAGCTGACTGCAATTGTCAAGGATATGATGGAGTTATAAAGCGCGTAGCGGTCGGGGGAGACCATCTCCGCAGCGACAATGGGCACCATGCTGAATATCCCAGCGCCACCGATACCCTGAAAGGCACGAAGGATAATCCTGCAGTTATGGTCAATGACCAGACTCTCGAAAGCTTACTCTGAGAACGACCTACAATTGTAGCATTGTTCCGGCTCCGCCGCAGCCCCCAGAGAAGGCCAGAAAGAAAATCACGGCAGTGATGAGCATGGGCTTTCGCCCTATCATGTCGCTCACCCTGGCCCATATGATCATGAAGCCTGAAGAGTGTCAGGGGATATTCTATTAGCTATGCAGTGCAAGCCTTACTGAAGTAGCAGGTCAAGTAGCTCGATATCACCCAGCTGCTTTTCTCGAGATTCTGGAAGTCCTTTGCAATGGTAGTAAGGGATGTGCTGACGATGATGGCATCAAGTGACGAGAGAAAGCAACAAAGGCAAAGACTTTATATGTTAGTCAAGACAATTGTTGTGGGGAGTTGCTATACTTACCCGATGGTTAGAAGCATCAACCGCCATCCAGACAAAGTGCTGCGGTCAAGACCAGTGAAGCTTGTGCTCCTCTCTCTTGGCAACTGTCCGATAGTGTCTGCATGCATCGCTATCTCTTTGGGAGACATTTCGGAAGGCGTCATTGTTTCTGCGTTGATAGCAGTCGGATGAAAGTAAGCGGTACTGGCAGGCCATTAGGATGGAGCTTCTATATTGTGAGCCATCACCTGATGCTGCCAGGGGTATCCAGCATTGCACAAAGAAGGCAGTTCTTGCTACTCATCAATCTCAGCTGCCGCAGCTCGAATGTGAGCCATGTATGGGCGTTCTACCGATCAGCCAACGCCAAGCGAGAAGTTGATTGTAGATCATGATAACGCTCTGGGCCCATTTATCGGCCAGAGTCATCTAAACGAACCGTTGGTGGCTAAATATCCCAGATTGCAGGGGTAGATATGAAATAGGTAAATGTGCTCCCTAGAGTCTCAATTAGCGAAGAACTTCTAGATATGCTCTTTTGCTGATAGGTTGGGAACATGCCGCCAATCAGCTTCTTGTCATAGACCATAAGCAAAAGGATTTACTTCTCCACACCTCAGCCTTGTGTACCTTGGTAGTCAGAATTATCCGATCAAAGCCGTTGGTTGTGGTCGGAGAGGAAGTGCGCTAATTGCTGATTGCTGATTGTCCCCTGAGTATCTAGTGATTGGCAGCCGATCGCCCACTGTTTTGGGTGTTGACGTGACACTAGTAATAAGTAAGTACTGTTTGGTCTGTGATATTGAAAACTGGAAACCACGTATTATCTTCCAACACGGCTTATCGTATAGGTGCATAGGCGACAATAAAGGTCTCCACTTAATTCCATCGATTACAGCTGGGGTCTCCACGTCAGCCTGTATTCATTTCGTAAATACCGAGTGGTATGGGATTTCTGACATTCAAGTAGCGCAGCTTTGCTCCTTCAAATCTTCTTCTCCCTGGTGCTTGCTTATTGATAACTGTTCACAACTACCAATCCTTGGACGGTTACCTGCTCCTTTTATCATGGATTTCGAGAACCCCGCCCATCTTCGTGTCGCAGCACAGAAGCTCCGAACCGACTATCTTAAATATGCAGAGACAACCCCAATCTCGGTTTCCCAAGGGTCAACGCTCAGAGATGACCCAGTGAAAGGTCCTATCTGGGTCGCGAAGTTTGATATTCCGAAGCCCACCGACGATACATCGCGGGACCTTCTTTTAGCTCTGGTTGATGAGCTGAACGACAAAAATATCAGCTACGACCGTCCAGACTCCCAGTCGCTCAAGTTCGAGTGGGTTGGAAGCCGTGATAACGTTGGAAAAGACACGCCGCAGCCTTCACTTCCCGAGAGAGAGATATTCAAAAAGCTCAATGCGGAGACGAAAAGGCCATTGGCGATCCTTTACCTCTACGGTGGCACCTTTGTGCTCAACACCCCATCCTCCTACCGTAAAACAGCCGGGTTCCTCGCTGAAGCGACGGGGTCTAAAGTTCTCATGGTACATCAGCATCTCGCGCCACAGAATCCTTTTCCAGCTGCTCTGCTTGATGTATTCCAGGCCTACCTGACGCTACTGGCACCTCCTCCCCCCACGAGGCCATTCCCCCATCCTCCATTGTGGTGGCAGGCGATAGCTCAGGTACATGCCTTGCCCTGAGCCTGTTGCAGATCTTGCTTCGACTTCAGCGTCAGGGAAAGTCAATTGTCTTCCATGGGCAGACAATCATGCCAATAATTCCTGCTGGTATGGCATTAGTGAGTCCTATAACCGAACTCACCAACTCTCTTCCCTCTTACGAGCGAAACATGGAGACGCATTTGTTCCCGGTTCCTGTCGAGAAACTGCCTTTTCTCCAGCCTGGCTTTCCTACTTGTTCGATCTGGCTCACTCAGCCTCCGCGCGCGGACCTGTACTGCGAAGCCGACATGCTAGCTCACCCACTGGTCAGCCCCGCGGCTTCAGATGACTGGTCTGGATCATTTCCCATCTGGATGGCGTCTGGCCAAGAGCAAACCGTTGATCCGGCAATGTTAATCGCACAGGTGGCTCATTCTCAGGGAGTATCAGTCACGCACCAGGAGTATGAGAACATGCCGCACACGTTCTTTTTCTTCTTCCGCCATGCACCGCAGACAAAGAAAGTTATGGAGGACTGGGTGCAGGCTATCCTCCTATTTTCTCGGGGTGAGAGGCCCGTTTCTAGTGCTAGCTATGTTAGAGCAAAGGGCCTAATCGTGGAGCCAAAGGACATAGGGCGATTGGTGCCTTTCAGCGTGGCCGAGTTACGGGAACTCATGGGGAAGAAGACTCTCGGCTTCAAAGTTCCTTCTTTTCATCGACACGGTCGATCGAACCTGTGATGACCCTCGGAACTCCATGGGCGTATATAAATTCGAATTGCTCGGCGTCGACATACTTTAGTAGGGATGATTGATCCCTGCACACTCGAATCCCTGGCAATTTCAGGTATCGGTCCTCATACTTTTTTTTTTTTTTTTTTTTTTTTTTTTTTTTGCAATGAAATCGACGCATATCCACCCAAGCACTCCTAGATATGCTTGATATAAGCACGCTTAATTTAATGCAAGTAACGTACGCCAAGCTCTCGTGATGTAGGGGTCATCCGGTCGTAGGTTTAATCAGATGGCACGTAAAGGATTTAAAGGGAGCAGCTTTCTGGCAACATACTGGGGTGCTGAGAGATCGACTACATAGTTGTCTCTTCGTTGGGTAACATCAATTACACGCCCAGTACATTTATTATATTACTTGTATGTATACCGACCTGCGAGAAAAATACCCAGATGTAAAAGTGATACTTACTAGCCTCTCTGGGCTTTTCTTGGAATATAAACGGAACCCATAATCCTCATCATGCACCAGCCATCTTCTGACTACATTTTCTTTGGTGCTATTGAGTTTTGGGATTTTCAACATCATCTAGATCTCTAGTCACCATGCTTGAACTAGGGCTAAGTGCGATAGCCTTAGTAACACTCTACCTTGTTTATATTGTCTCTCTTCTTGTCTACCGGATCTATTTCCATTCGCTCGTGCACATCCCCGGTCCATGGCTTGCCAAGGCGACGTATCTCTACGAGTGGTACTATGATCTATACCTTCCTGGCCAGTTCACCTTCAAGCTGAAAGAACTTCATAAAAGATACGGTATGCTTTTGACGACTACTAGACCAGAGTGAAAACAGCTGTCTAATTACAAGTTTCAACCCAGGCCCTATTATCAGGATCAATCCTGATGAAGTTCACATTGATGACCCCGATTTCTTCGACGAGCTGTACAGTCAGAAAAATGGCCGTGCTGTTAAGCCACAGCGAACCGCTGAAGCATTTGGTCCTTATTCTTCCGTACGGTAGACTTACCACCGCTGGATGAATTGACTAACTAAGTCATTTCAGACCCTTGCGACTCAATCCCACGAACTACACCGAATTCGACGAAGTGCTATCAATCCGTTCTTCTCTAAAAAATCTGTCGTTGATCTGGTCCCGGCCATCAGACGGCCCATTGACATGCTATGCGAACGCCTGAAAGAGGTCAGCAGGAACGGAGAGACGCTCAATATGAAATACATGTTTGCCTCAGTTACCTTGGACATCATCAAGGACTACTGCTTCGCAAGGGAACCTGAGAACGTACTCAAGTCTGATTTCGGTCGTAAGGGCTTCGATGACGTGGATGGGTTTATAGCAGTCAGCCTCTGGGTAAGTGACAGTTGAAAGAATCAAGGTAGAGTGTCTAACGAGTTGACAGAATACTCATATGCCTTGGATTATGCGTCTTACATATTCCCTGCCTGTAAGTTGAGCACCCATTATTGGAATGGCTTGCAGCCTTACACCTTTCAGGATAATATCAAGAAGATCCTGTCGCCCACAATGGCAGATGTTCTAGCCTTCCGATTGGTGAGCGTCCCAAGATCGTTGTGGGAAAGTGCTAAACGTTAGGAGGATCTTTCACGACAAGTTGAAGCCATCCGCCATGGACATGGCAAAGCATACGAGAAGGTCTATCATAGAACTGTATTCCATGAGCTTCTAGAAAGCAAGCTGCCAGCCAATGAGTTGAAACGCGACAGACTCCGAGATGAAGCCTTCAGCCTTGTTACTGCTGGCTCAGGCACAACGTAAGTGATGCTGATAGTCACATATGGAGGCTTCTAGTTTTCAGAATATCGATCGGTAGCTGACTAGACTTGTCACAGGGCGCATGTGCTTCGTGGCACTGCCTATCATGTTGCGGCCAATCCAGCTGTGCGTCAGCGTCTGTATGATGAACTCCGAGCTGCCATTTCAGACCCATCTCACCTTCCGTCGCTGGCGGAGCTGGAACGACTGCCCTACTTGACTGCTGTAGTCCAAGAAGGACTACGTCTCTGTGGGCCTGTGACTCACCGTATTCTTCGACAATTTCCCGATAAGACCATATATTGCCATGGATACGTGATCTCGGCCGGTACAACAGTGGGAATGACAGGGTTCCTTATCCACCAGAATAAGAATATCTTTCCGGCACCGCACCTCTTCTGTCCGGAACGGTGGTTGGTTGATGGCAAACGCCTGGAGCGGTATCTTGTTCCGTTTAGTCGAGGATCCCGTGCCTGTCTGGGTATCAATCTTGCCCGCGCAGAGCTTTACTTGATTCTCGCGGTAGTCTTCCGGCAGTTCGACTTCGACGTGTCCCAGGTGCAAAGAGACCGTGACATTGATTGGAGCCGGGACTACCTCCTGGGAGCGCAAGCTCGCGATTCTCCGGGTATTCTAGTCAAGGTGAAGAATGTCGTCTAAGGAGGTAGTATACCTCAACAGCCATGTTTTGGCTAATGGCCCTAGAATTGCAGTATCAAGGGATTTGGACGTATTACTTCATTCTAGAATGGCTACTTAGGAAATAACTCACAGCATGCGTTCTACAATTAACCCCTGTCACTCACAAGCACTTCATACACCGTAAGTTGGTTGGCGATATTCATAGGATCAGATCGAGACTTAATGCGTTTCCAAATTTACCAAACCCAACGGAATGTCTGCAAATTTACACTTGGGGGGTATTAAAAAAAGGGACAACTCCAACCCGTCTCTTTATTTTTCTGACTTACCAGATACAGTATAGTACTAACAGATGACTCTCAAGCTTTGGAAAGTTAGGCGCCACTCCGGACAGCCGCAGACAAAGAAAAGGACATCTAAGCCTCCACAAGTACAGGGATCATGACAACAAGAGTACTACCCACTCTCCAGAAAGTTGATAAGAGAGTTGGGCAGCTGACCTATTCGTGGGTATCCGGAAGCCCAGACAGATTCTGATCGACCGGAAATTCGCATCTCCCTTTGCAGGTAGCGTTCTATGTTGGTCGGTAGTCGGTCCATACCTACCCTCCTTCCAAGATTCCCTGCGGACTCTGACGACAACTTCTGCCCCTTTTGACCGACATCCCCTGTGGACATTCTCACTTTTGAACGTCACTTTGCTAGCAAGAGAATGAAAATCACTTCCCTCAAGTATTTTTTTGGGGATTCACTTAATACTTTTATATGAGCATCTTTGTCTCATGCTATCTAATGCTGCGCAGTGTGATTGGAGATTCCTTGAACAACAATGGTACTGAGGCATTAGATAGGTAAGAAATGCGCCGCCTATGGAAATCGTGAACTAGTCACATAATGAGTGCTGGATTGCTTGCTTCTTCTTCGGCCTCACACCAGCCGAGTACTGTCAAGAAACTGACTAAGGCCATGTGGACATGCAGTCGCGGCCTCCCGTATGAAAAAAATAGCTAGTATGTAATCCGCAATACATCTCTCTACATCTTCACATTAGGTATCATACGTTCCACTCTTGGTAGGTGAGTGAGTCGGTTGTACTCGAAAGGCATCCTGACAAGAAGGCACTCTGAGGACGTCCTTCTAAGCAAGGCTGACGCATCAGCGATCTCTTAGGGAAGCGTTTTTGCGCCATTGTCACCCTCGTTATATCGCGCAACCTCCCCAATACAACCCCGCGACACGTTCTTCGGTCATGGATAGCATGAATTACCAAATCGGCACACATTTCGACGGCAGAATCAGCTGGCTGGCATGCATCTGAAGACTTGATACTGCCTCCCCATCGGCGAGCCTCCGTGCGCAGTGAGAGCAACGCGCTTCTATATCTGGGAATAACAAATATCCCGCTAGTTAATGACAACGTCGGAGGTGAACATACTCTACTAAGCGAGCAATCGAGCAATCAAGGCATTCTTGAACCATGGCTTCCCCCTGTATTCGCTTTTCGAGACCCTATTGCACTATGACCACAATGACGAACGGTTCCATATACGATTTCAGGTGACAAAGGGGATTAAGGTCTTCTTGATGATGACTACAATGCCAGAGCTATTGTGTACTGGTGAGAAATCAGCAGCTTCAAGCTGCTCCCGGTTGCGGACTAACAATGAATGATACCAGTCCAACGAAAATAGATTTGCCCTTGCCCAGCAATGGAGGACAAAGCGAACCTACCTCTAGCGGAGAGTGAGAAGTGGCCGTCTCATGCGCCGGTTGGATTATGTTGTTGCAGTACAACTCAACCGATCGGAACAAGTGTAATGTCCTCTTACGCACGAACGTCGATGGTTTTGGAATGGGAAACGTGAATGGAGAAAGACCTGCACAACTACAGGGACATCAGCTAAAGGAGCTAGACTGTAGAAATGGAACATTGCTAGCGGCCTTTTCTACTAGTAGCCAGTAGGGGTCGAGAGGAAGCATTCCAAGTGGATTAGGTTCCCCAACAACTTAATCGGGACCGGAACACCAAAGGTTCTCCGGGGGATCCGCCCGGAGTTTGGCGGTCAATGCGCCGATGAAGCTTGACCGACTTTGAAGGATTGAGGTTTTGACTCACTCGAGGGACTTTTTTTTTTGGCCACGAGAACAGCTGTTCTATTCCTGTCGACACTGCCTAGTCCGCTAGTAGGCTACTGATGCAAGAATTATCCGCGAGTGCCAATCATTCTGGACCGGTTAGTCAGGGAAGCGTAGGTTGCCGCGTCTAAGCGCCGCCCCGGCCGGTGTCGGCCCCCAGAGTTTTCCCCGACAGCCAATCGCCACCCACCCATTGGGTGCTGACCACCGACACCGGCGCTGCCCCTCGACAGCCGCTCTGCGACATCGCGGTCGACGCCCAGTTAAAACCATCCCACCTTCTCCCCAATCCACAGCTTCAGACTCATTATCATTCTATCAGAACTCCTTTGACCTTCCCCGTGTCTGGGTTTCCTCCATATTCTCCTCTTTTCCCCCCAGATCTCTCCCCATATACTAGTGCCCCGTTGTTCATACTTCGCCCCTCATGCCCGGCGTCGATAGGAAACCCAAGACCTTGTATGACAAGGTCCTGGACCACCACATCGTCAACGAGCAGGAAGATGGTACTCTCCTGATCTACATCGACAGACACCTTGTCCACGAAGTCACATCCCCTCAGGCCTTCGAGGGTCTCAAGAATGCTGGTCGTAAAGTCCGCCGGCCGGACTGCACTCTGGTGACCGTTGATCACGTATGTCCTTCATGTTTTCTTTTTACCTTGAATGATACACGTACTGACTCAATGGTAGAACATCCCCACCTCCTCCCGGAAAAACTTCAAGAACGTTGACGAGTTCATCGAAGAGAACGACTCGCGTCTGCAATGTAGCACCCTCGAGGAGAATGTGAAGGATTTTGGTCTCACATACTTTGGCATGGGCGACAAGCGCCAGGGTATCGTCCACATCATCGGCCCCGAGCAGGGGTTCACCCTTCCCGGCACTACCGTCGTCTGCGGTGATAGTCACACCTCCACACACGGTGCCTTCGGTTCCCTTGCTTTCGGTATCGGTACCAGCGAGGTCGAGCACGTCCTCGCTACCCAGACTCTCATCACCCGCCGCAGCAAGAACATGCGCATCCAGGTCGACGGTGAGCTGCCCGCCGGTGTCACCAGCAAGGATGTCGTTCTTCACATCATTGGTGTTATTGGTACTGCCGGAGGTACCGGTGCTGTCATCGAGTTCTGCGGTTCCGTCATCCGCGGCCTGAGCATGGAGGCCCGTATGTCCATGTGCAACATGTCCATCGAGGCTGGTGCCCGTGCCGGTATGATCGCCCCCGATGAGATCACCTTCGAGTACCTCAAGGGTCGTCCCCTGGCCCCCAAGGTCGACAGCGCCGAGTGGAAGAAGGCCGTCAACTACTGGTCCAGCCTGGCCTCCGACGAGGATGCCGTTTACGACACTACCGTCCTGCTCGACGGCAAGGACATCATCCCTACCATCTCCTGGGGTACCTCCCCTCAGGACGTCATCCCTATCAACGGCGTCGTTCCTGGCCCCGATGACTTCGAGGATGAGAACCGCAAGCTCGCCTGCAAGCGCGCCCTGGAGTACATGGGCCTGACTGCCGGTACCCCCATGAAGGATATCCCGGTTGACAAGGTCTTCATCGGTTCTTGCACTAACGCCCGTATTGAGGATCTCCGCGCCGCCGCCAAGGTTGTCCGGGGCAAGAAGATCGCCTCCAACATCAAGCGTGCCATGATCGTTCCCGGTTCCGGTCTGGTCAAGGAGCAGGCCGAGGCTGAAGGTCTCGACAAGATCTTTACCGATGCCGGATTCGAATGGAGAGAGGCTGGCTGCTCCATGTGTCTCGGTATGAACCCTGACATCCTCTCTCCGCAGGAGCGCTGCGCTAGTACCTCCAACCGCAACTTCGAGGGTCGCCAAGGTGCCGGCGGTCGTACCCACCTGATGTCCCCCGCCATGGCCGCCGCCGCCGCTATCGTCGGTAAGCTCGCCGATGTCCGGGAACACGTCGTGAGCAGCCCGGTCCTGGGCAAGGTTCAGCCCAAGGTCGACGTCCAGCAGACGTACGAGGAGCCCGAGACCGAAGACGAGCTTGAGCGGATCATGGACCTTCCTGCCGACAACGAGCCCCACACGAACTCCTCCGCCGGCGGCTCCAGCGCCGGCCTTCCCAAGTTCACAACCCTCAAGGGCATTGCTGCCCCCATGGACCGCTCCAACGTCGACACCGATGCCATCATTCCCAAGCAATTCCTCAAGACCATCAAGCGTACCGGCCTCGGCAGCGCCCTCTTCTACGAGCTCCGCTACAAGGACGGTGCCGAAAACCCTGACTTTGTCCTCAACCAGGGCATCTACCGCAACTCCAAGATCCTTGTGGTTACTGGCCCCAACTTCGGATGCGGCAGTTCTCGTGAACACGCGCCCTGGGCTCTCCTGGACTTCGGCATCAAGTGTGTCATTGCTCCCTCGTTCGCCGATATCTTCTTCAACAACACCTTCAAGAACGGCATGCTCCCCGTCGTGATCTCCGACGAGGCTGCTTTGCAGAAGATCGCCGCCGAGGCCCACGCCGGCCGCGAGGTTGAAATCGACCTCGTCAACCAGGAGATCAAGGATACACAGGGTGCCAAGCTGGCTTCCTTCGATGTCGACGGCTTTCGCAAGCACTGCCTGATCAACGGTCTCGACGATATCGGTCTGACTCTCCAGATGGAGGACAAGATCCGCACCTTCGAGACCAAGCGTACCCTCGAGACTCCCTGGCTCGATGGTAGCGGCTACCTGAAGCGTGGCAACTGTGGTGGCGCAACCATGGTTCAGGCCGCACCGGTGCCCAAGACGAATCGGGGTGATGTCAAGACGGAGCCTTTGGAGTGGTAGGGTAGACGGGGGTGTTGAAGATGCCTTTTGAACGTTGTTGTTGATATGACACCATAATGCAGCCGGTTTGCTGGGACGTGTTTCATTTTGCTTACTTGATTTCGGTTATATATCACTTCGTTTTGGGGGAAATGGATTGACTGGACTATGGTATGACTTCTTTGCTTTGGAATGGGACAGGGGCGAGCACAATACCACGTGATATGCTAATAGAGTGAAGAGGAGGGTGAAAAGAAGTATTTCATAACTTGATGGCTACGGGTCACTTTGCAGTAGTCTTAATAAAGTTTTATACATATTCTTTGCTTCTTAATGTAGCTTGGATTTCATGCCTGTCTAGATGTCAGCTCCAGTTAGTTCCCTTCACAAGCTGGATCATCTACCTGCAGATTTTGATACGCTGTAGGCCAAGATGGTATGCCTGTAATCCAATTATCATTTAGGATTATTACTATGTCTGCCTGATATATTACCCTCATCCGTGCGTGCCATAGCATCCAACAGGAACGAAATTAACTCAAATCCAATGACATCAAAACAGTATCAACCAACAATGAAAATGATAATAACGTGTAAAAAATCCCCTGAAATATATTATAGAACGCATCAACAACCAAAAACAAGCAGTTCATCCTCCCATGCGATCAGACTCATAGCAGCAATCAATCAATATCCCATGAACGCGTACCAAAATTTGCAGGTGTGGTATCAAACGAGCGTAAACATATCCAGTTCGTAAAGAATGCAGAGACTTCGTAGCCAAAATGAAAAAGAACGATAAAATCACGCAAGTATATATACGTGAATGTGATATGATGCAATGCGATGCAGCCGGCCGTGCCGATGAGGAGGAAGATGGATGGTAATATACAAGGCGCGCATATGTGAGTGTAGGTGATGTGTTGAAACCGTGTCATCCCCTTGATTCTTTCAGTCTGAGATCAATTATGCGATCGGCCCAGCCTTCAATGGTCGGGTTGAGTAGCGTGGAATGGAGCCGGATCAAGGCTTTGTGAGTTGTTCTTTCCGGAAGAACATTAGGAAACCAGCACTGGGACAGTGTTAGTCGATCCTTGCTATATCAGAAGAAAGTTGAGGATAGAACCATACCAAATGAGTAATTGGAAGAAGAGGGCAAGCCAGAACCAAGCATTCGCCAAGGAGTCCAGTCCTACTGAAATATCCGGCGACACAGGTCCAGGTCCAATTTTATTCGGCCCGAATGCTCTTGCACATATCGTTGCGATCGAACCCAGCACTTGTGATGCAAGTAGTGTGAAGCAAATGTGCATCCTAGTCAGAGTTTGGAGTAGGATCATACCAAAACCGACTCCCTGCAGGGAGTCCAGGACGCCGAGCCACAGCCACAAGCTCCGAGACACAAGGGCCCCGGAGGTATAGCCACCTGCCCAAGGGAGGAAGAGCCCTATGCCTGACACACCCCACCATATTTGAGCCCATCGGGGGGCACCCAAGCCACAGGCGAAAACAGGGAGAATCCAACTATGGCGTTTGGAGAGGTACCCAAACAAGCCTAGCCAACCGGCCCAGACGAAGCCAAAGAAGACGATACAGAGGATTCCAACTTCCCAGGCTTTTGCATGTGCCGAGTTCCAGAGGACTGCAAATTGTTGTTAGAACAAAAGAATTCAAGGAAGGCATAGAAATACTTACAGCTCCAGTTCCGCCCATAAGGCGCACTCAGGAAGAAATTTTGTAGAATGACGACCACAAAGTTCCAGAGGATAATCTTGCGCCGGAATACCGACTTGTAGAATGAAGGGACCTTTCCAGGAGACTGGTGATAGTAGCTTGGCAGACCGAAGAAGATCAAAAGGCCGATGACCCAGAGGAAGGCTGCAATGGGTAGGCAAATAGCCCTGTAACGTGTTAGCAAGGACCTAAAAGTCCGGGCAGGGGGGAACTCACGTCATCTTCCACGTTTCGGTTATATAACCTTGAACATTGGTGTTTCCATTTTGGACCGCCTGGGAGATGCTTGTGCCCCAGTACCATAACCCAATAACGTAGGCTTGTTGACTACCCTGGATGAGACATGCGCGGAACACCCACTGTTTGACAGGAGCCCCGCCCTCGTCACCGAAGTTGAGGGCGAAGAACAAAGATCCACTGGCAGATGCTGCAGCGTAAACGCCTGCACCCACATTTTGAATCCAACCGCGAGCGAAAGTATTGCCTTCGAAGTGAGCCACGCCAATGATGACGAACGATAGACCGTATAAGAGCCAAGGAAGTGAAAGGACGAAGACCGACTTGAAGAAACGGAAAAAGAACCACCAGACAATGGAGGCGACCAGGTACACAGTCGCTATTCCATAGAGCTTGGTCGCCGTTTCACCCACTTCGCCTGTCAGTAGGGTGATCTGGTATGAATTGGCCGCTATGATCTGGCCCAGGCCCAGGAAAAGTGAATACACTGGCCAATCGCCGATGCGGATCTGCATCCATTTCCTGAGCCCGGTGGGTGGAACGTAGTCGTTACCCAGAAGGAACTCATCTTTCTCTCGATGTCCCTCGCTTCCACTTTCCCGCGAGCCAATATCGACATTGGAATCTGAGCCCATGGGTGAACTGTTGTCGAGTTTACCGTGGAAGATCGAAGAAGCAGGGGACTGATTGCGGCCAAGTCTGGCATCCCGGAATTTACCAAACCACTTTTTCTCGCTCTTGACCAAATACTCCTCGATACAGAGCTGTGATTCAGAGTTGTGGCCGTTCAAATTCTCCAGTCGTTTCTCAAAAGCCCTGTAGTATTCGCCGGTGCTGTCTGTAAAGAAGGGGTCCACTTTTTGTAACTTGTAATCTTTCTTCTCACCGATGATTGAGTCCACCGAAAGGACAGAGGCGCTGCTCAGACGATTTCCGGGAGTCACATGGGCCTCTTCAGGCTCAGGGCTTCCAGGGGAGACTGGAGAGAGCGCTGGTCTGGGTGGGAGTGAACTTTGGCTCGAGTGTCTGACGCTGAAAAAGTCCCTAGCAGGAGGTTGTCTTTGGGTGTCTAGCTGCTGCGCTGCCTCCATCCGACGACCTGCTTCTGCCTGCTCGGGAGTAATTGTATACTCATCCTCACCATAATAGCTACTGGGTCTGATGTCATCGTCACTGCTCTCCTCGGTGTTCGACGCGTTGGCACTCTCTTCATGCCCCATGCTTCTTCTCAAACGACGGCGGCCGCGACGTACTAGGTGGCCAGGCCCAGCTCGCACACCAAGTGACAATTGTCTGCCTAGCCCCGACTTAGGCTGTTCGTTAGCACCGGGGGTCGGAGGTCGGCTGTATACAATGGTGTTTCGCTGCTGTGGCCCCAAGGTGCTTAGGCGGACATTCGAATAGCTTCCTTCTCGAGAGTGCGCGATGGGGGGCGTCTGTACCCCACTTGGGGTGATATGTCCCGACGCAATTGTCGGGGTCGTCAGTCCACTAGGGGTGTTGTATCCAGATGATGATAGAGGCTGATTGTTCGATTTCACCAACCCTTTGCTGTGGATCCTCATTGCAGTGGACTGAAGGATCTCCAGATCCTCAACCCACTGAGCGACTGGGAATCGCTGCTTGGCTGATCGCGCCCGCATTTTTGCCCGAACTTGAGGCTTGGAGTTCAAGGCGCTTCCGATAGCAAGTTTGAACTGGTGCAAGAGGTGAGACGTCGTTGTGGACTCGATGTTATACCACCAGCCAGGCATTTGGCCAAGGCCACCAACACGTGCACCAATACCTAGGGCACCCTTTCGGCCAAATTCAACAGCAACGAGCCCGAACGGCTCGTCACGCGATGGAATCAAGGCAAACTCAGCCCCGGAGAAGATGTATGGTGGAAGAGCTGTAAATTCTGGCCTTGAGAAAACACGCCCTGGATAGACTTTCATCATGCGGTCCAATTTCAATGCAGCAAATTTTCCATAAAGGTCAATGACTGGACCGACACAGATCAGTTGGACGTTAGGACGTGCTTCCAAAACAGCAGGCATCACATCAGCGATAAGGTCCACGCCTTTCTGCATAGACCAACGGCCCACGAAGACCAGGAGATCTGCATTGGGATTCTGCTCTAAGCCGGCCCATGCTTGCGCTTGCCGCTTCAATTCTGCTCTGCTAGCCTCGTATAGCGGGTCAACCAGTATCTCGCTTTCTTTCGGCAACTCTTTGTTCCATTCTCCTGTATCAGAGGGATCAGGATTAGGCAAGTTGCCTACTTTCTTGAGACCCCAGAAGATAGGATAGCGTGCATATGTGCGTTTTCCGTATTTCCTGGAAACACCAACGGCCCCGAACCCTTGTTGATGGACACGGAGATAGCTTGCTCCGGCGTGAAGCATATTGAAGACCTCACCGAATTGGACATAGCGTCTTGCGATGTCAGTATCGAGATTGAAGACTGAACAGACTTCATCTCTCTCCTTCTGGGTACGCATAGGCCATAGTCCCTGAAACTCGGCATTGTGAAGTGAAAGGCAAACTGGGATCGTCTTCGGCAGGAGGTATAGCGGAGCGATAGATCCATGGTAGTCATTGATGTGATACAGATCAATTTGGAATCGTCTGATTGCTTCAGCGATGCACTGGTTCCATGCAGAGTAGTAGATCGCACTGTCCAGATCATCCATTCGAGCAGGGTAAGGCTCAGCCTTAGATTGTTGACGGAAAACCGGAGCGTCGAGTAGAACATAAGTGATGTTCTTCACGACGTGATACTGAACCTGGACTGGGTACTCTTTGCCAAACACAGTGACGTACATCGAGTCAGCAGGCTGATCGACTGGATAATCCACTCCACCAACACATGGAACAACCCAGATGAGGTTTTGCTGTCCCAGGTGCTTACCCATCAGCTGGGCCATAACACCCAAGCCACCAATCTTGATCTTGATGCCCCAGTCTTCGATGTCATATTCCATGGTTGCAATCAGCGTTGTCCTTCTTCGAGATCCTCCTGCGCCAAAGGCAGACGTGCTCTGGAGGAACCCGGATCTATTAGCCAAGCGTCCTAGGGCATTCGTAGATTGACCGTCGCGGCTTCGCTTGCCAAATATTGCCGAAAGAAGTGACTTCTTTTCGACTACTCCGACCTGGTTGAATTTGACTTGGTAGAACGATTTCATGAAGGCATAGACGCAAGCTGCACCTGTCACAATCGGTACAAGCCACAGGAGGATGTACACGACAAGCTGGGTGATTCGAGATCCGGTGGGCTCGAGGTTGAGCCGCATGTTTCCATCATCAAGATGAACATTCCAGACAAGGTACGGGTATGGAGGGATCTTGGTGATGTTGACAGACAGCTTGCTAAGCGACGACGGAGGCATGCGGTCCAAGACTCCATCACCATCCACATCACCGAAGACAAACGACTCATCCGGCTGTCCATCTGGATCCATACCCCAAACGTTGAATTGACCTTGTGCTGGATATTCAGCCACAACTTTGAAGTTCCAGAATCCTTCACTGTCTTGCTTCACGACATTATCCAAACCAGCATCAAAGCCGTACTGGTTATAAGGTCCATTGAAGAAGAAGTGTGGGAAACGTCTCTTGGGGCCATTCCAGTCATAATCACCCTCCTGTACATAGTCGCTACTGCCAGTCAGTTGGCTCCAGTACTCGACTCGCACATGTTTGCCCTTCCACTTTTGCTTTTCTGTCCCGGACCAAGGCAACTCCTCAATAGTGTCATTACCGCCAGTGTAGTTGAGCCACCCCGAAAAGGTGGTTCCCCAGTTCGTTGAGTAGCGGTACTTGTTGGCTCCAGCTGCTTTGTGCTGAATGTAGAGTGTTCCATTATCGTATTGGTGCAGAATACTGGTGGAGTAATTGGAAGTGGTGAATACTAACGGGTTGTCCCCTTGACCGACGCGAAATAAAAAGTGGTCGACAGACTCCGTGGAGTCCTTTTTATCAGAATCAGTGGCATTCTTGACAGTCAGTTTGTGGATCCCATTGTACACTCCTGTCAGCTTTGCGGACCATGCCCAGGCGCTCGGAAGTTGACCAATGTATTGCGTGTCATTAGAAACAGTGAGGCTCTTGCAATTGACAGTCCCCTTGTCAATAGAAGGCGTTCTCCCAGCTTCGGTTTGCGATGTGAGCGTGATAGACTGCGTGACAGAGTCACAGTCCATCTTTGTGCTGAATTCGATGCTCACATCAATGTCCTCTGCTTCGTCAATCGCAACGGTGGAAAGAAGGGGAACATCATGACCGGGTGTGAATTTGGTGATCATGGGCAAAGGGCTAACAAATCGGGCCTTGGGAATATATGCTCTGTAGTCGAAAGCCTTAAGCGTCATACTGTCAAGGCATCCGTTGAGCTCCTTGGAGCCGTTCAAGTGAAGTCGCTTTGGGCTGTCTTTCAACGTATGCTCATCAAAGGGGTAGAACAAGTTCTTGACAGTGGTTCCTGTGGGAAAGGGAGCGATCAAAGCACTCGCATTGCTTTTGCAATCAAACATGTACTCAACGGTTTTGTTGTCGTTTTGGTAAATCAACCAAATGGACTGGTTGTCTTCGTCAGAGCCAAGGTCCTGGACACCTGAGATCCGATCTCTCAAGATGGACCACATTCCTGTCTCGGTTTCCACGCCATACGAGCCTGGATAGAGGATATTTCTTGTTTGCTTGGATAGCGTCTGTAGCGAATACCCATCATTCAAGACCGGATGGTTCTGTCTCATCTGATACATATGCTTGATGATATTGCGGATGGGGTGAGATGGATCACGATGATCATAAGTCACACTCATATCGTGGCAGCCATCCCGACCTTTGGTAATAGGCCAGTCATAATACTGAGTATCATCGATGGCAGAGCATCCATGGGTCTTCCACGCTGTAGCAGGCGACATTGCTTGACGGCCGTAGACGTAGTTATCCGCAGTGGCGTCTATTATGTAGGAGCCTTGCTCTTCTCCCCAAAGTAGAAGTGGAATTCCAGGCATTTGCAGTGTTGTAATGAAGATTCCCAAGAGGTTCCGCTCAACGCCCCATTCAATGGCAGGCCAACGGAAGACGTCCTGATTCGTGACTCCGTACATGTGTCTAGGGTCGAATTTTCCGGTGTTTGCGTTGATTAAGTCGTTGGTTTGCATCATCACGTTCCAAGCGTCCACCCAATCCAATGGAGTATCATAACCCGCAGCCAGATTACCACTCATTCCCAAAAAGCGAGTAAGGGTACGGTATACCGAATAATGAAAAGCAGCACCATCAATTGCTTCAAGTTCCGGTTCGCGCAGGAAGTATTTTTGGTCAGACTTGTTCGTCATTTTGATAGCATCCATCGCAGATGCAGGGTACTGGTTGGGCTGTCTCCCACGACCAAGGAAAACTGAACCGAAATTGTTTCCACCAGTAATCTCACCAGGAATAAAGAAGTTTTCCTTGCCGACACTGCGAGCGCATTCCCGGTAAGTGTTGGAGATGTCTGCCAGAGCATCCACGGTGGCTTGCGTGGCCTTATCGTAGCGAAAGCCGTCAATATCAAGAGCTTTGATGATGTTGCAGGAATGGAGCTTGATCCTGTCCCTGACACTGGGATGCCACTCGCGTAAACGATCCTGGACGGAAGCGAATTTGGTCAATTCACGCTGCCAGTCCGGAAAGACACCGAAGGCTTCAATGTCGCCATACTGGTCGAAATCGCTGTCGTAACATCCAACAAGCTCTTGGTTGACGTATTCATCCACTGGATAGCCAGTTTCGTTCCAGAAACGAGGGTAATCACAGGTTTCATTGTAGCTATTTCCGGGACGAAAGTCGACATATTCACGATTTGATTTCCAGAGGGTCTTGTACTCCTTGACTGAGAATGGGGTTGTTACGTTGAGGTAACCTTCGAAGCCGATCAAATCTCCCATGCTGAAGGAGAATTTTCTATCAGCAAGTGCTCAACAATGACCCAAGGGAAGTCGGTTGTACTTACGTTGCAACAGTATTATCGAATATGACATACATCCCGCGTTTGTGAATCTCGTCTATCGTGTTTCTCCATGTCTGAATAGTACCATAATGCTGATCGAGAAGGGTGGTGTCCAAGATTGAGTAGCCATCCGCGCCCCAAGGCTGGTTCATCAGAACAGTACCTGCGAGATAAATGCCCTATATCAAACGATTAGCAAATTGTCATGTTAATTTGGAAAGAGACGTGGGGCAGGCCGGAAAGGGAACTCGAACCTTGATTCCCATGCCTTGTAAGTAATCCAATGTGTCAACCAAACCTACTGCGTCACCTCCATGACGCATTTGATTCGAATTAAGGTCATGTTCGAAGAGAGTCCCGTTGATATTATCGTTGGCGGGGTCACCATTCACCCAACGGTCCAGCATGATCGTGTAAAACGGAAATCGCCAGTTCTTTGGCGAGGCCGTATAGTTGTGACCCGGCCATTTTGGTGGGGAGTAGTCGAACGGGCTGGTCGCTGTTTTGTTCACATTGAGGTTGTAGTCAACCAACGATGCTTCATAGGGCCAGCCTGTTGTTGTTGATACGAAGAGCGCAAGCAGCGAGCCCGCAGTCCCCCACTTCATCGTCAACGGCCACGAAAATGTACCGCTCTTTTCCCTTTCGTTCTATTTACTCGACATATGTCCCAGAAGGCTATCGAATATTGACGGGAAAGGTGTCCAGCTGGAGCAAGATCCCAGGGAGGGGGTAGTCGATGAGAAATATGCCCAATGATACTGTAGTCTGGCTTCCTTTTTATGTTCTTGGGAAGCTATGGATGAATGATGTTAGCAAATAACATGCGGCAGATAAACCTGGGAAGGAAAAAAAGAGGAGCCCACAGCAGATGCAGCTGCTGTGGCGGCAACGCAAGAATAGAAAGAAAACAAGGGAAAAAGAAAACAATATGCCCGAGGATATGTCCGAAAACCTGCAGGAAGGAAGATCAATGTGGATAAGTGGGAGGAAGCATTGTTAACGATGATATACAGGCAGACAGAAAGGTCAGTGAGGGAGCAACATCGCCTGATCAAGGAAAAAGAAATGATGATCTTTCCCAACCTGTTGTTGTCCTGCTGCTCCAGGCTGAAAACCAGCTCTCGTTGGCGTACTACTAGACAGATATCCAGGCATATGGAGGCACTGCCATGACTTGGAGGGGTGGGGTTTAGGCCATCCTCTCGAGCCCAGCCACCGGCCCCTCCGTGATGACTGGGGTCACATCGCTTTGCCATCCGAAACGAGAAGCTGTAGATGGTCATTGGCTTTGAAGTAAGTTGGGGGGGGGTGGGATGGGGGTGCTGGAGGAGACACGAAGCGAGTGGCCTGTGTTCTGTATGTACGATGTATGTATGTATCCATGTATCCATGTATCGGCTCGGTCCCACGGATACGGCCAACCCACCTGTACCTTATTACTACTTACGGCGGTTTAGTGGGGCCAGCGGGGCCAAATGCGCTTTCCTGTAGCATAACTTTGGCTGGGATTGCTTCCCACTGGCGCAATCCGGTAGTGATGGTCCGGCGAAGATAGACTCGATAAGTCAAAAGCCTGATATATCACATAGTGGACGTCGCAGGGCTTCTTTCCTTATCATGATTCTTGTTGGGATAGCACTCGAATGCATGGGCCATACCGATCTACCTTCTTTTTTGTCTCATTGACGCCAATGCAAGATACAACGCATGTTCTGATAGTATATTCGATAGCACATGCCACTTGATGGCGAGGATGTATTGTGAATGTCTGACCATGTTGACTCGTCCCAACCAGGGATTGGCCAAGTCGTAAGTAAGTAGCTTGAACACTGGCTAGGAATACCCGTATATTCTACTACCTGGTGCCTAGTACTTGGCCCTATCGTCCCCTCGTCTTCAGTACTCTGGTTCAGTCTCCAGTGTGAACATTGTCTTCTGACAAAGATACTTTATGAGTACTTGCTAGACTAGGCCTCAGCGATACGATATGACAACCATGTTCCACGAGGCGGTCCGAAAAGGAAGAGAAGGCAAAAGAAAATTCATGCACGCTCGTACCATTCGTGTTGAAGTGGTGCTATATTTAAACTTCAATATCTGCTGACGCAATGGCCTATCAGCAACAATATCTTGCCCACGTACTGTCTAGCCACTGCCTGTGCCTTCGAGCCTCTGTCTATCTCGGGACCCAGGTCGATCATTCAGCCTTGCATGAGCTAAGCCTCGGCTTCTGGATGTGAGTGGCGAGCGCATTACGGAGTGCTGAAGGCCTGATTCCGAGCACCTCGTAGAGCTTGGTCTATTCTAGCTGCCCTTTTCGGACACGGCAGAAAGCGGGCCAAAGCCATGAAGACTAATTAGTTCGCCGCGTGTGTGTAAGGCTAGCATCCATGATGGTGTAACTCTCTTTTGTTATCGGAACGTTCGGGATGGCCGTGTAGACGTAGGTAGTTGTCTTTGCATTTTAATCTGCATTGTGATACGTCAGTCCGTGACTTGCATGGGAGAAAGACCTGAGTGCTGGGTTGTTCTCTCTAAGGAGCGAGTTCATTGCAGCACCTGCTAATCCAAGACATTAGAGGGTATGGGTTTCTTGGAAGACTTACAACTCAGTCTCGAGAGAGGATGGCAGTTTGGACAGAGGGGATTCTCGATGCGGTGGATCCCTGTCAGAATCTGAGCCTCTTATCGCTGCAATCGGCTGCCGGAAGTTAATCGTTGTGGTCAGACCCAGGAAAAAGCAATGTTCGGTAAGAAGGTAGAGGACAGAATAAGAAAAATAACACACTTGGCTGATTTCGGAAATATTACGTAGCAACACACGGGCGCATCTAAGTACCTATTTACAGGCCACCTACAACCGGACTAATAGCGCCATTTTGCGTTTGATTCCCTTGCTTCGTAGCCTTCTAGAGGGCTTTGAGCATATTGCGACAAGAGCTTCCAAGTCTAACAAGTTAGTATCGGTTAGTGATGCTTTACGATTCTTCGTCAAATCCGCGGGTGCTATTAGTCACTGGCGAGCCGAAACATTCATGCAAGGAGACTAAGCGACTAGGACACCCCAGGAACCGTTCAAAGAAGGGTTGCTACCTTATCTGAATCTGATAGCGCTAACCCTGGGGGAGATCAAAGAAGCGATTGCATCGTCATGAAGACAAAAAGGAGGCGGATGATGAGATAGTCAATACAGCTTATGGTTCTTTATTGCGATGTATACGATGGCGCAAACTAATCCCTGATGGAGGCCGCCTCTGTTTCGAGTTCCGAGATATTTGGGGCCAAAAACTACTGTGTGTGACATGGACACGATATACATTGACGTAAGACTCTAGAAAGCCGCTCCAGTATCGTAATTGAAGTTTTCGTCAGCTCTTTATAAGCCGGTTTCTTCACCTCGCACGAGATAGACGGAGAGGATTGGAGGGTATGGTGCCATTCAGATCGATCGTAAACCCGTGTCGGGATTTTTTAGGGCGTCTCCCTCTCTTGCTGGGTGCTGATCATGATCCCTTGCTTCAAAATCTTATAGCGTTATATTCATTTCGTGGCGTCGGGACAACTGTCAAATGATATTGACATGTAATATGCATGGGCAAGCCACGCCTTCGGGCGGGTTGCAAACTACTACTAGGCGGTATTACAACTTGTATGGAGTCATGTTATGCCCGCTACATTGTGTGAGGCTCCTCACTATACTGGCCTTACAGAAGGATTGATAGCCACATCAGCTTGCTATTTATTCTTTGACCAGAGCCGTTGGTGTTGCTGCCTGAGTATTGAGCGATATATACAGGGCAGACATTCAAAGATACGACTAGTACGATAAAGCACTAGATAGGTACCGTAGCCGTGGTTAATGAGGCACTTAACTCCCGATTAGCGCGACTTTATCTGCTCCTGTCAATTCCTGATTGGCTCTTTATGATAATCCATCATTACATGCAGCCAGAGTGGGGAATGGAAGCCACCCCAGACCGCTTGTCGAATCTCGAAGGCAAATGCCTTCCATAATCCATGGACTCGGAGGCTGGGATCTTCCCGATGATCGCTACCAGGACCCCTGCCCACCTCTACCGTTGGGATGAACGATGATCAACAACACATCACACCTAAAGCCACTGGATATCGGCTGTATTTACCGGTAATCTTCATAACCGCACTGTCCAGCCCTCATGGCAGATACATATCTAGGAATTAAACGTTGATTGTGCTACCGTCGTCCGCTGAGCACGGACCGCATCTCAAGATGCACCTTTTCATCCGATACAGACATACCTTGGTTTCTGGTGGAAACTGACCACATCGCCATTGTTTTCAGATGCGGCTGGCTTACAACCCTCTGGGCCAGTAGAGTTTTGCCATTATACCAGAAGCCATACATGTTGGAGTGTTCTGACAAGTCGAACCGAATGCCCGGGTGCCCCATACCAAGATCTACATACGCTGGTATAGCTGGGCTTCGGCCTTTGGCGCGGCTCAATGTGCACTCGTATGTCATGCAGCGGTATAATGGTACAGTAGAAAGCTTCAAACTTTCGAATAAATGCATTAGCCTTTGGGCAGGGCGGCAGGAGAACCTCTCAAAAACACCCCACCCTACAGCTCGTTACCGTCATATTGGCCGACAAAGAAGCGGTCGCACTTTTACTAGTCTCCAAGTAAGTTTAAATATACGCAGAACACGAATGCATCTGTGATTGAGGAAGTTTACTCTAGCAACTCGAATTGTTTCTGATATCAGGTAGTTCATGACCGAGTTCTGTTATGCTTCCCGTTATGCGGTGTGACAGATATCGGCCCTTCCAACGGGCACTTCATGGTGATAGACTCCTCTAGATGACATAACAATATGGTACGGATTATGCAGAATGGGGTTGCAAGTGAAGTGGAGAGGTAGGAGGTCATTCAGGTTTACCGCTGCATGGCCTGTGCACAGTATAGCAAAGTTTTTTCATCTACCATTGAAGGTAATATTGCATCTGAGCTCGAGCTCGAGCTCCATTCTCAGTCTCCACTTTTCGAGTCTTCCAATCTACAAAGAGAACTAGATTATCCAAGGTGCATGTGCCGTTACCAAAGTCCAATAGGCACATGGTTTTGCTGTGGGGCCCAAGCACATATCATATGCATTAGCACTGCAGGCCCCGGGCAAAGTTGACTTGTTCGACTTCGCATGGTAGTAAGCTTATATATCACTTTTTGTGGGTCACTGACAAGACCTTGGCTTGGTTAGTGATGCAGGTCATCTGCGAACCTTTGTTGATAGTGTTTCCAAGCGCGCTGGCCGATCAGGCCGATGGAAGATAGCATAACTAATGATAGAACAGGGAACAGGCAGCCCGGCATATCCACTTCCTACACTCGGGCCCAAGCCATGTCCTGATATGAAGAATTCGGAGGCCGAGAGCGGGTAAGGAAAAAAGCCTAAAATAAAAAGTAAAAATAGGTCACAAAAAGCAATATGAATTTACCCGCCTTTTCACCGACATCTCTGAATCGCGAGAGAAAGCTGTAGCTTTATCTCCCAGGGAATTCTGTAGGACAGAATCTTGATTCCACCTTTTGGCGGGGATCGCCACAAGGATCTCATTCTCACCGGTTGCTCAGAGTGGTGATGCCGGATAACGCCTCGCTTGGAATCCTTGTTTATGCGAACTAGATCTGCTGGGCATGAAGTTCCATCGTCCGAATTCCCAGTAAGTGGACATATTGTGTACTTTGTGTTCCACTCTACTTGAACCGATGTAGCGGAAAGCCAAGCTAACTGCCAGCCTCGCGAACGAGGCGAGGGAGTGGCAGTTGTCATGGGGACTGTTCTCAAGTAAGCAGGGTGGAAGAGAGTCACGTTTATAACATAATCAGAGGAACACAAGAGTCGCACAGACCAGAGGCTGTGCTATCAGTGATTATGACTGATTCTATAGACGGTCACTGCTCACCTTCAGGGTTCTAGTACGCCTAGTTATACAACAGTATAGAGTTAGAAATCGATTGTGACAAAGATTGGATATTGTATGACACTCATTCTGAGTGACTGTGGTTGTCAGTACTACTTAATCTGTTTCTGAACATGCGCTTTGACTCCACTACAGTAATTGAGTAACTGTGGCTGTCCTTCAACCGTTCTTTCCCTGCAACATTGCTGCAGAAAGCTGTGTAAGTACATCAAAGCACGAACCTCCCTTAGAAAATGTTCAGTAAGCCTTGACGATCAAGATCTCACAGCCTCATACTGCATGTAGAGGCTGTCGTGTCAGCTAATTATCTGTAGCCTTGACAACGGGCTTGAGCGTTGATGTGTCCCACAGATGTGAGAGCGTTGGTCCAGTTCAGCTACGCAAAGAAGACGATGTCAGGGGGAAGTGGCAATTTACTCAGCAGGAAGGCGTCCAAGGAAAGTGCCAAGGATAGCGGGTATCCCCGTGGTAATTTGTTGGATATCTTTTCGAGTATGCAGTGGGAGCTGCGGACGGTAACTTCTCGATGAACAGCATTGCTGAAAAACTATCGAATGTATCGAACAATCTAGGTCTTCTTTCCGCAGTGCCTGGCTTGAGCGTCGCTAACATGACTTCTTCATGGCTCATATGTTATTCCCTATTGCACTCAAGATAGCATAATACTCCCTCATCGCAAGAGTGTCCAAACCCCCTCATATCAAATGAAGTGAAGTGCTAGAGTACCCACGCGAATAGAGGATAGTATGTCATTAATGCTAGCTTTTGGTGTTATTTTTCTTTTTATTCTCTCTTTCTTTCTTTCTTCTTCGTCTTTGTCTTTGTCTTTCTCATAATGATCAGGTGAAAAGCCAGACAGGGAAGTCATGCCGTCATGTATATGGAGCCCAGTATTATATATCTATAACCTGCTAGTTCAATAGTCACTTTCAGAACTCCGATTAACCCCGCAATATATAGCGTAGAACCGCCGTGGTAATCTGGCACATATGATGTAGTTTTTCAATCTCAACTTGAGGCTCCAAAGACTATGCTCTTTGCACGAGGGCGCATCGGAAAAACTGGCTTTACCATGCATCTTCATCTGCTCAGTCACATTCCAGGTCAGAATTGTTCTAATTTGCCCGATGGTCCTACCTGCAAAGACCCAATATAGCTTGTCTTTCTGGTCGTCTGTGGATCAAGAGGATCAATAACCTACCACCCATGGAAATGCATTATTGTCTAGGGCTTGCTACGCTTTTCCCATGCTGCTTCTAGACATATCGCGACGGAGAAAAGGGGGCGCCGATTCAGGCCTAGAGGACCTGTGGAGTCAAAGAGTAGTAATTTGTGTTCTAACACTCTTATATGTCACTATCGGGGATTTGATGGCACAGTATCGATGAAGAAATACATCTTAGTAGTGTAGTCATTGTCAATCGGCTCCGAAAATATATTTCCGTGCGGCTACACCTCAAGATGCGATAAACACTAAGATCTCAGCGCCGATTCAAGTGACAGTGTAGGTGAAAATTGTACCGAATAGACCCCAAAATTATCTGATTATTGTCGCTTATACTGTTTTTCTTCTCTTTCATCTCTAGGGCTTTTTTTACCCTTCCTTCGGGGTTGTTCGGGAAGCGGAAAGAGTGACTCCGAACCGGCGGGAAGAAAGCATCGCACTAGATAAACAGTCATGGCTGATATCGGCCGAGTTCGTCATGAATATCCCCGGTTGAGAAGCCCGCGCGTTTTCGAGAGAAAGGGTTGTTGGTGCCCTGGACAAGAACAGCTCGTACAAAAAGGCACTGTGAGGGTTGTGAGCTTCCCTTGCCTATATAAATTGCGCAATTGCGATCAAATCCAATCAAGTCAATTGTCTTTGTCTTCCCCGGGGCGGGCGGGCATTAATAAGAAGGGACAGTCAGAGTGAGACACGTGCCGGCCCACCTGCTCCGAAGGCCGGCCCCCTCTTCTGCGCTGGCTGGATTCTAACTTGTCCGACTGACCACACCGGCGGCTTAAAAGCAGACCCCACCTTTTCCACTGGCTTCGATCCCTTTGTTGCTGCTGACTCCTTCACATCTGTCTGTCTGTCTGTCGTTGTGTTGGCTTCGGGGAACTTGCAGAGTTTGACAAGGTGTTGCGTTATATATGAATTGATCCTGTCCCTTTCCTCCCTCCTCTCCTTATAAGTGGTCTTGCTATCCCTGGTGGAGTCGGTGAGCCACAGTCACAAAGAGCGTCAAAAGCGCAGGCTTGTATGATTCTTTCTGTGGAGTAATCTCTTTCTTCTTCGAACTTGTCCCGGACGTGTAAGTCCAGTTTTCCAATGACTAGACCATCGTTCCCAAGGCCCCCGGGAATGTCCTGTCACTCTTAACATGAACCGTGAATTAGGATACTGACCTGCCTTTCTAATAGCTAGTGTAACTCTTCACCATGCATATCAAAGAGAAGCTCGCCCAAAATGAAGCGGCCGGAAGGACGGGGATTTCCTTCGAATTTTTCCCACCCAAGACGGCCCAAGGTGTCCAGAACCTCTATGACCGAATGGATCGCATGCACGCATTAGGCCCTTCCTTCATTGATATCACGTGGGGCGCTGGTGGCCGACTATCGGACCTGACCTGCGAGATGGTCAATGTTGCGCAGTCGGTGTATGGCTTGGAGACATGCATGCACTTGACTTGCACGGATATGCCGCTGGGGAAGGTGGACGCTGCGCTCCAGGCTGCGTACAAGGCAGGCTGCACCAATATTCTGGCTCTCCGCGGTGATCCTCCGCGTGAGAAGGAGGCCTGGGAAGCCACAGACGGGGGTTTCCGCTATGCGAAAGATTTGGTACACTATATCAGGGGCAAGTATGGCAACCACTTCGATATTGGCGTTGGAGGTTATCCTGAAGGTGCGGATGATAACCCGGATGTGGATCAGTTGATCGACCACCTTAAGGAAAAGGTCGATGCTGGCGCTTCATTTGTCATCACTCAGATGTTCTACGACACGGACAACTTCATCGAATGGGTCAAGAAGTGCAGAGACAGGGGAATCAACGTGCCTATCATCCCCGGTATCATGCCGATTCAGACCTATGCTGCATTCATTCGGCGATCGAACTGGACCAAGGTTCGCATTCCCCCCGACTGGCTCGAGGCACTGGAACCAGTGAAGAATGACGACGCGGCCGTGAGAGATATTGGGAAGCGGCTTATTGCAGACATGTGTAGGAGACTTATTGCGGCTGGTATCAATCACCTGCATTTGTGAGTGTTTTTCGCTTTCTTCATCTTGAGTCAAGTCAGATTTTTGCTTACAAGGACGACCAGTTACACTATGAATCTTGCGCAGTCTACACAGTTGGTCCTTGACGAGCTCAACCTTATGCCGTCCGAAGAGACACCGATCCAGAGAGCTCTGCCTTGGCGGCCATCGCTTGGTCTCAACCGCAGAGCGGAGGATGTCCGTCCGATCTTCTGGAGGAACCGGAATTCATCTTACATCGCTCGCACGCAGACCTGGGACGAATTCCCGAACGGTCGCTGGACCGATTCTCGCTCCCCTGCTTTCGGTGAACTCGACAGCTATGGCATAGGCCTCAAGGGTACAAACGAACAAAACATCAAGCTTTGGGGAGAACCCAAGTCTATCCGGGATCTTACTCATATCTTCGTCAGCTTCCTGGAAGGAAAACTGGCGCGGTTGCCCTGGAGTGATACCCCTATCACCACCGAAGCGAACGCAATCAAGGAGAGTCTTGTTGAGCTGAACAAGAAGGGGCTCTTCACGATCAACTCCCAACCGGCCGTGAACGGCGTCAAATCTTCTCACCCCGTGTATGGATGGGGACCCAAGAACGGATACGTTTACCAAAAGGCATACCTCGAGCTTTTGGTCCCCCCTTACCTACTCGATGAGCTGATCGCTCGCATCGATAAGAACGGTGACCTTACGTACCATGCTATCTCAAAGACTGGTGAACTGCGGACCAACACCCGTGACAGCCCCAACGCCTTGACATGGGGTATCTTTGCAGGAAGGGAGATCGTTCAGCCCACTATCGTGGAGACCGTCAGTTTCTTGGCCTGGAAGGACGAGGCGTACCGTCTCGGTGAAGACTGGGCCAAGTGTCATGAGGCCTCCAGCCCCAGTAGAAAGTTGATTCAAGGCGTTATGGACAGCTGGTACCTTGTCAACATCGGTGAGTCTATCCTATTTCGTGTCCTTGTTGTGATAGTCGTGACTGACTTGAAACCTTTAGTAAACAACGACTTCCACAATACCAGCAACCTGTTCGATCTATTCAAGGGCCTGGATGTCCAAGATCTCGATACTGAAATCCCCGTCGAGAACGGTGAGCCCAAAACTCACACGAACGGAGCAGCAAATGGAACGACCAACGGCGTTACTAATGGAGCAGCCCCGGACACTGCAGTGAAGAACTAGATGCGAACTCTGCAGCCCCATGGGGATAGTTCAACATTACTATACATTTCTTCAACCTCACTTACGACTTCCTAATTCAACATACTACTACTACTACTAATTCAACATCATACCTCAACGACTATACCTGCCCGAATGGAACTCTCGGGCTTTGCAACGTTTTACGGCGGCACGATATGAAGACCTCTCAACGATTTCTTCCCTGAGCGTTATTTAATTTCAACATGACATCTTCACCTTCCAAAAAATATACCCCCCTCTCGAATTTTGCTTTTGCGCCCTCGAGCATGAAACTTCAACAATATTTTCATCTATCTACCATAGAGCTCGAAGCCAGCGGACCCAAAAAAGGAGCTTTTCTCATTTCTTTCTTATTCCTTTTCCTTCTCTCTCTCACTTTTGACTTTTCCAAAAGAGACGGCTTACAGAAAAAAAAAGGGGGACCTATGATATTCAACACTATGGATGACGGAGTTGGGCTTATGAGAACACATGTGTTACATTCAACAAAAAGTGATCCTCTTCAACATGGGATTTGGACGGAGTCTTTTTTCTAAAACGGATCATCTGATATATTTATTATATGTGGCTTTTTTTGACTAAGCCACTGCTCTGCATTTTATTTTCCCTTCTCATCTCACTGTTTGTCTGCATCTTTGCATCCCGGTTCATTGTGGTGCTAGCTGGGTGGTCGGATCCCCAGCACTTAAGGTCAAATAGACGCATGCCTTTCCTTCTTCTCTTCTTTTCTCTTATCGCAGTAGCACGCTATCAATAGAACTTGATGTCTGATTGAGTATGAGGGATTCAAATTTCTTTCGAACAACGGTGGTAGGGTACAAGGATTTGATAAAATGCATTCCAGTAGAATTGACAGGACGCTAGCTACAACAAAGTATCATGAAACGCCTATGGAAATGACAGGGGAATCAATACTGAATTACGTACAAATACTTAGGGCGAAAAAGAGAGGGTACAAACATCGATAAGGCTGAGCAAGAGTCTACTGTCCTTCGCCGTGACGCTCGAAGATGAAAGGATGTAGAACAAGAATGCCTTGACAAAAGTCCGACATCTGGTCGACAATTGATCGAGGAGCCAACTCATATTAACAGGGCTCGCCCCAATGTTCCCAGCAACCAAGCAAAAGGCTTTGCAAACCATACTATCCAGCTTCCAACAAGGACCACGTATCCGGCCGCCCGGCCTATTATCATCATGACGAACCCCAAGGTCACCAGGTAGATCATAGCCTCACAAAGGTCAATCAATGACCGGGCAAAATCCTTCCTATTGGGACTTGGCCAGGCTCCAGTTGTATTGTAGAGGGCTAGGATTGCCAAGAGATCCTTGAGAACATGCAAGCAGTGCTCAATCATTTTCAGGACACTGTTGAAGGCAATTTTCACCAGCATGGCCCGGGAATGTCGATTGGCCATGATCTGGTCATAGAGCTCCTGGAGCTGTCCTGCTAGCTCTATAAGGGCATCCCTAATGAGACTCAACATGTCCGGATTCACTGTCTCCTTCTCGTCGGTAGGCATGTTGCTATTATGCAACTCGGAATTGAAATTCGTGATCTTGGAAAGAAAAAGGTCCTCTTTGGATTTGTCGGTCACTTGCTGTCCATCCAATTCAGCCACTTCAAATGGTTTGATTTCCTTATCCATACTGCCCTGCAGCATATCTTTGCTGATTGAGGCCGTAGGAGAGATGTCATGCAGGGAGCCTGGCTTTTCAACAAGGGTCGAATCTGATGCGCTCTTCAATGAGTATATCCTGTCTTTCTTGGGTGATATGCTGGCAATCAGGGGCTTTCGATGATTGTTGCCGACGGAATCGCCGAATGTTCCTGTTGCGGACTTGGGCAGCCCTTGCGTACGGATGAATCCACGAATAGCGCGAGGCTTTTGTGGGGAGGTGCGTCCTGTTTCTGTTCGGCCTTGAGCTGCAGGGTGTGGGTTCGTCGGAGGGGCAGCATCCGAGGATGATATTTCGCAGGGTGCATTTGACTTTTCCCATGAATTTTGGGTGGCTCGTCGCAAGCCCGATGCTGAACTGCCTGTCTGTTGCTTTGCGCGGGAGTCCGTGATTATCTCGCCTGCGGTCCGCGAGGCAGGCTCCTGTGCATCTTGTTTCTTTGGGTGGTCTCTCAAGTCTGTCATGGTCACCATAGTGCGTGTGATAGTGGGTGTGATAATGAAGACATCGTCTGGCTTGAGACCCAATTGCTGCTTCTCGTAATGCTTGGTTGGGTTCCCTGATGAGTCGAGATTCTCCTTCAAAGGCGCTTTGGCAGAGACCTCCGGCCTTTCTGGTTGCCGACACTTGGCCTCTTGACACATTGTCCTGGCCAACGGCTTCGAGCATTGGGCTTGTTTCAAATTCTGAGAAATTGGTTTCCATTCTTCTTGAACGGCAGCCTTCTCTGGAGACACTGGTGCCGCCCGGTGGTGGTTCGTGGTGGTCTTCTTCGCTTCTCTCAGTACCTTGGGTCGCCCAGACGCGATGTCTATCATTTTGGGCCGCTCGTCCGTGGTCGAGAAAAGTAGTATCTCGTCGGGATTCTTGTCGTAAGGCCCATTGATTTCCTTGCACCCTAAAAAAGACCCATCTGGGTTCGCAATGGGGAGATCATGGGTAGATTTTGCGGGGGATTCTTCCCATATCGTGCTAAAGCGTTGCTTGCCGACCTCTTCTGGACTGTAATACCGTCGGTGTCCCGATGAAGTACTATGGTCGCTAGTCTCGGGTGGACGATCAAGACCTGAATCTTGGCCATCAAGACCGGGCACTTTCTTTTCTTGTCCTGGAGGGTTGTTGGCGCTGTCATCGGGAGTCCTGGTACGTGGGCTTGGGAGAGTCTCCGGATCAAGCATCGTCCCGCCTTCTTTGTGCACCTTTTCAATACTTTGCTGAAAGTTGGAGATTTGCTGGGCATTCATGCTTGGCGGATTTGGATCACGAGCCGATGGCATGTTGACCACAAACCTATCCTCCCACTCTGTTAGCGAGCTAGCAGGCGCCGAAACCGGCGATATTGAAGGATGCGAGCGCTCGGATGAGTCTGTGGTAGTGTCGGTTCTTTCAGATAATATTGCCGGCGTGGATTTACTGAAGTTTAGATGGCCTTGTTGGTCTCGGTTGGTCGGGCGTTTCCTTTGACCCGTAGAGGGACCTATCCCTCCCCCCCTCGGGCTGCGTCCAAGACTGACTCGGCTATCGTTTGAATGCGGGATCTTAGATTGTAGGTTGGCACTCTGCATTAAGGTCCGATCGACCCGAGGCGTTCCTCCAGCCAGCTGCTTCAGCTTCTGGCGGGCGATCTCTTGTCGGGGCGAGTTAGCCAGCGAAACGATTTTCCGGTAGGCCTCCTGATAGTATTCCTTGGGTTTCTCTTTGCTGAGCGGCGCCCTATTGTCCCTTTCACACCTATCCTTCACCTTCCTCCAGTACTGGTCGCGATCGTGGTCCGAGGTCCTGGGTGATGTACGCTCTGGTGTCCCGAACGACCTCCTTGGCTGGAGGGCCCTCTCGGCTCGGCGTCCTTTGTGTTCGGAACTGGCGGGGGTCTCTTTCTTCTTCTCCTTTTCCTTGTCGGTAAAAGACTTAGGAAGCGGTAGTTTGGTAGGCTTCCCCTTTCGTGGAGCAGTGTCAGGCGGTGCGCGAGTGGTGTCCTTGCTGGTAGAGGACCTTAGGCGTTCGTCGGGTTTGGATGCAGATCCTTGAGCTTGTGTGGGCGTCTGTACCTCGTGATTGACTCTTGTCCGCTTGCCGTGGCGGGGTCGAGGTTGAAGATTTAGCAGATGTCCATTGGGTAGATGAAAGATTTCCTCCATCTTCATCCGTTGAGGACTGCTGCAGCCCCAGCAGCTTCGACCTTAAAGCCAGGCAGCGTCAGCACAATAACCCATTCCTTCCCAAGCACGAGGATCCTTGTAGCTCTTGTCCAGTGGACACCCTTGAAGGCGTGCAGCGTGTGGATGGAGATGGGGACGTGGTTTCGTCAGAAAGAGGCAGGGATCTGGTAGGAAAAGTTCGCAATCCCACCCATTACTTGGCGCGTTCCGCTTGGTACTGAAGGGATAATGTATGTGACGATAAAGATTGGAATGTATGGCGATCCCGCGCTCGCCACTATGAAGAATGTAGCAACGGACGGATAGAGGCCGGCGGAGAATGTGTGTTTGGGCTTGTGACATAGTTTCGGCATAGCAACTGCAACCATCGCCCATCTAGCCCGGTTGTTTCCCTTTATCAGGCGCAGATCCCTTGGTCGGGAAGGCACGAAGGTCCATCGAGGATGAAGTCATGGACAACCTGCAAGACAAGGGCGCGGCCAGGCGCGTCAATCCCGGTCGTAGATCGAGGCTGGACGGAGGCATAACGAACAGCAACCTCGATGGGCAACTCGCCTGAGATGCAAATCCTCCAGCATCGCATCGGGCATGTTGCACAACGGCTGGCTCGTTATCGGTCACAGGTCTCGTCCATTGCCAGCCTACATTCCCAGTCTGGACCGGCACTCATCATTGTTTGCAGAAAGAGAATCCAATAGGGTCGCACAAGGGTCCACGGGAGGGTATCAAAGACAATAAAAAAAAGCATTTAATGAGAACAGGGATCCAAAAGCTTGTATGTTTCAACGCCACACCTGACACTCCCAAAGCAAACCAGGGTCACCAGAAGTACCCGATCTTGATAATGACCTTATGACAACGCCGTTAAGATGATACTGCATACTATACATGAGAGATGCCCCTTAACCGTGATCGCTGGCGCATGATGCCTTATCGCACTAATTAAATTAGAACCGACCACTTTCGCGTCGAGGGTCAATGTGACTCCGTCTCGGTCCCGGCGTTAGGGGACTTCCCGCAGGGACGTTGCTTTTCTTAAGCGGACTAGATGGCCTTCTCACTGCGCTTGCACCACGTTCCTTATAGAAAAAATCGCCGTTGTTCTGGAGACGACGTTCGAAATTGGTCGAAGTAGACTTCCTCAAAGGCGAGTTGGCGTGTGAGTAAATACCAAGACTTCCACCATCGCCCGTAGTAGTCGGTGTCTGCCGAAATTGTGGTTGGCGGATTGAAGAGATGGAGCCTCGGACAATAGGAGAAGCATCTCGCAAATGGCTTGGAGTCTGAAGTGCAGCTGCACGGTGAGAGACCCCGCTGGGTGTGGCTGCGAGGGACTGGCGTCCAGAGGACAGACCTTCAGGGTCCACATGGCTAATATAGTTGGGGTTCGGGCTCGTCTTGAATCCTCTATGGAGAACGACCGTCGGAGTAAAGGTATCGACCTTGTTCTGTTTAATATCGGAGTCGGATTCGGAGAACTGAGTGGCCACATCTCTCATCAACGGCTGAGTCCGAGGGTGCACGTATTTAGTGTCATACTCCCGCAGAACCTCCTTATGAACCAGCATAGAGTCTTTCGCTTGCTGAGTATAGGATGAGGAAAGGAACGTCATCTGTACCGAGAGCAGAGCCGCTATGAAGATAGTAGTCACGATAGTCACACTAGGTCGAGGATCGGAAAGCTGGGTGGGCAGGAATACCCAGTATACCAAAACATGGCCAGGGCTGAAGAGGCAGAATAATCGAATGCAAATAGGCAGGGGGTCCCAGACAGCAAGCTCCCACACATCCCGCTGCGCGTCTGCGTGCGCCCTCGACTGTGTCGATTTAGCTAGCGTATCAGCCAGATATCTCAGTGGCGAATCGGTCACGGGTGTTGAATTGACCCGCACCCTGTGAGCGGACGGTGTTGCAGGAGCCCGATCGATTGAGGCTTCGAACATGCGATAATGTCGCTTGCGGTAGAATGTATAGAAAGCGTTGAATGCGGTAAAGGTGGTAAGGAGGTGGACGATAAAAGAAGCCTATGAATCGCCGAGTTAGCATCGAAACACGATGCATGCATATTCCGATAGCAAGAGTATCAAGTCAAAAACAGATCTGGCATCACATACAAACCAACTAAGCCACGGAGTACTTCCATCGTCACCGAAGACATCATCTATAGCTTGACTGCTGTTCGATTGACTGTTCGCGCGGGCAATCAGGAATATGATATTCAGAGCCACCCCCACGGGGAACGCCCAGTTCTTTTCGAACTGATCCCAATCATGTGTATCGATCTCCTCCGACAGCCATAGTAGAAAGTCCAAAGGATTCAAGTAGGATTTGATGCGCTCCGTTAACGGTCGGCGGCGGACAAGCCGGGGCATGATGAGGGTGATAAGGCAGTGTGCGACGCGATATGCTGGACAATCAGGATTTGTACGTTAGCCTCGTAGCCCGTAGGTATAGCAGCGCGGAAACCGAGAATTTGGAACAAACCAACCTTTGGTAAAATGATGCAATAGACTGAAGCCGAAGTTTCCTTTTTTTCCGCTTGTAAACAAAGGTGGAGTGCAACCCCGGCTTAGGTAAGCAGCGCCGGAGCCGTTATGACGACGTCCGCTTGGAGGGAATCGGGATCCAGACTCGACGGGGCCAGCTTTACGTTCCTGTCTTCGGCTCAGGGGGCGACGCGAATTATCTTTGGTCGGTGAAACTTGTCGACTTCGAAGCAGTCTACCAACCCACGCTTTCTGCCCCCCCTTCTCTTGTCACTATGGCGGCTCCGGCCGTATCATACAAGGTACTATCACGTTCCCCTCACTTTGCGTTGCCAGCAGACAGTCACTAACCATATACACAACTAATTAGGACCGGCAGTTCCTTGCTGTCATCGGAGATGAAGAGTACATCACGCCTTTTGACTCCTTGGGGATATAACCTCCGCTGATTATTTATGTCCAGCTCCGTAACTGGCCTCCTTCTTGCCGGTGTCGGTGTACGTATCCTTACGGCTATAAGATAGCGGCAACATGCGACTCAACTAACTTGTTATCGCAGCACGTCACAGATGGGCCGGAGGCCCAGCGAAACTTCCTGGTGGTGGATTCCAAGACCGAAACCTCCGCGATCGAGAAAGCATTCCAGAACTTCACCGAGGAAAGGAAAGATATCGCCGTGGTCCTCATCAACCAACATGTACGTGGCTCCCTTTCGCGACGTCTGCGGACTACATCGTTAAATCTTTACGCAGCTACTAAGGCTCGAATACAGATTGCAGAGCGTATCCGCCACAGCGTCGATTCCTTCGCCGAGGCTTTTCCTGCCGTTCTTGAGATCCCAAGCAAGGACCACCCATATGACCCTGAAAAGGATAGTGTACTCAAGCGGGTGCGCCGTCTGTTTGGAGAGTAAATCTAGCGCGCTGTTTCTTTCGACTTAGGATCCTGAATGTATTTCGTCGGGTCGTGTCATGCATACCGCACTGTCTCTTTTTCCCGTTTTGCGAATTGTACACATGATGAGAGGAAGCTTGAGGGCAAAGGGAAGATACCCAAATATATCATTCATGCACATAGAGCTTTACGCTTCCAATTTTGCTAAAACATCCCCAAGAAATTCTGCACAACGCTATTCATTATGGCCATTAACTGGCAGGCTAAGTAGCATTGAATTGATTTTCCGAATGCAATCTTGGTACAGATGCTGATTAGTGTCAATGAGCAGTAAAAAAGAACGAACGGTGATAAGGATGTACTACAATGTATCTTTGAGCTGATGCTCCGAACGCCGCAGATGTAGCGCAACGAAAAGTTTACAGCAACGATGGTAAAGCATGAAACCTGGCTATCGTGGGCTTTGGAATATCACAGTGAGGCTTGGGACTGAAGGTTAAGCCGGGGGAAGGAATGAGAAATCAGCTTATAGGCGCAACGTCAACTCGTTATAGGCGAAGAGACCAAAGGACATTCAGCGTTAACAGTAGAGAGTCGGCATCAAGAGACCTCGTACTCAGACATAGCCAGTCAGCTATCAGAGGAAGTTTCTCTTGAACACGACATTGGGTGCGTCAAGACAGGTAATCCGTCTGTCATCTGCAGTGTAAACGTCGGCGTGCACCGTGTATCTGCCCTGTTGATCGATTGACATGATCAGTCTCTGCCTCACAAGCGATATGACCTGAGGAACAACATACCGGAGGGATCTGGCTGGGCAGATCGACCTGTTTGGTCAATGCCATCTCACCCTTCTCTAGAGGACACTCGAGATCAACGTTGACGATCTGGTCGCACAGGTCGGCTCTCTGTCTGACCAGAGTAATTAAGCCATATTTGACCTCCAAGAGCACATAAGCACCCTTTTCAATTTTCTCATTGAAGGTACCCTTGGCTTCGATAGTGAGAGTCTGTCCACTATAAGTCAATCAGTATGCGATCCGGTCCAGATAAGCCAGGGCTCATTGAAGCGTACGGGAGAGGAGGATTAGGCGACAGGTCCACCTTCTCTATTTGCAAGATATAGCTAGAAGGGTCACTGCAGTACTCGAGCGGGTTTTCTCCCTCCACATGCTTCCCTTCTGCCTTAATCGGCGTCTGGGAACCAAAGAAGTCCAAAGACCGGGCAGTAGCAGAGAAGGGCGCAACGCAGAGGAGGAATGTCGCGGCGGTTGATAAGAGCTTCATGGTTGCAAGGATGATAGAGCTGCGGCTTCAGTGTAGGATATAAAACGGTATAACAGTAAAGAGCTGGTTAAGTTGATAATGAGTAAATCCAACGAATACTCAACTGAGGAGTATCCCGAGAGGTACAAATAAGGGAGGCAAGAGGAGGAGGAGCGGTGTCATGGGACGGTGCCTGTCTTGGCGGTCCCCGATGACGACGGGCGGATGGGGTTGCACGTGATGAAGACCGGGGCCTTAGTCCGCTATCTGCTAGTGCCACTGTCTATCCAAAGCATTCGTCCTAGATCCATCCCACATCGTTGGCTCTTATCTCTAGCATACCATAGACTAACCAGCACCTGATGCAAGCATATAAGCCCCTGGTGTGATGGCCTTCGTTTCGAGGTCCTCGCTATATTCATTGTTACTACTATTCTGTACTTGCCCGTTTCACTAAGGTTATGGAGTCGGGATCATAACATGGGGTTGACCCACAGCCCCGGAGGCGCAGGCGTTACCAACGATTATCGATATCAACATCGGGCCTACTCTCTCCATACAGCCACACCACCACAATCGCGATCAGTACTGCATTGGTGGTCAAGTGATACTAGAGGATCGTCCCAGAGCGTAATTGTTTCCCCAATTCACAGGGCTGTTGTCGTTGCAAAACTATTTACAGAAGATCATACAATATCAATATCAGATTACGCTTATACGCTTAATGCTCGGAGACAATAATACCGGCCATGCCCATTCCCTAGAAGAAATATTAAGTCAGTCTGGAACCCTATGTTTCTGCCATTCGCAGATTCAGCAAGAAGGACTTACCGTTCCGACACACATCGAGGTGACTGCGACTCTCTTGTTCTGTCGTCGCAACTCGGACAGGGCAGTCACAACCTGACGCGCTCCTGTACAACCCAAAGGGTGACCAAATGCACTAGGCCTTGTCAGCGGTTGAGCTTAGATTGAAATCTCAACAAAACTTACATGGCACCGCCCCGGGGATTAACCTTAGCCTCATCCAGTCCTAGCTTCTGAACACAATACGTTCCCTATGCCAAAGTTAGCCGGTACTTGCGGTCCCACCAAAGATCAGTATCTTACCATGGAGGCGAACGCCTCATTGATCTCGAAGATATCCACTTCCTCTTTATTCAGACCGAACTTGGAAAGGATCTTGGGAATGGCGATCGACGGACCAATGCCCATGATCCTAGGCTCTAAGCCTGCAACGGTAGCACCGCAGAACTTGGCCACGATGGGTTGACCTAGTTCCTGGGCGCGAGACCGCTTCATAAGGATAAGACCAGCAGCACCATCGGTGATCTGACTAGCATTTCCGCCAGTAGTGGCGCTAGGCTTCCACTGAGGGAATGCGGCGCGGATCTTGCCCAGAGACTCAGCAGTGGTGCCGTAACGAATGCCATCATCCCGGTCCACAACAATCTCCTTCACCTCACCCGTCTTTGGGTCTTTGATCGTCGTCTTCACAGGAACAATCTCATCGTTGAACCATCCGGCCTTCTGGGCACGCTCAGCTTTCTGGTAGCTGTTCGCTGCAAAACGGTCCTGCATCTCACGAGTGATATTGAATTGCCCCGCAACATTCTCGGATGTCTGACCCATGGGCTGGGTATTCTGTGAGGCGATCGGGTGAGTTAAAATTTGGGAAGACATCTCTGGAGCACCACCGTCGGCATTGTTGCTCATGCTCTCAGCTCCCACTGCAATACCGACATCGATAGAGCCTGCCGTAATCTGGTTGGCAATGTTTTGGATAGCTAGCAATCCGGAAGAACAGAAACGGTTAGCGACAGAAGCGGCAGCTGTGGCAGGAAATCCTGCAGCCAGCACTGCGGACCGTGCGACATAAGCTCCACCGGGGCACAGCACGTTTCCAACGCAGACATCTTCAACGAGACTGGGGTCAAGGTTCGATTTTTCGCGGATGGACTGGAGATTTGATCAGACACGGAGAAGCAGGTCGGCGCCGGAAAAGCAAATTACCGTCAGTAATGAGATGAGAAGGTCATCAAGACTCGTATCCTTTAACCCGCCTTTTCTGGCCTTGGTGAGTGGGGTTCGAATGGCGAGCGTGATCACCTGCTAAACGTCAATTTCGTTCTATAGAAGAGAAGGGATGAGCCATCGTACAATATCATCAGGGGTCTTGGATAGGAGGCGTTGCTTTGCAGACGCAGCACCAGGCCCCGAGAGCTGGTTTGCGATGGAAGTTAAACGTTGCTGGGCTGAAGACATGACTTGAGCTCTCTCCTTGCGTAATCTTGGCAGGGATTTCTTTTCAAACACAGCTCACTGTTTAAGACAATGGAAATTATATAGAAAAGGGAAAGCATACAGGAACTACTCCGCGCATGTTGGGTATTAAATTATCCTGGGGCAAACACGGGGGCGACGAGATCAACCGCGGTTCCAGGCAAGCTCAGTACACTGATACGCTGATACAGAAAAGCAGCCGAGCCGAACTCAACTCGGCGCCAAAGCCGACCATGCAGGCCTGGGGCACTCCACTTGCAGCCGAGCGAAATGCCGCTCCCTTGTAACACCTCCGTATGATACGGTATCCCCCCATCGCCTCGGCTGTCGGTCCTTTTCCCTTCTCTTCCCCAACCGTGAGACTTGGAGTGTAACCTGACCACTCAAGGATGCCCCTCCTTGACTGCACAAGATCTCTCCGATACGCCGCCAATACCATTTGTCTTCGGTGGGTCATGACGGGCCGGCTTAGCGTCCAAGGCTCCGAGCACCCACTGGACTTGACCTTGCAGAGTGTACCCAGTATGGACTCATCAAGGCAACATGATCTATCCACCAGGCATTGTGTGTTCTCGTTCATTTCAGGTTCGAAGCTATCTCTCCTCTATTCTGCCTACATCAGCCATGCAGTGTTATAAGGGTGAGTCGAGAACAAATCATCCGTGCCATGAGGTAAATGCGTCCGAGCGCTGCTATCTGGCATTCATACCTCCGGCCGGGGAAATGCCACGGGCGTGGGGACCACCCGGTGCCAGCCTCCAATTGAAACTTCGCCTGCCTCGTACCTTATGTCGGAATCCACTCCATGTTCGTTGCCGCTGCTCTTTCTCTCCAATCGTGGGATTCATCCGTTTGCCCACTAGGCTACTGTAATGCTAATAGAGAGTCGTAGCAGGGACGGCAGCTGTCGGTAGATCACGTCCCGACCCCAGATTCCGAGCGCATAGAATCCTCTGACGCGTCTCTGTTGCTATATCTGCCCACTTTTCCGGATCAGAGCGGAGCTATGTTAAGATCCTGACTCCTGAAGACTGCTATCAATGTGGGGTTGAGTGTTCCGCTTCGTTATCTGCTTGAATTGACTAGAGATAGTCAAGCAATTGCTCTCGACGCTGCAAGAGATTTTCGTCCCCGTCTTCGAGATTAATTACAGTCAAGCATCTTCACGGTATTACTCACAGATGGAGTACCTCTCTGAAATCAGCGGTCCCTCCATAGCAATCGCCTCAGCTCTTTCAGCCGCTGCGGGCGCTTATATCAATGCCAAATTCTCGGTCTCTAGTGACCTGGCATCGCTATACAATGAACGGTCATGGACAAATCGCCTAGGCCAGCGGATCGCCCAATTGGGAGACACTACCACGATATATAAGATGCTAGAACGGGTGGTGGAAATTGAGGGACACGGTTCAGCTGAAGCCCTGTGGTTTGAACACAGGACATGGACATATACTCAGCTAAAAGACCGTACGTGAGCATCTATACTGGCATCCGCATCCCTTGACTAATTCGTGCCTAGTTGTTGATAGATTTGCGGCTCTCCTTCATACCAAGGATATCCACCCAGGGGATTACGTTGGTGTTTTCACCACTAACTCCCCAGAAATGGTGGTGGCGATCTATGCACTCTCTAAACTGGGAGCCATTGCTGCTCTCATAAACACCAACCTGCGTGGTATGAAACCAGACTGATTTCTGGTGTAAAACATGCTAACTGCGTTATCGAATAGATGATACCTTTATTCACTGCCTCCGTGTCTCCGGAAGTAAATACATTATCTCAACGCCTGACATATCGCAGTTTGTGTGCTCCGATTTGCCTCATTCAGCGTTAAATCTATCTGCTTTTGATGGCGTCTCTGCGGGAACGACAGCGATAATCACCTTGACAAATTTGCAACAACAGTCTCTCTCAGGACTGACCGCCGCCAAGAGGTCTATAGGCGATTTGAGCGCACTGATCTACACCTCAGGGACTACGGGAAAGCCCAAGGCTTGTGCTATCCGCAATATGATGGCGCTTATTACCTCCAACCCTCATACTATAGACGTCAACAACCGCTCCAAGTACTACCCGCTGCGCACTTACTCCCCTCTTCCGCTCTTCCATGGCACCGCCTACTTCACAGGTATATGCTACTCGGTTGGGAATGCAGGCACTCTGTGTCTTCGCCGGAAGTTCTCCGCTTCTCAGTTCTGGAAGGATGTTCATGATTCGAGAGCAACACGTATTCTATATATCGGCGAGCTCTGCAGGTATCTACTGTCGACCCCCCCATCTCCATATGATCGGGATCATGCTTGCATTGTTGCAAGCGGCAACGGATTGCGTGGAGAGATTTGGGAGCGCTTCCGCGAACGATTCGGGGTCCCTGAAATTCGTGAATTCTATCGGTCAACAGAGGGGGTGGCAAAATTTGACAATTGGGGAGTAGGAGCATGGGGCGCTGGGAAGGTTGGATTTTCCGGTCCAATCAAACGGCTTTTGGAAGACGACACATATATTGTGAGGTACGATACTGAGACAGAGGCACCCTACCGGGACCCCAAGACGGGATTTTGTATTCAGGCCAAACTTGGTGAGGAAGGAGAGGCAATTGGCCGGGTGAAGAGCCGAGGCCTGCTCACGGAATATCTCCATAATAAAGATGCGACAGAGACCAAGCTCCTTCGGAACGTCTTCAAGGATGGCGACCTCTTCCAACGCACTGGTGATCTGGTCGTGAGGGACCATGATGGCTGGGTCAGGTTCCAGGACCGTGTGGGAGATACCTTTCGGTGGAAAGGGGAGAATGTCAGCGCCGGAGAGATCCGAGATCATATTTGCCGGCTACCATCCATCCACGATGCGGTTGTTTATGGCGTGAAATTGAACGGGTACGACGCTGGAATCCCCCAGCCTCACAAGATTACCGCGATGGAATGCTAACAAATGTCATTAGCTATGACGGTCAAGCTGGCGCAGCTGGCATCACTCTTGAGGATGCATCTCCTGCAACCGAGGAAAGTGTCATGGTCAGCCTATATTCGGAGTTGAAGAAGAAGGGGGTACCGTCCTACGCGTTCCCGCGCCTTGTTCGACTCACGGACAAGTAAGTTGCTCGCCGGCATTGTGTACTGTGTTTTCTGACTGTAATCAGGGTGGAAACCGGGGTAACCTTCAAGCAAGCCAAAGGGGCGTTGACCAAGAAGGGGTGGGACCCTCGGACGGACTGGGGCGGGGATAAGCTGTACTGGCTCAACGGCACGGCCTACCAGAAGCTCGATGGGCAGAGTTGGATGTCGATAGAAAGCGGGCAAGCGAAGCTGTAGATGCAGTATTGCAGTATCTCTTATACATGGGGAGTAGTAGACACTGTTTACAATGGATACAAGGCGCAGACCCAGGAATGCATCGTCACTTGCTAGCAATGTGGTGAATTGACCCCAACATTTTTGGTCATGCAGGCACCATGTTACATTGTTGACGTGCCCCTCCAAGTCTTGGTGGTCTTGCTCAACCCCAAGATTATTTTGCGGAAGCGAGTCTACCGAGTCAGTCGCCTTGGGTGTTATCGTGCTATCGTGCTATCTATCGGGCCTTATCTCCCTACATTTTCTTCCCCCCCGGAAAACCCGCGCGGGGTTGATCTTCCCTGCAGCCCATTTCACTTAGATCCTGGCCAGGTAAGGGCAATTTGTCGATGGTCATGACCATGGAAATGGCTTCTCTCAGCTCGGCTTCTCCTCCTCCGTCTTCCGAAGGCGTACACAAACCCGGCGACGTGAATGTGGTTCGAGAAGTGGATCAAGAGGCAGATGTCGTGCAACGAGTCGCACCCGACCAGATCGACGACAAATACCGCACCACCAGATGGGAGATCTGGGCTTATTATGCGTGCGTTGCTTACATATCCCTGTAGAGTGGACACTAAACCACCAATCTAGCTATTATATAGGGAATAATGGCCTCTCTCTTTTCAGTAAGACTCTCCTCGTCCAAGGATCACCCCGCCGCTAACACTTGCTACCGACTTTGCTCCCACGGCCTGTCAGAACCTTCTCTCGCAGGCTGCAGGCGACCAAGGCACCCTTCACTTTGCCGGGAAACAGCGCTCCATAGACAGCATCGTTCTCCTCAGCAATGGAATCTCTTTCGCCATCCAAGTCGTCCTTTTCCTGATCATCGGCAGCTTTGCGGACTTTGGGAATTGGAGACCTAATATACTCATTGTGCTCTCGATTGTCGCTTACGCCATTGGCTTTGCTTGGTTAGGTGTACACGAGCCAGATAAGTGGCACGTCGGAGTCGGACTATACATCGTCGGGCTGATCGCCTATCAGACCACTCTGACGTTCTGGACGGCGGCATTTCCAGGTCTTGCGAGAAACACGAAGGAAATGAAGGAAATATCTGAACAATACGTCGCTGGAAATATCTCCAGAGATGAATATGATCATGCCGATACGATGAAACGCAGCCAGCTGGCGAACATCTCTTTCTACGTCCAATCGGTCGGTGAACTCTTCGTCCTGGCTGTCATTGTAGGCATCATGTTCGGACTGCACGTCGATGCCAGCGAAGCGAACAACAACTGGGGTTTGAGCGTCCTCATCGCATTTGCCAGTGGTATTTGGCTCCTCGTCTCGTTGCCATGGTTCGTCCTTGAGAAGCGAAGGCCAGGACAAGATCCGCAGGGGAGCATCATTGTTGCCGGGATGAAGCAGCTCATCCATGCGGGAAAGCAAGTATGGAAGCTCAAACAGAGCGTTATTTATCTTATCGGTATAGTCTCATCAATTACGGTGCTTCAGCCAGATCCATTGACACACATATAGGATACTTTCTCCTCGGCGACTCCCTGAACACGACAGTGACAGTCATCTCCACTTTGCAAAACAGCATCGTATCTTACAACACACTCCAATTGACCTACCTATTACTGGTCGGAATCGCAGCCCAGGCCATCGGAATCTACGCCTTCTGGTTCGCCCAGCAGCGATACAACCTCAGCACAACAACCATGTTCAACCTCATAGCCATCTCAATCATCCTCCTCGACGGCTGGGGTATGATCGGCATCTGGACTCAGAAGTTCGGCTTCCATCATCTCTGGGAAGTCTGGGTAAGTCGACCCACCACCCACCATCACCACCCCAATAACACCCACCCCACCACTAACAAACCACCCAGGTCTACCAACTCTTCTACGGCCTCTTCGTCTGCCCTTGGTACAGTTACTCCCAAATCATGATATCAGAAGTAACGCCGCGTGGCCACGAATTCCTCTTCTTCAGTCTATTCAGCATCATCGGCAAGACGTCCTCGTTTATCGGCCCACTGGTCTCCAGCGCTATCATCGATGCATCGCCATCGAAAAACAGTTCAATGCCATTCTATTTTCTGTTTGCGCTGAGTCTCGCTAGTTTTGGGTTTCTGGTGATGTTTTTGGATTTGAAGAGGAGTCGTAAGGAGCAGGATGCTTTTTTGAAGGAACAGACACCGATGGATGGATGATGGGTGATTGGATAGGGTTGGTTGGTTGGGTTAGGTGGTGGGTTCCCGATTGATAGGGCTTGGTCTCGATCGGCTTTATGAGGTTATGAAATTCTGGTGATCCTGGGATGTCTACTAGGATGGCAACCCGAGTAGATAAGACTAATAATAAGTAACTACTACGACCGTGAATCGTTGAAATACAGAGAGACTAGTAGTTGAGGCTTTGGCAGATTGGGTGAGTCAACGGCAAAAGACAATCATATCTATTTGATCTTAATCTCATACCATATCCAATCAGCCAGTTAGTAAGACCAATGGCTTTCCACAATAAGTATAAAGTATACAGGGCCAGACCCACTCAATACAGGCTTTTTTTTTCTTCTCTCCCTCCGGATAGATACAGAAGGGAGTGAGATGTGGGGAAGAACAAAAAGAGACAAGAAAACTCCAGCCCATGCTATGCCTAAGCGCCTTATCTCGAAAGTATTCACGAAGGGTAACCCGAAGCAACGACGTAAGAGAGAACAGAAAGTGAAGAAGAGGAAAGAAGGAGACAAGGAGAGGTGGGAGCGCAGAGATAAAGCGCTTCACGCCTCTCCATCCGACGCATCCTCTTTCGACTTGGACTTCTTCTTCTTCTTCTTTTCTTTCCGCTCGGCGGAGTCGTCGACATCCGCGGCCTCGGAGTCCCGCTTGCGCTTCTTCTTGTCCTTCTTCTCCTTCTTGGACTTTTCCTTCTTCTCCGCTGCGTCGACCTCCTCGGGCGGGACGAATGCCTTCTCGCGCTCCTTCATCTTCTCCTCGCGCTTGACCCGCTGTCTCTCCATCACCTCCTCCTTCTGCGCGCGATCCTTGGCTTCCTTGGACAGGAAGTACTCGCCGGACTCGATCTGCAGATCCACCTTGCTCTTCTCGGGCGCCGGCGGGAAAGGAGTGTAGACCTTCTTCGTCTTGTCGGTAATCTTGAACGGGACGCGACGCTTGGACAGGGTGCGCTTCTTGAAGTTAGGTAGGAACCGGTCCCAGGATTCGGTGGCCAGGGTCGGGTCCTTGGCCAGTTCGCGCTTGATCATGAGTTCCTTGATGTGGTAGATCGGGTGGATGTTGGCCATGCAGTCGTCAATGATACGACGGACTTCCTTGAGTCCCTTGAAGGGACCCATCGCCGCCACGGTGTTTCCCTGCACCAGGATGTAGGTGCTGGTCAGAAGCTCGAGGGCTTTGAGGGTGGAACCGTTGGGGCCGAGAATACGTTGACGACGCTTGACGAAGCGCTCCTTGTTGCGGACTTGGTTGCGGATCTTGATGATGTCGCATGCGATGTCGTCTTCGAGGATTTTAAGGGCCTATTGCGTGGTAAGGCATGTCAGCGGGGAAAGGTCCAGCAGTATTAATGATACAGGAGTGGGGTGTTCTCACCTGTTGGACCGGCACACTTCTCGACAACAGCTTGATCAGATCGCGGGCCTTGAGAATCGCAGCAGGATCGAACGTCTTCCGGGTCGTCTTGACCGTCATGCTACCCTCGACCAAATCGAGAGTGCAGGCGATTCCGAACTTCTCGAGGGCTCTCGTCACGACGGGCCATGCCTCCTTCAGGTAGACTTCACGGTACTTGGGGAAGAGAGTAGCGAAGGAGGATTCCTCGGCGAAACTACCGGCGACATTGTCGTCGGCTTTGAAGGGATCGATCTGGTCGCAAATTTGCAAGTTAGTTTCTGTGGTTGAGTTTTGCAGTTGGGCATGTGGGCTTGCATACCTTCCACTTGTCAATGTCGTCCGTGTCCCACGGCTTGTCCCTCTTGTAGGTGGAAGGCATGTTGAGTCCAGGGGTGGCTCTGCTGATCTGCGACGGTGATGAGGAGTCTGTGAGTTGATGATCGAATGGCGGCCAACTTTTTCTGAGTCCCCGCGGGTGCTTACCCGATTGGGTAATCCCCTGTTGCCTGGGGAATCAGGCGCCAACCAGGCATCGAAGGCTGCTGGGATTCCCGCCATAAGCGCCCAAGCGCCATTTCGATCACCATCAAGATGGAGGCTCTAACGGGTGGCTCGGCGCTCCTACGTAGCGGTCTACTAGCATCCGACTTATTCGTCATATGAATCTTAGGAAGGGGTTCCAATTCACAGAGGAGGGTTTATATGTTTGGCGACGAAGAGCCACCGTTTACTGTCAGAACCCGTTCTTTATTGATGGCCAGGTCACACAATCTCAGACAATCTGATGTATCAGATTCTAATGGTGGACGCGACTAGGCCATAGAAGTGAAGAAAAGCTTTCGTCCACCAATTATTAAGTGTCATGTTGCCATTCCTATCTCAGCCCATTGGATCGATCGTGAAAGCGGGTCACCAATGGATTATTCCGTCAACATAGCAGGTGGTGTCGACCCGAGATGAGGAGACTCCGTAGATAATCCATTGAGGATGATGTTATTAGGCATGAACTATCCCTTGGACATCACTTAGCACGTATTGGCTTTGTCAATGGTCCTGAGGATCACTTCAGGTGTCATGGGATTTTGCGCCGCATATTGCTTCGAATCAGTCTCAAAGGTGGCAGACCATAGGCGACACGGGAAGTGGAAACACCAACTAAGCACCCATCCTATCATAGTAGCGAAGCGAGACTCAGGTCCCGGGAATCCCTGGCAAGGAGGCACATTCCTGCGGGCAGAAGGCCGGTCGTTTCATTGCGTCACTGATGAGAGGAACACCCCAGCAGGAGCGACATGAGCTCGATTAAATCCAGGTTGTAACCCCAGCAGTGACGGTGTGGACCAGTCTCGATTGGACTCTCATGTATGAAATGGGAGGAGTGAATCTAGACCTGGGCTTATCTCGGGGCGATTTTCATGGGCGAGTCAGTCGGGGGTCAGTCGGTCACTGGTCCAGTGGTCAGTCAGGCACAAGGTCCCGTGGCTCTGGTTCCGTTCCCGAAACGCTGTTTCCTCCCTCCTTCTCACCTTTCTTTTTCTTCGTACTCCTCGTGGCCCCCCTTCGTACTCCTGGACCTTGAATCCCCCCTTTCGTGGATATTCCTGCGTTGGCAGCTCAGGTCTTTCTTTGATCTTCGTGACTCGCTCAATATCCGCTAATAATCCCCCAATATGAGCCAAATGCACCACCCTATTTACACTGGACAATTCGCTCCTCTTGCGGATGTTGTTTCCTAATGCTGCCGGGGTCCGTACTCCCCTTGTTGATAGTCAGCAGAAATAGCATTGTCTGTTTCTCAACAACCCTCCTTCTGCTTGGCTAGTTGGGCAACCGACATACTGTCTTGCCATGGCCTTGTTTCGGGTGAAAGCCAAGCCTAGTCGGAAACTCGAAACTTGTCAGTCAGACCAACCGGTCTAATTAACTCAGTATACGTTAACACCCTACCCGGCACCGCTAGGATGATGAGACCGGGCGATCTAGTACTAGTTCGCTGCTTGGGACTGCCTGGGAGGGATGTGGGGCATGGTCACTATGGATGACAACCAGGAAGAAACATTTTTGACGCTGCGTCGGGGCAAGAAGACTGGCGTGATGAAGATTCCCTGAGCATCTCCGGGATAATCCAAGGGGACTGTATCTCAGTGCTCATTTAAGACAGCAATTTGCGGACAAAAATGTGTTCAAAGGATTTCATTTTGACTGACCTTTGTCTAGTCGATCTCGAATTCTAGCGTGGAAGTCAGTCTTCTAATGTCCAAAGAACGCCAATTCTCCTTGTTTCCCAACGGCATCTCAAAGCTGCCGTGACGCAGACACGCCCAAAGACCACTACTCTAGCCCTAAGACCCTCTATAATGGCTTACGTCCGATACAAACGTACCTGAGTCGTCAGAATCTTGTTGGATCACATCTGCGGACGACTTACAAGGGGAAATATGTCTTCAAACTTGGATTGCTTGCCTCTTTCTGGGCTTGGCCAATCAACTGCTGAAACTGGTCATGCGGCATGTGCAAGCGTTGAGTCAGTGGGTAAAGTGCTAGTGCAGGAAGCAGTTGTCTGGCGCTTTCGCGGTTGGCTGCACCTATATCTCGGTTCTTCGCTTCTACAACAAAGTCAGTCAGTTCATCATATCAAATCTCACTTTCTTGGGCTTACCGCTAGACCAAGCAGAGAGGGGAAGAGGGATCATTTGGGATTCAACGTCCTGCATCCCAGCTGCTAACAGGAGGTCTCTCAGGTGCGTGCCTACACGAAGATCCTTGACATCCCCAATGGATCTCATGAACTGCGTACTCCACTTCCTCAACGCATGTTTTTCCGTGAGCGAGCCATTATCCGACTGAACGTTGAAGTATATCTCGACCAATTGAACCCAGCCACCCGGCTTCAATACTCTGTGTCATGTTGATGTCAGTCCTTAATCATTCTCACGAAATCCACGGCTCTTGGTATTATCCGTCAGAAACCGGACCTTTTAATGTCTCGAATATATGAATGCCATCTAGATCGGTCGATGCCTGTTGCCATCATTCTTGAATGGACGATGTCGAAATGGTTGGAGGGAAAGGTAAAGGAGCGATTCAAATCGTCGACCTATGCAATGAAGCGTTAGCAGTTGCGATAACCTGGCAGACACCACATGCCGTATCGGTAACAAAGCAAGTGCTGCACGTTCTCACAAGTCAGAAGGGAAGAGCCTTACCTGGAACCACAAGTTCTCCGGCACATCGTCTGGGTTCATATGAGGAGATATATCAACACCGGTTACCTTCTCGACGACAAGCGTTAGCTATTCGAAGGGTGACGATAATTTCTGCTCAGGGCCCGACCTCGCATCTTGGGTATTGTTCTGCCACCTCGACAGCCCAGGACCCAGCCCCATAACCACAGTCAAGGACCCTTCGGGGATAAGGGATAGGTGGAAATATCAGTCGGCCGTCGAAAACCTCGTTCAAGACATTATGTTGAAGGTCGAGTCGGTCCACCTCATCCTAATGATAGGCGCAGTCAGTCATGACCCTTCCAGGGACGCAAGGTTCTTGGAATTTACGTCGTCAACTGGTTGAAAGGATATTCCGTTGTCAATCGAATACTTCTGGTATTCCCGCCCATGGATGGTTATAGTGTGACGATATCTCTCGTCCAATTCTTCCGTTTGCGAGTCAGGGCTCCTTGTGGAGGAAAGAAATGTCAGTTTCTCCTGGCAACATGTACAGGGTATGGCATCAATCTGGGTACGTCATTGTGGCTCTTTCCCAGTTTAATCATATAACCCGCTGCAATACGTAGACTTATGGATGGGAAACAAAATTCACGGCAAAAAATGCTTTTATCTTGTGGAGAAGGAATAACGAAGGAATTGTTTCCAGCGTGCGTCTTGAAAGCGGTTGATGCGGCACCGAAAATTGGAGGGTGATAAAAATCCCACAGGGTACCGACAGAGAGGGTGTATCTTGCCCTCCCCGGACGAACTGGGGGAGTACGCGGATTCAGCGTCCGTACTAAAATGTGCGGACGGGGGGAAGTTCCGCGCAGGGCAGAACCAAGCATCTGCCTTGGTACAGAGAGGGCAAAGGCGAATATCATTGGCAGGGCAAGCCTAAAAAACATCCGAGCAGCCAAAATCGGATAGAGGATGATCCATGTTCGGCATACACTCTGTCGCGGCTTGGTGAGTGGACGCCGTGCCTAAATCGAATGCATGCCTGCTTATGCACCAGCAAGATTACTTCTACAAATCAGGAGAAGGAGGGGTCGATGGTCCCTTCCGGAGACAGCCACCGATGCCGGCAAAATCAGGCATACGGAAAGTCCAGAATGACTCCTGGGATCGGTCCTGGAACATTCGGCCGACACGCGTGGCAGGCCCGGTCGTACAGTCGCTATGGCTTTTCTTAGGCTCGCTCGCTTCGTGCACACGGGCGAAGGATTCGCGCTGCTTTCCTCGCGATGACTGGGGCGCAGAGAGTTTGTCGTCAGTACTAGGCTCGTTTGGTGCCTGCTCAGATTCTTGAAAGCCTCTGTCGGATGAGCCAAGCCATGTACTAGTAATTCACTTCCAAGCCACAGGCTAAGGATACTTGGTAGCCACACCGTGGTTTAACCAGCAACAATGGGAGGCAAGGCTGTTTTGCAGCCAGCCCAGCACCCAACTTGATTATACTGCGCAGGACAACCTACCAGGGAAATGGATCACGGCAACCAATACAAGCGAGCTACTATGCTCAGCCGCTCACAGAGCACAAGAGTTACATCTTGTATGACCATGTCTGCCTGCGGAGACCAGGACAAAGGGAGGCATGAGGGGGGTGTGGGGAAATAAGCTCCACCCAAGGAGCCAGTCAAGACTCAAAGTTAGGGTCAGCAGGACCATTCGCATCCATTGGAGATCGAAAAGCCATCGAGGCGCACAACCGTCGGAAATCCTGGCTTCGTCCCGCTGTCATCTTGACGGCCCAGCTCATCGTGGCGATTACCCTTGCTCCCTTCTAGATAGAATGGGTTTTCAGGGACGCTATATATGACGGCATTGATGCTAGAATCGAGTGGGGTCATCTCCTGGCTGGTTGTGAAGCACAGGTAAGCGACTATAATACGTCGGAGGGTGCTAAGAGCCTAAGTCTGCCAGCGGCCCGCACAAAATTTACTGCAGGAATTTTTGCCCCTTCTTATTAGGATGGTCCATTTGCATCCACACTTCACCGCTCCTTCGGGTATCGCGCAATGGTCTAAGGGCTCGAGGAGTCGAGACAGACACGAAACTAAAAGCCACCTGAGATGGCCGGCCCGAATCGAGGCTGGCAAAGTTTTTGGCGTGCGACCGCCCCTGAAGCGCCGGCCAATGGCATCGGTCGTTGCGATGGAACATTGACTCCGAGTCCAACTGAGTGACAGATGATCGGGGGGACCTAACTGGAGGCGGAATCTCTAGACATACCGGTTGTGGCAAAAGGCCGGCCACCGGCGTCACCATATCAGACCTGACAGTGAAGCCCAGTTTGTCGCTTATACGGAGTACTGTGCCCTGGCCTCGGATCGAATCGAGAGCACGAAGTTGAAAAGGCGCTGGGAGGATGAACGGTCGGGCTCCGCAGAGGTGACACATGAAACGCGAATCCCAACTCAGCCGAATCGCTGGTGGCTTGGATGGGGACAAATGGCCGACCCGTGTGCTCCATTAGGTTTGTGCCAAGAGCGAGCACTGATCTGGCACGGTTATTCTCCGAGCGCAACCCATGCATGCGGACAGGGAGGTCATGCACGTCAAGGGTGTCAGACGGGCATGGGATTAGAGCATCCAAGCCGTCGGGTCTGACAAGGAAGAGGAGGAGGCATGGGCACAAGGCGCGAGCAGTTTTGGCGGCAACCCAGAACCATGGTTCAGCTTCGGGTAGGGGAGGCTTGCCGGGGCCTATTTCGGGCGGTTAGGCCCGCTAGTGCGGGTTCGCTGGGGCGTGTCCACTGCAAGTATCAGTAGTGAAGAATGAAGAATTGCAATTTTATTATTGTCTTGGTCACTTGTCTCTCTGGGAAATCTGGAGGTAGGTATGGCTGCTTCTTTGCAGGTCGGCTTTCCCACCTCTGAAATCACTGCAACTACCACACCCCCCATATTCTGTAACAGAAATGAACTAAGAGGGGTTATTTCTTGCTATCGTTCTAGTGTACAATATTATACTAGCGTATTCTACAGAATGACATACTCACCATTCCCAATCCTGCTAGGGACGTCTTTCACTGCACCTCTGCACCAGTTAGATACCGCAAACTGGCCGAGATGAGACCCATCACCAGCGTCACCTCCTCCTTAGTCCGCGGCGCATAAATCAACAGATACTCGGACGGCAGATCAATTTGTCTACCACCGGTTAAAGGCCTGGGGATTTTGACTCCACTGAAACCATGTCGCTGACCCCAACCAGCATCGAAGACTTTTTTACCTATGCAGTCAGACAATCAGTGCACATCCACCAACACCCACCCAAACACACCACAAATCAAGACAAAAGAAAAGAAATAAGTAGGCTTACAATCCACCGGACTCAAAACCATATGCAACGAATAATCCTTCAACCGATGAATATGCACACACTCGCCCTTCAACTGCCTGGTCTTTTCATTCCGGTTGATGAGCGATTCCGTAGCGAGGAAGATGGCATCCGCGTGGAGTTCTAGTTCCGATTTGGCGCATTTTATTATATCTGGGTTTCGGTCTGCGAGGGCGTAGAAGGAGGTGACGAGGGTCTGAATATACCACATGGAATAGTATGTTAGCTCATCTCATTCCATCTTATCCCATTCTTCCGAATAAGCCAATATCTTCTATTCTCTTTTCTTCCCATCCCACCTTAAACACTACACCCCCAACAAGATAAAAATTATAGGTAAATAAACAAACAACTCACCTCCCTAACCTCCTCCCCCGCAAACTCCCCCTCCACCACCTGCCGTTGCGGAACATAATGTGGTCCCACGACGGCCCTCTCCCTCTTCAACTCCCCCAACAACGTATCTACATCCTCCGAGATAAAAGATTCTGTTTCCCCGGAGGCGATCTTCTTCTCGTAGATGGTCGTGCTGGTCATGTTTCGTCCGAACGGGTACAGGAGGAAAGTTACCCCGAACCAGCCGAGGAGGTTGTAGGGGGCGCCGCCGGGGCCGTAGGAGAGGTAGGTTTTGTAGTTTTTGTAGGCGAGAGGACATAGTATGATGGTTAGGGTTGTTAGGGTGAGAGTGGTTGTTGATAGGGTGGTTGTGAAGTGGGATGAGGTGTGGGTGGGGAGGGAGAGGGAGAGGGATTTGGGCCACGAGAGAGAGGGGGGCATTTTGGTGTTGAGGGTTGAGGTTTTATGGTGGATTGGAGATGGTGAATGGGTGGTGTTGAGGTTGTGATAATGGGGGGTGTAGTTGTGGTTGTGGTGGTAGCGATGGGAGGATGGAAGGATGGGTGTGAGATGAGGGGAGGGGATGTGAGGGGATACGAGGGGGTTCATATACACGCGGAAGGAGGCCAATCCCTGTCAACGTCACGAGCAGATAATGCGTGGTTCCGATTTCTTTGTCCACTAGCTCTTGGGATATTATTCTATATCTAGATGTTAGGCGTCCTAATTTCATGTCTGGATCGCAGGACGCCTAGTGACGCTTTGGGTAAACGTTGCGACTCGGTCGCGGATGCACCCGATCCATTCCGGGGATTTATCGATACTCAAAAGATGTGAGTCAAAGTATGTTCATAGTCATTGGCATTGCATGCATTATTCAGTATTCAGTATGGGTATTCTCAATCATCATCGGGCGTAAGCTTCGTCCTTCCCCACACGCCAGTACTCCATCCTGCCTTGTGCTAAGAACCAGATAATAAACGGAACGATATAATTATGACGGGGACAAGAAGCCACCAGTGTTGGAAGCTGGACGATTGGTGCCGTCGTAGGGTAGAGATTCGGGAGATCATCTCAATGGCACTCCGCAAGCGCGGCCTGTATGGCTTGCTGGAGCATCTGTATCAGGGGCATCTGGGCGTGCCCTCAGGATGTATAGCCATCATATGGGCTGCATCTGGTGCTGTGATTGTCACGAAGACCGGCGGGTTGAATATCCGAGCTCGAGGATACACAGCGAAGCCCTCAGTCCTCTTTGCTGATCGCACTCAAGGCGTGTGCCAGTTTAAGAAGGACAACGCTCTCCGTCGCGGCGTAGTAGTTCAAGCTATGACATCATTAGCAGCCCATCAAGAAAGTGGAAGATGCACCCTACCTGTCCATCAGAATCCGCAGGTGCCGGTTGAAATGCTCTTCGCATCGCCGCAGCGTCTCCTCCAACTTGTCAATACGCGACGGATCGTATCCCCGACCATCCGAGCCAGCAGCCTTATTCCCGGCCAGGTCAGGGTCCGCTGAAGCGAGCGCGCGCGCAAGCGACGACGTCGCCCACGAGGCGAACATGGTACAGCAGGTCATCAATCGATGGTGGATCTGGAAAGGTTAGAATAGTGCGACTGTAGGGGATTTCTAACAAACCTTCAGCAGCTTAGCCTGCGTGAGCATGCATTCCTTGAGGCAAGTGTCCAGGAAGTCCACATGGTCCTGCATGAGCTCGTCCACAGTGCGATTGACTTGCTTGGTGCCATTGACGGTCACCTCGGATCCATCTGCATCAGTTCCATTCACCCGGTCCATGAGAGTCTGCCAGTTGGGCTCGACGACCTCTGCCGTGCAAAAGTAAAGGAGCTGCTGCACAAACACCAGCATCTTCGAGCGCAAGTTCCACGCACGCCTCTTCCACATTTCCAACCGTCGGTCGGAGGACTTGTGCCTCCAGGCGATAACCTTGCTCTGGTCCAGCCATGACGTGACGAGCATGGTTTCGATGTGACGGAGCGACAGGATGTGTCGAAAGATCAACTGGTACCGAAGAACCGTCTTGCGACTAATGACAAGGGACAGTGGGAAAGGAACAGAATAATCCAGCTCCAGAGCATCGAATCCCAGAATATCTTTATCGTCTTCTCCGCCCTGCGTCGGCGCCTGGTATTTCTCGATTGCTGCCTCGGGGTTATCTTGATCAATACCGGAGACGCTCACAACCTGCATCAGCCACTTGGTGAGCCCGACCTTATTCATCCGGACCTTGACGTCCTCTTTGAACGGGTCCTGGGCTGCAATACTCCCAGGTTGTCGCAACACCAGATCAAGAAGTGACTGGAGTTTGCTTTCGTTGACATTCTTAGCGGGCTTGCGGAGCTCGGATGCCCCGAGTTCGAGGAAATAGGAGAAGAAGTCGGAGCGATCCAGGAAAAAGTAGTGCTTTAGGGAACGGAAGCGCGTGGTGAGAGAGTTCTTCGTCAGAAGCAGGTTCAATAGCGACGCGTTGGCATACGTGTAGGCTGCATTGACGTTCTCTAAAAACCGAGGGTCGTCGAGTGTTTTCGGAACATCTTTGACTGCTTTGCTAACATCGACACCTCCACATTCTCGTACTACATTAAGGTACTTGCCGGCCAAAAGAACCTTGTCCTTGACACTCTCGAGTTGTGGTGGGACCTCATTGTCGCGGATGGTATATCGCTTCTCCCAGTACTCGTCTGTATAGTCTTCTTCGAGCTTTTCACGCTTGATCCACTTCTGCTCCTTCACGAGAAACTCTCCATGCGGATCCTTGATACCTCCATGGTGTAGCCATTCATTCAGCATGGTCATGTACGGGCGACTAGCATCTCGAAGGAGCCTTTCTAAAAGAGCCTTGGTGGTGGGGTCGCCTGAGAACGTTGCCAGTCGCTCAGTCAGGAGCCGTAAAACATTGCCACCTTTGCAAATTCTCTTGCTAGACATGCCCCCCGGCAAAAGTTCTCCGCCCTCCTTGAGTTGTTCGAGGATGTTATCCACGTCGTCAAAATCGTCAATGGATTCGTCAAGTTCTTGGTCTAAAAGCCCGTTTCGTCGGAGCAGCTCCTGGCCTAATGAGTACAGCTGTGCCAAACATTGGCTGGTCGGCATGAGATGTAAATGCAGAACATGTAGCGTGAAGCTTGGGTTGTTCAACAGCTCATGCTCCAGCTGGGCAACGAGGACCAAGTACTCCTTGAGCAACTTCCGGATTGTCGCGCATAGTGCATGGCTAACCGCTCCATATTCTGCACGACTCTGGACCTCCACAAATGACTCTAACGCGCTGTAATGAGTTGCTATCTTTAGTGTCGATTGTGTGAGGTCCTTTAGAGTCGGATCTATCCCCGCAGGTAGCTGGAAGGCGGGTCCAGTCAACCTATCCTTCTCCGCGGACGGGTCGTGTGAGGCACGGTAATGGATGTACTGGCCCTCAAAGCCCATAAACACGTATAACAAGTCCTCCAGTATCGCCTTCTCCTGCGCGTCGACAGAAAGCTCACGAAGCGGTATCGGTTGAAGCGATTGGGGCAATGCGGAAGCCAAAGGAGGAACCGATACTCGACTAGCTAGCGGTGCTGTAGAATGGGGCATTAATGAGGCCTGTGGGCTCCACGGAGCTGGAGCAACAATTGTGGTCAGCGAGCGAACGATTCAACCTGCTAACAGCTCAAGGAATCTAGACTAACTCTCTGCCGGTTGCTTCTCCTTCTTGCGAGAATTGGGGCTGGCGCCCTCGGTTTGACTCGCTCCTCTTTTCGATCGGGTCCTCTCCATGAACTCCCCTCGGTTGCCTGCATTGGAGGATTCCTTGACTGGATTTCTGGTTCGGACCTGGGATTTCTCTCGCGTATGAGGTGCCATTCGCTCGGCACGCTTGTCGCTCACAATATGTTGTTGATCGCGAGACAATTTATTCTTCTGGCTGGAGGTGCTCCCGCGATGGTCCATGGTCTCCGATTGCAAGGGGGAAGCAGTGCTGCGCAAAGCGGGCTTTTCAGCGTCGGCGACGCGGTTGGACGCAACGCGGGGTCTCGGGGCGCTCATGTAGCTGGCGCGACGGTCATTAACGGACATGGTCCCGCAAGGTCAGGACAGGAGGAACAGTCATGCAGCCTGGGCCAAGGAAACCATCGAGGAAGGTGAATTGTTTAGGGCAATTCCCGTGAATCCGGGGAGAGAGCAGCCACGGGCTACACGTCCCGAAGCCGTCGTTTGGGTTCCATACGGCAAAGCAAACAGGCGTCGTGGATGCCTGACTGCAGCCTGGGGCAGCAACGGGCTCTCCGCCAGGCACTCGTTCGACTTGCGTAGCCCGCGACAGCTTCGCCCGAGCTTCCAAGAGCTACTGCCAACATCCCCGTCCTTCTTCTATCTATCCCCCCTCGTTCTCGTCTTCTCCTCCCATTTTTCGCTGCCTGAAGTGCCTCTCTCTAATTGCCCCAACTTCCATCACATAACTCACCATGTTCATCGCCCGCTCGGAATACGGTAAGCTCCGTCAGACCTCCCCTCTGATGCGGTCATCTAACAGCGTTCCTTGACAGACCGTGGAATCAAGTACGACCTCTACTGTCCCTCTGGTGCATGGCAATATACCTCATCCGGTGTCTAACAATGCGATGACAGCACCTTCTCTCCGGAGGGGCGTCTATTCCAGGTCGAATACTCTCTCGAAGCTATCAAACTCGGTTCGACAGCGATCGGTGTACGTGCATCCACCCCCCGCATGTCTTCAGGAGATCGTATCACAATCATCTCAGGATGATCGACTACGCTTATTATAATCAGCTACTCGTGCTAACCCCACCCAGGTCGCAACCTCCGAAGGTGTCATCCTAGGTGTCGAGAAGCGTGTCACCTCCAGCCTCCTCGAGGCTTCATCCGTCGAGAAGATCGTCGAGATTGACCAACACATTGGCTGCGCCATGTCCGGCCTGCAGGCAGATGCCCGGTCCCTGGTCGAGCATGCCCGGGTCGAATGCCAGAACCATGCCTTCCACTACGCCGAACCGTTGAGAGTTGAGAGCTGCACCCAGGCCATCTGTGACCTGGCTCTGCGGTTCGGAGAGACGGGAGATGACGAGGAGAGTGTCATGAGTCGGCCCTTTGGTGTGGCCTTGCTGCTCGCTGGTATTGATGAGGATGGTCCGCAACTGTATGTTGAGTCGCTTGTTGTGGGGTAGGCGTCATTTGTGAGTATCTGTGCTAATCGATTCTACTTGTTTAGATACCACGCGGAACCGTCCGGAACGTTCTACCGATACGATGCAAAGGCTATCGGGTCTGGAAGCGAGGGTGCGCAGGCGGAGTTGCAGAATGAATACCATCGTTCCTTGACGCTGGCCGAGGCGGAGACGCTGGTTCTGAAGACGTTGAAGCAGGTCATGGAGGAGAAGCTGGATGCGAAGAACGTCCAGCTCGCCAGTGTGACCAAGGAGAAGGGCTTCCGTATCTACGATGATGAGGAGATGGGCAGGGCTGTTGCGCAACTGGGCGGGAACCAATAAATGAGAGGTTCAGCATGAAGATCTAACGGACCAACGCGTATATCAGCAATAGTCGTCCTGTATGGACAGGTAATTGTTTTGGTATCGATAGAAAAGAACAATGACCTTGTCTAATGACTCTGAATGTGTTTTAATTCCCATCCCATGCTCATTTGACTGCCAGTGCAATCTTGCTTTTAGTTAATAACAGAAACGATGACCGATGATATCATATGTACAGATGGCTACATAACATGCAACTTCCGGTCATATCTACCGGATCTTGTAAACGCAAGGCTTCAGGACAGCAGCCTCTTCCTCGGCGCTCATTCCCTTGTCGTTGAGAGAAGCTCTGTCAATGAACCTCTTCTTGCCGGCGCCAGCACTCGCACCAGCCGTCGAGGCATGTTTGCCCTTGGTAGGTGCACCACCCGCCTTGACGAACTCCATTTTCACAAACATCTTGTTAGACTTGTCAACCGACTCGGCCTTGAGGACGAAGCCTCGCGTGCGAAACACCTCCACGAAAGCGGAGATATCCGTCTCATCGTCGTTGTCAGCCGGACGAACGTCTTCGGCGTAGATGTCCGCATCCTCCACATCCGATCCGTCATCATCCTGCTTCTTCTTGATCTTCTTCTTCTCCGACTTGCTGAGCGGCTTCTTCGCTCCAATCTGGGCCTTCTTGCGGTGGACCTTGCCAAATCGACTCTTGACCTCACTGACCCAGCACTCACCCTTGCCGTCGCTGCGCAGGACCCGCCATGCTTCCTCCACGAACGACACCCAGTTGGTGCCCATCAGACTGAGACAGAAGATGGTCACGTCGACAGAACCATCGGCCAACGGAAGGTTTGAGATATCCGCCTTGGTGATAGGGGAGTCCTTAGGGGCATGAAGGTCGTAGCTGAGAAGCTTCAGATCCAGCTTCTTCGCAGAAGGCAGCAGTGCACGGGCGAGCTGGGCGTCACCGCAGCCAAGGTCAGCAACAGTGCATAGACCATTGGGTCGTCGAGGGAGCGCAGCGCTGGGGTTACGCTTATTGTCGGGCTTGCCGCCCTTCTTGAAACCTTTCACCGCCCCTCTGGCGCGGAAGGCCTTGATGTAGCCGTCAACCGGGTTGGAAGGCCAAGACTCCTTGACCTGGCGGGAGAAACCGGCGTGGTACTCGTCAAACAATTCAGGGTTCGCGGAGAAGAGTTCGAAAGCCTTGGCGGAGGGCGTCGTGTATAGCGTCTCGTTCAGATGGCGGAAACGGGACGAGATTAGCTTCTGTCGCATGGCTTGCTGGAGAGGTGTAAGAATTGCCTCCGTTTTCGGTGGTGCAGCAGGGAAAGATTCAACGGCTGGGGCGTCAGTGGAAGTGCCTTGTTGATCCTGTTTCTTGTTCTTATTCTTCTTCTGCTTCTTTCCGGCGGGTTTCCCTTCTTCCGCAGCAGACTCTGGCTTTCCTTCCGAAGATTGCTCCTTTGAAACCTGGCCCTGTTTGCCCTTCTTGCCTGCTGGGCTCTGGAAATCACCGCCATTGGGCTTCTGTTCCTTCTTCTGCTTCTTATCGAACGTCACATTCTGCTTCTGGCCCTTGGGAGTCGGCTTCTGGCCCTCGATATGCCGACGGTACATTTCATCCACATTACCCTTGGTGACATGATCCTCGCGCTTGCGCTTGTTGGTCTGCAGAGGGGTTCCATTGGCCCCAGTCGCTGACTTGGATTTGGATTTGGATTCGGTCTGCTGCTCCTGTGGCTTGAGAGCAGAGCTCTCGAGCGACCAGCCTGGGACGGCGAACATGGTTGCGTTCTAGATTATCACAGTTCTGAACGACGGATCCAGGATTGTTGAACCGTCCGATTCTCTTCTCGCACGGAAAATTTGCGGGGGCTGCAGTCAAGAATATCGGCCTGGACGGTGAGAAATCCCAAAAATTTCTGGCAATAAAAGGCGGACAGAGCGGCTTTTCTGCCATCCGGGTCAGGGCGGTCAGTCGGCTGGTTGGAGCAGCCGCCCATTCTGTTTTTGGAAGGAATTGCTCACTCCAAGCCACGATGCAGCCCTTCCGCCTCCCTTCTATCATACTTTCCATGTCTTTCTTCCCGCGTGGTTTCTTCGGACTATTGTCTTCATTCAATGATGCCTCTCATAGAATCCGAAAGCATCCCTTGCGAGCTATTGAGGTCCCATTTAGTTCTGGAGTGACCGCAAGGCAATTTGCTTACACTCGATGACTGTACTCCGGATTTACTTGATCTTAATAATCCCTGCAGTATAACTTTCTAGTCTTCTACATGATCGACAATCTGCAGCCGGCGGGGCCCTTGTGCCTGAGGCACTAACTCCTCGTCCAATCGGGGGGGCGTCTTGGACCGGCGGCAGAACGTCCCCGTCGGAACTCCCCACCGGAGGTTCTTCCACGAGATACCCACATCCTCCTTGACTCACAGCTGCCATGCAGTCTCTATCTAGTCTAAACGCACTTTAGACTATTGATTGTCTTTCTCATTACTATGGAAGCAAGCCTGCGTCCAAATCCCTGCCACTATGAAAGATGCAAACCAGACCCGAAAATCAAAGCAGGGCCCATCTGCCAGTCGGCCAAATATAGTGCCGGGTTCTGATACTTCGGCTGGAGCGCAGATAGACTCCACGGAGACGGTTTCAGGAAGTGGATCTGCTCATAAAGTGCCCAAGAAACGCACCAAAACAGGGTGCTTAAGTAAGTCTACTAAACCCTAGATGGCATATGAGTGACCTGAATTGACCAACCCTACAGCCTGCAGGCAACGTCGCGTAAAATGCGGAGAAGAGAAGCCCATCTGCCATAATTGTATCAAGTCGAAACGCGAATGCAAGGGCTATGCACCACGTCTGGTTTTCAAAGACCCGCTGGGAATAACTGGCACCATCACCTCGCAACAGACGACTTTCGGTACACAGCCATTGCCTGTACCACCTCTTAGTGAGGACATCAACCATGTCCTTCCTCAGCAAGCCAGGTCTGGCCAACCCTCCCTGGCCCCCAAGCCCGCTGCGCCTCATATATTCCAGGGCCCCAGCACGGCCTCAGCTCAAGGGCAAACACATGAACATGCAATGATCTATGGACCATCAGACACATTAGCCTTCTTGGACCAACAACGTTCGGCCGGATTGGAAATGGGATATCGGGCCGATACAGGCACAGCTCATCAACAGGGTTCGTCCTGGATGCCCGGCGCGGGTCTACCTCGCTCAGCATTCTTCCAAGGGCGATATTACGCCGAGGAAGATGGTGAAGATGACTATTACGACGTGGAATCTGACGAGGAGTTTCACGAGCAAACCCTTGTGCAAGATTACAATCAACTGAGCCTCATCATGGCATCTGCCAATCGCGATCAACAGCAGCTTCGCTCATTTACCACGTACTTGAATGAGCCAAACATCCTTACCTCTTATCTCCCAACCTATGGCTCCTCTCCCTTGAACAACCCAAAGACAGCTCGGATATTTCTGCACTTTATTCATTCCACCGGGCCGATTCTATCCGTCTTCGAACGGCATCCTATTGACCCTTCCACCATGCTGGGCGCCCCAGTCCCACTGGCACAACAAGGGCTCTGGACTTACACACTTCCCCTAAAAGCCTTGGAGAATCATGCTCTATTACAGGCCATTCTTGCCCTGAGCAGCTTACATATCTCCTATCTGCAACAAGCTCCACCAACCGTTTCCCTGAAACATTACCACTATGCGCTTAGAAGAGTCAGCGTCGCAGTTGGTCTGCCCATGCGACGTAAGCAGATCGCCACTCTAGCTGCCACGCTCCTGCTAGGCTACTACGAAGTGATGGGGGCGGATCATACCAAGTGGAACAGTCATATTGCAGGGTCGGCTCAGTTGGTGCGCGAGATTGACTTTGCCGGCATGGCCCGTGGGCTACGAGCTCAACGACGCAGAGTCTGGGCTCAGCGGCAACAAATGGAACCATCAAGGCTGTCACTGGAAGGATCCTTTTTATTCGGCGATACAGCCTCTGAAGATGACCCATTCGCAGAAAAGGAAAGAAACATCAACGACAATTTCATAGGAAGCCTTATCGGCCGAGCCGTGAGTTACGATGAGTTTGGGCATATTGACGATGGCCAAGGCCGTCCTCGCCATTACAAACATTTTACTCGAAAGGATATTGAAAACTACCGGATACAGTGCGATCTTTATTGGTGGTATTTACAGCAGGATGTCATGCAAAGTATTATCAGTGGTGGCCCATTGTTGTCAGTAGAGCCCCCAGTCTCCTTGTTGTTGAACCACTAGACTTACAGTAATAGCATGCCGTACTCCCAATGGGGCCAGTGCCCTCCGCGTGCGGGAATGGGTCGATTGGACGCTATATACGGCTCTGCGGATCACTTATGGCTCTTGCTCGGTCGACTAGCGGACTTTGGCGTTCGTGACAGAAAGAGAAAGTTGAAGACAGCAAAGGTTACGGGATCAGAATGGCGGCCGGACTCTAGGGTTGCTGCTTTCATGGCTCGCTTCACAACTAGACACCGTGGACAGCAGGAAGGGCCACCGGTCGGTGGCCCTGTACGGCCTCCTCCTGGCACACGACCAACTGTTCCGCCGTTCTACGGCATGGCTCCGTATCATGGACCAAGACCCCCTCCGCCTGCCTTTGTCGAGTTCCCTGTCCCTAGCAACTATGATGATGAGAGCATCGCGGACACGTCGTATAACGACGCTGAGGGTGAGTGGGAAAGTATCCTAGGAGCATTCGAGGCTTTCGAACAGGCTCTTGGTCCTTATTTCAAGCCTCTGCCTCCCGACAGTATGCCCCCAATATCGACGCCTTTCGGCCCGGCCCTACAGTACCGGACACATACTATAGCTGTTCTTTGGGGCTTTTACTTTACCGGTCGCATTGTACTACATAGGCTGCACCCATCGATGCCTCCCGCCATGATGGTATCTGCAAAGGTCGTGGCGTCGACCACAGCGAGACACACCCAAATACTTGGGAGAATCGCCGCCGGCATCTATGACTCTCAGACATTCCATCCGGGAACAGGGAGCCTTAGCCCGACCCTCGGATCTTGTCTTATCAAGATGAGCGTGCCAATCTTCTTCTCCGCAATCCAGTACACAGATTCCGCCCAACGAGATTGGGTCATCACAAGGATGCACAACCTTGCGCAAAAGAGTGGCTGGCAGTCGTCCAACACCATGGCCAGCAGTTGTGAAAATGCATGGATAGTTGCTGCAAAACAAGGTCGTGGACCTCCTTACGAACGGAAAGACACGATTGGGTACCAGCCCGCCTCAACGTGGACACCACCCACTGAAGGGAGTGTCTTGAATGACCCCAGCGAAAGACGGTTCGTCACCATCGCCAAAAACCCATCCGAAATGGGCTGGGCAATGGGGCTCCTGAGCCTGGAAGATGATGTAATAAACCTAGAGATCGAAGATCGGGTATGAGTCCTGCGTAGAGTCTCTGTGTCAGCCAAATTGCTGGCTGGCCAATATCACAGGCCAATAGATCATAGGCCTGATTTACAAGTCAGTAGAAACGTTGTCAGTCAACGTCAAAACACACGATCTATCAACTCTGCAGAGTGCAGACAAGGGTTCCTGATGCAGCCATGGCGCGATATCTCTTCCCTTGTCGCCCAGGCGTCATGCACGACAGCTTGACATCTGGACGGTCTCCACGGGGTTCGAGACTGATAGCGCCGTTGTCACTGCCACTCTCACTAATGGTTCGTTGCAAACCCTCTCCAGCACAGCCTAAGGATGTCACAATGTGATGTATCCACCATCCCAATGTCGCTAATCGCCACAACCCTGCAGAACTAGCACAGGGGCTCGCCGGGCCTTTGATGCGTACCATCGTACCAGGGCCGGTCGAATGCATAGGTAGCGCCACTGATCCGCGCTGCCCCTGCAGAGGGCTGATCATGTCCCCCCTACTCCGAAGGCTGACATGGCGCACTGGTTCGCTTAAGTCCGGTTGTGAACCACCTGGCAGGATCTGATTCCTCGCATGGCCCTGCACGTGCATATGCATGCACGACCTGTCGGACTCGGGCGAGATGTGATCTCTCCTTTTGTTCCAGATCGAAGTCGCGAACCTGTTGCTCTAGAAACCTCCGTGCAATAATAATGCCCGTTCAAATAATGCCAAATATCGTTCATGCCGTGGTAGCCTGATGTTTGCTTGCTTGCTTGCTTGCGTTGCTTTTGTTGCTATGCTCTGAGAATCCAATCCTTGGTGGCTGTCGAGAGCTATCCAGTGTGACAGATCATGCACGACGATAAGTACCCTTGCTACTTAGATAGATAGGTTCCCTTCGGCGATAATGGCAGATATGATATATGCTAGTTTGGAACTACTGCATAATTATTAATCAGGTTAAATCGTCGAACTAGAATAATAATTCGATGGAATATTGTTTTGTTCTTTTTCATCGCAACTTGGCAACTAGTCAGGCATAAATGATCTAAATATATAACAGGTTGTCTATTACCTATTTGCCTGCTACTAATACAGTAGTACTAGTAGTATGAGCATGTGTTGACTGATCAACTCATGGTCTGTTATTGCGGTATTCATTGATAATTGCTTATAGTATTTACTTTGACATTCAAAGACATCCAATAATAATCCCTACTGGCAGATCATATATTCGGAACACAACAGCCCCCTGCATGGAGTTACGTGATAAGGGTCTCAAGCTCCAGCTGGGCGAAGGCCAGCTTTTTTTTTTTTTTTTTTGTATGCGAACAATTAGTAGCATACTTGAAAGAGAGTACATGAGTACAGATATCCGAGAGAGTGGAAGGGCATGATAGAAGGAGGGGGCTCTCCATCTTGTTGACTTGTATCTTTTGGTAATGTATTGTGTCACTAGAGCAGCTGGGAGGGGTCAGTTCTTTTAGTCCAGTGGTGTCTTCAAGCGTTCGATTCTATCCCTATGCGGTTTATATGTTGTGACAAATATTTGATGTGGTGATATTGATAGGAATCATATGGATGGAAGCGAATGGGAAGTACGTTTTGGGTACATGGCGATTACTGTTCCTGGAGCTTTTTAGGTCAATTAGGCGTGGCGCATGATGCGAAAGCGAAACATGGGTAGGGATGCATAGTTTCCGATGAAGTAGAATGAGTGAAGCGAGAGAGAGCATCAAGTTTGGTCAAGAGCTAGGAACCAGCAGCAATGGCCGATGGCCGCCAAATGTTCTTCAAAGAGACCCTCAGGAGACAAAAGCTGCGGCCTGCAGTCCCTATTTCGAAGAATTGTCAGCGGGGATTACCATCAGGAGTATTGTCTGCTTGAACAGAACCTGCTGGCAGCCACGACAGACTGTTCCAGCACTCATGTACTTTTGACAAGGATATTGGTTTTGACAGCAAATGCAAGGTCCGTGGCAAGTGACGCGCAACAGCGCGGGACATGTCCGAGGGCATCCAGGCTCAAGACAAAAGTCTATATCCCAGCTTAAAGTTCAGATAGACAGCCATCTCGCCGCACCACCAATTGGGTCGAAAAGAGGTCTTAGAAGCCCAACTCTCTCGTATGTTTTGGATACGGGTCTTATGAAAGGATCCTAAAGACGGAGGTAAGGTACTCGGCCGAACTTAGGCGCAGCGCAAAAACACCTTTCTGAGTCATTGCATAGATGAAACAAGCGGGCCGGCCGAGTAGCATCTACCTCCACACCGCGCTTCCCCGGTAATCACACGGCCATAAAGACGAATAGTTTGCATGATGAAACTGGGATTCAAGGTTTTCCGGACAGGCGCCTGGAGCTGCTGTGAAGGTAGGGGACAAATGGAACAGCTGATAATGCACACCGCTCTTGTCTTGTTTGTTTTTAGGAACACGATGCTTGGATGTGGACATGTATGGACACACACTGTCAGGGTCAATTTCCACTTCATATGGACCAGGGTCGCACCATTGTCAGCTCCACGGAATGTGGATATCGAAGGTCAGGTATCAATAGGATGGTATCATGCAAAAACGGCATATAAGAAAAGGTTTGTCCTAGACGGAAAGAAGCAGTACAACCGGGAATTAACCGTGGCGTCGATATTGCTTTCGGCCAATGGTACTAAGTAATATTGGGCCACAAAGTAAGATAGACTGGAGCAAATTAGTGACCTCCGACATTCCAGACCGTGACTTCCTCGGAGAAGAGAAGGTATAACCTAGATAGGAGCAATGCATTGTCCAAGGCATTGTTGATGGTATCCACGGGTGAGAATTGTGCCCATCATTGCGCCGGTCAAATCAGAGACCGAGGCCACTGCAGACTGTGGGGTCAGGGCATATCCCTGAGCTCAGTCTAGACCGGAAGCGAACCGCTTAAAATAATAATGGAGAGCACCGGGGAGTGCTGCGACTGCGAATAGTCCGTACCCGACTGTCGTGGCCAGTGAGAAGGCGCGCCGGTGACTTGCCTGGACCAAGGCTTGGCGCAGGCGACAGTTGGCAGCACCTTAGCTTCGGCCTCGTTCTCGTTGGCTCGGCATTAGTGCAGATTATTAGGCGGGCTGGAGCCCTTGCTAGGCTTCCCATTGTTGTGCGCCTCCATGGCTTTATTTTTGACGTCAGGTCTGCAGTCAGCAAAGGCATCGATTGTTAATGGCCGCACTCCGTTTTGGGAATCGCACGCGTCCGCTTATCCTTTCTGTGTCCATGCAGGGACCAATGAATTCCCAACTTTGTGGCGATCTCGGAGAGCTTGAGTCCCGAACGCCTCTGCTCCCTTCCGAGTCGTCCTGCTGCATCTTCTCTTGGTTGTCTATCCTGGTATTCATGAGTGGTGAGTCTCTCACCCGGCTCGGGTCGAGATCGTTCGAGACCCGCAGTGGATCAGTAAAAAGCGGACAAAACGACATCGTCAACAGTCACGGCTCAAGAGACCATGCCAATTAAGTTTGCAATCGTGCTGTTGGCGGGAGATCAGGTCGATGTACAGTTGGTCAATTACAGTTCCCTATGGGTACTTGGGTGCGTATCAGGCCACTCAGCGACATTATAATAGACAGCTTGAAGGCGATTATCGCCGGAAGCAGAAACCCGGAGGCCCCCCCCGTCGAATCAACAGATCCTCACGCCCCATCGCAGTCATTGGTGGGGTATCATCTGGATGTAGTCACCAGACCACCACCGAGTCTCGGGGAAGCTGAAGTTTTCTGGAGAGTCTTGGGACCATCGCACTTGGCATCGCAAGGCTACCAGTATGCGTCGGGCAAGATGTCATTGGGTTGAATAACCGCTCCCCTGAGCAGGTTCCGACCTACCAGCACCCTGCGCTTAGGATGAAACTCCAAGGTTGAAACTATCGGGGCACGAGATCGAACTGGGGGGAGGTCTGTGTAAGGAAATCCATCTGTCGTGCATGGTGGCTAGTGGCCAGTAACTTCCCGGGGAGGATTTGCTCCCTCCCGCAGAAGCGCAATGCAGGATGCATCCACCGAGAGAGGCCAGCTGGACGGCAGGCCTGCACTGCCTTCGCCCTGGGAGGGAGCGGTGCAGACCAGAATCGGGGCTGAGGAAGAGCGAAGGGGAGAGAGCCAGCAGGAGGACGAAGTGAAAGAAGGCGACGGACGCTGACGAATGGCTAAGAATAATCGGGACGAGACGCATACACGTGGGCCCGCCAGACCTGCGTAAGTTACAGGGATACACACCGTCCGTACTGTTCGGCGGTGGTTCTGCTCCTGCTCCACCAACGTCACGGCAGTTTGTTCAGTAGTAGTAGCTTGCATCGCATTTCATGCCCTCACTCGCCCCGGCTTTTTATACAAGCCCATTTCCCCTCCCAGTGTCAAACCCATTCTCATAGCAGAACATTCTATACTAGCATCAGTTGGCTACACCATCCATCACACACCATTCGTAACAGCCCCGACGTCATCGCTCCTCACAACTACGGTTCCTCTCTGCTCTGCCCCGCCTTATAAACTGATCGGCCCGCCCCAGTCAGCCGCTGCCGTCACCCACGGTTCGCTCGCAGTCAGTCTTTCCCTCTCTCCCTCTCAGGTCATCCTCTCCCTCAATCCAAGCCTATCACACATGTCTCGACACGGCGACTACCGTCGCTCTACTGGGGCTCTCAACGAGGACCATTATTCGCGTGAGCGTCACCGCCACCGTCACCGTTCACGTGGACCCCCGGTACTCGATCGCCCCCGTCGTGTCGAAGAGGATGATCGCTTTGAATATCGCCTCAAGGAAGAGGAACGATACGGCCCTCCCGCCCGTCGCTCCGATGTGTTCTACAAGGATGGTCATTTAGTCTACCCCTCGGGGCCGCTGGTCATTCATGAACGCCGTCATGCGGACAGTCCCCCGCCTCGCCCGCGCCTGCTGCGACGACAGTCCTCTTTGGACACCTTTGATCGTGTCCCATCGCGCAAAATCGATGAATATTACTATAGCGACTATCCTCCCAGAGCAGCTCCCAGTCCCCCGCCGATGCGGAGGCGGGGCTCATTTCACCGAGCCCGCGAACCGGATTACTACGAGGAGATTCGCATCGCGGAACCAGAATACTATGGCGACGAAGAGTACCGGGAGTTCCGCGAACGGGAGCGGATCGTGGAGCGCCCACGTCGCTCAATGAGTCGGTATCGTGAGAGAATGGTAGAGGAAGTTGACGTGGAGAAACCATATCCTCGGAGAGGCAAAACTCGCATGCCTCGCAAGCTGGTCCACACCAGCGCGATCCGCGAGTTTGGCTATCCGTATGAGGAAGAGGTGTGTATTCGAGAATACAAGCCGAGCTGGAAAAGACCATGGTCTGGGCCTTGTTCAACGCTGACTGTCGGTACAGGGCAAGATGCTCATTATTCAGGTTGCTCTGTCCAAAGAGCAGATTGACGCGGTCATCGGTAGGAGTCGCGAGATCAAGCACATGACCGAGAGTAGGTTCCCACGTGCTCAGCTCTGGAAGAGCACCGGTGCTGACTGTCTTCTCAGCTCGTTATAAGCATACTCCCTCACCGTCGCCCGTCCGTGAAAGGCGCCGCGACCGCACGGTGGAACGAATTGCCATGGAGAGTTACACCCCCCGTACAAGCCATGAGACTTTGCTCATCGAGCCGTCCCCGTCACGACGCCGGTCGCACTCGCGCCACCCTCGCCATCACCATGATGAGCTGTCGGAAAAGAAAGTGACAAGGACAGTCTCTCGGACGCGAACGTTATCGGTCCAGGGTCGCCCTCGCCGTCGGTCATCGCCCGTGCCTAGAATCGAGAGGTATGACGATGGAGTACATTTCAGTAAGGTCCAGTCCGGCCCACTTGCTATCGTCGTGCGCCCGCGCGATAGCGATGATGATCTGCGAGAGTACGCGCAAATCGAGCGACGTGGCGGTGGAGAGGTAATCAGGACCACGGACATCATTGGCGACGGCGAAGAGGAAGAGATCACCGAAGTGAGAAGGGATCGCAGAGGTAGGATGAGCCTTGTCCGACGCAAGCGGCGAAGTAAGGATTCTAAGAGATGATCATAGGCCCGAGCTCCCGACTCATGCGCGCGATGATGGCAACCTTGACTTAAGCCGGTACCGGGCGGACTCGGGGATTTCTTGCGACTTTCAGTTATTCTTTAACGATTTCGGTATCTTTTCTCTGTACAATACCAGTTTGAGTGTGATGACGACTTGTACTATTTTGGAACGGCCGGGTGGACACTATATCCTTACGACAATGACGATAATGACTGGGATTCTGTTCTTGTTCTTGAGCTTGTGCGCATTGTTTTTGTTGTTTCTGGGTAGTCTGTGAATTGTGTGCTTAGACTATGTCTGATACTTACTGGGAGTTTATGGGCCTGACCAATGCAAGCGATATACCCAAGTACCAGGACGGTCCACACTGAAGATAGATAGAGAGATGCTGCGTAGTGCCGGCATGAAACCCTGGCGGTATCCGCGATACGAGGCGGTGTCCCACTAATGAACGGAAAGTGGCCTCGACTCCGCGATCTGCACCGTCAACACCGTCTTTCCTCTGACACTCCTGCTACAGCCTTAGTGTGTCAGAATTCAAATTGCCTGCATCAGATCCAGCCCAGAAATTCAGCCGAAGCAAACTCGAGTCGCATCATGGATAAGTTCCAGGCGTTCGGAAAGAACCTCAGGTGAGATCACTGCCCCCTCCGCAATAATTTCTCCGATTAGGAGGCTGGCCGCCTATCCAGCGTCAACCCGATCTTATCACACGGCCTTTCATCTCAAGTCTGACCTTCATACTGACATGTTCTTCTTTATCGAACAGCGCGAGCTTCTCGCCCTTTGCTGCGCGCACTCAGCAGATGATCAAAGAGCAGCTGGGCCAGGCAGAGGACAGGACTCAACTTCCCGATGAGTACATCGAGCTGGAGAAGCGCGTGGATGCCCTGAAGATCGTCCACCAGAAACTTCTTCAAGTGACGTGCGTGATCTCTTCTCTTGCGGTCTATTTTCTCAGACACTGATATGTGCGCCCGCATGCAGTTCCCAATATTCCAACGAGGCCTACGACTACCCGCCTAACATCCGTGAATCCTTCAACGACCTGGGCCGCACCATCAACGAGAAGGTTACGCTCCTCTCCCAGGCCTCCTCGCCCGCAGAGGCCCAGGCGGCCCTGACGGCCCCTCCCTCGGCCAAGCCGCAGCCCAAGACCTTCAACCACGCTATTGCCCGCGCCTCCCTGGCAGGATCCCAGACCCTGGCGCAGAACTCCCGCAACGAGGACCCACTGGCCACCGCACTGGAAAAGTACGCTTTGGCGGAAGAGAAGGTGGGCGAGGCTCGTCTGGCTCAGGATGCTCAGATTCAGTCCCGCTTCCTGGCTGGATGGAACACCACGCTTAACACGAACTTGATGTTCGCGGCGAAGGCGCGCAAGAACGTTGAGAACGCTCGTCTTATGCTTGACTCGGTCAAGGCCAGCAAGAAGGCCGCGGCCAAGGGTGACTGGGACAACCTGAGTGAGGAGGCTCGTCAGGAGATCGAGCAGGCGGAGGATGAGTTCGTCGGACAGACCGAGGAGGCTGTGAGCGTGATGAAAAACGTACGTTTTGCTGTTTTTATGAGGGGTAGAAGTATTCTGACAATGTCCAACAGGTCCTCGACACCCCGGAACCCCTGCGGAACCTGGCCGACTTGATCGCGGCGCAGCTAGAGTTCCACAAGCGGGCGTACGAGATACTCAGCGAGCTGGCTCCTGTTGTTGATGGCTTGCAGGTTGAGCAAGAGGTATGAATGATCAATATTCACGGGTGGTTCCATCGTGACTAATTGGCGTCTGCCACAGGCCAGCTACCGTAAGAGCCGTGAGGGAGCGTAAGGGCTTTGGTCACTGTTGTTCTCCTGTCATTTCATTACCGCCTGTTATTGGACACTAGCCTCATTTGATTCACCCTGTTTGCCTTGTGAAATTGTTGTATATCCCTCGATGTGTCGCCGTGGGTTATTGACTGCTTGAGGCGTAAACTCGAATGTATGCTTTCCGACTGCTACTCTGATATCATGCTACAGATAGCCCTTTACCAAGCCTGTAGCTCAGTACACATATCGCACCTCTACCCCAAGCAATATCTACCTAAACAATAGCCACCTAATCCCTATGGTTGGGAGAACTCCATATAGATAGATAGTCACTCGGCCCCACACCCACCCATCCCCGTTGCAGCCTCAGGCACCAATTCCAAGCCCCGGCGCAGCTCCGCCGATAACCTACCTCTCCCCCTCGATAACCACGTAACGCCGTCCCCGTCCCGACCAGCTGCGCGACAATCCAGTTCCAGACCCTCCAGCCTGTCGCTTCCTGGCCCCGAGCCTCCTACCAATCCCAAGCGACTCGAACCCAATCAGATCGATCCTGCGACAACAGCACACCCGCCGTTTCACCTCGCTCAGCTAGCCCTCCACCTCCCTCACCTTTCACCGATCCAGACACACAAAGCAACAACCCGGGAGATAGGGAAACAGTTAGGCTGGTCCTGCTGTATACGAGACATATATAAAGTTCACAGACATCAATTCTATACCCAACGGGATAAGAAGCATTATGGCGAATGGGTATGTTTGGCAGATACCTACCTATTGAGCTATCGACCTGTTGGTGTATTCTGCTATGGATATACATACATACACTACATCCGAGCGACGAGTATACCAGCTTGGAATCATGTACTAATGTCTGACTTGAAATAATAAATAGGTGGAGTCTCGTCATCGGCCTCATCTTCGTGGTGGTTGCTGCCGTCCTGGCATGGATCTTTAGTCCGAAGGGGGAGAATCAGACGTGCGTGCTACCTCTTTCCTTCCCTTTCGTTTACTTCTATCAATTCTTTTCATTGTTTCTTCCTATAGGATGCAGATGAATTCAAAGAAAGGATACCCATACTAACATGTATTCCGGAAACAGTGTCTTCCGCAGCACGCTCATCCTCTCCTTCACTTGTTGTTATTTGATGTGGGGTAAGTTGGACTTTTTCCTTTTACTTTATTTGGTGATGTGAGATGAACGATGGGGTAGTGTGGTATGAGCTAATCTGGTTGTTTTTTGCAGCGATTACGTTCTTGGCGCAGTGGCATCCGTTGATTGTGCCCAAGAGGTCGGATATTCGGCCGGAGAGGGTACCGCAGTGATTTCCATTTTCTTTTTCGAGAGAGTGGGGTTGGGTTGTGGATTGGGGTTTGGGGTGGAGATGAAATGGATGGTTGGGAAGAAGAAAATAGGACTTGGAATTGATGGCGGTGCTGGTGGTTATCGTGGATGGGTCGATGGATGGGATAGATACCATGATAGGATGTGGTTCTGTATAGCTACTACTTGTTTTTGTTTCTTTCGTTCTGCGTAATACCTACCTTCCTTCCTATGGGTTATCTGGGTTCTTTCAGGTATGTATTGGTATGATTAGTCTATGTATGGTGCTGTCTATGTATGAGTGTTAGCCTACTCCGACTGCTCCTAGTATTACCCTCTGTACAGTCCATCGAGCAGCCAGCCCTGCCACCGCCAATGCCACGGCGCGCAGGTACCCGCATCCTAGTAGGATGTACAATGCTTCGATGTTGCTCAGTAGCACGAGATGCGTGTCCGCCGCGCCTAGAGATAGAAGCGGCCCGATTAACTCGATAAAATTGGCTAGGTAACTGGTGGGGACGGATTCGGGCATTATCCTGATTAGACTCTCCAGCAGCGACGAAGAGCCAGGCAGAGAGTGGGATCCCGTGGTGGTCGGTTGAGCTGCGGTCAGAGTCGCCGCGGGTGCGAGCCCGGTACCGTCCAGCGTCTGCTGGAGGATGGTGGTCTGGCTGCCGGCGCTGAGCCGGGTATTGTTGGAGCCGGAGACACTGGACGCATTCCCGCTGCCGTCGGGGCCCCAGATGACTAGGAGGATTGGAAAGAGCTTCGCACAGCTGCTGACCAGCAGTGCGGTGCTGATGGCGGTCGGGCTGGCTGGGGAGGGCGGCGGGAGGGGTCTGATGCTCTGCGCTGGGGCGGTGGAAGCGCGACGCAGAGGGGGTGGAAGGGCGGGGAAGGATCCCTGTGGCGTGGAAGGGGGCAGATGGTGAAAGTCAGTGCCCGAAGCGATGGCTACCGTTGATATATCATTGGCGGAGGCTTGCGGCGTGAGCTTCGGTGGACTCAATGTCGAGTTCGGCGTTGGGGAGAGCTGTGTCTGGTTGGTGGTGGTCTGGGAAGGGCATGATGGGAGCACGGGGGTGGAGGGGTTGGAGAAGACAGGCGCCTCTGCTGCATTGCTGTTGGCACTACCATATTGAGAAGGGCCCGAGAATCCGCGCGGTACTGGAGCGAGGACCGATGCCAGAAGACGAATGGTGAGGTGGTGGGCAAGAGTCGCGAGCGCATTCAGACTCAGGAAAAAGAGGTATTGGACGATGATGGGCGCACTCGAGAGAAAGGTGGTTGCGAGCGATGGGGATTTCTCAATCCGAGCCCATGTCAGGTAAACGTCGAATAGGAGGAGCAGAATCCCTAGACGGATTATGGAACGCTATGCATTAGAGATATGTCAGTCGCAACCTAGGAAATGGTTGTAGATGGCGGGCGCTTACATCGAACTGGTTGTCGTCTCCCCCGAGTCGGTTGAAAAGCAAGTGTCGATATACCTACGGGTCGGTCAGCGAGCACAACACCCACAGACACTTTTCACATACCTGCGGCTTGATTAGGACGAGATCAATGAAGATCACGACGAAATCGTATTCGACGTATTTGTCCGCGAACCGCTGGCAACGCGGACATTGCGTCAGGCGCACTCCTTTTCCCAAGGAACGGTCATCGGCGCGACTATACGTGCTGTACAGATGAGAGACCGGATAGGAGCACTCGATGCAGATGGGCATCGTGTCATTGACTCCTCTTCATAATGGAAGAGCCCATGGTCATGGGGGGGTTTGCTGGACTCCGTGCGAGAAACCCCGATGGCCGCAGCAGATGTCCAAGGCGGTGAGATGCTGGATAGGATGGCTATCTATTCCGTGTTCCTCCATTTTCATCTTCACTCTTTACCAAAAGACAAGCCTACCAACAATCTCAACTCATGCGATAAGACAAGTTCCTTGATGCTAACATATCTGGCCCGACTGCGAACCCTACAGTTTACTCCCGACCACAGGGGTTGGCAGGATGTTATTGCGACGACTCTGCAACCGTTCCGTCGTGGTCTTGAATAGACGCGGCAACCCCGTCTCCTCATACGATACCCCGTCGACAATCAGTTGTGCAATGCCTCGAGTCGAGAGAAATACCTGTGGCATTCCGTGTCCAGTGAAACCAGCCACTATGACCTGACCCGGCTTGTTTGGGACGTGTCCGACGTGCGGTAGCGAATCGGTGCTATAGCCCATGACTTCTCAAGAGTTAGCACCATACGATTCTAGAAGCCGAGACAGCATGCGAATTGGTACTCACTCCCTGACCAGACACGGTCTGTATATGCCCCAGTGTTCTCCCACCCATGGAAGTGCCTCTGCATGTAGTTATCGAAATATCGCGCTGCCGCCTCGACGGTTCGGCTGTCGTCGATATTGTTATACCAGCTGTCTCGGTCCTGGTGGAAGAAGGTGGACTTTCCTCCGCCTACAACAATGCTCCCATCCGGCCGCGGAATGAGATAGTCATAATTCCATGCATTGAAGCGCAGCATGTATGAGCGTTCCAGCGGCGTTGTAGGTGGGTTGGGCACCACAATGCGACTGCAGAACCCTCGCACCGGGATGATCTTATCCTTATATTCAGGTGCAATGGCCGACGTGTATGCATTGGTCGAGAAGACCACCCATTTGGCACGGATTGAGCCTCGATTGGTCGTGACCGTCCATCGGCCATCAGCATCTGGCACTTCCGACACCTTCGTGACTGGGGTGTACGTCTGGAGATTTACTCCAGCTGCAACGGCTTGCCGCAGAAGATGGATGATGAATTTGTAGGGCCAGAGTCGGGCGGTGCGCTGGCTAAAGCAAGCCAGAGCTCCCTTCACACCAGATTCCTAGGCGATGTAAGTTGATCGGGAACGCGCTACCCTGAGAATGTCAAACGTAGAAGTAACATACAGCCTCTGCCAATTCAGGAGGAGTATATCCGACATCCTTAATCGTGTCCACTCCCTTGGAGACCAGGAAATCATATCCAGCCTTGACTTTCGCGAATTGGTTCTGGTCATACTGGACTTCGCATACCCGGTTTACCTCCAGGTCGCAATCGATCTTCTCCTTCTCAACCAATTTTTGGATGGCAGAGATGTGGTCCATCTCAAATGAGGCGACTTCAGCCGCCGCCTCAAGCCCATACTCATTGGCCAAATTGCCGATTCGATTGAATACGTCAGGCTTCAAATGACCACCTACACACCAGGGATCATCCTGTATTAATATCGTCCAGCAGCCTGGGGATCACGTAGAACATGTACTTGCCATTGCGTCCTGTTGCCCCCGAGCATGCCTGTCGCGCTTCGAGAATCACAATGGAGGGCTGGTCGGCGGATGCGAGTCGACTGCGTTCGAGACAGTGATACGCAGTCGTCGCTCCAGCATACCCAGCCCCGATTATGACAATGTCGCTTGTTTCTGGCAGAGCCTCCGTAGAACGGAAGTTGTCCAAGGGATCGGGCTCCGACCGCCAGAAGGAAGTCAGGCTGTGGTCGATTGGGAATGGTTTGGTCATGTTGGTATGCGATATGAGTGAACAATATTGAAGTACACGAAGATCAAGGGCATTGGAATATCAGTTCTTAATATATATTGGAATCTATGATAACCTACTATCTAGTATCGTGGCTGAGATAAGGATGTCTGCCAACGCATGGGCGCATTGGTCGGCATTGGACAGCACCGCCGATGGAGTGCAGCCGAGTGTCTGTGCCTTTTTCCGATATCTCTTAGCGTCGACAGGGGCTGGAGCCGATGGCCTGACAAGCTTATCAGATTGCATCTGGCTGAAGAATCATTGCAGGCAGCTAGAGTACTACCAGTACCAGGATATGTTGTGCAAGAGTCACTTCAGCCCCTCCGGTTGGATTCAATCCAACGTTGCATTCTGCGTGATGATGCCATGAATGAACTGACCAGCAGGGTGAATTCTTGGACTACATAGTCAGTCACTTGAATTTGGATCCCGGCAGCTGTCAACGACTGCCGTAGGTGTTGCATGCGATTTTCTTATAGCTACATGGGGGACATTAATGAGATGTTGAAGCTCCTGGTTGATTGACTGATAGGTACAAGATAGGCGATCGAGTGCCCCGGTCTAGGGACGTCCGTATCGGTAATCTCCGCGGTACTTTCTCCGCCACGAGGGGATCTCGCCAATCAGTGGGCACTTCACTCAATTGCACGGGGGAATTGATACGTAATGTATGGTACCGCCATGACCTGCGGGCGCCTTTATCAGTACCTGCGAGGTATTCTCACTCCCGGCAGTTCCTGAGGCCCCGCTCCCTTTTACAATAAGTGCCAATGCTGAAGAGTCAGAAGGACTTCACGGGAAATGATGACGACAACGAGCTGAGGTAGGTGGACGAGACAAGGATTGCGAAACCCCCTTGGAATCAGATTTTAGCTCTGAATGCCAGCAGCCCTCTGTAGTCCTTCATCAACACTCCAGGCCATTCCCCGGTGCCCCAGCCAATCACCCCTGTCGGAGATCTGTAGGCTTGTAGCATTCCCTCCGCGTGTGGCAAACCCCTCGCTCAAAGCAATCTCAATCGCACACAAATTCTGCCTGTCTGCCTGTCTGCCAATCTGCCAGGCGACTCCCCTTGCGCGCGTGTTCCAGACGGCCCTTTCCTTGACGCCAGTTCCTGCCCCGGGTCCAACTTCAAACTCTCTTTCCAGTTTCACGGTTTCACCCAGCACTGTCGGCATTGCAAGCTTGGATCGAGCTTCTGGAATCGCGCCCCCCATCCCCCCCCCGAGGCCTTATCGTCGTCCGCATTAAGCTAACTGGATCCCCACCCGGTTTTCTAGGCTTTCCGAGCAATTCGTACCCCTCGATTCCCTTTTCGTCCCGTCTTTTTACCTTCCGGTCAGCCCTCGGGCTTTATTCTGTCATTGTCACGTTGCCTGCCCTTTTCACCCTCCCTTTTTCCTCGCCCGAGTGCGCCGTCTCCCCTTTGTCCACCCCCACCCTTGTTCTCGCGTGATAGATAGATCATGTCCGACCAGACCACCCACCACTACCAAGAGCCCATTGATGGGCTCAAACCGTTGTCGAATGCGGACGGTTTCTCCTTACCCGCCACCGCAAGCGACTTGTCGCGCCGCGCAGAGCTCTCATATGCCGATGGTCAGCCTCTAGGAGATGCCGATATTGAAGATGATGACGACGATGAGGAGGAAGAGGTTGAGGAGGAATATGTCGCCGTGGACCATGATGATATTAACGAGTATCCTTACTGGTTCCGTCGCCCACCTGTCCACCACCGCACCAAGTTGGATGAACTGCACCCCTTCGTGCAGGTTCTCACCGAGTCAAATGTGGAAGATTGTGTTACGGTTGAGCAAGCATTTCCTGAGCACGAACGCTGTTCGCGCGAAAAGGTACGATTTAACTACTTGCGTGATATGCGCCATAAAGCCGCATGGGCCTTGACTGACTGAATTTTCAGTTTCGCTATCGCCTGAGTAGATGCCCCGAACTGTGTCTCGGTCTCTTTACGCTTCCAATTCTGCGCGAAGGCGAGCCTAAGCCTCGCCCGACATTGGTGGGACATGTTATCGCCACGAGAACCTCAAGCCCTGTCGTGACGGATAAGTCTATGGAGCTACCGGCGAAGTGGCAGACAGAGCGCATGACCATTGAGAACGGAGAAACCGTGGGCCATGATGAGTATGGAAGCACAATTGCCATCCACTCTCTTGCTGTGTTGCCGGAACATCAGGGCAAGCAAGTCGGCAGCACTTTGATGAAGTCATATATCCAGAGAATCAAGGATGCGCAAATTGCCGACCGCATTTCCATCATTGCGCATGGCCCCTTGGTGGCCTTCTACGAGTCTTTTGGGTTTGAGAACCGCGGGCCTAGCAAGTGTCAGTTTGGCGGTGGTGGCTGGGTAGACTTGGTTCGTTCTCTTTGACATGCTCCGCCGCATAAGTACTTGAGCTGACAGGTCGCAGGTCTTTGAGCTTTCCAAAGAGTAAGGGCTTGCGGATTGTCTCGCGACGATTCTGCGTCTCTGCGGCGGGTGTGGTGCTGTTGTTTCTTACCCCTTACGTTGTCCTCTGTTCTTTTATTTTCACTTCTCTTGGTCTCTTTCACACTACCCATTTTTATGTGATGCATGCTATGGATTACACAGGATTCGGTCTTACTGGTGGGTTCATGATAAAAAGCAACGGCGTTCTGTCGGGACGGATGATGATGACGATGCTATGATGGCCGGATTGAAACACCATGGACGGATGGTTTGGTCAGGGCAGGCATATTTGTGTATCATAGTCCCTCGGTAGTCAGTGTAAATGAATATTGCATAGACATGGTTCTTTTTCTCTTATAACAATGATCGGCGTATCGAAACTCGCCTATCCGCCGGGGAAGGAAAAGGCAAAGGCCAACAAATTCCCCACATTGGCCCGGCGCTCACCGCCCGCCAAAATCTGCCCTCCGACCGCCCGGAATATTTTTTTTTCTTTTATCGCTCGGCGCAGATTTGCTGTTGTCAACCTCTGATTCTTAACCACGGGGTTTTTGTCTAAGAGTCGCTTGCTGTATCGACTCCGTCCCCGGTGCCCATCATGAAGACGACGTGGAAAGATGTGAGTGCTTTTTGTCGAGCCCGGACAGCCCCCTCAGTCCCAGGAACCACCGATCTGACGTCGTTTTCACCGCTTGATTAGATCGCTCCTGTGCCCACGAGCCAGGAATTCCTGGACATCGTCCTCAGTCGCACTCAGCGACAGCTCCCCACCCAGATCCGTGCGGGATTCAACATCAGCCGTATTCGCGGTATGTCTCGATCGTCCGATAATGCGGGATGCACCTGGTGCCCCCCAAGCGGCAAATTACAAGTGGTCGGGCTGGACTAACTAAAATTCTTTTCTGCCGTTAGGCTTCTACACTCGAAAGGTCAAATATACCCAGGAGACTTTCTGTGAAAAGTTCCAGGCCATCCTCGATGGATTCCCCAGACTGCAGGATATTCATCCTTTCCGTAAGTCGCTGCTTTTCAAACCCCGCAGATTTGTGTATCCTGACAACCACCAGACAAGGATTTGATGAACACCCTCTACGATGCCGACCATTTCAGAATCGCCCTGGGTCAGGTCTCGACCGCTAAGCATCTCATCGAAACGGTCTCTCGCGATTACGTGCGCCTGATCAAGTATGCGCAGTCTCTGTTCCAGTGCAAGCAGCTCAAGCGCGCTGCCCTTGGTCGTATGGCCACCATCTGCAAGCGTCTCAAAGACCCGCTTGTCTACCTCGAGCAGGTCCGTCAGCACTTGGGTCGTCTGCCCGCCATCGACCCCAACACCCGCACCCTCCTGATCTGCGGTTACCCCAACGTCGGAAAGTCCAGCTTCCTGCGCAGCATCACCCGTGCGGACGTCGACGTCCAGCCTTATGCTTTCACCACGAAGAGTTTGTTCGTCGGTCACTTCGATTACAAGTACCTGCGCTTCCAGGCCATCGATACCCCCGGTATTTTGGACCACCCTCTTGAAGAGATGAACACCATCGAAATGCAGTCCATTACCGCCATTGCCCATCTTCGGTCCGCGGTCATGTACTTCATGGATCTGTCCGAGCAGTGCGGCTACTCCGTCGGCGACCAGATCAAGCTCTTCCACAGCATCAAGCCTCTGTTCGCCAACAAGATTGTGTTCATCGTGGTGAACAAGATTGATGTGAGACGGCCCGAGGACTTGGAGCCCGAATACCAGCAGGAGCTCCAGAACCTCCTCAAGTCGGGCGATGTCGAGCTTCTGCAGCTGTCTTGCACAACCACCGAGGGTGTGACTGCTGTCAAGAACGCCGCCTGCGACAAGCTTCTCGCGGAGAGAGTGGCTCAGAAACTCAAGTCCGGAACCAACAACGCCGGTACTCCTGGCGGTCGTCTGGGTGACGTCCTTGCCCGTATCCACGTCGCCCAGCCCATGGGCGGTGTGCAGCGTGAGACCTTCATTCCTGACGCCATCAAGACGCTCAAGAAGTACGACAAGGAAGACCCCAACCGCCGCAAGCTGGAGAAGGATCTCGAGGAGGAGAACGGTGGTGCTGGTGTCTACAACATTGATCTCAAGAAGACCTACGACCTGGCTGACGACGAGTGGAAACACGACAAGATCCCTGAAGTGTGGAACGGCAAGAACATTTACGACTTTGTCGACCCTGATATCGAGGCTAGACTGGCTGCGTTGGAGGAAGAGGAAGAGAAGCTGGAGAATGATGGCTACTACGAGTCTGATGAGAGTGTGGAAGATGTCGAGGACGCCGATACCCGTATGAAGGCAGACCTGATCCGCGAGAAGCGTGTCTTGATGCGCAACGACGCCAAGATGCGCAAGTCTCTCAAGAACCGGGCGCAAATCCCTCGCAGCGCCAAGTCCAAGAAGCTTTCCCAGATGTCGGAAGCCCTGGACGCGGCTGGTTACGATGTGGACGCTGCGTCCTCCCGCGCCCGCTCCCAGAACCAGGCCCGTGGCCGCACGACCACCCGCGACGTGGACATGGACGATATGGACATCGACATGTCGGACCCTCGCCAGGCCATTGCCAAGGCCAAGGGCCGTGCTCGCAGCCAGGCGGCGACGAACCGTCTGCAGGATGGTGTTACGGACGAGACGGCGCGCAGCAAGGCCGAGCGCCTGGCCAAGTTGGGTCAGAAGAAGATGAACCGGATGGCAAGACAGGGAGAGGCCGATCGTCACACGACCGCCTCTCTGCCCAAGCACTTGGTAAGCGGTGACCCGAAGTTTTGTTTTGTGCGATATGATATACTAATGCCATTTCTAGTACACCGGAAAGCGTACCATTGGCAAGACCCAGCGTCGGTAAAGGCCGCGTCTGGATTCGGACGGTCGATGACGAGACGAAGTCCTTTCTTAATACAGTACTCGTTACATATAGTGGTCATGAAACAGGGTGTTCCAAAAAAGGGCGTTGGGGGTGTTTCTTTTTCTTCTTCCTTTCGTTTGGATGAATATAGTCTTATCCTGAATACCTGGGGTTACCCGCGAATCGATTGTATCGTTGAGAGTTTGTGTTGGCGAAGTAGACTGTATAGAGATTTGAAGACTGACATACCCTCATTAACAATCAGTAGACGGCTATCGATTGATCTATTCAATTCCTGGCTGTAGCACGAAAAGTAAACCAACCCTTCCCAGCACCATCAATCCATCAAGTCAGGTCCTCAAATCTCATCTCAATCTTCCCGCTTAAAACTACTACGAAGTATCCATTCCTCCTTCTTTCGCCTTAACAAAATAGATACACTCCTTCCCACTTTAGGAACCTACCCCTCTCGCTCCCTCCCCTTCTAGAAAACAAACCCCACGGAAGGTCAAAAACCGAGCACCATCAATGACTACTACCTTACTACATCCATTTACCCCGAAAACAAACAAAGCCAAAAACAACCATTCAAATTACGCCCCAAGACAACCAACCCTACCGCCCCCGCCCCCCTCCTCCTCCCCAGACCTAAATCCATTATTAAGGACTACGTAGGTAAGTAGGTAGGTAGTATTTGGTTTTACCAATATACCCTCCCTCCCCCTTTTTTTTTCCCTCCCCTTTCACGCGGCAGATTCAACTTGCCGGAACCTTAATCCACACGGAACTGTTTATTTAGGGTTTCCCTCTTATTTTGTTGGGTTGGTTCATTCTGGGTTTTGAGTTCTGGGTACGGATAGGGTAGGTAGGTAGGTAGGCTTATTGGGAGGCGGGGTAATGTATGTATCTAGTTGTACTTTTTGTGTTGGGTATAAGGTATAAACATCTCGATTGATTAATTCATCGTGATATATGTGCACGTGCATGGATGGGGTATGTTTTCTAGAAGGATTCTAGAAAGATACCTACTTGAGAAGGAAAAGAAGGGAAGGAAGGAAGGAACCCCGGACCCGCTGGTGCTTTCCGACTTCCGAGTTTCCCGGGTGCCGACTTCATTGGGGCTGGGCTTGGATGGGGGACGCTATTCCTTGTATGGATGGGATCGTATGATCTATTGGGTACAGGGCTCAGAATTGAGGATTGTCTTCTGTTTACTTTTACGAAGTGGGAAGATGGATCGGGTTTGTCATATGTACTAGTATTATTTCATTTCTCAATAACTTGGAATCTCAGATGTATGCAGTCGCAGTCGCAGTTGCAGTTGCAGGTATCACCAACGCCGATATCATAGTCCCAACCATTTCCTTCCCGATATGTCAAGCCATTCAAGCATTGCATGCGTGCATGCATTCATGTCGATGGTAGCTAGCTAGTAAATGCATTATGAAGCAATCATGCCATTAAAAAAAAAAAAAAGGATTTAGATGCGAGTTCAAATGTACAAAACCAGAGTTGACGAGTGCATGAAAATGCTTACTCGCGGAGCTCGGTGGGCTCGGTGTGCTCCGCCATCTCGGTCTCTCTCTCATGCTTGGATGAGGAAGGAGGACGGTGGATGTCCTGGACAATGCCCTCCGGGGGAACCCAGCCGGCACTCTTCCAGGGCTTGACGTGGAGCACGTACATGGTGTCGACCTCCTCGAGGGTGCGACCCTGAGTCTCGTTGACGAAGAAGAAGACAACGAAGATGGCGAGGAAACAGCAGGCAGCAAAGACGTAGCCGTAGGCGAAGTGGATGGAGCTGTTGATGAAGGGGGTGAAGAAGGAGATGAGGAAGTTCCAGGTCCAGTTGGCAGCGGTGGCAATTCCAATGCAGAGAGCACGGTAGCGAGCGGGGTACATCTCACCACAGATGGCCCAGACAATGGGTCCCCAGGTGGTGGCGAATCCGACAATGAAGAAGCAGGTGAAGACAATCATGGCCTTACCAGCGGCAGGGGTGGACTGGGGGTCGTTGAGGTCCAGAGCGAAGTTACCAATGGAGGCCCAGATCATGAAGCAGATGAACATCCAGGCGGCACCGACCATCAGACTCTGACGACGACCAAAGTGCTCGACGACGTACAGACCAGGCAGAGTCATACCGAAGTTGACAGCACCCAGGATGATCTGAGTGACGTAGCTGTTGCTCAGACCGGTGGAGGTGAAGATAGTGTTACCGTAGTAGAAGAGGAAGTTGGCACCCGTCAGCTGCTGCAGGGACTGCAGAGCGATACCGAGCAGGGTACGGTAAAGCATGCGAGGGCCAGTGAAAAGTTCATGCCACTCGGCCTTGCCAGCAGCCTTCTCCTCGTCGAGCTTATCCTTCATCTCCTTCATCTCCTGGGCAATGCAGCGGTGGTTGGGGCCGACACCATACAGCTTGCACATGACCTCCCGGGCCTCGTCAACACGACCTTGACGGTAGGCAAACCGGGGAGACTCGGGCAAGAAGATGGAGCCGATAGCCAGGATCAAGGGCCAGGCGAAGCCAATGCCCATGGTGATACGCCAGGAAGCAGTCGACTGGATTCTCTCCGTACCAAAGTTGATGATGTAGGAGATGAAGATACCAAAGGCGACGAACAGCTGGAAGGCACTGACCATGGCACCACGGACCTGACGGGGAGCAGATTCACTCTGGTACATGGGGACGATGCTGGACAGAGCACCAACACCCAGACCGGCGACCCAACGACCCATGGCCACCTGAACCCAGCTGGTTTGGGTGGCAATCTGGATGATGATACCAACAATGTGAACAATGGACCACAGACAGATGGAGAACTTGCGGCCCATGCGGTCAGCAATGGGAGCAGCCACCAAGGCGCCAATCATAGTACCGATACAGAGCTGAGGCGGTTGTCAGTGGGGTGATCCTAACGAGCAGATCCTTGAGAGGCAACTTACCAGACCGACAATCAAACCACTACGGACGTTGCTGAAGGCATAGGTTCCATCCGACTGTTCTTCACCGAAACGCCGAAGGAAGTCATCCATAGTCTCAAAACCAGAGATTTGACCTGTAGAGGGAAGATTAGCAACCGAGGGAGGATCGGATGAGGAAGGGTGACCACATACCAGTAGAGTAACCGAAGATGAAACCACCCATGGACACCACGACACCCAGGATGAAAGACCGCCAGGTCAGGTACTTGACGGGGCTGTCATCGAGCATGACATTGTCCTTTTCGACAGCAGAATTGGAACGATCAGGAGTAGGGGCCTCGGTGGAGGACTCGGAGTGGTCCGCCTGAGGCTTGAAGCGGGACATCATACCCATGTTGCCGTTGGATTCATAAAACGCAGAATCCTCTGGGGATAGGGAAGTAGATGAGGAGAGAAGAGTGATGGAAGAGAAACATCCAAGAGAGTGGAAGACCTGGGGGAAGTGGAGGGATATATATGGAGTCCGGGCAGGAGGAGGAGGGGGGGGAGAACTTGAGAAGTGGAGGGAACAAGGATGAAATCGGTAATTATGACGGCGTCATCAAGAGAATAACACTAAGAGGGCAGTGAAAGAATTTGACGCTCCATCCGTCGGCAATTCGCCTCCATCCCAGGGATTGGACGAACCCCATCCTCGGGGTAGGACCATGGCGAAAAAAAACGGGGGCCCAGATCTCAAGTCAAGGGCCCGAAGACAGGCAAACGAGGTGGGCAAGTCGGGAAGCTAGGGGGCGAAGAGTTCATTGGATGCTTCCAGAGCGTGTCTTGGAGTGGGGAGAGGGTGGAGAGGCATCTGGAGAGACGGAGTCGGCTAGGACAATTGAGGTGAAGTGGACGGCGAGTACCTGACTGGAGGGGGAATTCATTTCGCCGGAGGAGGAGAAAGATATGGAGAAGATCCGAACATGCAAGTTTGGATGCGGATGGCACTAGTTCACTTCTAGCAGACTAGTACAAGTCACGCAAGTCTGGAGACGCGGGCAGGTCACGAGGGAACCACCTCCCGCATTATTCTGCTTTATCCCCGACTATCTTCCGAACTGTCTATACCCCAGGTTGCTTGCTTACAATTCGTCTATCTCGGCCATCCTAGTCTTCCCGATCATGACCTTGTCCATCCACACCCTTCGGGCAATACAACCCGAATGTCTTTGCCGCCGTGTGACCGTGCATGGCACGGTGACGCCGGACAACGACTCCGGAGACAATAATAATAATGATGATGATGATGATGATGATGATGATAGTGGAAGGTTGAATGGATTCATCGCGGGTTGGCAGACCACCGTCACCAGACACTCCGACAGACTACATAGTACAGTACATACATACGTACCACCTCCCGGTTTGCAGGAGACTGACATCTTGACGTTACCCGAGACCAACACATTGTAATGCCAGTGGCCAGCCAGTGGCCAACCCGTGGCTGTCTCCGTCCATTCCGTGTTACTTGCAGGGTTGAACTGTGACTGTGTTTGTTTTGAAGGAGGGGGGCGCATGGGCTGATCCACCCGCCCTTGATTGATGCCGGGAGCGGCCACTCTTAATATTACCTCACTTAATAATATTAAGATGCCGTCCGCCCTGCCTCCCGCTACTATGTAACGACTATGGCTGCTCTTAGTCAGAATCTACTGAACAAAGCATTGTTGACGAGCCCCGGTCCACACTACGTTCCTGAATTTTCTTCGTTTCGGGTGCCTGGCTGTCAACGCTCTAGACAGCCAAGGAAGAAAAAAAATTTCTTTCTCCCTTCCATTAATCACACTTCGCCCCTGAGCCAGCAAACCAACAAACCAGCAAAGCCAGTCGTAGTAAAGTTGCCGGTTCCGACACAGTTCCTAGCGAAATCGAGGGCGATCACCGGGCGCCAAGTGGGCCCCCCTGCACGCAGAGTTTTCTTTTTTTTTTTTATTAATTAATTTTCTCTCCTTCTGCATGCGTTGGGAAATCCCTCTGGGCCAAGGGCCCAAGGGCCGATCCCGAAACTCACCACACCTCGCCAGTAACTTTTGGTCCGAGGACAAGGGCGAAAGAAGGAGGGGGAAAGAGGGAACTGAAGAGAGGAAGACCGAAGGATCATCAACCCCGACCAGCAAATGCAAGAGAAACTCAACCAGGAAGCTTAATGTAATCTCGAGCAGCAACCGGCCCCTGATAAGTACATCCAACCTACTCACAGTACGCAGCCACCCCTGTTCACCGTAAACCACATCCTTCTCACCGTCGCCCATGCCGAGTTGCTCGGCCTTCGCCCGACCGTCTCGGCCTCGGCATGCCTACCAACCAAACCTCTCTCGGGCTCCCGATACATCCACTCGCCCACTGCTCCCATCCCGTTTGGAGCTCACCGGCCAGTGGATCTGCTGTTTAGTGTGCTATGATCCTTACCCACCCATTTGAATTTTCATCCAACCATCGTCCGTTTCTTTCAGCCCCAGCAGCCAGCTAGAAGCTCAACGTAGCCTGACTCGCATCCGGCCAGCCTATCAATCATGATGTCTTTCTCTCACCACGGTTCAGGTCGGAACTTGGCCGGTCTTCGATCTTGGTCTTTTTCGGCTTCCGGTGAGGGTTTCACTTGCCAGGCTCCGTTGAGTGATTCGGGTTTCGGCATGCCGCGCGGTCTGTGCCATGTCTTCGCTTGCAGCCTGCCTGCCTGTCTGCCTTCCCAGTACTTCGTGGATAGCAAGCAAGCAAAGCCCATCCGTGAAAACATGCTATCAACTGTCTATATACACCATAAGAAACAACATGGCATACATAACCAATACCTTACCACAGTAGCACAACGCAATCCAAACCAGGTGGCGTACCATGTAGCATCACGCAACGCGACCCGAACCCTACCTACCTACCTACCTACCTACCAGAATATGTACGTTATCCAAATAGGTAGCGTAGCCTCCACTGGAAATAGCTCGGCGACATCCCGCCCCTCTTCACCAATCACAACCCCTCACCCAAACCCATCCAAGTACCTACCTACGTAGCACATAGCATACCTACCTATCCAGTATCTTTTCCATCCCCACCCATCCAGTGTTTCACTACCTATCCACCTCACCTCACTCACCTCACCTTATCATCACCCAACCCAACCCAACCCAGCACAGACAGACACCAGCGTAGAATCATTCAACCGGACCTCATCTGGAAAAGCGAACAGCCGCGAACACCACCACCAAGACCTAAGCTATAATACTTCCAATACTATTAATAAGAAATGCTACGGTTACTTTTTTTTTCCGCCGGGGGAAAATGTAACCTAACTAGCATTAATGTTCGGGTGAATAAGCATAGGTAGGTAGCATATGTTGTGAAATGTATGTGTTGGTTTGTGCGTGTGTGTGGTCCTCAGGCATTGAATCCTGTTGAGGTCTAGACTGGACCCATGCTTGCGGCTTGATTATGGTAGGTAGGTAGGTTAGGTGGAGAGATGGATTAGGACTTAGAAGGGAATGATGAATGATGAATGATCCTGGATGTGCTTGCAGGGTGGTGTAGGACGGGGTCGGGTCGGATGGTATTTATTGATTTTTTTGTTTTTGTTTTTGTTTGAGGGGTTGTTCATGTGGTTGCTTGGGATGTTTCTTGTTGGTTGGGATGGTGGTGGTGGTGGTGCTAATTTTGGAGCCGCAATGTCATGATATCATCGGCTTTTGCGGCGGTCTTTGATATCGGCCACTTTGGCGATTGAGATCGCGATGAGAGGATTTTCTGCATGTTGGATGGAGCTATGGCTCTGGTGTTACTATTGGGGATGGATGGGCTTCAACAATAGTCATGGCAAAAGACCTGCTGACTATTGTTCTGTATATACTCCATCCGGAGCATTGTCGCACGCCATCTATTCTCCGACTCCCTAGACTCGATGCCGCTACGGAGTACAGTCTACCGTCTACCCCCTACAGTACAGTCCCACAGTCCTTATCTGCACGTCACACAGCTCGGAGATATCACGGTGGCCCCAAGATTGGTCCCTATCCACCCGATTGACTTCTCTTGACGTGCATCTCCTGGCCGGCTGGCCCAGTGGATTGACAGCGGAGGCTAAACTGACCGAAGTAATTGCGAAGATCACCCATTAATAGATTATGCTATCTGCTAGTCTGCATCGTTTCATTTGTCGATCTGGTTGCACGGCCCTGTCCTGATTGGTTCCGCGACACCACGTGTAAGGTACGCCTGGATGGACCTACCCTCGAGATAAGGTGCGGTCCCGTCCGAGGCATCCAGAGCTAGCTCGTTCGTTTCATGCACTCACCGAGCCCCAGAGCTTGGTTCACCGTTCGCCACCACTGCGGATTCAGTTCAGGGTTCACCCCACCGACTCCTTCTCCCCATCTTCCCCAGGTTGATCAACACTCGTGCGTTAGTCATCATTGGCACATCTGCCACCCCCTTAAGTGCTCTTCTTGCCCTTCTCGCGCTCGGCCTTGCGCAAGGCCCGCTTCCGGATGGTTTCGTGCATGCCCTTGTTCTGGCCAACAACAAACTTGCCCATGGTGCCAGTGATGCAGGTCAGGAAATAGGCCATCAATCCGTGGCTCCAGTAAGGAGAAGAACTGTAAGCGTACGTGGGAGATCCACCATTACGGCCGATCTTGGTCAGAACCGACTTCACGAACGAACGCGGGTCGGGGATCGTAGCACTGGTCCGGCGGATCTTCGACATAGCAGAGGTGATGAGGTAGGCCTGAACCAGCTCGACAGTAATTCCGTACGGTTCAAGCTCCGAACCGAGGGAGGTGGACCATTGCTGCAGGAAGGCCTTGCTACCAGAGTAGGTGGCAAGAAGAGGGGTGGGGAGAAGTCCACCGAAAGAGCCCATAGTCAAGACCAATCCACGCTTGCGCTGCATCATACCAGGGACAACAATCTGGGTGGCCCGCAAGGTACCCAGGCAGTTGATGGTCACGATATCGGTCATTTCATCCTCCGGGGTCAAAGCGAACGGAGTGGGGATGTTGTGGCTCTTTCCAACGTTGTTGACCAGCACGGAAACGTCCAGCCCGTCCACCAACGCCTTCAGCTTCTCGTAGTCGCTGTCGTCGTTGCGAGCAAAGTCCATCGCCAGGGTCTTGGTCTGCACAGAGGGGAACTTGGTCTTGATCTCTGCACCAAGAGTATCCAGCTTAGAGGCGGTCCGGGAAACGAGGAGGATGTTGAAGTCAGCGCGGGCGAGCTGAAGGGCGAATTCCTTGCCGAGGCCATCGGAGGCACCTGTGACCACGGCCCAGCTGCCCTTGGGACCGAAAGAGCGAAGCTGGAGGTATGATTATCAGTATCCGCAACGCATGAAATTCATCTGATAGAGCAACATACAGGTTTGCCAGGGAGGACAAACAAGCTCAGGATGACCCTAACGAACACCAAAGCGCGGGAGAAGACAAACAAGCTGCCAGCGGCGAGAAGAGCCGAGGCGCCCACCGTCTGCCATCCGGGCTGAAGGTTCAATTGCCAGTTGGACAGACAGTCCAGATGCTTCGTCAGAAAGTCCATGGTTGCTTGGTGTTCAACCCGTGCCAATGGTGGATGTAGGAGCTGGCTGAGGAGAAAATCCGGAGAAGGACGGCGGTGCCGCAACAACAATAATAATGGTTGGGGTTTGGCGGTGCCAAGACCCCATCGGCAGACCTCGGCCCCCCAAACAAGCAATTATCTCATCGCAATAATCAGCCTTCCCAACCAATTGACGCTCCTCCATTCAATTCCTCTTCAGCTGCGTCCTTCAATCACTATATATCCCCTACAGCAATGGCCTCTCTTCTCTCCTATCTGCCGCCTTTTGAGGGCATACTGCCCCAATGGCTCGCATTGGTAACGATCCACCCCATTGTTTACACCCATACCCCAGACACGTGCTGACTCGCTCCTCGATCTACTAGGTCTCCGTCATCTCAGCAGCAAACAGCATCCAAGCCTATCGATCGGAGTCCTATGCCGCAGATCTCTACAACGCAAAGTCCGTTGATGGTCGCCCGCCCACCAACCCTCTCTCTTCTCGGACTTTCGGCACCTGGACTTTCCTTTCCTCCGTAGTCCGCATGTACGCCGCCTATAACATCAATAACCCGGCTGTCTACGATCTCGCTATCTGGACTTTTGGCCTCGCTCTGCTGCACTTTGTGGGCGAGTGGTTGGGCTTCGGTAGTGCGCAGCTCAAGGGTCGCTTCATCAGCCCCCTGATCGTTGCTTCGTCCACGCTGGCTTGGATGTTGACACAACGGGAGGCATATCTGGCTCTTTAGGTTGCAGTTGCAGAATGACTGTTTTTTTTGTCGCAACGGGCTTATATATCTTTCTACCTTCTATAACCCAGGAAACAAGAATGAGCTATGGGTTAGCTAACTTGTTATCGCATTAATCAAATTATAATCAAAATGTTGGGGGATTTCGCGATTATTTGAAAAAAAAAAAAAAAAAAAAAGAAGTCAAGGCAATGTTCGTGTACCTGATGACACAAGATATCTGTTCTAGACTCGGCCGATTGACTACATTCCTTGGCCACGTTCCTCCAGCCGATAAACCCGTGTAGATGATGCAAGATGGGGTAATTTCTTGCACTTTTTTACGGAGGCAATATCCGAAGAGTTATATGTGAGAATGGAAAGAGCTTAGTCTTCTAAGTTTTGGCAGATCATTGGCGGTGTGACGGTCAGACTTCGGGTCATGATAGAATGGTTGAGGGGGAGCAATGCTGCATATTGGAAAGGGGTATAGACTGAGTCAGTTATGGTTGAGCCCATTATGCTTATCAAGAGGGTTGGTTGGATTGTTAGAATGGCAAGGAGAATAATTAGCGTGAACAACATGCTGCGCGGCTGGATTTCTGGAAAAGCGCTTCAGACAAAAATTGGGTGAACCGTCAAGCGCGTGGCATCAGATATTCGATAGGTAACTGACCCTCGACTCGGAGATGAGTACGACAGAACTTAAGATTTTGATGGGTGGTGACACTCGTCCCAATCCGATCAGAAAAACCTATTGGTCGGAGTGGCTGAAAAATACAAGCATCCATTGCTGTCAGAAAATATAGTTAGGTATACAACATACAATCTAGCGTAATCGATGCCCTCGGTTCTTAACCATCCATCTTCTTCCTATAAAGCTCTCCACCACAGCCCCGCAGCCTCGCAGCAGCTTGCTCGGGGGTGATATCACGTTGGGGTTCGCCCATCATTTCATACCTATGTATAATCAGTAAGACTGCAGGCCAGATGATACTCGAACGGCTACTTACCCAACCAAGAACTTACGCACGGTAGCACTGCGCAATAGCGGGGGATAAAAGTGCAAGTGCAGATACGACGATTCGATTTCCTCCTCAGTTCCTTCAAGCGGCGCCTGGTGAATACCCATGCTATACGGGAAGTGCGTCTCAAACAGGTTGTCATAACGTCTGGTGACTTCTGCGATGGCTTCCGCCAGCTGCTCCTTCTCGGTGCTGTTCAAGTTGACCAAGGCACGCTTGTGCGTCTTGCTGACAACCATGGTCTCAAAAGGCCAGACAGCCCACCAGGGGCAGACAACTAGGAACGCATCATTCTCGAACACCACGCGCTCCTGCTTCCGGCTCTCGAGAGCAGCATAGGCCTCCAACATGTGCTTGCCTCCGTTCTCCTGGCGGTATTTCTTCAGCTGCTCGAGTTCCATTGCCGGTTCCTCGGGCAGAGAGCTAGTGGTCCAGACCTGACCGTGAGGGTGAGGGTTCGAGCATCCCATGGCGGCTCCCTTGTTCTCGAAGATCTGCATGTAGCGATATTGCTCCTTTGGCTTAGTCAAGCTAGCAGTTGGAGAATTCGGAGGCAGAGTGGTCGCGGGAGCGACAGCAGCCAGAGGCGACTTCGGAGACAGGTGAGCTGTGTAGATCTCGGTCCAAGCGTCAATGACGGGCACGATCTCGGCCGGCGACAGATCGGCCAAAGTCAGGTTATGAGCCGCAGAGAATGTAAGCACATAGCATTTGCCAGTAACGGGCTCTGCCTTGAGAAAGAACGATTCGAGGTCTGGTACTCATGCTGTTAGCGTGGCATGCCTTAAGCCTTGGTGTGATAAGTAGGTCCATACCTTCGCCACCTTCAGCGGTATAAGGTGCTTGTTCCTCCTTGACCGCGCTGTAATCATTCACAAACACAAATGTCTTTTCATACGCAGGGTTGCTATCACCCTGTGCGCGCTTGTTTCCGGGGCATAGGTAGCAAGCCGGGTCATAGGTTGGCAAAGTAGTTTTGGAGGGGCTCTCCTGCTGTCCTCTAATCGCAGCATTTGAATCAGCATTCCCACTCAATTGGACCCATGCCTCAAGTCTGTTGCAAACAAGGCGGCCAGTTCTCTGAGATAGGGTTCGGAAGTTGGACTTACTGCCAGGGGCGCTTGGTTCGGTGCGGGGAAACCAAGATATAAGATCCTCGAAGAGGATTGAATCTCCGGTGGGAGATATCGTCTAGAACGCTTTCAACCATTGTCGTGGCTAGGATGAGAATTTGTTAGAGTGAGTGCTGAAGTAGGACAAGGTAGAGAAAAGAAAGCAGAGAGAAAAATGAGCGACGGAGAAAAGCTGGCTGACGGCGGGGCCTAGTCGCGGGGTCTCCGGAAATTATGGCGATTCGGCACCGAAGACAGCACGGGGTAAAACGGAGTCATCCGATCGGTTGCTCGGGTAATTTCAAGGCCCTGAAGTGAACCCTTCCTGTCACGGCAACCCATGACGGTGCCTGACTGGCTCAAATTACCCTTTTAACAAACAGTTCCATGGTTTAACAGGTACAGCCCACGTGGATTCTGATACATTGGATCGTCAGGACTTCCTGCATCAGGATGAATGAATGGAATCAAACCAGAAGACCTGCATGGCATGTCTGCTAAATCGGCCGGCTGATATGTAGGGACTAGTACTAGGAAAAGGCCGCTCCACCGTGACTAACCAGCGCGCTGGTGGACCGAAACGTCTGCGTCTTCCCGCGGCTACCCGAGTCAGGAAGTCACCTGCCCGCCTTTCTCGGGCCGGTTCGTTTGACGTCAGGGGAAACGAGGGGCAACTGGCTGGCCTTATCGCCCGTTATCACCGACCTCCACATCCCCGGAGAACGTCGCTGGCATAATCATCATCTGACCTTCTCACGTCACATTACCCAAGGATCGGGCTCCACTGTAACTTCTGTTGCTGCTTCGTTCGTTCATTCGAGCGAAAACATGAGATTCGCACATATCCCCCGCAGTTGATCAGAACATGGACGTCAGCCATCCAAAGCTCCATCTTTACTCGCTCCCAAATGAAGTGCGATAATGCGGTCTCCATTGAATGCGTGACGACTTGCTAATGCGTGCATGTTCGCTTTAGGTACTCGTTCAAATCCTCTCCTCCTTCTCGACGCGCTCTCTCATCCCTTGGGCAAGAGTTTCCTACCGCTTCCACGCCCTGATCTTACGGATCCTGCATTATCGCCTACTCGTTGGCGCGCCATTGCAGGAATACAAGCTCATCCTAGAATGCTTTCATCCAAGCTCTAAGCTAATTGAGCCTCACGTATTCTGTACATATCTTGGCACAGACGACTTGAATAGCTACGAAGGGAATGGTTCTCTTTATGAAAATACCGATACCGCGCAGCAACTCGGGAGACTGAGCTCAGTATATTCTCGGTTCCGTCCTGAAGTGACAGTAGAAGAAAGGTCTAATGGAACAAGGCTAGTTCCCGTAACAGGTATGTCGCGCCTGTTAACAAAATCAGTGGTCAAGTCTTCGATGGACCTGACTTTTATAGACGATGGGCAAGATCCCCATCGGGATGACTTAGTCGTCACGCGCCCTATCAATCTAGAGGAGTTCGAGGAATTCTTTCAGCTATGCGTGCTTGTGAATATAGTGAAGGTCATGCCGGGAACGAACCTCCTCCTGAGCGCACACACGGTCGAGGATGGGGTAATCAGAGTGTTTCGGGATTGGTTGAGGGACGAAGAAAAGCGCTTCCGGGAATTCATACCAGAAGGGGCAGGGCATTCGCAAATGCTATGGGTTGACCAAAGCAAGAGTGTCGGGATCAAAGTCCGGGTCAGGGGGAAGAAGTTTTTGAACCAACATATTCCACTTCTCGTCCATCGAGACGATGAACAATTCACGAGCTATGAACTGGATATCGAAGGTAAGCCCGTACTGCTATTATCTGCGTCTGCATACTGATAAGTGGCCAGAATTGCATATACGCTCTGTTCGGTTACTATTGACGTTGGAGAAATCACAGGAGGAACAGCAGAATTATTACAAAGCTGTAGTTCTTACCCCAAATATTAGATAGATTGCCCATCGGCAGACATGCCAGTGATATGCTGTCTTATCACCAATCCGAATGTATGTATGAACCTTTCTGTCAATAGCGTTTCTTCCAAGGTACGCAGATCGAGCATTCATAGGAACAAAGGCCATTTGGAGCTTGTTTGTGGTTCAGGTCATGTGTACGGCGGGCATTAGCGGCCATCAGGCAATAATGATTTTTTGTGTTGAAGTACGCTTACTGCTGACCTCACTGTTATATGTGTCAAACCCTAGGATCGCTTCTCCCTGTTCCTGTTAGCTTAGCTCCCGTTCTAATACGTACCTTTGAACTGAATCAAGGTAAGTCAGGTCGATGACTGTCTAAAGATGACTGGTCCTGAACAGAAGAAGAGAAGTAAGGCCAGATAGTGCCATGCAGCTATCTGTAAGTAAGTATAGATGAGTATTATCACTAAGCTTTATTAAAACATATAATTATTTAAAGATAATTTGATTAAGCATGAAGAACAGAACTAACTAAGTACATGAAAGAGTGTCCTTATATCCTATTCTCTGTATACTATATCATATATCATTCAGGATAGATTGAGGATTGATCCAATCATGTTTCTGGATTTCTGTATACCACATTATATATTCTCAATAATAAATCTGATGGTAGATAATCACGTGACACAACGCTGCTCCAGACATTACTCAGACCAGGATTCTGCGTGATAAGAGTTGCTGGTTGTCTGAGTCCTGCCTTGTCATCGCTTTTCTGCCTAACGATCTGCTCTGCTAGTAACCTGGCTAGCAGGGTCTGTAACAACATGTTGGCCTATCATAGAAAGGAAAACTGAGAAACTCAACCGACACACAGGAGGAACACGCACCTTTATGTCTCTTGAGAACAAGAATCTTGAAGGAGGGAATGATGTTACAGACCCTGCTAGCCAGGTTACTAGCAGAGCAGATTCGTTAGGCAGAAAAGCGATGACAAGGCAGGACTCAGACAACCAGCAACTCTTATCACGCAGAATCCTGGTCTGAGTAATGTCTGGAGCAGCGTTGTGTCACGTGATTATCTACCATCAGATTTATATTGAGAATATATAATGTGGTATACAGAAATCCAGAAACATGATTGGATCAATCCTCAATCTATCCTGAATGATATATGATATAGTATACAGAGAATAGGATATAAGGACACTCTTTCATGTACTTAGTTAGTTCTGTTCTTCATGCTTAATCAAATTATCTTTAAATAATTATATGTTTTATAAAGCTTAGTGATAATACTCATCTATACTTACTTACAGATAGCTGCATGGCACTATCTGGCCTTACTTCTCTTCTTCTGTTCAGGACCAGTCATCTTTAGACAGTCATCGACCTGACTTACCTTGATTCAGTTCAAAGGTACGTATTAGAACGGGAGCTAAGCTAACAGGAACAGGGAGAAGCGATCCTAGGGTTTGACACATATAACAGTGTGAGGTCAGCAGTAAGCGTACTTCAACACAAAAAATCATTATTGCCTGATGGCCGCTAATGCCCGCCGTACACATGACCTGAACCACAACAAGCTCCAAATGGCCTTTGTTCCTATGAATGCTCGATCTGCGTACCTTGGAAGAAACGCTATTGACAGAAAGGTTCATACATACATTCGGATTGGTGATAAGACAGCATATCACTGGCATGTCTGCCGATGGGCAATCTATCTAATATTTGGGGTAAGAACTACAGCTTTGTAATAATTCTGCTGTTCCTCCTGTGATTTCTCCAACGTCAATAGTAACCGAACAGAGCGTATATGCAATTCTGGCCACTTATCAGTATGCAGACGCAGATAATAGCAGTACGGGCTTACCTTCGATATCCAGTTCATAGCTCGTGAATTGTTCATCGTCTCGATGGACGAGAAGTGAATATGTTGGTTCAAAAACTTCTTCCCCTGACCCGGACTTTGATCCCGACACTCTTGCTTTGGTCAACCCATAGCATTTGCGAATGCCCTGCCCCTTCTGGTATGAATTCCCGGAAGCGCTTTTCTTCGTCCCTCAACCAATCCCGAAACACTCTGATTACCCCATCCTCGACCGTGTGTGCGCTCAGGAGGAGGTTCGTTCCCGGCATGACCTTCACTATATTCACAAGCACGCATAGCTGAAAGAATTCCTCGAACTCCTCTAGATTGATAGGGCGCGTGACGACTAAGTCATCCCGATGGGGATCTTGCCCATCGTCTATAAAAGTCAGGTCCATCGAAGACTTGACCACTGATTTTGTTAACAGGCGCGACATACCTGTTACGGGAACTAGCCTTGTTCCATTAGACCTTTCTTCTACTGTCACTTCAGGACGGAACCGAGAATATACTGAGCTCAGTCTCCGAGTTGCTGCGCGGTATCGGTATTTTCATAAAGAGAACCATTCCCTTCGTAGCTATTCAAGTCGTCTGTGCCAAGATATGTACAGAATACGTGAGGCTCAATTAGCTTAGAGCTTGGATGAAAGCATTCTAGGATGAGCTTGTATTCCTGCAATGGCGCGCCAACGAGTAGGCGATAATGCAGGATCCGTAAGATCAGGGCGTGGAAGCGGTAGGAAACTCTTGCCCAAGGGATGAGAGAGCGCGTCGAGAAGGAGGAGAGGATTTGAACGAGTACCTAAAGCGAACATGCACGCATTAGCAAGTCGTCACGCATTCAATGGAGACCGCATTATCGCACTTCATTTGGGAGCGAGTAAAGATGGAGCTTTGGATGGCTGACGTCCATGTTCTGATCAACTGCGGGGGATATGTGCGAATCTCATGTT